CCCTTCCCTGCCCCTCGCCAAACAAAACTGAAACAGGCAGAGAGGAGAGACACAGACCCTTCCCTGCCCCTCGCCAAACAAAACTGAAACAGGCATCGCGATACCTGTAGGCTCGGCTCCCGCCGTTTCGAGGAATGAAGGCATCGTGGCGGTGAACTTTGTGAACATTCGTTGCGTGGTTGCCGTCGGGCGTGATGTAGTCGGATCCCTCCGGGACGTATGTCATGTTAGCGTCGACGGCCGTGGCAGAGCCTTCGGGCGAGGGGTGACCAGCCAGAAGATGGGGGAGGAGGCAACTGGAGATCGTGTGGTCGGAGTGAGCGCAGGGCGCCTCTGCTTCGGTCATCTCCTCGGCCGCGAAGGCGTCCTGGTAGCTGAGACCGCCATTGGAAGCTACCCAGCGTCGGATGCCATTGGTCCGAAGAGCAGTGAGGTCGCGGATGGGGACAGACGGGGAGCTTATTCGAAGTGAATGGTGCGCAGGCTGAGGACCTCGGTCAGGGCGGCGATATTGCGCTGCTGCTTCTCCATGGCCCGGAGAAGATCCGTCATCAAGGCCGTGTTGGCGTTGGCCGAAGCATCCCTGGGTGGAGTTTGAGGTTGTCTATCCTCAGCGAACGTTGGGAATGAGTGCGTTCCCCCCTCCTCGGCGGCCCGCTGACGGGCGGCGGCGTTCATTGCTCGATCGAATGATACCGTCTGGGTCGAAGACTCGGGGAAGGGCGGGGCGTTGGGCGCGACGATCAGGAGGAAGAGGGTTGTACTCGGCGGGCATGCGAGGGTGAAGACTTCCTTCGCGGACCTGACTACCGCGGGGATCAATGCAGTATGGGAAGGACCTTCTCGGTGCACCATAGACTGAGCGTAGTAGTGAGCTTCTGGAGAGAGAAGAAGGAGTGACTAGATACAGGCGGCGATGACAAGGCCCAGAGGCTGAGGCGGAGTCGGATCCGAGCGCTCAGCACACACAAGCCGTTCCTGGCCCTCTCACAAGAGGAGAGGAGACACAGGCCATTTCTTGCCCTCCCATCTCTTCCTCGACCCTAGACCCCGCTTGTGTTCGCTCCGTTTCGAGATCGCTCCTCGCTCCCTTGTACTTTTCGTCGCGCTCGCGCTCAGCGCCTTTGCTCTGACACCATTGGATACCGACAGTCTTACACATTACATCGCTCCAACCACTGACAGAGGCAAACAGGGGGCACAGCAAAGAGCTACAGCTCGGGGCGGCTCCCGCCGAGTAGGTGCTGTGAGGAGGGCGACGTGTAGAGTATACTGAATCAAAGCGAGACTGATCTGTGCGATTGCCGATTGCGCGCAATCTGACAGGATCGCGAATGCGCTTCTTTCCGCACCTTGGGTCTTGGCAAGGTGGGGATAGGCTTGGCAAGAGCGGGGAAATGTGGCGACGGAGCTCCGCGACGCACGTTGTGGGAATGCCGCATGGGCAGCACAGACTCTGACATGCCCGTCCTGCCCTGCCGGCGGAAGGCTGCCACTCAGTGCTGCTCTCGCCATCAGTGCTCCTCTCCCAAGCAATGCTCCCCTTCCAATCAATGCTTCTCTCCCGTTCCCTTGTCGAACAATGTTGCGCGGGCGTCGAAAGAGTCTGCTCCTACTTGTTCTCCTCTGCCTTTTCTTGATCGGTCTCGAGGCGCGACACCACTGGCAAGAGGTCAAAGACACTCTGAGCTACTCGACACGGCCTTTGTGGGATCGCGCGGATGGCCCAACAGACATAATACCTCGATTGCATGAGGAGAGTCTGGCTCCCGACTCTGCAGAGGCTTGCCAGCGGCATGGCTGGACATTGCGGCCTACAAAACCCTTGCTCGTCGATGTGGTGCTGTTCAGCACAGAGGTGGAGCTGTTCGAAATCCGTTTGCGAGAGCTGAGCGACGTCGTCGATATTTTCGTGGTGGTAGAGAGTACGCATGATCTGATGGGGCGAGAACGAGTGAGTAGAGCAACCAACGCCAGAAGGTCGACACGGCTGTAGCTGACGGAGCAGCCTCACCGAGAATGCTCGCAGAACCTCACCTTCGCAAACCGACGGGGTGCCTTCAGCCAATGGGAGTCGCGACTTCGGTATCACCTCCATCAAGGTCGCGAGAGGACAGAAAGTGATGGGTTTTTCAGGCTAGTCAACGAATTACGTGGAGGTGTGACTGCTTTCCTGTGAGCCGACACGAGGCTACGACGTCGAGCGAGAGTCATGTTGCTGATGTTCGTGGCTCCACTGCCCTTCTTGCGCGGACTAGTCGAGACGAAGTGCAACCTCCAGAAGGTTCTCTAATCTTGATGGCCGATGTTGATGAGATCCCCTCTCGAGCGACTATGAAGCTGCTCAAAGCGTGTACAGCGCCTCTGCCCATTCATTTACAGATGCAAAATTACATATACAGCTTCGAATGGGTCACAGATGCACGGTCCTGGCGAGCTCAAGTCCACCTCTATGGAGAGGACTTTTCGTACATCCATGGCAAAGCATCTGAGGTTGCTATTGCCGACGCTGGCTGGCATTGCAGGTGCGTAGTAGTATTCGCCGGGTGTGATACGAAGCGAGGGTCCGTTGACAGTCCACTCAGTCGCTTGCTCTTGATGCCCACAGCTTCTGCTTTCGCACCCTGGAAGAATTCGTCATCAAGATGCGAGGAGCTTCTCATGCCAACCGTCTGTACGACCGCGCCGATTGGCAGGCCATGCTGTCGGCTTCCCGTATTCAGAACAAGATTTGCAGCGGCCAAGACATCTTCGACATGCTCCCAGAGGCCTACACCTGGAACGAGCTCATCCGCTTATGGAAAGGTGCGACAAAGTCGTCCTCAGCGGCTCATCTGCCAGCAGCCGTTATAGAGCAGCACGAGCGATTTGCCTTCTTGCTGCCAGGAGGATGCCTCAGAGCACAGCAGGCCTCAGGGAAGCCTCGTCGAAAGGGCAAGCCACTGGACCATGACTGGTCATCAACCTGAAGGTACTCCAACTGGGGCGCGCCCGTAGGCAAACGGACAAAACAGCTGGCAGGACCGCTGTCCGAAGCTGCGTATCTCACAGAGCGCGAACGAGCTTTTCAAAGCAGGATCTGTGGCTCCGTTCTATAAAGGCAAATCTGCGACTCGTATCAGGAGGCACCTCTCCAAGAGGTTGCATGGTTGTGGAGCAAATGCAGGCCCTCGTACAAGAAGCTGTGATACTGCTGTAGCTACGCGCAGACAATGGGAGCTCAGGTGGCTGGGAGATGGACGCAGAGACAGAGCAGCACGCGGCTGAGGCTGTGGAAGGAATCAAACTGCCATGACAGTCTAAGGGAACGGCGGGGGACTATAGCCTGTACCTTTGCAGACCGCGCAGTGCTCGACAAGGCTCAGAGACCCGGTCCTGACCCGGTCTCTCGACGATTGTGATAGGCTCTCGGGGCGCCTGAAACCATGCTGTCACATTGAGTCCGAATCCATCGGTGGGCCTCGCTAGCGGACTGGCTCGCTCTTGGAAGCGCTGAGAGAGCATTGCAATATCCGGAGTTGCCATGATCGTGCAAGTCAAAGCTTACACAGAGTGTGCGCTTGCCATGTCCCTGCTGCCAGAGGCGTGCCCGATGGGCAGGGAGGGAAGATCGGGTGCCCATGCACCCCGAGGCGATGATCCCTGCTTCCGCCGAGTGCACTGATCAGGCTCAGGCTCGCGTGCGCGGGAGGCGGATTGCAGTCCTTCCTTTCTTCCTTCTTGTCTTGCCTCCTTTGACATCATCTCCCTCTCATCATCTCTCCCTCTTTCCTCTACACTGTCTCTCGACGTCTCTCACGCTCTCATGTCCCGCTCGGACAACGGCGATGAGATGGATAGCAGTGCCCGAGCAGAGGCAGGCCTTTCACGATCCCCTCGCCCCTCCCCTACCTCGGATTCTGGAGCTCGGCAGGCACAAGCCCTCCTCTCTCTTCGCACACGAGTAACACCTCTTGCGCTGAATTTTGTGTGGAGCGCTGCTGCTTCACCGTCTGACAAGGATGATGAAGATGGCGATGTCAAGTCGGAGGATGGAATAGAAGAGGAGAAGCGACCAGCTTTGAGCGTGGAGGGGATGGAGAGCTGGGTGGAGGAGCGGATGGAGGAGAGTACCAGCGGCGGCAGCAGCAGTGGCAGAGGTGGTAGTAGCAGCAGTAGTGACCTTGATACTCAGGCGCGAGAGGACCTGATACGACTCGTGCTCGTGGACTGTCTTGTCAGCGCCGTCTTCCCTCCGACACAGCCTGATCTGGCTGCTCTTGCGCTTAATACGCTCGCGGATCTAATAGAGAGCAGCAGCAGCGACGCCGCGGACCTGGCATCATCAACAAGGGCGCAAAGTGGAAGGAGGGGAACAAGCAGCACTCATCTGCTCGTCGCTCTCGCTGTTTCACACCAAAGACGCAAGGAGCAGAGGGTCTCCCCGCTATATCCCTCAGGAGCAGAAGTAGAGACGGCCGCGGCTGTCAAGGATCTTCTGAGCGTACTCAAGCCTCACCTGGGGCAGAGTCGCTCAGCTCTACAAATCTGGAACACCAAGCAGTCAGAGCGGACGACATGGGAAAATCTCTTTGCTGTCTGTTCTGGCTCTACAGAGCAGCCGAAGTCGAACGCAGCAGCAGGAGGATACTCATCTCTTCAGGAAACACTCCTCGCCTTGTGTGAGGACTGGCAGAATGTCGGAGGCGAGAGTGCACTTGTTCTAAGACACTTGCAACAGGCAGTCCGAAGTGTGGGTGAGGATACGATGCACAAGGCTGGGAGCGGTGTCGATGGGGCTGGTGGTGGGATGGAGGTGAAGGGCGTTCACAGGAACGTGGTGCATCCTCTTCTGCTTGGGCAGGCTGCTGGGACTGGGGCGAGGCCTTCAAGGCTAGGGAGGCAGAGAGAGGCAGAGAGGAATGTACTGCTGCATGCTTTGGTGAGTACATCAGCGCTGACATTGGTGGACAAAATCTGTACCGATTACTCACGCTCATAAAGTCCGGCCATTCTGGTCTTACGTCCTCATCCGTCGCAGAGCTCGACTTCTCTCGCCTGGGATCAGAAAGAAGAGCTCTTCACCCTCTTTCTCGCCGCGTATCTTGCCGATGCAGCAATTACGGGCCAGAGCGAAAGCAAGAGCGAATTGTACAGCTGCTTCTGCACAGACCTACTCGTCGCTGCAAGCAAGACTTTCTCGACCTCTACTGGAGCTGAAAAGCAGATAAGGAGGAGCGTTCTTCTGGCTGAGGTGAGTAGAGAAAGCTGCTCAGTTGCTCAGGCGGGACGGGAGCGAGCGCTGACGTGTCTTTGACCATGGGCTCTTAGATCCCTCTCCTCATCTCATACACGCTCGATGCACACATCCCTGCCGAGGTTCGGGGCTCTGCCCTCACAGACGTCCTGACAGCCGCCTTCGCCTCGACATCGCCTGCAACAACAGCAGAGGCAGCCATTCCGACAACGGAAGCGCAAGAAGCCCTCAAGGCGGACCTGGTGTGTGCTTTTCAGGATCTACAGCTTATTGATAATTCTCAGGCTAGTGCGCTCGTTCCAAGTCTGAACAGTGCAGACGGTGAGCGATTGATGTTGCAGCTTCATGAGCAGAGCGAGGGCAGGGGCGTTGAGGTTCCTGTAGGTATTTGGCGCGATGTGGGGGTCAAGCAGTCGAGAGCTTTGCTGACCGTTCTCCAATCTACGCTTTCGCTGCCCAATAGACCCTCATTGCAGGCGACTACTTCTCTGATGCGGGTACCGCCTCCGACTTCTTTCGCCGAATGATCGAAGAGTCCACCTGTGCTAAGGATGCTGGAGCCGCTTTGATCGAGTGCTTCAAGACATCCACGACCGTCGCGACCGCCTCCCTCGACGCACTCTCCCTCGTCGTATTGGCCCTGCTCGAACAGCCAGCGGCACTGCATATAATCCTCCTCTTCACGAGCGCGAATGAACTTGGAGCTCCCCTCAGATGCGTCCTTACCGACGAAGAGGTGATCGACAATCTGTGCGGCCCTGGAGTCGGGGGTGATGACGAGTCAGGCATGCTGAGCAGGGTGGTCTTGTTCATCCAGTGGCTGGCCCAGCTCTCTTTTCAGAGCGAAGAGCAGGGCCATGGCCTCGATTCAGACAGCAAGGAGTTCAATTCCTCCGTCTCCCCCTCCGCCTCTCGTGCCTATGCGCTGCGAGATCTCACCGAGGATGAATCCCCCCTTGTCTCCCGCTGGATCTCCGAGCTGTTCGACTCGGACGGAATCGGTGACGAGATCATCCGGGACTCTCCCCCGCGCATCCTGATCAAGCTTGCACCCACTCTCCTCCACCAGTCGATCCTCGCAGCAGAGCAAGGCGTCATTGATGTCGAGATGCTCAAGGGGGGCTGTAGCTTCTTCTTGCAGGACCTGCTGAGCTATACTCTCCCCAGTGGGCTGGTCTGGCTGATGCGCGACCTGGAGAGGATTGGAGGTGTCCATCAAAGCAGGAGGGGAGCGCAGGGCACTGCCTTGGGAACAGGGACACCCAGTCGCTCAAGTCTCCTGGTGACACTGCTGAGCATGTTCCTCCTAGATGAAGGCTGCCCGCCAGTGGTGCTGGAGCTGGTGAGACCACATTTTGAGAGATTGCAAAGCTACGAAGGATCTGGACAGGCTCTGATGGACACTTCGACGTTAGAGGCGCTGCGATCGAGATTTGAGCGGGAGGAGACGAAGGGACTTCGTGAGTAACCCAAGCCAGACGAGATCGCGCCAGTCTGGCGAGGGTCAAGAGCAGAAGCTGAACTCTGCTGTTTCTTCCCGATCAGGTGTTCCCGCGCTGACTGCCCTCAACTTGGCAACACCCGAAGAAGTTCCTTCTCTTGCTCCTGCATTCGATCGCGAGCTAGAATCTCTTGAGGTCGAATTCCCTCAAAGCAGCAGTGCCCTCCGTGCTGGTCTTCAGCCTGTTCTAGCCAAAATTTGCCAACGTCTATCACAAAGCACAATCGTCACTCCCAAAGGAACGGAGGGCACGTCCTACCTAGCGAGCACTGCCGCCGCACTGTTAGTAGCGCACTTCCTCTCGCACTCGTGCTCTCCCCACTTCTCTCGAGCAGAGGAAGAGAACGCAGAGGGAACAGATGGGCAAGCCCTCAGCGGTGTTCTTCTCGCTCTCGATCTCCTCGTCCTCTCTCCTGCAGGAAGAAGCCCGAGCTGGGTTCAGCCACGGGCGCTAGTGCTTGCGCATGTGCTACGACTGCTCGCCCACGCGCCCGGCATGCTCTTAGGCTTTCGTGCAAGTGACAGTCAGGCTGAGAGTGCGAGCAAGAAGAGACGCTTGCAGCAAGGAGATGGAGCTGGAGATGGCGATGGAGGTAGTGCTGTAGATGAGGATCTTTTCGGCGATGAGGACAAGGAGAAGGAAAAGGTCAAGGACGGCAGTCCAGAAACTGCTGCTGCTGCTGCCGGTGCTGGTCCGATGGACGATGCCTCATCGTCCCGTTTCGCCACCATAGCCAGGCTGTGCGCCCTCGCCCTGCTGCGCGCCATCAGCCTCGACCCCGCCAGTACAAACGCCGGAGTACCAGCCGTCCTTGCCATTCTCCCCGGCTCCAATCATAGCAAGACAGGTAGCGAGGGCAGACAAGGCCGGCATGGAGCAGGCGCCATCGAGAAGAATCAGCGCGCGGCAGTCTGGTCCATTCGGAGCGTGCTGCAGCTACTGCCCAGCGCACTCCTCGATGGTGCAAACACCGAGAGCAGCGATACTGGTAAGGGCACTGGAAGCGGACCTGCTGCAGGAGAGACACTGGGCAAAAGGTCGAGCTCTGACCCCTCCCACTCTCCTCGTGAGGGGGCGCGAGGCAGAGCGGGGAGGATCGTGCAGGATGTGGTGCAGACGATTTGGGAGGTCATCATTGTACCTTGAGGCGCGAAAGGACCAATTAGAATTTTCTGTGTATTGATCAGGAGTGACTCGTCGGGTATGAAGAGGAAGGTTCAGCACGGCTACTTGTAAAATGAAGAGGGACAAGCGGCCCGGGGAGGGTAGGGGGGAAATGGAAACCTCATCATGCGCCAGCTAGAACTTCCATCTCCTCTTCGTTTACGGATTTCTTCGCGTGGAGCAGCCTGCGGATAGGGTCAAAGCGACGAAGACGAAGAAAAGATCAGCCTCTCGCTCTCGTCGTTCCGCCTGGCCGACCTCCTCGCCACGCAATGCTCACCTCTTCCTCTTGCTAGGCGAATCCTTGAGCACGACCATCTCCTCATCTTCGTCGTCCTCGTCTTCCCGCTCCTCTACCTTACCCTTGCCGTTGGTCCTGCCTTTTGTGCTCCCACCAGTAGTCCGGGCTCTCTTGACAGGGGATGAGGACGAGGCATCCACAGAGGCGTTGCCCTTGGAAGCCCGCGACGGTCGGAGGGGCATTGATTTGCGTGGTGCAGAAGCAGCAGGCGCGGCAGCAGAGGTGACCTTGAATGCTCGAGCTACAGGCTTCTTGGCTGAAGCAGTTGAAGCTTTAGAGGGTCGAGGCGTGGGCTTGGACTTGGCTGCGGGAGCAGCACCTTTCTTTCCTCCCGCTGCTGCTGCTCCACCTTTCTTTGTGTTGCGCTTGACCACCTCGATTGACTGCGATTCGTCATCATTCTCGTCTTCCTGTGAAGAAGCGGACCCCGAGGTAGACATGGAAGCATCCTCCTCCGAATCGGCCACGAAGCTCAAGTCCTCTTTTGTGACCTTGCGCTTCGAGTCTTCCTCGTGCGTGTCATCGGGATCGCTGTCCGTCTCTTCCTCATCTTCATCTTCCCCCTGTTCCTCCTCTTCATCTTCGTCTTCATCGATGGAAATGGATTGCCGCCCGCGCTCCTGCTGAGCAGTCCGCTTGTCTGGCCTGACGGGGGAGGTGATCAGCTCGTCCTCCGATGTATCCATCAGCAGCGACGCCTGCCCTTGTGGCCCCTTGCGAAGAGGACCAGGCTGTAGGTAGACGGAGCGACTCATCGATTCCTCATCTTGAATGTTCGAGCCATCAGCTAGCGTCACGCCCGTAGAATCATCAGCGAGTGTAGCCAGCTCCGACTCGACTTCGACCTCCTCGTCCTCACCTACTCCTTCTGGACCACTTGGAAGAACAAGTCGAGGGGTCTTGAACATCGCTGCCGGACCTGTAAGGGGCGTCTTGAAGATCTCGCCCCTGGTCGACAAGGGAGAAGGGGGTGCTTGCTTCCGGGGAGAAGGGCCGCTGGTGCCAGCACCAGGACGGGGAGTAGCCAGAAGAGCGGCGTCCAGTCTGGAGCGCAGACGTTGGGCTTCAGAGCTGTTGGCTCGGATCAACAGGTCGATCTTGGCGTTGAAGAAATCCTCGTTGGACTCCGCATCGCTCAACAACCTCTCCGTATACCTGCGCTCCATCTCCGCAAGCCTCTCCGCCATCTGATTAGCCATCTCCTCTCTGACTTCGGCTTCAATCTCCCTCGCTCTCTTCTCCGCCTCGAACAACTTGATCCTCAGCTCTTCGTGACGAGCAATGAGTAGATCGACAAATGGATCCGTAGAGTCTGCATCGTCATCATCAGAGCCGTCTTCGTCTTCTACATCAGAACCATCTGCAGCAGTCGCAAAGGACGAGGCTTCTTCGATGATGCTGATCTCTGGCGGAGCAGTACTGCCCGATCGTGCATTAAAGGGAGTAGGAGGCGCCATTCTGTTGCCGCGAGGCGAGGAAGGGATACCAGACACGCCTGCAGCAGCGCCCAAGCGACTCTTGGCTGCCGCCAGAGCACCGTTTGGCCTGCGACCGGGCGTACCTGGGGGAGTAGCCACATCGCTGTCGGTGCCAACGGCAGGGAATGCGACGCTATTGGCGACTGGCTTAGCGGCAGGCAATCGCCTGTGAATCGTCGAGGTTGCGGAGCTATTGCCACCCGCACTGTCTGACTCCCTGACGATCTGTACTTCCTTGGCGACAGCAGAGAAGCGCATCACATGATTGTTCTCGTCGAAGCCGGTATCGTACGGGTTGGCATTGACGATCATGACCGTCCTGCCTTCGCCGGTAAAGAATGGCTGGAACAGCTCAGTCAACTTGGAGTGCCGGAAAGGAACAACCGAAGGCCGCCGTTTGAACTTGCTGCTCATAGAAGTGGGCTGAGGGATCAGAGACGACCTGCCGCTCATGTCGTTGCCAGTGTTTGTGCTGGAAAGAGCGTGAGCAGCCGGGATACTTGCAGCAGCTCTAGCTTGATTCTTTCTCAGCGTCTCAAGACACTGACCAAGACACATCAGACTCTTATTGATGTTGCCCGCCTCCTTGCGCCTCTCTCCGGTCGTGTCTGTGTTGCTGATCCGCTCGCTGCCGGCCAGATCGACGATGCTCAGCCTGCTGACCGTACAGTTCAGGCTCTCGTCGGGATCAGCTTGACCCGCTCCATGCTCGCGGACAACCTTGATCGTGAAGACGCCATGGGAGCGAGACGAGGTTCGATTTGCCAGCGTGCTGAAAATGACTCGATTGTCTTGACCTTTCTTTAGCAGCTCACGTGCCTCGATGACACTCTTGACCCTAATCTCCTGCAGGCCTGCAACGTACTTGCCATTGCCCTCGGGATCAGCTTTGAGCGTGAGTGGTCGGCGATTGACGTTTGTCAAGGACGAGAGTTCCGATGAACTAGCCATGGAAGCTAGATTCCAATTCGAGCCTCTGACACTATCTGAACGCGTCATGCCGGAGCCCAGGCCTTGACCTCCTGGCGAAGAGGGCGCAGCGGCGGCAGAGGCACTGCTGCCAGTGTCCAGAAGATCGAAGAGCTTCTCATTGTAGACCTCGACGTAGCTCACCCACACGCTGTATCGGTAATTCCGGTCCACCTTGAGCTTAGTGCTGTCGCGAGAGAAGCTAAGAGGAGAAAGTGATTGTCGGGGCGTATCTGCGCTTAGCTTCCTGTTCAGAGCGGGAATAGCAGCGGGACCAAGCGAAGGACGACTAGCTCGCTCCACGCCATAGAGACCAACAGGTGAGATATCGCTTTCACTCTGTAGGCCGTCGATGCTGTTGAAGACGACGTCCATCGCCCTTGGGATTAAGCCTGCTTCTTCACTCTCCTTTCCTCCCACGACCGTGTAGCTCTTTCCGCTGTTAGTCACACCATACGCGAATACCAGTCCGCATTCTCCTTGTAGCAGAGAGTAGACCATGGGCAGCGTCGTTTCGCGAAAGAAGGCAGACTGGGCCGATGAAGAGGTAGAAGAAGGAGCAGGAGGGAAGACCTTGGCAAAGGTATAGCGCGTGGAAGGCTGCTTGGAATGGGCTCGTGAGCGAGGCAGACCAGTATCGCTCGGAGGAACCATAAGAACTTCCTTGTCGCTGACTACCTGGATGTATGGCTCTGTCTGTGCATCTTCATCGGACACGTTGCCTGGTCGAATCCTCAAGAAAGCTTGGATGGCCTCTCCATTGTTGCTTTCGTGCGAGCTCAAGTCGATGGGCGTAGTGTTTGGCACAACAGAAAGGTTTTCCGCCATACGAGAAGCGCTACCACCTCTGTCCGCAGCAGCATTGCCAATTCTGTGCGTAGAGGCTGAATGCTTCAGACCCGCCAGGCGAGCGGGAGTAGCAAGGTTGAGGCGACTGGCCGAAGCCAGCACTCCAGCGCTTGCAGCCGTGGGCTTCTTTGGACTGACGCTCCTTGCCTGGCTCGCAAAGGTGGGTGCAGTGAGTCGCGACGAGGTAGAGGCAGCCGTCGTTGCTCCTGCGCTGCTGCTCGAGGTCGTTGTAGAGGTAGACAGCCGGGATGAGCCGCGAAGTGAAGCGGGGCCGGTTGCTGCTGAACGCGTTGCCCGGACCGGGGTGGAGCGGCCAGAGGAGGATGAGGAAGCAGCAGAGGAAGAGGAGGGCGCCATACTGCTCAAGCGTCAGCGAGTGAGTCGCAGGCTGATTCGTCTGTTCTTGACAAGTTGATGGTGACGCAGATGGTGAGGAGATACAAAGAAGTCAAAGGCAGCAACCAAGCGACGCACGAAGCTCCAACCAACTCGCGAGATCAACACCGCCGCTTTCAATCTCCGCCCTGACGCGCTTGGGCGCCAATCCCTCGGAAACGACAATGGCAGGGTAGACTACCTGGCTCATACATAGCTATTCTTCTCGTGACAATCGTCATCTTCGTATGGTCTCAGTCTCTGGCACAATATCCCCTCCAAGCGTACACCCCTCTTTCTCGCCCCATGAGCCCGAATCCTAGCAGCACTTCCATCTTCCTACTGTGCCAGCCCACCTCGCTGGGCACCTGGCCCTGCTTCTGCGAAAGGGCCTGCAGAGCCACGCTCCGTGGATGAGTTTCGGGAAGATGGCGCACGACCTCTGACCGAGGTTCCAGCTTTGGAGGAGGCACAGGGGCGGCGGGTGGCTCTGAGAAGGACAGAGGCGGCGACGGTGGGGAGATGATAGTAGAAGCGCTGGGAGAGAGTGGGTTCAAGTCTCCATGCCCGCGGGGTCTTGTGCGACTTCTCGATCGTGAGAGTGTCCTCTGTAGCAAAGACGGCGTGCCGACAGATGCACTGCCAGCAGATATGCTGCTCGCATCATATCTTCCATGGGAAGGCGAGCGACTGCTGGGCCCGCTACCTGCGGGGCTGCCCACCAAGCTCTTGCGTGGGCCATAGCTACCAGACCTACTCAGCGTCGGAGGCGTTTCTGGCTCGTAGCCGAGTCTACGATGCCGTGATCTGCTTCTCGAAGAGCTCCCCTTTCGTTGTGATGAGAGGCTCCTACCCCCTCCTCGACTGTCAGCGACCTGGAGCAGATGCGAGGAAGCTTGCTCTTCACCCGGCTCTCCAATCGATTCATCCTTGGCCTCCGGGTCAGGCCCTGCCGAGGTATCAACGACCCAGCCCCTCTTACCCGCCCCCCAGATGACTTTCCAGCTACCAATGCCATCCCTGATCGAGCGGAGTGATGGACCGTTGAGTCCGATCACGCGCAAATTCGTCGGCTCCCTAGAAGCGATGACAGGTGGTGGACCAGTGGAAGCCGAGCCGGGCGATCTGAAGCCCATCGCTTCTAATTGCATGCTTAGGGGAAGAGGCGGCGTGGTACAGCATGGAGTAATCAAGTGTGTCGAGAGATCTAGAGCGCTAACGCCAGCTTCGCCTCGAATGGGCCAGTAACAGCTGTCCGTCAGCTCCATGACCTGGACATTCGGAGCCTTCTCGATGAGGAATTGGGCAACACCGGACAGCGTCAGTCCACTGCTTGCTCCGAGCCCAAGATCGAGGAGGCAAGGTTGAGGAGGCATCTGTTTCAACAGCTCGTCATCCATGCCACATCCTCCAATGTCCAAGTAGCGCAAGCAACCTGACGCAAAGGCAGGAGCAGAGGTGATGATAATTTGCAAATCACTTGCAGTCAGAGGGGTTGGAGCCAGTAGTGAGCCTTCCAGAGACAGCTCAACGAGATGGGTCGTTGCTGAGCTATCGACCAGGAGATCAGTGATCGCAGTCGAGGTGAGCTGACGGCAGCCCGCCAGAGCGAGACTCTGAAGCTGTATCGTAGGCGAGGCAGCTAGACAGTCCAGAAGATTGGCGTCCACTTTGGTGCGACTGAGATCGAGGTGAGTCAAGTTCGGGAACGACTCCACGAGGGGAGCAAGTAGACTGAGCGGCCAGCTGATCCCAGACAAGCTCAATCTCTGGATGGAAGGAAACCTCGTTGCCTGGGCCACGCGCGGGACCTGATGCCGGGAGATGCTCCGGGTCGCACTTCGGCTGCCAGAACTACTTCCCGTGGTTATGGAGAGAGCTGGACCCAGTCCGCGACCTCTTCTACCCCGCAGGTCCTCTTCATCGGTGCCTTCACCACCTGCCTCGGAAGAGAATTCGTCCGTCTCACTCTCCTCGGTAGTCCTCTCAGTGGCCGAGGATGACCCAGCCCCTTCCTCTTCTTCGTGTACAACCCCGGTCCGCCTACCAGCACCGAACCCATTGAGATGGCGGACAACGAACTCCTGCGCAGCTTCTTTGAAGACTGGTGAAACGCAATCGGTGAAATCGATGGCAGAGAGGGCCAACTGTTCACCAGACTTGCGCTTTTCCAACGATACGCCCCTGAGTCTGGCAGGTCTGCGTGTCTTGCCGCCACGGAAGAGGAGAGCTTCGAGCACTTCGACGCTCAGCGCAGAGTCCATGGTGTGAGAGGCACCGAAGGATGCAAGGTCGGGAGCGGCAGTGAGGAGCGCTAAGAGGCGTGAGGAGGTGACGAATCGGTGATCCAGATTTTCGCCTACTGTCCGCCTGAGGCCGTGCGCTCGGAAGTAGGAGAAGTCTACCACCCGCAGACACTTTTGCAGGGAGTCAGCATCTGCTCCCAGAGGATGCAAAGACACCGTCCATTGGGTAGTAGGAGCGTCTCCGTCGCCGACAGGACCTTGTAGGCGAGAGAGCCATTGAGGATCGGAAGGAGGGAAGAAGTTCAACCCACGGTCCATGACTCCATACGTTCCTTGCAGTACTCACCTGGTTTCCAAACAAGATTGAGCTCGTCTTCCTCGGCTCCATCACTATGCCCGGGAAGGCCGACGCGCCTGACATCTTGTCGTTCCTGATTCGGCCCCCGAGTAATCTTGAGGCTGGTGCCTAGGACTCGAGCAAAGCCAGCTGCTGCGACTATGCTGGTGAAGCTGTGCGGGTCATCGGGGTCCTGGTTGAGCTTTCCAGTCAGCTGGAATTGCTCGTATGCTTTGGCCAGAGCGGCAGCACCCAGTGTCCTGATCAGAAGGATAAAGGAGTATGGCAAAGTCACATTGATGCGCCTGTAGAGCAGTGGCCGCGCATGAGCAAAGAGGGTGCGATTGGTGAGACACAGCGCCCAGAGCGTGGCTTGTACGGCCGAATGAGGCGAAGAGACTCGTCGGCCATCGGAGTACGTCGAAGGAAGGCCGTGCAAGTCGAGGTTGCGGTGGTAAGAACGGGGGATGGACTCGAGGTAGATGAGACGGACGATTAGAGAGATTACCTCTGCCGGAAGTGAGGAGAACGTGGTAGGAGCTGGAGCGACATCTGCAGATCCGGCATAGACGCCTGCCTCCATCCGGGAGACGCGAGGTGCAGAATGACAAGCAGTGCTTGGTGAAGGAGATCGCAAGGCAGTACTCAGAGGCCAATGGCGAGGAATGGTGTGCAGAACCGAGAAGGTCGCGACTGAGCACAGATCCTCCCCAGATTAGGCTTCGCACTCCGCCCTTTCCGTGCCGGGATTTCTGGGTCCTCTACTCTTCCCCGCATCTATCTGTACTTGAGCTCCTTGTCCAAGGCAAGAGATCATCTCAACATGGTCTGCACTTTCGCATCGCCCGAGCAAGACAAGAGCGAGCATCAGTCTGGAGTCAAGCTGACCGCCCGCAAGGGGGCGATCTTCCGGGAATGTGGGGCCACTGACCCATCGAAGACTCGTCTCGCCGCCCTGCACTCCACTTGCATTGGAACACCTCGAATTGTAGAGGCCGACAGACGAGGCATATCCAGACAGCTTCCCTTACCCTGCTCTTGACGGATTCTCCTTCTTGCTTAGCCCTATCGCCTCCTACCATCACTCGACTTGCCCAGCCCACCGTCCACTCATCTCTCGCCGCTGTCATCCTGGTCCCCTACTACATCCTTGGTGCCCCCTGATCCGTCCTTCGCCTCTCATCACGACCACACTGCGCACTCTTTTTTTCTTTTGAGCACCATACTCTTCAACAGATCCCTCATCATGACTTCCTCTGATGTTGTCTCTACTGCCGCTTGCTGGCTCACCCTGTCCTTCCAAGCCGCATTCACCCTTGAGAACATCCTACTTACCGCCTGTTACATGGTGGTCCTGCACCTCGCCGCGACTCATTTCCCCGATTGGAGCTGGCTGCTGGGTCCCAAGACTCTTGATTCCCATGCTTGGACTACCAAGGCTAAGAAAACGGTATGCTTCATCTGCCTTCACCTTGTCAGCATCACTCTCGCCGCTGCCTTCCAGCTAGGCGCCGCAATTGCTTCGAGAGGCTTTCGAGAAGGTCCACACAGTGACAAAGGCTACTGGTATCTCCTGCAAAGCACGCGCTTCATCGTTGCCAGCTATTGGGCCGAAATGCTCTTCAATGAGAGTATCAGGATGCCAATGATCGTGCATCATCTAATCACCAATCTCATCATTGGTGAGTAGGACGACGAACAATTTTCGTACAGACCTTGGACAATTTACAGTAGCTGAGGCGACTTTCTGTACTACCTTCCGAAGCTCAACTACCTGTCAAAGGTCTCGACACTACCGGATTTGGTCTTCCATATCAGACACTGGCCTGCTTCTGGTAGGTAGTTGCAGCCCGCAACGACGAAACTGCTCCTCGCCAGCGAAGTGACTGACAGTTCTCCAGTATCGCCCTCGTGCGCAGGCTCTTGCAAGCGAACGTTGAGCAGATCACCTATCTTGGACTTTTGGGTCGCCGAATAGGATGGGAAGAGTCTCGGCGTAATCGGATCCTTCTCTCAGGCGCTAACATTGCAATAGTCAACAAGACCATCTCCAACATCGGCGTTTTCGCCACTTGGTACTTTCAGATCCAGAGCTCGGCTAGCGGATATCTAGTGAGTGGAAAGGACCATACGGCCTCGAGTCAGGGTAGCGAGGAGGCAACAGGCATGACTCGCTTATACGGTTCTCACCTTCCGTGTCCTCGGCAGACCTTTGGCTTTTACATCTGCAGTGCTGCTTTGGCAGTCAAGCAGTTCTTTACCATCCGAGCGCTCAGACGCATGGCAATGCGGACTAGTGCCATTCCTCCTCTCGGGCGACGCGTCCAACCACATACAGCCGGTCCCGCTGTGATACGCTACTGGTTCGGCCTAAGACATGTAGTCAGGACTGAGGACGCCGCCTCTTTGGCCTGTGAGATGACCAGAGTGGCTGTCGAAGACACGCAAGGATCACTGGCAAGCCTTTCTGTCGTATGCCGGATGCTTGGGCGGGAGCACATGGTCCGCCTGCCCATTCCCGTAGTGACACGAAGAAGAGCAGTGGCGCAGACGACCTAGCCCGAGGTTTCAGGATGCTTGCTCTCCGGAGTGACATGTGTGGAGGCCGAAAACAGTGTGCTTGTCACACCGACTGAGCATCGCAGGTATAGGTACCACTCCCGCTTCTACAGCGCTCCGTCTACAGCTCTTTTCCTCGTTAGACGTCGTCAGCTGTGAACATCCATCTTATTCGTACGTTCATGCCAAGCTATTCATTAATCAGTCACCTTTGATCCGTCCGAGTTCAAGCGTATGTGTGTCAAGCTCAAATGATTACAAAGAGGGAAGAGGCAGGTGAAGTGCGTTACAGTAAAAGAGCAGCGGAAGAGTAGCGTACAGCGGGTAGACGAGAGGCGTCACCCCTCGTCTTTCAAGTGCTGGACGAGGAGGAGCCACCCCAAGACATCCCTGTGACTGCGTTCGGGGAGGCAGAGGAAGACAATGATGGTGAGTGCTGAGACTCTCATAGGGTCCACACGATGCAAGCTGACTCACTGTCTCTTGAGAGGGTCTCTTTCCAGAAAGGAACCCTTTCATTTGTGTTTGTCGCCACTTGTAGCTGCTTACCTGTCTTCCCTCCTGCGAATTGCCGTGCCATTGATTGATACATCGAACGTACGATCACCGAGCCTGCCCCTTGCTTCCCCCTCGCTCCTTCTTGCTTCCCCCGGAATTGCTAATGCGCCTGCTTGAAATCGTTGATGTTGATGGTCAGTGAACTATGAGCCACGTAAGAGCACCCAAGATGCCTCGCCATGAACTCACAATAAGATGATTCACACGCAGGAGAGTACCGAACGTGCATCTTCTGTGTATGACCACTGCAGCTCGCAAGTCATTGCCACGGGCAGGTTTGAGTACGACCACATCGACTGCAGTATGTAATCTTTGGATGACTCCGGGCTTCCTTTCCATCGCTTGCTCCGGCTCAGGGATCGGCCTATCTGTCTCTAACGAGGAGTGCCATCGTTCGTGGCGCTTGTCCTCGTTCCCAGCTTGTTCCAATACCCTTCTCACCCTCGACATATTCCCAAGGACGCCGATGTCAAGTGTGACAAACAGGATGCCAGGTAGGCCCCGCGTGGCTGTTGCATCAAGTAGATTCGTGTCGCGGAATTGCTGCAAGTTTTAATTGGCCGCGATAGAGAATCGGAGCGGCAAAGTGAAGCCAGCGAGTGAGCGAGGCGGCCAAGAACGCAGGAGGCCACTTTTAAGCTAATGACGAATTTGCAAGGTAGAGACACAGAGGCAGAGGTTACAAGGCTCAGGAAGAAGCCTGCTCAGGTCTCCTTTGGGGAGCCAAAAGTGCAGATCAGAACACAAGCGATCGATGATGATGGGTCGAGCCTGCAGCTTGTCTGTCGTCTGATGCTGCAGTGTGCATGACAGTGGTCCTTAGCAAGGTCGAGTCCGTCAGCTTTCAGCACCGAGGGAGGGGATGGGTCCGTATCGTTCGGCTGCCGGATGGCGTGTGCCCTTCTGCGCCCTGACGGCCTAGAGAACAGCCTGCTCGCCTCTGTCGAGAGTGGATGTCTGACGGTCGAGATGGTCGATAAGCAGTACGTAAGAGGGAGGTCAGGGAGCAGAATCGGGAGGAGGAGGAGGCATGACGTGGGGCAAGAACAGTGATGTGACAAAAGAGAGGAAATGACTGTGTAGAAGAGCAAGTGCTCCGACCTACGGAGCCGCGCTCCCTGTAACGGCCCGCTTTGCCCTTTGCTGTTTGCTGCCACACCGTGGGATGCACGCATCAGGCCGCCGAACCCGCCAATGAGGCAGACGGACGACGCGACTCCACTTCCGAAGGAAGTCAATGAGAAGGAAGGTCTGGATGTGAGTGTATGCCCCTTTGGGGGACGGGCGGAGCTGCGTCAGGCGCAGCAGGGCATCGTGCGTCCAAATCGAATCGTTTGATCTACTTGTTAGGCCCCTTTGAATCAACGACACCCCCACCCTCTCAAGCCAGTCCCTGTATCAACTTCACCCCTTTCAGAATGTACAACACTCGCTCTTCTACTGGGCGAAATGCTCGCAAGCGCCCAGTCCCGTCCGACTTCGAGCCTGATGGAAGTGATCAGGAAGGCGGAGCTGCTGGCGTGAGTCTGAAAGCTGAGGGGCTGACGGTACCTCGCTTCGTACAACGCCAGCCCCCTGCTCACATTGACCTTGTTCATCGTATAGAACGAGCACTCGGCAAGTGATAAGGAATGGGAAGGCGGCAGCGTGAGTCTGACAGTGGAAGGGCATTCCACCCTTTCGACTCTTGCACCATGTTCTGCTTGCTCACATTGGCTGTCCGAATCCCACAGGACATGGATCAAGACTCGGATGGGTAAGTCCAGTCCACCCACTGCTCGACTGGACCACTGAGACAAGGACTCTGCGCAAGTCTACCGTGGACGAGAACTCTGACCTTCTGATGTGGTGTGCTACTCGTGCCATGCTCATAGAGAGGAAAACTCCGCAACCTCGGATGAAGACACGCAGAATGGCCAAGTAGGCTTTGAAGTCAGTGATGACGAAGAGGACGACTCCGCAACTGAAGGTAGGTTGCACCGCGCCTCCCGAGACATTACTGCAATCACCTGATTGAGCTCCAAATCTCCGGCTTCTCCTCAGACGAAGAGGAAGACGAGGAGGAGACATCGAATGCCGAGGAGCCATCCAATGCGGAGGAGCAAACAGATGATGGTGAGTATCTCTAGGATCATCAGCATCGGCTGAACCCACTATCGGCGCAAGCTGACGACATAGGGAAAATCTTTCATCCGATCTCGGCAGCAGACTGGTTCATCGCAGCTGCGAGGAACCTTGAGCACAGCGTAAACCGAGACCAAATGGTTTTGGACCTGGCGCGTGCCATCAAGTTTAACCGTGACCTGGACTGTGTCCCAAAGTGTGCTCTGACGAGCACACTTTGGGGAGAAGTCCACGAGATCGACATGGCAACATCGATCGTCGCTTGCATGTCAGATGCAAGCGTTGCTTACGTTCTCGGTCACGGCAGTATTGCTGCTGTCGAGGCGGCGAAGTCGCATCGAGGTGCCGGAGTCTACGAGTTGTCGCAAAGCTTCGATGATCTGAGAAAAGGCACCTACATCGGTAAAACGGATACAAACATGTCCAAACGAATAAACTGCCACAGATCATCGGCCAAAAAGAGGAAGAGCACTCTGTATCGCGCCATTCGAGCATTCAAAGATCGACCATACTACGAGCTGCTATTGGTCAAGCTTCCGAGCAATGATCCGGACTGTTTCCTCCGACTGTGGAGGTACCTGTGCCCGAAGGCGGCCGCGAAAATGTCTGTGGAGCCGGACGCAAAAGATGTCAGGGCAACCTTTACCTGCCTGATTGAGGCGTCATTCATTGCCCTCCGCAGGAGCTTCAGACTGCACGAGGATTACGATGCTGAGGCAAATGAAGTATTCGGCAACCCTTCCGGATTCGGCTTGAACGGAACATCCGGCACCGAGAATTCGGTGAATCGCGTTCGAGGACTCTTCGGTAGACGTGGATACCGTCCGGCAGTGGACGTACTCCGCAGCCATCTTCTCAATGAAGTAACTGGCGTTGCTGGAGGCCTGCCTCGATGCCCGATCAGAAAGGTCGGTCTTGCCTGGTCATGGTACCTACCGGGCATGAGATCTCCCGTCGTACTCGAGCGAGAGGACGTGGAAAGATGCGGCATCAAGACAGCGAAGGACGGGGAGACCGGCGTACAATTCAAGATCGAATACGAGCCTGGGTTTCAAGCGATAGACAGGTTGACCCTAGAAGAAGCCGCCGAGCTTCGAGGAACCAAGATCTCCTTCAAGGTCTGGCGAGGCGACAAGGCGCTGTCCGACTGGCAGCCTCTTCGAAGGTCTAAGCCGACGCCTTCCCTCCAGTACTTGTACTGCGAGGCGATGGATGCCTTGTGTAAAGTCGGCGCGGCTACGAAGGAAACCTTCAAGAAGCCCGCCCTGATGCAAGGGAACGACATTGACCTGTCCGGTTGGGCCCCATCAAAGGTGTTGGACCGTGCTCGAACGCTGCAAGCCCTCGCAGATGGGCGCTTCTATGCCAGGGGCTACACTTATACCGGTGTGTGGGAAACCGTCAAAGGCGACACCAACATGCAAACGGTCAACGTCATTGACGTTCAGATACCTCAGAAAGTCGGCAAGTGGCGAAAGTTGAATCTGCGCTTGGGCTTCCTCCCCTTCGCAGGGGAGCGTTGCCATGTATGGATTAGGGTGACCCGCAACGGCATAGCCGCCGTCAGTCGCCCACAAGATCAGTCACGAGATCCAGCGCCTGCAGCTGCAGACTGGGTCGAGATGCCAAGCCCTTTAGGACCAGTGACAAAGCAACTGGTCGACACTGTCTGTGCTTACCTGGGAGAGGAAGCAGCAGCGGTCCCAAGCACGCGACTCAAGCAGCTGGTGGATGGAACTTTGTCCGGGGTGTGGCACATTATGGTCGGAGGCCAGAGGATCTCCCTAAGCGCCAAGGATATGAAGAAGCTTGGAGTTGCCTGCACGCCTCCAGGGCCGGACGACGGTGCCCAACGTTTTTTGTGGCGCCTGAACGTAGACGAAAAAGTCCTCACCTTGGCTAGGGTTGAAGGCCCCAACCACGTGGGTCGTCATCAATAGCAGCACTGACCGTAGGACGCAGGCCATCCGAAAAGCTTGCGACAGCTGGGCGAATCCCTGAAGGCTGCTTTCCCGGTTTCCGCCCGACGGCTCCTCCTCTTTCACCCCACCCCGCTCTCGATTCAAGACCTCTTCTCCGTCACTGCGTCTCACATCGCAGTTACTTTCAATCTGTCCGACCAATGTCTCAAGAGGGTGTCAGTTTGAAGCCTCCTTTCTGTAATGAGAACCTTGACTTTGTCTTTGGCAGTCCCTTCCCTCCCCCCCCCCCGTGATTGAATAGCCTCGCCGGTTTCAGCGTGTAGGTGCCGGCGTGTTCAATATAGCGGTACGCCAGTCAATATCCGAGTCGGCAATCTTGCGCCCGAGCTCTCTCCCGCTGCACTGCCCACAGCTTGCAAGGTACACAATCAGTTGGGGCCTGCTGTGTACCTGTACAATCCATCATCGGATGCCTTCCCAATTCTGCTGCCACGTCTTGCTCGAGGGAATCAGCGACACAGACGTATGGGACTGCTCTTGAAATCGACGATGTGGTGATACACGAGCAGTGAAGAACGCACGCTTGCTCTTGCAAGGCAAAAGATGTCGAAAGTCTAGTACAGTAGCACACAACATGAATCAGATCCTGCTGACTAAACCGTTTTCCTCTACTTTTTGCCGATTGCCTTCTCGACATCAGCGTCCGCCTTGAGCGCCCCAACATCGGCGACGAGCGGCTCTGCATCTACGATACGGCCACCGGGAACATCAGACCCGCTGCCAACATGGCCGCTGACGCCGACCTCCTCTCTTGCCTTTTGGGCGATGTCCAGCTCGCCGAAGAGGGAATCCATTTCGTCCAGCGAGCGACCCTTGGTCTCTGGCCAGAAGAGGTACGTAAGTGCCTGACCAAATGAAGGGGAATATCTGATCAGTCAAATGCCGGATTCCCATCAGCTAGATTGCTTCTGTCGATGCACTCACCAGGGTGATGACGTTGATGGCCAAGAAGATCCAGTAGAGACGGAAGGTGATCACCTCAGTCAAGACTGGCCACAACTGGTTGATGACGATCACAGTGACGAAGAGACTCAGCAGCGAGATCGAAATGCCGAACTCTCGCAGCTCCTGAGGCCATACCTCCGTCGCTAAAAGATACGCGACAGGGCCAAGTGCGCCAGCATAGGAGCATTGGATGGCGAAGATGCACACGACGAGCCAACCACCAGCGCCTTTGTTGCTGGCATCTGGCCAACGCTCGAAAAGCGCGCCGAGGAACAAGTAGCCCACGCAGGCGACGCAGAGACCGACGATCATAAGGCGACGTCGACCGATACTGAAATCGAGGTAAGACAGAAGCGAACTGGTCAGAGTCAATGCCACAACATTCGGTGACTCTGCTGGACCCCACTAGTGACTCACCGGTCGACAAGGAAAATGGCACAGAAGCAGGCCACGAGTTGAATGGAGCCGCTGACACCGTTGGTGATCAGGGAAAGACTACTTCCTCCAAGATCAAGGGATTCGAAGACGATGACACCGTAGAGCATCAGACCAGCAACACCAGTCAATTGCGCAAAAACACATGACCCTGCGCCAATCGCGCAGCGTCGCCAAAAGCTCCTGGTAGAGACGACGGCCTTGAGGCTGTACTCGGCCTTGTCCCTCCTCAAGAGGATGGCAGCAGCTTGCAGCTCGCTGAATTCTTGCATCAGAACAGGGTCGGTCTCGTCCAGCCTTCGAATGTAAGCCAGATTCTTGTGAGCCTTGACGACTTGAGCATCATCATTGTTTGCAGGGTCTTTGGCCAGTGAAAACAGCATACGTGGCGATTCAGGCGCCCAAAGGGTCGAGAAGAACAATGCGACACCGAAGATGGTTTGGAGAGCGATGACGGTGCGCCAGGCATTGGTGCCTGGGATCTTGGTCGTGCCCAGGGATACCCAGAAGGCAATGAAGACTGGACGCCACATATACGGAGTCAGGATTCACGTCCGACTGTGTTATGTACAGAGTCGAGACAGGGGACTGAACTCACCTCCAAAGTTGTAAGAGACTTGTACGATGCAGACAGCTGCACCTCGCGTCCGTGGTGATGCCAATTCTGCTGCCCAACCAGCAAAGCATCCTTGGCAAAGGGAGACGCCCATACCGCTGTTCTCGCGAGAGGGAGGAGCAGACGACTCGTCAGTGTCGCGGTCTTCTAGTAGACAAAAATCTGACTTTGACCTACCAAAGAATTCTTCCGAAGAGAAGCATGCCAACAGTTTGGGCACCAGCAACTAGAGCAACGCCCACCAGCAGGGTGAAGTTGCCCAGAGTCATAGTGATCTTACGTCCGAAACGCTTGTTGAGCCAGATGAGCGGGCCGAGGTATGCAAGACAATTGCCGACATTGATGAGCACACCGAAGGCTCCCAATTCAGCAGTTGTGAAGTTCCACTCGTTGACGAATCTCTCGTCTGAGACGACGGCAGCGGCAGAGGCAGTATCATATCCAGAAAAGCAGTTGGCCAACGCCAAGGAAAAGCAAATCAGGATGACGAAAGTGTCACCAGAGAGACGCTTACCCGTTTGTAACATGTTGTATGAAGTGTCGAGCTCGATTGAGTTTTGGCGTTGACAGAAAGTTGTGTTGACAAGAGTGTAGGAAGGAAAGATCCGTGGGCTTGACAAGCGGGGTCTTGAGCACCCTGATGATCGCGGTCGGACCTTGAGATACAAGGCTCTGGTTCTGAGCAGGACGGCACGGCCAGCCTCCTCATGGTACAGCCGAAGCGATACAGGCAATAGGCTTGCCGGCCGACGCATAGCTCCGGTCTGGTGCAGTTGTGCACTTCGCCACTTCGCCACTCGACGGCATCTTCATGGAGATTTCCAACCGAGGTTATTCTGCTTCCCCGGTGGGGCTCCACCGGCTCCTGCCTCATCGCGGCGGACATCGCTGGCGGGATTCTCGGCAACTTTACCCTGTGACGCGCGGAGCGCGGCTGGAGATTGCCGACCGCACGAGAATCCCGAGCGGGGCTCCATGCACCATTTGCCCCAAAGACGCCTCTTACCCGAATTCTGACGGCACGCGACATTCTTGACGGATTATGATTCCTTCTTCATTGCCGGGGGACATTGTTCCTCTCTCTCCTACCATAGCCCGCAATAACACATTTCATTTGGCCCAGCATGTCCACCGCCGCTCGCTACCCACATGATCGTTTCCGCAACACGCAGGTCTCGGATGACTCCTTCTGGTGTGTACAGCGCCACAGATGCAGCTTCACAAAGGAAGCATTGTGCTGACTGACCTCCAATCTTCACCTCATACATAGGGGTCGATGGCGCACTGTTGCTCGAGAGGTGACGCTGCCGGTGCAGCTGAAGATGCTGCGGGACACCGGCCGCTACGATGCCTTCAATCTCAAGCCCATTGACTACTACAAGACGCCATACACCGTGTGGCCTGTGCCCGATTGGCTTTTCTGGGAATCAGAGTGAGTGCACCGGTGAAGAAGCGTACTGTGTATGCCGTATATGCTACGTGAGAGCTGAACTTTACCCTCTGGCTGGCTCTGGCCTGTTCACAGTGTTGCAAAGTGGGTAGAAGGCACATGCTACTTCCTCCATACTCACCCCAACAAAGAGCTTAGAGGCCACGTAGACTACCTCGTCGACCTCATCGAAGCAGCGCAGCAAAAGGACGGCTACCTCAACATTCACTTCGTTGTGAACGAGCCCGACAAGCGCTGGTCTAACCTGCGAGACCTACACGAGCTCTACAATGGCGGACACCTCATCGAGGCAGCTCTCGCACATCACCAGCTGACGGGCTCAGAGCAATTCCTCAATGTCATGCTGCGCTTTGTCCACTACTGCGCTAGTGTCTTCGGGCCCGCGGAACAAGGAAAGAAGCCGGGATATCCTGGACACCCTGAGATTGAGCTGGCCCTCCTACGCCTATACGACCGCACAGGGGACCAGACCTCGTATGACCTAGCTCGATTCTTCATCAACGAGCGTGGAAGTGACGGTGGCAAGTACTACGTCGATGAGCAAGCGGCCCGAGGTGAGCATCCACAGTTGGCACCGGCCATGATGCCAAAGAAGGGCTCCTACTGGTACATGCAGGCACACGCTCTCATCAAGGACCAAAAGACCATCGAGGGACACTCCGTCAGGGCGGGCTATCTGCTTACCGCTGTAGCAGACTTGGTAGAGATGCAGCAGAAGGGCAAAGGCGGCGAGGAGACCCAGGACCTCCTCGTAGCTCTGTATCGCTTATGGAACAACATGGTCACCGAGAAGATGTACATCACCGGCGGGACCGGATCCATCAAGCAATGGGAAGGCTTCAGCGACATTGGCTACTTCCTCCCGCAGGCCACTGACGAAGGCGGCTGTTACGCCGAGACCTGCAGTGCTATTTCTGTCTTCATGGTTGCTGAGCGCATGCTCGCTCTGAAGCTCGACGGAACAGTGGCAGATGTAGCGGAGCGGGCCCTGTACAATGCCAGTGTCACTGCCGGCATGTCAGCAGACGGTCACAGCTTTACATATGTCAACCAGCTCGCCAGTAGCCAGGCCGACTTCTGCGAGCGTCACTCCTGGTTCCAATGCGCATGCTGCCCACCCAATGTATTGAGGTCCTTGGGTATCATTGGAGGATTCTTGTGGTCACCGGTTGGCCAATCTGGAGACATCGCTATCCACCAATACTTTGATGGTGAGATTGAACATGGAGACACCAAGGTCAAGATCACCACCAAATATCCGTGGAACGGCAAAGTTGTCATCGACGTTACGGGTAGCAAGACAGTTCACGTCCGCATTCCTGGTTGGGCAAGTGAGAAGTACACGGTTTCCCCACAGCCAGCCACGAAGCTCGCTGACGGCTACATCGCGCTGAGCCAGGGGTCCACTACCTTGTCGCTCCCCCTCGAGCCGCGTCTGGTTGCTTCACATCCTTACACTGGTCAGGACACTCTAACCCTCCTGTACGGACCGCTGGTCTACTGCCTGGAAGACGTGGACAATGCTTGGGAAAGCAACCACTTCAAGGATTTGTGTCTATCGGCTGACCTGGATCTCTCCTCGCTGAAGATGGAGCATCGCGATAAGGAAGGCGTGACCTTCATCCACGCACCAACGGCGGGCTATCACCTTCAGCAGCTCCAAGTGGTGACTGCCGCTCCCCCATCCCAGGGCAGCAATGGCCATGCAAAGTCTGCACAGGGATCAGTAGTGTCGTTGGGCATGAATGACGTGGCGTCAAAGAGGAGTTACGAGGAGCTGGAAGGTCAGGGTAAGGATTTGATCTTCGTCCCATACTACTACCGAGCCAACAGGAGGAAAGAAGGTGTGCAGATGCGCACGTCGCTCAGAAGGAAGGTATGAAGCGATGGGACGAACGAGCCAGAGTCCTGTGGAAGGCAGGCACTGTAGTCTGTGTGTTTCGTACGTCAGCGAGTTACGTCTGACGTGGTTGAATGTGAATGTCATGCTGCTCCGGCTCCGTTCTATCGCCGTTGTCTGCGAGTGTGTTCCTTGTGCAGGCAGGTGTGGAGTGAGAGTATGCATCCCGCTGCGCGCAGAGTCTTATCTTCCTCGGTCCGTCGTCGTCGAAGCGTTCTAAAATCAATGCAGCCCCGATCTCGGAACGGAAGCGGGAAGGGGCGTGCAAGGTGACGCACAGACTCCGACGCCACAGAGCCCAGTGCAGGGCGGGCGGGGAGGCGAGGCAGGCAGGCAGGCAGCCAAGGCAAGGCAAGGCAAGGGCGGAGCTCAACCCTCGTTCGTTCGATGGGCGGCGGCGGCACCACTTCTTCTTCTTCTTCGCACTTGGCTGCAGCCTCCTCCCCTCCTTCCTTCGTACCATCATCATCAACATCCTAGACCATGTCCTCTGAACGTACTCCCCTCCTCGGCCAAGGTCACAGACCATCGGGCTTGGCCAGCTCGCGTCCTCCCTTTGACATCGATGAGGACAACGAGGCTCTTGCCCAGGAATCGCAATTCTCCGCAATCCAGGATGCCACGGCAGGTGTGGACCCAAACTCGTCTGCCTTTATCCCTCCCGAGGCATCTCACTTCTCCATCCACCCTGGACAGTCCTCTCTCGGACGCGTCGAAGAGGAAACTGTCGTCGAGAGCTCTTACCAGGGTGGAAGGACTCAGCGCGAGGCCCTCATCATCCTCGGATCCATGTGGATCGGTACCTTCTTGGCCGCTGCCGATGGAACCATCGTCGCTACCATCATGGCCACTGTCGGATCTGAGTTCCAGGTCAGCAAGCAGGTCTCGTGGCTCGGAACCTCCTACCTGCTCACCCAAACTGCTTTCCAACCTCTGTACGGCCGAGGAGCTGACATCTTCGTAAGTACAAGCGAGGCGCGTTGTCATCGTCCTGAGGTATGCAGATACTGATCTTGGCTCGCTTTTGCGCTCATCTCTCGCTTCATCAGGGACGAAAGGCCGCTACTCTGTTTGCTTCCTTCATCTTCGGTCTCGGATGTCTCCTTTGTGGTCTCTCGCAGACCTTCACTCAGCTCTGTCTGGCCCGAGCTTTCGCCGGTATCGGTGGTGGAGGACTGACCACCATGTCTACTATCTTGACATCTGACATTGTCACCCTCAAGGCCCGAGGAACCTACCAGGGTCTGGGTAACCTTGTCTTCGCCGCCGGAGCAGCGTTGGGGGCTCCTCTAGGAGGTCTCTTGGCTGATGGCCGCCTGGGATGGCGGTTCGCCTTCCTGATCCAGGTGCCCTTCTGCGCTCTCCACTTCTTTGCCGTTTCATGGAAGGTCGACATCCCCGCTGGACCCGGCTCCGTTATCGAGAAGATGAAGAGGATCGACGTCTTCGGAGCCCTTTCCCTCGTTTCCGCTGTCACCCTCGTCCTCACTGGTCTCTCCCTCGGCGGCAATCAGCGCGACTGGAACGACCCAATCGTCTACGGCGCCCTGATCGCTGGTGGCATCCTGCTCTGCATCTTCGTCGCCGTCGAGAAGTACGTCGCTCGGGAGCCTCTGATGCCCATGACTGTCCTCTTCCGCCGAACTCCTGGATTCGTCGCCATTGCCTGCTGGTTCATCTCGATGTCCCAATTCGGCATCATCTTCAACGTGCCTCTCTACTTCCAGGCCGTCGAGGAGACTTCTTCGTCGTACGCTGGTCTGCACCTGATTCCCAACGCCATTGTCGCCTCGGCCTGCTCCCTGGGATCGGGTTTGCTCATTGCTCGATGGGGCAGATACAAGAACATGCTCCTCATTGGTGGATTCTCCGCTTTCATTGGTCCGTTTGCCATGTGCTTCTGGCAGCGAGGCGTCACTCCCTCGTTTGGCTACTGGCTCACCATGCCATGGGGAGGAGCAGGATACGGTTCCATCCTCACCATTACCCTCGTGGCCCTTATCGCCTCTGTCTCGCCCACTGAGATGGCCGCTGCCACCGGTGTCACCTACCTTTTCCGTGCTACTGGTTCGGTCCTGGGTATCTCCCTCTCTGGCGCTCTGTTGCAGAACCGCCTGCAGCACAATCTGGAGATTGTCGGCCTCTCTCCCAAGACGATTGCTGCGATCCGACAGGATGTGTCGTACATCAAGTCGCTCAAGGGAGACATCAAGGAGGAGGCCATTGCCGCCATGCAGTCTTCCTTCAGGACCGTCTTCATCGCCATTGCCGCTGCTGGTCTCATTGCCTTCCTCGCCCTCTGGCCCGTGCCCGAGCACGAGCTGCCTGGGAAGACCAAGGTCGTGGCTCCTCGACGTGAAGAGGCCATTGCCGAGGAGGACGAGCCCTAGATGGCTACGAGGAAATCGATGAGGTCACCATCGTATCATTATCATCGCCTTTTGAATGCTCCGTGGCCGATATTCCCTTCTCCTCCTTGGGATTCCTCTTATCTTTCAGCTCCGCTGGATTCACTACTACCACCCCTAGACTTGCCCCTCGGTCTCTACACAAGGGACGCTACTGTTCTCCCTCACCTATCTCTCGCGCTCTCCTCCACCTCCTTCCTTTCTCTTACTTTCTCACTTGCCGCGTAGACTTGGATTGCTCTGTACCGTGTTTCCACCCCGCCGTTTGGCACTTTTCTCAAGACCTCTCTATAGCTATCAATTCGATATGCAGCGTCTCGTCAGCTTAGTCGAGAAGATATTCATGCTTAAAACGGAAGTGATATACGTGTGATCAATGTATTTATGCATTTTCCACATCGGTACAGTGGTGTGCTACTCCTCACATCGAGCAAGAAGGCCGAACGGCGCGCCCAAACGAAGGAAACAGGATGAAGGGGAAAGAAGCGAAGTGCAGTGCGGTTGAGAAGGAGAAGGAACAGGATGCAGAGAGCTGGAGAAGACAGGATGACCAGAGGTTGTAGAGGACGGTGTGAAGAGTGGGGCCGGCCCACCACCGCCGAGCCGAACGAGCGAGCGAGCGTAACAGAAGGACAGACCATAGATATGCACTCCCTTTCTAGCAGGTTGCCGAGGCAGAAAAGTCCCTGTAGGTCTTTCCCATGACCCTCAGTGTACCATTTGTGTACTGCAAGTCCTGTCCGGTCACACTCTTGCTCTGTGCCTGTCTAGCAATGTATGCATATCGTGCAATGACGCTGCTGCTCTTGCTGTTGAAATACTCGATCATGGATTCTACAAACTTCTTTCCACCTTGGGTCTTGGCTACGGCTGATTCCACGCCAAATTCGGTAATCCAGAGGGGAGTGACCTTGTAGTCATCGATCCAGGTGTCAATGATGTCCTGCACTTGCTCAGCGGAGCTAGCATAAGGATGAATGGCATAAGCGTCGAATACACATCCAGTGCAAGCGGCCTTGAATTGCTTCAACCAATCATACCCCTGATTAGCAGCAGTAGAAACGCTCACGGCTGGAGCGACAAGCTTGCGCTTCGAGGTACGGAGAGGAGCAATGTATTGCTTCCACAGCTTCGCAGCCTCCGTGGGGGAGATGTTAGAACCGCCTACAGAAGTGGACATGTCTGGTTCATTGAAACCCAAAAGCCACGAAGCAGTCTTCACCGATGAGGCGGATGCGAGGGATGCAATATTGTCCGCGGTACGCTGCATGGGTACGTACTCCATAGGGGAGTAACTTCCACCAGTAGGAAGGTACGTCTCCCAATTGTACGTCCACACCGTCTTGCCACTAGAGTACAGGGCATTGGCTGGTGTAGTTTCGAACCAGGGCCAGCCGACACCTCGCGAGGGAGTGCTTGCAGAGGCAGAGGAGCTGGCTAGGAGAACCAGGGCGGCAGCGGCTGCTGCTTTGGGAGCGAGGGAGAACATACTGAGACTTGGTCGGTGAGTAGGGTGAGGGTGCTACGGGGAGATCAAAGCCAGCTTTGAATGTTGAGAGTGTAGTAGCTTGGGTGAACGAGTGTGAGCGTAGGGCAAGAGTGTGAGCTAGAGTGAGTGTGAGTGTGAGTGTGAGATGAGGAGGAGGAGGAGTAAAGAAGAGGGTCTGATGGTACGATACACTTGAAGGGGGAGGGATACAACACCCTGCCTCTGATTCTGAGCAAATCCATTCCGCTTCGTCATCCACCCGCTTTGTCCCCTTTGCCTCCCCTCGTGTCCTTTCGCTGCGTTCCACAAGGGGAAGCATGGCATGGCATGGCATGGCCTGGCTGCCTGGCCCACCTTCATCGTAAAGGTTTGCGACTCTAAATTGGCCGTGGCGTGAGTGGCCGTGTTGCTCTGCCCGCCTGCTGCAAGGAGTCCGATGCACGCACACACGCACACAGGCAAGATCCCCCGCTCGCCCTTGTCCTGCCTCTGCTCCTGCCTAGCTACTTCCGCCACCCACTTTCACTCCCCGCACAGTGTTGATCTGTCGCATCGCATCGCATCGCTCAGAGTCCCTCAGCAGGAGAAGTACCACGACTGGATCATCCTGCTGAGATCAGAGTTCGATCGGCGTTTGCAGCCCAATCAACGGTGCGGAATGCTGACGGTCACCACCGGGGAAAAGGACAGGACAGGACAGGATGCGCGAGAGGTGCAGGCAGGGCGGCTCCCCCCTGGGCGTAGTAGACTCGACGCCGCCGGATGCGATGCGAGTCAAGCTCTAGCTCCCACACGCTGACACACACACACACATACACACAGTCGGCGTACGACGTAGAGCTTACTCGCTTCACGCATCTGTCACTCACTGCCTGTGGCACATCGCCCCCGCACCCGCTCTCCACCCAGCAGACCAACCCTCATTGAAACGCTATCGTCTGCTGCATCTCCGGGCCCGGCGACTCAATGTGCAGCCAGCCGTACGCCCATGCACCGGCCAGACAGACCGCCCTCGACGCCCATCCACCCAGTCACTCCGCAACCTTGGCCACCACCGCGCCCTCCCACGCACTCAGATCCCTCGTACCTCGTTCCGCTGAGAGGTTCGTCAAGTTGTTCAAAAGGTGTGGTATCAATTAGGATTTTTCGAAACTGGAAAAAAGGGAGGAAAACAGGGTGTAGAGGGAAAGAGGGTTTGAAGTTGAAGTAGTAAAAAGGGGGCTCACAAAGTGGAGCGGAGCTGAAGTGCAAAGAGCCACTGCGAAAAGTAAAGGGGGCAAAGGTAAAGAGTGGCGAGAAGACAAGGGGAGAGCGGAGGTGAAGAGCAGCGAGCAAAGGGTCTAGCGGAGGAGAAAGAGCGATAGGAGCTAGCACAAATTGACTGGAAAGTGACTCCGAGCAACGCAACTTGTCTGTCTACTTCATGTCCAAGTGGACAGACAGTCTCTTCCGACTATTGCCAAGTCGTACTCTTAGATGATCAGGGCAAGGCCGGAAGCAAGCAACAGACCAGTGATGAGGACGCTGACGCCAGCCATGCTGACCTGCGAGGCACCAGAAGCTTCACTGTCAGTGCCAGTGGCGTCGCCGTTGTTGGCAGCAGCCTTGGCAGCAGCAGCAGGGTCAGTCTTGGTGTTGAGCAGGACAGCGTCGATTCCGTGGACTACACCACCGTTGTACAGGTGGTCGGTGGACACAATCTTGGCCGAGTAGTTGCCAGACACGAGGGACAGAGTACCGTTCATGGACACGGTCAGGTTGACAGACTGGCCACCGGCGGCAATGAGGGTGCCGACGAGGTGGGTGCTGTTGTCGATCATGGTGCTCATGTCCTTGAGGGCAACGGCGGCTTGCTTCGAGAGGTCAGAGCTGTAGGCAACGGTACCGTTGAGGATGTGTCCGCTGAAAGCAGCCACACGCTCGGCACCAGTGGCGTTCCGCAGAGCATTCTGGGCCTTGGCAAAGGCAGCGTTAGTAGGAGCGAAGATGGTCAGGCCGTTGACGTTGGTGAGGGTCTCGGAGAGGTTAGCTGCGGCAATGCCGTCGTTGAGAGAGGTGAAGTTGGTGGCCTTGAGGGTGGTAGAGAGGTTGCCTGGGATGGTCAGGGCGCCAGTGAGAGGGTAGAGGCTGAGCTTGCCAGTGCTGATGTCCGTGTTGGTCTTGACGAAGCTGATGTTGCCCTCGTTGGTCACGACGACGGGCACGCCACCGTTCTTGCTGATGACGACCTTCTGGGGAGCCTCCTCGGGGAGCATCACGTACGAGGCATTGTTGAGCATAGTGGGCAGGACAGAGTGGTTGGACTCGAAGAAGGACTTGGATGGGTAGTTGCCCATGACGACGTGGTAGGAGAGGAGAGCGAAGAGCATGTCCTTGGGTGCCTTGCTCAAGGTGGCGTTGAGCTTCGACAGAGCAGCATCGTTCGGTGCCAACAGTGTCACGTTCTGGTCACCAGTGACAATCTTGCCAATCTGGAGAAGACGTTAGGAGGGAGTGCAGAGAGAATCATCGCGGAATTAGAGCTGGATCCTCTTGCACAGCATTACTCAGAGACTACCACGGCACCACTCACCTGCTCAGGGAACTGCGCCAGAAGTCCCGACAAGATCTTGAAGTTTCCAATACCGTTCAGGCCAGCGATGAGGGTGGCAATGTCGGTGTCGTTACCTGGCATAGCGGTGGCAGTGGCAGTGGTGTTGTCGGCGGCAGTTGCATTCATGGCAGCGCCAGCGTGACCCTCGTGGGGGGCTGCACTGACTACAGTGCAGGCCACAGCGGCTGCCAGGGCGACGCACGTGGATGTGAGGAACTTCATCGTGGAAATGGGTGAGGGTAAGCAGTGGAAGTGGTTCAGCTGCGGGTCCTAGATGGTGGGTAGAGCGTAGGGGATGGATGTGAGGGGGCGGAGGTGAAGAAGTGTGAAGGGAGGAGAAGAGGGGGGGAGAAGGCGTGCTGCTGTGGCCTCCGTCGTTTGTGCTAAGTACCGTTCGTCAACCTTCCAAGAAGGAAAAAGTGTGCGCTGTGTCCCATTGCTCCTTTGCTGTCATGCTCCTGGGCTCCACGCAGGCACAGCACTACACCACACTGAGCATCACATCCTCCTCGTCGTCTCCTGCGCGTGGTGCCCTGCCCGCCCCTGTACTGCCCCTGAAACTACTTATCCGCTCCGGTGCCTGAGAGAGCAATAAACACGCACTGCCCACTCCACTGCCGTGGCCTCACTGGTCACAAATCTCCCCTCTTGTCGGTATAGCAGACGACATTGACCGGTCTGCACCTTCCGCGCACGACATTGATTGAACGTCGTTGCGGCCCGATAGGCCACTGAGGCCATTTTCGGACATGACATCCTGTCCTTGGCATACCAGCCCAGAGTCTTCGATCCAAGTAAAGGAATCACACCATGGCCAATGTGATCCAGCGCAAGTTTGCCGGACGCTTGTTGCTGGCCTGAGATGTGACGATCGCTTCATGTGTCTCCGAGAGTAGCCTTGTGACTAATAATCGTGAGGAGAGGAGAGAAGCACAGTCAATCAGACGGGTATAACCCCTGGCTTCGGGTCCGGGTCCTCCTCGCGCACGGGTGGAGGGGCGCCTCCTTTCGGCCGACCCCGCTGTCTGGTGATGCGGGGTAAGCGGCTAGCCAAAGCCGAGGTGAGCTTCCCCACAGTCGCCTGACCGCGATTGGCTGACATTCTCTCTCGCAGACACCTCGAAGTTTAGCCAAAGCATCTTTCTGTTCCTCCTTCCTCGGTCCTCATCCAGTCGTTCTTCCTTCCTCTCCCCTGTCGATTGAGTGGCCAGCATGACCGTCTTCAAGTCCAGCTCGCGCGATGTGCCAGAAATTCCGGATAATATGGACCTCTACACCTTCATGACAGAGTACTACCCCGACTACCGCTTTGACGCCCGTGGTACAGGGTACGCTCTACTCATAGACGAAGAGACCGGACAGAAGTGGACTTACGAGGATACAAAGGAGAGGGTTGACCTCTTGGCCATTGGTCTGCGGGAGAAGCTGGGCGTGGAAGAGGACACGGTCGTAGCCGTCTTCTCGGCCAATTGCGTAGACTACCTCGTCACTATCCTCGCATGTCACAAGGTTGGCGCCATTGTTTCGTGTGCCAATCCCTCTTTCCAGCCGGCCGAGCTCGCATACCAGCTCGATGCCTCCAAAGCCACGGCTCTCTTTGTGGGTGAAGAGGCGCAGACCGAGGGCATTCAAGCTGCCGAGAAAGCGGGAATGGCAAAGGACCACGTAATCGTGATGCAAACGCCGAAGACCTGCCAAGCCAAGGGAGCACTAAACGGCGGAGATAGGAGGATAAAGGACAACGCTTGGGCAGTGAGTTGACAAGAGGCGTGGGGGAACGCGCTGCTGCCTTGCTGACCTCGACCACGTTGATTGAACAGCTTGAAGGACTAGTCGCAGAAGGCAAAGACCTTCTCGCCTCGAAGGGGTCTTCCATGCTGGAGAAGTCTCGGCCAAAGTTGGGAAGAGGCGGCAATCGCAAGAAGCTGGCGTTCCTCTCCTTCTCCTCTGGCACTACCGGTCTGCCCAAGGGCGTCATGATCCAGCACTACGCTCCGATAGCCAACGTCCTACAGAACTGCATCTTCAACGAAATGAAGAATCCGGCCCAGCCGGGAGACCGCTATGAACCTGGCAAAGATGTCTCTTTAGGCGTTCTGCCCTTCTACCACATCTATGGTCTGGTAGTCTCCCTACTCTTCACATTCTTCTCTGGCATCACCAATGTCTGCATCCCCAAGTTCAAGGGAATCGAAGCAATGATTCGCACTGCATTGAAGTACCGGATCACCCTCTGGTGGCTGGTACCTCCACAGGTCGTCTTGCTAGTCAAGGACCCCTCTGCAAAGAAGTACTACAGCGAGCTACGAGAGCTGGTACGCTTCCTGATGATCGGGGCTGCCCCTCTCTCAGACGATCTCAGTGGCCGGCTAGAAGCCGTGCTACCAGGACTAGACTGGGGTCAAGGATGGGGAATGACCGAGTGCTGCACTGTGGGCACTATGCATCCACCCAAGACACGAGCTGTATTTGGATCCGCAGGCAGACTCTTCCCCAATGTGTCTGGCAAGGTCGTCAATGCAGAGGGCAAGGAGGTGGGAGTGGGCGAGGCGGGCGAATTCTGGATCAAAGCTCCCACGGTCACGCTGGGCTACTTGAGTAATGAAAAGGCCACAGAGGAGATGTGGCTGAAGGACGGGTGGCTCAGGACGGGTGACGAGGTCAAGTTCAACGAGAATGGGGATATGTTCATTGTTGATCGACTCAAGGAACTGATCAAGGTCAAGGGTGAGTAGGCGTAGCGCTGTAGCAGAGACGTCAACGGGGCACTCTCTCACTTGTGGCGTCTGCTATCGTCCCTACAGGCTTCCAAGTTGCTCCCGCCGAGCTCGAAGGCTGGATCCTCAACCATGACGACGTGGCAGACGTGGGTGTCATCGGCTTACCGAATGAAGAGTCGGGTGAGATTCCGATCGCCTTCATCACACTATCAGCCTCGGCCAAGGAGAGCAAAAAGGACGTTGCCGAGGTCAAGAAGAGCGTCAAAAAGTTCGTCGCAGTCAACAAGATTCGGTACAAACATCTAGGCAGGGTTGAGATGTGAGTAACGAGCTGAAAGTATGGCAGAGCGATAGGTGTGTTGACATTGACTGACGTTGCGGACCTGATCTCCCTCGGCGTCCCCTTCGTGCTAGCCTTGACGCGATTCCAAAGACGGCTAGTGGAAAGATTCTGCGTAAGGACCTCCGTGTCCTGGCAAAGGAATTGAGAGCAGAAGACCCGGAGCAGGACAAGGCCAAGTTGTGAGCTACAGTGTCGAAAGAGTCAATGCAACCTTTCCCTGGCATAAAGATGCTGGTTTGCTCCCGTGTTGCTGTCCGTGGCACTGTGATGCAGTCTGAGGGTATCATTGTGTTTATGTTCTTGATGAGAGATCCAAGGGAGAACCGAGTCCGATTATTCTCAGTAGAAGCAAATCGTGTGCAAAAGAGGATGGGGATGCCTCTTCATCTGCTGTTCCACTATCCCTGATATGTCTTCGTCCAGATTGCTCGAAGCATTGAGAGCCCGGCAGAGGTCCAGAATCGCCTTGCCGGCTAGAAGGGCCTCCTCATGGTTGTCCTTGATCTCAACATTGATGATGTGCACTGGTCGACTGTACTCGCCATTGCGTGAGAGTAGGTCTGCGTACGAGGGTGAGGTATTGCTCAGCGACCACAAGGGCTCAGCGACCACAAGGATCGGTCACACCCAGTTTGAGCTGTGATCATTACTCACCCTCTACGACTGCATCGAAGCATCTCTCTTCACAGGTGATAACCACATCAGCAGTGCCCCTTCCCTCGTGCCATCTTTCCGGCGCCCTCTTGATCTTCCTATTGCGGTCAAGCATGGGCAAGATCCCATTCAGTGTATAGAGCCGTTCGTCTTGCGACTTCAGGTCTCGGTACATGTCGTCGTAAGGTGTACCGAACGTGTAGATGTTAGGCTTGTCAATGGCTGGGCCAGGTAGCCTTACAGCTGATCCTGTGCCTGCCGAGAATACTCTGAAGCCATTTGCGCTCAGGACATTGTGTGCCTCCATCGACCGATTGTTGTTACTGGCGCACACCACGCAGAACATGTTTCCTAGCCTCTCCATCTCTGTTGCGGACATGCCTTGGCCTCTGGCAGCGTCCATTGCTGAGCTTTGTACCGTCTGCAGCTTAGAGGATGAGGAGGAAGCAAGCGGAGGCGGGGCGAAGGCAGCCATGTTGGAATTCAATCTCTGGTCTGCCACAGATTCTAGAACTCAGAAAGGATGCCGCTGCTTGCGGCGAGAGATGTGGTTTGCCGGCGAAGAGGTGAGGAAGGCGGGGAGGCTGGTACCACTGACATTCGGTGTGGGATTGGCGGGTCCGGATGAATGTGACGGCGGACGGAAAGGGAGCCACGTGGCCCTGGGCGGGGACCTGGGACGCGCCTTGGGCGAACCGTGGGTCTGACCCAAGCGCGGTGCGGTACCGACGTCTGAGGTGGCCTTACCTCAAAAGCATCACCACACTGCCGTGGCATGAGATGGCAAGAAATGCGCAGCGACCATAGCAGACCGTACTCCATAGAATGCAAGCTGGCCTTACGTCGGAAAGGCAGCCATCTGATGTACGCGAGTGGGAGAAAGGTTCTCTATTGGAGCGCACAGTGACCCTCCTCGCTCCCGTGGGCTTATCTGAAAAGACTCTCAAAGCCCAGAGTGATACGGCACGGGGAGCTCGTAGCCCAGCCAGTCTCCGTCGCAGCGACTACTCCCGGCGCTCCAGCTTCCCGTCTTCCTTGGCTGCTGGGCTACATGGGAGTTCAAGGTGGGTCAGAGGGAATTGGCCGCATATAATCAGATTGCAGAGTTCGCCGCACGGCCCTGTCGCCGCCTGACGCACAACGCTGCCGCCGCACATGCACGACCGTGCCGAGAGCAAAGTAAAGCCAACGCCGCGGATGCCACACTGTCTACGTCGACGCAGGGGAGCGGCGTACATGGCACCTTGAACCCTTCAGCACCGCGACTATGCCCTCAGTGCAGGCTGCACTTCGCCAAGGCCAAGTAAAGAGCTTTCGGGACCTCGGGTGGCCCAAGGGGACCCCAATTGACTCCCAGCCATCCGAAAAGAACTGCCAGCTTTGAAAGCAGAAGCAACGACCGATAAGAGATCAGACAGCCGCCCAGATAATCCTGACGCTGGGTATTTTGCGGGTCTTTTCTTTCTGACCTCACTCTGCTCGCCAAACCTCACCTATACTCCTTTCCGTGGGCGACTTGCATGATGACTTCGAGCTCTGCTGATAGTATTGCTGGCCAGGGCGCCAACCCCACCCGCCCTGCCGAGGCTCAGTCTACCTTTGCTGCCACGACCATGTTCAATGGTACCACTATGCACGAGAAGGGCGGTGTCGCCCAGAACATCAAGGGCAAGACGTTGCTTGGCGACGAGGTAGACATAGAGAGCAATCGGACCACAGGGAGGTACTCTTCCAAGGCTCAGCTCATCGATCAGGCCATGCTGGGCGTCGGCATGGGCTGGTACCATTGGCGGCTGTTGATTGTGACTGCCATGGCGTGGTTCCTCGATTACGTAGGTAGTCACGCGCGGATCAGCAACTGCATTGCTCGTTGCATCTTGACACCGTCGATTTCTTCTTACTCTGACCCCGACAGTTCTGGATGAAGTCATTTACCATCATTGCTCCCGCAGCATCCAACGAAGCTCAATTCTACTACACCTACAACCGTGAGGGGTACCTCTTTGTCTCCCAATTCGCCGGTCTGGCTCTAGGCTCTCTAGTCTGGGCCATCATGGCCGACTATTCTGGACGCTCCTGGATCTTCACCTCGACCCTCGCCTTGGCAGGTGTCGGGGGTCTGGTCGGAGCCGGCATGCCTGCCTACACCGGTCTTTGCATCTTGGGCTTCATCGTAGGAGCCGCCATTGGCGGTAACCAAGCTGTTGATGCCATGCTTCTCATTGAATCGCTACCAGTGTCCCACCACTACCTGTTGGCGATGCAAGGAGCCTTCTGGGCCATCGGCAGCCTGGTCGCTAGTCTCATCGGCTGGACATTCACCGAGCAGTACACCTGCGGCACTTATGCGACTGCTGCCGCCACCACCACCTCAGGCAGCGCTTCGGCATCATCGTCGACAGCTACAGCTACAGCCGCAGCCGGCCACACCCACACTGCCCGAGATATCGTGGAAGTCGCTGCTCGTCAATTCTATGACCTCGCTGCCGAGGGAAGCGAAGGCATCTCTGCCTCTGGTAACTCGTCCTGTCACTACGTATCCAACAAGGGCTGGCGCTATATTTGGTGGACATTTGGGTGCATCACCTTGTTCTTCTACCTCTTGCGCTTCCTGGTCCGCTTCTACGAGAGCCCCAAGTACCTGGCTGCCAAGGGACGAGACGCAGAAGCCGCTCAAGTCGTCAAGGACATTGCTCTGGCCAACAAGTCTTCTACATTCCTCGCAGAATCTCACTTTGCTCAGGTCAACTCGCAGACCGATGAACCATCTCCTCGCGCCGTCATTGTGCCTTCTCTCTCGGTACGAATCGCTCCCTTGCTCTTCCTCTGGGCGATCATTGGTATCACGTACCCCATCTGGACCAACTACATCGAGACTTACATCTACTCCAAGGGTGTCCTTGAGGTGACGCCCACTACGGTCACTACCAACTACCTCTACAAGAGGTACGTCTACATCGCTCTTGCTGGCATTCCTGGACCCATTGTTGCCGCCATCATGGCCGAGGTGCCTTTCCTGGGCCGCAAGTTCACCGGCCTGATACTGTCTGCCCTCACCGGTATCTTCATGTTCGTCTCAGTCACATCCCGCTCTGACGGTGCGTGGCTGGGCTGGTCTTGCGTTCTCTCCTTCCTTTACTTTGCACAGATTGCTCTCCTGATCCTCTTCACCGTCGAATGCATCCCATCGCCAATTCGCGGACACGGTCTGGGGCTCAATCTCTTTGTGTGGCGCTTCTTTGGCATGATCGCTGCCATTGTCACGACATTTGCTGGTACGAAGATCAGCGCAGGAGCTCCTGTCTACGTCTCTGGAGCCCTGTCCATCGTAGCAGCCGGGGTGTGGGTCATCACGCCGCGGGAGACCAGGGCTAAAGCCGCACAATAAGGAGTCAAACGGGTCATGGAGGAGAGACAGGAGTGTTGATGGTTACATTCATCTACTGTTTGGGCAGGACTGGCCGACTTAGGGTGTTTTGCCCTTACCGACCGGCTTATCTGGACGAGCATCATGATTCATAATATGTGTTTCTGCAAATGCCATCATATTTCATTGCCACTAAACAACTTTGCTGTCTCTCAAGCTCCTCCAAAATCTCGTGATCTTCCAACCGCGCCCTTCCAGCTCTTTTGATTACATCTCATTACTTTGTCCTTCTCTCCTTTAAGACTTGGGGAGCTTGTCGTCAGCGGCCTTGATCTGCGGGTCGGCGTTGATGGTCTCCAACCACTTTACGACGTGTGTGTACGGGCTGATGTCCACCTTGCCAAAGGAAGCAATGTTGACCCAGGCGTAGAAGGAGTAGTCGGCAATGGTAGGTCGGTCGAGAGCAATGTACTGCGAGCCTCGAGAGCTCTGCCTTGCCAATTGGTCATCGAGGATCTTGTACAGCCTGTGAGTCTCACCCTCGAAACGAGTGAAGGCAGACTTCTGGGGCTCCTCGCCATAGGCGCCCTTCCAGTAGTGGTGCAAGAAGTTCACATTTCCTTGAACCGGTCCCAGACCAGAAAGCTGGTGGGTGAGCCACTGCATGGTGATGGTCTGCTCCTGCACATCCTTTCCGAAGAACTTGCCCTGCTTGTCATACTGAGCAGCGAGGTAGAAGAGGATGGCTCCAGACTCCCAGACGACAAAGTCGTTCTGTTGGTGGTCCACCAAAGCTGGCACTCGACCATTGGGGTTCAACTGAAGGAACTTGCCCTTGACACCCTTCTCGTGGTCGTCTCCGAAGTCCAGAGCAACGACCTCGTAGCTGAGACCGAGCTTCTCGAGGACGATGGCGACCTTCAAGGGGTTGGGGCCGCTGTGTGATGCAAACAATGGTCGAGGCGAGATTGTTAGTAGGTGGAATGGCTCGTGCCATCGGCGTTAAGGATGCTCAAAGTACTCACGGGCCACGGTGAGAGTAGAGAGTGAACTGGGCCATGGTTGGAGTTGCAAATGAAGATACGGTGTGGTATATGGGACAATGGTGTGAGGATTGCAAACAAGTTCCTTCGGAGCAAGTGTATTATACCTCGCCACTATTGTGGAGTCGTGCACAACACCACCGGATCTTCCAGCGTGACATGTCTGCCGAAGCGTGTCGAAAGTCGCTTCGCCGCTTCCCCGCGCTCGTGCCACAGTGACTGGCCAAATGCCGCCTCGGCGACTGGACCTTCTCCACATTGCCTCTACATCCGTCCTTAACCCCGGGAGTGTCTATTTACCAACATCTTCCTACGCTGACCACATTTCTTCCACATCGTACTTTCGAGCGACACAAAACATCACCACCAAAAGAATACTCACAATGCCCGCTTTCTGCCAACACTGCTACGAACTTCCCGGCGAGCTCAAGGGCAAGCCCACTGGAACCGAGGTCGAGATCGGTGGAGTTCCCTCCTACGTCTCTACCCCTCAGACTGGCAAGGGCACCATCCTCCTCGCCACTGACATCTACGGTCTGGGAATCTCCAATGCAAAGATCGTCGCAGATACCCTTGCCCAAGAGGCCGGCTTCACCGTCGTGGTGCCTGACTACTTCGAGGGCGAGCCAATGAAGCCTGAGGTGAGTGTCGCGAACACTTCGGTGTGCTGACCTCATATCCTTTCGGACGCTGACCGCAATATTCTTGGTACTGTTCCTCACACCGTACAGGAATTTGTCTTCCCGAAGCACACTGATGAGGGCAAGCCCAGCGACGAACAGATGGGTGCCAACATGGACAACATGACCAAGTGGGTTCAGAAGGGACACTCTCCCAATGAGACATACCCCATCCTCAAGAAGGTCATTGACGCCGTCAAGGGAGACGGACCCGTCGGTGTTGTAGGCTTCTGCGTGAGTACGAATTGACAGCGGCGAGAAGTTCTCGCCTGATCCCATACTCATAGAATCAATCACTGCCCTCTATTTTACTATGCCCACAGTACGGAGGCAAGATTGCTGGTCTGGCTGCCCAAGACGCTCTGGTGCAGGGTTCTGTCATCTACCATGCTGCTATGCTCGAGGCTGACGAGGCCAACAACGTCAAGGTGCCTGTCCTGCTGAATATGGCCGACTGGGACCCCACCTTCAATGGAGTCGAGGAGCAATGGCAAGAGACTCTGAAGAAGAAGAACCTCCTCGACTCTCGCTCGAAGAAGTACCCAGGCACGATCCACGGCTTCGGCGCGCGCCCAAGCCAGGACAAGCCCGATGTCATGGCTGCCTACAAGGAGGCCTTGACGAACACTGCTCAGTTCTTCAAGCAGGTGCTCGTCTAAACTGTCAACCGAAAACGGAGGGGGACGCTGGAGATTGTGCAATTGGAAGACCAAATGACAAAAATTATCATGTCCTTCTGCTGCTTCTGATGCCTGCCTGCTGCATCTGACGTCCGCCTGCTGCTGCTCCTTGATACTAGTGTGTGCTGGAATGATCCTCGCCTGGCTCGGGTGGTCTACTTGTGATAACTCCGTCTGTGCGTGCGTCGGGGTCTGATCACGTGAGTCCTGCGTGCGTGGCCTTCTCTGGCTGGGATGCGCCACGCGAGCAGAGGCCGCCTTCCCCCCTGAGCGGCGCAGGTCGGAAGAAGTGGCAGCAAGGAAAAAGAAAACTCGCAGCGGGGCAGCGAGTCATTCCAACATCGACGGTGAGACCAGCGACCCGTACAACGTCCACCCATACCATACCACCACAACCATGTCTTTCTCACGCTCAGCCCTCCGCTCTTCCACCTCGGCCTTCCGATCCGCCGTCGCTTCCCAGCACGTCGTAGAGAAGCAGGCCGTTCGATCCATTGCCCTCGCCGCATCGCAGAGGACCGCTACCATTGCCGCACCCGCCCTCAGGGCCGCCGTCTCTGCTCCTCTCCAGCAGAAGAGGGGTGTCAAGACCATTGACTTTGCCGGCACCAAGGAGAAGGTGAGTCAAGGGAAGGGAAACGATGTCGCAGGCATTCTTATGATACTGATGGTGCAATCTGCGGGCTTCTTGCGCATGCATCTTCTTCCCCATTGAACAGGTCTACGAGCGAGCTGACTGGCCTCTGGAGAAGGTGAGTAGCAGATGCAACGAAAGACAGGCCGACCGAGGCAGAAAGCTCACACGAGATGTCTGGCTCTTTGTGACGCTATCCCCCACCCACCTATCAGCTCCACGACTACTTCAAGGACGACACCTTTGCCCTTCTCGGTTACGGATCCCAGGGACACGGTCAGGGACTCAACCTCCGTGACAACGGCCTCAACGTCATCGTTGGTGTACGAAAGGGAGGTGTCTCATGGAAGGAGGCCCTCGAAGACGGATGGGTTGAGGGCAAGAACCTCTTCCCCATCGAGGAGGCTGCCACCAAGGGTACCATCCTCATGAACCTCCTCTCCGACGCTGCTCAGTCCGAGACCTGGCCCGAGCTCAAGAAGTACGTCACCAAGGGCAAGACCCTGTACTTCTCCCACGGTTTCTCCATCGTCTACAAGGACCAGACCGGTGTCATTCCCCCCTCCGACGTCGATGTCATCCTCGCCGCCCCCAAGGGATCCGGCAGGACTGTCCGATCCCTCTTCGTTGAGGGCCGTGGTATCAACTCGTCCGTTGCCGTCCACCAGGACGTCACTGGCAAGGCTCTCGAGCGTGCTACTGCCATGGGTATCGCCATCGGTTCCGGTTACCTCTACGAGACCACCTTTGAGAAGGAGGTGTACTCTGACCTCTACGGTGAGCGTGGATGCCTCATGGGAGGTATCCAGGGAATGTTCAAGGCCCAGTACGAGGTCCTGCGAGAGAACGGACACTCCCCATCGGAAGCCTTCAACGAGACCTGTGAGGAGGCTCTGATGTCTCTGTACCCCCTCGTCGGTGAGAAGGGTATGGACTACATGTACAACGCCTGCTCCCTTACTGCCCGACGAGGAGCCCTGGACTGGGCCCCCAAGTTCGAGGCCGCCAACAAGCCCGTCTTCCAGGAGCTGTACGCCCGAGTCAAGGATGGAAGCGAGACCAGGCGTACCCTCGAGTTCGCTGGCCGACCCACTTACCGTGAGGACTACCAGAAGGAGACAGATGCCGTCAGCGCCCAGGAGGTGAGTACATGAGAGTCGAGATGCGGCGACGATGTTGTGAGGTCAAGTTCTCTCTGGCTGCTGTATTGACCACTGCCTTCGTTCCCTCTCCTCGATCTCCAGATGTGGGTCTGCGGAAAGGCCGTCCGAGCCCTGCGACCCGGCAAGTAGATGCGCTTCCAACCCTCGCATCAGATCTTGCCCTTGGTACGACCGTCATTATAGCTTGCATAGCCGTCCATTGCCAACCAGCGCTATTTGAATGTACAGCTACGTTAACGACATGACCGATCAAAGCGCAATTCAGCCCCTGTTTGCTCCCACGACTGACGGATGTACCTGACGGGTCCAAATGGCTCATGGTCCTCCGTGCCCTGAATGACGACCTGTTTCGCCCGACTTCTTATGACCGACGGAGAGTGCGATGCGTACAGCCTTCCTGAATGTCCATCTCGTCACTACACCGTTGCTTGTGATGCCCCTGTTTGCACGCATACGCCATCGTGCGATGCGAAGAGTCCTATGGACTCTGCTTCCAGCTACCTGTCTCTTCTCCTTCATCCTCTACATTACTATTCGCAGACCTTCCGATCGCTGCTCTCCCTACCAACGTGAAGTCTCCCACCCAGTACAATGGGACGCCAGCGATGTAGCCGCGGCCGTGTCAAAGAAGGGAAATGGACAGCACGCTGCCGAAGGACCAGGCAGTGATGTGGCCAAGATGGGAGCCGTCAAATCTGCCTTTCTCACCAACTATGGCAACTACTCACAGCATGCCTGGGGCTGCAACATACTCGAGCCTTTGTCCCTCTCGGGTTCCAGCAATCAGGGAAGAATAGGCGCCTTTGGAGCGACGATCATCGACTCCCTCACGACGATGATCGTTATGGACATCCACGTCGAAGACAAGCACAGTCACCTCTTTGCCCGGGCGCTCAACTTCACCCAGCATCTCGACTTTACTCGCACAAAGGGTGGTGACAGGTGCACAGGCTGCATCTCCGTCTTTGAGGCTACCATTCGGTACATTGGCTCCCTTCTATCGACGTGGGAGCTCTTGGAACTACCGCCCAAGCATCACTGGCTGGTGGAGCAGGCAGAGCGCATCGCCCAGTCCCTACTCCCCGGATTTGTCTACGCAATCCCTTACAACTATGTCAACATCAACAAGGGTCAGCCTCGGAACACTTTCGAGTCTGGCAGTCTGGCGGCAGCTGGTACATTGCTGCTCGAATGGTCTCGTTTGTCGACTCATACTGGCAACAGGACATATGTCGATAAGGTCCGGGCTACGCAGAGGGCACTGATGCAGGCAGGAGATGTCCTCCCAGGTCTCGTCGGCAGCAACGTCTATGCTGTGAGCGGCAAGGTGAGCGGCAAAGCGGGCACGCTGGTGACTTACGGGCCGGGTGGTGACAGCTACTATGAGGTGAGCAGACGAGGCAAGTCAAGACGCTCGAACACCCGTTCCCTTTGCTGAGACCTGTCCCGGACGTTCTGCCCCAGTACATTGCCAAAGCTCTGTTCCTTGGAGATACTTCTATTGACAACGAGGCCTATCTCAGCACCTTCAACACAGCGTGGATGTCTACCAGAGAACATCTCATTACGAAGAGCGGGGGCAGTAAGAAGAAGTGAGCAAGTCGAGCCATAGCAGAAGCGCAATTGTAAAGTCTGGCTGATCATGATGTTCTGCACCCAGTCTCACCTTCCTTGCCGACTACACAGCCTCATCTGGTCCCATCTATAGGCAATCGCAATTGTCGTGTTTTGCTGGCTCGCTCTTTGCCCTCATGGGTCGCCATCTGACTGAGCCAGCGATGACCACTGCAGGTCTGGAGTTGACTGAGTCATGTGCCGAGACGTTCCTCGCGACTGCCTCAGGTCTTGGCCCGCAGGAGTGGCGGTATCGAAGTCAAGAGGGGAAGGGAAGTGTAAAGGATCAAAGGGCATACGAACGCAACGGATTCGAGGCGATATCAAAAGGCTACTACCATGGCCCAGAGGCCATCGAATCCATATTCTATGCCTGGCGTATCACCGGTGATCAGATGTGGCGTGATATAGCCTGGACCATCTTCCAGTCTCTCTCCGACGTACTGGAGACTGGATCAGGGTGGGCCTCGCTGTGCGACGTAAACGCAAGACCGTCCGGCGAGGGGCAAGGCAGATGGGCCGCGGCGTGGGAGAATGAGCAGGGCAGCTTCCTCTACGCTGAAGTCTTCAAGTATCTTTACCTCACATTCACCTCCCCTAGCTATTATTCCCTCGATGAATGGGTCTTCAACACCGAGGCTCACCCACTAAGGCGGCAAGACGCCGACGAGCCAAAGATTCAGGCTGATTCAAAGGCAGGGCCATTGTAAGTGACCGGACGTCTTTTTCGCAAGGACTGACACTGACAATAGCGCATGTGTCGCGACTCCTTTTGTGACTAGTCCATACGTCCCTATCGTCGACCGGGACCTGTCACAGAGACATCTAGGTTCTCGCACTCGATCTGCCGCTCCTCCAATGCCAGTAGGCTATTGATAGAGGAGCCTCTGATGGGGTTTGGCAGGGTCTTCATGCTGTGTCGTCGCACAATGCTCCGTTTCTCACGCGGCTCTCTATTTGCTGAATACGTTGATTTCGGTGATCACATGAGAGTGCAAAGGCACGTGCGAGCATATAGCGCAAAGACTCAGGCTCGCTTCGCCAGAGCGCCGGGAGGCACCACCACCATCTCTTTGCTGTCCAGTGTCACCATGAAGTCATTGCCGTCCACACTCATCACCTTTGCATTCTTGCCTCGATGCTCACCCATGGTAATGAGACAGACTTCGCCGCTCCCATTCGGTCGTTGTGGTGCGATGAACCTCATGGGCACATCCTGCAGCACCTCGCCTGCATCCATACGAATCGTGGCTGTGTCACCGTTGGCAGAGGTGGAGACAATGGTACCCACGCTTCGATCCAATCGGCCTCCTTCAAAGGAAGCATTCGAGGCACCGTCCTTGGCAATGCGTACAAGCGTACGAGCTAGTGGCTTGTCAGCTCCCTCCAGATGGGTACTAGGGCGCGCTCCAACAGCGCCATTGCCGTGACCTCCCCACGGCGTAGGAGCGCTGAAGCCTCCGGGCGTAGCACCGTAGTGAGCGCCCGGTCCAGCTCCTGGAGTTGGAGCAGCCAACGCACCGTTACCTGCGGGTGTTGGAGCTCCCCACGCTCGTGCCCCAGGTCCGGCTTGATGAGCAGCGGGTGTTGGAGCAGCATAAGGGTTGCCTGCATACATGCCAGGAGTGGGAGCACCGGTGTAGCCTTGCCCGCTACCGCCAGGAGTAGGAGCCGATCCATATGGTGTTGGAGCCGACCCTCCGTAGGGCGTGGGAGCAGAAGCATACGGATTGTTATCCCCATATCGACGAGGGGGCGGCGGCGCAGCATAGTGAGGCGTCTTCGACCCGTCATTGCTGGCGTACGGGTTGGGAGTTTTGCCTCCGTAGCCGCCATAGTGGGCCGGGGTTTTGCTACCGGAGGGCGTAGGAGCATCCATGGCTGCATAGGGATTGGGCGTCTTACCACCTCCGAATCCTCCATAGGCAGGGGTCTTGCCGCCATCGAAAGCGCCGTACGCTGGGGTCCGACTGCCGTCGCCGTACGCCGGGGTCTTGCTGCCATCGTAAGGATTGTGTGCTGGTGTCTTTCCGCCTCCAGAAGCTCCATAGGGTGTAGCAGCACCCATACCCGCATATGGGGTAGCGTAGGGATTGGCAGCCCTCATTGGACCAGAAGCATACGGATTGGCAGTCTGTGGTGCCCTATCACCACCAAATCCAGCACCAGCTCCAGCTCCCATAAGTGGCTTGGCTTTTCCTGTCAGAGGATCCCTTTCAATGAGAGACTTGATGTCAATAGTCAGAATCTTGGACATCGTGTGAAGCTCGACTCTGGCCATCATTCCATTCGTGTCCTTGATGATACCGCGATACGTCTTGTATGGCCCCTTTACAATGGAAACAGTCTTCCCCTGCAGGGGATCCCGGCCTGTCTTTCTCATACTCGATGCAGCTCCTCCTCCGCCGGTGAGTTGAGCAGCATCCAGTCCAGCCGTCAATTGCGGATTCTGCTTTGACAGATCAGTCGAGCCTTTGGACGCTCCGTTGCCGAGGAAAGCAGTGCTCTTCGGAGCGACGGGTACGAGTTGGCGGGCTCGCGAGATAAAGACACCGCCATTGTCTGCCACATCACGGTTGTGCATGAATACCAGAACAGACTGGTAGATGTGGAGGACCTGCCCCTCTCGATGCTCCCCTTCGACCTCCTTCATCTTGTCTCCGGCTCGGAACTCACTGCCTTCGTTGTCGAGGGCGACGGCTCGAACAGTGTCCCTCTTCATCGAAATTTGATGTGGACGCACTGTCAGGACATTGCCCAGTTGGTCGAGTACTCTGAAACTCTCCCTCTCAATCTTGAAGATGACTCCGGCAGTCTGAGCATCGAGCTGTACCAGATTGTGGAGCTCGTATCCAGCAATGTCATTGACACCTGAGCCAACCTCAGTGGCCTGACGAAGGTCCTTGGAGAAGACGGTGACTTCGGACATGGTGAGATCGGAGAGGAACGTTGTGAAGTTGTCCTCGGTCTTGACTACCAAACCGGTCTCATCACGGTGCTTGCCGGTGGTAACCTTGACGTGGTCTCCAGGGCGGAAGCGTTTGCGCACAGAAGATGAAGACACTTCAGCAGTCTGATTCACCAGATTCATGTCAGCTTTGCTGAACAGGATGGTGACCACATTGCCGCTGATCTTCTGAACGGTACCTTCAACCCCAGTGAGGTCTCCCTCGAAGACTTCTACCGCGTCGTCCCTTTCCAGCGTCGTGGTCGACGACTCTTTCGCTGCATCGGCCAGCATCTGCAAATCGACTGGATGTGCCGAGTCCAAGGATAGCGTCCCGCTACCGTCCTCGTCCTTCTTGATCGCAGATGTAGCGGAAGCGTTGCCCGCAAACTTGGTAATCTCGTCGAGGGAGGGCTTGACGTCGTCGAGTGTGAGATGATCGATCCGGACATCGCGCTCACAGTATCCATCCTTGAAAGTGTCCTTCTGGAACACCCACTCTCTGTCACCCCTCTTCACAGGCCTGTCGGCACCGGGGTACACCTTGCGAACCTCTTCTGGGTTGAAGAAGCGCTGCTGAGGGCGGTGTACTGAGCCTCCAAATGCTCTGCCAGCAGCAGCAGCAGTCTTTTTCCTCTTCTTGCCGTTCCTGTCGATGAAGGTCTCCGTAGTTTCTCTCGGTGTCATATCAATACGTGGCACAAATTTGATGCCGACGTCTTCACCATTCTCTGCCTGATCGATGACTTGGGCGAGATCACCGGCGTGCTTGCCGCGCTTGAGCCTGACCCAGCCACCAATCTTGACGGTGGACTGCTGCTTGGTGATCTTGAGCAGATCAGCCATCTCTCCAATTGGAACCATTGTGAGATTTTGCTCCGATCGGGCGTAGCATCCGACAATGTCGAGACAGGCCTCCAGGACGTCTCCAGCACTCCTTGCCTCGACGTAGATCCTTCCTGGAACGGAGTCTCTACAGAAGGCGGAGATGAAGCCGAGAGACCCTCCCAGAGCTTCTTGCTTGCGGAACAGAGTCATGACAATGTCTCTCTCCCTCAGCAGCTTGCACTTCACCGACCAAAGCTTCGGATCATCCACGGAGGGCATGAGGAGTCGTTGAGGGACTTCGGCATAGTCAGACTGGGCTGCGTAGCGTGCCGATCGGCGGTAACGCTCGTTGAGCTCAGAGGCGAGCTGTTCGGCGCTCTTGTCTTCCTGTTCACGACGCAGGCGATCCAACCTCTGATTGTCAGCGGCATCACGCCGACGAGCTGACTCGGTTTCTTCGGCCAACTCTTGCTCAATGAACCCATCTGCGGATAGGGAGTTTTGTAAAGACGGTCACAAGTAAGAAGTATTAGCACATCGCCTCGGCGCAGGCCACGGTTGGTTGCACTCACCTTCCTTGGCCAGCTCCTCTTCCTCCTCTTCCAGGTCCTCTTCATCCTCGTCGACCTCGGCTTCTACATCGAGGAAACGATTGCCACCTCTTCGCTTCCTCCTTTTGCGGGCTCCCCCATCTCTACCCGTACTGTCGTCCTCCTCGTCTTCCTCCTCTTCGTCCTCGTCGTCTTCCTCGTCGTCTTCCTCGTCGTCCTCCTCTTCGTCAAAGTGTCTACGAGATCGAGGAGCGGCGTCGTCTTCATCTTCGTCGTCTTCCTCTTCGCTCGCAGTGCCTTGAGCTGCCTGGGAAGGCTTCTGGTCGTCATCATCCTCATCGAATGCCCTGGCCAGCGCTTCGGCGTCTCCGTTCCGAGGCGCGGCAGCCGACATACTGACTGACTTTGAGTCTTGGTGCAGCCCTTGTGCTCAGGTCTTCGCTCGGAACGCAGTGAGCAGGATGAGGGGTGCAGCCTCAGATGATCAGTCGTCTACAAGGAGCGAGATTGCAGGTGAGATGGATGGTATAGATGAAGGATCAGGTGCAGGAGGAGGGGGGGAGGCGGTAGTGGTGGGGGGCGATGCTGGCCCTCTACTGGAGGTGTTGGATTCCTCCTTCCCGGGGCGGAGCCGAGCGCGCGCAGTGGCCTCTCTCTGCCTTTTCCGACCTTTCTTACGCTCACCTCACTTCTTCCGCCTGGCAGCTGCTACCACCACCCACTCCTTCCGCCTTGCTCCTCCCCTCCGCCCATCCTCATCCCACCTCGACCATGTCACTCCTGCGCTCTCAGCTTCCGCGGACCCTGTCCAGACAGGCAGCCGCTGCTCCTGTTGCCCAGCGCGCCGTAGCTGCTGCTGTGCCAGGTGAGTTTGCACGGCCCCTTGCCAAAGGCGCTACTGGCAGCCACCTAGGTAGATGCTGCCGTCTGCGGTCTCTGTCGTACTGACTCCTCGACTTGTTCACCTCGACTCGTGCTCAGCAATCGCGCGCTCTTTCACCTCGAGGACACCCAGAAGCCCGCGCCAGAATGTCTCTGCCCTGGCTGCCGTACATCTGCCAAAGCGTGAGTGGTGGAGGACGAGCTCATAGGAGCCATGCTCTCTTGGTATGCATGCAGGTCACTGACTCTATCTGCCCTGTACCCATTCAGTCGCCCGTTCCTATGCTGCTGAGGCTGGCAGCAAGTTCGTCCGAAGCAAGCCTCACATGAACATTGGTACCATTGGCCACGTCGATCACGGCAAGACTACACTCACCGCCGCCATCACCAAGGTCCTTGCCGAGGCAGGTTCAGGAAAATTCGTAGACTACGCCTCCATTGACAAGGCTCCCGAGGAAAAGGCTCGAGGTATCACCATCTCCACTGCCCACGTCGAGTACGAGACTGCCAACCGCCACTACGCCCACGTCGACTGCCCTGGTCACGCTGATTACATCAGGAACATGATCACCGGTGCCGCCCAGATGGATGGAGCCATCATCGTCGTTTCCGCCACCGATGGACAGATGCCTCAGACCAGGGAGCATTTGCTCTTGGCATCGCAGGTCGGTGTCAAGAAGCTTGTTGTATTCGTGAACAAGGTGGACCAGGTGGATGACCCGGAGATGCTGGAGCTGGTCGAGATGGAGATGAGGGAGCTCTTGAGCACCTACGGCTTCGACGGAGACAACACGCCCATCGTTTCGGGCTCGGCGTTGGCTGCCCTGGAAGGCAAGACCCCAGAGATCGGAGCCGAGGCTGTCAAGAAGCTCATGGCCGCTACTGACGAGTGGCTGGAGCAGCCTCCTCGAGACTTCGAGAAGCCCTTCTTGATGCCAGTAGAGGACGTCTTCTCCATCTCCGGACGAGGCACTGTCGTGACTGGTCGAGTGGAAAGGGGTACGATTACAAAGGGATCCGAGATTGAGATTGTCGGCATGGGAACTTCTTTCAAGACTACCCTCACCGGTATCGAAATGTTCCACAAGGAGCTCGATCGCGGTGAGGCCGGCGACAACATGGGCGCTCTGCTGCGAGGTATCAAGCGAGAGCAGATTAGGAGAGGTCAGGTTCTGATCGCGCCCGGCTCCGTCAAGCCCATCAAGAAGTTCCAGGCTCAGTGCTATATCCTCACCAAGGAAGAGGGCGGCAGGTACACTCCCTTTGGCAACGGCTACTCTCCCCAGGCTTTCAGCAGGACTTCAGATGTGACTGTTTCCTTGACATTCCCAGAGGGTACCCCCGATGCAGACGAGAAGCTCGTGATGCCCGGAGACAACGTGGATCTGGTTGCGACGCTCGTTCATGACATTGCCCTTGAAGTAGGTTCTCGATTCACCCTTCGTGAGGGTGGCAAAACAGGTGAGTCAGAGACGTATGAATCTCGGCATGGCATTGTGCTGAACAGTTGCGGCTCCCCCACTCCATTTGCCTCCTCACCCCTCAGTCGGCACTGGTATCGTGACCAAGCTCATGTAGAGAGTTGCCACAAGTGACGATGACCATTTACGACCTCGAGAGCAGCATCTTCCCATTCCTTGTATAACATTGACCCCAAAATTAGCATGCATAGAGGAGCACACTACCTGCGAGAAGGCCGAAGGCCGCATGCCTATGTAGAGGCCTGCATCTCCGTCTGCTCCCTATATGCCAGCTCGTGCCAAGAGAGCATGTATTACACCTGTCTTGGAACACCTTGGCACAGTCCAATCACACCACTTCCCAACCGCACCGCAACCAAACTGACGCTCCGCTTCAGTGTGAGAATTAGTATGGTCATTGTTGCGTTTGAGCTCCTAGCTTTCTTTCCTTGATCGCCGCATCCTCTATCATACCCTCATACCCCCACCCCCACCCCCCCAATAAGGCCCTTAAATCGGTGCTCATCAGCTTCCTACTGATCGTAGCACCTTCATGCCGGGCCAAGATGGAAAGCGCTTAGCCGCAATTTTGCCACCTACTTCACTTTATCAACTCGCTCGAAACAGTTTCACCATGAGGAGATGATCATTCTATCGGTGGCGACATACGGGCCTTCTTGCCAATGTCCAGAGGGGAGGCGGTCGCTTCGGCGTGGCGGCGCAAGCAGGAGACACGAGGTCAGGTTGCGCACGCAAGGCCGACGAAACCATGGGCTCGTTTACAATTACTCGGTGATCAGTAAGGAAAGGAATTGCATCATTGTACAAGCATCTGTTCTGTTCTGTTCTGGCATCATGGATCACTGAGACTCGACATCACTCCTCCCTCCCTCCCTCTGCTGCTCAATCTTCTGACCAAGTCTCCTTTCCCAAAATGCGGCCTTGTCCCCTTCGAGCTTCATGATATCTGAGCCGGCGACGAGGAATTTCGCATAGGTCATGCGGTAAATCTTGATCCTTTGCAGTCGCTCATCTTGCTTGATGCTTCTCCTCAGAGCGCTCAACCAAGGCGGAAGGCCTTCATCGAGGGAAGCCAAGCGTGAGATCTGAACATTGGTATCGGCTTGAAGAAGTAGGCGTTCGGGTGATACCTCGGGAAGGTTTTCAATCAGAAGAGCTCGAGCTTGAGCTTCGAGGTAACTCGCCAGACCGAGTACGTGGCGAAGCCCTTCTGCCGTCTTGCTCTCTTCGTCGGCTGCGGCCTCCTCAGTCTCTGAAACTTTACCTCCGGCTGTCAATGCAGGCGGCATGAAGTCTTTTGCCTCAGGCAAAAGGGATTCATCTTTGCTCCTCTGTCTCACTTGCTGTCTTCGTTCACTGGTCCTTCTCTCTCCAGGTGGCAAATCCTGCTGCGACTGCTGGCTTGAGGTGCTCACGGTTTTCCGCAGGCCTTGCTGTGCAGTGACCCGCTCCGGGTACGATCCAGCAGAGGCCTCTTCGTCCCCGATGCTACGGTCATGGCCTGCGTCGGTCCCTGCCCGAACGGACAGCAAATAGTTCTCATGGCTCTCGTAGTATTCGTCGATGATGCGTTGGCGTTCCTTGCGCTTCTCCCTCGCCGTCAGGGCAAGCAGCTTGCTGAGACGCTCGACAACAGCCTGGATTGTCGTAACGACAAAATTGGTCATGATGGGCACAGCCATCAATGCCCAGATGACAAAGACGGTCTTTCCGACGGGTGTCCCAGGAGAAAAGTCTCCGTAGCCCACGGTCAGGAAGAAGACGTAGTTGAAGTAGAAGGCATCACCCATCGACCACCCTTCCATGAAATGGAAGATGATAGCTCCTACCACCCAGAAGAGGACCAGAACACCAGCTGACCATAACAGATCAAATAGCTGGGACATGGCGGCATTATGGGAAGCTTGGCGGTGGAGTCGGGCAATCTCCTGCTTAAGAATGTCCGAGCTTTCGTCTGCCTCTGTCAAATCGACCTGGCCTCGCTCGGCGAAGCGCTTCAGTGTGTCTTTGTCGTGGTCTTGGACGTGGCCTTTGCTCAGACGGCTATGAGCCTCCAATTTCTCTTTGTACTTGTTCAAGACGTCTCCCTCCGCTTCGTACCACTGCTTGCGTCGCTCCTCGACACGATCCTTCACCGCGCTGACGATGAGTGATATCTGGTTAGAGATCAGAACAATGCCCGCCAGCTCGAAAGGGAACAGCAGGACCTTAGTAGATGCGAAGCTCGGTGAGAAGTCGCCAAAACCGATGGAGAGTAGAGACACGACTGTGAAGTAGATTCCATCCAAGAAAGCCCAGCCTTCGATCTGTGAGAAGATGAGGGCCTCGAGGGCGATCAAGGCAAAGAGCGTGAGTTCACTGGTGATGAAGGCTCGCCCTTGAAACCTGATCTCTTCGTCCGGTAGGTCATTGTCATGGAAGATGACGTGGAATAGTAGTAGAAAGGAGATGAATCCGGCCAGGATGACCGAGAGTACCGCACACCAGAAGCCCTCGTCGTAAGCGTAGCCCGCAGTGTTGCGCGTCAAGGCGCCGAATGTGATTAGGTTTGCCACTGCCAAGATCGTCTTCATCAGCCATCCTACAGTGGAGACGACAATGGCTAGACGCCAGGCCTGGACACGGATGCAAAAGGACGCGGTGAGCTGCTGTGCGCACTGACCGCTGCTTCGGTATGGCGGTCCCGCGCAGACTTACTTTTGGTAGGTGAACAGTGAACCTTAGCACCAGCAAGGCATTGGCGATGATGCTAGTGGCTAAGCCTACTGCACTCAGAATCAAGCTTGCCTGTGGATCCTCTTGAGGCACGCCATTGAGAGAGTACCAGTGCTGGGTCAGCGCAGGGATGTCGTAGAGTGTGGAGGCAGGAGCTATCAATGCTGCTGCAAGTGGGGCAAAGCGAGCGATGGCTGCTGACAGGGAATGCCAACGCGTTTGCAGGTCCTGCTTCGACCATCCATGAGTATGACTCTGCTCTTCCGAAGCCTCTGGTGTGGAGGTATAGGACATCGGACCAGCACGACGAGGTTGGGTGGAATGGGTAGGGAGAGTAGCATCGGGTGCGTCTCTGCTGACTCGGCTGTGCACCCCGCCATCTCACAATTCGGCGAGATCGCCGGGGGTGGAGGCGAGGCGCATAAAGCCTAAATTTAATCTTGGACCCCTTCCGCTCCTGGCACTTCACAACTGTGCCCCTGCCTCTTACGCTGGAGACGTTGGTACGGGAATTCAAGAGAATGGTATTACGTAGCGCAGAGTCCGTGTCCCGTACCATCACAACAGAGTCCTCTATTCTTTCGTCGCGGGGTCCCGCACTGTGCTACGCCCCTCTGCACGGCCCTGCGTCTATTGCGGCACCTTGGCCATATCTCCGCCAACGTACCTCCCCCCTTTGCGATTCCCTCCCCACTTCTCTCCCGGCCCGCGTCCATGACGTCCGGAACTCCATCCTTTGCCATTGTACTTGATCAACTCATCGTACTTGTCCCTGTGCAGGGAGGGGTACGCGACGAATTCTACTCCTTGGTCGAGGATGAAGCGGAGGGAAAAGGTCAGGACGGTGAACCAGATGGCGAGGTAGCTGGTGAGGGAGAGATAGTGGTGCTCATCGCCGTGGTGCGGGAGGATGAGGCCGGCAAGGACCATGGCAAAGGAGAAGGCCAGGATGTACGGCATGGCCCTCAGCGTGAGGGATCGCCTAGTTCCTGCCACGCCCTTTTCTGGCTTCCAACTACCGGTGAAGAGGTCGTAGGCGTCTTGACGCGGGCCGTCAAAGAAGTTGTTCTTGACGTAACGGGTGATGGAATTAACGCCGTCCTGAATCGCACCTTCGGTGGAGCGCTTGCCTGTGCGGGTGAAGTCGGTCTTGAGAGCGCCTGTGCCCGAGTAGGCTCGCGAGACTCCATCGGCATGGTCGGCCCAGACTGTGAAAGACGGCAGCGAGGCGGGGAGGTCAGTGCTGGTGGTCTCTTGACAATCACTCCCCTCTTGACAGCTGCACCACTCACCATTCCTGAAGAGATACATGAACTTTTCGCTCTTCTCAATCCACTCGTCCTCTCCCAGGATGCCCGCCTTCCTCAGCTGGTACGTCAGTACCCAGCGACCCAGTGTGCCCTGGACAACGTTGGTCCGGTCTAGACAGTCCATGCAGTTTGTGCGAACGGCATGGCTCTGCTCCTTGACAATACTGCCTCCCTTGCTACCCTCATCGTACTCGAACCAGTCGTCACCCTTCAAGCCCATCTTCTGCAGTCTCTCCACCAAGTCCCACACCTTTTCAAACTTCATCCCCTTGCACTCGTGGTGGAAATCGTAGTAGATGTAGTGAACCCGGTCATTGTTCAGAGCATCGACTGCCTTCTCGTAGGCCTCCTTGACTGGCTTTTCATACCCAGACTGGTTGACGAGATTGACAAGGTAGTTGTCGCCGTAGAAGTCGACTTGATTGCGGAAATGCCTGGCGGTAGCATCTTTGGTCTCCTCCTTCTCCATGACTACCAGATCGGGCTTGTAGCGTAGGTTGTTTACCTCAGCCCAGTGCACCGGCACACTACCTCGCGTCTGGACGTAGCTGTATTTGACCTTGCCCTGGATGTGGCCCTTGGAGGCTCCGCCGTCTGACGTAGGAGGGTCGAGGATGACAAATTGCTCCGTCTCATTGAAGTTGCTCACATTACCCTCCTCATCGACACCTCGCGAGAAGTATCGAGTTCCGGCGCGGTGGCGGGACCGCCTGGCGATAAGGCCGAAGAGAAAGTCATGCCCATTGACAGTGGCTGTCTTTACGGAGAGGAAGCCAAAAATGCAGGGAAGGATGAAGCGCGACAGATCCGGTCCACCGGCAGTCCTAGTGGCTTCGATGAGTGGCTCACTGAGGTAGTGGTTCCAGAAGAACCTCTCGTCCGCCCGCTTCCATGCCGGTACCGCCTTTTCGCCTGCCTGCTTGGTCACTCTGGCCTGGCGCTGCAGAGAGCTAGTGAGGTCCCAGCCATAGGAGAAGTAGAAGGGGGCAGAGTAGAGGTGAGACTTGAGCAGGCCCAACAGAGTCCGGTCAATTGGGTGGTGTCGATCGGCCTTGGAAGATAGGGGGAATACTCTGAAATCGGTCGCCATGTATACTGGAGAGTCTAAAAGAGTGGTGACGTGAGAGCGCGAAGTGATGACGACGAGGAAGGACGTAGTGTGCAGCGGGATCACGCCGAGAATTCCTAGAGTGGGAAGGGGGGAAAGACGGAGGTGAGCATCAATGAGTTGAGCAGTTGAGGGCAGCCCACCCCGTTACCATTGCCCACCAAGCACATCGACTGTCTTCTCTTTCCTGCCACTATCCTCCGGCATGCTTCCACTGGTAGAGAAGACCTTCTCTCCATCTTGAGCATTACGGTGAATGGTGAGATATTCCTTTGCCTTTGCTCCACTCCCACCCATCGTTGGCTCAAAGGTGTAGGCATCGGGGGAAGTGTGCATCCGATATGCCTCCCATAGCGCAAGTGTCTCGTTGATGGGCATCGTGGGAGGGCAGGGGTGGTGACGGTGATGGTGATGGTGATGGAGTGAGCAGAAGGTGTCGATGGTCCAATGTGGGATGGGATTCCTCTGCCTCTCCACTGCAGCTCCACCTCGCAACTCTCCGCTTCCCCGCCTTGTGTGGCGTGGCGTGTGTGAAACGTCGGAAGCGCGCAGCCAAGGCCGAAGAAGCAAAGCTCACATGTCCTTGCGCTCTTTCCGCATCTCCTCGAGGTCACCATCACCAATACGTACGGCTGATAGGTCACTCAGCCAATTGCTTATAGTCATGTCCGACCCCACCCGCTCCAATCGCACAATCTACATCGGTGGCCTACCTCAATCCATCACAGAAGACACCCTCGTCTCCACCTTTTCCGCCTTTGGAGACATCGTCGATGTACAGCTCCCCCGTCACGGCGGTGGTGGTGCGGCTGGAGAGGGACATGTAGGCGCTCAACCTATGCTTGAAGCTCCTGGTGGTGGTGGTGGAGGTCACAGAGGATTTGGATTCCTCGTCTTCTCTACAGATCAGGAGGCGCAGGACGCGATTGACAATATGCACCTCAATGAGCTAGGCGGGGTGAGTAGACGCATTCCCAAAGCATCACTCTCTACTCAGCAGACTTACTCTGACTCCAACCTCCACAGCGCATCCTAAACGTCAATCAGGCCAAACCTCTCAAGACGGCCGCTTCCGGGGGCAACAAGCCCGTGTGGGAGGACGAGGAGTGGATCAAAAAGTACGCAAAGCCCATTGGCGGAGGGGCCGAGGATGAGCCTTTGCAAGAAGGAGCGGTAGGGGGAGAGCAGTAGACCACAGGAAGAGAGGATGGGATTGGGGACAGATCAGCACAGGACAAGGTTCAGGGGGGCTGGCATACATCAAAAGGCACGTCTTAGATCGACTCGACTCGACTCGACTCGACTCGCGACAATTGTACTTGTACCGCACTCCAATCACATTTCAGAATACCTCGCATCGACAAAGTAGTCCCGAGGCTTGGCCAACAGATCGACACGGGTATCAACTACAGAGGACCCAAACGAGCACTTTTGCCCTACCATCTGCGCGTCCCTTTATAGCAGTCTCAGATAGGGCGCTCCCAAGTCGTCGTCTTCGTCGCCGGATGCGCATAGTATACTCCATGCCCATTGCGACTGCTCTGCACAATCCACCCTTCACGCAGCGGCGGCAGTGCCGGGTCCTCAACAACGGGTGGCCTCGCCGGCTTTGCGGCCGTCGGTGTACCCGCAGCTTTCGAAGGGCTGCCTACTGCTCTGGACGTCGGTGTTGCGTTAGTCCCAGAGGCTCCAGCTGCCCCTCGCACGGGGGTATCGCCTGGCTGCGTCGCTGTGCGCTTGCTCTGTGGGCCCCATGGGGCAGAAGACGTATCGTCTCCTGCAGACTTGCGCTTGTTGGCTCCATTACTCGTTGGTGTTGACGAAGCCTCGCCGCCGGCCTCAGTTGCGGCGGCGGCGGCAGCAGCAGCCACAGCGGTGATGTCGTCCGTCGCTTGCTGAGTCAAGGCGTCCTTGCTGCCTTTGACGCCGCCAGGAGGACCCTCGAGGAGTTGCCTGATGTGGTGGTAGATTTCTCCTCTCGAAGCATCGAAGCACGACCTCATCAACTCTGCTCCACTCCTCTGCTCCCAGTACTCCATGTTCATAGACTTGACTAACCCGGGAAGAGCGCCTATGAGGCTCAGCCTGGCGAAGTTCGCATCCATGGTATCTTGATACTTGCTGAACACGAGCTTCTGCACATCTTTCATTGAGTAGATCTGCTCTGGGTCGCCCAGCTTCGCCAAAGAGGGGTATAGTCTGCCGGCCACCTTTGTCATGTCGAAGACGACTTCGCGCGACTCGGCGTTGACCCTCGACAGGACGAATCCGTCGGAGATCGGAGGGGAGGCAGGGAGCTCCTGACCATTTGCAGAGAGGAGGCCCAGAGCAGGAAAGGCAAATTGCTTCTCGAAGCCAAAGACGTCGTCATTCTTTTGCGGTGTAGCATCGAAGAGCGCCTTCTCAACCGCCTTCTTGGCATCGAACTCAGTCTGAGTCATGACCTGATTGTTGGAGAAGGGGACTCTGCAGTCAGTCGCAAATCTCTACCCACGAGAGACTCTACATTGCCTTTGTTCACTCACCTGATAGACCGAACCCGCCGCTTGGACGCGGCTACCCTCCTTGGTGATGGCTCTGAGCCTCATGATGTACGTCCCCTTCGTGTCAGCACCCTCACCAGCATCACTTTTGCGGGCCAGCCGCTTGTCAGCAGCTAGAGCCTCCATCATGTCCTTGACCTCCTTGTCTCGCAGCCTCAATCTGACGACGTCGCCCACCCAAATGCGTTCCAAGCCTGCAAAGACTCCCTGATAATATATTCCGCCCTTGTAGGATGTGTTCTTCGCCGAGCGGAAGACGCGTGACGGTCTGTCGTCGTCTCGCCCCCGACGATCGGCTAGAGAGGCGCGGATCTCAGTGTCTGCTGGATTGACAGTGTCCGTCAAGGTTGAGGCACTCGACGCTTGGCCGTTGCCCAGGCCATTTGGCCGGTCCAAGATCGCGCTTTCTCTCTCAGCATCAGCTGTGACGCCTTCCGGCAGCTGAAAAGGGTCGGTCACTCGATATCGAGACCGAAGGTAGGCGCAGCTCGTCAGAGAGAAAGCGAGTGCGCCTGCCACCTTGCTATACGAGGGTCTGGCCGACTCTGAAGGCGGTGGTTCGAGAAGGTGCAGCTTGGAAGGGAAGCCAGTAGCGTCTGACAACCATGCATGCTCTTCCATCTTGCCGAAGGGACTGTGCTTGACTTCTTCGGTGACGAAGCCGACGAGGAAAGGCAACAGGCGCGATTCGGGCACCCGGCCCCTATCCTCAGGCGTGCCAACAAGGATGATGTCGTAGTGTCGGTCCTGTTTCACACGGCCTTCGAGAGAGAAGCTAGTGCTTTCGGCTGCGTCGCTTTGTTGGCCATTCTTAGCCTTGGCGCGGCGAGGGTCTGACGGGGCAGCCGGCTTCGGAAGGGTGGGAGCGACGTTCGATATCGTCTTCACATCCTCTACGTGAGCAGGCCACTTGTCGATGACGCGCTTGCTGTCTGTAGGGTCTTGCACAGGTGGTTCCAGGATGGCCCAAACGATCTCGCCGATGCGGTACCCTTCGCAGTCGCCCTTACCAGCTGCAGCTGTTCTTGCCATCTCCGTGTCCCTCAACGGAATGGAAGGAACAGTGACGCCCAAGCTCGGCCGATCTTGAGGTCGCGGGAGATCTTGTGTCTTGACTTTGTACGAATTCGTTGGCGCAAGCTTCTTGTTGGCGGCAGGTGGCCTACCCACCCGCACTGGCCTCTCGCGCTTCTCCTTTGGCGAGTCATTCGATCCTCCTCCACCGCCGCGAGGTCTCCCACCAGGGCAGTACTTGCATTGACAAGAGCTACCATCGTTCATGATTAGCCACTGAGCATGGGGGAGAAATTCCTTGGTGGATCTGAAGCGGTGACCTGCTGAGCCTGTGAGACGAAAGTGCGCAGCAGAGGCGTAGGAGGATCAGTCAGGAGTCTATGCATGATCCTGAACGCGTGTTACTCACCATAGAGGTACTGATCTGTTCTGTAAGACTCTCTCGGCCCTTTTCTCTGTTCTGACATCTGATAGTCGGCTGGATAGCTTGCCAGCTTCCACTCCTTGCCATTGGGAGGCTTGGATGGTTGTCCGGCCCATGTAGCCAGATCCGCGCCTATGAGACTAGACCAACGCTCATACTTGGACTCTCCTGGCGCCATGATGTGGAAGTAGTTGACCTCCACGGCTGACGCGGGAGGCTTGACGGTATTGGGAGCCACATAAGATGGATCGCCATCGGAGCGTGGGAAGACGATGATCCCCTCAGGGCGGAAGATGGCAGGATCCTTCCTGGGATCTATCCCGGCCGAGGTAGAAGGGTGGGATGTGCCATTCTGGTCTGTCATGTCGCGAGAGACATCAGTTGACAGATGTACGACCAATGACGTTCTCAAAGGTATATAAGCGTTTGAGGGTATTGAGGTTGGGAGAGGAGGATGGTGGTGAGGAGTGGGTAGGAAGGTACGAGTCAAGGTGCGGTGTCTCACCTCTCTGCCTCTTTCCGTCGTGTCTTGCTCTGCAGGCGGAGGCGTGGTGAACCTGCAAGTCGCACCCCAGTGTCGGAACGGAACACAGAGGCCAGAAGCAGGCGATCGGGGCGGGAAGGCGGGCGGCAGCCGATTGAACCTTCACACAGACGGAAGATTTCTTTTTGGCAGACAGGCGCTACCAAACACGAGAGCTTCTTCCGCCAAAAGACAACCTTCATCATCCCACCCAGATCACGCCTCCTTCTACGAAACACTCTGCGATCCTCGACTATCTGCTATCGTCTTTGCCAACCGTTCATCGCGGAGCCTTTTCAGCCAGCTTGAGCGCTAGAAATTAGCCCCATATCTGGGACAATTGCGGCTCGAGGTTGCACTCGACCTGCAAGTCCCTCTTCCGCTGCCTTGGCCCAATGCCAGCCCCTCGTCAGCAGGGCAATATTCCCATTGCAAAGAATGCAGCTCCAGCTCCCAGGCCGGTGAATGGCAAGGCCAGACAACAGGGCGTTCGCAGGGGAGGTGGATCGCAGCAGCCGCAACGTGCGGATGGACATCAGCCGGCGCCATGGAAGAGCAGCTTGTGAGTGGTTTGCAGATAGCTTTGAGAGAGGAAGGGGTGATCAGACTGACAGTCCGGAGTCTATACCGTTCGATCCTTTATCAGAGATGTTGCATGGTCCTACTCTCGCTCACAGGCTCACCACCCTCAGCAGGTCGGCATTACATCTCCCAGCTTCACAGAGCGGAGGTGGGCCGGTCCATCCACGGGCGTCCCCGGCAGCACAGACGATGATACAGAAGACGAGGAGGACTACGAGGCGTACCTAGAAGGGGACTCAGACCACACAGAGGACGTCGATGAGGAAGATCTAGAGGACGATTTGGACGAATTTGGAGTTCCGCATCCACCGCAAACTCACGGTCACTCAAGAGGTAGATCGCCAAGTCGAGACAGGCGGCGTAGTCCACGTGCATCATCATCTAGACGCTCTTCATCACCTTCCACTTCCACATCGTCTCAACATAGAACACGGCGGTCGCGTCAGGTATCACCTGAAGAACGCAATGGTACTTACTCGCCAAGTCGGCCTGCTTTCTCCACTACATCGAGCGCTCGTCGATTGCAAGACCGGCAGGTTTCACGCCTAGCGCAAGAGTCGCGAGATACAGACGAGCGGAGCAGATCGAGATCTAGGAGTCCAAAGAGGGTGGCAGCGAGCAGTAACGTCTACTTGCCAGATGCCCCTTCACTCCTGGGGAGAAGAGCGGATTCGCATGGGGGTTCAACCAGGGGGAGAGTCCCTCGACAGTCCAGGGATGCTCCACGCTTACAGTCGAGCGTGAGCGATTTCCCCCGAGTGGGCAGTCATTACGAGCGGTACTCCATTCGATCTTCCTCAAAAGACGATACAGATCGGGCTAGGTACTCGCCAGAGATGGGCGAGCCAGTCGTCTACCGGACAGACGAGAACACACCTCTGCTCCTCTCTCTACAGCGATCCAAATCTGCTGAGCCTACAATGGAGGGGTACAGTGGTCGGAGCGAGAGAGGGAGAAGTCGGTCAACGATTGTGCTCAACCCGGCAGAGAATATGGAGAGGACACGCATACCGTCACTGGAAAGGAGTCCCACCAAGGCAAGAAAAGCTGCCGAAGCTTGGTGGGATTGGGTGTTACAATATGTGGATAAGCTAGCTCCTTGTTGTGGAAGAAGAAGGGGGTGATGCCCATGACTTCAGTGTAATTTATGCCCTTGCCATGAGCTAGTGAAGCGTCACAAACACAGGCACCACTGGTTCGGTCACCGATTGCCTGCCTGCATACGATGAGGTGGTGAATCTTCCTATGATGACGTCCCAGACCACTCGCCGGGCTGTAGCTTCGAGCGACTTACAGCTGCCCTGCGTCCTCTGCTGCCTTTATGACAAGCGAGGCTGCGACGGCCGCACCTCGTGATCTTTTGCTTCTGCCCTGCGCACATGCCTTGAGGCATGTGTCCCCTCTGCCTCGCCGTGGTCAAGGTGATGGTGTTGCTGAGAATGGCGAGATGGTGAAGACGTGGCAGGAGCTGGAGTACGTCGTTGTTACCAGGATGGCCAGCGGTCAGGCACAGACTGACTCATTCACGTGACTCCTGTTCGGTGCCTGGATTGAACCACGTGCGTCACTGATGTGATTGGTACTCGATGCGCTCCGTCTCGGGTCATGGTGCGTGCTGATCCCTGCCTTGTCTACCAACCTGACACTACGGTGGCATGGTCAGAGACCGTCTCTTGCTCTTCTCCCCTCTGCGCCGTATGACGATCGAGCGAGATTGTCACATCTGACTGACTGACATCGCCCCCCTCCCCTGGCCCGCCTACGTCTAATTGCGCCCCCGCCCAGCCCACTTTCCGCTTGGCGTCTACCCCCGCACAGCCCCTCCTCGCCCGCATATCACGGCAGCCGGAAGCGCGGGGTCCGAGGCGGGCGGGTGGGTGCGGGGTAACATTGGAAATGCAGAGGCAGGCGGAGAGAGAAGAAGCTGCAAAGGGGAAGAGGCACAGACGCAGACGCAGACACAGAAAGGGGGAAAAGGATGGCCAAGGTGACCAGAAGGGATGCTCGTCATATTCTCTGAGACCGAGTAGACTGGCCAGCTCACCATCCTCACCTCGCAATCATACAAAAGGGTCGGCATCAGCATCCAGGCCAGGTCCACCCCTGTAGAGAGGGCACATCGTCTTCTTCCTTCCTCCGCGCTGACATATACGCCCTCAGGCACACATCTCCACACCCACCTCGTTCCTGGACGCTCGAAGCCGACCTCGACCCCCTTGAGCCCATCCTTGGCTGTTCATCTTCCACTCAATCATCTCTAATCTTCACCACTGCCAAGTTCCCTCCCCCTCCGCAGTCCGCAATGTCTGTCATCACCAGCTACCTCTCTCAAGCAGTCCAGTGGGCCACTGCCTCTGCGCAGCACTCCCTCGCAGCCCTAGTGGCCCTCTTCGCCATCTACGTCGTCTATGTACTCTCCGCCTCTCCCCATGCTTCCCTACCCGGGCCCTTCCTTGCCAGGTTCACCGACCTATGGATGGCAAGGCAAGCCATGCGAGGCGACCGATCCCTCGTGATCCATGAGGAGCACAAGAAGCACGGCACCTTTGTCCGCCTAGGACCCACCCACGTATCCATTGCAGACCCAACAGCCCTGAATTCCGTCTACGGCCACTCCACCGGTACAACAAAGTCGGAATTCTACGACGCCTTTGCTGCTCCCAACTTCCCTCGAGGACTCTTCAATACTCGCTCTCGCCCCGAGCACACACGAAAGAGGAAGATGGTCTCTCATACTTTTGCTCCCAAGAATGTCCAGGCCTTTGAGCCTTTTATCCGCCGAGAAGTCGAGACTCTCTGTGGTCGCTTCGACGAGTTTGCAAAGGCGGCAAAGGAAAAGGGAGAAGAATGGTTCACACTCGACGCATTGGACTGGCTCAACTTCTACGCCTTTGACACCATTGCTTCCCTCGCCTTTGGGTCCGTCTTTGGCATGATGGAGCAAGGGCGAGATGATGCAGACGTCGTCTTTGAGAATGCAGATGGGTCTACTAGGGTCGAGACGGTACCTGCCGTGAGGATCATCAATGAGCGCGGCGAGTACTCGGCTACCATGGGGTACGTCCCCGTATACCTGCGACCCCTCGCTGCCCGCATCCCCTGGTTTGCCAATCGACTCAAGTCAGTCAAGAGACTAACGGGTATCGCAGTGGCCAAGGTTAATCAACGACTAAAGGAAGGAAGCGAGAGGGACGATCTCCTTTCTCGCCTCTCTTCTGGGAAGGACGAGTCTGGTCAGCCCATGGGCAAGGAAGAGCTCACCAGCGAAGCCCTCACACAACTCATTGCCGGCAGCGACACCACTTCGAACACATCCGCCGCTCTCCTCTACCACGTCATGACGCACCCTGAAGTCAAGGAGAAGCTGGTAAAGGAACTCGATGAGAGTCTCAAAAGCGTCGACGTAGGCGATGTCCCCGTGGGAACAGATGTAGCCGAGCTACCTTACTTCAATGCAGTCGTCTCCGAATCACTTCGCTACCACTCCACCTCCTCCATGGGACTCCCCCGTCTCGTACCCGAAGGCGGGGCAGTCATCTGCGGCAAGCACTTCCCAGCAGGAACAACCCTCTCCGTTCCCGCCTACACCATCCACCGTAACCAATCCGTATGGGGATCCGATGCAGATTCGTACAACCCCGATCGATGGCTAGCCACAAAGGACGCCCGAGCAAACTTTGAGAGGGCCTTTGTACCGTTTAGTATTGGCCCCCGCGCATGCGTGGGACGAAACGTCGCCCTATTGGAACTGCAGCTGCTGCTGTCGACTCTGTTTAGGAGGTATGACTTTGAGCTGGCTCGGCCGGGGCAGGAGATGAATACCATCGAGGGATTCTTGAGGAAGCCGGTCGCTTTGCCTGTCAAGATTAAGCGGAGGCAATGATCCACAATGAGGCAGGACAAAGAGAGAGAGAGAGGGAGGATTGATAGGGAATAGGCACAGGGCGAAGGGAAAGGGGGGTAAGGGAGGTGGAAGATGGGAAAGATGTACCGCAAACGATGGCAGTGTGTATCTCCAGCTAACGTGCGTCACCCCCCATACTTCTCGCCTCGCTGTTCTTGCTTCGGTCTTCTTCTGTATCTCATACTTGCGATATGCACCACGCTGCAATGCCGAACAATGCCCCCGACTTCGTTGCCGGTCCAAGGTCACGTTCGACTTCGGATTCAGGCGGCGCGTACATTAGTGGAGACGACACATGTATAGCATTAGCAGTATCAACGGGTAACGACGACAACGGACAAGGACACAAGACGTTCTCCAGTCCCTTTGGAATCACTTGAACTTGTTAAAGACCTTCTGCAGTCCACTCTTAACCTTGTCACCTCCCGCACCTCCTCCTCCACCACCACCACCACCCCCTTTAGCCGTATAGCTCGGCTCAGGGCCCGCCTTTGCCTTGAGTCCAGACGCCTCATCATCCTCATCCTCTGCTCCAAGCCTGAGGCGATGTCCCTCATTAGGTCTTCCAGAAAGCACCGGCGTTCCATCCTGTGCCCAAGTGATACGTTGCACACACGTCGCTCTTGGTCCATCCTCCCTCTCCAATGAATGGAAGACTATAAACCAGTGCCCCTCTACACCTTGCACTACACATGCTCCACCAGGCCCACGTATTCCACGATGATGATCCGTGTACAGGAGTGGTTTGCCAGAGGGCTCATAAGGTCCTTGAAGTCCATTGCGGGAGATGGAATAGGAAGTGGCATACCCATCAGTAGTGAATGTTCCACTAGAGAAGAAGAGACAGTAGGTTCCCGATTCTGGGTGATGAGTGAGGTAGGGAGCCTCTAGTAAATCACCCTGATATCCCGCATGGGGAGCCTGAAGTGGTACTCGGTCTCCACTAAATCCTAGTCCATCACTACTGAGCTTCTGTAACCAGATTTGGGGTCCCTTGGTGTACATTCGATCATAGTCATTCTTGTAGACCAACCATCGTTGACCATCGTGATCTACAAAGGGTTGAGGGTCAATACACCCACCGGTCTCACCACGGGAGACGAGGGGACCGTGAGAGATGAACTTGTAAGGACCAAGAGGACCACCTTGGGTGTAGGCTACGCCGATGGATTGTTTACCTGAACCGAGATCTTGAGTAGAGACGTACATTAGGTGACCTGGACGACCTTCGGGAGCTGAGATGACTTCGGGAGCCCAGAAGAAGCCCTGCAGAGAGAAGGGAGGAGTGGGGAGAGTAGTAGGAATTGATCAGCTCCTCCACTCCGTCTGCCCGCAACATCCCACCCCACCATCCCCACTCCACCCTAGCTCAACTCACCTCCGTCCCAGTCCAAGGAGGGAACGGTCCCGGCAAGACTTCCTGATCCCACTTTGTCCAGCTACAGAAGTCATCACTGTAGGCTGCCTGTATATTTTTACCACAGCCATTGGTACCAAAGGCATAGTACTTTTTGGAATGAGGATCATAGTACACGCCTGGATCGGCGAGCTCGGGGATGACGGGGTTGCAGTAGCCTAGGTGCGGGTGGGCTGGCATGGTGAAGGTCAAGGTCAAGGTGAATCTTGAGGGGGAGGAAAGGTTCGGTTGGCAGAAGGGATACCTTAGTGTTCACTGTCACCGCCTTACGAACCCACGAGGCCAAAGTAGGCAGGGCAGGGCAAGGCCAAGGCCAGGGAGGGTCCTTCCTTAGCGTACACTATCGGAAAGCGGGCACACCTCCACATTCGGCATGCTGGTTTGAAACTCCGCTCTTACACACGGACCGTGCTGTGCTCTAGGCGGTGACGAAGAAGGGAGGGAGGGAGTGGGCAGGGAGGGCGAGCTTGGAGAAGGAGAAAGGGGAAGGGGAAGACGCTATGACGACGTAGAGCGCCGAAAGTAGACGTGGACTATGGTATTGAGAGAGATTCATGTGGTGCAGCATCGTGGAAAAGGTGGAGATAGGGCGGCGAGACTCATAGCCTACGACACCTCGCCTCTGTGTCAAGTCAAGGAAGGGTACGTGGCAGCTGTCAGAACCTCTCTGAAACACCTTGGCAAGTGTGTGAATGAACGACTATGTTGCAATTTCTTTCAACGTCTTTCGTCCACCTTCTCTCTATGCTGTGGCTCTCTACATGAACTTGGAAGCCAGCACACCCATGTTACCACCAGCTCCGTACTTCAGCATGAGCTGTGTGCAGAGAATACAGAAGGAGGGTTTAGGCGAGGTCAGAACCCGCTTCTCAGGAACGTCGACGTGTTTGTCCCTCTAGCCCGACCAATCGATCACTCACCTTTGTGGCAGCAGAGCCAGCAGAATTGACGGCAGACTGCTTGTCACCACCAGTGACTTCGCCGTTGGCCTGCTTCTGGTCGAACAATGCCGCGGCTTGAGCCATGGCCATGGAGACGATCTGCGCAGAGGTGAAACAGAGTTGGCGATGACGGAGCATCAGATGTGAGAAGAGCGAACAAAGAAAGTGCTGTAGAAGACAAGCGTGACTCACCTTCTGCTGCATGCCACCTCCGCTAGAGCTCGAGTCTCCAGAAGAGCCGCCGAGCATACCGCCAAGGCCACCACCGCTGAGCATGTTCTTGATGGAAGAGACGCTGACAGAGGATCAAGCACAACACAAAAAGGGTGATAGAGTAGGGTCAGTATGAGCCCACTTCTGCTTGCTTACCCGCCCGCCCTTCCAGGACCGCACACTCACGCAGCAGCATTTCCAATTTCCGTCGAGTGGGCCTGACCACCCTGATTGACTTTTTGCTCATGCTGAGACATCTCGTCCTCATCTACATCATCTGGGTTCTGGTCGTTGTTCTGCAAGAAAGAGGCGGCTGTGGGGGTAAAAGCAAGGGAAGGGCATGTCAGAGCCTGCTACAGAAGCTGAACGTCCCTCTCCACCCCACCGGTTCTCACTCACCATTCCCAAATAGGTCAGAATCACCACTGCCCTGAGTGTCATGTTGCTGTGCGAGGGAAGCCAGCGATGAAAAGTCAAAGCCTCCGCTGCTACCGCCGCCGCCGCCGCTCTGGCCGCTGAGGTACTTTTGTCCCATGGAGATGATGCTGTCCATTATGTAGGTGTGTTGGGTTGTGGGGTGAAGTGTGGGTGCTGTGTGACAAGACTAGAAGGAGAATTGAAGTTGTAAAGGATAGAAGGGGAAGTGTTGGAAGAAGGTGTCAATTCAAGAAGCGCAATGTACTCTTGACCTCTTGGCTAGCCTAAGGTTTGCCTTTGCCTCTGCCTCGCTGTGCGTGCTCTGTCCTGTGCCGTGCTCCACATACGCGCCAGTGTCGGCTCCTTCGGCATATTGAAAGGAAGCAAGGGCTTACACGCACAGGCACCTTAGTCGACCCCTCGTGCATCGCATCGCAGTCCACGGCAGAGTGGGGGATCAGTGGCAAGCGAGGAGCTTCGTCTAGTCTGGAGCGTCGAGAAGGGATGAAGGCAGGACGAAAGATTAAGACGCACAGAGGAGCACACAATTCGCTGCGTTTGACAAACGAGTGTGTAGAAGCGGTGTAATATGGTGAAAGATACCAACACAAGAAAAAGGAGAGAAAGAGAGAGAGAGAGAGAGCACAGCGCCGTGAGCCACCTCTCCGAAGTACATTTTGAAATCCTGCTGCTACCATCGCAGGTCCTGAGCCAGGGGGAAAGGACCAAACACTCGTCCTTCCCCGCCCGATTTTTACCGTCTGACCAAGAATATCCTCGCTCTTGCCCAACCTTTACACCACCTTCCCGAACATTGGGATGAGCGTTTGCGCCAGAGTGAAGGAGAAGACGAGCTTAGGTCCTACGACCAGGATCTTCGGTGTGAGTCCCTTGAAGAAGGCCGTCATACCCTCATGCTTGATCATATCCTTGATAATCGTCACTCCTCCCGTCGTACTCTCAAAGTTTGCATTTTGAATACGAGTCTTGACCACATCCAGGGGTGCAGCAACGGTGATGGACGCTACAGCTCCACCGATGGAAGCGACAAAGTTTTGACCCCAAGTGGCCTTGCCAAAGTCTTCTAGACCGAAGAGGTACTCCTTTGTGAATGCTGAACCACCAAAGAGAGCAAAAGAGCCGGGGGCATTGCGGGCTGCTGTCCAGCCCCAACCACGGTAGAGGGAGAGACCTTCGTCTCCAACGATGCGGAGGAAGCCGCGAGAGCGGAAGGCTTCTGGGTTGGTTTGACGCTTGATCTTCAGGACATCCAGAGGGAGGAGAACAATCTCACCGATACCCACCAGACTGACAAGAGAGGCAAAAGAGGATGGCTCGACATTAGCTCACCGTCTTCTCCGATCCTGGAGGGCTATGCTCTCGAGAATCAAGAACTCACCTTCCTGCTGTTGCGGACATGATACTCTTTCCATTCCTCTCTCCAAAAGTCGATGTAAAGGAGCTCTTGTAGTTGTGAGTCAGGTAGTCATTCACAAAGGGTTGTCCTCCGAACTTATACACCCTAAGGTAGGTAGTCAAAGCATATTGGGCTGTCAGTAGTGCTTCTCAACCTCCTGAAGCTGTCAAGCTCTCCCTACCCCATGCCCATCGCTGCACTCCTCTACGCTACTAACCTCTGCAGCACCTTATACCCCGCGGCATATCCCAATCCAGGGAAAAGACTGAGCGCCTTTGTGCTGAGTGGTGCGCTCGCCTTGTCTTTAAAGATGATCTGTGAAAAAGCAAGCGACTTGTCCTTGTTGGACATCAACCGCTTTGCAACAGTGTCTACAGGGTGGAAGACGGCGAGTTCGGCAATTCCTGATGTGCCTGAGCCTAGCAGGCGGGCGGTGGTGGATTCGCGCTTGGCGCCGGGTGGGAGGGGAGACATGGTGGGAGGAAAAGGAGGGTCGTAAAGGTGGGGTGAAGTGAGGAGAGGTGAGGTCTCAGAGTCGTGGAAAGGCTCGCCTGCTAGAGAATTGAGTCAGGAAAGAGGGACGGTATAGGATCCACTCGGGCGGCGGGAGGGGGAAAAATGCTGGGGAAGCAGAGATACGGAAGGCGACGAAAAGGAAGAAGGGCAGCGGACTTTGATTGATTCCCGGCCAATCAATCTGCCTCACAGGCCGGGCGGGGCAGCCAGGCAGGGCAGGCAGGCAGGCACACGCTCCGCCATGGAACACACCACACCCCAGATCAGACGTCGCTTCAACTGCTATGCTCGCGTTACAGCCGGCCGATTTCATTTGACTTCAATCTGTTTCTTGAGTCCGATACTACTGACGACATTGGTGCGTGACCAGGGAGGGAGGGGGAATACCTGAACTGGGTACTGAAGACAAGGAATTGGAGACTTTTAAGGTTGATGGACTTTTGGTATGGGTGTGGAGGGTAGGGACAGGGTGAAGAGGACAGCTCTTCCTCGGGCCACTAAGTGTCCATCAAGACGCTTAGAACTCAGTGTACCTGGAAAGAAGTGAGACGACGGCGACAATCAGCACTAGTCAGGAGATTTGCTTCTTTGCCTTTTCGCACGACTTACCATCGGCTGTGGAAGACCTCTACGAGCTCGCCAGCCTTGGAGAAGAGCTCCTTGAAGGTGGCTCCATCGGTGTGGTGGTGGAAGGCAGCTTCATCCTTGTAGATTTCGTAGACGATGTAAGTCTCGGGGCCAGCGTTGGACTGGGAGATGTTGTACTGAGGGTGAGAAGTAGAGGTGGGGAGGAGGGGGAGAGGAGCACGTCAATCTCGAGGGACGAGAGAGGAGGGCAGGCACCTCTGAGAGAGGTCGAGCTGAGCTGATACTTACGACGAGTGTGCCTGGCTCCTTGTCAGAGTTGGCATAGTCGCGGACGCCCTGAAGGTACTTCTTGACCTCTGCTTCCTTGCCGGGCCTGAGGGGAGGGGGAGGGCAGGGCAGGAGGATGGCCGAGAAGAGCAAGACTGTCAGTGCTGAGGTAGAGCAGCAGAGGGGATGCGCCGATCAGACTTACTTGGCAGTGATGTGGACGAGGAGGTTGATGGGACCAGAGGTCTTGGGGACAGCCTTGATGTCGGCGTCGTAAGGAAGGGGAGTGGTGGGGTGCGACATGATGGCTAGTGGGTTGTTGAGTGTGTGGTGTAGTGCAGTGTGGTGGGGGTAGCAGGTGCTGGTATTGGTTGACAGTAGTAGTAATGGTTAGGAAGAAGAGAAGGAAGCAGCGAGGTCACGCCGTGTGATGAATTGCTTCCTTGCCCTCTCAAGCACGCCACGCCTTGGCACCGACGTCCGTCCATCGTCCGTGTTGCGTCGGTCGTAGGCAAAGGGATGTGCCCTCGCTTATGGCCTACCCACCCTTCCTGCCTTTGCCACTTCCGTGACCCTGGCAGGAGAGCAAACGCCGAGGCAAGCAGCTCACGCCCTACGACCAGCATAGCCTCGGAGCAACAGCAGTCACCCCTCTGTGCTAGGCAGCTCAGGCCCGCCAAGTCCTGAACCTCTTCCTACAGCTCTCTACCGTCGTCGTAATTCTCATTGCAACCTCGCAAAAGTCATAGCAGCCTACGATGAACACACCATAGCTCTCTACCACCCACTCCTGTGCAATTCAGCGGGTCCGTCCACGCCCACTTTCTGATGTCAAGGCGCAGCGCCCATTTCACGCTGCCCCGCCCTGCTCCACATGACCGACCCCCTCCCAGGGCGTGGGGAACCTCTAGCTAGGCCCTGGGCTGATGCTTCCCGCACACCTTTCCTGACTTAACCTCACCAAACGACTACAACGTATACACACTCCATCTCACTAGCTCATACGCTTCAGACAGACTTCTATAATGGCATCTTCAGCAGACCACGGAGCAGCAGCAAAGGCAGCTGACACTGTCAAGGGAAAGATGGACGGACAGAGTGAGTCTCGGGCGCACGACCACAGATTGAAAAGGAAGGGAGCATGGCATCGCAGCCGTCGGTCCTTCCGGTCTCCTTTGCTTGAAGCAAATTGGTAACAGGAGAGATTACTCACCATCACCATCACCTTCTCCCTGCCATCCCTGTCACAGCCGGCGGTTACGCTTCCAAGGAGATCGGAGAGGAGAACTCCAAGAAGACCGAGGACTCTTCCGGGTGAGTCACTGCCCACAGACCATTACGGCGCAGAAGATGAGAGAATCGTTTGTCCAGTACAGGACTTGAGCTTCGAAGCTAACAATGCAACGCTGCCACTTCCCGTTCCTGCCGCTGCCACAGATTCATCTCCACCTCGTCCGCAAAGGAGGCCGTTGCAAACGCCACTTCTGAGAACAAGGAGCAGTAGGCGAACGAACATGTATGCAGGTGACCCTCTCATCCGAATGAAGGCATCATTGTGAGGGCAAGAGTATGAAGGAATGCAAGTACTTGTATCTAGAATCTATTCGCGCTTGTCACTCCAGACATCATTGTCATCTCCGCGAAAGCATTGTGATGTCACCGTCTCACCGCGAGATGTGGTTGTCTCCAAATGGTCTATACGATTCGTAGGATGTCAACATCTCTGATTGCTCCAGGCTGCGCGATCGTCTTCCCGGCATTCAAACTCCCGTCACTCCCTTCCACTTCTGCCCGGTAATCCTCTCATAAGCCTCCTGATACTTCTCCCTCGTCTTCTGCACCACCTCATCAGGCAGTCTCACCACCTCACCCGTATCCGCCGCTCCATCTTTTCCATTTGCCTTTAGCCAATCCCTCACGTATTGCTTATCCCAACTAGCCTGTCCTCTTCCCGGTTGGAAGTCCTCTGCGCTCCAGAATCGGGAAGAATCGGGAGTGAGGACTTCGTCGACTAGGATCAAGGTCATGTCGTCGAGGGACTCTCCGCTGGGTAGGGAAGAGCCGGCCAGGGAGGCGGTAGGTGGTAGGCCGGACTGAGAGGAAGAGACGAGACCGAATTCGAACTTGGTGTCGGCGAGGATGATACCCCGAGAGGCGGCATGTTCCGAGGCGGTGCGGTAGAGGTTGAGGGCGGCTTCGGACACGGCTTTGGCGAGGGCGGGACCGAGTAGGTCGGCGGCTGTCATTGAGCGTTCAGAAAAACGATCATGATGTCAGAGGGAAGCACAGATACAGCGCATGTCGCCCGCTTCGAGCTACTCGGGCTACTCACCTTTGTCGGGATGGATGTTCTCATCGTGACTCCCCTGATCTGCCTTTGTGCTCGGGGTAAAGATCGGTCCACCGGGGATCTTCTCGCTCTCCTTGAGCCCCTCTGCGATCTTTAATCCATGAACCGTGCCACTCTTCTGATACTCCTTCCACCCACTCCCAGTAATGTACCCACGCACAATTGCCTCGATGGGTAGGACTTTTGCGCGGCGCACGAGCATGGAGCGACCATCGAGCTGGTCTCTGTGCACATCTAGACGGGCTTGGAGGGATTCGGGAAAGGTGGAGAAGCTGGTGGAGAGGATGTGAGAGGGGAGAATGGAGGGGGTGAGGAGGGAGAACCAGAAGGTAGAGAGGGCGTGCAGGAGGGGACCCTTCTCTGGTATGCCCTGCGAGGTCAGAGCAACGAGGCGATGCAGGTCAGTCTCGATGTACCACAGCATCCTCCTTGTCACCTCTGCCCTTGCAGACCACTCACGTTGTCCAGCACGACGTCAAAGGCACTGATGCGATCTGTAGCTACGAAGAGGATCGCTCCTGCGTGCTCCTCTCCCTCGGGGATGCCGGCGTCGTAGACATCGCGCACTTTACCCTTGGCGAGGAGTTTCAGCGGCAGGTCGGTAGTCACCACCGAAGACGATGAGGAAGAGCTAGCGGCGGTGGTCATCTTGTATTGCTTGTCGTAAGTAGTTAGCTGCGATTTGGGCGGACGTGCTACTTCCCTCGCCCTGTACAAAGCGTGCAGCAGCAATCTTGACTCCTTCTCAACAAAGTTCGGAACGGAGATGCGAGGTGGGAGCGGAGTTGCAAAACCGGCTACCGGTTCCCAAGTGCCACCCCCGCACTCGCCACTGCTCCGAACCAACTGCCGTGCTGCGTCGCTTACTACTCATTCGACCTGACCTTCTTCCGATCTCATCTGCGACTTTCTTCTCTCGTCAGCTTCGTTCATTCTCTGCTTCATCTCCACACGATCGTTGCTGCATTCCGTGCTCCCTCTCACGGCCGATCACTTACGCTACTTTCCTACCACCGGCAATCACAATGAAGGGATACCTAATCGACGAGGACATTCCCCTCACCTCTCTAGCCAAGAAGCTCTCCACTTCTGCCTCCCCTCCCAAGCCCAAGGACAACGAAGTCATCGTCGACGTCTATTCCGCAGCTCTCAACTTCTTCGACGTGCTTCAAGTAGCCGGCAAATACCAAATCAAGAAGCCCTTTCCTTACGTCCCCGGAACGGAAATTGCAGGCGTGGTAGCGAAAGACTCGCCTATTCCAGAAGGGTGCGACCTTAAGCCTGGAGATCGAGTATTTGGTGCAGCCAATGGAAGTTATGCGGAGCAGGTGTGTGCGGATTTCCTACAGCTCATGCCGGTGCCGACGGGAATGAGCATGGATGAAGCCTCGAGCCTGTTTATCACCTATCCTACCTCGTACGCCGCACTCGTCTTCCGAGCTAATGTACAAGAGGGCGAGACGGTCCTTGTGCATGCTGGAGCTGGAGGTGTGGGATTGGCAGCCATACAGATTGCTAAAGCACTGGGAGCTCATGTCATTGCAACGGCGGGTTCCGAAGAGAAGTTGAAGGTGTGCAAGGAGGTGGGAGGAGCGGATGAGGTGATCAATTATCGAGATGACAAGTGGCCTCAGAAGGTGAAAGGTGAGTGACGAATCAAGATAAAGGCGACTCCTTCGCCGACTTTCGATTCTGAAAGATTGCTCACTATTCCCTCTCTATACCCGCCACTCCCCTCTCTCGCAGAGATGACCGGAGGAAACGGTGTCGACGTCGTCTACGACCCCGTCGGTCTCCTCATCCCCTCTCTCAAATGTGCCGCTTGGAACTCTCGTCTAGTAGTCGTAGGTTTCGCAGCAGGCAACATTGAAAAAGTTCCCGCCAACTTGGTCCTTCTCAAGAATTGCTCCATTACGGGAGTCTTCTGGGGTGCCTATAGTAAGAATGAGGTCGATAAGATTCCAGAGTGCTGGAATGCCCTCTTGGAAATGTTTGAACAAAAGAGGATTAAGCCGACGGTTTTCAGTAGGGTGTACAAGGGGTTGGAGGAACTGCCACAGGGTCTGATGGATTTGAGTGAGAGGAAGACGTGGGGAAAGGCAGTGGTGAGGATCAGGGAGGATACGGCCAAGTAAGAGCCTCCCTCTGAGCGATGCAGGCAATTTCTTCGGGAGGCCCCCCTGTAGGTCTCAATCTAATATTATTCGCAGCTCAAAACAGATCACTGCTCTATGGGCTTCCACCTCCCTGCAGCTTCTTCATCCTCTCCTCTGCCGCCCTCGCCCTCTTCTCCCTCTCGATTCTAGCCCTCATCTCAGGCGAAACACCCTCCATCTTATCCCTCGCGTCTTTAGCAGCCCTCGAGGCCGCCGTACCCTGATTCGCATTCCCTCCTCCAAGTCGATTCTTCGTCGCACTACTAGCAGGCGCAGAGACCACTGCTGCAGGAGCCGGAGCAGCAGTGGCTTGCTGAGACTCCTTCTCCCTCTCTCTCTCCTCGCGCTCCCGCTCTCGAGCCCTCGCCTTCTCCCTCAGTCCAGCCTTTCGTCTACTCTGGTTCTCCTCCATCTCTCCCGTAAGAGCACTATCTACCACGCGGGCTTTACCGGACCAGTCGTACCAATCGGGCTGGTTGGCCTTGAGACGGCGGAAGACGTTGCGGGTGCCCTTGGACGAGGAGGGGACCAGGTCGTATGCGGTACGGTGAGGCCAGGGAGTATCGCTGGATGCTTCGACAGCAGCGGCAGGGGCAGGAGTATCGGTGCCAGCTTGTGATGCCTCGGTGGGAGGAGCAGGAGGCGTAGAGACGCCAATGGTTGGATCGGCCCGCTTCTCGACGAGAAGCCATTGCACCACGTCTTCTTGACCTGCCTCGGCGGCCAATTGCAGGAGCGTAGACGGGATGAGGAGTGAGCTCGTCTTCTTCGAGGAAGAAGAAGAACTTGCAGGTAGTTGCCTCGCTCTCCACCACTCGGGTAGAGAAGCGTCGATGGAGCTCTCCTTGTCCTCCTCACCCGCCTCCCATCCTTGTGCAGGAAGCAATTGCGGCCCGTACTTCTCGAGGTGATTCACAAGTGCCTCGATCCTGCCTCGTCGAGCCATATCTATCATCCTCTCGAATCGCTCTCTCCTCTTCTTTTCCTCTTTGCTCAGAAGCCCCTCCTCCCCCTTGCGCTTCTTCGCCTTCTCCCTCAGCTTCGCCAAGCCCTGCTCTCTCTCTAGCCTCTCTCGCTCCCTCCTCTTCTGCAGCTCCTCTCGCGCAGCCTGGTTGCCAGTGAGAGATCGTCGGTAGGCCTCATCTTCTTCCTCCAGCTCTTGATCTGTCCTGCGTGAAATCTTGACCTTGGCTAGTTCGGCAAAGACGCGTAGGCATTCGCCAACGGTGGCCTTGTTCCTAGTCGAAAAAGGTACGGTCCGGAGCCTTCCATCCGTCTTGGGCCCCTCGAGAGGAGATGCAACATCGCCACCCCATGTCCACAGTATACCTCTAGCCGCTCGACCACCAGCGCGAGCGTACACTCTCTCTGTCTCGCCAATCAGCTTTCTCCAGCCACTGAGGTTCAGCAGAGCGCGAACCTCCTCTACCAACGCTACTTCTCCAGCACGACGCAGTTGGGCTCCTGCCGACTTTGCAAACTTGCCGCTAGCATCTTGCGCAGACTGAGATCCTCCTTGTTTCCTCCTGGTAGTATAGCGATGGAATGCCTTGTGCGCTAAAACGATCAAGGATCGATCTTCCGAAACAGCCTCTTCATCGCTTCCCTGAGGGGGTAGAGGCCGGTTGCGAGATGCGACTCGTGGGGCGATGTGGGGATTGAGAGCCACTACTACGATCGAGAAGTGACCACCGCCGAAGAGGAGAACTGTCCAGGTGCGAAGAGGTGGATCGAGGGACCGAGGGAGAGCAGAAGAAGTGCTGATGGTCACCTCGGTCTCTCCTTCAGAAGAGGAAGAGGCAACTTGCCCGTCGGAGTCTTCCTCGCTGTCCTCCGGAGTACCTTGTCCACGCTCGGGCTTGACAGTGACGAGACCTGGGACGTATCCCTCTCCTTCAAGGAAGTTGACTCCGAGCATGATTGCAGCATCGTCCATTCCCTTCAGGCGTTTGCCCTTCCAGCCCGAACCCTGGCTTCCTCTCACTGGCGCTCTCCGCAAGGGAGCAGCCTGGTTGGCCTGCAGAGCGCTCACATGCCATCCACCTGCGCTGGAAGAGGGTACTGTTGTCGATGATACATCAGGAAAGATAGACCGGTAGAGGCCAAACTGCGTCTGTTCAAGGTGAACTCGATCGGATGCGTCCGAGGCCTGTGTGGTGAACCACAATAGAGCTGACTTGGCTGTGACTGCTCCACCTCGAGAGTGAGTAGAGACCATGAGCTCTTCATCTTCATCTTCCTCGTCTATTGTAGGTTCGTCTGTCTCAAATGCGACTGTTGAGGAAGCGCCATTCAAATGGAGCTTCTTGACTACGAGTGATACCAGATCGGATGCCCTAGCGGGCTTGCTCGCGCCTTCCTCGTCTGTGCTCCCACCTACGCTTTCCTCTTCTGTCCCGTCGCCAAGATCGTTGACCAGATCCTCCCAGCCCTTCTCGTCTACTAGACCTACAGCCTTGCCTTGCGCTCCGCCGGTCTTGAGAGCTACCTGTAGATTATACCGATGCCATTCGCTTCGGAAGTGAGCCCTCTGATGGCCTGATGTGGGAAAGGTAGGCTGAGAGGGACATAGCTTGCAGGTGAGATTGGTACTGGTCGTGGCAGTCTGCGCGAGTGCAGCTGCTGAGGGACCGCCTGCCGTGGCGCCTGATGCAGCGCTGCTCTCGCCCTTTTGCGCCTCTGCAGGGGTTTCTACGTCGATTGACCTCAGCTTGAGGGAGGAGAGGAGAGTCGGGGGCAGCTGGAATGCATACAGAGGACGGTGAAGGAGAGGATGACGCTGCTTGACTGACGAGCTGAGACTGCCATTGGTGCTCAGACGAGGCGAGGAGGGTGTGGAGTCGACTTCCTCGTCGGGCCGCCGAGGTGGAGTGGCCGTCATGACGGCTGGAGTAGGAGGCAGGCGACGGCGGCGATGCTGATACAGGATACGGTCACCAGGCCTGAGTAGGGAGGACACACGACTTCTGAGGGATGGATACGATGCCAGTATTGCCGTCGTAGGAAGGAATGGTATGGATGGTAAGGGCGTGGTATCGAGGCCCAGGCAGCGTCAGGAGGAAGAATGCGAAAATTGCCTCAGCGCTCAGACGCCTCCACCCGCACTTCCGCTTTTGCCCCTCGGCTCGTACAGCCTGGACACTCTTCCTGCTGCTGACGTCTCTATGCTGCTCACTCCAAGACCATGTCGCTGCCCAGCTTTGATATCAGGAACCGTCAGCAGGCCAATGACTCTGAGCATGATGGCGAGGATGAAGACAATGGTCTCATCGCAAGGTCCACAGCTCGAAGTCGCCAGCGAGGCGCAGCAGCCGCCCCCTCATCGACCTGGCAAGGTGCTCTGGGTCTCCATCCCCGCGTCTCGGTGCTCAGCCTCTGTGCACTGCTGATACACTTTTCATCCTCAATTCTCTTTCTGGTATTTCTGAACTCACTCCAGCCATTCTACATTGCCCAGCTCCAAGACACGCCTTCACGCGGCAGCAGTGATGAGCTCCCCTCTCTGCGCATCGGGCTCCTCACCGGCAAGCTGGCATTCTCCGATGAGCTCGCCAGCATATTCCTCGTGCTTCTCTGGGGCGCCCTGAGTGATCGATTGGGGATACATATAGTTGCTTCTGTGGGTTACTGTCTCATTTCGCTGGGACTGGTCAGCTATGCCCTCGCCAGGAAACCTTGGCCTGACTTGCTATGGGCCAGATTGATCTTTGCCGGCGGGGGAAGCGCGGTCACTGCGATGCTCACGGGTGAGTAGAGAAAACACAGCATAAGACAACGAAAGCCTCAACAGATCACAACTGACCACGCACCCCTCATCTGTGGCCTTCCTGCCTCAGCGAGTCTGGCGACGTTCTCAAGCGGCGACTCGGGTCCGACTGATGCTTCGAACAGGGTAACAGGCGCCCCATCGGACGACGAGGCAGACGCTCCTCGCTCAGCCTCTCAATCGCAGCAGGCAACCGAGGCTACACCCCTGCTGGATCCTAGCAATGGGACTTTGGCTCCTCCTTCCACCAAGCCGAGGCACGGTCGTTTGGCCTCCCTCGCTGGGCTCTTCACCGGCCTAGGCGCAATTGTTGCCGTCTTTCTTCTGCTTCCCCTGCCCGTCCGTCTTGCCTCTCTGCACGAAGCCGAGCGTGACGGGAGCGGCACAGGAGGTCCAGACGACCCCTTTGTGCAGCAAGGTACCCGTGAGGCCTTTCTGATCGTCGCCTGCCTGGCCCTCTTCTCTGCCGCCTCTGTGGCTGTTGGACTGCGGCACCCTGACAAGGTAGAGAGCAAGAGGAAGAGAGCAGCCAACAGACAGCGCTTGTCCAGGACTACCTCTGGAGATAGTGTGGCGCAAGAAGACGATGGACAAGAGGAAGTTTCAGGGACCAGAGAGCCCGGTCAGCTCCCCTCGCGTCTGTCAGCCCGTCAAGCGAGGAGAGAGCGTCTGCGTGACCGTATGCAGGCTGGTAGAGGATCGAGCTCGCCTTGGGCTGTACTGCACCGAGGACTTTCCGTCGTTACTGCCACCATAGTGGATGTTGGTGCACGATCCCTGGACGGTTTCAGACTGGCGGGCAGGGACAAGACGGGTCGTGTTGTATTGGCTTACCTCGGGGGCGCTTTGGCCAGAGGCGTAACGATTGGCAGCAGTAAGTTCGATCCGGAGAGGGAGGTACTTGCCGGACCCTGTCACCTCCTTTACTGAGCGTGCTTGCCACTCTCCCTTTGCTCCCAACGACCCACCCAGCCGTCTTCCTCCCCCTCCTCATCTCCCACTACTTCTACACGACCAACCCAGCTCTCTGTCCTCCCCCCTCGACAGGCACAGGCACTCCCTCTCTCCCACCTTCAGAATTAAAGCGTACCTGCAAACAAGCCTATACCCTAACCTCTGCCCAGTCAGGCGTACTACAGACTGTCGCTCTGGTCCTTGCACCCTTTGTGGGATTGGCAAGTGATGCGCTAGGCGCAGAGACGGTTCTTGGCGCGGGAGCCTTTTTGGGATTGGGAGCGCTCCTGGTCTATGGTGTGGGACTGCCAGGAGAGGGAGACCCAAGAGTGCCTAGGGCTTGGATTGCGGCCTGTATTCTGGGCGTGGTGAGTATAGAAGTAGCAAGAGGTGGGACTCTAGAGAGAGAGAAGAGAGAAGAATGAAGATTGCTGACCTTCTGTATCATGCTTCCAATCCTCTCCTCATCCTCCTCAGACGCAAATAACCTCCATCATAACCTCCCTCTCTCTAATCGCCTCTCTCAAATCCTCTTCTACCAACCACTTAAACTCCCCACGCTCAGGCGCCCTAGCAGGAGCCTACTCCTCAAGCGGTGCCCTCTCCATCCTCCTCCTCTCCTCAGTGGGCGGTTGGCTCTTCGACTTGAGGCCAGCAGCACCTTTCCTCCTGTTGGGAGGACTGGCGGGGTTGGTGGGGGTTGTGGCGGCTGGGGTGGGGTTGCTGGGGTTGAAGAGGAGGGGGAGAGGGGTGTTAGGAGGAGGAGAGGGAGAGGGAGAGGGGGAGGGGCGAGAGGTGTAAGGTAAGGTGGGGAGGGCCCGACGATAAATGGCGAGGGATAAAAGAGGCAGACAAGTTCACTTCAACGGTCCAATACTCAGCCATGCTCAATGCAGAATCAAAGCAAAGCAGAGCAATGGAAATGAAATTTCAACAGTGCCTGCCGTACACAAAGGGCCACAAAGACCTCCATTTGTATCTCGCTTACATGGCAGCAGCAGAAGAAGGAGACCCTACGCCCGTTGCATGCCCGACGAGGGGAGCAGCTGCAGTAGACTGAGAGGTTCCTGATCCGTACGCTTGACTCTGACTCTGACTCTGACTCTGACTCTGGCTCTGGCTCTGGCTTTGTGAGATGGCAGGCTCACCAAGAGGGCCACCACTGCCGCCGCTGGGAGTGTTGACGGAGGAGGCGACGTGCTGATTCGAGGGAATATGGAAGCCCGTTGTGGTGCTTGAGGCAGAGGCAGGAGCGGGAGCAGGCGGAGAGGATAGCCGGTTTACCGCTTGTTGTTGTTGTGGTGGTGGTGGTGGTGGTGGTTGTCCGGCGGCAATTCCAGCCGGTCCACCCTGAAGTTGGGTCTGAATTTGAGATTGACCTTGACCTTGACCTTGACCTTGCATGCCTGAGGGCCCTGTTCCCCCTCCTGTAACCCTCCCTGCCAGAGCACCGCTACCGCCTCCGCTACCAATTGCACTCGTACCCGCACTGACGCTCGATGCGCCCCTCGTGCGTGTGAGCAGGGCATGCAATGCCGAAAGCCACTTGATCTCTTCCTCCTCCGAGGGAGCACAGAGGAGGAATGTGCGCTTGGGGGTGATGATCTTGAAGGAGTTTTCGGTACGCTTTTTCCCCGCGTCAGAGGAGGATGCCATTGATCCTGCGCCGGGTACACTACCACCTCCGCCAATACCGCCAGTTGCGGGGGCTAGGCCACCGGATCCACCGCCTGCGCCGGCGTTGGCGCCGCTGCCGCTGCCGCCAGGATGGCTGTTGTTGCTGCCACCACCACCGAGGCTGGCTGCACCCGTGCTGAGACTGTTGAGATTCGATGCAACGGCAGCTACTACGCTCTGGCGTCGTTCTGGCTTGCTTGTGGAGGAAGAGCCTTCACCTCCGTCCTGTTGCCCACCAGCGGATCCCTCGCCGCCACCGCCACCGCCGCCGCCATAGCTATGCCCAGCCAGGGCATTAAAGCTGAATCCGCCTCCTCCACCAGTCAGTGGCGAGCCAAACCCGCCTCCCGGGCTTCCAGGTGTAGTTGCCTTCTTTGTCGTGTACTCAATGGCATCCAGTATAGAGGTGAGAGGAATTTGCCGATGGGCCTTGCCGTCCATGTGGCTGCGCGTGTACATGAGCTGCGAGGCCGTCAGGACGAACCAACGTTTCCTCCAGTGCTTGCGCCGGTTGGATTGCTTCATCAGGTAGCCTTGTATGATGACTCGATTCGGATCGCGCAGGAGGGCGTCACCTTGTGGTTGTGACTGGGATTGCGACTGCGAGTAAGACTGGATCGGCGTTGGCTGCGAAGCTTGAGACTGTGTAGGCGTTGCTTGTGCCGACAATGGGTCCCCACCACCTCCTTGTTGGGCCGAGGACCGCATCGGCAAGGGCATGGCTTGGTCCAGCTGCTCGTTATTGTCCTCGTCTTCTTCTTCCGAAGAACTCAACACTGCTGCGCTACTGCTTTGATAACTCCCGACACCCTCCCCGATAGCTCCCTCCGCGCCGCTGCTGCCGACGGAGATATCGCGTCCTCTGGAGCTGTGACCTCGTGTAGGAAGACCACGCCTGGGAGGCGAATTAGTCCCCCTGGGGTTTGCAGACCCGCCCTCACTCAGCTCCGAGCCGGACCAATGCTGGTGCATGTTCGTCTCTCGTCCAGGGCTGCTGCCCAGCGAGAGGCCAGCTGAGCTGGCGTAGCTCATGCCGTAGCGATCCGCACCAGTGTCACTGTCGGTCGTCGCTGTCAAGGGGCTGAAAGCATCCGAGCCAGCGGCAAAGGAGCCACCAGTTGCACTGCTACCAGGAGCACCGCCGCCACTGATAGCTCTAGGCTGGGCAGGTGCGACGTATAACCCTTTGCCTGGGATGTTGATGCTGATAGGTGGGCCAGTGGGACTAGTGGCAGCGGCGGCGGCGCTTGCTGCTCTCTCGGCTGCTGCCTGTGAGGAGGAGCGACTGCGTTCCCGGTTGGGCCTAACGGTGGATGATGATGCCATGCTGTCGGTCGTCGGTTGCACAGGCTGAGGAGCGCTCATCCTCAAATCCTCCATTTCTTGCGACAGTGAGTTCCGGTGAGAGATCTGAGCCTTGACATGGTTCAGCGCTTGGATCCAATCGTGGGATTCGGCAGGCGTAGACGCCTTGACATAGTAAGCCCTCTTGGGCGTCACAATACCAAAGGTGTTGTCTTGCTTTTTGACCTCGATTGCAGCGACTGTATGCACTTCCGACATGTCGATGAAACGAAGTAGTTGATACTCCTTTTCGTTCTTGTAGTAGCAGAGCTTGGAGGATCGCAGGACGAACCATCTCTTTTTCCAGTTCTACAACATCCGAATGAGTGGCAGATTCAGTATGGAAGGCTCGGACAAGTCGTCCCGATCTGTACGAACTCACCTTCCTCTTCTCGCCCTTCTTCCATAGATACCCAGACTTGACCGTCACTTCAGTGAGCATCGAATTCCCCTCTCCTCCCATCACACCACCAGCTCTCTGTAGTCCACTCTGTCCCACTCCTTCATAATATTCCTCATCATCCTCATCCTCTCCTTCATCTTCCTCATCATACTCATCACTCCTCTGCCGCGCTGTTTGTGCCTGCGCCTGCTGAACCCCCGTAGAAGGGAAAGAAGCTCCTTCTCGTGAGCTGGTGAGGGTGGTCCTTCTGATGGGCGCTTGGCGATGCTCCGATGTCTGACGCTGGAGTTGCGGTGTGGTGGACGAAGAGGAAGCGGAGGAGGCACCGCCTCCTGGGGCAAAGGACGTCGACGAGGCAGGTGCCAGGGACGTCATCCTGGAAGTCGTCCCGGACTGATTGAGGCGTGTGACAGGAGTGGGCTGGATAGAGAAGTCCTGGAGAGTGAAGCGAGTTTAGTGATCTAGCAGTAGCCACTACTGCTCTTGACACAGTGTACAGAAAGTCTAGTAGCGATCACGGGTTTTCGTCCTCAAGAGGGAAGTGTCCCGTCTTCTAGTTCGACCTATGCGATGGATGCTTGAGATCCTCTAACGCCTGCCAGAGCCTGGTAGAGTGTAGAGCAACACAGCAGGCCTAGCTGAGACGACGAGTGGTACAATGCAGGTAGACTCCGCAACCAGCGTGTATGCGGTACGTAGAAGGGTGAGAGGATGGGGCAAAGGGAGAGGAAAGGAACGGGAGAGGAGAGGAAAGCGGCTAAAGGGGAGTGGAGCGAGAGAGGCGAGGAGTGGATGGTGGGGTAGAAGTCCTTGGCCCACGCAGGCGAGCAGCAGCCGAGGAGGGGGGGGACGCCCGACGCCCGACTCCGAGGCGGAGAACACAAGGCGGGGTTGCGCATCCCATCACAGCGTCACGCCGTACGCACGCACGCCCACGCCCAGCTCGCTCCACCTGGGTCATCAGCAGAGCAGAGCAGAGCAGACAGGGCTGAGCTAGACTCAAGGAAACACTTTACATTGGAGCCCGTACGATGCCGAGAGAGCAGCAGAGACGACACTGATGACTGCTCCTCCTCTCTCCTCCTCCTCCTCCTCCTCCACCACCACCACACTACCAACTCTCACTTCTCACTCCTCTCCACCAACACCCAATGGCACCTCGATGCTGACAAAGGGCAGCAGTTCCTCTTCTAGCAACGATGCATACTCTCCCGGCACTTCTCCATTGCCACTGTCCTTGGCCTTGCCCTTTCCATTCTGCTTCTTCGACCTGGTGGAACGACCTTCGAGTGAGGCAAAGTAGGACGACAGGGCCGTTGTTAGACCCTTGACCTTCTTTGGGTTGGGCTGCAAGAGGGTAATGCAATAGGCAGGCAGAGCGAGGAGCGGATCAGTGTGTGCCTCTAGTACAATGACGGCACTGCTCCTTCGCTACGCCCTGTACTCACCTTGATCGCCACGGCATAATAATCAGCAGGCAGACCATAGCGCAGCACCGACTCGACGAAGAGCCGCACCAGCTTGATGTGCACCAGCACCTGGTAGCACTCTGAGAAGTTTGTCCTTGAGAGGCGAAGCAATTCTGACCAGAGCTCCTTTTCTGATGTACCCGCATCGTCCAGCTCCTGCCTCGACTTCTCAACCACATCGTCCTCCCATCGGAATTCGCGCACCTGGAACCTACTCTCCCTGGCCTTTTGAGCAAATTCATCCTTGACCTTCTTGAACACAGTCACATTGAACAACGCATATTCGTCGTCCTCTGAGAGCTTCTTGCTTGAGCGGGGAACAACGAGCTGCGTGAGCCTCTCGTACTTTGTCAGCCACTCCTTGACATTGTTCCTAGGTACGGCCACCAGTAGCGTTTCGAGGAACTCCGAGTCACCAGAGACAAAGTCATCCTTGTGCACCACATCGGCAAGGGAGCGTACCGAGAGGTTTCCCGTCTTCTTGCGCTGCAGTTGCTGCAATTGACCCTTTGCGACATTGTAATTCTGCAGCTTCTGCTTCATCACTCCGTCGATGGATTGCACCTCTCTCTCGAGGCCAGCGACGAGATCAGGCAGATCTTGCTCCACTCTGTACTTTCCTCCATTCCACGACCAGCCGCCGAGAACATAGTCATCTACAGTTCCCTCCTTGACCAACGTGTGCTGGGCGAGCTGTGCAGGATCGTCGTTGAGCAGGCTTGAGAGCGTCTCCCTGATCTTTCCGAGGATAGCCTGGGCTGAAGCATCTGACTTGGGCAGGGTCTCAGAGAGGTTGATAAGCGATGCCAATGTTCCTACTCGCAAGGGTGGGAGATCGATGGGTGGAGAGATGCACGAGGGGACAATGCCCGAGGAGGAACCGGAGGAGTTGAGGAGTGTGTGAGTCACCTGGGAGTGGAGCTCGTGAGGACCTGAGCCCTCCAGAGGGGCCGAGATGAGCCAGTAGCTGTTCGGCGAGGGCATGGTGAGGGGCCTCTAGGAGTAATCGACGATGCGGGATGTGGAGATGTAGGGGCGGGGAGGGACCGTGGACTGTATTACGATGCGCAGAGAGATATCTGCGAGCTAAGTGACACTGCCGCCTAGCGTGTCTTTGGTCGAATGGTATGTCCCGAGTAGGCTGACTGCTGACTTGTATGGTATCGGGGGGATCTCAGAAGGAGTGCGGGGCTGAGGTGATGGTTGAAACGAGTGGCCTGGCAATCTGGACCGATCCTCGCCTGCCCCGTCGGACGGACCTCCTCGCGCGGAGCCGTGGCTGCAGTGGAGCAACGCCTGTGCTTCCGCACTTCCTCCCTACCTCAGCTTGTTCGTACGCATTCACAGTAGCGGCAAGAAGGACCGAGCTCAACTTCGAGGAGCTGGAAGCAGAAAGATTCAGCATTGTGCCGCAGGGAGCTCAGTCTCCGTCACTATGAAGTGAGTACTGTAACTTCAACACGAGCTCACCAAGTCTACCCTCCCGCTCACCCGCTCACCACCCACCCTCTTTCCTCCCTCAGCAACGTCCGCTCCATTACCGCTCTCAACGACTACGAGCTCCAGCGCATCGCCCGCGACCCTGCCGCCTCCTCTTCCAAGGGCTCTTGGCATGACGAGTACAGAGACTCGGCCGTGGTCTTTGTCGGTGGTCTCGACTCGGCATTGACCGAAGGAGATGTGATCACAATCTTCTCTCAGTACGGCGAGGTGCTGGATATCAATCTTCCCAAGTGGGCTCAACCCCGACCTGAGGGACAGGGGCAGGGACAGGGACAGAGCGAGAGGGAGAGGGCAGAAGCGCAAGCTCGAGTTGGCAAGAGGAGGGGATTTGGTTTCCTCCTCTACGAGGATCAGAGGAGCACGATTCTCGCCGTGGACAATCTCAATGGTGCTCAGGTCCTGGGCAGAACACTCAGGGTGGATCACGTCAAGGATTACCGACAACTTGAAAAGGATGAAGCGACGGGGAAGATGAGGGAGGCAGAGGAGAGGAGGCTCAATGCCCAGCCCGTCCTTGAAGGAGCCTTGCCGAAGGGTGCCGATGGCGGCAGAGGAGAGGGTGATGACAGCTCAGCGGGCTCGGCATCGCCCGCCCCCTCCATCGACCTGGAGGACCCAATGGCATCATACTTTGCCCACCAAAAGAAGTCGGGCAAGAAGAGGACCAAAGCGGTGGAAGATGCTGAAAAGGCCGCCAAGAAGGCGAGGAAGGAAGAGAGGGCTAGGATCAGGGAGCAGAGGGAACAGAGGAAGCGAGAGGGTGACAGAGCCAAGATGGGGCGGGACGATGATGGTACTGAGCGCAGCTCTTCCAGGAGATCAGAACAAAGGGAAAGTAGTCGTAGGAGCCTCAGTCCGAGAAGAAGAGACTACGATGAGAGGGAGGATCGTTACCGGTCACACGAGAGAGTAGATCGATCGAGGTACAGAGAGGGTCGAGATGACAGGCGGTATGACAACCGCTACAAGGACAATGACTACGATCGTGCACGGAGAGATGATCACAGACGATAAGCTAAAGCTACAACGCAATGTATTGAACACCATCTACATCTGGCCTCGCCAGGAAAAGGACCGAGCAAGTCTCTCAACTCATATACCTGAAATGCACATTCTCCCTATCCGTCATGTCCTTGAAAGCAGCCGCGTCCTTCTCCCTCGCCACATCCTCATCGGTCCAACCCTTCTCCTCCCTGAGTTGCGCTAGCTGACGATTCTTTCTGCGCTGCTCATAGGCAGTGTAGAAGCGGAGGGCAATGCAGAGGCAGATTGCGATGATGAGACAGATCATTACGGCGGTCTTGCCTGGGACGTACGCAGGGGCGGTTGGGGCGGTGAAGACGTAGGAGCCTGTAGTAGACAAGGGAATTATCCAAGGTTGAGCAGAGGTTCACTACCTTTCTCAGTCAACGATGTGGCTCTTTCCAACTCACCAATGATGTTTCCTACAGAAAAGACGAACATATTCGTGAAAGTCGCCACCTGCTTCTTGGACGTTCCACCCATGTTCGTTGCCAGCCAGGCATACACCAGGGAAAGGGCGCTTCCAAAGGTCTGGATGATGATAGTGGCAAAGATGGCTGTGGGACGATGGTGCTTCGCATCGGTTCCCAGACCGACTAGGATGGCTAGACCGATGACGGCGGGGACGATGCAGATGATGGCGGGGAGGATCCGCTCGGAGGTGCGGTCAGAGAGGATGGAGATACCGATTGTGCTGTACAGTCAGAGGGATGAGGGCTTGTCAGATGTCTACTCAGCTTAGAAGGCAGCACTGACCTAGAGACAGCTCACTCACAAGCAACTGGCGACGAAACCGCCTGGGATACTCAGCAGCAGCGTCTGACGACTGGTGTAGCCAAATTGCTTGATGATCAGACTGCTGAAGGAGCTAAGGGCTCCATTTGGCACAGAGGAGAAGAGCGTAAAGGCAAGAGCCAGATACAGCTTGGGATCCGTAACCGCATCCTGATAGAGAGGGGGGGATTGGTGACGATGAGAAGAGGAGAGAATCAGTCAGAAGTCCCATACAGCTTCCCTCGAGCGCGCATCACCACTCACCTTGATCTGATACAACTTCCATCCCTTGACGACCGTTCCGGAGCTATTGTCTCGAATCCTCTCTAGGGCCACTCGCTTCTCCCTATCGTCGAGGAATCGAGCATGCGCAGGTGAGGCAGGTAGGAAGAGGATGACACAGACGCCCACGACGAAGGCGGCAGCTCCAAAGACGATGTAAAGGAGCTTCCATGCGGAGCCCGTACCTCCTAGACCTGCACCCGAGTAATAGGTCGTGCCTACGATAACAAAATACATTGTCGGGCTGTATCAGTATCTCTGTTCTGTGTCTCTCCAGCCGCTGTCCTACTCACCAAAGGCAACTAGTGGTCCAAACATCTGCGTCAAGCCATTGCACATGTAGAAACTTGCGATCCGTGAAGCCTGCTCGCGCTTGGGGTAAAAGGCGGCAACGGTGGTGATGAGAGTGGGTGCGACAACGCTCTCAAAGGCACCGAGTAAGAAGCGCAGCGCAAAGAAGGGTGCGAAGCGCGCTGCGGTGATTTAAGTTGAGAGGGAGAGGCGACGTGTGAGCACGGATGAAGTAGTGAGATCAGTTGACTGTGGCGCGACACTCACGAGCAGCAGCGTGACAGGCTAGCACAATCGACCAGAGGACGACGTTGCACCCGAGGTAGATTGTCGGGTTGAACTTTCGTGCAAAGTACGTCTGGATGTACACACAAGCCAAGAAGCCATAGTAGAAGGCAGCGCTGACTTGGTTGTAGTGTGTGCCGGTGATGGGCAGGCCGGTGATACTGTAGAGAATGGGAGTGAGCGGTGAGATACGACAGCAGGCGTCAGGAACAAGGTTCGAAGTATGCCTCGCTGTTGCTCTTCTTGTGTCCTCACCTGGCATAGTTGAGCAATGTCTTGTCCAGAAATTGCGAAAAGTAGCTACGAGCGTCGTGCAAAAGTGGCACAGGTCATCTCATCAGCTCAGAGCTCAGTACTTTCGCACCTTTAGATTCAATCCACTCACACAGAAGCCAAGATGGGCAGGACGATCATATCGCACTTTCGCCTAACCCTCTTCTCCTCCTCTTCAGTATAGGAAACGGCTACATCTCCCGCCAAGGTGTATGCCTCATCAACATTCTCATTGCTGTCAGCTTTGCGAATCAGAACTTCGCCATTGCCTTCGGTCTGCGAGGGAGTGGTAGAGTCGGGGAGGTAAGGGTGGAGAGAGACTTCGCCTTTGCCTTCTTCCTCGGAGGGAAGGAGTTCGCTTTTGGTTGGAGAAGGGGGGCTCATGATGATCGCCAGAGGATTGGAAGCGAGCTCAAGGGGAGTGAGTGAAGAGGAGGGAGAGAGGTGGACTCAACGACTTGCTCTGGCAGGCCCAACCCTGGTCCCCTTCCCGACTCTTATAAGTAAGTCCAAAGCCCCGGTACCATACCGACATATCCGAGCCTTCCCTCCCTCTCTGCCGGCGCCAAACCTAGTCTGGTGAAGTCTAATCAGCCGGTCAAAGAGAGTACCAATGTGCAGATCTGATCTTTCGCCTTTCCCATGCTCCCCCGCCACTTCGCCTATCTCTCCCTCGACCCTAAAACGGGGTTGAAGATAGGCAGGCCTTGCAGCCTACGGGAACATGTACAGTCAGCCTCGGCTATCTCTCCAGATGAAAGCGAGATGCCGTTCCCTTTCTGCTCCTGTCCTTTCCTGTCCGTCTGTCAGCAGCATGCCCGGAGCGCATTCACCCCATCCGACCAGGCACGACTGCTGACCCCTTTCCCCGCCCTTTTCCCTTCTCTACCTCTGCCGATACCCCTTCCTCGCTTACTTTCAACATTGCAAATGCGATGCCAATTCAATTGAGCATGACTGGACTTGGCATAAGCCAGCACGGCATCTACGGCGCGAACGCCGAGGCTGAGACCGAGCGAAGGCAGGCAGGCAGGCAGGGAGGGAAATTCCACTGCTAGGCTGGGTTGAGCTGAGAGATAGGCGCTACTCTAATGCGAGATAAGGCGAGCGCGTGAGGGGCACAAGTGGAGAAGGGAGCCGGGGGGAGCGGGGCCGATGAGGGCCGAAGGATGCCCGTCTACCTGTCTGCTTGACCTCCCTTTGACTGGACCTCTCAGGTCAGATCAGATCAGATCAGATCAGACCAGATCAGACATGAGAGATGGAGGGGGAAGGAGGAGGGCTGCGCAAGTATCCAGAGTCTAGATTGCAGCGTGCAGCGTGCAGAGAGGATGTAACAAGCAAGCAGGGCAGGCAGGCCTTAATCTCCACACACACACACACGGCACGCAGCACTCAGCACGTTAGATCTTGGTGAGCAGGCAACTCGATTCTCTCTGCGGACCGGACGGGGCAGGCTGTGCACGTGGTCGTTCCGAGGTCGGGGCCACAGAACAATTCATCGGTATTGGTTTCAATGACTTTTTGGTATCAGCGAGCGGGCGGACGGACGGGCAAAGCTCGAACATCAGATCCCCCACGATCCCCAGGATATCCACTTCCTCTGCTCTCTCTCTTTATCCTATCCTCTGAAGAACTTATTCTCCACAAAGGGCATCTTCTCCACCACTGCCTCTCTCCTCTTTCCCCTCACCTCGACCTCGAGCTTGGTTCCCCTCTTGTGGTATCCATTCTTGACATAGGCCATTGCGATGTTCTTCCCCAAGGTGGGGGAGGGGATGCCAGAGGTAATCATGCCGATGTATTCTGGCTGGTCAGAAGCGTAGAGGAGTGCGCCGCCTGGGGAATTGAAGAGTGAGAAAGGACCGGGGGGAGGGGTTCAGCAAGTGAGATTCTGTGGAGAGTAGCATGGGAGGCCCGCTGCTCACTCACCCCGGGCTGGAGCTCCTTCTACCACTACTCCTACCCTCCTCCGAGTAGGACCTTCTTTGATCTCCTTCAGAACCCTTTCCGAACCAATGAAGTCTCCCTTTTCTCTGCGGTCCTTGGCTGAAGAAGTGAAAGGAGGACAATGACTTCAGCCATGAGCATTGTCCTGAGCTAACTTCAAGGGTTTGGCCCCCATCTCCCACTCACCTACGACCCAGGTCAGTCCTCCTTCTGCTGGCCCCACAGTCTCGTCCAGATCATTGCCATACAGACACATCCCTGCCTCGAGTCTCAAGCTGTCTCGCGCAGCCAGACCGGCCAGCTCGACAGTGTCTTCGGCCAAGAGAGCTTCACTGACTTTCTCCGTCTCTTCTGGAGACACGGAGATCTCGAATCCGTCTTCTCCTGTATATCCTCCTCTGACAATGTGACAATTCGGCACACCAGCAACGGTGGCGTAGACGCTCTTACCGAATGTTAGCTTGGTGAGATCGGCATCGGTGTGTTTTGCAAGTGCCTCGACTGCCTTTGGTCCCTGGAGCGCAATTAGCCCCTGATCTTCCAGGATCGTGTGCTTCACTTCGCCCTTGCCTTGCTCCTTCCACTCTGCCAGCCTCTCCGCGATCCAAGCAAGGTCCTCACTACGCCTGCCAGCGTTGGTGACTACGTAAAACTTGTTGTCGGTGATCTTGGTGATGATGAGATCGTCGAGAATGCCTCCTCCAAAGTTCAGCAGCAAGCTTAGCGACCCCTGATGCTCTCCGAGCTTCTTGACACTCGATGGAGTGAGCCACTCGAGGAAGTCTCCAGCTCCAGGACCCTCAAAGTGGTGTTGTACCATGTGTGAGACGTCGAAGAGGCTGGCTGAGTTGCGGGTGTGGTGGTGAGAAGCTACCTGGCCCAGAGAAGAGTAGGATAGGGGCATGGAGTAGCCTCCAAAGGGTACGACCTTGCCTCCATGCTTCAAGTGGAAGTCGTAGAGGACAGTCTTGCGAGGTTCACCGGCGGCACCATCGGAGCGAGTGGATGTTGTTGCGGTGAAGGAGCGGTGGGAGGGGAAGCGGGATTTACTGGCAGACAGGAGTAGTGAGGGACGTGGAGAAACGTTGCTGCGAGGTATTGGCCTAGCAGAAGCCAGCAGAGGTGCTGCAGGCTGAGCTATGGCCCTGTTAGCGCTGATTGCCAGCCTATGAGCTCGCATGGTAGACCAGAATGTGCTTGGGGGAGCGAAGACGATGAGTGGTAGCAGGCAAAGGAGGCAAGAAAGCGTCGAAGCAAGAAACGGCGCCTGGTTCTTCTCTTCGTCCCCGCATTGACCACGCAGGCGGAGTGGGGCCACACAGGCAGGCAATCTACGCCCAGCCAAGGAGGCCACCCACACTGTGCCTGGCCACGCGCGCCAGCAGCCCCGCCTCGCACGCTTCCGTCGAGCCTTGTTGCTCGCCTACTCGCCTGCTTGCTCCTCTTTGCCTGCTTCTTCCTGATCATCCGACCGACTACAAGCCATCATCTCACATCATGGTGAGCTCAGATTCCTACACACGAACTCTGGTATATCTGTCACTCACTGACCACGCTCCGCATCCGCTCCAATTGCCCTCACAGTCAGAAGCAGCCTCGCCGCCCTCGTCCTCGGCTCTCGCCAATCGAAATGTAGGAGGTGTCCGGTAAGTGGGATAAAGACGGAAAGTGCCATGACTTCTCTCCCCCAGAGACAACACTCACTCGAGTCCACTGTATGGCATTTCTTCTCCTGCTGGTCCCGATTGACCCCTCCTGCCAGTCGCCGAGCCCAGGCCCCAAAGGATGTCTCTGCCAACCGGCCAAACTCGACTAGGGCTGCTGGAGCCGGAGGAAGCAGTAATACTATGCTTAGGATCTACACGGACGACAACAAGGGACTGAGCGTGTGAGTATCTTCCCCAAAGGCGACTGGGGTTGCAAAAGAATCAATCGGGAGGATCGGAAAAGGGGGAGGGGGGAGAGGGGGTATTCTAGAGGGGAGTGGACCTCGCAGCTACGAGGCAAGACCACTTCGAAAACAGACACCTGGGTTGTCGAAGCCTTATTCGTAGGCTTCAAGGCCTTGCCCATAGAGTCGTCCTTCCTTGGCTCATCAAAATGGATGAGTGGGACACATTGCTGCCGTGCGCTTCAAAGCGGATGGATAGAGAGGAGGGCGATGGCAATGGCAATGAGCATACGGACAAGGCTGTTCAGTGCTAGGAAGAGCTGCAGCATCTCCACCACGGCGATGTTGCGTATTATCTCGGGACAAGTAACCGATTACTGATGGATTGAACGTCCTACCTTCGCTTTTTACCCCTCGCAGCGACCCGGTGGTGGTACTCGTGCTGGCCATTTCCTTTGTCTTCTCAGTGGTGATGCTGCATATCATTGGCAAGTTGGCGAGGTGGTTCTACAAGTAGATATAGTGCGTTTGCATGAGAGGAGCCCCTGCCTTGGGCTAATGGGCGGGAAGCGCAGCTACCAGCTTGTATCAGATGATCACCCATATGCGTCTCCACGATGCATCAAAATCATATCCGTGTCACAATTGACCTCCGTGACTTGTTTTGCGCACACATCAGATTGGTCAAACGGTATTCGCGTTGTGATCTTCGATGCTCTCAACTGCTCGCACATGCTGATGGAGAGCACCATGAACAGTAAGGAGCGACTATATGCGCCTGCCTGGGTGTGGCTCGCCCTGCCCTGCCTGTGTGCGTGTGGCTGCCTGTGCCCGCCTGTGTGCAATGCCCCTGGGCGGGGCGGACGTGGTGTGGGACCGCGCGTTGGAGGTGGCTGGGCGAGGCGGCCTCGGATTGATCAGCTCTCCCGCCCGACAGCCGCCGCCTTTGCCTGATCCCCCTTGGCCACTCCTTCGTCGCCTATCATCATCCCGTCCACCTCACCCAACCTCCTACGGACACGGTCGAGACATTCCGAGTGCCCTCTCCACTCTTGCCAGGCATCGAAAGGCTTCAGCGCTCATTCGTTCGCTCGAGGGGTCAGCTGTATTAGCTCAGACTACACACCACTCCTTTCAGCCATCTCCCTCTCCGATTCATCTTCCTGAGCCTACCCCACATCGTCTCTCATCATGCTGCGCTCCCTCAACACTCTCCGGGCTGCATCGGCCGCCAAGCACAATGTTGCTTCTTCCTCGAGGTTGCCAGCACTGGTCGCATCTTCCTTCTCCACCTCGACCAAGGCTCTCCTCGCCACACCCGCACCCGATGGACCTCCCCAGAAGAAGATGGTCAAGCTGACCATCGATGGCAAGGAGGTAGAGGTAGAGCAAGGAACAGCACTCATTCAGGCTTGTGAGCAGGCAGGAGCTCAGATTCCAAGATTCTGCTACCATGAGCGTCTATTGATTGCAGGTGAGTAATCGGACATCTTTCACAGTCGCGTCGTGATAGTAGCCAGTCGCTGATAGCTTTGCCACATCTTACCGCACTTTACAGGAAACTGTCGAATGTGTCTGGTCGAGTCCAAAGGAGCACCAAAGCCAATCGCCTCCTGTGCGTGGCCTGTCCAGCCAGGCCAAGTCGTCACTACCAACTCGCCCCTCGTTGCCAAGGCTCGTGAGGGTGTGATGGAGTTCCTTCTAGCCAATCACCCCCTCGACTGCCCCATCTGCGATTGGGGAGGAGAGTGTGATCTGCAGGACCAGTCGATGAGGTATGGATCGGACCGTGGAAGGTTCCACGAGATGTCAGGCAAGCGGGCAGTGGAGGACAAGAACCTGGGACCACTCGTGAAGACGACCATGACGAGGTGCATTCACTGCACCCGCTGTGTCCGATTCGCAAACGACATTGCTGGAGTACAAGACCTGGGTACCTCTGGCCGTGGAAACGACCTGCAGATTGGAACATACGTGGCCAAGACGATCGACTCTGAGATGTCCGGAAACATGATCGACCTCTGCCCTGTCGGAGCTTTGACCTCGAAGCCCTACGCCTTCCACGCTCGACCTTGGGAGCTCAAGAAGAGCGAGTCCATCGACGTCTTGGACGCCGTTGGATCCAACATTCGAGTCGACTCGCGAGGTGTAGCTGTCATGCGAATCCTTCCCCGAACCAACGACGACGTCAACGAGGAGTGGATCAACGACAAGACCCGTTTCGCAGCTGACGGACTGAGGTATCAGCGTCTCACCACGCCCCTCATCAAGCAGGGTGATCGCTTCGTGCCCGCCTCGTGGCCAGAGGCACTTGCCACCGTCGCCGAGGGTCTCGAATCTTCTGGTGCCAAGGGCAACGAGATCAAGGGTGTTGTCGGTGCTCTCGCCGATGCCGAATCTATCGTTGCGCTTAAGGACCTCGTCAACCGACTTGGCTCTGACAACTTGACTGTCGATGCTCCCGCCGGTGACATGGCCCCCGTCTACGGACAGGACTTCCGAGCCAACTACAGCTTCAATTCGACGATCCCGAACATCGAAGAGGCTGACGCTCTGCTCCTGGTCGGAACCAACCCCCGTCACGAGGCTGCTATTGTCAACACTCGAATCCGCAAGGCTTACCTTCACCGCGAGCTCGATGTTGGCCTGATCGGTGAGAAGGTTGACCTGACCTACGACTACGCCCACGCTGGTACCGATGCCCAGGCTGTCAAGGACTTCGTCGCTGGCAAAGGTGACTTTGCCAAGCGATTTGCAAAGGCCAAGAACCCAATGATCATTGTCGGCTCAGCTGTTCCTGAGCACGTCGACGGCAAGTCGATTCTCGCCGATCTGGCCGGTCTTGTGGAGAAGAACAAGGACAAGTTCTTGACTGCCGACTACAATGGCTTCAACATCCTGCAGCGAACTGCCTCCAGGACTGCCGCCAATGACATTGGTATCGCACCTAGTGCCGAGGCTGCCAAGACCAGCCCCAAGTTCGTTTACCTGCTCAATTCCGACGACTTCTCTCCCGACTCGATACCTTCTGACGCCTTTGTGGTCTACCAAGGTCATCACGGTGACATCGGTGCTCAGTACGCCGATGTTGTCCTGCCAGGTGCTGCTTACACGGAGAAGTCGACGACCTTTGTCAATACCGAGGGCCGAACTCAGATTACTCGAGCTGCAGTTCCCCCTCCCGGAGCATCGCGTGAGGACTGGAAGATTCTGCGAGCCCTGTCCGAGGTGGTGAATGCTCCACTGCCGTACGAGGACCTGCTGGATCTGCGCGATCGTATGTACGAGATCTCCCCCACGCTGGTCAGGTACGACGTCGTCGAGCCCACAAGTGTCGCCAATGCCAATGCCTCGATTGCCCACCTCAAGACACTGGCAAAGGGCGCATCCCCCACTGGCGCACCACTGCTCAGGCCCATTACCAACTTCTACCAGACAGACGCAGTCTCCCGGGCTAGCCCAACAATGGCAAAGTGTGTCAAGGCATTTGTGGAGAGGGTGCCGATGGATGAGGTGGAGCCTCAGTCCGTCGTTACGATGGGGTGAGCGGAGGGCAGCTTCAGAGTTCCGAGCCGAGCGAAAACAAGGGTACGGAGATTGACATTCGGAGGCCAACGACCTTTCGGTGCCTTGCAATGGAGGAATGGCAGGAAAGGAAAAAGGAGAAGAAGGAGCCGCATGAATTGGCGCAGCGAACCAAAGGCCGGCCCGCCAAAGCACCGGCATCCTCACCCGGCTGCGACGCGGCTGCGAGATCGTACAATCTTGTCCTCCTTTCTTGGAAGCTTCTTCCTCCCTCCCACCTTCGCACCCTTGCAAACCCGTCAATCCTATTCTCCATCTCGATTTAGCATTTCACTTTCCTCGTCTGAGTGAAACCTTGTCTGCTTTTGGTCCCGTGTTCCCGTCTGACAGCCTACCCGCTCGCTTGATGCAATGTCCGATCGGACCTCGTCTCCTTGAGACCAGACCAGACCGGGGAAGTCCAGTCCAGTCCAGGCCTGGGCCAGGTCAGGTCAGGTCAAGCTCGAATTAGCCCTGTTTTGCCGACATCTGCCCTTATGCTTCATGCCGCACGCTCATGCTGGTGATCGAAAACCTTGTTGCCCATCTTTCTTTCCTTCTTTGTGACTTTCCCCCTCCACCACCCCAAAACCATTCGTGGGGTTGTGGGGGTTGGCGCCTATTTTGATCAACGTCATGTGACCTGACCTGACCTGACCTGACCTGGTGGGGCCGGGTGAGCGGGGCGAGCGGGACGAGCTACTTTCTCTGATCGCTCTTGATGCACTGCCCACCGCCTGACCACCTGACCAGGTTTGCTCCTCCTGCAATTTGCGCTGCAACGGTGTGAGCTGAGCTTAGTGGGCTGTACAGGACTGATCTGGTCTGCTCTGGTCTGGCCTGGGACGAGCTGGCTCCGGCGGGTCATTATGCCAAGCCCGCTCGGATGACTCGCTTTACTTCGCCAACTTCAATGCGCCTCTTTGAAAGTCTTGATCGATCACAGCCGCCACAGCCGCCACAGCCGCCACAGCCGCCACTGCCGCCGTCACTGCCGCCGTCACTGATCACAGACAGACAAGCCTTTTCGTGGGAATCTAGATTTCAGTGAGACGCCATGCCATGCCATGCCAAGTGATGAGATGAGCTTGTCGGAGTGTCGGATCTCACGGGTCCAAGATGGGAGTCTAGAAGATTGGGAGCGAGAGCCGTCAGAAGCTCAGGAGGGGACTGTTGCTTTTTTCAAATGCTACAGTGCGGCTTTGCTTGTAAATGGAGCTGCAGAGTCCGGTTCTGACGCGGGGAGGATCTTCATCGGCGACTCGGGGCAACGGGCATGGGAAAAAAAACCAAAAGTTCCCATCGATCTCAATGCCAATCAAGGAACACTCAAAAAAAGTCTAGACGTGCAAGCCATACGTCTAGGGAAGAGAAAGTCCCCGGCGCGTATGCCGTGGGCTAGATCTGTGATTGGCAAAAGTCCCGGAGGCCGTGCGGTTGAGCGTGAGAACTTGTCTCACAGCGAGTCGTATTGTCATACACTGGGAAGGGAGTGGCGAGTGGGAAAAGGCAAGCGGGCCAATACTACTCACTCGCTCCCAAGGTCTTCTCCGGGCACCTCTATCGGGATCAGCGTGCGAACATCGAGTCAAGGGGTGCGTGCGTGCGTGCGTGCGTGCGTGCGTGCGTGCGTGTCGAGGATGCGGGAGCCTACGCAATCGGTGCTCGAAGCCGTGGCGCGAGCATATTCCAATCATCGACAGCGCTAAAGGGGTTACATCCCTTCGCACTCGATGACGATGACGACGAGGACGAGGACTTCGAGGGTCTCTCCGGTGTCTGTCACCTACCTTCCTCGACGGTCCCAGCATGACGCCACTGACATTGCCCGAGCGGTGCCATTGGCAAAGTGCCTCCCCCTCCTTCTTTGCCTCGGTCTGCTTGGTCTTTGATGAAGCTGCCCCACTGTCTGTCTGTCTGTCTTTGACGCCCTAGCGGTTCTTGGCCGAGGCTGACCTCATCCTTTGGCCTTGGTGACGGAGCCAGAGTGGAAGGCGTCTGTATGTCTGTCTGTCTTTCTGACTCTGCTCTCGGCCGCCGCCGCCGCCGCTGCTCCGCCGCCCGAGGTGGGTAGTGTAGGTTGCCCCGAGGAGCACCGAGGTCGAAAGTTGCTCCTTTCGTCACGCCGCGTGGTTCGGCTGGAGTGGGGCGGGGAGTCGAGGGATTACCGCCTCGGGTGGTTTTAGCTCCGCCAGATGCAGCAACAAGAACGAGGCTTGCTCAACCAGCCATGTGGCCTCCGCTTCCAGCCTCCGCCGCCGGGAGATCATCCTTTGCGCCCTCGATGGCGTCTTGGTGGAGCCAGGCTACCTCGCTAAGATGGTGTGGCGGGCATTGGTAGCCAGAGTTCGTAACGGCAAAGACGGTGGCGATTGAGTCGCCGCCAATGGAGTCCGCTGCGTTCAACATTGGTCTGTGGATGGATAGTACCGTAGCTGCGTCAGGCACCGGCAATTGGCGTGGCGCTGAGACCCCTCCCACCCTCTTTGTCCTGCCTACCCGCCGCTCCTCTGCCCAGCCGGGCTTTTTTGCTCCTCACGTCACAAACGTCACTTGCAGTTCTCACACTGCCCGAGTCGCTCCTAGTGCCTCTGCCTCTGCTTCTGCCGCCCCCTTCCCATCTCCCACCTTGGCCCGCTATCTCCCTCGCGTCCTCTCCGCCTCTTCCTCCCGAGGGCTACTCCCTCCACCCACCATCAATGCTGGCTCCAGCCCGGCCCCTTTTTCCCCCAATAGAGAGGATGACTAACCTCCTTGCCTCGGCAGCTGCGTCTGTGCAAATACATCTCTACACCTCACAGTCCTCCTCCCGATTCACCACGGCCAATTCTTGCCTCCCACTTTCACTCTCCACTCTCCGCAAAGAGGGAACTGACTTCTCCCACATCACCGGCACAATACACCCTGGGAGCTTTCGGATCCCAATCGCTCTGCAGTGACGCCCATTCTCCTTTCTACATCCGTCGCAGAAGCGAGCACATCTTCAGAAGGATCTGTGCCAAACCCAAAAGGGCCCGGCTCAGAGGAAGATTGACTCGAGCCGTGGCCAGGCGAGGTCATTGCTTAGAAGGCGTGCGATAGAGCGCCGGCTAGGGGGGAAAGTCACTTCACTTCAGATCCCTACTGCCGAGCCTAGGCCAGTCCTTCCCGTTGCTTGCTACCTTACTTCCTCTCACTTCACCACCCAGCATAGAGCAAAACAGACTGCATCACAAACTACTACTCCTTCTCTCTCTTCCCTTCATTTCCACCATTGGCCCAACAACGTTTGCCTCGCACAACGTCTACTCACCTCTGGGATCTTCCGAGTCGAGTGATTTGCTCGTCTTGCCCTCTCATCGGCTTTCCAAATCTTCTCGTCACTACATCTTCTGGCTCCAGCAGCGGACGGATATCGATACCCTGCTGTACAGCAATCTCCGCCTCCTGATCATCACGCAGCAAAGGCATAAGAGCTACTGCGAACCGACACTGTCTTCCTTGTCAGGGCAGCATTGCTCAGCGCTCCCGTTCCGAGGCTCACCACAATAGATTCCCGGTTCCTGGCTGCGACGCCCTTGGTTCCTGAAGAGCGGCTCTGTTCTGCAGGTCAAAGGTCAAGATAGCAACGTCACAAAGTAGCTTGCCAGGCCATTTGACGACAGGCACAAGGGAGACTACCACCAGGACTTTAACCTCTTGCCTGGGCTTCCTGCCATTGTCCTAACGGACCCCTGTTGCTTCCTTCGGATCTTGCTCGCTGCTTCTTTGCTCTCAAGTAGACCGTCAAACCATCAAGGGGGTCAAGGGGGTCCGGCACTTCCTTCCCCACGCATCTCTTCACCTCTTCATCCTCCCCAACCTCTTCCTCTTGATCACCACCCGTTGAACATTCGGCTCGTTCCTACCCCGATCTTCTCCTCGCTTGCGCATCGGCTACTCCAGTCGCCTCGACAAGTACGGCGACCTCGCGCAGCATACAGACACTATCCCAGGCTTCAGCCAGTCTGTCTGTCTGTCGGAGATCATCGGCTCCAAAGGTCACAACGAATCATCAATCTCTCCACCATAGGCTCAACTTCGTGACCCGCTCTTGCTCTCGATGCCTGTCGGGCCTTCGACGCCCCGGGAGAGAGACAAGAGGCCGAGGAGCATTAGTCCCTCGGATCGGGCTTTGCCCTCCAGCGCTTACCGGCGGCATCATGCTGATGGGTCAATAGGGCGTGACGAGGGTGTTCGGCAGCGACCATGGGAAGACGAAGAGGTTGATGAGCTCGCAGAACACGATCCGCTTCGAACGGATAGCGCTGCTGAGACATCGGCAGCAGTCAGTAGCGCCAGTCCTCGGACTTACCGAGCAGAACCCGCATCATCTCCTGGCCTTACCAAGATCAAGTCTGCTGCTAGGGCGAGAGTCCTACCTCCCCCACCGCCCCAAACTTCGAGGTACGATCCGATCTCCGCTGAGTCGTCGAGCCGCTATCAGCAATCTCAGCCAATGTCAGCCTCAGCGTCCTCTCCTATCTCACATCGGGCCGAGCCCCAGGATGGCTCTTGGCGGCTTCCCATGGACCATGGACGTGACGGACTGGTACAGTCGGGTAGCAGTAAAGGCTTGCTTCCTCATTCGCCTCTTCAGGGCTCTGAAGAACGGGAGTCGCAATCTATTGCACGAGAGACTTCAGCGCAGAGCTCTCGGTATCCTCGTCCTTTGTCCTCTCGACCAGAGATGACGGGACACCAGCCTCTCCATCCGGATTCGTTCAGAATGCGCGAAGCCAGCGCCAGCAGAGGCAGCATTTCGAGGCCAGGATTGGGAGATAGCTGGGCGAATGAAGGCTCAAGCTATCCATTACTCAGAACAGCCTCAATTGACAGCGGCTATGCCGGGCATTCTCGGGATAGCTCAGGTCCAACGGCAGTTGACGCAACCTCTTCGAAAGAGTTGTACCGGCCTCCGCTTGCTGGCTTAGCAGGCTATCCCTCTCCCCATCCTCAGTCCGATCACTACCAGTCTTATGCCGGACCAAGCCCCGCATCTCGAGAGCAAGATCGGAGGTACAGCATCCAGCGGTCTCACTCTTCCGGGTCAGGTCTCGGTGACGACGATCTTACCGATGCCAGCTCAGCTTCACCACCCGTTTCAACGCATGCAATGTTCCCTCCCAATAGCAGTCGCTCAACACCATCGATGTCGCTTGCATCGCACCGTCACGGCTCCAGCGGACGGATGCTGCCTCCTCTTTCCAGTATCACCAATTCCCTGCAAGGATACCCAATACCCGCGTCCACTTTCTCAACGCCATCCCATTCATCATCATCCGCTACAACAATGAGCACTTCCACTAAGAAGAGAACTTGGGCCGATCTTGCCGCCAGGGAGAGACATGACATCTTTCAAGGGACGCTGGAAAGATTCATGATCCGTCGAACAGAGGCTGAAGCGGCTGCTCTGTCTAGTCCACCGCTTGCATCCTCATTGGCATCCGAACAACGGCTTCGACACGCTCGCGAGGAAGCCGGTGATGCATACTTCGTCACCATCAGCTGTACTCATTCTGGCGTAGCGCAGAAGAGCTACGGACACGAGAAACGCTTCTTGTGTCCGCCTCCGATTGTTAGGCTTAGAGGACCTGGATACTCCACTGCGCCTCTGCTACCTGAATCTGCACGGCACGTTCATCTCAGGATGAACATCCTGCCCATGGCGGACAGCAGCAGTCTTGCTGCCTCACTCACTGGAGCGGGTCTGCATTCAGGAGGAAGCGGAGTCGTGTCTGAAGACATCGTGCTAGATCGCTCTCTGAACGCCAAGTTTGGTCATCTACACGTAGGAGCAAGTACAAAGAGCGCAAAGACGTTTCAGCTGCAGCTACAACTCTTCGAGCCGGTGACTAATCAGCAAGAGCATTCTCAGCGGTCATCTTCTTATTCTGCTAGCATCGGGCCTTCTCCCGCCAAGTCTCCGAGACTGTACAACGCATCAGAGTCTTTCCCGACGCCCGGAACCTCCACTTCACCTGCATATGCCTCTCCTTCATCCTCGTCGGGATACTTTCACCCCGGCAACGTTGATATGTTGGGCGGACGACCTGCTTCGCGATATACGGCTTCCGGGACCACATTGCCCATGCAGCAAGACATCGTATTGGACTGCACCAGCGATCCTATCACTGTCATTTCGAAGCCGTCTAAGAAGACTACTCGGGCAAAGACGTCGAGCACGCAGATCACACCTGAGCTAGCCATCTGTCTATTCAACCGAGTCAATAGTCAGAATGTCCGGACGAGGTACATGGCTGTGGACCAAGGGAAGCTATCGGCTCGCAACGACTCATGGACTACCTTCTATATGAGGCCTGTTGGTAGGACTCGAGTAGGACACGAGACTGTCAGTGACGCGGCGGCAGGTGAAGGTGCGGCAGTCACGTACGGATCAATCGTGGTGCTTGAGGTACCTGGTATCGGGGTAGTGAGCGACGAGATGATAGTCTGCAAAGTGGAGAAGGGCAAGATCATCGTGCCTGCCAGTACAGGATCAGCAACCTCGTCTTCTTCTTCTTCTTTGGGACAAGGACAAGAAGCAGGAGGGACGGAGGGTGGACCAATCAGTCAGATGCAAAAGGTCGCTTTCATGAAGTATGAGCCGGTGAAGGCCACGGGCAAATCCACGCTTGCGCCACCGCCTTCTCACAGTCGAGACGATCAGCGCTCCGCCTCTCCGGCTGCCCGAATGTTCCTCTGCTCTGCTCCCGCCGATCCTTGGTGGCGACCAATGGGGGCGAGCGAAGGCGACTTTCCCGCCTCTGCACGGCCGCAACTGGCAACCCGGATCTCTTCGGCATCGTCTTCCCTCTCAACGTCGACCGCCACATCAGAGTCCACGCCCAATCTGAGTGTCCCTCCAGGAGGACAGTCATCGTCTCATGCAACTTCGCTACCTTCGCTTGGAAGTGATGAGACGGAAATGTCGTCGCCTCCTTCAGCACCACCGTCCTCCTCGCGCTTGCTGCCGCCCAAGTCGGTGCCGGCACGTTCGCCTTCGATGGAGGCAGACAATGCACTCTCTCGTCAGTCTAAAGGTGCGCCCTCTCCGCCTCCTACTGAAGGTCTGCGGGAGCTGAAAGGGAACGATGACGGCGCAAGCTCAGCGCCATCTTTCAACGCAGTCGTCAAGTCACCCAGCCCTTTGCCACCTGCTCCCCGGGTCGGTGGGCAAGATGCACCGTCACCAGGGGCTGCAGTCACTGGTACTCAGTCTACCCCGACCTCGGTCTCGCGAACTCCCTTCAATGTTAGCGAGAGCCTCGCACCAACACCGTTGACGTTCCTCCCAGCAGGAAAGGAGAAGGGAGTGCAATCTCCTTCATCTGCAGCCAACAAAGCTGGTGCGGGTAGTGGATCAGGAGAGGAAATGACGATGGATTCGGAGAGGGAGCAAGACGTTGCAGATGACGCCTTTTGCTGGAGCATCGTTGGTGCTGCCTCCTTCGAGTATTCCTTCTGCCGAGTGGACAGTAGTCAACAAGATGCTACGGATGCGAACGAGGCAAGTAACGGTGGCGCATCGGCTAGTGTCTCCAGGAGCGAGCATCCCTACCACAGCGTCGCACCGTCGATCCGAACGGCATCCAGCGCCCAATCGGGCACCCTGCGCACCCTTTCCACTCGCCCCTTCTACATTCCCGAGACGCACGCACTGCATCTACACGACAAGGAGGCCCTCTGGCACGGAATGGCAATCTGGCTAGGCAGTCTCGGACCGCTGCAGAGTGAAATGGTCGCTTCACCCTTTGCTGGGCAGTACCAGTCGGCTCGACGCGAAGCTCCAGTCCTCTCGGTCAGACTACCACCCATGCCTGATCTCTTGAGGTACGGTGCTTCACTTGCAGAGAGGTCTGGTGAGCAACAGCAGGGCAGAGTGACTACACACTTGCCTACCTCCAGTACTGGCGCGAAGCCAATTTCTACAGAGGACAAGAAGAAGACAGCCTCCTCCTCCTCGAGCGCACCTCCACCGCCTGCTTCCCTGCCTGTGCTGCTGGTAGGAGAGGCCAACGGGCTGATTTGCAAGACGCCATGGGCTCTACAACTTGTCAGGACAACGCATGCTACCAATACACGCCCGACGGCGACTCTCGGAAGGGACGCATGGACGGTGCGGGTGGTAGCAGAGGTGTGAAGGAAGGCTCAAAGCCTGCAGCTCTCCCCCTTTGGTCTTCTTCACCTCTACAGACCAGCTTCTACAGCTGTCCTCCTCACCGGCCGATTTGGGCATCAATCACTGGCTAGACTCTCTTCCCTCCTCCCCCTCCTCTCCACATTTCTTCACCCTACCTTTCTACCTTAGCGAACCCTGCTAGACTGCAGTCCCGATCTCTCATCCATTAGTCAGGGATCTACCCGTCCCTCATACATACCATGCTCCTATAATGCTCATACTCATACTGATACTTCGAAATCAGACTGCTCATAGACTTGTGGACACGCATCTTCACGACTTTCATCTCAGGAGCGTTTGATCTGGCCTTTCGGGACCAGCAGCATGAAGAGCGATTGACATTGAGTATGGATGAAGGGATAGGGCGAAAGAAGTGTAATGGGGAGGGGTGTACGATTGCCCTCGAGTCCCGCGAGCCCTGGGCTATTTGCGAGTCGTGTGTCTCCTTGCCAGCGCTCAAGCCATCGCACTCTCATCGTCTTCCCGCCGCCCCTTTTCTTCCCGCTCCAGCCCTGCTCTTCGCAGCCGCCGCTTGACTCTCTTCCTCATCTAGCTCTTCGAAACCAGGACTATCGCTGCCTGCGCCATCCCCAGGCGAGCTCAGACTCCCATCGTCGCTCTCTGCTTCAGCAGTGATCCGGCGCGAGGCCTTGGCGGCTGCTGCCCGACCTCCCCGTCCCGTCGTTGTCGCCTTGCGTGCCGTACTGGTACTGGCAGCAGCAGGAGCCTTCTTCTTGGCAGGTGTGTTGCGGGCAAGGGCTTGGGCGCGAGATGTAGCCTTGGAGGTAGCGGCGGGAGCGCGAGGTGCAGGAGTGGAGTCTTCCTCCTCTTCTTGGTCCATGATGTCTTCTTCGTCATCCTCTTGCGACTGACCGAGGAACATGCCATTGCTGCGACTTCGACTGCCGCTCTTAGCAGTGGAGCGCGAGCCGCTGGCTTTGTTGCTCGCGCCTCCTCTACGGGACGAGCCGCCAGTGCGAGCAACGGGACTAGCACGACTGCTGTCAGAAAAGCCGTCGCTGCCTTCATCCATCAACATCGAGTCGTCCGAGTCGACTTGCTTTGCCGTCCTGCCGCTTTTGCTTTTGGGAGCCTTGCCTTTATCTGCGCCTCTGCTTGTTCCCGTATGATCGTTGACGTCTTGCTCTTCTTCCTCTTGCGCTCTTCGACGAGACTCAGCCCTCCTCTCATCGTTCTTGCTCTGCTCTTCACGGATTCTGTCAAGCTCATGCTCAAGCTGCTCCTCATTGGGCGCCATAGAGTTGAGTGTGCCCTGGAAAGTCTTCATCATACTCTTGACAAAGTGTTGAATAGCGTCACGATCGTCCTTGTCTACAAAGTTGGTGATGGCCCGCTCTAGCCCGTCTGAGTTGAGCAGCTCGAGCTTTTGCGCGTCCAAGAATTCCTTGACGAGTCCGCCGACTTTGATCTTCTCAAATTTCTCTACCGACATCAGGTCTTCGGGCTCCACATCGACATAGGCATAGCGTCGATCGCTAGACGCCTTCTTGCGAGGAGGCGCCTTCTTCTTGTGGAATTGCAGGACGTCCTTCGGATTGGCCACCTTGTCGATGAACTCTTGACCGAAGCGGATCGGGTTGCCCAGCTCGAAGTTGGCCTCGTACTCCACTCGAAGACGGACCAGAGGCAGCATACGTTGCGGTCGATCTCGCGGACGAAGGTGCGCATGCTTCTGATCCCACTCTTCGTTCGCCCTGTCGATGAGCTCGTACACTCTGTTCTTGAGCAGGTTCTGCAGCGCGCCTTTGTCATCGAGTGAAACCTGCGCGTCTTCTGCCTCTTCCTTCAATGCCATGTCGTCCATGATGAAGGGTCTGACCGTCTGCAGAGGAATTGGCTCCATAGAAAAGCCTCGACCCTCTATATGTACGATGGCAACCGATCTGACACAAAGATAGGAAGCTCTAGTCAGGATGACAGGCTTCATCGAGAAAATGGCCGAACGGACTCACTTTTCAGATGCTTCGCCTGGGCTCAAGCTTGTCGCCACACTGCTGCCGGGCTGCGTGATGTAGTATCTTTTCCCTCCTACTGGCTGAGGATTGATCAGCTGCTCATGTTCATGTCCCCACACTACCAAATGTACCGAGTCGTCAAACATGGTCTCGGGCACACAAGCTTTTGGGTTGTGTGCAGCTCTGTTCTGGTGAACAACGAGGATGTTGAACCAGTCATCAGGGTCCTCCCGGGGTCGATACATCCTCACTCGGTTCGCTCTGAGCTCATAATGCATGCGCTCATCTTTGATGTTGCCCATGCCGTAGAGGGCCAGTTTTGTGTCTCCTTTCTGCAGCAGCACGGGCCTGATTCGGATTCCCACATCTGACAAACCTCCTGCATTTGGCGCCCTTCTTGAAGAGTTCTGAGCAGTCTGATCGTCAGAGGGAAGCTCGATCTTGCCAAAGTAGTTGACAAGTCCGGACACAGAGAGCAAGTCCAGTGCTGACAATGCCCCGTCTATGCCCACGCCTTGAGGATCATCATGATTGCCATGGATGGAGAAGACTGGGATGGAAACGTTGAGATTGGCATCTTCGTAATTGACAGCCGGGAAGCTGTAGCCGTCTGCCTGACCGTCATTGGGATCGCTGAGAAGCTCCAGAGAGATAGGCTTGTCTCCCATACAGTACTCTCGGATGGACGCCATGACCTGATGCAGGGTTGCCCTGGTGGGCTTGTTCTCGTGAAACAGATCCCCTCCGAGGAGAATCATGTCCACGTCGTGGGCTACTGCTAGCTGCAGGATCTCTCTGAATGTGTTGATCGAGTCCTGTCCTCGTACCGGATCTCGCTCCATGTACCCCACATGGTTGTCAGTAGCGAGCATGATCTTGATATGACTCGCAGGGTCACGAGGCGTGAACGAGGTTGCGCCTCCCTGTCCGGCGAAGCCATGATCGCCATCTGGGGTATGTTCCGGCTCAGGTCTGCTCTGACTTCGAGAGCCAGATTCACTTGGTTGGCTGTAACGATTTTCATCCGCTTTGCCTTGACCAGGCTCTTGCTGCTCAGGATGAGCGGGTGAGGCGGACTGGTCCTCCTCCACCGGTGCTGGCGGTGCTTCTGTCCCAGCCTCTGCAGCCGCCGCCGCCGCTGCTTCGGCATCGGCGGTAGCCGCCCGCGCAGCCCGTGTGGTCCTCACCATGCCTCGTGTTGGTGGTTGAGATAGTGAGGATTATCCAGTACAAGCTAGGTATTGCATATAGAAACCGGGACCGGTGACGACGAGTTGGCAAGGTACGAGTGGCATCGTGAAGTGTGGAAGCTGCACTTCTGGAGAAGCGGAAAGGGAGTCGCGTCTCCACTTTGACTTCTTCCTGCACAAACCAAGCACCATTCCGACCTATACCAGTTCCATTTGAGCATATTCGATCTTTGCACCTCTTCCAATCCCTGGGCGCTGCGAGCGACGATGGAAGATGAGCAGGCTGCAGTTCATGACGATACCCAGCTGAGCGCAGCAGACATCGTCTCGGTCAAGCCAGAGCCAGACGCAGAGGGCGATGTCGCGATGCAGACACATACACAGCCAGCAAGTGGTCCCGGCTCCCCCCTTGACTACTCGCATGTCTACACACTTCTGGGCCACACTCGCGCCATCTCCTCCCTGTCTTTTTCGCCCGATGGCACCCTGCTGGCCTCAGCGTCTGCAGACAAGACCGTCAGAATATGGTCGTTGCGCACTGGGCAGCTGGTAGAGACCCTCAAGGGTCATGGAGGAGGGATCAGTGACGTTGCCTGGAGCCCCTGCGGGAGGTATCTGGCAACAGCCAGCGATGACAAGACAGTGGGTGTGTGGAACGCACTATCTGTGAGTCGAAAGCTGCAGGACGACAATGCTGGACCGACAGGACTCACTGACATCTTCCTCCTCTCCATTGCTGCCCTTTCAGGGCTACGATCTGAGGCGTCTCATCGGCCACACGTCGTACGTCTTTTGCGTGGCCTACTCTCCTCAATCGAATCTCATCGTCAGCGGCTCTTTCGACGAGACGGTTCGACTATGGGACGTCAGGAAGGGCACCTGCCATAGGACCATTGCCGCTCACTCAGAGGCAGTGACAGATGTGGACTTCAATCGGGACGGAACTCTGATCGCTTCGTGCAGCTACGATGGTCTAATTCGGCTGTGGGACGTACCCACTGGTCTTTGCCTCGCTACTCTTCCGCATCCGACGTCCTCACCTACAACGTCCATCCGCTTCTCCCCGTCGTCTTCGCATCTGCTCGCCTCGTCCCTCGACTCCACGCTTAGACTGTGGGACGTAGCCAATGGCAAGATCGTCAAGACGTACCGTCCCCACAGAGGGGAGCGAGACAACAAGGATGGAGGAGAAGGAGCCACATCAGCTGCAGGAGGAAAAAGCGGGGTGGGAGGCGTCTATCAAAATCACAAGTACGCCATCAAGTCGCACTTCCTGGTCCTCCCTGCCGAAGGAACAGCGGTGCCCACCACCACCCCTCAGTCGGAAGTCTTCATCGTCTCTGGCAGTGAGGATAGCAAGCTCTACTGTTGGGATTTGCAATCGCGTCGTATTCCAGAGCAGGGGGGAGTAGTAGGTGCAGGCGTGCACAGGGACGTGGTAGGGGCCGTAGCGGTGCATCCCAAGACGCGGGAGGGAGTGCGCATCCTGGCATCGGCTGGGATGGAGCACGACCCGAGTGTGAGGGTGTGGTTCGATCGGCGTCAGGACAACGCGGAGTCATGAGAGGGAGAGTATCGACACCTTGTACAATACCACGTTTACTGGCTGCTACCTTGACTTTAGATGCGGATAAGACCGGGGTGCCATGTCGTACCGTGGCTGAGGACATGCCAGACTCGAAGCCTGTCGTGTATAATATTGTACTAGAGGCCAAACGCCCTGTTCGTGGCCTGATGGTGTAGTGGTTGCATTCCTCCTTCGGGTTTTGTAAAAAAACCAGAGAGGTGGTGGCGGTGATCGGTTCGAATCCGGTTCAGGCCCGCGCTCCATTTTTTGCGGTCCTCGCGTCCTGCGATCAAGAAAGTCTACACTACACGATCTACGATATAGTACATTTGAAATGCGAAGCATACACACGCCCACACCGCTCCTTAGGGCGTCGTCATTCCGGCCCGCGATTGCCCCTGACGTTCGTTCTCACCGCCCGCTCCACCTCGCCAGCGGCCGCTGCGAGCCTGCTTCCTCCCACCTAGCTTCTCATTCATGTAACTCTCCATACCCTGCTTGGTGACCTCGCGGTGAGCTTCTGCGCTTCCCATTGCGCTCTTGACGTAGATCCTCCCCGGCAGAGAATAGCACTCGCCCACGAGCTCCTTGACTGCCAGTAGCAGCGCGTCGAGGTTGAGCACAATGCCGCTGAGGGTGCTCACGCCCACGGCAAAGGTGAGGTACTCCTCGCTCTCTAGCACCTCGGCTGTGAGCATCTTCGGCAGGCCTGGCAGGTCATCCGTATCCTGATCATGGTCGTCTTCGCCTTGATGCAGTAGACTCGGGTGTAGGTACGCATGGTGCGTCTGACGGGGATCAAAGGAGAAGCCGGCATCGGAGATGTAGCGCGAAAAGAGGATCGGGGTGAGCTGTGGGAGTGGTTGAGCTGTACGCAGCGCTGAAGAGCAGAGAGAATACACCGACATAACCTGAGAGAGGGCAGAAAAAAGGGGAGAGAGAAAGTCAGGTCGTTGCAAAAGTGCCTCTACTTCGATGCTCAGAGAGACTCACGTCTGCGGTAAATCTCTCGTCTGCGAACCTGGTCCGCCTCAGCAAAGCCTTGGAATAGGCTTGGCCTAGGCGCTGTGAGACGACCACAGCAGCCGAAAGCAACTTGGCCAGCTCGAGCTGGACTTCAAACAGCTGTTGGTACCTCTCCTTGGGCCATCCACCCCTCAGAGACGTCTCCCACGAGACGTTGACCTTGAGCGCATCGAGTCGCCTGAGCTTCTGGCGATGCGAAATCAGCGACGCGGAAAGCTCCAGAGGATCGACTTCCTTCGCCTGATCGTACCCTTCGTCGGCGTGATTCTGCGAAGTGAAAGCCAGCAGGCGGCAGTGCAGCAGCCCCGAGCGATGGATGCTCGCAGCGTGTGCTCGACGAAGGTACTGCCTCAGCGTTGATGTAGGAGGCAGGAAGCTCCAGATCACCGCTGCCGAAGATCCCAACAGGACCTCTACGAACCGCCTCCACGCGACGTCCCAGCCCGTTCCCGGTGCTCCGAAGACGGGATTGTACTGATCCTTCCACGAATAGCCGACGACCAGCGAAGTCGTGATCACGGCAATAATGGCCACGATGGGAGGACCGGGGTAGTAGATCCTCACAGCCATCAAGAGTACCGCAAAGACGCTCCAAACGACCATGATACCATAGGGGTTTGCTGTCCGAGCTCCGTCTGACATGTACCAGACTACCAGACCCACAGCCGCTCCTGAGACGGTGCTGACGATTCGGCCGAACAGAGCGAAGACCGAATCTCCTCTGTGACGAGAGAGGGTCAACTGGGACATGATGAGAGTCCAGACGCCTTTGTTCTCGTATACCCAGCCAGTCGATGAGCTCAAGAAGAAGGGTATGGAGAGCAAGCCAGTCAAGACGGCTGACTTTCCCGCGAATAGCATGTTTCCCGTCACCAGCTTGTGGGCGAATTTGTGTAATCTTGCGCCCCACTCTTGCCTTCTTCCCTCTGGCTCGAGAGCATCTGGATCCCTTCTGCGAGCGCCACCCATGGCAGCTACCCACTCAGCAGAGGAAGGAAACCTGGTATCTCCCCCTTCATGGTGCGCTTCGTTCCCATCATGCTCATCGTCGTGAATACTCGCAGTATCCCTCTCATCAGATCCTACTTCTTGACTCTTCCAAGTCTCGACTTTGAGAAATGCTGGCCAGGAGGGCATCCACAGCTGTCCTCTGGTCCTCTCTCGCTCCAGCATGTCAAGATGACGAAGCAATTGGAGCAGGCGATCCGTGAAGACCAGTGACGTGTGCTGATGGATCCACGCCTGGAAGAGATAGCGATGGGGAAGCGACTTGCCATCGTGGTCTTCACCTCCCTGCACCGCGCCCTTGAAAGGCTCAACGATACTCAGCCTCTCTTTCTCTCTGAAGCGCATGAGAGCTGCCTCGACATCTGCGATGACCTCTGAGACAGGCCTCTCAGCCTGCCCCCCGAGGCTGAACTTCTTGCCCCTCACTCGAGCCATAAGCAATCGATACCTCGCTCTATTGAAGGTCTCCAGCATCCTGACTGCGTGATCGATAGCGGCTGCGTTTGTCTTCATCAAGGCAGCGCTTGACTCGCCCAGAGACTGGAAGATCTCGGCTGTAATCCAGTCTGCATGGCGTGTGTGTAGTCGGTCCTCTAGTTGAGCAAAGCGCAGAGAGGCCCAAGTACCAACAGCAGAGGCATGTTGAGACGGATGCGTTGCATGGCCATGTCGCGAAGGTGATTGTGACCGGGGAGAATTGCCTCGGGATTGCAAATACGAGTAGATGGGAGCGAGGTGTACGATCTGGCCTTTGCGGGCACCATGACGATGGTGATCTGTCATAGAACTGCGACGAGATGACTGCTCGTGGTCTCCGTCTTCGCGAACCTCACCCTCTCCGAAATGGACATGACCGCCTTCACCAATAGATGGATGGAGCTTGTCTCCGCCAATGTATGCGGTCTTCTCCCGATCCGCTGCGGGTGTACTGGGCTGGCTAGCTTGGGGGCTCGGAGGTCTTGTAGCCGGGAGACTCTTCGGCTGAGGGAAGTGTGATGATTTGATGTCGTTCCGAATGGCCGTAAAGTACTGAGAGAAACCATTCGCTGGAGCCACAATAGCCTTGGTCAACCTTTCAATGTCTGCCAGGTCCTGCCCATTTGCGAGACCAAAGCTGAATTCGCGCAGAAGCAACCGAGATGCTCCTGCTACAAGTGGAATGGCTCTCTCACTTTTCCCGATGATGTTCCTGGTCTTGCCGAAGTCAAAGTCGTCATCAAGGGGCGACGTCTTGAACTGTGCTTCCTGGGAATGGAGGGCCTCACTGAGGGGCTTGAGAACGAGTACGATTCGGTCAACGAAGAGCGAATTGACACTCTTCGGGAAGAAGAGGACCGAGACAATGATTGTCACCGCTGATTTGACCGCAAGCGGCTTAAGGATAGCGGTACCGAGGTCGTAGTAGGCGTAAGGAAATAAGGGTGCTGTGGTGAGAGTGATGTCCAAGGCGATGCATCCGATGATGCTTGCAAAAAGGAATGGGCTCGGTCCGAAGCGTATCTTCAAGTAGAGCCAAGTAGCTGTGCCAAATGCCAAGAAAAAAGCGCACACTACGCTCGGTCCAACCTCGATGTAGCCGCCTGTGAATACAACCGTCGAGGATGTCTCGGCAGCTGTAAGTTTGACGGATCGAGAGGCATCAGCGATCTTGATGGCTAGACATGACCAAGCCCAGCTCATGAGACCAATGAGGAGCATGAAGAATTCTCTCTCCAGTATGCCAGTCAACGGGATCTCGGCGGGCTGAATGAAGGCAAAGACAAGGACCAGAAAGGAAGCCTGGCCCAGCTCCCTCTCCACGGGATTGATCACCATGAACAGCATCATGATCCAGGCGATGATAGCGGACCGCAGGACGGGCTTCATCTTCGTCCACGAGCTGAACGTAGGACGGATCCAGGCCAGAAGTGGGTGAAGCGGCACCAGCCCCAGACGAGATGCCAGAGACCGCTTTGGAGGCAGATCCGGCTCCCTATCGTTGGCTACCGTGATTGCTTTCTCGGAGCCAGACGATAATGCCGAGTCTCCAAGCGGCCGCCTCTGACGCAAATGCGAGTCTCTGATTCCATTGCTTGGCTTCGACCGAGGTTGCTCATCGTCATAAGTTGTCACAGCCTCCTCGGGAGTGCCTTTCAAAGGATGGGAAGATGGCGAATCTATCATCGAGGGCACAGCTGCTGCCGAACGCCCACTGCTGTCTCCCGAGGAAGACGCCGTAGCCATAGTGGCAAGGCTGTGCGGCATTTGGACGAAACGAGGCTACCCAGTCATTAGGGATCTGCGGATAGGATCGTAGTGTGAGGGTAGTGGCGCTAATGCCAGGCACGAAGGTGTGGAGATTGATTGGGTGGGATCAATCTCCAGGGTGTGCCCTGATCGACTCTGTTTCCGTGGCTGCGAGGCCGAGATGCCGACGTCGACCGACCCACCGGACCGGCAGCTGCTTCTTTCCGCCGGCTAAACGAAACACTCCTTCCTCCCCTTTAGACTCACCAATACACCACCCTCTCGATGATTCGCCGGTCACTTGCTGCTGCGAGACCTTCTTTGCCTCTCTGCTCGATATCCAGAGCAGCTGGAAGCATCGTATCTGCTCGCTCAGCTCATAGTGGCGCCTCACAGTCGCCCAAGCAGCTCGCAGCTCTGGCACCGAAGCGCTCGCAGACCACCAGCCGCAAAGCTTCCACGCTTCCCTATACACACTCCCCGACTGCTCCTCCTCCTCCGCCTACAGCTTCGACACCTTCATCGGTACTCACGCATCCTGCTATACCCGATCTGAAGATCACACTCGGATCGACCAGTATCAGCATTGTATCTCCCTCGTACGGCATCAGCAAGCCCTTCGAGCTTGACCATACCTGGCTACGGGACTCCTGCCAGGAGGTCGGCAGCTCGCTGCAGGAGGGGACGGGTCAGAAGCTATGGGAGACCAGTGATGTGCCGATCGTCAGCCAAAAGGGTGTCAAAGGTGGTCTGCTCGATGAGTGAGTGGCCTCAGCACGCCCGCAGGACGATGAAGAAGCGCTGACCCCTCGACTTCTTGCTCGTGCAACCCTGCATTAGAAACAAGCCTCCCACGCTCACCACAGATTATGCTGCCTCAGACGTCGTACTAGAACTCACATACAGGGCTGAGCATCACGTTCAGAATGCCTTCTCAGTCACCTTTTCCCCAGTACCGCCAAAGTCACCTACAACGCCTCACGTCTCACGACTGCCCCTGTCTCTCCTCCTTTCCCATGCAAGTGCTTCGCTCTATCGTGAAGAGTACCATCTGGACCCCGCCGGAGCTCCCAAGCCATGGCTTGGTAGCGATTTGACTTCGTTCCCGGGCACGATGCTTCGGCCTCCCCGGTCTGACGAAGTGCAGCCAGCACCTCTGGACACGGGTGCTGCTTTCGCTCGACCCTCGAGAGTGCAATGGGCCTCCCTGGTGGACTCAGCTGCCGATCACACAGAAGCCCGGTGGGCCTTGGCCAAGGGTCTGGTGGAAGACGGCATCGCCTTCGTGACTGGGCTGCCCACCAACAACAAGACGAGCTGCGAGCTACCCACCCCTTCCAATGCTTCCAGCACGCCTCACTTGGCTTACCTGGCCCACCTCCTAGGCGAGATCCGACATACCTTCTACGGACCCCTCTGGGACGTGCGGTCCCTCCCCTCTTCCAAGTCCAAGAACATTGCATACACAAACGTCGATCTCGGCTTCCACATGGACCTCCTCTACTTTCAGAATCCACCCCGGTTTCAATTCCTGCACATGCTCAGAAATGAGGTCAAGGGTGGGCAGAGCGTATTCGTCGATAGCTTTAAAATTGCAGAGAGGATATGGGAGGAGGACAAAGAAGCATGGGAGCTGCTGTCGAAGGTGAGTGAGCCAGCGAGCGTAGCAGGTGTACCTGAAGTCAAGAGCTGATCTTATAGCTTGTCACAACTTTGTCCTCTCGAAGGTCCCCATCTCGTATCACTACCAGAACGACGGGCGTCACTACCGCTACTCGCACCCTGTCTTTGAGGTCCCGTCCGAATCTTCAGGACATGCGGGCCCTTCGTTCTCTGCACCTCCTGTCAGCTCTACCTCAACAATCAGTACCCCCGCGACCGCCTCTATCCCAAGCAGCAGCAACGCAGGCATTCCAGCCGCCATGCCCCGCCTAACAGCAGTCAACTACTCTCCGCCCTTCCAATCTCCCCTTCCCCTCCCCTCACATCCGCTACTAGCAGACATGGTCACCCGCAACAAGTTCTACCAAGCTCTGGCCCTCTTCTCGCGTCTCACCCTCTCACCCGAATTCAGATACCAGCGTCAGCTCGCAGAGGGGGAATGCGTCCTCTTTGACAATAGACGGGTGCTGCATAGTCGACTTGGCTTTGAGTTTACCGATACGGAGGGAGAGGGAGAGGATAAGATCAAGAGGTGGTTGAAGGGGTGTTATGTAGATGGAGATGCCATCTGGAGCTCGTATAGGGTGCTGAAGAGGGGCAGGAAGGGACAGGAAGAAGAGTCGTGACTGCAGGAGCAGTAGGCCGTGGCACTGCTTAGTCTAACTGTGGCCTGATCGCTCTTGTCAATACATCGCTGCCATCGCCCCCTGTCCATGTCTTTGGCTTGTTCACACTGTCTCGTCCTTTCGTCTCTGCAAGTATGACCTGGCAATACCTGATGTGGCAGACCATGAAAGAATGCTATCGGAATGTCATGCAATTGCTAAGCAAGACAAGAGCCGACGAATCTAGAATATTCTCTCCCAACCATTTCAATGACCTTTCGTCCCAGAAAGAAAGTCTATCCGGCCTTGCTGTGAGGGGCAAAGTGAGGGCACAACAATCAGCGATCTCGAGCAAAGAAGTCTCTGCCTCCCCACCTCCTCCTTCCATATCCATCGCTTCGTGACCCGGCGTTGACGACTCACGAGAGCTGGAAGTAAGCAGCAACGAAGGGCAGTCCGAAGCCAGTGCCGAGGAAGGCGGCTACGCCCAGGGCGGTACCGACGCGGTGCTTGGGTCCGGTCTTGAATGGCACTGTTGGACGGAGGAGATTGAAGGTAGGAGTTTCGAAGAGGACGTCAGGAGGCATATCGCTTTGATCATCAGTCGCCGGAGCCGAGAGCTGTACTCACGAGCCTGTAAAAGCAAGTGATGAGAGACCAGAGAAAGGATGACAGAGCAATGGGGTGAAGTATAAGGCAGAGCGTGTAAGCAAAAGGTCTTCAAGTCGTAGACCCCATCCCTTTCCATCTCCCTCGGATCGTCTGTTTGTGCCCAGAGATTCCACCTCGAGAGCATCTGATTGACTATGGTGTTCCAAGCCATCCACTTTCCACTAGGTGACCTTTGAGGCACTCTTGTGCCTGGCCCTCCTTTGGTTCAGCGCAACTCACAGTCTCAATGTTGTTCTCAAAGTGCACAAACCTAGCTCCGCGAGGAGCCTGGAGCGCAGCGCGTCGAGCCACAAGGGGCATGGCAGCCTGGCGAGAAGCGGCAGTGAGGATAGAGGCGACCATTGTTGGTTGTGCTTGACAAGGAGGTGGTTTGGTGAAGGGGGACGATGCGGAAGGCGGGCGAGCCAGTGAGTGCGTGAGTGAGATGAGGAGATTCTCGGCAAGCGGCGGAGCGGGGCGGGGCGCCCGAGGCGTGCGTCCGGCTCCGACTTTGGGCGAGGGAAAGGATTGCACACCACAATGCTACCCGCCCCTCACGGCACGATGTTCTCGGCTAACAGCCAGTAGTAGAACACTCGTTCATCAAGAGTCACGCAATTGGGAGAGTATTCCGTCATGTATTTCTTAGCCTCGTCAACGAAACCTCGGACTAAGAGGACCGGACAATCGAGCGAGTCAAGTGGCTACACGGACGCGGGCCAGGGGTGGAAAGTAGATCGTACAAAGTGAAGAGGGATCAAAGGATGCGATGGGCAAGTGAGAACTGTGACAGATGCGCTAGACTTGGTGTGCTGAGAAGTGAGGTGCTGTTTGTAGATGTTCTGAGTGATGTGGCAGAAGTCAGACTCGCTGTCGGACGAGACCGATCCACAGGCTTCCAAGAAAGAGGTCGTATGATCGCTCGTGCAACGGAATGACATTGCCCACTGCTCTGAGTATCTCTACAAGTCTGCATTTACTCCTGCTCGACAACAGTAGTCTGCAGTCCGTGGAAGTCGGTGATGCCGAGGATGGGGGTAGCGTAGGTGTACAGCTTCTCCTTGGCAGACTCGTCGTCGTTTCGCTTCCCTGCAAGGATCGAGAGGAGAGGAACTTGGGTCAGTACACATGCTAGCCTGACGTATGAACTTGTCGCATGGAAGTGACCATCGTATCGTGGCCTCTTCAATACGCGGCGCTTGCGAGCGAGCGGCCGCGACTCCACCAAGGTCTACCGTTGCAAGACCAGCATGAGGTCTGTCATGCTTGGCATAGATGCAGATCCTGCAAGCCTGCTAACGCAGTCGACAGAGCTTCCTTTGCTCTACGGATCCGTCCCTTTGGCATAGTTCACCCGCCGCTGAACGCGGTTTCGACCGCAATTGGGTGTCGATCGATACTCACTCTCCAGCCTTACGCGAACTCTCCTTGGCACATCCTTCACACCGAGCTTCCAGATCTCCTGGTTGAGCTTGGGGTCCACTCGCACCTCCTTGGTGCCCATGGCCTTCTGGGCGAACTTGATCACCTCCTTCACTCCAGTGGGGGCACGCTTCTTGAACTGGGTGTTGTGCACTCGCTTGTGCAGGTGGATGGTGTACTCTCGCTGTAGTGTATAAAGGGATGGTCTTTGGGTCAGCACGAACATCCAAGTCAATGCATGGAGAACATCAATGACAGCCAGGTACTACATGTGTACGAAGATTACCCCTTTCCTGCGCGGAGGCACAGGTCGCTTCGACACAGTTTCTGCTGGAGAGACCCTGCGACATCCCCCTACGCAGAGGCAGAAATCGCTAGACCAATGCAGGAGGAAGAATGAGGCAATTCCGCAATGCCTGCACATCTAAGCATTCACAGGCATTCCTGGATGATCTCTGCGCAGACATCGCAGATGACGAAGTTCGCTGCTACGAGCCTGGTCTCTATCCCAGCCTTCCTGTGACAACCGAGATCCTCCCGCGCCTCTCAGCCTGTTCCATGGTTCAGCAAGCTGTCATGAACACAGATCTTGAGAGGATAATGAGGTGCGCGGTGTCTCCATTGTAGGACTCTAAATCGACCAAGCCTATCCCCTTTTCCCTCTGTTCGTCTTGGCAGTGATACCCACGGTGACGACGTCCGAGAGGGCAGATCGCTGCTTTCGTCCTTCCTTCTTGGTGGGTGCCATTGTTGATGATATGCGATGGGCGGGGGGAGGATGAGGTTCGAGGGTGATGGGTGAGGATGGGGGGATGATTCTCAGGCCAAGTCAAAATTCCAGCCTGTGGGCGGAGGGGTCTGCGGGACTGAGCTCCGATGCGTCACGTGATTCGCGGCCGGGCAGCAGAAGTCAGATTTTACGCCTCGCCTTCCTCCTCGCCGCACTCACTACTACATCCCCCCACCACCATCACCTCAAGAACTCTGACTCAGTGAGTTCACCTCGACGACTGCAAACTACATAGCATCAGCATACTGACCCAGATTTCATCTCTCGCCGCACAGAAATGACGAAGGTGCGAACGAACAGATGGAAAGGAGGAGGATGCAGCATATAGGCGGGCAGATACTGATGGCTATGCTTCTTGATCCTTCCCTTCACTCGCGTCGCATTCCACTCCTCTCTACAACGGTCTATCTGCTCTTCTGAAACATTTCCGATCGACAGGGTACCACCTCGTTCGGTAAGCGCCAGTACGTATCTCCTGGGCCGAATGTTGTGACACCTGCACCAGAATCTCAAATCTGACCCATTTCACACTTTGCTTCTCTCCTCACAGCACCAAGTCGCACACTGTGTGCCGACGATGCAACAAGCGATCGTTCCACCGACAGCACAAGACCTGTGCTTCGTGCGGATACCCTGCCGCCAAGATCCGATCATACGAGTGGGGCCAGAAGGCAAAGAGGAGGAGGACCACTGGTACCGGTAGGATGAGGTACCTGAAGACCGTTCCCCGCAAGGTGAGTACCGCTAGTCCGAGCAGAGCTGTTTAGAAGGATGATGACATGGGGAGGCAAGGGTGGACATTGGCTCTGGTGGATCTGCATTTAGAAATAGGCGGGTGGTCAGGAGGATGCAAAAGATACACCATCCTGGCGGAGGAGAAAACACCCTGGGAAAGAGATCGACCGCGAGTGATACGGTGAAGTCACTTGAGCAGGAGGGAGGGCTGGATGTTTTGGAGATGGCAGTGGGGTGTCGTTATGGCATGACGAGATGGCAGGACTGGTTGGGATCAGGACCAGGACAGGGGCGGACCGAGCCCGTGCAACTACACACCTGGACGAACTTTGAACTCACACACAATCTCACCCTCTCTCTCTGTGCAGGCCAAGAACGGATTCCGCACTGGTGTCGCTACCAAGAAGGCTGTTGCCGCTTCGGCTTAAGCTGGTCGTTCCTCAACGATCACCTTCTCGAAGCATATAGTCTCCTTGTTCTCGCATATCATCATCATCCCACTACGCATTACGCTTCGGCCGAAGTGTTCTCGACGACAGGAACAGGCATCACGATGTGACAGAACGTTTGTGTCACCTTTGTCTTCCTCTAGTCAATGTACAACTTTCCTTCTTCGATCTCAGTCGTGTTGATTGCCGAGGCAGAGGATGATCGGTGGACAAGAGGAAGCACAGATGCACTTGGTAGTAGACGAGGCCTTATGTTTGATACACCTGGGGGAAACGCCTCTCTGGGCTTTGCTGCCCTTACCTCTTACACCTTCTCAAGGTTATCGCCCCTACCGTCTTCTCTCCTCCATATCACTTTCCCACTCTTACGCTCTTCCACTTTGCTAACGTACTTGAGAGGCAGAATGCCCTTGCTATCCTCTCCGGCAGTCAGCACTGCCCCATTCGATGCAAGCTGGAAGCTGATGCCGTCTCGTAGAGCTGAGAGCATGTCGATGTGGATTAGCAGCGGAGATGTAGGTCTCATACCTATCGAGGAACGTGGTGAAGAGGGATGTACGTCAGATCTGGTTCTGGACTCGCTTGCTTCACAAAGACGGTCCTCGATTGCTCCGAGACTCACCGCTCCCCACACCTGGCACGCCTGGGCGGCCCCTCGCGAGATGGATGTGATTGCGCTTCATCTTGCTCAGTCCTCCACTGGCTTTGATCTTCTCCCAGGCATCGGGCGTTGTCCCATGCAGTATCTCAACACCTGGAGGTAGCCCATCGAGACTTTGGCCCACTTCTTCCTCTGTAGTGGCTTCGCTGTGATTCTTGTCATGTGCCTCGGGCTGCTTCCCTTGATCGCCTTCGCGAAGCTCGAGCACCTGAAGATTATTCAGACTCAAGACGACATGATCAAGCTCGGTCACGCTCTCGAGACTGTGACCTTGCACTGCTCTAACGAAAACCTCATCTCCCTCCTCCTTCATCTCAAATCTCTTCTTCTCTCCTTCCTTCCCCTTGACGGCCTCCTTGATGTCCTCCACCGTCACTCTCTTGAGCTTCTTCTTTCCGTCCTTTGTAAAGTCTCCATTCTCAGGGGCCATATCTATCTGTCTTATCCTCGGTTTTGCCAAGAGAAGAGGAACAGAGATGTAGCCGTCTGGTGTGATGGGGAGAGACTCTTTGAGAGCTCCATGCCGGAGGAAATACGAGAGAGCTTTGGAGAGTTGAACGGAGGGGGACTGAGCTGCAGGAGATCGAGGGTGTGGGGCCTTCTTTGCAGGCTTTGCTTTGGATACACTCGGGGCATCAGCGACCGCAGGAGCCGACGATGTTGAGGCTGTCTGAGTCTCGTCTGCCATGGCGAAGAAGTCCGTCGGTGGGCAGATGGTATGGCACGAGAAGGCGTACGGCCAAGAGACAGGAAGCTCTTCCCGCCGCACGCGAGGGCGGAACAAATTTCAAAAGGTGGAGCGGAGCAGCCGAACCAACACTTGGCCTGAGTTGGCTCCCAACACCTTTCCCCTGTGTCTTATAGAGCATAGACGTGTTATATAGCTTCCTTCTCCGGTTGTGATAGATGGACAGTCTCAACAGAGATGATCTTCATCTCGAGCAGCCGGGAAAGCGGTCTTCCCCAGACGGCAGTACGGCTGCTTACAATGCGGCAGGGCCTAGCAACGCGTCGCAGCAAGCTGCCAATCCCGCCCAGCCCATTCCGATAGCCACACCACAACGTCCGCAAGAACCTCACCCCCTACTCGTCGCCGTAGCCTCCTCCTCCTCTCCTTCCTCACTCGAGCCTAGACATGCTGCATTCAGTCACTCGCCTCTGCGGTCTCGGCGCCAGAATCTCCTTCAAACGCCCGCCAAGGCTCGTCAGACTGCGCTCGACCTGGGCGACGTAGCGCTGGATCAGCTCGACGCCGATGATCTTATTCCTAGCTCCACGCCATCAAGACAGCATGAGCAAGCGACGCCATCTGGCAAAGGCAAGGCTGATGGCTGGTCCAAAGCCCCGCACCGGCGAGACAGCGGTGATGCTGACAAGCGAAGCATCGTGGAGCAGCATCGCCTTCCTCGGCCTCCCAGCTTTGCCGAGTCGCAATTCCAGACAATCATTAGAAGACAGAGAAAACGACGGATCCTCTCTGCAGCTCACGAGGGTCGAGAGGATGTAAGCGGAGGTGCCTTGCCAACCAAAGGGGACGCAGGAGCGAGCACCGGGATCAAGCCGGACGTATTTGGCAGGCCGTCTAGCAGCAGTAGAGTCGATGCAGACAACCGCTTTGAGCAGACAGACATGGAAGACTCATATGGGTCATCATCGGGTCTGCATCTCAAAGTAGGGCGCAATCGGAGCGGACCAAACAGAGCAGGTCCGCTAAACAGCTATGAGTTTGCAGGATGGGGAGAGATGTCGATGCTCGAAGTCACGCCTGGAGAGATGGCTGCCGCCCGCAGACGAGTGGAGGATCGGGTGGTGAAGCCCTCGTCCCTCCTTGGTCAATTCAGAGCCACAGCCATAGCCGGAAATGCGGTCACTGGGTCCATCTTCTATGCTCTGCCTTCCATCTTCGCGGTTGCCGGCATTTGGACCCCTGTCTGCCTGGTTCTCGCTGCTCTCCTCATCATACCGGTGCTGGTGATAATGCACGGTCTCGCCAGCGCCCTCAAGTCTGCCAATGCTGGATCATACTCTTACCTCATCAACGTCAGCAGCCGCATGATCGCTCTGATTGGAGGAAGTATCACAATTCTCGACGCCATATCGACCGGAGCAGTATCCAGCGCTACTGCAGCATCGTACGTCTCCGAGGAGGCGCCTCGATTGTCGATGCCCATCTTCACGATCTTATTCCTCCTCATACTCACCGCAATCTGCCTTTTGGGTATGAAAGATAGCTCGACTATCGCCTTGAGCATGTTCACCCTTCACACGCTCTCAATCGCCGCACTGATCGTTGCAGGTGTCGTGTCATGGACTCGCACAGGCAATGCGGTCATCCGAGAGAACTGGAGTATCGCTGCCGGTGGGGCAGAGCTACTGGGAGGCAAAAGTACCGCTCGAGCACTCTTCGATGGGACCGTAGTCGCCTTTGTCGGTCTGACTGGATTCGAGACGACAGTGGCATATGCAGGCGACTTGAAGCCAGGTGCCTTCTTCCTCGCTCTGAGGAACATCTGGGTCACCGTGACGCTCCTGTCTGCACCGTCTGCCCTGTTGATTCTTGCGACCATCCCATTCCCCCAGATCCTGGGGGCCAACAACGTACTCGCTCTATTGGCCTCTTCGGCGGGTGGTAGAGCCCTCCAGCTCGTCATCGTCATCGACGCCTCCGTCGTCCTCTGTGGTGGAGTCCTCACCGGCGCAATCTCCTGCACTGGGGTTCTGCTTGCAATGGCCAAGGATGGAACCCTCCCTGGCAAGCTTGGCTGGGCCATTAAGAGGACAGGGGCACCTCTGTGGTGCTTGACGACATACCTGCTTCTGTGCGTTGCCATGGTGGCCACTGCCAGCTTCTCACAGATCACAGTCGCCAGTATTTGTGAGTCAAGACAGACATTGTGACGAGAGCCAGAGTACAAAGACACTAAATCCCCTTGCTTCTGCCCTCTCCTTTCCAGTCTCGATCATCTTCTTGGGTGTCCTAACTCTATTCGGACTTGCATCTCTATTGCTCCTCTTCTCTCGTCCTCTCTTACCAAGGAGCAAGGTATCCCTCCCAATCATCCTTCTCTCCCTCACAATCACCACAGTCTCCCTCGTTGGAAATGTACTCCTCTCTCCCACCTCTCTCGGTCTCACTCTCGCCTACCTCGGCGTTGTGGGAGGTACAGCCATCTGCTGGGCCAACAGGGTGCCTATTGCTCGCATTGGCCTCGTGTGGCTACCCGCACAGATCGACTGGTTCAGAAGGATCGGCGCGAGTAGTGGAGCAGTGGGAGCAGGGGCGGGGCGCAAAGGGACGAGAATCGATGAGAGAGTGGAGACGTGGATCAGGGAGACGAGGCGGTCGACGAAAGCTGTCGTGAGTGTACGCAAAGCCCGACCATGACCGAAGACGCTATCCCCTTCCCTTGGCCACATACTGACATTTGCTCACCTCGCACTTTCTCCTCCTTTCAGTTCCTCACGTCCTCCGATGAGCTCTCCGTCCTTGTCCAAGCCATCATCTACGTCAAGAACAACGAGCCTTCCATCGGCCGGGTCATCTTGGTACACTGCTACGACAAGGTCGACGAGATTCCTCCGGAGCTGGAGAGCAACCACCAGCTGGTGGACGAGGCGTTTCCAACCATTACGGTGGATTTGTGTTTTAGTGAGTGGTCTGAACGGAAATGAGGGCAAGGAAACGGATAGATCGATACTGACGACGCTATCTGCGGTCCTGATCGGTGATGTCGGAAGTCGAGGCGCCCTTCAATGCCACTACTCTGGAATTCCTATCTCACAGACTCAAGGTACCATTGCCGCGCTTCTTCATTGGCTGTCCGACGTCTTCGAGTCAGCAGGACGTAGGCTTGCTGGGCGGTGTACGGATCATACTCGACTGATCAACAGCTCATCCGGTCATGCACCCAGGGGGATTGACTTCTATAGACACGTCAATTCCAATATTATAACACTCAAACATGACATGAATCTACGCGGCTCTAAGTTCAAACATCTCCGTGATGGCCTCTAGTGATTTACCCTTTGTCTCTCGCATAAAGACGACGCAGATCCCCGATGCGATGAGGAGGGTGCTTGCAAAGAAGAAGTATGGACCTGAAGGGGTGGCTTTGAGAAAAGAGGGAGCAGTAAGGGCCACGAGGAAATTCGTAGTCCAGCTGCAGGGTAAGAAGTGAAGGGAGTGTGCAAGGCGTCAGTATCAAAGTGAGATAAGAGTACAGTGTCATGGAGGACGAGGATACTTACTTTGCTAATTGCTGAAGAGCTGCCGCACGAGATCTGAGCTTCGTTGGCATGATCTCGCTCGCGTAGATACGAGTTGCGACGGCCCACGTGCACGAGAAGAAGGCCAAGAAGGCGTAGATGCCCACTACTACGACCCATTTGGCATTGCCCCCTGTCAGGCGCACACCGCTGCTCGTCTGCCGTCCAAATTTCGCAAAGAGGCTGCCAATGACGATGTAGCACGTAGCCATGCTCAGTCCGCCGGCAACCATGGGTGGCTTGCGACCCCAGTGATCTGCCCAGATCTGGGCAGGGATCGTTGCTAGCACTGCAACGATCCCCAAGCCGCCGGAGGCTAGAAAGGCGCCCTCTTGAGAAGTGAAGACGGAGGCAAAGACAATGGGAGCAAAGTAGAGGATGACGTCGACGCCACTCAGTTGTTGGAAAGCCATGAGGATGATGCCCAAGAGGGATCTGCTTCGGTATCGCCTGTTGAACAATTCGCGGAAGCTCGCCGAGGAGGCATTGAGCCTGCGACTCTCGGCAATAGCGGCCTTGATGCCGTCCAGCTCAAGGAGAAGGAGTTCATCTTCTGAGCCATAACGACTTGGAGGGTGGTGATGGCCAGAGTGAGCAGAGAGACGCAGCTGCCTCAACGTGGAAAGGGCTTGATCTTCCCGTCCATTTTGGGCCAGCCAGCGAGGCGAAAAAGGAACGAGGAACAGAGTGGCAAAGCAGAGTGCGAGGGAGAGCACTGCCGAGAGCGCAAAAGGAAGTCGCCACTGTAGGCTCGAGTCGATCATAGAGGTACCATAGCACAGGAAGTAGCCCGTCATCAAGCCTACAGTGATGGCAAATTGCAGCATACATACCAGTTTGCCGCGAGCTTGAGCCGGAGCGATCTCCACGAGATAGATTGAGGCGACGCTGATCATCTGTCCTGCGCCAATTCCGGTGATGAGGCGAGCAATCTGCATCATTGCGAAGCTCTGCCCCGCGGCGCAAACAGTCGATGCCAGTGCGAAGATGGCAGCGCCGACGGCGATCCCGTAGCGTCGGGAGATCTTCTCTGCCACGACACCGCTGGCTAGGGAGCTCACTGACGCAGACAGAAGGATAGAGGCAACGAAGAACCCCTGCAAAGAGGTCGAGAGATTACCCACGGTGTTTGGGAACTGCGACATTTGGATGATGGGACCAATGGAGCCTGTTGGGGGCGGCGAAGATGCAATAGGATAGCGGAGGTCAGATCAGAGCGCAACCTCGATGACAGCCTGACAGACGACAGCAAATACTCGCCCGTGTCAAAGCCATACAGGAAGCCAGAAGTAGAGACGATGGCACCGATGAAGAAGAGTCTGACGGTTGGGGGCAGGAAGCTCGGCGTCCAGGCGCTCCTTGACATGAGCACCTCGTCGAATTTGGCTGGGGGCACATAGAGGCTTCTCGGAGGGTAGACAGGGGCTTCTGAGTACAACACCTCAACGGGCGTCGTTGTACCAGAGTCTTTCTTAGCAGAGTAGGGAACGGGGGCGGTATCGTGGTCCATGATGTCGTTGTGATTGTGTGAGGGTAGACGTGGTCCTAGACGTCGTCGGGTAGCTAAGACGAACGCGAAGTTCCCCGTATCTCGACCCGACTATCTCTCCGGCCTGCAGCCAATGCACGGACGGAGTTCAGAAGCCGAAATCTTGAAGGTCCGCCACACCGCGGAACGGAAGCAGAACTGCGGGCGCGGTGGGACTCGCCGCTGGGCCCGCCCCCCGCCCCGCCCACTGCAATCCGAAATTTGGGCCTTCCTTCCACCCACGCGATCTCCAGATATCACCCATCCCTACACATTCTCATCAACAAGTGAGTATACACCCTCTCGATCAACATTCGAGCATGGCATAGCATCAGCAAGCAAGCAAGCGCATACGCTTTCGCACAACCGCATCATCGCAGCAGTCTCCTTCGATGCGCCTGTCTCAGGCAAGCAGAGGGTAGTTCTATTCGGTAGGATGGCCTCTTCACATGAGTAGCCTCCTGGCATCACCGAACCCAAGCGTCTCTTCTTCCCAAAGAACTTGAACTGGGAAGGGCTGCGCCATGTTGCTGGTCTGAAGGCTGCATTTGGGAACGTCTTTGAGGACGATGGATGCTTTGCGTCTGCACATGTGCGAAGGCCGGATCGCTGGAAGCAAGTGGATTATGTCCCTAGCGACCATTGCGTACTTGCTTCCACTGGTCTCTGGCTTCGGCCATCGAGTCTCTTCGGGCGACAAGGGGAACCAGGGGAGCTACTCCTATGATCTGGTGTTGCGATTGCTGCTGCTTGCTGCTCTTGCTTTGCCTGCTACGATCTTTGAGAAAGCTGCGATCCTGACAGTATCGAACCTTGTCCCTTTCCCGCCTCTCTCTTTTCCCCATCCTGTAGTGGCACCCAAGGCAACCAAGAAGGCTACGTCCGACAACATCAACTCCAAGCTCGCGCTTGTGATGAAGAGTGGAAAGGTCACTCTTGGCCTCAAGGTGAGTTTGCTAAAGGCATATGAAGAGCGATAGACGGCACGTCGCTAATCAGAGAATCTTGTCGCACTCTTTCGCCACTTTTCAGTCTGCTCTCAAGAACATGCGCACTGGCAAGGCCAAGCTGGTCCTCATCTCTGCCAACACCCCACCTCTGCGCAAGTCTGAGCTCGAGTACCACGCCATGCTGTCCAAGACCTCGGTGCACCACTTCCAGGGCTCCAACGTTGCCCTCGGTACCGCTGCCGGTAAGCTCTTCCGTGTCGGTGTCCTGACCGTCATCGACGCCGGAGACTCGGATCTCCTCACCTCGGTCGCTGCCTAAGCGGTTCGTCGTGCGTTGTCCATATCCCCAGCATTTCTCAGAGGTCGTCTGTGGTGGAATCATCATTCACTGCCTTGGGCCTCGCCTCACCACACCCAAAAGGACCTTCGAGTGTCCCGGATAGGGCTCTTTGATGATCTTGTTCTCGTCACCCTTGTACCATCTAGCAGCTTCCTACATTCCATCTGGCAGGCTTTTGAGCCAGGAAAAGAAGATGATTGTCATGCTTCGAATCCAAATCAATTGCGTACACGAGAAGCTGTCAGAAGTGTGATGTTTCCACACTGCGCTGCACTATGTGCTTTCCGATGTCTTGCCCTCTTCCAGACCCTGGATGATGAAAGCAGTGCACCCATCTGCGTCAAGCCGCTGCGAGATGAGATGGGGGATGCCGTTTCTGTCACCGCCCCCAGGGCAAGGGTACGGGCGGGCGGGTGCGCAAGGTGGGTCCCCCAGGTCGGTCCCTTCGGCTGACTATGATCACCTTCCTGCCGCTGTGTGCGCGCACTGCGTACGATGGTTGTGGATGTCATCGCTATCCTTGTACCAGCAGTGCTGTGTCATGCCAACCAATGGTGGATGATGCGTCGGAGCAGCGTGGCCTGGCCTGGCTGGGCTGGGCTTGCTAGTCTTTACTCTCGGCTAGACGGAGCGGGAAGGCTGCTCCGCACGCCAGCGCCGAGTCTGGGCGCCTCACACGCATACGCACACACACTCACTCACGCCCACTCTGGCCTGGCACTCGCACACTGCCCCCACTTCGGTGCCGCTGTCAGTCATCGTCGGGAGATGATGGAATGAGGATACTGCGAGAGTCGTTGCCTTTGTTCTTGTGTCTTTACCTGTTCATCACCCAACCAAGAGGGCAGAGCTTCCTTCTTCAGCGGCTGCAAAAGCACGTCAAGTGACCCGCACCGCTGAAACGCGCAAGGCATCCCCCGCACACGCACCCACGCATCACACACACACACGCACACACACACGCACACACACACGCACACACACACGCACACACACACGCACACACACACGCCTGCACATCCCGCCACGGCAGCCAAGCAGCAGCAGCAGCAGCCTTCCTCCTCGGACCTCCTCTTCCTCGTCCATCGCATCGACAGACCATTACCACCGCCGCCTCCCACTCCTACGCAGACCTCATCTTTACTCTCCTCTCATCGTCCTTGGCATCACACGCCCACACACACACACGCCTTTGACGCCCATCCCTCACTCACTTGGCTCGAGCCGGGGACAACTCTGACCACTCCACCTCGAACAAGCTTGCAACCGGCTACCACCACCGGCTCCTCCTATCCCAGGCGCGTCTATCTATCTCCAGGTCTACCGCCGTCACACCTCGACTGCCCAGTCCATACCAGTCCTCCGACTGCCTGACTTGGTTCGCCATTTGGACGGTACCATCCCTCGTCCTCGCCCTATTAGTCGGAAGAGAAGATTGCACAGCCCACACTCGGCGAAGATCGCGTTCCCTCTCTCCTCCCTGCTACAGACCAGAAGGGCAATTTACGGCATATACTCATCTCCAGCTACATAGGTACATCTGTCCCTGCGTAACTTTCCCTTTGCAGTGAGTGATTTGACAGCAGTGATCAGGTTGACTGGCGCAGTCCTCCACGTCGCCCAGGGGAAACATCCCGGAGAAAGATGGAGGCACACCGAGGACCATGCTTGCAAGCGGGCAAGCCAGGGACTGTGCTCGTCCTCGCTGTCGCACTGCTGTTGGGGCTCGCTGCATCGTATCTCACGCCAAACAAGCGATGTTTGCACGCGGTCTGCATCAAAGGGGTGGATGCCGGGGCGTGCAGTAGTAAGCTTAGCCTGTGTACTGACTCTCGCCTTCACTTCCCTCTAGCTCAGAGCTTGCACGACCACAACGACACTTCACGACTTTCTTCCAAACACACCTCCCAGGTGACCTCGTCCGCGCACTACACCATCTCATTCAGACAACATGTTCAAATCCTTTGGCAAGATCATGGGGGGTTCAAGCAAGAAGGGCAAGTCGAAGTTGCCAGATGAGCAAGATGATGACGCCGGCGGAGCCGAATCTCTTGGGCGACCGGTCTCTACCGTTTCCTCGAGGGGCTCTACCGGTGGACCTTCCTTTACCGGAGTGCAAGCGGCAACAACGACCCCGGGCGGATCCGAGAATGGCTGGGGCAGTGGAGGCAATGTTACCGGGAGTGCCAGTAGCGGTCGGAGGAGCAAGAGTGGCTCCGTTAGCTCGGGGCCACCGACGGGAACAGGATCAGAAGGACAAAGGATCGAGAAAAAGGGAGGACTGAGTCGCCATGAATCACCACTGCCGTCGCCGACCTCGTCGGGGCGCAATCCGCTCTCAGACAGCGTGGACGGTAACGCCTTCGACAGTGGAAGCTTCTCCGGCGGCAGCCCGTATCAACAGTCGTCTGGCACCCCTTCCTCCTCACGTAACACCCCGGCCAATCAAGCGGCTACTGCCGCTGCTAATTCGGCGCCGGGCATCCCAACTACCCACACTATCCTGGCCAACCCACCAGGCTCGTCAGCAGGTCGCAGTATGCAATCAAGCAACAGTCTCGGTGGTAGCGCTGGAGGCGGCATGGGCGGCAACAGCTCCGGAGCCGACGGTGTTCGGACATTTGACATTGACGACATGATCTCCCGCCTGCTCGAGGCGGGCTACTCTGCCAAGGTGCCCAAGCCGGCGCTGAAGAATGCAGAGATCACGGCAGTGTGTCAGGCAGCGAGAGAGGTGTTCCTCTCGCAGCCTACGCTCATCGAGTTGAGCCCACCGGTAAAGATTGTGGGTGATACGCATGGGCAGTATCAAGATCTTCTGAGGCTCTTTGAGATGTGCGGATTCCCTCCCTCTGCCAACTACCTCTTCTTGGGAGACTATGTGGATCGAGGCAAGCAAAGTCTGGAGACGATCCTCTTGCTGCTATGCTACAAGATCAAGTACCCGGAAAACTTCTTTTTGCTAAGAGGCAACCACGAATGCGCCAATGTGACGCGCGTGTACGGCTTCTACGACGAATGCAAGCGTCGGGTCAATATCAAGATCTGGAAGACGTTCATCGACGTCTTCAACACCTTGCCCATTGCTGCGGTGGTAGCCTCCAAGATCTTTTGCGTCCATGGCGGTCTTTCTCCTTCACTGGCAAACATGGACGATATTCGGCGCATCGAGCGGCCAACGGACGTACCCGACTATGGCTTGCTCAACGATCTCCTCTGGTCCGATCCATCCGACACTGCTCTGGATTGGGAAGACAATGAACGTGGCGTAAGCTACTGTTTCGGTAAAGCCGTCATCCAACAATTCTTGGCCCAATACGACTTTGATCTCATCTGTAGAGCTCACATGGTCGTCGAAGATGGGTATGAATTCTGGAACGAACGGACCTTGGTCACGATTTTCAGTGCACCGAATTATTGTGGAGAGTTTGACAATTTCGGGGCAGTCATGAGCGTTTCGGAAGATTTGCTGTGTGCGTTTGAGCTGCTCAAACCATTGGATGGAGCGGCATTGAAAAAGGAAATGCTCAGGAGTAAAAGACGGTCCGGACAAATTGGATCGTATTGAGAAGTGGAGGCTGAGAAGAGAGGGGGAGAGAGAGACAAGTGAGGAGCACTTGGGCGAAGAAGGGAGGAGGAGTGTAGGGATGGAGTACAAGTGGTGGTGGGTGGTGGCTGATGGGTGGGGGGAAGAGGGGCGGGGAAACAATTGTCCATCATCGTCGTCGTTCGTAATCATCAGGCAGAAACATCTCTCTCGTCGCGTGCAAAATTTTCAGAAAAAAAGAAGCTTCATTCGTTCACATTGCCTTTACCCAAGTCCAAGTCTAGACTACACCAGCTCGTCTCTCGACACTGAAAGTGAGCTCCCTTCCGCTCCCCTTTTCTTCTTCCTGCCACATCTCACCCAATCCCACTTCCACTCCCACTCCCACTCCCACTCCCCCATCCCACTTCCACTCCCACTCCCACTCCCACTCCCACTCCCACTCCCAATCCCAAGCTTACCTAGAGCGTACTCAAGATCGCCCACCCAGGTGCAGTGAGCAGTACACGCGGACCGTCCATGTGCACTCGTATTGTAGCTGGAAAAGGAGGAGGAAGAAGAGGAGGAGGAGGAGAAGTGGAAGTAGAAGTGGAAGTGGAGGAGGAGGAGAGGGAAGGGGAGGAGGAGGAGAGGGAAGAAGTCAAGTCGTGATCGCAGTAGGCGTCTGTGGAAGGATGAACCAGGGGCAAGGAGGGCAAGGGCAAGGGCAAGGGGATGGGGAGGAGGTCAACAACGAGTCTGCTTATCAAGGTGGTCGCTTCTCACTCTCACTACAGAAGGCGCCTAGCTAGACGTCTTGCTCTGCTCTGCTTTGCTCTGCTCTGCTCTGCTCTGCTTTGCTCTGCTCGGCTCGGCTCGGCTCGGCTCGGCTCGGCTCGATAGTACTTACAGAAGCGACTTCCAGTAAACATGGTATGGATCTGTGGCTGCTCCTCTCCTTCTTCTTCTTCTTCTCCTTCTTCTCCAGCCAACTCAGATCCAGTCGCAGCCGAAGTAGGCTTCACGTTTCCGTCCGAATAGTCCGGATGAGCATTCAGTATCCGCAGGAAGAGGGAGGTAGTAGATGCGATAGTGGTGGTAGTAGCAACACCAGTAGCAGCAGAGCCCGTGCCGGGGAAAAGGGCGAAGCGATACTCTTGCGAAGACGATTCTAAGGTGGTATTTCCTGCTCCATTCGTACTTGCAGTCGCAATTGGTATTGTAGTAGTGCCATTTGAAGTAGCACTCCCATGGCCGCCGCCCCCGCCATTGCTAATGGACGCAGTCCGCGAGCGCCGTGACCAGATGGCGATCAGTCGGTAGCCAGCAATGGAGACGGGCTGATGTGGGTGGGCGTCCATGGAGGTGAGGGAGCACTTGTGCCTGTTGACACAGGTGCAATGGGTTTCACACCGCACGTCAGCAATCTTCTACCTCCTCCTCCGCCTCCTCCTCCCAACCTCCATCTATCGACAGCTCTTGCAACGCAATCGGTACTCACAGATTTCCCCTCACCCAGTGCGAGTCAAGCGTGATCCAATCCTCGCCCCATAAACTCACCGCCCCGCCCTTTGGGAATGCCAACTCTAGGAAAGCCCTAAGTTCTCCCACCCACACGAAGCCCTCGACGCAAATGACCACCAGGGCATTGTCCTCGTAGGGATTCCTCAGCCTCTTGCCTAGCCCAGTACGCGTGTACGAAAGCCCTCTGACGGGTCGCGAGCGAACGGGTAGGCGGATCTCTGCCGTAAGTGGCTGGGAGGAAGACGGGAGATAGAGACTGAGAGTGCTTCCCCAGTCTTGGCCCTGCGACGAGGCCGGAGGTTTGCTGAGAAGGAAGACCAACGGGCCCACCAGATTTGCACTGAGTAGCTGTGGTGTGCTTGGTGAAGGGGAGCGCGACCAGACGAGGGACCAGGCCTTGGCAGCGCTGCCGTCTGCCTCGCTAGTGTCTTCCTCTGAAGTCTGCCGACGCTCTTTCCACCGCCGGAGCTCCACCTCTTCACCGAGACGGAGGAGCATCACGTCTGCGCAGACTTCGAACTGTAGCGAGTCCAAGTCGCCCGCGGGAGCGGAGCAGACAAAGGGAGCAACCGTCTTCGGTCGACCGGAGGTGATGTCGAAGACGTAGACTTCGAGCTTGCAGAGATCTTGCGCAGAGTCAGTGGAAAGGGGATCTGAGGCGTCGACTCCATTGGGCGTCGAGCTGATACCATTGACTGGCTGAGATGGCGCCCGAAAGGCTTGCTCTTCTTTTGAAGCCTCAGATGCATCCAGCGAGGGAGAGGCATACGCGATGCCTACGATTCCCTCGTCCTCATCAACGTCGTATGCAACGATGCTTCCAACCGCAAGGTCCTTCTCGAAGACCCTCTCTGCACTTTGCGGCAGCGCACCACCTTGTTCGCCCCCATCTACCGACTCGATGTCCCACATGGCTAAACGGCTACGGCTACCCTCTCCCTCTCCATCTCGCAGCACGTCCCACACCTTGCGCCCCACGAGCCTTGCCTGCCCTGCCCCTCTCTCCTCAATTCCGCTCAACCTGTATCGCCTCCTCCCCTTCCTCCCTTTTCTCTCCCTCATCCCCTCAGTCCCGTCGCCTATTACTCCACCACTGCTTCCGCTCCAAGAGCTCCTCTCCAACATCCTCCTCTCTCTCTCCAGATCCCTCGGCCCATTCCCACCCGGCACGAGGGGTAGCCTCGGTAATGGGAAGCCGTGTCTCTGCACCGCTACCAGATAGCGTACCACGCTCGCAGGGTGAGAAGCCCATAGACGCTGCGAGGAGGAGCAGAGCGAGAGCGCGGAATGTAGGGCAGACACAGAGGTTGTGTATGGATGACGGGGAGGAGAGGTGAGGAGGAGATGGATGAGATGGGAGAAGAGCTCTGTCGGGAGGGAGAGGAGGGTGGGGGCGGACGAGGAGGAGGAGGAGGACACACCGGGACTGCCCGGGCGAGAGGAGAGGAGCTGGCTGTCCCTCATGGTATAGAAGAGACGACTACTGGAGGAACAGGAGAGGGTCTGCCCTGAGTGACTGCAAGCGTAGAGGGAGTGATTGATATGCTGATGTTGCCCAGACGGGTACGGCGATCAAGACTGCCCCTCGGCGATCTCCACGCCCAGCAATCAACGGAAAGAGAGCGTGGGGGCGTGTGGAGGCATGGCTGGGACCATCAAACAAATCACTCGTTTAGAACAGTACGGCAGCCCGAGAGGAAGAAGTACGAATGCCATTGCGCCCCTTCAAGCTACAGTGCCAGCCTTTCCTTGATCCTCCCCTCGAGATCCGCATCCCCGTCCTTCGTCACACCTTCCACGGCACTCCTGAGCAGCCCTGCCACCACTTCCTCATCATCGATGTACAGCGCCACGCGCCGACGAATGATGCGAAGCGTCACCACCACCTCCTCAGTCCAGGCATTAGAGCTGGCATCTTGCTGCGGTAGCTTGGCACGTAGCGCTTCGACCAGGTGGGCAGAGGCGACGTGAACGTCGCCCAGGAAGGCGTTGCCGCCGCCGCCGATGCTCGATGCAGGACCAGTGGTGCCTTCAGCTTGAGGCGCATTGCTGTTGTCTGCTGCTGTGGGATGAGAGCCCACCCCAATCCCCTCGAGAAGACCAGACATGACCTTCATGACGGCTGACACATCCAGTAGACCCGCCCTCCCCTGTGCCATACCGACCCCTTCGCTGCCACCAATGCGCTGCTCAAGCCGATCGTACCCTGAGAGCTGCACAAGGCTGAGATCTACCGATGCGGACACTTCGCGCAGTAGAAGAGCGTTGCGCAGCGCAAAGAGGGCCGAATCGAGCTCGTCGGGCTCGTACGCCTGCGTAGCTGAGTCATCGCCGTCCTTGGCTACGGCTTCAGCCTCTGTCCCAGCTCCTTGGGCACTCAAGCCCCCCTTCTCCCTCTTCTTGCTCAAGACAGCAACCTTTCCCTTCAGGACCTCGTTGCCCCTCTGCACTGCGCCTCGCACCTTCTCCAGCGCCTCCACACCAACCTTTGCAAATTCGTTACGGTTGAGGACAGAGTGAAGTAGGGAGAGGACGGTGAAAGCCCTGATGAGAGGGAGGTACCAGGTCGCGAGAATCTCGGCCGGGGGAGGCTTGAAGAGCTCGATGGAAGGAGCGTCGGGAGGAGAGCTGTTGCGTGGAGTGGGAGGAGCCAGAGTGGACGGGGCGCTGGTCCCGTTGGTTCCACTTGCTTGATCTGCTCCTGCTCCCAATTTTGCAGCCGACAAAGTGTCACCTTGCCCGGAAGCCTGCTGCTGCTGCTGCTGTTCTTCTTCACTCTCCTGCAGAGCCTTCTCAGCAGCAGCTTTCAGAATGCCCACGCCCAGGCTACTTCGGCCTCGCTTGCCTCTGCGACCCACGACGGTCCTGCCACGCTTCTCCTCTGCAACTCCCTCGCCCCGGACGATCTTCTTGATCAAATCAATCAGCTCATCACCATCGCCGCGTGGTGAGTACCCGGCAATGTCGCCCCCGCTCAAGACCGCCCTGGAGCGGTACAGAAGCCTGGTCTGTATATCCTTCAAGAGGGGCAAAGCGAGAGGCTTGAGCAAGTACGTCGTCTCCTGTGCGGTGGTCGATAGGACGTAGCGGGCAGGCACATTCGAGAAGTCGTATGGGTCCTGAGAAGAGAAGAGGAGGTAGCAGCTCTGCGCAGCCTCTGTTCTACTATGGCTGGTAGAAGTACTGCAGCTCTCCAGGACTGTCCTCGCCAATGCAGCTAGTGTTGTCACCTTGGACTCGGCGAATACGCGAGGGTGCAGACGATCGATCAAGTCTTTGCTCAGTGACTTGAGGAACTCGACAAGAGCCGCTTGGCCAGTAGAAAGCGCATCCTTTTCGCCAAAGGTCTCTCGGTACAGCAAAGCCTCGGAAAGAAGCACCGATCGAAGCAACAACAGGGCCCGGGAGGTGAAAACCAACAGAGGTGAGTTGGCTATAGCTATGTTGGCCGGAGCATTGTGCGCCCTTGTCTCGATCTTGGCCAGGACACTGGCAATCAGTGGAGAAACGACTGCCCTCCTCGCATCGAAGTAGGCAGTTCTGATGTCGTTCAAGAGTGTGTTGAATTCGCTGAAGGTGTTGATGCTACGCTCATCACTCGATCCGGCCTCATCATTCGGCTCTTCGGCATCCTCCTGGTGGGTATAGTCTGCCAGCAGGGCCTCCTCATCAGTCGGCAGCTTCCCCGTCTGTGGTGTTGGGGGCAAAGCGGAAGACGACGCAGCAGGACACCGCTTCTGGACCTCGGAGAGGACCGAAGATAGCTCGGGCGACGCTGCGACAAATTTGGAGTAGAGGACCTGCAGGATCGAGGGTGTGGAGAAGTCCTGAACTCCAGCAAGGCAGGGCCGTAACCTCTCGTCAGCCTTCCCTCCCGTCAAATTCACGCTTTTGACACCGGCGTACTCACCATCAATGCCGCCTCTACGTCGCTTTCCACGTCTTCCGCACCTGAGCCATCGCGCCCAGTACCTTTGAGGTTCTTCTCCCTCTCCTTGAGCCTCCCTACTGCCTCGTCCTTGAGCTCTCTCCATCGCCCACAAATCCACATCTTGGCCAGATTACCTCCTCGTGTGATACAATGCTCGAAGCGCAACCGATACAGACTTGCATCCTTGAAGTGTGGATGGGCCCGGATGAAGCTGAGGCCAATGTCTAGCTGAGCTAGTATGTGTGGAAAGGTGGGGGTGAGGACAAGGGAGAGGGACGGGCTGGAAAGGAAGCTCGTGGCCTGTGGTAGCAGATTGTAGTAGCTCAGGTAAACGTCTAGCTCTTGAGCCAAGGCTAGCAGAGATTCGGCTCGTCCGCCCCTCCTCTCCGACTCCTCTCGCAGCTCCTCGGACGTCTCCTCTACGGACTTGACTCCGGCAAGGAGCTCAGCTACATTGATTCTGGCTTGTTCTAGCTGGGTGAGCAGCTCAGTCGTCTGCGCTACTGCCGAGTGCATCTGTGCAAGAGCGGCAGAGTGGCTTGCGACGGAGGAATGGGATGGGTCGTTGGCTATGCTCGAGGCTTGAGATGCCTTGATCGACTCGAGCCAGGGTAGCAGGGCCGAAGATGATGTGATAGGCACCGACGGCAGAGTGGCCTTGCTCGAAGAAGCTACTGGAGTAGAAGCCTCGTCTGAAGCATCCAGGACATGTTTGCCACTGCTCAACTCCGAGTGATCGCCCAAGGCTCCTTGGTACGGCTCCTCATCCTGTCCCCTCTCGACCTTCTTGACCCACTCGGCCAGTTTGGCAACAGTATCCAGCTGCTTGGTACCCAGTAGACCCTGATGCCAGGCATCAAGACTGACAGGAGCTCTCACCTGGGCTGATGAAGCTCCTGGATTGGGAGAAGCGGGGGCAGGTCCATTGCGGCGCATAGGTGACCTCGGACGAGGGGGGGAGGGTTGGTATGCGCCGGTGACGCCTGCTCCGCCGCTCGAGGGCCCAGCGTTGTACTGTTGCCGCATCATGATGTCATATAATGGGAGAGAGAAGCCATAGGAAGCGCAAAGAAGTGAAAAGGAGGCAGAGGACTTAGTCTATGGGAGGAATACAAAGGTGCAGCTGCGAGGAGGGGTACAGGCCTCGGCGGTCAATGGCGGGCGGGGCACCGACCACTTCTTCGCGGACCGAGACGCGTGGCGCCAACAGCGACGGGCACTGCCAACCATCCCCGAGCACCAAGCACTGACGAGAGCTTCGTCGTTGGAGGCAGCGTCAGCATGGTAATATCGGTCAGCAGCAGCAACAAAGTACAGAATACTCGACATGGAACAGGCCATGCGAGCATACGATATGCGGGTTCACCTGGCCCCTCTCACACCTTCAGGCTTCAGACCTCGTCTGCCTCCACTCGCTCGCAGGAAGTGACACTGATACGGATTCCTGTAACACTTCGCCCGATCTCTACAGCCTATGATCTCTTCGCCGTATCTCTCAGTCTTCCATCTCGTTATCCATTGCCTCCTTTGCCAGCCTCGCCGCCTCGTCGATCTTGTCTTGCGGCACCAGCTCTACCTGACCCTTTCCACCCTTTGTTTGAGGACCAATCCAGGCCATCTCCAGCTCAAAGTCCTTGTCCTTGGCGTCATCGTGCACCTTGTAAATACTGTGAGAATAGATTGGAGAGATGATCAGCGATCTCGAAGTCTCAAGCATCCCACTTTGCCCTGTCTCACAGCATATCCTCCAGCCTGTGCTTCAGTACTCACATCTTCGCAGCCTCCTTCACTCCATCCTCCAAGCTTAGCTCGCTCAGATCAAGCTTCTCAATCTCCGTCTTGGCCAGCTGCCTAGCCTTTCCTAGTGCAGCGCCCTTGTAGCCCCAGTAGGTGCCCGATGGCTCAATCAGGTAGATCTGCGGTCCCTCAATCTCGTCAATTCCGAAGAGGAGGGTGGAGATTCCAAAGGGTCGCACGGAAGAGTAGAGGGTGAAAGCGTGGATGTAGGACGAGAGACGGCGTGCCAGCGTCTGTGAGAACGGTGACAGAAGGAGGATTCGGCAGGTTGACAGTAGGTGAGTGACAATGGTCAAGACAGAGAGGAAGTCCAAGCAAAGCTCTTTCCCTTTGCTCGTGCCATGCTCCAGATTCAACTTACCCCTATCGGCGCTGGGAATTTGTAGGTATCTCTGAAATTGACAGCTTCCTGTCTAGCTCGGTCGGCCAAGTGGTATCCATCGGCAATCAGTCCAGCAGTGGCCTGGTGAGAGCAACGGGGCGGGACATAAACGTCAGCACTTCACCTTCGCCTTCTATTCGCCTCCTTTTTCGGCCTGCTCCTCCTCTGAGCCAACTCACAAAGCCGGCATGTCTATCAATGTTCAGAATCCTCCTGTTCGTACCCTTGACCAGCAGCTTAGTATTCACAAGCTTCTCTACCGCCAGGACAATTCCATCTTTGCACTTGATCCCAATGACCGTGCCTGCATTCTCTACGGCCTTTTGGGCGTACTCGATCTGAAAGATGCGACCGTCGGGAGAGTACGTGGAGGCGGAAAGGTCGTAGCCTGTTCCTTGAGAGGCCATGGCTGGACTGAGTGATCTTTGAAGGTGAGGAAGATGTGTGAGAGGTAAGGATTCAGGTGAGAGGTGTGGGATGTACCACCTCGAAGGACGGACGGACGGGGCTGACGACGCTCGAGCGCAGTTTGAATTTCTCCACCACGCTCGCGGGCCACACAGGCGCACACGCCAGAAATACGAGCGTGAAGTAGCCTGATGATATACTAGAGCCTACAAGAACTTCTTTTGATCCAGTCGAGGTAGGGCTCGAACAACTCATCGCAGGTAAATGTTCGTAGCCTCACCCTTTTGCCACGTCTACTCGAGGCAAGCAGAAAGATTTATAATAAATTACTGTAGTAAAGGTATACTCCACAACTGGGTACACAGGACCACTCGAGGACTGTACGCTAGCGCTCCGCATCCACCCTGTCCTCTCTCGCCTCTTCACCTCTTCATCTCGCTAGCCTCTTGGCCTTCCACTTACGGTCTACACTCCTCTTGACGCACCACAAGTGAACCTGAATCGCAGGCGGTATCAACGCGAGTCCAGACAGCACGCCAGCAAATACGTGCAGGGTCCTCGTCTCCTTGGTATTTGGCACATGAATGTTAGTTCCCCAGAGCGAGAGGTAGCAGGCACAGGCCAGGGCAGTAATTGTAACCGTGGCGAGGATGATGAGCGTGTTGTCGGTGTTGGCCTTGGAACGTCGACTATTGATGCGCACAGCAACGAGGTAGTTTTGATACGTTTCCGAGAGGCGTGACTCGCCGGCGTGGAGGAGACCGAGGAGAGTGACAATGTGGTCGCCTACGTCGCCCATGTGTACGCTCACTTCAGCGGCAGCTGCCGATGCGCTGAGGCCAGGACTACGTCCGCCACCTCCTCTGGACGGCCCATCGTGGTCCCGTCTAAGCTCGCCCAAGCGCTTCCTCAGGCCACGGATCGTGTCATTCTTCGGCAGCAGCAGCCGGGAGAGTCCGTTGACGATCTTACGATTGGCCGAGATACGCTGCAACATTGCAGTCGCCTCTGCTGCCGTGACGCGCTTGTTCTGTTCCTTCAGATGTAGACCAATCTGGGAGCGCGTCGGTCTACCGGCGATCTTACCATCGTCCAGGATGGTAACCCATCTTGAGGTCTGCAAGAATGAAGGGACCACCCGAGTGAGAGAGGGTGGGATGATGACCTGCGGGAGGAGCCAGAAGACAGGGCGTTGCACTCGATGGGACGTCTCAAATGCGGACAACGGGAAAGGGCCTGGATTGTCGTTCTTGCCACGAATACCAGTCAAGCCCGCTCGACCGTTTCCCCCAGGTCGATTACCAGCATTGGCTTTGGCCTGCTCCGCGAGTAACATCTGCTCGAATGGCGTCTTCTCCTCGCTCGTTTCCCTTTCAATCTCGCCAACTTCTGCCTCGACAAAGTCGACCAGAGGAAAGAAGGCGTCGACGATGGAATCGAGGAGTCCGTGGAAGATCCAATCTGAGGTGAGGTCGCTGTGCTGCGTGGGATCCAGGATCCTGCGCCGAACGCGATCGATGTGTTTGCTGACGTCTTCCGTGTGGAAGGTGAGGATGCCATGCGAGAAGACGACCAGGTAGAGATTGCAAGCTCCAACGCTCAGTCCTTCCAGTCCTTCCTTTCCTCCTGCGCCTTCGATAAGATCGACTCGACCTTTGGCAGTCTGCGGAGAGGTCTCCCTTCCGCCAGATAAGGACGGCGATGACTTCCCGCTAAGGTCTGACATCTCAAATGAGTCGCCGTGGCCTTCCGACTTTTTCGCTGCTCGACCTCTCAATGTTCCCGGAGAGCCTGCACTCTCGTTTGTGAGCTTGGAAGCCTTCTCATTGAGGATCGGAGAAGCCGTTGCATCACTCTCTTGTCTGCCAGTCTTGTCCACGGCTTTGGAGGAGCCGCTCGCTTGCGACGAGGATGAATACTTGAAGTAACGTTCATCGATTGTACGAATCACGCCAAAGTAGTAGCCAAGCTTGGCAAAGACTTCAATCTTCTCTCGCGGTTCCTGCTGCAAAATATCTTCAACAGTGAGAGGATGTAGAGGGAAGAGCTTGGAGATCTCTACCATGTCCGCAAAAGTGGGACACGAGACGTCGAGCCACCATGCTTGGCCCGGAGAGGGAGTCATGGAGACGCCTCCGGCGCCTGGGCCTGGCAACTCGGGAGGAGCGCCACTCGATTGGACGACTCTGCTCCTTGACCGCCTTCGACCGGCAGGAGACGTACGGCCAGAAGTAATTGGAGTTCGGGCCAATGCCTCCTTGGACGCAGCCGCAGCGAACGGCCTCGGTGTTAGGGGCATGTCCGACATGTGCCAGCCGGTATTCCTCTCGCTTTCGTATGTCTGATCAGGATCCTGACTTGCGAGCTTCCTGCGCTCATTCTGGATCGGCGGCGCCAGGGAGTGATCACGCGGAGGCTCAGGTGACAAAGCGCTGGGCTGAGGCTCTGCAGGGACATCAAAGAGCGCATCTGGCAGATCTAGTGCTGGTGGAGGCAGAGCAAGATCTCCGTCCTCGAAGTCGAGATCCATCTCGTCATCACCATCCATCGCGTTCGTATCTGCAAATCGGGCGTGCTTGGCGCTTGCATGTCTTGAGAGCGAAGTGCCCGATGCCTCATCATAGCGTGTGTTCCGTCTACGGCGGCGGTAGTGCCTCGACGCCATATTCGCCTCTTCTGCAGCATCAACGTCGGCTGCTCCCATGCCTAAATCGCCGCCTGCCGCGTCCCTCTGTCGCAACTGATGCCGATAGTCTCTCAGTCGATCCTTGACTTGGATCCAGTCCTTCGTCTGCAAGACCTTGTCTCGAGGTTCTCGACTAGAGCCTTCCCCGACGGGTTGGCTCCCTTTGACCATGTCCGCTGCTGACACCACCGGCTCTGTTGGGCTGATGCCACTCCGTACCGGCAGGGAGGCCGCGGTGAACAAGGTATACTCTGTAATGCCACCAGCCTTCTCGCGCAACTCTCTAGCTTTCAGTCTCGCCTTACGGCTTGGCCGTGTGGGAATTAGAGATTCTTTCTCCATACGTTGCTGGTGCTGCTTCGCCTTCTTTGCCTGTCTCCTCAATCTCGCTCTATCAGCACCTCCCGCGATTGTGAATGGCGCTCTCGGTGTTCGGGGCGCAGTACGAGGCGTTGGTGGGTACGCAGAATTCCTGACCGTCCAAGGGCTGCGAGGCGTGCCAGGCATGGCCGAGTCTGCTCGGGACGAATCTGGCGAGTGCGACCTTTCGGATGCTTGAGAGTGGTGGGCATTTGATCGAGTCGTTTTTGTCTTTGAGAAGCGCGAGAGATTGAAGGCGCCGCGGAAGGGTCCTTCTGAGCTACTACGAGAGCCTTGACCCTCAGAGCGGCCGTCATCGCTACGGCTATCGCTCGAGCTGGAAGAACTAGATGAGGAGCTACTGGAAGAAGAGCCAGAGTCACCAAAGAAGGCTCGAAGTCGACTGAGGGTTAGACCGCGCCCTGAATTGGTAGAGTCAGAGGAGCTGCTGGACGAGCTGCTAGAGTCTGAACTCAGGGCAGAGGTACTAGCTGCAGACCCTCTGCTCCGACTGCTGCCTCTGCTCGCTCGACTGCCTCGGCTGCTCTTACCGCCATGACTTGCCCGCCTCTGCGCCCTTCTCCTCACCCTCGTCGCAGAGATGAAGTCATCAAGACCTCGGTAGAGATCGCCATCCTGGAAATCTGTCGGCAGATCCTTCTTACGAACGCGCTTCTGTTCTGGTGCGAACTGCAGTCTCCTCGTCTTTCCCCTTCCTTTTCGAAGAGCAGCCTGTGCGAGGGCTTCTGCAGTCGTCTCGTTGGGCGCTGGAGGTACGATGGGATCATCGAGAGGAGGGACGCCCAAACGATCAGCTTCCGAGAGATGGGCAGCCTCTGCGCCTTCAGCAGGCTGGGAGATGACGACAATCTCAGACTCTTCTGCTTCTTTATCGGCCTCTCTCTTCCTCAGAATGCCCTTTCGCTTTTGTTTGGTTCCCGCCGATGACCTGCTATGTGCTATTTGCTTGGCGTCAGACGGAGCAGACGACTTGCCATCCTGTCTTGAGCGAACCCTCGAGGTAATCCACCCTAGTGTTGCGAAGCCAGCCTTGGCCTGCTGCGAGGATGCGGCGGATCCCCTTCGGCCTTGTCCCTGTCCTTCATGATAAGAAGAGCTCGGCCTTCTCAATGTTATCGTATCGTCCCGATGATAGTATTCGGGCGAGCGGGGGCGAAAGCGAGGCGATTCTTGAGCCGGTGTCCACGTGCTAGTAGGATGAGATTGTTCTCGCCTCCGAGCTTCTCTCTCAGCGGCCGATGGTAGTGACCGCAAGGCATCGTCCATCAGCGGGTTTTGCGAGAGTTGCGGGCGCCATTGATCCGACGGGCCATCAAGCCGCAAGGGAGGGAGATGGGCAGGGGTCGGACGTGAGGGACCAGCTTTACCCCTCTCCCCTTGTTCAGCTTCGTACTCATACTCGTACCTGAGCGAGGGAGAGCGCGTAGCCGAGGAGCCAGAGCTCTGTGTCATCTTTCCCTGCAAGCTGGCGACCCGTTCAGTCTCGTATCAGGGCTGAGCGTGTCCAGACCCCCTGTATGCGGTGTTCTTGTCCGGTCGGTATACACTAGGGCTGTAGGTGCCTCAGTGTCGCAGCAGGGTCACGGAATGCCATGGCTCAAGGACCCAGGGGAGCCTCAGTGGGTATAGTCACACAAGAGGGTGGCCTCTTTCGGCTCTGAAGTCGGCCGGAGGAAGATGATGTCGATATGGTATGGATGGTTAGCATTGAAGGCAAGCAGCGGCGAACACATGCTGTGTTGCTCAAATTTGGTTTGCGCCGGGGCTCAATGCTGCTTCCGCGGGGCGCTTGCTCCGCTTCGCATCCCCGCATGACACACGCCGTTACTTCACTCGAAACAGCAAACTGTGAGTATGTAAATTTGACCGAGGCACTTGACTGCAGAGGACGGGACAGGGATAGCAAGACAGACGAAAATCTGGCGGGGGCAGTGACTAGACGCAACAGATCAGGATGAGGGATACATGCAGCGATGAGTAGCGGGAAGGAGCTGCGACAGGGGCACGAGGCTAGAAGGAAATGGGAGATGATCTATGAGAGATGCCAGAGAGAAGCCACATTGACGCAACCGTCCATGGATGAGAGAGTGATTACAGCAGTGCTGAGCAATGCGGCGATCGTTCGTAGCAAGCCAACCAAGACCGGGCGGGTGCGGAGCGCCCGGAGCCCGCGAAGGCAGCGAGAGTCTCCTTGACCGTGGTGGCCCCATTGAGTGGTACGCCTGGCTCAAGGAGCAGACTGCCGGCGAAAGCTTTTTGCGGGACCTGGAGCAGCATCGGCTGCAGGCCCCGAACGTACTGTCCCCATCTACACGGTGATTTTCCTTCCCTTCTTCTTTTCACTCTCTGTGTGACTCTGATATTCCACATCCGTCATCAGTCCCTGGCCTCCCAACTTCTGCTCTGGGGCAAAGCCAAGGATCTCGGTCTTGAACTTCTGCCCGATGGCCATCAACCGCTTCACGACGTCTTGTACTGCAGCAGCATCTCCGCCGGGGACCGAAGCCGGGTCGTCCGACTTCCTTGTCCAGATTGCGATACGGTAGAAGTTGGATCGTGCCGACATGATGACACCGGTGATGAGCTCTGAAAGATCTTCTGAGTTCGGCGAGGTAGGGGTGGTCTCTAGTGTCTCGCCAATGGCGCTGAGCATCGTGTATAGCCACAGCTTGTCGATGTCCTTCCGCGACTTGTCACGGGGCAATTGGATGCTCCACTTGCCTCCATTTGCGTTTGCTGGGTCCTCCCAGGCAGGCTGAATACCCTCCTTGAAGAGATAGTAATTAGCTTTTTGCGGTAGCTCAGAGGGTGGAATGATATTGTTGTATAGTCCCCAAAATTCTTCTACCGAATCAAATGTCACCACCTTGTTCAGGTCCTCTCCCCACGAGTCCTTCGAGCCCTTTGCGGCCGAAGCATTCTTGTGCGAAGGGTTGTCGAACCAGAGAGTCCACACATTGTAAAGAGGATGCTTCACGTTGAAGTCTTCCTTGTCATCGAATACGGTGCGGATGGATTCATCTCCTGCCTGGTCAGAGGAGGCCATTTCGCTAGCGTCGGCGTTGGATGATGTCGAAGCTCCTTCGTTGACTGACTCCTTGATGGCAGACTCTACGGCAGCTTTCGAAGCAGCAGCTGGCTGTGATGGAAGGGTAGTGCTCGTCATAGTCTGCGAGAAAGCGCTCGTACCTCGGCAGTGGGTCGAGGTGGAGGTATGAGATGAGTGAGACGCGGAGGGGCGAGGAATCCGGCTACGATATGCCTAGCTCTGAGCAGCGGAGGAGGTCGGAGGGAGGGACGAAAGCTCTGGTGAACGAGTAGAAGGAAGCCCAAGTGACGATGCGAGCGAGCGAGAGTTGAAACGATGGACGTTCGTTCGTGGGCAGAGTGAGCAAATGCCAAAATTTTGTGGGCAAGGACAGTGCTTGACGAAATCGGAAGTACAGTACTTCGCTACGTATGTATGGCTGCCGTCTGTAAGATGAGATGGATGCGAGACCACGGTGGCGGATGAAGGATGATGGTTGGTAGGGCGTGGTACGACGATGGCTGGAAGAAACGCTCAAAGGGCAGGCGGCAACTCCAGGGGGCGAAAATCGCCTCTGGGGGACGGACGCAGAGGAGGCCTGTTCGCGCGCGGAAACCGGAACGGAAGGCGAGATAGATTGTGGCTCAAAAGTGGATTGAGGAAGGAGCTGAGGGACGGCGAGGAGGTCAGTCAGCCATGGCTCAGACTGTAATCCTCTCTCATCCTTATCTTCCTACCATCAGCTGCCAACGTCCACAAGGCGCACAGGGGCAGCTCAAGGCCAGAGTCTCGAGGCCTCACGCCAAGATCAGAGTCTAGCGCCGAGCGTTGCTTTGAGACCCGTCCTACCTCGCGCCGTTGCCTACCGCCACCCAGGACTCCTCCACTAGGATGACCACACTGACGGGTAACCTCGTCTGGCAAGAGGCGTTGCAGGAGGATGACGGACGCAAAGCTGTGGGAAGCAGCAGTAGGATCGACCCATTCGCGTCCACGACTACTGTCAGTCCCACCCGGAGACCGGCCACTCGCAAGCAGAAGGCAATAGCAGCTTGCTCTGGCGCCATCGCTACCTCGCTGCTCATGACACCTTTTGACGTCATCAAGACTCGTATACAGACGCAGTCTTCTCCTGAGCCTCTCTTCAGGCCTTCTTCACACATTACATCCTCCATTAGAGCCTCGAAAGAAGCCTCTACCTCCCGCAAGAAGCTTCCATCGCCAGCAAAGGCGCATGCTGCCACCTGCTGCCAACAGACCTTCTTCACAGGCAACACCCATGAGGACAAGCTCACTTGCAAATTTGATCCTGGGACTGCCCAGGGGAAAGCCTCGCAAGGTAGCTCCATCACGAACATGCCTCCTCAAAGCTTGCCCTCATCGTCCGCTTCGGCTGCACGAGGATCTGTGCTACTACGCCCGCCGCGCTCCCTACCCCTCTCTGCCGCTCCTCCCTACGCCCATACCACTACGTTCCTCAACCCTGCCTCGGCTCTACTATCAGCGTCACAAGGACACGCTTCCTCGACTGCCTGCGCTTTCCCTGACAAGGGCGCGGCAGCCCTTCAGTTGGAGGCAGCTACTAGGCAGAAACGACTGACGGGAATGTGGGATGGGGTAATCAAGGTCAGCAGAGCAGAAGGAATCAGAGGTCTGTGGAGAGGTCTGAGTCCTACATTGTGAGTACCAAGATTGAGCTATCTGTCGCCGCAAAAGGTCTGACGATCGATCTCGCTGCTCCTACCACAGAGTCATGACTATACCGTCTCAAGTGACGTACATGACTTGCTACGACGTCTTCCGGTCTCAGCTTCTCTCCCTGGAACGCTCCACCTTGGACACGCCTCCCGCCTCTCAATTAGCATCTTCCAACATCACTCCCCAGACTCTGTTGGCCTCTTTAGTCTCTGGAGCCCTAGCTCGCTCGGTTTCTGCAACGCTCGTTACGCCTTTGGAGCTGGTGCGGACCAGGCTGCAAGCAAGCGACTCGTCACATTCTTTGGGCAGTATTGTGCGCTCGCTCTCGCGGCAAGTCTCTTCCCAAGGTCCTTCGGTTCTCTTCAGAGGTCTTTCCTCGACTCTCTGGCGAGACGTGCCATTCTCAGCAATCTACTTTATGGGCTACGAAACGATGAAGCGGATGCTCACAGGAGGTAGCGGACTCGGTGAGGGTGGCAGCGGGAAAGGTGGTCTGGAGGAATTTGGCGTGGCTTTCCTAAGTGGAGCGACAAGCGGAGGCGTAGCAGCTGTGATCACGCATCCATTTGATCTCGTCAAGACGCGACTGCAGGCTTCGTCCTCCTCCTCGTCACGCAACAGCGGATCAAGTGAGGGCAAAGGATCTTTGCAGCGCACAGTCGCCTCTAGGACTCTTCCAGCGCTGCGGACAATCTTCCAAGAAGAAGGCGTCCCAGGTCTCTTCAGGGGCATCACACCTAGGATGGCAAAGGTAGCTCCCGCGTGCGGTCTGATGATTGGGAGCTACGAAGCTGTAGGTCACTTGTTCGCCATGGCAGAGCAGGACTGATGGCCTGCCTGTTAATAGGAGAGATGCGGAGGAAGATTAGGGAAAGCAAACGGGGCAGTCACTTCACACCATTCCATTGCATAGAACACATTTCATAGTCATCGAATAGATACATAGTCCCTACTCGTCATATATTGTGCCCCGTGTGGCTCGCGGTACGCGACTCACTGAAGACTCGTGCGAAGGAGCCAGCCCCGCTTTTGCTCTGTGTCGATCTACTAATACTTCGGTTGTACCCTCGCTGTGCGTGGGTCATCTTCGACCTCTCCCGCATGCCAGAACGCCTGTGTGTTGAGTGGTCTAGCATCCGCACTGGAAGGCCTAGTGGTGGCCGTCGAGGGTGTTGTCTGGAAAGAATCCAGTCCGACATCGTTGCGATCGTGTGCGAAGCAGGCAGTGAAGGACTGCATGGGCTCTTCTTCTTGCGATGAATCTGCTCTGGATTCAAGCGCAGGAGCCCAGATGTGAGAAGGCCTTCGCAAGACGTATTGGGTTCGTCGCCTACCGCCACCGACCCCTTCGCAGCGAGCTGGTCTAGCGGGTGGCGAATCCAGAGAAGGTACGCTGCGAGCAAACTCTGAATTGGAATGCAGACCGCTGCTGCTAGCATCAATAGTGTCTCCCACGCTCTGCATCTGAGTAGTGATGTGGACGTTGATGGGTTCTCGAGCGCCAGGTGAGAGAATGGAGGAAGTCCTTCCAAAGATGCCGTGCACCGTCTGGGTTGCAGCAGGCTCGACTTGTGCACTGAGCATGTCCAAGGAGCTCACTGTACGGCGATGATTCCGTCGATTCTTCTCCGATGAGCATGAGGAAGAGGACGATTGGAAGGACGACTGGTGCTGCCTGTCGGGGCAGGTGGACACGATCCGACTCCTGTAAGCAGGAGGGCGCTCACGCACTGCTCGTGACGGCAGACTGCTCTGTCGATAATGTCTGCTTCCAGGTGAGACCTTCTCGGTGCTCTGTCCGCTGGAGAAGCTCGTGAAAGGGTAGTCAGCAGGTCGATTGGGGTGGTGCAGCTTGTCTACAGTAGCTGGGTCGACATTTGCTCCCTCGCGGCTCGGTACTTCTTTTTCAGCACCCGCACTACCTTTTAACCATGCCAGTCGAGCCAGCGTCTCCTGATCGAGCATTGTCCCATTTCGTACCTTGTCTCTCGCGCAGAAGGACAGAGGTAGCGTATCAGCAAAGTCGGATAGATTCCTGTAAGCGCGACAAGCGATGATGGCGTGCATGGTTGAAGAGATGACGAGAGCGATGCCTTGTGCTGGTGTTGTCTTGCCAAGATAGAAGGTAAACACAGCTCCCATGGTGGGTGGAAGGGTGAAGAGGGACCAGGAGATGCCGTCATTGAGGAGAACCAGCCAAAATCCACATCGGGCTGCTCGACGCATGTTTGCTAGACGATAAGTCGACAGAGCAATTATGATGAAGTCCGTCAGAAGGGAGCATGAGTGCACTGCTCCGACAGACCAGGCCAGGGAGGTCATCGTGCAGTAGCCGTAGCCATCGAGGACGGAATCTGGCGTCCAGGTGAAGGTGAGAGAGCCGATGTTGGTCAGAGCTAGCGCTGCATTACCGAGCCAGATCAGAAGCAAGCCGAGCAGAATGACGCTGTGACAGCAGAAGGAGAGGGACAACAGGCTCAGCGCGGGAGGCATCGATTCACCTGTATCTCGAAACGACGACGTACCGGTTCCAATTCCAGATCGCACAAGCTCGAAGCATGAATAACGCTTGACCGACAGATTTCTGTGAGAAGTGTCGAGAGACTGGTCAGCTGTGAGCCGCATCTTTTCCTCTTCCGAGTGGAGCGTCGCCTTACTTGAAGTGTCACTGCAAGGGAGACGACCACCCATACCGCTCCACAATTGACCCTCACGAGCGATCCCGCTTGTGGTAGCACCCCGCCCACAAAGAGCACCGACGCGTATCTAGCTGCAAAGTACACTCCTAGCGGCCAAGAGCGCGGGACTTTCCCGCGCAAGACTCTCCACTCGTACTGTAGCGTGCAGACAAAATCCCAGAGGATGATTCCGCTGAGTGCGTACAGGACTACTCGCAGCACTTGGAAGTCGAGGGAGACTTGGGGTGGCGAGGTCTCTGGGATGGGCATGAAACGCGTGAGGAAGCTCGGGTCGGCTGACATGTTCGAGGAGTGTGAGTAGAAGACGACAGAACAGCAGGGAGGACAAAGGGTAGCACTCGTCGAAAGAACGAGCCTGGAGGGCACAGACGAGAATGTAAACGTCACTGGGATTGACTCGCCTGCCGCTTTATGTACCAAGCCATCTGCCAATGAGTCGCAAATATGAGAGCAACAGCCAGATCCCCGTACCCCATCAGAATCACTCTGTAGTGGCACTTCGAGAGTACACTTCCGTATCTGACCCTGGCTGAGAGCAATTGCCTCACACGTACCTCGGCTTCCCCTACAGAGGCGGGAATGACGACTGTGTGGCTGATTGCTGTTGCTCCCACGTTGGATTTGCTCAGAGCAAAGCCTGCGTGCCCCAACAATCAGGGCATCGATCAGAATGTAGGCACAAATCTCCTCACTCAACAGGAACGAGGTCAGATGAGACTCTAGGAGTCCATCATGGTATCAACAGTGGGCGTAATGCGCCCTATACAGCCTGAAATGTACAGGATCCCAGTCGTCTGGTAGCAACACAGATGGTGCCTGGCCACGTTCCCCCCCACTCAATCCGATCGGCGCAGATCTGCCGGACGAGGCCCGCTCTCAGGCCTGTCGCCTAGGCGTCGGCGGCAATCTTTGCTCCGACTGTTGCGATCAGCTCTTCCCACAATGGCAGGCAGATCGCATTGTCATCCCCATCCCGCAAGTCCTCTGCTTCTGGTAGAGGTCCGGCACTTTCGCCGCTTCTAAGGACCGTCGTATCCGTCTTTGCTGCTGCTTCCTTGACTGCGCGGACATCTCCACCGCGCCCCGACTGTAGGACATCGATCTTGCTCTTCACATCGAGATATTCTTCGCTGACCTCGTCTCGGCGAGTGATGTCATCCAGGATGTGATAGAGCCTTGCTAGCAAATTCAATACCGGCAGTAGGGCCGGCGGCGCTTCGGCTACCTTCTGCAGATCTGACCGAGCGCTCAGCAGCCAAGATATGGCCCTCTTGGCCAGATGGGCCTCCGGGGCAGTCTTTCTTGGCGAAGCGGCCAGTAGGACACGCGCGTAAGCGTAGCTGCTCTCTGCCCTTCGCTCCAGGTTGTGATCAGCGAGAAGCTGTCGTGGACATCGACGTACAGCTGGATTTGTCAGCTTCAACTTGCACTCGCCACCGCCTGCCCATGCCTCTACTCACCTCGGGCATAACGTCGTCCATCATCTCGCATCCCACCTTTTCCAGGCCCATGTTCACCGCCAGGACCCGCGCCAGGAGCACCGTCCCCCTTCGGTACAAGACAAGATGACTACAGTCTCGCGCGTCTTGCAACAGCTGTAACAGCGGTTCCATTGCTCGAGGGCCTTCATTCGCATCAGCAAAGGCCCTTCCCACTGCGTAGAGCGACAGGAGATGCTGATCGATTCCTTCCTCGCCCTCAGGCATCTCTTCCTTCCCACAGGCCAGCACTGAGATCCGCCTTGCAGCCTGTAACGCTCCCGCACGACGGGCTCGCAGATGCAGAACCTGGTAGATGACCTTGGTCCATTTGCGATAGTCGGCGAGTGACATCCGCTTCAATAGATTTGTATCCAACATCAGCTCGAGACCATCGTCATACTTTCCCTCTTCTGCCAGAGCGTATGCCTCTTGCAATCGCATGACCAGCTCATCCGCTTCACGTAGGGCGGGCCGATCGCGATATGGTTCCTCTCTAGCTAGCCGTCTGTAGCGCCGGGCGGATCGCACATCGCCCATGCGCGATGAGAGATAGGCTGCCGTAGCCCAGGGCCGTACAGCATCTTGTGTAATCATCGTGCGTTGGGGATCTCCAGAGGGTATGGCTGAGCCTGGCTTAACAACTGGGCTAGGTCCTTGCGGCTTCGTCAGACTGGCAGGAAGGGGCAGACGCACGAGCCTCTGAACTTCGGTCGTAATTTGTAGCACGTCAGAGCCTTCTCTAGCCGCTCTGCTCGCGTCCCAAAGATCATCCGCGTACAGTCGACCTCTTTGCATTGAGCGCTCTGCCGGTCTCCAGGGAGTGGAAGGGCCAGCGACAGGTATCCTTCTTCCATCTTCTGTAGCCAGCTGGTTCGCTGCTGCTTCAAGTCTCCTATTCAGGCTGTTACACATGCTCAGGCATTGTTCATCTTTTTCTGTGCGCGCCAATGTAATTGCCTCTTTGAGAGTCATTTCCGCCAGGGCCCATTCCTCCATTTCGATTTGGAAGCCTGCAAGATTGAGCAAAGCGTGATGATGTAGCTTCGATCGTTGTGCAAGGATGGCGCCTCTGGGGCCTGCGGGAGGCGCATAGTCGAAAAAGCGGTGTAGCTGCTCTTTTGTTGCCGAGTAGTCTCCACGATGTCGAGCTCGTTGGTATTCATCGAAGACCTGCATACGGGTGGGCAAAGAGATGTCTCCGGAGCCAGAGGCTTCTGCCTTCGAGAACTGGGCGTCTGCGTCTCCTCTGCACCAAGCTCTAGCATTTCTTTCGAGCACTTTGATCTGACTGATCTTATCGAGATCGTCGTAAGCCAGCGCCATTCTTCTCACGGCGATGCCCAACGGTGACCTCTTGTCAATCTTCCTGTCCGTCATGTCTGGTATGCCCTCCTCCTCCATAGCAACGAGATACTGAATCGAAGTCTCGAATACCCCATGAAGCCAGGGAGTGAAGCTGGGGTAGGAGCGAGCACCAGCCGTTTCCAATGCCTGTGCCCACTGTGCTCTGAGCCACCCGATGAGACATTCGACCTGTGCAAGGTGATGGGTGGAGTCCGAGTCAGGGGCAGAGAGCAGACAAGCTCGGAGCGTATGGCAGAGCTGATCCAGAGAAGACGGCGGAGGCTTGACGCCGTCCCAGCATCTGACGAGGTAGATGAGTAGCCTCACCACCAGTGCCTCCTCTTCGAGGCCAGTCTGTGTGACTATACCGAGAATCTCCCGTCCCTGAGCAGGCGTAGTGGACCGTGACCGGGAGTAGTAGATGAGAAGGAGGATCCATGAGATGTGTGTCGCAGTCAGCGAGCCAGGAGAGTCTGCCGAGCCGGCCATGGTGGAAGCGACTCGGCGACCAGAAGATAGTCTGGCACTTTTCCCCGTCGATGAGGGAGTCGTAGCGTGAAGAGTGTGAATGGCGCGTCTGTTCCGTGCAGGCGGGAAGGTGTTGGTCCCTGATGAACGGAACGGAGCGGGAGCGGAACGGAGCCCCGAGTGGGAATGTCTTGGCTAGTTGCCGCACACGTCGTCTGTGTTTGGCAAAGATTGCTCTGCTTGTAAGTGGTGTGGTGATTCTAATCAATCGCCTTGGCCGGCCTCGCCTGGCCGCATTGATCCAAGCCGCGTGGCTCTGTCGGGGCGCAGGACCCTGGGGGCTGATGGCATGGACGTGGGTAGGGATGCTGTCGTGCCGTCGCGGTGCAGTGCCGTGTTTGCATGGAATCACCCGCGACCCCCGCATTTTCGCATCGGCGGGAAGCCTAAGCGAAGTCCGGACACACGGCCTGCCGCCACACAGAGGCACCGACGCAGTGCCCTGGGCCTCATTCTCCCTACTGATTCACGCACCAGGAGCTTAGTGCTCTTCATTCCGCCCACTTGGATGCCTTGCCTGCTTCTGTTCCTACCCTCAAAGCTTGGCCTTTGCATCCACTCGTCTCTTCATCCATTCAACTCTTTCCCTCCTCTTCCTCAACACGTACGTTCCATCGACCGCATCCACTGACTTCGTCGACCATCGTAGATTCTCTGTGGTATTTACTCCTATCACCTCTGCTCGTCCTCCCTCAGTCTCAGTCCGATCATGGCAGCATCGGGGCGTGCTAATCGCCAGTCCATCGTGCAGTCCATGGGTCTTGGAGATAGGAGGGCCCCACCAGAGCCAGTCTCTTCGCCGCCAGTCTTTCAGGCGCGTCACTCATACAGTAAGCCCAGGGACAGCTTCGCACTAGACTCGCAGGGAAGACCTCGGAACGACAGCAATGCGTCGCGAGCGACTTCAGTATCACAGCGCACAGCCAGGAGGCAAAGCTACAATGACGGAGCCGCAGCCAGTCACATTCCCTCCAAGATAGCCTCAACGACGTCCAGTCGCGCCCTGGACAGAGAACCGTCGCAACAGAAACGATCCTCGTTGCAGGTGGACCGCATCGATGCAGGCCGGCCGAGCGTCAGTCGAGACACGTCGACCAAAAGACGGTCCGCACAGATTGATAGGAATGTGGCTGCACCTGCGTTGAATGCGCCTGCTGCTCCTCGAGCCAGTCTCAGTCGGGACGCCTCGGCCAAGAGGAGGTCCGTACCGATCGACCGGCCCTCTGCCGAAATGTCGAGAGTCACCTCTGCCGACACGGGATTCCAGGACGCTCCCGTAAGGAGACGCTCTACTCAAGTCGACAGGACTTCGAGGCGACAGTCGCTCCAGCTAGGAAGGCCTGCGTCTCAAAGCAATGCCAGCATTTCGCAGAGTCAGGGCCAGGGTGTGATACCCTTTGGTGTTCCAGTATTGCAGGACCCACCGGCCAACCAAGCAGAGAAGCCCGCAAACGCAAGCGGCGGTTTCTTGGCCAAGCTTCTTGGGAAGAACAAGGGGACTCCTCCGACGGACGCGCCCAAGAAGTCTGCACCGAAACAGTCAAAATCCCAGCTGGCATCGCGCGAGCCTCCAGCTCAGCCCCAGGTGGCACAGCCGATTCCTCGACCCACCCAGAGGACCACCACAAGCTTGAAAGACAGAAAAGCAGCCCGTCTGGCAGCAGCGGCGAGAGAGGCCGAGGAGTCCGACGACGATTTGGAATTCAAATCCTTTGTTGACGCCTCTGTAATCAATGGGGCTGCTCCTCCTCCAACGGCGCCCATAATCATAACGCCGGAATCCTCCCCGCCTCGAGCGAACGGTGGTGCTTTGCAGCGTTTCTCTGCAGCTCTGACCAGAAAGAAGTCAGGCACCGATCAGGCGTCTCTGCCACCGAAAGCAAGTGACTTCTCCGCAGAAGATCCTAAGAAGAAGAAAAGGGTCTCAATGTTGAGTTTCGGCCGCAAGAAGTCCAACGATGCGCCCAAGGCTGTCATTGTAGACGACACTCGACGCAGGAGGTACAATACCCCGGCCACGCGCAAGCCAAGCGCGGGCTCAGTCGTATCCGTTGGCGGCTTGACAGATCTGGCCTACGTCAGCGACGACAGCAGATCGGTCATTTCCACAAGACCGCTTGGTCTTGGCAGGATGTCTGCTCAAGAAGCAAGAGCCCGTCGCGCCAGGAGAATTGAGCAGGACGATACCATTGAGGAAGCTGACGAAGAAGACGCACAATCCAGCCCGCCTGTTTCAAGGAGGGTGTCCAGGGAACGACCAAGGAACAGCGCAAAGAATCGCAGCAGCCTCTCTCGAGATCGCCCCCTGTCGCCTAGCACTGCCAGAGGACCAGGTGCACCTCCTATTCTCGGCTCTAACAAGCCGTCCAAAGGAACCACGCGATCCAACGGCGTGGAAAGGGGCTGGACCGACGACGAGGACGACTTTGAGGAGGCCAACGACGACAACTTCACTTCGCTTGGCAACGTTCAGCCTGCAGAACCGGCTGACGTTCACGACGACGATAACATTGCTTCTGTGCTCCGTCAAGGTAACAACATCGCCACACTTGGTCCTCATCTGTCGGATGCGGCATCTGAAGATGAGGATGACTCATTCACAGAGATTCCGGAACAGGCTGCCGCCCCCAGCCGACGCTCGGAAGAAGTAAATGCACCCGCGCCGGCACAAGTGCCCGAGCCAGCGTCTGTTGCAGTGCCCGTTACTTCCACCTCATCCAAGAAGGCCAAAGGCAAGAAGGCGAAGGCGAAGGCGAATGATCCTCCTGTCCAGCCTAGACCGGAGCCTGGCATCGATTCGATACGCAACTCCGCTGCTGTGGCCCTAGATGAAGGGTACCGTCAAACAGGTCGCCCAGTCGAGACAGAGCCGGAGGTAGAGACAAAGGGAGCGCCAGCTTTGCAAGCCCCTAAGAAGACGAAGAAAAAGAAAGTGCGCAGCACTCCTGTTGAAGAGGAAATCAAGCCTTCCCCGGCAGCCGAGGAGGAAGAGCTACCGGTCTATGACGAAAGACTCGCTCGGAGCGCACCGATGGAGAAGGCCGACAGCAAGGGAAAGAAGCCTGACGGAAAGACCGCTCTTGCTGGAGTTGGAGGTCTACTGGGAGCAGGCTTGCTAGGCAGTGTTCTTGGTAATAGCTCAAAGAACGACGAGAAGGCTGTTCCTGATGAAGTCCCAATGGCACTTGACCCCGAAAATTACGACAACACTCACTGGGACTCCGATGCTGAGGGCGACTACTTCTCCCACGGAAGCGATTCAGAAGCCGCAGTCGTGGCTGCGCCACACGAGCCGCCACCTGCATCGTCGCAACGAGCTCCGGCCAATCTCAAGACCACAGGTTCGGGCAAGAGCAAATCAAAAGGCAAAGCGTCTCGCGCAGTCTTGCCTCCCGTTTCGCCCGTGCCGGTCGACAGCGATGAAGATGAATTCTTCGCAGAAGATGGTGAGGACCTTCCTCGAGGGACAACCTCCTCTCACGTCTCTTCGAAAAGGAAGCCAGTGCCACCAGTTGCTGCACTGGCATCACCACCTGTGAGCCCACCCTCTGAACGGGAGCAGAGGCCGACCACCACCGCGTCTTCACCGCAGAGGAATTTAATGGCAGCGGCGCCGCTCGCTGCTGCCGGTATCGCTGCAAACGACCGACTGGCTCGCAGAAAAGGTGCGGATCAAGCAGAAGAAGACGACTTCAATCAACAGATGAGCAGATTCAAGACGTACGGCAAGAAGTCTAAGGACGGAGACTCACCCAAGGTTGGGGAGATCTTCCAGGATCCTACTAGACGACAAGCCCCTGTCAGCCCCACGCGTGAGGTAATGCCACCTCAGACCCTCTCCCGCAAAGAGCCGCCGCTTTCTCCCGACCGTGAGGATGTTGGCGGAGCTCCTCTGAGTCGCACCAAGTCACCTCCGGCGCCAGCTAAACCTCAGAAGAGCAGTGCTCGATCTTTGGGCAAAAAGCCTCCCCCTGTGATCGAGCCTCCGATGTCTAGACATGGGTCACAGTCCTCTAGACGCGGTTCACTCAGAGGCAAGAAAGGCAATTCGACTGTGGGAGCAGCCGCATTGGGGGCAGCCGGTGGGGCTATGGCTGCTGATCTACGAGACGACGACCCAGCTGTACTCCGTGATGAAGACGACAGGGTAGGTGAGCTGCGACCTCTCAAGCGACAGTCGAGCAAAGGACAGTCGCAGCGTCCTTCGAGCATGCCAAGTCGCAAGCCTAGCAAGCGGTCAAAGGCTACCTATCGCGAGTTGACTCCCATCCAGCGCCATTACCTTCTCAAGGCTCTAGTCTGCATTCAGATGCAGTCCGAGTGGGAGGAGCTCGAGAAGCTTGGCGCCCTGACTCAGTATGGCTTCCCTTTCAGTCTGGATCGACCCGAGCTGACCCGTGTGAAGCTCGACCTCAAGAACGAGTACACAACAGGGGATGGGATGGACGACGATGAAGGCGTCCGAGACCCATACGCCGGCGGAGATGGTGATGAAGCTCGTCGGCTGGAAAATCTTCAACAGCCATACATCCTGCGTCATCTCTTCCATACGCACTTGACAACCTTCCCCGGTCTCAAGGATGCTCCGATCCGATGGTGGCAGCAGCGCATCCAAGTCTTCTTTGACGAAGTGGCCGCTCGAAATTTCTCTACCAGTCTGGAAAGGGCAGAGTACTCTAGGCGACGCTTCTTCTCCCTCGCAGCGACGCGATATCTCGGGGTGTACTTTGCCCGCGGAATCGGGGTGAGAGGCTCCTCTGAACTTCGAGGACCTGGTCCAGGTGAGGCCGGTAGCGATCGATGGGGTGTCGGAAAGCAGTGGGGCAAAGGCACGGTCAAGCGCGGTCTCGACCAGCCTGCAAGGATCGACGCAGCCCTGTGGAAGAAAATCGATAATCTCTTTGGCGATGGCCCAGAAGGTGAGGTCTGGCGCAAGGCGGGCAAAGAGTCTACGCGTATTCGCACAGACTGGCAAGCCTGGAAGGAGTCTATCATAGAGAACGAGGACGGGCTGGACGAGACGATCAACTACCTCGACGTCTCCAAGATTCGCAACCTTCCTCCTAAGTACCGCAATGCCGAGGAGTGGGCGCGTAATCACGCAGCGTACCTGCTTCACAGTCTCTTTGTGAGCTCTCCCCAAGCTGACTCCGTCTTTGGCGTCGTCAAGGGCATCCACACTCTCTTTCCTTACTGGGGTGCTAAACAACTACTAAAGTATGCAAACGCCCAAGTGCTCATCGAGGGAATTCTCAATTTGCTCCTCGCTCGACCTGCAGGAGCCAAGTCTCTCATCCAGCGTGTGGCCGCTTACGTCATCGGTAGCGAGGCTACAACTTTGCAGAAGGAGTACATCGGGCCGCTGAAGAAGGAACTCGCTGACAAGGAGTTGACCAATCGCATTGAAGAATACGTTGCGCGCGGCAGCCGATCAGAAAGGAACTCCCTGAAGGGCCGAGCCGAGAAGACTGGTGATGACATCTTGACGGTGATTCTCCTCGCTGGAGCTGGTACCCCTCTACCACGGGAAGTCCAGGACAAGGTCATCAAGATGCAGCATGCATTTGCCCGCTCGCCCTACCGTGGCTCCATCGATCTGGCTTACCCGGCATCAAGTGGGTATGCAAAAGCAAACACAGACAAGGATCTGACAGTGCCAACTTGGGATGCAACTCGAGCAGAAGCAGACGATGCTCGCAAGTACGCTCAGCTCAAGCTGTATTTGCGAGACTGTCTGAAGAAGCGTGACTGCGGAGAAGCAGTGAAGATGGCAAGTGGGTCCCTCTTGCCTACCATCATCAAGGAAACGCTGTCGATCGTCTTCTACAATGCCATCAAGGAAATCTCCAAGGTGTCAGACTTGAGCGGCCGTTTGGGCGACCTGCAGGCCTTTGTCGAGGATATGATTGATACCAAGAAGAAGAAGGACAACAGCATTCAAGCCTGGATCGCTCTCGCCGCTCGACATGAGAATTCCCTCTACTTTATCTTCCACGAGTGCGTTTCAATCTCTGGTCCTCTCTTCGAATGGTGTCAAATTGGTCTAGACTTCATGGCGCTGAGCACAAGCGACCCAGTGCACCCTGCCGACCGATCGGCTAGGAACGTGGAAGTGAATCTGGAGGACATGCTCCAAGATCGCCGTCTGACGGACCGAGACGTGGACTTGATCATGGAGGAAGTCGATGAGCTGGCCGTCTACACCAAGTGGACCAAGGTCGCGTACGAGTTGCAGCTGCGACAGAACTATCTCCTTGCTCGTCCGGACGCTGCCACGTCCAGTCAGTTGACGGAAGAGGACATTCCTACCGAGGAGATGAAGGAGGAAGTCCGTGACGTTGACGCGCTGATGCGAGAGCTCATGGAAGACGCCGGCGTACCGATTGACGACGGAACCCTGCCAAACGAGTCTCGAGGAACAGAGGCGAGGTACCAGGCTCAATTCTGGTTCGATACAATGGACCCTCTAGGCCAGCATCTCAAGGCGGAGAAGGAGTCCGAGGAATTGCAATACACGCCTCCGAGTGTCACTCCGCCGATTCCTTGCCTCAAGTACGTCAGGAAGCTCCTGCCCGTCTTCAATGACGTCTTGAGGGAGAAGCTGCCAGACTGGGAGAATGGCGATGGCAATGGGCCTGCCAGGGTCAAGAGTCCGGGAAGTGAGCGAAGCGGATTCATGGAAGGCAATGGTGGACCGACGAGGAAGCAGTCAAAGAGCAAGGGTTCCAGCAGCGGCTTGGTTGGGGGTTTCAAGAATCGACTGGGCGGTGGGGGGCGGTAGGTGAGAAGCACGTGGTTGGCCTGCATGGCCCGACGCGTCGTATACCCAAACGTGTGCCGCTGCTGTGCCTGCCGTGGACTGGCCCAATGGTTGCATGTTCCGTATCGCCCTTAGTGTCTTGTCAATGATAAGGATATTCCTCTCTTCTCTCTCGGCGTTCTCTGCCTCTCTATGTCTGGAATAGATCGTGTGCTGTGCCGGCGGCGAAAGCGCCGTGTGCGTAGCGTGGCGTGGCGCTGCACCCTGCCTTTTGCCAGATGACCCTTCGGGGAGCGCCCCGCATTGCTGTGCGGGGAGCCAAAAGCAGATGGTCTCAAGTCTGTGAATCCCGCCTTCACCACCTCGCTTCCATTCCCCTTGTCTTTCCCTTTATCTCGCCTTTACTCTTCCTCAATCTATCTCAGCATTCTCATCGTTCGTTCCGCTCTCTCATTCTCTCCTCTAATCTCTCGTGTACATAAAGGTCCACTTTGCATTCCCTTCCCTCATGAGCAATGGCTCCGGAACAAGCGCAGGCGCTCAAGGACGCACCTTGCTAGGCTTCGGTTCTCCCAGTAGTCCTTCCCAATTCCCGTCTCGCAAACCAAGGAACTCGCGCTCAAGCAGCGCCTTCACTAGTCCACCCCCAGTCGTAAGTCCACCCCGGGTTGTGCAGGTAGCCGGCCTTGCTGATACCAGTGCAGCAGCGGAAGAAGAAGAAGAAGCGGAAGAAGAACCCAAGCCGACATCTCCTGCGACCGACCTCACCAATTGGCAGTCCCAACTCGTGGCCGAAATCGAGGCCAAGCAAAGGCAAGCAGAACAAGAAGCATCGGAAGCTTCGGAAAGCGAGAAGATGCGAAGTTCGAGTTATTCAGAGAAGAAGAGGACGACGTCTGGTAGTGCGGCTGCACCCCCATTGTCTTCCCCAACCGGACAGACGCCTGGACTAGTGGACTATGGTTCGCGAAGGAGGACGTCTTTGACCAAGTCTCCACCAAAGACAAGTATCGCCTCAGCCGATCCGACGGGGTCCAGCGATGAGGCGGATGCTGAACCACTCATCCCAACGACGCTGCCGTTGCGGCCCGTCAAGATCAGCCAGCAAAGCGATGCAGCCGCTACTCCATCTGCTGCGCCCATGAACCGCTTCGTCTCAGGCTCGGGTACCTCGCGCAAAGCGAGTCGGAGAGGCTACACCGCCGATGAGGACACCAGCGAGCCTCAGCCAAACGCGCCCCGAGATCTTCTTGCCGCTGGGGTACCTACGTATCCAGGTTCCACAGCGGCCAAAGCTCCCCAGACCAACACAAGCGCCGAAGAGGAATCGGACGAGCAATTCGTCGATCCTTCGGAAGGGGAGACAACCCCGGCAAGAAGGAAGCGCGGAATTTTCCTCTCGTCGACGAATTCGCCAGCAGGATCCATTGGCAGGAGGTCCCGTAGGTCGGGCGTGGCCGGCAGACTTGCGAGTGGGGGCGAGACGAGCTCTCAATTTTCTCATGACGCCTCGGTGGCCTCATCAGTTGGACGAACCTCGCCCCCGCTGGAAGAAGTCCGTGGCGGAGCCTCGACGGGAACACCGTCCTTTGTGTCAGACCAGCAGGAGATCACTTTCCCGTCTTCGACATCGGATGACGGCTCTTTCGTCAGTCCGGATCCTGCCTCTTTCGATCCGTCAGAAGAGGGAGGCTTTGCTAGCTTCGATATGACTCCCAGCAATACAGTGCAACAACGTCGCCTCAGAACAACCAGCGACGACGACCATGACGAGGATATCTTTCACGATGACGCAAGCTTGGCCGACTCTCAAGATCGCTCTGTACTTCCGGATCCACGCTTTGACCCTACTTTTCTGGGCGCAGCTCGATCCGAAACGCCCGATGTCGTTACAGCGGATGAGGCGGATGATGCGCGAGAAGACCAAGACCTCGATGACAATGCCTCTTTTGCGAGCGGCATCAGTGGGACAGAGAGCAACATCAAGATGCAGTCTCGTACCTCAGCAATTTCTACTGCTGCCTTTCCTCCCGCGGTACCAGTCCGCAGGAGAACTGGCACAGAGAATGCGTTAGCGCCGAGCTCCGGGTCTGAATCCGCTGCCCCTCGGGAGTTTAGCGCAGCAGCGGCAGACACTGCGGCAGCAAAGGCGGCAGCTGCGCGTAAAAGGGCTGCTTCTCTAGAGAGGGAGCAAAAGCAAAGAGAGCGAGAGGAGTGGGAGCGTCACATCCTCTCTGCAGACTGGGAAGAACTTGAGGTGGCGAGATATCTGAACGAGTTCGGAAAGCACGTATATCAGGTGCGCTCGACGGGTCCTCTGGACCCGCACCACCAGAGCCTCACTCAGTCACTCTTTCCATCTACGTACGAATGGACAGAGTACTCGAGTGATGGCGAGCCTCCCAAATTCGATCGCTTGGGATACAGCATCGCCTGGTTCACAGCATTGCTGACCTACATTTCGCCAAATAGAATGGTCGACTTGCAGGGCGGCTTGCCTGTAGGCGAGGAGGCCGAAGCGAATGCTGCTGCCACCACTGCTCAAACACCGGAGGAGTTCCGTTGGCAAGCTCTGAAAGCCAACGGAGAGCGCTTCTACCTCTCTGCTCTGCCCCTGTACGAGATGCTCGGCTCGCGGCTTCGCAGAACTTGGCGGTGGGAGTCAAAGATACGGTCGTTGCTCAGTCTCATTGCCTACACATTCCTCTGGTGGAGAGGCCTTCTCCTTGCTAGCACCATCTTTGCTACCATCATGCTCGTTCTCACCCTCAAGACATACCCACCCAAGCCTGATACGCTGAGGGAAATTCTTGCTCGGCAGAGGAGACGAGCGGAGGGAGATCGTTACTCGAAGCAGGAGGCGAGGGCAGCAGCAGTGGCAGTTGCAGACGAAGCCGCCTCAGCGGCGCCCGTCGGTGCTGAATCTGAGGGCATCAGCGCTGATTCGATAGCGGCGACCGCGGTCGGAGCTGCTGACTCTTTGGCGGCGACGATCAATCCTACTCGCTCGCCAAGCCGCTACAGTCTGGTAGCAGAGGCTTCGAAGAGGTACGGACTTCAAGTGTCCGTCGTCGCTGGTGCTCTTGCTGATGGCCATGAACGGGCGAAGAACTTTGCCCTCTGGCGATCACCACGAGCTACCTGGCGTCTTCTGCTCTGGCTATCCATTGCCTTCTTCCTCACGCTCGGTCTGTTGACTCCGGTGATTATCGTCCGAGCGCCGGGAGCCATCCTCGGCATTTGCTTCTTCTTTGTTGCGCCCATTGCCGAGTACAGGCCACAATGGCTTGGCGTAGAGTGGGGCAATCCCTTCGACTGGATCTTCGCTGGCGTTCCCAATGATGCGCAGTACAGCTTGGAGATTCTTCGCAGTAGAGCTGCAAAGGGCAAGCCGCTCATTAGCGATCAGGCGCTGCTGCTTCGGCCAGAGGACGCAACATTTGTGGTAGCCGACGCCGAGGATGACGAAGACGAGGTGGCTCAAGCAGACGGGGTCAGCAGAGGCGCTACGCCTGCGACGGCTGCGGCCAAGGGCAATAAGATCAATTGGTCCAAATGGTCCGATCGAGTACTCAAGGGCAAGTCGATGGCCATCCGTGGGAGTGAGATGCTCGCGGGCCAACGAAGCGTACCACTTCCGCGTCTGCCGGTCAATGAAGTACAGCCCTCTGCTGGTTTTGGCTCCTTCCTCCTGACCAATCTGTCGAAAGGTCTCAACTACGGCCTGGAAACCCTCGAGAGCAGATCGGCCCAGAGTGCCGCAGCCGCTAGGGGCATTCCTGGCGGATCTTCAGGCGGACTGCAGGATATGGCAGATGTAGACGGGACGTACTGGTCGATCTACGACAATTGCTGTGGCCACCTCGTCATCACGCCTCAGACGATCACCTTCCGCTCTCTCTTTGCCAAGCGTCCGCGTGGCAGAAGAGGGATGAGCACATCCGTTTCCACCTCTTCTTCTCTGGCCGATGCAGACCCTTCGAGCTCCATCTCTGGCTCCTCTTCTCTGGAACAGCCCATTCTCGATCCACTCACCGGCGAGCTCACCATTCCAGCCTCTGAATTGGAGAAGCAGCCTCCGAAGGTCAAGACTCTCCTGCAGGTGGACATTGCACAGGTGCGCGGGCTGAAGAAACTCGATTCGCGATACCTGCCCTATGGCTCAAAGTGGAGCGCTACCGTTGCTCGTGGAGAGGGGCTAAGAGTGACTGTCAAGATGCCTCCTGGTGCGGCTGGGATTGGTGGTGCAGGGACAGGGACGAAGGGCGGAATGGTGGAGGTAGACTTCTGGCAGGTAGTCAAGAGAAACGAGGCGTTCAATCGACTGGTTGCCTTGGTACCTCGCGAGTGGGAGAAGGTCTTTTGAGACTACTTGTGGTGGTGGTGGTCAGAGAGGTGCCATACTGGGCCGCGTTATTGGCCCCTGTCTTGTACCTTAGCTATGCATACCTCGTCCCGTAATTGGGATTGTAACCATGTATATCTTCGTAAATTAAGAGAATTGTTCAAGGACCAGCCAGGACCATTGACGGAACAAGGAGCGAATCCTCGGCGCGGTGAAAGCGTAACGGACCACTTTACGCGAGAACACGTCGCGCCACTTCAGCTCGCTGATCTTCCCCTCTGATCCTCTGGTCCGGAAATAGTGTCTCACTTCTACCGCCCACGTCTGCCCCGCCTCCACAACGGCCTCACATCATGCGATCGATCCCTCCGACGTTTCTTCAACTCTCTTAGCTCATCAGATCCTTGGGGGAGGGGGGGGGGCATCACCGAGCAGGGAGCTGTGGGTGCTTACTTCGGAAGGACTCTCGCACTCAGAAGATGTTTCATCATGCACGTCGACGCGCCCCATCTGCGCCTTGACGCCTCGCTCCCTCCACCCCGCTCCGCCCGCCCGCCCGAGCGGTCGCTTGAACCCTGGCGGGTTAGCTAACATTCCTCCTCCAGATTCGCGTTAGCTAAACCGCTTCTGGCGAGGAGACAAAGAAGCTTTGTCAGTCAGAGAGGGAGAGAGAATGTGGAAGGGAGGGTTCCTCGCATCATAGGCTGGACTTCGATAAGCGATCCTCGGTGAGGTCATGGCTTTCCAGGAACTCTTCAGGGCTGAGCCTGAGACGGACGGAGCCTGAGAGGGGAGCCTACGTCTATTTGCAGTGGCACCTGCATTCTGGTGTGAGACCCTAAGGAGCCTTGGGTCGGGGCTGGTGTAGAGTCTTCTATCAACAGACGAAGGGGTGGGAGACGGCAGAGGGAAGGATGGCAGAGGAGAGGAACTGTCGCTTAGCTCGTCATTCCCAAAAAAAGATCGCATAAGCTTTGTCAATCGGGAGCGCCTGTCAGTGCTTCGTCGGAAGAGCCTCATTGGTACATAAGGTCGGGGGGCAAGGTTCTTCCTGATAGATCATTCCTTACTTACCCACGCCATCTTCCATATATCAACCCTTCATCCCATCTTACACACTTTCCTTTACAATGGCACCCCAGTACAACGAGTCTGAGCCCGAGATCCAGGAGGACGACGCTCCCGTCGACTCTGGCATCGACGCACAGGCTGAAGACGAGCGAGCTGCTACTGGCTCTGAGCAGCAGCAGGCAGCCAACGAGGCTGGCGATTTGGACCAGGACGTGAGTATCCCTATCCCCTTTTTTCCTGAAAAGCTCCTCTCCCGGAAGCAGGTGTTTACATGAAGACTAAGAAGCTGACACTTTCCCTCCCAACTTCACTGCACTACTTTGCTATGCTGCTCTCTCTCTTTGTAGAACATCATCGACAACTCCGCCGGCGTGTCGACCCGTGGAGCCAAGGTGGACGCCATGAAGCAGGATAGGGAGATTGACAGTGACGTCGCTGCCGAGACCAAGGCTGACGAGCAGTCGTAGAGAGAGAGCGTCCGACCCTGCCTGGGCCTCTGCCTCGACCTCTGTTTCTGCTTCTGTTTCTAGATGGGAGTTTGTTTCGCCTAGGTGGGGGGAAATGATGGATACCAATGAATGATACCTTGCATTCCCAACATCGAGTGCTGTTGTGACTCCTACTTACGCTACGTCACCGGGCGACTGTCCTTTCCCCGAATCTTATGAGAACGTGTTCTGATCAGTATGTCTGAAAACAATGGACCGTTTGTACTATCATGTCATTGACTGGAACAATTGGTGCGAAGTGAGGTTGTGCTACAGCCATATGTGGGGACGGATTCATGTGCAATCTACAGTGTTGAGCAGCACGCTCGATGAGAAGGGAACTGTCAGACGAGAAGGAATGGAGGTAGGAAAAGTCCGTTGGTCTGGGATGATGCTCGAGCGGAGCGATGTATGTACAATCTGAAGGGGAGGGAGGAAAAACGACACAGAGATTCCGTCCCTCATTGTGCGTGATAGGTCTCGTAAGGAGCGGAAGCACCGGTGCGCGGTCCGTACTGGCCTGCAGCAGGTGCGCCATATGCTCCCGACGCAGGCTCTGCATAATGGGCTGAGGTAGATTGGTAGTCGGCTCCCGATCCGTAATGAGAGTCATTGCCAGTTGGGTACCCAGCGGGCGCTCCGTAACCAGCACGGATATCTCCATCGGTGTTTTGCGGAGTAGCGATGCCTGAAGAGTAGCCAGGGGTAGCGTCGCCATAAGTCGTATAACGATTCGCGGGGCCTGCAGCACGATTATGTCCAGCACCGTAAGCTGCGTCTGCCGAGAAGGAGTTGCGACGAGAGTCCTCCCATACACCCGAGTCGACTTTGCCCTCTGCGTTGCGGGCGGTCAATGGATAGGAGTCATCGGGTGCTGACTCGTAGGGTGCGCCTGCGCCGACAGTCTTGTAGTCTCGAGTGGCTCGCCTCTGTGCACGACCGTAGGCTCCCAAGGCAAAGCACATGTACAGCTGGGTGAGGCCCAAAAGCAGGATCAGACCACCCATTGCTCCGATCTGAGCCCAGATGAAGTAGTCGCAGATCTGATCACCAAAGTTCTCAGAGATGGCAGAGCTGGTGTAACCACTCGAAGTGGTGGCGGGAGTAGCGCCATAAGAGGCATTGCAGGCACTCTGGGCGGTATCGTGCTGTGTGGCGGCTACTACCAAGAAGGCAATGGTGGCGGCGAGGATGGCTAGGGTGAGCAGGGTGGTGATCCTGGTGTAGGCGTGGTAGAGCTTAGTCGCCTCTTTGCGAACGGCGACGAGACCGACAATCTGCCATACGGCAGTGACGAATCCCAGGGCCGAGACAATGGCCTTTCCGAAGGAGGGTATCACGCCTAGACCAGCGACAATGGAGTAGGAAGGTGCGAGGGCCAGGATTCCGACGAGGAATGCGACAATGGCAATCTCCACAACGGTGACGTAGGCTCCCACATTGATCAGCGGGATAGCGCAGCAGAGAAATTCAAAGCCGCTCTTCTTTCCTCTTGACATGGCGAATGGAGGTGGCGGGGGAGTCGGCGAGAGCTTGAAGGAGGTTGTTACCAGGTGGTCAAGGTGCCGAACGTCAGATGAAGTGCAAGAAAAGCTTCGAAGGAAGGTGAGGGGATGGTCGCACGCTGACGCCGATGCTGCTTGGTATTGCGGGGAGAGGATCGGACGAGGAGGGACGGAGGGAGGGTGAGATGAGATGAGACAATCAGGAGGGGATCTGGTCTGCACCAATTGTTTGCCCGTGGGGGTCCAAGGCAGTGTCGCGGAAGCGGAGGTGTTGTCAAAGCCCCAAGCGAATCGGGGCTTGGCGGGGGCGCGTGTGTGCCGAGCGGCAAGCGGCCTCGGCACACTGACTGACAGGGGGGGAAGGACACGCTCGGCTCCGCACCACCTCGCTCAGGGTTGGCAGAGGAGAGACACCAGCTTGGAGGACCAGTCAGATCGTAGGCTGAGTTCGCAAGATCATGGGTCGAATGACTGCAGCAGGCTTCCTCTATACCGTCGGGTGCCTTTCCGACACCTCACAACAGGCAGTAGGCCTTGCAGGGTCGATGGCTTGTTGTATCCGCCTATCCTCCACGAAGCGGCTGCAACGTGGCAGACAGCAGTACACATCTCTGTCATTGTCAGTGTTGACGAGCTTCGTTGTGGCCTCGATTCTGACCTCTCAATCGACTTGCTTACTTGAGACCCTCTGAGCCTTGGGTGTTGCTTCCTTGGTCTTACCCACGCCTTGGATGCGGGGCTCGGCGACTAATTGCGCCAGGGGCCCGAAGTGCTCAGTCAATCGCGTCTCGGAAGAGGACGTGCGCTGCGATTTTTTGGAGCCGAGTTTCCACGAAGGGGCGCCAGACGCTTCCACGGTGGTGACTACTTGTGCCGCCTGCTCCAGTCCTTACTCCACCCTACTCTATTCTACAAGACCTCAACACCAAGCACACAAGTCGCCCTTCCTCACCACTCCTTCACGGCCATAGCGTCCATACGGCTACTTACGCAAGTCCCTCTCAAGCACAGTTGAGCACCCGAACTTTTCTCAGCCTCTTCCGCCTCACCTTGCTCTTTCCGTTACGCAAGGAGAAGTCACCGGCCGTGACTCACTCGCTCTTCCTGCGTCGCCGTTCCCATCCTCTCATCGCTTCCCGTCTCTACAACCTCAGGCGCACTGGTGCCATTACTCTTCAGACTGCCTATCGGTAGTCCTTGAAGAACCCTACCCGCCATGCCAGCTTCATCCTTGACGAAGCTCGCACTCCATCTATCGAGGTACGCCCACTGGCACGCTCAGAATGCCGCCAACAGCGTACACCAGGGAGTGAATGCCTTCAAAGGAGGGGTGGGAGGCACCACTGGTAATTCGGCATTCAGTACAGCCTCCTCCTCTCTGAGCAGTGCAGGTGCAGGACCTGGCTCGGGCGCAGGTGGAGCCAAGTTTCACGCCGGACGTGGCGCTCATTTCACATATACCGTGAGTTGCCAAGACGCAGCGTGTGCCGAGGGCGAACCAGCGACTCACATGTCTCCCTGACCCATCCCCTTGACTGTCTTTGCCACATAGAATACCGGTGGACGTGCTGTCGTTCAGGCGGGCTCGACCGCTAACGATAGCTCCAACACTTTCGATGAGGAAGAGGAGCATCACAGGCTCCACTCGCCGCACACTCACAGTACGAATGGCTTGAGGAGACGTAACTCTGCCGCTTCCTCGTCAGCGCCAAAGGGCCTTCTTCTCTCGCCTTCAGAGAAGCAAGCAGCCGCTGCAGGAAAGAAGCCTGCCCCCGGATCCCTCAGTCACGCTGTCCTACAAGCCAGGTTTAGAGATGCCTTCCGAGCTGCCGAGCCGAGAGACCAGGTCACATCTTCTACTGCGCAGGATCCTGCCTCCTTGCTTGCCAGCGATCAGTCGGCTGAGCTGCACAGAGATCTGGTAGATGCGAAGAACCGCCGCGATAGAGTTGCAATTCTCGCCCTAGTAGATGCATATCGAAAACTTCCCTCCTCTCAACAGACGACTGCTGGCTTCAATGCCGCCCTGTCCGCCCAGGTCTCTGTACGCGAAGCAGGAGAAAGCCTGCGGGAGGTGAGGGAAACGCACAAGGATATGCTCGACGCTGGCTGTTTCCCTAATAGTTCCACGTCTGCAATCCTCGTCAAGGCGCTATGCGCCAGAGACCAGGAGAAGCACAGCGATGAGCATACCCCTCAAGTCACGACAGAAGAGCAAGCTTCGACCGAAGCTTGGAGGATTCTCACAACGACACCTGCAGGATTGCAAGACGTCGCTGCCTACAACGCTCTGCTCTCACGCTGTGCGGCCAAGGGCGATACGGAGAGGGCGGCTGCAATCTACGAGATGATGAAAGCGTCTGCACCTGCCGTCTTGGCCGATGCGTCGACATACACTCATCTCGTCTCCTGCTTTGCTGCATCTGCCGAGACTCTGCAGACTACCACCAGCGACTCGCATCTCTTGCCAGTGAAGCAAATCCTCGACGAGAGCATAGCCTCCATGCGCTCTTCGCAGTGGATCAACGACGCCGTTGCCGAGATGGCGCTTTTCAGGAGCTTTGTCGATCTCTTCTTCCGTCTGCAGGCTCCAGAAGAGGCAGTCAGCCTCTTTGAACGCATGTTCATGAACGAGGATGGTCTGCCTAGTCCAAGCGCTGAGATCACTGGAGGTCTTGTCTCGGGCTTTGCAGCAGTGGGCGACGTTGTGACCGCACAGGCCTGGATCGAGAAGATTGAATCGCTCAATGCATCATCGCAAAGCGGAATGATCTTGGCTGCGCCCGACTTTAGCCCTGTCAAGGGAGATATAGCAGCAGTTGGCAGTCCGATCGTAGAGACAGCTCAGCCTATCGTTGCTGAAACTGCCGCTGCAGTACCAGTAGAGAATGCCCCTGTCTCTCCCTCACTGCATGCCGCTTCGCCAGCTCCATCGCTTCAAGATTCCGCGAGTGTGACGCTACGATCACCGTCGTCTATCGCTTCTTCTGTTCCTGCTCCCGCTCTCGGCAATCCTCAGCTTCACGTGATCGACTGCGACCTTGGCGACCGCGTCAAATCTCTCTTGAGACCTCGACGCAACAATGGCGTCACATCTGCCAAGGAAAGCAAGGCAGCCACTCTGGCAAACCTGGAAGCCGCATATCGCCTGTTGAAGAAGGAAATCTCGTATGGCAATTACGCTCCCCCTGAAGTATTTGCGCAATTGCTCAATGCCTTCGGACGAGAGGGGAAGCTGGGTCGGGTGCAAGAGCTACGAGAACATGCGCATGTCGCAGTCTCTGGCCTTGTCGGCGATCCGACGTGGCAGGCATCGGCATGGACCGAAGTGGAAGACAATGTGGTGGCTGCTCTAGCACATGCTGGAGATGCTGAGGGCGCTCACGCTGCTAGGCACGCTCTGCTAGCTGCCGGCTGTGCTCCCACCGCTAACTCCTACGCTGCCTTGATCTCGTCTATCAGAGATTCCACCGATGAGGCTATGCTTGCCGAGCAGCTCTTCGAAGAATCTCAGAGACTGCAGGTGGTACCTAATATCTACCTCGTCAACACGGTCATCTCCCGCTTGGGCCGAGCTCGCAGGGCAGAACGAGCATTGCAGCTTTATCATTCTTTGCCTCTTCTCGGTCTCAAGCCTACTTCTATCACATATGGCGCAACTCTTAACTGCGCCGTCCGTGTTGGCGACATTGCCACTGCTGAAGCCATCTTCCGAGCTATGGAGAGCGATCCATCGTTTGTTCCCCGTCCACCCGGATACAACTCGATGATCCAGTTCTTCACATATACCCACCCAGACAGGATGAAGGCACTCGAGTATTGGAACAAGATGCAGGAGCGCGGGGTTCGACCCAGTAGCCATACCTACAAGCTGCTACTAGATCAGTACGCCACAATTCAGCCCGTCCAGCCTGATGCCATGAATGAGCTCTTCGCACGGCTGCTGCGAGACCGCACGGTCGATGTTGCTGGACCTCACTGGGCGTCTCTGATCACTTGCTATGGTCTGCATCTCGGTGATATCCCTCGCTGCCAGCAGATCTTCCGGTCGATCAGCTTGAAGACAGGCAGCGCCCCAGACGCCGTGGCTTACGAGTCGCTCTTGCAGGTCTACGCACATCACGGCAAGGTGGATCTCATCAACTCTCTCCTTGCCGAGATGGTGCGATGTAACGTGGCTCGCACTGCTTATGTCGCAAACCATGCCATCGAGGGCTACGCCAAGCATGGCGGTCTAGAGGGTCTCATGAAGGCCAGGACTATTTTCATGGCCATGTCCCAGCCTCCTGCCGGTGTGGCCTCCGTGGGCAACCACCCTCTTCCTCGTCACCATGGCGCGGGCTCCGGGAATGGTCAGCTCTACCACGACCGACGCTCGGGAGCAGCTCAGGGCGAGCGCGACCAGATGGTCAAGATCTCAGTGCAGGAACTCCTGGCACAGACGTCCAAGCACAGCCACTCCACTCAGCCCCTCTTCCTCACAATGGAGCAAGAGATGGAGTTGTTGACCCTTGCGTTCGAGCAGGTACACCCTGAGCCATCCACGTATGAGAGGATGATTGCACTAGAGATCTCGAGCGGGTTCTACAGGAACGCAGCGACTGTTGTGGAACGTATGGAGGAAAGGGCTTTCCCACCGGCTCTTGTGCTCAAGGCTCGGGCGCTGCTGAGGGAGTAGAAGGCGAAAAAACAGGCAGGTGGAGCTTCCGAGGGGCTGTTGCGAGGGAGAGATCGAGGGATAGACAGAAGAAGAAGAAGTAAAGTCAGTCAAAGGGTGCATTTGAGAAAGGCAAGGACACAAGAAGGAACGGAAGACATTGAGGGAATCAGGAAGGGGCAGCGTACAACACCACACCACCATTCACAGTCGGCATCCTCTCACATCGAGATGGCTGCCACCGAAGCGAGTCTATTTGTTCTATCTCTGTATGTATTATTAGTCGTTCTGTCAATCTTAGTACCCCGTCAGCCAATTCCTCTCTCGCAGTGACATGTAAGCTCTGTGTCCGATGCAATCGCCTCCGTGATCGGAACGGAAGAAATGCCATGCGCGCGGTAGGAAGAAGACCTTCCGAGGTCGCGTTGCAGCCTCCAGCTTCGACGTCCTGTAGAGTACTGTCGCTCAATCGCTCGCTCGCTCCATCCGGCCATTCCAACTGGACACGTACCATCGCATCGCATCACTTCCCCCCTTCCCTTTCTCTGTCTGTAGGCCGTCGTCTGTCGTCCAAGATGTTCTGCGCAAGTGAGTAATCCAGGCATCCGTCTGCCTGCACGTTTGGTTGCTGATCGACTGCTTCCTGCTGCCTTCTCCCCCCCTGCGATCTTCCAGTCTCGGGCGAACCTCCTCAGACGCCCGTCATCTCGACCAAGTCTGGACTAGTCTTTGAGTCGAGGCTGATCAGGAAATATGTTGATGAGAATGGCAAGGTAAGTCTTGCCTGTTTCGCTCGGAGCGGAGCCAAGCTGGAAAAGCTGGGTGGGACTGACAGAACGCTCGGACTTCGGTTTCGCTACTTGCAGGACCCGATTACTGGAGATGACTTGAGAGAATCAGATCTGGTAGAGATTAAGCTGAGTGAGTAGCGCCGCTTTCGAAATGGAGATCGATGAAGATTGATACAATGCTAGTAAGGAATGAGGGACGTGCAAAGGATGATACATCAGCAAAAACAAATATCAACTAGAAGCTGTTGATGAGGCTCCCTTGACCAGGAGGCGCAGATTAGACTAAGACCTTCTGAACAATGCATGAGGAATTCGAGAAGTGGCGACAGGGGCCAGTCAAGCATTTGATCCAGGACTTACGCCTCTGGCTTCTCCCCTTTGTGATGTTTCTCGCAGATCCCAAGACAGCCGCTCCAAGGCCTCCTACAATCTCATCCATTCCGGCTCTTCTCTCATCGCTACAAAACGAATACGATGCTACAATGCTTGAGATGTTCAATCTGAAGAGGCAATACGAGAATGTCAGGCAAGAGCTTGCACATGCTCTCTATTCGAACGATGCAGCTAATCGGGTCATTGCTCGGTTGATGTTCGAAAGAGACCAGGCTAGGGAAGCATTGGCAAATATTCAGTCTACCTTGGGAGGTGGAGTGGCCGCTGCTACGCCTGTGGCTGCTGCTGCAGACGGAGCTGGTGCGGGCGTGGAAGATGCCGAGATGGCGGAGGGACCTTCTGTTGGTGGTGCTTCTCTGCCTGCCGAGGTGGAGGCTAAGCTCGACGAGACAAGGGACCGGTTAGTGTTATGCCGGACGGATGATCGTACCGACACATGCTTGAATCGTGCACTGACACTGCATTCTCCCTTTGCTCCACAGGCTGTCTGCCTTGCGCAAGGCTAAATCGAAGCGCAAGACCGTAGCAGAGGGCTATGCTACCGCCAGCGACCTGGAGAGCTTCTCTCAAAAGAGCGCAGCAACTTCACTACACTCTGCAAAGCCTCCTGGCGTCTCTTCTCTAGCCATTTCTGCAAATGGAAAGTTCACATTGACCGGAGGTGTAGACAAGCAAGTTCACGTCTACGATCGGTCTACGTCGGGTAGCAGTAACAAGGCTGTCGCAAATCTCAAGGGTCATACCAAGAAGATCACACACGTCGAATTCAGCAGCAACGCTGGCGCCGTGGCCTCTGGACCAGAGGCCAACGAAGTCCCGAACCCAGCCTTCGCTGTCTCGGCGTCAGAAGACAAGACCGTCAAGGTCTGGAAGCTGGAAGGAGACGGCGAGGTCCCATCATATACCCTCTTGCATACTCTGAGCGATTTCAAAGCGTCTATCAGCGGTATCTCGATTCATCCTTCCGGCGACCTCCTAGCTACTGTTCTCGAGGATGGTACATGGACATTGCATGATCTCAGCGCCGGTAGCGATGCACTACTCACTGTTCCAGCGCCTGCAGGCGAGTCGGCAGATGATGCGACAGGCGGATACGAGTATGCCTCAGTGCAGTGGCACCCCGATGGACAGCTGCTGGCGATGGGTACTACGGGAGGCGTTGTCCGCATCTGGGATGTGAAGACAGCGGCCAAGGTTGCAACCTTTAATGTGCTCCAAGGCAGCGAAGGCTCGACAGGAGAGGCTGTGACCGTCGACTCATTGGACTTTAGCGAAAATGGCTACTCGCTAGCCGTTGCTGCCAAGGGTCTGGCCTCGGCGCAAGTATGGGACTTGAGGAAACTCGCCCTCACCACATCTATCCCTCTCACTTCGGAAGCGGCTCAAGGTGCTCTAGTGCGGTTCGATCCATCGGCTTCGTACCTGGCCGTGGCTACCTCTAGTCAGCTCAAGGTGTATGCCAACAAGACGTGGAAGGAGCTACGGGTGTGCGAAGTGGAAAAGGCGGCTGCAGACGGATTGAGTGGACTGGAGTGGGATGCTAGGACGGGAGAGGTGGTGACGGTGGGCATGGATAGGGTTATGAGGACCTTTGGACCCGCCAAGGCAGAGTAACTGGGGCTGGGGCGGGGTTGTCACACTCTTTGTATGCTCGAAGTCTGCCTTATAACTTTTCTCAAAGCAGCATACTCTTCATGGACCTGTCCTCGCGCATGTGCAGGTCGGCAGACAGGGTACATGTGGAGCTGCCGATAAATGATCGTACAGACGAGCAGACGAATTTTATAGTGGTACAACATTCGATAGGTATAGAGATACAACAGTCGAAAAACAGATCATCCTACTGTACATTGGGTCTTCTGTCGCGATGAGAAGTACGCAGCTTCCTTTCTTGCCTCTTTCTTCCTCTTTCTTCTTCTTTCCTCCTTTCCAACTTTATGTTCCTGCTAGCTTGATGCCCCTCCCCGCCTCGTCTCTTCCCCCTTTCACCCCTGCCTGGCCTGAGTCGATCTCTGCGAGATGACGGAGGAGAAGGCGATACAGAGGCTCGGTCGATCTCCTAGCTGGGAGCTGGATCCTCCCCTCTCCCTCCCGATGCTCGGTCGGGGTGAAGAAGGCGCGAGGATCCTTCGGTACTGAGCCAAGCGCGTTTGCACGACGATGTTTCCGGGTTGCTCGATTTGAGAGATGGGATGGACGTCCAGTGCTAGATGCTAGATGCTAGGTGCGGAGCAGTGCAGCGCTGCGGAGAGCGCTGTGTATTCGCGAGGGCGAAACGCGTCAAGGATGGACTGGTATCCTTTTCTCCTCGATGGTAGTGGTAATAAAGTGTGCAATAAAAGCCTGGCAGGAATGGTCATTCTAATTGACTCTCTCTGCTAGCAATGCGTCCTTTTCTACCTCCTACCATATCTCCTCAAGCTCAAATCCTGTGCAGAGACTTCAGCGATACGTGGTGGATGGGGTAGACTACCATCCTCTGTACTGTAGCGCCTTGAAGCTGCATGTAGGCTGGTAGAGTGAGAAGAGTAGACTGATTCCGCCGAAGAAGGAGAGGAAGAAGGAGAAGGAGGAGTGCTTGGGAAGTGAACACGAGAGGAAGAGGTGCTGCTGCTTGAAGTTGAGCTGGTGGAAGACTGGAGGAGGGCGGGAGGAAAGGACAGGGGTAAAGGGTGGGTGTTAGTCGCGGGATCGAATAGTCGTGTTGGTGGAAACTCTGCCCGCCTGTCTGCCTGCTCTAGTGGTACTCACGTTTGAGTCTCGCCTCATGATACCACTGCTGCTGCTGCTGCTCGAGGCAGGGGCAGAGGTAGAGGTAGCTGCTGCGCTACGTTGTAGCTGACGCTGCTCAATTTCGTAGAGGGCAGAAAAGGAGATGTAGGATGCGAGGGCCATTGTTGGATATGTTTGGCAGTACTAGTCAAAGGTAAAGGTAAAGGTCAAGGTGTACAAGACTAGGTCGTGTGTATGGGTGTGTGAGTGGATGCTCAAGAAGGAAGGGTGAATGGTATGGTGTCTTGTCTATATACATGAAAGGGAGCATGGTCCTTCCCTCCGGCTTCTTTACTGTCTTCGTTGAGGAAAAAGCTTACCTCCATGACTCTCCCCCGAGTTCCGAGTCACGCTTCCCGAATCCCGCGGAGAGCGGAGCCAAGGGCGGGCCTTGACGGACGAGTTGCCCGGCTGAGCCTGAGCCCGACTCAGCCCCCGATTTAGACTTGGTTAAAGCCGAACGAGGCAGCGAAGATGGAACCCAAGCGCCGCCCCTCCGCCTTCGAGTCAGACTGACTGACTCAGCTGACCCGCCTGCGTGCCTGCGTGGGTGCGTGTGTGGCTTACCTCTGAGGACTCGTGGGCCTTTCGTCCTTCGGCCCTAGTCAGCCGCTCAGAGCCGAAGGAACTTCCGAAGACCCAAAGCCGAAGCTGAGCCGATGGGCCAGGACTAGAGCCTGGGGGTGAGCTGACCTAGGCTGGCATGGCATGGCATGGCATGGGACTAAGCTGAGCTCTTCGCACACACCCACCCGCACGCGTGGAGCTTAGCTTGTCTCCCCGCACCCTGCCTGGGTGCCTGGCTTGAAGCCGCAAGGGAGGATCCACTGCGATCTCAAGAGTCGCGGCGCGGGGAGGAGATAGAGCATGAGAGTGATGAGATCGGGCTCGGGATCGAGGGAGCAGGGGAGCGGGAGTAAGGAACCGCACCCTGTACTCCACGCGTAAGATTGTGGGAAAAAGCTGATACGCTTACCGACTATTGAAGGGGCACGAGACGGGATAGGGATAGGGAGTGGAAGGCGTCATCTCTCATCTCTCATTGTTCAGCGTCATCCTCGTTAAGTCCGGCTTTTTTAACTATCGTGCCTCCCTTCGCCCTGACTACAGCGATCACTCGCTCCGCGGCTTTGACGAGGACTGGCCCTAGACAGATTCATCCGTGGAGATGACTCGACTTGACTTGAGTGGAGCAAAATCGAAGCCGCCGGCTTACCCCGCATTACACCGGATCGCGTGGACTCCGGGAGGGGCCCCTTCGGACGGGGCTAAGCGTTTTCCTTGATTGTCCTACCTCCTCCTTGTATCCGGACACGTGATCGGTGGATGAACACAAGACTAAGGATGGTAGAGTGGGGCTATTGGATATCAAGCTTGCATTCGCTATGATGTGCGCTGCGAGCTATACATCAACGGAGCGGCTCGATGATGACGACAGATAGGCAGAGACAGACAAGATTCCATGACGACATTGTTCATGTGTAGGTAGCACGTGAGCCATACCCTTCCCTCCTCCTCGCCCTCTCAACCCTCGAGAGCGACCTGCACACCCTGCCTGGCGATCCTCCAGCCCCTTGCAACCTCGCTGCGCACCTGCTCTCTCATCTCTTCTGAGCTCTCTCGCTCTACAGCTACCTCAATCGCACGCTGTACCCAGCGATTGGCATGCAGGACCATTCCCTCCAGTTGGGCGCGTACCTGATGTGACTCTCCGCTACTGCTATTGACGACACCCTTCTCAGTGAGAACATCGGAGCAATCCAAGCCAGATAGTACAGCCAGGACCCTTTTGTTGCCCAGAAGAGCCTGCACGAGGAAGAGCTGCAGTCCCAGCAAAATTGGTGCCAGCTCCCAGAATTGCGATGAGAGGAGCAGGAGCAGCGAAGGTAGGGCTAGTCTCGCCGGTGGCCCATCTTTGAACGCATCAAGAGCGATTGAAGGTGCTTCTGCATTGCCACTGACACTCTCGCCTGCCCAACGTCGTTGCCATGCTCTCTCCACTAGCTCCCAGATCCCCAAACCCTGCCCGTCTTCAGTGCCCATACACCCTACTTCTCTTCCATCCCCTCCACGCTCTACCTGCTGAGCTGGATCGCTCACTTCGGTGAAACCATGCAGCACACGCAAAGTCTTGACTGCTGCCATGCCCAGGTGAGAGGCGAGGCGACCGGGAGAAAGGGAGAGGGAGCGCTCCAGTGGTGCGGGAAGGGTGAGGAGGATAGGGGCGAGGGCGTCAAGGAGGTTTGTGGATGAGGCGGGCATTGCCGGGCATGGATAGAGGGAGGAGAGGGAGGCCAGAAAGTCGCTAGATGTCGAAGTCGTGCTGCCCGTGTTGCTTGAGGGATCCAAAACGTCCAGCAATGCAGGCAAATTTGTCGGCAGTTTCGAGATCGCATCTGGCCGCTCCACAAGACCCTTGTAGAGGTCAGGCACGACTTTTGCGGTAAAGTCTGCCCATGACTCGAGCTTGTCGCCTAGTTTCCGATCAGCACCAAGAAGGACTGTCGGCAGGGTAGGACTGCGCAGCCATTCTGGTGTCTCTAAAGCTGTGCGAGGCTGGACACCCTCTGGCAGCTGAGCGGAGAGCCAGACCATGAGCGCCTCTCTGCCCGCTTGCTCGGCGTCACTGTCGCTCAGGAGACGAATGCCATCCTTCTCCTCTTCGCCCTGCACGGCGAGACTGTCCACCCAGGTTCGCAGCACGTGAACCTCATTGCCAGTCATAGCGCCGAACATCTTGCCTCCCCATTCGAATTCCTTGACAAACTTGCTCTCTCCAGCTGAGCCGGGCTTGATCCAGATGGGGTTCGCAGACAGGGCGTCCAGTAGCTGAGGCACTCTCTCTTGGGCGTGAATTGGGTCGAGCCAGTGGGAGAGAGACTCGCCTGCTAGACGTGCTCGCACGCCGTGGTGCAGACCGTGTGCCGTAGGTGCTTTCGACTTCAAGATGTCGACGAGTTGTGAGCGAATTACATCGGAGGAGATGTGATGAGTCGGCGATGAGGTAGAAGCTGGCGAGACATCCTCCTGTGTGACACTTGTCCACGTCAGCTCATACGGTGTGTGGTCATCCTCATCTCCGCCTTCGCTCAGGATAGGAGTCGTCGGGATGGCCTCTGCCAAAGCAAAGCCCAGCTTGACTCTGGCCCACTCCTCATCTGCGAAGTCCTGGCCTTTTGCCGCCTGAGCCTCCCGTAGCAGGTCGTTGATGCACTCTCGCGCCATAGCAGCGTGCCCAGTAGCTGCATTGTCGATGGAGATGTGCAGCCAAAAGTAGTATGCATCAAGGTCGAGCTCTTCCAGCTCTCTGGCGGAAATGAGCAAATGGAGTGGGAGGCCCTCATATGCTGCGTTCCAGCCGAGTGACTCCGGAAGAAACTCGTTGGGAGATATCGAGAGTGCTAGCTGAGCGACAGCGGCGCGCCAACAGCGGGCATTGCCATCGCTGTCTTGTCCCAAGCCCGCGCTGGACTTCGGGTGATGCGGATCATGTCCGGCAGCTCCTTCCCATTCCGTGAAAGCCCGATCATGGCCTTTGGGCGGTAACGACGCAGACTCGCCCTCGTCTTCCCTTGCCAGTGCGTCCATGGTATTGTCGTATATGGCTACGTGAGACCGAAAGATGTCACCGTCACCCAACTCCTCACTCATGACTTGCCAGCTGTTTCTAGCAGCACGCCGTTGAGCTCTGAGCCAAGCAGGAGAGCCTTCGCCTCCCCTACCGTCTGCCAGCCCACCAATGCCGGTGGTGGTGCGATGAAGGTGCTGCAGCCAAGCTCCATCGACGTACTTGACCACACTGGACCGCCTCATCCATGCCTTTGCCAGCTCCCTGTCTCCACGGAACATCTCCTGACCTGCAACAGCTCTCCGTCTCTTGCGCAATGTGCGGTCCAATGAGGAGCCCTTTTGGGATTGCTGCGGCATTTCTTCGTCCACATACTTCCGGCTGGCCTCGGCCCTCCTCGTGTTGTAGGCGCTGAACTTGTCGGTAGTAGCATCGTGGCTTCTCTGCAGAAATGCCTTGAACTCATCAGGATCGAAACACTTTGCAAGGGAAAAGACGTGCGTTCCGTCCTGTTCCAACAGAGCAGCATCAGCGAGTAGGCTGGCCATCTCACCAAAGACACGACGTCGAGCGATGGGTACTGCTGAGGGATAGGAGGAGAGATTCTGCAGACGGTGGTAGAGTTCGCGATCGGTCATGGCCCAATGCCATGAGGCATCAGCTTTGAAGACACCCCTGCTGAGCACAGGGACTATGCCGCGCGAAGAGCCATCGATGCTTGGAGCCGGTCCATGGTGACTGGGTGGGCAGGGGAGACTGCCCTTGACTTCTTGGCTGTCGACCAGAGTGACATTGGAGTCGACAGAGGAGCTCCTAGCTGCCTCTTCTGCGCGAGAGGGAGCATCAAAGTGATTGCTGCGCTCGATGGAGGGCGTGAGGGCGGGGGTGACGGTGAAGGCTGCTGAGCCCTTGAAAGGGGCGAAGGGGGCCCATGACCTGAATGCTTGCTCCATGAGGGAGATGGGGGAAGCTCTTGTGAGTAGGAAAGGCTGACGACTATGCTGATGGAGTCATGAAAGGCTGTTGTAAGAAGGGGGTGGCGACAAGTCGTAGTTGTGATGGTGGGAATAAGCGTAAAGTAAGGGAGTGAAGAAGCGCAAGAAGGGAGATGGCTCGTGCGGCGCAGGAGTCAGGTACACTGCATCGACTGCGCTTAGATGATGTGCTTTGCCTTGGTCATGCTGTTCAGGGCGCAAGGGGCTGTGTTGCAGTAGAAGAGGAAGAATGCATTGAAGCATCCTGTAGGTGACGCCTGCCTGCGGAGGCCCGTCGTGCTTACTCAACGAGGTACGCGAATAGTCTAGGCCCCAGAAAGCTGTACGGAGGTGTGCAGAGGTGTGTCACACGCCCCCAGCCTGCACGGAAGGGTCCACGCGCTGTGCGGGGTGTGGAGGACGGACAGTCAGCCACGTGGCCCGGCTTCCGATTGTCATGTCACTTGGGTGGAGGCGGAAAGGCAACCAATCAGTCAAGCAGCCGTATCTCGAACGGCATCTTCGCCATATCTCTACCCGAATCAGACACTATCCCTCGCAACTGGATCTCCATAGCATACCCTCGCCCCCCTCCAGCAGCACAATACAATGAGCTCCGACGCCGGAGGGCTGCCTAGAGCGGAACCCCCCTCTTCCGATTCCCCCTCCTCTGCCCCTGCAGCTACTACCCCGCATCCTCGGTCTGCTTTCCATTCTTCGCTCCTCGAGCTTGGTCTGACTCTCTCTCAGCCTCATCAAGGCGCAGAAGATGGTCTTGGAGAGAGGGACTTCTCAACACCCTACACCTTCTACACTCCCACGCCAGAGACGCACGCCAAGGTCTTGCATCGCCTGGTTCGTGAAAGGCAGCGCAACATTGCCATTGAGCGCGTCAAGAGTCGCTCTCGGTCAAGGTACGGACGCGGGGTAAGCAGTGGAGCGACACGTGGACGTGGAGAGAGTGCAAATGGGCGAGCAACAGATCGAGGCAGGTCACTAGAGCCTCGCAATCCCGTCGATGAAGGACAGGTAGAGCAGGACGCCCGCGAGGCCAGTCGCTCCCGACCTGGTGGGGCCGTGGATGAGGCCACGCAGGCCATCTTCCGCGATAAGCTCTCTCTACGGGCAGAGGACGCCAGGAGTCTCTGGGGATGGAGCATGCCTGTACAGATCGGCAGCATGGACAAGGCCATCTATCTCGTTGACAGTGACTCGCCGCTGCTCGCTCGAGAATCGGACGGACTCCTCGTTCCCAAGATCCGCTTCTCCAACTTGTACCTCCCATCATTCACACCTCGACATGCCTCCGACCCAAAGATCCGAGAATTGCTAATGGAGGAGCTAAAGAAGCGCCAGTCCATCTTGTATGCCCACTCCTCTTTCCCAACAAGCGCAAGCGACGCAGTCTTCTTCGGCCCAGACTCCTATCGCTTCCTCTCCTTCCTCTCCTCTGCCTTGGCGGATCTCCCGGCTCCAGATGCTTCTGGACAGTGGAAATTGGGCGTGGACGTTGGTACGGGTGCTGGAGCGGGTGCTTTGGCCATTGCCGGCTTGAAGAAGGCAGAAGGCCCCGCCGAGCTAGACGTGCAGCCTGCAAAGGCCACCAAGGACGAAGAGCCTCTTGTCGCTCGTGTCCTCGGCACGGATATCAATCCCAAGGCGCTCGCATTTGCCGAAGTAAACGGCTCTCTCTACCATCACCACTCATCTCTTTGCTCCTCTTACTCACTCTCCCCTTCTGGAGCAGAAGAGGAAGCGACTTGGGGCGACCGACTCAAGTTCAGGGAGAGCGACCTCCTGCAGGCACTCACCGAGGAGGAAAAGGCAGAGGTAGACCTCATCGTATCCAATCCGCCGTACATTGCTTTTGGCAGTGAAGACGCCATTCCCGAGGAGGACGAAGACGAGGAAGGAGGAGAAGCCAGTAGAGGAAGGACGAGGACTCCTCCCTCTAGAACGACCAAGAAGGGCGCGTCGTACGGTGAGCACAAACAGCAAGCGGTCCAACCTCTCCGCCTTCCTAAGTCCGATGCTGACCACGCTCCTCTCCAACCTTGACCTCCCCAATCTTCCAGCCGACGGAGGCTCTTCGCGCGGCCTCTCACTCCCTCTTACCATTCTCCACGAGTCCCTACGACTGCTCCGTCCCGGCGGGCTCTGTCTCCTCTACACCGGCGTTCCCGTAAGTCTGGACGGACACAATCCTCTCCGCGAGGCCTGCGAGGAGTACAATGCCCGTGTTGAGCAGGAGCAAGGAGGGGTAGAGGAACCACTGGTGTCGCAAGCGGGGGACATGTCTATTGGGAATGGGAATAAGTTGGGGAAAGGCAAAGGCTCCTCCGGCCCGGCTTCTTCTGGAGTCAAGGCAAGACTGGAGTACTGGACTACGATCGATGCAGACGTTTTTGGGGACGAGCTCGCTGACCCTACCGGTCCGTATGGAGGCGGTTCAGGAGTGGGAAGGATCGAGGTGGTGGGTGTAGGTATGAGAAGACTATAGGGACAGTACATCATTCTCATGAGCAAGATAGACATAATGCATTGCACAGAAGTCGTCCGCAGACGGAGGCAAAAAGGAGAGCAGGGGACAGCACAGCACACCACAGTACCGAGCATCACTACAATAGAGTCGACCCCTTTTCTCCTCGTCCTTGATCGCCGACGTGATGACCACCCACCCGCAGAATTCTTGTGCTGTTCGTTTACAACCCAACCAGGGTCATCATCAAATACCCCAGCGTGCCCACGATGGCCGTCGCGAGCAGACTGGCAGGCACTCCCACTTTGAGGAAATCCTTTGCAGTGACATACCGCCTGCCCACTGAATCCACCTGGCTCACCGCTGTCATATTAGGGAAGCCACTGACTGGCAGTCCGCACGCAGCCGAAGCAGTGAGCACCGTAGCCATGATGAGGAGCTTGGGGTGCGGGTCGCTCAGCGAGTCTCCCACCTGCGAGGCGATGGGTACGAGGAGCACCGCGGCGATGGTGTGAGAGATGAAAGTGGCAACCACTAGAGAGATGCCTAGGAGGGAGAAGAGGACCTGCCAGATGGGCATGCCCTTGACCAGCGACTGGATCACATCGTCCATTGAGTCGAGGAGACCAGAGGAAGTGACTGCCTTTCCGAGGGCAATTCCACCCATTGCGAGGATGACGACGGTCCAAAGGAAGTTGTTGAAGTCTTCCTTTGACAGGATGCCGGTGCCGAAGAAGAGAATCATGGGGATGATGGCAATGACGCCCATGTCTCCGAACATCCACTCGAAGTTGCGTTCCACGCACCACAGCACAATCGTACCGATGGTGACCGCTGAGATGTAGTACTGGATACCAGTGAAGCGGTCTGAACTCTCGGAGATCTTCTTGATCACCGTTCCTCTGCCGCTACCGTAGGCCCAGAGGAGCAGAATCCAGATAACGACGAGGGACAGTCCTGAGACGGGGATGGTGATAGCGAACCACTGTAGCCATCCGATTCCACCTCCGGGCATGTACTGCAGAGCAATCAGATTCTGAGGCGAAGCAATAGGAGAAGTCTGTCCACCGATGTTGGAGGCCAGGGCAATTCCCATGATCAAGCTTGGGCCAAAGGTAGATTTGGAGGGCAGGTTCCGCAGGATGGGCTGAATCAGCGAGTACATCAAGACCGGCGCAGCGACATTTGAGATCCACATTGAGGCAAAGCAAGCCACGGCCATGTGGGCAAGGAGCACGTAGGCAGGCTTTGTGCCCGCTAGTCGCAAGACCTTTTGAGCCAAGAGCTTATCGATTCCATACTTGGACAAGGCGGCAGCAATGGTGAATCCTCCGAGGAGCAGACACATGTTGGGGGTAAACATCGTCGAGAAGATCCACTTTGTGGTTTCGTTGGCATTCATGCGGCGATCCTCGATGTCATCGGTACGGCCAACTCTCAGCGTCACGACGAGGAAGGGCACCAGCAGAGATGTGACGAAGAGCGGAATGACCTCCGTAGCCCATAGGACTGTGCAGAAGGCTAGCATGGCGAGGCAATTCTGCTCCTCTACGCGAGGGAAAAAGCGCAGCCCTGGGGCCTTGAGTAGAAGGGCTAGCAAGAGGAATGCCGAAGCCAGCTGAATGGCCGGGATGCCCAGCCAGACGGGAAGAGTAAATCCGAAGATTTTGGTGGGCTTTGGCTTCTCGCCATCCTTTGCAGTGCTGCCCATGACGGTGGACTGCAGGCTAGCACCCTGAGCTCTCCTCTCAATCCCGATCATTTCCCTCCAGACGGTGTTCCGCTGCCACACGACTTGCTCCCTGAGGTGACCTTTCAGCTGAGCCACGGCCAGGGTCATGTCACCAGATGTGACGACTTTGGCATAGTACTGCGTCAGGGTCGTGATGTACTGATCCAACTGCTCCCTCGTACTCGCTCTGAAGGCATATTGGGACTTGACAACTTGACCCAGATAAGCGTCCTTGAGTGAGCTTCCCAGGATCTTGTCGTACTTCTTCAGGATCTTCTTCATTCCAGTCTCGTTGAGCTGGGTAAACTGCTTGAGTTCTGACATGGCTACGAAGACATCTGTGATACGACGCTTGAAGGTGATCCGCAAGTCGATTGCATAATCGTTCTCGGCAGTCCAAACGCTGAGCGATTTGCCCTCGCCAAAGACCGAGCTATCACCGGGATCACTGCGTCCGGCCAAGCCGATGGGACTCTCTAGACCTGCGGGATCATTGCTGACGAGGCCAAGGGAGCGCTTCTGCGATGGCCTCCTCTTGAAGAAAGCCGACCAGGGCTTGCCAGTCTGACTAGCCGAAGAGTCGGTCCGTTTGCGGGGAGGTCGATCAGCTGCAATAGCGAGCACGTCAGGTACAGACGTCTCTGCAGCAGTAGGAGCAGAGTTGACCTGTTGTTCTAAGGTCTGTCCACTACCTCCAGAGCTTGGTTGCTGATTGCTCGAGGTCTTCGAAGTGTTGTCGAGGCCCCTCATCTGCCTCTCCTCCCGAGAAGCCTCGTTATATTGCCTGGGGTCATGGAACACCGCTTCGAAGCTGCGCCTCCTACCCCCACCTGATTGAGAGATCGAATTGCGTCCCCTCACGGTGCTCGGCGCAGATTCGTCGTGAGGATTCACCAGACGACCCTGTTCATCATCGTCATCATCATCATCGCTATCAGCTGTCATGTCCGCCCCAGCCATGTCTTCCCGCTCAGCTCTCTCCAGATCCCTTTGCAAGGTCTCCAGATCCCCAGTGAGCTCCTTCTCCTTGAAGTCGTAGAAATCACAGATTCTCCGCAGCTCGCGGTCCAGCAATTTGAGAAAGATGCCGTCAGCCTCATTGTTAGACTGAGCCAGAAGGTTGGCCGACTCAGCCTCAATGTCATCATTCCTCTGATCTCCTGCAGAGGGAAGGTCGTCCACCTTTTGGTCCTGCTCGAGGTTGTAGATGGCCTTCTTAAGATTGGAGTAGGCGACGTACTTGTCTGCCCAGTCGGGCACGCTGTTGAACTGCAAGCTATGAGAGAACTTCATCCTGGCGGGCGAATGAAGGAGGTAGGCGTATCGCTCGCTAGCGTGGGTGGGTGGATGCGGCTCAGGCGTCCGTGTGTGCGCCTGCCGAGATGCGAAAGTCTCTAGTGGGATGCTCTCTCCCTCGGCTTCGTCGTTGTCGTCGTTGCGATCTAGATATGGTCGAGGAGTAGTGGAGATCTGTGCTGCGCCCTGTCCTTCGACGTCGTAATCAAAGAGTGCCCGATGAGATGAATCGATGAAGGAAGAGCGGCTGACTCTATTGAAGCTGACGTCTTTCTGCTGAGGACTACTGGGCATGCAACGACCGAAGTCACGTAGCGAAGCCGAGATGAAGAGGTGGGAGCGATGACGATGAGGATGAGGAGGAGGAGGAGCAAGAGGCGGGTGGGGCGGCAGCAAGGGGCCAATGCGGGAGATTCTGTCGCTGCCAAGGCGGGCAGCCGAGCAAACGCGGGAAAGATCCGCCACTTTGCGGCCCCACAGGAACGGGAGGCGCACATGTCGGAACGGACCTGGGCCCGGGAGCAAACGTGCTTCGTCTGTACAAAGTCGTCAATTGTCGTAGGAGAGGGATAGCGACGTGATGCAGAAAGTACAAGTGAGGGGGGAAAGCCCGGAGAGATAAAAGGAGGCGACAAAATGACACCGCGATCAACAGTCGAAGACCAACGCCCTCGGTTGCGGCAGAGCAGGCTTGCTGCTCACCAGGGTAACCATACCAGTGCCCACGCCCCTGGAAGGGCCGCCCATGATGATCGACTCGGAGACACCAGCGACAGAGTCCATCTTTCCGTACAGCGCAGCGTCGAAGAGATGGTCTGTCGTCTTTTCGAACGAGGCCAGCATCAAGACACTGTCCTTCATCTTTGCGACACCGAAACGAGTGATACCCAGCACCTCGCCCTTGTAGGTCATCACGTCCGCCAGAAGCATGACGTGTCGAGGGTCGATCGACATACCGTGACTAGACATGGTATAGTCGATTTCCTTGAAGATCGAGGTACGTGCAGCCTCAATGCCCAGCACTCGAGCCATCTCGTCGACGTGATTGGTATGGGTTCGCGTACCGACGATGCCGTCCGTTGTCATGACCTCCTTGAGACCATAGCCTTCGACAAGGAGCTTACGAGTTCCCTTCTCATCGTTGATGACTGCTCGAACAGCAGTGGGAATACCCTTGATGATGACTCGAGGCAGCTGACGTTTCAGAAGCTTGAGATTGTAGTACAGCTCCTTTTCTTTGCCTTGGATGTACACTCGGATACGATTCTTTGAAGGTACGATCATCACCATGTCTTCGCGAATCTTGAGCTTTGGTGCTCGCACTATGGCCCACTTGATTTCATCCAGAGTGACCTCCAGCTGCAGCTTGCGGATGGCGTTCATGTCAATGTGTACCCCGAGGTAGACGTAGTTCCAAGACCACGCCTCTTCGATGACAGCAGCGACGTCTCCCAAATACGTCTTCTCGATACGGCCCTTGACAATACGAGCAGCTCTCTCATTGTGGTTGACAAGAGTGGCGTCGATGATAGGTGTGTTGATGTTCTTTGCTGCATTGATGATCTCTTTGATACGTGGCACACCCAGTGTGACGTTCATGGAAGCGACACCGGCAAAGTGGAAGGTCTTGAGTGTCATCTGGGTACCTGGCTCTCCAATCGACTGCGCGCCGACGGCTCCGACGGCGGACCCTGGCTCAATCTTGGCACGCAAGTACTTTGTGTAGCACAGATCGAGGAAGGTGTCGATGGCCGCCTTCTTGACTTTCGTCTTGTTGTCTACCACAGCAATTTGACCGGCGTCCGCTCCCATCGTCAGATCGGTCTCCTCATCCCATTCATCCTCTCGCTCAGTAGCCGGGTATAAGGAGAAGGCTTCGCGGATCTTTCCAGCTTTTTGGATGACCTGTTCTTGCAAGAACTCGCGCACCTGCTCACGGTACTTCGAAGTGGTAACAGACGTCCACTTGTGGCTTTGTAGTACCTCATCGACCAGCTCAGCAACTTCGTAAGGCAACAACCCACGCCCGACGACCGACTCGTTGACGGCCTTGGAATGTCGCCACGATCGGTAATACTCGACAGGGAGGGCGTTGCCTTCTAGCTCAGCAGGGTCGAGACCATCATCTCCGTATGTGAATTGAACGACACCGCCCACTGAGTTCCGCACCGAAGTGTCGTAGTGCGTCGACAGATCTTCCAGGGCCTTCATCAAACGCCTCTGCATGTAACCAGTCTCTGCAGTCTTGACTGCAGTATCGACCAGTCCTTCACGGCCAGAGATGGCGTGAAATAGGAACTCAGTGGGCGTGAGACCCGAGAAAAAACTGTTCCGCACGAATCCCTTGGCAGGAGGGTCCTTCGACTTCTTGGCAAAGTGTGGCAAAGATCGATCTTGGAAGCCGTTTGGCACTCGAGATCCACTGATAATCTGTTGTCCTACACAAGCGACCATCTGCGCAACATTGATCTTAGAACCCTTGGATCCACAGGTTGCCATGATCAGCGGGGCATTGTGTCGACTCAATTCCGTCATACAGATCTCTCCGACGTCACTTCGGACACCACTAAGCACACCGGAGATCATGTTCTCGAGGGTCTGCTCCTGGTTGCAACCGGGCAGGTTGTCCAGCTTGCCCAGCTTGGCCTTTTGAATGAGGTCGAGACATTCACGATAGGCAACTTCGACCTTGCTATCCTTTGTGTTGCGAAGCCTTTCTCCAGGCATCACATCGTTGATGCCAAGAGAGAATCCTTGATTGGCCAGCCAGCGAGCGCATGTCTTGGCAAGACGGTTCATGGCCTGAATGGCAGCGTCTGGCCCATAGTCCCTGAGCAGAACGCCAAAGACACTGTTTTTCTTTCCATCTCCCACAGTGGACTTGTCCATTACACCACACATCACCTCTGAGTTGACAATGACTAGATAGCCGTCGTTAGGACTCATGTCTTTGATGTACTTGGAATTGGTGGGCTTCTCAAAGGTTCTGCACTGCGCCTCGAGATTAACGAGGTGCTTTGAATTCTTGTTGGGCCGGATCATGCAGCTGAAGACCTGCTTTCCAGTCCAAAGCTGCTGAGGCTTCATGATCGCCGGTGGTGGGATATCGATGTGCAGGTTCGCATCGGCAAAGTAAGAGCAGACTTGAGCGAATTGAGAACGGTTGTAGAACCGATCACGTCGTGAGATGAGGAAGGAGGCAGTGATGAAGTCCTGGATGGCAGCAATCAGAGGTTCGCCGTTACGTGGAGTGACGAGATTGTGCTTCACTCCCATCAAGATCGTAGCTTCGGTTCTAGCTTCCTCCGTCTGGGGTACGTGCATATTCATCTCGTCTCCGTCGAAATCGGCGTTGTAGGGATTGCAAGCACACTCGTTCAGTCGGAAGGTCCTCCACGGCCTAATCTTGGCGCGGTGAGACATGATGGAGAGCTTGTGGAGCGACGGCTGTCGATTGAAGAGCACAATGTCGCCATCGCGAATATGTCGCTCGACGATGTCACCAATCTTGAGTTTTTGCGCTGCCATCTCTACGGACCCTCCGAATTTGAGGAATCGTTTCATACCTGTCTCACAGTCGGTGACGTAATTGGCCCCAGGATGCACGTCGCAACCATTGAGTACGGCAGCTCTGAGGCTCTCGATGTTGCTAGCATGGACTCTCTCGGGATACGTCAGAATCTTGGCTACTCTTTCTGGTACAGCCACTTCATCAACCTTCAGGTTGGGATCGGGAGAGATGACAGTACGTCCGGAGAAGTCGACTCGCTTACCAGAGAGATTACCACGGAAACGACCTTGCTTTCCTTTCAGTCGCTGACAGAAGCCTCGCAGCGGCTTTGCCGCAGGCATGATAGGCTGACCTGGCATTTCTGAATTGATGTAGAGTGCTACTGTCAACTGGAGCCATTCCCACTGCTCCATCAGTTGTGACGTCGTCGAAGAGCTTTTTCCTGATCGCATCAGACCTGCTTTGATGACTGTGTTGGTGAAGATGATCTCGCTGAGTTTCACTGTGAGGTCATCTTCATTTGTGGCCCCGTCTTGCTCTACGGTAGGTCGAATGCACACTGGCGGAACACAGATGTATTGCCAGATGTACTCTTCAGGTCTCCCATGTTCTGGTCTCAAACCTAGCAGCTCGCAGTCTTCATCTGAAATCCGCTTGAAGAGATCCAGTACCATGAGAGGATTCAGATCCTCTTGAGCTTTGTGAAGGTGAGGTTTGATGTCTCCAGGGCCTGTGCCCGCCGCCATCTGGACAGCAGTCGAGAAGGTCTTGTGGAATTCTTCCCTCTCACCAGCGAGCTTCTTCTGCCTGAACTTCTCATGCACGATCTTGAGCGGGCCTGACTTCTTCACGACTCCATTGAGTGCATTGCACTTGGGGCAGTACAGCACTTTGCGAGCTGCTGTATTTACAGCCTTGAAGGTCGTTGTCCGTTGTAGATTCTCGAGATTCGGCCTCCGGAACAGTCTGAGGTACTTTCTCCGAGATGACTCGTCGAGTAGCACGGAGGAACATGTCTTGCAGATGACCTGGAGGATGGCGACTGTGTGTTTGAAGAATCCCCAATGGAAGACGGGCAGCACCAGCCGGACGTAGCCGTAGTGACCTACACATTCAGTCTGATTCAGACCACAAGTCTCGCAATTGCCAGCTTTTGATGGTACTCCCTGTCATCATCATACAAAGAAAAGGTGAGGATGAGCATAGAGGACGACTCGATCTGCTACTAGCAGCATACACTCACCAATCTCCGGTCTAGCACTCCTCCTTTAGTAGGTTTCCTCTCCGTCTGCCCCATCGTGTAGAGCTCGCGAGAGGTACATTCTAGCTCTGAGATATTCACAATGTCCTGCTGAGACAGCACTCCGAATTGGATGTGCTTGATCTGCTTGGGAGCATTGTGCGACACGAGTTCCTTCATCATGATTGCGAATGGCAGGGGGAAAGGAAAAGGCCACGCGTAGGGACCCGTTCTTCTGGGGTGAGACTCTACCACATCAGACTGGTATCTTCGTTGTCCTGCAGCTTTCAGAAGCGGTCTCAGAGAGTGGTGACAAGGCAGCAGGAGTAGTGGAAGGGACGCAGCGCGGCAGGGAGGTACTAGAGTGGTAGCAGCTGAAGGATGACTTTTCTTTCTTCCCGCCACGGACCTCAGACAAACGGAAGCAGCCGCTTTGGCGCTCCGCCGCGTCTGGGCCAGGCGCCTTGGCTGGAAGCTGCAAAGGTGTTCCTCCACCAGCAACACTTCTCTCCTGCGAATAGCAGCAGACCATTGCTTTCAACAACGACGATGTCTGCCACAGCCTACGATACCCACCAGCGCCTGCGGACCAAGGCCATCCGACAACTCAAGAAGAAGTCCTACGATGATGCCATCAAGACAATCTCAGACGGCGCAGTGTCCATGCTCGAGCAGGGCGAACAGGGCAGTGGTTGTGATCTCGGAGTCTACCTAGTCGACATCCTCGATCAGTCCAGCAAGCCCTGCGATCAAGACGCACGAGAGAAGATCATCAAGATCGTCTCACTTGCAAAGAATGACTTTTGGAGGAAAAAGTTGATTGACGCTGCCGTGAGGTGGTCCGTCAAGGCGAGCCGGAATCCAGCTGGAGACAGCTTCCTCAGACTAGGCATTGCAGAGGTGCTTACAAAAGGTCAGTAGACAGCGTCAACTCTGCCTACCCAGAGCTTGCCACTGATCTCCCGTGTTTTACATACCTATAGAGAGCTCCTTCTACCTTGCAGAGACACACTATATTGCAGCATGTGTAACACCCCCCGCCAGCTCCAGCGCTCAAGTTCCCGAGCACGCTCCCAAGGCATTCGCGCTAATGATGGTGGAATGGCTGAAGACATTCGCACAGGACGCGTCTCAACAGACAGGGGAGAAGAGGGATGCAGAGGTGATCGAGAGGATAGAAGCAGGCAAATGGGCGCTCAGAGCATTGATGCCGTGAGTAATTTGCCAGGAAGGGAGAAGCGTTGTCTTTCTCAACCTGACCTCGCCCCTTCTTGCCTTACAGTCTGCTATCTCTGAAAGCATCTGAAGCTGCCCGAGGTTTCCTTTCCATCTTCATCTCGCGTCTGGCGGCCAAACATTCCACACTTCTCCTCCCAGTCACTCCCAACCCTCGTCCTTACACAGCACCTGCCGGCGCAGAGAATGCTCCTTCCCCGCCCCAGAACCTCCAGATGTCCATCACCGCCAACCCAGATCTCAACTTCGGACAGATGGCTCTAGCACTGTCTCTTCACGCCAAGGCTTCCAAGGCCTCCAGCGGCAGGGTGCCAGACGGCCTGAGGAATGCTTGGGTGGCTTTGGTGCGGCAGTATGAGAGGGAGGGAGATGCGATTCACGAGGAGGGCATCAGCGACGTGAGTCTATTTGCGGGACAGTCAACTTTGTCGGGGTTCCCTGTCTCATGCGTTCAACTTCCCACCATCCACAGACCATTCCGACCATCTCAAAGTCGTACTTTGACATGCAGCCCTCGAGACCTCAAGGCAACTTCATGCAAGATATGCTGTCCAGCCTGATGGGAGGAGGGCAACAAGGCAAGCAAAGCCAGATCGCTGGAGGGGTGCCTGAGCCTGTCCAGCCTCTGGTCATCAAGCAGGTACCTCAGCCCGTCTTCCAGAGCGCTGCTGAAGACGAGCAATCCGCAGACGATCCCGAAGGGGGCGCTGCGGAGGCCTTAGAGGAGGAAGATCTGGACTGAGTGTACAGCGACCCACTACCTTTCAATATCAAATACACCAATGATGGCTGCTATATAGGGTATCATGCATTGTCGTAGCTGCTGAGTCTGTCTAGAAGAGAGGCTTCCTCTTCCGACCAGTGAACTTGGAGTCGGTCGGAACATCCTCTTTGCCCCTCTTTCTATACAGCTCCTTCTTCCGCAACACCCACTCTTTGCTTCCCTTTTCCATTCCAAAGCCATCCTTGCCCTTCCTCGCTCTCTTGCTCTTGGACTTGCTGAGATCCCTTTCCCTCTTGTTCTCAAACTTGACTCTCGAGCGTCCTCCAGCAGCTCCATCCTGCTCATGCTCAGCCGTGAGACCCTGGGGAAGCTCCTGCCCCTCTGCCGTCTCCTGTCCATACTCCTCCATCCCCCTCGGTCTCACCATGACTCCACCACTCCAAAGCACCAGATAGAACTTCTTTGCCTTCTTCGAATTTGGGTAGTCCACTACCAATCCTCCACCGAAGCCGGCCTTGGTGGCGGAAGTCATGATCATCTTCACTTGGTCGTCGTCTTGGGGGTAGAATTGGAAGACAGCTCGGGCGCCACGGGAAAGGGAGGCGTGAAGAGTTGTGAAAAAGGAGAGGAGACGTGCCATGGGCGAGTGGGAGGTAGAGTCGGCGTTGCATAGCCATTGCAGGACGGAGATGCTGCGTCGAATGAGAGGAAGGTGAGAGGAAGCGACGATTAGAATTGCTATGCTCATGGTCCTGGTCAAGCCGAGTCCGAGCTCACCTGATAGCTCCATCAAAGGATCCAGCCCTGAAAGGCACACCCTGCCCACCATCAGCTAGGATAGGGTCTCCCTCTACATCTCTTGCGATAGCGATCTCCAGCATCGAAGGGCTGATGTCGAAGCCAACCCATTCGTGGCCGTACTCTGTCAAGATCTCGCCCGAGAGACCTGAACCGCACCCTACGTCCAGAATGAGAGCTCCAGAATCTGCTTTCCAGTCTGGGAGATTGAGAAGCTCGATGGCTCGGTGGGTCATGCTCGCCTGAATGTTCTTGATACGGGAGCTGCGAGGATACGGAAGAGGGGCAGGAGTCAGCGGGATGCCTCGCAACCATCGTCTGCTTCTGGTTTCTTCTCGACTCACTTTCCCGTATACTTCGAAGCTTCATCATCGTCGTAGAAGATCTCAGGCGGCGCCTGATGCTCTGGTCTGCTCATCTTGCTGCTTGATCACCTTGAGCTCGTGTCTTTCTGTCACTCTGTCAATGTAGCCGACGTAGGAAAGTCCAGGAGCGGGACCTGGCCAGGCCAAATTTTGTTTCCGTCGGAACGGAACGGAAGGAAGGCGTGACTCGCAATCCCCGAGGCCCGAATTTCGCTCCTTAGCCCTCGCGGGCCTTACAAACGCAGGCAGAGAGGCAGACTGGGCCCGACGCTATTATCAATTCCTATCTTGGCGAGAGGCTTTCCATTGGCACCTTGCTTCGTTCCATACCCTTCACTACTTTAGGCCCCCAGAGTCATCGCACCTCCAATCCATATCAATATCACGATCAAGTCTCATTTTCTGTACACACCTACTGCTCCGAGACACCGGATTCGCCACCTCCTCGAGTCACTCTCCCCTCTCGCAAAAGTCACAGCTCCGCAATGAGTCCGGACGTATCCAGCATGGCTGGACCCCACCACCACCAGTCCAACGGAGTCGTCAGCGGCGAGGCATCTGATGATCGTGTCCTCGTCATTGGATCCATGGCTGCTGCCCAGAGCGGACAGTACCAGCAGGCCGTGCAGGAGGCGGGCCAGGGTGGACAACGGCAGGTGGAAATGCACATGGCGGATCGGTTGAAGGAGGGAGGTGAGTCGGTTGACAGATCAATCGCAGCATCTATCCACAATGATTGACTCACACGCATATGCGCTCTACATCCCCGTAGCTACTGTCTTGAGCCCCTCGACGTATCCCTACGCCATGGTCCTACTCCCTGCTGCTGAGGCCCAAGACGCGGATCTGCTTTCCATCCTCTACACAAGTCTTCGCTCTCAAGGTCAACTACTGCTCGAGCTCGTCGGTCAGGCAGACGAGGCCTCCATCAAGCGTAGTCGTGGTGAGCTGATCGTCAGTGGCTTCTCCAGCGTCACGATCGAAGCTGGTGGAAAGCTCGTAGCTACCAAGCTCGAGTCAGACGGAGGCAGCGGTAGTTCTAGTGGCGCTGCTTCGTCATCCATCAGCCTCAGCAACGGCAGTGGCGCTTCAGCCAGCGGCTCGACAGCGATGCCCCTCCGACGCAAGGTCCTCGGCAACGCACGCACACCAGGTACAAAGACTTCGCTGTGGGCTACAGCCCCTGCTCCTGCCCAGATCGACCCCGAATCTCTTCTCAGCGAGGCAGACCGTCTAGTCCCCAAGGCGGCCCGTCGCGAGGACTGCGATCTCGAGTCTGCTCTAGCCGGAGGCAAGAAGAAGAAGGCCTGCAAGGGCTGCACATGTGGTCTACGCGAGCTCGAGGAAGAGGAGGAGAATGCGAGGATGAATGGCACTTCGATAGTCAAGCTAGACGAGAATGAGCAGGATCTACCAGCAGGATCAAATGTGCCTGGTGCGAAGACGGAAGTGACAGAGACAGTCGTGGATGAGAATGGTGTGACGAGGGTGGTGAAGAGGGTGCAGGTAGATACAAAGGGCGCTACGAGTAGTTGCGGTAGCTGTTTCCTAGGAGACGCCTTCAGATGTAGCGGATGTCCTTACCTCGGGTGAGTTGTCCTTGGACGTCAAGGCCGATGAGTGACTGCGTGCTGACTCTTCGATCCTGCCTCACATCTCTGCACCTCAGCATGCCCGCATTCAAGCCCGGAGAGCAGGTCCTCATTCCCGATTCGATGGACGACGATCTTTAGATGACTCGTCTTGTCTCACCCTTCTCAGCGATTCCTTGACCGCGTCTGTGCTCTCCCGCGCTCATCGCCACTTTGTCCGTCTTTCGCATGCTCCTTCGTCTTGTAGCAATGGTATAGATTACTCAGGTATCCCTGTAGCGTGACATGCCTCGCTGTACACTGTCTCGCCTGCTCTCACATCTTGGTCGCAGGATCGGCCTCCTTCCTCCCCTCATCCTCTCCCCTGGCACTCCTCCTCGCCCTCCATTCCGCAACGCCCTTTGTGAATGTTCCCAAATCCAATCCCTGACTTCCCACCTCGACGAACAATACGCCCAACTTGCCCACTTCTCCATTGCGATGCTCGTCGTCAAAGAAGATCATGTCCGAATAAGGGATCGAACTGTCCGCATGGAGTTTCTTAAAGTGGGTAAGCTTGGAGCCCGGGTAGATCTCGGTGTACTTGAAGAGGGAGGAGGACTTGACTTGTTTTGGTGTGGAGGAGGAGGAGGGAGAGTCGTCTATGAGTATGAGACCGTTGAGGGCTTGCCGAGCTGCTGAGGGGGCTGAGGTCCGTGAGGCAGCTGCAATAGCAATGTTGTGTCTTTGGCAGAAGAAGAAGATGGAGCTGTGGTCAAGAAAGTATGGTGGACATCGATCTGGTCAGGCTGTCTGTGTTTGGAACCAGGCTCGTTTTCAGACACTTGTACTCACGGCACGTGCGGATAAAAGGATAGTGCTTGGCCGTATCTAGCAGAAGAGCGGAAGGGGTTTGAGGAGATATCCAACTCCACTCAACATCTTTAAGCGACCCATGGATCTTCGACTGCCCACTCACCTATCCACGACTTTGTTGATTGCCTCTCCCTTGCGCTTCAATGGAGGATCAACGTGAGTATCTACCCACAGCGGCCAGCAGGTGTAATCCAAGTCGAAGACGGCCATCTTGGGAAGGGGTCCAGACTTAGCCAGATCTTCTAGTGAGGCTGCGATACCACTGGTGTCCGGGGCTACTCCTTCCTCTGGCGAGGAGCTCTGGGAGGCTGCTTGACGGCGATAGCGTGGCATTGTTGCTGTTTTAAGGTGACAAGGTAGCAATTCGAGGATGGACAGGATCGAAGGGAGCTGAGGCTCTAGCAATTGCGATGTTCGTACGGCAGTGGCGGCGGTGAGGAGCGTTGCGGGAAGAAGGACTGATGGATCCATTTGGCGGAACGACGGGCGGAGTGCGAAACAAAATGGCCTGGCTGTGGAGGCAGCGCTTCCAAGTCACGTCGCGGTTTTTGGGAGCCGAGGTTGCCTGCAATGGACAGAGGCACCGATTCACCCCCGCGTGTCTGCTTCTTCCTCCTCGTCTTCCCTCCGTACCATCCCCACCACCTCGTCGTCAAGGCTCCATCCCTCTGGTACGGCGTTCTGGTACTCAACAGGGCCGGCGTCACCCTCAAGCCTCGTGTCTCTCTCCGCGACCTGCTCTGACTCACGCCCTCGTACCTACCACTCTACACGATCATTCACGACGCGTCAATTGCCTCATCCACCGCGACAGCATGGACTCTCAATCGCCAAACACCTTCTTCTCCCTTGGGTCATCATTGAAGACCAACGAGAGCGCGACACCTCTTCAGCCTCGCGATCTCAACAGCTCCAAGATGGCGACCCTCTCGAATCTCAAGCCTTCCACTGCCTATGACACGCCCCCTCCTTCCTCGCCCACATCTGCCTCCGGACGCGGTCGCGACAACAGGGCTTCATCAGTCACTGCGCCATACTCTTCCTCACCCTTTCGTCCAGCAGCTGGTGATTTTTCTTCACCAGCTCCAGGTTCATCTCCCATCAAGGCGCGACAGTCTCGCGTCTCCTTTGGCTCTTCCCACGCGGCGGACAGACTGGGCTTCAGCGATCCTTTTGCTGGCCTCGAGGAGCTGCCAGTCAGCGAAGGCGCCGAGGGAGATGTCTCGCATGTACTGTACGCGTCGTACACCCATGCTCTAATGCTTGGCAGGTGCAAGCCGACGGGCGAGACACACGCGTCAAGCGCGGCTGCCTCACAAGAGGAAGATAGTATTGCGCCGGCTCAAGGCGTGGGCGCTAAGCCCACACAGCACGTAGCTCTCCCCAATTCGGCTCGCCACGTGAGCCGAAGGCATGCCATCGTGGAATGGCTACCCTTCTCGCCACTGGTACGCGCAGTCGACGCCTCCGCTGCCGCCAAGCGCCTGCCCCCCGGGGGATTTGTGGTCAGAATTCTGGGTCAGAACGGTCTCATTGTAGAGGGCAAGCGAAGGAGGGAGGGACACGTCCTGCGCCTTCAGCCAGGCAAGACGATCATCGACTTCTTCGGCGTCAAAGCTCGCTTCGATGTTCGTGAAGAAGCCCAGAAGCCTCTTAGCCTCGTAGAGTCCCAAGCTACCAAGGAGCGGACCGCAACATCAAAGAGGAAAGCCCGAGCTAGCATGCCTCAGAAGAATGGAAGCAGTCCTTCTAAGAGCGATCTGCGCAGAGTCGCGTCCACTTCGGCTATGCGAGGAGGTTCTCAAGAGGACGTGTCGCAGATGCTCTCTCCTACGCCTGCCAAGTCCAGCCCGCAACTCGTCAAGAGGTCTACCCTTGGTCGGGACTCACAATACCCACTCTCACCACCCTCCAGCAGCCCGCCTCCTCTTGACAGCTACGTACCGTCCCAGCCCCTCGATGCTGGGGACGACACTGGTATTCTATCTCACTCTGATGATGCGGAAGGCGAGGCAGACGATGATGACGGCGCGGAAGAGCCAATGTCACCTACACTTGGGCGCAGTCGATTCGCTCGGAGCTCGCTAGGCTCTCGACAGCAGGAGCAAGTCGACTCGGAAGAGGAGCGGCCGGGCAAGATCACGAAGCTGATTCCAGGGGCCAACGGAATTGAGGCTTCGCAAGGAGCCCTGGATGTGGCCTCTGATGCAGAGAGTGAGCTAACGCCCTCACCATCGCCAAGTCGGTCTGCAACTCCCGGCACTACTGTCAAAGAAATGGGCCCCCCAACATCGCTTCCGGCTCCCAGGGCGGCGCGACCCTTGGCTCTGACGAACAGTCAGATTCGCATGCCTCCGCCAAAGCTTCCAGCTTCTGCTATGCTGAGTGCTGCCGCAAACAAAGACAACAGCGAGGGCCTGCGTAGCGATCTGCGCGAGCACGCCCGAAAGTGCGTGGCTGCTCTGGCACCTACCTACGACCTGGAAGGCCTTCTTGCCGGCGCCATCGTCTTCCACCGCACAGCCACGATCAGCGCCAGCGAGGCAGTACGCAGCGTCCTGTCCTGCACACAAGGTCTCATGAGGGGAGAAGTAGGCAGTCTTGCCCCCAATCCGGAGTGCATCTCTCCCTCTCAGCAACTCGAGCACGGCAAGATCGTGCCCGGCTGGGGAGGTGAAGAGCTCCTCGTCGGCAAAGCGGGCCTATCGACGAGCGCAGCTGCTGACCGTTGGTCCTCAATCGCCCGACGAGCCTGGACCGAGCAGCTAGAGACGGTCCTGCAGTCTAAGCGAATGTTTGGTCAAATTCAACGAGCGGGCAAGGACGCCAGTGGAAACAGTCTCGAGCACTGGTACTACTACGACAAGGAGGGTGATGACGATGTAGAGCGAGCGGCGAATCTCGGCGCACTGGCAAAGCCCATTCGCGGAGCACTCAAGACGCACAAGCCCATCTTCTGGAAAAAGTCGGCCTATCCTAGATCCGCTGAGGAGGAGGGGAATTCCTCTTCCAACAACAACAACAACAATGGCAACAGTGGTCTGGCCGCTGCTGCAGCATCTTCTGTGCAGAGCTCGAGGGGAACAGTCATCTACAAGGATCTTCCGATGACTGAATCCCAGATCGGACCCGCTCTCACCCCCACTCCTTCTGCCGCCAGTATCCATCTGAAGCGCGAATCCTCAACGGCTCCTAGCACCAGTAATGGCGCTGCTGGGATCCTCGCTGGTAGAAAGGGGGAAAAGGTTCTCAAGATTGATGAGAATCGGATTTGGGAAGAGACGCAACCCGAGGAGAGGGAGAAGACGTGGGATCCCATTGGGGACATGGATTGGGAGGGAGCTGCTTCGACTGGTGGAGCCGGTAAGAGGAAGAGGAGATAGAGGAGGGTCCTTTGGAAGGCGGGAGGGAAGGGAAGGGAAGGGACCGGGGAGGAGTTGGCTGAGCTGCTGTGCTTCCGTCTACATGCCTTCTTGACGCTCGCGAGCTACTTAGAAGAGAAGAACATCGAGCATCTATTACACATTCTCAATTCGACAATCAAGCATTATGCATTATTCGTAGTCCAGTCTGCTCTAAGTCTAGTCTACAATCGCGCCTTATCCTTTCCCCTGGCCTGCTTCTGCTTCTGCTCCTGCTCCTGCTTCTGCTCCTGCTCTTCCCTCTCCTTCTCTCGCTCCCGCTCCAGCTTCGAAGCCTGCTCCCACTGCCGCCGCAGCTCACCCCGATCGCGCTCATCCTCCACCGTCCACACGCGATGCTCCCGGCCCGGCGCAGCCTCTGGTACGGTACCATGAAGGATGTACTCGAGGTAGAGGGGGAAGATGGTCTCTTCCCTAGTCAAGGGAGAGACAGGTAGTGACGAGGATGAGGCTGCTGTGACGTCTGTTTCGGTGAGCTCGTACGCTTCTGTGGCTGGACCGCCTGGTCGCTCCTCTTCCCCCGTCTCAACCTCCGCCTCCTTCGCTTGAGCACCGTCGCAGCTCCTCCTCGTAGGGATAAATGAGGTGACATGTCCCATTGCGGGCCAAGGCGGTGAGCACTTCGGCGGATCGATCCACAGCGAGTGAAAGTTTCGCCTCTTGTGGGAGAAGAGGGAGAGATGGTTTGTCTGCATAAGTTGATTGATCGTCGCATCGTCTTCGAATCCCACATAGAGGTACTTGTCCAATCTCTCCCCAAGGGCACGCGCAATGACCTCGTCCTCGGCGCCCTGCAGGGAGAAGAGAGGGTGGTAGAACCATTTGAGCCAGTCTACCCCTGCGCCATAGGGGAGGTCATAGCCGAGACCGAGGGAAGAGGAACGGAAGACGCCGTCGGTCTCGAGGGGCGCCTTGATGACCTGATCAAAGACAAATTTGGCCTCTTCGGGACTGTTGTTATTCTCCCAGTACGCATTACCGCCGCAGACGTTCAAAATCCGCACAGGCGGTACGGGAGCTGCTGCGGTATCGCTGGATGGAAAGAGGGTGTGCTCTTCGAGCAGTGTAGACAAGTGCGCCCCAAGGGAATTGCCCAGCAAGGTCAGCGGCAATCCAGGCCACGTCTCTCTTGCAAAGCCTACCACGGCAGCCAGATCCTGTCGGCACCAGTGGCTCATCAATCCCCAATCTGCCTTGCACTCTAGTAGCGCTTCGTGGAAGACATTGTCGAACTCTTCTGTGCCGGGTGTAACGCGCTGCAGCTTTTCCAGACGCTTGGGCGGGAAACTTTGACCTGAGTAGCGGTAGTCAAAGGTACAGACGGCGACGCCTTTTGTGCTGAGATGTTTGGCAAAGGATCGGTAGAATTGAGCTGCTACGCCTGTGGCGTTGATGATAATGCAGATGGCTTGAGCTTCCGATGAGGACAAGATTGACGAAGAGGAAGAGGAAGAGGAGGATGGGGCAGAGGAAGAAGGAGGAGCAGGGTCGAAGCGATGCACGGAGAGGGGGAAGCCGTCCAGGGCTGGAAGTCTAAAGCGGGTATCGGTGGCCATGCTTCTAGGTATCAGGTCACGGTAGCATAAGAGCTTGTACCGGTATCGAGGACATGACGGAGAGAGCGAGGAGGTATCACAAGGGGAAAGGAAGAGGGTAGAGGTCAAGGTATCGAGGATATGTTCATGCGAGCCTCTTGGCTTCCCCGCCTTGTTGCGTTGCTCGCTTGCCCGGCAATCACACGGAAAGAGGACCCTCGACTTGCCGGATCCTCCGCCTGAGCCCCTCGTCGGAACGGAGGCGCAGGATTCCCTCCACCAGTCCGCTCCGTCTTCCGCTTCCCGACCAAGACACCCAAAGGCGAGAAGCACAGTACTCACCACGCAGCGACTTTCTCCCTCCCATCCTGATTCAATCTCACCATCAGGTATGACTTCCGTCCAAACCCAACCCAACACAGGAGGCGGTGCCGGTGCCGGCCCTTCTTCTGGACGCAACCCGGCGGCGCTAGCTCAAGAGTATCAGAGTAGACGGCAGGAGCTGCAGGGACTTGCGCAGAAGATGGGAGAGCTAGAGGCGGATGCTGATGAGCACTTGTGAGTCAGTTGCTGAAGTGTAGCTCAGAAGTGGGCCTGGGGGTGAGACTCGAGCTCTTGACGCATGTCTGACAAGATGATCTTCTGCTCCAGGCTGGTTATCAAGACGTTGAAGGAGACGGATCAGGAGCGCAAGTGCTTCCGACTGGTTGGGGGAGTGCTGCTAGAGAAGACAGTCAAGGATGTGGTGCCGACATTGGAGACGAGTGTACAAGGGGTGAGTAGTGCTGCTAGGCTGCGCTTTCTTCTGCTCATTCTGCAGCAGCGGGCTTCGCACGTCTTCCGAGTAACGTTGGCGATTGTGCTGATATCTCTACCCTCCCGCTCCCTTGATCAGCTGAAACAAGTTATGGACACACTGATGAAGCAGTACAAGCAAAGGGAAGAGGAACTCATGGCCTTCCAGAAGGAACATGGCGCTTCGTGAGCCTTGTCTGCACTCAGCAGATGAGGACTTGTCATGACTGATGAAACGATGCGTTACAAATTGGATACCAGATACACTCAATCGTTCCTCGGTCTACAAGCGAAGCGCGTGTGTGTTCTATTAGAGGCGGTATACAAGGGGACAAGCAGGGAAGAACAACAAGAAGCTGGACCAGGAGCACACCTCATGACGCCTGCTCAACCGTCTTCTGCTTAGCAATCGGCACTCCTTCCTTCTCTCGAGAGGCCCAGCCCTGTAAGCAGGCAAGACAAAGACAGAGCGGGAAGAGACGTCAATAGACCGAAGCGGTAGAGGCATTCCAATGCTCTCCTCCACTAGCTCTCCCTGACACTCACCATCCAGCTCTCATCATAAATGGCACTTTGGATGCCTAGCGTCCGCAACGCCAGCCAGATGACAGCAGCTGTCATTCCGCTTCCACAAGTGGCAGTGACTGCCGTAGTGCCTGCACTGCTTGCCTGTCGTACTTTTTCAAAGTCGAGGACTGGTGAGCCACCTTGTGTACTCGACGAGCGGCCTTGAGAGTCGGTCGTTTCCGAGGAAAAGGTGCGATAGAGGGCGATTTGGTCCTTGAGAGTCGTGTAGGGCTTGCCTGTCCTCTTGGAAGTGTGCGTGTCTATGAGAGTTGGGAAGGGGAGGGAGAGAGAGGAAGGGATGTGGCCTGAAGATAAGCCCGCACGCGGCTCGGGATCGGTGCCATTGAATCTGTGAAGGAGACACAGAGTGAGCCTGTCAGTCGTCCAGGGAGAGTCGCAAGCCCTAAGCCCGTCTCCCTACTTACCTGCCTCGGCTACGTGCGTCCAGCACAACCTCTCCACGTCCTCCCATCCGAGCATTTGCCACCATCTCTTCGAAATCCCTCACCCATCCCTCCTTAAGCTTGGGCTCAGGGTATTCCTCTGCCACTACCTCTTCCTCCACCTTTCCCTCTTGGGTTTCGCCTCCCTCGTCGAGCCATGCGGGCAGCCCTCCATTGAGCACAGATACGTTCTTGTGTCCAAATGCCAGAAAGGTAAAGGCCGTCCTTGGGCTGGAGAAGAGTCCATGTGTATCATAGCAAACGACATGGCTGGAGGGAGAGATGCCTCTCTGTGCAGCTGCCTTCGCAAAGGTGCCTGGACTCGGCATCATATGAGGTAGATTGCGCACCTCTTCCCCCTTTGTCGAGACTTCTTCCACGTCCCACCATCTTGCACCGGGGATCCTGCAAGCGAGATATTCCTTGTATGGGTCTCGAGGTGGGTTGGCATTGGGCATGTGCCAGGAACAGTCGAGCAGCACGGGTGGAGTGGGAGAGGAGAGAAGCTGCTTCAATGAGGCGGCAGTGAGGACCAGTGGAGGCGAGCGTGCTAGTGAGGCGCTGGCTGTTGTTGATGCAGACCTTAGAGCCATGGTTGCGGTCAACATGGCGGGCAGTGCTGAATAGTGAATGGTAGGAAGGAGTGGTGTTGGCTGTAATGGTGGTGGTGATCCTGATTAGTCGGCAATGGCCGGTGGCTGGTGCGGGTGTTGCGTGTGCGTCCCTTCACTTCCGCTCGCTGCGACGTTGGTGTCCTTTACTGCCATACCACCACGCCGTACTCACACTGCAACACCTTCACCAATGACCGCAGATGTTGCTGGGTCGGCTACTGCCAGCACATCTTATCTCACTGACAGTCGCTCGCAGCGGCGCGATGAGATGGCAGGAAAGTCCAATGGCTACCATTCTCGGCCGGTATCTCCATCTTCCCCTTCGTCCTCCCTTCTCACTCTGCCGCCCTCGACCGATCCTTGCACACTCACCACACCCGCCGAGGTCAGGAGGGCACTCGAGGAGCTGGAAGTACATTCTGCTCGAGTAGACGAGGCCCTAGACGCTGCCATCAGGTCTTCCACGAGGCGCGTACAGCAGTCGCAGGAGCGGATAGCTTCCTTTGCTCCTCAGATCGACCTCTTGACGGAAGAAGCTCAAGTGCTGCAATTGAGATTGGTAGAGGCAGCGCTGACCTCTGATAGGATTAGCGGAGCGGTCAGGGTGCTAGACGAAGAGAGGCGGCGGATCAGAGTGGCATCCGAGTGGGTGACCTGGACTCAGGATCTGAAAGGCAGCTTGGCAAGCTTGAATAGTGCAGTGGAGCAGGGCGACTGGGAGACGGCTACCAGACACGCCCAAAAGGCCATGACCATACCCATCGAGGTCATAGAGAGCGAATTTGCAATGAGGGTCGTGCCCACCACAGAGCAGCCTCTTGCGCCGGCTCAAACGCTCCTGGAGCTTCGAACCGTCCTGCTCCGTGTCTTTACACAAAAGTTTCAACAAGCTGCCGAGAACAAAGACGAAGCAGAGGCAAGCAAATTCTTCAAGATGTTCCCGCTGGTGGGTTGGAGAAACGAAGGTCTGGCTGCTTACTGTACATTTGCCAGGGGTATGATCCGCGAAAAGGGCAAGGTCATTATCGAGGCGACGGGGAGAGGGGCCAATACCCCTCTGCACCACGCCCACCTCCTCACGGCGCTCTTTGAGCAACTGGCCCTTCTCATCGATACTCATCAAGCAGTCGTGGATCGTCACTACGGCAAGGGCAACTTTGCAGCAGGCGTCATGCCTGGTTTGCAAGAGGAGTGTGACTACATCGGCAACAGGATCATCGAAAGCTGGATCGAGAAGACGTCCATCGGCAGAAGACTGGATGAGGCGAGGGCTTTCACCTTCCACTTCCTGGCCAATCTCGGGTCCTCGAATACAGCGGGAAAGTCCTCTGCTCGCATAGCCGGAACTGGAAAACCTGGTGTGCCTGGTCGCCCAGGCACCCCTGTTGGCGGCTTCAACCGTCCTTCGACGCCTTCTAATGCTCCCGAAGAGCCGCAGGCTCCAGATGGACGTGAGGTGGACCGCTTGCTGACCGAGCTGGCAACCATGGCGGCCAGATGGGCGACGTATCAGCGCTTCCTACGCGGACGTCTCGAAGTGAGTTGAGCGAGGTACCCATTTGAGAAGAGACTCTCGCTAACTCTGTTGCTCCTCTTATGACCAGGTGGAAGGCAGTGCGCAGACTCATGCAATCGAGCGGGACACTGAAGATTCCGAGCTCAAAGACTACCGTCGAGGCAGTGTTGACAGTAGGCGCAGAGAGTCTCTCGCTTCGATGGTAGCTCCAGATGACACCAATGAGGCTGCAGTCGGCGCCGAGAAGGTGTTGGAGGGCTCGACTTTGCGCAGCAAGATGGACACTCTCCTGGAGGAGATGTATTGCCCGCTGGAGAGGTGGTACTTGAGGAGTAGTCTTGAAAAGGTCAGCAAAGCCTTTGCCTCGACCACTATGTTAGATCTGCTCAGCGCTGACCCTCATCGACTAACTCTCACACTTCCTCTTCCATAGGCACATCGCATCGACACAGCAGACCTCACGGCGCGCCCTCTCACCTCATCCATTCTAGACGATGCCTTCTTCCTGCTTCGAGCCACCCTCACCCGCATTCTCTCTACAGCCCATCTGGGGTCCATTTCAAGCAGCCTGCGCACTTTCCGTACGATTGCAGATGAGGACTATGTGCAGATCTTGGTGAGGAGGATGGAGACTACTTGGCGTAATGTAGGAGGGGCCATGGCTGGACCGGATGGACCTAGGAAGGAGACGGCCTCGAGGGAGATGCGGACCCAATTTGTGGTGAGTTCCAGCTTCACAAGGGGGGATCGACTGCTAGAGTGCTGACCCTTTTGTCACCACATCACTCCGGCTCCTACAGCTTTACCTCAACGTCCTCTCCATCTCAGCAACCTACGCCGAGCGCATCCTAGGGGACCTCTCCTCCGAATCGCACCTCTCCACCCTCTTCTCCACTCCCACCGAGCAAGTCCAAGTCTCCTCACGCCTATCTGAGCTCTCCGCTCTCCCCAACCGCCTGCGCAGCGCCCTCCGAACCGAGCTCGAGCATCTCTTCACCCACCTCTCCAAACCACGATTGCGCTCTCTCCTAACCGAAGCATACAGAGATGTCTCCTACTCTCTGTCGGAGGAAGAGTTTCAAGAAGCAGAATACCAGGATGTTTTCTTCCGACGCTTCACGAGGATCTTTGACCACTTGCTCGCCAATTTCAGAGAAGTGTTTACAGAGACCAACTTTGAAATGTACTTCGCTCTGTGTGTGGAGCACGTAGTGAGACCATGGGAGAGGATGCTCCTAGGCACCGGCCCCGGTACCGGCAGCGGTGCAGGTGGTATGAGGTTCACCGAGCTCGGCGCACTACGTTTTGATAAGGACTGGAGGAGCGTGGCAAAGTACCTTTCGGATCAGACTAGCTCGGCTGAAGTGAGGGACAAGTTTGCTAGATTGCAGCAGAGTGAGTGCTACCCTGACCGTCCAACCTCTCGACCCTGCACTATGTTGCAGTAGACTTTTACTGACCTCTACCTCATCGCCTTCCTTCCCTTCTTTGGCCACAGTCGCCTATGTTCTCAGTCTGGACGAAGACGATGACGAGGGCATCTACGAGAGCGGAGCCTCGTCTGGCTTCTCGTGGAGGCTGAGCGCCAGCGAAGTCCGGGCAGTCCGGGCTCTCCGCGTCTAGAGAGCAACGGCGGTGCCGGTGTGGGCAAATCTATCAAGGTACAGTCAGAGATTTGTCCCTCATGTCGGGGGCGTGTGGGAGTCGAATCGGTGAAGCAATTCATAGACTTTTTGCATTGCAATTCGATATGCTTAGAACGCGGAAAGAATGAACGGACATTGGAGGCGAGGAACAATGAGGGGACACAAGAACAAAAGAAACGCAGCATAAGAAGAGTAGAAAGAAAGAAATTCGCAGCCAGTAGATATCTTCGATTCGGGGGGTATCGTGTCGAGGAGGTCATCGACAACTTTACGAGGTCCTCCACTGCACCGGTGATGCCTTGTTCGATGACTGTGCCTTTGCCGTGGCAAATCGCGGGTTGATGTGCTCGACAAAAGTCTGATCCCCGTCCTGTACCAGACGCGTCTCCTCTTTGGGTGCAGCAGGCGCAGCAGGCTTGGGCTTGGTAGCAGAGACGTCCATGGACTTCCTGTTGGACTTTGCCTTTGTCGAGGGAGCAGAGCTGGCAATGGCAGTGACCGTGTGGCCCTTGGCAGTGGGGGTGATGGCGGACGGGGGAGAGGTAGAGGCGGTGGTGCCAGGCACCAGTGGGGTGTCCTTGCTAGCAGCAGAGGCTCTTGGAGCATCCACTGAAGCCTTGGGCGTCGAGATTGCTGCCGTCGTCTTGGGAGTTGGGGCGTGCTCCTTGGTCTCGGTCGCCTTGAGAGTTGGAGCGGGCTCTTTGGTCTCCGTCGTGGCGGAGGTCTCCGCAGTGGGCGTCTTCGACTTCTTTGCCTTCTTTGGCGTCGTCGGGCCTCGGAGTCCAAGCGAGGGAGCTCCTAGGGCCGAGAAGAAGCCTCCACCAGAGGTGGACCTGGGACTGGTCGCCTTAGGCTTGCTCTTGGCAGTCGAGTTGGACGTCGAACGCTTCAGAGGAGGAGGGACTTCTCGGTTCTCACTCACGCTCTGCCTTTGAGCGGCAGTTGGGACGCCGGTACTGATGGCAGACAGGGAAGGTGCGGGACCTCGCGACGCTTCCTTGTCGGCGGCAGGCGCAGACGACTCCGAAGGGCCGGCCTCAGCCTCCTGGAAAGGTCCCTCGGTAAAGGCAGAACCCTGGGCGGCAGGCGCCTCCGTGGCTGCTGGCTTCTCGACTACGGGCTCGGAAGGCGCTACAGGCTCTGCAGCTTCTGCAGGCGGAGCAGCCTTCGACGTCGTCGTCGTAGTGTCGATTGGCGCAGTGGCAGGAACAGGGGGCAGAACAGGTGCAGAGGTTGAGCCCCTTCGCTTCTCCTCCTTCTTCGGAGTGCTGCGGAAGAGACGCTTGATGAAGCCACCCTCGGACTTGTTGTCGTTGTTGGTCTTGGTGTCCGCGACGTCGGTCTTGGTTGCTTCAGTCTTGCCAGGAGTCACAGGAACAACAGATGCATCGGTCCTTCCCTTGTCGGCCTCGGCGGGCATCTCAGTGCCCTTGTCCTGTTCGACTTCGGGATCAATCTCTCTAGCCTTGCCTTTGCCAGCGGCAGAACCGCCGGCGACGACGGCGGCAGCGGCGGCAGCCAGGCCAGCGAGCTCACGGTCATGTTCCTCATCAGAGCTGTCACTCGACTGACTCGTGTGGGAGACTGGACCATCCCTTGCTTTTGTCTTCTCCTGAGCGGTGACTTCCTTTGCCTTCTCAACTTCAGCATTAGCCTCTTGCAGAGCTCGATGAGCCTCAGCCTGCTGTCGCGCTTGATCTGCTTCGAAGGTCTTCTTGTCCTCCGCAGCCTTGGCCTGGGCTTCCTCTGCGAGACGAGCGCGGTTGCCTTGCTCCTCCTTGGTCTTCTCTTCCTCTTTCTTGCGAGCGGCTTCAGCTGAAGCCAATGCGGCGGCAGCAGTAGCAGCGGCCGCGGCCGCAGCTTCTTGCTCCTTGCGAGACTTCTCAGTCTTGGCCTCCTCCTCCTGTCGGACCTTCTCAGCATCAGCCTTCTCGCGCTCGATTTTCTCGTGCTGTTCTGCTGCCTCCTTGCGGGCAAGCTCGGCTGCTTCCCTCTCCTTCTGCGCTTGAGCGCGCTGCTCCTCGATCTCCTTTCGCGCAGCAGCGAGAGCCTCTTCAGCCTCCTGCCTATCCTTGCGAGCCTTCTCAGCACTGGCCAAAGCAGCTGCAACGGCGGCCTCGGCTTCCTCGCGTTCCTTGCGAGCCTTAGCGGCCAGCTCTTCCTGCTCCTTGCGAGAAGCTTCAGCAGCAGCCAGCGCACGAGAAGCTTCAGCCTCAGCCTGCTCCCGCTCTTTGCGGGCTTTCTCTACGCGAGCTGCTTCGTCAGCCTGCGCTTGCTTGACCCTTTCGTCTTCGTCGTGCTTGGCCTTCGAGGCAGCTGCCAGAGCAGCGGCTGTCGCGGCTTCGGCAGCCTTCTTCTCCTCGGCGGCCTTCTGAAGAGCAGCGTCGGACTCCTGCTTTGCTCGTGCATTGGCAGCCTCTTGGGCCTCTGTCGCTTCTCGCGACCTCTCAGCCTGCTCGCGAGCAAGTCGTTCGGCCTGATCAGTCTCCTGGCGGGCGACCTGCTGTGCCTTCTCAGTCTCCTCACGGACCAGCTGCTGCGCTTTTTCAGTCTCGTCCTGAGCTTCCTTCTTGGCAGCGGCAGCGGCAGCAAGGGCGGCAGCAGCAGCAGCTTCGGCAGCCTCCTTCTCGTGGGTTGCCTTCTGAAGGGCTGCGTCAGCTTCCTGCTTGTCGTTATTGATCTGAGTCTGAACAGCTTCCTTCTCTTGCCTTACTCGATCAGCATCGGCTGCAGCTTCCTGACGAGCTCGCTCAGCATCATCGTGAGCATCCTTCTTAGTAGCAGCAGCAGCAGCGAGAGCAGCAGCGGCAGCAGCCTCTGCTTCCTTGCGCTCTTTACTGGCCTTCTCAAGAGCAGCAGCGGCCTCTCGCTTGCTTTCAGCGTCAGCAGCCTCGCGGTCCGATCGCTCCTTCTCGGCTCGTGCAGCTTCATCGCTGTTGTGCTTCTTTGTAGCAGCAGCGGCAGCAAGAGCAGCAGCGGCGGCGGCTTCCAATTCTTCCTTGTGCTTGCGGCTGCGCTCAATCTCCTGCTCGTGTGCCAAGCGGGTGGACTCGGCCTGAGAGGCCAGCGCCTCTTCCCTCTGGCGAGCAACAAGAGCAGCAGCAGCCTTCTGCTCCTCGACCTGGCGCGCTTGCTCAGCGGCCTCCTTCTGCTGATAGGCTTGCCTTGCCTCTTCCGACGAGACCTGACTGTTGTTGTAGAGGGCGGCAGCTGCGACGGGTGCGGCACTGACGCTTCGGTCCGTAGGGTCCTGGGCTGTCTCAGTCACAGGGGTTTTGATTCGCTCAGGCTCCTGACTCGTGTGAGAAACTGGAACAGGAAGGACGGTCGACTGAGGCTGGCTGCCGAGACTGGTCGTTGCTGGTTCTGCAGCAGGGACACTCTCAGTCTGTTCCTTAGGCTCGGCGTGCTGTCCTTGGTCTGCCAGTCTGACAGCGGTAGCGTCAGCAGCGAGTCGCTGGTTGGACTCTCCAACTTCACGGAGCACCCGCGCCTCCTTCTCTTCCTGGGTCTCCTTGTGATCAGGGGCGGAGAAGTTTCGCTTGTCGTGTTCGGCAGCGAGGAGAGCGGCGCTTGCCCCACCAGCGTTCTTCGGCTCGCTGTGCCCCTCCTGGTCTGCGAGCCTGACAGCGGTAGCGTCAGCAGCGAGTCGCTGGTTGGACTCCCCGACTTCACGGAGCACCCGCGCCTCCTTCTCTTCCTTAGTCTCCTTGTGATCAGGGGCAGAGAAATTTCGCTTGTCGTGTTCGGCAGCGAGGAGAGCGGCGTTTGCCCCACCAGCGTTCTTCGGCTCGCCGTGCCCCTCCTGGTCTGCGAGCCTGACGGCGGTAGCGTCGGCTGCAAGTCTTTGATTGGACTCTGCGACCTCACGGAGCACCCTGGCTTGCTTTTCTTCCTTGGTCTCCTTGTGGTCTGGCGCGGAGAAGTTTCGCTTGTCGTGCTCAGCAGTATCTGCCTCGCTGTGGGCTTGGTGGGATGCAGCTACAGGCAGGACGCGAGGCTCCTGTGTTGAAGTCCTGGAAGTGTCATTGTTCTGAGCGGCAGCAGGCACGGCTCGAGACTCTTGCACAGACTTCCGACCAGCGGTATCGCTAGGTTGAGCATGCTCATTCTGATCTGCAAGCCTGACAGCCGCGCCGTCAGCGGCGAGCCGTTTGTCGGTCTCGGAGACGTCGCGCAGCACCGCGTCCTTCTTGGTCTCCGTAGTGGTGTCCTGAGGAGCCACGGCTGCGACTGGCTTTCGCTGACTCATGGATTCCTTGCGTGTAGCCGTTCTGACGCGCTCGGCTTCGGCAGCATGGAGCAGAGTGGCGCTCTCGACTTCCTGTCGGATCCTCTCCTTCTTCTCCTCGGCCGTCTCCGGCTTCACCTTTGACTTTGCCGCTTGAGCTTCCTTCTGCTTCCTGGCAGCCTCCTTCTGCGTGCGCTGAACCTCCTTGTCCTCAGTCTTGTACTGCTTCTTTGCATCGGCGATACGCTTGTTCTCCAGCTTGATGCAGCCCTTGATGTTGTTCCTGTCAGTACGAGACTTTGGCTTCTCCTTCTTCAGTTCCTTGCGACGCTCCTCGGCGGCAGTCAGGGCTCGGTAAGCATCGGCCCGAGCAACGAGGTGCTTCTCGACCTCAGACGGCTCCTTTCGGCTGGTTGACCGGGTCAGGTTGGTCAACACAGCCGGAATGGCGATGCCCGTAGCGCCGGTAGGTAGAGTCGATGGACCGGTGTAGCTAGCGCGAGAGGTGGCTTCAGCGGGCGCTGCTGCTGATCGGATAGAAGGTGCAGTGGTCGGGGCAATTGTCGATGTTGCAACGCCTGCAGAGGTAGTGGGCGCATCGTTCTGAGCAGTGGTAGAAGGAGCGCTGTACTCCGAAGTCATCGAAGGCGCGCCATGCTGCGCAGTAGAAGGTGCGAGGCTTTGGGCTCCAGTTGACAGTCCACCGTACTGTGCACTAGGGGCAGCGCCGTACCGAGAAGCGGTGGAGGGTCTGCCCTGTTGAGCGTCTGAGGGCGTGTCAGTACCCTGATGAGCAGTAGCAGGCACATCGTGCTGAGAGGCGTCACCGTACTGAGATGCAGACAGCGCACCAGCAGCAGCGACAGTCGCGGGTGCAGCAGTCTGGGCCGTTGAAGGAGCAGAAGTCTGACTTGTCGAAGGAGCAGTAGATCGCTCGGTTGAGGGCGCAACATATTGAGAAGTGATAGTAGAGGGCGCATTGGTAGTCTGCGTAATAGAGGTAGGATTCTCTGAAGCTGAGGTCTCTCCTGCAGTCGTAGCTTCGTCCTTGCCAGTCATGGTGTCAGTCGTTGGATGGCTCTGGGCTTCGCTGGCTGTGCCTACTGCGCTTCCACCACTAGCAGGCGCGGCTTCGAGTGGCTTGGACTCCTCGAAGGGCGACTGTGGTGCTTCGTCGAGAGCGCTCTTGTCAGAGACTGCAGGTTGTTCAGATGTAGCTGCAGCCGCAGGAGCAACAGCGGCAGGAGCGGCGGAAGTGGTGCCAGTCTTGCTCACGTCTGTAGCTGGCTCAGCAGTCGAGGAGGTGCTAGCAGCTGGCATAGCAGGGATGTCTGCGGCTTTGCCCTTGTCGTCTGCTGCCGTTGTCCCTTGGCTCGTGTTGGCGGCAAGACGCTGGTCGCTTCCCCTCTCCGGTGGGTGGGAGAAGGTAGCAGCATTGTCATGAGAACGCCCGAGAAGGCGACCGATCAGGCTACGTCGACTGTCCTTTCTGCCCTCCTTGCTTGCAGTGGCCTCCTTTCCTGCCTCGAGGTATGCAATGCCTGGTGCTTTGATGCTGAATGTGTTCGGTGTGTGGCCCGCAACGAAAGGCGATTGCTGTACGGCGGGAGCAGGGGCGGAGCGCGCCCGCTTCTCGGGAGTGTAGGCTGCGCCATCAACGACGTAAGGCTGGACATCATCGTCGTCGCTCTCGTCACTGCTGTTCTGTGCCATGTTTTCGTCCAGGTCGTACTCTGTGCCAGCAATCTTGGTATCGGCAGCGATCTTGCATCCGATACCAGTGCATCGCTCCGATTCGTGACCAATCGAAGCCAGTACACCGGCAGCATCGGCGGTTGGAGCGTCCAGCACCCGCAGCTCCAGCGGGCTGAACCACTTGGGCACAATCCAGTAGCGGAAGGGGATGAGCAAGGTGATCAGGACGGGGAAGCCAATGCCGGCAATCGTCTGGGAAATGGCAAAGGTAATGGCAAAGAAGAACCATTGAATGCCGACGAAGAGAGCGATCTTAGATCGGCGAAGTTGGTTGAGAGGATCGTCAGCAGGGGCCACTGCCCTGTCGCGGAAGATGGCAAGGGTACGAGAGGTGATGATGTTGCCTTCGATTGAGCCCCAGCCGACGAGGACGAAGATGCCAGCAAAGACGGCTCGAGGCATGGTGCCAAGAGCAACGAGGAATGGTCGTGTCATGGTGGCGAGGGTGAGGGCACCAATCAGAAGGTGCGAGCCTCGCTGCTCGACGACACGGGTGTTGACGACGTGCTCCCGGGCAGGGAGTGAGGGCTGCTTGCGCACTTTTCCAGCATAGCCACTGTTACGGGCAGCGGGTTTCTCCTCGTCCTCCGAGGGCTCCTTTACCTGCTTGAAGACAGAGAGGGCCTCCGTGTGCCAAGGGCACTGAGGCACAAGTCCGTTCGGAGCCGGAAGACCAAGAAGACCAGAGACAAGTGTGGTAATACCGAGCAGGAAGAAGTCCCAGTGGAAGCCGGCCGGTCGCCTCACGGGGAACTGGCGTGCCTGGGCCATGACGCTGGATACGTTGTGGTCAAACCAGAACAGCAGGGTAATGAGAAATCCGAGCGGTGCGCCGACAAAGGCCCATCGAGCCTCGATGTTCCAGAAGTCGATGAACCAAGAGCGGTCCATGGTCGGGAAGAAGGCGCGGGTGATAGGCAGCCGCTCGATCGGAACACGTCGGAGCGAATTGTCCGGGAAGTGGGAAAAGCCGGTCCAGAAGATACAGCCGGCGGCAAATGCAAATGCAGCCACCGACGAGCGCAGCTGAAAGGGCAGGTAAGAAGTCTTGCCGACTGCAGATACGAAGTAGACGGACACCACGAAGAGCATCGCGATAGCGACTGAGAGCCAGCCGGTCGCGTTGTCCAGCGGTGCAGGCTCGAATTCGAGAATTAGTAGCTCGATGCCCTTTTCGATGCTGTCGGGGGAAGAGGACATCGCGGTCAGTCGCAGTGCTGCGAACCCTATAGCGCTAGCGGCTTCGGGAAACACTTACTACACAGCTCCGACGTAAAAGCCAAAGGTGGAAGAAGTCATGTCCGTGATGAAGCGGGTGAAATCGCTAAGATTGAAGATGGCGGCCAGGAAGTGGAAACCAGCGCTAATGGTGCGAAAGATCGAACAAATGCAGTGTCTAGGTCAGCCATCGCTGTCTCCTCTCACGTCCCGCGCTGAGTACGCGTACACAGCTGTTGCTGCTGCTGCTGCTACTCACGCCCAGATCAGCGACCATGCCTGGACGCGCAGGTAGTCCATTTGGTCGAGTCCGTAGTAGTCAACGACGATGTCGTATTGAGTGTAGTTGACCTGTCAGTGGAATCAGAGATAGGGGATTGGAGGGCGTATGATGAGGAGACAGAAGGAGGTGCGACCAGTGCGGAAGGTTCAAGGGGGGGTCGAAGACCGAGGAAAGTGAAGTGCACAGGTGGTCAGCGTCATCATCCAGTCTGGCCTTCGGCCATTGTGTCAGAGGCGGGCAGGGCGGGCCAGCAGCGTCGGAAAGGGCAAGGCAAAGACGGAGGGCCAAGGTGCTGCCTGGTGCTGCAGCCGGTGCTAAGCGAGCCAACGCCATCTCAGCCAGCCAGGGTCGCGGGGCGCCTCAGTGGCCTGCACAGAAGCACCGCCTGCATCTCGCCCCACGTCACCGGGCGTCGCAGCCGGAAGGCACGATAGGCAGACCGCAGAGGCGAGGGCGGGGCAAGAAGCAGACACAGGCGCAGCACTTCCACCCAACGGCCTCTGCTCTGCTTCAAGCCCACGTCCGTAATAGGCCGAAGGTCATGGTGGTCACAACCGGAACGGAGGGCCAATGCCAAGCACCACATATCGGGGCCACTCACCAGATTGATCAGACCCGTTACACCGACAAAGGTCAGCGGCTGCACAGAGAAGAGGGGGAAGATGATGGCCACCATTGCAGAAGCCAAGATGACCTCATTCACGCCGTAGGCTCCATTTGTGCGATGGTACATGTCTAGCACATAGGCAATGGCCGGCATCAGACTGAGACAGTCGTGGGTAATATCAAGGCAACGTGCATACGATCAGCCTTCTTTGCTCCTGTGAGGTAATTTGCCTTGTGAACTTTGCTCTGCCAGCCTGTATGCACTCACTTGATAAAGTAGATCCTCACAACAGCCTGAGCCACTGTCCACCAGTTTCTCGGCTCAAAAGTGGCCGTCCAATCGCTGAGATAGTAAGGAGCCCTTCTCTTTACATCGTAGTACATTCCTCTAAAGGGCTTAAGCTCATACAGCCATCCACGTCGACTCCAGGGTAGATCACCTCGAAAAGAGGGGAAAGAGGACTCGTCTGATGATACTCCTGGTCGAGTAGGACCATCCCTGCTGGAAGAGGAAGAGGAGGAGTCACGACGATTCTTGGCTGCTCTCGAACCACCTTGAGAAGCATCGAGACCTATTCGCTCTGCTTCGGGAACGCCTCGATCCACTTGTCCAGAACGAGGCTTGCGACGCCTCCGTCTGGGCTCCTCGCGTGGAGCAGCCTGCTTATGCGATGGGCTGCGCTGAGGAGGGGCAGCCGCTGCCTGAGTGCTATTGCTATTGCTGTTGTTGCTGCTACTGCCAGGTTCACCCTGTTGTGAGAGAGTGGCCGTGGTATCGCTTGGAGGGACAGCAGCTGCTGCGCTTGGTCCGGGTTGCTCGGATGCCATTTTGATGGGGTATACAAGAAGAGGAGGGAAAAGGAGGAGAAAGAGAGAGCAACAATCGCAAATTGCCCCACTAACGCTGAGCGCACAAGCTTCGTCGCAAATCCCAGGATGGAACGAGGAACAGAGTCTCTAGTGCAGACGAGATGAGATCGACGCCAAGAGGGGGAAAGGGCAAGGGCGACGTGTGGATGGTGTGATGGTGCTGCTGATGAAAATGCGGGGTAATCCTCCAGCCCTGAAATGTAGATCGGAAATCCGCCTCAGAGGGCCCGCCGTCAGGGCAAAGGGGCAGCACCAGCGGAAAAGGAAAAGGACTCAGTCCGCTCGATCGCCCGCACATCTCACGCGGACCCTTGATTCTTGGTTCCCCACGCTTGGACGCTTGGCAAAAACAGAGCCCATTTGCTTGACTCCACTATTCCGGATAAGCTCAAAGGACACGAGGCAGCTCACTACTCACTGCGTAAACGTCAGCACCAGTATAGACGACACAGAAATGCTATGAACAAAGTTCTGGGAGACGAGAAATCAGATCAGAGAGACAGGATTAATGCTGAGGGAGGAAACGAAGGGCGAGCATTCCGAAGGGGGGCGGACTACGGGCGTGCCAGACGCTCGGAAGCCATTGTTCATGATTGCTCAGCGGCGTGTGTGAGATGAAAGAGGCAGCGCCCATTGAACAGGCCTCACCAGATACTCGGTAGCGCACCTGCAGCTAAGCAAAACATACAGACCTCCTCCGTCCTGCTCCTTCCCTTATACGTCGGATGTCAGTAGCAGTAAGCTCACGACGTTGCCGGCCTGGTTGTTCGCCGCCACTTGCGACTGGCACTGGCTGTGAGGTTTCTTGCGACATGGTGAGGAGTCCAGCAGAGGAATGTGACCTGCGGGAGCGAGCTCGCACAGCTTGCTCTGGGTTGGCCATGTGAGGAGGGGCGAGACCGAGAGAAGATTGCGCTCGGAATGGTGGGGGCTGCCTCACTGCTTGGCTTGAGGAGTTCTCCTTCTCGAACGTGTGAGCCTTGCTGAGCGATGGGACACCCTGTCTCCATACGTCAGCTCGATTAATTGCCTCGCCTCTTTCAGGGGGACGATTGTACGCATTCAGCTGGGTGGAGAGCGAGGTGCTTGGACGCTCAGATTCATGCTCTGAGTGTGGGACCTGGATCTCGATGGCGTTCCCTGACAGGATAGCAGGAGCCAGAACGCTTTTGCTCCTGCTTCGAATGGAGTACCTGACGCTTTGGCCCCGGCTCTTCTTGCCATTGGCTTCCGTAGCGAGCTGTGCCTCACGGGCTTGTCGCTCGCGCAGCTTGACCTCTTGTGCTTGACGCTCTGCTGCTTGCCTTTGCTGCCACTGCTCCCTGGCAGTGGTCAGTGCTTGAGCTTCAGCCAGCTTGGTGGTAGTGGGTCGCTGTAACTGCAGCAATTTGGTTAGGTGTCGCTCCTGAAGTTCAGATAGAGTCATTTGACTCATCCGATTACTTGTAGTTTTGTCTCGGACGCCAGACGCTTTTCTGGTATCTGTCCGTCCGAGGGAAGCTCGATAGCGCTGCTTCTTCTCCTCTTCGCTCACCACGATCACGCGCTGCTCGTTGTTTTCGCCAGACTGGAAAGACGATGGCTGGTCATAAAGCGTCTTGGGTCGAGCTGCTGGTGTCGAGGATTTGCGATATGCATCAGGGCGAGAAGTTGCTCCTGAGCCTGCAAGACCTCCATAAGTGTCCAACATCGTCGATGCCCCTACGGATTTCGAACGACGTCTAGCGAGATCAGATGGTCTCGATGCAGCAATCGCCTCAAGCTCGGGTGACAGACCCAGGCGAGGCGTAGTGGAAGGAGCAATACCTCTCGCATGGTACGAGTGCATAGGCTGGGGAGCGTCCTCTGCAAAGAGGTCCGCCACGCTCTTTCTTCGAGGCCTGTATACAGAAACCGTGCGTGCAGCACTCAACCAAGGCCTGCTCTCCGGCGTTGGCGGTGCTGGGTCTGCTGGCTTCTCGCTCGAGATTGCGGCCGGAGCGGCCCCACTCCGGAGGTCACTGATCGTCTTGCGAATTTGTTGAATCTCTCGTAGCAGAGCTTCCTTCTCTTCCAGTACCTTCAGTGCAGCTGCATGGCGAACTTGATCTGCTCTAACGTCTTGGGAAGATGTAGAGGCATTCTGACCCTCGGCGGCTTGGGTAACAGATACATCAGGGCCAAGAGACTCAGCCGGACTAGCATCTTCAGGAGGTCCAAGGAGACTCATCCCGTCTTGAGTGATTGTGGGTAGTTGAAGCTGCGGCACAGCATCGAGGCTCTGCCGCTGTACAGAGAGACCACTCTGCGAGCCCGTCTCGAGACCATCTCTGCAAATAGCCTCTCCTTGACCTCCTCTCTCGTACAGTGTCCTCTCGCTCTCCGCTAGCGTCAATCCCGTCTCCTTCTCGGTCCCCTGGAACGAGACAGCCGGGGACGACGAGGTTCTGCAGGACGTCTTTACATATCCCTTTCCCTGCTCCCACTTCTCAAGGTCAGTGGCGGCAGTCTGGATCACTGAGCGTTCAGCCTTGGCGGCTTGACGGAGCAGACGGGCATGGCTGGTTGACTCGGGGTCTTTGCGGAGGGACTTGAGTTTGGTGCGGAGGGAGGTGAGCATTTGTGGGTGTGGCCAGACAGCTAGCGGGGCTGAAGTCGGTCTAGAATCGAGCTTCGTGGGCTCAATTGTGATGTGTCTCGAGGTGAGGTGAGGTGAGGGGGGAAGGGGACGGAGCGGGTTTCCGGCGACTGAGGCCAGCTCAGGAGAGACCCAGGATGTCGAACTTGCGACGATGCTACGCAGACTGGCTGAGAAGGAGGGATTGGGAGAGGGAGAGGAGAGGTGGAAGAGACAGAAGGGGACACAAAAGGAGACGTCGATCGATGGACTGACGCAAAGGACAAAAGACCAGAGTGGTCCGGGTGAAGCAACTCAAATTGGACATGTGCAGGGGCCACATCACTTTCACCCTCTTCTCGCGCTCGGCAATGTGCACCGCGTCGGCCTGCACATCAGATAAGGCACTCACTCCGAAGACTCAAAGCCAAGGTAGGATATATCGCAGGTGACAACGAAGACTACAAGAATGTGGAGGGAGAGGAGGGAAGGGAAAGGGGGAATACACGTCACAGGGAGAGACAAGTCCAAAAGTAGGAGCAAGGAGAAGGGAAAGGGGCACCGATGGAACAAGGAGAGCAGAGGGAGCAGAGGACGGAGCAAGATGAAAACTCAAGGAGGCCAGCCTCCTTTGAGAATCCATCAATAGGGTAAAGTAGGGAAAGGCAGAGCACCAAAGTACCCGCCTGGAAGCGAGGTCGGGAAGGAAGGTAGAGTCTAAAAGACATGTACAAGTAATGTCGCGCTGACCTATTGTGGCTTGGGAGATGGTGACAATGACGAGAATCCATAGGGTGCTTTGGGTATGTTGCAGGGTATTCACCAATTCTCTCGAGGCCTCTTTCCTGTGCCCAGTAGCGTACTTGAAGATGACGACGTGCCTTGCGGGAAAGCGTCGCCATAACGATGCCCCATTGCTTCGGGAGCAAAGGAGCTAGTGCCACTTGTGATGTGGTATCTTGCATCAGGGCCTACTCGACCAGATGCATCATTTCCTGCGCCGGCTCCGCTGAAGGACATTGGCGCTAGGGCAGCCATGCCGCTTGCCTGAGACGTCATGTTGCTCGTGCCTGGTGCACTATTTGGGTCAAGCTCGCCGGCCTTGTCCCCACATTCCTTCTCAACCCTCCAATGCCGTCGCAATGCGTCGGAACGAGGGAAGCCTCGACCGCAGACCTCACAGATGTACGGCCGGTCACCAGAATGGACACGAGCATGTCGCTCCAGATCGTGCTTTCGTGAGAATGCACGAGTGCAGGAGGAACAGGCAAAGGGTTTGAGCTGCGAGTGCGACCGCAGATGAGTCTTGAGGTTGTACGAGCGATGCTTGGCAAACGTCTTGGTGCAGTGAGGAAAGGGGCATCGAGCCACACCATCCTGCTCCAGTGACTGGTTCATCGTCTCGTTGAGGGCTTGCAAACAGTCTTGCTGAGCCTGAGTACCTGATTGGCGAGTCGTCGCCGCCTCTGCCAAAGCCACCGCTCTTGGATTGGGAGGAGGAGCATCTGGATAATCGTCCATTTCGTCATCAGTGCTGCCATTACCGCCATTGAGATTCTTGCGCGGAGTCCTCCCAGATCCGAGGCCGTCAGCGCTGGATGAAGAGCCAGGCTGTGCTCTAAAGTCCCTCGCCACTGACGTGGCTGGCAGGCCCGAGATAGAGGAGGGGACGAGAAGAGGACGGTGATTTCTCGAGCTCGTCGGCAGTGCAATGTCCGCCTCGAATGGCTGCAGTGGTGCTCTGGGAGGAGGCCCGCTCCTATTCACAGACTGCAAGACACCATCGGACCAGTCCGACCTGAAGTAGGCTGGGCCGCTCGATGCACGCTCGCCGAAGCGGTCGATCGCTTGGGGCACTGATGTGTCGTAGCGCGTGCTCGTCATACTCGATGCCCCAGAGTCCGCGCGCATACGATTGTTCGACGAAGAAACATCAAACAGGGCTGGTTGCCCTTCCTGCAGTGGGAGGTGTGACGGTTGAGACCGTGTTAGACTAGCGTAGTTGTGGCCGGTGCTAGGAGACTGGAAGTGAGGCAAAGCGCTTGGGTATGTTGCTGTCGCAGAGCTAATGGTGCGCATACGCTTGGGGCTCGAAGGCTGACCAATATCGTCATTCGTCTGCTGTCTGGACGTTGATGGCGAGGCTTGAAGACTGCCGCCGATGGGAAGATTGTAGTTGAGCTGATGCAGGTGCAGTGAGGCAGAACGTTGAGGATGGGTAGCAGAGCTAGCGTTGCCAAGGGAGCCAATGGGCTGCTGGTACAGGCTGCCATCAGATGAGGCCTTTGGCAGGCCAGTATAATAGCCATCGTATGACGGATTGGAAGACGGCATCTGTCTCTGCTGCGTGATTTGACTGCCGTCAAACGCATTAGCACTGTGGTATCCTGAAAGCTGAAGGAAATCTTGCGTCGCCGAAGAGACATCGTGGCTTGCCATAGATCCTTGATCGCCATACTGTACAGATGCTGAGGACGGAGATGATTGATCCCGGTCTGGATGCGAAAGAGTAGTCTGACCAAGAGTATCTGCAGTGATCGAGCCAGAGCTGCTTGGGTTCCACGCAGATCCGTATGGTACCGACGTAAGTGGAAGCCCGTATGCGTCTCCTGTACCGCCAACAAAGTCCAGCCCGCCAAAGTCGTCAGGCATTCCTTCAGCGAAGACGTTCATCCGGGTATGTGCAGACTGCGAGGGCAAGGGCGGAATGGACGTTACTGTTACTGTCAGTGGCAATGTAGCAGTGTGACTGTCGCAGTCAATGTGACTCACGTATTGATACTGTGGACCCTGCTCTAGAAGTGCCGCCGGGATCTCTGGGAATTGGAACTCGCTCGAGACAGGCCCCTCGTCTACGCCTGCGCCTGTTGCAGAGGTGACATCGGATACAAGACTGCTAGCATTCCCACTGCTGAGCAGCGCTTGTGTCGCCTGCAGAGTATCCTCGAAGTTTGCTGGGAGCGATGAGGTGGGGTTCAGGCGTTGATCTAAGTAAAGGGACGACCCGGCGAGTAAAGAGGCATAGTCCGCTGCACTTGCTGATCGATCGCCATTGTCTGTGTTGCTATTGTCGATGTCATCGTTGAACCTTCTCATGAAGGCGAAGTCTGTCGTCCTTGGACGACTGGCGACATCCGCCATAAGTGATCTTCCAGATGTACGTCAGCAGAGCTGCGACAAAACAGGTGCAGAAGTCAGCACTCCACTAGGCCCAGATGATTGCAGCTGATGGCTGAGAACGCATAAGACAGCAAAGACTCACCGAAGCTTGATATTCTCTGCCCTGGCCCGCCAGTGGCTATCGAGAAATGATCGCGAAGAGAAGATGAAAAGGGCGCGACTAGGGAGTGGGGGGGCCACACCTTCCACCCGGATGACAGGCGAGGACCAGGAAGCGCAAGGAGGGTGGGAAGTTTCGTGGGTAGAGCTCTTTGCTTCTTCCGATGTGGTCCGGCTTGCTCAGGTATAGTAGATGTAATGTACGGGACTCGCTTTCGGGGCGGATATCGCTCCTTCGGCTGCTAGTGAGGGTCGCTTGCAGACTTGCTGAGTAGGGATAGGACGTCTTTTCGGAACGGGAGATGAATAGGGTATGGCAGTCGGTGGAAGTGCGCCAGAGGAGAGATGGCAGAGAGGGGAGAAAGTGCGACTAGAGGCAAGAGCAGGTGCCTAGAGCCAGAAGGGGCGAGACTGCCCTTATATGCAGCGAGACGCCCAAGACGTCTTCTGCAGTATGCTCGGAAGTCTGACCCGGGGGACCTATGTCCTGGGGGAGGTGATACGGATGATTGCAAATTTCACTGAGTTGCTACTTTGCTGCAGCTTGATGACTCCTGCTGCCGTCTTCCGCGGCCTGACTGCAATACGGTATGTAGCTTCCTTTGCCTCTATCCCTACTCTCTAATGACGAGTCGCTGCTACCTTTGCGACCGTGTTTGAAGAGACAGGGTTGAGCTCTAGCCTGGGAGCCTTTGCCTGGGGGGGACGGGTAGATATGAAATGACCCAAGCTGTGCCTGAGCTGGCCGTACTGAACTAAGTCTGTCTCGGGGTGGCAAGCCGAATCCTATTCGCCGTTCCTGCTGGTGCTGCTGCAATGAGCAATGTAGGCCAGAGGGGCTGATATGGATTTGCTGTCCAGCTGGCTGAGTCAATTGCTCAGTCCCACTATGTACCTTGCTTGGAGTGCGACTGGGCCCTGCCAAGCAAAAGGGGCCGTGAGCGGGTGTAAATGTGGGGGGGACGAGGATGTAAATGGGAGGACTCTTAGGAGACGGTAGGCAGCGAGCAACGCCAGATGCCGCGGGTGGATTTGATGTGAGGCGAGGTATGATAGGTGGGCAAGGAGTAGTAACACCTGAACATCAAATGAGATAGATGTAGAAAGATGGGGCGAAGCCTGCGTGTGGCCACTGCCTGCTGCTGCCTGCTGCTGATGATGATGATAATGATGATGGTAGCTGCCTGCAACCTGGATGCTGCACAGGGCTTTGCTTGCTCTTTGCCCCTCTTACCTCTTGTCTCGCCTAGTCTCGCCTCTCCGCTTCTCCCCGCCTGCCGGCCGTCCTTGTTCGCCTAGACCCTCGTCTTGCCCTGGGACCTTTTTGCGCGCCTATACTCTCCTCCACGCCCTGTCCTGGCCCCACCACTGCTCCAGTCCCCTCGCTGCTCCCACTTCCCCACGGCTTTCTAGGTTACATCGGGGCGCCAAAGCGGAGCTGCAGTCAGGAGAACACCGAAGCCGTCGACGAGGCGCAGGCAGGCATCAGTGGGTGGGCGTAATTTGTGTTTGTAGACTATTCCCGATTAGGAGCCACAAGAGGCAAGCGACCAGTCAAGTCTGTCCGAGCTCCAGCAGGTGGGCGCACTCTTCTCCCCCCCCCCCAAGAGCCGGGGCGCCGATTTGCTTGTCAAGCGAGACAAGTTCAGGGACGGACAGACGCCCAGCCCAGCCCGCCCGGCCAGCCCGGCCCTGCCCAGAGGAAAATGCTGACAAGGCGTGGCGCTCTCCTGCTTGCAGCCACACCACGTCTCCCTCGGCCCCGCACCCCCCTTCTATGGATCGCCATGCGTGCATTTGTCGCGCCGCTTGGAAAACACACATATAGAGATGTTCCATCGAATTGTGACCAGTCTCTCAGGGGGCAAAGATCAGACCCAGATACGTCTCCGCCCCTGGGACACCGCTGTCACACTACAAGGAGATGAACGAGTAGAATTTACCACCTTGGATGTATAGAAGATACTGCATGCCGTCGATCTGTCACCACTTTAGCATCCCTCCAACCATCCGCTCTTCAAGGCTAGCACGCGCATTCCATCGATGTGGACGCTACCATCGCCCAACACCACCTCGAGCGCATCGGGAAGGGCTCCCTGGTCCCAAAACGTAAGCACGGCAGCGGACTGAACTCCCTCGTTGACAAAGACTTCTACCAGAGACCGGTCTACGATCAATCGCAAGTCCCATAGCTGGTCAGCAGTCGTCGTGTCGTTGGAAGAGTAGCGTGGCTGGACGTAGCTGCTGAAGCGATCCGTGTAAAAGGGACTATCGTCCGCCCACGTGCCGCCGACCTTGCGACGATCGATGTAAACACCGCCTTGGGATCCTCCCACCAGGCCCACGCGCAGATATTGATCTGTACGACTGCCATTGGCCGAGGCGTAGATGCGCAGCTCAGCAAAAGAGGATGCAGTCGCATTCGTTGCAGCATCAGCGCTGATGGAGAAGTTGGCAGAGATATCATAGGCTCCTACAGCATTTTGTAGCTGGATGGTCTGCTCACCAACAGCTGATGTGCTGTTGGTATTGCTAGCAGAGGACGTAGCATTTGCGCTCGAGCCCTTGCTGAACACCTCTGACTTGGCGATCTCAGTGGTATTGACGGGTGTCATAGCCAGCTGGTAGTCGGAGAACAGAGGGTTGAGGGCAGCGTAACGAAGCGTGACCTCGCGGGGCACCGACATGCTCGACCTCCATCCTTCTGAGCCAGTGGGAGCGCTGTCGGCGTACTGCCAGTTGGAAGCCTGGAGGGGGGCACGATGAGGAGTGAACAAAGTCAGTCTTCCGCTGAGGTGAGAGAGACACTGCTAAGTAGGGTCGGACTCACCCAGCCAATGATCATGGTCTTGTTGTCAGCCACATTGTTCCACGTCTGAGCTGCATACCAGTCCTTGCCGAAGTCAGCCAACCTGGCAGCTCTATCCCTAGGCTCGAAGGTTGTACCGTTCCAATCACCAATAAAGTACTGGCTTCCAGAGCCTCCAGGTGGCCATCCAGGGTTGATTGAAACGAGGAGGATCCAGGTCGTCTGTCCATCCTGGGGTCCTCCAACCATCGTGACGGGGAAGAGGTCAGGGCACTCGTACTGGTACCCCAAGATTCCGCCGAGGGTGAACTTGCTCGCCTCGGTCCATGTTTTGAGGTCTGACGATGTGTAGAAGCCCACTTGGTACTGCTGAGCGTGGGAGACGGCCATCACCCACTGCGAGCGGTCTGTGTCCCAGAAGACCTTGGGGTCACGGAATTGTGTCTGGAACTTTCCCGAATCAGAGAGTACGGGATTGCCTTCGTATTTTGTGTAGGTGTACCCTCCATCCACAGAGTAGGCAATGTTCTGATTCTGCTCCTCGGCCGTGTTCAGAGTGTAGATGGCAATAATGCGATTCTCCGGAGCAGTAGATTCATTGAAGAAGCCACTGGTATTGTTGGTATCAATGACAGCTGAGCCGCTGAATATACCCTCCGTTGAGTTCTTGGGTGAAATGGCCGGCAGATGATTCTGCCACGCGTACGAGGAAAAGCTACTCGAAGTAGCATGACCCCAGTGCTGGTTGCCTGCTACGAGGCCGGTAGGATTGTATTGGTAGTACAGATGAATGGTGCGGTTCCCAGCAGGACCGGAGATGACCAGACCGTTCGGGTCGTTCATGAAGCCCTGACTAGGGCTGTAGTGGATCTGTAGACGACAGTGAAAGTGGAAGTCAGCCACGCGTCCAGGCGCGGGGAATCCGAATGCTGTGAGCTCACCTGAGGCCGGTAAGCTCCATCATACGAGACGGGAGTAGTGCCGTTACTAGAAGCAATGGTGCAGTTGGAGGTGTCACCTGAAGCACTCTCTGTCCCGTTGCCGTTGGACATAGCCCGGCCAACCAGTAGAGCTGGTTCCTCTTCCAAGGGCATGACCGATGCCAGAGCGCAAGTTACTATGGATGAGAGGACGAGCAAGGGCAGCAACATGCGCATAATCGCCGATCTGTTGCTGGGTATCAAGTCAAAGCAAGAAGTTTATGAGGGAGAGAGCTGGTACAGACGGACAAGTAGCTTGCCAAGAAGTATTGGAGTGATGCAGAGCACATCACATTCACCCCGCTGTGGAGATCGGTTCCGATACTCTGGAGCCGTAAACCCCTCGTAGTCTACCAACCGAGGGAGAGGCAGCGGAGCGGCTTCTTCTCGTTGCGGGGCGCCCCACATGCAAAGTGCCGTCACCCCCCGTCACCTCCCGCCAACTTTCCGGCCGGACCAGGAAAATCTCTCCGAAATTCGGAAAACGGTGAGAGATCGCCGCTTCCGACAGTGCACACTGTGGAGGATGTCTGATGCTTCGCTTCATTACGACGACGACATCGACGCCTCGTCTGCAACATCCTCGTCCACTGCTACGCCCACGCAGTGTGCGCCCATCTCATTCGGGGGTCCCGCCGACGCCAGGACAATCTTCTGCCCGTCCGGGGAGTATCGGACCGATGTCGGTGTGAATGATGTGCCTGCAGTAGGAGGGCGAAGATGGTCAGCCAAAGCAGGCAAGAGCACATTGCTTGAAAGATGAAATGAGACCTACCACTGGACATTGGCACTGGTACTCCCTCCAGTCTCATTAGAGGCCCGGATGTATGCTGAGACAGCAGGTCCCACGTATACACTGCAGCTGTCCCTGTCACAAGTGCTAGTTGTGGTAATGTCGCTACCGATGAGCCGGAAAGATTTGCACTACCTGTTGCTGTCGGCATCGGTCTCCAGGTACACGTGGAGATCGACGCCGAGAACAAAGCAACGGTCAAGAGCTGAGGTGCAGACGTTGGTAATGACGATGCGGAATCATCCACCACAGAGTAGATGAAAATCGTAGAAGGCAACGTCTCTGGACAAGTCAAGCTCCGTCAGTCAGGGTGCTCTTTGACAATTTGTCTTGGAACTTCACTTCTCCAACTCACCATTTCTCACCGCCAGCAGCTTACCGCTCGGATCCCACTCCATCCAGCATATCCCCACCTTCGGGTTGTGTTTGTCCCAATCTGCCTTCAACGCTGGGGGAGCCACAGGCAGAGAGCCCTGGAGGAAGCCGACAATCCCCCGTCCGCCAGTCTGCTCAATCCATCCTGTCGGTTCGCGGAAAGAGCAAGCAGACGACTTGAAGTGACCGGTCGAAGAAAAGTTCCTCTTGGCGAGGTCAAGTGAGGGGCGTAGCACTCCCCAGTCGCCTGCATCCGGAGAGGCGTCGATGAAGGGGGTGAGGAGGTGAACTTGTTCGTCGTAACCGCCCACGGCCAACAAGCCGGTCGCATGGTGGCTCCCTCGACCGGAAGGCTGCCATGCGACTGTCCTGATGCCCATACCTCCCCCGGCTATGATCACCCCCTCGTCTCCGTTCTCTTCCTCTTTTGCCCTGCTCGAGCCACCCCGAGTGGTAGGTCCAGAAGACGAGCGCAGACTGCCACTACTGCTCGTCCCGCTGGCCTTGAGATTGGCACTTTCTCCATCTAGCCCATCACCGTGGGGCTCGAAGAAGATCGGTCCTTCACTCTCCTTCTTCGCATCGCTTGAGATCATCAGCGTTCCTCTGGAGTGGCCAGTCGGCGTGAAGAGGTTGAGCTTGTATTCCATTGAAGACTCCCAGACCGCGATTAGAGTGCCATCGGGTGACCAGCTGAGGGAAGCAGCATCGTTCGTCCTGGCCGGAAAGGAGCTCTCGAGAGTCCAATTGGAAGCCAGACCTGGGCCTGAAGAGGATGATGAGGCTCCGCTTCGATTGAAGGCAAGCAACGCTGCGTAGCTTCCCTGTGGCCTTGAGGTCTCTTGCTCAACGTAATGATAGATTGCTACCGTCTCTGGTGCGCTTGTATTCGGATTAGCTCGATGCAAAAGCGCGAAGCGTGTTCGGTCAGTTGGGTGCGGAAAGTCTGGCAAGGCAGAGTAAGGGGGCTTGATTCAGATGTCAATGTCATGAGGATGAAAGTGATACCCATAATACTCACATCTGCTTCTCTTGACGTCGGGAAAGAATGCTGCCGAAGAATCGGCCAGGCAATGTGCAGTCATAACAAGCTAGCCATTCAAAAAGCAGAGTCGTGGTTCAGCTACTATCCGCGCACTTGCCCTTCCAACAGTCTCTGCCTCACCTCATCTCCAGCAAAGGTCAAAATCGTCGGCGGTCCACCAGCCGGCGCCCAAGCAGCTCCCGTTATTTTCATCGGCCCACTTTCAATGACTGCCACAGCGCCTACATCTTCTCCCCTCTCCCTCTCCTCTCCTTCACCAGACAAGATCGCCCCCTCCTCAGGCTGTCTCCTCGGATCTAGTACGAAGACATCTACTCTCCCTGCGCTCAGAGAAGCAGCGAGAAAGTAAGCTCCATCGGGAGACCAGGCGGTGTGCTCAATAGGTGGGTGGGAAGGCGGGAGGGTCCAGGAGCGCACGAGTGCGAGGGTTGCGGCGGATCGCACGAGAAGGGTGCGGGACTCGGCGACGGAGAGGAGGAAGGTGGATCCTGGGGAGACGTGCAGATTGGAGGGGGAGTCTAGTGGATAGAGGGGCGTGAAGTTCATGTTCTCGCTTAGCTAGTGGCCAGAAGTACGGCCTGAAGGAGGTTCTGGAGGATGTCTCTCTTGGTCTGAGGAAGAAGGGAGCGGATCTGAGCGTGCAGCGGAAAGACGAAGTGTTGGACTCCCTCCTTCACCCTGCCCACGCGACGCGACTCCGCGATGCTCGGGCTAAATTCCACACACAAGGCCAAGAGCAGAAGCAGTGTCTAGGAGCACCTATGTAATGAAAGTATGAGCAAAGGTATGGACAAGGAAAGCTATTCACAACACGACCAGCGTTATGTCATGGCTGTGTGGTTCTACCTCTACTAGGCCTTAGGGGGCGTGAATACCGAAAAAAGGAGAAGCAAGGCATTAGGGGGTGGGATCGTATAGGCATATGCTGCGAATAAGGTCACTTGGACTGCTGGGACGCATCTGGGTCAAGATAGATGGCTGCATGGTTTGTCAGAAGGAAGTCTGAGCTGCTTTGTCTGTTGTCGTTCGCAAGGTTGTCCGCACTGCCTTAGACTCGAGGCGGACACGGTGCAACCATTGTCGCTGACTTTGTTGCCTCGGAGGGCGGGGGCGGGTCTGCTGAAGACCCACTGATCTGAACGTCTCTACTCTGGATTATGCTGCTCTCGAGCTCGATGACGGATCTCAAGTGTTGCTGATCATCAGTACCTTGAAGGAACATACGAAGGTTCTTCAGAGCTACCAAGACCTCTTCCGTGCCGATCTTGTCTTGTGCCTGACGCATCCGAGCCTGTGCCGTCGAACCTGCCTGGTGAGCCACGTGCGAAGGGGCAGCTGTAGCACTTTGGGCAGGGCCAGCTCTGATGCTCGGAGGACCAAAGCCAAGCTTCGCTTGAATCTGAATCATCGCATCACTTCCCAACAATTCAGCAAGTTGTGAAGGCTCAGGTTGAGCAGAGGACGGGGCTTGCGAATGCGGATCGGCGAAGTCACAGCCAGACGAGGACGAAGGGGAAGGAGGGGGTCCCCAGGGCAAGCGCTCATCCATGAGATCCAAAGGAGCCGCCTGTGAGGCGCTCGCGAAAGGGCGAGGAGAGCTGCTACGAGGAGGCAGACCGTTGTCTGCGGCTACATGCTGATTGGCTTCAAGATTTACTGGTAAGGCTGCAGGTGGTACATATCCACTGGCGACGGGGAAACTTCGAGGAGTCGCATCCTCCAGTATATGCCCCCCACGAGGGGGTGCCAGAGACAAACTCACGGAAGGGTCACACCATCCTTTCATCTGAGGTGGTGTGCGCGAGGAGGCAAAGCTGGACTCCATGCTTGACTGCTCAGCACTCAGTGAGGTTTCCCATGAATTGTCAAAGTCAGGCGAGCTGAGCATTGAGTCAGCTGAAGTGTTGATACTGAGCTGGCTGTCGTTGTGTGTGTCGTCGGCTGGACCCAATGTTGTCAGCTGATCGAGAGTCAATCCGAGGGTTTGCAAGCCTTGAGTGAGACTGGGGAGTGCAGGGTAGAGCGCGCTTGGATGCTGGCTATCAGCAGACGGTGCCGGAGCGCTGGCCCAGTCGAAAGTGAGAGGTCCGGCGTCTCGGTCGGGAGGCATGTCGTAGGAGTTGGTTCGCTTGCCTCCCAAAGGTGAAGTACCCTGACTGTTGTCGTGTCGGCTTAATATTGGGACACTAGGCGATAGGTCGAGTCCTTCACCAAGTCCAGAACCGATGCCGTCCGTACCCTTATGGTGGTGCAAATCATCGTCCGAGACTGCTGTTGGTCGAGATCCTGCCGGCCATGTCGCATAGCGGGAATGGTCGATGCCTGCTGAGCCCCACTGTGCTGCATTGAACCCCATCGCTGGTCCGCCCAACTTTGTCGGCTGATATTGCTGCGATGTGCCGGCCGCACGCTGCTCGGCCCATCCTTCTCTTCGAGAGACGGGGTTCGAGACGAAGGTGAATGGAAAGGGAGAAGCTGTGGGGCTGGTGTCTTGTACAGCCGTCCAGGACGGGGTAGCATTGACTTCAAAGGCTGAATCAGGTTCCCATTGCATCTCACTCGTCCGTTTGACCGGGGTACTGCACGTTGGTGGGACAGCCGGCCTGGCTGGAGTGGAAGGCCATTGAAGAGCATGTGCAAGCGAGGAGCGCCCTTGTGAAGAGGGCGCCTCGGGGGGAGACGGAAGAAACCATTGCTCAGCGGTGGTGGGAAGCTCATGTGCTCTTCTCTGGTCGTGCTCCTTCGATGGCGAGCTCAGTTGTGCATGTACGCTGTCCCCATGTGACTGCTCGCGATGAATGTCCAATGCTCCGCTCAGAGTTGATGATGACTGCTGAAGAGGTGGCCCATGATCGTCATGAGGTGGGGGGTACTGATGACGATCATAGGACATTCTCGAGCTGCAGCTGGCGGAGCGGCGACTTCGACTGATGAAACCCGAGTGGAAGGCAAGAAGAGAGGAGGATGAAGTTGAGGTATTGTTCGCCTGATGATGATGATGATGAGAGGGCCATACAATTCTTCTGCTGAACTCACCACTCAGAACAGCAGCGCCAACTTCATACCTCGACGTTGCGCTCGAAGCAGGCAAGGCAGACTAGCTGCGATTGTGATGCTCTGGGAACAGGGGGAGCGCTGGTGGTGTGGGTCTTGAGGGGGCTTGAGAATGAGCTGGAAGACTGATGCAGAGGAAGAGTGCTAAATGAGAGTGGTTGGTGGCAGCAGAAGCAAAAGAGTGTGGGGGTGTTGGGGGCTTCGTGGTGTAGCAATTAGGTAGGGAGCGTGTGAGGTGGTGAAGAGAGGGGGAAAGGAAGGCTTGTGGTGGTGTGGCAGAGGATGGCGGGAAGAAGTGCAAAAGCAGGGTCCACAGCCTTGCATATGAGCCGTAGCCGCCTCTGCCTTGTGCACCTGCTGCTGCTGCTTAGAGCCGCGAGGAGCTGGCAGAGCAAAGCAAAAGGGCGAGTCCAAAGAAGGGGTCACGCAGGAACGGAGCTGGTATACCGGGACCGGGGAAGAAGGGATCTTGCTCGGCATGTCTCGCACTGCAGCTTGAGCCGAATCGAAGCATGCCTATGCCAAGGCTCCACTCATACTTCATCTTGCCTTTCTCTCCCACGCTGCCGAAGAAGCTGAGCAGCAGTGCACGTCGAGGTCATGATAGCGAGGGATGATGCCAAGGGCGATTCGAAGGAGCAACAGGAGCAAAGTGCAGCATGGCCCAACCTCACGCAAGGAGGGAGTCGACTGCAGCTCTGCACGCAAATCGCGCACGCGCCGCCCGGGAAAAAGAGGACCCACCCTCTTCCAGGCCGAGGTAGCGTGAATAGAGGGAGGACAGGACACGCACCGGGGCTGCGTGAGGATTCTCCCTTTGCTCAAGGGCCCCCACATGGGGCCCTCACCGTCGCACACGGCATTGTAAACCTCTCACTCGGTCAGTACTGTTTTGCTCGCTTCGAGAGCGGACGCGTGAGCAGAAAGCTGGGCTCAAGGCGACAGGCAAGGGATCACTAAAGACACTTCGATTACCATGGCCGGAAAGTGTGATCTCACGATACAACGAAAAGCATCTCCCATTCTCACTACGTCTAGACCTAATTTACTTGCCGCCAGTAATGTTATCGCCCACGACAGAGCTGATGAAGGTGTGCTCCTCGAAAAGCGAGCCCTCCACCTTCTGTCCATCCACAGCGTGTTCTCCAGAAGGGACAGTCAAGGACAGCGAAGCGGGGTTAAGCGTCTGGTAGATGTAAGGCTTCGTGCCCGCAACGTAGTTGACCACCTTTCGCACCATGTAGGGAATCTCGGCCAGCACATCCACCTTGTCAACCAGTCCCTTAGCCTCGGAGACGGGCGAAGGCTTGCCGAGCTCCACCTTGGTGCTAGCTCGGACCAGCTTTGACGTGTCTCCCTTCCTGTCGCCACCAGTGCTCGTGAGTTGCGGACCCTCCCAGGTGAATTGAATGGACTGCGGGGCCAGGTAGCCAGTCTCGTTGTCCAAAACTCGATCGAGATGCTTGACGCTGGACTGAGATCCCTTGGATGGGTCGGATGGCGACGACTTGGACCCTCTGGTCGCAGCAGTGACAGCAACTAGCTCTCCACCTACAGTGACAGAGCCAATGTTGACCGTCATACTCTCTCGACCGCCAGTTTCACTGCTGGACTTGCTCTGACCGCCCGCGGATGCTCCTCCGTACTCGCTGGTAGTGGTGAACTCCATCATGATTGCCTGAACTCCGCCTAGGTCCGGCGACTGGAAGTTGCAGAAGTTCCACTTCGATGCCACGAGGTTGGGCCTCATGCCCTGAATGGCGTGCACAAACATACCTTGTCCCTCTGCATCAATGGCTTGTCCCTTGATGATGAAGTGGCCAGTGCTCTTGGCAGTCGGCCAGAAGCGGTGAACAACGTATCCATCAGGAGAGCTGGGGTTGGATCCAAAGATGGACTTGCCGCCATTGGCACCAGATCCCAGCTTCCAGCCTTTCGCAGCAGCGGGCCTGGTGAACGAGTAGGCCAACTGCAAGTCATCGCTCATGTTGGCTTCGATGGTGTACTTCTCAGATCCATCGTCGAGGGTCTCGAAGAGAGCCGAGTATTGGTCCGACTTGCTGGAGCGCTTGTCCCACTTCTTGTTGCGGAAGCCCTCAGGAGGCGGGGTGGTAAACTTGGTGACGTTGACCGACTTCCAGATCTTCTGGTTGGTCTTTGGGTTGAAGTACTTGAAAGTCACTTGGATCTGAGGGTACCACAGCCTGGAAACAGGATTGGGTCTCGGTTCGGTCAAACCCACCTCTGTCGTCGCGCCCGCTCTTCCACCAAACCCGCGTACTTACCCTACTGCAGAGTGAATAATTTGACTAGTAGCAAAGCTGCCATCCTTCAGGATAGTATACCAAGTCTGTGTCTCGGTGACGAAACCACCAGCGCAAGTCCACTCGAGATCGGAAGGCTCGAGCGCTCCATAGAGGCTGTCCTGAGGAACGGTGTCGGTGATGGCATGGAAGTTGCCCTCCTTGACAGCAGGCGAGCCGCCAGAAGCTCCTGCGTTAGAGCTGAAAGGTCGAAACAGTGAAAGGAGGAGGACAGCTTGCAGTGTCAGCAGGAAAATTTCAGTCGCGGGTAATATGATCTCGCATTGCCCCTTCACGTTCCCTAGGTGCTGAGGCCAAGGGGCTACCTGAATCCCAATATCACAAGCGGCAGTGGGAGAAGGGCAGAATCGTGATACCCAATGATCACTTGAGCTTTCACTCATCCTCCGTACAGGCTCCAATCTCTGATCCCACTCAAGACGACGCTCTGAGCTCATCTTGCCCACTGCCCTACCCGTCGCAGCCATGCCACCTCTCCACTTGTCGGCGCACCGCGGACAAAAGTTGCTCCCCAAACATGCGTACCCGGCAGAGCCTTCAGTACTCACAGCCATGATCCCCAGCCTGACATGATGAGAGTACGGGAGAGGAAGAGGAATGTGGAGAGGAGTAGGTACGTTAAAGGTCCAGCTGTTGTGGACAGTGAGGAAAGGGAGGGGGTAAGCAAGTCCGTCGTCGGGAGGCGGGTCTAGCGAGAAAGCAACATTCACCGGCCCCACCGACTCAGCGGCGACGGAGACGACGGCCCGCCAAGCGCGTCCGTCCACTTCCGTTCCGGAGAACCCTAGCCCCTTTTACACTCGGCCTGCCACTTTGCTCACCTCCTTCCTCCCACCCACCTCTCCTGTGACGCCTGGTGGGACCCCGATCATGACCTCGGTAACCTCCTCCTCTCAGCTCTGGATCATCTCGAAAGCTGGAGGTCTGATCTATCAGTCGGCGCCTCCTTCTGGAGCGAGCCCGGCCTTCAATTCCGTGTCCTCCAACGAAGCCCTCATCCTGGCTGGTACCCTCCATGGTATTCACGCAATCACTGCAAGGCTAGACCCTACGACTCAGGGGCGGAACAAGGGAGCAATGGAGTCACTCGAAGCTGATGGTTTTGGACTAGCAATCAAGGGTACTGCCACAGGTGGGTACAGAGAGCAGAAAGCCGTGTCCTGTCTAGCTACTGAAGCTCTCCTGCTCACCCCGCATCTGAACAGGCGTCAAATTCGTGCTGCTGCATCCTGCTACCCACCCCAATCCTCAGGGCGCTCTGCAGAAATGCTACGAAGTATATGCAGACCAAGTGATGAAGAACCCCTTTTACACAATCGAAATGCCCATCCGGGTACAAGGCTTCGATAGAGAGGTCGCAGCTGTGCTAGTTGGCTAAAGTTCTTCACATCACGCGAGCCACCTCCTCACATCTTTTGAGAGCAGCATGGGTATCGCATAGAAGATGATGGGTAATCTCACAGAAGCGTCTACAAGGTCGACAGCGCCACATGGATGCGTGCCCCTACGATCTCCTCTTCCTCTCTACACGCACCCTCATATATCTCGTCGGGGTTCTCCAATGGCTCTGGCTCAGGTCTGGTAACGGGACATTCTCCAGAGTATATGCTATGCCACGCTCATCAACCGTGACAAAGTCGTCCATATAGAAGATCAAAGATGCAATGGCGACAATGCTTTCCAGCTTTGCAAAGCGGATGCCGGGACACTCTGCGCAAAGGAAGAGAGACGAGCAGGCTTGAGGGAATGACTTAACGCACTACAAGACTGTGCTCAACGAAGGCATACTCACTGTGGTGACCTGCGCCCCAGGCGATGTAGGTGTAGTCGGTAGCTCCTTCTCCCCTGCTATATCTGGTTGGGTCAAAGCGGAACGGAGACTTGAACGACTCGGCATCATGGAGATTGCTCGCTGGAGAGTAGGTGACGTAGACATCATCCTCAATCGGTTGTCCATAAATTGTCAGGCGCTCCTTTTCAACCCCTTTGGAGTCCTTGCTGGGCCCGGGATAGTAGCGAAGCAAGGAATTGGTGAGGAGCATGCGAATGGATTCCTTGAAGCAGAGATGCAGGAATGTGAACTTGTTCTCCCATTCGTCTAGCGATATCCTTGACAGCGCCTCGTGCGGTGTCAACGACTCAAAGTCATCGCCGCGAGCTTCGGCAGAGTCCCTGACTGTAGAAAGGACTTCCTCCCGACACTGCTTTCGGAGCTCTGGCGAGGCGCCCAAAAATGCCACTGTGTACGCGCCTGTACCGATAGTGTTGAGCGTACCTGCTAGAAGAGCTCCGATGACCCATCGTGAAATCTTGTCAATGTTCATCTTCTCGTCGATCAGATTCTGGGCAAAGTCTTCCTCCCGCCCTCCTTCCTTGATCCGCTTAGCAATCGCAGTGCGAGTCATATACCATAGCGTGAAAGCGCCCTTTAGCCTCATTATCAGTCGCGGTTGGGGTAGCCATGGGCACAGCGTTGTCCAGAAGCCGGAGTTGCGCTGTGTATGCCAGAAGGCAGTTTGCAGCTTCCGTAGCTCAGAAGGGGATGAGGCCCACTCGCACATTCCCATGAGGCGAACGGTGAAGCGGAAGATGAGCGGGTAGTAGGCCTGTTGGAGATCTATGAGAACACTCTCTCGGCCTTGGAGCCAGGACTCGAAGCTCTCAATGGCATCTGCAGTCATAGGAGCCCTCAAGTTGTTCAGCCTCTTGGGCGAGATGGCTTGGATGATGGCCCTCATCTCTTTCTTCTCCTCGCTGTCTACCTGCCCATCCTCGTTGAGACCCTTCTGCTTGGCGCCCTGAATGCCCGCAAAGAGAAAGCTGTTGCCTCCCGAAAACGACAGATCCTTGTTCATACACACGGCTCTCATCGCAGCTTCATCTGTGCCACCGACATGGTACACGACCTTCCCAAATAGATTGAACTTGTAGATGCCATGGTGCGGATGGGCCGGGTCTTTCGTCGTGGCTTTGCTGAGGAATGTGTATCGGTTGGCGAAGAAGCCTACCCCACCCAAACCGGGGAAGCGGACCTTGATCACCGGGACTGTATTGAAGCCGCTGTTTAGCTTAGCCGGCGGGACGAAGAGGAGATAGTAGACGCCGAAGAGGGTGAGAAGGACAGCAGCGCCGATGGTGACCGTCGAAGGAGACGAGAATGAGATGATGGAGGCCATGAGAGAATCTAAGCCTTCCGTGGCAAAAAGGATGAAGGAAGACACAAGGGAGAAAGCAGCAGACTTAGGTATGGGACCCTTGGACGAGCCCCCTTTATAACGTCGTACTATAGGGAAGCCGCATCCCCGCATCGGACATGCACGGAATTTGGCAGCATCCCCTTCCGTCATTCCGCCCTGTCTGCCTTGCGCGCGTGGCTGCCACTGCCACCCGTTCCGTTTCCGACAACGGGGGGCGAGACTGATCTTCTTGAATCCAGTCCGTACAATTGATACCTTGCATAGGGCAACTTCCACCTTAGGCCTTCTGCCGATATGAACTCGCTCGCCGGATACGGATCCGACTCGGGCTCCGACACCGCCGAAGGCTCTACCGTGCGGACGTCGGCTGCTGCCTCCTCATCAAAGCACCCCTCTAACGCTACAAAAAGGGGCAGGTCCTCTCCATCCGATGACGAAGCTGGAGAGATCGATGCCTCTGATGCCTTCGGTCTAAATGGTATCAGAAGGCCAGAGCCAGCAGCTGGCAGTAGTTCAACTTCGCATCCCAAGAGTAGCGCGACTGCCGCGTCTGGCCAGCCTGGCCAGGCAGGCAATGGCACTGTTGCCGTTAGGACAGCGCCCGAGGTGATCTTGGATGACCCGATGGCTCAGCGAGCTCTCTTGACACGGCCGACAGATACGACGATGCATGTCAACATTCCTTACTCGGACCTCTCTCTCCCAGTCGTGGGGCCCTCCAACCCATACTCGCATCGGAAGCTCGGCGCCTTGCAAAACTCGGTAAACGGGCATTTCGAAGGTACTTCAATGTCTGACTTTGATTTTCGGAATCAGCAGAGGACGTTCGACAATCTTGGCTATGCGAAGGACCCCAGCATGTACACCGATGGCAGCCAAGTCGCCGGGGGCTATGTTGGTGATGTTGCCAGAGCAAAACAGCTGGACGGCGCCTCGGCCTTGGAGCTCAGAGGAGGACTACATTCAGATCGCCAGGCTGCAAAGGAGCGGAAGAAGCAGAGGGTAGGACAGGAGGGTGATACATCTGTAGTGGAAGGCGAGGGGGCATACGTTGGTCCATGGGGCGGATGGACAGGTGAGAAGGTCCATGTCACCGAGGGCGTTGGTCCAAGTGAAGAGGAGATGCAAAGAGCTGAGGAGCTGAGTACAGTGAGGAAGAAGGAGAAGAAGGAAATGGAGGAAAGGCGAGCGAGAGAAGACGAACAGGGTACAGAGAAGAGCATCTTCCATGGTGAGTCATATGAGAGTGGTGAAGAGTAAACGAATGATGCGCTGACGAGATCTCATACTGTTTCGTGTCAGGCAAATCAATGTACGACTACCAAGGACGCACGTACCTCCATATACCAGGCGATGTCGAGACGAATCTGCATGGAGAGTCTGGCACGCAGTCCTGCTTCATTCCCAAGTCTTGCATTCATACCTGGACTGGCCATACAAAGGGAGTCTCTGCTATTAGGCTCTTCCCGGGAAGCGGCCACCTGATGCTTAGCGCCAGTATGGACACGAAGATCAAGCTCTGGGATGTCTACCACGAGGGCAACTGTCTGAGGACGTTCATGGGCCACTCAAAGGCAGTACGAGACATTCAATTCTCGAATGATGGCAGGCGCTTCCTCTCGGCAGGCTATGACCGTCAGATGAAGCTATGGGACACCGAAACTGGCCAATGCTTGAAAGCTTTCTCCAATGGAAAGGTGCCTTACTGCATCAAGTTCCACCCAGATGAAGACAAGCAAGACACCTTCCTGACAGGTATGAGCGACAAAAAGATCGTGCAGTACGACATCAAGACGGGAGAGGTCACACAAGAGTATGATCAGCATCTGGGTTCAGTCAACACCATTACCTTTGTGGACGAGAACAGAAGATTTGTGACTACGTCGGACGACAAGACCATGAGGGCGTGGGACTTCGACATTCCCGTCGTGATCAAGCTGGTGGCAGATCCGATGATGCACAGCATGCCTGCTGTGACGCAGCATCCAAACAAGAAATGGCTCGCATGTCAATCCCTTGACAACTCGATCTTGGCCTACTCCTCCGACTCTCTGCGACAGAATCGCAAAAAGTTGTTCAAGGGCCATGTAGTTGCAGGATACGCCTGCGAGATTGGCTTCAGCCCCGATGGTCGCTTCATCTCGTCTGGAGATGGGGAGGGCAACCTGGTCTTCTGGGACTGGAAGAATGGCAGGCTGTTGAAGAGGATCCGGGCCCACAAGGAGGTTGTGATCAGCCATGCTTGGCTGCCGCACGAGACGAGCAAGGTCGTCACTGGCTCCTGGGACGGTACCATCAAGCTGTGGGATTGAGGCTCGGAACGGAGCGCCCCTGACGGAAGTGGAGAATTGTGGCGGTCCGACTCGCACTGTCCCCATTTCCGCCAACCTGATTCCCTTTGTCTTCTCAGCGACATCGTGTATATCATCCCTCCTGCTTCTTGTCTGACCTGGCAATGCTCAACTCTTCGTGACAATACAGGTCTTACACACCTTCGTACGGTCGAAGATGACCGCCTTCCCTCCCTTCTGCGGAGCACGGCTTCTGATGCGTGGACAGCTGAGCCCGGCTCTCGGTTCAAGGCAGCTCATGAGCCGGGCCCAGGCAATGCCATCGCTGCATCAACTGGCATCGATTTGTGCCCGATATCGCTCCACCATGGTGCAGAGAGAGTGTGTTCGGACCTTGCCGCCATGCCGACCATTCGCCTTCGGGGTCTCTCTGTCGCAGGATCGGCGGTTTGCAACGTCCACAACTCTGTTGGCTCAGCCAAGGAATGTGGACTCGCATGGTCCACCTGGGGTAGCGCAGACAACTGAGATACCTACAGGGCCTGCCCAGTCACAAGAGAGCCAGGACCCTTATTTCACTGCTGCCGACGAGGCTTACGTGACCTCCTTGCACGCGCAGGGCAAAGGACGGGGAAATGCCTTCACCTTGGCCGGTTGGGGTATCTTCGCCTTCGTCGCGGTCCCCCTTGCAATGGGTGTCTACTCTCGAGAGCGAGCCAAGACGTTGGCCGGTCAAAGTGGTGGACGCTTTGGCTGGTTCTCGAACCTTTCTCCAGGTCAAAGGATGGAGGATGCGTGGAGGCAGGAGCTCGCAGACTCGTTTGGTCGTGTCTATGCGGGCGTGATGAAGGTTGCATGCAACCTGCCCACAGGTGGCCAAGAGTTTGTAAGTCGGCAATGGCTGGACTTTGCGGATTGGTGAGTGATGCAAGAACCTCAATTCGTGAACCACATTGGCTCTGACCAGGCTTCCAAACCCTTCGCTGGCCATAGGGCTGTCAATCTTCCTACGTACCAGCTGACGGTGCTTCCCTTCATAGCCCTGAACACCGCGGTCTTCATCATCTGGTGGGTGCCTATACCTGCCGTACAGGTCTTTATGTCACGGAACTTCGCCACTGTCACCGGTCACAAGCGCTTCTTCACACTCTTCACTTCCGCTTTCTCGCATCGCGGCCCTATGCACTTTATTCTCAATCAAGTCGCATTACTGTCGGTTGGCTCGGTCGCACTTGATTCCGTGTCTAAGCTCTTTCCGATCGAGAAGGTCAAAGAAGCCAAGCAAGGCGGACTTCTCGCTGACGGCTGGAAGCTGCCTGAAGTCGACTCTACTGCCAAGCTCCTGACTTTCTTTCTCGGTGCCGCCTTCGTTTCCGGCGGATGCTCGTGGGCTTGGAGGAGAGTGAGGTTTGCACAAGTCCGCACAGCTTATCAGCAGGCGGTACAAGCGGGTGCGCCTGCGCCGTATCGATTAGCGTCTTCGTTCAAGGGAGCGGAAGGCTCGGGCAGCTTGGGCTCCAGCGGAGTGGTGTACGGGCTCTTCACACTGACGGCTATCATGCATCCTGACAGTAAAATAGGGTGAGTCTTCGGCGGGGATACTGCTAGCCCATGATCTCACTTTCGCTAAATTTCGAGATATGTCACTATTGATAGCATCATCTTCCTACCGCAAGACTACGCCCTTGATGCACGAACAGCGATGACCGGCCTACTGTCGGTCGACCTCGGCATGCTTCTCACGTCCATCATCACAGGAAGATCTTTCTTCATCGATAATGTAGCTCATCTGGCCGGCGCCGCGTTCGGAGTGGTGTGGTACCACTCTGCGTACCTCATCTGGGAGTACAGCAGGCTGGTGGACCCAAAGAAGCTAGCCCGTCGTGTCTTCGGCGGCGAGCAGTCATCATAAAGTCGACCAGCGCTTCTCCAGTTTCCCCTGTCACACCTCTGTTCACGATGCCTGTCACGACCCATTAACTTGTAGTCTACTTTCTATTTGGCTCTTCAATAGCTGATCACCACTTACGCACTATTTGTATCATGACGTATAGCCCTTCACTGTCTCCTCACCACTCACGCACGTTCCTCTGTATCGCCGTACTCTGGATGGCCCGTCCGCCTGCGCTTTGATCGCGTCTTGTCCGCCGTCAACGTCTCATCAAGACAAAGCCGCGCCGATACCCCTGGTGATTCAATGCATGCGACATAAGTAGGTCCGCTCGAATCTTCTCTGAGCGCCTGCTTCTACCTAATCCGACTACACACTATGCGAAGACTCGTTCTACAGAGGTTGAGTCAGCGCCCCTCCACGACCACGCAGCCTAGCGTAAATGTAGCCAGGCTGATAGCCTCTCGACAGCGGTCGCATACCCTGCCTCGCACAGGCCCATTCGTCTCGCTGCTAGACAAGCAGGACGCTCGATCTCCGCGCCCTCTCTTATTTTCTGGCGAGCTTCTCACTACGAGGACGCATCTTGGCTGCCGGCCAAGACCATTGGCAACGCTAAGCATTCGAACGTACTCGGCGTGGTTTGCTTCTCGTTCCTCGGAGAGCTCGTCTGGAGGCAAGGCCAAGAAGGACAGTGAAGATAGACATGACCGCTCCAGCGAACTGATATTGAAAATGCTCGAGCCGCCGAAGGATGGATGGTACGGCTATGCGAAACTTAGCTGCATCATGTTGTCTGTCGGGGTGTCTGTCTATGTAGCATTGGCATACTCCTGGACCAGGTCGGCCGACGAGCTCCGTGCGCTCATAACAGAAAACGGTTTTCCATCACGTGCAGCTTTGGAAGCCAAATACCGAGAGCAGCGGGCTCTGAGCTTCGATAGAGCCTACCAGATTATTCTCGCGCTTCTCCCACCGCTCCACATGCCCCCATCAGCTCATGAATTGACGCTTCGTTTGAAGGACTGGTGAGTGACCTGGACGGTCTGCTTTGATGCTCAGGCCGGTGGACTGACTTAGCCCCCGCAACAAAGGTATACAACTCTCCCACCGTGCCGGTCCGCAGTGGTTCCTGTCCTCATTATCAACACAGGCGTATTCATATTATGTAAAAGAAGAGCTTTGACCTTGGCTGCACGTCCCCTCCACGAAGTCTTTACATTCCGAAATCTTTGTCTAACGGCCTTTCAACACACCTCATTCGGGCATTTCCTCTTCGTGCAGACAGCTCTGTGGACTTTAGGTTCTTATTGGTCAGTATGGCAGGCCAGCCGAGGCGGCGGTGTATCGGGGCTACTGATGCACCTCTCAACTTGCAGTCTTGAGCCCTCATCTACAGACCCGGTTTACCTCTTATGTCCAAAGATTGATTCGACATGGCACTTCACCGGCTTTTACTTACTCGTGGCCGTCATCGCGCGCGGGTACAGTGTTACACCTTGGGCTATGCGTCAATACTTCGCAATGGGATCGTATCGAGAGTCCGTCCTCGGACGGCCGACATTCAAGGGTTTCAGTACTGAATGGTGGCGTCTCTTTTATCGAAAGACTCTGGCTCTCGGCCCAATGGGAGGGGGGCCCGTCGTGTACGCCCTTCTTGGACAGGGAGCAACTACCCCGTCCGAGACCAGGGTTCAGTAAGTCCTTGCTAGAGCACAGTGGCAGGTGGAGTATAGTGCTGATGTCCTCCCTTCTCAAATTCTTTCTGGTCTCAAAAGGATCCCCTTGCTCTCGTGCGATGTCTCTTACCAGAAGCTGCAGATGTCTGCACTATCGACCCTATGCCTCTTTGACCTCTTCTGCTTACTGTCGGGCAGAATGCGCTTTGATCATGCGGCGCATTTGGCCGGCGCGGTGTATGGATTGACCTACGATCAAGACTCCCGCTGGAACGAGCACCGCGCTCGATTTCTCGAGAAACTCAACAAGGCCCTTCAACGCCAACCAGGGGGGGTAGCAGCCTTTTCCAAATGGTACCAAGCTGAGACAGAGGCTGCAGGTGTGCCCGCTGGAGAAGATTCGCCGAATGTGGTAGTCCGCAGGGAGGCACTGAGCTCACAGACGGAGAAAGAGCTAGACGCGGCCCTGCATGGTGAACCCGCTGCACTGAGGACTGAAATGGCGAGTCATGATCATATGTAAATCCAGAGAAGGCGGGAGCAGTCGGTAGGCGACGTGCAAACCGCCTCTACGCAGTGCCTGTCTCACCTGGCCTGCTTTTTGCTCACGTAAAGAAGACTCAAAGACTAACCCTCGTGGCTTTCCCAAAGAGCTGGACAAGTGCCACAGGACCTCCGTGCGGAGCGAGTACCTGAGGCGAATCAGGACTATCGCCTGTAGATAGGCGGGAGGGGAGAGGGAGATGGGCGGAGGAAAGGGGCAAAGGCGCGGGGTGAGGGTGAGTCTTATTCCGCATAGGCTTTTGATCGCCGTTGCTCCGACGCTCTGTGCTCACACCCTACCCCCCACATTCGGCACGCTGGCCACTGTCCTGGGAAATGCCAACTGTATAGCCGAGGATGGAGCAATCGTTATAACGCTCGTGGTCTGTAGCACATGCGAGGCGAGAAAATCAGATTGCATTCCTTGCTTGCGTGATCGTGGAGCAGGGCAGGCTGCCGGCGGCAAGGCGCTACTGGTGGCCAGAGGTGCTGGCTTCCCACTGATCCTTCACACGGGTGGGCCGTGCTTGTGGGAGCGGAGCGGTGTGTGAAGAGGCTGCTGCGCCAGAGTTTGAGACCGCTGCACGGCACCTATCGCAAAGGGGCTCAGCGGCGTCCCCACGCTACCTTGGCGAATCAAAGTGTCGCTGCTCGGATGCCGAGGAGTCGCCACGGGATACTGACGCGGTGCCTGGGGGATTGTGCGCCTTACCTGGGGCACCTCACCACCTCAAGTCCGACGTGCATGCTCACGCCCGATGCCTGGCCAGAAGCAAGGGCGGTGCGAAGGGGGAATGCGGCATGCCCGGCTGCCCAATCTCTCGCTTCGTGTGTGCCACAAACTGCGATTGTTCCTTCCCACTTCGGCAACTTTTTATCGCAATGAAGGCGTCACAAACGTGGAGAATGCACCACAGCAGCACCAGAGGAAGAAGATTGAGCTCAGGCCTGGAGGCACCAGGCAGGGGAATAACCAAATTGATCTTCCTCGTCGACGAGACCGAAGCGAGCGAACTCGGCACGTCCTCTTTGCAGTACTGGCATTGATGGGAGGGCTTGCTCCTCTCGATAACTCCCTTTTCCCATCCGTACCTCCTATCAACACCTCTTCAGCATTTAGAAGTAGCATTGTCAGCATCATCTCACCTCACAGTAGCGAGCGATTCGCACTCTGCTTCCTCCTTCCATCGTGGTCCGGAGCGCTCCTTCATATCAAGCTGATATGGCCACAGCCTTCCTCGATTCCTCGCTGCGAAAGCTTCTCTTTCCCTACCTTGAAGGTGCGGATCATGAAGACCCTTCCAAACCCACACACTGGATGTCGAGCTTAGCAGCAGAAGCGCTCGGCCTCGATCCTTCAACCTCTTCGTCCTCTCTATCTTCTGCCTCCTCCTCGTCATCGTCCAGTAGAAGCAGAGCTGCTAGGCCTCATGGCAAAGGCTCCACAGCGCTCTACACCTCCTCTTCCACCCACAACACCGCTACGTCATCCTCCCGCACTTGCGATGATCTGGATCAGATGAAGGCCGTGCCATGGGCTAGCATGTACCTGAACCAGTACGACGAAGGGGAACAGTCGAGCAGTGACGAAGAGGACAATGTCTTTGCGGCTGCCCCGTCCACGAAACCTTGGGCCTCAAGGCAATCCCCCCAAGACACAGTCCAGCGACGAGCGACGCTTCCTTTGCACTTCCCAGCCCGTAGGCAGGCCTCATCATCTTCCTCCCAGATGCTTGCTCCTACCCACCATGCTCTCACTGCACGGGCCGACGCAGATCCAGTCTCTTCAACAGCAGACAAACCGAAACGTATTCGAGGGCTCTCCGCCCCAACACCGCTGACACCTGCTCAGCCTTTGAATCACGTCAACACTTCCTTACCAGTGCGTATCCCACCGCCGAGGATCTGCCTGCAGGGCTCAGCAGAAGCAACTTCTCTGCTTCCCATCAGTCGTCGCCAAAGTCGATCCGATCGGGATGGCTGGCCGCAAGAGGGCGAGCTTACACCGTCCTCGTCCAGTAGCAGCCTCGTACAGTCCGGTGAAAGCGATGGATCTTTCTATGGCGATGCTGGGGATGACGATCCCGAATCTCAGCTTGCAGCTGGGATCGCTCGACTGAAAGCCAAGAGGAGGCTGGAAGAGGCCACCCAGACCGCACATGCCAAGACACAATACGAGAAGGTGTCAAAGGCCGAGGACATCACCATCGTCACCACGGAAGATGTCACCAATGAAGACACGGACGCTTCGGATCTTTCGGCCTCCCGACTTATCGCCGACAATTGTGGTTTCATAGAGACTTTGGCCGACATCGTCTTGGAACTCAAGATCCGACGCTCTGGCTCGTTTCGAGGTCGAGCGACCTCTGCATTAGACGTCCCCTCGCTAGCGTCTGACCGCCTGCATCCAACGGGGTTGCCCCGCAGCCAGTCCCTCGATGCACTCGCCGAAGGCGAGCTTTCGCAGCGCATGGGGGCTCGCCCTAAGTTTGGACCCGAAGGAGTATCAACCCCGGCTTCACTCTCGAAGGAGGTGAGGCAGTGGTCGCAAGGCCGACGATCGAGCGGTTCTCGACACACCTCTCCGCTGTTGACATCGAGGTCTCCGTCGCCAACTCCTCTTCCTCCTCCTGCTAATAAACAGGGGACGTCAGCGAAGAGTCTGTTTGGTGCCATGTCCCTCGTACACGCATTGCTCAACCAATCTGCTGCGTATAGATACTGTGCAAGTATAGCTGAAGGTACCTCGGAAGAGGAAGAAGAGCAGAAGCAGCAAAGTGCCTACCTATCGAATGATGCCGATGGAGAGGGCGACTCCGCCACGAGTCCGGATTCAGATGCTATCGACTTGGGGACCGGCGACATAGACACCACGGCCTACAGTTCCCTTTGGGCCACGCCGGTGCCATCGCGCTCCAGCTCCTCGTACAATCTCCAGCTGCTCGGCGACGAACGAAGCGCTTTCGAACAGGATGATTGGGCCATTCCCTCGCCTGCTAGGCCGCAGTACCTTCCGTCAACCCGCGTTACGAAGGCGTCATACAATGCCACTCGCCAAGGGCCGCCCTCAAAGCAGCGTGTGAGCCCGCTGTGGGCTGCCACGGGCGAGGATGACTTTGGGACAGATCTTCTCGATGACGCAGGCGCACAGCGTCCAACTTACCAACGCTCTTGGAGTAGTTTCCTCGGAATGTCCGTCTGATGTGGCGGCGACTCTCACGCACCTACCACTGTATCAATATACCTAGCCGCACTTCTCCACGCTACAGCCCCATACTCTGTTTCGCCTGACGACCATTGCGCCATGTGTAGATTCCTGCATTGCTTACTTTATCCGTTGTTCAGCCACCCTTGATAGATCGAATCGTACCACTTCATTGCTTGTTTGAATGAGAATCTCTTCTAGACCGATTCCCACGCTCAACAGGTTCGAGACTGTCGGCTTCTATGGACGCCTCGGCGCCGATCCTCTCTTTCCTCGCTTCCCAATGGCTATTTACGCTTTTTCACACACACAATAGCCGGGGCTGCAGCGCTCGGAGTCGGCCCCTCTTTGACATCATTATCAGCCGTTTTCTCACCGTTGCCAAGATCGGGAAGGGAGGGCCTAGTCATCGAATGTGGCGGCGAGGCCAACAAGCTCTGCTTCTCACGCCCAACCTTTCGTCATTGTTACACCTTTTCGCTCGAGTCGACTCCGGAATCTCTCTCACACTCCGAAAGACTTTTGTTTACTGACTCGCTTGTCGGCTCCTTTCTTGATGCCCCGGGGACGTGGTTCTGAGCATAGGTTGTGGACAGTGGGCTCTGAAGGTGCCTGTCTCAGCCTTACCCCGCATCATCAGGGGCTTGCCTGTCTGTCGCGTGTGAGTCCGCCTTGGCTCACCTGACTCTCTGCCTGACCTTCTTTCCCAGCCAGGGTGCGTGTGCCCTGACTCCGACCGCCGGCACCTCTGCGTGCATCCGCGGTAGGCAGACAGTCACTTGTCACCCCCTCTACTTGCCCCTCGCTTCACCACATGCTGATTCAGGCCTTGCTTGTCGGCTTGGCCGCTGGACTCAGCAGCAGCAGCAGCAGCAGTGAGGATGACATCGCAGCAGCCTTGAGCTTGAGCCCAAGGGTGCCTGCCAGTCGGAAGGAGGAGGAGGAGAAGCGAGGAGATTGTGCGGGGCAGACAGCCTGACAGGGAGTCGAGGGTCCGGCTGCAGCCACGGCTCATCGCCGCCCCGGTGCCCCGCTTCCGTATTTCCGCTCTCAGCCCTTGAATCTTCCTGTCTCCTTTCACTCTGCTTTGTGCCCACCCCCCCACCTTTCATGCTCAGATACCGCGCCCTTCGGCTCCCTGCTGCCCCCTTTGCATCGTCGTCGCTATTGTCAGCCCAACCTGCCTCGCCATTACCAGTCCCAGGGCCCAATCGACTCCTCACTCGCAGCTCACATTCTCACCTCCTTGCCCATCGCGCCACTCATCATCGCCTCTTGGCCCACTCGTCGTCGCCTCTGAGCAAAATGACACGTCCATCATCGGCTTCCACTTCTTCTTGGGCGAAACAGTCTCCTTCCTCCTCAGAGCAGCCCATCTTGCGGCTGAAACCCACGCGTCTGGCTCTTATTCAGCTTGGGCAGACCTCGCATGACAAGGCCTTTAATATTGAACATGCGCGTGAGGCAGTTCACAAGGCGGCCAAGGAAGATGGAGGCGCAGACATGGTCGTGCTGCCCGAATGCTGGAATTCCCCGTACGGCGTGTCTTTTTTCAATGACTACGCGGAGGACTTTGGCGGACTTTGGGAGAGAATCAAGCGGCCCATTGATCGTAGAAGCGGATCGCGTTCGCGCTGGAATGATGACGAGGACGAGGACGGGGCGGTCAAGAAGGATGCAGCAGAGGTACAGGATGGACTTCTGCTGAAGCGATGGTGTGTGGATGGCCTGGGTGGAGCAGCCGTCGAGGTACATCCCGACAGCTGCCCCTCGGAGACACTTCTCTTTATGAGCGGGCTGGCCAGAGAATTAGGTATCGTACTCGTTGGAGGATCCATTCCGGAGAGGAACGCCAAAGACGGCAGGCTGTATAACACAGCCACCGTTTTTGATCAGAAGGGTGAGCATACTTTCGTGGCCGTAAGGTGTCTTCGTCAAGTCTCACACTGCCGCCTCCTCTCATTGCAGGCCGCTTGATCTCGATCCATCGCAAGCTCCACCTGTTCGACATTGACATTCCTGGAAAGATGACCTTCCAGGAGTCGCTCACACTGACCGGTGGCGACAGAGTGACTGTCTTTGAATGCTGTGAGTGGACCCATAGCTTCTTGCTGTCCCGCTGTAGAACATTTTCTGACCTACGCAATTCCTCACCTACACAGCGCTCGGTCGCTTTGGACTGGCCATCTGCTACGACATGCGCTTCCCGGAGCTAGCGACTATTGCAGCTCGCCTCGGTGCAGGAGCAATGATCTACCCGGGCGCCTTCAACACAACGACTGGGCCCCGTCACTGGGAGCTTCTGCAGAGGTGTCGGGCGATGGACAATCAGCTCTACGTCGCTGCCTGCTCACCGGCTCGAGCGACAGAGGAGGAGATCAAGAAAGGCGCATACCCTGCTTGGGGTCACTCGACCATCACTGACCCATGGGCCTATGTTAAGGCTACCATGGAAGAGCAAGAGGGGATTGCGCGATGGAAGCTGGAACCGTCGGAAGTGGAAGAAGTCAGGAAGGGAATTCCGATCAATCGGCAGAGTGAGTATCATCGGACCTCGGAGAGGGTTCAACGCCTTCGTGAGCTGATGCTTCCCCTTTTTCTCGACATACTGTCCAGGACGTTTCGATGTATACAGCGATGTTGCTCTGTCGTGACAGGAGGCGCATGGGGGGGGGGGGGCGATCCCGTGCTCCTCCTCCTTGCTCCGCGAAGACCTCGGCTTGATCCACAACTCAGTGAATGCTGCAGTGAGACTTCGCATGAGGCGCTGAGATACATCTCATTTCAGATAATCTGATTCTATTATTGAGCTTGCTGTAACCATTGCTCCGCCTTGTGCTCTCGGGGCGGCGTGTGAAATTTCGGGGTGCCGGCAAGGCCGGAAGCCGGTCGAGCGAGATTTGGAGCATAGGCTGCCTTGATTCCCGTCTGTGCGATACTCAAATTGGCGCCCTCACTCTCGGCGATACGTGGCTCCTTCCCAAAGCTCCCCTTTGCAGCTCTTCGCTCTCACCTTCCCTCTCGCTGCTGTCAGAAGTCACTGGCTGTATCACGCAGCGGCGCATATATCACCGCATCCTCATCCAAAGCGCTTCACCCCTTCCGGCACTTCAGTCTGGGACTGCAATGACTGCTTCTCGAAGCCCGTCCAGAGAGGTCGAAGTGGGTCCCACTCGAGCTCGCTCTGGGGACCTGACTGGAGAGCGCGAAGGGCGTGAGCCTACCTCGCAGGATGAGCCAGTCGAGACAGTGGAAGGAGCGCAGCAGCAGACGTTGCCTCAAGAAGAGGTCGCGGTACCAGTAGATGTAGCGCTTGATGTTGAACACTTGGACGCGAATCTGTTCCGAAGCAAGGTGTGTAGAGGCTAGCATGGTGGGAACAGGATCAGAGACGTAGTGACTGACGAAGATGTCCTATCTGTTGCTGCTGCAGTCCCTCTGGCAACCTGCAAAGGCCAGAGGTGTCTTCGGAGGTCAAGTCATAGGACAAGCTGTAGCCTCGGCGGCCAAGACGACTCGGGAGGATATGAAGTTGCATTCGCTACATTGCTACTTCCTCCTTGCAGGCAATCGAGCTATGCCAATCATTTACAAAGTCTCCCGGGTACGCGATGGAGGGTCCTACTGCACCCGTCAGGTAGACGCGCAGCAGAATGGCAGGTGCATCTTCACCATCATCCTCAGCTATCAGGTGCCAGAGCCTCTTCAACCAACTTTTGCTATCCCTTTGCCGGAGGGCAGTGGTGACAGCGAAGCAAGCACTTCCTCTGCACCGCCTCCGCCGAGCCCCTCGTCACAGGTCCTGCCTCTCTCCTCGACCTTCACCAGAAGTCCAACACCCAACGACCTGATTGCCAATCTACCTAGTCCCGAGGAGTCGCCTCTGAACGAGCAGCGCTACGTGGACATGCTCCGAAACAAGGCCGCCAAGCTCCCCAAGCGGGTCAGGGCTACCCTCGAGGCCGTGATTCAGGATCGATTGCGCTCCCCAGTGGAGATCCGAAATGCCTTACCGGGAATGTACGATGAGGACACCAGTCTGCCCACAGAAGGGTACGAGCAAGCATTCTGGCTACGAACGCGCGAAGCCGTTGGGCAAGGAGGCAGTGGTGATGAAGCTCAAAAAGCTGCCCTCGCATACCTGAGTGACTTTCAATTCCTGTCGACGATCCCTAAAGCGTTGGGCAATTCGATGCGAATCAAGATGATGGCATCACTGGATCACTCGATGTGGTTCTACGCCGACTTTGATGTGCACGAGTGGCTCCTCTTTGTCATGCAGGCTCAGGCCGCTTCTCATGGCAGGGGCATCGCACTTGGCAGGATATACAGGCGCGACGGGACACTAGTCGCAGTCTTGGTGAGTCGCTGAGATGCGCTGGAGGATAGCCATGCCACCTCTGACATCCTCCCTGCCGCTGCTACTTTATTTCCCTCCCCCAGGCTCAGGAAGGTATGGTGCGCGAGAAGCTCGAATCGGACAAGGCGCCCAAGGCAGCCAAGCTCTGAAAGGCCAATGATCCCACCTGCATGTTCTCCTTGTCCTCCGTTGTCTGGCTGCGTGACGTGAGATATCATTATTATTGTACAAATAGAAAAGATCAAATGCTACCCATCTAGCGCCCGTCGACCTCTTGCTTCGCTTGCCATGCCTCTACAGATGCTTCCGAGCGCTTGCTTTCACCTTTGTGTCGAATGACTGCGAGATGATCGGGGCGTTGAGATCGTGAAAAGGATTTTGTACGATCTATAAGAGGCGGCAGAATGCAAGGCATAAGTCTAGCGCCTTCTTTACTGACGGGGACGCAGTCTCCGCTGCCACTTCCGCTAAGACTCACCTTGACCCAGAGCTCCCAGATGTCCAGGAAGAAGTTCCGGATACCATCGTCGTGCTTGTGTTCATGCAGAATGAGGAATTTGACGTCTGCAACAGCAAGAGAGTAAGGGTAAAGCGTCAACACTGAGACCATGCAGGCATTGGACTAGAGGTTGCTGAAGCGGTACTCACTGCCTGGTACAAGGAACGCCGAGGTTGTCCACTCGTTGATCCTGTCTACCGCTTTCATATACCTATGGGGGTAACATGTCGTCGAAGTTGACATCAGCACTTCTTTCAGCCTTTTAAATGCTCTGCAGGGCCTCTCCTCCTGCCGTCGCGATATCTGCTCCTGCCAATACTCACATCAACCCATTTGTGAACTGCTTATCCTCTACAACGTCCAACGAGCTATGCGCAATCATCTGCAGTACATGCTTATCATTGTATCTACCAAAGCCAATTCCCTTGCCTTCTTCCGAGCCTGCGCCCCCACCCGAGGCTCCGGCAGCCGAGCCGCTACCGCCTCCAGTGGTACGAGACGAGGCGGAGGAGGAGGAGAGGCCCCCCGCCAGCGCACCTAGGGCTCCTCCAAAGCCAAAGAGCCCTCCTGAGCTAGCCTGCGATGCTCCTCCTGCTATACTATCGTCTTGAGAAGCGCTGTTTAGGCTGCTTTGCTGATTGGACGAGGACGAGGAGGAAGAGGAGAAGAAGGAGGCGGCTCCCGAAGACGTGCTCGGCTTGGAGGCTAGGTCGGCCGTGTAGAGTGGATTGTCGCGGGTGCCGACGATGACAAAGTAGTAGCTCATTGTTCCACTCGCGCTATGCTAGGCTGATAGGAGACGACAGCGACGTGAGACGGTATCGCACGGTAAGAGCTGAGGTGCAATGAGGAGCGTAGGATGCTTCATGCAGCAATGAATGAGTGAGTGTGGGTCCATGCGAGGGAGGGCGGAGACGCGGAAAGCGGAACGGAAGGTAGGACAGTCGACGAAGAGGCAGGCAGATCTATGCTTTTGAGCTTGATGACTAGAAGTACATAGTGTTGATCACAGGAAAGAGAATGGTGTAACATCGGAAAGCTCAGGAAGGCAGAGCAATGGTATAAAAGTTGGGCCAGACGAGCTGTTGGGGTAGGCGATGGAGGTAGCGAGAGTCAGTGTCTGCCAAATTGCCTTGGCAACTTCTCCTCCCAACTTCAATGATGCTCACCTCGTCCTCGACAGCCTTACGAATCAATTCAATGAGGAACTTCTCGACCTTTCCGACATTTCTGAGAACATGTTTGTCTGCTTGACCGACCGAGGACTCAAGAGTGATTTGAGGGATGAGGCGCTCACCCAAAGTGGGAGGTCGCTGAGGTGGCTGCATCTGCTGATGGGGCTGGTTCAGCCCTTCATACCGGCTACCCATACCATTGTTCAATGTTGCAGGAAGCGTTGACTTGTGGCCGGCAGTCTTCGTTCCCGAGACGCCCTGTGGGCTCTCCCCTACTTCACTCTCAGTTGAGTCGTCTTCCACGAGCGACAAGTGCACTTTCCTCCCTCTGCCATCTCCTTCCTCGAAAGCTACCACACAGCCAGCCTGGACACCAAGACCTATCACTGAAACACTCAGTGGCAGCTCCATAAAAGCTGGCGTCGGATGGTTGACGAGTAAGGAGGTACTGATACCGAGCTTGAGCGTGTTCGTAGACCATACGACTGAGAACTGCATCTGCAGATCAGGGATGGCAGACGCCGGAGGATTGTCTGAGGAGTCTTCGCCCATGCCATGGTCCCATTCTGCAGGGGAGCGTCCGTCGCGACCAGAAGAGAAGCCAGCATGAGTGGGTGCGAAGCTGGACGACCTCCTCACTTCGGGACGAGAGTGAGAGGGTGGAGTGGGCGTCTGCCACGAAGGAAAATACCCGGATCCATTGTGGTTTCCGCCTAGCAGTCCTCTGTTACCGAGGCCGGCTCCCCATGCTGGGGTATTCAGTCCACTATTCGAGACCGAGGCTGAGCCATTGGCCCAATTGGGGATCGATGCGGGAAAGCTAGCCATCGACCCTCCCCCGCCGTGCACTTGCTGCAGCTCGCTAGTGGAGTACTGGCGGAATGTCTGAAGGCGAGGGGCGGTGGTTCCTTGGCCTGAAAAGGGATTGTTGTGCTCTGCGAGCTTGCTGAGGTGCTGACTTGGCCTCATGTACTCTTCGCCTGGAAGGGTGATGTCTCCATCTTCCATCATTGTTGATGTAGCTCCTGGCTGAGCGTTCCTGCGCGTAGCTCCTTCCTTGGCCGTCTGCCCCTGTATGTCTATGAATTGCCTCCATACGTCTCCTATCTGGGTGAGGCTGACATCTGGCGGATCGTTGCCGAAATCCAGGGAGGTGAGGGAGATCGGCCCAATGAAGTCCGGTCGAGCTGCCGCGGAGAGGGATCTATTGAGCTTGGCCAGGAGGGACTGAGCCAATTCCCCGTCCAGGAGGGACCAGTCGAGCTCCAACGACATTCAAGGAGCCGCGTCAGAGCACAGACAATGCTGTGTGATGGCAGAAGGAGTAAAGTAAAGGAGAAAGGCAAAAGTCGGGACGGAAGTGATGGATCTGGGACCAGGTCCAAGGCTGGAGAAGCGGACACGAAGATTGAACTCCGCACTCGCGTTGAGTGCACGGAAACAGAGGCGCGCCAGAATTGATTGAGTGGGCGCCGCTGAGAGGCCCAGGCAGACGGACAATCAGAAGGGAACCAACCAGTCCACGTCTCCACGTAGCCCACTTCGAGATCTTCCCACTCACCCCTACACCTGCTCATTCCATCATACCATCAACGGCCAGCACTGAGAACGGCAGTCACGGAGGGGGGGGGGGCGCCATCCCCGCACACTGTCTGGCCAATCTTCCGCTATGTCCGTCTCAGGCCGAGTCCATGGGGCCCAGAAGGCCCAGCCAATCGTCATAGACGACTACGACTCAGACGAGCTCCCGCCCCTCAAGCTCGTGCAAAAGACGCCCAGTCGTCAGGCCTCAAGCAAGAGCAGCCAAGGCAGCTCTGCTGACAAGAGGAGTCAAGGCAGTACGAGCCAACGCTACTATAGTCAGTCTAGCCCTATCCGGGGTGAAGCCAGTGCACCCCTCTCCACTTTGAATACTAATGAAGCAGGTGGGAACTCGCTTCGTCCGTTTCGGCAGGGCGCAAAATTCGGTTCTCAAAGCAGCTCAGGATCGGTAGACTTATCAGCTCCAGTTGCGTCCCTATCAAGCCATCGAACCCCGAAGAGAGAACGGGGGGACATCATTGTGCTCTCCTCTGACGAGGAGGACTCTAACAGATCACGGGCGCCGCCCCCTCCGAAGCGCCGGATCGTGATCGTCAAGAAGCGTCATAATACTCGCTCACAGAAAATTGAAGCTGAGAACGAAGTCCTGCCAACCGCTACCGCGGCGAACGGCGATGGTAGTGCGGACCCTGTTGCGAATGGCAGTCAGAACGCTTCGCTGGATGTCAAGCATCAGACAGTCGAAGGCGCACTGATCTCGGCCGAGAGACAAGATGATTCTCCCGCAGTCTCAAGTCTTCAAAAGACCGAAGAAGAGGCCGACGAGCTGGAGCAGACAGAGAGGGACAAATCTGAGACAAGTCTCACTTCTGAAAAAGATGAAAAGAAAGACTTGGCAGCTGTACCGCCTGATTCCGCCGGGGCCCCATCAATCGTTACCGAACCTGGCGTGAACGCGAATGTTGGGATTTTGCCAAGGGATAGTAAAGCACTGCTTTGGAACCCTTCCGAGCAGCCCTCCGCTGTTGCAGGGCCGTCTGGCGGTACTTCGTCGCATGTGACCACAACGGCTGACGGCGCCGCCATAGCCCCCGGCTCTGTCGACCAGTCTTGGGCTGCCCCCCTTGTCGACCGCGGTCCCGAGATGCCTGGCGCATTTAACTCAGCTCCTACTCTGCCATTCGGTGACATTGCTCGCTTCGACGAAGAAGCTGACGCTGCAGCCCCTCTCCCGTTTCCCTCCATATGGGCACAAGCAATTAATGGGCTATCCACGCTGACCGGTACGGTCACTGACGAGGGAGCTACAACGGCAGATGCACTGGGTCAAATCTTCCAAGCCGACGAGGAAGCTATTGCAGACATGGCGAATCTCAAGCCATGCTCTGCAGCTGCCTTACAGCAATTGAAAGAAGCTGGCTTGAAAACAACCCTGAAAAATCATCAATCTTCTGGACTCAAATTCCTCGTCGATTCAGAGCATCGGCAGCTACCTCGCCTTCGGGAGGGTGACGTTTGCCTATGGGTTGCGCGAAGAGGATATCGTGGTGATATCACCTACGTCAATACAGTGTCGCATGATATGGACAAGAACCCTAAGATGCCCCGAGGAGCTATTCTATCAGACGCCATGGGCTTGGGAAAGACGCTGACCATCCTAGCTTTGATTCTTGCGCCCGATGACGGAAAAGGTATCATCGACGCACCTGACTTAGGGAAGGGCAAAGCTTCGGCTTCTGGCAACAGCACCAAGTCAAGCCCAAGGAAAGAGGTCAAAGCGAAGCCACGAAAGAAGCGTCTTGTCATGCCGACTATGGGCACTCCTCTAGACTTGGATTCTGACATTGAATGGAGTAGCTCTTCCGGGGACGAGTCCGAAGACAGAGAGGCGGCGCAGAAGAAGCTGCCTACCCTCATTGTCTGCCCTCTCTCAGTCGTGTCTAATTGGGTGGGGCAGGTCAAGACTCATCTCGATGCAAGACAATTTCGTATCGGAGTCTTTCATGGTGCGGAGGGGCTCAAGCTGCAGAAGGAGAAAAATTGGTCCAAGTACAACGTCATTGTCACCACGTACGATGTCCTCTCGTCTAGCTACCGACACCTCGCACTTCTCAAGGGGCACATCAAGCGAGAAGTGGATTTCGAGCAGGAGGAGCGAGTGTTACGGAACAGTCTAGACAATTACGAGAAATTCGTCTTGCGGGAGCAGGGCTCTTCTGCTCTTGCCGCCGCGAAAGAGGTGAGTTGTCTTCAGCACAGATCAGCTCACTGAGGCAGCCGGTCTGGAAGGTTGGCCGAAGCGAGGAATCAAGCGAGAAAGACTATCTTGACCTGGGGGCTGATCATTCTTCTACTGCCCTTCTGCCTCCAGAGATCGGCGCAGCGCCTCAAGGAACTCAAGCAAAAACAAGCAAAGCTTCGCCTGATTTGTCCTACGATGACTGGCAAAACAGACGAGAAGAAGAAGGACATTTGCCTTGATCGCGCTCGCAAATTTCGAAGAAACAGCAGTGAAGCGGTCAGCGAAGAGCAGTATCCTGTGATCGAGAAAGAAGACGACTTGCTCTACTGCTGGTCTGGCAAGGTGCGAAAGCCCGAGAATGAGAGACTCATCCACGAAGAGTGGAAGAGAGTCGTCTTGGACGAAGCGCATGTCGTGCGCAATCCATCGACGATCGCTTACAACGCCGTCTTGGCTCTCAAAGCTGAGCGACGGCATGCTGTCACTGGCACGCCTCTCATCAACAAGACGAATGACATAGGCAGTCTGGCTGCCTGGATCGGTGTGAGCCCTTATGCCGGTCAGCCTAATCAAGGCTTGTGGACCAATACCGTCGAGAACAGTATCAAGAAGCAAGAGGCCTTTGGTATCCGCATTCTGAGATCGATCACAAAATCTCTGGTCTGCTTGCGGACGAAGGAGATGCGAATTGATGGAAAGGCACTCGTAGAGTTGCCACCTATGAAGATCCACAGCATGCCTCTCGAGCTGAAGCCGGATGATCGCATCTTCTACGATAATGCCGAGATGGCACTCCGTCAACGCATCGTGCAAATGGTAGAAGACGGCGAGCTTGACGGCAACCAGAGCTGCATTCTAGTCTTCCTGGCGCGCATGCGTCAGCTAGCGAACGATCGAAGGTTGGTCCCCGCAGACCTGATTGATCGTATCTTGGATGCAGACCTGTCAGATGGTCTGCCCGCACAGCCAGGCAGTGACGAGTCGTCCTCACTCTCTCAAGCGCAAATCGAGGTGCTTCAGGAGAGACTCGGCTCGGCAGTCGACATGTATGAAGACTGCCCTATCTGCATGGAGGCATTCACCAGGGAGAACGATCCGGTCATTACTTGGTGCAAGCACATCTTCCACCGTGCCTGCATTGAACAGTCCATAGCCAGCAACCCAACCTGTCCCTTGGATCGATATCCTCTGGTGAGAAGCACCAAACTCATCAGTCTTCCCGTGGAGGTAGAGCCTCAGGAGCTCTTGCACAGCGAAGGCTCAATAGATGGGATCAAGATCGATGCTATCATCGAAATCACACGGATGGTCGAAATGAGCGGGGACGACAAGATCATTGTGTTTAGCAACTTCACAAGTCTGCTCAGGCTTGTAGAGAAGCGACTCGAGTCGGAGAATGTCCCTTTCGTCAGCTTCTACGGCTCTCACACCAAAGGCCAGCGAGATGCTGCTCTCGCCTCTTTCGCTAGACCTCTTCCCAAGTTTTTCAATCTGGCACGATCAGCAGCTAGCGGATCGGCTGCTGCTGGCCCATCTTCAGGCAGTACTCTTCTAGATTGGCTGGACAGAGTAGACCTGACACTGCCAACAACAGGCTCAGCGCACAGCAGCGGCGGTTCCAAATCTACGAGCAAAGCCATCCCTCGTGTCATCTTAATGTCGATCGGCGCGGGCAGCGTGGGCATCAATCTCACTGCTGCCTCTCATGTCATCCTGGTAGACCCGTGGTGGCAATCTGCCATCGAAGAGCAAGCCTTTGCGCGAGCTCATCGTCTTGGTCAGACGAAACCCGTCAATGTGTACTGTCTCATCAGCGCTAGGACTGTCGAAGAGCGAGTCATCAGTATAGCACAGGAAAAGGCGCGGCTGTCCAGCTTTGCCCTGCAGGGTGTCACTTTCAAGGGCAAAGCACTCTGGAAAGCCTCGGACAATCAGCAAGCACGTTTGCGTGACCTAGGAGCCATGTTCGGCATGAACGACGAAGAGATGGCTCGTATCTCCAGGGCCAATCGACTACGCAGGTGAAGAAGGTTTACTGCTTGAGGGCCATCGAAGCTTCCGCATCCCGTCACTATCACACACCTCACATAGGGCCCTCTGTCTCTTCTAGGGCGCGTCTCCTACCCCATGTATATCACATTCCCCCCGTGCTACCTGTTAAATTCCAACTCGTGTATTCTCTTCTCGGGTCTCTCTCTACCTCTGTCGTCCTTTATACCATGCATTCAGCTTAGCTTGAACTCGGAAGTGACGAGGGCGTCGAAAAGATGAAGCGTCGATGTTTCTGTTCGTTTTTCCTCGCCCTCGTTGCCAGACCTGGACAAGGTAGTAGAGCCCTTCGAAGGTCGTGGGAAATGACATTGAATGAGCGGCGAACAATTCCTCTGGGCCTTCTCACTGGCTGCACTGCGACTTGCCACTCCCCCCAGCAAAACATCCCTTTAATCTACCTGCCCACCCTCCCTTCTTCTTCTTCTGCCTCCCATTTCCATTCCCACTACTACCAGCACCTCCTGCATCACTTCCCGTCCCTTGCTTCTTCGCCTTCACCCATCCAGGTGTAGACCAAGAAGGAATACTCTCCTGACCCGTATCACCGCAACTGTACTTGCCCGACTGAGGACTGGAAGAGCGAGGGGTAGAATCTCCTCGCCCACAGCCATGGCCGAGCCCGAGCCCGATGCCGTGTACGGGACCGTGACCGTAGCCAGTGGGAGAACCCCAAGGTGTGCGTTCTGGGGTGGAGATTGGGAGGTGCGCACGACCGGGAGACTCGTCTGAATCCGGACCGACGAATTCTGGCGGCGGGAAGCGTGGTGGGGAGACTACGCCTGGGCGTCTTCCTCGACGGGCACTGCGGATTGGCACAGGTCGTGGTCGTGGTTGTGGTTGCGGTCGCGGTCGTGACGCTGATGTTGAGGCTGCTGGCGCTGCTGTTTCACCTTGTCCTTGTGGTTGAGAAGCGGAAGTGCGTTGTCGATTGGATCCCAAGAGCTGCTCGCGCTCCCATCCTGAGGCGGTCCCGTCCGAGGGGACGGACATTAGCAGACCTCGAGGCCGAAGGGCTAGCTGATCGTGCTTGTGATGCTCCTGTTGGTGGCGGTTTGATTGAATAGATCTGGACCTAGAGCTGGGTTGGGGAGGGAGAGTGTGTGCATGAGCCGCTGCCAGCAGGGCAAAGCTGAGAAGGAGGAAGGGGAAGAGTCTCATATCGATGGAAGGACGACGACAGCGCGTCGTTGATCACAATCTTAATCGGTCGCAAAAAGGCTTCAAGTGTGCATCGAGCTTTATGTAGCAGAAGGATCAGGCCTCGCTCTTCGTCCTCAGCACAGTCAGAGAAGCAATTCAAATGAGCCAGATGCCAGAGCAACCACCTCACCGGCTCATCTTCGGGTCCGGATAATTTACTCTTGCCTCTTTGCTCTCCACAATGCCTCGGGTATGAATCGTATTCTTTGCTGTAGTGGATCTGCAAACGAACGCTAGACCTCGCTGTTGACAAAGTGGAAGCATTGAAGGCTTCAGAAGATGGCGCAGGCAGTCGTGGGGCAATGAGTGCTGTCATGCTCGAGGGCGCATAGAGTCGACGAGGGCAATGATAGAGAGACTGTTGTGCCCATAGATGGAAGAGCACTGATACAAGATGATCAACAAGTCGAAAGTCGAAACAGGTGCGTGTGAGAGTGTGTATGCATATGAGTGACGAGCATGAAGGTCGAAAGAAAAAGTCGAAGAGATACAGAAGAGTGTACAGTACAGAACACATGGATGTCTGATGAGGGTGATGATGATGATGACAACGATGATGAGGATGACAAGGGGCCTGTCTGGAAAAAGGGACTCATGTGCATGCGTGGAAGGTTGAGCAATAGGGGGAGAGGGGAGAAATTCGCCACCTTGCACCTCCGCTATCAGTTTGTTGAGGACATAGAGTAAGCCCCAGGGCGGATCCGGATATCAATACTCGAAGCCCACCGTTGTTCCGTTCCGTTCGCTGTTTTGGTCAAGCGCATCATGCTCAGGGTACGCTACGGCCGTGTGACAGTGGTTCGCCCGAGGGTACTACGTACAGACCGGCTCGACTACGACTCTACTCGATCGGAAAGATTGAGCAGGAGAGTAGCCAAGCAACGCTTCGTAATCTGAAACGAAGCAAAGCAGGTGGTGCAAGGACAGCGAGATGAGCGGCGGCGTCACTAATCAAAGAAAGGCCTTCCACTGCACTCACATGGTCGTTCTTGAGCAACTGGCTGAACGTTGCGTCCCGCAAAGGTGCAGGAAGACACGCTCGCAATGCTTCTCGAGCTCTGCATGAATGTCAAATGGAACGGATCAGAAAATGAAGCGCGGGCTTGCGAGCAGGCAGCTCTTTGCTCGTGGGTGGCTCACCTAGGGTTATCGCTCAGTCTAAGGTAGCACCTGACAACGTGCTTCAACAGCCTAACCGCTCCGGTCTCCTCGATGCCGCTGACCATGTTGGACAGGACCGTGCCGACAGCATAGAACCGCTCGTATGTCTGACAGACATATGCAAGGCCAACATCGTCGAGGAGGATCTTCTGTACAATGAAGATGGCGACGGTCTTGCTCAACTCAGAACCAGTCTCCATGATGCGTAGACAGAGGGGAATGATCTCCGTGGACAAAAGGAAGGTGATGACCTGCGAGTTGTCCGATTGCTTGACGAGAGCTCCGATGACTCCAAGCGAAGTCAGTCTGAGGTACTCGAATGGCCGAGTCTTGGACGTTGTGTTGAGGAACGGGTATAGGAATAGTGGAATGTGGGCTGTGAAGCAGAGCAGCACGGAAATTACAGCAGAGGTAGATGGCTGTCAGTAAGGCTCACCGGCCAAAACGCTGCTACCTGACCGCTTACCTTGCAGGAAAAGAGACCTAGTCTCTTGATGGCTTGCTACACATTGCAGCAAGGCCAGTGCATTGCAGACTCTATTGCTAGCATGGGCGGTGAGAGCAGGCGGGCTGAGGAGTGGGTATACTGCGATGATTTCCTGCAACAGACTGCTCATTACGCCAAAGGAGTGCCACAGGACCAGCGCCAAGTCCTCGTACTGTTCCCGCTTCTTGCTCAGCTCTAGCAGCGCCGTCTCCCTGCGTGCTTCCGACCCATCCTTCTGTGCCGAGGTGGAAGCGGGATCTGGGCGTTGACAGAGCTGGGAGATGAGATGGTAGACGGACAGAGCAGTAGTGGGTGTACCTCCTGGCCCGGTGCCCGCTGGGATGGCTGGACCAGAGGTAGGAGGTGGGCCGGCAGAGGAGAGGAGAGATGAAGCTTGAGGTGCGGATAAATCTAGATTGGGGTGAGCATTGCTGCTGCCTAGCTGGGGAGTGCTGGCACCATCGGCGTTCTGCGAGAGATGAAAGGAAGGATGATGTTGATGCTGGGAGTGATGAGGGTGGCCTTGCTGCTGCTGTAGCGGCTGGGTTTGTTGTGGGTGAACGACGCCTCTGGAGGCCAGCTGTGAAGCCTGACCCAGAGACGCTGCGTCCATGAGAAGGAGGGACTGGGATGCAGACGCCGCTTGCTCGTTAGATGGTCCCAGGTGGGTAAGAGGTAGTGAGCTCAGAGAAGCTTCTGAAAGGTTCTTGTGGATCGCCTTGAAGTCTCGACTGCCTGGTGTGGGCGAGGATGGCTGGAGGGCAGATGGGTGATGGTAGCACCGTCAGAGCAGAGGTGAGCCAAGTGAGTGCAAGTATCGCCGCCGCCTCTCGCCTCTAAGCGGAACGGGGCTTGGCTGGGCGTCTGCCTCGCGCGGTGCGGCCTGGCGAGGATGGAGTGTCTGCGTCGGCCAGATTTGCCTCTCACCCGAGAAGCAACCCTCCGAGTGGAGAAGGTAAAGAAGATCAACCGCCGACGATCCTCGACAGAAGAGACAAGGCGGGAAGCAGAGTCACTCAGGACTCTCAAGGCAACAGAGGATCATGGCCACGGCGCCATCTTCCCAACCCATCCTGCCTTCATCCCACCTGCCCTCTTCGCCCCATCATCCACATCCTTCCGATACCAAACCACCCTCCCCCTCCCCCTCTACTGCCGGGCCCTCTCGCGCTGGCTCTCAGCAAGCCCCCAATGGCGACAACCACCAGCAGATAACATCTTCATCTTCCACATCCTCTTCTCGCACCTCGGGTCTCCCTGCCCCTCTTCCCATCTCTCGGCCGCAAAATGGACCCCCTCCTGCACCACACCGATCTGCACGCGCTACAAAGTCGGGCTCCCTGCCCCCACCTCCGCCTCCTCCCCCCTTCCTAGGCGGGCCTATCCCTATTCACTCGGAGACGCCTCTCTTCGCACCTCTCATCAGAGACCAAGAGGCTGTACTGAACCCTGACTACCGGACGCCCTTTCGGGACGCCCGTGACGTCGTAGCGCGTCTACTGCCATACCACGTCTGGCAGGTTCCGCAGGATGTCATTGACCTCGCGAAAGGACTCAATCAGCGGACGCAGGGCAAGGGAAAGCAGAAAGCAATAGAGAATTCAGCAAGAGATGGGGCAGACCAGGCGAGTGGACTGGAATCTCCAGCATTGAGGAAGCGCAAGCGGTCTGGAACGCGCTCGGACGGATGGATGTCAGACATCACCCGTGTTCCTCGGATGGAGAAGGCGGGCCAGAGCAGCATGGCTGCCTTCGATCGGATAGAAGGATTGGACTTTCCCCGCTTGCAGGATATAGAGGCCATCATACCTCGCTTCGAGAGCATTCGGTCTGCCGTGAGAAGGGTGCGGCATAGAGTGACAGGAGGTGAAAAGGCTACCTCACCAGATCCTGCGGATGAGCTGGCCGAGCCAGCACCTGCGTACTTTTCAAAGGAGGCCCATCTCCAGCTATTGCGTCTCTCCTGCGCAGAAGACCAGAGCGAGCTAGACGAGACGCTAGAGAAGCTCAGACAGGCTCGGACAGACCTTCTCACAGAGTATGGTCAGCAGTGGCTGGCAGAGCTCGACCAGATCGCTCCAGGCCTCAATCCTCCCGCACAGTCGTCTACTGCTTCGCCAGCCCCACCTTCGGCAAAGCAAGCGGCTTCAAGCCCCGTGGCCGCCAAGGAAAGTTCGAGTGGGATGCAGTCATGGCCAACCACGAACCGTGGCGCGAGCCCTGAGCGGCCCAGTAAAAGAGCCACCTCGCCAAATAACAAACGGCAAGGCATGTCCCCTGCGACTCCTGCTGGCGGACCAGGATCTCGGGGACCATATCGCAAGAAGGTACCCCCCGCCCAACAGCAGCAGCAGCAGCAGCAAGAAGAGCAGCAGGAGCACAAGCAGCCACCACCACCGATATCAAAGTCAACTCAACAACAACAGCAAACGCCGGCGACGCCTTCGGGAGGTGTGCATGCTCCGCCTCGCACATCCCAAGGCCCAGCTTCTGTTGCGGCTGCTGCCGTGCCAGCACCAGCTCGGGCCCCACCTCCACCGCCTCCTCTACAACCACCAATCCGGATCATTTTGCCCCTGAGCCTGATCGGCAAGCTCACCTCGGTCGGCATTGCTCCCCTACCTGCGCCTCATCTGCAACCAGCCATCGAAGCTCACAAGCGACGTGCGGCGGCAGCAGCAGCGAGCGGCTCTGCTGTCCCTACTCTGGGCGATTCGAGCAAGGCGGAGGCCGGAGAGTGGACGACTGCACCCTGCGAGCCCGACCCGAATCAGACAGAGGCGGCTATCCTGCTTGGTATCACAGAGGCCGAGGCGCCCGGAGGAAAGGGCGAATGGCATCAATTGGTGCACCTGAGCTTGGTTTTGGGTAGGTTGGACTCGAACCAATTGACTGCTCTGGCTGAAGTAGTGGCAATGGTGCAGACGCAGGGCGGTGGGACGGGTATACAGAGCAGCATCAACGGTACAGCGGGGGCCAATGGCGTTGTCAACGGGGCGGCTGGTGCAGGAGCACCGCCGCCGCCTCTCCCATCTCAAATAGCTCCGCCTGCAGCTGCTCCTGAACAATCACTAGAGGTCACTGAAGCCACTGCTCCAATGACAGCTTCACCCTCTACAGAGCAGGTGGAGCAGAAGTGAGCGGCATGGTCTGTTCAGCATATTGAGAGGGCTGTTGGGCTGCTCGTTGGTATTGGCAATTCCTCTCGCTGGATGAATCCATTGCTCCTTCACTCGCCCCTCGATGTCACCTGTACTACATATCCTTGTTATACAATCTTATCCCATTAGAGGCTAAAGTCTAAAGTCTACATCCTTGAATACCTTTCTGAGCCAGTCGGCTTCTGCCTTCATCTCCTCTCTGCTACGTGGGCGACGGTCTTCGTCGGCGTCTGGCTTGATGCTTCTTGTTTGCGAAGTTGAGTGCGAATCCAAGGCTGCTGCTGCTGCTGCGTGCTTGGTTTGAAGAGCGGAGAGATTGAAGCCAAAGGACTCTAGGCGGTCGTAGATCTGAGGCAGACAGTGCAGCCGAGAAGCAGGCAAGGGGGAAGTCAGTAATCTACCTCTCAAGTAAAGGTGGGGCTCCACTCACCTCATCAGATCCCGCATACTCATCCCCCCTTTTCCGGGGCAAGACATGCACGTGCAAATGCGCAACGCTCTGTCCCGCCTCCTTGCCGTCCTGAATGGCAACATTGGAGCTGCTCGCGCCCGTCACCTCTTCCAGACGGGAGGTGACGAGCTGGACTGCTCGGAAGAAGGGGGCCAGGGAGGCGGTGGGGAGGAGGGAGAGGCGGGTAATGCTCGGAGAGGGAGGGATGAGGAGGACGTCTGGGGGGTATCACGAGGGGTAGAAAGTAGGGGGGACGACCACGTCAGCGAGCGGAACGAGTGAGCAGCCTTGTGCGGCGTGAGTCTCACGGAAGGGTACGATGGGCTTGAGGTTCACGATGCCCACCACATGTTCCGTACGCAGGAAGACCTGATCGGTCACATCGAATTGTGCAAAGTGAACATTGTCACTGCCCCCGGAGGGAGTAGTAACCATCGCCCTTGAGCTGCTGCGAGGGACAGCTGCAGTACGTCTGCCGGCTGTATCAATGCCGCTGCTGATGACTGGTCTGCGAACTCGATGGGCCAATGCACCACCTCCCAGTCTTTGGAACATACGGACCCTCAAGTGCGGAAGTGTGGAAGGGACAGCCTGAAGGAGTGGAAATCGGAACGGCAGGAAGGTTTGCCCCCTTGGATCAGATGCGAGATGCGAGATGACTGAAAGTGCGGGGAACGGATCGGGAGTGGCAGAAGTTCGCACTCCGCTGCACCCTTCCGCCGCTCACTCATGGGCTGTTTTTGACCACCTCGAGGAAGATGTCCACCCCAGAGTGGGTAAGGTTCCACGCTCTGTGAATGCTTGTGAGCTAGGCTGGCTTCTTCTGAGTGGAGACACTGAGCCGCCGGCGAAGCGGGGCAGCTGCCATCTGTCCTGGGTACAGTGCTGCACTTGAACTCTTTGCCATGCGGTCATGTGTCGCTCTGCGTCATCGGTGATTTGGTAACACAGACACACAGACCACGTCCCGACGACTCTTGTAATCCTTAGGCGATCCATACACGGGAAGAATGCGACGCTTCAGGAAGGTTGAGGACGGGGAAAAAGGCCGCAAAAGTGGCGCTGGATATTGCGGGGTCCTACTTATTCATATCCATAAGATCTTCTTCACTTCTTTTTGCGAGTCCTGTCAGAGGCGTCAGGATCCCTACTGCTTTTTCCAGAATGACGCTATCACCCGTCAGCGCTGTGGTGTCGCTACTGTCGACGCCCTGCTACGATTTGCTCCCTCCCTTCATCAAGCCCTTCTTTGTCTCGCACGCTTTCATTCCCAATCCTGCCTCAAAGTCCATCCCGCTAGGAGGAGCTCTCACGCCGCCCTTGACCTACTTTCTGGCGTTGTTCCTCCTCTCTAGTCCAGCTCCAAGCTTACCGACCAAGGTGCTCAGAGACGTGCTGGCGTTCATCTCGGGGGTCACATTCTTCCTGCTGCCCTATCGGTATTACGTCCCCGGCAGCGCTATTTTCACCTATCAGCTCGGCTTGATAGGATGCTTCGGCTCAGCCAGAGTCATCGACATCTTCTTCCTCTCTCGTCCGCGAGTCCCAAAGCGGATCCAAATTCCACAGAAGGGGGCGACTTCAGAAGGGACGATCGAAGGCTACCTGCGCAAGCCAGAGCTGGGACATGAAGAGGCGTCGCTCAATGAGACGGAGCGGGATGGACGCGTTTACCCCCATACGGACAATCTAGCTTGGAAGACTAGCCCGGTCCCCACCTCCTTCTTTGGCAGAATATGGTGGTCGGTGGACTTGATGATCTCCATGAGGGGTATCGGCTGGGACTTTGCCTCGGCAGACGTACGCCACGATATCAGTCCATGGCAACCTCCCAGCCGTCGCCAGCTCAAGCGCGCAGCATCGATGATCTTCCCAGCCTTTGCAGTATCGGTCATAGTCTCCCGCCTGCTAGTGGGGGCCTACCTGCCATATACTGCACTGACGGGAAGAGAGATGCACGAGTCGCAAGCCGACTTGCAGACGCGACCATCGATCATCGACATCCCGATGGCGCTACGACCCGTGATGGTTCTGGCTACGGGCATCGCACTCTACACCCTTTTCGATTGTGGCTACACCGTCGCATCTGCTGTCCTCCTACCGCTGCTCAGGACCTCTGCAAATCTGACAGACGTAAGTCTACACAATGTAGATTTCTTCCCACTGCTCAACCCACTCAAGCTCACGGAGATTTGCTCCGTGAGGTCCTTCTGGTCAAAGGCATGGCACAGGCTCTTTCATCGAGCCTGGCTCGTCTTTGGCATCTTGCCAGTGCAGAACCTCGCACTGTACTTTTTCCCAAAGGACAATGCCAAGATCCTTTCCCCCGCATCGCACCCGGACCCTGGCAGGCTGTTGCCTAAGGGTACGCACGACTGGGCGAAAGTCTTGGGAGCGTTTGCTGCTAGTGGACTCGTGCACGGTATCAGCGAGCGAGCCGCTTTGGGGGGTCGTATCGCTTTGCCTGCAAATAACCTTTGGCTTAAGGCCGGCTGGGGGACCACGCATCGCGGTGCACCCGATCTGGCCTCTACAGCGGGCCTTGCTGGCAGGGAAGAGCTGGGCGGGAAGCTGAGCGTGACAAGACTGGTGCCGCCTTTCAGTGGTGGCGGCGAGGCGACCTTCTTTGTGCTGAACGGAGTGGCTGTGTTAGTAGAAGGCGCATTCAATCTCTGGATCAGGAAGCAGAGGAAGCGCAAGGCAGAGGCGAAGAGGCAGAAGTTGCTCAGCGAGCAGCTGCAGAAAGCCTCCAACGACGGGCAGACGGCGGCATCGAGCTCAGCTCTGTCTACAGGAGCTGTCTCTCGAGGAGTCGTCACACGTCATCAGCAGCGTCTGTCAGCTGAGGAGAGCAATGCAGACGACGCCTCTTCGGACGGCACTGCCACTCCTTCCGGAGGCACTATCAAGCGCTCCGGTTCTCCTCCGCTCAACGAGGGCCAGAGTGCCTCTGTCACTCCATCTGACCAACAGAGACAGCTTGGGCTGAGCGACGAGGAGCTCGAACGTCCCTACGATCGATATGTGGGATTGGCATGGGCGGTGGTGGTGCTATTGTGGAGTGGAGAGGCATTTGTCGAGGGGTGGATCAAGAGTGGAATCATGGCAGAATTGACCTTTGCGCCGCACTGAACATTGTAGAGACCGAGGTGATCTGTATTGCCTCCAAACATACTGTAACAACCAACGAGCTCCTTTTGCATTCTTTATTATTGTATCAGTCACATTCTGATTAGCGCGTAACGGATCACGCTGGCTCAAGCTCTAGTATTGATCAAGTCTATAGTCCGGCACCAAAACCCTACACGACACTGTCCTTCTACTCATTGGCCATACCACTCCAGTACAAACTTGATGTTGTCTTGGATCTTCTGGGCCACAAATTCGGGCTTGGTCATGATGGCCATCTTCATCGACCCCTCCAGTCCGGAGATGCCTCCTGCCTTTCCCTTTCTGCTCTCGAGAAGAGGCTGCAGCTTGTCCAGCAGGGTGAGGCAGACCTCGTTCGAGGCAGCCACATTCTGACTGAGCGAAGCCATGACTTCGGCGACGTCCACGGGTCCCGAGGTGTCCCTCCATGAGTCATAGTCGGTCGAAGTTGCAACGGTCACGTATCCGATCTCGGCCTCGCGAGCAAGCTTGGCCTCGGGCAGGACGGACATGTTGATGATGTCTCCCCCGAGCTGCCTGTATGCTAATGACTCGGCGCGGGTGGAGAATTGGGGACCTTCCATGCACACGAGCGTCTTGTTGGCGTGAACTTGTACATCGGGGAAGGAGGAGGTGAGAACATCCTTGATCCTGACAGTGGTAGAGTACAACGGCGGACAAGGTGAGTGAGCTCAGCCGGAGCAAGGATGGAGAGTCTCATCATGTGCTACTCACGTTTCTGCAACGAATTTGCGCACCTCCTCATCGTACGGCTGTCCAAAGCCAGCATGGGCAACGATCCCTTCCTCCTCACCTGCACCAAAGAAGCTGGCTCTCCTGATGCCCTTTGTACGATCAAAGACTTGGTCCGGTACAACAAAGTCCTTTGGTCTGACCTCTTCTCTGAGTGATCCGACGGCGGTGAATGCGACGATGAACCTCACGCCAATGTACTTGAGGGCGGCGATGTTGGCCAGGTTGGGCACGATGGAGGGAGAGTGCTGATGGTGGTGACCGTGTCGGGCGAGGAAGGCAACGTGGACTCCATTTGGGGTCTGAGAGATAGTGATAGGGGATGAAGGTGATCCCCAAGGCTATTAGAAGAACAGAGGTGAGAGAAGAAGAGGCTGTCAGCCATGTTGCATTCTCTGTCCGTCATTGCGTTGGTCTCACCGTCTTGACGTCGATCTGCTCGATGACCTTGAGCCCTTGGAGCTTGTAGAGACCAGAGCCGCCGATGACGCCGATGATTGGCGAGGACGAAGCAGATGTAGCCATGATCTTCGCGTGTATCAGTCTTGGCGATCGAAGCGAGACGTTGCGTGGTAAGCTTTGGAGCATGTACAATATCCTCGCAGAGCAGAGCGGGAAGAACGTCGGCTGCTCTTCGGGTGAAACGTGCAGAAGTCGAAGCACGGAAGTGGCTGTCGGAGTTGCAATTCCCACTCTCGGCTGAGACAAGGCGAGATGATGTGGAAGGCGGGGCAAAGCGGCAGAGGCTCACACGCGGGGCAGCAGCAACCACGGCCACACTCACACCCCTCAGCACCACCGCCATCATACCAAGGCGGATACTGCCCCTCACACGAAGAAGCTGCCAGGAGCATATACTCACAACACGCTAGACATCAGCTACTACAGCACCCACAACATTCTCTGCTCCGACTCGCGCGCTTCCTCTCCCAGAGACCCACCTCCCATGCCCACCCTTTCACCATGATCGGCGCACCACCCTCGCCAATTATCAATCCGCCACCCTCCAACCCCTCCTCCCTCGTGTCTGCCAGTCCAAGGTCACCTCGCATGACTCTTCCGCCTATGGACAGGACATCGTCCACTTCATCGGCAGTCAGCTCAGCGTCTACCTCTCAAGTCACCGTACACCTCATCTCTCAATTCACCTATCCACAAGGCACCCCTGGCAGCCCGGACGAGGACCGCACGCCCCCTTCTGTCATCCGGGCCAAGCGCACTCATACTATCGTCAAGATCAAGAATGCTGTGCATACCAATTGGCCTGGAAGACCAAAGGTAGAAGGCATAAGGCTCATCCACTCTGGTAGGGTGCTCCTGGATCATGAGACGGTGGGGCAGGTGGTAGCAGAGGGACAGAGCGAGGTGAGTTGCTATCGCATGGGCCGTCCTTCTGGAGGCAGTCTCATAAGTCAAGAACTCATCACTGAACCGACTTTACCCACCGATCTTCTCCAGGCGCATCTGCATCTTGTAGTACGGCCTGATGCCTGGCTCGATCTGGACATGGCGCCCCTCACCCCAACCGGCCCTCGGTCAGGCCGTACGACCCCACTGCCTCCCCAGTCGGCTCCTTCCGGCTCTTCCGCAAGACTACGCCCCCGGACCGACCCTCTAGAGGGCTCTTCCTACTTCCTCTTGCCATCGGAGGCGACGGTCGCATCTTCATCGTCCGCCTCGCTTCCCCCTTCGCCGGCAGTAACGACGATGCGGCCTCATGATGTCCTACAGATGGACTCGCTCCCCCGTGTTCTGTCTATGAGCTACGCTCTCTACTATCAGCGGTATGAAATACTCTATAAAGCCTTCGAAGGGCAGCCGGCCATAGATGATCAAGCGGATTTCCAGCGGCTCTACGAATCTCTTGGCCTGCTCAATGCAGGGGCAAAACAAGCACTTTCAGCGGTTGAGAGGCAGGTCTTTGGCTGGTCTCCCTGGCGTGACGAAGCCCATTCCGAACCTGAAAGTCTGGAGCCGCTCCTTCGAGAATGTTGCCAACGACTGGATGAGCTTCGTCTGATGTTGGAGCAGGTGGAATTGGCTAGGCATGAAAACAGTGGGAATGCTGGAGTCACTGAAGATCAGGACGTCCCACTTCGGCCGACACCAACTACCGCACCGGTACCACCAGTCGCACAAGCAGCACCACACAATGCAGCAGCAGTAGGTGGGCATCGAGCAGCAGCTCGAGCTCCTATCCCGCTCCCGACACCGCTAGAGCTCTTTACCATGTTTCTGCCGACAGCTTTCCTGGCGATGAAGCTCGCTATCCTCCTGTACATATTCACCCGGGGAGCTTCAAACAGGAAGAAGTGGGGCATGTACACTGTGGCCTACCTGTGGATCGCATTCGAGATGGTGAGAGCATGGCGTAGAAGGAACCGAAGGCTGAGAAGTGCAGCTCGGAGAGCGGCAAGACATGCTGCTGCCGCCTCTGGGGAGGGAGGCCAGCCCGGGGGCCGACGCGAGTCGAGATCAGGCAGGCATCGAGGTTCTTCCCGAGCAGGCCAAGCTACCCCATCTAGTCACAGTACTGGTACTGGTGTCCCTGTTGCCCCCCGCCGGCTTACCGTCAACTCCCCAGCTCAACCACGCTTCTGGCTGCAGAGGATTGCCTTTCTCGGCATGGAAGAGGAAGACCTGGAGCTCGGCTTCCGTCCCAGCTCCTCGCAGGCTCATCTTTGGCTCGTGCGCGTCGCCCGAGAGCGTGCTGCTGCTGCCAACCAGAGAGCCGTCGGTGCAGGAGCTTTCCGCCGTCGTCTGCTTGCCAGACTGGACCTCTCCAAGCTTTTCAACGACGTCACATTCCCCATTGTCTTGTACCTCGCTACGCTCATCCCCGAAGTGGAAGAGCTGAGGACGGAAGAGGTGAGGAAGAGGGAGAGGCTCATCCGAAAGTGGTGGACGGACAAGGGGGCAGGGTGGGTCGAGGAGAAGAGGAAGGAGAAGGCAGATTTGCAAGAGAAGCAGGAGCAAGTCGGCAAGGAGGGAGAGGTGGAAGGGGAAAGCTCCGGTACGGGCCAGCATCAGCGCGACTCGACGCAAGCTCCAGCAGAGCTGCCCCGTCTCCTCAAGCATCCCTATGTGCTCCGTCTGCTCGCCCTTAAGCCCTCGCACGACGGGTACGTTGAGCCAATCGACCCTTCTGCCACCCTCTCCACGGCGGCACTCGGAGGTCGCATCGATATCCAGGAGGAACTCGATGCGCAGCGCGCAATGCAGAGGAGGGGCGGAGCTGATCTCGACGCCGACGCAGATGCTGACGGTGACGGTGACGCTGACGTCCTTGACGAGGGTGGGAACGCTGCTGCCCCTGGAGGTGGTGGGCAGGCAGGCGGAGCAGGAGGAGCAGGAGGAGCAGGAGGGGATGAAGGTCCTGATAGTGAAGAGACGGAAGAGGAGGCTGCTGCCGGAGGTGCGGAAGACGATTTTGGCTTCTTCTAGCTAAGACTTGAGATATGAGCGATGGAGAAATGAAAAAGGGACCTTTGTGTGCTCTCTTGTTCTTGTTCATAGATACTCATACTACACTCATCGTGACTTTGTTCGTTCCTTCATCCAATACAATACAATCCCATCTAAAGTCATACAACAATACTACAAAGACGTTTCGTTGTGTCGATTGGCAAATTTGCTGAGCAGGTTATTGGCATGAAATTGAAAAGAACGACAAAACGGCAGTTGGCATAGCAGATGACCAGAGAGGACCGAAGGTGTTACCTCTTGCAAGGGCTAGGGTGGGGGGAGGGGGTGGGGGGAGGGGGGGAGAAAGCATTAAGGGTGGGGCTTCCTAGCATAAAGGGAGGCAGAAGAGGGGGGTGTCATATAACAAGAACAGGGAAAGGAAAAAGGGGAAAGTGCGAAAAGAGGGACATTGCTACGATACACATTGGTCGAGTCGGGTCGAGTCTGATCTGGTGGAGACGAGTGGGGTGGAGGTGAGGTGAGAGGGATGCGATGCAGAAAAGTAGAGTAGCACAGGGTGCGTGGTGGTCGAGTGGTGAAATGAGGTGAGGTGAAGAGAAGTGGGAAGAGGAACGAGGAATGACATCTACAGGATCACGTCGTGTTGCGCGGATGCGATGGAGAAGGTAGCCTAGTAGTGCGAGGGAGGAGTAGAGATCCTAAGAGCTCCTCGTGACCATCTGCACATCTCCTTGGTTCTACTTCTGTGAAGGTTGCGTCAAGAGCTTGAGCACCGACGAGAGGACCTTTAGACTGAGTGGTCTCGTCATAAACCCGTCCGCTCCACAGGCAAAGGCCTTCCTCTTATCCTCTGCCGAGCTACGCCCTGTGAGACAAAGGATCTTAACGCGAGGTTGAGGTGCCGAGGGTCGCCTTGAGGCACCGCTGCCCTTGGTGGCCTTTTCCCTCCTCTCTGCCTCCTTCTGTCGAATGGCCAATGTAGCCTGGAAGCCGTCGAGGACGGGCATTGTCAGGTCAAGAATGATGACGTCAAGAGCGGGCGTTGTGCGTTCAAAGAGCTCCACGCACTCGGCGCCATTCGAGGCAGAGCTGAAGTCTACGTCCAGCTTACCCAAGAAGGCAGCGAGGATTTTGATATTGATCTTGTTGTCGTCGACACCCATGACGCGGAGCTTGCGGGTGCCTGGGACATGGGCTGGACTAATGGCACCATCTACGGTGCCGATGGCGCTGCGTAGGACATGACCATCGCTGCCTTCGATGGGTACCAAGGCACCAGGTGTGATGGGCGTCAGAGGAATCGTGGCCTGCTTGGGCGAGGGATCCTCAAGAGGCACTGCCGAAGCCGTTGAGCCCGGACCTGCTTTCTTCTCAGCCTCGGCACCGCTACCTTGTTGAGACATGGAAAAGTAGTCGGAGGCGTTGAGATCTCTCCAGATAGAGGGCGACAAGGTGACGTGATTTTCCAGCCTGGGCTCGGCGTGGAAGGTGATCGATCGCGGAGGCATCAGGGGGCGCGAACCCGGCGAGGCCTTCATCTGTGGGCGCTTGCTAGCGATCAAAGCCTCAGCACTGGCTCGCCTTGCCGCCTCGTCCTCGACACGAATACCCTCCACACCTTGCTGAGCAGCTCGACTTGAGCCATCGACCAATCTTCTGGCTGACGGTGGACCGTCCCTCGTCCGATGACGGACGACGTGGTCTTCCGTCGAATGCCGTCGCACAAGACCAGTATTGACCAGGTCAATGAGAGCTGGTGAGATGTGAGGAGCATCACTCTTCAGAGGCGAGAGGGGAGCCCTCGAGCTCCCAGTTCGAGGCGTTTCATCTTCTTCGCCTGCAGCGACTTCGCGCCAAGGAGTCGGAAGCGCTGGAGCAAGATTGCTTGGGGTATTGGCAGTCTCTGTGCCCACGCCCTGGTCCTCCCTGTCTTCACTGCTCGGCAGAGCGAAGTAACTGTCAGATCCTTCCATGTCGAGACGGACAGCAGGCGAAGGAGCAGGCGATGGTAGAGGCGTAGATGGGGCAGTCTGGGTCTCCTCCACGGGGTCTCCCGTGTCAATCCTGTCCAGGCACTGTAGACAGAAGTCGACCAAGGCTTCAAGCTTGGCGGGTCCAGCAGGCTTGAAAAGCATGCGAGCAATTCCGCCCGCAGCGTGATATGCCTCGCAGGCTTCTGTCACATCTGTGTCACCGCGGGAACCTGTGAGCAAGATGACCGGAGGCAAATGTCGGCCGCGACGCTTGCTCCTAATGTCCTCGAGGAGTCCAGCGTCTTCGTTCAGAATGACAATGTCGCCGCTGTAGGCATTCTCCGGCCCCTCTTTGCAGGCCGCAAAGTACCACCAGCCCTCGAAATAGTTCCGCAGGACTTGCTTGAGATCCGTCTGACCCTTGGTGTCTTCGAAACCAGCAAAGGACACACGCTTTGACTGCTTGAGGTTCAAAGAAGGCTGGTAGACAGCCCCTTCGATGTCGTCAGGCGCGGCAACGGCCATCTCGCAAGTGATGCGCATCTCTGTTCCTTGACCGACAGTGCTCCAGACATCGATTTTCCCATTGATGGAAGGCGACTGCACGATACTGTTGACAATCGAGAGACCCAATCCTGTACCAGGGCCCAACTCGTTCTCCTGAGTAAAGGGATGGAAGAGCTGCTGCTCCAGGAAGGCCTTCGAGATTCCACGTCCAGTGTCGGTAACGCTAAGCTCTACTACCACATGAGTTGCAGTGCTCTGAACCTCCCTCAGCGATACGTGAACGAATCCGGTGGGCGTAAACTTGAGTGAGTTGCCAATGAGGTTCATCAGCACCCTACGAATACCACCAGCGTCACAGTTGACCAGCCAGCCTGAACGCCGCAACGAAACATCGATGATGGTTTCGACGTCGCCGGTCTTCATCTTCTTCCCTTTGGCGCCCTGAGCTCCACCAGCTTTTTCTTCATTCTCAGAGTCGTGAGCGCCTGTAGGACTGCTGCCCGCAGTGCCACTGCCATAGGCACTGCCGATACCGGCGGACTGCTGGCTCTCGAGTCTCCTGGCCATCTGTCCGATCCAGCTGCTTTCGCAGACCTCTTGCACCAGTTTGACGAGGTCACAGGGCGTAAGAGAATGGACAGCATTGCCCTTGACGCGAGCTCCACCGCTTAGCTTGGTGAAGTCCAGGACGTGGTTGACAAGCTCGAGCAGACTCTTTCCACAGGCTTCGACCGTCTCAAGGTAGCTACCCTGAGTGCTGTTCAACTTGGTGTCAGTGAGCAATTCAGCGGAAGCCAGGATACCATGCAGAGGCGTCCTGAGCTCGTGAGAGATATTGGAGATGAAGTGGCTCTTTGCCTGGTCGGCGAGCATGATGTCCTTCTTTAGCACAGCGCTGAGGATGATTGTACCCATCGAGCGGATGTACTGCAGTGCAGAGACCTGAAGGTCTTCGAGAGCAGGCCCTTTACGACTGAGCGCGGAGTAGACGCACATCAGAGCGAAGGGCTGCTTATTGAGACCGAAGATTGGCACGAGGACGAGGTTGCTGACGTTGGGAGGCAAAAGATGTCGGAAGATCTGAGGAATCACCGGATAGAAGTGACCGAGTCGATGCTTGCGGAGGAATTCGGCGACGCGAATGTGGTGCGACAAGGGCACAGGATCCTCGCGGCTAGCAGGCGCCGAGCTGTCTTCGTCGGCTCCCAAGACTGCCATGGCAGGGACGAGCTGCGAATGGATGGACTCCTCTGCCAACGCACCCGAAGAGTTGATGGTCTGAATCGAAGTCGGGTCGTCAAAGCTGGCATAGGGAGTCACGTCTGGAGCCGAGATCGGGCTCGGGTAGAAGATCTTACTGCCGCCTGGCCCGACAGAGCCATTGCCGTTGTTGATTGGAGAGTCGATGATCTCAAAGTGAGAGAGGTCAAAGACGACGGAGCCCGAGGCTTGGAGCGCTTCGCGCATCGCCTTCGCGGCCGAGACGTACAGGTCTGAGAGCCCGTGTGCATTTTCGCTTCCATTATCGTCATCGGCGGCGTTCGTCTCCATCTCAAGACAATTGCGGGCGAATACCTCGATAGACGTCTGCATACGATGTCGCAAGGTGAGATGAATGTTGTCTCGCGCAAGCTCCATCTCCCGCATGACAACGGCGGCGAATTCTTTTAGTGTATGTCGCTGTTTGTCAGTGAACTCTTCTCTCGGCTTAGTATCGACGAGACACAAGCTTCCGAGATTGAATCCGTCGGCTGTCCGAAGAGGTGCACCAGCATAGAAGCGCATGAAAGGGCTGCCGACTACGAGAGGGTTGCCCATGAACCTCCAGTCCTTGGTTGTATCCATGACTACGAGAGGTTCATCGCTGTCTTGTAGGATCGCATGAGCACAGAACGAACAGTGTCTTGAGCCTGCGATCTTCTGAAGGTGCTCGTGTGAAATACCTTGCCCACCAAGGGCTGTCTGAAGATACTGCGAATTGGTACCCACAAGACTGATTAAGACCACTTCCGCGTTGAACACCAGGCGAACAAGATGACCGACTCGATCAAAATGAGGGTTGCCTATAGATCCTGCAGAGCCATATCGATTCAGTGCCTGGCGTCGCTCAGCCTCATTAGGTGGGATGATAGCGGGAAGGTACCCATGCTCGATGTAGAAGTTCTCGGCCTGCTTTCCAGCTTCCAGGTACAGCTCATTCGAATCTGATGCACCCTTCTTACCTTTTTGCTTGTGCGTTACGATCATCATCGGCGACGAATCCTTGGTAACCGAGCGCGACTTTGCATTGGCCGCTTCGGATGGAGCCACCGACTGCATACTCGAAGTGCGTACTGCAGAGCGAGGCGAGGCTGAACCATCTTGCAGCTCTTGGCTGTCTTCCGATGCCGGAGCTAGCGTCTGCTTCGAAGCAAGTGGAGATTTCGGCGCAAGGGGCTGCGATGCAGCGATCGCCCGCTCACCTGGGTCTGAAACGTAGCTTTTCATGTGGATATTGATCGGCTTCACTGTCGCTAGAGGGTCTTCTCCAGAATCCGATCCTTTGAGCACACTAGCGCGACGAGCAGCTCGACGCAGACCTGCAACGGTCCCATTCTCCCCTGCTTGGCCGATCCAGAAAGGTGCCTCGTTCGGTATAGGTGCAGGCGCCTCTGTACCACTCTGAGGATTGATCCGCCATTCGGATAGGAATCCCTCGGGTGCTGACTGCCACACCGCGGGAGTAGTACCTTCACCCCATCTGTAGTCCTGTAGCTGGACAGGAGTCGGTCCTGGTCGCAGATGCGGTGCATCTTGTATGCGAGCAGGGAATGGCGTCGCAGCGGATGCCACAGCTCCGACTCCGTCGGTCGCTTGAGCATCATCGGATTTCGCTCGCTCGTTTGCCGCCAGAGGTACGTCCTTACTTTGTCGCTCGATTGTGCTCGTGTTGTTACGGCCCTTGAACTCTGGTGCAGGCTGCTCGCAAGCATCTGTCATGGTCCCAACGTGGTGCGCAGAGCGCCAGACGGACTCATCAAAGCGAGGCTTTTGACCAAGACCTGTGGATGGAAGTGACAAATCCGGTGCACTCCGGGGTGATGACTGCATCTCTTCGGCAAGCTCTGCCGACGTGTCGGCCATTTCATTCCCTGTAGACGGATCAGAGTCAGGTGAGACGTACGAAGCGAGCCGTGTGCTCTTCGCAGGAGTGGACTTAGTACCGGGCTTGGCCGCAGACGACTCAGAACTTTGTTCCATTGCTTGACGCCGGCGGAAGACGTCGTCGGTTACTTCCTCCGTGCCGGCCGATCTGAACAGAGCAGGGTTGATGTATGTAGTGGGCCTGCCACCAAAGTCAGCTGGAGAGAAAGGGATGCTGCCTCGCCTCCGCGCCGCCTCCAGAGCAGTATAGAGTGAGGGCAGCGGAACCTTGACGCCTTCAGCCGGCGTTGGGGCTACCACCTGCTCGCTTAAACCTTGAACATCGTAGCTCAAGGAAGGGCGCCGGCTGCCGCCGATTGAGGGTTCTGGGGTGATGTATCCATCACTCGCGCCAGCTTCCTCAGAGGTTGATGCTGGGTACGCGATACGGGTCGAGATGCCAGGTACCACGCTTGATTGGCCCGGAGGCTTCGGCTCCTTGGACGGATTCCACTTGCCTAGAGCATACGCGTGAATGAAGTTTGCCCAATCGAGATTTGGAGCAGCGTCCATCAGCCCGCTGTTGGATGGTGAGGAGCTGCGAGGTGTAGGCATGGTAGGCAATTCCTCGAGAGAGGCCCCCGACATCGGTCCGCCGAATGGTCCTGTCTGGGACCATGTCCCAGTAGCGTCCTCGCCATCTCCTTGCCCGACGCCGTCATCATCTTCATTGTCTCCGTAATCATCATCATCATCATCATCATCTCCCAAACTCTTAGTAGATATACGCCGTCCAGAGCTGGAATGCCGTGATGAACCACTACCGCGCTTGACCGTGCTGGGTCTCCTACCCGATACGGCATTTGCTCCACCATTTTCTTCATCCGTACTGCCCTGCTCGCTGTGATCGCGTGAGACAGCCACGGAAGCAAAATTCCTCCAACCGCCCCTCCGAACGGCTGGGCCAAAATGGACCTTGGTGGCAGTGGACTCTGAATCGGGCGTGGCAGACTGCAAAGAGCTCTTGGCCGATGCCTCGGACATTACACTGCTTTGACTGCCGACCTTTGTGGAGCTGGCGGTGTGAGAAGAGGACGATGCTACGGGAGCCTCGGACGGGTATGGTAGAGATGGTCTCCGTAGATCGGCAGATCCGCGGAGTGCAGCAGACGACGACGATGGAGAGGCGTTGGAGGATGAAGAAGCCACCTGTGCCACAGAGGAGGACGAGGCTGATCTTGCGTCAGGCCCACGGTCGTCGCGAGGTATGCTGTCCGACCTGACAGACCCCTGGTTGGGCCTGGGCTGAGACATCCTGCTCAGAGGAAGCAGTGGATGACCAGGAGAGCGCGTCTATCACCCTCTATACGTCTACTTTTCCAGTGGTGGTGGGGGGGGGGAGGGGGGTGGGTAGCCGCACTCTAGACGCGAGAGTAATCCAAGAGGAGGTGGGCGCAAGACAAGCCAAGGAAGGTAGAGGCGGCGGGCGTCGGTGGCTTTCGCGGGGCCGTAAGCTAAGTCGGCCGTTGCGAAGCGCTGACGAAGGTCTGGCGCTGACGGACGACGAGGATGAGGATGTAAAGGCTGAGCTTGCTTTGAGTAGCTCCTGAACGAGGATACGAGAGAGAGAGGTGTGTGTGTGTGTGTGAAGGAGAAGGATAGCAGCGGCAGCCAAGGAGCAGTCGCTGAACCTCTCCGTGCACTCGCAGCGAGTGTATGCTACGCCGAAGGAGAGGCGATGTGCAGGTGTGCGTGAAGCCAAGTAGAGGGAGGGAGGGGGGCTTTGGCCCTGGCGTGCGTGGTGGTGTGCCTCTGGGGGGCGGCGGGCTGACGATTTAGTTCCTTTCGGCCTTTGCTCGAGAATGAGTCCGAGGAGGCGTGGCTGAATTCAAAGTCAGTGGCAAGGGGGAGTTGCCACGCACGAGGGGCGCTTTGCTGTTGCTCTTGGTTAGATAGACGAGCTGCGTGGTGAAATGAAGTCGTTGTAAAAGTGGAAGAAGTCAAGGGCGATACGGAAAAGGAACGAGGCAGCAACAAGTGGTACGACTCTTCCGTCTAGGCTGGGGAGAGATGGGATGACAATAGACCGGCAGCCAAGCAAGCAGCGTCCGTCCAGCCAGCCAGGCGCGCACCACAGCAAGACGTCGCAGGGCAGAGGCTGCCTCCACGCGCCTCAGGCACACCCGCCCACCCCCGACGTCATTTTAAGCACGCCTGGCCCTCCCACGCGGCCTTTCCTGGTGGGCCTACCGCGTCGCCACCGCACTCCTGGGCCTACTGGCCTTGTTCAAGGTCCTCGCTTCCATCGGAGTCTCTCTCCCCTTGACAAGAAGGCCTTGGCTCTTGAACACCATGGTGTGAATTAAGCTCTGTAAATGTCGAGTAATGGATGCATAGCCCATCCAACCTTTGCTTCTCTGGTCGCCCCCCTCGCCACCCCTTTCTTCTCTATCTAGGATGTTTTTTACCCTCTCCGGGCCATTTGCGCCAGCAACCAGGGCATCGGTGCAAGCGAGGCGACGAGGGCTGTCGGAGCCAGAGCGGAGCCACGGGGCAGCGGGTGAACCGAGTCAGTCGTCGATCGCCGCCGCGTGGTGGGTGTGCATTCATCGGCCCTAATCCCCGCACCTTGCTTGGGGACTCACTGCGTGTGTGCATCTGCCAATATTCCCCAGCAACCATGTCCTCAGCAGAGAAGTTTCAGGCACATCCTCCGCCCTATCAGGTGCGCGAATTCACCGTCGTGCCAGACTGGTTCATCTACGATGGGAGCGCAGACGAAGAGGCAGCTTTCCCAGCAATTACAGACAACTTTGGTCTGGTGGAGGGCAAGCAGTGGGGTGACCTATTGAACGAGGTTCGGCGTGAGTGACATTGCTCCTGGAGAATCACTTCCATGCGTATGCCTCGTGTCTCATCGGCTCATCTTGACATCCCTGCCCTCACTGCCCAGGTCTCAATGAGTCGTCCATGTCATCTGGCTCCTCGGAGCGATACAAGCTCGTATATGCAGCACGTCATGGCGAAGGATGGCACAATGTTGCCGAGTCCAAGTACTCCACAAAGGAGTGGGACGCCAAGTGGGCCCTCCTCACCGGTGACGGAGAGATGACATGGGGACCCGATCCGGAGCTCACGCCCCTCGGCGAAGATCAGGCTAGGGACGTCAATGCAGCTTGGAAGGTGCAGATTCAGAGGCTACAAAAGGGTCTCGATGCCGCTCCTCTGCCCACTAGACTATTCTCCTCGCCCTTTAAGAGGAGCGCAATGACCTTGCTCCTCACCTACCAAGGTATCCTGCTGCCTCCAGGCACTACGCCGTCCGATGTCAAGGGAGTCACACCCGTCCCTGCTCCCTACGTGAAAGAGGACCTACGAGAGCAATACGGTGACGACCATGAGGCGGTTCACCGCTCCTCCAAGTCCAACATTCAACAGAGCTTTCCCAACTATGAGATCGAAAAGAGCTTCACCGAGCACGACGAGAGATTCAAGGTGAGCCCTTCTACCGCTGCACCTCCCATCATACTCGAAAAATTGAGAGAGAACTTTAGAGATGAGCATACTTGCGATGAGAGGAGCACGAGGAGTCAGGTGGCAGCGTATACGCCAGGTTGGGAGATTGAAGAGGGCTTTGCTGAACAGGACGAAAAGTTTGGGGTGAGTTGGAGCGAGTGCACGTCTAGAAGATACGCAGCAGGGATAAGAGTGCTTGATGATGCTCTTGGATCAGGCAGAGCATAGCATCAGGCGGTTCAAAGAATGACGCTGCAATACTCAGAGTCAGAAGCATCCATGCCACCAGCCTAGATCTCACCACTGACTCCTCTATTCAACATGGGCCCTCTGTCCCAGGTCATCCACGAGAGCATAGACGCAATGACCTATCGCGTTGCAGATGCCCTCCGGGACATCTTCCACATCGCAGCCCCCGACGAAGGTGAGAGACCCCGACTTTTTTGCGTCGTCATGTCTTTGCACTTCCTCCCACTCACTCACTCACGCACGTCTATTGCCTTCCACTCCGCTTTCCCTCCCTCTACCTTATCCTCTTCCCATTTTCAGTAATCCACATTTCCTCCCACTCGGGCGTAATGGAATCCCTCTGGCGCGTCACGGGCCGCAGAGACTTCAAGCCGGCCACGGGAGCTATTGTGCCCTTGTTGGTCAAGTGGTCACCACAAGAGGGGGAGGCGGGAAAAGCAAAGTAAAGGAGGAAGGGGGTGTTCTTGAGTGTAAATGGGTAGAGAAAGAAGGGGAGGGGTAGAGATGCCCTAGAGAGGACGCTAGAGCGCCCAAGGTGTTTGTGTACAAGGAGATAGAGTAGAGAGTGAGATTACCTCGGGGGGCGAAGGCGAGAGCAGGGAAGAAACGTGCGCGAAAGACTGTTATTTGCTGCGACTTTTGAACAATACCAAATACAAAGACGGGGAAGTCGCGATGTGCCCTGCGTACATTGCAGGGAATCGGGCGCCCCTGTCATCATACCCATACCCCAATCATTACCAACCGTTCCATTCCCTTTTCGCTCTCCCTCTCTCTCTCTCTCTCTCTGACACTCTCACCAGCAACACCAAAGCCAAGATCCTCCGACTCTGACTCGGACTCGGACTCGGACTCGGACTCTCAAGTCAAAAGACACAGGACAGAACAGGAGTAAAAAGCTTTTCGTTTTACTACGGAGGGCAAAGAAAAGGAAAGACTTTAGTAACTAGTGATACAAAGGTTTGAAGCAGACCCACGCGACTTCAAGGTGGGAACGAGAACGAAAACGGCAGAGGGAAGAAGAAAGGAAAAGCTGGGGTAAAAAGACACGACAAGACATGAAAGGCAAGAACAGGAAAGGAAGAAGAGTTGCAGTGCATCGCATGTGATGGGAAGCGCAACAATCTCGAGGGATTCATAAAGATGAAGCGATGAGCGATAGATGGAGAGCAAGCGAGGGGTGGGGCATAAGTAGGGAGGAGAGACGAGGGAGGGACCAGGAGGGATCAGTCGTGAGATGATTGAGACGGGGCGAAAGAAGAGGAGCATGAGAAAGTCGCTCGAAGCCGTAGCTGGAGCAGGGATGCTTGGTTTGCCAGAGCAAGCTGGATGATCCACAAGCCCTTGAGTGGAATCCCGAGAGGAGGAGTCCTTTACGAGAGAAGAGCCCAGGGCTTATCGTCGGTCCCCGCATAGAGGGAGAAGTGGTCCGCGTCCCACCAGTCATTCTCCCTCTCGCGCTCCTTGTCATCCTGATCTTCTTCCCCACCAAGCTTCCTGCCAGCAGCATCGTCTCCATCATCTTCTTCGTCGTCTTTACCGCGAAGTGTGGCCGTAGAGCTCTTGTCGCTGTGCTGCCTCTGCTGTTGCTGTTGCTGCAGGGAACCTCGTCCCTCATCGTCTGCATCCAGATCCATCTGGCCCAACTCCTTGCCTAGCGATGCGCCTCCGCTGCTGACAACGACAGTAGGACTGGCGCTCTGTGGCAATAGGTAGCCAGCTTCATCGAAGAGCTGTGCTGGGAAGTTTGCCGACTTGGGTGGGATGAGGACCGAGCTAGATGTTGAGGAAGAGGCCGCAGAGGGGACGCCGGCGGAGCTGGAGGAGGAGATGAGCTCGGGCGTCTCTTCCTCTGCTGATGCTGCGGGAGGGATGTCGTCGCTGGCGGATAGGGAAGGTAGGCCGAGGGCATCTGCTAGCTCATTGGTAGCCTTGAGCGAGTCCCTTTTGCCGCCAACGCCTGCCGCGGTCGATGCAGGGTCAGAGCTGCTCTCCTGATCCTTTCCCGCGGCGGCTGTAGTAGCTGGCTCATCTGGACCTGCATCAAAGAGGTCAAAGTCGAAGAAGATGGAAGCATCATTGGTTGCGCCGCTGCCACTGGCAGAAGCAGCCATGTCGACCGCTCCTAGCGTAGCCGAAGGAGCAGGCTCACTAGCGGTGATGTTGTTGGCTGCAGGAGGTTCCTGCCCGACCATGGCCATGATAGAGCGCATGGCATCGAATTCGCCAGCGCCAGCTCCGACGTTGGCATCAGTGATGCCCTGCGAAGCCATCAATTCCTGCCAGGCCGACTCGACAAAGGCAGCCGGATCCGTCTTCATCAGCTCCTCATCGCGCTTGCCAGCATCCGCGGCCTCCACTTCAGCGAGGGAGATGGGATTCTTGGAAGGATCGTCAAGTCCGGCTTTTTCCGCCTCTTCGTCTTTCCTCTTCTTCCTCTCCTCCTCTGCCGCCATCTCAGCCTTGACTTCGGCCATGATGTCTGCACTGGTCTTGGCCTTGGCCTTGGGCGAGGCTTCCTCAGGCTTACGATCGTTGGTGAGCTGTCTACCTCTCTTGCCTTTGCCTCGAGTAGCTGGAAGCGGCTGGCCGCGTTTGCCTCCGCGGTTCGAAGGTGGAGATCCAGCATTAGAGAGCTTAGGAGATTCGCCTTTGATGCTGACCGCTGCTGGACTGGTGTCCATAGGCGAAGCAATGCCATTCGTGGGCGTAGCCGCCGAGGCCCCTGGAGTGCCACCTGCACCGCCAGGCTGCTTGCCACGCTTGTTTGGTGGAAGCTTGAGATCCTCGACACGTAGGCCACGCTTGATGTTCATCTGAGCGGTCGCCTGCTCATCTGCAAGTGCAGCATTGACCGTGGCGGGGGCAGCAGTGGGCTGCTGAGGTCCAGCCTGAGCCTGCTGTGCAGGTCGTTGCTGCCCTCCTGTAGCTGCCGCTGCGCCATTGTGAGTCTGGCCCTGCACAAAGGAAGGCGCACCATTGGCTCGGGCAGCATGGTGCTCCTTGAGCAGATACTCGGCCACTTGTGGATTAGACTGTTTCACAAAGTGAATGATCCTCTGGAAGTGGAATGCCATCTTCTTGAGGTCCTCCATGTTCATCACCGACTCGCCTCTCTTCATTGCGGTCACCTGATCCCTCATCATCCACAGCATAATCTTCGCCCGCTTGGCGCCAGAGGTCTCTAGCGGACCGCCATTCATGGCATAGAAGGCCGGCAGGAGAACGTTGCATTCATCGCACATGTTCGTCAGCGACGCAACGAAGCGGAAGAGGGTGATACGTTCCTCGTCATCGAAAGGCTTGGGAGCTTTGAGCTCAGGGCGGCGGATCATGAGTTCCTCATCGACCTTGGCGAGCTGCTCAGTGGCGTCTTCAAACCTCTCCCGCGTGACAGGCAACTGACGCGCTTCTCCCTGGGGAGGCGGTGGAAGCTGAGGCAGCTGCGTAGCTGGCGCTCCCTGAGCAGGCGGAATGACAAATGGCTGCTGGGGTACTTGCTGGGCTCCCTGCTGTTGCATGTGTGCCGGAGGCCCTTGCTGTACGATCGGTCGATTTTGTTGCTGCATTGACGGGTCAGTCTGTTGAGCATGCGGCTGCTGCTGCTGATTGACCACAGGCTGTGTTTGGGACAGCTGCTGCTGTTGAGCACCCGTGCCGTCCTGCTGTTGCTGAGCGTTGGCTCCTGCAGGTCGTTGGAACGCTCCAGATCGCCAAAGCTGCATGAACGTCTCTTGAGTCAGACCGTACTGCTTCAGCTGCTCCGCGGAGACGTTGGGCGGCGGCCCGAGGTTTGCCACAGGCTGCTGCTGCTGCTGTTGTTGTGGCGGTTGCTGCTGCTGTTGTAGTGGAGCAGCAGGTTGCGGCGGTCTTTGCTGCTGTTGCATCGTCATGTTCTGTTGAGGGAGGGCATGTTGTCCCGCAACTCCCGGCTGCGCCTTTTGTTGCTGTTGCTGCTGCTGTTGCCCAAACCGCGCCTGCTGCTGCTGCTGTTGCTGATTCATCATCATTTGCTGAGGTGGTCTGACTGCCTGACCTCCTCCTGGCATCTGTTGACCCATCTGCTGGCCCGACTGCTGCTGCTGCTGCTTTCTGTGATCCTCCAAACTCTGAATGGCCCGCTGCCAGACACCTTCGAAGGCGTACAGATAGGTTTTGTAAGTCTCTGCGAGCGAGTGAGCCAGCGCATATGCTTCCTGTGATGCATGCTGAGCCAGACCAATGGCAACGACGACTGCTGGCCAGGCGCTCTTCTGTGACACAGCGACCATGCCTCCATGCTCTGTGACGGCTTGGTATAAGTTCCAAAGGTCGATCTGTTGTCCACCCACCACAGGCGGTTCAAGCGAAATACCGTGTCTGGGCAGAATGTCAGCTAGAGCCCGCTGGAATTGATCTCGCTTGAGAACCAGAGGCGGCTGTTGGCCCATTTGCGCGGGTGAGCTATCTGAGCCTTGCTGGGCTTGCTGTGCAGAGATCTGCCGCTGATGTTGCTGCTGATTTGCGAAGTTTTGCACGTTGTTGCCCTGCCCGCTTAGCTCGCCGGTACTGTTCTGCATCGGACTACCGAACTGCTGAGCAGGACTTCCGCTCGGTGGATTCAAGCCGACCTGCTGAGCAGGCCGGATAGCCGGCGATGAGTACATCTGTCCGGCATTGGTGGGTCTTGAGGGCCCAGCCTGAGCATTCTGTGTCCGTTGCTGCTGCTGCTGCTGGGCGAGCTGCTGCTGCTGCATTTGTTGTTGAAGCATCTGCTGCTGCTGCTGCTGTTGCTGCTGCTGCTGTTGTTGTTGCTGTTGTTGCTGTTGTTGCTGTTGCTGTTGCTGCTGCTGCTGCTGCTGCTGCTGCGGCCCGCCTTGGAGCTGCCCAGTGGCTGACAACTTGGTAGCAATCTCTTGCAACGTCCTCTTGATATTCTCCAATTCCTGCCCGTAATTTTGCCGCTCCTGAGCAGTAGCCTGGGGATTGTTCCGCTTCATCTCCAGGTCCTTCATCTTCATTGTAAAGGCAGCAAAGACCTTCTTGGGATCTTGCTGCGCCATCTTCAACATCATCGAGGTGTCTCTTGATGCAGGGCCATTTGCAGCTGATGGCCCTGCATTGCTTGGGCCACCCTGTTGCTGCTGCTGTTGCTGCTGCTGAGGCGCAGTGATCCCCATGGGGAAATTCACCTGCCCAGGCTGAGCTTGTCGAACTCCACCAGCATTACTCGCTTGCTGCTGTTGCTGCTGTTGCATCCCAGCCGCTGGATTAGCATTGGGCCAAAGCAGCTGTTGCGATTGTCCTCCTTGTTGTTGAGGCTGCTGCTGTGCTTGTTGAGGTTGCTGTTGCTGTTGCTGTTGACCAAGATTCGAAGGGAAGCCCATGGGCTGGCCCTGGAATCCTGTTCCGGCAATTTGCTGTACAGGCCTCATGGCATTGGCAGATCCAGGCCGCGAGACTTGCGCTTGCTGCTGCTGCTGCTGCTGCTGTAGGCGCTGAATGGCAGGAGTGCCGTTGTTTGGGACCTGTGGTGCCTGCACTGACGGTTGCCCATTTTGAGACTGGTGCTGGTGCCGTAGATGAAGGATGGTTTGGAGCTGTGGGAAGCAAGAGAATTTAATGGACAATCCGAGTCAGCAGCGCAGCCAAATACCAATACCCATTCGTACCACTGATGCTCACCTGTGACCTCTGCTGATGGGTGAATTTGCCCTGCTTTGCCTTTTCCACCCACTGATTCAGCTGCTGATCTGTGATACTGGCGGCCAAATCACGAAGCTGTGGTGGCAGACCTTTCATAGCATTCGCCTGAGCATTGGCCTGCGCCCCTTGCTGAGGCTGTTGCTGCTGTTGCTGCTGGGGGCCGCCCAGCTGGGGAGACTGAGTCTGCTGCTGCTGTTGCTGGCCTCCACCGAGTTGAATTCGATGCAGAGCAGCAGCCTGAGCCGCGGCCTGAGCTGCCTGTGCGCCAGAGATGCCTCCTTGCTGGAATCCACCTGGTTGTCCAGCATTGGCTGGTCCGCCAAGGTTGGATCCACCCGCGAGATTCAGGCCTTGTTGACCCATCTGCTGACCACCCATGACGTTGTTCGATGGGCCTCCTCTTTGTGCCATGAGCATCTGCTGTTGCTGAGCCAGAAGCGAGTTCGCAGACGGACCGCTGCCTCCTGCTTGCTGCTGCTGCTGCTGCTGTTGTTGCGCTTGTTGTAGCAGCATCTGCTGTTGTGGAGTGAATGCCATCTGACCACCAGGGGTGGTAGGCCCGGTGCCAGGATTAAACTTGTAGCCCATGAAGGCCTGTATTTGTTGCGGGGAGAAGTTAGGGTATCCCGGCGGCATACCACCACCAACTCCTCCACCACCACCAGCGCCGCCTGCCGAGCCATCCGCTCCCCCTCCGGCACTGGCGGCTGCCATGGCGATCATCATCTGTTGCTGCAGGCCAAACTGTCCATTTGGATGCTGCTGCTGCTGTTGTTGTGGAAGCCCCTGCGGTTGCGGTACCTGCTGCTGCTGCTGCTGTGGGAGGCTGAAGCCATTGGGCCCGAAGTATTGGCTTGGGTCGAAGTTGGCCATGACAGCAGCCAAGGGCGTATAGAAGTAGCCCTAGCTGGAAGCACCAATCGAATCCCTACCCAATGAGCGGAAGGAGGTATGTGCGAGGCTGTGCCCGAGATGGCTACGCGGCTCAAGATGGGGGGGGGGGGGGGGGGGGGGGGGACAAAGAAGAGTCGAGGTACAAGGTACGGGAGATGCAAGGTCCTAAATTGGAGAAGGACACCCGACTGTAAAGATAGACGAATGGTAGCCGTGATTGATGGCCCTTGTCGGTATTCGTTTACGTGGAAAGGTGGTGATTCCCTGATTGCTGCTGCCAGGTGGCTTGTAGCAAGAGCAAAGCCTTGCTCTGACGCGGGAGAGAGCCGGATGCTACTTCGAAGTTGCACCAGAGCAGAGGCTGTCGAGCGCGAAGGCTGGCAGGTGGATGAGGTCGTCTTGCTCAACTGCGTGCCATGCGTAGCCAAACGGCCCGAGGATGATGCGAAGGAGGAAGAATAAGGAGGAGGGCTGGATTGTGTGCAGGAGGCTGATGGCCGAGAGGCAACAGGGCGTTTGCTTGCGTCTTATTCTGAGCTGTTGCTGTCGGGCCAGCGTCACGGGCAATCGTGTCGCGGGAAAAGTGTCGAGGTGCGGAACGCACGGGGACGGCAGTAGATGGGATGGATAGGAGGAGAAGCACGCCTTTGCCCTCAAGGAATCTTTTGGCTGGTGCCTCTCGAGGGGCAGCCTGATTGAATGTAGATGCGTAGGTACGAGTGGGTGTGCGTGGGTGTACGGCGATACGCGCGGATGCGAAAGAGGATAAGGACGGGTACGTGGGAAGGGGGGAAGGATGACGATGATGGGGACGTTGGTAGTAGTGTTTGGGAGTACGGAAGGTGGGTGAGCCGGATCGACGTGGTACTTGTGCGGCTTCTTCTGTGACGACTGATGGCAACGGAAGCTTTTCCAGCTTCTGACTTCCTTGCCTTCGTACTCGTCGTCGTCGTCGTCGTCGTCGTCGTGACAATGGTGAGAAGGGGGAGGGGACAGACACGCACTGGCTGCTGCTGCTGCTGCTGCTGCTTCTGCTGCCGACGGGCACTGAGGCGGAGGGGCGGAGGGAAATGGGTGGATGCAGGCAGGCGACTTGAGTTTCTGGCTGACCGAGTGGCTCGGGTGCAGAGGCCTGCAGCAGCACATCCACCCACAGAGGCACCACGCCCACGCAGCCCGCACCCAGGCAGCATCGCAGCGGAACCATCGCCGGGCAGAAACGCCTTAAAATACTTCACCATCTGCCCTCTCTCTCTCACAGGCCACACACCAGCACCCTGGACCCATCCCACCACCTCGACGCAGGGCATCGCAGCAGCTCATGGCTCATTCATCGACGCAATCACTCCACTTTTTCGTAGCACTTGGCAAGTGTGGAACTCAGCGCCCATAGCTCACAATGACGGCCACAGTATTACAGATAGATGCAGCACAGACCAAACGAATGTCAGACATCAGCTGGAGCTGGGCACTGGCCTATGCATTTCATTGAGTCTCACTCCGCAAATGCTAGATGATCGGCTTCATAGAGTACATCGAAGCTACCGTGAAGAGTGGTGACGAGGCAGGCGAGCAGATTTCAGAAGGTCAGCCATCTTACAGTAATGTCCGCCCTCGAATCCAGGCTTGTAGCGGCCTACTCACTGGTCACCGGCGTAGGGATATCCTCTGCCACCCTCTTCATCGCATACATCTTGATGTTATCCTCTCCGCTCCCAGACATCAGCTCAGGGAAGGCCTTGTCGGCTGCTCCTGCGCCTCCCGTCCCTTGCTGCTTCTGAACTCCCTTTGGCACATTCGTCTTCTGCTTCTTCTCAGGGTTGCCCTGCGCCTTCTTCGCAGCCCTCTCCGCGGCAGCCTGCCGCTTCTTGGCCTCTGGGTCCCCACCATCTCCCTGGCCAGAGGCAGCAGCAGCCTTGCTCTTGGCGCCTTCCACCTTGCCATCCGGAATCTTGATGAACTTTCGAGGCCCGGATGATGGAATCTTGTCAAGGATGTAGTAGCCATTGCGCTCAAACTGAATCTTGTCGCCCTCCTTCAGCTCAGAGATGTTGGCATCTGCCACAGCGTCCACCTTAAACTCGCTCACGGGGGTGACATAGTCCTCGAACTTGTCGTCCTCTTCCAGCTTCGGCTTTGTGATCAGGTAGTCAAAGTCCAGCAGCTCGACGGGAATGAGGGGACGTGAAGAAGAGTCGGCCAACCAGTGGACCTTCTTCTTTGTCTTCTTGAAGTCACCATCGAAGTTGGCCTCCATCTCGATCGAGGTGACCTTGCCAGCCTGGTCCACCTCTTTGCTCCTGACGTAAATGTTACCCCAGTCCATCATTGTCACTTCCTCGTCAATAGCAAAGCTCTGCGCGTCTTCCTGCTCGACGTAGATGACTGGGTCGTACACTGTAGTCTTGTTGCCAATGTCGAGGTTCTTCTTGTGCTTGGGCACAGCCTTCTCATGTGCCGGAGGAGCCCCAGCGATTGTACACTTGACCTTGTCCGCAGATACAATGGCTGTGAAGCGAGGTACGACAGGGTCAATGATCCTCTTGTTCAGTGTCCAGATCTGGTCCCATTCCATGTTAATGATCTGTTGCGAAGGACCAGTGGCGAGGATGAATTGCTGCAGTGCTTCGATGGTCATACCGCGACGTCGGATACCCCTGACGGTAGGGAAGCGGGGATCGTCCCAGCCGGTAACCTTGCCCTGGTCGACAAACCATGTGAGCTTCCTCTTGCTGAGAAGCGTGTACTGGAAGTTCATCCGTCCAAAGTCCCAGATCTCTACGTTGCGCAGTTTGAGCTTCTCGATGAACCATGCAAATTGAGGGTTCCTGTCCCTGTACTCGTTGGTACGAAGAGCGTGAGTGACGCCCTCGAGAGAATCAACCACAGGGCAGGCAAAGTCGTACGTTGGGTAGACCTTCCACTGGGTACCAGTTCGGTGGTGGACAGTGTCGGCGTTGCAGCGGTAGATGACAGGATCGCGCATAGCCTTGTTCGGGTCATCAACGCTCATCCTTGCTCGCAGGCACCACTTGCGACCCTCCTCGCTGCCTGTGCACATCTCGGCAAAGCGAGCCAGGGTATCCTCTACGGAGAGGTCCCTCCTGGCAGATGGCAAGCCGTCCATGCGCTGAGCCCTCATGTCCTCCTGTGGAGTGTCATCTGCGTAAGCATCTCCTTGCTTGACCAGCTTGATCACCATCTGGTAAAGCACATCGAAGTAGTCGGAAGTGAAAGTCTGCTGGTCTGCCTTGATGCCCAAAAGTGCCAGATCCTCGATGATGGCGTCCTGATACTCAGCCTTCTCTTTGGAAGGATTTGTGTCGTCGAATCGGATGATGAGCCTGCCGTGGTACTGCCTGGCAAAGTACTGGTTCAAGATGGCAGCCTTTGTGTGTCCGAGATGAAGGTATCCCGAGGGCTCAGGGGGGAAACGAGTCACGACCTCCCCATCCTTGGCGGAAGGTAGGAAGACGTCGAAAGACTTGGACTGCATGGGCGCATTGCCCGCCGTCGCTCCACCCTCCTTCTTTGTAGCGCTAGCAGCCTTGGACTTTGCGCTCTTGGCCTCAACGAGAGCAGCGGAAGCTCCCTTGCAGATGGTGTCCAGATGTGAGTACCAGCGGCCGAAGTGGACGTGCGAGCCCTTCTTCAACAGGCCCATGAGAGGAGGGCTACCCTTGATCCCGGCCCAAATGGCGAGGTCAGCAGCAGTAAGGCTGTGTCCCACGAGGAAGGTTCGCAGAGCGAGGTGATCATCGAGCTTGTCTGATTCGCCTGCGACTGAGGCAAAGGGCAGCGTAGGAAGCGAGAGCGCCTGTGCAATCTGACTCGAGATCTGCTGGCTGTGAGCCTGATCCTTTCCACCGATGCCAGTGTGGGCATAGTTGTTCACCAGCCACTTTGCCACGTCTTCGGGGCCATAGACAGACTGCGCGCCCTCTGGCGTACCGGGCTGCAGGGAGGCTCCCTGCTGGATGCCTCCTTCCCACTCGATGTGAATTGGCTGAGGTAGTGTCTCGGAGAGGTAGTGAGCGATAGCCAGCGGGAGGAGGACAGTGGTGGACGTCTTTGCCGCGGCATCGAGCCTGATTGTTGGGGGGATATCGGCAGCCATGACCGTGTAAGTCGTGGCAAGGGCGTTAAGATCGACGTCAGTGATGAGTCGATATCAGTCGAGGTCGAGAAGAAGTGACTTGTGCTGCATTCCATTCATCGTCCGCCGTGCGTCCCTCGCTGCCAAAATCTGCGCGCAGGGACGGACGCACCACCATCAGGCCATCCAGCCAAGCCATGCGAGCCTCTATCCGTATCCGCCTCCGCCCTTCTACGACAGCACTTCCTCGAGCATCTCACTGCCAGACAACATCATCTCGCCTGCCCACTTCGCGACTCTCAGTACGGACAGGAAAGACGGTAGCTCACAATGGCGTATGTATCTCGCGCTGCTTTGTGGAACGTTATGCAGATGCTAATAAGTCTACTTCCCTCCTCGCATCTCTCACCCTCCAGTGATCTCGTGAACAGGCATAAGTCCGAGCTGGACCAAGAGGAGACTAGGAGGCTAGAGGAGGTGAGTTGGGCTTCTAGCTAGCTAGTATGAATCGTATAATCATGATGCCAGCGCTGACCTCCTCCTCCCGTTCCTCCACCCCCCAACTTCCTCTCTCTCACCTCCAGTACGAAATCTCCCAAGGTCCCCTCTCCGTCCTGCAGCAATCCGTCCGCAACCACTCGCAAGTGTTGATCTCTTTGAGGAACAACAGGAAATTGCTGGGGAGGGTCAAGGCTTTTGATAGACACTCGAATATGGTCTTGGAGAACGTAAAGGAGATGTGGACAGAATACGTGAGAGCAGCCGAGAAGTGATCGTGACGAGTACACTAGAGCTGACGATTGAGCGTCTTTCCTTCCTTTGATGTATCAGCCGAAGAGCAAGAGCAAGAAGCCCGTGAACGTGAGTGGTATGCCCATCATGAGCCGATCATCTCTTGCTTCTTCTGACTCTTGCGCCTCCCTCCCTTAATCCACTCTCTTACAGAAGGATCGCTTCATCTCCAAGATGTTCCTGCGCGGCGACTCGGTAGTGCTAGTGCTGAGGAACACCGCATGAACAACAGGAGATGAGGGTTTTGGGAGGAAGTTCATTTGTCATCGCTGGGCCATTGTGGCTCTCAGCGTCAAAAGCATTCTACATCCAAGCTTCGGATGCAAGGGTCCCTTTCATCATTACAATGTATCTGTATCCACGTTGATGCTGCCAGGCTTTTGTCAGTCTGGTCGAGTTCGACAATCCGTCGAGTACTCTAGCATGTCATTGAGAGGAGCAAGCAAAGGAAGGTATGAATGGAAAGAGAGATGCAGGATGGAAGGGCCAAAGAGGCAAGCTCATGCAGGTGGAAGACAATGGCCTCACCGCTTCCTCGTCGAGCTTCTCCTAGCCGGTGTAGCCGAGGCAGCATTGCTCCTCGTAGCTTTCGTACTCCTAGCCGCCGATGCTGGAGTTCCCTTGGCCGGAGTCGCAGCAGCAGAAGGTCTTGCTCTAGGCGTCTTGGGAGTAGCTGCAGCAGCAGGAGTAGCAGCGGCAGAAGTCCGCCCGGCACGACCACCTCTCGAGCCCGTGCCTGTGCCTTTGGCGGCGGCGGGAGTACCGCGTGAAGAAGCTGTACGTCCCCGACTGCGGGTGGGAGTTTGTCGAGCATCGTCGGATGCGTCGTCCCCTTCCCCTTCTTCTGCATCTTCATCGTCCTCCCCTTCGTCCGCTTCCTCGTCTTCTTCTTGCTCCTCCTCCTCTTCCTCTTCCTCTTCAGCATCGCCCTCGTCTTCAGATGCATGGGAAGAAGCAAGCTCGGCTTGACTGTCTGCCTCTCCTTCTACCTCTGTCATCTTCTCGTCTGCATCTCCCTCTTCTTCCTCCTCCGCCTCCTCTTCACCTCCTTCCACACCCGCCTCGCCTTCGCCCTCACTGAGCTCGCTCGAAGTATCACCCGCAGTCTCTTCCTCCGGCTTGACATTCTTCCTCGGTCCGCCCTTCTTGTAATTGGCAGGTGTTGCAGAACCACTAGAGGTCAGCCCGGCTCCTGCTCGGGCAAGTGTCTCCTCTCCCGGCTGGGTTCGCCTGGGCGCTATGTGAGCTTCATACTGCAGTCCTGGGACCAGGGCAAAGTCGATTGGGTGAGACTCGTCTTCGTCTTCGTCGTCTTCGTCCTTTTCTGGCTCGTCTTCTTCTTCGTCATCGTCATTCTCTTGCACCTTGATGCCGGAAGGCCGATCCTTGACAGAGGAGCTGAAGCCGCGAGAACGGACAGGCTCGGAGGAGGCTAGCTCGGAGGGTGACATGGCGGCATATTCCTGTGAGGAGGATCAAGCGTAGGCGTGTGAGCTGCACAATCTTCGGTAGTGACAAGCATCCGACGATCCACATTCTGATACTTACCAGCTCATCAAGACCTTCCGTATTGAAAAAGACGTCCAGCTTCGTCCATACAACTTCAGGCGTGACTTGTAGTGTTCCTCTAGCCTTGAGTTTCCGCACCTCCTCGGCCGCTTCATCTTCCTCTGTCATTTCCTCTTCCTCGTCCGAAGGTGCCTCCTCGTCATCTTGACCTTCTACTTCGCTGCCGCGCTCGTCGTTGTCTTCAGCGTGTCGATCCTGCTCCTCGTCCTGACCCGCCTCCTCTGCTTCATCGCCCGCCGTTTCGTCCCCTTCGGCCTTGACTCTCTTTTCCCGTCCACCTCGACCACTACCTCCAGGCTCGCTACTGTCCCCTCCTCCCCTCTTCCTCTTCGATCCTCTGGAACGAGCATTTCCTCTTCCCCTGACACTACCACCAGCCGCGCTCTCCCTCTCCTTCTCCTTCTCCTTCTTACCCTTCAATCCCGCTCCCCTATCTACCAACCCCTTGATGGCAATATTCAAATCCCTCGCAATAGCCAGGACCGCCCAATGTTTCACAGGACCAGCAGGTCTATGTTGACATACGGAGCGGAAGAAGGTGGATTCGAGGAGGGGAAGGGAAAGGAGGGAGAGGTGCTCCTCGGGGGAGAGGGGAGTGTGGTGAGTGGTGGTGGAAGAGGGACGACGCGAGGGGTGGAAGGAGGAAGTGGGCGAGGTAGGAGGGGAGGAGGCAGTCATGCTTGCTTTATGGATCGAAGCAGTTGACCCCTCTGGCACTCTGCTGACGTCGAAGAGGGTAGTAAAGAGATACCAAGGGTGAAGTGCAGGTCGGTCGGAAGGAGGTGTGGTGTGGTGTTGCGTTGTGGGGTCGCCTCATCTTCCGAAGCAATCGTCCGCCCCGCCGCATGGGCCAAGTCACTCGACGCGGCTCTGGTCCAGCTCATTCTGGCCGCGCCACTTCTACCAGCTAGCCAGCTCTCGCACGACATCACTTCAATGAGATCCTACAGGTCATCTCGCAGCCGCTGTTTCCTCAGCATCACCACGAAATACTACACGGATTATGCTAAGATGCTCTTCTATTGCGAAACAGAGGGTGTTGGAGCGCCGGACAAGCGCATCGAGTAGCCAACTCCCACAGGCACAAGGAGAGGTCCCCTCACCAATCCCCTTCCCCTACTCTTGGCCTGGACGGCTTCCTCTAGGCCTTCAAAGTCATCCCAAGGTCCGCTCCAAACTTTCCACTCTTGCCACTGGTGGCCGAGCTCCTCCTCCTGTCCAGATGCTTGAGATAGGCCCTCGGCTTGGACCCCACTGGCGTTGTAGCTCCACTTCTCCTACCCTCCATTGCCTCTTCTCTCCTCTTCTCAAACTCATCATCGTCCTCCACTACGTCTGCATTGGGATCATAGATCAGCTGTTCCCTTTCTGCTAGGATCCTTTCTTGTGCTGCTGTACATTGGTTCCTCAAAAAGGCAATGACGTCTCGAGGAGATTCGGCAGCAAAGACGGCTGTTCCGGCTACAATGACGTTGGCGCCTGCCTCGGCACAGTAGTGGATCGTCTTTGGAGCCACGCCTCCGTCCACTTCGATGTTGACATGAGGGAAGCGTGCCCTCAGCTCCGCGACCTACGAGAAGAGCAGCGAGAAGAGCGAGTCAGATGAAGGCAGACCTCCCGGAGCAGACCCTTTCAGCGTCTGTGTTACTTACCTTCGGCATGCACTCCTTCATGAACTTTTGTCCTCCCGCTCCGGGCCACACGGTCATGACGAGGATCATGTCAACCTCGTTGCCGAGCTCGTCGCTGATTTCGCTAGCAGGTGTTCCGGGGTTGATGGCCACGGAAGCCTTCATCCCTGTTGCTCTGATCAACCGCACAACGTCCATTGGTTCGTCTGTAGGGGCGAGCGACCACAATCGAGATGAGCTGCGATCAATGGCAAGCCCAGTTCAGCTTTCTCCCGCCTAGAGACTCACCTGTGGCTTCCAGATGAAATGTATATGAGGCTCCACCCGCTTCTGCAATATCTTTCACCCACTGAGAGGAGAGAAGAGGAATGGAGCGACGTTCAGCGTCCGAGCAACTAGCGCTGTCTCCGAGAAGTTAGAGCTCGCCAACTCACGCGACCCGGTTCTGTCACCATCATATGACTGTTGGGAGTAGTGTAGGCAAGGCAGATGTAAGAAATGCCCGTACAAGCAAAAGCTCTGTCGTGCTCCTCCTCGTAGACTCACCAATCCATGAAAATGTCAGGCACTGCCTTCTTCACCGAGGAGAGAATGGGAGCTCCCATGACAATGTTGGGTACAAAGTGACCGTCCATGATGTCCATGTGCAACCAATCAGCTCCATCGTCCATCATCCTCTTGCATTCGCAATTGAGATTCCCCAGGTCCGATGCTAGCACCGATGGTGCAATGATCACTTTGGGCATCTTGGATCGTATGCAATAGTCCGCAAAGGAATCGCTATGACCTGATATGAGGAGTTGAGAGAGAGGGAAAGAAGATGAGGAAGGATCGTAGCTCGAAGCTCGGAGGAGATCGACCCTGTACAGCCCTCGAGGAAGGAGATTGCCGATATTGCAATGGCCGTACGCCTACCAGCAGAGATCTTCTGTATCACAGGAGCAGCAAGACGGCAGAGTCAGACCGGTAGCGATCGTAGGAGAGCAGTCCGAGCGAAGAAGAAAAGTGAGACTCGGTCTATCAGCCAGCCAGCCAGCCAGCTCGAAAGTATATCAGATTCTTAGCGCAAGAGATTGCTTCTCTTCGTTCCTAGGTGACTTGAGGCTTGCACAGAATAGTGAGAAAGAGAAGAACGCTCAGGCCCAAGCAGGAAGAGAGACGACGAAGTGGAGATAGGACCAAGGTAGGAACAAGGTAGAGTAGGACGTGCGTTGCTGGTGAGTGGGTAGTAGGTAGGGGGTAGACCAGTCGTACGTGCGTGCGTGCGTGGGGCAAAAGGCAGGGCCCGGCGCCGATCGATGGACGATGGATCCCAGCGCCCGTCCGCCCGCTCGGCCGTTCGGACGCTGCCTGTCCTGCACAGGCGCACGCCAGGCATCTCGGCCGAGGCACCCGCCAGACTTGGGGCGGGGGCGCACTGCACTGCAGTTGCACGCCTCACCGACTGACTGACTGACTGGCGGGCAGTTCAGAGGCGCGCACACACACATCCTACTAGCCTATCCGATCTCAACCTCACGCTTGAGTCAGAACGCTGGACTATATACGTATATCGTGATTAAGATGATCAGAGAGGCTATCAAGTCGCAGACGATGTGCCCGACCGGACGGTGACGATGACGATAAACAAGACGACGACGACGACGACGACCAGAGAGAACGAAAGAAAGAAATGAGGACATTCGTGACCCTCCACCTACTTCCTCTGATCCCAGAGTCTTGCAGGTCAAGTCACGGACGAGCGCCCGAGAGGTCCTTGGGCCCTCCCTTTCTCCTGTCTTGCCCTACTTCAGCCTCGTGTTCACCTCGAGGAGCACCGCCACCTCCTTCTTGTACTCGCGAGCGATATCAAATGTTAGAGCAAATTGTTCCAAAAGATCGTGAATAGCCAGGACTTGCCCGCGAAGCTCCTTGAGCTCTGTATCGAGCTCGTCTCCTGCTCCTCCATTGCTAAGTGCTTCTGCTGTTGATGTTTGGCTGGAGTGACGCCAGGCTCGCGATGCTTGCACGATGAGGCATTGCATCAAGAGACAGTACCCTGCCAAGACATACGAGCAGGCAGCCCATGGTGGGAGAGAGGGAGCCTCCGACGAGGAGTTGCCTAGGATGTTCTGCGAGACCTCGCCTGCTTTGTTCCTGCCGTGCAGCAAGGGACCGACGGAACTTAGCATGGCCGAAGCAGCCCAGCGACACTTGTCGATTGAGTGTTCAGGTTCGAAAGGTCCGTAGAGGTAGCGCTCGCTTAAAAAGGCACTGGTCGGCGGCGCCAGGGGTGCAAAGCGATGAATGTACCCAGAGCCATTGCCGACGTGTGATAAGGCACTCTCGCCTCGATGCCCAGCCTGCTCTTGTGTCTGGAAGTGATGGAAGGCGGCCATGGCTGCATCTGTTGCTCCATTACTACCATGGATACGACCATGATTGCCTTGCTGCTGCTGCTGATGGTGATGATGATGATGTTGGGCAGCTTGTCCCGCGCCCGCTATCCAGTTGCCGTTGCTGCCCGTGTTGAGAGGGTAATGAATGAAATTTGCGTCCAAGGCAGCGACCTGCGGATCAAAGTTGCTAGGTTTGCAAGTGGTACAGCCCTCGCTGCCGGAACCTCGCGAGCCTGAGCCGGCAGGAGGCAAAGTGACCGACCCACTGCGATGCCATAGTCGATCGGGGGTAACGTACTGTTCTGAAGGGCTCGGCGATCTTGAGCGGTTGTCTAGATCCATGCCATTGGGCATTTGGCCTGCAATTCTCTTGCCAAACAATGCTTCTTTCGCCGACCTGTCCTGCTGCTCGGCGCTGTTTCGACTGGCCTGTGGCAGTCCACACTGCGGCTCGAGAAAGATGTTGGCATTGGCATAAGCCTGACCACGGTGAACGATGATGGTGGCTCCAGCAGTCATGAGCTTGCCAGCCGTCCTCAGCGCGAACCCGAGACCTTCATCACCCGATCGCGAAGCGCCACTGCCTTCCGAGGGTGACCTCCAAGCCGGATCGTAGGTAGTGAAGGCGGTCATGTCTCGATCCAACTTTGAGTACTCAGAGAAGATGAGCGCCTTGTCTCTCGCTATGTCTTCCTCCGGCACATCTTTCCCGCGCTTGAGCGTCTCAAAGGCATGGAGGGCAGCATACCCTCGAGCCACGTGTTGCGCACCCCGAATGTAGACTCCCCACGCACCAACATCGGCCTCTAATGCTGGTCTGAGCTTGAGCGCAGTCACAGGATCGCATACACCTTTGACAGGAGCGAACCCTCCCGTACAGGCCGTGACCGACGTCGCAGCAAAGGAGGTCCAATATACCCGCTTAGCCCATTCTTGCTTCTGGTCCCAGCTGAAGTGACTCGTGCTCAGAGGGTCCTTCGGAGCCATACCTTCCTTGAGATCGAATCTGACTCCCTGCAGTGACGTCCAAGCTTCTAGCGCATGGCTGTGAGCAACGCTCTGAGCAGTATGACCGCCTGCGCCATAGTGATAGTGAGCAAGCAAGGTATGAGCAGCAGCAGCTTCGATTCGCAGCAGCTCTGGGTCAGATGGACCTTGGCAAAGGGATCTTCCAGATACATCGTCGTTGCAATCGCCAAGGACTGTGCTCGGATCGAGCCCAAAAGTGGCCGCCGCTGCGACTGCCTGCTGCTCGGAGAAACGCTTCAAGAGAAACTCGCTGGTTCTGGCATGTTGTGCAGCCACTTCGTTTCGTGTCATACCAACGTTGGGGTTGTTGAGACTGGCATAGCCCCCTCGCAGAGTACGATAAGCCTCATGCTCCGGCAAACGGAGGGTGACGAGAGCGGCAATGGCAGCGTATAGGGCGCAGGGACCTTTACCCGAGAACCAGAAGGCGAGAGAGGACATGTTCTCCGCTCCGAGAAGAACAGGAGCTGACGAGTAGACCTTCTCGAAGAAGTACGTCAAGAGGAAGCGAGCTTGTTGCTCTGAATCGGCTGCATCGAGAATGTCGTTGTTGGAGGTGTCCCAGGTTGTCAGATCGACATACCCAGTCGAGCCAGATCCAACCTGACCCGCCTTCGGTAGCGACTCTAGACGAGAATAGAAGTCATCGAAGGATAGATCCTGAGGCATCATACCTGCATCTGCGTCGTATGCATTGAGGTTCCCAATGTCGATGTCGAGGTCATCCATGGTCTGCGAATCTTGGTGTCTCTGCCAAATGGCCAAATTTGCAGCGGATAAGGCGCTACGGGACTCCTCGGGGACGTCACCATCGGCATGGATAGTACCAGTCTTGATGCTCGAGCCCGCGGACTGAGGGAAACCTGACCGCGAGTAGTCTGGGTGGCCGTAGTGAGCATAAGGCGTGACGCTCGGAGAGCTCCTGTTATGAGCTCCGGACTGCATGGAGAGCGCTGCTGGCGAAGTGACGCCTTGCTTCGCTGCCGTTGAGGATGAAGGAGTGTGGAAGAGCTCGCTGTCTCTGCGTGTAGCATCAGTCCGCTTCGTCGTTCGCAGATTGTCCCTTTCTGCATCTACACTGTGGTTAGAGTCTGACGGAGACTGCTTGTCTCGTGATGCAGCAGAGGTGGAGCGGTCTTCTGTGTTTCCCTTTGACTTGCGAGGAGGATGCTGGCCTTTGCCTTTGTCTTTCTCGGCCTTGATCTTCCTGGCCTGTTCTCCTGTACAGCCCTTGAAACGCGGCCCACCTCTCTTTGATGCTACATAAGCACACCCACCGGATTCCTGAGAGACACCTCGAGCTTGGCAAGGGCCACAGACGGGCTGGCCGCCATCACATCGACGCTTTGCCGTTCGACAGGCGAGGCACGCTGCACGTACCACCGCCTTTGCCCTTCCTGTCGACTGGTCTGCTTCGGTCTGAGGAGGGGTAACGAAAGTAGCATTGGTACCGCTGATGGAGGCAGAGCGAGACGGAGACGAGGATGTAGAAGCGAGACTGTTGCTGTGGGTACTGTTCTGCCTGTCCCGTCGACTTCCAGACGGATCTACGCTGTGTTGCATCCTTTGGTAGTACAGCGCCTCACGAGGGGACGATCCCCCAAATGCAGGGGAAGCCGAAGTGGAAGATGGAGACGGTCGGAAGGGTGAGTTTTGGGACCCGTAGGAAGGATGGCTGGGCATTGTGTACGAGTCGTTCGATGGGTGGTGATAGTCAGAATGATGCTCAAACCCCTTGTGCCGCTGCGAGGTAGAGTAGGGTTGCTGAGGCAGCGATTGCTGATACCCGGACTGCATCAGTCTTCGAAGCCGCGCAGCTGCGCACGGTGGGTCAGGAGAAATGGAGAGATGAGAGCGGGTGAGACGGGATTGATGATTCCCTCGTCTGACCAGAGGCTATTTGCCCACTGCCCAGTGCACGCCAGAGTGTTGATTAAGGGACGAAAGAGGGAGAGAGAGGGAAAGAGCAAGCGCGATGATGTACGGCGGCGCGGCTGCGTCAGCGCCAGGGACGCGAGCGATAGCGGTGGGATTGACTAGGCGAGCGCTAGCCTGAGATGTTTGCGGTGCTTAGAGGAGGAGGATACGATACGGGAGGAAGGGTGAGATGCAAGGCAAGGGGATGCCACCGAGAGCGACGACGATAGCGTTTTGTGTAAGTATGCACTTGGCTAGCAAGAGGCAGGGAGCTGACCGGCGGCGAGGGCCTGGGCTGGGCGGCTGCTCTGGCGTGAGGGCGAGGAAGTGGGCGGCTGCGATTGGGTGCGTGCGGGCGCAGCCTCGCTTCTGCAGACGAAGCAGGCAGCACCACCCACTTCCACCAGGTTCGCCCGGCCGGGGTTCGCTCTGCTCTAACTCCGTGACACTTGCACCTGGCCGCCTGCCTAACGTCCGTGTATCATCGGAGAAAAACCACGACGGACCAAGACAGTGACGGCGGATAGTATGCAAACAAAGCAATGGACAAGGGTATAGTATTGAAATTTCATCGGCATGCTGCTCCGATCTCGCAGTCCCTCCTTCCTCGAGGTCGAGGCCTCTGCAGAGTTTCAAGATTGTGTAGCTGAGACATCGGGCCGGGTCGCCCAGTCTAATCCTTTGCCGACTGGCGAGTCTTCCCCTCGCGCTCCCCATCGCCTTTCCCAGCGGCCAAACTCTTTTGTACCATCCAGTCCATGCACTCTTCTACACCCCGGCCCGTCAGGACGGACATCGGGAAGATCGTTGTCTCAGGAAAACAGCCCTCTGAATCTCCGGGATCATCAAAGGCCTCTGTTCCGCCAGACGTTTCGCGCGCGTCTTCCGCATCGTCGAAAGCTGCTAGCACCGAAGGAGCTAGATCTCTTGATGGTTTGACTGGACGAGACCTTGCAGGAGCCACTCGAACCTGTGCCTCGACGTGAGATTGCACAAATACCCGAAGGGACTCGAGCAAGTCTCGGGCTTCTCCATCGGGGCGATGATTCTGCGGGACTGAAGCTGACGGAACTGGTCCCGAATGAGTTGTCTTACTTTCATCTCCAAGCTGCACGTTCTGTGATTCATTGCGAGCATGGTCGATGCTCAAGCTGAGATCGCCGTCTTGAGTTGCCTCTGCTTCACTGGAGGCCGGGACTTGTGCTGCCGGCCGTTGTTCTTGGTCGGTCGCTATCGTGGGGGCAGCGGCCTGAGATGGCCTTCTACTTTGACACAGAGGAGACGAAATCAGATCGGACCTCGACAAGAGTATCAGGAAAGGCAAATTCGATAGTCGAGCGTCTCGAGCCAGCTCAGCTGTGAAAGAACAGGAGGCAGAAAGATCCGGGGGGTCAGCCAGGGCCCGCTGCGCTCTGTCCCAGCTTTCTCCATACTCACCTACTACGCTCCATTCTGCCTCTCGTCCTTCTCCGTTGCCGCCCTTCTCACAGTCCCATAAGTAGACTACCGCGTCTGTCTCGGCATAGTACTTTTGCCAGATTTTCCTCAACCCAAGATCTCCCCCGAGGTCCCAGATGTGAATCAGTGCCTTTGAAGGTAGTCTCTTTGAGGTAGAAGGCCCTTTGGATGCTGATGAGAACCACGACGAAGACGAGGCCACGTCTTGTGGAGTGGGCAGGGCGGGCGGCGGATGAGATGGCTCCACCAGGGGACGGCTGGAGGGCGGCGGAGCGGGTAGGTCGAGGACATTCTGTCCGACGGTCGATCTCGTCTTTGGCAGCAAAGTCTTGTTGTGCTCTGAGCTCTGACCTGGAGCAAGGCGTGGTGACAAAGGCTTGTTCTCGATGTAGTGAGATTTGATGACCTGAAGCAGCGTAGTCTTGCCGCTGTCTGCTGAGCCGAGGAAGAGGACGTTGAATCTAGGCCGCTGGGTGATGTCCGTGTAGAGGGAGGTGAGGAGGTGAAACATCGTCTGCGCTCGAGGCGCTGGATTCTGCCGCTGTGAAGCCGCTCAGGCTCCAACAAGAGCCCTAATGAGCTTCGACGGCAGCACTGGTGAGGATTGTGAGCTCGGTGAAGTGTTGGTTGCAGGACAGCCTCTCACGCCTCACCGGTCCGCGTAGAGTGACACGGAAGCAACGCCTAGTCGAAGCGCTTTGCCTGCGCGAGTGGAACGGGACCTCCTTCCTTCCTGCCTCTCCTTCCGACGACCCGACAGAACCTTTCCCATCTCCATCCGTCCACCGCATCACCATCCCGCCAGCATGTCTGCCTCGCCTTCGCAGACTGGGCCAGCGGCTCCCAGAGAAGATGTTCAAATGACCACAGCGGACTCGCCTGCCCCAGCTCAGGGCTCCGAAGCCGACGATGGCCTCTTCGGCGAGGAAGATGGCGATGCTTCCCCTTCCGCCGCATCTCAGACGGGCGTGGGTGCAGGCGCTGTCGCCGACGATGACGATGATGATGATGACATCCGGCCTACAGCTCGTAGGAGGAAGCAAGCAGCAGAGTGAGTTGGCAGCGCTTGTATTCGCCGCCAGACAGACAGCGCTGTTACTGATCCCCCTTCCTGGTCACATCTTCTCGTAGGTCTGTATCCCCGCCTCCAGGACAAAAGGACAGTGCTCCTTCAGGACTTCCAACCTTTGATGACGAGGAGGAAGACGACGATGATATCTTTGGCGGCGGCGAAGGCAGCATTGACCGCGAACCCTCTGCAGAAGACCAAGAAGAAGCGGCGCGTCTCGCTGCTCTGGAGTACACCGAGGATGGACAGCCCATGGGGGCCCGCGGCGCTCGCTCGGCTTCGCCTGCCGGTGTGGCTACGATTGCGTCAATTTCTCTGCCTCATGTTGCACAACGCTTCACGCCGTCGCACATGGTACGACTGCCCCACTTCCTACGGACAGCATCTTCCGTGTACGAGAGGGAGAAGTACATTGATGAGCGCGAAGATGCCATGGTCCGGGAAAAGGAGGAAGCAGATGCAGATGAGAAGCTCAGGGACGTCGAGAGGAGACTGAGATGTGACAATACAGTTCGCTGGAAGCTGGACGAGAACGGCAATCGGGTTAGCAACAGTCGCTTCGTCAAATGGAGTGACGGAAGCTGGACTCTGCAAGTGGGCAACGAGCAATTCGACGTATCTGGCTTCGACGCAAGGTATGCCGGCAGCAAAGGCGCTTCGGCGGACGCTCTCCAGACAGGATCAAGCCAATCGCAGCCCACTCAAAGCGAGACCCAGGTCAAAGCCTCTACCTCGCGAATGCCTAGCCAGCCCTTGACCTATCTAGCAACGGCGGACCCGCGCTCAAAGATGTTGCAGACCCTGGGTCCCCTCTACTCGAACGTCTCTATCCAACCCGCCTCTCTACAATCGGCCACACATCGTCTCATTTCTTCGAACCTCTCCTCACTTCGAGCGCGACAAGCTGCATCCAAAGTCACCATGTCCGAGCTGGTCATTGGTGAAAAGGCGCCAGAGGAGATCAAACGCGAGAGGGAGAAGAAGCTTCTGGACGAGGAGAGGAAGAGGAGATTGAGAAAGAAGAAGGAGAAGGGTGGGGATATCGAGGCGGAAGAGGAGGCGGAGCTGCAGAGTATGTTGAGAGGTAGGAGGAGAGGGCTTGTCGACGCCGTTGCCAAGAGCGGCAAAGTGGCTGGTGTCAGGGCTGGAGCTGCTGGAAAGAGGACGGCAGGATCAGCCGACGAATATGAAGAGGACGAAGGAACGTACATGGAGGACGACGCAGAAGGCTTTATTGTCAACGACGAGGAAGACGACGAGGATGCTGAAGGTGAAGACGAAGAGGAGGAGCAGGATGGGGCCGAGGACGAAGAGGAGGAGGAGGAAGGCGAAACAAGGAGAAGCAGCAAGAAGAGCAAGAAGAGCAAGACCAAGAGTGGAGACGCGATGGATGTGGATGAAGGAGAGGAAGAATTGGATGAGATGGAAAAGGCTGAGCAGGAGATTGAGAGACAGGAGGCAGCTCGAGTACAGGCCAAGAAAGAAGCTGCTGCAGCTGCAGCTGCCTCGGCTGCTTCTGGAGGCGGCGAAGGCATTGCGCAACAGCGTAAATCGAGACCGGCTGTAGTGGACAGTGATGACGAGTAGATGTAGCGACTTCCCTTCAGGAGCAAATGCGAGCAAAGCAACGTGTACAGCTCAGTGCGAAATGCTGTGAATGTGTCAAAAAGATCGATTGATGAACAAGCCAGGGTGACCACGCGTTCATTCTAGGCCCTGATACCTTGAGCCGAAGAGGGAGCAGCCTGCTGAATCAACCTCGACAGATCGGCAATTTCGACCTCTTCCCTTGTCACACCCGTCGACTTGACCACATTGTCCTTGTTCAATGGCACTTCCACCAGGTCTCCCTTGACTGTCCATCCTTCTGCGTGAGGGGTAGCAAGGAATTCATCTAGATCCGAAGCTGGAGTGGAGAGCGGGGCAGGGACGACTGGTAAGTCATCAAGCGATACCTTCAGGTCATTGACTTGCTTGAGCAAACTCACCATCGAGACCCAGGTACGTCGCCAGCCTCTTCTTGCTGATGCTTTTGAAAGCGCCCGCGGTTCCGTTCAGCACGACCTTCCTCACGCCATTCTCAAAGTCTACGACTTCCTCCAGAACCTGATTCCTCACGTCCTCGAACTCCTCTGATCGATATGTTGTCCAGAAGGTGGGATACCTCGATGAAGACAGAAGCATAGCTAGGTGATGAAGCTTTACGATAGTGGGATCTGTGAGGATGCCGGCTGATGGTTGCTGCGAAGTGGATGTACTGGCAGATGCCTGAGCGTCTTGCTGCTGGGCTGCTTCATCCTTTGTTGTATCGTCCTGCTCAGAAGCCTTCTCTTGCAGAATCGAGACCGGTGCCTCGCCCAGCAGGTTCAAGCAGAGGTTGAAGTCTGGTGTGGGGATGGCGTGCAAGGACTTGGCCAAGAGGGAAATGACAATTGGGTAGTTGAAGGTGGTTGGATTGAATTGATAGCTGTGAGAACCGGAGCGGAGTGATGCAAGAGTGTCAGGTACCATTCGCGAGTTGTCTGACTTCCAGCGCAAGAGCGCTGGCTCCTCTCGTAGTGCTCTCTCTCCTCATCTCCAACACTTCTGTTCAGATAGAGCTAATAGAACTGCATCTCATTCGTACCATCGTCTGCTTCAAAGACGGGCGGCACATCGACTAATACATGCTTTTGTGGTTGATTTGTATCATCTTGCGAAGTTGGCGTCTACTTCCTCGCGGCTCAGATCCTGCAACAAGGCTAGCTCACTCACAGTTTCAGTACGGCCAATGCTGCCATGCAATCCCAGTCATATTCTCCCTTGAATTGATCCTCGATGTACTCGTGTAGGAGGGGTAGGTTGTGGGGATTGTATCGGTCTACGCCCTGGATGAGCGAGTCGATGTGCTCTGGCCGTGTGGAAGGGTTGTAGCGCGACATGGTGATGCTGATGGGTCGTGGTAGCAGTGAGAAGAACGTCTGGCTGGCTGGCTGGTACGGCGGCGGCACAAGGAAGAAATCAGGGCCGAGGATCAAAGTGGCTTCCCCCTTTGCGCGCGCTGCGCGACTGAAGCAAGGCACGGTCCTGCTCTGACCATGGTCCCTATTCGTCCCTGGACCTCGTTATCAAGCAGCCTCAGCACCATCATTTAAGTCAACAAGGGGCTCGGATGAGAGGCAGGTCACCAACGCCATCCTTGTACACACGCCAACTTTTGCATACCCAAATCAACCCCCGCTGCCCGACCCACACCAGGAGCATTGCCAGTACCGCCCTCAGTAGACCGCCTCGTTATCTCACGTCACCTGTTAACCGACTTGCAATCACCCGTATACCCTTTGCATCTGCTCAACCCGTCAGAGGCTACGCAGCTATGGTCAAGTTCACGCCCCCCACTTCTGTGCCTCCTCCACCCACCCGCGAACCCTCGGACATTCACACCCTCTCATCCATCACCTCGTTCAGGCCCCTGCACCTGCACCTCGAATGGGACGTCAACTGGGACAAGAAGCTCATCTCTGGCAGTGTTGAGCACACCATAAGGGCGCTCAAGAGCGGAAAGAAGGAGCTGCGCTTGGACTCTAGCTACCTCGATGTCTCATCTGTGACCTCGCACGGCCACAAGCTTGACTTCACTGTAGAGCCTAGGAAGAATTCTCTCGGCTCACCGCTCGTCATCACCCTGCCTCAGCCTTCGCAAGAGGGCGAGGAATTCAAGCTGCACATCAAGTATTCCACGACTGCTGACTGTACAGCGCTTGGCTGGCTATCCGCTGAGCAGACGGCAGCCAAGACAGCTCCTTTCCTCTACTCGCAATGCCAGGCCATTCATTGCCGATCATTGGTCCCTCTGTTTGATTCACCATGGTGGAAGATCACGTACACGGCCACTGTCAAGTCGCAATACCCCATCCTCATGTCGGCTCTGCCCGTCGATCCTGAGAACCACGAGCGCTTCCTTGACCCGGTCACTCCTGACGAAGCCATTGCCAACCCAGAAGAGGTTCGCACCTATGGCTTCTCTCAGAAAGTCAGCATCCCTTCGTACCTCATCGCAATCGTGGCTGGGCATCTTGCCTTTGCTCCGCTGGGCCCACGTACCGGTCTATGGGCTGAAAAGCCTGACCTTGCCAGGTGCAAATGGGAGTTCGAGACAAATGCTGAGAATTACCTCAAAGCACTCGAAGACATCGTCAGCCCTTACTCTTGGACGCGGTACGACAGCGTTGTTCTGCCTCCAAGCTTTCCCTATGGAGGCATGGAGAATGCCAACATGACGACACTGACGCCGACACTGATCGTCGGGGACAGGTCGCAGTGTGATGTCCTGCTGCATGAGCTTTCGCACTCGTGGTCGGGAAATTTGACATCCTGCGGTGACTGGTCATCGTTCTGGCTCAACGAAGGAATCAACGTGTACCTTGAGAGATTGGCTCTGCAGTACGTTCATGGACCAGAAGAGGGCCCAGCTCACCGCGGCTTCTCTTACATCATCGGAGCCAAGGCGCTGCTGGACGCCAGGAAGCAGAATGAAGACACACCTCGCTTCCAGCGACTGGTCCCTGTCTTCACAGAGGGAGAGGATCCAGACGATGCCTTCTCGTCGATTCCTTACGAAGCCGGCTCAAATCTCATCCTACATCTGGAGAGGACAGTTGGAGGGCTGGACATTTTCCTGCCCTTCATCAAGAGCTATTTCAAGACCTTCTACAACCGCTCGGTGACCACGCAGGATTTCATTGATCACCTGTATTCCTTCTATGCATCTTCTGATGAGATCACTGCAGATCTGAACAAGGTCGACTGGAAGGCGTGGCTCCATGGTGAGGGCTTGGCTCTTCCCGTGAAAATGACGTACAACGACTCGCTGGCTCAGGAGAGCTATGCGCTTGCAAAGAGGTGGTCAGATGTGATCAAGTCTTCGGAAGCACCCAAAGTGGGCGACTTTTCAATAAAGGACATCGAATCCTTCGATACGGACCAGCTGATCGTCTTCATGGAGCGGCTACACGAAGATTCGTCTCTGAAGTTCCTGGATAAGTACGCCAAGCACATGGACGAGGTATACCGATTTACGAGCGACAAGGGCGCAAACGGAGAGGTTATGCTCCGCTTCTTCGAGCTCGCCCTGGAGGACAAGGAGAGCAGCTTCATCAAGGAGGCGGCGCAGTGGGTCTCTCGACAAGGAAGGATGAAGGTGAGTCTTTTGACGCAGAGCACAGATCGAGACAAGCACTTGCGCTGATTACTCATCATGTCCCTCCCTCTCGCAGTACAACCGACCCATCTACCGTTCGTTGTCAAAGATCGCTCCAGAGCTGGCGAAGAAGACGTTCCTGGAGCACAAGAGCTTCTATCATCCCATCGCGGCATCGATGATTCAGAAGGTGAGTCTCTATATTTCCCTTGAATCCGTCGCCTATTTCGGATGCTTGAGTAGAGGAACAAAGCTGCTGTTGCAGAAGCAGGAAGGGGAGGGTAGGCTGACATTCCTGCCCTCCTTGTTCATTCTGCACTCGACTCCTGGCAGGACCTGGGCGTATAAGCGGTGGCAACGGGTGTGGGCACGGAGACGTACGGAGAGACAGGCTCGCCGCAGAAGCACTTGTTCCTTCTCTTCAATTCATTGGATCTCCCTCTCGAAGCCCTTCTCTTCTGAGCCTTTCCCGATCTGACTCGACATTGCCTCATTACTTTTCAGACTCTGGGACTCGGGCGTCAGCCTTCCACGTCCACCGAACCGTCCCATGAAATCATCGCTGTGATCGGATCTACAGGTACCGGCAAGTCCCAGCTCGGCGTCGAGATTGCAGAGTACATCTCTTCCGCCGCTGCCTCTTCCGCTCCCTCGTCTGAGAAGTACACTTCCGCTTCGGTCATCTCTGCTGACTCGATGCAGATCTATCATGGGCTGGACGTGATCACAAACAAGGCCAATGTGAGCGAGATGGCTTCCGTGCCCCACCACTTGATGTCCTTTCTCCCCGTCGGCGAAGAGTACGATGTTGGTAGGTTCTGTCATGATGCTAAGACACTCGGTGAGGGGATGCTGCAGCAGGGAGAGCTTCCCCTGGTCGTTGGAGGTACTACGTACTATGTTCAGCACCTGCTCTTTCCCGGTAAAGTCGTTACTGCCCGTCTGGCAGAGGGGCGTGGAGGTGATATTGAGCCCAGAGAGGCGAGCACAGTCACCAGCCCTGCTGATGAGGAGCTGATGCAGCGCATCAGGACGTTGCCCCCTGCTGAGGCAGCAACGTGGGAGGCCGTGGTCTCCACATCTCGCAATACCTTGCCAGGCGTGCCGCCTCTACATCTGTGGCAACTGCTGGATAAGCTGGACCCAGATATGGCCAAGAGATGGCATCCCCAAGACAGTCGGAAGATCTCGAACTCCTTGCGCGTCATTGCAGACACTGGTCGGCCTCATTCCGACTGGGTCAGGGAGCAAGAGGACGGAGGCAAGGGAGGCGAGGACACCTCGAACTCTCCGTCGCCCTCTGAATGGGCTGGCAGGCCGCTGCGGGTGTTACTGATCTGGGTGTGGGCTTCTCGAGACGATCTCTATCTTCGGCTCGACAAGAGGGTGGAAAAGATGATTCCGGCTGGGCTCTTAAAGGAGATCTGCGAGCTGAGGGAGATCGCTGAAAGAATGAAGACAGACGAGGGCAGAGACGAGACGGACTATACGCGGGGCATCTTTCAGGCTATAGGCTACAAGGAATTCAAGCCTTTCCTAGATGCCCTTGACGCTGCAGGTACGTCCGGTGTCAATGTAGATCTAGCTGCTCTATCACCGGAGCTCAAAGCACTCTTCGAGCGCGGTCTGCAAGGCATGATGACCGCGACGAGGCAGTACGCGAAGAAGCAAGTCGCCTGGATGAAGAACAAGTTGCTGCCCGAGGCCAGGAAACGAAGAGACAGGGGAGAGGAGGTAGAGGTCATCCTTCTGGACACCACCGATGTCGACAAGTGGCAAGACAATGTCAAGACGCCGGCACTAGAGGCTGTCAAAATGTTCCTCGCCGGTAAGAGGTTGCCTGCGTCTGTGCATACCGAGGCTTCAAAGCGGGAGCTAGTGCCTCTGCTGAAAGAGCCGGAGGCGAGGCCTGATGCTGCTGTCGCCGCCGACGCTGGCTCATCCTCCTTGTCTTCAAATGCATACAAGCTGTGCGAAGTCTGCACGAACTCTCGTGAGAAGCCAGACTCTGCCCCAGTCTACTACCGGCAAGCCGACGAGCGACATCACATGACGAGCAAAAGCCATCGCCACGCGCTGAACAGGATCCGCAATAAAGAACGACTCGAGAGCGAAGGCACCTTAGCTGACGCTAGTGACGCTGCTCTGCAGAAGGCAGAGCAGAGAGCTGCGAAGAGGGCAAAGGCGAGTCACTCCAAGGCTCCGCAAGAAGAGATGGGCGACGCCAGCCCTGATACAAGTATGCCACAAGACCAGCCGGCCCTCGCCTCTGGCGCGACAAGTTCAACAAATAGCAGCTCAACGGCAGGCAATCTCAGAAGACGAGGTGAAGAGGAGTCTGGTGCCCACCTCGAAGCAGACAGGAACGACTTCCCTGCCATCCCTCCCGATTTCAATCAGATTGACCACAAGCACCTTCAAGCTTCGCACCAGCAAGGCCGAGCCTCTCCCCTTTTCTTCCTCATCGGCTTCCACTTGCTGCTCGCCTGTCTGACCCTGACTTTCTTCCAGCCAGACGAGTTCTGGCAATCGCAAGAAGTGGCTCATCGACTCAGCTTCGGGTACGGGTACCTCACGTGGGAGTGGCGACACCCTGGAGGCGCTGAGTCTTGGCTTGGACTAGTGACGCAGCATGGCTCGCCCCGGAGGCTCTGGGACTACCTGCAGGGAGGTCCAGTAAGGAGTGTGCTGTACCCTCTCATGTTTGTGCCTGGCTATCTGTCGCTCAAGTCGACAGAGCTAGATCAGTACTTCACACTACTTGTGAGTCGTAGATCCTGCTCTGCAAAAGGCCGTAAGCGTGTCCTGACATTCGCACCCTGTCCCTCTTCTTCCCTCAGACCCTCACCCCACGTCTGATCCAAGCTGTTCTCTCGGCTGTTGCGGCTCATCATACATATATGATAGCTGATCAGCTCATCGGAGGGCCTTCCGTCGGGTATGCTACCCTTTTCTCCCTTCTCACATCACCGTACTATCTCTATACGGCTAGTCGTACGTTTTCAAACACTGCTGAAGCGAGCTTGAGCACTATCGCCCTTTATTCCTGGTTCAAGAGCACGCACGAGGCTAGTGGCGGACATAGCCTGCCACTGAGTTTGGCCGCTTTGGCTTGCCTCATCAGACCGACGAATGCTGTCCTCTGGATGTTTCTGTTCGCCGAAGAGATGGTTAGATCGCCAGGAGCCATCAGCGGTTTCAAAGAGAAGATCAGACAACCTGCCGATAGACGTACCTCTCTCATCGTGAGCGCCATCGTCATTGGGTGAGTATGCTCGGAAGATGAATGGTCTCCACCCTCTTACCCTACTGACAGCGAGTCTGTTCTTCGCACAGTCTCGTCTCCCTCCTCGTCACCGCTGTCCTCGACTCCTGGTTCCACCAAAGACCGGCACTCCCACTCATTCCCTTTTTGAACCAAAATGTCTTCCAGTCCATCTCCCTCTTCTACGGGTCCAACCCCTGGCACTGGTACCTCAGCCAAGGTCTGCCCATTGTAGGCATGACCGCTTTGCCTTCCATCTTCCTCGGGGGGAGGAACCTCTTGTTGCAGGGCGGAATCGGCAGGTCACTAGTCAGACTGACGCTCTGGACAATTGCGGTGTACTCGTGTTTGGGTCACAAGGAGTGGCGCTTTCTCCAGCCGGTAGTGGCGCTACTGCACATCATGGCGGGCAAGTACCTCGCTACCCCTACCTCCAGTGCCAGTAGTTGCGCCCCTGCCAGCGCCACAAGCGCAACCAGTAGCGTCTCCAAGCAGCGTAGGAGCACTTTTTCCTCCCTTCTCACCAGCACGTCGCACCGCAAGCTCTTCCTCCTGCACCTGAGCACCCTCCCACTGGCGATCTACCTCCTCCTCTTCCACTGCATCGCCCAGTCCTTCACTCTACCGCGCTACCTGCGTGCAGCGCACTCCAGGGGGGAGCTCAAGAGTGTGGGATTCCTCATGCCCTGCCACTCTACACCTTGGCAGAGTCACTTTCACTTGAAGGAGCTCGAGAGAGGAGGAGGAGAAGAGGATCGACTCTGGTTCATCAGCTGTGAACCTCCCAGAGGAAACTCCACTGACAACCTCAGCAGCAGCAGCGGCAGCGGCAACGGCAGCGGCAACGTCTATCGCGACGAGTCCGACTACTTCTACCAGGATCCGCTACGCTACCTCCGTCTCTACCTTCCTTCGAAGGTGGGCGAGTCCTTCGTCTCCACTCCCGCTGTGGGAGAGTGGGACACACGAGTGCACCGCGCGATGTGGGATTCACCCTCGGGTTCGCAATCGAGGGGAGATGCAGAGGAGGTGGTAGGCTCAGACGTACCACTGCACCAATGGCCCACCCACCTAATCACATTCGAAGCGCTTCTCCAACCCCTTTACTCCAGCACCACTCCGCCTCCTATCCCTCAAGAAGTCGTAGCAGCTCCGTCTGTGACAGTGGAGACTGAGCTGCGCAATAAAGGCTACATAGTCGAAGCGCGTCTCTGGAACAGTCTCTTCCACGATGATCCACGACGCAGAGGACGGGTTATCGTCTGGAGATGGGTGGGTGGAGGATAAAGAGGGCTTTGCAGGGAGAGTCAGGAGGGGCATTTAGGGTTTTTAGGGGCAAGAACATCTGGATGGGGGAAGCGCACGCCTTCTGCTTCTCTTTGTCGTCATTGGCACTGTCGTCATCATTGTCACCACCACCATCACCATCACCATCAACCGCATCAAAAGCATCATACGAATCTCCACCAGCATTGTCACCAAATTACCCGGGCGAATCATATCACATCACAAATATCACTCTGTTCTTCTCTTCGTTACATACACATATAGCTAGAATTTCTTCCCGATCCGATAAGAGGGCATAAGACGCGACGAGACATAGGACGATCGATACAAGACATATTCACCATTTCACAACATAGCATAGCATAGCACAGCACAGCACAGCGGAGCGAAGCGCAGCACAACCGATGGGTGAGCGCTCACTTGCAGCACGATGTTCCATTCGTTCCATTCGTCGCTCCCGTCTCCATTCCGAACTTGGCCGCAACACTCTTTGCATCCTGCACCGAAGGGACATCCAATGCTGGGTTCCTTGCAAAGAATCCAACTGGCTTGAACATGACTCGGATCGTCTCGGCGGGCATGACTGGGAAGTCTTCCGGTCGAGGAACATGCGTGGTTCCGACGGTGAAAAAGGTAATGATGTCCTCGTTTGCCACCTTGGCAGATCCATCACCGACCCAATTCTGTACAGAGTCCTTTTGCACCTCGCGAGTTTGGACGGGGTAGCGTCCGGCGGGGTAGAGGCGCATCTCCTCGTAAGGGACGGTCCAGAGACTGTGCTTTGAGAAGGGTGCGCGTACGGCACAGATGGAGTCTTGCTTGGCGTACAACTTGGGCATAGAAGCGGTCATGAGCTTGTAGCCTACGGGACTACCGCTAGAGTAGTGCTTGACATTCTCATTGACAATGGTCCAGCTACGCTCGTTGTTGGGGTTGGCGTCACGAACTGCCTCGCCGGCAGTCTGTAGCACGCGCTTCACCGTTGTGAAACCGTTGCCGGCCCAGTTCTCGTTGCTTCCAGTAGGCTCAGACTTGGCCACAATCTCTTGCTCGACGACACTGTTCCTTGGACCATCAATGTGAGGGTCTACTCGGAGGGAGAACAAGTGCTGGTGGAGATGGGCAGAAATCTGAGGTGCCACCTCGGTAGCGTAGCCGCCAGTGGGCTCTCCGGGGGCCAAGAGGTAGAGGTTTAGGATACCAGTGAGCTTAATGTCAAGCTCGATGTTGCCGTCCAGGTGGAAGCTCCAGTTGATCTGGTACTCGTAGTTGGCTACGGTGCACACCATGGAGATGACTAGCTTCCTGCCTCGCACATTGTGAGCTCGTCCACCAGAGCGGTAGTCGGTGTGCTTCCACATGAGTCCAGTGTCCTCCTCGTGGATGCAAATGGCATTCTTGACAGTGTCAACGCTACCGTCGTGCTTGGTGTTGTGGCCGTCCATGTACTGGATCTGACCCAGACAGTCGCAGCCGAGCGAGAGGGAGTTGGCAAGGAAACCCAGTCCGTACTCTCCTACGTCAAAGGCAAACTTCTTGTAGTGGGGCCAGGCAGGGTCGGCATAGGGCACAACCATCTCAGCCAAGCTCATACGGTAGAAGAGGGGCCTCTCCTTGGGCTCAGCCTTGCTGGCGCCTGCAATCTCATCGTCCTTGTAGGTGATAGTGGACAGGACCAGGCCCTCTCGCGAGTGGAATCCAACGTGGACCTTCCACTTCTGCCACTCCAGGACGTTTCCGTCCAACTTGAAGCTCACACCCTCTGGCTGCTCAATGTGAAGCGGCTTGAGGTCTGTTCGCATCTGAATGGGCTTCTCGGGGCTAAAGGGGGAAGCAGTGGCAAATTCTGGCAGGTAGTCGTGCTTCTGGGTAGGGGGTGGGATTCGTGCTCGCTCCGTGGGAGGGTCGAAGGAGGCCTCCTTGGGCTCGGCGGTAGTACCAGAGCTCAATGCTCCATCCTTTCCGACTCGGTGAGGAGGGTAGTCGATGGCAAGAATCTCACCGGTGTTGCAGTCCAGCACAGGCATGAAGTCCAAGGGGTGAGCATAGAGGTGCTCATCCTTTCCGTAACGAGCGTAAGCGATGCAATTCTGCAAACGCCTGCCTGGCCATCGCGAGTCCCATCCGATACTCCAACCATCACAGTAGAGCTGCTCTGCGGATACGCCAACGTCGGCAGCTGCCTTGAGGACTCGCTGGTCCTTGCGGCACATTTCCTCTGCCAGACAGAGCTCCTCTGCAGTGAGGGATGGCTGTACGCCTTCTGCGAGCTTCTCTACATTGTCAATGGAGACGCCATTGTCAATGGTGGTGAGGATCTCATAGGCAGCACCGGACACAATGTCATTGATGTGAACCCAGAATTGACGCTGCACCTTGGAGGTGGCAGCAGCAGCGCTTCCGCCGGCGAAGAAGCCGGCATCGATGACGGCATTCTTCTCTGGCTCGTGTAGGAAGATGTTGAGGAAGCGGAACGCCTTTGCGTGGAGCTTCTCGGTCATGTATGTACGCACGGCATTGCTGACGGCGAGGATCTGCAGGGGAGGGGGCGGGAAGGAGATCGGTGGTGGTGGTAGTGGTGAGCAAGGCATGACGGGGCAATGGTAGATGTGCTGCTTCCCCTGATCCGTCTCATCTACTCACCTCATCCTTGGCAGGGGGGTCCAGTGGGTGCTTTGCAGCGGTTGGCACCTTTACCGGCGACATTGCGATAAGGTCCGTGTGTGTGTGTGTGTGTGTGAATGTGTGGGGTGGGTGCGACAAGTGGCGTAGGAAGTGCGGGGCTGAGCAGGCAGGTAGCTGTGTGAGGTGGGTGCGATGTGGATCGAGGCGCGAGGGAGAGAGTCTGGATGAAGGGCGACTACGAGTGCGAGTGAGCAAAGGGAGTGAGTACTACGAGGCCAAGGGGGATGAGTTGCGGGTGGGAAGCAATCGTCCGAGGCATTTAAGAGTCCCTGCGCTCAATCTCTTGACGGCCGGCGTCCCTCCGAGATACGCACACGCCCTTGGCTGGGCTGACCTGGGGCAGGCAGGGGTGCCTCGCTCCGACTGTGTGGGCGTGGTTGCGCCTGCCCCTTTATCGCGCAGGCGCTGCTGCACCAATCACCTCCGCCCCGTCGAGCGCCCCGCCGCTCCGACCTGGGCTCCCAGACTGAAGAGGAGCCGAGGCCAGCAACTGAGCTCACTCGATTTGCTCGCTCAAAGCCAATCTCACACACTCCACCCTCGCCATTGGCATGGCCCGTGTCCAGTCTAAGGATAGATAGACTCACCCATTCATTCAGAGGAGTTGAGCCGAACATAGTCGGCGCAGGCGCACCGCACCGCACACTCTTCCCTTTCCCGGAAAAGGCCTGGCTGATTGATAGCGGGGAAAGAGGGGGAGGGGGGACGACGGGAGCGCCGTGAGTCATGTCAAGCAAGACAAGACAAGATAAGACGTCTATCCGCCCCTCCAAGGCGGCTCGTGCACCTACGCACGTATAGACTACACTCGTAGTGGTACACAGACGCACACACACACACGTATGGGCTTAATGGCGATTATTTGGGATGTCACCGGGGATGAGCTTGATAGCGTGGTATAGCAAGAAAGTAGGATACTAGAGCAATGCATGGTATATGTGTGAAATGAAAGGCCACTGCCCTGCGCGCCAAAGGAGCTCCCTCTCCCTCAAACTTTGCCCCTCAATCGTCCCACACGACGACGTCTCTAGCTCTGACTTCCATCTTGCGACGCAAATCTCCCACAAATCGTCTCCTCCTCTCTCCCTCCTTCTTCTCCACATTCAACGGCCGCACTTCGTATGGATCACCCACCAGATCCGGGGGCAGAGGCAGTCCAGACAGCTTGAATACACTAGTCAGGTCCAAGTTGCTCAGAGCCCGGTCCGTCTCGCTCCTGGTACGTGCGAGCGCTTCATCGTCGCTCTGACTGTACCCGTCTGTCAGCGTCCCGCTGTCGGTCTTGCCGTTGATCGCCCTGCGTACCGCTCGCAACACTCCGCGACGGAGCATAGCCCGTGCCTTTTGGGCGCGACTACGCTGCTCTGCCGCCGTCCTCACCAATTGACGATCCTCGCCCTCATCGCTGGGAGGGGTGTCCACTTCCGTATCGCTCCTCTCCGACATCTCTCCAAGGGACACGCCAACCCTTCTAGGCGCTCGACGGAGCTCCATCTGTAGTGCCTCTTCCTCGAATTGACGTCTCCACGAGTCTGGTGCACCAACCCACAATCGTCTCACCGCATCCGCCACAAGACGTCGAGCTCGATCTCGAGCTTCTGCCGCTGAACGAATTGCCAGAAAGGGCTCTCGAGACTCGTCCGTGGCGCCCTCTGGCGGGACAGGCGCGGTGAGATGGCGCGCTTGGCGTACTGCGTCTGCCGAGGTCCGCCGTCGCTGGAGACCTGGACGTACGGGGACTTGCAGGAGGGACGGATCTGCAGAGACTTGCGGCGAAGCGTCCAGCATTGGAATCGAGTCGATGGCGCTTGCAGACTTTGTTCGCCCCAGTACGAGATTCATAGGTCGCTTTCCAGCAGCCGCAGCCTTTGCGAATGCGCTAGTGCCGGAATCGATCAACCTAGTGGCACTGAGTACGGGGCTTGGACCAGGCGTGGGCAGCGGCGTATTGACCGCACTGGAGAGGTTAGGGGCTTGGAAACCATTGAAGGCCTGAGCAGCGATATTGGCAAACTCGTTGGCCTGCTTTTCTCGCTCTGCCTTTGCTGCCAGCTTTCGCTTGGCCATCCGTCTCCGGACAGAGAGGATGCACTTCCACCCCCACCAGAGGTGCATAGGAAGTGTGACTGCAATCGATATGCAAGGACCTAGTGATCCATTTATGCGTGGAGCCGATCGACCGTGTTCGGTGACGGATGCGGCAAGGAGGGCGATGTGGAAGAAGACGCGTGTGAGGAAGAAGGTAGAGGTGAAGGCAATGTTGGACCGCAGAGGTGGATGCAGAGAGGCAATGCCCATGATGAAGGTGGGAAGCTAAAGGTCAAAGGAAGAGGAGTAATGTTCAGCGGGGAAACAAAGAACCGCATCGAAAAAGCTCGGTACACTACTCACCTCGAATACGCAGGCCATTACAGCGATATGACCCCACCCCTTGTGTACCCAAAATGTAAACAGCACCAGGTATACGGTGTGATGCGCCCAACCTGAGGAGAAGTTGATCAACTTCCGATAGTAGATACTCCCCAATCCGAGATCCGAAGCGAGATAAACCACAAAGAAGGAGCACATGGCATGCGTGAATGGTCTCCTTGGCTGGATGGCTCCAAAGTCGAGACCATGGCTGAAGAAGTCCCAGAGATAGGGTAGAGCGGCGAGGGTGGTGACGCCGGCATTGAAAGTGGTAAGGATCCAGCAGCGTTTCTTGAGCTGAGCCAGGGCTGAGCCGGAGAAGATGGTAGCGGAGAGGAGGTGGAAGAGACCGTGTTGGATCAGGAGAGAGCCGCAGAGGGAGTAGGTAATGAGCGGATCGTTGAGCGGGGAGTCCGCGGGGAGGAAGTTGGAGAGCATCATTGTTGTGTGAGGACAACGTCTCGGGTGGCGCACGCTGGTCTAGTATCTTCTATGAAGGGGTTCCAGGCTAGCCTATTCATAGGATGCTCGATCGCGATCCGCAACTTGGAGGCTCGAATTGCCCGGCGTAGGGAACGTCTTTGTAAGGTACAGAGGGAGGTGGATGGCCACGATGTCGCGACTGCCGCGCCGCGTCGAGCGTCCGGTAAGACGGTAAAGGAGTGAAGACGAGACGAGACGAGACTCGATGTGCCTCTAGCCATCCATCTATGCAATGTACTCTAGAGGACACAGCGATTACCACTCCACAACACACACTCCCCCACGTCGTCGTCTATGCAGCAGCCGAGGTTCAGAGGGGAGACTGGAGAAAGAGGGGCAACTGCAGAGTGGTGCGGTGGTGCAGCTGCGTGTTTGGACCACCCTCCTTTTGCCCGACAGGCGGGCAAGGCGGAGCAAACGTTCCTCCCTTTCCGGAACGTGCAGCCTCTCCACTCCACACGGCAAAGGACAAGGTGAGCAAGTCACTTTCGGTCAAAGGTGGCTCCAGGCTTGAACAAGAGCTCACATCTCACAACATCACGCCACACAGATAGGTCCCAAAGAGAAAGCAATGATATTGTACAACATCGTCCTGGTAACTCAAAGAGGTATGAGGTGGATGCAGAATGAACATGCGACGTGTATGTGATGTGATCTGCCACGGTATGATGAAGGTAACGCTAGGAGAGCAAGAGATGTACGAGGATCCCGATGAGGAGGTCTACGTAGGATATGCAGGGGCAAGGGTAGAAGGGAGGAAAGCGAGGAGGAGAGAGGAAAGGCTATCTTCGGGCCTTTTTGAGACGTGACTATAATGTTGCTCGATACCCATAAGTGCGTGAGATCAAACCCTTGTGGGCACTTTGCCGGCATCGGGAGAATCAGGAGACCTGACCTTGATTCCAGTGCGACCTCCCACTTTGACGTCTTCCTTGACGTCAGCTAGTGCAGTATGTAACTTCATGGCAGATGCCTGTCCAGATGAGTAAGAGGTGATCTCCTTCTTTGTGTCGATGGATCGAGCTGTGCTCTCCCGCCAGGTGTTGGACAGGCCCTGGAGAGTAGTTGCTGCTTCTTGAGCTCTGCTGATTTCCTTGAGATCGCGTGCTGCGTCGCTCAGGCTCGCGTCTGACACCGCATCGGAATCCTCGCCCTCGCTCTCGGCGATGGCACTCATGTCTCCAGTAGAGTTTGGAAAGAGAGAGGCTGCTCCGATGGGAGGCGAGGATGGCCTCGAGATTGCAGAAGGCGACAGTGCTGGCATCGCCCCGTCACTCGTCCTCGCCAGCTCTGCAAGTGAGGCGCATGCCTGTTGTCGAGTGTCGAGGAGCGTCGCAAACGATGCAATGACGTTTGCCAGCAGTTGAGGTCGTGATTCGGGAGGCGAGGACATTGAGGATCTCCGCCGTGTACCAGATGGCAGAGCGCTCTTGAATTCTGCTGGAGGGGACCTTGCAGCCGAATTGGTGGCGGAGACTGCAGTTGGCGCAGTCGAAGCAGAGGCAGAGCTTGAAACCATGGCTGAGCCTGAGGTGGCGCCTGATAAGGGGCTGAGCTGTGAGCTACTTCTGGACGGAGACAGCAAATTCTTTGCAAAGGATACTCGGCGATTTTTGAGGGAGAGATCGCGCTGGTCAAAGGACACCCGGCGTCGTTTGGCGATGGTCTCAATCGGGTTCACAATTTCGGAGGATGGGGATGGGCGCTTGTGTGGACCGAATCCCGGCAGTGTACTACCTTCCGGAGCCACGGTCCACCTTCGGTGCTGCAGTGCTAGGGCCTGCCCGGCCCACTCTTTGCGGTTTTGCTCTTGAGCTTTGAACTCGTATGCGAGAGAAGAGGCAGATGCAAGGAAGCCTGGGGCTGAAAATGCAGCTTCCCAGGCTGAGTCAACCATCAGCTCGCCGACGTCGCCGGGAGAAAGGTCTGAGCCAGCCTCTTCGCCGACTTGACCTGCGGCCTGACGGACTGCCTCGTCTACGAACATGTTGTTGGCTCTAGCGACGATTAGGCTGCTGGTTCCAGTCGCTGCCATCTTGGCCTGATCAGCAAGAAGTGCCAGCTGAGCGATCCTGCTTTGTGAGTAGCTACTCGCCGGCAACGACTTTCGTTGCCTCTCTAGCAGCGTCATGGAAGGACCTGGGGAGGTAGCAGGGGGCGATGATGTATTCGACGATACGAAGAGAGACTGTGCTCGAATGCGATCCAAGAACCCGGAAGTGCTTTCTGTCTGCTGTGAGTCGGCCGGAGCTGAGGTGTCTGCTGCCATGGTCGTGCGAGGGTGTGATTGCTGTGCAGATCCAGAGGGTCTGGCGAAGCTGGCTGAGAAGCTTAAAGCTGCCGGCGGTGAGAGTATTGAAGAGGCAAGTGACCGAGGCAGATCTGATGAAGCATCAGCCGAAGGGCGTCCTGTCGATGTTGGCGATGGAGGCGAAGAAGAAGTGGGCGAAGGGGGAGCAGCCGAAGGGGGGCTTTGCACTGAGACAGACATGGCGTACTTTTTGATCGGATGTCGTGGTGGAGAAGCCACCAGTGTTTGTGCGTATGAATGTGTTTGCGAATGCTGATGCTAGTGAGGGTGGCAATGAAGGAGAAGTCAGCCCCGAGCAAGGTCCCCGAGGCCAAGGCCTGGAGGTGCAGCTTGGTCTTCCGCCAGCGGCAAGGTTGGAAGAGCGGTGACTTGTGTGACACAGAGCAAGGATTGTCACTGGAGCAGAGGCCTGGGCCACCAGGGGCGGGCAGCAAGAAAGAGCCGCGATTCTGACTGGCCGAGGGTGTGCAAAGTGGAGTGGTAGTGGTAAGTTACGGGAAATGGTGCGGGGAGCCTTGAGCGCCAATGGCGTACGGCGATTGATATCGGAAGAGAAGGGCAGAGGATGCATTTGCGGCCTGGCCCTCGTCTGCCTCCTTCGCACCTGGCTCTTCTCTCTCCCACCCTACGGCGTGCCTGTCTAGACTCCTGAGTGGGCCATCTCCGCCACTGCCATTGGCCCACGCGGGCAGTAGTACATCCACCCCCCAGGCACCAGCCCACAGCCCGCCTGGGCCGCCTGGACCGACGGCGCGCCTGAGAATGGCCCGCCGTGAGACTGTCCTCGGCCCTTTATTTGGAAGCCGCCTGCCACACTCCAGCTTCCGGGCCGGGGTCGAGGCCATGCCCGCCTATACATCCCCCACTTCCCTTCCACAGGCTTTGTCGCCGGCGCGCATACCTCTCCCCGCGGGGCCACTCCTCCCTGCCCACCTCCGGCGTTCGGACATCGCCTTTACCTCTTTTGACTTTGACCCAATGGCCGCTCAATCCGCCCGATTGGCTCGGGGAGAACCAATCACCTCAACGCCTCGATGACAAAGGGGATGCGGGGTCACTATTAGCGCGGACGTAGCGCGGACTTAGATGAGCTTGACACCCACCACCAGCAGCAGCATCTCCCACCCCCTCCGGCGTATGGCAGATGTCAACCGCGGCTCGGCATTTGATCGTACAATGTTCAGCTATAAGATCTACAAAGATGCCCGGCCTTTCCTTTACGCTCTCAGTCAGCGCCGAGGTGTTGATCAAGCTGTATAGAACAAGTTGCATTGGAACAGCAGGCGAGGACAATGGAAGGATTAAATTAACGTTTTCCCCGAGTTTACAAATACATCCGCGTCTGGACAGAGTGACTGGAGAATTAACTTGGTGCAGGTACAAGTCCGTTGCTGGACAACAGTAAATTAGTCTTGCGCTGGGAAAAGGCACGAAAGGCGCCCTGGACATCGTCCAATATGTTTAGAAGTGGGACACCGTCGGGCGTCACGCACCCCGGTCGAAGGGTGACTTGCATCTGCAGTGTGTCGAGACTCTCGAGAAGGAGCTGTTCGATGTCCTCGTGCGGATAGCTGAGCACCTCGAGGATCTGCACTGCAACCTTGACTTGTCGAAGCGCAGCCTCGATCTCTGCAGTAGAGCTCTTCAACTCGAAGAAGATAGACGCAAAACAGGAATCGGCGTCTGAACGCAGGTCTCTGATAGTCTGAGTGAACATGCTCATCCACCAGACCAGACTAGGAGGCAGTGCTCCATCTGCATCCTCTACGATGTGCCAGATGCCCGTCTTGCGGTACAAGGAGACACGGATGAAGACGTGGATCTTGACGAAGATTTGTTGAGCCTGAACGGGAAGGATGGCCGCGGCATCTTGATCCTGCTGACCACCCAGCCATCGAAGACCAGTCTCCAAAATTGCAAGATCTTTGTGCAGCGCCAAGACCTCGCCATACGAGGCAGGGTCGTTGACACTAAAGGAGGCAGCGTCGAGTCTGATTAGGCGCGCCAATGTTTTTGCAAGAAGGGACGACATTCTTGTGAATTGTACCGAGCGGAAGAATGAATCTGGTAGATCCTCCTTTGACAGGCTACTAGGCTCCCAGATGTCTGCAAGAGGAGAAAGGCATACGAAGACTGGGGTTCAATACACGCTCGCAAGTCCAGTCGACGCTATGTCTCGGCGTACTCACAGAAGGGACGCAGAGTCGAAATGAACATGGGCAGCTGATTCGATGTGATGTCCTCGTCAGGTTTGGCCAGGACTTGGCGGACAAAGTGGCTGATTTGCGTCTTGCATATTCTCAGCAGCAACTCTAGAGAGACTTCGCTGTCTCGCGTCACCTGACCTTCAGGTACTCGGAAGTAATCGGGATGCGATGGATCGGGGACATCTGCTTTTTGGGGGTCCTTGAACGCACAGGCGGGTAGCCGAGACTCTAGACCGCGCACAATATTGTCTACTATGTTCAGGAGGCGCTGGCTTCCCGAAGCGGTCGTTTCCGTCAGCAGAAGAGTACTTGCAGCCTGGGCGAGGCGATCATCAGCGCCGTTACCATTGAGTAGAGCGACGTCAATGTACTCGTTGGATATACGACGCAGCGTGTGTGCGAGACGTTGGGCACTGGTATCAGCAGCCGTGATATCAGCCGTGAAGGGTTCCTCGCGGCGTGGAACCTTGAGATCACATACAGCTGCAGCCAAAGCAGCGAAGACGACGGCAGGGTGTAAGGAACGGCGCTTCTCGGGCCGTCTCATAGCGTCTAGAAAAGTCTCTTTGTGGAAGAATGACATCAATGTGGCATGCTTGACGACGAATTGCTGAAGGAGGCCTTCGACAATACGGACGCTGTTGATGATGAGCCGGGCAGAGACAGAATAGAGTGAGCAGGAAGAGTGTGAAGAGAGACGTGGGGTATTCAGTGGGCTATACGTGTGCTACTCGATCGAGACGCCGTCGGCATGCTGCGCAGCGCTCGTGTCAGAGGCGGCTGCGACTCACCTTTGAGGCCTCGGGCCAAATGTAGACAGGCACCTGTCCCACCAGTCCCCACCCCAAGACACGACTCGTGGTCCTAGCCCGGGAGACGTCACAGCGTTGCTGTGGAATGGCCAATTCATGCTTGCCACGCCTGTCGGGGGTTGACCTTTCATGACCTGGCCCACGTGTTGGACACTTTCTGGTTCAAGCCCGCCGATGACCCCATGCCGTTGTAAGGCGCTGTGAAAGTCTTCACTAGGCCTACCAAGGCGCTTCGTGCCGGGAGTGAGAAGCACATCAGTAAGAGAGGCGGCTGTTGGGAGCGAAGACCCCTGTTGAAGGAGTTGCTGACGTTTGAGCTCCTTCTGAACGCCGTTAGGCACCTCCCTCGCTGCAGCGTGAGCAGCTGACAGCTGGTCTTGCTCCTGCGCGAGATGGGCGAAGGTCGAAGTGGAACTGGAACTTGAGCTCGAGCTTAGGTGGGACCTCCTGCTGCCGCTCCGTGCGTCTTCTGTTGCCGCATGTCTCCTTCTTTTGCTCTTCGGCATTGCAGTCTCTTCCGCTTCGGTGTTTGTAGTAGGAATGATACAATCCGTACGCCCGCGACGCTGGAGGTAATAGACAAACAACGTCGTGTCAGTGATGGGACTCTCATCCGAATAAGTCCTTTATGCGGCGGAGACACTTACAAGACATTGCCTACAGCGTTCATTGGGTACATCGATAATGCACTTGAGCTTTCGACCGCGGCAGAAATCGCACGCCAAGTGCCTTGTACCTCTCGCCTGGCTGACGCTCACAGACTCGTACGACCTGGCTTCTGACTTTGCAGAGGCAGGGCTTGGCGCCAGTATGCCTGCATAAGACTGGGGAGTACCAGCCAGATTGAGGGATGGGCTACCCCCCGCATATCCCTCTGCCTCTCCGGGAATCAGGGGCGAGATGAGAGGCACGAGCGGCTGCGACGCGCCCCGTGTCATTGCGTCGGAAGGACCTGTAGTAGCTAGAGGATCTGCGTGGCCAATTCTTGAGTAGCCGTGGTTGATATTGGGCAGATACGTCGAATGATCACCGTAATCGAGTGATTGCGCTTGAGTTTGAAGATGGATGTGATCATAGAGGTCTGGCCACGATTCGCTACTAGAACCGCCTACAGATGGGTGCAGATCGCTTGGAAGGTACGGTAACAAGGAAGAAGGCAACATCGATGGAGTATACCCTCTTTCGAGATGCGGTGATATAGAGCTGCTGCCACCGTAAGAAGATACCGATGCCGGCCGTGGCAGCACCTGGTCATCTTGGAGATTACGTGTAAAGCCACTGAATCCGTCGGCGTAACCCTGAGCCGACGATGCTATATTCTGCGCTGCTATTCCAGATTCGATTGGCCTGTGGGAATGGTCTGACGACCTCGGCAGGTTTGGCTGTCCTTGCGAGACCCAAGACTTGCCGCCAGCCTGATCCTGCTCCATGGCGGTGATCGGCCACGCGGCAGTGGGCCGAAGTAGCTGCTTGTGCTTCTTGCAAGATTAAGAGGTCTGCGGACTCGCTCACTGCCGTCGAAGAGGGGGCTCGTATGCCAAGGCAACAGTGCCTTGGCGGAGCTAGCGTCACTGGTAGGTACAACGCTACAGTTTGGCAATGCGGAAAGCGAGCGAGATCTGGATTTGCAATCTGCTCAGATAGAGCGCTCGCTTTCCGTAAGTGAGCTCGTGTGGGAGAGAGGATCGAGGAGGACGAGAGAAAGAGAGAGAGATGGCGTGTAGTCCGCCAGCAACCAGAGACAATCAGGAGGAACAGAATATATAGACGCCTCCCACAGACGTTGAGCAGAAGAAGGCAGGGAGAGAAGGGTCCGGGGGTTTCGTATGGGCAGGCTGCCTTGCCGACGGCAACGCGGCGAGATTGCTCCGCCGGAATTTCAATTTCAAGTCTGGGCTCTCTGCCACTTGGTTTGCTCGTGAGCTGCATAAGCCGTACAGCTCCCACTAGGCGCAATTCACCTCGAGTTCACCATAAGAGTTTGTATCAAACGTGGCTTCGAGGAGGTGTACTGCATGAATCAGAACCTTGACCACCGACCCTTCAGTCTCTGCGTTGTCACGAATGACGTTGAGCGGAATTCCTCTCTAGCACCTACAACTGTCGTGTGGGCGCCCCGGTCCTTTTCGAAGCGAAAGGACTTGGCAAGACGGTACAGGTATGGCCCGAAAATGGGCCGCTTTCGATTGGCAGAGCTATCGTCGGCCGGTAAGTGTCACAATCTCCACGTGCAGCTGTGCACTCTTGGCTCTGAGCTTGTAGCATTGTCTGGGGTACGGAACAAGATATGGAGATCCCGAGTGCAATTGAGGATACAAAGTTGGTCATTTAGCTCAATGTTCACCATGCGAGCGGGAATACGAGTCGTTGCCAGCATGAAGCTCCGGCTGCTGGGTCTGCACTCTGAAGGGAGCTTGTTTCGTCAACACAATCCAGAGACCGTTCTGGTCTGGTGCTGATTAGGACTATGGGTGGTGCGGCCAAGCTTGTTCCTAGGTCAATTCCCGCGAAAGGTATGGGCTGAAGACTAGATCATCTCACTTTGACTTCTGCCCCTTCCTATTGGGCATACGGGCCTATCTTCGCCGTCCCGCGTACGCTGACCTTGAGCTTTACACCTCATCCTTCTCGGCACTGCGACTTCGACCGCTCTGCCTCCCGTTAATGTAATCCTGCCCGATGATACCGAGCGCTCCGTCGAGAATGTCGACCATAGCTTGCTCAATCCACGGATTCTGCTCAAATGATTGCGACACTAAGCAGATGGGAGACGAACAAAGCAAGGTTTGTTGAGTCAATAAACAGCGGGTTCTCTTCACGAGTCATTGCTCTTGTCTTGCTGCTTGTCCTGACACTCACACCATGAGACCGGGAAGCATTGGCTACACGTCCTGTGGCTCAGTCCGTGACTTGGATCCTGCAGCAATAGCAGGAAGGAGACATAGAGCTGATCCGCTGAAGAGGAGGGAGAAGTCGATGAGGATTGTGAGGGCGTCGCGGACGTTGATGTGCCCTTGAACGATCCAGACCCAGGCAGAGTAGCATGGACGGCTTGAACTCTGAGGAAGACAGGACAATAGCTGACAGGTACAGTCACGCTGTTCGTCTTCGGGCGTTCTGGCTCGTGGGTCTCGATCAGGGCTGACAATGCTTTCTGCCAAGCAGACAATGTGTTGCTGTCAGTCAGAAGGCCTCGGTGAAGCAGCCAGCTTTGCGGCAACTCACCTCTGCTGTCGCCCATGCCTCCTCGTAACCATCCATGGCTTTCATATCTCGCTCCTGAGATCCTCCCTCTTGAGCCTCTCGCGCATCGCTGCTCTGACGAGCCCGCGGCGCTTTGTTCACGATGAGCTGATGCTCCAGTCCTCTGCTGACTTGAGACTCCATGACACGCGCAAAGACCTGGAACGTCACGTCTTCCACCCCATCGAAGCCCACCATATCGTGGGAGAGGGTCACTTGAATAACCTCGTGGGCTGAGATTGGAGGGGCAACTGCATTCAACACCTCCGTCCATCCCCTCTTTCCAGCTTTGCCCAAGTCTTCCCCTAACAGCGTCAAGACAAGACACCACGAGCCGTCAGCACCGAACCGCCCAAGTCCGAGACACAGCATCCTCGTCTCACTCACCAAGTTTCTCCAGCCCCGCCTCCTTGACGAACCCTCTCACATTTTGAGCCAGGCCCCATCCTCGGTTGGTCAGCTCTTTGGCCTGCTCACTCTGGGCTCTCTTTTCCAATTCGGCTCGCGCTTGATCTGCTAGCTTGCTAGCGGTAGACCACACACTACCCCAGCTGTTCCATCCTCCGCTGCTGCTGGCCGTCGCTGAGGCTTGTGAAGCTGCTTGCTGCTGCTGCTCTGGAAGAGGGGCCGCCCCCAGCTTCGAAGCCGCCTGAGCGGCTACAGAGTCACCTTCATCAATGGGCGCCGAGGGCGACCGTGTGAGTCCTGCTCCCGCGGATAATGGTACCGTCGCGGTCTCCGGTATACCGGTGGTCGCGGGGGCGCTGGGGCTGGGAGAGTCAGGCGAAGCTGCTCCGTGAGATGAGCCCTGCGTCAGCTCTGCTACACGCTTTGGCGTGGCTGCTCGTCTCTGGACTAGATTGTCAAGATCGTCGAGGAGGCTTTGTGCGTCATCATCGGCCCCTCGAATGTGTGAAGGCTGCGCTCGAGCGGAGGTGCGCTTGGTGGAGGAAGTGGCCGAGGAGGCACGCGGAGGCGCGGTAGCAGCGTCGGTCCCAAGACTGTCAAGGTCCGACAGAAGCGCCTCGACGGAGTCTCGGCTTGACTTGGCGGGCATCGTGACGACTGGATTGGGTAGGATGGGATGGAGGTGAAGCCCTTGGGCATTTAAGCCCTGGAAGCCATGGGGCAAGCAGCGTGAGACCGAGAGCTGCCCGAGGTGCGCACATGGCAATCGCTTCGACTTGGCAGGCATGACGCCCCGGTCCGACTGCAAGCCACGCGGTGCCTGAGCTGCTGCACGCCGTCATCGTCGCCAGATGCACAGGGTGCGGGGGGGGGTAAGGGTCGACAAGTAGTCTAAGTCCTATCTTACCTCTTCGTACTTCTGGGCAGCCCCCGGAGCTGCGCGGCAGCCTCCTTTCCCCCTCAGCGTCTTCTTTTCAACCTTCTCCCTGTATTGACTTGTGTCTACGAGATTGCCAGACCTAGGGAGGCAGTATAAGAAGGGTCGCTTGCAATCTGGCATTCCTCAACGTCCTGGGCGCAGCAAGGCCACTACTTTACTGCCGCTGTTAATAGAGCGGAGAATTGCTTGCTGCGCCCTCGCTACGCGTCCAACCGAACCGCTTCCCCGGCTAAAAAGAGAGGTCCGTACGTCGTCGGTCACTCCGTCTTTGCTGTCACCCCCGGTCCTTCTTGGCAAACACAGGCACGCAAACGCAAACGACGAGGAAACAATTTGGGTCAAACCCCGTGCTGAGCGTGCGCAGAGGATAATATAATATAACAACCGCCTCCCACGAGCTCTCGCTTGCCCTTCAAACCAGCCTGACGCTTGTGGTGCTCACCTCAAGGCAGCAAGGGATGGCCTCTTACTCACCAACGGAATCTTTCACTGATTCATCGCCATCTACATCGACTCCCGGCCGTCTGGTCATCCCAGATCGACCCTGTCCGCATGGCTACCTTGCGAATCCCCATCAAGAAGCAAAGCAAAGAGGATGGAATGCCTTCTACGGATTGCTCTCGTCTCCGCCAGAGATATTTCAGAGTGAGTACGAGGCAGCATAGGGGTCAGTATACTTATTGGGTAACAGCTAACATCATGCTGTCTCTGTACCTGCTTCACAGATCTCGGCGAAAAAGCAGGGGTGGCTCGCTATCGTTGCGTTGATCCCTCATTACAGATGACTACGCTGGACACTCTCAAGGGTACCGTCTATATGGAAGGTGTCAAGCCAGTAGACGTCTTCAGTTGCATTCACCAAGCCGCATATCGACTGATATGGGATACAAGATTAGCCTCGGCTTCTATTATCGAACGGTATAGCCAGACAGAATTCATCTTCTACCTGGTCACAAGGGGAATAGGTCCCATCTACTGGGAGAGAGACGTAGTCGGCTGTCAATTCTCGCGTTCTTATCTCGCTGACGGATCGATGGCGGAGGACATCGTCATGGCGGATTGCCCCCTTGTGGACATCATGTGGACAAACGTGGAGCGGCCGGATATTGGTCCACAGGAGGGTAAGATGAGAGCGCAGATAACCCTGGCAGGATACCGGATAGAAGCAAGGGGAAACGGCTGTCAAGTGACCTACTTTGTCTCCATCGACTTGGCCGTTCCCATTCCCGCTTGTGAGTCGAGGAAGTTTGGCTCCAGTGTCCTGCGTGCAAAGTCCGCTGAACTCATAGCCTCTCCTCCGCAGTCATCCGCAAGGCACTCTGTAACGACCTTCCCGTCGCCCTCGCCCGGCTGCGAGACGCCATACCTACCTTTGGCGTTCCTCCGTATGTTCTAGATCATCAACGGTGTATTGCTCTCCAGCAACACTACTGGGATCCAGAGACGAGAGTGAGCGTCATCATCGCGGTGACTACCTCTCCAGGGACGTTTGTAATCATGTTGGACAGCATGAGGATGTATCCCTCTGGTGAGTCTCAATTGGGCGAAGCACGTCTGTAGGAGGAGTGACAAATGAAAATATCGCCTCTGATCCTTTCTCCCCACATCCTTCATCTGATAGGCATTCTGATGCCAACAATCACAGGGCAAGGCGCAACCTCTGTGACCATCCAAGAAGCCTTTACAGGCGATCGCATTTTCGTCCACCTTAGCGAATCAGGTCTCTTCCAAGAGTGGATCCTGGTGAGTCGACGCAGTGTCAGATACATCGTAAGAGTCTTGTTGCTGACTCACACCTGGCCCTTTCGACACCTGCATAGACGTTCGAGCCAAGGGATCAGGATCCAGAGCCGACAGATCAGAGTAGCTGGTGGTAGCAAACGACGGAGAAAAGGGATACCAAAAAAATTAGATGTAGCGGTCAAAAGGAGTTTGACGACGACACTGTAGTTTACTTGTTAATATTTTTCCCCACTCCCCCGCCATTCCCACCCTGCCTAAACTCTTCACGCTCGCCTTTGCCACTTACCATTGGCAAGCGAGTATCTTCTTCGTGTTGTATAATGTCCCTCCACGATTGTGTCTCTCCCAAACGAAAGCAACATCAGCATTCTACTATCCTCGTTGCAGTCAGTCCTCACTGGTGCATCTGCGGTGCATGAGAAGAGCCCCGGCCACTAGAGAGGGCGGCTGGTCCGTCATCGTCTTCTTAGCTCCGACACAGGCACAGACACAGGCGAAGAGGCACAGGCGCGCGGGCGTGGGGATGCAATCGCTTCTGGACTCTTGTCTGGATTGCGCTTCCCCGCACAAGGCATGACGTCGAAGGCAGACGAGCAGAGGTGCGGGGGGGGGGGAGAACAGTCGACGTCTGCCTGCCTGTCTGCCTGCCTGCCTGCCTGCCTTGGCTTCCATGCACTGCAGGCCCATGTGCCTTTTTCCCCACCTCCCTCGACTCGACGGCGTTTCGCCTTTCACGGCTTGCGGCTTCCTCCTGTCTCCCTCTCTCGCATCCATCCATCTCTCTCTCTACCCAACAAACCAGGTCTCCATTCGTTTCTCCATTGAACTTGTATTCCGCAGCTTGCTTTCTTCTTCTACCTGGACTCTCCCTCGCCTCTCATACCCTATACGGTCATCGCAGCAATTGCAAAACGCCGCACCTTTTCATACCCATCCTGCCCATCATGTCTTTGTCTTCCCTGCCACCCACGAGGAGAGCAACAAGATCAACAACTTCATCTTCATCATCGACACCAGCAGTAGCAGCAGCAGCAGCAGCAGCATCCGGTAGAAGACGGCCGATGAGTCGTCTCGCCCTCCTTTCTGCCTGGATGTCAGTGGCATTGCTCGCAATCGTCACCGGTCTGATGATGGCAGGACCTGTACAGGCGCAGAGTGACGCCCCTATTGGACCACTCACCACCAACAATGCTCAGAGCGCTTGTGTGGAATATGGAGATTGTAAGTGGCCGCTCCGCACTTGAGTTGAGGGCGTCATCGCAGGGCCCATTGGAGGAGCGCGGGCAGGAGGCTGGAAAGGACCTTTCCCTGGAGGTCCTCAGGCGTTGCCGATCGAAATGCTGCTCTTGTCTCATATTGTACTAGCCCTTCTGACCGACTAATTTCCCTTTGCTCTCGCTCTCCTTTGCTTCTTCAGGTACCGCCCTCCCAGCTGGAGCTACAGCCACTTCCCTCACCCAGCTCGGCCCCGTCAGCTCCGCCGCCACTGATTCCCCCGTGTACGCCGCACCATCCAACTCGGCAGAAACAGACGCCTCCCTCTCCGTGCAAGCCGTCAGCGGTGGTTCAGCAGCCTACAGCGCAACTGCCACCGGTTCACAGGCTAGCGTCGATTATTTCAGTACAGGAACTTTCACGGGTACACCGGCTGTTACGAGTATTGATTATGATACTACTGGAAGTGCACCTGCGGAGGGGAGCGCAGCAAGAAGGGCATTGCCGGCTGTGGGCAAGGCAGGGTTGGCAGGTCTGATGGGAGTGGTCGCAGCAGTGGTGGCAGGAGCGGGGATGGTCTTGCTTGCCTAAGGGTGGGATCAAGAAGGGTTGGAGGAACCTTTATTCCCGCCGACGCAAAGAGTACAGTAAAATACCATGCTTCCCTTCAGCTTGCTTCAGATTCTCTTCTTGAACTTTTCCCGAAATCATGTATTGCTCCCTCGTCTTTGCTCCTTCTTGCAAGCCAATCTGTATATCTGCACTTCCTGGCAGTGAGATCGTGAGAGGAGGACGATTGGATGTTTCCGAGCAAGTACCTCTTCGCTTCACAATGGTAGACAGGCCGCGACTCGCACGACACGTGGGAATGAGATGAGATGATAGACAATGTCCAATGACAAGTATAAAGAACAAGCGGGAACAAGTACATGTACAAGGCAAGATACAATACGAGGCAGAGCAGGAGAGGCAGGGGTCATAGACGATGATTCCGCAGACAAAGGATGTACGAGGGGGGTTAATCAGTGAGACATGCGCCGAGGGGAAGTGACAGGCAATCAGGTAGCCACCTGCCTCCTTGTCCTCTTCCCACCAGACTCATCACTATCAGCCGTCCTCTTCGAAGCAACAGCAGCAGCAGAAGTGGGCTCTCGCGTAGCACCTGCTGTACCCGCACCCCTTGTAGTAGCAGCACCACCACCAGACTGACTGGACATTCGGGTCCCCGTCGCTCCTACCCTGGCTGGAGCGCTGATGGACAGCGCAGCCGCGTCCAGACTCAGCTGTCTCGTGGAGACGGCGGGACTGGCAAAAGCCGCCAGTCCCTTTCTGCCCGCCACCGCCGCTGCTGCTGCCGCCGCCGAGGGAGTTTGGCCCCTAGCAGGTGTAGTCTCACGGCTGGCACCCAGTGCACTGCGACCACTGGACGACTGCATCGACTCGTCGGCAGGGGCTACAGGCGTTCTGGGACTTGCGTGCGGGAAAGGCGAGAGGGAGGAAGGTGCTGGACTGCCCGATGGCATCCGCCGCCGGCCGCCGCGGCCACTTGTCGCTCGAGAGATGGCCATCTTTGCAGGCGAAGGGTCGGGTGTCGGCACGGTCTGCTTTCGGGCAGGCGCTGCTGATGCAGCCTGACTCGTTCTGTCCTCCCTCGTGGGCGGAAAGACCGTCTTCGTCGAGGTGACTGAGCTGGGCAGCTTGAGGCTAGGAGGGAGTGACACCGCTGGTGCGTAAGAGGTGAGAGGAGATGTCCACCCGGCTCCTGCAGTCAGAGACGAGTTCATCCTTGACCACACTGAGACGAAGAGCATCCTTTTCAGTCGACGATTGTAGAAGAAGGCGTACGTGGACCAGAGCAGGCCGCCGGTGCCATCGACGTCGTCATCGTCTTCCATATCGAGAGAGCTGGAGGACGAGAGACTGCTCGATACATAGCCTGCTCCACCTCCCACCCCATCTCGAGGGCTCCTCGCATCCTTGCGCGGAGTCATAGAAGACGGGAAGGCCTGAGCCGCGCCGGAAGCAGTCTGATGAGGCATGTGAGGCGTGTGAGGTCCGTCACTGTCTGCATACGCCCCGCTGCTCGAATTCATTCCGCTTTGGGCCCAACTCTGATGCTGCGCCCTCGTTTGGAAACCTCCCTCAAGATCTTCGTCGAAAAGGGGTGCATCCAGCTCAGCGCTTCCTCGCCTAGGTGTTACGACATTAACACTCTGCATAGAGACGTCTGCGTCTTCGTTCCAGAAGCCGTCAGACGGATCATCGAAGTCCATGCCCTCCTCGTCTGGCTCAGCACAAGCATGGGGATCCGAGTCCATGTCGGGGTGGAATGTGTAGACGTCACATTCTCTGATATCCATAATGTCGTCCAGTAGGCTGGCCAACCCAGCATGCGTCGCACCCGTCATTGCACTCATTGACTTGCCGGAAAAGTCTTTGGGACCACTGGCGCCAGGCAGCGAGTAAGATGTGTGACCGGGCCGGTCCAGCATGGCATCGTCGAACGATCCGGTGAAGGTCGAGTAGGATCGAGGACCACTGGAGTTATTGCGGAGACTGTGGAGGGTCGAGCTCAGGCTGTGAAGTACTGAGGCTGGACTAGGCTCTTTGCGAAAGTCGGACGGATTGACTTGACTGAAGTCGTGGTCAGGAAATGCGCCATTGAGTAGGGCAATGAGGAGAAACAAGGTCTTCCTTGCATTCGGTTGATCGAGTCTTCCAAAAGGCGATGCCAATGTCTCGTGGAGATAGTCGGGAGGCGAGGTAGAAGCCGCCTGATGGTACGCGTCTTCCAAGGCCTTGTAGAGGCGCTTCTCCTTACTGACTGCTTTACACGAGTAGGCTTCGAGACGCGTAAACACCTTGCACTCGGCAGATTCGAATGTGAGTGCTCGAGACAGAGACTCCAGCTCGGGATAGTCGAGGAACTTCATCCTGAAAACAGAATCGCTGTGAGATGATACAGCAATGATTTTGGGGTCAGTCTATTGCTCCAAGCAAAGTTGCTGCCCATTCTCAACACCCGCGCCTCGCGATCCGCAAGCTTACGGGGCTTGTCTCTTACGGCGGCGCCTTGGAAAGTTGGGCATCCGAAGACATACGTACCTGGTGGGTGGACAACGCCAAGGCAAGATTGAGAGCTAGCTTTCACTCAGTCTCTGTCGATTGCGTGGATGGCTATCGAAGCGAGGGACCAGGCTGAGCCTTGGATGGTAGTGAGATTGGTCTAGGCAACGGGCTCCGTGAACACGCGTGGATTGCGTGCCCTCTCGAGATGAGCTATGCCCAGTAGAGGAGGTGAGTGTGGTCGATGAGTATCGAGGATTAGATCTAGAGATGGAAGGGAATGAGACAGGAGCAGTGGTGATCAGGACTTCGTTGGTGGATGGGCGTGGTCGGGAGGGCGCGTGCCCTCCACTGTCGGCATCGTGGGCCTGCAATGCGGAAGTGGGCGTGCCCCATCGTTCAATGTAGGGATACTCACGACCAGATGATCTGCCCTTCTTGGCAGAGTATGAAGGTATTGGGAAGACGATGCTGTGAATTGTTCGGAGTACAAGTGTGGATGGGCAACTTGGAATGATAGGGGAAGTGGAATGGAGGAGGGTCTACCCAAGTCGCCGTCGAGGTCAGGCTGGGCACTGCAGCCAGGGAGATGGGCCCCAGGCAGTACAACGCGGATGCGGAACGGGGGCGCCATGGGCGCCGTGAGAGAGGCGCCGCGCGCCACGCCCCGACTGCCAGGGCCGAGAGATATTTTGAGGGGCCGAGGTTGAGAGTGGGCTGCTAACCAGGTCAGGCTCAATGGTCATCGCCGTGGCCGTAGCACAAGAGTAGACAGCAAGCGCAACTCAGCCAGCTCGGAAGACGGCGTGAGTGATCCATGCTGCTGATGCTTTGCCTCGCCAGCTGTTCGATGAGTGGAAACAAACGGAGAGACTTTCTGGACGGCGCCAACCTTGAGCAAGTACGCTCAGACGCTAGCTGCGAAGGCACGGCAAGGGCAATTGCCCCAAGGCGCTGATGAAGCTCATCTAGGAGGTCAAGGACCCTCGCGATGCTGCCATGGCTGGAGATGAAGGCTGTTGATTCCAGCCATATGCGCCCAGGAGGATGTGGTGGGGAAGAAGAATGGTTTGTGTGGCACACGAGCCTTGTTGAGCTCGGGCTGAAGGCCTTTCACGTCATGGAGAGCTCGTTGCTGGCTGTCAAGGGCGTACGAGTGTTGTTGAAAGTGATGTAGCTATAACGGGGCGATGGAGCAGGAAGAAGTGTGAGCCGTTCTTGCTTCCCAAAGGGAACTGTAGCGTCGCAGCGTGTGCCTGCTTTTGTCGCCTGTGGGCCAAAACTCGGGTTCAGGCCAGGAATCAACCCGACGCGGCGCCTGCACTCCACTCCACTTAGGCCATTGTCGCCCGCCTCCGTCCCTACCTCTTTCGCTGACAGCTTACCCTCGACCGCCTACCGTCTACCACACCCGCACCGAATCCCTCGCCTCGCCTCAGACGCCCTCTTGCCCCTTGCTCTGGGGATTCCTACCACATACAGCCCTCCCCCTCCACGTTCGCAGTCATGGATGTTCCCATCCTGGGGCCAATCCTTCGGTGGCTTCAGGCCCTCTTCTTCTCAAAGCACCTCCAGATTGCCATTCTGGGGCTGCAGTCTGCCGGTAAGACCTCACTGGTCAATGTCATTAGCAGTGGACAATTTTCCGAGGAGATGGTTCCTACAGTGGGCTTCAATGTGAGTACATCGCCATGCGCAGGGAAGGGAAGGGGGGGGAGCAAAGCCGAAGCCATGCTGACCATACGAGACGTCTCGGCTCTCACTCTCGATATCAGATGAGGAAGATTCAGAGCGGCAACGTACAGATCAAGATGTGGGACATTGGGTGAGTAGAGAGAGGTCTGCTACTACCTGAGCCCACTCCGCCTCTCATCACTTCACTCTCTTTCTCTCTTGGCCCTCTTTGCCTCGATAGCGGACAGCCTCGCTTCCGGTCCATGTGGGAGCGCTACTGCAGAGGCGTCTCCGCCATTGTATTCGTAGTAGACTCAGCCATCCCTCGCCCCTCTACAGAACAACAACCAGCATCAGCAACTTCCACAGCAGTAGAGACAGCGCCGGATCCCTCAGCAGACAAGCAAAGTCGCGCAGCTGCCCTCACTACAGCTGCCGGTACGGGGTCAGCTTCGAGTAGACTGGCCAATATAGCGTGGCATACCGCTACGGAGGAGTTGCATGCATTGGTTAGCAGACCGGAGCTGGCGGGGATCCCATTGCTGGTGCTGGCGACGAAGAATGATGTCAAGGGGGCAGCGAGCGTGGAGGAAGTGATCAAGGTGATGTGAGTATCGAACACTGGGCGGAAGCACGCATGAATGGACGAGCCTGCTTAACGTTCTTCTCGATCTGTTGGCTCCTCCTACCACAGGAAGCTAGATACCCTACGAGCTCGGGAAGTCTCTTGCTACTCAGTGTGAGTGAAGGCCACAGAGAGATCCTTTGGCTCCCCGGGCACTGATGACCTGAAATGCCTGCCCTTCTCTCCCGCTCTCTTGCTTCCTAGCTCGTCCAAGACACAATCCAATATTCCGCGGACAATGCAGTGGCTTTGTAATCGTCAACCACTAGGTACGGGCAAGTGAGGGAGGGACGCAGGCTGGCATACCTCCTCGGGCATATCGCCGAGCGCGGCACAGCGTGCGGTTATTTAGGGGAGCAGAGCGAGGCAAGCATGAGGCCGTATAGGTCGAGGTCACGGATGTAGGGAACCGGCGGTCTGGAGGACCGGGCCTGTGCGCTCTGCTCTACGCCCAATCTACCTGTCCAGCAAGGAATTGACGGCAAGACGCCTTCGCTGTATTGCTTGCTGCTGCTGCTGCTGCTGCTGCTGCTGCTGCTGCTACTGTCTAGAAGGTCCCTTACACTGGACCTCGGACTTCTTTGGCGCTCTCTACCCCCTCTGTCACTTTGTAACTGTATGTATCCGTTTGAAAGTGCCTCACACAATACAATGCCATGCCATGTCATATGAGGTCACGTTCAGACTAGCCAGATTGGAGAATCACCCACGATCGCACTGCTGATCGCGTGGGTGGGTAGTGGACGAGGTGGGAGAGACATGAGTGGGATATTGATATTGATGAAGATTGGAATACAGGACACGACGTTACAAGACAAGAGAAGAGGGGAAGAAAGGCTGAGGGAAGCTAGTGTGAAGGCTCAACAGACAGGCGGGGGATTGATTCTCCCTTCCTGTCGTCAGACCTGATGGAAAAAACAGCAGGACGACTGGCCTTAGTGGGCGAGACCATGGTTTCCCTGAGTCTGCTCGCGCTCCAACTTTGCCTTGTTGGCGGCAAAGGCCGTGCTCCGGATAGCATTCGTCTGCGGGCAGGCGTGCTGTTCAGGCAAACGATGCTGGGCGCAGTGAGCCTTTACGCAGTGGGAGCAAACACCAGCAATGGCCAGCGCAGCATTGGAACACCGTTCCTCGGGCTTGTCGACGTTGTGCTGGCAGCGCTTCTTGGCTCCTCCTCGTAGCCGCAGGACGAGGTGAAGAGTGGACTCCTTCTGAATATTGTAGTCAGAAAGAGTCCGGCCATCCTCGAGCTGCTTGCCTGCAAAGATCAAACGTTGCTGATCGGGTGGGATACCCTCCTTGTCCTGGATCTTGGCCTTGACATTGTCAATTGTGTCGCTGCTCTCGACTTCGAGAGTGATGGTCTTGCCGGTCAAGGTCTTGACAAAGATCTGCATACCACCCCTGAGCCTGAGCACGAGGTGGAGTGTGCTTTCCTTTTGGATGTTGTAATCCGAAAGGGTCCGGCCATCCTCGAGCTGCTTGCCGGCGAAAATGAGACGCTGCTGGTCAGGGGGAATACCCTCCTTGTCCTGAATCTTGGCCTTGACATTGTCAATGGTATCCGATGACTCGACCTCGAGGGTGATGGTCTTACCGGTGAGGGTCTTGACGCTATATGCGGCAGCAAGTGGCAAGAGATAGCAGTATCAAGTCAGCCTTACTACTCCTCCTAACGTTCCAGGTTCCTCTGCTTGCCAGCATAGCTCCCAAAATGAACTCACAAGATCTGCATCTTTGTAGTGATGTGGCGATAAGGGTATTGCTAAGTAATCCTAGTCACGCGATGTGGTCAAAGTAGCGGCGATAAGGCGACGTGCTGCTTCTATGCGGATGCTGCGACGATGGCTAGTGGCTGAGCTAGGGTATCGTATGCTGAAGGCGAAGTCTAGCGAGCGAACTGGTTGCTGAGAGTTGAAATCGTTGGTAAGGAAAGGTGAATGGATTGGGGATAAGGAGAGGAAAGAGATTAGGGGCGAGCTTAAGCGGTGGGTGGGATGAGTCGTTGCCTAGGAGCCGGCTACGCAATTGCCGCCGCCCTGCTCGGGGCTCGGCGGAGGCGGAGCAGAGCGGGGAGGACAGGCGTCGTCAGCGTCTGGCGCGCGCGAGGACACAACACGCACAAGTGGAGCTTTCCTGATGCGGGCGGGCGTCGAATCTCAAGGAACGGCCGAGACCCCGATCGCACATCTCCCCCCCTTTCCGCACTCGTTATCACATGGACCCACACGTTGGGGTGGTGCCTTCAGCATCGTGTCGGTAACCACGGCCACAACGTCACTTCAAGCCGACGGACAGGCTCTGAGCTTGATGATGATCATGCTAGGTAATACATGGATGTCACGGCATTTTCTTGGACCGCCAGCATCCGCCAAGCAAGATCACAGTGACGAGTGTCAGCAGGGTAGGACATGGCATGTCAATATGTAGGAAGAATGTACAAGGCGCCGCATCTAACCGGTAAGGCTCTTCTCGTGCCCAAGCTCGTCCCGCTCTTCTCTCTCCTTGCGCACCTCTCTGGGAACCAAGACAGCAGCGGCAATAAAGTAGATAGCGGCAAGGAGGGCAGCCCAGACAAAGATGGGGATCGAAGTCCAGCTGGGAGGGTCCCACCAGGTCCAGATGCCAAATCCGGTTGCAACGGTTGCAATGGCAAGCCCAAAAGTGGTCAAGCCTACGAAGATGTGCGAAATTCCGATCCAGCGAGATGGCTGTTTACCGGCAGCTATCGCTTTGTGTTTGTAAACGTGGGCCACTTGACCAGACATGCCCTGCACCACGCTGAGGATGGTAGTGGCAAGGCCTAGCTTCTCGTGCCTCTTCTTAAAGTGGGTCGACCCTTGAGCTTGCACGGCTCCGACGGCGAGGAAGAAGCCGACGAGACCGAACAGGATCGCAACCGATTGGATAGCACGGTGAGCAGGGAACCACTTGTACGCGAGCCTCCCAAAGCGGGCGACTAGAATTCCAATGGGGACCAAGAGGACCCATGCGATGAGCATGAAGGACATGTGGGCGATCCAGACGCGGTTCTCGTGGTAGCTTAGCGCTTTCCCGTTGGTCGTAGAGGAGGCGCCGTTGCTTCCACTGCTGGTAGTGGCGGGGTTGGCGGATACTGCAGCACCTCCAAAGGCAGGCAAGGCCGTCACGCCACTAGGTACGGCGGGTGCGGCTCCTGCATATGCCTTGGTGAAGTCCATGTTGAAGTCTCCGTAGTCATTGTGTTTGTTAAAGCTGGAGCTCGAATCGCTGCTAGCGGGGGCATTCTGGGTATTGACACCCCAGATGTGAGCCATGGCGTTGCCCGGATCGGATGTCTGGGGGAAGCTCCAGGAGACAATGGTACTGTCCGAAGTGATGCGGCTGACGTTTCCTCCGGAGGCAAAGGTGCCAGGAGCAATGGCCTCGGTAGGTAGTCTGTCTCCTGCCGCGCCTCGATGGGACAGGACAGGGGCGCCATCGTAGACCCAAGAGATGAGCATGTTTGAGCCCTTCATCTTAGAACCTTGGCCCACTGCAGTACGAGGATGTGGTGTGGTATAGGTCAGTACGATGCCTGAAGGGTCTGCCTTTGATGCCTATTGGGTACTTACCAGCCCTCCAACCTGTATATGAGCCCTTGACGACCATTGTATAATTGATTGCCTGGTCTTTCGCTGAATAGATGGCCGAAAGGCAGAAGTCTTGACCATCGATGCAGACGGCATCGCCCGTGTACGTCTGGGAGCTGGGGTCAACTTGAGCGCGAGCAGGAGCTGCTGAAGAGAGGAAGACGAGGCAAAGAAGTGCGATGAACGCAGAGAGTCTATTCATGTTGGACATCGGGTGGTATAGGGTATGATGAGTGAGGTAAGTGGGAGAGGAAAAAAGATCGGGCAGGGCAGATATACAAGAGGAGCTTCGCTTCCTTCCAGGGGACGGGAAGTTGGGACCGGGCCGACGAATACGCTTTGTTGACGTATTGTCCTACGGGCGAGCGGGGGCGTGAGTGATGGCTGAGGAAAGTAATGACCACCCCTCAAGGGACCGAGGAACTAAATAGGTGGCCTCGCTGTTCCTCACTCAGGTACCAACGAACGAACGGACATCACCACCCACCCTTGGGCCACTCGCCACACCGCCTTCAGGACGGGAAATGATTGGGTGAGCAACGGTCGTCGGTCGTGCGTCGTGCATCGCCCTCCTAAATCGACGGATGCGCTGTGGCAAGGGCGAGGCAGGACAAAGGAGCCCGGTAGCCAGATCCTCGGCAGAGCTTACTTGGTAGAAGCTGACTTTGGGAACAGGTGGATGACATTCTCGGCAGAGTCGACTTAGTAATCCAGAGTCGATAACGGCACCAACGTCGTTAGTGTCCGCCAATCGCTTCTTGTGATATTCTGGGATGTCGCCTCACCCGATGTAGGGAGAAGCCTGCGCTGCCTGCCTGCCACCTGCCCGCTTGTTACCTTGTCCATATTTTAAGCGACCGCCGATCCTTTTTTGTAATTGGGCAGGGGGAGGCGCATTTTATTTGAAATTGCACAAGGAGGCAGGTCGGGACAATCGGCACCTCGAGCGCGGGAGAGGCTCTGCTCTCTGCCTGCTGTGCCTGCCGCTCCACCCCCGCCTTCGGCTCGCGATTCTCAATAGGATCAGGGTCCGCAAGGCATTCACGTCGTAGCAGAGGCAAGAGCGGTGCGACCAGCCGATCAACGTCATGCAGGGTTTGAATTCGACAGATCCGAACAATCTCTCACAGTAAGGGTCCTGCAAACAGACGCTGCCCTCAGTCTGGGTGGATGGGCGCCCACGTCTGACTGGCAGCAGGCTCTGCTTCGTCAGTAGGAACCGGCCGATCGCGCCTCCTTACTCCCCCCTAGCGAAGAAGTGCAGCGACGCTCCCTGGGAATTTGAAATGATCGGAGCGTTATAGGAGAACATGGGCGTCAGCAAAAGCCATTTTGGGGGCCCATCTTCCGCCGGTCTGGCTCTCCGGACTACGCCTGGTGCAAGACTCCGAGTCGGACTCGAGTCGCACCACTGACGTACAGAGAGGATGAGGTCGTCATCGCCCCTGAAAGTCATTTCTCTCAAAGAGCATGTCGCGGAACTCTATGCATTGTGAGGCGGAAAGTGGGAGAGCGTGATGTGCTCGAGAGATAGAGGGCGATGATGATGGAGGAGGAATGCTCACTATGCAAAGCAAACGATTGTACAAGTCGCGCCCACCGTCGAAGCGGTTTAGATCGCCAGCTAGAATCCCAGTCCACCCTTGCTCGTCTTGATGGTAGCACCAATGGGGTCCGCCATGCCACCGCTAGCGCCCACACCAGAGCCTTCTGCCCAGCCCATCATCGTCAGGAGTCTATGACCGACATTGTCCGCTCCAATTCTATCTGCACCCCACCCGACGGCCGAGCCATCCATGTTAGAAGGAGCACTTCCTCCCATCTTTCCAAGCCCACCACTACCACCACCAGCTGATTTGCCACCCTTTGCCGCCTTGCCCTTCTTGGAAAGACCGCCTCCAAAGGAAGCTTCTCCACGGCCAGATAGGATCGACCGCACTTTGCGTGTGTCGACGTTGACACCGCTGCGTGAATTCTTGATGAGCGTGGTGAACCTGGACCGTCCTGCACCGCGAGACTTGGACACGAGAGAATAGGCGCTGGCGAGCATGTGGACCTGCGCTCGGGCACGCTTGTCCATCGGCGGGAGAGAGAGCGTCGTGTGCCCGGCATCGTCCAGGAAGCGGTGTATCTGAGCATCGAGCTCGACCAGGTTGCCCGCCTTGCGATCCATCAGGCCTGCGCCGCCAGAGTACTCCTCGTCCCAGGCAGCTGGGTCGTCCTCTGTGCGAGCCGCACGTCGAGCAGCACGAGCAGCCTTCTTGGCCATCTTCTTAGTCCCCTTCTTGTGAGTGTTCAGATATGGCGTCTGAGCTGCTGCCTTGCGTTCCTCGGCTCGCTTCCTCTTGTTATCCGCCTTGGTAGCTCGGTCCTTCTCCCACTGCTTCTGCAGCTCCTCGGCCCAGATGTCATCGCTCTTGAACTTCTTCGCTTTGCTCTTCTTGGCAGGCGAAAGACCCATCAACTCATCGTCATCGAGGTCATCTCCAAAGTCTCCGTTTTCAATGGCCTTGAAGAGGCGGTTGCGAGCTTTGCGATCGCTGCCGGTGAGGATGTGATGATTAGCCTGGGCGTACTGCTCGAGTTTGTTGATGAAGCTCTCGTCCTCGGCAGCCCATGTGAAGTTCCGATCGAAGAGGCGACCATCCTCATCGTCGTCGGAGTCTGCGTCTTCATCATCTTCATCATCTTCGTCATCCTCGCTATCGTAGGTCCCATCCCCATCGTTGTCGCTGCTGCCATCATCGTCGGATTCTCCGATCTCTTGCTGCTCCGCAAGCTCTAGTACCTCATCTAGTTCAGCATCCTTATCCTCGTCGCTCTCTTCCTCTTCATCTCCTCGCTGACTGCTGTCGTCGCCGTCCTCAACTTCAACAGTAACTTCGGTGAGCTTGCTATCTTCGACATCTTCATCAGCTTCACCGTCGCTCTCAGTCATCCACTCCTCTTCCTCCATGAGCTTCGTCTCGTCTTCAATGTCGCCCAAGGTCATCTGACGACCACCGCCGCCATTGGGGTCCATACCACGCATGAATTTGAGCATGGCATCCATGTCGTCTTCAGAAGCGTCAACTCCTTCCTCGTCCGAATCAGGACGCTGCTTCAGAGCATTCTCCATATAGTCGGCAAGGATAGCCTCTTCCTCCATCTGCTTCCTTGTCAGCTTCTTGCGACCATTTTGATACGTGCTTGGACCTTTGATAAAGATGGAAGAGTAGGAGCCAGAGGGGTCTGCATTGCGGTCTGCGCCGGCGTTGCTCTGATGCATGCTCAACTTCAGGGCATCTTGGAGCATACGCTCTTCCTCGACGCGGGTCTTGGGGGCGTGAGGCGCCGCGCTGAGCGACAGCTCCCTCAGCTGGAACTCGGCTGGGTCAACGTCACCGCTCTTTCGGCCCTTGTGAAAATCAGGCGGGCCGTCACTTCCCCAGTCGAGGTCAGAGTCTCCTGTGCGAGGTTCGCGGGGCTGTTGCTTGTTGGGCAACACAGTAGCGCCGTCGTCACCGCCCGCGACTTGATGCTGACCAGACTTGCGAGCCTTCTGTCGGGCCTTCTTGGCTGCAATACGACTCTTGCGACCAGTAGCTTTCTTGGAAGGTCTGTCGTGGGATCGCGTATCCACAGCAAGCCCGACAAATTCGTCCTCTGACGACTCAGCCATGACATTCGAGTAGGAAGTCTCGGCCCCCTGCAGCCCAGCTCCGTCTTCGTTGTCTGAACCCTCAGATCCTGGAGGTGGCCCCTCGCCAAGCACGAAAGAGCTTGTCGATGGGACAGTGTGAGAAATCTCCTTGTCCGTACGATCTACAGACAGATCATCGCCTGTGAAGTCGAAGACGAAGGGATCCTGAGGTGCAGTGATGGTACTCTCAGCCTGCTCTGCCAAGCTCGAGCCACCAGAGGCAGCAATGATAGCGTCGAGCTGACGCTCTTCCTCCGAGTCAGACTGAGCCTGGGCATTGGGTTGCGTCGACTGCGTGACGCTTGTGCCGGGCTTTGCGGTTTGAGGGATGAGAATCATGTCCTCGTCCCCACTGTCGTCAGAAGATGGAGGAGACGAGCCTGGAGTTGAGGCGGCTGCTGATAGGGGGACTGCCTCCTCCACTTCCTCCATGTCGCCGCTGCCCATGCCTGTGGTAACTTCGTTTGCGCTGGCAGGTGTGATCTGAAGTCCTTGAAGATTATCAAGAGCTCTGCTATTTTGCTGTACGTCCTTTTCGGACATGTCAAAGGGCTTTGGTTGAAAGTGAGAGTCCGGGAGATGCGAGTCCTCGTCAATGTCCAGCTCTCTCGAGCCAGGGAATGCTTGAAGTAGCGCAGCGATCTGGTCCTGCTCTTCGTCTGATGATTGCTGCTGGATCGACCGGGTCTTCTCTCCATCTGTAGAGGCGGGCTCGGCTTGCTTGCCTTTGCTGAAGCCTAGTCCAGCTCCAGAAGGTCGAGCATTGAGCGCATCGTACCTCTGCTGGCTACCTTCGCCCTTCTGCTCCGCATCAGCCCCTTCCTCCTCGACAGGCTCGCCAGATTCATCTTTCCCAGTCCACTTGCCATTCTTCCACTCTCCAGTCGCCTTGACGAACTCGACGGGCTGAAAGTGGGCATTCCTCTGGGCAGGGTCTCCAGAGCGGAAGGATTGCCGTAGACCGCTACCTCGCGACTTGCCGCCGGTCATGCCTGCTAGATATTTGTCATCGCCATGGAGCTCAGATGGTCTAATGGGTCCTGATCCACTGCCTCTGCCGGTGTGAAAGGCGGGGTATTGAGGCTCCTTGACGTATCTGCCCTTCTGAAAAGGGGAGCGCTCGAAGCTGCCACCAGGAGCACCTCCAGAAGCTGCCCGGTAGCCGGGGCGCGGAGAGTCACGAGGCGTATTGTTGGCGGAAGTGGAGCTGCTACCAGCTGGGTACGATGAATGGCTCTCCCCCTCGCTGAGACCAGCGGCGGCCCTCAGCTTGCTCCTACCACTGTGGAGGTTGGCATAGTCGAAGCCTACCGCGTTTGAGCCTCCTCTTGCGCTAGAGGCGTTGCCGAATGCTCTGGCGTAATATGTGGCTGGATCCTCGCTGGTAGACCCCCCTCCTCCTAGAACATTGCCGTTACCAGAGAAGGGCGTGAAGCGAGAGGATGAAGATGACGAAGATGCAGAGGTGCTGCCACCCCTCCCACCTCTTCCGCCTCGACCTCCACGTCCGCCTCTTCCTCCTCTTCCTGACATGGAAGTATAAGACTGTTACCTGCTCGCGGTGACTCTAAGACTGACACAGCTCTTGAAGTCTAAAAGGAACTCGGTATGCTTGAGCTAGGAGAGAACGATGCAAGTATTGGTGGGAGATTAGGGGGTGCAAGAAGTGTGGCAGCGGGGACTTATGGCTCGCCACTTGGCTCTGCCTCGTCGTCGTCCTCACTTCCGTCTCTGCCCTCTGTGCGTGTCAAGTCAGCCTGCATCGTCCCACTGCACGCACGCATTGGCCCGCCTCCCGCTCCTCTCTTCGCAACTCGAGTCACCGCATCAATCATTTACCAGCTGGCCATTGCTCCAGAGCGAGCTCATATTGGATCGCCAGACATCGAACGAGCTCTTGTAGTTTGAGAAGCTTATTTCAGTCAGATCAAACTGGGATTTGCAAGCGCGAAAAACAGTAGTAATAGAACATGACTCTCCACACGACCGGGGTCGAAGAGGGGGAGGGACTGCGAACGAAAGGCGAGACGAAACGAGACGAGGAGACAAAAGACGAGGGCTGGAGAGGAAGGCGATTGAGGTACAAGAGGGCGGGAAAAGGGGAACAAGCAGGAAGGCGCGATAGGCCCGACCCTGCCTGCGCACCCCTCCTGCCACCCTTTGCCTACAATCTCGACGGTTGAAAAAAGAGGGTATCATCGGGAAAACCGGACCGAGCGAGCCTTCACTCCTCCCATCTCACTGGGGGCCCTTGCTGTCCTTCTCTCGCTCCGTCCTCCCCGCGACTCCTGTTTCTGTAGAACAAATGTTGGCATCTATGATCGCTAGAAGTTGGCTAGTCGGGTACTTGACGGATTCCGAGTCGGGTAGGGACTTGTCCGTTTCCTTTAGTACTTGGATCGACCCACGCAGCATGCCAGCAGCAGAGGCACAATGGCCACGGCCACGGCAGCAAAGGCAGCCCAAGTCATCCACAGACCGTTTCCGTAGTGGATGACGAGCTCTACACCAGTGGGAACAGCATCCCTGGTCTTAACCAGAATGGCTGTCCAGATGGCTGCAGCTACTGCCAAACATCCAGCGGCTCCCAGACACTCGAGAGCGGCAAAGGCGAAGCAGAATCGGTGGGCGAGGAAACCAGTCAGGAAGGCCAGACCGGTCAGGATGGTACCGACGAGGAGGATGACGTTGGCAACTCGAGAAAGGAGGCCCAGGCGGTCATTGTCGGTCACGTAGCCACTGGGGATGGCAGCGGCAATCTCTGAGCTGATGGTGGGCGAAGCATCAGATTCCAGAGTCGCGAGGGGCTCCCATCGGTATCCGATGTAAGAGTCGCTGCAGCCTCGAGGGAAGTTGACTCCCTCTCCTCCACACTGCCTGTAAGGACCCCAGTAGTATTGGAGCTTAAGACCCTCACCGGAGCCTGTTGCAACAGACTGGTCGGACGCAAAGAGAGCAGTGGTGGATCCAGTCGTGTTCGACAGTGAGGTGCCAATGTTACGGGCGTCGATGCTGGTGATGTAAATGTTCCGCGATACGACATTGCCAGTGAGCTGGCCCATGTTGACCAGGATTGTGAGGGCGGTAGCGGCAAAGAGCAGAAGCTCACCTGTAATGAAAAGAGAGCATTGGTCAGCTTCTTGTCGAGACGAGATAATATGATGAACCATGACGGGTCTGTGCAGGTGTCTGGACAAGGAGATGGAACCCTTGCCGAAGAAGGCAATTCGTTTGTAGGTCGAATCACCTCCCACCAGGCTTCACCAGCTCCCCCTGTCCTGGCTGATCTGCTTCCCCTATCCCTCTGCCTCATGCGCTACGCGCCATGGATACGCGCTTCAGGGGGAGACACCGTGGTCGCGTTCATGCTGTGCATCCGCTTTTCCTGGATCTTTCCGGTGGAAGGAACCATAGGCCTCGGCTTCTGTAGAACGGTGGATGATTGACGTCTCATGGCCCCTTACGCTAAATCGCGCCGCAGACGGTAGCGTTGCCATCCACGATCCTGGAGCGCGCCTCTCCCAACCTGATACAAGTTATGGGACCATGCTCATTCGCCTTGTCTGTTCCTGCCTCTTCTGACCATCACACCGCTCTGCCCGCAGTTGCGCCTGCCACTCCTTGTACTCACCGAAACCGGCAAAGAGGAATCCCAAGACCATTTCTGCTGATCAATCTACTTTCAGCAAGGTGTTATGTTTTGCTTTCTTGAGGTAGGTGAGGAAAGGAGGAGGAAAAGGGAGGGCGGATGATGACTCCTTGGATGAGCAATAGCGGATGAAGGACGACGATAGGTATGGAGGAAAGGGAAGGAGGAGAATCGGGCGCTAGAAGCTGGAGCAGAAATTGATATACGCTTGCGGGGTTGGGTTCCGGGGGGGGGGGAGGGGGAACGACGTAGTGGGCGGGAGCAAGAGCGGTGCGGGTGCGGTGCGGTGACGAAGGTGAGGTCATTTTCTGGACAGGCTGGGCATCCACCCCCCGGGGGCCTCGATGATCGTCCAACGCAGCCATGACGGACGTCGAATGGAGAGAGAGAGAGAGAGAGCACTCCCTCTCTGCCGATGGCCGACGTCCCCTCGTGGCAGTGCCAGGCGAGGCAAGTTGTGTACGTGTTTCGGTGGAGGTGGACACTGGTGAGATGCCTGCTGCGTCTCTCCTTTTCCCCCGACGCGGGCCGTATTGGTGCAATGACGAATGCAGCTTGCATCTGCCGCCTGCTGCTCTCCAGGACCACGCGGCTGCTCTGCCCCTCGGCAGCACTATCCCTCTACGCTGTACCCATCGCAACAAGCCACGCAGAGAAGCCTCGTAGCCTTCTTGGCATCCCCACTCCGATGCCTCGACCCCCCCCCCACCACCATCCGGCCCAGACTCTGATGCAGACACAGACAGACGCAGACAGACGCAGACAGGTGCAGACAGGCGCAGAACCGGGGGGTGCAGAAGGATAGACGAGCCACTCAACTTCCAAGTGACAGATCGCAGCTTCCTCTGCTCCCGCCCATCACTACAGATTAGAGCGCGGTAAAGACCATCCGCCGGCAGAAGAAACATACTCAAAGAATCGTGATATATCATTCTGCGAGGCCATAGGAAGGGCGCAGCGGCGCAAATGCCGTGTCCTCGGCCTTTCGGTATCATGCTGCGTAAAGCATAGTCGCCGTACATTAAACTCATCTTCCAGCAATGTCACTTCATGCGTAAAGGTGAAGCGAAGCATGTCACAAAGTGGCCGCATGACAGATTGGAATGCCAAGTCTCGACGGTGTTTTGATCAGAGTAAAGGAAGCTGTATACAGTGTTGAAACTACAAACATGGGCGTCGCGATTAGGTCCCGGTCACGAGACTTGCCATCACTAGCGGTTAGACCAGACCGGTCGTCAATGTACGACTCTATGCTCTACTTGCTTTTCCAACTCAAAGGTATCTCTTTGTGCGCTCATTCGAACCACCTTAGTTCTTCTTAGCGCCCTGAACGGCAGCAGCCTCCCTCCATCCCCTTCTGGCCAACCAGCCCTCCTCTTCCTCAGAGCCGCTCCACCACAGCGCAGCCGCCATGCCGGGGCCACAGAGAATACCCGCCACAAGGGGCTGCCAAGTGCCTCGCTCGAGCTGGGGATTGCCCGCGGGTGCAAGCGTGATGGCCTTCTGGCAGTCCAGAGACAGGCGGGACCGCGGTTGTCCAGTCAGAGGATGGGTAGGCGCAGATGAGCGGATGGTAAGGCGCTCGATGCGGATAGCGAGAATGATGTACACTACGGTACCAATGTAGTCGGCAAAGAGGAAGAGGGGAAGGCCTGAGAATCGAAGCGTCCCTTCTTGCCATGCCCTGGAAGATGGAGTATACGAGGGTGTATAGATCAGCATGCATTCTCTTTCGGCCCCAGTGTGACATTGCCGTCTACTCACCAGCCAAGCCTGACCAGTCCAAACCAGTAAGCTGCCATTGAACCTAGAGCTGCCTTTCTATAGTAGCTCCACTTTCGCTCAAAGGCATAGCTGACTTGTTCTGCCGAGTACTCGAGCAAGGCGGTCCGGCCTTGTCGCTCATCCTTTGTAGTCTTGACTCCCGCGGTCGCCAGGAGCAAGGCCAGGGACAAGAAGGCGGGATACGCGAGCAGAGCAACAGATGCCAGCGTCCACTTGGCACCAGAGCTTTCGAGGGTTGAGACTGAGAAGAGGAGCACTGTGATGATCGACAGGAGGAGGTTGCTCCAGTAGACGGATCCAGCTGGTGTAGGCACCACTGGGAGGCTTTCAGATGATCTCTGCATCTGCTGGTACGAGCCCAGAGCCTGGAAGAGGAGTCCTACACTAGCAAGGGCAAATCCAATGCCGGTCATCCTTCCGATGAGGTGAACAAGGACGACGGCCAAGGGACCCAGGAAGAAAGAACGGGTGTTGGGCGATGAGGCGAGGTAGCACTGCCGCATGAGAATGGGGAGCAGCGTGGAGAAGATGAGAGCTCCGCCCTGGATGGGTAGGTGATCAAAGTCGAATATGTCAGTACGAGGACAAATACGTCTATCTGTTGCGCCTGCTTTTTTCACCGCGATGGAGGCTCGGTCAGCGATGAGCTGCTTGAAGAAGGGCAGCAGCACGCATAGAGCATTGTCGATCTGAGGCAGCACACCGCGAGTGATGTCCGTTGGAAGCTGCTTCCTGGCTGGTACCGTACATCCAGAGGTGTAAGCGGCAGAATAGAGTGCTTGCTGCAGCGTCGATGCGGGCAGAGTACGAGGATTCAAATCTCAGCATCAAGGTAAGAGTTTACGGTGCGCACGTGCTCAGACTCACCTGAGAAGGAGTAAAGAGGGCTACGTAGCCCAGCGCCGCTGCCGATGCGAAGCCAATCAGAGGCAGCACGGCGAGCTTCAGCACTGAAGCAGGCTGAGGAGAGGGCGACGACATTACTGGCCCCAAGAGAGATGCTGTACACAGCTACAATGGTCAGGAAGAAGGTCTACCAACAAGTCGTCTGGTGCAACGCGAGCCAGGCGCGGCCCCTCGCCTCGCCTCGCCTCAGTCCTTCCGAAGGCCCCGGCTGCTCCACTCAGGCCACTCCGCCGCGGCTCAACTTTTTCTAGACTAAGAGATTTACAGTAAAGTCCAGAGGAGAATCAGACCCTCATCGTACGACGTCCTTGTTTCCGTCATTCCCACTCTGAGCTTACAAAGTAAGTTCGACTACCATGCCAGTCGACACAGCTCTGTACGATCTCCTGGGAGTCTCTCCCGAGGCTACAGACGCCGAGCTCAAGAAGGCCTACAGGAAGCAATCCCTAGCCAATCACCCGGACAAGAATCCCGGAGATGAAGCTGCATCGGCTCGCTTTCAAGAGATTTCTTCCGCTTATGAGACACTTGCAGATCCAGACACAAGAGCTGCATATGATAGATATGGATCGGAGGGGATGAGCGGTGGTCCCGGAGGTATGGGGGGACCGGACATGGATGACATCTTCGGTGAGTGACATAGGAGAAGCGTGGTAGTAGACGGAGCAAGTAGCTGACATCGAGGCCATATCACTTTACGCTTCACAGCTCAGATGTTCGGCGGCGGCATGGGAGGTATGGGTGGCATGCCAGGAATGGGCGGCAGAGGTGGTCCCAGGCGGAAACCCAAGCGCGGGCAAGACTCGGTCATCGACTATGACGTCTCGCTACAAGACCTCTACCTGGGACGTACGGCCCACTTCAACCTTTCCAAGCAAGTCCTCTGCCCCACTTGCTCAGGTTCGGGTGCAAAGCAGGGTACCAAGGCAAAGCAGTGTGTCAAGTGTCAGGGTCAGGGGAGATGTTTGCAGATGAGAAGTATGGGCAATGGAATGGTCGCCCAGAGCTACGCCACTTGTGACGAATGTCAGGGAGAGGGAGAAAAGGTGCGGGACAAGGATCGATGCAAGCGGTGTAAGGGTGCAAAGACGGTCAAGGATAAGAACAAGCTGGAGCTTAGAATTGAGAGGGGTATGACTGACGGACAGACCATCGTCTTCAAGGGCGAGAATGATCAAGAAGTGAGTTTGGGATACAGCTCTGAGCTCAGGAGGGGCTCGTACTGAATTGATCCGCACCCGACCTCGCTTCTCCCAGCCTGGTGTCCCTCAAGCAGGAGACATCATCTTCAAGCTCGTCCTTCGCAATGACAACACCAACTTCACCATCAAAGGTCTCGACCTCATGGCCACGGTCCACCTCACCTTGCGCGAATCACTCATGGGCTTCTCACGGACGGTCCTCGTGCATCTGGACGGCCGGCATCTCTCCGTGAACAAGTCACACGGAGAGGTGACAAGACCCGGATCGCTGGAGAGGATCATCGGAGAGGGTATGCCGAGGGAGAGGGACATGGGCGAAAGGGGGGACCTGTACATCAAATGGGAAGTGGATTTCCCTCAAGACGGGTGGCTCGAAGGCAGGGATGACGCTAGCAGGTCACTCTCCTCATTGCTTCCCCCGCCGAGAGCTTCGATCCCGGAAGAAGACGATACAGAAGTCACCGAGAGTCACACACAAGCTGCTCGGGAGGCAGAATTTGGCAGGAATCAGCCCAAGCAGACACAGCAAGAAGATTTCTGGGAGGATGAGACCGAGGCTCCTCAGGCAGGGTGTGCTCAGGCGTAGTGTACCTTTCATCAGCGCCAGCGATGCCACCACCACTACATATCGCGCCCACTATCGGCATACTCCATTGTGATGAGCACGTTGCTAATGATACATATTGGCAAGGACAAAGACGTGTACAGAGACAGACATGGCGCATTTGAGCGCAAACCTAACAAAAGGCGGAAGCATCCCTCACCCTGCAACCTCCTCCTTGTGAACAGTCTGCGTCGAGGTGCTTGCATAACTCTGCATGCGACTGATAGGGGGCGGCGCCTTCTTGTCCGTTGGCGGCCCTTCGAAATCGAGCTTGTCTAGCACGGGCCGCATTCGATCAATGGCAGCGAAAGGCCAAGGTGAAAGACCAGAAGGATCCAGTGCGCAGGGCTCTTGGGCAAGCAATCGCAAGCCGAACAGAGACCGTGTCACCTGCCGGATGTGATCAGAGAAGAACTTTTCCGAGAGAAATTCTTCTACCTCTGTTGATCTAGATAACCAGTCGAACAGACGACCGGACCGAACTTCGTAGATGTGCAGCCAGGCAGTATGGGTCCCCTCCGCGCTACCTTTGCCTCGATCGGCTGCCCTCACTGACGACTCAGCGGCAGAGATCCGACAGTCTTGCGGGCCGCGGAAAGTTGTAACGACAGCCGAGCTTCGTGTGCTCAGCGTGAAGCTCTCCCTTGTACGTCGATAACCGAATCGTTCATTGAGCTCAACGACATCTTGCGGAGGTGCGGGGGATGGTACCACCCGGCACGTTGGGTAGATAGCGAACGATGCTTGCGAGGCATCGACGAAGCGTCCCTCGGCTGGGAGACTGCTTGATCCACCTGTACTCGGCACGAGAGGCTCCTGAGCGGTTGACGTTCTCACCAAGAGCGGATTTTTGACATCTCGGGACGCCAAGGTATAGTCGACACACCGTGCGTTCCTGAGCACTCCGCTCTCTCCGAGATCTTGCCAGGCGGCAAGCTCGCGCGCGCTCATTGTGCAAGTCTTACAGATGACGATCCTCCAGCGGACACATGCTTCCTCTGCATAGTCTGAGACGACACCCCAGATCCATCGTAGCGTTTCACGGAGGTCGGATCCTCTGCGGCGTGCTTTCATGATGCCACCTTGACCACTTTCGTCAATGACGCTGACACAGGCCAAATCGCCCACATTAGATCCGAGATCGTAAGCGGCATGTAGGAAGAGGATCCTCGCCGTGGCTTCCGTCCTGGTCTTCATCGGCGCAGAAGAACAAACTTCGACGACGCCGCCAAGGGCAAAAGACACTGCTGATCGACTGCTTTCGCCATGAGGTACTAGCAAGAAGCTTGGCAACCGCATCATCAATGGCTTTGGCCGTGCGAGGGTGGGGTGCAGGATTCTGACCGGCTGATGCTCGAAACAGACACGTAGGCTGTCGTAGAGAGCCATCGCGTGTCTCTGAATCGCACTGCTGTTGATGCGGCTCGGAGGAGCCCACCCTTTGAGCGCTGCGCTTGACCAAGGTGTGTATCTCACATGAATGTGATTCGCAAAGTCGCCAACCACTTCTCTGCCGATGGCTCTCAGATCACTCTCCATAGACTTGATGTTGATCAAGTCTGGCACCGAGATCCCGTCGCCCAGTGCGTAAACGACCACATGCTGATCGGGACCCAGACGACCTTTCACGCGGGAAAAGAGAGACCGCAGCGTCTCTTCTCGCAGGTCAGTCCTGCTGTAGAGCTCGCGAGATAGCGCCGTGATGCTTTCAAGATCGTCGTCTTCAGAACCGAGAAGCACGCTGTCCATCACATCGCACTTGCCGAGGCCGAGTGATTGGAACGCATGCCGCAGCCTCTCGAGCCACAGATGGGCCTCGTCCCGCCATCCTTCGCTCTTCGCGGCGCAGTGTAGCGTGAGAATTGAGAGGTCTCGGCTTCCTCCCGCACCGGTTAGGCCAAGCTTATCCCAGAAGCGAAGCACAGTGGCATCGAATTCGGTCAAGGAGCCTTGACAGCCGACCAGGACTCGAGGTGCTTCAATCCGCTCGACGTGGTGGGGTGGATCGGAGATCGCGACACTGGCAGATAGGCCCGAGCAGACGTCGAGTATGTCACGACAATCCATAGCCTTCAGAGTCGTAGATGTGGGGCGCATCTCTGTCTCTGGCGTGAGCTGAGCCAAGAGGTGGGGATTCCAGAGGGAATCGGTCAACCACTCATCTCTCAAGTTGTGGAAGGCCTGATCCTCCTGGATCTGAGCGTGAAATTGTGGTTCGGGCGCGTCCAATTCAGGGACATCCGCTAGCGACGTGCGCAGAATCAATCGATCCAATCTGCTCATGGACGAGGTCATTGAACCAGTAAGGTGCTGTAGCTGGCTCATGCGCAGAGCTTCGATTTCCTTCTCCTCCTCATCAAGGTCCGACAGATCGTCGTCGTCCTCATCGTCATCGTCTTCGCTCATGTTGCTGGCAGTCCCATCGATGGTTCCAGCTTCTGATGAATTGTCGTCCACACGGGACATGAGGCGAAGCTTGTGCAAAGCTGGCAGCCCACCCAGATGATGTTCCAGCTGCTGCTGCTTGATCTCCTGTTGCAAATCAGCATTTCGATCGGCCACTGCGATCGCCCCTCCTCGATTGTGAGCGTCTCGGGCCCTTCTCCCCCCTGCAATAGCTGCTGCAAAACTCTGCGGCACCGCAAACTTGCCAGAGGTGTACTTGTCTCCGAGATCTCTCAGCCGTTTGTGTGACGGTAGTGTGACTGCTGATGCGTTCATCTTGGAGTGTTCCGTGTCCATTCCGATCTCGCCTTGTCCAATGGCGCCCTCGAAATCGGGAGATGCTTCGCTGTTTCTCTCGTTCCTCTGCCAAGCCTCGTGGATTTCGGGGTACATGCTTGGAGGCACTCGCCCATGAGCTCCGGCGACGATGCTACCGACTTCGTAGTATGGGCTCGTGGGTGTCCTCGGCGTTCTGTCCATCGGATGGCCCGTGGCTGGTGAGCTGTCGGTAAAGCTGGAAGGTGTAAATCCGGGCATTGAGGACGGGTCACTTGCGATTCCGTTGCCGTCAGCATATGCCGAGACGGTCTCAGTCTGCGCATGGGGAGGTTGCGCATCCGAGTGTTCGATCTCGTCAGGAAGGACAACTGCGCTGTCCCCACCCATATCAATGAGGGCAGCATCCGATACAGGCAAGAGATCGGCAGCTGCAGCTGTATCGGCATCATCAACCTCATCAAAGAAGGCAAAGTCGTCTTCGGTGATCATGTCCATTCCGTACAGACCATCCTGATGGTCGCCAAAGCGCGCAAATTGAGATTGAGGCCCCTTTTCGGAATGAGCCTCGTGTTCGGTATCCTTGGGCAAGTCAGCAAGATCGGCTGGGCCTGCGACAGATTGCAGAGGTGATCCAGCGTCCTCTCCGTCAGACCCGAAAAGGTCATCGTCATTGTCGTCGGCACTATCGTCAGCGACGTCAGCCTCCCCTTTGGCAAAACTGTCCGGTAGGCCTACGTCGTCATCAAGAAAGCCGGACCCCGCTTTGATGCTGTCCACAACGACGTCTGGCCTTGAGACAGGAGGCGTCACCTCCTTCATAAGGACGTCGGTAGATATGACGCGGTCGTGTCCTACTGCTATCTGCTTGTGTTGCTCATCATCGGTCACTTTTCGTTCAGACCTCTCCTTGTTTTGTTCCTCTACCATCTTGACCGTTGCCCTGAGCAGATCTCCGATGGGTGTGTGGCACACTTTGGTGTTTGACTGCCCACTGCCTATCTCACCCAGAGTCCAACTGCTGGAACATCGTTGTGAGACATTCGACGAGGTTCTTGGAAGAGGAAAGCACAGCGAGCGAGGCCATAGGATCTCACGACTCTCTGCAACAGCCTCATGACTCGAAGGAGAATGGTTTGCGGGAGACTCTTCCAGGAGGGAGATCCAAGTGTCATCGAGAAAGCGCTCCTTCTCTATGCCTGTTTCGAGCTCGAAGCGCTCGCTCAGTTGACCTTTGAGCAATTTCAGTCTCTCCGCGCCTTCAAGACCTCTAAGCTCAGCCTCATCGTCTAGATCAGTCTCTACCACCAGGGCGCGAACACCCCAAGGCGCGAGGAAGACCATCGATCCCCGCTCTGGCAATGCATAGACGCACTCCAGATGTTCTGGTTTCAGCTGAACGTTCCAGGCAGCATTGGTGATGTCCTCTTGACCCCATGATCGCGAAGCGTTGATTCGAACAAAGATGACTGGCTCCTGCTCTATCGCGAGCGAAGCCTCTGTAGGCTCGACAGCCTGTGAGAAAGCTGATCGCGGGAGCAGTAACAGACCTCCGTCCATGGCCATCAGCCTTCGGAGAGGAGCGCTGGGACGTTGAGGCAATGCTTGAGGCTGTTGCATCGTTTCGTCGGCAGCGTCGGGAATTTCGCCATCTTCCTCGGCCCCGGCGGTCTCGGCTCGTTTTGAAGTCGTGGTATCTGCCTGCTGTGGTCTCACTGTTTCACTCCCGACAGACGCGTCCACCTCTTCGCTCTTGCTCAGTTGAGCTTCCAGATCCAGAGCGCGACTCAAGACGCAATGTTCCGCCACTTTGGCCCGTAGAGCCAGCCTGAAACAGACGTCCAGCTGCGTCTGCAGGAAGCGTATAGATTCTCTCGAGCCGGACTTGGGCTCAAGCAGGAGGAGCAAATTGAAGGTTGAGCCACCACTCTGCGTTGCCGCTGAAACATGCAAAGTGGAGCAGGACGAAGGTTCAGTGGGCCGATCGAGAAGAAGAGAGTGCCTGAATGACTCACCATCTTTTTCGTTGCGCTGTAACACCTCGTTAAGCGACTGACGGCACGCAGCGACTTCCTCACGTAGAGCAGACTCTCGCTCTGCATCGTCACCTCCTTCTGGAGAGGCATCGCCGCCTTCACCCCACAGATCGTCTTCTGGAGATGCCTTGGGATCAGCTAGAGGTGAGGGAGTCGGAGCAGCCTTAGCACCCTGTTCGACTTCTGCTGTCTTGTTCTCTGGACCTAAGTCCTTCGATTCGGACCTGAGGATGAAGGTGCGAATCATCAATCGTGATGAGCCTTCCTCCCCGACGGCGCTGGTCGTGGCGCTTTCTTGGCCCTGGGCCTCTTCATTGGCTACTTCGGGACCTTTGCGCTTGCCAAGAACGGCAGAATCGCCTGATTTAGTCTCAGTGATCGCTCGAGCCTCCTCCTTGGACAAGGTTGACGTGCTGTACAGTGTCGAGTTGTGGCAGCTAAACAAGCCGTCCTGCCCCGTGTCCGTCCTGTTAGCTCGCCTCTTTCGAGTTCTCCATGCGAAGAGGCGACCTTCGGCGAGAGACAGGCGACGTAGAGCAAGGATGTGAGCTTGGGCTGCCTTGGTGCCAGAGGACTGATCAGGCGAGACCTTGTACGTCCAACTCTTTGCTTCAACAGTGGTATCTTTGCCAATGGGTAGACGTAGCAGCGAAGTCTGGTCCGCCTCGGATATGCTTGGTGGAAGGAGCAGAGTACGACTTGCGTTGTGAGATGTCACGCGAGACGCAGAGGTCGGGAAGGGCGACGATGACAGTCCCTGATGCTGTTGCTGCTGGCGATAGGCCGATGAGGAGGGGCCGGGGTCTCCCCGGGGAGCGGTCGCACCCTGGAGTGAGTAGACCCCCCGTCGCATGCCGGCGTCGAGTATGTGAGGTGTGAGTTCAGATGGTGTCAGGGGTTGAGACCGAGGTGATACATGCTTTTGAAGGGTAGAGGTCAGCTAAGGCAACTAAGCTCCGGGGGGGCGTAAAGGTCGGCTTGTAGTCTAAGGTACGGCCAATCGGATTCCGTGGAGTTCTAACTCCGCAAGGCACACCCGGGACGGAAGACCGCTACCCCACATACCTTGCCGCTATAATTCTTCCTTGGGACCAATCGGCTCTTCTATTAGCGAGGCAGGTACAGTGGATTCAAGAGGAATGTACAGGAAAGTGACAATAAATACAAAAGCGAAAGGTCAAGCTTGGAGCAGCAAAGCTCGGTCATCCCACCGATCCTTGAGCGTATCGTACCCGTTCAGGGGCACCTCGCCTACTAAAGTCCGCACAACGGCAGCCGCCTCGTCCAGGCTAGCCAGAAAGACCTGCAGAGCCACCGCACCCTGAACATGCTTCATAAAGGCTTCAGCTTTCAAGATCTCTAGACTCAAGCGCGGTGTTGCATGATGAGACCCCATGCGCCGCAACTGCTCCTCCACTCGAATCGCCTGGCTCTGATGACGCAGCGCCCTCTCGCGAACGAGGAAGGTTGCATGTGGCAGATGGGAGCCTGTTTGAAGGGCTTGTGCTAGCAAGGACAGGAGCAGGCTCACATCAGAAATCGTAGATGGATCCAGTAAGGCCGTGGCATGGGCAAAGCGTCGCTGCCAGGTCGCGCTGTAGTCCTTGTCCGAGACTACTGCATAGAGTTGAGCGAGTGCGGAGATCATGTTACCTTCCGCCTTGAGAAGCTGCTCATAGCGAGTTCCGGGCCATCGACCTCGTAGCTGCATATCGAGACGCGCCAGAGGAATCCGGGCACCGATGGCTTTGTGTGCTTCGAAAGCAGCCAAGAGCTGCGAGCGATAAACACTGATCAACGCTGTCTCCTGCCGTTCGCTTCGTCTAGGCTTCGCTCCTTCTTCCGCTTTCTCGCCTTCGAAGGAAGCGCTCTGTATAGCCCAAATCTCGACGAGGCTACTGTAGAGGCTGAGGTTGCGTTGCGAGAGCTTGGCTAGAGATTGTCGTACTGCTATTCGGGTTGAGGTGGGTTGGGGAATGACCATGATAATGACACCGACAGCAATCCCGACAAGTACTAGCAGCATACGGCGCCATGCTACCTCGATACCAATCCCTGATGAGACACTGACTGTCAAATGCGAGTCGATCCAGGAGTACCCGATGGTTAAGATGAGAGTGACGAAAGTCATGAGGCCGAAAACCAGTAGCTGCATGGGTGCGAAGAGTCGGAAAAAGACCAGCGGTACGAAAGCGACAGCGGTTGCAGCTCCGAATCCGTAGGGATTACCCTTTGGCGAGTTGCCACAAGATATATACCAGAGGGCTGCCCCGAGGAGGGCGCCTAGTACGGTACCCACAATTCGAGATACGATGGAGAACACCAGCTCGCCATGTGTAAGGGATATCGACAATTGCGCCATGATGATGGCCCACTGCAGAGTACACGAAAAGACAATAATGGGTGTGAGTACTGATATGTTGCATAGCGTCGAGGCTGACCAGCCAATCAAGCCGGCGCAGACCGCTCCATGCTATGCACTTACCAAGCCTCTTTGTGAGTAGCTGAAGGCTGAACTCTGTTGAGTGGCCACTGATGGGATCCAGGCAATGACACCCGCGATCACGAATCGAAGCGCGAAAACGCCTTGAGTGGGGTAACAGAACAGGGACGCAAAGGCCTGATGTCAGCACCTTCTTGTTCTTCAGAGCTGGACAGCTCTGTTCAGCGTACGGACTCACCCCTTGGCGACCAGAAGAACGTATGGCAGGCGGCGATAAAACGCCCCACATGATGATACCATTTGGTAGGCGGCAGCGAGTCGGGATCGCGTAGAGCCAGTCTCCGAAGCCTTTGTTTCTCCTTCTTGATTGCAAATTGGGCTGCCTGAGCTTCTGCCTTCTCTTTCTCCACAGTCTCGTCGACCGCTCCGTCTCTTTCCACATCCATTGAGCCTACGCGCGTCGTCGGTCCGCTCTCGTCATGCAGGTGGTCATTTGCGTCTGCGTCATCGTCATCTTGATGGTGTACGTTGGGATTCCGAAGATTTCTGACGTCCGTAGGCCAGTCTTGCCCAGCGTCGCCTTCTCTCTTCGACACTAGCGCGTGGCCGAGCTTCGACAGCGCGGAGGGCATCCACAGGCGGCTCTTGGACCTTTTGAGGGCCAAAGTGTGGCAAGTTCTTGCTAGCACTATCACCTGCTTAGCGGAACTAATAGCATTAGTGCACCACAGCAAGGAGAGAAACAGTCCCCTGGCACCGAGGCGGAATGACTTGCCGCCTTCCTCGGTCAACAGTGACTCCTCAGATGGATTTAGTGAGTCAAAATGCTGCTCGTAGGGCGCTATCAGCCTGAGTCGCTCCTCCACCGTAAAAATATGTAGAGCTTGCTCGAGATCATCGATGGCTGTCTGAAGGTTACTAACGTGATCATTATGCAGCTGGGCACTTTGGCCTCTCCACCTGTTCGTGTTTGTATACTCCAGCCAAGCGATGATTGTACCAAGAGCAGCAGAGCTCTTCGACATCATGTCGTTGCTGCCATCAACGAGAATAGGGAGCAAGTCCTCCTTGAAGACAACGTGGTTCCTCTTCTCGGCATCGACGACCTTCTCACGGAAGTGAAGCATGGCATGCGTGTCGTGCACGTGTACAGGCTTTGTCAGGTCGTCTGCTGAGGTCTCATCCTCGCTTTCCCCCTGCTGGGATTGGCTAGACGTAGTCTGCAGCGCAATTCTGAATGCGCCCATGCCAATCAGTCGCAGCACAAGAAGGCGACAAGGTTGTAGCAGGCGTGCCAGATCCTGCCCAGACAGAGGGGCGTAAGTCATCTCCATTGGAAGAAACTTCTTGGGTCCATCTAGTGCATCAAGGAGCGCAAGCTGGCCCATCCTGGAAGCCATCATTTTCGCCCCGGATGTTGAGATTGTTGAGTCCATGTCTGTGGACTGAGATAGCTCTGATAGAAAGTCTGTCTGTATCTTGAGATAACCTTTGCTGACTCCGAGGAGCTTAATGAGGTTGTTCTGCCAAGAATGACTAAGGGTCTCGGGAAAGACCAGTATCATGCAGCAGAAGGACACTCCGAGGGAAGCGCCGATAGGAAGGAGGAACGTGGTTCCAAGGGTACTGGAGAGCTCAACCATCAGCGAGTTGTTAGCGACTGGAAAACAGGAGCAAAAGGCGACGTTGACTCACTATTGAGCAACGGGGAAGAGGGGTCCGTAGGTACACATCACATCCAAGACAATAGTCATGAAGATGGCGGTGAACCTCAGCTTAGGACTTTGTGTGAAAACCACAGCGGCGGCATAAGATCCTATCACGAGGAATACCCCGTAGACGGCCGAGCTTCTGCCGTCCAAGAATTGGGCCTGGAAGATGGCGGCTTGGTAGGCTGCTTCTGGATTGGTCGCTCCGGCCACCCCTGCGGAGACCGTCTGCACTTGACTTTGTAGCAGAGTCGCACTACGGGCGCGCAAGGCAGTTGCCATAGCAGCACAGCCCCATGCCCAGCCGAGGCAGGCGCCAAGCACCATTGTACCATTGGCGAAGATCCAGAGGAAGAATGGCAGATTGGCGGGCAGGAAGACTGTCACCATGCTGGAGAAGAACCATTCAGACTCGTCTACATTCAGATCGCGTATCATCTGCTTCGGGGGGCTCACGACATCTAGATCCTACTCACCAGACAAAGAAGGCAGCTTGGCCCAATGTCTGCAAAGATCTTTCCGGCAACAGCAAGAGTATGCATACCCAACTTGCGAGCCAACACCTTGCCAAATCCTTCAAGCTCCTTGATCGCTTGATGTTTGTGGTGACCCAGTCTGGTATCACGCTCTTCTTGGGCTGCTCCTTTGCGCTTGCTGGGTCAGGTTGTCCGCTCTGTTCTCGATCACGTTTCGGCCCCTGTGCTGCGCCAAAGTCTTTCCCGCTGGACCCGCTCCCAGCGTGCGCATCGGGCGAGGCAGGGGATGCCTCCTCGTTTTGCATCACATGAGTCATCAGAGCAGGCTGCTCGTCGACAGTCCTTGGTATTGTGACGAAGAAGAGGACGGAAGACCAGGCAGGGGAAAAAGAGCCTTAAGAGTCATGGTGGAGCTGCGAGGAGCCTTCCGCCGATACGCTTTGCGGCGGTTGGCTTCCGGCGGCGGGCCAAGTGCGGAAGCAGCCCTCCGCCTTGTGGTGAGGCTTGGCTTGGCACGCGGATGATTTGACACCCGGCTCCGCAAAGTCGGACCGGCGGGAGTAGTGGGGTACTTGCAACCCAGCACTCGCCAGTGCTGTCGCATGTGACCTCTGTTGCTGCCCATCGTGACATGATCATGTGCTCAACAAAGATACGGACGATTGACCTCTACGAGCATGGTATACGTTTCATTGTGTCGCTGCCTGGCTCCTCTGAGGGCGTGCTGGCGTGGGATCGTGTTGGCGCTGAGGCGCACACAGTCGTGCAGACGTAGCCGGCAACGCTGACCACTCAGTCTTGGGCGGCGGCGGTGGTGGTGGTGATGATGCATTATGCAATATGGGTGCTACTGATCCAATGGCCGGACTGGCGAGGCTGCCAGAGTGCAATCTGCTTGTTTGATCTGTCACACCTGTCCCCTTCAATGTCGCGGCACGAGGCACTTCCTGACTTTGCTCCGAGATCACATTCCAAGGGTGTTGATCTCCGGCAGCCCTCTGGCCCAGTGCCTCCCGACGCGTCTCTCTTCAGATCCCGCTCAGCGCCCCCTGGCATCCTCCTCGCGCCGCACGGCCATGGCAGACTTCCCTTTCCTGGCCGGCGCCACTCCTGGCTCACTTCCCTCTGTCTCCCGATGACCTCGCTCCTGATCATCGTATCCCTCCTCTAAGTCATCGTCTCCCTCAACTTCCCTCTCTATATCCTCCCTTCCCTCCTCCAACCCCAGCTCCATTTGGGTGACACACGTTCGCTAGTTCCACACTCTTTTAAAGATCCTATCCACATCCTCCGCACCCTAAATCACAGGTCAGACTTCTCCTACTGTCAAGTGACCTCTTCACCAAAGACGCACATCCTTTCAAATCGATCGCATCTCTCCTGAACGTTCGTGCTGCCCTCGAGAATCGCAAGTGCGGCTTCATTGATTATTTGGTAGCAGCCCAAAGCTTTTGCAGAGAACTGAAGATTTGGTGCGCAATTCAGCTCTGCACTCAGTTGCCGACATCCCTTTGGACGCGATGAATTCACAGCCGTCTTTTGACGAGGCACTGGGTCACAAGCCCACGGTAGCTCAGCGCGAGTCTCGCATCGGATCTATCTACGAGAAGTGTGAGTCTTCGCGACGGCAAGGACCCGCCCATCACACTGCGCTTGCGGCATGCTTATCTGTTTCTCCTGTTCTACCCCCCATCTCTGTACATGTATAGATCTCTATGATCCCAAAGACTTGACATCGGCCGATCCGTTGCTTCGAGCTTTGGCACGCAATGCGTCAGGGGACAATGTCGAAGGCTCATACGCTGGGGCCGGCGGACATACTTCGCAGCCCTTCGGAGCCAGTGCTGGTGGGGGCTTCTACGACGAAGAGCGAAAGGGGCAAGTCAATGCTGGCCTACAGACGCTGGATCTCTCAGGCAACCTCATGGATGTCCTGCTAGAAACAGAGGAGACTGCTGATGGCGCCCAAGGTTTCTCAGCGGTTCCCACGCCATTCAAAGAGAGATCGGCCTCCCATAAAGCCCTCACCGCGCAGCTCGGTCTCGACACACCCCTCCCACCACCACAAGAGTGGAGAGATAGCAGCTATTTCGCATCACGTCCTGCAGTCCCTTTCAAGCGGACTAGCGCTTCATCGAGCCAAGCAAGCATGTCGCCGACCAAGAGCTCCTTCCGCACCCCTCAAAGGCCGCCAAGCGCCATCCTCCCATCACCCAATCCTTCCGTCCCATCCTCAGGGTCGTCGCAGCACAGTGCCTTTCGCTTTGGCTCCGATGTCGATTCCCTCGCCTCGCCGCCTCTCAGTCCTTCCGATTCGTTCAGGAAGTCAAGCCCACGCGCCCCAAAACCATTGCTCCTCTGCCAAGGTCTCGAACCCGTCTCACCACCAAAGAGCATGGGCAACCCTCCACCCTTGGGCTTCTCTGAGACTGGTGACGCTGCGGTGGTGAAGCAGAAGTACTCGTTGCTTCGTCGAAGTGTAGCCTTTGTCACAGGTAGCAACGGTCCGTCACGAAAGCCTAGCGTATTGAATGGCCGGCAAAGTCTCATGCAGAAGTCGCTCACGCTGGTCATGGGTGGACAGAGACCCTCCGAAGCGAGCGAAAAGCTCTTTGACGACGAAGAGACGCTGGCGCCTCCCCGTCACAGAGGGTTTGAGAAGGCAGATACGAAGAGCCCGCAGATCCATCAATTGGCCAGTCCGCGTGGAGATACAGCGGAATGGGATGCAGATGGTGCAGCCGCCCAATTCTGGCGACGCTTCGAGCTGGCTCAGAAACGGGCAGAGCTGGATGAGAAGTCTTCGCAGACTTTGCGACAGAGACTCGATGCCCAGAGGAAGGCTCACCTCTGGTCGGTTGGATCGGCTGCAATTCTCATAGTAGCCGCCATCATCGCGGTCATCGTATGGAGGGCGAACCTGAACGATGCAAACACCCAGCCAAGCGCCGCAAACCGCGGTTCTTTCGCCGGCACTACTACACCCGCTCGCCGTGCCCTCAGGCCTACAGGTACCCAAGCTCGCCGTGCCCTCAAGGCCACAAGCACTCTCATGCCAGCGTCTCAGCTCAAGCGACGTCTCATCATTAGGGACCAGCTTTGGGTTGATGCCCAGGTCAAATCGCCCACCAAAGCATCGGGTTCTGCTGCTACCGCCGCCCAACAACATCCTGCTGTTGACGTGATTTCCGTCCGTTCGCCTGCAGAGATTGGCGCCTACGATCACCAGAACCCCGGACTTCACCGACGACTGACAAAACGTCACTCGCAGATGAGACGCCGCCTGAGCGAGTGATCGCATCGGCGGGACAAGGGCTGCGTCAGCCTCGACGCTCTATGCTCTCCGGACAATACCCTTCGCATTCCCCTGTCTATATTGCCTACGCTTCTTTTTTGAGCTTTGCATTCTTGCTTCCCTTTTACACACGCCAGCACAATCATCGATTCTTCATAGACATCACACTACCACACCATGTAATCCTACCATCTTCTCCTTCCTCATCGGCCGAACCACTCTTAGTCAGCCGCACATGGACGCCGCGAGATCTTCCTCGGGTCCATTGCTGGGCAATCAATTAGAATCAATGTCTGTCTTCCTTTTGCTGAGCGAATCCGTAGCACCTCTACGCACAGTCTCCTCGCGGCTCATAGGCCCAATGTCTGCAGTCTCTCGATACCTTCCTCTTCTAATCTCATCCCCGTCCACCCCAGCATGGGCTTTGCCCCCAGCACCTGCTTGTAAAAAGCAATGGAGGGCTCATTCCAGTCCAAGACGGACCAGTCTACACGCCCGCAGTTGGTGGACTTGGCGATACGGCCTAGCTCGCGGAAGAGGGCCTTGCCGGCACCTTTGTTGCGGTAAGCCTCTAGGACAAAGAGATCTTCTAGGTAGAGAGATGGACGGGCAGTCCACGTGGAACTGCAGCGTGGGAGAGATAGCGAGTGGACTTGGTCAGCGATGTGGTATATGAACATTTTGTTCGTGTCGCAGCGGCGCTTACAATGAGAAGAAGTACTGGCAGTACAGAGGGGACACGTGAATGAGCGGAGTGAGTAGGGTCAGTACGTCTCTTCGTTCCACTTGAGCCTTGGCGCTACTTACAATGGCCAGTCCAATGGGCTGCGTCTTTCCTTCCACCTCGGCCTCTGCAATGAGACACTTTGCAATCTCCTTTTGGAAGATGTTCTCCTCGATGAGCTCAGGCGTGGCCTTGGCGGCTTGCGGCTCCTTCTCGTAAATGGCCAGCTCACGAATGAGGTGGATGATCGTGGGAATGTCTTCCCGAGTGGCGGTTCGGATGGTAGCAGATTGTGAGCTCATGTTTGCGAATGTCGCCGTCGTCTTCGTTGTCGTCGTCAATTGTTAGTCTCTGCGTATGGGAAGAACGATCGGGAAGATGTGAGCAGGCCGGCCGTGGCCCGTGAGCCGGTTCTCCTGCCTGGCGCGGAACTGACTTGTCGCCGGCTGATTTCTCTTTCCGCCGCACACCCCCAGCCTCTTTGAGACCAACACACCCAGACAGCTTCTTCTATCACCTCAACCATCATCAACATCACTGCTATTGTCTCCCCCTTCTCGACACTCGCGCCTGCGGCCTGGCATCCGGAAGCCTCGAGATGGAGACTTCTGCGGCGCCTTCGCTGAATCTCCAGGGTCACACCAAGTCTTTCCCCAGCGCCAGACAGGGGCTCGACAATGAGCCCTATGACACAGAGGGACCCAACGAGTCGGATGTAGTCCGCGATGATGAAGAGGATGGCAGCTTCGCAGTACCAAGACGTCGTGGGACAAAGCAGTCCATACTGCCTCCGGCTTCGTTTCTTGCCCCTAAGCGGAGACCTTCAGCAAAGGCTTTACAATCGGCGTACTCGAGTACCATACCTTCAGGATCGGACTCACAAGCCAATCTTCCTGAGCCGCTGCCTCAGAGAGAAGTACCAGACGGCTCTAACGCTACCGAATCAGGCTCATACACGCCTCAACAAATTCGCGATGGCCGCCGAGAAGATGAGGCAGAGAAGCCCGGCGCCTGGCACCCCTACGCTGCTGGTGCCGGAATGGGGACGAGTAGTACTGCTTATAGCCTCAATCCGACGAGGACTGTCAAGACGTCTTCCGCAACACAAAGGACGGCAGCGAGCAGCCAGCCATTGCTATACCCTCCGCGCCGGGCATGGGAATCCAATGGCAGGCATCTGGAGATGAGGGTGATGCAAGGAGAAGTTGCAAGCGGCAGTGCCACCACAACAATGAAGAGCAACGAAAGTCATACTAGCCCCTACGATGGGCAGAAGGCCCCTCAGTCCGAAAGTCAGTATAACTACGCGGCGCCAGAATTGCATCGTCAGCAGCCTCGTGGCCCAGCAAAGACATCCAAGTCTTCTGCTCGCCCTCCTCCTCCTCCTGGCTTTGTCCCAGAGACACCAAAATCTCGCAATTACGCGGTGCACAGAGGCGCGAATCGCTTCTTGATCGCCGGTCTACTCGTCACTGCAGATTCGAATCCCTGGTACTTCATTAGCAGCATCGCCCTCGTCTTGGTGCTAGGAGGACTCTGGCTAGGCTTTGAGGCTTCCTTCTATTGGCATAGCGTCTCTCCGGCTGTCGTTATCATCTTTGCATACCTGTGGCTCTCGGTACTGGTGAACATGTTGTAAGTGTCTGCGCACCTGAGCTCTGTAGAGGAATGGGTGAGTGGCTGATCAGCAGAGATCCTCTTTGCCCTTTCAGAGTCGCTGCTTGCAAAGACCCAGGCATTCTTCCACGGGATCTTGACCGCAATCCACCGATGACGACTGGCGATGGAGATTCTGGCTCCATCCGAGCTGCCTACGACCCTGATGATCCTCTGAATACCCCTATGCCCCGAGTGATCCGCATTAGGAACGGCCAAGACCTGACCGTCAAGTGGTGCGAGACCTGCAGGACCTATCGCCCACCCCGAAGCAGTCATTGTCGTATTTGCGACAACTGCGTGGACCTTATTGACCACCATTGCATCTACCTCAATACCTGCATTGCCCGGCGCAACTACATCCCCTTCTGGGCGTTCCTCTCTTACTCCATCCTCACCTCTTTTGTGATCTTGGTGACATGCGCTGTACACCTTCACCTACTCACGCTGCCGAGCTCGGATCGTCTACCTGTCAATGGCTCCTTTGGTGGAGGGAGAAACTTCAAGGGAGCGCTACAAGACAGCCCAGTCAGCGCTATGCTCTTTTTGCTCCTTATTGGGGCAGTCATACCCGTCTGTATGCTATTCAGATATCATCTACGCCTCGTCGCCCTGGGTAGAACGACAGCAGAAGAGGTGAGTGACAGGCGGTACAGGGTGATGACCCTGGGCTTCTCGCGACTGATCGAATGTCGCCTCCTCGTCTCGCCATCATAGATCCGCATCCGTACAAATCGCGACTACACGCCTAAAGCTGAGAGGAAGCAGAAGACCTCCCTGCTACGGTGCCGTGTGGGCCTAGCAGGAGTGGACCCCAATCCCTTTGCCTACCGCAATCCGCTTCGCAACACTGCACAGGTCCTCTTTCGACCAACTGTGGGAATAGAAAGCTACATCGACCGCAGAGGCTGGAGGATGAAGGATGCGCGGACCGTGCCGCCGCAGATCCTTGCATCGTCTCAGCTGCGCACTCTCGAACCTGTGCATGCCCCACGGGAGCAGTATGACGGGGTTGAGACTACCACTGCCACAGCGACGGGCACTGCCGATGAGCCTTATGCCTCGTCTTCTCGCACTCGCAAGTCACAGGCAGATGCGAGTGCGGACCCGTTCTCCTCCTCGTCCTCTCGCAGGTAATAGGGCTCGATCATCCAATCTATCAATTTGTCGATACTTTGCGTGGGGGGTAAGGACCCGGACTCGATGATTCGTTGTAATGACTCGTACGATCTAATGACTATATCCATTGACAATGCTCCTCCACTGATGTGAAACGAGGTGCTTCACGCTTCCTTTGACTCTGTACGTCGAGAGATGCTTTCGGGATACCAAGATGCTCAAGCGGTCAGAGCATCGATGGGTCGTCCGCCAAGTCGTCCGCCGAATTCACAAAAGTAGTGTAATTGACTTTGAGTCGCGTCCCGGATAAGCAAGTACTACTTGATGCATTCGGCCGCCTGCACGGGTGTCAGCTTCCCTTTACTCAGAGCTACCCGTGGAGGTTATTTCATGGCCTGATACAGCTGCTCGTCGTGACATCCTCGGGCCCTGACGGGCTGGCGGTCTCAGAGCCGACGGAGCGGAACGAGCACTCGGCGATCGGAACGGGACCTACCTCCTCCACTCACTCGCCCTATATCCCTCTCCACACCTTTCCTTCACACATCATCATCTTCCAGGATTACTGCCGACATCCCGCCACTACTTCATCACATGACCACTCTCGCAGCTACATAGTATTGTGTTCTCCTGCGCTGCAATGAACCCGCAACCCTGACAGACTCGTTTGAGAGTCGCCCACACGACTATCCCAGTCCTTTGCCACACTCCTTCCCGCAATTCTCGGCGTGATGGTCATTTCGAAAGACCGCGGCAGGAAAGGCCAGCAGTCCTATCAACTGGATAGCATGGTTGAGAGCGCATCACAGATGCTTCCCTTTGAGACGATCGTTGCGATTCTATCCTTTGTTGCTCTCGCGCCTCCACCGCTTGTTGAGCAGCCTCGACAGCAGCCACCCATCCGCAAGGCAAAGGGAGCCAAGACAGGCAGCTCCGGCCCAGCCCCACCTTCGCCACCCTGGAGTATCCTGCTCCTTTCCAAGCCTTTGAAGGCTGCATTGGAGCCAGTGGTGTACTCTCGTGTCAGTCTGACCAGCACAGCTGCGTTAGACCGCTTCGCTAGGACCCTCAAGGAACGACCTGATCTTAATCGCAAGGTCAAGAGTTTGTGGATTGCTCCCAATTCTCTCGAGAGCGACTTCATCACTACTTTGAAGCCAGCAGGTGAGGCAAGACATACACATACATATATGGCTACGTTTCTGCTTCGTCCTCGTACTGATGTGCCATGAATCTTTCTTACCCCTCCAGATGGCATCAACTCGCTACCTTCTCATCTGAACGAACCTCTGACGCACATTCGGCAGATTCTGCGAGCTTGCCGTGCGATACGCCATGTAGCTCTGGATGGCTGCCTCTGTTCAGCCAAAGCTGCTTCGTCTTTCGGCTCCAATTGCCAGCCGCTCTCGTTGGTGAGCATCAACCCTTACAGCTTCCTGGGCGGCTTCTCAGCTCCCATGTTTCGTAAGCTCCGGCGGCTGGAAATGTGCGACACCAGCATGGCTAGTGAGGAAGTCGAGCAAATCAGAAACCTCCAAGGTGAGCAAGGGGAGGGCGTGAATTTCGTGCAGCAGCTGGCGCTGATCAGCGCATTCCCTCGGGTGTGATAGATCTATGTCACTTCGTCTGGACCTCGCCTCGGGACTACAGCGACTCAAAGCGAGACATTTCGTCCCTCTTTCGCATAATCACTCCTTCTGTCTCACCTTCGCATCTGCAGCTATCCGTCGCCGGCGAGGGAGTTGAAAGAGATGCGCTCGAAGAAGCCTTACCGGTCAAACCGCATTACCATCGTCATTTACGGACCGTGACAATTGCCACGGAGCGAGGTCATGGGGCCGAGTTGGGATCCAAGCTCAAACATGCTGTGGATGAGCAAGAGCGACGTCTGAAAGCCTACGAATCTGGAGCTACTCAAGACCTCACCGAAGTCTTTTCTGCCCTTTCCCTTACCAGCGACCGGAGCGCCCTTTCCGGCAGCAGATCGACGGCCTTCAATACCGGTACAAGCACACCCTACATCGATTCTTCGGCCCACACGTCATCCATCGTACACCCCTCTACGGGGGTCGAGCTGCAGACAAAGCCCCTCCGCGACGAGAGCATCATCGACGAGTGGGAATGTCTGCGCGACCTCATCTGTGGCAGTGGCTCCATTGCTGCCATAGAAGACATGCGACGCAGGCGTCGGGAGCGCCTACGCAAAGCTGGTCTTCTGGAGCAGGAGAGCGAGTCGCGTGACGGAGAAGTGCAGGATGCCGGCGAGGGCGGAGATCAAGAAGGGGAAGATGAGGAAGAGGAGATCCAGCCTGGACTCGCTCTGCGCAGATTGTGGATCGATTGGTGCGTCGATGCTAGCACAGGTGCTCTGGAAGTGCCGAACTTCAGAGCGTGACAAAGTAGGCAGTTCAAGGAATATATCATATTTTCAAATGCGGGAGGACTGTCTCAGCATCGGCGAGAGGTGTTTCAAGATATCGGGAAGCAGCGGGTAGCGATCGCGACCCACGTCCGTAGCAAAGAGCTACGATCGAAGCAGCGACTCTTCCTGTCCTCACCTGATCTACACAGAGCACGCTGGCCAGGTCTAAGCTCATGCCGCTTTCTGAGCTGCTGCAAGCGCCTGCTTTGAGCTTTCTTTCGCAGGCACATTCAGCTTGATATCCGCGAGCTTTCCGTTCGAGTCGATGACCACGTGGCTGTAAGTGACCATGGCAAAGCCAGCAAAGCAGTCGTGTCAGTCACATCGGGCGCCGCAGAGGTCTCATCTACTCAGCAGCCATGCAGCTCATCGCACCTTCTGATTGTCTTAGACTTTGTGCCAGTCAAGAGGCCAATCAAGTTGCGTGGAGGGTCAGAGAGCAGCTTGTACTCGAAGCTGTATTTCTGCAAGCGCAAAAGAGGGCAGGTAAAAGTCAGTGTCGGGTCAAGGCAGATCACGCCCCTGCGCAAGACGCGAAATGGGGCTACAGTGACGCACCTCCTTCCAATTCTTGAGCGGTGTGACGTTGTCAGAAGACAGACCATACACGCTGTAGCCCAGCTCCTGCCACGAGGCATACTCGTCGCGATACGCCTGTGCTTGGTTCGTGCACCCGCCAGTGTTAGCTTTGGGATACCTTTCCATCAAGAGGGCGTAGGGGACACAAATGCGTGAGCACGTGCAAGAACATTTCAGTCACCCATCTCGGAGGCTTATACCACCACGTACATGAATATTACGGCCTTCTTGAGCTTCCCGACCTCTACGCTCTGGCCTGACTCGTCATTGAGAGTTATGTCGGGAACAGTCTCGCCCACCTTGAGCTGTCGACTCGAAATAGGCTTCTCGTCCGTCTTGGCTTTCTTGCTCGCAGCTCCCTCCTTGCTACCGTTGGTGGCGTCAGCTTCACTTTTGTCTTTGCTTTCCACATCGGCCTCCTCGTCGTCCTTGGCAACAGCACGCTTCTTTGTGGCCTTTGCAGCCGGGCCTTTCTTCTCGCTTTCTGAATCCTTGACTGCCGGTGTAGAAGCCTGCCGTGCCGCGACTCGGCTGGAAACACGACGTTCCCCTGTGGGCTGGGCTGCCTCGGATGCCTTCCTTGCCATGTTGAGCGATGTGTGTAGTAAAGACTGTTCTACAAGCGAGCACGTTGTGGGAGTAGTAGAAGGAGAAGCAACTCACTTCCGGCCCTTGGCGTCTCCACACGTCGAATTCAAACTCCCTTTCCGCAATGCAGCAATCGTGGTGCCTGTACAGTCAGACTAGAGAGCAAACGGTTGCACACAAGCTGTACACATACATGTTCTTCCTGTGCCTTGCCGTCCTTCTTTGCACCCCTATCCTTCGTCTACGTCAGTCCATGCTCGAGACCTTCCATAGTGCCAGGGCAGAGCGAATCTGCTCACCATGACCGTCAAGGCTGGGCCCCTCCAAGCTCGCGAGTATCAAAAGCAGCTCTTCGCGAAAGCCCTCACCAGCAATGTCATCGCATGTGTGGAGACGGGCAGCGGCAAGACACTTGTCGCTGCTCTACTCCTCGAGCATATGTATAGTCAGGAAGTGGCTCGCACCAGGGGCTCATCTGATCACAGGAAGAGGCGCAAGCTATCACTTTTCCTTGTCAATCTGGTTCCCCTCGTCCACCAGCAGGCAGCTTTTCTCGATGCCAATACGAGCCTCAGAGTCGCCTTACTGTATGGAGAATTGGAAGCTGACACAAGTAGCAGAAGCTATTGGGATGCCCTCCTTGACGGAGAGACGGCAGTCGTTGTCTGCACCGCCAGAATCGCGCTCAATTCTATCATTCATGCGTATCTCTCCCTAGAGGACGTAAATCTCGTCGTATTCGATGAAGCACATCATGCCATCGGCAACAATGGTGAGTCTATGACTCCTCGCGACATAGCTATGGAGCAAATGAGGCAATTCTGACGAGCCTCAGCGACCTCTTGCGGATGCCAGAATACGCACGTATTATGTCTTACTACCGTCTGGTACACCCCGAAGAACGTCCCAAGATCCTTGGCATGACTGCGAGTCCACTTTCTTCTGCTGGCACCTTCAACCTAGCATCTACTGAGCTCGAAAAAGTCCTTGACGCGTCTATATTCACTGTGCCTCTGTCGGCCAAGGAGGAGCTGGAGGCGTTTGTCAGTCGCCCTACAGAGCTGATCGTAGAATACTCGTCCCAAAGGCTGTGGACGAGCAGCATTCGAGAGCCAGCGATACTGGAAGCGCACATCTTGAAGAGGATGCCTACATCTGACGACTTCCAGAAGATCTTGGAAAGGATGTCTTGGTACTGGGAGGAGCACGGCAGCTACTTCAGCGATTTGGCTTGGCTAGCTTCGAAGAGGGAGCTCCGCTCGAGAACGAAGCGTAAGAGCTATCATGCCAAGAGGCTCATGGCCGAAAACCTAGTCAACGAAGAAACTACGAAAGCAGTGTTACGATTGAAAGAGGGGGCACGAGTCAGCCACCAGATAGGAGAAATCTTAGACGACATAGAATATGTTGATCACATAGCATTGACTGAAGAGAACTCGAGCCCTAAGCTGAGGAAGCTCATCGACACTTTGGCCTGCTTCGAGAGCCAAGCCGACAGTTTCTGTGGTATCATTTTCTGCAACCGCCGCCTGTCGGCTCTAGCTTTGCGGATGCTGATACAGAAGACGCCTCGACTGTCCTTCTTGCATCCCGAGGCATTGATCGGGCACGGAGGACAGGCAAATGCTGCGGGCACTGAAGGGATGTCTTGGGAGGAACAATGCGAGATTCTCAGTCGGCTCCGGCGTCGGGCTCCTACCAACCTGGTCATCGCCACAAGCGTCTTAGAGGAAGGCCTCGACATCATGCCCGTCAATTGTGTCATCCGCTTCGACCTGCCGGATCATCATGTCGGATACGTCCAGAGTCGGGGCAGGGCACGGTCATCGGAGTCGACATATATTCTCCTTGCCGAAGAGAACAATCTAGACCATGCGCAGCTTCTTTCTAGGATAGGGCACGCAGAGCGGCAGATGCGTGATTGGCTGGCCGCACTTCCAGAGGATCGCCTCGCCACAGTAGGAGAGCACGAAGACGACTCCGCCGGGGCGGCTTCGGACGAAACGGCCGCCATGATGGGGCAGTCTTATTGTGACGAGAGAACAGGGGCACGTATCTGGCCGGTCGATGCAACCTCGCTTCTGAGTCGCTACGTGGCTGTGCTCAAGACTGACGAGGTGAGTATGTTCGAATACGTCCGGAGAAGTAAGGCGGTCGTGTGTTTTGGCTGACAACGCTTTTGGAGATCCACCCCCTACGTCCAACAGTACTGTCCAGATGGGCCAGTATACGAGCTTGAAGGAACAGAGCTAGCTTGGAAGGTCAGTGTGAGGCTCCCCGCTAGCTCTCGTTTGTCAGGACACACCGGACCATTCATGCGCTCCAAGGCTGCAGCAAAAAGTGCTGCCGCCTTTGAGACCTGTGTCAAGCTTCATCAACTGGACGAACTCGATGAACATCTATCTCCTCGCAAGAAGACAAAAATCTCAAAGGAGCCTACCATGGCTCTCGTCGGCGATTTCTCTGGTATGGGCGAAGGCGTCGAGGGAGGCAGCGAGAACACACTGTCCTTCTTCCCGGCAATTCCTGTGGCTTTTCGCCTGCCAGCAATCCCGAAGAGCGCTCCCACCCCTCTGCAAGTCTTTGTGCATGTGGTCAACTTCCCTGGCCTAAATGCCGTTGGAGGACCAATGGAGCCAATAGCACTTGTCACGGCAACACACATTTCGCAGGCAGGCATGTGCGATATTGTTTTGACCGAGTACCAAGGGTCTAAGGACGTCAGAGTACCGCCTCTATCTGAACCAATCTTCCTGGAGCTCACAAACGACCAGCTTGAACTCGCACGGGCATACACCCTGGGACTGCTGGCGCTGATTGCGCGCCGCGAGTACGAGTGTGATGCTCTGCCATATCTGTTGCTACCTCTGGCCAGAGGCACAGCTGATCGTTCGCCAGCTATCGACTGGACTGTCATCCACCGCACACTGGGTGCCTCTTCTGACGTACAGCCCATGGCATTGCATCGTCTCGACGAGGAGGGGTATCTGGATGACCTCCTGCTGCTCGACAGTCCTCACTGTGTCGGGCAGGCGCGGCCCTATCGCTGCCTGCAGATCGACCAAACGCAGACGCCCTACAGTCGAATCAAAGCTTGTCCATCGAACGGGTTGCGTGAAGATGCCGACGACAGCGCAAGTCTGGCACCTGCTACCTCGTACTGGGAGTACTATCAGAGCCTCCCCGGCCGGCGCAAGGCGACAGGAAGTCCTCCGCGTAGCGACCAGCCTATGCTAGCGGTCAGGAGACTGCCTCGACGCCTTGAGAACTTCCTGACAACAGCATACAAGAAGGGCCGTCAGCACCGAGGAGACAATTCCTTCCTGATCCCTGAATTGACCTGGGTCCACTCTTTTGGCGCCAGCATTTACGAATCTGCTCTCCTCCTCCCATCGATCTTGTGCCGCTTATCCCAGATCCTCATTGCGAAGGACCTCAACGATCGTGTGTTCAGAGGAGCATTGGACACCGATCAGACAGTGATCGCTATGACAGGTCCGACCGCTCAGCATCCTGTGCATTATCAGCGACATGAATATCTTGGGGACGCTCTTCTGAAGTCCCACGTGAGTGCCTACGTCTTTGCAATTTCGGACCAGCGAGTCGAAGGGCAGCTGCATCTTCACCGTCGGGAGATCGTATCAAATATCAATCTGATCGAGAAGAGCAAGCATCTTGAGCTCGGCACCATGCTCTATACTCGATCCTTCACTCGTAAGAATTGGACGCCGCCCCTCTGTCGCATCAAAGGCCGTACTGTGCACACTGGGGACATCGTGCAACACATCTCCCCCAAGATGGTTGCTGACGTGGTCGAGAGTGTCATCGGCGCTGCGGTGCTGACCAGCGAACGACCACTGCTCCGATCTTCTCAAGTGAGCTACGTCGGTACACCTTTGTGCATGAATGTGGACCTGGGACTGCAGGCCATAGTTGACTTTGGACTCTTGCCGCCTCACTGCAATACCTTCGAGAAGGTGAGAAAGCTCTGGACTGATCAGGTCTGGCCGAAGCGTATCGCAGAAAAGTGGGACCAGCGCTTGCATGCCGGCGCCTTGCGTAATCTGGAGACGCAGATTGGGTACAGATTCAACACCCCTCACCTGGCATTGGAGAGTATGACGCACGCAAGTCACCTGTCATCCCTCCTTCCCTCCTACCAGAGGCTGGAGTTCTTGGGCGATGCTCTGCTCGACTTTATGATCAACTGTTGGCTCTTCCAGAAGTACCCAGACATCAACGAAGGTCAATTGACGACTCTGAAGGATCTGGCAGTCTGCAATCAGGCGCTCTGTGCCCTCAGTGTCTACTTGAAGCTACACAAATTCCTGCAGATGGGCCTTCAGGCCCCGTTTGCAGCTGCCCTGTCGGACCTGACCACGGATCTTAGCATCACAAGGAAGGCGACAGATGCTTGGCTAGACCGAGACGTAGAAGCGAACGATAGCAAAGCTGAAACGCCGGACGAGTCATCGGATCCTTACGCTTCGCCTTCACCTCCACTCCAGCAGGGTAGCAAAGGGGCCAAAGAGCCACCCCTCATCCACTACTGGGCAGACGTCCGAGAGATCAAAGCGCTGGCTGACCTGGTCGAGTCTCTCCTTGGAGCCGTCTTTGTCGACTCGGGCTTCAGCATGGAGGCCACCTGGACCTTCTTTTCCCGATTTTATCTTCCTTGGTTCGAGCGCTACTGCTGCTACGATGCCTTCCTGCAGCGAACACGTCACGATCGTATGAAGAGCCAGGCTGGGGCTGAGAAGCTCTCGCCTGTGATTAGAGCCAGAAGAGAAAAGGTTAAAGAGAAGCAAGTCCGTGTGGATGAGCTCAGACAAGACGAAGAAGGAGGAGGTGATGACATGGACGATGATTCAGACGACGACATGGGCCTGGAAGGTTGACGAGCCCGATACGACACTGAGAGAGAAAGTTGTTTTGCATCTCTTTCTGCCTTGCCCTCTGATACCATGAACAATGAGATGCCCCTTGACATTCAGAAAAGAGCGTTGAGCAGTGGTCGATGTTGTTACATCCCGGCGGCCGGCTGGCTGCTCTTGCGCGGATTCAGCGGCTGCTCTCTCGCTCCTCTGCGATAGTCTGAAGCTCGTTCCAAAGGCCGTTGCCGAGGCAATGGTGGGTCTCGACGATGCGGGGGAGCGGCAAGAAGCGGAAGTGTTGCAGTAAGTTGTAGCGCCCCAATGAGGCTTACGGCCGTCCCAGCCGATTGGGCGGCCGACCCTACGGACTGGGCGCGGCGTATGCCCCGGGTCTGGGGCTCCACACCTTACAATGGCGTGATTCAAACTCCGCCTCGGCATGTGCTGAATGAAATGTAGGGTAGAAAGGAGAGAGACAGGCCAGCCAGGAGTAGGGGGCCCCACAGCGGAATGGTTGGGGGCAGATATACGGAAATTTCTTTCTCCTACGAATCTCTGGTGTAGTGCCCCTGAAGTCCTAACGGCGAATCATGTAAGATGGGCGGATTTATATGAGACATGGACCAATGTCGGCTTTGGAATGCGATCGGCTCCCTTACGGCCGACGGGGTAAGTCCCGGTAAGGTCCCCCCCATCCCTTCCTACTGCCGTGGCGCTCTTGGCAAGCGTGCTCATTCCATGGCGTTGCATGGCATGGTACCGAGTATGGCGGAAAGGCGTCGGCGAAGGCGGGATCCAAGGGAGAGGTGGTTCATGCCAATACAACAAGGGGGAAGTTGGTGGGGCATATCTTCGTGCTTCCTTCTTGGTGGGCCTTGCTGATCGCCCTCTACGAATTTCTTGGCTTCGGCTCTCACGGGTCTTATCGCAAGAGGGGCATTGTGAAGGGACGAGGACGACGTATCTGGCTGGCAGGGGGGTAAAGGCAATTTGTCCATGGTAGTCAGCCGATCCGTGTGGTTGACAAGCTCGAACTCAGCGTTAGATGCAGGCCGACGGCGATCACCTCGAGTGCACATCTACCTCGATGCGGGGATTGTGAGGGAATGTGTGGGGAACTTGGGCAGTAGTCCAGACAGTCTTGGCCAATGCGGGGACGAGGGAGCACCACCTCTGTGACCTCTGGTGCAACGTTGCCGGTGCGCATTGGCCCACGAGATTGCGCCACGGAGGCGTCTGTGACTGGTGAGATGCCTGACACGCGCCTGTGCGTCTGCCTGTCCTCGTTTCCCCTGACGCGCTCCCGTGGAACCCCCGAATCCGGGGTCAACGTCACTCCGCTTCTTACTCCGACGAGTGCATCCCCGTTGCTCACAGGCCTTCGGTCCCTGGCCTACGTCCGCGAGGCAGCAGAGCGGCTGCAACCCAACCGTCCGCGACAACCGACCGAGCGACTCCAGCCTTTCCCCCCTCCCCACTTTCTGTGTTATAAAGTGCGTCTGTCATCACGCCGCCCCCCGCCCACGTCGCCCGCTTCGACCGCACCGTCTCCTCTTTCCTCCCAGTCCACCCACCCATCGACAGTAGACTCATCAGTCTCGTGCACTAGAAAACACCCCTTGCCCACCCACCTTGAAGTAGATTGAAAATGTCATCTGAGGAAGCCCACGGCAACGGCAACGGCCACCACAACGGCCCCACCCACATCAACGACAAGCACCTGGAGACCGCAGGTCAGAATGGAGGCTTTGCCGGTGCTACACCGCTGCACAGGGCTGTTACTCGTGAGTAGCAATGGGGGAGATACAGCGCTCGTGCTCGTGCACGTGCATATATAGAGCTGCGCAAAAGGAGGCTTGGCAGAGTACGCCTGGCTGGTGGCACCCTCCTCGGATGGTCCAGGAGCCATACACAGCAGGTGGTTGGGTGCCCCTGCGGTAGCTCTTATTTGAGACCCTCTATGAACGCTGTCCACGAAACAAGTACTGACATGCCTTCTCCCGACCGCTCGCACTCCTTTCCTTCACCGCAGCCGGAGGACATCCTCAGGACTCTACGCAGCCAGCGTTCCCCATCTACCACCGAAGGTGTGAGTATGCAAAGTCCATGCACTCTCTTCGAAACGACATGGCGACTGACTCGACTCTTTTCATCACTGCTGCTTACAAATTCTAGTTGCCAACCCCGCTCCTCTTGGTCTGTTCGGTTTCGCGGCTACTACGTTCATGCTCTCCTTGTTCAACATTGGCGCACGTGGTATTTCTTCACCAAACGGCATCATTGGAATGGCACTCGCCTACGGTGGTACTGCCCAGTTCATTGCTGGTGTATGGGAGTTTGCTTGTGGTAACACCTTCGGTGCCACTGCCTTCTGCTCTTACGGTGCATTCTGGTGGTCATTTGCCGTCACCCTGATCCCATTCTTCGGCGTTTCCGAGTCGGCCGCCTCTCCTGGCGGTGTCCCTTCGACTGAGCTGGACAGCGTTCTAGGCATCTACCTCGCTTCCTGGTTCGTCTTCACCTTCATTATGCTCGTAGCCTCCTTCAGGTCGAGCGTGGGACTGGTCGCTCTCTTCTTCTTCCTGGACTTGACCTTCTTGCTGCTCTTCATCTCCTACCTCGTCGCTAGCGGTGGAAACGCCGCCAGGGCTAGCCAGTGCGAGACTGCAGGAGGTGCTCTCGGTATCATCACTGCTGCCATTGCTTGGTACGTCGGAACGGCCGGTCTGCTCACTCCGGACACTTCCTTCTTCACCCTGCCCGTCATCTCGCTGGCACGCAACGACTAAGCAGTCAAGATGTGAAGCTGGAGCACAGTCTGCGCAAGAGGGCAGATGTTCGCCCTTGGTACAAACCCCACATGCTTTGTGCGCGACTCCGTTCGAAGCATTGTGCTCCACCTTGTCATTTCCCTACTTCCGGTGGAAGTGAGACCCCTATACCTTTATTTTGTTACTGAATCTTTGGGTCCAGTGCTGCTGCGCTGGTCTCGCTCTTAACTCGCTGCAATTTTTATTATCATATTTGCCACCCTCTGCATTTTGAACGTTCCTGTTATGGTGTGTCTTGTGCCTTCAGTGGTGAGACCTTAGTGTCAGCGGGCGAGACAAGTAGGCCGAGGCGGAAAGGGCGCTTCAGGGTCTCCTTCCCTCCGTGTGCTACCCACTGTTCCTTCTCGTGTCTCTTACAGCTTTCCTTCCTCCCATGGATGGCGCAGCCCTCGCCGAAGAGGCAGAAGCTCGATGAGTCTCCTCGTTCTCCCCAGTCGAGGTCAATCACCTCGCTCTTCTCCCCTACAAAAGGCGTACCTACCGCCCAGGATGGTCGCTCTTCCGCTCTAGCGCCTAGTCGACCCTCCGCGGCAGCCCACCGAGAGATCATCCAGCTAGACCTAGATCAATTCTACGTAGCCGCCTCGCGCATCCGTGACCCTTCTCTTGTCGGTCTGCCTATTGGCATTAAGCAAAAGGGCATTCTCGCCACTGCCTCGTATGAAGCGCGCGCTTTGGGTGTTCAGAAACTAGCTTCGGTACGAGAAGCAGTCAAGCGCTGCCCGGAGCTCATCTTGGTCAATGGAGAGGACCTAAGCTTCTTCAGAAAGCTCTCACAGAGGGTTTGGAGGTTGGTGAGGGGAATTGTCTGGAAGGGCAAAGTGGAGAAGCTGGGTCTGGACGAGCTCTTCTGCGATGTGAGCTTGGAGGTGCTGCACAAGGAAATACTGCTCCTGGTGGAATCGACGCTGATCACCCGCTCCGATTGCTCATATCCCGTCACACGTCTTCCAGGTCACTGAGATGGTCTCCTTCAACATGCAGCAGCAGAGTGCTGCAAGCTCGGCTCCAGTCTCACCTTTCTTCCGCTTGGACAAGGATGATCCAACAATAGGCATCGCGTACGATCCGACCCTCCCTCCTGGCCATGTTCTGCCCATTCTGACCTCCTCAGAGGTAAGCGAAGAAGTTGCCATCGCTCGCCGGCGGCTGCTTTTGGCTTCGCACCTAGCTTCCCATCTAAGAAGCTGCATACTCCACGAAATAGGGCTGACTGCTTCAGCGGGGATCGCTAGCAATAAGTTGCTAGCCAAGCTGATGTGTGCAAAGCACAAGCCAGCAGAGCAGACTGTCTTTCTGCCTGCCAATCAAACAGAGGTTCAGCAGTACCTTGACACCTACGAGGTACGCGCCCTCAATGGCTTTGGGGGAGCCATCGTCAATAAGCTGCGAGGCTGTCTAGGTGGTGAGCAGCTCGGCCACAGCGGCACCGAGTGGATCAATGGTGGGCTTGGGCTTGACCCACAGACCGCTCTAGTCGAAGCGAGGGATCGAGATCCCCCCGTGCCCCTGACTGTCTCCCTCTCTCGGAAAGCATTCACAGCTCAAAGCCTCGTCGAATTGTTTGGGCAGAGGCTGGGACCAAGGCTTTGGGGTCTGCTACACGGCATCGACCACGACGAGGTGATACCCGCTCCGTTATACCCACATCAGATCAGCATCGAAGACACTTTCCGTGGCCTTAGAGGTCAAGCTCAGCACGAGCAGCTCCACGTATTATCAAGTAGCCTGCTGCGTCGACTAGAAGTGGAGCTGGTCGAAGACGAGGGAGACCTCAGCCAGCCTCTCACGCTCAGGAATGAGCCTGTGACATTGCCGTCGGAAGAAGGTCGAGAGCAGCCTCTGGACCTTAAGGGCATGTGCGTCCGCTCCTACGTCGAGGAGGACTCCTTGTCGCAAGAAGTGGCGTCCCGGAGAACCTGGCGGCGCTACCCTCTGAGCGTGAGGCTGAGCATCCGCCAAGGGTGGGAGAATCGCACGTCCAAGCAGACAAGGATGCCCGTCGAGGTATTTGATCTGTCCCTCTCCCGCTCGCAGCGCGCCACGGCTCTTGCGGCGACCTTGGAAGGCCTACGGCGATCCATGATTGCTACTCACGGCGATCGGGGTGAAGGGATCAACCTGATCAACATCGCAGCGCTGGACCTGGTGAAGCAGAAGCCTGCAGCTTCCATAGGGGCCCTGTTCGCGAATGGCAATGGCAAGGGAAAGGGCAAGGAAGTAGTGATTGACGAGGAGTTTCTGAGGTCCCTGCCACCCGAGATCAGGAAGGAAGTCATGGATCAGTACGGACACGTCCCGACTGACATCACCGCTGCAAGTGCCGATGAAAAGTATTCAGGAGTGGGCGATGTTATCGAGCCCAACGACGAAGACGTCCACAACGGCGGGGAAGAAGAAGAGGAATTGATCTGCGACAAGTGCGGAGCAGTGCAAGAAGCCTGGCTACAGCACGACCATCTCATCTGGCCCGTCTTTGGACTTCCCCCATGCTTTGCCCAACTCATGGACAAGAACCTATGGTCGGGAAGCACATGGGCCGATGATCAGCGGGAGAGGGAGAAGGCGAGTGTACTGCCACCGAGTCAGGAGAGGCATTGAAGCAGCCAAAGGAGCGAGCGGCAGCATGTCTCTGAGCTTTGTAATGTCAGCATACAATTTCAACACTATCAACTTCTATTTGGCTTAGCTTGTGGCCCCATTCGAAATGGCCACGCCGCATTTCGCCCATTGGAGTAGACGCGGGGGTTACGATACTGTACAGTGGAAGGCGGTGGAAAGTCTGGTTCCGCTCGTGTCGGGCCTGCATCTCGCGTGACAGGCATGAGCCAAAAGTGGAGAAGCAGCACGCCCAGAGTCACCCCGTCTCTGCTTCAGTACTCGGTCCTTTTGCTACCACAACCAGCACTTCTTCTTCTGCACTTCAGACATCGTCTACTTTACACTTCGTACTCACATTGAGCACTACACTTCATATCCTAGCGCATACATAGATAGCAAACATGTCAGACTGGGGTGAGTTCAATCCATCGAGCTTACGCCTCCCTCAGGCTCCCAAGCTGCATTGTGGCAAGGGGGCCAGGCTGGCCAGTCAGGCGCAGTAATATCGTCTCACTCAGGACCAATACTGACTCATCATCCCTCTCCTCTTCTCTTTGCGGTACTTCAGACAGCGTCACGATCATCGGCAAGAAGGGCAACGTGGGTGGCTCTGGTGGAGTGAAGCAGGGTCCTTCGGCTTACGAGAGGGCAAAGGCGGCAGGAGCTATCAATGATCTGGATCGAAAGAGTGAGTGTTTGAGGGACAGACACCGTGATGAGATCCAGGGAAGGAGCTGGTGCTGGGAGAATAAAGCGACAGTGGACGCTGCCACCACCGTCCAGAAAGGGCAATGACCGGTGTTGCGGCTGCCGGACGGCAACTTTCGTCCTGTCCTTGCCCCTGTATCTCCCGCTCCCACTGGCCTTCTCCTTTTGCCACAAGCTCTCATCCGCTAATCCTCTTCCTTCCTTCTCTACCGCTTCCATCACCTCTCCCCTTCTCAGCCACCGCCGGCACGAACAAGGGCCACGTGGGTACCGACCATGCTCACCTTGCCAAGCTGGACAGGGAGAACGAGGTAGCTCCACCTCCCAAGGTGGCGCCTACTGTCGGCAAGGCCATTTCTCAAGCACGTCAGGACAAGGGATTGAATCAGAAGGACTTGGGAACAAAGATTAATGAGAAGCCGCAGGTGATTGCCGAGTACGAGTCGGTGAGTACAATGCGAGATAGAGAGAGCGGGGGGAGAAGGGCATGTACAAGCCGGAGAAGTGGGGACGATCTTGCTGACCTGGTCTCTTTCGCTGCTGTGTGCTCCTTCCACCCTTGATTTATACAGGGCAAGGCCATTCCGAACCCACAAATTCTCAGCAAGATGGAGAGGGCGCTGGGCCTCAAGCTGAGAGGCAAGGACATCGGACAGCCCCTCAGTGGGCCCTCGAAGAAGAAGTAGAGATTGTGAGAGAGAGTAGAACAAGGAGCAAGGATATAGATGGACGAGAGAGGGGAGGGATGTTAGAGGCTTGTGATGGGTGTCCTGTTTGCCACGATCTATTCGTAGCCTGAAATTGCAAAGCGTTACGCAGCAAAAAGAGACTCAGGCATTGATGATCTCATACAGAGTTACTGTCAAGCAGGTTCTCATAAGGTAATGTATTGAAAGCTCAGCCCCACGACGTGCTGCCCTTCCTCGACTCTCTACTGTCCGACATTTCAGGCATCACTATCCTGCACCAACTTGGCCACCGCCTTGGCCAGACTGTCCAGCTCGCCCGCCAAGCTGGTCTCAGCATACACTCTCACACAGTCTTCTGTCCCACTAGGCCGCACAAAGCTCCTAGCATCCTTGTACTTTCCCACAACCTCGTCAATCTTCTCCTGTAGTCCAGGTGGGCTTACCAGCCTGCGCTCTGCGTCTTCAGTCTTGAAGATGAAGCGGTCCTTGACGTTTACCTTGAGGAGCTTGTTGGGCAGGTCCTCGTATGCTCCGTCCCAGGCTTCGGGACCCCACTGTCGTGCGCGGAGGATGACCTCGACGAGGAGCATGTCGCTCAGAGCGTCACCGACGGTCTGGTTGATCAATTCGGCCAGAGCTGTAAGCTGATGGAGAGCATCTTCCGCTGCTGGAGAGGCGGGCGAAGTCTCCTTGAAGGCCCGCTGTGCCGAGGTCGAGAAGAGGACGGTGCCGTGACCATTGGCCTCAAAGTAGACTCCAATGTCGTACCGCTCTGCAGCGTGGTGAAGATACTTGACTCCCGTAGGGGTGCAAGTGACAGGCACTCGTTGCTTGAGATACTTGGTCGAGCTGCCATTGGCATAAGCCGTCTGTACGCAGCCTACCTGCAGCTCGATTCCCGCCTTTTTCACCAGTTCACTGATGTAGTCGGCAGCTAGACTAGCAATCTTGTCTCCGTCCAAGAGCCTGAAGCTGTCTTTCTGACCTGGAGGCCCTCTCAGATAGTAGTACACGATCCGATCAGCATCACCGTCAAAGGAGCACATCCATTGCCCAGGCACATAGCTGATGTCCTTTTCGTAGCCTGCTGGAAGGCGCTGATTGCTCTTGACATAGTCGGCTCCACATCCATTGTTGAGGACGCCTGGAGTCTTCGTATCTGTTCTCATCGCCTTGATGGTCAGATGCTTCTCTGGGATATGCTTCAGGAGGGAAAGGAGGGCTGGGGCTCCCACTCCGTTGGCGCAGTCGACGATTAGAGGAGGCGTGGCAGTGGCCGAAGTCTTGTCTGCCACCAGCTTCAAGTAGGCGGAGCTGAGCTTCTTGTAGTATCCTTCCTCTGTCGGCTCTCCATATGCGTCTTCTGTTCCTTGAGTGTTGAGGGCTTTGACGAGGTAGTGGAGCTGTGGGGTAGTCTTGAGACCTGCATCGGTGATATGAGCGCCCATTGTAGCCAGACCAGCTGCGACTGCCTTGATGAGCATAGTCGAGGTGGGCCGAGTATCGTGGGCATAGACTACGGACGCTGGTGTCGAAAGGTTGATCTTGTTCGCCGATATGAGATTCTCGAGGACAGAAACGAGCTCCTGAGCCGTCGATGCGTTGACGGCTTGCGTGCAGTATGCTTCCCAGGAAGCCTCGAGCATCTCGCCCCTGGAGTCGACTGCTTTCAAGCCGTTGTCCTGGTAAGACGACAGAAACTTGCATGTGAGCTTCCCCTCACTATATAGCGGTCTATACAGCACTTCCATACTGACCTCTTCCGGATTGTGACTCGCGGTCACCATCAGACCGACGGTCTTTCCGCCTAACCTCTTGCTTCGCAGAGCGCTGATAAGTGCGATGCGGTAGCAGACGCTTTCAAGCACAGCACCCCTGTGCAGCAGAATAGAACACAGACGGGGAGTATGAGTCAAGACCGCTCGCTGTGGCTCGGAGCAGCTCCTGGCAGCAAGCTACCCGCACTCACTTTGTTCGAACACCAGCTGTGCCGTATGTGAATGTGATGTTCTCTGGCTTTGGGTACTCCTTGACGCCTTCTTCGATGATCTGAACCGGCAGACCATCAGCCATGGCGGCCGCCGACGAGATTGCACCAGGCAGTGACATTTCCGATGAGAGTGAGAGGGGACTTCTGGTGGTTGGGATGAGGCTGGTCAATAAGGAAGCCCACGGTAGGCCGATGCTGGTCCCGCGAGAAGAACACCGTGGCTGGCTGGAGCACACGCGGGGTGGAGTTGTGAGGCTCTTCCTCTCCTTCCGTTCCGATGCACGCCAGCTCCCGCCCACGCCCACCGCGCATCGTCTGTCCCGGGCTGTCCGATCAACCTCGCCTGCCTGCCCGCCCGCACGCCCGCCCGTCGAGCCATCGATTGCAAACGACAACGACGGACCTTCCTACCATCATATCAACCTCCCTATCCTACATACCTCTTTCCCAACATGGTCTTCCGAGCTGCTCTTACCCGCGCTGCCGCTCCCCTCGTGCGAGTGAGGCCAACGCTGGCTGCTTCTTCCGCACCTCTGCGTCTCCTGTCGACCTCTGCCATCCGACGGGCAGACGACCATGGACACCCTCCCATCATCCAGGGTGAGGGAGGTAAGGCTGGAGAGACACCTACCGACCTGCAGCAGGCCACTGGTATCGAGCGACTGGAGCTCTTGGGAAGGTTGGAGGGTATTGAGATTTTCGACATGAAGCCTCTAGACGCTTCCCGCATCGGAACCATGAAGGAGCCCATTGTCGTCAAGAGCTTGGTGAGTACTAATGCGGCTAGCAAGATCAGAGGTACAGGCGGACGAAGGGATGGATAGACTATGCTTCAGATATCAGAGCTTGGGTGGTTGCAGGCTTGGACCGCAAGGATCTGCAATTCTCCGGCCGGTAGAAAGATGGCAGAGATACCCCGAGAGCAGAGAGATAGCCTCCTTGAGGCTTCTAATTACCCTGGCAGCCTGCAATAGAGATGCAGTCATCTTGGTGATGGCTGAAGTTGCTCCAAACCTAATGAGTCTGCCACCGTTCTCTCGTTCTCACGCTGACTTCGCAATCCCTTGACTTGGTGTCCGATCTTCTCAGCACCCTGAACGAATCGTCGGATGCAGCGGATCGCCCGCCGGCTCCCACGACACAATCTACCTGTCGCTCAACCTCACCCTAGAGCGTCATCGTTGCCCCGAGTGCGGTTCAGGTGAGTGAGGTCGATGCAATGTTGTCAAGGTCAAACCTTGACAAGTAGCTTAATCTTGTCTTGTCCCTTGCACCCCTCGCAGTGTACAAGCTCGACCACATCGGAGAGTCGCACGGTCACCACTAAATGTTGCAAGCTTAGACTCTGGCGTTCGCCTGTCTGTTCGCAATTTAGAAAGTCAGCATCGTTGGAGAGTGATATTGTGCACAAGGATGGGGAGACAGTCAACGAGCTTGTCGAACTTACTTAGGCCCCCACTCAGTACCTCCGGAATCCAATGTCCAACACTTGAGAGGATGTCAGTGCATCACGTATGAGCTCTGGCTTGATCTGACACCATGCTTGCGCTGTCTCGGGGAGTGTCGAGGACCTCGCTTGGGTTTCAGGCAGAGCGGAGGCGGAGCGATGCGAGACAGACAGACAGTCCCTCTTTCCGTGTGTGCGTTAATTTTGTACGCTTCCCACCTCTTCCTGACTTCGTTTCGCACTCTGTGCGACCTCTTGCCATGTCCCCATCATCTTCCTTTGACCATCGGTGATGTCCTTTCAGTACCTCTCTTTTCAGCGCTCCCCGCCTGCTCGCCTGCAGTACGGTCAGCAGGTGGTCATCTCACCCCTGGTCACCAATGATCTTCGGGAAGCCAAGTTCAACCCAGAAGAGGGAGAGCTGCCGATCGAGATCGCCTGGGTGCGAGAGAATGGCGCTCGTCAATGGACGCTCGTCAAGAGGGAGGAGCAGATCAAATGGAGAGGAGAGGAGACTTCCTGGAAGAAGGTGGAGCTGACTGCGCCGAGCAGAGAGGAGATGAGGACCCAGGAAGGAAAGAGCTGCGTCCGCCTGGCGATGTGGGTAGCCAACCAAGGGCGGACACGGCGAGCGGGTCAGAAGCAGAACGGTAACAGCTCTTCTGGTTCCTCTCGGCCCTTCAAGAAGCCGAGAACCGGCTCAGGAAAGGACTTGTGTGAGGCTGAGCTTCTGAACAGGCTCGTGGTAGACCCATACGAGGCCACTATCCGCGCTATGCGAGACCAAGAAGACGTCTTTCTGCCAGTCTTGACCCCTCCAATCATGCTATACGGCCATGACGGACCATCTGCTGTGCTCAATGGCGGTCAGACGCAGAAGTTCTCCGAGATCGCACGCCTCTGGCATATACCACCTAGCTGGACTCATCGCTGTCAAGCAGCTGATGACAATGGTGCAAGCAGGAGGTACATCGAGGTACGAGAAGAGCTTGGGTATCAGCTGGACAAGGTGAGTAATCATGTACAGCCGCTGCGACGGATACTCAAACATTCCAAGCGCTCATTGACAAACGCCCATGATCTCAACAGCACGTCTGGGACGCTTCACTTGCCTTGATGGCAAGCCTTTGTCTCAAGCCGCAGGAGCGGTTGATCCAACAAGATCAATGCGACAAGTCTTCGAGCGGCCCTCCACCTCAAGACCTGTTTGCTGCCGCCAGAGGTTGTGTCAGCATAGAGCTGGGCACTGGAACGGGCTTGCTGTCCTTGTGGCTGGACAAGGTTCGTCGTTCTTCGGCAGTTGCTACTGCTGGGAGCAGCACTCCAGAGAGAGACCAGACCTGCCGGCTATTCCTGACTGACCTCGGTGAGTAGTTGAGATCGCCCAAAAATGGAGGCCCACCACCAGGACTGAACTCACTGTCTCCATCCCCTCTACTTCGTTTCAGAGGATTCACTAGCTTTGGCAGAGTCGAATGCTTGTCTGAATGCAGATAATACGGAAGTTCCCAGTTGTACCTCGCCGGAGGGCGCGGGCTCAGGTAATGCGTCGACTCTCCGCATGCTAGGTCTAGACTGGTTCTCTACAGGCTTGCAGCCAGAGCTCGTAGAGGCTATTGAGGGCTCGTATAAGGGCCAAGATAGTGGGATAAACCTGACCGCTGCTCCGCCTCGACCACACCTTCTCGTGCTGGCCTCGGACTGCTCATACAATCCAGACGCCTACCCAGCCCTGGCGGGGACAATCAAGCGCCTCCTAGGCGCCGGCGACGCCTCATCTTCTGACTCTCAAGCCAGCGACCAGCGACAGGCAATGTGTCTCCTCGCCAAGAAGCATAGAAATCCGGACGAGCAATCGCTCTGGGATGCGCTGCTGAACGAGGGGCTGCAAGTCACATTGCAGCAAGGATGGCATGACGATTACACGAGGCATGCGGGCATCGCAGAAGGAGAGGACATTGACCCTGGAGATGCAGTAGAGAACGCCCGAGAGCAAGAAGGCCTGGGAAAGTGCGGTATCTATCTCATTACTCTCGCGGGATGCGAGGTGTGAAGCAAGCAGAGGGTATCATTGTTATTGTACATATGCAAAGTCATCCTGCTCCCCCTGTGTCTGGTCTTATTGCTTTGGCCTCTCACTCGAGCCCGAACCACACCCGCCTTCGATCTCAGCTTCAAGCTTCTCCATCCGTTTCAGGGTTGCCTGAAGGATAGCATCCCGCCTCTCCTGCGTACTTGACTCGTCCGATCGAAGTCCTGCTCCACCCAAGACGTACGACCCGCCCTGTGTACCGCCTGCGCCTGTCGAGCCACTCTCTGCAGGGACATACATCTCTCCTTCAACGAGGCTGTGTCTCCCCTCTTTCGCATTCTTCTCGAATGCAGCCAGCTCGGCATTCAGCTTCGAGTTGAGAATCTTGAACTCAGGAGGATGATCACTGACGTCTATATGAGCCAGCTCATGCACCAGTACCGTGCGTGTGGTCTTGTAGTCCCTCAGACCGTCCGCATCGTCTGTGCGTACTCGCAGACGAATTGTTTGACCCTTGTTCTCGTTGAGACCTAGGAGCTCAGGATTCTGCCATGGTAGGAGCTCAGTCAAGTGGCCTACTGTGTAGCCATGCAGGGAGCAGATGTGGACTATGCCTGGGTCGTGGGCTAAGCGGCTGAGGTAGGCTGTGATTTGCGCGTGAAGAGGGGAATCTTGGGACAGGGAGGCGTGTGGGGCAATGGAGTGGAAGGGGTTCGGAGCTGAAGCTGTGGCTGTAGAACGAGGCTGATAGGAACGCGAGAGGTACAAATCTCTTGTGAGCACATGACTGCGCAGCACAGTCGTCATTGAATCAATGTCTTTACTCACCTTGGTACCTTGGAGCATACTAGGATGGTAGTTCCGGGGTTGCTTCCATTTGCTCGCCTCTGCCTCCTCCTGCTTCACCTTGCCCACCTCCTCGGCCGTAGCTCCCAGAACCATGATGGACATGCCATCTTTCAAGCCTGCCTCTTGCAGAGTCATGACATCAGTCGTTGCTGCAGGGGTGAGAGTTACGCCCTTTGCCGGCTTGGGAAGGAGCTTCTGATTCGATGGCGGCACTGACGTGAGGTAGTGAATCTCTTGCCGGATGGAGGACACCAAAGCTGAAGACGGCAGGGTGAGAGTATACTTCTGAGAACGATGTGTGAGGGTGAAGGTCATCATGGTCGCCATGACGATGTGTGGCGACAGTGTCGAGTTGCGGGGCAGGCTATGGATGGTACACGGAAAGGGAAATCGAGGTGCGGGAAGAAGTAAGGCACTTGCGTATGCGCCTCAGCTTCAGCTCAGCTCGGGCCCTGCATCCGAACAAGTCCGGAGATAGGCACCGGAGCCGAGGGCTACTTCACGCACTCACTACTCCCCCACGCCACATCCAACCGGCATTGGCACCTCGGCCCGGAGACTGCGTGTCCGGCCAAGAATGCGGGGTAAGCACTGCGAAGGTAGCCGTCCCCAACGCCACGATACCCAACGACCTTCTCTCCTTGCCTTCATTCCCTCATACCTACTTCATTACCCACCCAGCCCACCTCCGCTCACCATGTCCTTCGGTCCCGTATCACCTGGCGATCACCCTGTCATCGCTGAGGGCATCATCTCTCGAGGAGCCTGGGCTCTCATCGAAGACAAGTTCTCCGACTTTGCCAAGAAGACTCTCGCCAATGTCGTCCACTTTGTGATTGTGAGTATCTGCGTCTGCGAATAGGTCACTCACTTGATCAGTACTCATCGTCGCCTCTCGTATTCTCGTCACAATTCAGAACGACTGCATTCCCGCTGCTGAGGTATACGAGGCGCAGATCTCCAAGGATCCTTCTACGCGATGGAAGGTCGTGCCGCCGGTCATCGAAGAGCTCAAGGCCAAAGCTAAGTCTCTCGGTCTTTGGAACCTCTTCTTATCCAAGAAGCACTACCCCGATGTTGGCTCCCCTTTGACTAACCTGGAGTACGCAGTCATGGCCGAGGTCACCGGTAGGGGAGGTCATTTCGCATCGGAGGCGCTGAACTGCAGTGCTCCTGACACCGGCAACATGGGTGAGTGTGTGGTAGGCACTTCAATGTCGGGCTCGTCGCGCTCACACCCCTCCGTCTGCTCTTTCTCCTTTCACAGAGGTCCTGGCCAAGTACGGAAATGAAGAGCAGAAGAAGCAGTGGCTTACACCCCTCCTCAACGGAGAGATCCGATCGTGAGTGGCACTGCAGAACAGACGAAGATCAGAGCAGTCGGGATGTCTAACGCTGCTTCACCTACACTTTTCCTCTGCAGAGCCTTTGCCATGACGGAGCGCTTCATTGCCTCATCTGATGCCACCAACATCAAGACTGATATTCGTCAAGAGGGCGACGAGATTGTCATCAACGGACACAAGTGGTGGATCAGTGGCGCCGGAGACCCACGTTGCAAGCTGCACATCCTGATGGGCAAGTCGGACCCCAACAACAGCAGTCCTCACAAGCAACAAAGCATCGTCCTCATCCCTGCCGACACGCCCGGTATCAGAGTTGTGCGAGCTATGCAGGTCTTTGGGTATGATGACGCTCCCGAGGGTCACTGTGAGATCATCTATGAGAATGTACGCGTGCCTCTCAAGAATCTGGTCAAGGGCTGGGGCTGTGGATTCGAGATCATCCAGGGTCGTCTTGGACCTGGAAGAATTCACCACTGCATGCGCTCCATCGGCACGGCCGAGGCTGCTCTAGACCGCATGCTTACCCGAGCCACTGACACTCGCAAGCGCACCTTTGGCAAGGCCCTCTACGAGCACGGCACCATCGTGGCGGACATTGCCAAGTCGCGCATGCAAATCGATCAGGCTCGTCTGCTGGTACTGTCAGCAGCAAACATGATCGATCGATCCAATGCCAAGGGCGCCATGCGCGACATCGGTATGAGCAAGGTCGTCGTCCCCACCATGGCCCTCGAGGTAGTAGATCGCTCCATGCAAGCGCACGGAGCCGAGGGAATCTGTCAAGACACACCCCTCGCAGCCGCCTACGCCGGGTTGCGTACCTTGCGGTATGCCGATGGACCTGACGAGGTGCACATTCAGCAAATTGGAAAGCAGGAGCTCAAGAGGGCAAAGCTACTGTGGGAGAGGCAGGAGAGTGTGGAAAAGAAGAGCCAGAAGCACCTCAGCAATGCTGGGATCAAGCCTCGCTCTCACTTGTGAATGAAGGACACTGGACCGCACCGTACTGTAGAGTCAGGTTTATACGGGCCCTTCGTCTCTTCTTGTTCTCTTTCTGTATCGTGTCAATTGTATCGCCTCGTGTGTTCGAGATTCTCGTGGCGTGGCAAGTGCTGTCCTGATCCATTCTCCTCCACGCTGCTCAGACCTGCAGCTAGCACTTGCGTCACGAGCCGTCGATCTTGGCTGACATTGTAGGCATCAAACGAATATTGACACATAGTATATTCATACAGAGGGAGGAAGACGCAGGTCGAGCAAGGACAAAAAGGAGGAAAGAAAGAGGTGACGAGACGAGGCAGAGGTAGAGGTAGAAGGAGAGGACAGGACACTTAGCTCAGAGACTGGGCTCGTCAGCTACTTGTGAAGAAAAGGGGAGAGGTGGTGGTGGTGGTGGAGGAGAGTAAGGGCATCTCAGAAAGAGAGATGAAGATGGAAAGTCAAGGAAGAAAGAACGCCAGGCGAGCGCACAGGTGTCTAAGATGCGCTTCGCTCCCGTGGACACAACCTCTTGCAGATCCTAGTCTGCCAGGGCGGCTCTCCTCTCCTCGTCTTCCTCCGAGCCGGAGACGACTGACCATTCGTCGGAAGTAGTATGTCCGCTATTGGCTCTGGATCGGTTGGGCCCTTGAGTCGTATCCACGGACGTTCGGCCCCTCTGCGAGATCGCGGCGCCTGAAGGGCTAAAGGATCGTGCTCCTGACGGACTGGACAGGCCTGACGCCGACGAATCAGCTGTGGTCGAGAGGGAGCGACCGCGACGATCCTGTCTTGATGCTCCTCCCTCGACCACGGTACGCGTAGACCTTGTATTCTTCTTGATGAGGCTACGAGCATAGTCTAGATCCGCATAGATGGCTCGTATAGCTTCGGCCACGCCGTTCTCTGCGCGGATTTGTCTACCCAGCTCCCTAGCCCTTTCGATCTGACGAGTACTCTGTGTCGCCTGCACGAGAGCATTCGAAAGTGCTTCGATGGTAAGATCTCTTACACAGCTACCAACGCCGAGCGACTCCACTTGCTGGCCCCAGAAGAATTGGTCACCGAAGAAGGGCTTGACGATGGTTGGGATACCTGCACGAAGAGAAGCTCCCAGGGTACCGGCTCCACCGTGGTGGCAGGCTGCGTCCATCTGTGGGAAGAGCCAGTCGTGGGGGACGGAATTTACCTGGAAGACATCGTTGGTGAGGTAAGGAGAGGCACTTGTAGCAGCTTGTGCAGCTCCAGCCTTCTTAGTCAGCCGATCAGACCATCCCTTCGATAAGATGGCGCAGACATTGCTTCTTCTCACGGCTTCAGTCACGCAGCGAGTGGTAGCCGCGGCGTTGGGCACGGTGATGGAACCCCAGCCGATGTATACCAGCTTCTTGCCTGACTTCCTGGCTCGAGCTATGAAGGCCAGTAGCTCCTCGGGAGGGGACCAGGTCTTACTACTGGAGCTCTCTGGGTTGTCGAGGAACCAAAAGCCAGTGACGTGGATCCAGTCGTACCAATCAAGCGGCTTGGGTACCAAACTCGGGCTGAAGTTATACAGGAAAGGTGTCTTGTGCTGTTCCAGCTTGTCCAGATTGGTTGGCAGAAGTTCTAAGCAGCTCGTTCTCCACCTGTTGATCTGACCGGCAGAGGCAGTCCAAAGGACTTGATCAAAGATGACGTATGTCATGTAATTGTAGTTCCCTCCTGCCTTCTTGTTTGGGACAGCAAAAGCTTGCGGATAAGCTCGGGTGCGAGACCAGGGCATTGTGAAGGCTCTGAAGTAGGGCACTTGCAGAGCTTCGGAGATGTGGATTCCAGCAATGGCGTTGGGCGACTCGATGATAACGTCTGTACCCTGACAAGCGTGCCAACAAGAGACCAAGAGCTCGTCAAGCCAGCCACGGAATTTAGTCACTCCTTCACGTAGGAAGGATACCGTGAAAGTACCATTTTCGACACAAATCTTCATTAGCTCCGCCGGATCGCCGCCAATCTCCACAAAGTCTACGCCGTGCTGCTGAATCCATGGTCCAAACTCGGCATGAGTAGCCATCCTGACTCGATGTCCTTCGGCGATCAGACCCTTTGACAAAGCCAGAAAAGGCTGCACGTCCCCTCTTGACCCGATGGTAAGGATGGTAAAGTGCATAGACTGCTTCGGCTTGAAGGAGAGGAGAGAACCATCTTGCTGAAAGTCCGATCCGGAGGAAGACGAAGCAAGGGAAGAAATAGACTCTCCCAGACTGAGCTCATTGGCCTTAGCAGTAAGATCGGTCAGGACGAGAGCGTCTTGCCGCTCCTGCTGGGAGGCATCGTTGGATGCAGTGCGGCTAATCTTGACGTCATGTCGTGCTTCGATACGAGCTTCAATTTGACGGAGGCATTGGTCTCTCTTCTCCTTGGAGCCAAACTCGAAGAAGATCTCTTCGTGTCCGCGGACCATCGTGACCAGGCCATGCCAGCCGTAGCGAAAAGCAGGATGGACCGCACAAGACACTATCTCCTGGAAGGGCAGAATCATCTTGGTCTTTCCGATCGTCTTCGTCGCAAGGTTGGATGAGCGGAAGCATAAGTGCTTCGAGCTGATGAAGAGTCGGCCGGTCACAGGGAGAACCCGATATAGACAGGCCTCCAGATCGGAAATGAGCTCATCTTCGCGAGGCAGAGAGAAGGTTGTGGCAAAGTGTGACATCATGAGCTGACGCTTTTCCTCTTCGGTCTCGGCAAGCTGAGGTGTGTCCAGCATCGAGAAGCTAGAGGACTGCGAGACTGAGACATTCTGCGTCACATCTAGGTCGTCTTGCTCTTCCTGTTGCGGTGAAGGTGCAGCTACGGGTCGACTGCTCCACACCTCCTTGACAGGACGAAGAGGGCCTCGCTTCGCGTTCAGAAGCGACGTGAGCCGGCTCCTCGCGCTTCCTCCCGGCATCAACCGGCCTGGTGCGTCTTTCACCCATCTGGGCACAGGCCACGCCTGACCGGCTCCCCGCTGAGAGCTCTCGAGCCCAGGGGGTGGAATGCGCGAGGGCGGCGATGGTGGATAGCCCCAGCGACCTGAGTCCGAGGCCTTGAATGTGGAACTCAGAGCGGTGTCAGACGCTCGGGGCGTCGCTGATAGGAGAGGATCTTCGGTGCTCGCTATGTCCGTGTGAGCCTGAGTCGGGATGGTGATCGCTTGAGCCCCAGGGACGGTGGCAAGGGAAGCGTCTTTGGTATCGGCGATGTTTTCTTGAAGCTCTCGGCTGAGCAATGAAATCCCTGACTCTTTGCGGGGATCGACGCTAGGCAAGCTCGGTATGTCATCGCCTGCAAGAGGCGACATGGCTTCTCCGACAAGTTTTTGCACCCCACTCGTGGAGTCACGGATGGAGAGAGGTGGATGGCTCGGTCTTGCTATTGTACCCTGCGAGTGCTCTTCGATGAGGGACTTCAGCAATCGCACAAAGTCTGCCTGCCGATCAAAGTTCAGAAAGTAGTACTCGTCCAGCGCGAAGTTCGCACTAGCAGTGTCGACTACCTGCAGGCAGACCATGTCGGCATCCTCCGAGCTAGTACTGTTGGTATTTTCAACGTCCACGATCGCTTCGAGAGGTATGCTAATCCTAACGCTATCGCCTTCATTCTGAGCACGGAACACTGCCTTCTGTAGCGCTTGTACCCAACCGTCTCGACTGGTCTCAGTCTCCACCTCGAAGATGAAGAGTCTATTTGGCGTGTGTATCCGGAACTGGCATGGCTGCTTCGGTGCTGATTTGACGGCGATTACGCTGCGCAGGTCTATATGATCTTGTGGGAAGTACGGGTCTTTTGCACTGTCATACCAGCTTAGAGCTCGCCCTCGCAGCACAGCCCAATGCCGACTGAAACGGTATGTCTTCTGCGTACGCTTCCTCAGCGGTCCTGCTTTGACGATGCTGTCCTCACGCGACGGTAGATAGGCGTAGAAGAGGGCGTGGCCAGTCGTGAGATACAGATGGCCCTGTAAGAGAACGGATCGATACAGCCAACATGTGCAGCAAGAATGTACTTGCTCCGTCGGCGGCAGGGAGAAAACTTCTTGTAGCTTCTCAGTCAGTTGCTGCCGTCGAAGATCTGGTAGGGCGGACGATGAAGAGCTAGAAGGCATCGGCTCCTGAGACGGCTCCGAAAGGGAATGCAGAGAAGAAGCCATGGCGTCGGTGTTGACCACGCCCAATGCTTCACCTTCGAGGGAAGCATTTCCCTCCTCAGAAGAAGACTCGTCGGCATCACCATCCGCCTCGGAAGGACGTGGGGGGCTCAGCGCTTGTTGCGGCTGGAGCCGTTGAGGATTCGCTGGTAATGTCCGACCACTCCTTGGCCCGATGAGTAAAGACCCTCCCAGAGGTGTGCTACCTCCTGTCGGTGTGGCTGCGGGGCCGCAAGCAGCGTATCGTGTCAGTTTCCTTAATGCAATCATGCGTTCCTGATATAAGGCTTGTAAGGACTCACCATCTGGGTCGAGTAGAGCAGACATAATGCCGCGCCGCCTCTGTGACGAGCGCGATACGAGCGGCTCGGTGTGAGCCGGAGTGCCGGTTGAAGGCTCTTCTGCACGGCTCCGCTCCGTTCTTAGTCCTTCCTGCTCTTCCTTTTGCCTCCCTTCGTCTTCGTATTCATCTTGGGAAGCAGAGTCGTCCTCATTGCACTGCGCGTCGGTGAGGCCAAGCTGATCCGCTTCCATTAGACGACTGCCTACCATGCTAAGCATCTGCATGAGCGTCTGAGCTTCGAAATTCGCCTCATTGGGCTCTGCACCTTGAGTCGCTGAAAGTTGTGCATTGTGTGAGATAGACGAGATCGTAGCATCAGGGGCGGAAAGCCCCCTGTTGCTATCACCGCTGGCGGAGGCCGCTAGCGAAGAGATGGCTGAGCTGCCTTGTGGGGGCAGATAAGGTCCGAGTCGAGGCGATGGGGGTGAGCTTGTGTCATGATGGCGTGCGGGACTGGAAGGCCCACTGGACGATGTATGGAACATGTGGGTAGCTGAAGAAAGTGAAGCAGCCGGTGGAGCTAAGGATGGTCCTGTCTCGAGGACAGTACTGGCAGTGGTCTGAGGCTGAGGATGATCATCGGATGGATCAGAGCCCATGTTGCCTGGTAGACTGTTGCCAGCTCAGCTCAAAGGTGAGTAGGCTAGGTCTTGGTCAAGACATGAAGGAACAAGACTGTATGCAGAGTGAGTCGATCCGGGCGAACTGGGGTACGGCTCCACTTCGTGTCAGGGGTGGTGGTGGCCGACGCTGGTGGTAATACTAGGTCGATCAAGTGGCACGAGATTGTGCCAGATGGTAGAGTAGCCTCGGTCGTGGGCGTATGGTGAGGATGCTCGAGCGTATATGCTACGAAGACGGCGGTGGTGTGCGTTGATAGGATTATTGGCAAGGGGCAAAGGTACACTTTACTTTGGTTGGCTCCTGTCTGTCGTCGCCTCGCCTGGCCTGGCCGCCGCCGCTCCGCCTCCCGCGTCGTCGGCTACGCTTCTGAGGTGATCAAGGCGCGAGGCGGAGCTTTGCCTGCAGCAACGGACTGAGGCACAGAGCATCTCGTCGCCAACGCCCCGCCCCCTCAGCCACGCGCATGGCCTCCTTCTCTAATTGGCACGCGGCAGGCAAAGGCACAGCCATCTCTCGTATTCTCACTCAACTTTGCTCTCCTACGTCCTTCCTGTATTGGACGCAGCCATCTACCTGAGCCTGGCAACCTCGCCGACGAATAGCCACTCAGCCAGCTTCGACGTCCCCTCACGCACACTCCCCGGCCATAGAGCCACAGAGGAGATCATCAGCACACCAATCGAGATCTGATCCGGCAGGTTCAAAGAACTAGAGGTCATAGGCAATGGCAGCAGAGGGAGCAGAGGGGTCCAGGAGGTACGCCGCCGAGGGCGAGCTAGAGGAATCGCCTTCCTTCTGCAATGCCTTTTGGGTGAGTAGGGACAGTGGCCTTGTCAGGGGGCCTTGAGCATCGGCCATGGTCTGACAGTCTTGCCTCGCCTTCCTTGTTCCCACATCAGGGCAACGGCGATGCTGGCTATGAAGCGATCAACGGACGGATGAAGACAGCGAGCAGGACAATGGAGGAAATCAGAGCATTGTACAAGGAGCGGGCAGAAATTGAGGCAGACTATGCCAAACGGCTGGGCAAGCTCGCAAAGTCGATCGTTGGCAAGGATGAGACAGGTTCCACCAGGCAGGCGCTCGAGGTAGTGCGCGGAGAGCTCGACATGACATCACGAGTGCATGGCGACCTCTCCGTGATGATCAAGAAAGACCTCGAGGGAGCGATCACAGAGTATCAGACAAAGTCTCAAGGAGCCAGGAAGACTGCAGCAGCATCCATCGAGAAGCTCTTCAAGAACAAGCAGGCACAGGAGACCTACGTCAATAAGTCAAGAGAGAGATACGAGCAGGACTGCATCAAGATCAACGGGTACACTGCCCAGAGCAGTCTTGTCCAGGGAAGAGACTTAGACAAAGTGACCAGTAAGCTTGACAAGGCGCAATCTACTGTACAGGCGAACGACAAAGATTACCAGAACTTTGTCAGAGCCTTGAAGGATACCACGTTGCGCTGGAATACCGAATGGAAGGCGTACCTGGATGTGAGTTTGGGAGGCGAAGTGAAGCAAAGCTGAGCCGGCCGGATTACATGCTGATCTCAATTGCCATCTCGTCTACCCCTCTTCTTAGCAATGCCAAGACATCGAAGAGGAACGTCTCGACTTCATTAAGTCGAATCTATGGAACTACGCTAATGCTATCTCGGCAGTCTGCGTAGCAGATGACGAAGGATGTGAAAGGATCAGGGTGGCTCTGGAGAATTGCGAGACGCCGAAAGACATTGCTGTCTTCGTTCAACAGAGGGGAACAGGAGCCGTGATACCAGACGCTCCTGAATACATCAATTACGCCAGGGGACAGCATGGTTCGGGTAGGCCTTCCTCTCAGATCGCCAACTTCGTCCGACAAACGACGCGCCCAGCTCAGCCTCCCCCGCCTCCTCCATCGCAGTCGTACGGAGGAGGTTCTGGAACAGGGTCAGGAAGGGATGGTGGAAGTGGTGGGCAAAGTGATGTTGGCAATGGTGTTTCCTATCAGTCGGTGCAGGGCAATGGAGCTCCAGCCGCTGAAGCATTACCGCCATCACAATCTCAGTACAAGCCAGGAGCGCCGCCTTCAGGTGGAGTTGGACTGCCAGGAATGGGTTTACCAGAACAGACTGGGCCCAGTTATCAGCAGCTTCCACAGCATCAGCCGCCTGTTGCTACGCCCCCTAAACCCGAAAGACGCATGTCGGCGAAGAACTTCCTCGCGAGGACGCCATCAAATAGGACTGGTGGAGCTAGTGCGTACGGCGGATCTGCCACTAGCTATAACAACAGTGCCGCGCCGCAATCGGCAAGTCTACCGCCTTCGGTCGCACCCGATGCTGACGAGGACCCCATCGCCAAAGCGTTGGCCAGCCTCCGTCTGAAGTCAGGAGGCAAGAGTCCAGCGCCTAGTCACCAGGGAAGACCAACCCAGTCCTCTGGTCCACCACCTTCGACATTGTCTACTTCAAGCCATCGCTATTCCCAGCTGCCGCCAGGACGAGCTTCGTCACCTGGGCCGAGTTTGAACGGTAGCGTTGTGGTGCCGACGTCTCCTTCAGCAGCCTTCATGCAAGGACCTCAGCGGAGTCACTCTCCCCTCCCCGTGGAGGACATAATGAGCTCTTACGGTCAGTCGTTCCCGGGCGAGCGGAAATCTATTTCTCTCTCCCGTCGAGGATCCGTCTCCTCTGCCGTCAGCAGCACCCGCGTCAATGTTGCTGCCACACAGCCGGCACAGCCGCCGCGGGGAAGGAGTCCTGCACCATCAGGTGAAGGCTTCGCTGGTGTCGGGGCTCGAGGAAGGAGTCCGAGTCCGCAGCCTTATCAAGGAGACTTCCGACATCAAGCCACGCCATCTCAAGATGGTCGCACTCCGCGTCACCAGGCACAGAGCAGCATATCTGCGCCGCAACATCCGCCGCAGAGAGCGGGGACTCCCCTTGGGATCTCTCTGGATGCTTCGGGCTCAGTGACGCACGACCAGATGGCTCAAGAGTACATGCAACGTACAGGCAGTGTCCCACCGCCTCAGCAGCCGGCAGCTCCTGCTCCTTATCAGCAACAAGCTCCTTCGCAGCAGTATCAGCAGTACCAACAACAACCAGCACAAGGCGGGGGCTACGGGCCGCCTTCCTCGCATCAGCGCCCTAGCTCTGTTGTGCATGGGCAACAGCAGCACGGAGGATACTCTGCGCCTCCTCCGCCCTCCCAAGCTGCGCCTAGTCAATATCACGGTCAGCCTTCGCCGGGTCAACATGGCTACCAGCAGTCCAATGCTCAATACGGTCAAGGAGCTCCTCCATTCCAGCGGCAAGACTCTAGCAGCGCTGTCGGGTACAACAACTACGGCCAGCAGCAAGGGGCCGCGGCTCCTCACAGCTATGGTCCGGGGAGAGGCTCGACACCAGGTCCATCTGCTGGTGGTGAGACCCCAGCTTCGGCATATATGCACCAATATCAGCGGCAGAGCAACCTCGCCTCCTCGACTGTTGGCCAGCAGCATGAGCCCCAACGATGGTCACAGCATGGAGGTGGCGGTTCCCAGCCACCTCCACAGCAGAACGGCGGATATGCTGCTCCTGCTCCGGTGGTCCAACAGCCACCTCCACAGCAGCAGCAGCAGGCTCCGCCTCCGGCACAGCAGCAGAATCAACAGCCTGCCATTGCTCCTACTGGCCAATATTCGGATACAGGCAAGCCGATTCTCTTCTACGTCAAGGCTATGTACGACTACACGGCCACTACGGAAGAGGAGTTCAGCTTTACGCTGGGAGACATCATTGCAGTGACGCAGACTGATCCAGATGGATGGTGGCAGGGTGAATTGCTGGACGAGGCCAGGAGAAAGAGGGGTGCCAACACTTTCCCTAGCAACTTTACGAATCTGCTCACGTGACGGAAGACGTGTCGTGGTAGGATGGTAGCTTGTCTGCGTTGCTCGACGTCTCCCTTGTGTACCTTTGCTTGCTATTCGTCCCGCTGCCCCTTTGTCTTTGTGCAGCTTGTTGCTGCGAAATGTATACCACGCATCTTCGGTAACCCCCCCTTGCGTGTACCAGCTGTCAAGGGTTGCCCCGTGCAGAGATGTCTGCGATTGTGCAGATGGTCGCGCGCGAAGTGTCGGTGGGCCTATCGTCCTCCTCACATGGCTTGAGGCTGGCGGAGGTGCCGATAGAATGTTCGAAGAGAATCTTGGCAAGGGGATAGCCGATGCGTTGCGCCCTAAGTGGGGGGTGTTGACAATGCAAGTAGAAGGGGGAGCGTGCCTCTGGTTGCAGGTGTGCTTGGCAGGCATTCAGGGTCTTTAGCGGCGTCTTGGTGCTGCACTGTCCGTGCCGACGTTGTTGCGGGCCATGGCGCAAAAGACCAAGGGCAGTGCGGCCCTGTAGCCATGCTGACGCCAAGGGCGCGGAGGTCGGGTGGTGGTGCAATTTGCAATTGACCTCGGCTGCCAAAGTGCGCTCGGACGGAAGGTGGGCGCAGGAGGGCCGGCTGAGGAGATGCCGGCGGAGATTGATGTCCATGGCCGAAGGACGGGCGTCGGGCAAATAGGTGCATGGACAAGCAAGGGCAGGGGAGCAGAGGACCACTCACACCTGCAAATGTCACCTGGTTTTGCTTCTGCGCCGCCTCGACGGGGGAATCACTCCCATCTGGACCAATCCTCCTTGGCGCGGATGCAGAGCTTTCAGGTCCCTCACTCACCGTCTCCTAACCCTCGACTCGGATCAGCTGTCTCGGATTGCAATGGCCGCGCACCTTAGCATAGCAGAGCAGAGCAGACGACGACTTCACACTACCACTCCTTTCCACCATCTTGACCAGCAACATCAACAGCACCACTACCACGTCCAGCAGATCCAAAACGTCCTCACAGTCCCAGTCGCGCTCTTAGCTTGTCCAGATCACCTCATCACCCACTCCTGAGCTCCTCTTTGGCTCAGCCATACTCAATCACACGCTTGGACTGTCGGGCAATTCAGCATCGAGGGCGTCATCTTCCTCTTCTTCTTCACCATTTGTCATTCACACGCGTAAAGCTACTGCCTACTCACGTCAGCAGATCACGCGGTCCCTCGTGACATAAGCCAACTCCCAGAATACGGCTTCTCACCTCTGCCCAGCCATTTCGTCAGCAATTTAGGCGCCAACGCTATTAAGCTCCTCCTCCTCCTCGCCCGACCGAAGCTTCTCGGCCTCCTGCGCCATTTATACCCGCGATGAGGTCTGCATCCGCGATCAAGTCGCCTCTCAGGAGCGCCGTGGCCGCGGCTATCCTCATCCTTTACACCCTCACATACTCGTCACTATCAACATCAGCATCACGTGTCCGTTCTTCAGTTGATCAGCATGGAAGAACAACCTTCGCACGCGATATCAGATCGCATCTGGAGCAAAGAGCACCTGCCCCTGGGATGCGGGCAGCTCCGCCGAGCAAGAGATGGGGCAAGAAGCGTGACGCGAGTACCGTGATGAGCACTGGCGATGGCAACACAGAGGGAGAGGACCACGGCTCCGTAGACGTTCCAGATGGAGCCATTCTCACCAGCCTACCAGTTCAGGGCAATACCAGCATCGCCGCCTTTTGGACAGCCTCGCCCAACAATGCCTCTGCGGAGCAAGCCTTTGTCATGATTCACGGCAAGTTGCGGGATGGCAATGACTACTGGACGACGATGAACGACGTCTTGCAGAGCGCAGTGTCAGCCAATTACCCTGGCGCTAGCAACAATTCCATTGTCACCGCTCCGGAGTTCTACAGTACCATCCTCAACTCGGGGCAGTACGATGACAATGAATTGGCATGGCCCGATACCAATGCTTGGCAAGCAGGCGATCCTGCTAACCACCCCTCTTCTACAAATCAAACTTCCTTTGATGCCCTCGATGCCTTTGTCGCAGAGTTCTCCGATCAGAGCAAGTACCCTTCGATGAAGAATCTGACCTTCGTTGGTCACGGAGGTGGTGGGCAACTCATTGCGCGGTACGCAATGGTCGCAAGAGATGCACCTTGCAATCTGCACGTCCGCTACATCAGTGGTGACCCCAGCTCCAACGCCTACTTCACACCGGACAGGCCCGTGAATTCTTCGGACTCGAGTGCTGTTCAGGATTGCCCTCTGTACAACACATGGCGCTATGGCTACGACAACTTTACCGGCACCTTGGAAGGTCTCTTCACCGCACAAGAGTACTTCACCCGCTACACTCGACGAGACTTCGTCAGCATTGTGGGTCTGCAGGATACCGACTATGATGGCGATCAGTACTGCATGGCCTCGGTGCAAGGTGGTACAGCTCGTCGCGATCGCAACCTATGCTGGTGGCAGTACCTCAATGCCCTAGCTGGCACCGATGAGGTACTCACCGATTTCCCTTGCCAGTTCGACAATTTGCCCGACTGGTCCAACATCACAAATGGTGTCATGGGCCCGCGACTTTCCGTCGTTGCAGATGCGGATCACAGCGCCGAGGAGGTGTACGAGAGCGATGAAGGCAGGAGTGCCCTCTTCTCCTCGGGTGACATCCTCGTCGGTTGGAGGCCTGAAGGTTGGCAAGCGGCCACGGGCACTTTCACACCCGGCATTGTAGCCTGTGCCGCCCCGGCCTCTAGCACTAGCATCAGTGCCGCCAGCGCCACGGGCAAAACCACCAACAATGCCAACACGAACAGCAGCAGCAGCACGGCAAGCAAAATGAGCAGCACCTCTTCGGCAGCGATGTCGCACAGCCCCTTCTCGTTGCTAGCAACGGCGGGGATGCTTCTCCTGGGTGGAGCCCTCGCTACTGGCGTTGCGCTGCTTTGAGTCTGCAGAGCGATTTCGATTTTTGAAAGAACGAATGGACAGTACACTATCAGCAAGCACAACCACAAACAGACTCCCGCACAAGCTCCTCCCTTGTCTATATACACCAGACACTCCTGCATGCCCATACCCCTGCAACAGCACCTCCCATCTCAATCTCGCAATACCCCTCTCTCGCACAAAGTTGCCGACCCGACCAGACCCGAATCTCTACACTACTGGAACATTTACTCTCGCTTCTCCTTCGCTTTCCTCTCCGCACTTCTTGTCTTTTTTTCCTCCTTTTTTTCTTCTTCGTCTTCTTTTGCTCTTGCTCTCCGTGTTCGATACACGCACACGCATGCACACTTGTATTCAGGTTCTGCTATGCTCAGATCATGAGCAGCTAGTAGTCGCGCCGGTACCCAAGGCTAGCTTCAAGCTTCTAGCTTTCAGCCTTCCGTCTCCAGCCTCCTCTAGTCTTTTCTTGCCCCTTGCCTTGATGGTAATTTGAAATGCTGATGCTGATTTATACACATTCGTGTGCCAGTGGGTGGGAGGGGTGGTTAAGAGGTTGAAAAAGGAGTGGAGTGGAGTGGGAGTGGGAGTGGGAGGGCTTTGGTGTGATTGTTGCTCTGTGTCATTGCTTGTTTGGAAATAAAGGTCTTTACTGAAGCTCTCTGCTGTACAGTTTGAAATGCCCAGGGAGAGATGGAGAGAAGCAAGCGAGGTGTGGGCTCAGTGCGCAGGCAGATATGCAGGCGCGACGCTCTCGCTCTCACTCTCACTCTTGCTCTTGCTCTTGCTCTTTCTCTTGCTCTCGCTCTCGCTCTGATTAATGCTCATGTTAACGCTTTTGAAGAGGACGCGCACAGCGAAAGCAACAGGATGACGCGATGGTGTGTGGACGGCCGCAGCTGCTTATAGCGGGACGTCTACATGTGCCCTGTTGAACTTGCTTGGACATGCACGATGGGATGGTGCTTGAAGTTGAGGATAGGAAAGGGGGAAATGGTGAGTGGTTGCTAATGGACTTTGCTGGTGACAAGATTGCAGTACGAGCCAGGACGCACGACAAGATGACTCCACCAAAGGAGCACCTCGGCACGACTGTCGTCGGCCAGCTGACAAAGCTGGTGAAGCAGAAGGGCACCGATATCGCGGCAGCTCTAGCCAGAGCATCTTGAGTGAAGGCTCAGTAGAGCCTGAAAGCATCACCGGATCAACGCAGAGCGTCTTTGGCGTCGAGGAGCCAGATGGAGTGGTACGGAGCGCGTGTCATCAGCTGTCGCGCCCCAAAGAAGCTCTTCCCACCTTGGATGAATGGTCATCCCCGAGCTTCAGGGCGTGCAGCGAAGGTAGACGACGTCCACAACGCAGGTCTCGATGCCATTCCTGCACTCAATGTCGTAGGGAAGCGACGTCGAGAGTAAGACTCGGACTTGGACTCGACCTCATGATCGGATTCGACGACGACGAAGGGTTCACTGGCGATCGCTGTCGTGTAGATGTCGACGTTTTTGCCAGCACGGACCTGGAAGCATTGGGCGTCGAATTCGATGTCGATCTGAATGGCAAAGATTCAGAGCCTATCTTGCATTCAGGACCACGATCCCGAGAGGGATCAAACGAGCCGAGACCTTCCCGTCCAACAAAAGGTCCATTCCCGTCGCCGAGATCGAGCAGTCAGCACATGGCGTACTTGCCGACAGATACAGCTAGCGCTGCTCTTCGACAGAAGCGCTCCGTCAAGCGAAGAGTATGTCCGTGAAGCAGATGCTAGCGTCCCATCTCCACCCCTTGTCCTCCTTTTGCAGGAGTCGCCCTATCTCGCACAACACTAGGACGACACTGACCCTCCTCTCTTGTTGCGCTCGAGGCAGCACGCAGCACGCAGTATGCCTCTTCCTTCGACCAGAGTAGACGAATGCAGTCCTTACATCGTACACCAATACACACTTCACCTCACGCCCAGATTCGTCTACCAGAGCCGCTGACATGTTCTGCGTCAAGCAGTGCGGTAAGGCGAGGCGAAGCGAGGCGAGGCGAGGCGAGCACGCATTCGCATTCAACGGATTCGTCGACCCGATGCAATTCAGCGCAAAGCAGAGTGTGGAGTGAGCGAGAGAGTGAGTGAGTCGGAGAAGAAGAAGCATAGTAAGTCGATCCCGCACGCAAGTACGCTCCACTGAAGTCAAGCAAGTGGAACGAAGATTGGAGATTGGCATGAGAAGAAGAAAGATGAAACATCAAAGGGGGAGAGTATAGACACTGATGGGTTGAAAAGAAAAGGGGTAACAGCACGAAAAGAAGGGATATGGCGTGAAGGTCGACGGCGAGATCAGGGACAGGTTGTGCTCTTCGTGGCCGAAGATGCATCCAAAGGCTGGCTAGAGATGAGACATGCGGGCACTTGTAGACATCTCCACAGTCGTTCAAGCGCACGCCAAAGCCCGCCCTCTGTAATCCGCGTCGAACTTGCGCCCAACTTGGACGAATACAAACACGTCCGTGGGTTGATGAAGATGAAAAAGTCTGAAGAGCGGCAGGAGCGACGAAAGTGATGCTTCGTGATGGTATACGTGATGGGTGATTCTTCTCTTGATGATGTGTTGTGTGTCCCGCCTGCGCTTCTAGGGCTGATTACACCTCGCATCGCAGTAGGGGTGAGGTGTCTCTGGTTTGATTTCCTTACGTATTTCCCGAATATTTGTCTACTCGCTCTTGATTCCCTTTGCCTTGACACCACTCTTGGCCGCCTTGACCACTGCCACATCCTCATCCTCTCCATGCGACACGTCCAGCAAAGGGTCATCGCTAGACTTTGGCTGACGATAAGAGCCACCTAACCTGTCGCATCCGGTAAAGTACTGTCCGTAGTTGACATTGAAGTAGAGGTGGTGTAGTGTGTGGTGCGAGGGACCATTGATGATCGTCTCTAGTGGCGAATTGACGATGACGTCCGAGTCGTGGATCAAGATGGACCAGCAGTTGACAAAGACAAAGAGGCCCATGTAGACGAAGCGGTGCAGGGGGAAGAGGAATACGAAGATGTGGTACGGCAGCGACTGCATGTATCCATCCACGGGGTGGAAGGCGTGCGAGGCGAATGGTGTGGGCACCAGCCACTTGTGGTGTGGCTTGTGGATGTGCTTGTACAGCTTGGGGTGGTGCTCCAGCCTATGCACCCAGTAGATGCACGCGTCGGTGAAGACGAGGAAGAAGGGCACCGACAAGATTGTGTATAGCAGACCCATGTCTGAAACCTTTTCGTACAACTTCGAGTAGCCCCTGACCTCTGCCACAAACCATGGCAGCGTCATGAATGTCAGGGGTGTAAATGCTGCGAGGGAAGACTCGATCTCCAAACGCACTTGGTTCTTGAGGAATCGTGGGTGACGCTTCATGTCGTGGTTGAAGAAGCAAAAGTATGAGAAGCCGGCAAAGCCAAAGTAGAGGGCGAAGATGCCGACGTAGGTGATGGCCGAGAGGGAGATCATTTGCCTGATCATACTATCCCGAGGAAGGGCACTGACAGTCTTGCCAGCCACCGACTCCCACTGCCTGCCACCGAAGAGGGCATTGCTACTGCTGCCAGCCCAGCCGGCGAAGTGAGAACTGAGATTGGCAATGGCCGACTGTGAAGGTGTGGCGGCCTTTGCGAGAGGCGACACGCCCCGAGGATGCGCGGGCCAAAGGAAGGCCCAGACGCTGTCAAGGATGTACTCGTCTGCGAGATGTAGGACGACGTCCATTGTGACGAGTGGTCAGTGGAGACTCAGAAGAAGGAGGAAAGGCTCAATGAGAGGAGTCCCACGTTGGTGGAGTGGTAGTGAGTCGTGTGCTGCGATGCGGACACGCTCTAAAGTTGCAACACTGCTGCGTCGAAATCTGTCGGCGCGGTGGGTAGGATGTGGCGAGCTGATGAAAGGATGGAGAGCAATGGTGCGTATCCGGTGTCAAGGGGGGCAAATGAGAGGGAGAGGAGTAAATGGAGGTGAAGAAGGCGGAGGGATAGAAAGGGAGGAGGAGGACAAGGTGGAGAGCAGTAAAGGTAGAGCGGAAGAGAGACGAGGGGATGAAGGGAGGAGTGAAAGGTGGTGCCCCAATTGTCGCCGGCGAGTGAGCGAGCAACTTGCGGGAAGACCGTTTCGGAAATTGGCGCCGTGCGTCCGTCGTGTTTAGACGCTTGACCGACGGGGTGCCCACACAGACGCGAGCGCGCACCCGCCTCACCACCAAACGCTCCTCGTCGTCCTCCTCCTGGCCTGCCTCGCCACCTGTCGCACCCCGAACAAGGCAGCATCATCGTTGCTGGTCATCGTCGAACATTGTCTTTGCTCGCCATTCAGCCTGCATCCACATTGGTAGCCCTGAGACAGAGGTCCAGGCAAAGCCCATTCACGGAAGGGCCATCACTGTACAAAAGGGCGCACTGTTGCCTGCGCTCCAGTGGCTTGGGAAGCCAGCGGGCTGATATCTCTCCTGCTTGCTCGTTCCTTTTTCTCATTTGCATGTCGGCCGTCTGTCCAAAGGTTCTTTTCCATCGGCATTCCACTCTCCATCCGCCCGAAGACGGGCCCTGGCTGGCTGACTGGCTGACTGTCCGCGCCCGCTCGCCCACAGACCGGAAGCAAAAATGTCCCTCTCTCTTTCAGTGGCAGGCGCGGATACACAGGCACACAGCACAGAGGGAGCGGAACCTTGGTCGCACCCACAAGGGTACAAGGTCCCAAAAAAAGAGAGGCGGACGGCCAAAGCCCGGCACACAAACCAGGCCCGCCTCACGCGGCACATCCGCGGCCTACGCATTCCTTTCCGCGCGTCATGCGCTCAGCTAGGTCCGCTGCCGAGCCATCACTCCTGCCAGAATGGAGAAGAGAGAGGGAGAGAGAGAGAGCAAAGAGGTGAGTAATATTACCGGGCAGCAGGGGTCACGCCAGCTTTGCGGAGCACAAGGAGATGTCCGATCTTGTTCGTTCCGCGTTCAGCCGAGCGGACCGTTATGCCTCGCCTTCTGACGCGGTAACAACTACGCAATGCTCGAGCCTTCAATCTCTCCAGAGCTCTACACAAGTGGCCCCGATACGGGCTACTGAGGGGCAAAAGCAAGCCTCATCGTTGCTATTGCCTCGGTGACTGGTGTGCCAGAACGATGATTCTCCAGCGGCTGCTGTGGGACAGCAAGGAGGCCGAGACGCCGCTATCAGATAACCGCAAGGGTGTGAGAAGCCCAGTCACTGGCGTGCACGGGTCACACTGAGAGAGGAAAGAGAGCTATGTACTATACGTTCTAGATGGAGCATGTCTACATGAAGCAATGAAGAGTCTACTGGAAGTCCCACTGCCGTCTACAGACTCTGAGTCAACGGGCCTTGGTCCGATTATAGGTGACTTCTCCAGCTACGCCAGACAGGCAGCAGCGCCACCAGAGCGAATACCATGCCTATAAGCGCGACGATGAAGGAAGGCTGGAAGCAAGCTGGTCCGGCCAGACATGTCGCTCCGCCAGAGCCCGCAGGCGATCCGTCGCTCGAATGACCCCCGCGATGCTCTCCCTCACGGGATGCTACAGCATCCGACACTGTAGCGTACAGGAGCGAGTAGGTCAATGATCCCACTGCACAGCAGTAAGTCAAGAGACCCCAATTCCTGCCAAAGTGCTCTGTGCCGAAGCTAGAAGAAAGGGCATGAACAGGGGACAGGAGTCAGTCAGAGAACAGTGCACGTCGAGCTTCTCATGTGATGACTCACGAAGCTACCACCACGGCAGGAACGAGGGTGAAGACAAGGCCATAGGACACTCCGACTGCGATACTGAAAGCGGGCAAGCTGTCTACGGTTGCCATGCCAAAGGCTGCCCAGACATAGGCTGCCAGTGAGAGCAAGATCGCAAAGAGTAGCAGGGTAAGCCTACTGATCGTGATACCCGCCAATCGCTCCATCAGACTGGGCTGATGCGAGGCGTAGAAGTCCCCCGTACCTCTACCACGAGTGGCTGAGGGTGCAACAACATCTGACAAGAGGCCACCGAGGAGACGAGATAGCGTGTTGGCTGCTGCAAGCAATTTGACTTGGTTCGCCCTGATGCTCAAGGCGATTGGGCCGATTCCCGGTGCTGCTGCAAGGTAGAGTACTCCAGAGGCAGCAGAAGGAGATGTCTTGCCTTCCGCAGTGTGGTTTCCGAGCAGCGAGACCACCATGTTGCCGACCTGATAAATTTGAGTCAGCCAGGGAACGTCAGTCTTGCCTGGTGAAGCTAGCAGGCTAGCTGCAGTCTGTTGACAGTTGGACTCACGGAGCTCAGGACCATTTCTCCCGCGCCTACTCCAACCAGCATCAAGAGACCGAGTGCCCATACTGGCGGCGAGAGCAGGAAGGCTGAGACACTCTGTGAATCTGGTACCCCTGGCAGTAGAGGCCGCTCCACTGTAGCTTCGTGGGCCTCTCGATCGCCTGTGGATAGTAGCGATGTCCTCTCATTCACATGTGGACCTTCCCCATCTGTGTCCCACTCCAGTGCCCTCCCGTCCACGATAGCCTTCTCCTGCGGTGGCTTGACGTCCATGAAGATGGCGGAGAAGAAGTTTGTGACGCCCAATAGAGCTCCAAGGAAGGAGAGGAAAGAAGGAGCACGGAGATCGCCGCTTGTGTGATCCGAGAAGAATGTTATGCCCACAGATGTAAGAAAGAGAGAGGAAAGACTGAAGAGGGTGAGGGGTCCTGCGATAGCCAGGCCAGGTCTGGTCCTGAATAACCGGGTGGAGGCTGTCACAGCAGCAAAGTAGCTGTTGCCATCGAATTGAAGACATTGTCAGCATAGCTCCTCCAGTCCTAATTCGCAATTTCCCACTTACGATGCTGCGACTGCCGCTCCGATGCCCGCGAAGCTGGCCACTGTGAGGACGAACATTCCCCAAGCCATCGGCCGGTCACCACCCTCAAGACCTCCATCGGTGATTGCATCCACATTCAAAGCAACGACATCGGCGTGCGAGATGAGTTGGTAGCCCACAAGAAAGAGCAGACCGGCACTGATGCTCAATACCCGCGGTCCGTACCAGTCCGCTAGGAGACCCCAGATGCCGCCTGTGAGGTACTCGCCCAGCACAGCTCCTCCCCATATTGTGTTGGTCTGGGTGAGGTTGAGACCCAAGTCCCTTGTCAGAGCTGGACCAAAGAGGGGAAAGCAGCTGTGCCGGAAAGGCGAGGTTGCAAGGGTGGCTTGATCAGCAACGCACAGACAGGTGGTGGGGGGCACACACTCTCGGCAACATTCTCTACTCACAAGATGCTACCTGCTGTGAGAGAAGTGGCTGCAATGCAGGCCACTGTCAGCACATCCCGAGCCTTCATCTCGGATGTGAAACAAAAGTAAAGAAGAAGAGGAAGAGAAACGGGAAGCCTAGATTACAGAGGACGAGGAGCTAATGCGGGGGCGGGACAGGGGGGCCGAGTCAGCCGTCGGGATTGGGGACGCTGATGCGGAAGCGGAGATTAGGAAAGGCAAGTTGACAGGACGGCTTCGCTCGCTGGGCATCATGACAAGACCCGACTAGGGGAGGCAAAGTATGCTTGAAGGAACGAAGCGGGACAGAAGAAAGAATGGAGCTGTATCGCAGATCGCAAGCTACAGGTATAAGAGGATCATGATAAAATCTATCCAAGACGGTCCGTCGCGACCAGCGCTGCTGCTACTCAGCCCACCATGTACCTCCAAAAGAGGACAAAGGCCAAGAGGTAGAGCATGATGCTCACTCTCACCCACACACCGGTCAACGGCGCAGTCTTGCACTGCCGATCTCGCATACGCTCCAACTCCTCATCGCTGAGGTTGCTCGATGCTCTCTTCTCAATGACGGTCTCGTAGCCAAGCACAACTGCATCCATAGCGTCCCACCAAGTTTTGCGAGAGGCTTCCGCCTGAGCTTGCCGACCCATTGCGGCCCTGAGTGGCTGATCGCGGATCAGACGCTCCAGATGCATGCTGTACGAGCGAGCACATGCAGTGAAGGCAGAGGTGCCAGGTGACATTGCGGCTGCGAAGTCGGCTGCCGTGGGAATGGGGGTTGCAAGACCAGGTGCGTTTCTGGCTGGCTTGAGAGAAGAAGATCGACGATCGTAGGGAGGTCGAGACCGCGGCGTTAGGGCAAGTGGGCTCGTGGAAGCGTCAGACGCTAGCTTTCCATTGAAGCTGTCGCCTGATGCGCGCCTGCTAGAAAGGGTAGAAGGAGCGCTCCCACTGACTCCCGCTTTGGCAGCCTTGGCAACATCGAGCAAGAGACCAGTCCGACCAGGAGTGACAAGATCAGAAGTACCTTGAGCATGCAGGCCCACGACGGGCAGGCCACACGCAAGGGCTTCTAGCACCACCTGACCAAAGGTTTCGGTATGGCTGGGGAAGGCGGAGATGTCACTCGAAGCGTACATAGCGGCCAATCGAGTACCCTTCTGATGACCCATGAAGGTGGCATCCAGTCCGAGCTTGTTGCACAGACGGGTCAGGTCCGCTCGCGCAGGACCATCTCCGACAACGACAAGCTTTGCCTTTGATCGCACAGGAGTTGGCAGCTGTCTGAACGCTTCGATCAGAAGACGGATATTCTTCTCCCACGAGATCCTGCCGACGTAGAGCAGCACTGTCTTGCCCTGACCAGCACTTGCGTCCATACTTTCATAGCGGTGGACAAATGGCTGTGGCAGCACCGGAGGCGGGAGTGCAAAAGCGGTGCCGCCGGCGAGGTCTGGGATGTCATTGAGACTGGTATATGCTGGTGGAGGACTGAAGTGAGGTGTACTCAGAGGCGATACCGGACCGATCGGGGGTGTACGAATGAAGCTTTCGTCCTCGGGTCCGAAATTTGGCGACGTCGTCGAGGACCTGACCGATGCTTTTGGCGAGAGACCAAGCTTCTGTGCTAGCTGAATAGCTCCCTGCCCTTGCTGAGGCTTTCCATCAGCGGCCACAGGTGAGCAGCCCCAGCTAGCTCTCAGATTGTCGTCTCGCGCCTGAGGGTTGAACATGGTCGTGTCTACGCCTCGGCTCCAGATTTTCACATTCTTGAACCCTTTCTCTTCCAGCATGGCTCGTGTACTGTTGGATGGGCAAAAGACCATCTCGCACTTCGAGTGAAGGTTGCGACTCAATGACCACATTGTTGACTCGAGCCACGGCATGCCGAACAGTGTCGCGTAGGTGGGGAGGTTTGTGTGGTACGATGAGACGCAGGGCACCTCGGGCATCCATCTCTGGACGACGAAGAGCATCTGAGCCCCAAGCCAAATGGGGTCGACGAAGTGGCATACCTGTGGTTCGGAAGTGAGGCTGAAAAGATCAGACTGTGCTCTTTGTCAGGTAAGCTCTCGTACGGAAGACTCACATCTGGCTTGAATTGCTGCAGTCGCCTGATGAACCGCGGACGAGAGAAGTTGAGTTTGAGACCTGGGTATACGATGAGCGGTACGCCGAAAGTCCCAACAACGGGATGCATAGCATACTCTCGCTGGCACCGGAAAAAGAAAGATCAGCAAAGCCGACCCGCGGTTGCCACTCCTATCTGACGCATCTCCTCACCACTCCTGTCTCTGGACCTAGCACGATAGCATCGTGTCCTTCTGCATTCAAGTGATCCAGCAGTCTTGCCAACGTCCTTGTCACGCCATCCACCTTTGGCAAAAAGTTCTCGGTGATGATTGCCACCCTCAACTTCCTCCGTTTGCGATCCGCTGGGTAGCTGCTGGCGCGGATGTCAGTGGCCATTGGGGCTTTGCTATCGCAGCCAGCAGACGGGTTTGACTCGCGAGGTATGATGTTCTAGGCTCGAGGGACAAGTAGTTCAGGTAATGCTGCGACTGAGGTGATGAAGAGGTGAGTGTGTCAGAAGGGTGGAGTGAGGCGAGTATGTTGCATGAGTAGTACGAAGAGGGGCGGGACGTACGAGCCCCTGGTAGTGATCGGGGATGCGACGCTGTTTGTCCCCACACAGGGACGGGAACAGCGGGACGGACGGAGAGTGCCACTGCCGGTCATCTGAAGGAGCGAAGGATGTTGTTTGCCTCGAAGATGTCCCAGCGTTCTAGGCCATCAGGGGCAACAAGCCGCTATGGTGGACTTTGGGGGAGCATGGCCAGGAGAAATCAGTACTCGCTCGGTCCACCCACTTTAGCCCGACCACGTTTGCCGATGTGGGTCAACGTGCGCCCGAGGCCTCCATCCAAATTCGCAACGTGCCGAGCTCCGCAAGGCAACGGCAGTCATCCTGATTTCAATGGTACGAGGGAGATCTGGTCGAAAGCCACGCGGGACCATGACATGCGAGCACTGATCGCTGCCTGAGTCTATGCGCCGGAGAGGGGGCTGCAGTCATATGTCGCTCTGTGCCGTATGTCTTGCCAGGCGCGGATCTCAGTTCTTCGCAGAGTATCCAGCGGCACAGAAGGGGATGCATTCGAAGACATAGTCTGTGGTGTATCAGTTCTGCTATTGCAGAGACCTACTTGATGATGATGGACATTAGCTTCAACGGGTGCACAAAAGAGAGGACGACACGCTCGTGAGCGGCTGGGCTGAGCCATGCGGAGCGCTGTGGGGAGGCACAGCAGGCGCCTAGGACGAAGCGCGTGGTGGGCGTCGGAGTGATTTTTGAGCGCTTACGTAATATGCAGCCACAGCAGCCGTAGTCGTCGGGCCTGAAAATCGAGTGGGTCGAACGATCAAACGAGCGATTCTGACAACCCGCCCTCATCCTCATCCACACCCAACCCCCTACATCATCCCAATATGCTCCAAATCTTCAAGGAAGTCGAGCTTGCTATCCCCTCGGACGTGACCGTCACCCTCCACTCCCGACAGGCCACTGTCAAGGGACCCCGTGGAGAGCTCACAAAGGTGAGGCTTGGAATTCTGGACCTATGCGAAGGTGGAATATGCGTATTAGCGCGGGGACGCGGAAGAAGCCCCGCGCTGGTTGATCAGGACGAGAGGTGGGGATATCATTAGACGAGTTTGAGAGTGCTGGTAACGCGGACGAGAGGGCGACGAGGGACATCATCGTCTTGCTGGACTTGCGTCAGGGGGCGGCCGGTCACCCTCAGATGCAAGTGCCTTGAAGCAATGATGGATGGGATATTCGGCACCTTCTACTTCGAACGGTTCGAGGTGAAGCTATGTCACCTTGCAAGCTGGTCTCTGTATGAGGAGTGGCAGTGTGCACTTTGCGACTAGAGATGGCAATCGGGCTGAAGCCGATTCAGTGGGATGGTACCCCCTACCTCTTCGATGCCAGAGTAGTCTGCTCACCAAGCTTCCCTCTACCTCTGCTTTCCAACTCACAGCATGTCAAGCACATGAACATGGACATCCGCATGATCAAGTCGCCCGAGGGTGACAAGATCAAGTTCATTGTCTGGCACGGTGGCCGAAAGCACCTCGCTTGCCTGCGAACTGCCAAGGCCGTCTTCGCAAACATGATCAAGGGTGTCACTGTCGGCTTCCAATACAAGTGCCGAGCTGTCTACGCCCATTTCCCCATCAACATGATCATTGGTGACGGTGGAAGGTCGGTGGAGATCCGTAACTTCCTGGGCGAGAAGCGTGTGCGTCACGTCGAGATGCGCAAGGGTGTGACAATCAAGGACGACCCAGCACAGAAGGACCAGGTTCTGGTTGAGGGTGAGTACTCGAGCAGATGCAGTCTTAGTGGTGGATAGAAGTTGAGGGGAGTTAGCTCAAGGCAGACATTGCGAGGAAGTGCTAGATACTTCAGCACAGCAGCTGTCAACGTGAGGGAGGATCACCAGTAGAGAGCAAGTCCCGCCAGACTCCTAGGCTTGTGTCGTATCCACTCGAGGGGCGGGCGACACGTTGCATGGCCAGCGCGTAGGCGAGACGGCCTTTTGATGGCGGGGGTGGGGGCGGAAAGTGACACAAGGGTCGAGGAAACCATCTCTATCCTCTCATCGGGACGCATGTGCTAACCCTACGCTTCCATCTCTCGTCTCAGGTAACGACATCGAGGAGGTTTCGCAATCGGCTGCCGACCTGCACGGTCAGTGTCTCGTGAAGAACAAGGATATCCGAAAGTTCCTGGACGGTATCTACACCTCTGAGAAGTCGACCATCGTCGTCACTGAGGAGTAGACGACTCAAAATGCAAGATTCACCCTTTGTAGCACCAGCACACTTTGGCCGTCGCGTGGGGAGATATGGCTTGTCCCCTGCTCCCATATCTTTCATAACGGTAGAGGGATGCCAGTCGATGGTCTCTGGGTCTCTCCATTGTACCTTTCCGGTTCAGCGACGTCGATGTTCTCCCTTCCGTACCCCTTGCTCCTTTGAGCATGTTCAATACTCATTTCACGCATCGATCACTGAATACTGGCATCTGTGCGTGCGATTGTGAACTCGTTACGATACAGTTGAAGCTATGACACAGTCCAGTCCATGATGAGGTCATCTTCTGCCTCACCCTACCCCACCGACGGCTTCCTCGCCCACCCCAGGTATGAGGCTGACCTGTCATTTCCACACATCTTCCATTGATCCATTAGCCCTCCAAAGCCCTTTCCGAGGAAGAGTAGGCGGTAGAGACCCTGATGAGGCCACCTCAAAGTTGGTCGCATGCCGACCCACTCTGACATGTCCGAGGGCTCGAAACCTGCAGTGATCAGACCTTGCTGAAGCTCGGCAGGCGTGACTACCGGGGAGGAGAGACGAGGGCGTGAGTCTTTCAGAGGCCATGATGAGGCAGACGCGCTGACTGAGAACTCACTGTACAGTCTCCAGTCATGAGCATCCTTTGGAAGAATCCTAAGCCACTTCTGTGCCACGAGGATAGTGGACAGCCACGACCACCGCGTCCTGTTGATGGTATCAAAGACGAACACGCCACCGGGCTTCAGGACCCGGTTAATCTCTCCCAGAGCCGCATGAAGGTCGTCTAGATGCTCTAGAACGTCACTCGAGATGACGCCTGTGATGGACGAGTCTTCAAAGGGCAGCGAGTCGGCGGACCTGAACCGTGTGAGAGGACGATCGGCGTGAGCTGCTGAAGTTGGCTGTGGCTCAGGTCTGTCTCTAGGGCAACTCACCCAACCTGGTAGTCCACGCCATCGAAGCCAGCCTCCTTTGCATGCGTCAGACCCTGCTCAATGGCCCCTTCGGATGGGTCCACGCCTACGATCTTATATCCGAGCTTAGCCAGCGCCTCGGTCGCTGTCCCACCTCCACAGCCCACATCCACGTACTTGCTCTCACTTCTTGGCTCCCCGGGCAGCTTTGCCTTCCAGGTCCTGTCAAAGTACGGTATACGAGCACTGTTCACCAGCATAAGGGCGAACTCGGGGTCAGACCACCACCAGCCTTCCTCGCCATAGACGTCCAGATCCATGACCTTTTCACTCTCGCCCTGAGCTTCGTCGGGACCCTTGAGACGGTCTCTGAGCGGTTTTGGGGGAGTGAGCAGCCATAGACCTCCCAGACTGGCTACGAGAGCCACACTGGCTGTCAGCAGAAGACTACTGGAGGAGAGGCGGGAGGTCATGCTGGACCCTTGGCGCCAGCAATGCGTAAGCAGGGACGGAACGAGAAGGAACTCGCTTCAAGCACGGATCATCTGATTGCAGAAGGATACGGACACAGCTCCACAACGGTGGCAGCTCTCATCTTCGACTAGCTGACTACGCCCGGCGACCAGCGTTGGACCAAACAAATTCCCACGTAGCCCCGATCTGGGTGTATGGCTGCACGCCGTGAGGAGCCCGATTGGCTCGCACTATAGGCGGGCGCAGCGCATCAGTGCTTCCGGTCAGCCTTGGCGGCAGGGTCCTGACAGCAAAGGGCTATGCTCAAGGGTTGCACGATCTGCGGGTCAAGCCAGCAAGCTGTCCCTGGTCGCCTTAGCTGGGAGAGAAGCTTTGTGGTACTCCTTACCAGCTATACCAACCTTCGCACAACATCCGTCCCGTATGCTCCAACACAATTTCCCTCCGCCGCTGCCTCTTTCACGACCCTGTCCTAGTGCACGCGTGACCTGCCCGCTCACATTCAGTTGCTTTTGCTCTTCAAACACCCGAACTCGTGATCATACGCCTAGGGAGCGCATCCACGAGGAGCCCCTCGCCATTCCCTGCGCATCGGTACCGGCTTCTATCACAATCAAGCTTCTTCTCTGCACGGCTCATTGAAGGTCAGCCCATACTTCCGAGTCATCCTGGGCGCCTTTAGGCCGATTTAGAGCTGTGGGCGGAGTCCAATGAACCGGACCCTTTGCGCCCTTCGAGTCTAGCCAGAAGACTTTCTCGCGGCTAAGCATTCTCCGCAAGAGCTCAGCACTGCCGCCCGCACACAAGGACTACCACGATACCTCCCCACCTTTTTCTTATACCCTCATTCTCTTTCTGTCACTACGGTCAGGCTTGCAAGGAGCCCGCATCCACGTTCCCCAGCCTTGGACGGCCACGTAGCGGCCTGGGCGCACGTAAGAAGGCGCCTGCCTTGACTGAGCTTTTGCCCAACCCGAGACGAGCCTGTTGCTCAAGACGAACAGACGTTCACCATGGACGACTACAGGTCTGCAGATAGGCTTCGTAGAAGATCTGATGGCCCTTTCTCGCCTTCAGATCCTCTTTCGTCTCCACCATCGTCAATGAGCTTTGGACATCCTCCCAGTCCTTCTCCCCAGAGGCAGGCCCCTGCCCTGGAAGTTTCACGATCAGAGGCGGGCGTCTCTGTACCGAGACAACAGCCAACCTCTATCACGACATCGCTCTCAAGGATGGGCGTGTCATGGAGAGACGCGAGCGAAGAAGTCTTGCCTCCGACTGCCAACGTAGCCAGCAGCAAATTTAAGTGCGAGGCCAGTGGGAGGATGATTGACCAGCAAGGTGAGTAGCTTCCAGGATGGAAGCAGTAGCGGGGCCAGTCGTTGGACTTGTTACGAGAGACTCGGCTCAGAACCTCGGCACTAATTCGGACGAATCTTTCATCAACAATCAATAGAGTTCTTTGAGAAATACGGCTGGCTACCAGCGCCTCTCCCTTCCGGTCGAGTACGTCGGGTCCGGGGCGCTGCCCTTCGACGGCTGGCGCTGGTCAAGCCTGGAGTTCGGCCTGCTCTGCAGAGATACGTGGCTCACGCTCGCAAGGTCTTCAAGGCGGATAGCGCACGCATCTTCACGCCGTGTCCTGAAGATGATAGCATGCTCCTCTGTGTCAGCGATAGTGCTCACACCGGAAAGGGCGGCGTATGCGATCCGGAAGGGAAGCAGTCTCACCTGCTGCAGCCTTGGTCTCAGACCATCTGCAGTCATGCCATGCTTACAAACGACCACAAAGTGATGATAGTGCGGGACCTGAAAGACGACTGGAGATTCGCCTCTAATCCCCACTATCACACGCGGGATGGCGGGCCTCTGCGTTTCTATGCTTGCGCTCCGCTACTTGTTGCAGCACCTGGAAGCCCAGACGGCGCCAAAGTTGAAATAGGGCGCTTGGCGATAGTAGATCTACAACCGAGACCGGATTTTGGAGAAGAGGACGCGCAGCTACTGGCAGAGATTGCCGCTATGGCGTGCGAAGCACTCGAATCTGAGCACCGAGAACGTCTTGCGCAACGCTCGAACATGATGCAAGAAGCAATCACCCGGCTCGCCGATCATGTCTGGAAGACGCCGTACTCGGCTTTGCAGGATCTGAGCTCTACCACGGCCCCACACAAACAGATCTGTCAAGTTGGCGTCGACGCCATCAGTGAAGTGATGCCGGCCTCTGCAGCGATTATCGACGTCACAGCCTATCGGGTATCAGCCTTGAGGACAGAGGGAAGCTCGTCCAGAGGGAGTTCGATGACTCCAGGCACGCCAGGCAGGGGCGCTTCTGTCTCCAAGGGCTCAAGGCCAGCACTGACAGGTGGACTTTCGCGCGCAAGTAGCATTCGATCACCCAATTCAGCTTACCCTCAAGCGCCGTGGCTCGATGCCGCATCGCCGCGCTCGAGCATTTCTCAGCTCTCTGGATTCGCAAGTACTCCCTCTGCCGCGTCCTCGGCATCCTCTCCAGCACTGTGGACAACGCCCAGGTCAAACAAATCGTCGCCTACGCACAGCAGATCAGGTTCGAGGAACACGGCCCTGCCCCCATTCGAGGGCGCTGCCGATGAGTACATTGCTCAAATTGATCCCGCCTCTCGCCTGGACATCTTTGCCCAGAGCGGATGTCTGCCGCCCCCGCGAGTCACTGGCGCAGAAGCTCGTCAGGACATCGGCGACGTCCTGATCGAGACGAGAAGAACGTTAGAACGAGGTGCCGGTACCATCGTCAATACGCTGTGCGGGCCTTTCCTCACGATGAACAGATTTGCTTCATCTTCTGATAACACGCCGTCGGAGGGCAATGTTTCTGCCGACGACAGCCAATCCCGGATGTCTGGTTTCAGGAGTCCACTTGCTTCACTCTTCGACGGACAGGATGAGACTGCTATGTATCGTGAGTCTTTGCGCAAGATCTTGAGCCGACTTTGAAGAGACTATACATGTGCTGACGCTTACCATTCTCATTGAGGCCCATCAGTCGTCCTGCCTATTTGCCAAGACAGCACTCCCCCTCAGGTGACCTTCCTTCTCGTAGTGTCCTTTGCCGACATCGTACCTATCGACGAGCCAGAAGTGACTTTCCTGAACCATCTAGCACGCATCATCATTGGGTCATTGATCCGTCAGAAGGGCTATCTGGCCGAGCATAGACAGCTGGAATTCGTTCGTTCCCTTCAGCACGAACTCTTCACGCCACTTTACGGAGTCTTGGGTGCCTCTGAGCTGCTGTTGACAAGCTTATCAAACGGTGGCAAGGAGCTCGATACGAGCCCTGACGGGGCGCTAGCAAGGGTTCTGGAGACCATCCGGCTTTCAGCTGGCAACCTCAGCAGCATCCTCGATGACGTCTTGGACTTTGGTGAACTCTCTGGCGTGAGGTCCGCCAAGTCACTGTCACGACTTGATGTCGTGAGCCTCGGCACACTGGTCGAAGAAGTTGGTCAAGAGGAAGTTGAAATTGCTGCGCTTGGTCTACGACATGCCGCAGGTCTTTCAGGAGATTCAATCGTAGCGCGCCCTCCAGATTTCATTATCAGCGTTCATCCATCCCTTTCTGGTCTCTTCAAGGCGGATCGAGTCGCCATGCGCAAGATCTTTCGAAAGTTGCTTCACAATTGCTTTCGCTTCACACGACGCTCGACTGCTAATGCCGGGCTGGTTGAGATCGTGGTCAGACCAATAACCTGCTCCGAGCCAGCCACGATGCAGAATCACGAAACGGAAATTCCGGTTGCCTTTGACTTCATTGACACTGGATGCGGAATGACCAAGAAGTTCATCGAAGACGAATACTTTGTGCCTTTCGTCAAGGGCGATAGCTTCCAGCAAGGTACCGGATTGGGAGGAGCCATTGCAGCCGGACTTTCTCGTCAACTCGCAGGTACTTTTGACGTTGTCTCCGAACCCGACGAGGGCACCAAGGTCACTGTGACTCTTCCTCTCTTGCGATGCAACGCCTCGGCGAAGGCAGAGCAGGGTGACGACTCTCCAGCATCCTTTGCGCAGAGCTTGCATCAATGCAAAGTCTCTAGAGCCTTCTTGATGCCGTTCACAGGCTCTGCGGGACATCCAAAGACCCGAAGTCTGATTGAACAGCATCTCGTCAGGCGGGGCATTGAAATCGTTGAAGATCCAGCCGCGGGCCACATTGATCTTCTCGTAGTACCAGAAACGACACTCGTCTGTCCCGATGGCGCTTGCAAGACTCACCTACCTCATCTTCCTGGCAGTCGCGTTGTAGTTGTCTGTGCGGATCCAACGCAACGCTCAGTCAACTTCCCCGCTCTGAAGTCACTACCTTTCCACCTGTTCAGGTCTCCCTTTGGCCAGGCTGCCTTCGCTTCGCTCGACTCTTTCTTGGCAGAGAGCCATCCTGTCGCGCTGCGCACACCGCCAGCGAGCTCCCATCAACTACCTCTCGACACATCTCCTGCGCCGAGTGTTCCAGAGCGGCCAGAGACTGTTCCTGCGCCGGCAGCTACTGTTCCAGGTCCCGTCCTAGCGGGTTCGAAGGCTCACAACAGGCACGCAACATCTACTAGCGGCCGAGCACTGACAGGTAAAGCAGGCAAGCCTGCGCCTACCCCCGTTGCCGGTGGCTTCAAGGTCCTAGCCGTCGAAGACAATCCGACCAATCTCCGCATCCTGACCTTTGTCTTGGAGCGGGCCGGCCTAGAATACTACACGGCAGTCGATGGCGGACAAGCCATCGAGCAATTCAAGAAGCACCAGCCACATCTAGTCCTCTTGGACATCTCTCTCCCCATCCAAGACGGCTTTGCCTGCTGTCAGCAAATGCGTCAGATCGAAGTTGGATGGAGCCATCGCCCTCGCATATTTGCCGTCACTGCCCTGAGCTCAAAGGAGGATCAAGAGCGAGGCAGAGAAGTCGGGTGTGATGCCTGGTATCACAAGCCCATCTCTCCCAGAATTCTGACCGGCCTCTTGAAGGGCACCCAAGCTGAATGGAAAGCAGAGCAGAAGGAAGCTTCGCAGCTTGGGTCGCAGGATGGCACTGCCGAGGCAGTCGTACAAGGGTGAGGATGTAGGGCTCCACCTAAGACATGGTCTGAGCTCCCGCCACTACCCTCGTCAGGTTCATCGTTGTCCCTGCTACAAGAAGTATATCTGCGATTGTGCTTCTCTTTACTTTACACTCTCATTCGCTTGGCTCTCCGGTCTCTTTTCCCCCTGTCACCTATCAAATGCTCCTGTCTTCCACCGGATACTGGTCTAATTGTCACCTTGCTTGGTCTTTCCCATCCAATTTGCATTCATTCGTTGCTTCTTATGTGCGAGAGGGTACGCTGTGATGTTCGTCGCCCCAGCACGCCAGGTGCTCATCTATAATAACAAATGCATTCTCATCGTGCCATTGGACGCCGTGATCCCACCGAACTCTTGGCGCGAGGGACCAACAAGGGCTTATCAGCACGGTGTGATAACGGCAGAGCCAAGACATGTGATAGTCTGGTGGTCGGCGACATATTGATGTGATGAGGCGACTGCTGCCTCGGCGAGCGCGCCGGATTGAGCGCAACTGCCAATTTGTCCTTGAGCACCCTTACTACGGCCCTACACCATCGCAATCTTTCACATCACATCACATCACCTGGCAGCGAGGCAGGTTCCCAGGCTGCACGCAAGGGGCAATGAAAGCAGTACTTTGCCGCCGCTGGACTTCCGGACGTGCCTAGGACTCCATTTGCTCCTCACAAACTTGTTATGCTGAGCATACCCTTTTGCCCATCTCTTACCTTCCGGCTCGTTCTACATCACACGCAGACCGACCTCTTTCACCATCACATTGCACCCTGCACATGGCACCACCTTGCTCTTCTGTCTCCCGAGGCATGTGGCCCGCACCTCCACCCCTCTCTCCCCCGCTACAATCCCCCTTGCAGTGTATCACATTACACGTATGAGCTATTCTTCTCGCAGGGACCAAGTACGCCAAGAAGAAGGCTGCATCTGACCCTCGCTACTGCTCATCCCGCTCCACCACATTTCCGCGATTGGGCAGCTCCTATCACATGCTATCTTGATCTTTTCGCCATACACGGGCATACAGACGTGCTGATCCGTCCTTGCAGTGGTGCATCATCATCATCATCACACCCATCGATCCAATTGTGCCTCTGCCTCACTCTAAGGCACCAGGAAAATCAACGCCAGCACATCTCTTCTCATCGTCTCGGCAAGACGCCGCCTTCGGGTAAGTGTGAAGACCCTGGCACTGATTGGGCGCAAGTCTAGACGACCTCTTAGCCGAGTTTGATTGAGGGAAGGAAAGTAGGGTCTAGCGAGATCAGCCGGTGAGTGGGGACGCCCTATCTTCTCATGCATTTCGCCTGATATCGGGAAAGAAGCGATAGGCCAGACCAGGTAGGGTCGATGACCCCGACTGCAGCTGCGACCAGGAGTACGGACCGGATGTCCATTTCCCACACCGTGGAGGTGGCCAAATACAGCTCGGTAATGTAGCGTGGCAGTACGAGTATTTCTCCAATTTGTGCATTGCCGACGTGAACGCCTTCATTTTGTCGCCCTCGTTGATGAGAAGAAGAGCAAGGAGGTGTAGAGGTGCGGCGGCGGCGGCGGCCATGACGAGCAAAGAGACGAGCCTCATGCGCGCCGCCCAAGCGAGATGCACGACTCCTTGCGCCCTGCAGCAGAAGCCACTGACTGAATCCCCGTCTCTGCTTCCTCTCCTCGCCTGCCATCTCCTCTCTTCCACATTGGGCCATCACATCTTCCTTCTGCGGGGCGCCTGTCTCACTCTGTCTCCTTGCATGGCTAATGGTCTCCTCGAAATCTGTCGGCGCTCTATCAACCCTTGAACCGCCTCCTTGGGCCCCTCTCATCCGAACAACGTGGCACTGGCTTGACTCCGGCCACTCACACCCTACCCTCTTCTCGGCCGCGTTTCACACTCGGCAATGGCCTCCGCTGCGCCCTCCGCGCTCCCCCCCTCTCCCCTCTCCCTCTGCGCTTGGCTGCCGCTGCCGTCGATCGGATATGTCGCCTACGAATCAATCGCACTCCCAATCTATTCTTGCGGACTCCGTCATGGCCCATGATGCGCATGCCTACGGCGCCTCTGAATGCAACGCTGCGTTCCACCGTCTGCAAAGCAGCATTTGAATTGGGACGTGCAGTAAGGGTCTCAGATTAGCACCTCCTTGCCACACTCGCTTGCCTCTGCCAACAAGTTTGGACGACGGACCTCGCCAAAGAGAGGGAGGGACTCAATCATTGGCTGGCCTCGGAGTATCGCAAGCCCGAGAGTGCCGAAAGCCATCATTTGCTAGGCCCCTGCCCCGCCTGGCTGTGCTGGTCCCCCCAAGGACCTCCACTCGACGCCTTGCACATTCCCACCGGCAAAGTGGACAAGGAATTTCCCCGCCAGCCCCACTCCCCCTCACTTGTCCCATTCGGTTGCTGCTGTGAGAAGTCAAGGTGCAGGCGTGTGCCAAAAGGGATCTTTGCTGCCCCCTTGTTTTGGTGTGGGAGCTGGCTGGTTCACAAGGCTCCTGCCTGCCTACCTCCGGCGACTGGTCGCAGCCCAGCTGGATCCGCTCTTCTCTTCTCACGTCCATAGGAGCGAGGGGTGCTTCGGTTCACACGTCTGGAGTGGCTTCGGTTTGCAGGTAACCCGAGTGGGAAGAGCGGAGGTGAATTCCAATCTCGAGTGCTTCGCAATCGACGAGTGAGCTGACTAGGAACGACAAGTCAATCTGCCGCACGGACGTGGCATTAGTCGGGCGCGTTGCCGCCGAAGAGGCCGCGGCCGTGGTTCTATTCTCGGGGGAAAATTACATCGTCTGGAGAGACGCACCCTGCCGCCTTTTTTTCTCACACAAGGAGCAAGGAAGACAAGGACCGCCCCTACCTATCACAAGCGAAGGCAAGGGGTTTGGCAGAAGTAGCCGGTGCAGGCTGGCTGTAGCTTCTTGCACGACCCTTGCTCTTCACATCTCGCAACGGGCAGGTCCGCTTCTGTCCATTCTCGAAACGGTGAGTGTTGCGTTTGTGGGATATGCGGGTAGAGGGTGGGGGGGGGGCAGGGTTGGTGTGGCGGCGTTTCCCCCCCTGGCGTGTGCGGCTGGCGCGCGTGTGTGGTGCGTGCAGGGCAAGGCCGGGCTCCGACAGGCGGGGTGCCTGGCTGCGCGTCTGCCGCGCCTCGCCTCGCCACCTCCCCCCTGCTGGTATGTGCGGCTGCACTTCTGAACCCGCCACTGCAGCTCCGCATCCCAACACCGCAAAACAGAACCCAGACCAGCCCGATTCTGACTGGGAGCAGGGGCAGCCAATGGCCGAGGTGGGAGGGTGAGGTCTGGCATGCTTCTCGAGGGCAGCCTTCTATCAAAGACAAGCAACACTCACTCCCATCTTCCCCTCTACCATCACCACACACTGCCTCTATCGTCCCCCTCACCCTCTACAACGCTCCTTCTCCCACGACGACCCTTAGGACCCCTGCATACTTCTTGCTTCGTCTCTCACCCACTTGCTCTCCGCAACGTCTGACTCTCCTTGCTGCCTATTGCTATCGCTAGTGCTTCTTCATACTTTTGGTCAATCCTCTCCCTTTACCCCGTACGAATCGAATCAGCAATTTCGAATCGTGAGCCGCAACAATAACAACAACAGCAATTCTTACAAGCCGCATATTCCACCAGCTACACCTCAACCATCAGATCAAGAAGATTCGACATGTACGCTTCTGAGCAACCCCTGGTCAACCCACACGCCTCTGCCTTTGCACTTCCAAGCAGTAGCAGCTACCCTTCCTCCTCTGCCATGGCAGTCTCAGCTTCCTGCTCCACCTCTTCTCTCCCCTCCGAGCGACCAGATCTGGGGACACGAAGGTCAAGATCCGACTCTAGCAACTCCTCTACTAGCAGCATCAGCAGCAATGCCACCGCCGTCGCTGGCGGTAGCAATGCCTCTTCCCACAGCGTCAGCAGCAGAGCCCAAAGCGTCAAGCTTGGCTCTATCGCTTCGTCACCAAAGCAGGCCAATACCCATCTGACCGTGCAACCCGTCGCCAGGGCACTTCATCTGGCACAACAACGACCTCAACAAAGACCCATCATCTATGAGGAGGAGTACCAAGACGAGGTCATTGAGCACATGAGGGAGATGGAGTCCGTCTCTCTCCCCAACCTCGAGTTGATGAATGCCCAGCCAGAATTGCGATGGTTCATGAGGCCTTACCTCGTCGACTTCATCATCGAAATTCACCAGACCTTCCGCCTGCGGCCAGAGACCCTCTACCTCACAATGAACATTGCTGACCGATACGTTTCGAAACGAATCGTCTTCAAGAGGCACTACCAGCTCGTTGGCTCTGCTGCTCTCCTCATTGCTTCCAAGTACGAAGATGCCAAGGACCGAGTCCCCACCATTGCCGACTTGAGCTTGATGTGTTGCCAAGCCTACGACGAGTCTGCCTTCCTTCAGATGGAAGGCCACATCCTTCAGACTCTGTCGTGGCAGCTCGGTCACCCCACTCCCGAGGCTTGGCTACGCATTCTTTGCATGCAGTCGCCCGAAGAGTCTACCACTCAAAATGTGTCTCGTTTCCTCATGGAGAACACCCTCTTCCACCGCAACTTCATCGGAGTGCCATCGTCGCTCATCGCCTCGGGTGCTCTGATGCTAGCTCGCTACCTCTGTCGACAGGAGCCCAGGACATACCTTGCCTCGTCGAGTCTCGAGGACATCACCTCTATCGCTCAGATGATCGATACCCACATTGGACCTCAGCTGGACCAGCTCTCCATGATTCTGGTCAAGAAGTATAGCTACCAGCACTTCTCGGCCGCGTCGACGGTGGTCAAGAACTTCTACTCGGCAGGACAAGCCTCTCAGAGGGTCGCATCGGCCAAGGCCGTTGACGGCACCTTCAAGCCAGCGCACTCGGTCTTCATGACGCCGTCGTCGTCAACGGACAGCATGGACGAGGGCAACGACAGCTCCATGGAGTCTTCAGGCTGCTCAACACCTTCCTCGATGGCTTCTACACCATCAAGGTACCGACGAGCCGCTAACGATGACGATGAGGATGACGACGAGGACATGCCAGTCACGCCCTTGACTGCTCAAGGAGATCCAATGGCTTCTGCCTCGAGCTCGACGTCCATGTCACCCTCTCGCTCGAGCAAGAGCAACAAGGAGAACCAATCCCTCCACCCGCACTCCTTTCCACGCTCCACTTCGACAGGCAGTAACAGCAGCATCAGCAGCGCGGGCAGTATCGATGTCAACATCAACCTCAACATGAAGGAGAGCAACGTGTTTGACAAGATCCCCTCGATTACGGTGCAGCATGTGCACGCGCGAGGGACAGCAGCGGCAGAGGGACGTCGACCGGCTCTCACCACCACGCACACCTGGCAAGCGACCGCTTAGAAAGGGGCAAGTCCGCACTTCCTTTCGGGCTCGGTCTTTCGGTCTCCATCTCGATCACGATCACCTCCCCGTCACATGGCTCCCAACACTCATGAACACTATCTCTCTTCTCTTCTCTTCTCATGTCATGCATTGTCATACTAAGGTACCGGGGTTTCTCAACCCCCCAACGACGGCAACTCTCACACTCTTATTGCATCAACGACCTTTGCTCCCCACCCACTTTCGACTTCCTTCACCAACTTCAAAACGTCAATTGTTAACGAATGACTTTTCCCACTCACGCACAAGTAGGGAGCGGAAGGTCAAGCTTCTTCTCATCGCATCGCATCGTTTCGCATCGCATCACATTGCATCACATCACATCCATCAAAGTTGTTTCACTTGATTGGTCTACCAGCAGCAGCAGCAGCAAGAACACGGCATCAACACTAGCAGCAGAGCAACCCCTCTTTTCGCCATCTTCTCCCTTTCGTACTACTTTACGTCACGCATACTGCCCTCTCTTCTCCTCTCGTCTTCACCATCACATTCGTCCTCTGTCCTTTATCCCTTTTGCACTGCACTGCACTGCTCTAGTCTACTCTCTGCTCTCCCTCTCTCCCTCTCCCTCTGTCATGCTCCCTCTAGTACTTGTCTAGTCGCTACTCTCTTGCTACTCTTGCTAGTCAGCTAGTCAGCTAGCTAGCCTATCAACGTTTAGCTCTCTCTCTCTCTCTCTCTGAGATATTTCTTTTTCAATTCTCAATTCCAATCTGTATCACTATCGAAAACAAAAAACAAAAGATCCCCCCAAAGATCAGACTGAATGGAAGTTGCTAGAAGACTGAGAGTGAGTGAGCGCTCCTTGAAGGGTGGAGCGGGAGAGGATCGGCGAGGGATCAGGGGAGGGAGGGAGGGAGGGAGAGAGAGAGAGCAACGACGCAGGATGGGAACAAATTCAGATTCGTCGACTTGACTTTTGAGCTTTTGAGGGGGGGCCATGCACGACTCAGGGGACAATGACGATGACGATGACGATGACGATGTGTGATGTGTGATGTATGCTCAAGAGCTGTTTCAATTGATCATATCAGATGGTACAATGAGTGGGAAAAAAAGGGAGGGGGACGGATGGTGCCTCTACTCTTGGCTGCGTGCCTGTTGCCTCTAGGGTCGTGGCGTACTCTATTCTCAATCTAGTCTCTCCCTCTCTCTTGGGGCCAGCCAGGGCCTGCTTTTCTTCCAGTGGAGCTCGGGTGATACCTTTCTCCCTTCGCATTTCCCTTCTATGTATTGCCTTCTACCTCACTCTCCAGTGCCTCGCTCTCCCCTTGCTCCTCCTTCTCCTCCTCCTCAGAGGAGCGTCTCACCAAGTGCGCTCCTGGCGAGTGAGCATCCAACGGCAACTGTAGCCTCTGCGTCCCTCTGTTCCATCAAGCTTGGGTTGACCTCCATGATGTCTACTGCGACTAGACAACCGGTCTCGTGCAGAGTCTCACAGATGTAGTGTCCCTCTCGGAATGTAAGTCCTCCCCTTACTGGTGTTCCAGTAGAAGGAGCTACGGAAGGGTCCAGCCCATCAACGTCGAAGCTGAGGTGGATAGGCCTGTCTCGCCTTCCCGAGTTGCCATTGAGGTGGTCCAAAGCCATATCTACCACTCTTCCAATTCCATACTTGTCGACGTGATGCATGGAAAAGCACTTGATGTTGTTCTCCTTTAGAATCTTGCGCTCCTCGACATCAATGTCCCTCAGACCAATGTAGACGATTCCCTCTGGTTTGAGCAGAGGTTGAACCCACTCGTTGAAAGGAGCAACATCGCATCCTTCGAGTCCCATGAGGAAAGAGACTGGGCAGCCGTGCAAGTTACCAGAATCGGTTGTGAGGGGAGTATTGATGTCGGCATGGGCATCTACCCAGATCACACCTGCGGAGGGGTGAGAGCGGAGAGTGCCAGTGACTGTGCCCAGACCGAGGGAGTGGTCGCCTCCGAGGGTGAGAGGAAGGTCGCCTGCCTTGGAGATGGCTTCGACTCGGTCGGCTACAGAGCGGGCGACGGCGTTGACCGTTCTTGGGTTCTTCATTTGTCCGATGTCAGCTAAAGGGAGGGGGTTACGTGGAAGTAGTGTCAGCTGGAGCTGTCATAGGAAGATTAGACAGGCCTCTCCCTTCATCATCCTACTCACCATCCTTTCCAGCAAACTCCTGGACGATTCTCTCATACCTCTCATTCCCCTCGTACCCCACATTCCATCCCAACTGGGCAATCTGCTTCTGCAATCCAGCCTGGATCAATTGACTAGGTCCTTGGTCTACTCCTGCCTTGCCCTGTCCACCAGAAAAGTCACAGCCGAGAATCTGGACAGAGGCGCTGGTCTTGAGGAATTTGGAGGTAGAGGCGGCAGAGGAGTGTGGTTGGGACTTGCCGGTGAGGGCGTGGGTGCCGTTGGTGATGGTCATTGTGTGTGCTGGTGTGTGCGTGGTTGTGAGTGGAGGAGAGGGGAGGGGAGATGCTAGGTTACAATGTAATGGTGTGGGAGGAGGGAATGCAAAGTGACTCCTGTCCAATATCCTGCTGTCTTATATGTCTAATCTGCTCTGCGCTGTCTCTACTCGAGGGTGAAAAATCTATCTCTACGGTGGGATGCGGACAGACGGAGGTACGGGAGGTACAAGAGACGGAGTTGTGTTACATCTGCTGCTTCCATCGCGGGGAGGATGCCACGTGGGACAGACGCCTCAGGGAGGTGCAAGGAATAGAAGGACGCCCACCTTGAGCCCCGACTGGCGCGCCCACGCACTCACCCGCACACGCACAATTGCCGGCGGTAAAGGGCAGATTGGAGCGGGGGGAGGTACAGACCAAGAGCAGGAGGTGTCAGGAGGCGAGGGGAGGTGTGGGCTCAACGATGCTGTGAGACCATGACTCCAAGACTGTAGTGTGGATCAATCTCCTCTGCGTGGCCTCACAGCTTACGGAGATCTGCTCACCCTCTCTCTCACGCGAGGCGAGGGACGTGGTGTGGAGGAGGTGCAGCTCACTCACATTCCCGGCATCACCGCTCTCCTCTTTCCGGCCGACCCTCTGACTCGTACGACCACTACACCCTTCATCCAGCATGTCCTCAAACGCACTACCACCCCTCCCAGAGTACACGACGGGCCACTGTGCCTGCAAACGCACGCAATATCGAGTACAGCTCACCAATCTACAGGAAGACCTCCGTCTGACCGCCTACTGCCATTGTACCTCGTGTCAGAGACTCAATGGTGCGCCATTTGTATGGACGACACATTGGGCTGAAGAGGCGGTACAGTGGTCCTCTGCTGCACTCGATGGAGGAAGTGAGAAGATGCCAGGCTCTTCCTCCTCTTCCACCGCCCCAACCTTAACAAGGACAAAAGGCGGCGCCCGACTAATTCCCACCGTCTCTTCCTCCTCTTCCACCTCTGCTTCTACTTCTTCTTCATCCTCGGCTCCAATGCTTCCCGAAGCAACCTTTGCTCCCACAATGGCAGTCTACGAGACCCTTCCAGGACGCAAATGGAAGCAACGCTGTGACTATTGTGGAACACCATTGGGCTCTTGGAATCAGGCAAAGAGACAGTGAGTGCCTTTCCATTACTGGACTAAGAAAAGAGTTTGAAAGTGGAATGGAGGATTGACAATTTACTTTGGTCTGTCTACTTGCTCTCTCAATCGCTTCAGATGGAGCCTCTGGCCCTCCACCTTCTCAAGGGACTATCTTCCTCCTCCCACTCCCACTCCCAATCCCACCTCCACTCCCTCGACGGGCTCTAGCTCCAGCTCCTCCACTACATCTCCACCACCAAAGGAAGGTCTTCCGCACCCCACCATCCAGCAGGCTATCCGACCTCTGCATCACCAATTCTACGGATGGTGGCGTACAATGGATATACCCGACAAGTTGCCCAAGTGGGAGGGATATGCCGGTGCTAGTGAGAGGGTGGAGGAGTGAGCTGAGAGAAGAGGAGAAGAGAGACGACTCGGAGAAAGAAGCAGCTTCGGACGTACAAGAAACAGGTGGGGCGGGCGCACTTCTTAATTCAGGCTTACGCCTGTACTATCATTTCACACTACTTGTGCTGTATCAATAGATCCTCTTTTCAATTGTCACGCTTCGACTTTCCCCACAACATCTTGCTACCCCTCCCTCCCCCTTCTATCGAGCAGTAGGAGCACCTCCACCTCCAGGCGCACCACCAGCGCCTCCGCCCGCACCGCCCTCGTTGTTCCTCCTCTGAGCGTCCTGCACGCCCTGAATGTCCTTCTCGTCATCCATCGACTCGTCCTCATCGTCGTCCCCAGCCAGTGCAGCCTCAATGGCAGCGCGGTCCGCCTCGCTCAGCTCATCACCTCTCGCAGCAGCTCCACTAGCAGCGCCAGTGCCCGCTTGCTGTTCGCCGTCTCCTCCCTCGTCCCCACTTGCATTGACCTTGAGGGCCTTGAAAGTGTCGGAGGGTTTGCGGTCGAAGAGCAAGAGGATACCAGCTCCACCGCCAGACGTCCGCGAAAGGATGTCCCTGGCTTCCTCGGCTGTCGGACCGAGAGAGGCAGCAGCTGTCGTCGTCGCAGCTGATACGGCCGACTTTGCATTATTGGCCGAGGCGTCGTTGGCTCCGAGGGGAGTCGCGACACCACTGGCGCCCTTTGCGGGGGTGGCATTGCCTAGTAAACTGAGGTTGCCCTTGGGCGCCACAGTCGATGTGTTGTGAAAGTTGACAGGCTTACTGCTTGCAGATCCTTGCACTGCCCGGATGGGGTTGTACCGAGAATCCGAAGGGAAGGCCACGTACTTGACCTGAGCCGGCGTGACACGGGAATAGTTCTGCAGGCGCTCCGAAGTGGGTTCTGGTTTCCTCCTCTGACGCTTGGTAGCCGGTTGAGTAGCGGAAGCGTCTCCGTCCTTCATCTCGGCATCGCCATCAGCCTTGGAGGGCTTCTCGTCAGTGTCCATGGAGGTACCCAGCCCTTGAGCAGCCTTTTCACGCTCCTTTGCCTTCTGCCTCTGCTTTGCCCTGACAGTCGTCGAAAGGACAGCCGTCTCGATCTTTTCGACCTTCTTCTCCTTGTCCTTCTTGGCAGCCTCGGGGTAGCGGAAGAAGCTGGGGCGGGCATTGCTGACAAACTCAAAGTCCGGAACGCGCAACTCGCGGTCAAGACCAATGAGGGCAGTGGGGCCAAATGCAAGAGAAGCGAAGTGAGCCATGGGGAACCAGTACCAGAATTGTGTAAAGAGAGCCAGTCCGACAATGCCCATCATGTTGTTGCTGCCTCCGACACGCGACTGCAGAGAGCAGGTGACGTTACGGCCTCCAGCATCGATAAGACCGGAGGAGAGCGCAGCGCCGAACTTTGCCATCGGCTCCTCGTGCTTGTCGCCCAGAATCTTGCTGAAGGTCTGACGGACCTCTGCCACTCGTGGATTCAGATCGCTGTTCTGCTGCAGCATAATCATGGCGAGGGAGATGCAGGCTCCTTGACGAACAAAGTCGACTGGGTCCTTTGTCATTGGCATCAACAGATCCACTGCTTCGTCGAGACCAGTGCTTGCGCAGGCAATACCCAGAGCGAGAGCCGAACCATATCGCATGTGAGGGTTGTAGCTCTCTGAAAGCAATTGAACGATACGAGGGACCTGTGTGGGGTTGCGGAAGAGAAGGAAGCCCAAGCTGGTTACGGCCGCTCTTCGGACGTCGTCATTGACATCGCTAACGGCGATGTGCAGCAATCTACGAATGGCTTTGTTGTCGCCCGTTCCAGCATAGGCGAGAGCGATAGTGTAAACACCTCCGTACCTCAGAATGGCATCCTTGTCGCTCAGAAGAGTGTCGATCATCGAGTCAGCCTTGTCCTCGAGACCGTAGAACAGCAGCGCGAGACCGATGGCAAGACCTCGGATGATCTTCTCGTGCTGTGTCTCATGAGCGTACTGCAGCATCTCCTCTACGGCTTGCTGGTTGGCAGTGCCGAGCATGACAAGACCCATGGCATAGCCAGAAGCCTCGCCAGCCACTGCGCTGTCACTGTAAAGACGCGTACGGAGTTCCTCGTACACCTCCTGGTTGCCCGTAGCCATACCTGCAGCGCCGAGACCCAGAGCAGCTCCATGCTGTACGATTTCGCCCTCGTTGTTCTTCAACGTATTCGTCAAGAGTTCCATTACTTCTGTCCCGTGGTTAGCATGGATGAGTCCAAGGGCGAAGAGAGAACCACCCTCTGAGAAAGCCGATGAGCTGACGCCATCTTGGGGCAGATAGGGGCGGAGGATGCTGATGCCTTCCTTTAAGTTGCCCTTGTTGATGACACCCAGGGCAGCTGTGGCAGTGAACTTGCTCCAGTTGCTTGCCTTTGCCAGCCAGTCCAGGTTCTCTCGCAAGAACTGATCGCTGGTTGTTCCAGCATTCATGAAAGCGTTCGAGAAGGTGAGGGCGGAATGGTAGATAGAGTTGCGGGCGTCCAGCGAATCCTTTACTGACTTGAGTACAGTCAGATCGGCGCGGTTCGACCGCACCAAGAAGTCAAGGTACAGCTGAATCGACTCCTCGCCCAGGAGAATCGACCGGACCCGGGTGATACAGCTCTCCACAGTCGAGGCAGAAGAGGAAGCGCCTCCCTCCTCCGTCTCCATCTCAGCACCCCCATTTGTTGTGGCAGTCTTCGACGCCAGGTCCACACGGACGTTCTCCAGGAACTCTTGTGTGGCGCTCTCGGCGAGGTCGAAGGCGCATTGGTAGGCGATGAGCAGGGGATCATGCTCAGTATTGGCTGATGATGAAGCCGATGCATCTTGGTGGGCTTTGGTGACCAGGTCGAGGAGCAAAGCCGAAGTCTCTTGGGGTACATTCAGGTAGACATGGCATTGAACGATGGAGAAGTTATCGGGGTGTGGGAGAGACTGGAAGAGCTTGATGAGCAGACGAAGCACCTACGGGCGAGGAAAGAGAGAGTGAGAGAGGGAATCAGCATACGATTGGCACAAGAGAATCATCGCCTGCTCAGGGCGTTTACTCACCTGCTGCCTAAATTCTACTCCCACGCCGCCAATGCCCATGACAGCCTCGAGGGTGTACGCAAGGAGCTCCTGGTCCTTCTTGCCGGTATGCTCAAACACCTGCTCAATAACATCTAGCCTCCGGGTCTCCAACGCAATGCCCAAAGCAGGCCTGTACTCCCCAGATGCGATACATCGCGTGAACATCGAATTGACGATCTTCACCAGCCTAGCATCGGGCGAAGTCGCCCCGCCAGAGGCGAAGGCGGCTGCGTTCTGCTCAATGTACGAGTCGATGGCCTTGGACACGACACTCTCGGTGAACTCATCCTCGACGTCGACATCGAATGTATCACCAGCGCCGAGAGCAAAGGTGAGGGCCTCGTCGAACTCTCCGAGGTGGAAGTAGACCTTCGATGCCAAGAGAGAAGCGACGTTACGAGTGGCAGGATCTAGGGGCGAAGAGGACTCTGACAGAATCTCACTGTCAAAAGAGAAGCATAACAAGCGAAGCCTCGGTCAGCGAATCTCCTGGGACTCTAACAGCATTACCTCTTCGCCCAACTCACATTCCGGAGATATTGTCCGCAATCTCTGCCCAAAATTGGTGAACAGACTTGTTGAGTTCCTCAACAGCATAAGCCTGTAGCTCAGGCTCAGGCTCATTCAGGAGTGACAGCAGACCGGCTTTCGAAGGGGAAAAGAGACACGAGAATAGGGGGAAGGGGGGAGGAGCAAAAGAGCTGGTCAGTCCACAAGTTGGCTTAGAGCCTTCTGTCGAGCTTGCTCACTCACCCGCCGAGGTGGTGGACGCCATGCTGTCAAAGGGGAAAGGGGCAGGACAATGAGGTTCGTGGTTCGATAATGTTCGTACGTCGAGTCAGAGGAGGGTGAGCTCGACGGCGATGTGATAATTGGCGAGGGGACAGTAGAGGAAGAAGTGGCTGGTAGGCGAGGCGAGGCGTGGGGGCGAGCGAGCCAGCTGCCGCGTAACCTGGCGGTCGAGTGCTCCACCTGTTTGTCTTCGCGGCTCCGACACGCACGACGGGCCTGGCGTCTTCCGCCTGGCCCCTTCCGCTCAAGGGGTATGAAACACACGCGGGGTGGAGAGAGACAGTGTAGATTGAGACTGACACAAGAGTAAAGATACAGAAAAGGAGGTGACACCAAGCACAGACTATCAATGACGATATCACAACCGGGAGAATATAGGGCAGAGCTGAGCGTACTTCGGAGCTCATCGCCCGTCTCTCATCTTCTGCCAGACAGCCAGGGTCAGGATGGCAGCAAAGCCGAGGGTGAAGGCCAGTGCCAAGACCAGCAAATCGCGGTAGTAGGAGCCGGTCAAGCCAAAGAGGCTGTTTGCGATGGAAGATGCAGGCACGTCGACTATGATAAGGGAAGATGAAGCAGGTGGGGAGGGAAGGTCTGTCAGTCAGCAATCCGTCTATCAGAAGAATTTTCATCGAGGTTGACCTAACTACTCACAGGGTACGCCACTGAGGGAGTCCTCAATGGTCAAGCCATTGATCTCGTTGATGGTCACAGCTTCGAGAGCATACTTCATTGGAGAGATCCATTGCACCCATTTCACCACGTCAGGGAGAGTGTTGAGGTTGAGCATGAACCCAGCAAAGCCAATATTGAAGAGGACAAACCCGCCTCCTAGCAGGACGGCGATGCTCAGGTCTTCGAAGACGGCGCCGAGAGTCATCATGTATAAGGAGACGACGATGTAGAAGATGACCGAGATGAGCAGGAACTCAAAGAAGTTTGCAACTTCTGCCTTGAGGCCGACCATGAAGTAGACGATGATGGACAAGCAGATGCCAGGCACGATGCGGAGCAGCAGCAGGTCGTAGAGCAGATGTGCCGCCAGCCAGGCAAAGGCCGAGTACAGCCCATCGGCCCTCTCCCTGACCATCAAAGCCCTTACCGAGGCCATGTACGTAATGGCCGACAGTGAGGCAAAGAGCATGAGAGTGTAGAGGAAGAAGATGGAGCCGATGCGATTCTGAAAGCCGCCAATGGTCTTCTGCACCTTGAAGAAGGCGCCTCCGACAAAGAGACCCACGGCGATGTGCACACCTAGGTGGGCAATGGGACCTGCTGAGTCGCGAGTGATGTTGCGGAGGTACCGTCGCGAAATTGCAAGGGACTGGGTGAACCAGGTAGTGGACGTGGCCGAGCCCCGCAGTGGTGCAGCATTGATGGTGGTGCCCTCCTGATCCACCGACCGCTTTTCTCCTCCAGAAGATAGCGCAGATGCAGCAGGAGATCCTGATTCCTGTCCAAGACCACCGTAAGGAGAGCCATGGGCCTGTTTACCTCCGCTGCGCTGCGAAACTCCCTGTCGAGAACCTTCGGAGCTCATGTATAGCAGATGATCGGCCACATTGTAGCCAGGGGGGCATGCCCGGTTCTGTTGAGCGCACCACTGTAGCGCCTCATCTGGAGCGCCATCGTAGAATGTCTTGCCCTTTGCGAGGAAGATGCTTCGATCAAACTTGTAGAAGATGTCCGAGGAGGGCTGGTGCAGAGTCATAATGACAGTGGTAGACCCGTCTCCCTTGTAGGCCAGGGCACGCAGTGCGGCAATGACTCTAGCAGCATTGTACGCATCTAGCCCGGACAGGGGCTCGTCGAGCACCAAGATGCGAGGTCGTGCCACGAGTGCGATACCGATAGAGACTCGGCGCTTCTCTCCTCCGGAGATTCCTCGGTGACGACGAGATCCAATCAGTCGGTCCTTGATGGCGTCCAAACCCAGGGTGTTCAATGTCGCCTCGACGATATTGGCCTTTTCTTCCGATGTCACATTCTCTGGCAAAGAAAGCTCAGCAGCGAATGCAAGAGCTTCACGAACGGTAGAAAATTCAGGCAGCTGGTCCTCTTGATCAACAAAGGCAATGAGGCGGCGACCTGATGCCTCAGCCGAGAAATCATGTACGGCTTCCATCGAGGACTTCTCGCTCGATGGGCCATGCCCACCAGCCATGGGACCACTTTGCAGCTTGACATCACCAGTCATCTTGCCCATCTTGTCTCGACCAGCAAGAAGCTCAACCAAAGTCGTCTTACCAGCACCAGAAGGACCGAGAACTGCGATGAGGTGACCAGCGGGTGCGTGTCCCGAAACATCACGTAGGATAGTGTGGTCCTTGTGTGCATGGGAGGTAGCGCCACCGTGGCTCGGAGAAGCGCCGAATTCGGTAGAGTCAACAGCGGCAACAGCCGCGCCTTCCTCTGCGCTACCACTGTGAGATCGAGAGAAGCGGCCGCCGAGCTTGCCACGGGCGCTCTTGTGCCCATCAATGACATAGCTGATGTGTTCCCAGCTGATTCCCACTGGGGGTCCTCCATCCTCTCGCCTTGGAACAGACTTGGCCCGACGACGGCCGAGGAAGCCCCAGACGAGGAAGCCCAACAGAGCGGCGACAATGACGGCGAGGACTGCAATGGCGCCCTTGACTGGTCCGCTGAGGTGGGTTCCGGAATTCGACGAGGAGCCTTTCAAGTCTTCCTGAACCCGATAATAGTAGTTTTGCTGCGACTCTGAGACACACGAGCCGAATTGGCACTGTCCAGAGGTGAATGAGCAATGAAGGTCAGTCGCCGCACTTCCAGTCCCCTATCATTGTACCTTGACTCACATTGACCAAAGGTATGCCATTCGAACCCAGGATGCCTTCGATCATCTGGCTCTGAAATTGACAATTGCCAGAAGCATCTCCACTAGCCGAGTCAACGTAATTGCATGGCATCACAAGAGTTCCGCTTAGACTAGTAATGACGTTTCCAAGATTGACGCCCACGGTGGCTCCACTTCCACAGAATGTTGAGTTGGCCGCGCAATGGCACTCTGTCGTCTCGCAAGACCAGACGTTTGAACCCAAGGCAGCAGTGGCGTTGTTGACCGTGGAGGCAGTGGATCCGATGGGGCTCGAGGAGTTGCTGGAAGTGCAGCCCGTGGATTGGCAGTAGAATTGCTCTTGACCATCCAGCCAGACCTGCGAAAGAGTGGTACCACCTTGCGCCCCTGTCCAAGAAGGCAGACCCGTCATGCTAGTGTTGTCTGGCTGGGCCACCTTGATGAGAGTCATTGTGAAGTTGGCTCCGCCGAACAGGCTGGACAGGGTCGGCTGCTGGATATCACAGTTGACGTATGTGGTGGTGATCGTGTCAGGCTGCTTGTGGCAGACAAGAGCATCACTGGAGTAGGTGTACGAGCCATTGTAGGTAGGATCCACGATGGTGCTACCCAGCGGCAAAGTAGCCTTGGCTCCCACAGCAGCTCGAGCTGCTGCACATGATCCGGGTGCAGAAGAGCATATATTACAGTTGAAGCCCTCGAAGCCTGTCGTGCAGGTAGAGCAGGTCTTATCAGCTGCTGGCTTGACGGTACGAGTGTCAGGGGTGAGAAAGGGAGAGTCGCAGGTGGCCTGACCACATGCAGTACTTCCGAGACCTGCGGGGCATTCTGCCTCGTAGAGACTAAGAGGGTTGCCAGTGACGTTGGCCATGGTTGGCTGACTGGCTTGTAGGAGGTGCTAAGCCAATGATGGAGAGAGGGAAGGGGTAGAATTGATGTCCGGGCTACCGAGGATGATGAAGGCCGCTGGGATTGCCAAGAGGGGCCACGTCAGGCGGCAATGAAGTTCAGCGCCAGGGCCAGGCACGGCGGGCCGATAGGAGTATATGTGCGCCCAGGGCCACTACCAAGGCAGCAAAAGGGTGCAGCAGATGGCCGATGATCACACCGATCGATGGAGATGGAGATGGAAGAAGAGGTATAGATACGGAACGAGGAGATGATCTGCTGCTCACCCCGCTCTGCTCATCGTCTGTGCGATTCAGTCTGCCGGCCATCCGTGAGCCTCGACCGTGCGACTCACGGGGCCACCCAACCTCGCGTAAAGGTGCGAGGCACACAAAGGGGGGCGGCCAATTGGCCTCGAGCCTAAGCCGCCGTTCCGCGACTGTCCGCCCGCCCGGCGGCCGTGGCAAGCCACACAGCAGACCTGCATGAGATCTATCGCTTCCCCTCACAGCAGAGGATGGGCGGAGATGGGCCCTGCCACAGTCTCTCTGCGGGACCGCTCTCACCCACCAGCTAGCGGCAACAGGGGGAATATGGTAAGAGGACGACAGTGTCCACCACACATCCTGCTTGCGTTTACGGCAGACGCTCCTTGGCCAAAACTTCACTCAGCAGGCGGACATATGTTTCTCAGGCGTGAGATGGAAATTGTCCTTGATTGATGCTGTCCAGGTCGCAGCGACGAGAAGATCGAAAGGATCAGAAGCAACAAGAGAAAGAAGAAGTGCCATCAGGTCTAGACTCAGGGGGCCGGCGGGAACAATTGAAGCCAGAGAGGACAAGGATGGAATGGGTGGACGAGAAGAGTGGGACGAGAATTACAATATTGATTCAAGTAGTAGAGGGGGAAGAGAAGAGCGTGGGAACGCTGATCTGTCCCACTGCTCTGGCCACCTAGGCAAGCAGAGCCATTCCGAAGGACACAAGACCAGCGAGTGCTGCAACGGGACCGGCGACGGCGAGAGTCATAGCACCACTTGTGCTTGTGGTATCACTGCTGCTGCTCGATCCACCAGAAGTGCCAGTCGAACCCCCCGCAGTGGAAGTCCTGGTCTGGGAAGCTACTGACGATGTACCAGTGGCATAGGGCTCGGACTCAGACGTGTTTGCATTGGTCTCGATGTAAGCGTTACCCAGATCCTGCTTGAGACAGGTGATGATAGGCATCAGACTCTGGGTGGGCTGCATGGACAGCGCAATTGGGAGGACAACGTCGACGGCCAGCTCAGTCGACTGCTCGTATAGGTCGTGCTGGAGCACAATGTAACCAGTGTCGAGGGTGGGGACCTTCTCAAGAATGGTCTCGAACGTCTCGACGACCTCCTCGGTGCTGACGGCACCACCCTGGATCTGCCAGTCATTAGTATCGAAGTTGCTTCCGTCCGAAGTCGAAGTCCAGATGATGGGGGTGAGGTCAAGCAGCTTGCAGATGGCACGGACACGATCGTCGATGTCTCCATAGGGAGGTCGCATGGTGTTGGGTGTGACACCAATGGTCTGACGGATGACCTCCTTGGTCCAGGCGAGCTCGAGAAGAATCTCCTCGTTAGAGAGGGTGGTGAGAGCAGGGTGAGACCAGGTGTGGACAGAGATCTGGTGTCCCTGCATGTACTCGTACTGGAGCATCTCAGGACGAGAAAGGACACGAGAGCCGACGACGAAGAAGGTAGCCTTCAGATCACCGTTGTCTTCGAGAGCCTTGAGGAGCTTCGGGGTGTAAGGCGACGGTCCATCATCGTAGGAGACTCCCCAAGTGTTCTCGTCGGGACAGACGGTAATGTCGGTGTCGGTGGTGTACCCACCGCAAGTCCACCAGTGGTTCTTTGCAGCATCGGCCAGGTTCTCTGCGTTGCTGGAACACGAAGCGGAGTCCGTGGTGACGGGAATGTCGGGCACACCGGACAGGTCGTACTGGGCCAGCCATGCCTTGGCCTGGCTGGAGTTGGTAGGAGGAACCACGTCAAGGGTCGGGAAGTCGGCGATGGTGAGAGCAGTGGTAGCTGGAAGAGCGGGTGCGCCACTGATGAACGTGTTGGTAGCGCCGGCGCTGTAGGTTGTGCTCAGCGTGTAAGTGGGTGTGTGCTTGGGCACTCCACTGGTGATGTCCTTGATGGCCGAGGAGAGGCTGGCAGGGAGCTTGCTGGTAGCAGTCGCCTGACGCTTAATGTGCTGGTGGGCCGAGGCCGAGACCAGAGGCGAGGAAGCCAAGACGGCAGCTGCCGCAACGGCGGCGAGAGAAGTAAAGTGAACCATGGTCAGGCAAGTTATGGTATCGAGGGTATTTGAGATGAAGTTCTGTTGATGACAGGAATAGAGCAGGGGAGAACAGGTCGTCAGAGATTAGTCATCCGTTGACGAGGGATGTTCACTGATTCAGTCGCAGGCGCAAAGGGTAGCTACGACCCAGCACTGCTGCTTCTGACGCGCGAAGGCAGGTCGGGTGTGACCGAGATGCCTGTCATTGGCAACTGACTGGATTGCCACACTCACCTGTTCGTAAAGCTTGCTTGGGTAAGATGTACAGGTATGGAGTGTCCGGAGAAGCGAGTCTGAGAAAGAGCGTACGAGTGGGGATCAGCGGTGGTTAAGCGCTAGTCAGGGGTTGGATCCGAAAGAGAGGACCTGGTGGTAAGTGAGCGGTTGGTGATGGTTGGGAAGAAAGGTAGTGAGCATTGACGAGGAGTAAAAGGGTCGGGAACCAACACAGGAGCTGGGGCCGGACCGAAGAAGCAAGCAAGCAAGCACACGCTCACACAACCAGAGCGAGAGAGAGAGAGACGCACACGCACAGCCTCTGACCCCTCTTACACGATACGCACGTCACATACAGATGAAGCGGGCAGGGAAGCAGCCAAGCAGCCAAGCAGTCGAGTCTGGACATAGGCAAGGAGGGATGTGCATCGAGGGGGCTGCCCACCAGAGGCGTGAGTAAGTGCAGAGGGAGCTTGGCCAAAAAAAGCTTAGTGGGCAGCTGCCTCGCTTGCTGAATTGGTAGTGTGACATTGTTTGCCAAGGGGGGGAGTGACCTTTGTCGCAGTGTTCTTCCTCTCGTCTAGTGCCTTGATCTCACTTTTGTCCAATGCCCGGCGGTTAGTGTTCTTCTCTTCCTGCGCCCCTTTGCTGCCATGCGCCTGCGCCTCTTGTCTCCCAAGACGCGCGCCTGCCCCTCAAAGCCACCTCCCCACTGCCTCTTCAGGCATGCAGACTGAGAGAGCCTTGGCATTTCCGCGTCCGCCCACCACAACACCCCTCAATGGGCAACCAAAGGTCCGACAAAGCAGACCCCTCTCCTCCACTGGACACAAAGGACGGTGACACAACACACGTGCTTGCTTGCAAGGCAGGGTAGTGTTGTCAGGTGTCAGCAGTGGCCAGGAAAAAAAAAGGGAAGTGTCTAGCGGCTATTGTAACCCTGGTGCTGCGAACAGAAATCGAGGCGAGGTGCGCGTACCAGATAGGGGGTACAGGTGAGGAGACGCACAGCATATAGGCTGCCAAAGAGACGTCACTTTTCAGGCGATGCAATCAACGAGACAATCACAAGAGCCGCATGACAGCATAGTGAGGAAGGATGGGACATTCCATGCCCTGAAAGGGAAGAGACAAGAAGAAGAGCAGACGGGTCGACCCAGACCAGTGGGCCCCCAGAGCTACCGGCTAGAAGAGCGAAAGACAAGAGGGAACAATGGACAAGAAAGCTTGAGGGTATGAGCGCAGACGGTGAAGAATGAGTGTGTGTGTTGGGGGGGGGGGGGGGGGGGGAGAGGTAATCACATGTGGGAGGGGCTGGGAGCAGAGAAGCCAGATCTGCACAGCTCGTCTAGTCGAGGAGGGAGTCCAGGTCTCCCATGTCGTCCCCCTTCAGGAAGTCATCATCTTCGCTGGCATTTGCGACCGACGCTGCCCTCAGCTTGCAGTACTTGTCGCAGTGAGCGTCTTCACTCTCCGTCTCGGAACGAGTAGACGATTCCTCATCGTCGTCCTCGTCGTCGTCGACTGAGGCAGACTCGGCTTCGGCGTCCCTTTCAGCGGCCTTGGAAAGATTGCGGGCGATCTCTCGGTGGTTTGCGCTGCGTCCCTTGAGGTGACGGATAGCTCCAGGGCTGCGAATAACGTGTGCGGCGCTGTCGCTGAGGGAGCGCTTGCTGAGCGAGGCTCCCACGTACCAGTTGGCCATGGATCGAAGAGAGCCGTTGGAGTTGAAGAAGGCATTCTTGGCAGAGGCAAAGCTGTCGGGTGGGTCGTTGATGGCAAAGCAGCCCAGCCAGGCAGCTCGCTTGACGTAACTCTGGCTGGCGAGCCAAGAAGTAGCCTCCTGCAGGAAGTCGGCCATCTCAGAGGCAGAAGCGCCGCTCTTGTTGGTGACACCGTACTCTGTGAGCCAGATGGAGAGACCGTACCTCTTGTATGCCTTCTTGACGAAAGACTTGAGACCGGCAATGTCCTTGTACGAGCCGTACCAGTGAAGAGCTACAAAGTCGGGCTTGGCTCCCTTGGCCTTTACCGCCTTCATGAAGCTGTCCAACCAGTCGAAGTTCCAGACGATTTGAGGACTCGAGACCTTGACGCCTTTCTTCTGCCAGGGAACCATCTCGGACATGAAGAGCTCAGCTGCGCGGCTTGGAGACAGGTTCGATTGAGACTCGACGTCGGGCTCGTTGACAAAGAGCAATCGCGAGGGCTGATTCTTCTTCATCTCTGCCTGACGAGAAGCCCACTTGCTCGCGTACTTTGGGCCCCAGTACATGGGCACATAGTCGACGGAGGATGGAGCGCCAGGCACAGCAGCCTCTTGCCAGTGATGATACCACTCGATGTTGCCCTTTGCAATGGTCTTCATCCAACTGTTGTCGGTGCCCCATGCCAGACCGAGGCGCAGGCGAGCTTCGGCAGCCTGCACTGTGAAGAGAAGGGCGATGGCAGAAGCTAAGAGGAGCTTCATTGTATGTGATTCTAGAGTGCTGTGGGATGGCTATGTGTGAAGGGAGAAATGAATCCGCGTGCGAGCAAAGTGGCTCGAAAGGATGCCCTTGACCTGCAAAGGACCGCCTGTGATGCTTAGTGTGTTGCTGTGCTTGAGGACCGGGGGGTGCTCAAATCAGTAGATGCTTGCAGTCGTCGTCTTCTTCTTCGACAGACGCTATGAGTTTTTCTCTATCGTCGAAGGAGGAGGGAGGGCGGGTCTGTGAGACCTTTACTTATTATTGACTTGTGCAGATGGGTGTGATGTGCTTGGAGGTGCTGTCGTTGATATACTTGTGTCTTGTTGTGTGTCTTGCTTGTGGAACAATGATGTCAAGATGGTGGGCGGGGGTGGGACAGGGGATAGCTAGGAGAGGGGCGGAGGAGGGCGAGGGAGGATGGGTAACAAAGAGGGAAAGGGAGGTAGGGTTCGGGTGGTGACGAACAAGAGAGGGGCTCGCTCCGTCGGCCACGCGCTGTGATGTGCTGCCCTGAAGCTGGTGCTGCCCCGCCGCGCCCCTCGCGCCGCCCAAATCTGGAGAGCAACACAGACGCAACACACAAGCACACGACCTCCGACGGCAGCATACAGGCACCGACCCGCGCCCTGAGCGGTCTGCCTCTGCCCGCGTGCCCCTTGTGCCCCGCGTCGATGTCGTGCCGTGGCGCTCTGCGAATCTGCCTCGTGGCTGCCTGCCATCTGCTCCACGACAGTGGGCCAGCCTTGGCGGAGTGGCCTACGAAGAATGTTCTTTTAGTCGACCATGCACGTCACAGCAGTCACAGCAGTCACCCAGGATCACCCATAATGGCAGTACCGTTCTTCACCTTCCCATTGCAACGGACCCTCCACCCTCCTGTTCCGCGAGGACAGAGCTTGCTCTCCTCTGGAGGCTAGACATGCGTTCCACGTCGCTCAACTTGCTCCTGGCGGGCTACCGACAATTCCAGGGCGGAAATACCACCACCATGATCTTTTTATGGAAAGAGCTCCCATACCGGCAATTGCCGAGTTGGTCCATTGACCACCTACTCACAGACTGTTTGCGCCTGTCCCTGTTCCGATCTTAGGTGATTATTTGAACCTCGCTAAAGCATATGATCATCACAGCCTTGGCCATACCCGTTGGGCAATGGGATGGCCAAACATCGCCTCGGCAGAGGCTACTTCGCCTACATCTCAGATTGTTTTGTTTCGCTTAAGCTTGGAACCCTTCCATCTACAGAATCCTGCAGCAGATTGGCTTCCATGAAAGCGCTTGCGTCCCACACTTGGCAGGATCAGAGCTTGGGTTGCAGAGGGACCTCGGAGCGTTTGTGTTGGCAATTGCTCTTGCCATGAGTTGCTGCATCAGCCTCATCGTGGCGACGATCCAGCAGCGGCCCAAGCATCGCCAAAGAATTCTGTGACTCGTCTTCGTCCCGCTCTTGCTGGGCTACGCTGTGAGCCGTCCCAGCCCTGTGAGCCTGCAGCCCACACCACCTTCAGCCTGACTTGTCAGCAGGCAATTACCTTGCGATCGACGTCGCTCTCAAGAGATCCACGACTCTCTAGCGACGTGGAGGGCAGAGTCAGACCGCCTCAGATGCTGACAAGGAAAAGAGCGGCCTACCAGCTCCAGTGTGTAGGCAGTGATTTGATTGCCTTGTTCCGATCAGCTGGAAGCAGCGAGAGGTTTCCTGGCGAGCAGCGAAATGGAAGCAAGCTATGGTGCCCTAACGCTCTACAGCCTACGATTGGCTGTAGAGACAATGGTAGCTCTGCTCTGCCTCGCTGCGATGTATCACTCAATTACTGAGCTGCCATCACACGGCGCTTGTCTGACTGAGCTGCCACACCTCCTGATGGAATCTCTCACCAATCGCAGCTGATTGTGTACCTCTTGAACATCGCAGCTGAACCTCATTGTGGCCTCGGCGACGCCTCTGGGTCGGCGCTGCCTGCCGAACAAGCCGAGGGCGCGCGGGTCCGATCGCCTCGAAATCTGGGGGGATGGCATGCACTTCCGCTTCTTCCATCACCCAGTCCGCACCTGCTCGTTATTATCCAATTCCCCTCTGATCGAAAACAATGGCTGGTCGAAGAGGACCACCAGGACCACCTCTGGCACCAGGACTGCCATCAAGACCGCTTGGTGGACAACGCGATCGGGAAGACGACCACAGGGGTGGCGATGGCAGGGGCGCCTTCATGAGAGGCGGCGGCATCGATGTCAGGTATGAGAGGGGTAATGGCCCCGCGTTCAGACAAGGCGACCGAGATTATCCAATGCGGCCTGCAGCAAGAGACGATCGCGATGGCGCAGGTAGGCTTCCTCCCCCTCATCGAGACTATGGCAATGACTGGGGAAGAGAGCGAGACGATCGGAGAGGCCCGAGTCACCCTCGCGGATCACGTTGGCAAAGGGAGAGGACTCGAAGTCCACCTCCTCGAGGGGACAGATGGGGAGGTGGAAGGCCGACGAGGGAACGTAGTCCTGATCCTCTTGAAGCGCGTATGGAAAGATGTGAGTGCTACAAACAACAGGGATGTCCATGCGACAACGGGCGCTCATGAATTTCCCTTTCCTCCTCCACTGCCTTCCTCAGCAGCACAGCACCCTCCGCTACGACGTCCCTCTCCCTCCTTGGGTGGAAGAATGCGGTCTCCCTCCCCTTCAGGACCGTCTTCCCACTATTCCAGGCAGCAGTATCCTGCGCAAGGAAGGGACAGTGGTTACCCTCCCAGGGCGGATAGAGAGCGGGACAGGAATTGGCCCAGGGACTCAGCAAGCAGTCACTTCGACCGCGAAAGGGACTACGCTCATGAGAGAGATCACATGAGACCCCGAGGGGGCTCTCGCTCTCCCGAATTAGGGAGGTCAGACATCCGCAGAGGGGAGACACGGGGAAGTTCACCGAGCTCAACGACATCTCGCAGGGATCGCTCTTCACCGACGCAGGACAGAAGACCCACACCTCCCCTCCCGCAAGGCGGTCCCCTCGAGCGCTCGGCTCAACCATCCAGCACTTCTGTGGCGGGTCCGTCTCGGGGAAAGTCATCATTTAGCCCAAACGTCAATCCATCACTCAATCAGAGCGGCCCACCGGCAACCATTCCTACTGGGCCCAAAGCAAGCTTTGCACCTCGAGGGCGTGGAAGGGGAGACATGGCTGGAGCTGCTCTTGGCCGTCGCGGCGGAATACCAGTCAGAGGAGGTTCACATGTCCGCGGAGGAGGTCCCCCTGGTATGCCCGCGAATGGTTACATGGCCAGTAGCCGTGGCAGAGGTGGCTCGATGGCTTGGGGTGGTCGAGGCCGAGGAGGAGGCGGTGTAGGAGGTTTCGGTGGCGCTCCTTCGGGTGTGGACGATCCTCCACCCAGAAGTCTAGCGAGAAAGGTCGATGCCGGCGGGAACGCTGTGATGCCTGATCTGATCGCGGTCCCCTCTGCTAGTGAAGGAGGAGTGGACCCTTCAAGATCCCAGACAGTGGGAGAAGAGCCAGAGGAAGGAGAGCGAGAAGAAGGGGAGATGGACGAGACTGCGCCTGAGGAGCAGGGCGAGCTTGGCCAACCTGAAGCGCCAGATGAGACTGCCTACCCACAAGCTGCTCCTACTGGGTCCATACACCCGACGCAACGACCTCTGCACTTGGGCTCGCTTCCTGGCAGACAGTCTTACAGCCAGCAAGCGCCCTCTGAATCTGGAGGGGCGAGCGACTCGGCAACTCCGTTGACGCCTGCTATGCCCGCAACTACGACACCTTCGATCAGTTCTGCAGTGGGTCAGAATCCATACTCATCTGCCGCATGGCAAAATCCCGCGACTTCGACGCCGAATCCGACACAAACGCCTGCTCGCTCAGCAGCCCCCAAGACCGTCCCTACCTATACTGCTGCTCACTTCAGCAAGAGTGTCCAACCCGAGTGGGATGCTGAGCTGTGGACTCTATCAGCACATCGGCTGGCCGCGATTTCCCAACATCCGATATCTACGAACTTCCACGTGTCTCTACAAGATCCTCCTACGACACCGGGCTTGAGTGGGGTACCTTCGAGCATCGTGAGCGGTCTCAGAACAGCGCTGGCTGACCTGAAGGAAGCCACGACTGAGCTGGAGATGAGCTCAATTCGCAGTCGCGAATGCGAGAGGAGTAGAGCCGAAGCTGCTCAGATGTAATCTGAATGTGATATCCAGCTCGAAATCAAATCCATGCAAACATTTGTATCGATTCGTCTGACTGAGCTTCGTGCAGTCTGTCTGGGCTCGTGTTGGATCTCCCCGCCGCCCCGGGCAATGGCCGGCGCGAAAACGTGATTGGGCCGGCACGCGTGTTTTGATGCTCCGATCCTGTTGCTTTCCTCCTCCCGCTTCTCCCCACCTCGCCCTGCCGAGCTTCTGCTTCCCTACCCTCACCTTCATCCTACTGTCTCCACCCGCCAAGACCCCATCTCTCGCCTGTACGATCCTCGTTTGCAAAGGCTTGTGATCAACAGTCACTGCCACAATGGCCTCTCGCAAACCAGGAGCGCCGCCGCTCTCCCGGGGTGGCCCATCCGCCCCCTCTCGCGCTGCTTCCGTCCGATCCCTCTCCACCTCCTCTTCCGCAACCAAGCTCAATGCCTCTACTGGCTCTTCCGATCAAGAAGCAGGCTCTTCTAGGCCCAGTTCTCCTCCGAAGAGAATGAGCACTGGCGTTGCTGCAGGGATGCGCCCACCTCAGAATGGAGCCGGAGGCATGGCTGTACGGAGAGGGGGAGAGGAAGAGACAAACATCAAGGTTGCCGTTCGCGTTCGGTGAGTGGGAGTGCTACGAGCTCACGAGCTCACGATTCTACTGTTTACTCATAATCTACTGTGTCTTCTTCTATGCCAGTGGTCGTGCCCCGGGCGAACCTGCTCCCACCGCCCCAATCCTTTCCACATCAGGCCCCCGATGCTCTCAGATAACTGTCCACATGGATGCTCCTCCGGTCTCTTCTCACTCAAGCGCCCCTACTTCAGCTTTGGTCACTGCCGCTGATGCTCCAAGGGAGAAGACATACAATTTCGACAACGTCTTTGGACCGGAGGCTGATCAAGGAATGGTCTACCAAACAGTGGTGACGCCAGTGCTCGCCGAAGTGTTGAGCGGCTACAATTGCACTATCTTTGCCTATGGCCAGACGGGTACCGGTAAGACACACACGATGGAGGGAGATCTCACATCACAACTTGGGACATACGTCTCGGAGGCGGGTATCATCCCGCGAACCCTCTACCGCCTCTTTCATCAGCTTGAGCTGTCGAAGGACGAGTACTCGGTCCACGCGTCCTTCGTTGAACTTTATAATGAAGAGTTGCGCGACCTCCTTTCTCCCGACCTTCCGACTCCTCTGACATCAGGAGGACTGAAAGTCTACGACGACAAGGGGAAGGGCGTTGTCATTCAGGGCCTTGAGGACACGCCTATGCGAGACGCAGCTCACGGTCTGGAGCTACTACGGAGAGGTAGTCAGAAGAGACAGATCGCCGCAACGCGCTGCAACGAGAACTCGAGTCGGTCTCACTCTGTCTTCACTCTGACCGTCCACACAAAGGAGACTACTGCAAAGGGAGAGGATGTTCTCAGAGTAGGTAAACTCAACCTCGTCGATCTTGCTGGCTCGGAGAACATTGGTCGATCTGGCGCGGAGAATAAGCGAGCGCGTGAGGCGGGAATGATCAACCAGAGTCTTCTCACCCTCGGTCGAGTCATCAATGCCCTCGTCGAGAAGAGCACCCATGTGCCCTACCGAGAGTCCAAGCTGACTCGTCTTCTTCAAGAGTCTCTGGGTGGCCGAACCAAGACTTGCATCATCGCTACTGTCTCGGCCGAGAAATCAAATCTGGAAGAGACATTGTCTACCCTCGATTATGCGCTGCGAGCCAAGTCCATTCGAAACAGGCCAGAGATGAACAGCCGCATGACAAGAGCGGGTCTAATCATGGAATACGTCAAGGACATTGAGCGCTTGAAGCGGGATGTACTGGCAGCCCGGAGCAAAGAAGGCTTCTTTGTGAGCAACGAAAGCTGGAAGGAGGTCCAGGATGAGAGTGATGCGCGAAAGAATGCGGCAGATGAGTTGCGAAGACTCGTCGAAGTCGCAGAGAGCAAGAGGGAAAGCCTGCAGGAGCAATTCGAGCAGAACATGCAGCTGCTCTTGAAGAGAGAGACGGAGATGAAAGCCGTCAAGACAGAATGTGCTGAGAAGAAGCTGGAGCTCGACGGAGTGATAGACCAGGCGAAGGAACTCCAGGTCGCTCTTGCAGAGGAGACTGAGCTAAGGGAGGCTTACCGCAATAGCGAGAAGAAGTTGAACAGGATCGCATCAAGCCTCAAAGCGCAAGCTGAAGATGATCAGAGTGACCTCGGTGGCCTCTTCGCCAAGCTCGAGCGCAAGACAAGAGTCGAGGAGGTCAACAGAGGACTCATTGCGGATTATCGCGATAATGTCAGCACCGTGACTGCGAGGCTTGAGCAGCAAGCCAGTGCCTTTTCCAAGGCTCACCTGGAATTCAGCGACGACCTTGCCTCGACCCTCGATGCCTTTGTCAAGCAGGAGACAGTCAGTCTGGAGCAAAGCCAGGGACAGCTTGTTGGCCAGCTCGATTCTCTTCGTGGCATTGTGGCTGATCTTGCACAAGAGCATGGCCTTAGTCAGGGCGTGATGGACTCTCTGGCTGCGAGGATCGGAGGAGCTTGCGCTCAAATCAGGGAGGCAAGCCAGCAGCAGGCTACGGCTCTTCAAGAGGAGTGGGTGAAGGTCCAGGAGCAGCTCAACACCTCCCAAATCAATGCCGCTAGCGGCGCTAAGAAGGCAATGAACTCGTTGCAGGACGCCATTGGCAACATGATTCAGGAGACTCGCAATCACATCGCAGCTGAGGAAGAGAGGGTGGATGCTGTAAAGGCCTTTGCCACAGAGTCTGCAGAGCGCGAGGTTGCTACTTTGCGAGAGCAAAATCAGCTGCTGACGAACCTTCTCGAGCAGGAGCGACAGAAGTCCGTGACAGCAAGGGAGAAGCTAACGAAGAACATTGCGGATCTGCTCGTCGGCTTTACAAACGAACGAGATGCTGATCTGAGCGAGGCGATTTCGAGTGTCCAGAGCAACATGACCACCTCTGAAGTCCATGCGCAGCAATTTGTTGACGGCCATCACGAGAAGATGGAGGAGCTTCGAGCCGCCAGTCAAACATTCTCCCAGGCCATCGAAGATAGGGAGAAGACAACAAGACGTCATCGCAAGAAAGGAGAGGCATACATTACAGAGGCGCAGGGCATGTTCTCCGAAGGCGTGACGGCTTGGTCAGGGACTTTGGAAGCGAGCTTGAGTGGGGGAGCACAAAGCTTTGACAAGCTTGCAGAAGATGTCGCTGCAGAGGTGCAACAAGGTGAGTTCACATCAGCAAAAGCAGCGGAATGTGACCGACCTCTGACACAGCGAATCTCTCCTTCCACAGCTCGCGGCCAGGCCGAGTCATCGTTGGCCACTCAAGCAAAGCAGTTGGAAGCTCTCTCAGCCAGTGCCGAGCAATCGAGCTCGTCTGCCCTCTCTCAGCTAGCTTCAACCCTCGCCAATGTGGATGATCTATCCGCCCGAACACAGGATCGTCTGACGTCACATCGCCAGACTAGTCTCACATACCTAAACGAAGCTACTGCTCGCCTGTCTAAGATGCGGGGAGACACCAGGACCTACCTTGAAGACCAGTACGCCGAAGATGTGCCTACCGGCGAGACTCCCCAGCGCAAGGAAGCTACCTCCTCGAGTGCTCACCAGTGGAAGCTTGTACCTGGTACGAGGCAGAAGGCTCTGGAGCAGTACCGATACATGGTAGCTAAGAAGCAGCAGTCCCGCGCGGAAGAGGCAGACAGGAGAACAAGAGGGACAAGCGTGGCCCTGAGCGAGGTGGACGGGACCATGGGCACCCTTCCGGACGATACCCGTGCAACGATGGATACCACTGCCCAACATGACGACTCGCAGCAACAAGGGACAGATGAAGAAGGAGTCGAAGAAGGAGAGGAGGGCCTGGACGAAGACGTTCTGGAGGACAGTATTCACTTCGACTCGGACGATACAGTTAAGCTAGGTGGGCGTGGGGCAGCGGCAGAGCTGTCTGCTGGACCTCCGCGGCCTGTGTCCTCACTGAAGACCCGGAGCGTTCCGGCCTCAGTCCGTGGCAGAGGAGCAGCAAGGGCAGTATCGGCTCGGTCGGTCCTCGGCGAGAAGAATGTCACGAATGAGGAGATCGTCACGGATGGGGCGAAGAAGGTGGGGATGAAGGGCGGCGCTGCGAAGGCCCCTCCTGCTGGCCTTGGGCGGCGAACGACGAGGGCTTGAGTCGCGGAGAGATTTGTTCATGATGCGCCTTGTTGTTACACTTTGCCTCTACTCTCGCTATACCAGTCAAAGCATTTGTATCGTATCGTTTGTGTTCCTCGAGGAGGTGGTTGGCGTGCATGAGCCTCTTGCGCACAGACAAAAGTCCCTTTCCGCACCCCCCTCGCAGATCTTCCTACTCACACCAACCTCCGCTTCCACGTCCTATTCACCTCTTGGTAGACTATATATGTGCCCTATCCAGATCTAATACGGGCAGAGGAATGCAGCTGAGATGATGTCGAGGACTATGAAGTGCGGAAGACTTCGGCGCTTGGAGCATGTGATAAGAGGCAGCGGGTGCCATGCCTACAGTACCTTCAACTCCACTCAAGGGTCCATTACTATAACCTTGCCGCCCAAGGGGCCGAGTCTGATCAAGAGCCTCGTTGTCTCGCAACGATACTTCAGCTGCTCGCCTCCATCGGCTCTCCCTTCCTCGAGCTCGCAGGGCTCATCCTCGACGCGGCAAAGTCTCCTTCCGGAAGGCTGGGAGGCCGTGATCGGTGTAGAGTGTCACGCTCAGATCAAAGCTCCATCGAAGCTGTTCAGCCCGACTCCTCTGCCGACAATACGATCCTCGCCCAACACACTAGCCTCTCCCTTTGACGCCTCTCATCCGGGAACTCTGCCCATCCTCCAGCCAGGAGCTGTGCAGGCCGCTCTGCGAGCAGCGCTCTTCCTCAATTGCGAGATCAACCCTGCTAGCAGGTTCGACCGCAAGCACTACTTCTACCCTGATCTCACAGCTGGCTATCAGATCACACAGAAGTACTCGCCTCTTGCCAATCGAGGCTGGATCAAGCTACGGCATGATGAGGGATACCTTTCGGCTGGAGAAGGAGAGGAGGGAGAGGCGACTATTGAGATAGAGCAGGTGCAGCTCGAGCAGGATACGGCCAAGTCATCCCACTTGGCCTCAGGCGAGTCGCACGAGGCTTCAAGTAGCTTCATCGACCTCAACAGAGCTGGAGCTGGTCTGATGGAGATTGTATCGGGCCCTCAGATGCGCTCGGCCAAGCAGGCAGGCGCATATATACGTAAACTGCAAGAGCTCCTCCGCAGGGTAGGCGCATCTGACGGCAACATGGACGAGGGCTCTCTACGCTGCGACGTCAATGTCTCTGTGCATCGTATAGGGGAGCCCTTCGGGAAGCGATGCGAAGTGAAGAATGTCAACAGCGTCAAGTTTGTGATGAACGCAATCGAGTCAGAGGTGAAGCGGCAGTACGCCATTCTTGAGAGAGGCGAAGAGGTGGAGCAACAGACGAGAGGATATGACGAGGAGACGGGCCAGACGATCTTCCTTCGAGGCAAGGAGGATGCGCCAGACTATCGATACATGCCGGACCCGAATTTGCCACCAGTGCGGGTAGATGAGCGGACGTTGCAGGGTATCAAGGAGGGCTTGCCAGAGCACCCTGATACGCAGCGCGACAGGCTGAAGAAGGACTACAAGCTGAGCATCAGAGACATCAACGTGCTGATGCGCGTCGGGCTGGAAGAGGATCGGCGGATACCCGAAGCAGGAACAAGCTCACGGCAAGGAAGCGACGATGCGGTCACCTACTTTGAGGCCGTAGCTCAAGGCAGGAACCCGCAGGTTGTTCTCAATTGGGTCATCAATGAGCTGCTCAATGCCCTGAACAAGCGCGAACTGCCCTTTCAGGGGCACAGCGTCCCTCCGGCTATCCTCGGCGAGCTGATCGATCTGGTCGAAGCAGGCAGAGTGACTGGCACCTCGGCAAAAGCGCTTCTCGTCGAGCTGGTCGCGACAGACTCTTCGTCTCTCAATGGCAAATCGAAGAGTCCCGTACTGGACCTTCTCACCAGTAAGGGCATGCTGGCTCTTGGTGCAGGGGGTGGGGAAGCCGGAGGAGAGTTAGAGCAGCTCTGTGCGAAAATTATCAATGACTTGCCAAAGGAAGCGGAGAAGGTCAGAAAGGGAAACGACAAGGTGGTGATGCGGCTGGTGGGAGAGGTGATGAAACGGACGGCGGGGCGAGCGGATGCCCAGCAGGCGAGGGAGGTATTTCTCAAGTCGCTGAGAGAGTAAAAGCATCGAATTGCTTGGCGGAAAGAGTGGTTCTGTCGACCGTTGCAATCTACCATACACATCAATCTTACAGTAGCTATTGGGGCCAATGACTTCCCAGTGCAGAGGTACACCGTTGAGCTTATTGCAGCCTGCTCAGTCGTCCGAGCCAGCCGGGCCCAGTGCGATGAGGTTGAACTGCACAGCATTTGGATCCATAGCCATCTGAGAGAAGAAGTGGAGACAGTGAGCAGAAGTCGGCCGAGAGTCAGCCAGGCTCACTCCTGATCTCCCTCGCTCCGAAAGGAGCACTCACATAGTTGTCCCTGACCCAATTGCAAGCCCCTTCGAGCAAATCCTCCTGCGCAGCCAGTCTCACTCCACGGTGGACAGGGCCCTTTCTTCTACCATCTAGCTCCACCAGTTCCCCCTTCTCTTGGTCACGAACAAAGCACGTGAAGTGCAAATCGATGTTTTCCTCAGCGGCAGGTGCGACGCTCTGTCCGCCCGAAGCGGCGGTGGTGTGAGCTGCCTCGAGCTCGCGAGATGTGGTGAGGAGCTCGGCACGTTGGATTGGGTTAAGCGGGACTGATTTGGAAATGAGTTTTGCGAGAGGTGAGGAGTCGGGAAGGGAGGAGCGCACGGAGGTATTGGCAAGGGAATGGAGAAGGCCCATAGTACCTGCAGCGAACGAGGGGAGCGGGAATGTACGAGGGTCAGCTCTGGCAATGTCAGAGTCTCTCTCATCGACCAGAGAATATAATTACCACAGGCGTTCCCGATAGTCTGCTTCCACCAGATGAGCTCTCCGTCTTTGCCTCCTTCCTGTGTGATCTCGACATCCTTGTCCTCCTTATGGCGATTGGCTTCGTACCCCTCTGATACGGGGAAGAGGAGCAGGACTGCCTCGACGGGCTGAGGCACCATGGACAACAGTGCGGGATCAAGTCCGAAGATGTCATGGTAGGCATACTTGGTCGAGTCGAGGCCGAGAGCAGCGGCCCACTGATAGATTCGAAGGTGAAATGCAGCTCTGGCCCTTGGTCAGTGAGAGCCAGTAGCGTGGTGTAACATGGCTTTATCCTGACTTACGTTTGTGAAGAGCTCTGGATTGCTTTCCAGAGGGACCCATCGCATTGATGTTGATGCGTCAGTCGAGTTCATCTTGTACTGCTACTGGCGTTTCGAGGCCTGGCTACAACGAAGGAAACAAGGCAAGTACATCGTGCCGACGCTCAGCCACGGAGTCGAAATACGAGTGGAGGGTGCGGAAAGAGACACGCGTCGGGACACGCCAGCACTGACGAACACATTTAAGACTCGCAAGTGGCCACTGATGAACGACCACTGCTTTGCCATCGCTGCCATATCTTCACCTCACCTACCAACATCATGATTACCGTCACAAACCCAGACGACGATGGGATCTACCCCCTTGACTGCGACACCAGCATCGCACTGGCAGACGTAAAGGCGCTTCTGGAAGCAGACTCGTCCATTCCAGCTTCACGCCAGGCCCTCTACTTCAATGGCGCCCCAATGCAAGACGACAGCAAGACTCTTCAGGGCTACGGTGTGGGAGATGGTGATCTTCTTCTCCTCAGAGATGCTCAAGCTGGCCAATCTTCCTCTTCCGCTGCTGCTGGGCGTGGCAGTAGCAACACCTCCACCGCGCCTCCTGCAGGTGCTCCTCGCAATGAGGAGGAAGCTATTGAGCAACTCCGCCAACAAGTGCTCACTGATTCTCACCTCATGACTCAACTACGCCAAAGCAACCCTCAGCTTGCCAACGCTGCCTCTTCGTCTCCGGCTGAATTCGCAAGGTTGCTGGGAGAGATGAGGCGGCAGATGGGACAGGTTCAAAATGAGAGAGCAAGGGCAGAAGCTGAGCTGGCCGCTGCTGACGAATTCGACATCGATGCTCAACGGAGGATTGAGGAGGCCATTCAGGCCGAAAACGTCATGGCCAATATGGAACATGCCATGGGTGAGTGAATCACTGCTCAAGGCGAGGCTGGTGGACCGATGCTCATGCATCTTCTTTTCCCATATCGCCTTACAGAGTACAGCCCCGAGAGCTTCGGGAGGGTTCACATGCTGTACGTTGCTACCGAAGTGAACGGTGTAGAAGTGAAGGCGTTCGTCGACTCCGGCGCACAGTCAACAATCATGTCACCCGAATGCGCCGAGCGGTGCGGTATTATGCGACTTCTGGATCGGCGCTTTGCTGGTATCGCCAGGGGAGTCGGCACAGCCAAGATTTTGGGGCGTATTCATTCCGCGCAGATCAAGCTCTCAAGTACGTTGTACCTGCCTTGCTCGTTCACCATCATGGAAGGCAAAGGTGTAGAATGTCTATTCGGTGAGTTGCACACGAGGACACTGCAAGATCAGATCAGCCGCCGAGTTCCGCAATCTCATCACGCCTCTTCTCCACCTCAGGTCTGGACATGCTGAAACGATACCAAGCTGCGATCGATCTCCGAGCCAACGCGCTGATCATCAATGGAGAGTCGTGCCGCTTTCTCGATGAGCATGAGCTGCCAGATAGCGCCAAAGAGTTCGAGGCTGGTGAAGATGACCCTCAGGCGGCCGCCAGAAAGCAAGCCGATGCTGCCACTAGCAGCGGAGCCGGAGGACAGAGTACCAGCGGACCCAGTGGGTCCGAAGGACAGAGCAGTGGTGGTTTCCCAGGAGCGGGTCAGTCACTAGGGTCGACGGTATCGCAACCTCAGCCGCCTGCGACAACCCCTGCGCGTACTCCGACCACGACGGGTGCCGGCGCTGCTGCTTCATCTGGTGCGGTAAGCGGCGCTCCCACCTCTGCCGCTCCTGCTGCCAGATCATTCCCTGCGGAGTCCATCAAGGTCCTTCAAGATCTAGGGGCTAGCGAAGCGCGGGCAAAAGCCTTACTGGAAGCCGCTGGAGGCAACGTGGAAGTCGCAGCTGGATTGCTCTTCGCTGGTAACTGAAGTTGAGAGCACGATGAGCGGCACAAGTGCCTGCAGCAATCTAATGACATTTGTTCTTGTAGCACGTCGTGACACGTCATCCTACGACGAAGCCTTCTCCATGCCGTCGTCGTCGATTCCTGCTGGCGTTTCATAGCCTGCATCGGGTGGACCTTCGATCACTGTCGTTTCAAATTCTCCGAGAACAGTCCGGACCGTTTGTTGCTCATCTCTTTGCTTCCGTCAGCGCTGCTGAAGGTTTCCCACGTCCCTGTCACCGGTAGCGAAGCTACGTTCGCGATCTGTACGTGCAAACACCGGCGGAATGATTCGTGACCACGCATCGCTTCGAGGTCAACTGTGAATGCAACCGAAGCTGAGGTCGTGATCGGCCGGTCCTAAGGTCTCCTGTCAAGCTAGAGGCCGAGCGAGGCAATCGGGGTCCAGTGACGCAGCTGTGCAGTCCCCTTTGACTATCGGCGGCTCGGCGCCGGGCTATTTCCCGCGCCCGCTGCAAGCCCGCGTGGCGTCGACCCTTGACTTCTCCACACGCTGCCACAAGGTGATGCCGCCCTGACTGCTGGGCGACAGTGCGACTTTGGGAGCAAACGCCGAGCATGAAAGAGGGACCCTGAAGGCTTTGCACAGCATAATGCTGCAGAATGGTAGGTGCGAGGGTGACTAGTCAGATTCTGGGATGACGTGAGCTGAGCTGGTGGAGGTAGGCAGCTATATAGAAGGAGTGGCAGCATCTCCTTCGCACGTTGACTCGTAGTCCCATCACAAGGAATCTCCATCATCATGAAGTTTTCACTTACGGCCTCTGTCCTCTTCGCGGCTGTCCTGGCCTCCATGGCCAATGCTGCCGCCTTGGCACCGCGTCAGGACGCTAGCTCTTCTTCGAGCTCCACCTCGAGCGCCACTGATGGTGCTGCAGCATCCACCTCTAGTGCTTCCAGCTCTGCGACCTCTTCCTCGTCGCGCACCTCTTCTAGCGCTGACGGCTCTGGCAGCTCTGGCTCATCTACAGTCGTTCTCATCTCAGCGTCCGCCCAGGCCACGCCTACCGAAGTAGCAGCCCTCGTTCCTTATGGCGTGGCTAACCTTTCTTCGACCGAGAACGACACCGCTGTGGGCTCCCACGGCCTCAGCAACGCCAACTGCACTGTCTTCCAGGTAGAGATCCCTGTCAACGCTGCAAACATCCGTTTCAACAGCGATCTGCGCCAGGAGTACCGCAATCAGTCTTACATCACTGGTCAGATCCTCCGCTACGCCAACTACCAGCAGGACTACATGGAGGAGAACATCAACGGCACCTACCTCAACACGAACAGCTACTCAATCAACGCTACGTACTGCACGCCCAAGACCGGAAAGAAGGACAACTCGTCCTTGATCACTGCCGTCCACGGCATTGGCTTTAACTCGCAGTACTGGAACTTTGCCTACGCTCCCGAGTATTCGCTCGTCAACCAGGCTACCTCTGCCGGTTATGACATCCTCCTCTACGATCGACTGGGCACTGGTGGCAGCAGCACCCCTACGAATGGTCTCGACGAACCCCAGGCTGCCACTGAGGTTTCCATCTTGGCTGGTATTCTTCAGCGAGCTCGTAACGGAACTCTCATCAACGGCACTTCCTTCGACAGAGTTGTCGCTGTCGGACACTCCTACGGTTCCATTCAAGTCCAGGCTCTTACTGCACAGGCTCCTGAGCTCCTTGACGGTGCCGTCCTGACCGGATACTCTACTTCCACTGCTAGCATCGTTCAATTCCTCCTCGGCGCTGCCTTCGAGCCTGCTGCCCGTGTTCTGCCCAACACCTTTGCTTCAAAGCCCCGCGTCTGGCTCGCTGCTGGCTCCAACGCCTCAATTGTGCAAAACTTCCTCTGGCCACCCAACTATGCTCAAGGCGCCTTCGATGTAGCCTACGCCGGTGGTGATACGGTCTCTCTGGGTGGCCTCTTCAGTCTTGCGTCCGTTACCGCAAATGCTACTCGCTTTACTGGACCACTCTTTGTGCTCACCGGTGAGCGTGACTTGCCCTTCTGCGGTAACGACTGTACGACCGGCGACAAGGTCACCTCGGTGCAGCAACTCTACCCCGCGACTTCCAACTTCACCTCGAAGCTCGTCAATGAGACCGGACACGGCCTGACTGTGCACTACACTGGTCCTCAGAGTCAGAGGGACATTGTCCAATTCTTCATCGACAATGGCCTTTGAGCGGGTATACTTCAAAGAGACGCGTGACTCAAGCTCTCTTTTTCCGTTTTCGATACTTTCCCCACTCTGTTTAGCTGAACGACACCAAATTGTGTATATCACTCCTGCTGCTCCAGTCCATCTGTAGAGCATAGCAAAATAGCATACGATCATGCCCCCTTATATGACTGCTCGTCCGGTGTGAAAGTGTTGCCAGGCGAATGAAGGTAGACGTTGACTGTGCCTCATGACATGATCTATGCTGCCTGTATACGTGCTGCAGCTCTGACCGGCCTGCCGTTGAGTACCGGGTGTGCTGGAAGGCTGATGGTGGTGGTACCTCGCTGCCCGGCTCGCGCGCATTGGTTTCACAGGCATGGCGTCTCCCCCTCAGGCCCGCGTGCGGGGAAGGGCGGCCCGACCGGACAAGCGGGGGCGCGTGCCCGCCAGATCGCTCGCCGGCTGGCTGCAAGAGCCGGACGCATAAGCGGCGGGGAGGACCCCCACACCACTTTCGTCTAAGACCACGCTCCTTTCCTTCTCTTCTACACACATCATACCCTAAACCTACTCCACCTCATAGACATTAGTAGGAATAGCCATGTCAGATTTCCCAAACGAGGAGAATGGCAAGATCTCCCTCAAGGGGAGGGTCGCCATTGTTACCGGTGCCGGTAACGGTCTCGGTCGAGCGTGAGTAACGAAAATGCATGGCATCATAGCGAGCTCAGGCAGAGCTTCGGTCCGAAATTGACAATCCCTGTTGCTGCACCGCTCGCATCTCCCAGATATGCTCTCGACCTCGCCAAGCGAGGCGCCAAGGTCATCATCAATGACTTGGGTCCCTCTACCCAGGACAAGAACCGAAAGGCTGCCGAGGTCGTTGTGGATGAGATCAAGAAGGCCGGCGGTGAGGCAGCTGCCAACCTCGACTCCAATCTTGAGGGAGGCAAGATTGTGCAACAGGCCATCGATACCTTCGGTAGGATCGACATTGTCGTGAACAATGCCGGTATCCTCCGAGACAAGTCCTTCGCCTCCATGAGCGACAAGGAGTGGGATGCTATCACAGCTGTTCACATCACCGGTTCATATGCCTGTGCCCACGCCGCATGGCCTCACATGCGAAAGCAGAAGGTGAGCTGCGAGTGTTTGAAGTTCCTGCGGAGTTCGCGAAAGTGATCATCTCCCACATGTCCTCTCCTACTCCTTCAGTACGGCCGCATCATCAACGTCTCATCAGCCGCTGGTATCTACGGCAACTTCGGTCAGGCCAACTACTCGGCTGCCAAGATGGCTATGATCTCCTTCACCAAGACTCTCGCAATTGAAGGTGCAAAGTACAACATTCTCGCCAACTGCATCGCTCCTATCGCTGCTTCCCAGATGCTGGCCTCCATCATGCCGCCTGAGATTCTTGAGAATCTGAAGCCAGAGATGGTAGCTCCCTTGGCCACATTCCTGGTCTCCGGTTCCAACACCGAATACTCTGGTCTCACCATCGAGTCCGGAGCAGGGTTCATGGCAGCTCTCCGCCGTGAGAGGACTCACGGTGTGGTGTTCCGAGCCGATGACACCTTCACTCCCTCGGCTGTCAAGGCCAAGATCGACGAGATCCTTGACTTTGATGAGAACCCAGAATACCCCGACAAGATCACAGACGCCAACCATATGGAATTCCTCGAGCGAGCAAAGGAGGCCAAGTCCAACGACCAAGGTGACTCCGAGGTGCGCTTCGATGGCAAGACCATTCTCATCACCGGAGCCGGAGCTGGTCTAGGTCGAGCTTACGCTCTCATGTTCGGCAAGCTGGGAGGTAATGTCGTTGTCAACGACTTTGCTGAGAAGGCAGCCAATGCCGTTGTCGATGAAATCAAGAAGGCAGGAGGCAAGGCTGCGCCCGCAATCGGCAGCGCAGAGGAGGGAGAGAAGCTCGTCAAGGCTGCCACCGACGCTTTCGGTGGTCTCCACGTTGTTATCAACAATGCCGGTATCCTGCGTGACAAGTCTTTCGCCAGCATGAGCGATGCCGAGTGGCACGCCGTCATCAACGTTCACCTGCGAGGTACCTACAGCGTCTGCAAGGCCGCTTGGCCCATCTTCCGCCAACAGAAGTACGGACGAATCGTAAACACTACCTCTGCCGTGGGCATCTATGGAAACTTTGGACAAGCAAACTACTCGACCGCAAAGGGTGGTATCATCGGTCTCACTCAGACGCTTGCCATTGAGGGACAGAAGTACAACATTCTGGCCAACACCATTGCACCCAACGCTGGCACCGCCATGACTTCTACGATCTGGCCCCAGGAGATGGTCGACGCCTTCAAGCCAGACTACGTGGCACCAGCTGTTGGTTTCCTTGCCAGTGAAGCCAACGAGGAGTACACCAAGAAGCTCTTCGAGGTGTCTGGTGGATGGGTCGCTGCCGTCAGGTGGCAAAGGTCCGGTGGCCACGCCTTCAAGTTCGGCAAGGCTCTCGAGGCCGATGTCATCAAGGAGAACTTCGAGAAGATCATCGACTACGACCCTGAGCGAGCCAGCTGGCCAGCAGACAACCAGGAAGCGATTTCGGACATCATGTCCAACATCACAGCCGGTGCTGACAGTGATGAGTCCGACGACGACGAAGGTGGAGACGATGACTACTCAGACCCAGAGGACTCTGATCTGGTAAAGGAAGCCAAGAAGCAGAAGTTCGAAGCGACCGAGTACGAGTGGACCGAAGACTCTACCATTCTGTACAATCTGGGTCTCGGGGCCACTGCCAAGGAGCTCAACTATGTCTACGAAGGCGCCGACGAGTTCCAACTCATCCCCTCGGCTGCCGTCGTCATTGCTTTTGGTGCTTCGACCTCCATGCCTATGGACTGGCTGCCCAATTTCGACCCTACCAAGCTGCTGCACGGTGAGCAGTGTGTAGAGTTACACACCAAGGAGCTGCCCGTCAGTGGAAAGGTGACGAACACTCCTGCTCTGGCAGAGGTGCTGGACAAGGGCAAGGCCGCTGCCGTCACCAGCGTGACCAAGTCTGTGGACCCCGAGGGCAAGAAGCTCTTCACCAACAGCTCCACCGTCTTTATCCGTGGTGCTGGTGGATTCGGAGGCAAGAAGACGGGCAAGGACCGCGGAGAGGCCACTGCTGCCAACAAGCCACCCTCCAGGGACCCAGACCACGTTGCCGAGTTCAAGACTTCACCAGATCAGGCTGCCATCTACCGACTGAGCGGCGACAAGAACCCTCTTCACATCGACCCAGACTTTGCTGGAGTGGGAGGCTTCGATGAGCCCATCCTGCATGGTCTGTGCTCCTTTGGCATTGCTACCAAGGCCATCTACGAGAAGTATGGCTTCCCCAAGACGATCAAGGTGAGGTTCATGTCCGTGGTGATTCCTGGACAGACGATTGTGACCAAGATGTGGAAAGATGGAACAAAGGTCATCTTTGAGGCTTCGGTCAAGGAGACTGGCAAGCAGGTGCTGGGTGCCGCGGCTTACACGCTGTGGGAGTAGACGTGTTGGGAGCAGACGAAGATGTGGTGTGATCAGACTTGATTTGTAATGGATGGCATTAGTTTTTCTCCTTGCTTTTGGCTGGTGAGGCTTTCATCCACGCGATCCGTCCCATTGAGGCAGTGGTATAGGCCGGTATTTGTGTGAGTGGGCTGAGAGTGAAATCCTTTGAAGCTTGATCGCGCGCCATTAGGAAGCTTTTCTAATCGGAGGGTGGGTGGTGTGTGAACCCGTTTTGTGCCAAGGCGGCGGAGCGGAGGCTGATGCAATGCTGCGTCGGAGAAAGGGGCCGAGAAGGCAAGTCGCCTGTGGGCGGGCGGCCTTGGCAAAAGGAACAGATGCACGCAAAGCTACCAGCTGCAGCACCACCACCCACACTCTGCGCCCCTGGGCCACCTCGACCCTCATCTTCTTGGTTTGCCCCGCCCTTTGGACCTGAGCATATCTCCGATCCATCCATTACACCCACTCTTCCTCCCCTTTGCACCCTACCCCTTCCTGGCATCTACACGCGCCACCTCCTGCCCATCACCGCGTCGCCATAGCCAACAGTCTTTTCTACTACCCAGCATCGTTAATTCAATACCCACTCCTCTGACCCCTCTTGCGCTCGTCGCCACCACCTCATCACCCTTTCACAACACCCCACCGCCTCTGCCCAGGATGTCTGAGCTCAATATTCGCATGGGCCCCGCCCTCAAGTACGACACTGTCGATGTCTCCACTTATACATGGCATGGTTTCGCCATGATCGTCACTGCCGACGATACTAGCGACTACTCTACCACGCCTACCATCCGGCTCACCTGGAAGCCATACACCAAGGGCTCCAACGAGGAAGCTCACCAGAGCAATGGCGAGACAAACGGTGCGTTGAACGATGAGGGGGCCATTGTCAAGGAGACGGCCGCTCAGACTAGCACTGCCATCAAGCTCTGGAACTACAAGGGCGAGAATGGCTCCTTTACCTTCTGGAGATTCAAGCTCGAGGTGCCCCTCACCGACTCGGAGCAAAAGGTCTCTTACTCCCTCGAGGGAGTCGCGCACCCAGACTCTGCGCCACCTGCCGTCAAAGAAGGCAAGTCGAATAGCTTCTTTGTCCCCAGCAAGACGCAGAACTTCCGCTGGATTGGCCACTCCTGCAATGGATTCTCAGCCAGCCTCGACCCCAAGGAATGGAATGGACCAGATCCTCTGTGGAACGATGCCCTTCGTCAGCACGAAGAGAAGCCTTACCACGCCGTCGTTGGAGGAGGAGACCAGATCTACAATGACAAGCTGGTGGGCGAGCCTGAGATGAAAGAGTGGAAGGAATGCAAGGACCCAATTGCACGAATGAAGATGCAGGTCACGCCCGAGATTGCCACTGCCGTTGACCGCTACCTCTTCAACCACTACTGCGAATGGTATGGAAGCGGAGCCTGGAGCAAAGCCATTGCGGCCATTCCCATGATGTCCATGCTAGACGACCATGACCTCATCGACGGCTTCGGCTCATACCCCGATGATCTCATGAACGCCCCCGTCTTCAACCACATCGGCCGACGAGGATTCTTCTACTACCACCTCTTCCAGCAATTCCAGCACGAAGACGTCGATGGGCTGGAGCGCGACAAGCACTCTAACAGAAGCATCATCTTTGGAGGCATGGGGCCCTACGTCCACTTCCCCAGTCAGAGTTACCTCGCCTACTTTGGACCTGACCAGTGGATCTTGATGATCGATTGCAGAGCCGAGAGGAAGCTCACACAGATTTGCACACGATTGACGTACGACAGGATCTTCGACAGGGTGCGAACGGATCTTCCTGCAGGTGTGAAGCACCTGGTGATCCTCCTGGGTGTGCCGCTCGCTTACCCACGCATGGTATTCATGGAGAAGGCTCTGAGCTCTGCCTGGAACCCCCTTCTGATGCTGGCAAAGGGCTTGGCACCTGGTTTTGCCAATGAGTTCAATGGAGAAGTCGAGCTCCTGGACGATCTGAACGATCACTGGTGTGCAGCCAACCACAAAAAGGAGCGCAATGCACTGGTTTGCGATGTCCAGAAGCTCGCACTGGAGAAGAATGTCCGAATCTCATGGATCTCGGGTGATGTGCACGCTGGTGGCGTTGGCATGTTCCACGGTTACCACGCTCATGACCCAGCATATGACCCCAAGATGTCACTGGCTATCATCACGTCTGCCATTGTCAACTCTCCTCCCCCTCCTGCTATCATCTCTTTGCTCAACAAGCTGGGCAAGAAGAAGCATCGCTCCCTCTTCTACGCCGGTACCAAGGAGACAATGGTTCCCCTCTTCCCCGAAGATCTTCATGGCCAAAAGCAGAACGACAAGTACATTGTAGGAGCTAGGAATTGGTGCTCGGTCAGCATGATTCCCGAAAATGGCGATTTGGAATTCGAGTTGAGAGTAGAGAAGGAGAAAGGGTCAGGAGAGGTCAAGTCGTACCCTGTAAGGACTCCTGCGCCCAAGTGGAATGTCCCAAAGGAGAAGCATCACTTGCTGCTCACAAAGGAATTTTCAAAGGAGACGATGAAGCTGTCTGGTGGGAAATTCTCTGGCAAGATGTCAAAGGACCCTGTCAAGCAGGCTGCTGCTGCCTGAGGTATTAGCTTTACTCCTCTTGAATGATACCACTCTTCGAAGGAGAGTCTTGATACCTTGCCATCTGGCCTTGGTCCCTATGACATTCGCCCGAGCTGCTCTATGCTCCGCCGCATCGTATTCCGCTTGCGTTGCGCTCGTCATCATCATCATGATTATGATCATGATCGTGATCATCATCGATGATCATCAGCAATCAGTACCATCCGTCTATTCACCCAAGCACGCTCTCTGTCTATCTCTTGCCACACCAAGTTTGCTCAATACCATTGTTTGATTTCTGTCTCAAAGTAGAAGATTCCTTTTGCATGAGCTTGTGTGAACTTGTATTGTGTGTGCGTGTGCGTTGAAGGAAGTACACCCATGACGGCGGGAATGCGTTGCTGATGGCCCGAGCGTTTTGGTGGGGTGCCAAATTCAAAGTCCGCGAACGGCCCTGCGTTGGATTACCTCCGGGACCTTTACGCTTCGCTTCGCTGCGTTGCACGAGTGCCTGCACTTCCAACCGCTACCATCCGCGATCAGCTCCCTGCTCCCCTACCTTCTAGCTCTTCTGACGACGACGATCTGTGAGACGCTTTAAGTACAAGGAACGACCCTTTCTTGCGGCTGAGCAGGTTCGAGGCAAGGAAAGGCGAGACGTGGAAGCACGAAGTGGTGAGGTCCCAGCCATGTCTGCCTCCTCCTCCTCCTCCTCACAGGTGCTGGACTCGGCAACGTGCTGGGCTATACCTGCACCTGTCCCACCCCCTCCTGCTTCTTCTCAAGTCGACTCTTTCCGGAAAAGACCAGAGTCCATCCTCCTCCGATTGCCAGACGAGCTACTTGCTCGAATACTTGCTGCACCGGAGCGAGGAACTGCAGGTACGCTCGTATTGAATGGACGGCAAGATGCTTCTCTCCTCTTTGATGGACAGTCCATGCCTCTTGAGGGCACAGAAATGAGCTATGGTAGCCCTGGAGACGAGAGCTACTACTATCGTCTAGATCAGAAAGAAGAAGAAGAGATAGGCCGCAAAGGGGAGAAGGAGCGACCCAGTCTCCTCGCAGCGCTACCAACGCCCACCGTCCGTCTCCTCTACCCACGAGAATCCTCCGCTCCTGCTTCTTCCTCCTCCAACTTGGTCCCTTCATCCTCAACTGCGCCCTCCACCGGCAAGACGACCGACTTAGCCAAAGCCACCAATCGTCTCAAGGCCATGCGCGAAGCCGATGCCGAGAAGAAGCGACAGAGCCGGGCGATTATGATTGACCAGAGTCAATTCGACTCTAGGGGTAGACTATTGCAACCAAAGCAAAAGGGAAACGGAGCTTCTGGAGGGGTCGCTTCTTCATCCTCCTCTAGGGTCCCTTCGCCGGCTTCTAGGACTGGTTCCCCCGTGATACGCAGAGCGGGAGGGGAGGAGATGCACACCGGCAGGAGCAGCAGCGGTAGCGGGCTGACTGGGGTAGGGTCTTCGAGCATGTCCAGACCGAGATCTAGCCTTGGGGTCGACGCCTCGTCCCTTCCAAGGAGGAGTGCCAGCCCGATCCCTTCTGCAGCCAAGAGTACTTCACAGAAGTGGGCTCCGAGTTCATCCGACGAGGAGGAGGAAGAGGAGGAGGAGGATCGTGCCTCCTCTTCTCGCCCTTCTTCTATCTCACCAGCCAAAGCAGCTGCGAATCAGACTCGTGCTAGATTGGCGAGGGCGGTCAAGGGCAAGGGACCAAAGGGGGAGGAGTTGAAGAAACAGCAGGAGAAGGAGCGGAGGAGAATGGACAAGGCGAGGGAGGAGAAGGAGAAGGAGAAGAGTGGGGTGGGTTCGATCAAGCAGGCTGGAGCTACTTCTACTCCTGCTCCTACTCTTGCTACGTCATTGCCCACCCCGAGCAGCGCAAAGGAAAAGGAAGTTGGAGTGAGGACGCTCAGTGATTCCTCAAAGGCGGCGGTGAAAGTTAGGGACATGGCTTCCAAGATCTCTTCCGATGATGCTCCTGAGCAGTCAAAGCAGGACAGCGTCAAGAAGGCAAGCACAAGCGGAGGCTCGTCTACGGCGGCGGCAGCGGAAGGGGGCCCTACCTCACCCAAGAAGCGCAAGAGAGATCTCAAGGATGCAGAGGAAGTAATGAAGTTCACGACGACGAAGAGAGCTTTGGCGCCCAAGTCGGTCTCGCCAGAGGAGCGACGGAGCACAAGCACATCGAAGACCGTGCCGGAGAAGTCGACTTCGCCAGAAGAAAGGAGAACCACAGCCACCGTGGCCGATTCCAGCAAGGTAGCTTCAGCCACTTCTGCTGCTGCTGTCTCTCGACGTCCTTCGAGGAACCACCGAGAGTCATCTCCCATTTCGCCCCCTGGCTCCGGCTCGGCCAAAGCTTCCAACAACGAACCGCCCCTTCGAGCACCTGTTGCCCCTACTCCTTCGCAAGCACAGCCCCAACCACAACCACACCACGGACCCTCCCCCTCTGCCTCTCTCGCCACGCGCGAGCCCTGGCTGGATATCCGTGGACTGAACGACTGGCGACACCTAGTGGAGCGTCATGCTAGGGTATTAAAGCAGTACGAGACGTGTCGGGTCCGATTGGAAGAGGAGAGGGAGAGACTTAGGAGGGAGAGGGAGAGGGCGCGGCTGGAGGCGGAGGTGCTGGAGAGGGAAAGGGAGCGGGGGACTAAGGATGGCATGGAGATGACTTCTGCAGCTGGGACAAGTCCAAGAGGCAGTAAGAGGGCAAACACAAGTGCCGCTGCTGCACCTACTGCAGTACAACAAGAAGAAGAAGAAGATGAAGAAGGAGAAGTTGAAGAAGGAGCTCTAGACGAAGAAGAGGGAGAAGAAGCCGAGTCAGCTTCAAGAGGAAGAGGAACAGTAGGAGAAACAGGAAGGGGGACAAGTCAACATGAAGAGGATCGAGATTCGGATCGAGATCATCCCCATCGGTCACGTCGTGCCGCACCCATGACTGCCTGGCGCAGTACCTCTCCCCCACTATCAGCGCGAGTTGGCTCCCTCGGCAGATCCACCGAACCACTCAAACACCCCGAGGGTGCCGGTCCCGAAGCTCACCAAGCTCAAGGTCCGCACCGGGACACAAAGCCCTCTTCTTCCCCTTCCCTTCCTCCACCACCACCTTTGGACATGACTGCCCTCTTGGAATTGGTGGAGCTGCAGCGCGCCCGTGAGGGAGAATTGAAGCGGATGTTTGTTGCACTGGACAGTTTTAAAAAGGGGTGGGATGGGAGTTGAGATGAGCTCAGATGAGATGAGATGAGAGGAAGATGCAATGAGGGCGGGCGTGGAAGCGGGGTGGGAGGAAATGGTTTAGAAGTAAAAGTAGATGTTAGATGTAGAAGTAGATGTAGAAGTCAAAACGTAGATGACTGTGAGCTCGTCTTCCCCCCCCCCCCCCCCCCCCCCCCCCCCCCCCCTCCTTCGTCGTATGTAGATCTCATGTGCTACCACCCCATTTATGACTCTGACCATTATCACGGCTCTGACCGAATTGGTTTGACACTGAGTATATTGCTAAGCCTGTTTGCAAAGTAACCTGGACACACACATGCACTCGAAGCAAAGGTTGGCTCTCTCGACCCTGACCCTTCACTATCTCAGATCCACTCTTCTCAGGTTCTCAACCAGGTATCACCACCAGCTCCTCCATCCGATCTGCGCCTTGCACTCCTTGCGCTCATCCCATGGCCATGAGACTTCCGACAAAGGTGAGGATCAGCCTCTGTCTCACCTCAACAATGTCCTCCGGCACAAGGAAGATGAGCGCTCCCAGCTTCCTAGCAATGGAGATGGCAAGCTTTGCATTGTTCCTGCACTCATCCTCGTTGGTGCCCCTGTGCACCAGAGAATAGTCCACAATGCCCTTTCGCAGTCCGTCTAGGAGGTCCAGGAAGAAGTGGGCAGTGCGCAGCGAAGGGTCCTTGAAAGATCGCATGGAGCTCGACTTGCCGTTGGCCTGTACCACCCCATTCGCCCACCGCACCATGTCTGCGTCACTCACACCACGACCACCCTTGCCGAGGGAAGAGAGCGTCTTTGTGATGTTGAGCCTCATGAGCTGCCAGACCAGACCTAGCGTCAGAGTCTTGGTGCCGTCAACGATGTCTGCTCCCTGGATGCCCACGATGTGCATGTTGTTGCCCTTTGCTAGGTCCACGGCGTAGTTGGTGTTCTCCACGGCCTTGAACCTGCTCAGCTCCTGCCCCTCCTTTGGCTTTGACACCCTCTTCCAAACAACGGAGCCGGGGACGACCTTGTCAAAGGCTTGAAGGATCACGTTGCCGCTCTTCAGGTCCTCAAAGAGATTGTATACTCCGGGATCCACGTCGAGGGAGTTGAGCCAGAGAGTAAAGACGCGCGCTTCTCGCTCGCCCTCGGCGTCGAAGTCCTCGATCTCCATCGGCGGCGGCTCCTCGAGCGCCTCGAGACAAGGCCATGTGTTGAACAGGTGAGCGACAAAGGCGAGGTTCAACTTCGGGTTACCAGAGATCATGGAGCCAGGCGTAAGATACTTTCGGCATCCGATTGAGTCGGCTCTTTGCAGGACCATCTCTGCCCTCTGCATCAGGTCAGTCTGCTTCAGAGGAGCTCGATCGCAAGACTCCGGCTTGAGCTGAGAGAGCAGAACGGTGTAATTCTCTCCATCTGAGACGTCTTTGCTGAAGTTGGCAACTCTCCTCGGCCAATTGGCGGCCTTGAGGTGGTAGTTGACCCATCGCAACAGAATCTGATCGGGTGGGAGGCGAAGGAACTCCTCAAGGGTCTCACCTTCATCCAAGAGGCGGTACAGCTCGGGATGATGCTTCAAGTCAATCTTGCTGAGCAACCCTCGTCGGATGATCTGCCAGATCAGACCCAGGATCAGATGTTCCCGCCCGTCAATCAGATCTTGGGCTCCGACGTTGACCACTGAGCACCCGATAGCTTTGGCCGAGGTGATGACGATGTTGTTGTTTTCTGTCATCTGGAACGCATTGGGCAGCTTGCCAGCCTTGCCGACGTTCAGGACTCGCTCATCAATTGTGTCAGGCACAGCATCGTTGATGAGCTTGCAGAGAATCAGACCGTCTTTGCATTCATCAAACAACTGAAAGGTATCTGTGGGGATAGGCAGGCGGCCGCCGATGTGTGCATCGCCGGAGAGACTCTGAGGAAAAGGTAAAAGAACGGAGTGTGAGATCTGTTGTGTTCCGGAAAGCATCTGGTGGGATGATTCACTCACCGAGTTGATGTGCCGTGTGAACTCGGTCCGCTCGTCCTCGTTGATGGTGTGCTGAACACTGGCGTTGCTTCCTTTGACAGACACTTTTCCCTTCACAACGGATCCAGCAGAGACATTTCGGCCCGCTCTTAGCTTCGCAAACAGCTGCAAGAGTAGGATATGCGTGCATGGTCAGTGAACAGAATCCGGTTCAAGTCGACTCTTGGATCTACTCACATCGACATAGTCGTCCAACTCTACCCGACCGGAAGAGTCCAAATTGACTTCTTTGAGCGTCTCTCTTGCCTGATCGTACGAGGCCTCACCGGCATCCTGCACTGCCTTGACTACATCCTGCTTCTGTACTGCACCCTTTCCATCTACATCGATCTGATGGAAGCGATTGATAAGCCCCATCATCTCCTCTTGGGAGCTGGAGAATATCAGTGTTCCGGCGAGACAAGAAAGTCGGTGAGTGACGAGCTCAAAGAGCGCACTGGCCATATGCCGGGCGTACACAAACTCACAATTGAGGGTACTTCCTCTGGAGCTTGATGGCTTCCATCTTGTCTACACGGTGGAGTGTTTCGACAAAGGAGAAATGATACAAGATACGAAGCAAGACTAGGCTGAAACGTCCAGAGGGATTAAACTTAGTGACTGGCAGACAGAGACGGTATGACAGAGGAAGAGATGAGGCTCAGTGGCTGAGTAGGGTTGTACGGAAGGGGTAAGGAGCCAAGGTCCGAAGCGAGGCGGTGCATCCTCTGTCTACTCCACTCGTCTGGGCGCCATCGAGCCGCACTTCCGTTCCGGTTCCGAAGCGGGTGGCTGAGAAGAAGGCCCCGCAAAAGATTCGATCGAGAGGCGTTGCCTGCCTCATCCATCATCCCCTACGCATATACTCACCCTGCCACCTCTATCGTCCCGTACAAAATTTCGACATGGTACGTCCAGACTATTCATCTGACGAGTCAAACGATGGCACACAATCTCGCAGCCCTAGTCCACCTGGGGCAGCGTCCAACGGTCACTCTCGTCGGCGACGGGACTCACGTTCACCACCACCTCGAAGTCGTAGGCGCATCGACTCGGCTGACCCTGCAGGGGAAAAGGAGCTCGCTGATCAGCTGAGAAGGTGAGTATCATATGCTTATGAATCGAAAGACGGCTGACCCTTCGCTGACACAGCTTCGTTCCTGCCCCACCTGCCCCTGGCCGCCCGTGCCCAGACGAGCTCTAGCGTCGAAGGAAGCGGCATCAGCTCGAACCTTGAAGAGGAAGGTCTCTTCTTCTTCATCTCGATCCAGATCACGATCTCGGTCTCGTACTCCGCCTTCTCTACACTCATCAGCATCACCGCCGCCCCGTCAGACCTCAAGGCGGTCTACTTCTCTCTCGAGGCCTGCCTCGCCATCACCTCATCGCGACCAGAGCAGCACCGCTTCACGGAGGAAGGTCAGAGGCGATGATCGAGAGCGAGACAGGAGAAGGAGACGCAGTGGACGAGACGATATGGAGGACGACTATGAAGACGGAAGACAACACGTCGAAGAGGACACATATGTGAGGCCGATGTCGAGGCCTCGCGATGAAGGCAGCACCAGTAGTCGAAGACGAGACGACAGCAGAGCATCCCTGTCTCGGACCCGCGATATCGACGAGGATGATGTTCGCAGTCACAGGAGCGGTCATAGCCGACACACTGCGAGTCGCGAGCCAGAGCCCTACGGTCGCTACGATCGCGACGCTCGTTACCGCCGCGGTCCGCCACCTCGTCACGACCCTTGGGGTCGGGATGACCCTTACAGCCGCGCGCCCCGATACGACCAGGACTACTACTCTGCGCCATACTCCAGAGGTGGCCGTGACCGATATGACTACGACCGCAGACGACCGCATCGCCGCTCTCCTTCGGTGCCAATTAGGAAGGAACCAACTCCCGATCCTGAGGATTACGAGCTGCGCTCTGTCTTTTGCTCCCAGCTTGCAGTCAGACTCACTCAAAGGGATCTAGGCGAATTCTTTGAGGAGAAGCTTGGCGAGAACACAGTTCAAGACGTCAGGATTGTCACTGATCGGGTTACCGGGAGGAGCAAGGGCATTGCCTACGTCGAATTGACATCAGAGGAGCTTGTCCCCAAAGCTATCGCTTGCTCGGGCGAAGTGCTCTTCGGCATTCCGATCTTGGTGCAGGTGACGGATGCTGCTCGTAACAGAGGCGAGGGGGCTTCCACTGCTCAAGCTCCGATTCGACCTAACATGCCGGAGAACGGTCTTCCAAAGATCGACCCGAATTCATTGTCCAAATTGCCACTTCCACCTCATCTTGCTGCTTTAGCTGGCAATGCCATCCACTTGGGTGGCGGCACAGGACGAGACAACAAGGTCACCAATACCGCTGCAAGACTTTACGTTGGGAGTCTGCACTTCAATCTTGTGGACACAGACGTTCGCGCTGTCTTCGAGCCTTTTGGCGACATTGAAAGCGTAGACCTTCATCGAGAGCCGGACGGCAAGAGCAAAGGCTTCGCGTTTGTCCAGTACAAGAAAGCGGAGGATGCCGAGAAGGCCATTGAACACATGAACGGGTTTGAGCTCGCCGGCAGAAATATCCGAGTAGGTCACGTCAATTCGCGAGGCCAAGACAACAATGCAACTCGAAGTGGTCCCTCTGGCCAAAACGACGCCAACGCCAACGGAGGTGGAAACACTGCGACGGTCACCTCCTCGTTCGATGAAGGAGGAGGCGGTGGTCTCAACGCGTACAGTCGTGCCAATTTGATGCAGATGTTAGCAAGGAACAGCAACAGTGCCGAGGCGGGCGTTGCCAACGGGAACGCAACCCAGCCAACCGAGCAGGTGCGCCCTGCTTCGATTCCGCAAGGAACAAGCAAGGCCGTCTTATTGAAGAACATGTTCAATCCCGAAGAGTGAGTAGCGCTGGTAGTCGCCGCGTTGATAAGCTTTGCATATAGACACTGACCAGGCATCTTGACGATACTTTTCCTTCCCATCTCTAGGGAGACCGATGCAAAGTGGGACCTGGATCTTGCTGCCGATGTCAAGGAAGAGTGTGAATCCAAATACGGCAAGGTGCACGAATGCCATGTGGACAAGGAGAGTACGTCGGGCGACATCTACATGAGCTTTGAGGACATCAGTGGTGCGACCAAAGCTATCGCCGGTCTCAATGGGCGATGGTTTGGAGGAAGACAGGTTGCTGCTGGCTTGTGAGTACAATGACGCGTATCGTAAGCTTCGCAGCGGAGGTCTCATTGACATTTGCGATATCCCCCTTCCTCCTTCACAGCATTAGCGAATCCTTCCTCAAGGCTAGGCTGAATTGAGTTCGACGAGGGAAGACGCAACAAGCAAAGCACCAGTACGCTGAAGAGCGAGACAAACCGGGATGCTCTGAACACATGCAGTCATTTTCCCCTCTCCCTTTACGCTACAACAACAGGCCGGTCATTAGAAGCTACATGCGCTGCTGATGCAAGAGAAGGAGAAGTCAATGGTATGACCTTGCTCGTTGGCTACCCGCGCTGTGTGGCAGAATCACCACTCCTGCCTTTGCTCCTCTATTCTCCACTGTTCTCCCATCAGTGGAGTCTTTTCCCTCACTTCCTCCGCACACGCAGCACAGGCACTGTCACCCTGGATCGCAACGGCATCTTCGAGCTGTAGGTTGAGCGACACCACGTGGTCATATATGTGGGATGTGCCGGACCCCGGGCAAGGGTTGCCCGTCTGACGCTGTATTTCACCCTCTCCCTCTTCTATTCCCTCCGCAATGCGCTCCGCTCCATTGATCGCCCCCTTTGCCCGATTTACCTCCCCGACTGCCGCTTTTATTTTCCCCGCCCGCCCGCTTTTCCCACGATGATTGTTGGGCTTGCGATGGTGCTTGCAGGTCTTGCACGCTACAGGTGCTCGCCCACAGTCGTCATCTTTGCTACCATTCCTGAGTCCTGTGAGTAGAATTTCAGAAGCGGCAATTTCAATTTCAATGCCATTCCATGGCTTTTCCTCTGGTGTATTGGGGTGGATGCGCGCCTGGGTGTATGTGCTTCGTCTCGGCCGAATTGTATGCGGCGATGTCTGGCTTGTTCTTTATATTTAGGCCCCCCTGGTCTGCTCGCGTGGATGGGGTTGAGTACCTCCGCGTCGGAGAGGCATAGAAGCAGAGGATGATAGGGAATGGTAGGGCTGATTAGGTCCGCGTGGTCACGTAGGTGGCGATCGAGGAGGTGCCATGCGTTGCTTGAACTTGCTGACAGTGAGCCACCTGGCCGAGGAGCCAAAGGCAAGAAGCAGCTGCGAGCAAAGGGCAAGGCTCTGTGCCGTTGTCTCGGCTCACCCTGCCTGGGGCCAGAAGAGGCGCAGAGGCAGGCAGAGGCAGGCACACAGGCACACAGACACACACAGACACACCCAACCACACACGCACGCACGTCTTCTTCTCCGCCGCTTCGCACTGCTCACCGAGTCCAATCTACTCCAATCCACCCCCGCGTCCACGTTGGCATCGAGAGATAGATAGCAGGCAAGAGACTTCGCCGCCCTCTTCGTCTCATCCTCCTCTCCTTGCCTTGCCCTCCTCTCCCCCTCTCCCACCTCCCGCTGCGCATCACCATACTTCTTCCCCTGTCTTCGAGAAGCCTGGGGCATTCCCACCACGCACACCCACCTCACCAGACCTTCCTTGAGCCCTTGAGCAGAGTCGTGTCTTCAGCAGGCGCATGTCCACCCCGCCCTTGCCCCTCCGATCGTACACGCCCAAAGCATTGGTCTTCTACAAAGAGCTCTCGCTCCACAATCTGGCTCCGAGCGCCAGACCGTCGATTGCACTGCTATACTTAGAGTCCTGCGCCCACACCACACGCGAGGGGCTGTGAGTACCTTCACGGACCTCGAAGACGCGTGTCTAACCATAGCAGCCTGCCTGCTTCACTACAAGCAAGGCACTTCACGTGCAAATTGGGCGTTGAGGTTTCAGAGCAGTAGATAGTCTGCCTTTGGAGAAGGGGGTCCTCTCCCCAATCATGTTCGCGCTACACAAAGGTGAGTTGGATGCAAAAGGGTTGCAAGCATCCCGTGGTAGAGTGCTAGGCTACTGACTATGTTCTTCACACTCATGACCTTCAGCCTTCGAGCAATCTACCAAGTCTGTTCAAGATGCAGCCCAAGCTGAGAGACAGCGGCGGACCCAATTGTCGCAACAGAGCGGGGCCACACGTCTGGCTACCTCCTCGCCAGCTGGGGGCCTACTCACACCCCAAGCCGGCGAACTTCAGCTCTCCAGTCCCGCTTCGCATCTGACAGCAAAGCCCCTACCCAGAAGTTCGAGCATGCTCGCTGTAGATGTGTCCTCTCTGTCTCTGCAAGATCCTCCGCAAAGCCCCTCTACTCTACGGTCCCCAAATGGACTGAGGCCTCCCGGCCCAGCTCCTACCTCGCAGCTTCCAGCTGTTCCGCCCGGTTCCGGAAGCAGCCCTCTCTCGTCCAGCTCTCGAGTCCCTAGTCTCCGAAGACCCTTTTCCCCAGCCATGATGCAGCAACAGCGATATGGAGTGCAGCGAACAGATGGCTCACTAGTGACGCCCACAAGTTTGAGTGAGGCCAGTGCATCTCCATCCCGACTCTCTTCGACGCAAAGCCCACCTGATTTGCTGAGCCAGCGCACCGGCTCACAGGCCGCTGAGACCCGCGAAGATGTCTTTGCAGGCAGCTCGAGCCATGCAACCTCACCCAGCGAAACACGTTCCAGAAGCCCCATGCCATCATCCTCTCGCCTTCAAGTGCCGAGCTATGACGAAGATGGACCACAGAGATCAGCTTCACCTCTCAGCTTCCGCCGTGGATCTCGAACGGGAGACTCAGAGATCTTGCAGGACTCTTCCTCCAGACCTTCGAGTCCAGCGGAGCCCAGACCCTCTTTCTCTAGTGGATCGCGCTTCAGGCTGTTCGGCAGGAAGAAGCGAGATGAAAGCCCTCATGCAGGCAGCGATGCTTCCAGACTCGAGAGTGGCGCTCGAGATGACTCCCCTGATTGGGTAGGCCGAGGCAAGGGTGACTCACAGGAAGGTGGGGTGAGTCGTCCATCCCAGGACTCTAGGGGTCGGCCTTCAACATCATCTTTATCGCGGAGTCCCTTGAATGGCAACGAAGGTCGCCAGGCGGCTGCCGCTATGCTGCCATCTGGCGGCGGCATGGGCAGGTCCTCATTGAGTCATAGTACTGATTCGCACGCAGAAGGCTCCCACCATGCGGGGCTGGACAGCAAAGATCGACGCTCACCTGCCGGGAACGCCGGCGCTGCCGGCGCCGCATCCTTGGAAGTTCCGCACTCGTCGACGGACTCAGGGGCTTCTGCCCGAAGGTTCTCGTTTGGCTTTCTGTCATCTGCAATTCACTCGGGACGCAGTCCCAATAGTGGCTCTACGGACAGCAATGCTTTCGATCCGTCCGATCTGAACAGTGCTCCGCCCGCTGTCAATCGCAGCGAGTCCAGACACCTGCCGGAACCTGTGCAGGGTGCTGCCAGCAATGACGCCCCGCCTGCTGACAGCAGTAAGGCATTCAACACCAGCTTTGCGGAGAGCAGTGGTCGCGCTGCCCCTCCCTTGACTCCCAGCAGGCTCTCTTTCTTTGGAGGTGGCAACTCATCTGGTCCACAGGTTGCTGCGATGGCTTCGCCCGGTGCTACGACGCCATTGTCGGCTAGCAATTTTGAGGCACAGCTGGGGAGACAGCCAGAGACAAATCCTTCGTTGCCGACAGACGCCCGCTCTTCACCGGACATTCAGCAGCCCGGGAGCCGCGCAGCTCCATCCAAGGTTCTGCACTCTTTCCGCAGTCGGTCATCGAATAATCTCAGGATGTTCGGTCGGTCTGCGACGAAGCCTAGCGAGCCTTCTCCTGCGCAGGGCCGTGAGCGTGCGCCTGCGAACAGCATCGATGGCGGTTCAAGCAGGCAACAACGCGGCCTTGGCGATGGCTCTCGTCTTGCCGTTCCTAACGCCACCCTCTCTTGGGCTGCCGCACCACTCGCCGTTGCTCCACCCCGACCAAACTCATCTACTACGTCTTCTCAGTCGTCTAGTAGAATGGGGAGGGTCTTTTCCAAGCGAAGACCTGCCACTGGCCCAGACAGTCTGTCCGAGCAAGACTTGGCCATCGACGGCGGAAGCAATTCTCGCATCTCGCCCGCTGTTAGCCGAAGCTCTCTTGCTGTCGAGGACGGTTCAGCGCCTGGTATGAGTGCCCGCTTGCGCAGCGCTTCCACAGCGAGCTCGGTCGTCTTGCCTGGTGGGCTGCCGACTACACCCGGTCCTCAAACGGGAGACAAATCTAAGTTGAGTGCCTCAGGCGGCGCTGCTGGCTTGTTTGGATCTTCTTCCGATTCGAGGCCCAGATCGGCCAGTAAGCCTACAAGGAGCCTTTTCGGAGGTAGCAGTGGTAACAATGGCGGATCAACTTGGCTGACTCCTCGCAAAAAGACCGTACCCGAGTTCGACATGGTGAGCCCGATGCCTAAATTGGAGCGCAACAACTCCGACTTTGCAGCCATCACTGCTTCACGATCGCGGCCTGGTGATCTGAGTGATGTGCCCGAGCAGTCTCAAGCGCTCAACGACCCACAGCCCGAAGAGAAGCTCAAGCCTTCCAGATATCCTCCTCTTGACCGAGAAAGTCCGCAGAAGTATTGCGATCGTCTCGAGAGGACTATTAGCCCAGGAGACGTTGTCACGGTCTTGGCGAACAGTGGCGATCCCTTTTACGTCGAAGCCTTGCGGTGCCACATGCGCAAGTTCCTCTTCGTTGGCAATCCTCTCGACATTGCTCTGCGCAAGATGCTCATGGAGGTGTGTCTTCCCAAAGAGACTCAGCAAATCGATCGAGTCATGGAGGCTTTTGCTCAACGCTACAATGAATGCAACGAGGGTCTCTTCGCTTCTGCTGATCAGCCCTACATCCTGGCCTTCTCGTTGATGATGCTGCATACAGATGCTTTCAACAGGAACGCGAAGAACAAGATGAGCAAGGCAGACTATGTCCGCAACTCATCATCGTCCGGTGTGGCTCAAGACGTTCTCGAGTACCTGTATGATAATCTGACCTTTACTCAATTCGTCTACACTAACGAAGTGGACAGTGGGTCGCCAACTGAACCAAGTGGAATCAGGAGCGCGCCGGCTGCCTCTGCTTCGTCAGGCTTCCTCACGAGGGGCGCAAATGGGGCGCCCTCTTCGGCGCGAGACAAGAATGGCAAGATCGACGTCTACTACTTGATCAAGCAGGGACGTCTTAGCGAGTTCCGGCCCTGGATCGAACACCTCATTCCTGAGGATGATCCTTACAGTTGGACGGGAACGGAGGGCAATCTCGACGTTGCCTTCCTCACTGAGACGTACATGGCATCCCCTTCAATTGAGATCAGCACACAGCGACGGCCTTCACTCATGACGACATCTGCCGGACCTGCGCCAACCGTTGACTATAATGGCGCGCTGGACAGTGATCCGAGTGTGACACTGCGCATCTTCAAGGTTGGCATCATCAACAGGAAGGATGATGTTGCTGAGAAGGGCAAGAGGACTTCTCGTAAGTGGAAGTCATGCGGAGTGATCTTGAGCAGCTCGCAATTACTCTTCTTTCGTGATCTGGTCTGGATCGATGCTCTCAAAGCGCAGATGGCTGAGCAAGTGGCGGCTGCTAGTCCTGAGGAGCGCAAGCTTGGTATAGTGATCACGCCGCGTATTCGGGACCTTAAGCCCGATGATGTCTTGTCCTTGAGCGATGCATTGGCCATCAGCGATGACACGTACGACAAGCACGACAACGTTTTCCGCCTCATCAACCAGCAAGGCAACAACCAGCTAGAATACCTCTTCCAAGCCAAGAGCGAGGATGCGATGAATGACTGGATTGCGGCCATCAACTTCTGCGCTTGCTTCAGAGCGGCTGGCCTGAGAGTCACGGAACTCGACGCGGCGGTGTTCGACGATCCGTACGGTGAAGAGCTGCAACGTGATGGCATGTACAATGGCTTCGGTCCATCAGCTTCGCCACAAGAGCAGCGTGCGACCAGTCAGCCACTGTACTCAACCACTGGACAGTCCATGCCTTCCGAATTGATGCTCAGCAGGATGGCTGCTCGCAGGCAGGAGATGTTGCCCCGACTGCGGGGAATTAGCAAGGCGCACAAGGATCACGCTGCAGAGCTCGCGGAGCTACTCCGACTGGCTAAACATTTCGCTATCATGACGCCGTTTCAGCGGGCAACAAAGGACAGGATCGAGGCAGCTTCTGTGCCACTAGCAGCTCGCATCAGGCAGCTGCGCGTCTTGGTCGCCAAGTTCGAGAGCAGACAATACATCCTTGCCTCAGAGTTGCGAGCCGCCGAAGAGCACGAAAAGAAGTGGACGGGTAAGCACAGCGGGGCCAAGTTCGGCAATTGGAACTTTTCGCCAGGGAGAAAGTTCAGCGTTGGCGAGATCGGTGGCAACACCTTCCCTCCTACTTCACCCCAGTCTCAGCGTGCTGTCAGTGGAGGTCATCCAGGCTCGAGGATTGTCCAGGAGCGAAAGGCTTCTTGGCGCTCACAGGCAAGCAGCGAGCTTGACTCAGTGGGCCCTATCTCGCCAATCCTCGATCCACTTACCGAGGATGTAGCAGTCCATGGAATGCCTCTTCGTCCAATCGTGTCGCCAAGTGCATCATTGGGCGGCGGCGCCGGATCTGCTCCTCGCGCAGGGATCGCTTCCTTTGCTCCCGGCAGCTATGACAGCGACTATGCCGCTTCCATCACATCCGTCGCTTCCCGTTCGAGGGTGGGCAGAAGGAGGAGCAGTGGTAACAATCCCGTACGTCGCAAGGGCTCCGATGTCCGTGGGGGAGACATTGCCGAGTCCTGGGAAGCAACCAAGGCGTTCCGAGACCCAGATCGTATCACGATTGCTCAATTGCCCGACCTGAGTACAATCGAGTTAGTGACCAGGAAGAAGGCCCTCCATCGGGCCGCCTTGGACAATGCCAATGCGCAAGGGGGAGACGATCTAGATGCTATTCTCAATACTCCTTCGTCTTCGCGCAAGAATAGAAAGGCGAGCGAAGGGAGTGCCTCTGGCTTGACGAGAGGTGGAAGGATGCGATCTGGATCCGTCTCCAATTCCATCTCGAGTGGCAGCGGTAGTGCCTCTCTTCCTCAAGCGCCCCTTGATCCTCCGGCCTTTATGATGAGCTGGGGCACGTAATACGTCGAGACGTCATAATGGACGGAAGTCACCGCCCGAGCCCTACCTGTCACCTTTTTCACAAGTGTCATTATGACTTTTTCATCAGTGGTCCCTGTATCAGACTCTTTCCTTTTTTTCTTCACTGTATGATATGTATCGATCTTCACGTTGTATGACATCTATTTCTATTCGACGCCATCTACTCCTGATCTGTGTGTCGCCAATGGCCTCTGCGACGAGCCCGAAGAGCAGAATCTAGCAGCGTGTCTACGAGGGTGGGCTCTTTGGTATCACTGACCCGATGGAGTTGTGAAGAAGTACGCTCGGTTAGAACTGCCCAACGCAAGCTCACTGCGCTTCCCGCTCGTCGGCATACTCACGATCTTTTCTACCCTCCCAAGCCTTCATGTCCGGTAGCAGCTTCTTACCTCTACCTTTACCTCGAAGATCTCGCCCAACTTGCTGCGTCTTTTCCACTACCCTCAGGAAATTCTCACTGGCCAGTCCAGCCACTTCCTCTTCTGACCAGCCCCGCTCCAACAGTCGTGCCAGCAGCTTTGGATAGGTAGTGACGTCCTCCAGCCCTCGAGCGAATTCGAATGAACCATCATAGTCGGAGCCTAGTGCCACTTTGTTCCTGCCAATGACCGAGGCGATGTGCTCGATGTGCTCTAGGACGTCATCTATTGTCGAATTGCCTGAGCCACGGACAAAGTCGGCCACGAAAGGGATACCGATGACAGCATCTCTGTTACGCAGTGAACGCAGAACATCTTCCTCGATGTTACGAACATGGTTGTAGACGCTCTTTGCCCCGCTGTGCGAGTAGAAGATGGGTGCAGCAGAGAGCTCAATGACCTGACGCTGAGTCGCTGCAGAGGTATGGCTCAGGTCCGCTGCAACGCCCAGCCTGTTCATCTCGATGATCAACCTGCGTCCGAAGTCGCTCAGTCCACCATGACGGGGCTCAGGTGGTGAGCAAGAGTCGGCAAAGACATTGTGGCAATAGTGCGTGACGGTTACGTACGTCACGCCCAGCTCGGCATACATGCGCAGCGTAGCTAGAGAGTTTCCCAAGGAATGCGCCCCCTCGATTCCAATCCAGTGCGATACTTTGCCATCCGCCAAGTTGCGACGATGCTCCGCTGGTGTAGTGGCCAGGCCCACGTCTCGAGGAAAGTAGGCCGCGAGCTGCCGGGTGAGGTCAATCTGTTCTAGGGTGTCCCGCACCTCATCTGTAGGTCCGTCAAAGTTTGGTCCCTCTTTTGAGGAGTTGCATCCGACGTAGGCAGCTGACCAAAAGCCGCCCACTCGACCCTTTTTGATCCGCGGGATATCCACTTGGCCCCAGAGGTGATCCTGATAGGTAAAGTTGGCAAGGTTGTCACCGGCTAGAAAACGAGCGACAATGGGCAGATCCCAATGTCCGTCTAGAACCGGGTACTTGGACAGAAGTGCATCTGCCCGCTGCTGGTAGGTAGAAGAAGCCTCTGGGGGCGGAGGAGACTTCCAAGTGGCGTAGAGCCCACTGCACCCTAGCAGGCTTGCGAGTGTGTGGAGCAGTGGGAGATGCATGTCGTCTACAATAGCTTGCGGAGGTAGGATGCCACGGGAGGGGCCAACGAGGATGAAGCTCCATCGGCCCGGACCTTTGCCAGACGGAAAGGGCCGCGGAAGCCGCGGGCACTTTGACTTGCTCCCGATTGCTCCACAGCAAAGGTGACAGTGAGTGGCCCGGCGGGGCAGACGGGGCCCTTGCATGCCGCCGCCTGCCGCCGCCGCCTCCTCCTCCTCCTCGGCCCTTTGCCTCTCACCCAACCAGCCTTCCTTTCGATCCTCACCATCATCCTCTCCAAACTTCCCTTCGACGATGACCGTCGTCGCTTCGCCACTGGAGGGTCAGCTGAGGGAGCTACGTGCATTGAGGAATTCGGTCATTGGAAGTCGCACTCGGAAAGGTCAGGTAGTGCTTGGAGGCAAGGTCCCAGAGTGAGTCCGATAGCAAGCGAGGCAGAGGCTGCTGCCCTAGGCGACCGATCATTAAGCTCCAAATTTCCAAATGCCTCATTCTTGGCCATTTCACTTCATCCATGGCAGGCTGATATTACTGTTGAGGACACCGTTGGATAGCACGGAGTCCTTCGAGGTCAGAGCACTTGCTGCTACCATTATAGGATCTCTCGCACACTGTGAGCAGATCACTCGAGGTTGATACAAATAGCTCCGCCACTCGATTCTGATTCCCGGTTGCTCCCTTCTGCCAGCTCCTTCGTCCCCTACTCTCCTTTCTCTCTTGCGAGCTGGCGCTCCAGCAGCTCTCATCGCAGCACTGGCAGATCTCGCCGAGCTAAGACGAACCAATGCAGCCCTCTTCGCTTCCGCGGACCCGCTGAAGGCCCTCGAATCCCTCTTACGCTCGCTACGCTCCATATTGATTGCTCTGGCAGATGAAGTCGCACCTGACCCGAGATACGGGCTCGGCATCGGTAGAGATGGTTCCAAAGATCTCGGTCCTGGAGCCAAGACCAAGAGCTGGCGCGAACCGAGCAACTGGGCAATGGCACAGGCGGGATTCTCGGACAATACTCCAGACGAAGACACAAAGATGTCCACCGCTGTCCCCTCTGGGTCTAGTCGAGGCCTCCACGACTTTAGACTTGCCAGCCCTCGTGAGGAGCTTACTCTCCTCGCCCGGTCCGCGATCGCAGAGGCATTCTCGGAGCAAGCGCTGCCAGTCCTTCTCGGAGCAGTCTTTCTCTCGCCAATTCCCAGGGACGAGAGGGCAGACAAGGTGTTTTCGGATGCACGAGCAGCCTCTCGGACTCGCCTCGAGTCACCTGTGGCGAGTATGCTCCTGCCGCCGCGAAGTCGTGAGAGCAGTAGGAGTAGACCTGCAAATTCTTCACTGGTGTCGGCAGCTGATTCAAGCTCAATATCGGACCTAAGCGCAGTGGGTAGTGAATCAGGGAGTGCCTCTATGCTGAATAGAGGCAAAATTCTAGCTATCTCTGAGATGGTCTTCGGAATACTTTCGGTATGTCTTCCGATAGCAGGCCCCAATCCTCAAGGATCTGCGATTGGCAAGTCAGCAAAGCGATCTTACAGCGCAGCGGAAACGGACCTCATCATGAGAAAACGAAGGGTGATGGACTTTCAGGGAAGAGAGTCGGCTTTCACCGCATGGAGTCAGCCCCCAGGTCTGTATCCATTCGCAGTGGAGACTGTGAGGGCTGAGAGCCTGGTCGGTGACCACGAGGACGCAATGTCTGGCGAGCCCTCTCTGCTCTCCGTGCTACTGGAAGGTGCGGAGTGCGGCTTTTCGAAGACGCAGGAGACGGCTCTCTGGGCGCTAGCTGAGCTCACGAGGGAAGGTTCGGAAGCGAGCGTGAAGCTCTTCCGCTGTCATTCCCCGTCTGGGCTCCTGTCGACAGCAATGCTGCTGAGCCTCAGGAAAGACTCGAATGCCCATGTCCGTCTGGCTGCGTATTGCTGGTGAGTCGCAAAGCTTGGGGGCAAGACAGTGTCTCAGCCGAGAGCTGACAATTTGCACCGAACAACGTCCCTCCTAGTCTCGCTCACATCATCAAGGTTCACCCATTCACTCCGAAGACCAACGAGAAGGTTCTAGGCGGCCTGATTGAGCTTCTGGAATACCCAGGGGAGATACAGATTGCGGCCGCCTTTGCCATCGCCAAGGTCGTGGCGGATGATCCAGTCTTGCAGTGCATAGCGTGCGAGAAGGGCTACGATGCCATCAGTAAGCTTGGTACACTCCTCAACCAAGCCTCAAAGACCAGCCTCGCGATTTCGCGGTCATCTTCGCAAGCAAGATGCGGCTCTTCTCCTTCCTCCTCCTCTTCGACCGTCACCGACAATCCAGCCTATCGACTACAGGAAGCAGCGCTCACTGCTCTTGCCGCTCTCACCTTTTCGCGTGATCATATGAGGAGACAGTTCATCGACTTTTCTTCCCCACCTCTTCTACCTCTCGTGGTTCCGCTGCTCACGACTGGCTCCCTGGGTACACGGGTGGCAGCATGCAGGCTGGTGCGAGCTCTAAGTCGAAGCATCAGCATCCTTCGCACGAGCCTCGTCGACGCAGGCGTATCCGAGAAGCTGATCGCCATCATCAAGAACACCGAAGAGAACGTCGATGTCAAGGTGGAGGCGACGGCCACTATCTGCAATCTAGTGCTGTCCTTTGCTCCCATGAGGCAGTTCCTGATGGAGAATGGAGGCATCAGCAAGCTGGTTGAGCTGTGTGCCTCTCCTCATGGTCCGACGCGGCTGAACGCTCTTTGGGCCATCAAGAATGTCATCTATGCGAGCGAGACGGCCTTCAAGGAGCATGTCATGAAGGAGCTCGGTTACAGCTCCCTCACTGCCATCGCTGAGGGCCAGGTGACCAAGTCTTCGCCTGCTGCTGCCGCTGCAGCAGCCCTGGAAGCAGAAGCAGCAGACGAGGACGATAGCGAGGAAGACGACACGACGGCTCTGCAGGAGCAAGCCCTGAACATTATCCGTAATCTGGCCAGCTCGAGGGAAGTGGACATCGAAGCCACCTTTGCCGGCTTCGGCGGCGCGACGAGCTTCTTTGAATTGCTAGAGTCGGTCATCTGGCAGCGCAAGAGCGATCTAGTCACGGAGCAAGCCGCGTACATCCTAGTCAACATTGCCACTGGCTCCGTCGAGCACCGTCGCGCCCTGCTGGACCGACCCAACCTCCTCGACGCCCTCTGCTACTTTGCCACGCACCCCAGATCCGACGTACGAGTCGCCGCTGTATGGGCCGCCATGAACCTTACTCAGCACGCCAGTCCTACTCCTGACGCTGTAGGTCTCGAGGCGGTGAAGCGTCTTCGGATGTTTGGGTTCGCAGAGAAGCTCGATGCGCTCAGGAGCGATCCGGAGAGGGATGTTTCGGACCGGGCTAAGGCTTTGATGAGTCGGTTTGAATGACAAGGGCTATGAAGCGAGCTTGAAAGGGAACGTACTCCAATTGGGCAATAGTAATAGAGTATGGCGAGAAGAAAGGAGAGACGGGGACGGACAGAAGAGAATGTACGCCCGCCCCGAACCCAGTCATGTCCCACGCGTCGTGTCCACCGAGATCCAGTCCCAAGTCATCTCACTTCAGCGCCCCTCCCCTCCATGATTTCCCCTTCTTTCTATTCAGTGAAGATCGACATAGCCATAGAGTTTCAGCGTAGCGAGCCATTCGACCAGACTGGACTTGAATAGCATAGCATAGCATAGCATAGCATAGCATAGCATAGCATAGCATAGCATATATAGCATCTCAACAGCATCCACCATAGCACTGCACTAGCGAATGTTCTTTTCTCCTTGACAAACAAAGGAAAGTCAATTCAAGTCGAAGGGTGCCCAAGGCACCCACTGTGTTTCTTCTTTGATCGGACTCTCTTTTGGCAAACTGGATTCAAGTCTCATTTTTTTGTGAAGGAAGAAGAAGAAGGATTACGAGCAAATGAGCAAATTGTACAAGAAGAAGAGTTGGGCAGGGTGCAGAGGGGGAAGATGATGCTTAGATGACCAATAACGGATGACGGGATCGGATTGAGGAAGGAGAGGGCTAGACTAGGCTAGGCTAGGCATGGATGCCAGACGGGACGGAACGAGACGTAGCGTTGCGTTGCGTGGCGGAGCTTGGCGTAGCGACTCGGCGCTTTTTGACGAGAGTAGATGAATGGCTTGCTTGACTGCATGCATGATCGAGGAAGATGAGAGGAGTTGCAGGTGTGTGTGTGTAGGGGAGGGGGTATCATCGCTTCCTCTGTTTGTTGCAGGCAGGTTGGTCCAAGCGATCTCGCTTAGCTTAGTCAAAGGAGACCTTGGTACCGGCTCCCTGGGCAATGGCGCCTGTCCTGGCACCACCACCACGCGAAGCGCCACCACGGCCACCACCGCGACCTCCCCAGCCAGAGTCACCACCGCCACGGCCACCACCTCCCCTTCCACCTCCCCGGCCACCGAAGCCACCTCGTCCACCTCCACGTCCACCCCGGTCTCCACCGCCACGACCACCACCACGTCCACCGCCGAAGCCACCACCACGACCTCCGCCACCGCCACCGTTCTGGTCACGGGGTGGAGCATAGTCCAGACGGACGGCTCGGCCGCCGAGCTCCTGGCCAGCCAGACCCTCGATGGCCTTGTCGGCAGAGTCCTGTGCGCTGTACTCGATGTAGGCGAATCCCTTGGGCCTACCAGTCTCAAAGTCCTTGGGCAGAGTCACCCTCGACACCTCTCCGTAAGCGCCAAAGGCCTCCCAGAGGTCGTCCTCGGTCAGAGAGAAAGCCAGACCACCGGCCCAAAGAATGGGCGAGGGGTCGGAGCGCTTGTCATTGAACTTCTTGGCACGAGCGTCGTTGACGTCGCGGGGCTGGCGGGGTTGGCTCAGGTCAACGTTGATGGGGCGGCCATCCACCTCGCGGTCCTTGGCCGAGAGGGCGGCCTTTGCGGCCTCGGGAGTGGTGAACTCGACGTATCCGAATCCCTTGGACTTGCCGGTGTCACGGTCGGTCATGACCTTGGCACGGGTGATCTCACCGAACTCTTGGAACTCAGACTGCAGCCACTCGTCGTCGACGTTCCAGCTCAGTCGGCCAACAAAGATGTTGCAGGTGGCATCGGCATCGGCAGTCTCGGCGGCGGGTGCCTCAGTCTTGGCCTTCTTGGCAGGTGCCTCCTCCTCGTCAGCCTTGCGCTTCTTTGCGGCAGCAGCAGGTGCAGGTGCGGCCTCGTCTTCGGCATCAGAATCAGAGTCAGAGTCAGAGTCGGAAGAGGAGTCAGAGTCGGAGGTGTCGTCCTTCTTGGCGGCGGCGGCAGCAGCGGCGGGCTTCTCCTCGGCCTCCTCGTCAGAGTCGGAATCGGAGTCAGAGTCAGAGTCAGAGGAGTCGTCTGAAGAATCGTCCGAGTCAGCGGCGGCGGCGGCGGCCTTGCCGTTTGTAGCGGGCTTAGCTACCTCGGCCTGAGCGAAGAAGAGGGAATAGATAGAGGTTGGTGTCAGCTTTTGTCCTTTGGCTGCTAGACGAACTCCCTCTAGCCGGTACACCTGACCAGGGCTAGCTTGCCCCTACTTCGCTACTCACCTCGCTTTCTGATGAGTCGCTGTCGCTGTCATCACTGTCATCGCTGTCATCGCTGTCGCTCGAGTCCTCTGAGCTCTCCTCTGGCTCAGGTGTAGGCTCCTTCTTGCTCTTCTTTGACTTCTTGTCAGCCTTGACGGGAGCGGGAGCAGCAGCAGCAGCGTCCTTCTTGCTGGACTTCTTGCCGTTGGTGGCAGCAGCGGCGGGTGCCGGTGCGGCGGCTACTTGTGACTTGTCCTTCTTTCCCATTTTGTAATTGCTTGCAGTGCTAAGGTAGGGATGTACAGGTGTAGGAGAAGGGGAGATGGTGGTGGGAAGGGAGGTCCTCCTGTGAGCCTGCGTTGCGATCTTATTTGGACTTGGCCTGAGCCTCTGCATCTCCCGACGGATTCTTCAAAAATTGTGCCTCGCCAAAATTTGCGCGCACACATGGCACCAGCCACCCGGGCCACCCACCCAGGCCGATGACGACCGGGCCAGACGGAAAGGGAAGACGACAAAGACACGCAACCAGGAACAGATTAGCACGATCGATTTGAACCCAAGAACAGCAATTACTAATGGTACAACAGGCAGCAGCACACAGCTCACAGGCGCATACAAGGATAGGACCATGCTCACTTCCTCTGACAGACCCAAGCATCTCGTGATAGCTCCGTCGTCTTCATTATAGACGTGTCAGCCGTGACAAACGTCCTAGAAGCAGCACCGGACCCAGGTGTCGACTCGTCTCCTTCGCTCAGACCACCTGACGCCTCGCGTCGAGGAGTATGCCCACCCGAGGCACTAGAAGAGCCCAAAATACTGTCTTCGACTCCAGGCGCCCGATCGGCCGGCGGAGGAGGTCCGGATGAGTCAGAAGTGTTCGGGCGAGAGCGGCTACTCTTCTGCTTCATTGGCCTTGACAGCCGCTCCAGGGGCTTGAAGATCGTCGTGTCTGCAGACCTCTCCCCCTTCGAGGAAATTGCCGTGCCAGGTCTCTTTCCAGTGCGTATAGGACGAGGCGGTGGCGGTCGGCCAATCGTCGTCAAAGCACCACGCGCCAGCTCCCGTGACAATTCCACGGATCGTCGTGGGTCATACAAGATGCGGTTCCGTTCCAAAGACAGCGGCGTGGGCTGCACGCTCGGCACGCTCGGGTACAAGAGATGCACCGAATCAGTGGGAGACTCAGTCTTGACTCCACTGACAATGTCGCAGACCGAAATGATGGGGCCGATGCCAGGGTAGAAGACGGCTGTATCTGTTTGCTCTCCAACTCCTGCGTACAGTCGTAGGTAGCTGGTGAGTGGTGACGCTCCGCAGAGATGCCTGGCAAGGGCAAAGGCCAGCGAGATCCTCGTGCTCTGAATCTCCTGAGAAATGTCAGACCAGCAGTGGGTCAGCTTTGGTAGAGTGGCGCAAGCTCATCTGCGACACTCACCGGCTCTGTGACTAGCCCGGCATCGAGAAACGTCTTCAGGCGTCTGTTCATCTTACCCTCTAGGGTTTGGAAGATGCTTTCGGCACTCAACTTCATGCCTTTCTTTGCCAATGCTGTGTCCACGAGCTCTTTGATTAAGTCGACCCGCTCTTCGAATGCGTCCGGTGTGTAACCCACGGGCGGTGGGCAAAGCAGATCGATGACACGAATGAATTGGGCGCGTCCCTCCAAATCAGTGACGACGAGAGAGTCCATAGTTGATCCCAAAGATTTGCTCTTGTTGACCAGGTGCCTCACAGCCCCTTGTTGGACCAGTCCCTCGGCCCTGCTTCCCTTTTTGGGCGAGGAGGAGCAGACGGTGCTTGGCACACCCTGAACGCGGCTCATGCGCTTGCTTGCGACGGCGGTCCGCGTGTAGCTTGCCCGACTTGTGTCCAGAGAGCGTCGTGTATAGTCAGGAAAGGCTTCGGTGGTAGAATCGTGTAAGGCGACACTGCTATCAATGTGGTGCCAGTCAGCACGTGCGCTCTGATTGAGATCGATGGCAGAAGACGATGGTTGCAGCGGCTGCCACTTTGAGTCCGTCAGGACTGCTAGCGATTGCGCTGGAGATGCACCAGAGTAGACCGAGACAGACCTGTCCATGGACTGCCGCTTGTTGGCTGCCTGCTTGGAAGATGATCTCGAAGGACGCATAAGGTGGCCCAAGGATCGTACCTGTCGTGACTGCACCGCACTGTCAGGGATGGTCGTCGACCATTTCGCTAGTCTCTCCATTGGTGGAGGCGAGTCGACCAAAGTTGAAGACCCAGAAAGAGACGGGGAGAGATCTTGTGAATTGGTGGTGACCACGAGACTTCTGGAGCCGGCGCCTGAGCCTGCACGTAACCTTGACAGAAAGCCCATGTCGAATGTTGCTTGGGGGACGCAATCGCGGCTCAGGGGTGAGGGTCCACAACGTACAAAAGACAGGAGAAAGGAAGCATACTCAGCAAGGAGTCATGACTATATAGTCAGAACGAGTGGAAGGCCCTTTCCAGGCGAGATGAGACAAGGAGGGAAGCTGGCAAAGGGGAGGCAGGAGCACCACCTCCAAGTGAAACGGATAGGGGGCATGGTTGCCAGGGGCAAGATCGGGCCCGAAGTAGACGAGGGTTGGGACGCCTGATCAGGAGAGCCAGGCGGGTATGGACAAGGAGATGAAGTGAAAGGGAGGCAAGTTTCGTTCGAGCAATGTACCTCAGGGGCGAAGGCGACCGGAGCTACGTGGCTCGGACCTTGTTCCTGTGCCTGGGTAAGGGGTTCGAGCTCACCTCGTTCATTGTCAACAAAGAAACACCCATCGACCCGGGCCAAAGGTCGGCATACGCGGAGCAGTTGGCGAGCATTGTACCACTCTGACGCTCGAGCAGGCTCACATAGTTGCATGCCCCTCCGCGATTGGAGTCAGACCCCCTAGGGCGATGTCTGCCCTCGTCCCGCAGTCTAGACTTTCACAGACCGTCTCGTAGCTCTCTTATCATATGCAGCCTGTATGCGATTCGCTGATGGTATTGAGTCAACGAAGGCCACCATATGTCCCACCGTGCCCCTCCTCTTGCGCATAGCTGCCTCCCCTCTTCATGTCAGGAGCTCCTGGAACTTCTTCTGCACGTCCTGTTCGCTCAGACCGTCTACCTCTACTTGCTTCTCCACTCCGCGCTCTGACAAAGAGGATACACAAGGCAAAGCGTGACCGGTCAGGAGCTTTTCATTCGTGCTCTCGGATCCGACATCGTCTGAGAGGACTCACCGAATCTGGCAAAGATGCGAGCTGGAGTACCATGTGCCTCACGAACCAGGAAAGGCAGCTCGGGATTTGAGGCCTTGATGCCCTTGTAGGAGTTTTGGATGAATTGCCTGATGACATGAGGTCATAAAGCAAGACTACCTGATCAGCTCTCGAGAATCTCCAGCATACCACGGCGAACCTTCTCCTCCTCTTGCTCAGACCGTACCACCATTGCTAATCCTCCTGGTCCTTCTTGCTCCGAGATGCTCACCTAGTGCCTGCAGACGCCTGTCCTGTCTGGCAGAGGTGTAGCCTGACCTCCTTGAGCGACTTGGGAAAAGCCTTTGCGAGCGCCTTTGAAGCCATGATGAGTGGGAGAGAGTCTATGGGTGGGAAGGACGGTCGGTTGTATGGCCCAAAGCTCGGAAAGGCGGGCGTGAGGCTCCTGGCGGTGGGTGACCCTAGGCGGGAGCCGAGATGCGCGCTCAGGGCTTGCGAGTCCCCTTTCCTTCTCCACTCAGACAGGCCTCGTACCCCGTGGCTCGATCCAACACTCCCACTCGCGATAGTGGCATATACCCCCCTTTTGAGTCTCTTTGTCACCCAACGACTTCCCTCTTAACACTTACGACACACACGGCATGGACTTTGGAAGATTGATGAGGCAGGCGCAGATGGGAGGAGGCGGTCCTGGCGCAGGAGCTGGAGCAGGCGGAGACACACCACAGAATGACAACGCTGAGACAGTCTACATCTCCAGTCTGGCGCTACTCAAGGTGAGCGAGTGGACGTGCTAGCGCAGTCTATGCCTTCTTACGGAGATCTGACCTTACTCTGACACTCTGTCCGCCCCTACCTCCTCGGATCTTGAACAACGTCCCTTCCAGATGCTCAAGCACGGCAGGGCAGGTGTACCCATGGAGGTCATGGGTCTGATGTTGGGAGAATTCGTGGACGATTACACAGTGACAGTCATCGACGTCTTTGCCATGCCTCAATCGGGTACCTCGGTGACCGTCGAGTCTGTCGACCCTGTCTTTCAGACGAACATGTTGGAGATGCTGAAGCAGACAGGCAGGTGAGTCAGCAAGCATCGAGAGCATTCAAGACAAAGTGCGGGCCATGAGATGCTGACCAGCCCTCTTACGTCCTTTGCCGCGTGTCTCTCAAGGCCCGAGATGGTTGTAGGATGGTACCACTCCCACCCTGGTTTCGGTTGCTGGCTCTCCAATGTCGACATCAACACACAGCAAGCCTTTGAGCAACTAAACGACAGGGCAGTGGCAGTGGTAGTCGATCCTATCCAGTCGGTGAAGGGCAAGGTCGTCATCGATGCCTTCCGTCTCATCAACCCTTCATCAGCCATGCTCGGTCAAGAGCCGAGACAGACTACTTCTAATATCGGCCACTTGAACAAGCCGTCGATCCATTCTCTCATTCACGGCCTGAACAGGCACTACTACTCGATCGCAATCACCTACCGGAAGACAGAGCTGGAGCAGAGCATGTTGGGCAATCTGCATAAGAGGAATTGGACAGAAGGACTGAGGCTGAGGGATTGGGGTGTGCATAGGGAGAACAACGAGAAGGCCATCAAGGTTAGTCATCTGAGCTGGACGGCAGTCACCTCTCCCCGCTGGTCTGCTGACCGCCACCTCCGCTGCCCCATGACAGAAAATGCTGGCTCTATCCGAGGCATACAACAAGTCTGTGCAAGAGGAAAGCACATTGACAGCCGAACAGATGAAGACAAGGCATGTGGGCAAGCAAGATCCCAAGAGGCACTTGGAGGATGCAGTAGAGAAGGCGATGGGAGACCAAATTGTTCAGTCGCTGGGCGCAATGTGAGTCATTCGGGGCGGGCGTGATGGACATTACGGTCGTGGAGGCTACTAAGACAACGAGAATACAAATACTGACTACAAACCATTCTGATATCACTTGCTCCGTTCCCTGCAGGCTACTAGCAGAACTGTAGAGACGATCGTCTTAAGCAATACAATATACATACGGCGTACGAACCGTTGCGATGCGCGCTACGCCTGTAGGACAGCATCGCGAGACTCTAAGTGATACCTTTGCCGATGCTGAGCTCCTGAGCTCGTTGCCTCAACCGGCTAGCTTTCCCTCCCTTCTCCCTCTTTAGCCTTCTTGACCCTACGGAGGAGCTCAACAACGACTGCCTCGCTGGTCATTGTGGCGTCGTGTCCCGCATCGGCCATGATGAGTCTCTCGTACTTCATCCCTCTGCTCGTCTCTTGCCCTTCTTCGCTCCCTCCTGTAGCCTCGGTCTGCAAGAGTTGATCCAGCCAGTCCCTGCCCCTCTGCGGTATCAGTCGATCGCCCATAGCCCACACGCACACCACATCCGCTCCGCCCTGCAGGCGCAACGACTCTACCCTCTCGCGTATGAGCGTCTCCAGCTGGGCATTGTTCAATTGTGGGGCATAGCCGAGGGACAAGAGGAAGTCTTCTGTGATACCGGCGAGGGACTCGGAGTACATCATCTCAAAGAGGAGGCGCGAGCCGCTCGTCTCATTGAGCGTAAAGGGCCGCCCTGTCGCTGGGTGGAGGAGGCGGACAGGTGTCCCTTCTCCATCTTCCTGGTCAGAAGGGTAGGCTCGACTGTCCAGTGTGTACTTGTGGTGCGACTCGTGTGGAGGCAGGAAGTCCGCCTTCGGCCAGCGAAGCTTGGCCTTTGAGCGTACTCTTTGCCCTTTGCGAGACACTGGCGAAGGCGGCGGGTCCAGTCCAACGCTGCTCACGAATGGGTTTGGAATGGGCGTGAAGACGGGCGTGCTTGCAGCAGACAAGTCGGCGGCACCTCTCTCCGTTTCTGAAGGGGTGTCCGGACGGGCAGAGGATCCACTGGTGCGTGGCCGTGGTTCCTCTTCTTCGGTACCTCTGACTACGCCAAAACTCCAGCTGAGCCAGGATCTGGCGGTGCCTTGTGCTTCGCTCGTACCACGCATTGCCGACAAGAGCGTCTTGCCCACGCCGGGGATGACCGTCGAGCCCAGGCGCACCACTCCAGCCGGGAGGAGCGCGAGAGAGGATCGCGAGACGGACGTCGGAACCCAGGGCGAGGAAAGGAGCAGCAGAGGTCTAGAGCCGAAGGGCGAAGCAAAGGGAGCTTCTGGCGAACTCAAAGATTTGGAGAGCTGAGTAAAGTGTTGCAATAGGTCCAGGGCGTACAGAAAGCCGGCCGAGTGTGTCAAGATGGCAATCGGACGGCTACCCTCTGGCAGCTTCAGGTGCTCATCGATGAGCCCCTCTGCCTGTAGCACGCTGATAGTCTGACAACGCGAGGTATGCATGCGAGAGCCCAGCGGACATGCAGCAGTAGCTCCGCAGCCAGGTCGATCGATTGCGATGACCTTCACGCCCACTATCCTGCAAATCCCGTCGTGGAAAAGGCTGAGGTATCGCGAGCATCCCGAGGGAAGACAGTAGAGCACCACGTCTTTTGAGGATAGATCCCCGACTACGGCATAGGAGACTGACGACGAGGTGCGTGGACATTTGATACGTCTGTGGAAATTGCGTGAGCAGATGTGAGCGAGAAAGGAGACTGTGACGGGTGCACAGGAGGCGTCGGTTGGGTACCGCCAAGGGGCAGACATGGTGCGGGTATTGGTCACAGAAGAGCGAGGTGGGCCCCGAGGCTGGGGCTCAATTGGACCATCGAATGTCGGGAAAGTACTTGTACTCTGGACTGCGAGCATCGTACCACCCTCCAGGTCAGGATCCAGGGGCCATAGCGATGGTCAGGAGTGCAAGGGGCGATGCCGCAAACGCCCAGCCTGGCCGTGGGAAGCGCTGGACATGGGACCATTGGCGTTGTGCGGATTTGCTGCTGCACAGACCCTCTTCGGCGATTTTGGCTCGTGCTTGCGTTGCACTGTTCCTTGTTTCCGCGTTTGCTCCCAGCAACTCAAGAAGTAGTAGTGAGAAGCTCGAGGTCATGGATGCAGCGGTAGACGCTTTGGCAGATGGTCTCATACAGACACTGGCCAGGTGAGTAGAGTTGCGACGGAGCCTGCGCATGCCACAGCGATGGTTCCTTGCTCATCACGAGCCCACCTCCACCTCTGCTCTTCCCCAACCAGCTTAAACCCAGACGAACGGTACCTCGTAGGCATCTCTGGCATCCCGGGCTCAGGCAAGTCTACACTGGCCACCCATGTCTGCCAGACAGTCAACGCCAAACTAGACGGAGGCGGCAATGGCAGCTCTACGTCGCCTATAGCCGCCATCGTCGGCATGGACGGCTGGCACTACACGCGTGCCCGTCTAGCCACCTTTCCCAATCCGACCGAAGCCAAGGACCGAAGGGGCGCTGCCTTCACATTTGATGCTGCCTCCTTCTCTGACTTTGTCACTCTGCTCAAGACCCGGCCTCAAGAGGTGGTCAAGGCTCCTTCCTTTGACCATTCCTTGAAGGACCCCGTCGAGGAGGACGTAGAGGTGCGTCCGGCGCACAGGATCGTCATCATCGAGGGTTTGTATTGCAACTGCGACGATGGAGAGTGGGGAAGGGGAGCAAAGCTGCTCGACGAGAGGTGGGTGGTAGAGGTGCAGAGGGAAGTCGCGAGACAGAGGTTGAGGGTCAGACACGTCGAGACGGGCGTGGCCAAGGATGAGGAGGAGGCGCTCTGGAGAGGTGAGTACGAGCGACAGCACCAGCGATCACCACGCTAGGAAAGCGAGACTAAAATGAAAGGATCGTTGCACTCTTCTTATCTAGCGGACAACAACGACCTGCCGAATGGAGACTACCTCCTGTCTCACCTCCTCGAGCCAGTGAAGCGCATCAAGTCGCGCGAGGAAGAAGCGTGGGCGACGTCATAGACGCAGCAAGACATGTACAGCATATAGTTTCTACTCTGATGGCTCACATAGAATCTACGGAAGAAAGGCAAGCGATAATGGCATCGTAGACCATACGGTCACACCGCTGCACCTCGATACCAGGACTAGCGTGAGCAAGAGACAATGTTCCTTGATTGGTAAAATGGGAGTGACTAGTGTTACAATGCTTTCAAAACGAAGCACAATGAGTGAGAAAGTATACAGTACAGTAGTGTGGATCGAATCATGCCTAGGCGACGAACTTGTACTTTTGCCGCAGGAAGGCGCCGTACCTGAACAAAACGAGGGGCACAGGCACGCCGGCCAGTGCGACAAACGCCAGCAGTGAAGATCCCCACCCGTAGCCGAGGGTATGATACATCTTGTCCGCAAACAGCGGGAAAGCCGCCGCTAGCACCGATCTGACTAGGACTGCACAAGCAGTGGCGGAGGCAGAGTAAGGGATAAAGGCGTCTACGAGGTAGACGAGGATAGACTGGAAGCAGAGGATCGTCCCTGCCCCGACGAAGACGGAGCCGACAAGGGGCAAAATCCAGTGCACACCTGAGGCGGCAGTCCACCCGAAGATAAACAGACCCACGGGGAGGACGAACATGCCGGCTAGACAGAGGGGAAGACGGAACTCTGGCTCTCCTTTGCGGGGAGGAGGGGGAGGGCCAGCTGCCTTGGGCTCTTGCGACGGGCCCAATGGTGGACTAGCCGCAGACTTATCGCCCGCCTGCTCGGCCTTGGTTCGTGCCGATGGCGGGGGGACAGGACCGACGACGGACGGCACATCTATTGATTCTTGAGCGGTCCCCTCGAGGTCCTCGTCATCGGCGGCCACCTTGTCCCTGCGTTGCATGATCAGGTCGATCTCCTCGGGCTGCTTGAACAGGTACCACCCTACCTTGCCTCTACTGGCGACAAGACGCCGATAGATGCGGTCCTGACAGAGTGCGTTGCACGAAGCAGCAATGAGGAAACCCAGTCCGAGACCAAGGTAAGTGAGTCCCGTCGGTCCAGGTGCCCATTGGTAATTGTGTAGAACGCGGTCTCGGTCGAATTCGCCATGCTCTTCAGGAGGTCGCTTCTGATAGAGGAGAGGATGCTCGACGAGGAAGAGAAAGATGACACCGTAGCAAAAGCCCATGTAGCACGAAAAGGTTGCGCAGATGGGGTTGGTAAAGAGGAGTCGGAAGGGTCGAGAAAAGGCGATCTTCATCTTGTCCTTGGCCTGACGACCTGGTACTAGAGCCATGGCTCGCTCCTTGGCGGTGGGCTTCTTGGCAAGAGCTGCCAGTTGCTGAGCTGCCTCGGTGGAGTGGAAGGTCGAGGCTTGTTCATGCTGGAGCTCTTGTATCCGCTCTAACCTCTCGGCAGCGACTCGTTTCCGCTTCTGCTGCAGAAGCACAGGAGCAAATGTCTCTGGCAGGAAGAAGACGGAGATAGCAACAAGGCCAGACAGCTGCGACGTCACCGATAGAGGACAGACAAAGGCGCGTGTGAGATGCTGCACGAAGACAAATGCTTTGGTCGCGCTCGCAGTGCACTTACAATGGTGAGGATCCACAACAGCCATCTCCAATTCTTCTCGCCGCTCTGGTCTACCCAGCCCCCGACGATGTTTCCGACGACCGGCCCTAGCAGAGGACCGAGCCCGTAGATGGCCTGGGCAGAACCACGCTCATTTGGTGCAAACATGTCGCCAATTGTACCTGCACCAAGACTAGGTCCGGAAGAGCCAAATACACCGGCGAAGAACCTCAGTATGCAGAGGGCTGCGAAGTTGGGTGATACAGAGCACCCAATGTTGAAGAGAACAAAGACAATGGAGGAGAGGAGATAGACAGGCTGTCTTCCCTTGAGCTCGCTCGCTGGAGCAAGACAGAAGGGTCCTGCTCCCAGGCCTAGGACGAAGAGACTGACGGGAAGGACGGAGAGGGGATGCGATCTGCCGATCCTGAACTCGGCGGTGATGCCGTTTGCGCTAGCAATGATGATGGACGCTCCCAAAGGGCCGATGAAGCCCATGAGGGAGATGATGGTTGCCGTCGACCATTTCTTGAATGAAGACCAATTGCGAGGATCCTCTGGCCCTTCTAGCTTGACTTGGAGATCATCAAAGGCGGGTACAGGCGCAGGAGCTGGCGGTACTGCAGATGTCCCGTGCGAAGGAGCTTCCACCTGCTGCTGAATTGGCATCTTCTCCGAGGCCGAAGGTGGTATGGAAGATGCCATTGGGGCAAACGGAGGGAGGAAAGGAAAAGGTTAAACGACCCCGGAGGCAAGTCGCAACAGTATCGCAAGCCGTGAGGGATCAGAGGTGGCCTACGATGGGGGCAGAAGGATAGACTCCAGATCTATATGCCATGTCTTTGTGCCAATGCCAGAGCGGTGTCTGCAGAACAGATAGGGGAAGAGGAGGACGTGATGCAAGATGGCTTGCTGATGCCGAAGGAAGGAGAGCCTTGCAGTGGGGACTTTCAGACGAGTGTGGCTCAGAGAAGGTAATATGCCGGTGAAGTGAGACGGGAGTGTATCGAGGACAACGAACGTGGTGGTGCCGGCATCACTTGAACATGGCAGCGAATGCGAGGTGCTAGACGAGGTCAATAAGGGCATCCTGAGTCCCGGTGGGGAGCCGGCATGGCCCATCGGCACCTTGGTAAGGCGGATCTGCAAGGCAGGCCCCACTTCCGCGTCTTCCCTCGGCCATTGTCCAGGCAGGGCGCGGCACGACGGCACAGGTACGCGCCCAAAAGGACAGCCAAGGGTTCGCTTCGACAGTCCGCACCGGCACCTCGGCACCCTGCCGGCCGACGCGGCAGACGCTGTGCAGTCAAGAGGCAGCAGCCCACCCGGGTGCACGCGTCACTTTAAGACTACGCTACGCCGCCGAATCCACCGTGGGTCGGAGCAGCCATCACGAGCAGCTCTCCCAGACGTCACGCGATGCGAAGCCACGGTCAGAGCACCCTGGACCAGTGGTCAATGCAACGTCGCGGCCATCAGACCCGGTATTCTATTGTAGTGCGGCGCCTTCCCCGCTCGATGCGCCCTGCCAATACGACTGCTGCCATGGCTTCCTCGGCAGCTCCAATTTGCTCTCGCTTGGGGCGTCCTCGTTGATCTTCAGCGGGATATCTCTGATACCTTCGATCTCATCAGTTCTGCCGGTCGCAATCAGCTCCACCAGTGCGTCAAAAGATGGTGGATGGGGTGGGACAGAAGCAGCTGCTGCTACTGGCGCCGGCGCTGTCGTAGAGAGCAGGGCAGAGTCCTTGACGGTTGCATCCGAAGAGGGTTCAAAGGCAGTCACTGTGGGATCAAGTGCAGAACTCGACGTTGCCGAGGCGCTTGCAGCGTCTGCCAGTTGCCAAGCTGGTATACCCTTTGAAGCCAGGGAAGGTGGAGGACCCCTCGGAGCAGGAGCACGTCCACCTCGTAAGGGTACGCCCAGTGCCTTGATCAGCTCCCGTATCTTGGCCACTAACATCACCTGCGCCTCGGCGGCATCGGCTCGATGGTTCGCAGAGGCCAGAACCTCAAAGCGGCACTTGGTGCCGTTGTAAGATGCGGCCCAGGTGTCCACGATCTTCTCCGGCGTAATCTGGGGTCGCGATATATGCTCACTGGTAGGGTCGTCTGTCAGCCTCGATACGCGGTCACACCCTCTTGGACATTGGACTCACTCTTCAGCGCCGACCAGGGCCAGAACATAGCCTCCGCTGTCCGCACCCAATCCGCTCCCAGCAGCATCCCAGATCGCACTTGTCCTCTCTTTGCCAAGATCCGTTGAGAAATAGTCATCGTCGCCCCCCTTTGCGTAGAGTGACCAAAAGCGGTACGCCGTCATGGGAGAATCATATACTGCATCTACATTACCCAGCTGCTCTTTCGAGCCTCCGGCTTCCGGTCTTCGCTGAACCGGGATGTCGCGAGGTAGCAGCTGACTGCCTTTGCCCTCTTTGACAAGGCTAGTCGCCAAGACTAGCTTCTCTTCCAGTCCCTTGCGATGCTCTCCTGCTTCCATTCCTTCAAAGGCCTCTCGATCAGAGACAGGGCCTTGCAGGATGGCGCCGTCAACCTTGGCGCCGTTGCCTCTTGCTGTACTGCCTCCAGGGTAGCTCAGGTACTCCATCACATCCTGCGATCCAGTCGAGTGACCCATGAGAATGATCTTGTCCTTGCCCTTCGATCTGAGGAACATGACAGCCATGGCGATCTCCTCTGCATCGCCCTCTAGACTGCAGACCCCGAAGCCGCCTAGCGCGCTGCTGAGCTGAAGCTGTACTACAGAGAAGCCATAGGGTGCGATGCCCTGTGCGATGCGATTGAGAAAGGGGACTGTGCCTAAGCTGTCGGTGAGACCTCCGATGAAGACGAGGCAATGTGGGGAGTCTGGATTGGAGTTGAGAAGGGGCAGGCGAGCAGGCTTCTCCGTGTAAATGCTGACCGACCATCTGACATCGGGAGCCGATGAAATGGTTGAGCTGGACGAGGCTGCGGAGCTCATGTCGATGTCTTTGGTGTTGGTCCAAGTCGAAAGGAGGGAAGTCTTGGCAAGGCACAATCAGGAAGAAGAGGGAGGGAACCCGCACGGTTGCTCCGAGCAAAGCCTCCACACTCGGGCAAAGCCAATCTTCCCTTTCCGTTGATCTGCCCCTGCTTGACTACGCTCCACCTTACCCACCAATACAAACACAATCAACCAAGGATGCCGCCCAGGCGAGGAGCAAAGGCTGGGCCTAGCGCAGGCTCAGCAACGGCAAGGGCTGCAAGTCTCCTCTCCAAGGCACGAGCAGCGGCAGCGGCGACTCCTTCGGCTGCAGCATCTGCCGCCACCTCCCAAAAGCGCCCAGCTTCTTCACCCTCAGCCTCATCGTCAGCAACCTCGGCCTCTCTTCCCGGTACTAGTTGGGGAAACGGTCTGGCAGATGCCTCCGTAGCAGAGCCTCGCCAAGAGCCGACCAATGTTCCGCTACCACAGCTGCTCAAGCAGCTGACCTCACACGGTCTGTCAATGCTAGAAGCTATGCCAATTGCTGGAAAGCTCATCAAGGGCGGCTTTGCTATCCCGGAGAAGCTGTCGCTGCTCAGCTCTGCAGCGCTGCAGGACATGGGTGTGGAAGGAGAGGAGACAAGAAGAAAAGTCATTGCCGCTTTCGCGGGGAAGAGGACAGCAGCGATGATGAAGGCAGCAAAGGGCGGTGGTTCAGAGGTGAGCGAAGGCATGGACGATGGGCTTCCCAGCTTGGCTGATGCTGACACCATCCTTGCCTCTGCCGTATGCCAGCTCTCATCGAAACGGCGGAGAAAAGACGACGACGAAACTCTCTCGAGAGAATGGGGGAATGTTGCAGGTCCATCAAGCACAAGTCGACCCCTTCCGCCATCTGCTTTTGTATTTAATGAGATCCTAGACGAGGCAGATGTGAGAGGTCGGTACGCCTTCGTCAACCGAGCACCTATCATGACAGCATGGACGACAATTGTACTGGAGAGGCTAGGCTTCAATCGAGCCGAGGCTCTGAGTCTCTGTGAGTAATAAAGCCTCTCAAGCTGGTGAAGAAATAGTGGCTAACATGCCCTTTGCCAACTTGTCTCTGCAGCACACTGCTACGTATCCCACACATCTACAGCACGGGGTATAGCCATTGGTGTGATACCTGCTTCTGAGCGGAACAAAGCAGTCAACTTTGTCAGCCCCAGTCAGCCTCACTTCGAGCTCATGGGAGTGAAGATCCCAGTCATGCAGATTGCTGGGGATCAGTGGAGGGGCCTTTCGGGCGGCGAGGTAGTCGGGCCAGAGAGGGTGAGTAGAGCCGGCACCAAGGCGGAGTGACGACTGGGCTAAAAGTCTATCACTATCTACATGATAGGCCTTCAACTACCTCCGCAAGAGCATGTTTCAGACGCTGCCCCTCGTGATGGGGGCCCTCACTCTACTGGCCGACTCATACATGAATGCTCCTCGAGCGCAAGCCATGTCCCCACCGCCCGTTAAGGAGGAAGCGGACATCAAACGAGAGTCTCTGGACGATGCGATCACAGCAACGACGCCAATTGAACCGAAAGAGGAGCCTCCTGCGGATACTACCGACATCAAACAAGATGCGGCGCCTTCGGACTCCTCTGACTACGGCCCTGAAATCCTTCATGCAGAAGCCTACAGGCTGTACGCCGCTTTCCGACCTGAGACGGGTGGCGCCTGGGGCAAAAGAGCTCGATTCGAGCTGGGCAAGGTCCTGGCTCTACGAAAGGGGCATGAGCGAGAGCTCGAGGATTGGGAGGCAAAGGAAGCAAAGAAGGAAGCTGAGCAGGAAGGACAGGTAGACGAGGCGGAGGAGAAGGCATTGGAGGACGATATACAGAGAATGATCGAGGAGGAGCTGCAAGGGGCGGCAGAGAAGCGGGAGCAGGACACGATCAAGCAGGAGACGTAATGTACTCTTGTACATTAGCATACCAGGCTGATATAATACGATTATTGATTTGCGATCACCTTACCACCACAGACGGTGGTTGGGGCACTCATATCCAGATGGATTCATCTCGAGGTATCTCTGGTGGTAGTCTTCTCCCTCGAAGAAAGCACCGACCGGCCTCTCTTCAATCGTGGTGACAATCTTCTTGCCACTGGGAGTGAAATGCTTCTCTTGCACTTCCTCCGTGACCTTCTTGGCCACCGACACCTGCTCCGGGTTGTGAGGGAAGATAGCAGAGCGGTACTGTGTACCGCGATCGGCTCCTTGCCTGTCCTTCGTCGTCGGGTCGTGGATACGGTAGAAGAATTCAACAAGCTCTGCGTACGTCACTTGCGATGGGTCGAACTTGACAAGGACAGCCTCAGCATGGCCAGTCCTGCCGGAGCAGACCTCCTGATAGCTGGGGTTCTTCGACGAGTCCTTGCCGCCGATGTAACCCACCTTGGCGTCAAGAAGACCCTTGCCGGTATAGTACTTGCGGTACATGTGCTCTGAGCCCCAGAAGCATCCCAGGGCAAAGGTGCCAAAGTCCTCCTTTCCTGCGCTTCCGTTGGTGGCCATTGTGCGGATCGACTGCTGTGCGTTGAGTGCGGTGGTGGTGGTGGGCTGAGTGGCTGGGCCGAGGAGGACGGTAGGTGCTGCTGGTTTGAAAGCTGAGAAGAGTCGAGAGAACATGTACAGAGTAATGGGAAGTAGTAACGAGAGAAGGAGCGTGGTTCTCATTCAATGTGGGTATGGATGTGTACGCGGCTAGGCTGCAGTGGCAATGGCGACAGAATCTCCTCTCATCAGCCAATGGAACGCGAGGTGGAGGCGCGGAAAAAGCCGAGAAGTTCCGGAACGGAAGCAGATCCGGCGGGAAGGATGGACCAACTACAGCAAGCCCGGCCTGACTTGATCGCGACCTCCCCACTGTCAGATGCCCTTAGATCAACATGTCTGCCTCCACCCTGCCATCTTCCTCTGCGAGCTCGCGCCAGCTGGCTTTCGCTCACCTGCTCCCTCCTACGTACAAGCAGGCCATCGCAGCATGGCTCGCCGAGGATTGCCCATCCTTTGACTATGGCGGCTTCGTTGTGGGAGAAGAGCTCAAGGAGGCTTCCCTGTGGTGCAAGACTCCCGGTGTTCTCGCCGGCGTGCCTTTCTTCGATGAGGTCTTTCGACAGCTGGGCTGTACTGTGAAGTGGTATTACACGGAGGGTAGCTTCATCGGTGAGGAAGGCGCAAAGACGAAGATCAAGGCGGCTACCGTCACTGGTCCTTCCCGCAAGCTTTTGCTTGGCGAGCGTGTGGCTCTGAACACTCTTGCCCGCTGTTCGGGCATTGCGACTGCTTCGAACCAATTCCTCCGCAAAGCACGTGCTACAGGGTTCAAGGGAATCGTCGCGGGCACAAGGAAGACGACACCTGGCTTCAGGCTAGTGGAGAAGTACGGTATGCTGGTGGGAGGAGTAGACATGCATCGGTACGACCTCTCTTCGATGGTAATGCTCAAGGACAACCACATCTGGTCTACAGGCTCCATCCCGGCTGCGGTCGCGGCTGCAAGAAGCGCAGGCGGCTTCTCGCTGAGGATCGATGTCGAGGTCCAGTCAGAGGAAGAGGCAAGGCAAGCCATTGAGGCCGGAGCGGATGTGATTATGTTGGACAACCTGGAAGGCCAGGCGCTCGTCGATGTGGCTAGGAAGCTGAAGAGCGATCTCCATGCAGCCAGCGGGAGAGGAACCAGGCAGTTCTTGCTGGAGAGCAGTGGTGGCATCGATCTGAACAATCTTGGAGAAGGTCACCTGGACGATGGTGAGTAGTGCGACTCGCAGCTCCCGCCTACGAAGCTCGAAGCTGGCAGTGCTGACACCTGGCTCCACCCTTCGTCCCCTGTCAGCCATTGATATTATCTCAACGAGCGCGATCCATCAGTCCACTAAGCATGTCGACTTCTCGCTCAAAATCGAGCCCCTTTCACAAGTCAAGACGGACGACGTTCCCCAATGATTGTACATTAACAGCCGAGCTTGATGTGTAACGTTACATATGCGCTTTAGATGAGATAGTTGTTGTCGAGCCGCTCTTGACCATTGCATACTCTAGGCGGTCCAACTCAGCTTCTTCCAGAGCCTCCTCGTCTTTCCATCCGACTCCCATTCCTGGCTCCTCGACGTTGCCGGGTATATCGTCGAAGGTCCATTCCCTCTCTACCCCTTGCGGTAGGTGATCCGCCGATCCATTGAGCACTTGTTGCCAGACGCCCTCTTCTCCCGGGCCCTCGAGGCCATGAAGTTTCCGGGCTTGCTCACCCCTGACGTATAGACTGAGACTTGCGGTACCAGCTCCAATACGAATGCCCTCTCCCGTCTCCCAATCTGTCGTCTCCTCCCCTTCCCGCTCCATCAGTGCTCTGCCCATAGCAATGACCGTCGCAGCATGACTGACGAGCAATACTCTCTGCACCCCCATTTGTTCACAGCGCTCGATAATCAAGCCTAGAGCTCTCCGGGCCCTTGCGTGCACTTCCTGAATGTTCTCTCCGCGCCGGAAGGGATGAGCTAGAGGCGACCACTTGGACTTTGCAGCGACGCGAGGAGAGTAACGAGAGACCGTCTCTACTCGCATGGGCAGAGGATGGAAGCCACTACCCTTGGCAGCTCTAGGGAACCACTCGATGATGCCTGAAGCGGGAAGCATGTGACAACTGCGTCAGTCCTTGCCGAAAGGCTGACGTTTGTTTCTCCGTCCAACGACTTACCAGGCTCAATATGGATGTCCAACCCGAGCTTCTCTGCGCTCGGCCCAGCCGTCTGCACACACCGGTAGTATGGACTGGAGACGATCATCTGCGGTCGTTTCTCTGGAGGCAAGGAGACAAAGTAGTCTGCTAGCTGCTTCACCTGATCAATGCCATGAGCAGTCAAGACGGGATCCCGCGGACGTCCAGTAGGAGAGAGATTCGAAGACGCAAAGGTCATGCGGAAGCCATGGCGGGCTATGTAGATTGTATCGAGTCCCATTCGAGTTGATGGTGGTGAAGGATTGATAGCGCTCTGTATTCTCTCAGCCAGATAGCAGAGACTAGGTACGATCAGGGCAAAGAGCTGAGGGGCCCAGCAAGGGAGGCAAGGGTCCGGAGGAATGAGTACTAAGGAAGAAGGGGATGCAGCAGGGATCAGGACCTGGTCCGTTCCGGCCCCTCGGCCGGGCCACGCGAGCTGCTCACGGGAACAAATTGGCGCGACGCCGTGTGCCTGACGCGAAGCCCAACACCTTCCCGCATCCTGGAGAAAAGAGCGAGAGGTCCAGCCATATTCGCAGTGTTCGATAATCACTCCCTCTGCGGCTCCCCCACCTGTCCAAGGATGCTGATCTCATTGGTAGGGCCCCCGCGATCGGGCAAGCACACCATCGCCAGCTACCTCTGCATTCACCATGGCTTCAGGCTCGTGCACATCGACAGTGAGGCTCCCGCCCTGCTTCCTCGAACCTCTGCGGCTGCATCCAATGGCGATGCGAATCACGTCGCGGGGGAAGATGAGGAAGAGGAAGCTCCTCCCACTGCTTTTCGCTCGCCAGGAGATTTGCTAGAGTACTCGACTGCCAATTGGTTTCGCCAGCTGGTCACAGTGGACCTCACTTCACTCGAGGATATCAGCATCGGCTTCGACAAGCGGCCATGGTTCCTCATGGTATCCGTCGAGGCGCCCTTGAGTGTCCGGTGGAGAAGAGCCAGAAGGGGACCATCCTCTCAGCTTACTGACACGAGCGCACCAGGTCCATCGTTGGAGGACTTCGTCGCAGCAGATGATCGGATTCTCTACGGCTACGCTGCTAGTGAGGGGAGCAGTGTAAACGCTTCGCCTATCGCCTCTTCCTCCTCAAGCTCGATGGCCAGCCTGAACGGCACAACGATGATGAAACGCAGCGTCTCCACCACTCCAGGCGTGACCACGCTGCACCTTGGCATCGGCGATCTAGCTCTGCACCAGGTACCCATCAAGTCTGCTCCTCTCAATTCCTCGGGCCTCTACTCAGTCCTACTGCAAGCACAGCTGCGCATCCTCAACCCTTACGAGACGACGTCGGAGCTGTACCGCTACCTCTCTACACTCGCTCTGCCCTCACTGCATCGGCTGCGCCCCTCCTGGGAAACGTACTTCCTCTCGCTGTGCACACTGGCATCGCTACGAAGCAACTGCATGAAGAGGCGAGTTGGGGCCGTATTAGTGAGGAACAATCGAGTGCTCAGTACAGGGTACAATGGCACACCGCGTGGACTGGTGAATTGTAACGAGGGAGGGTGCCCGAGGTGTAACGCTAGCGCTACTTTGGGGACCAAGCTGGACGAATGCTGTGAGTGTACCTTTGCTGCTGCCCAACGTGCTCCGAACCCCGACACTGAACACATCTTCCCCCATCTGCGCTTCCTCGACAGTGTGTCTTCACGCAGAGGAGAATGCCCTTTTGGAATGCGGGCGCGAGCGGGGAGGGGCAGAAGGGACGGTTCTTTACTGCAACACCTGTCCCTGTCTGCGGTGTGCGGTCAAAATTGTACAGACGGGAGTCAAGGAGGTGGTGTATCAGCTGGATTACAGTGTAGATCACCGGTCCTCGGACATCTTCAAGGCGGCGGGAGTAGTGTTCAGGAAGTACCATCCATAGTATTGGCGAGAGGTGTTCAGCAATGGGAGCTCCCAGGGGCAGAGGCAAGGCTGCCTCACCTAGCAATGTGTTAGCCATGAATACCATGCCGTTGTGTCACACGATCGCCCTCAGACACATGCGTGAGCAGACGGGGATATCAGTCCGAGAGATGGTCGATGATGTGTGTGCTGAGATTACAAAGGTTGAAACATGAGGGTCAAGAGGCAAGAGAACAGGAGACGCATCGTAAACCCAGGTAGATACACCCGAAAGCAGCGAGTCATAAGAGGGAGAGGAAAGAGGTAGTCTAGGTCGAATCTGTTGTGACCTTCCTTCCACCGCCATCTAATTCCGACCCACCACCTGCCGGCGAATGACAACCATGGAGACTTAGACGGACTCGAGGGCAGCTGGCTCCTTGAACTCTCCGCTCTTCACCTTGGCACCAGAGTCCTCTGCTCCTGGCACGGCAGAGCTACCACCGTGCAGCTCGTACAGGCGCGAAACATCGAACTTGGGAGTCTTGAGGACCTTGACCTTTCGGACGTAGACGTCCTTGAGGGGGTAGATGGACTGGCAAGCCTTCTCGACCTCTCGGCCGATGACCTCGGGAATGAGCTTGGCGACCAGCTCCTTGAGGTCGCACGACGAGCACTCCCTCTGGACGATGTCGAACATCTTCTGACGGATCTGTCGCTTTTGCGAGGACTGAGCGTAGGTGGTCTTGGAAACCTGGTTTGCTCGCCTGCGGGTGAAACCAATGACAAAGACTCGGAGGAGGTAACCGTCGGTCGTCTTGATGTCCTGGTGGGCCTCGATGAGCGATTGCCACTTTCGGACGAGGGAGCGCAGCTTGTCAGAGGTGAAGTCCATACCGTAGAAGTTGGTGAGGCAGGTTCGGCCGGAGACCTCCTCGATCCTCAGACGGAACTTGCGGAAAGCCTGCTCATCGTCCTTGTTCAAGTCAGCGAGGGACTGCTCGATGATTCGGCCCTTGAGAGCGTCGTTGGCGTTCTTGAGACCCTGAGATCGGTTGACCAGGGTCTTACCGATGTTGCGGTTCTCGAAGAAGGTGGGGGCCTTGACGTCGTACCAGTCCTTACGAGTGAAGGGGTCGACAGCGCGCTTCTTTTGGCCACGGCCCTTTGAGAGCTTCTTGTTCTTTCCGACCGCTATGAAGTGAAGTGGGGTGGGTAAGGTGAAGAGGAAGCAGGTCAGCATGTGAGGAGATACGGCGTGGTGTTCAACATCCTTGACCCGAGGGGCTGCCTTAGAACAGCCTACCCCGGCCTGATCGCTCTGACAACCTGCTGTGCCGAGTGCCATCGCTAAGAAGACAGAAAGCGAGGGTGCGTTGAGCGACTCCCAACAGTGCTTTCTTCGTGTCTTCTAGCATGGCTGAAAGGAGCACTGCCCCGGGTAGGAGGCGCTGGCTGCTCGCCTTGACCGGTGCCGCATGACGATAGCTAGCTCTGCCTTCGAGAACGCCCGAGATCTCAAGAGATCAATCGTTGCATCCCCTATTCCATCCATACCTGTGCCACCCCACTACCACCCTTCCACTCGCTCTGCAAATTCTGCCAGCTGCTGCGTCCTCCCTCGCAGTCGCTCCCTACGCCCAAAGACCCAGCAGACATGCCACGCAGCGGTCTCCGCTGCTAGACGAGGTTGTGATCGTGTAGAGAGCCATAGCGTGATACGAACCCATGATGTGTGATGTCTTGAAGGTGGGATGAAGGGATGAGGAAGTGTGAGAGGGTACGGTCGAGTCTAGAAGCTGGAGGCAGACACACCCGCCGCCCTGTTCCAAATCTCTCGGAGGCCTGAGAGCCCTGCAAAACCTGCGGCCGCGCGCGCATCTTTCGAACCCCGCGCTCCCCACCGGTCGCCTGCGTGTGGCTCGCCTGAGTGAGCCTCCGGGCCAAGGTTTCGTCTACTTCCGTCTGGTTGCAGCTGCCAAATTGCGGAACCCAGATCTACACAGACAAACAGACGAGGAGTCGTATGTGACAGCATGCAAATGTATAGACCAGAGACGAACACGACCGAACACATGTCGAAGCTCAGAGACGCACGACTTCCAGGATTCGTCGACACATGCTGAATTCTGAGCATCTCATTGGCCCGTCCTCTCCCTCCGCAACCTCGCTCTCCTTTCTCGCAGCTCTTCGCCTTGCTCACTCGGCTGCTCTTGGTCCTCTCTCACAGCCAACCCGTCTGGTCCTTTGCCCCATCGACCTGCTTTGGGACCCCACTCTGCCTGTCCCCACACATGTACGGGTGAGATCTTAGGGGGTCCTTCGCCCTTTTGCACCACCTCGCGCTCCATGAACCGAGATGTCGATGGCAGATTGTGAGGAACAGGCCCGGACCCGCTTGGTTTGTATGCCGGCGCCGCTTCGTCAGCATAGGACGAGGTGCGGGAGGGAAAGGTAGACGCTTCGTACGAAGCCTCGTCGGCAAAATCTCCCATGTTCGCCATCGCGTCGTTTGCTTCCCTGGAGAGATGCGCTGTAGCAGAGCTACCTTGGGCAGCCGCTGCTGCTGTCGCACCCTTGCCGACTTCCGAGGTAGGCTCTCCTCCCACACCCCACAGTCTCATCTCACTCTCCAGTAGGGGCGTCCACCTCTTCCGAGTCTTCCAAATCGGACTGGACATCTCGTGCAATCGGCTGACTGCCCTTGCATACGAGAAGCGCTCATCCGCACCCGAGAAGATGGCTAAGTCAGGAAATCCTACTACCGTTTCCTCCTTGGCTCGCTGACGCTCCCGCTCCTGCCTCCTCTGCTCGATCTCCAAGCGCCGTTTGTCTGCGATAGATGTGCGTCCGGCACTAGTTGATGAGCCGAGCTCGACGTATGAGCTGATGTTGGGACGGAAACCTTCTTCGACGTCTTGGCGAGCTTCAGACAACGTCTCGCTTTGGATGAGCTGCTCAGATGTGAGCTCGTCTTCCCATCTCCGTTCTTGCTCGCGCTTTGCTGCCGCCGCTTTCTCACTAGCAAGCTGGGCCTCCTCAGGGTAGCCCTGACCAGCAACAGGAGTCAAAAAGGGGCTGCGTGCACCGCGAGCCGACATGTCAACAACATCGTCAGGCTCTGCTTGAGCTGGAGGTGGCGCTGGCCGCCTTTGGCGTCGCTCGTGGCGAGCTTCGGGAAAGAAGAGATCATCAGGCTTTGAGGCTGCCATGATCAGCAATCGCGAGCCCGACTCGTACGCGGCATCGATAAATGTGATCCATCTGAACAGGAACGAGCAATTGGTGTCAGTTTTTGCCAAACCTTCTAGGCCCTACACTGCCACTTACCGCCTGGCTTGGTTCTTGTTGACAAGCAACAACTGGGGAACATCTCGGACTACGATCTCCTCGAAGTGACTGACAATCGTCAAGTAGTCTGCCGGTCCTAAGGGCGAATCACACAAGCCAGCGAAAGTAAATACCGCGATGCTTGGCTGTGTTGGTGTAGGAGGGTACGAGGTCGTGACATGCACGGGACGATTATACACTTTGAGCGTAGTGTGACTTGGGGATCTGCCGTCTACCAAACGGGACAGGGCATTCTGGAAGGCGGGTTCTTGTCCGTGGACGAAGTAGGTGGTATTGCCCAGCGTCTGGCCTCCTGAAATAGATTCGGAAGCAGAGGCGCCGTCCAACCCAAGTGAGGTATCCGAGCCCGAAAGGGCAGCGTCCTCTGCATCTTTGCCAAACGAGTTCCAGAAGTGCAGCGCCCCTGGCATTCTCCTGAAGTCCCGCTCACCTTTCATCTCGTGGACTGGGCAGCGATTGCGCAGCGCTTCGAAAAACTCAACGAGCTGCTGCTGTTGTACGCCGTTGTTGTACAAGTCCTCGGGCAACCGATTCGAAGAGCCGACGACTACGCCGCCCAAGAGCCAGTAGGCTTCTAGAATCCTCTTCAGCAGGCCAGCTGAGGCCACGTCAATGAGCTGAACTTCGTCGAAGAGCAGGACAGGGCCATAGTCAAGGAAAAGCTTGGACGCAGCGTGTAGAGGGAGCGTCGTCTGCGCAGCCGCTGCAAGATTTGTCGTAGCCTCCCTGGCGAGAAGCTCGTCTTGAGTCATCGCGTCTGCAGTGACATCATCTGTTGACAAGGAGTCGGGCCGGAAGAAGGGCATGCCGGTGAGGATTCTCCTCCACCCTGAGCCTTTGCCGTCAGGCCGGACACCGTCTCCCCCTCCTCTTCTCCACACTACGCCTGTTCCTCGATCCGGCAGCACCGTTCTTCTGGGCCCGCTCGAAGCGTGCTGACCCCACTCGAGCTCCTTGTCCGACTGCGCGAGAGGCGTTGGAGCGGCTCCTCCTCTCAGAGCTTGTCGCCTCCTCTCTGCCTCGACCCAAATGATCCGATAGATGGTGAGAAGAAGGTGGTGATAATGTCTCCGAAATTTCCCGCGAGTAGGCAGAGAGTCAAACCATATGTCTAACACCATCGACTTGCCAGTCCCAGGGGGACCAGTGATCAAGAGACCTCGTGGGGTATCGAGGTCGGCGAGCGTCTGCTGCGTGCTAAGATACCGTATCAGAGCTGTTTGTGAGTCCGACATGGTAGCATCCTTTTCCTTGCGAGAGACGTTGGGGTCTGCTGCTGTCCTCTCTGCTGCTCTCAAGATGCCTAGGAGGTGAGCTGGAGGCGTGTAATCTTGCAGTCGCCTGCTAAGGTTACGTAGCTGTTGAAGGCAGAGCAGGCGTAGAGATTTGTCAGCGATAGGCAATAGCTGCCGAGTGACTGCGTGAAACGTACCTTCACTAGTGCTTTGACTTGCTCCAAGTCCTCATCGAGTTCCCCTCGGGCTACCTTAGCCTGGTAAATCAGGAGAGGGTCCGTGATCTGGAGTGCATTCCCACCTGTTCCGTCAGCAGCATCTGCCGCCGATGGCCAATGCCGGGTACCATGGTGTAGTGCATAGACTGGTCTCGTCTGTCGGAATAGAGCGATCGACTGCCGTACCTGCGCTGGCAGCATGGTAGCATGAGTGCCAGGTCAGGGAAGCGTAACAGGCAGGAGCAAGCTACCGGAAGCACGGTTCTCTCGTAAGGTAGAGCAGCTGCTGCAAGTGGAGCGGAAGTAGACACCGGATCGGAATGAGAACGACGAGGCTCGGAGCGGGCCATCGCGTCTACCCTCTCTTACCCTCTCAGCATGGATGGCAGGGTGGCTACCAGCTCACAAGGACATGCTGCAGGGGGAGCCACGAGTAAGAGCCTGGCGTATGAGCAAAGCGCTGAAAGTGACATCTGTGAGAATCCCATGCCTGCTGTATGGGGTGTGCTTGCCTGACAGCTTTAGCGAGTGCCTGGTCCATACGCGAGAAAATTTCAAAGGCAGAGTGGGGCCGTGTGTGGATGAGCGGGAAGAGAGCGGCTGCTCCCGAGATCTTCCCATCCCGACGCATCGTATCAATAACCAGCCATACCGACTCTGCCCCTGGCTTCGTCGTCGAATTCCCCAACACCACCACCACTTGCGTAAACTCTGCATCCCTGCTTACCCCTCAATCCCCTGGATGCGATCATCATCGTAGCTGCTGGTCGCCAGAGAGCCCAAGAACCAGGAGGAAGAGCACGACAGACCGGCATGGAGACGACGGCGGCCGCCCATACTGAGCCGCCATCGAACGATGCTGGTCCCTCTGCCGTGAATACATGGGTGACCTCCCATGCTCCACCCGGCAAATCCGATTCCTCAAAAGTGACCAAGCAGCATGCCTCGCAGACGCAACAGGCAGAAGCAGGGCCTTCACGAATCCCATCCGGGTCCCCTCCTCGACCCCGCACGTCCGTTCAGAAAGGCGGCCAGAGCTTACCCGTGCCTCCTGAGAGTGCTGCTGGTGGTACGAGTACGCCCAATACGCATCAAATATCGCAGGGAAGTGCCTATGACCACTCGCAGACGGGCCTGAATGAAGAGCATGCTCAGCTGCTAGCTTCCCTTGCAGCTGGGCATCAAATAGGCCTGAATCTTGCAGAGAGTACCCCCCAATCTTCTCATGCCTCTGCTTCGCTCCAGCATGAACTTGCTGATGCCGTGATGCAGCATGCAAATGCTCAATCATCCCATCATCTGGGAGAGCAGACGTACGATCACGAATACAATGATGATGATGAGGACGAAAGCGGGGTTGCAGACGGCCCGCAAGGCCCCATCCAAGCCTACGCGAAGATTGACTTCCCTGGCTTTTCGATCTACATTCAGACACTGCGGGTCACCATTGGCCGGCGCCCAGCTCATCTCGCACACGCCTACACATCAGACTACCCACGGCAGATCAACGGCTCGACTAAAATCGAAGGAGACGTAGACATTGATCTCGGAAAAGTCAAGGCAATCTCTCGACTACACGCGGTCATCTACTACCATGCAGGACCATTTCATCCTCAGCCTTATCCTGGAGGAGGCCATCCAGATGCATCTCATCTGTATCGCTCTTTTTGGCGAGAGCCTAATCAGCAACTCAGAGATCTCTTCGTGATGGAGGTACTCGGAAAGCATGGCGCAATGGTTGATGACGTTTACATACGGCAAGGTGGTATCATCCAGCTCGGTAAGAGGTGAGTAAGAGGGTCAATTGATGGTTCCTTCTATGGGGAGTATGGGCTAAAGTCCTGAGTCTTATCACCACGATATCGCAGGACCAAAATTCAAATTGCAGAGCGCGTCTTCTATTTCGTGCTCCCGCCGAATGTGGTAGTTCCTCCGCTGCCTTCCAAGCAGCTGGACTCTCTGTCTCCTTCAGAAGACGAAAGCATGGATGGAAGCGATGACGAGAACGATGATAGCGATGATGAGGCTAGTCAAGAGAGCGATTCCTCAGAACTGTCGGACTCAAAGGAAGGCGGAGAGGGCGAAGGTCAAAAAGCATCCTCCACAGCGACTGCAAAATCGACGGGGCGGCCGAAAGTCCGTCCGAAACTCGTTCTCAAACGCAAAGGAGTGGCAAGCGATGGCGCTGGCGGAGGGAAGGGCAAAGGGAAAGGCAAAGGGAAATATGTCAAGGGCAGCGAAAGTCATGCTGGCGGTAGCGACCACGACATGGAGCTGGACGTCGATACCAACGAGGTGAAAGCTGAGAAAAGTAGCTCTTCTAAGAAGAGCAAGAAGCAGAAAGATGTGGATAGTAACTCCATCAGCAAGGACAAAGACAAAGCTCTGCCAGCTTGGGCCCAAGGAGCCGGAATCGCCGGAAGCAAGCGAAAGCGTGGAGACCCCACTTCTGATGAAGAGGCTTTGGCTGTGGGCACTCCCATCGGTGTCGAGGCCCTCGAAGCTGAAAAGCGAGCTAAGGCTGCGAAGAAGAGGCTAGCGAAAGCGCAGCAGCTTCGAGAAGCAGCGAACGGAGACCCTGCGAAAGAGAAGGAGGCCGATCGGATTGAGCAGAGCGTCAAGCGTCAGGAGGAAGGCGAAGGCAAGGAGAAGAGCCAGAGCAAGGAGAAAGGGCAGGGCAAGGAGAAGGTCCAAGGCAAAGGTAAGGGCAAAGGGGAGACAAGCAGCAAATCTAGCAAGTCGACTCCAGCGGCTACAAGCACTGGATCGGAAGGCGCCATCGATCTGTCGAAAGATGCATCTCCACTTTCGATTCAGCCTCCGTCAGAAGCGCCACAGGCATCAGTATCAGTATCAGTATCAGCAGCATCAGCTGCTCCGCCAAAGGTTCCGTTGCCTGACGCCAGCTCGACACTCGCACCAGGCGATGACGGGGTCAAGCCGGCCCTCACCAACACGGAGCTCATCACTGCTGCACTTCGATCTCCGGAATGTGTCGACGGCAGAGGCAAAATGACGATGCTAGAGGTCTTCGATTGGCTACAGAAGCGCTGGGGCTGGTTCAAGGCGAATGGCAAACACAATGGTCGTGACTGGCAGAACTCTCTCAAGAGCACGTTTCCATCCAGCAAAGACTTCACCAAAATCCCCCGTCGCCCCAACGAGCCCGGAAAAGGGAATCTGTATACCATGTCAGACAGCCCATTGGCTGTACGCCATCGTGAGGAGATTGCTGAGGCCAAGGCCAAGGCCGCCCTAGCGGCAGCGGCCAGCGAAGGTTCTGCCGACACCGCCCCAACTAGTCAGCCGACACAGCCTAAAGCAGTCCCTCCAACAGGCTCCTTTCCCGTTCCAGCACCCAATCCCCCCTCGCATGCTTCCAGTCCGGCACGTGGACCAGCAGCTACAGCAGCTACCGTTGCTGCCATCGTGGGAGGAGGCGCTGCACTCGAGGCTGTCTCTTCTGTCTCTGCCCCTGTTGCTAGCACGAGCAGTCTACCAGCTGCGAGATCCCCTGTCCCTGCTCCGGTACCTCCTGTCAGACCGGAGGCAGCAAGTGCATCACCGGCTCCTGTTCCTCCAGCAGCGGCCAAAGCAGGCTCGCCGGCAACACCAGGAGGTACCCCCAAACCTCAACAATGTGTTCCATTAGTGGTCGGCGCACCACCTGCCAATGCCGTCATTCCAAACAAAGGCAAGCCAGCACCTGGGTCTGTGGAAGCTTTGTTGGATGCTCCACCTATCGTTCATCACGATGGTAAGCTGTACCTTTCCGCCCCAGTCTTTGGCCACCTATCCGCCCAGCAGTTAACAGAGATCGAGCGAATGGGGCCGCAAAAGGCGTTGCAAACACTACAAGGCTTACTGGTGGAGCACCTGAAATTCAAAGTGAGGCAACAGCAGCTGGCCAGTCAGGCCCGGAGCCAAGCTTCACCAAGCCCTCAGCCATTGCGCCAAGGCACTCCGAGCGGTGCAGCGCGTCCACCAGCTACCCCAGGGGTGCCTTCTCCCCGTCCTCAGGCGCCTGTACAGGCGAATTATGGCGGATCACCTGCTGGGTACCAACAGCGACCGCCGGGACAGCCGTACAGTAACACGTCTTCGCCTGCGCCCGCTGGAGTCTATGCACAGAATCGACCGCCGCCCTCTCAAGTGCCTCGGCCAGGTCCTAACGGGTCGTATCAATACCAACAGCAACCCATGATGCGACCTCAAGGTGGGACGAGCGTCACACCTGGCAGTCCCGCCCCTCCCCGCCCATATCCCCGACCTCCCAATACCAACCAGCCCCGTCCAGCCTATCCGACGACTTCAGCAGCGAGGCCCTCTGGTACCATGCCGCCAAGTGCAAATTCTCCCGCCGGGCAATCACGTCCCTCTGGCCCACTAAGCCGTCCACCTACTGCTTACTCGCCGAGTCCGGGCCCCCGACCCCCCGTCGGAGGCTACGCGCCTGCAGGTGCAGTACCCTCGGGACCAATGGGACGTCCACCGCCTCCTCGACCGTACACTGGCAACATAGGTGGGCCGCGACCTCCTTCACATGCACCACAGACTGCTGTTGAAGCTCTCAGCACACTATCATCTCATCCTGAGGCGCCAGGTTTGATGGCCTTGCTGAGACAGCAGGGGCAGACTCCAGGCGAGGCCGTTAAAAATTTGAAGCTGACCCCTGGCCAGATTCAGTTGCTGCAGATGGCAAATGCTATGGCCGCTGTCGGTGGTGGTCTAGGTGGCAACGGACCTGTGGGAGCCTCTCGGCCGGGCGGTGGCGCTTCTCCTGTACCACCCTCGCATCCTCGCCCTCTTGCACCCCCACATACAGCTGCGCAGCGCCCGCCTGCGCCTCCATCTGCTGCTCCTGCCGCCGGTTCTGGTACTGCTTCTGCGCAGTCACCTAGACCACCGCCAGCCGCTGGTCCTACAAGGCCAACGACGCAGCCAGCCGCGGCAGCCCCACCTCAAGGTCCCAGTACGCCTCAGACACAGGCAGCTATGGCGACCTCTCTTCCCGCCGCTGTCTCCGCTACGACCGCCTCTGGGCCAGCTCCCGCTGCTGCAGCTGCTCAAGTGCCTGCACCGGGAGCAGGTTTATCCGTCACGCAGCCAGCTGCATCGACACCGGCTCCTGGCCTTGGCCCTGGCTCTGGCCCATCTGTGACTCCGGCAGCTACCCCAGTCACGGCTCCTGCGAACGCGTCAATCGTGGTTCCGACTCCTCCAGCTACTCCAGCCCCTCCTTTGCCACCTCCGCCTCCCTCAGATACCCAGCCAGCGGAGAACACGGCGCCAGCCGCGCCAACGCCTCAGACTTTGCCCGAGGGAGGTGCAGGCGGACAGTCTTGATGGCGTTTCTCCTCTTTCTCTCTCATTGTGTGAACGTCCGCGTGCCGCATAAAGTCGAACTATCAACTCGACCCTGTCTCACTGTAATGTCTCCTGGTCCCAATGCAAATTGTACTCATAGTCTTCCACCCTTCTTTGCATTCAAAATGTTGAGCTAAGACTCTGTGAGGCACTAATTCGCTTATCAATCGGGATCAGCCTGCTCCCGCTGGACCGTGCACGCGCCTCGTCAAGATCAATAGGGCGGGTAGATTAGAGTTGGCTGGGAGGTGAGGTCCTGGTCAAAGTCACCCATCCATACCCTGCCCGTATCTCCTCCTTCTCCTTTGACCTTTTCTGCCTTTCTTCCCTCTCACACCATCCGAGTCCGCCGCTGAGGAAAGACCTCCTGCAGGCTCTTGCATCAGCGTCTCCACTGCTTCAGTCTAGGCTCCGCACCCTGCACATTGATCGAATCAACCTCATGCTCTCTCGCAGCGGCAACACCTTCAGACAAGTGGCCACACAAGCAGTGGCTGTAAGCATCGCACGCTCAGCTCAGCGAGGCGGCTATGCGACAGCGAGTAAGGTCTTGCGGCGGCCGCTGAAGCAGGACCTTGCACAATCCTACTCGGGCGTGCATTTCCCTCCAGCATCAGGCGAGGACGCCGGTGATCCCCCTCGACCGCCTCCAGCCTCGACTTCAAGTGCTCCTAGCGATCATTCAGACGCAGATCTTCCACGCTCGACAGATCATGCTGTCATATCCCTCTTCGACCTCTTCTCCATCGGCTTGGGCCCCTCTTCCTCCCATACTATCGGCCCGATGCGGGCAGCCCTTATCTTCATCCGCGACATCCTCGACCGGGACCCTACTCTGGTGCCGCGGATAGCCCGCCTCAAAATTGCCCTTTTCGGGGCTCTGGCTGCGACTGGAGAAGGCCACCTCACTCCGCAGGCACTGCTAGCCGGCTTTGAGGGCGAGGATCCAGAATCAGCGGATCCGGACGAGGTGCCAGAGAGGTATGCTGCGATCCTGAGAGATAAGAAGCTGCAGCTGGGGCGCAAGGTCCCCGAGCTGGCGGGAGGCATCGAAGTTGCCTTTGACTACTACAAGGACCTGGCATGGCATTGGGATCGCCAGCTGCCCGTTCATCCAAATGGCATGCGCTTCTCGGTGTTCTCCGTTGAAGGAGACCTACTGGCTACTAATGAGTACTTCTCAGTCGGGGGAGGCTTCGTGGTCAACGGATCTCTAGCCACGGACCCGGGTTTAAATCCTGCCAAAGATGCTGAAGAAGGCTCCACTGCCTTGGCGTCCGGTGAGAGTAGTACCTCTCACCCTGCAGACGTCATGGAGAACGTCTTCTACAAGGAAGTGCGGAGGAGCAATGCTCATCAGGAGAGGAGGAGCGGGATGGCACACGTCGAAGACGGCGCCGAGGATGCGATGTCGCCTCTGCCGCCACCTCCGAGCGCTAGTGGTGAAGAGGGTGTCACCCTCGAGGCTACGAAAATGGCAATGCGAGAGCCGGAAGCTTCCGCTGCTCCTGACGCGGATCACATCCCACTGCCCTTCCATAATGGCAACTCTCTGCTGCGTCTCTGCTCCAAGCACAATCTCACCATTGCTCAGATTGTCTTCCGGAACGAGCTGACTTGGCGTTCGCCTGACGAGGTGCGAGCGCGCATATTCCACATCTGGGGCGTCATGGAGGCGGCCATCCGATCTGGATGCCACTCAACAGAAGAGCTGCTCCCTGGACCGATGAAAGTTCAGAGACGGGCACCAGGACTGTATCGGCGTCTGATGCGGGGACTGAGCAGCTCTGCACCCTCCTTGGCTGAGCGATCCCTTGGCGGTGCGGCCGGGACAGCGGATGCAATGGAGGGCGAAGCATCGTTGGGCGGGCCTGTCGCCATGGGCTCGTCTTCGGAGACGCCTGGCCTTCCGGCTATCGGTCTGAGCCCCACATCCGGGCTCGCACAATCGAAGCGGGTGCATGGCTCCCTCATCCACCATCCCCTACCCACCCCTCCTCGTCGATCGATCTCGAACCCGGACATTGACCGTCTGTCTGCCTTTGCCATTGCTGTCAACGAGGAGAATGCTGCGGGGCGGAGAGTGGTCACGGCACCTACCCTGGGGTCTTGTGGGACTATTCCGGCGGTGCTGTATTGGCATCTCTGCTTCCACTCGGATGATCAAGAGAAGGATGTGGAGACGTTTTTGCTGACCTGCGCAGCGATTGCTATGCTCTTCAAGAGGGGTGCATCTATTTCAGCTGCCGAGGCAGGGTGGTGAGTAAACGACTGAGAGCAGTGTGAGGCATGACATGTGCTGATTCTAGACTTGCTCCCTTTTCTACTCTTCAGCATGGGCGAGATCGGTGTAGCGACTGCGATGGCCGCTGCTGGTCTGACGGCGGTGCTTGGCGGAACACCTTCCCAGATCGAGCACGCCGCCGAGATCGGCATCGAGCACAATCTGGGCATGTCATGTGAGTACCACACGAGGAAAAGGCGAAGGTAGCGAGCGCAAGTCTGACGACTTCCCGTCTACCACATTTTATCCCTCTTCGCCAGGCGACCCAGTCGGAGGGCAAGTGCTAATCCCGTGTGTAGAGCGCAACAGCATGGGGGCGGTCAAGGCCGTCGTCGCTTCTCAGCTAGCTCTGAGCAGCCATAGCCACTATGTGAGCCTGGACGAGGCAATTGCAGCCATGAAGGAGACGGCACAGGGTATGTCCTCGAGATTCAAGGAGACTTCCCTTGCGGGGTTAGCCACGGCAGTCAAGATCCCCGTGGCTGTGCCCGCTTGCTAGAGACCGGGGAGAACAGAGGGCGATAGCCACAATAGCAAGTTTGGACTGGGGAGGAGTGACATTGTACCCAAATTAGCATGAAGATCTGCTCCGCTCGACATACCCATTTACTACTGAATGCATAGAAGACCTCGCGTGTGCCCCGCGTGCCCTACACCCAGATTTCAATCTCGGCCCGCGAGTGCGCTTTGTTCCGACCCGGCGGCGCCCTGAGGGGATACAATGTGATGGTCCGAGGGAGGGCGAACAAGGGAGGCGTGCAGTGCAGCACAAGGCTCTGTAGCCCTCGTCCTGCCATGGTGGAGCTCCGAGTGGCCCCCCTTCCCCCTCCTTCTCTTCTTGTATGTACCTACATCCCACTCCCTTAGCATACACTCAGCATCCCCACTCCCTTCATTGACGAGCGACTAGGCACCTCACATACCAGGAGCAGGCTCCTGACATCACATCGATCTCTCCCCTCCCCCGTCGCCGTCACTCTCCTCGCCCCTATCTCCTGACTACACCACTGCCTTCCACGGGCACCTCCATCCTTACCCTCCCTGGCTACCATCCCTCCTCATCATGAAACTCAATCTCCTCTTCCTCTTCTGCGTCACCTCGTTCATCCTGGCGTACTCCTCGCAGCTCGCAGCTGCAGAGGTGCAGCAGCCCACACCAGCCCTCGAGTACCGCTCACGCCATGCCCACCTCACTCGTGCACGCAGACATAGGCGCCATCTTGGCTACCTCGACAACAAATTTCGCAACGTTACGAATCGGCGAAGCCAAGATTCAAATTCACCAGGCCTGAAGGCACCTCAGCCGTCGGACGCTTTCGAATTGGACAACGATGGCGTACAGGTCGCTGCTTTGTCTGGCAAAGACAAGATGGTCCGTAAGAGAGCAGTATCGACATGCAACGTCAAGCGTGCGCACAAGGCAGCTTCTCACGACACTTCTCAGCAGCCAAAGCAAGAGTCTAAGAAGCAAGGGCAGCCCAAAGGTGCAGAGACAGTCGACAAGAGCATTCAGCACTCCAACAGTACTGGCAAGATTCAAATCGATCTCAACCTCGACTCCGTCAGCCATAGCTCCTCAAGCACTTCCATCAGCCAGAGTGCAGGCTCGTCTTGCTTTCCGGCTCTAGGCTTCAAGATGCCGGGAAAAGTGCCGTCCTCCCTGGATAATTGGTGGTGCAAACCATCGACGGAGCAGGCTTTCGTGAGTGAAGGTGATGTGACGTGTTCGACGCAGTGTTCCACTCTTGACAATACCATTGAATGCACTCGCTCCGCTCTTTTCTGCAGCTGGGGTTCTCGTACCAGGTCGAAGGCTGCCCCTCTCGCTCTCAGCTCACGTCAGACTTCAAGCGCATGCGTCAAGAGTTTCATTCGCGCTATGTCCGCCTCTATGGCGCCTGTGACTCCGGCTCTTTCAACGATGACTTGATTGAGAGTGCTTGGGAGGCTAATGTGGGCATCTACCCCTTGGTCTGGTTCGGCTTCAACAGCGACAACAAGTGGAAGAGTCGCAAGCAGAAGCTGCTGCAAGCCATCAAGAACAATCCAAAAGCACCCTACGTCGTCCGAGGTGTAGTGATGGGCTCTGAACCACTTTTCGACGGCGTGTTGCCTGTCCAACAGCTAGTTGGAGAGATGGAGGGCATCAAGCAGGAGCTCAAGCATTTCACTGACCAAAAGGCAAATGGTGACTCGGCCATGCATGTCACCTCGAGTGATATGAGCTACTCGTACCAGAAGTTTGACAGTGGGTCCAAGATCCTCCAGTCCGCTACCGTCCTCCAGGCCAATGTGCTCCCCTTTTTCAGTCAAAGTGCCAAGTTCGGCAACAGCGCCGATGCCATGAAGGGCATCAAGGACACCTACTCGTACCTACGTGACCACTCTGGCGGGCACAAGAAGATCATCTTTGCCCAGACTGGCTGGCCCTCCACTTCCGAAGTCTGGAAGGGCAACTCCAAAGACGCAGTCGCCTCGGTCGCTAGCGAGGAGGCTTACTTCAAGATGCTCGACAAGGCCGCGTGTGAGGATTCTACCTTGAGCAAGGGACCGCAGGGTGGACTTGGATGGTTCGCACACATCTGGAGCGATAGTGGTCTTCCTGGATGGGGTGTCATTGACTCCAATGGCAAGCCCAAGTTCAACTTCAAGCCAAGGACTACTTGTCACTAGATTCCACGCCCATAAGCAGAAGACACTCCGCACAACCGGCTCTCTCCATCAAAAGCTTCTCCCTCTTACCAGTCTTGTCTCTATTTGGGCCTTGCGAATCTCGCATGGGCGCCCATCGTCGCCGCCACCAAGAAGCTGGCTCTCTTTGGTGTTGCGCTCTCTACATCTACTCTGTACATCAGTTCTGTCTAAGATCCAACGTAGTTCGTCTTCTTCCGCGAACCTTGCGAGCTCCAGCGCCAGAGTGCGGACAGTGGCCAGAGTGAGAGGTTGCAGTGGGAGTGAGATGCTACATCTATTCTACAGTTGAGGTCTTGGACCCTCATCTCGTCTACAAGCTAGGCTTACGGTCTTCTGCCTTCTTCCCTGCCTGGTCGTGTGACGTCTCTTTCCTCGGTTCTTCTGCAGAGGTAGAGGTAGATACGGAGAGCTTGGAGACTTGCTCTGCGAGATCCTCACCAGTAGCATCTTGATGCTGACTTTCTGTTGCATCGGTCCGCTTCGACTTTGGCTGCTCGACAGCCCGGGACACCTCCTTTGCGACCTTGTCCGCCTCTTTTTCAGCAGCAGACAAACCATCAGTACCCGTCTTCTCACTCTGCGTTGCTCCCTCCGAGCTTGCCCCTGCTGCAGCCTTTTGCTCATCAAAGACCTTCTTCTCCCTCGCCCAAATCTCCCTCAATTCCTCTTCCCATCCACAAATGCCCGCCAACTCAAGAGCGCCCTCGTCCGTCTTGCCTTGGAAGAAGACGTCCCTGATGGGGCGCTTGTCAGACTTGTCCCGGAGAGAGAGTCCGTCAAAGTCGAAACCAGATTCGCGGAGGGGGAAATAGGAGGACAGACCACCGGAAGAGAAAGAGGAGGAGTCTTCGGAGCCTATGTCCCCCACACGTTCGAGGTTTATGAGGAGGCGGGGACAGCTCGAGGGGACTCGGTCTATCAGTGAGGCGAACGGTTGGACCTGATGAAGGGTAGGGAGGGTGAACAGGACTCAGCGGGGCTGAACAGCAGCTTGGAGACTAGCTCAAAGGTTGGCTCACCTGTAAGCTTGTTCCCATGGTAATGAGGAGATCTGCTTCTTTCAGATCACTAAGCCGCTCGAAGAATCGGTTGGGCAGTCCCTCACCGAAGACTTATAGGGTCACAGGAAGATGTGAGCGTGGTGTCAGACTTCAGCGATTCTTTCGCCAAATCTGGGTGCATACCACCCGGCGTCCCACTCACAGACAATGTCAGGCTTGACCAGTCCACCTTTTCCACCCGTCCTCTTCTTGCACCTCTCCTCTGCACATCGAGCAATTTCCCCCTTGAGACACTTCTCCTTCATCCATTCTCCATCCACCTCGGTCCCACACTTGATACACCTACTTGTTGCAAAGCTCCCATGCGCCTCTACGATCCTCTCCGCGGGCAAGCCCGCCAGCCGATCGAGCGTATCGATGTTCTGTGTAAAGACGCGGAGGAGCTTGCCCTTCTCGTTCAAGAGGCGGAGGAAGTAGTGGGTGAGGGTTGGGTGGAAGTTGCCAGGGTAGAGCTCTTTGGAGAGAGTAAAGAAGGGCTGAGGGGTGGACTGGAAGTAGCCGATTTCGAAGATGGCTTCTGGGTATGGGAGCTTGTACTTGGCCAGATTGGCGTACAGGCCCGTCTGTGAGAGGAAGAGGTTGGTCAGTTTTACCAGACACGGAGCTGGTTATCATTGTAGCTATGGTGGACAACTTACATCGGGTGAGCGGAAGTCTGGAATTCCAGAAGCCGTCGAGACGCCGGCACCGGCCAAGACAACCACCTTCTTGATCTTATCGCTGGCCAGGAGCTTCCCTACCGTCTCGATTGTGGGGAAAGCTGCCTTGTCGGGATTGAAAGCAGCAAGGACGCTGGGAGTACGGAGTGACATTGTTGCCATGATCAAGTGGCAGAAAGCGGTAAAATTGATCTGGAAATCGAGGTCGACATTGACACGGAAAGGGAGCGAGCGAGCGGGGGTGGAGGTGGACTTTCGCAATTGGCTGGTGCGAACCATAAATCGGCCTACCATTCTCTGTTGCAGCATGCTTCGCGCAGGCGAATGAAGCCCAACCTTGCCAAAACAAGGACTTCACTGGGGCAAGTCCATGATGCTATACCAAGACTCATCCTGAGGTGGACAAAAAAGATATTTGGCAGCGACGAGGTTCGAACTCGCGCGGTTTCCCACTGCGGAACTGTAAAATTTAGGAATCCTAAACGCAGCGCCATAACCACTCGGCCACGCTACCATCCTAAGAATTCGATCTCTGTAGTCACAGTATATACTTTGCCACGGACAAGCGAGCGCAACAAGGCAGCTTCCATCTTCTCGCACAGGGCACTCGCATCTGCCTCCAGTGATATCTGATTCCGCACCATCTCCATCTCTGAGCTCGGCAAGGCGTACGATGCGAGTCGCCACAACGGCTTCTCGAGCCTGTTCCGCTTCGTCCAGCCGGCTGCCCTCGCTATCGTCATGCACTCAGATACGACCCAAGAGCAGAGGTAAAGGTTGCTCAGGTGCGGCGGTATCGCCCTTCACCTCATCTGCCGCTACACTTTCACCTCAGCCCCCAGCTGTTTCCAGCAATGCTATCCTGTCCAGCACCTCGGATCTCGGTCGTCACTTCTACCTCAACACGTGAGTCATCAGTCGTCAGCGGACGACACCACGAATCATACTGATCCCTTTGTCCTGTCTACAGTGCGTTGGACTTTTGGGCTTCGAAGAAGACGCAGAATCTCACGCTCCGTCAGCTGCTCTTCTTTGGACGCTCGCTCGGCCGGGATCCCGACAAGATCCTCAAATCTGCGAATTTTGTGCGAGAAGAGCTGCCGGTGCGGATCGCTCAGCGGATCAGAGATATGCAGAACTTGCCCTTTGTGGTCATGACTAATGCTCACTTGGGCGAGGTGTATCACCTGTACTGGAAAGCCTTTGATCGTTTCAGGAAGTTTCCGGTGATACGCAGTCACGAGGAGAACGAGACATATGTGAAGCTATTGAAGGAGCTTCTCGACGAACAGTGAGTACTGCTGTTTGTCCTGCCAGAGGCCGGGACTTCTCCGACGCCATACTCGACTCACACTGCTGCATCCCTCTCCATCCTCTGCTTCCATAGCCTGACAGTCATTCCTTCTCTTGCTCTCGGCGTCGTCGAGGTGTCCGAGCACATCCCGGCAGAACAGCTAGAGAGCTTCATGCAAAGGATGTTGAAGAGTCGAATCAGCAGGAGAGTTCTCGCGGAGCAGCACATTGCCCTCACAGAGGCGTGAGTGTATTAGTGCAGTTGGTCGCAGATGTGCGGGATCGCTGACCTCCCGCCTGCGTCGCTTCCCTCACAGTCTTGACGATCCGTTCGCTTTTTTCTCTACCGACGAGAATCCGGGGCCATCCAATCAACCAGAGCATATTGGCATCATTCACACTCACCTCTCGGTCCAGTCGATCGTCAGAGAGTCGATCGACCTTCTCACTCGGATCTTCGCCAAAGACGCTAACATGACGCCTGAGGAAGCCCTTCAAACAAAAGCCGTGCCGCATATGATCGTTGATGGCGATCTCGAGGCGACTATCTCTTACATACCCGAGCACCTCTCTTTCATCGTCTTTGAACTGATCAAGGATGCGATGAGGGCGGTAATGCGCTTCAAGCCCGAAGAGCGCGACGATATCCCGCTTCGAGCTACCATCGTCGAAGGTCCGCCTGAGGACGACTTGATCATCCGAGTCTCTGACTGCGGAGGCGGCGTATCTGATCTGGTCTCAAGACTAGCATCGTACCCCAAGCCGACGACGAACGGGGGGCCAGGGGAGTCCCTGGCACGACAGCAGCAGCCGAGCCCGCTGGAGGATCAGCCTGCGACGGCTACCATGCCCTCCACGAGCTTCAATAAGAACACAGCAATTGCTTTCTCGGCGTCCACCTCCTCTCCCCTTTCCGCAGAAGGCGCCATCTATCGGTCGCAGACGCCAAGCGATTACCCAGTACCGGGAGGGCCGGCCTCAAGTCCTACTTCCACCCTCACCGATGTCTTGTGCTCCTTCAGCCACGTGCGGCGGAGACTCGAGCTGGAAGCAGAGGCACGACATGCAGAGGAGGAAGCACGACGGAAAACTAGTACTGAGACCACGACGGATCCGACTGCAGCCTCGCCTTCCGAACCCACCTCTGCGGCCTCTTCTCCACCTACTAGCTCCTCCATTTTACTAGGAGCCTCAGCCCAAGCAGGTTTGGGGTCGCGCTCCAAGCTCGAACATCTCAAGAGGATCGGCCGCTTCAAGGGCACTGTGGGAGAGCAGATCGACGCTGCTGTTCCTTCCTCTTCCCGATCTCAGTCTGCAGGCTCCGGCGCCGCCGCTGCCGACAACTCTCTCAAGACATCACTCTCTTCCACTTCCCTTGGTATGGCCGACACTGGGCTAGGATTGCCGATGGCGAGGGTGTATGCTGAATTCTTTGGAGGTAGTCTGCAATTTAGGAGCTTGGACGGACATGGACAGGATGTGTATATTAGAGTGCCGAAGCTGGGGATGGTTCGAGAGGGTACGGGCGGAATTGGATTATAGCGCATTGCAACTTAATCCAGTTGACAATTCTCCTGTATCGGATGTTACCATAAATATCATGGCAGCCAGATGGCCTCCACTCAACGCCAGGCACCTTCTCTATCGAAGGCTTCCATCGAGCGAGGCGTGATCAGCCAGCCCTGCAGCGGGGCCCTGTCACTGCTTAGGAGCCCGTCTTGACGCCCGCCTGAGGAGGCATCAAGGGCAGTCTCGAGACCCTCCGTTGTGCTCTTTTCGATACCGTCTGACGCCTTGGCGTGGTCGCCAGTGAGCGAGACCTGTTGCAGCCATGTATTGACAACAGCTCTCTCTCCCGCATCATCTTCTGACCAACTATTTTCATCAACCAGGTGCTCGGCCCTCAAGATAGCTTTGCAACTTCGATACCACTCAATGTTACTATCATACTGATCAGCAACTCCAGAGTCGTTCGGACGGCCCTTGCCCTTGAGCTCAGCATAGCTGTCTGGCTGAACGGCGACTTCGAGCTCTTGGGCGAGATTCCGCATGAGCAAGAAGTGTTCCAGTTTGCAAACTTTCGAGCGACTCTTCCCGTACAGAGGAGCGTATCGACCGCCGGCAAGAAGGCGATTCGACGAGCGTTTGGTGGAGGCGCCTTGTTTGATTCCGTATACGAGTTTCTCTAGCTTAGCGACGGGCGCAGTAATCGTATGTTCTGCGCTACCGCTGGCGTGCTTCGCTCCAGACTTGACGTCAAGCCAAGTTGGGCGAACATAAGAGGAGCTCTCCCAGGCCGGTATGAGGGCAATGGGCCCTGTTTGCTCCACCGATGCCGCGTCAGTCTTTGTTGTTGCAGCCTCAGCGGACCCGGTTGCCTCTTCTAGCCTCATGCCGTTCGCTATCGCCCGTTCTCTGACGCAGTCTTGCGACTGCAGAAACTTGCAACGTGTGAGCTCGATCAGTGGAGGCTCCAGACTGTGAGAAACTCCAGCATCTTTCAGCCTTCTGGTAAGCTCTCTACCAGCATCGTTGCACCGCTCCGTGACATCTAGCCCTCTTCTGATCTCCTTCAGCACTCTTTCCTGCGCGCTGTCCTGGCGCAGATCGACATCGCTAGCTCCTACGACGAGCCCGTCGATGGGCATCCTGTCCGTCGCGAGCCTGCTCAGAGCAGCCCCCTGCCAGCCGAGAAGCGACCAAAGAAGGAGCTTATCGGTGCACGAGTGGCATAGCGACGGGGGTGCGTCTGGACGACCAGGTACAGTCCTCAGCCTTGGCCTGGCTAAGCCTTCATCGACGACCTGCCGACCTCTGAGCACGGCACCCGATTGAGAGCGAGGCATGTCACCGGACGAAGGGAATGTGCTTCGCGTCTGACAGTGAGCTTTCAAGTCGCGGCTGTAGCTGACATCCTCTTTTGCCCTGCGCCGAGCTAAGTGAGGTGAGGAGCATTCGCCGCCTTCGAATGGAGCGATAACCCTGTCAGCGGGCTGATTCTTTATGAGTGAGTTTAATGCTGATTCGAGACTCACATGGCAATGTCGAGACGTACCACCAGACCTTGATACCCTCCCGGAGCTGCCATATTTGATTATCGCTTCTCTTTTGCAAAAGCAAAGGAAGGCCATCGAGAAGGACGCCTGTTTCATCCTGGCCTTCCTCTCTCTGCTTCGTCCATCCAGCCTCTACAGCAATCCTCTGCGCCAACCATCTCCTGGCTCCTCTTCTAGCGAGGACCTCGGCATGAAGATCGTGCAGTACATCTCCAGGCGTGCCTTTGAGATTTTCGTAGGGAGTAGTCTTGGTACCTGTGCCGAGTGCAATGGGTATCACCCTCGGTGTTGCATCAGTCGGAAGTACGAGTGAGACAGAGGAGAGAATCGTCCATTCGAGAGCGCCATTCCTGATCGGCAGATGCGTCGCTGAGCTCGGGGAAAGGGATGAATACAGCGCTAGTGTTGCCTCTGCTACCAAGTCGCCCAAAGATGGCTTCGATGAGGCCGAAGCCGGAGAGCTGGCCATCAATGGGGATGCAAGCAGGACAAGAAGAAGTGCAGCATCGCCTTCCCCGGGAAAAGCGGAAGTGGGAGTGGAGCGGCGCCAAGAGGCGAAGGTGCGGAAAGTCATGCTGAACAGAGCTTCGACCCTTTAAGTCTCCTTCACATTGCATCGGTATTGGTACTGTACGTCTCCAGGAGCGGCCGCGGAGGCCAGACACAGGCGAAGATGGCCTCGTACCCATTGCCATCATCCTCTACCTCCTCTGCACCTCCACCACTCCTTCTGAATCCCCTCCTTACTGCTTCACAGATCCTCTCTTCAGCCTCTTCCCACCTTCCAGACGACCTAGTGCACGACCTCCTCGCGTACGGCGCCCAATTCATTCATCGTCTGTGCTCCCTTCTCAACCTGCCACAAAGGCTCACAGCCACGTCGCAGATCCTCTTCCAGCGATTCTATGCTACCACGTCGCCCGATCGCTTCGGAGTGGTAGACGTGGCCATGGCGTGTGTATACCTAGGAGCAAAGGTCGAGGAGTGCTCTGCGAAGCTCAAGGTCAGGGACTTGATCAATTGCACCGATTGGATGATCGATCGTGATCGTTGGGCCGAAGAGGAAGCGAAGAAGAGAGGGAAGGGCAACGGCTGGGAGCAGAAGGTTGGGAGCATTGATGGAGACGAGGTCCCTTCCTCAGCCTCGGCTTCGCCAAACTCTCAAGAATTCGTCTATCGGCCTCATACGTATCACTCTTCCATCTTCTATGCCTACAAGGATACAGTTGTTTTTCACGAAATGCACATACTCAAGCGTCTGGGCTTTCATCTGGAGGTACAGCTGCCCTATGCAACCCTCATGAACTACCTCAATATCCTCGGCGTTGGAAAGGATAAAGACGTCGTCGAAGCTTGTTGGGGCTTCTGCAGCGACATGTGAGGAGCCAGTATCAATATGGACAGCATTGAGTCGTCTACTGACATAGCGTCCTCTCCCACCAGGCTGCAAACGCCCTGCCCAGTCCTCTTTCAGCCGCATACCCTGTCTCTCTCCTCCATCTACTATCTCTCCCTGCTGCCTGGCTCTCCACTCCCGCCCCTGCCCAGGGAGCCGCATCCATGGTGGACCCTCTTCGACGTCACGCTCGAGGAAATGCGGACCGTCTGTTCCTGGCTGCAAAGGCTCTACGATGGAAAGGACGGGACTGCTAGTCGCGTCAGAGAGGAGTGGGGTGGGATGGGGTCACTGGCTAAGAAAGACGGCATCAGAGGTTGGATCCAGAGGAGAGATGAAGGCAACGGCAAAGACGAAGAGGACTTTGAGAGTGGGAGAAAGTCTCCAGCAGGGTAGTAATCCTCAGCCCAGAGCTCCATGCACACACTAGCAGTCGGAACCTGGACATCGGTATGGGCACAAATTGGCCTGTGCTTGCCCATTTGGGCCACAGGCTAGGACCTAGCCACCAGGCTCGCAAGCTCCTCGATCTCTCTCGGACCAGTCATGCAGCATCCTCCTAACCAAATGCCTGCCCAGGCACCACTGACAGCCGCGACCTCAGCAAGACTGTAGAGGTCTCGTGCCCATGTGGCAGGCGAGGGGGGCTCGTTGGTCTGCTTGCCTGATGCAGGATCGAGCCAGCATCGATTCACCGCATCCCACACCAGCCCTCCGTCTGGGTACATCTGTTGAAAAAGAGTAAGGAGGCAGGTAGTCTCAGCACGAGGCGGACCCAATGCAGATTGGCGAAATTGCAACTCAATACCGATCTACTCACAAAGAGGTGTAGCTTTTCCTCTTTCAATTGCCTTGGCTCTTGTAGGGCTTCCTGCGCAAAGTACTCCAAGGTGCTCTTCAGGATGTTCGTCTTTGTACAATTGATACCCACACCCGCAATCGGCCACTTGAGCCCCCTTTTGCGCTTCTGGATCAGCTCCACAATCTTTTTCAGCCCTGTCCGATCTTCTGTAGTCGGGTACGGTAAGAAGCGTCCTTCTGTCTCTGGTGGAAAGACGAAGCTGATGTAGACCGGAGGCAGCGCTGATTCTGTCAGCCGTCCTCCTTGATCTTCTTGTAGGAGCTCCTCTAGAGCTGTCAGAATGGCGTCGGCCTCGTCTATGCGGGGTATTGTCTCGAAGGCGATCAGGTCCACTGTGCTCGCGAAAGTGGGGGTTGCAGCTGCTGCTACAAGCCGATCTTTGTGGAATCGGACTAGGTCGAAATATGAAAATGAAGAGTACTCGCCGGTATCTGAATTGAGTGTATGATTAAGGTCAGATGGATTAAGGGCACGAAGTCGGAGAAATAGCACTCACATTCTGCGCCATTTGCCAGACAGGCTCCATACGGCCCCAATGTCAGACTGACGAGGGGTCGCTCCTCTAGCTTGCCGCCCTGCTCCTTGATCCACTCTTCACGTGCTTCACCTGCCCCTCTGATTCCCCGATCCCACATGTCGGCCCTCTTCCGTTGAATCTCCTCAGAAGACCAACCTCCCTTCTCGCATGCCAGATCTGCTAGCTGGTAGGTCAAGGTCCCAACGATTTGGGCGCCGGCGGAGAAGTAGTCTCTGTGCAGACGCTTCACAGTGGAGAAGTCGTCAGGGTTGGATGAGGCTAGAAGAGAAGTGCCGAAGAGAGAGGAAGTGAGATCTACCCCCAGCGTCGAAAGGTGGGTGCCCTACGAAGGGTGAAGTGTCAGACATCGTCAATTGAGAAGGCAGCAGGCAGACAGTCATAAGAGAGGATGTTTGCTCACCTGGCCACCATCGATAACTCCAATGAGCGCTCGGCCCGACGACAAGGTCGACTGCGACAGCAGACGGTTTAGCTTGTCCATGCCTTCTGACTAGCTTGACCACAGAGCAACATACAGCAAGGAATATCGGGAACGAGCAAAGTGCGGACCGGAAGATCTTCCCTTTCCGTGTCGCGTGGCTTGGCCCATGACGGAGACGAAGGTCTCGCACGAGCCTCAAGCCACGAAAGATTCCCATGGCTGAAGTGGAGCACAGCTGGTGATGACCTGAGCTCAGACTCAAGGTCTGGATGCTCAGTCGTTCATTCTATTGGACGCACTTGCTTCCATATCTTCATATCATTCTCATTCTCAATATCTAGATCATGCTCTCTTCGGCTGGTCTCAGGGCCCTTGCGGTATGTCTTGGTCATGAATGACACAGAATCTGCGGACTCATCACCTGACGCAGCTCACCTTTTCAATGACCTGTGTAGCCCACCATCGGACTGATCTATGGCTTCCAGGGTGCGCCTTTTCGAGAGCTGCGTGAAGGTCTTGCCCTCTCCTGACTTGACGTTTCTCTTTCTTTCTCTCTTCGGTCGCAGCTGCCTGTGCCTCGATTGCTGTCCCGCTGAAGACCGAGAAGTACTATGACCTCTGCGGGTCAATGGGCTTCCTGTCGGCTGTCGGCTTCTCCCTTTACTGGCCTTCATTGCGAAGCAAGTTCATCGTGGGTACAGCCGGGGCCACGATTCCGGCCATCACCGCCTTCCACCCTAGGCAGCTGGTCATGAGTGGTATCACCGCTCTCTGGGCAGGTCGCCTGGGGACCTTCCTTTTCCAGCGCATCCAGAAACACGGTGGTGACTCCCGATTCGACGACATTAAGCCCTCTCCCGTCAAGTTCTTCGGCGCCTGGATGATGCAGGCCACCTGGATTGCTATCACTGCTCTGCCCGTCTGGCTCATCAACACGACTCCTCGAACCTTGCAGCCAAAGTTTGGACCTCTTGATTTCCTGGGCTTGAGCGTCTGGGTGCTTGGGTGGGGTCTTGAAGTTGTTGCTGACCGGCAGAAGACCCTCTGGAGGGAGGCAAAGAGCCAGGGCAAGCACGACGAGCAGTTCATCGGGTCTGGAGTCTGGGCATGGAGCCGACGTGAGTCAGGAATGCAGCTGTCTTGTGCGTCCTTAGAGCCGCCGAGTGCTGAAGTCTCCAATCTTTGCCTCCCTTTACAGACCCCAACTACTTTGGTGAGGTATCATCCTGGGTAGGCCAGTACATCCTCTCGCTCTCTGCCCTGTCCGCTGCTTCTGGACCTATGGGTGCTACTTCCCTGACTGCCTCCTCGCCTTGGTTTCCTCGCTACATCGTCTTTGCCGCGGCGGCGTCGCCCCTGCTGGAGTACGCGCTGATCAGGTACATTTCTGGAGTGCCGATGCTGGAGCAGTCTATTGAGAAGAAGCTGGGCGATGATCCCAAGTGGAAGCAGTACAAGAAGGAGACTCCTGTGTTCATTCCTTTCATCGGAGGCTCGAAGGCGTAGGCGTAGATGTAAGGCATGAGGTGGGAAGCGAAATTGTAGGAGGAAAGAAAGCACTTTTTATGAGACGAGGTTCAAGCGCTCGCGTCCGTCATGCGTACGACGGACGTGTGAGGCATGCTCGCAAGACTGGAACGTTGTTATTCACCGCATCTCGGTATCATCTTGTCAGACCTGCTTTTAAAAAGCAACATGAGTCTGCCTAGCATCTCATGCATGTTCAGCGCTTGTCAACCAAATCACATCTGTCTCTCGACCATGTCTCCGTCCCCTGCGACCCCAGACGCGTAGGGCGTTCCGGGAGATTTTAGTTCCGCCAAGCCAAGCCTCGCCCCCTGAGTGCCTCCGTCCGAGGGCGTCCCCGTGCGCCACGGTGCTTTGATAGGAGCCTCGTTTGACTAAGCACGTCCCCTGACCTCTTGTCGTTCCCCCTCGCCGAGGGCATCCTACCCCTGACCACCTGTCACCTCTACCCCACACTCCTCGGAGATCCCCTTGTTCGCACGTTCCCCTAGACGCAGCCCCGTCCCTGTTGCCTTTGCCCTGCCGGATTGCTTTTGCTTTGCGGAGAGGAACTCTAAATTAGTCTACCCCTACCCCTGTCCGAATCGGGGAGGGCGGTAGCCTCTTGCCCAAACAATCTCTTGCTAGGAGGTCGAGTAGCATATATATTGCTCGCGAGGGCTGAGGCCCATCCTGACATCTCTCAAGGGTCTTCATTGCCGGCATCCTCGTCATGGCCGTCGACTCTGTCCTCAGTGGGGTAGACCCCACCGTCTTCAGCATTAGCGATCCCATCCGCCTCTTCATCATCCAGGCCACCATCATCATCATATTATCTCGCATCCTAGCCGTCCTATTGAGAAAGATCAACCAGCCTGCTGTCATTGCCGAGGTCATAGGAGGCATTCTCCTGGGCCCTACTGCGATGGGGCGTATTCCGGGCTTCACTAAGCACATTTTTCCTCCCGCCTCCTTGTCCTACCTCAACCTCGTTGCGACGCTTGGCCTAGTGCTCTTTCTCTTCATCGTCGGATTGGAAGTCGACCTACGTTCTGTCACAAAGAATATCAAGGCGTCTGTCTCAATCAGTGTAGTCGGTATGATCGTACCGTTTGGTCTGGGAGCTGCCATCAGTCGGGGCATCTACAACAACTTCATCAATGCCGAAGCAGTCTCCTTTGGTCACTTCCTTCTCTTTTCGGGAGTAGCAATGTCCATCACTGCTTTCCCAGTCCTAGCACGGATCTTGACAGAAACTAAGCTTCTTTACACGAATGTAGGAGTTACCGTTCTGGCAGCTGGTGTCGGAAACGACATCGTCGGCTGGGTCTTGCTCGCTCTTACTGTCGCATTGGTCAACGCTAGCACAGGGGTCATTGCGGTGTATATCCTGCTCTGCGCTGTGGGCTGGGCCCTCGTACTCTTCTTGCTGATCAAGCCCGCCTTCATTTGGCTTGCACGAAGGACGGGGAGCTTCGAGCATGGTCCTACTCAATTGATGGTCACCCTAACTCTGTTGCTGGTCCTCATTAGCGCCTGGTTGACAGATATCATCGGCGTCCATCCCATCTTCGGCGCCTTTCTCGTTGGCCTGATGGTTCCTCATGATGGAGGCTACGCTGTTGCGATGCTAGAGAAGGTTGAAGACCTCGTTTCCATCCTTTTCCTGCCCATCTACTTCGGTCTATCTGGGCTCAATACGAATTTGGCAACGCTCAACACCGGTCTTGCGTGGGGCTATGCTATTGCGCTTATTGTTGTCGCTTTCTTCTCCAAATTCGGTGGGTGCGCAGGGACTGCCAAGCTGTGTGGCTTCAGCTGGCGAGAGTCCTCCGCCATCGGAACACTCATGAGCTGCAAAGGATTGGTGGAGCTCATCGTGCTCAACATCGGACTTTCGGCAGGCGTGCTCAACACGCTCACATTCTCCATGTTCGTCCTGATGGCGGTCATCTCCACTCTCATTACCACACCTCTCGTGCTGTGGATCTACCCAGAGAAGTATCGCAAATCGCAGATACCTGTGGGTGCTTCGGGTCACGAAAATGAGGTCGTAGATGACAAGGAAGCCAAGCAGGATGATTGGGCCGCCTCGCAGTCACTTCTCAGCACAAGAAAGCTGATGGTCGTCCTGACAGGCTTCGAGCATCTTCCCTCACTGATGAACCTCGTTCAATTGATCAGACCATCCTCGTATCAAGGGTGTGCGGTCAGGGTCGGAGAAGGAATCAGGCAGCGGAACGTCGCTCGCAAGAGCGTGGAGGGCGGAGAGCACGAATCTGTTGCAGTCGAGGATTCGGACGACTCGATGGTCCATGACAAGGCTGGAGCTTCGTCTTATGACGACCACGTCATGGGCGCAAAGACATTCACAGCAAAAAAGGCTACGTCCTCTTTTCTCAATGTCGATGCACTGCGCCTCGTCGAGCTCACAGATCGAACTTCAGCGGTCATGCGTATGGCGGAGAGCGACGACACTCTCCGAGCCGACCCCATCTCCAATGTCTTCCGCACCTTCGCTTCGCTCAACAGAATCCCAATCCGGACCTCGCTCAGTGTCGTCGGCGTAGACTATTTCCCGAGCACAGTAGTGTCTAGGGCTCGGGACAGGGGCGCAGACCTGGTGATCTTGCCATGGACCATCCCGACAATGGCCAGTGGACAGCCACAGCAGCAGCAACAGCAAGATACCGACATGCCGGCTTCGAGCAGTTTTGCCGGTGCTTTGTCGAGCCCCTTTGGCCACATCTTTGGTGGCGCAGCTAGCGGTGCATCGCAAGCTTCGAGCGAGAGTGATGCACAAGCATTGATGAGGAACGCCTCTCAGTACGCTGGCTTTGCCCGTCGGCTGATCCAATCAGCCGAATGTGACGTCGGTCTGCTCGTCGACAGACACAATGCAGACCACCTCGCTCCGCGCGACAGCTTCACGACTGTACCTGCGGGCAAGGGCATTCTTCTCGGCTTTATGGGCGGGCCAGATGATCGCGTTGCACTGGACTTATTGACCCGCTTTGCGGCCATCAATGAGGACCTACGCGTGACGGTGCTTAGGCTGAAGAGAGTGTCGGCAGACGAGAGTGGTGAGGTCCCCCTACCCGAGATGCCCGCTACGATCCACAGCGCAAGTCACACAAGGTCATTAACCCAGATGCAAGCCCTCACCATCCAAGATACCCTCTACCAGCGCTCGGCGGGCGTGGGTACAGAGGTTTCGCCTCTCGAAGCCACCCTGCAGGACGACCTCGCCTTCCGAGCGCTGGAGGGCCATCTGCCATCCCTTTCCGGACGAGTCAAGGTGAGGGAGATCACGACCTCGCGACCCCTGAGAGACCTCATCGTAACCGTGCAAGAGGAGCAGCCGTCCCTTGTCCTGGTTGGGCGCGGTAGGAAGAGCCCGACAATGGGCTCTCATAGGGACGAGCTGAGGGTTCTTCTTACCAATGGAGTCGGCCCAACCTCAGCTACGATTGGCAGCAGTGGCAGCAATCTCCTGCCGCCCAGTGAGGGTGCTACACGAGCAGCCAACTCAGAGACATGCAAGGTTGTGGGAGAGGTGGCCATGGCTCTCACCAGCCTCGCTAAGTCTTCTGCCAGCGTGCTGGTGGTTGCCGCTTCGAACAAGAGTAGCGCAGCTCGAGCCGCGGGCGGCGAGACTGCTTGAGTTTGCGATCACACGAGCTGAGGCTGAGTGTGTATTCGCCTGATATTGTTGATACCCCTTGATGTCAAGATCGTTACCCTTTGTCACCTGCTTCCTTCTCTCCATGATGTCACTATTGCTTTTTTGTAGCGTACCTGTGAATAATACTTGTACCAGACGATCACTCCATCTGAGTCCGGCAGCCTGAAGATGCGAGCGATGCGACGGCGTACATGGGTGGGAGCCTACTATCACGCGCTGAGGCACCTAGCCGGCGGGAAGCTTTGAGATCCTCCACCACCAGATTGACTCAACCCCCAGGGATATAGAGGAATGCGATGACGACGACGACGCAGCCTCAGATGTCGCACGCCGCCGTAGGTGCGGTGGAGGAGCCGGGATGGACGAAAGGTCGTCGCTGCTCCGGAGACGTTCTGATCTGCCAAGCCAGGTGGGCAGGGCACGCGGCAGAGGAATGCATCGATCGCTGGCGGGGGGCACCGCACTCGTGGCGCCCGCAAACGGGACCTGCAGCCATCGGCAAAGCGGCGGAGAACTTCGTACCACGGACAGGTAAGCCAAGTACCCTTGCCTCCTTGGGCGAAGAAGAGGTCGATTTCACACTTGACAGGGTGGGCCTCCCTCGGTAGTCTATTCAAACAAGTCTAGTCGCCGGGGGGCCCCTGTTTGCCTGCTTGCTTGCTTGTCAGTCAGCCCGGCATCTTCTCATGCTGCATCTCTTGATGCATGCCCGCTTCACGGCTGCTGCTGCTGGGCTGAAAGGAGCTGCCAGTCTGGTTACGACGGCCCTGCTACCTCGCCTCGGGACATCATCGCCGTGAACTTTTCCCACATGGCGCAGCACTCCCAAAGGGGGCCGAGCTACTGGCCCTGACTGACTATCAGAGCGCTTGTCTCACAACGTCACAGGCAATGTGTATGTGTGTGGCGCAGCAGCAGCGGCAGGCGACATGGATCGCGTGAGCTAGGCTTGCAGACGCGATCCACCAGATGGGCTGCAGCGGATGTGTTGGACCGCCTGGCCGTCACATCATGCCGGAGTTGTGCCACCACAAACTTGCCCTGTGGCCCTGTCAGAGCGAGGACTAGTCGTTGCCACCCCGTACTCATCGGCAGGAGGCCATCTGCACCGGACAGCCGCCTGCTTCTGCCGCTCTCTATTGGCTCCGGAGATCGGAAGCGAGGGAAGGGGTGGGGGACCTACCACCAATCTCCCCCATTCTCGTGCCTCCACCCCTTCTGGTCTGCATGAACGCAGTAGCGCATGGCTTCAGGCCTGGCCCACATCTGTTGCACTGCCAAGGACCGACATTGGGCCCTCTCTCGCTCCTTTCGGCGATCAAGGTGCGAAGGGAGATGTCGAACGGGATTAAGCGCGACAATGCCGCAAAGGAAGCTGCTCCGCCGTATGAGCCGGCCCGGTGCTGTGGGGACATGGCTTTGCATTTTTAGCTCAAGGTATGGCTCGGGTGCTGAGCGGCTCATTGTACGCTGGTTGGCTTCGACAAAGGGAACAGCGAATTGACAGCATGTGGCTCATTGTGCAGAGAAGACGTTCAAAGTTTCCTTTCCCAATACATCCACCCATTGCGGCGAGTTCAGAGGGTGAATCAGTGGTCATGGAGGCATCTGTAGGCTGAATTGCCGTGGGCCAAAGAGAGGCGGAGCGAGCTGGCGGGCGGGCGAGGTAGCGGGAGGAGGGATGGGGGCCTTGTGCGTGTGCGTCCGAATGCGCCTGTGCGCCCTTTGAAAGCCACTCTGCCTCCCCCACGGCTCCACTCTGGCTGTGTGAGGGAGGGGGTGCGTGTGTGTGTGGGTATGTGTCAGGGCGGGGCGGCGCCTTGTTGCTTCGTCCGCTTTGCTGCCTGCCTGCCTTGTTCCTCGTCCAGAATACTGCGTCCCCACCTTCATTTGCTCTTGGACAAACCAACTACTCCTTTGCTCTCAATCCCCATCATTCGTTTCTGCAAAGGTCCACATATCCTCTGCCACCCAACACTCACCCTCTACACTCCCTTGCATCTTGACCACTCCATCCATCGGCGTCTAAGCCCGTTGCTGCGCCTCGCCCCTGACTGCAACCACTCCACCCACACCGTCTCACACGACCTTGAACTCGAGAACCCAGCATCACCTTATACACTCCCTACCTCCTGGACTTTGCATAATACAACCCGGATGCTACCTTCCTATACCTTGTGAAGCCCCTCTCAAACCTACAAGCCCGCCGCGAGACCCTCACGTAGTGCTCGCAGCTCCACACACTCCGGCAAACCATGACGGAACCCGACGAGACCTCTGACTCACAGTCAGAACGGCAATCATCGGCGAGAAGCGGGACCGCTCCCATCGCAGCCTCATCGACTGCGATCCAGCCGACTACAGCTGCCACTGTTATACCCTCGTCTTCAACCTCTGCCCCAACATCCGGACCGACTGCTTCCTCTTCCTCGGCCCCCGCTCCCCTCAGACAGCCTGTAGCAGCCATGGCTGGTGAGGCAGCTACTTTGAAGGCAGCTGGGCATCAGCACACACTCTCCTTTTCGCCCCGGTCGAATCCAGCCTTTTCAGATCCAGATTACTACCCGGATAGAGAAGATGTCGACGACGTCTTCTCGAACCCAGACAGCGCAGAATTGGAAGCGAGGAGTGACGCAACTGGGTCCACCTCGCCAGATCGAGCAATGTCACCCGTCTTGAGCAGTCCGGACAGCAGAGGACGCAGTGGATTCGCCTACTCCCCTCACGTGGATATACCAGATGATGAGGAAGGCAAGGCAAACGACAGGCTATCGGCACCAGTAACCTTGCACCATCGACCCAGCCATGAGTCCCAAATGACCCAGAACACTGCGACTCCTGTACTAGACGACGGAAGCAGAGCATGGGGATCCACGAGCGTCACTCCCACCACTTCACTCATTGGAGGGGCTCGCTCACCTTCTTTGGGCTCGAGCCCGACAGCGAGGAGGGCATCAATGCATCCTCGGCCTGTCTCTGCGCATCAGGCACTCTTGTACAACGACGCTCATGCAACTCCCATCCCAGCGGCAAATGACTTGCCCATGGATCCATCAGAGGCTAGCAGCGTATCAACGCTGTTCGCGCATCCACCAGGCCCATCGCTGCCTTCGTCATCGCGGGGTTCGCCAGCCTTGAGTGCAATTCGCCTGGCTCTATCGAGCTCCCCTACCTTTTCAGCTAGTGCAGGGATGGGAGCTAGTAAGTCTGCCTCTGCCGCTGGATCGCCTTCCCACGAAAGGTCCGGCTACCATTGGTCCGCTGCAGCGGACAATTGGGCCACGCAATCCCCTCTTTCGCGTTCTTCCAGTAGAGGAGCATTTGCAGGCGTTGCTCCTGGTGGCAGTGGCACTCGTACCACGCCTGCTACGCGACCCAGCTCGCCTGACCGGTCAAAGACCATCATGCCTCCCCTCGTCGTTCCAGAACACATGTCTACCCCTGCAAAGGTCAACGCTGGATCCTCCAGAAGCAGCGCTGGAGGCGCGGGTGATTTCAGCAGTAGTCCCACCTCTTCTTACTCTCCACTAAGTGGAGGAGCTTCGTCTCGATCATTCGGAGGCGCTGGCTGGGGTCTCGGTCTGTCTTCGCCAGCTGGGCATAGTCAGCGCAATACTCGGGGTTCGGTGGACGCCGGTATGTCTGATGTCACAAGACCCCTGCCTCCTACCCTCGAAGGAATGCACAGTGCAACACCGCTGCCTGCGAGCGAATCTAGTATTTTCGAACGGGATATCGAACATCGAGATGCCAGGCATGTACTGAGCAAGAGCGAAGCAGTGGACGTAGCCATTCCTCCTGTCCTGGACGACGCTGTAGAGGCTATCATTGAAGGAGGAGACCAGGTGAGTATCCGATGCGTCGCTGAGCGTTTTGAAGTGGAGCATCGACTCATACCCTATGTCTCTTCTCCTCTCGACAGCCGCTTGAAATTGTTGCGCCTCTGCCTTCGGTATCCGCTACCCCTCACGCTCTCTCTGCGCTAGCATTGTCAGCCCATTCTCTCGCGTCCTCGACGTCCTCGGGTGGGCCTAATGCAAACAGCCCGATGATTGCAACGTCCTCCCCAAGATCTGCTTCAAGCGCTCTACAAGCTGGACCTGCCGCAATGGCAGCAGATGAGCCCCCGCTGGGAAGCATTGCGGCCCAGATTGCTGAGCGCCTGGGTACTCCGCGCGGCCATACAGGCGACGCAACCTCCACCGCCCCGGCATCGGCAGCCGCTACAGCTGGGGACCATCTCAACGAGCGACGCTCGAGAGGCATCCACAGCATGTCCTCTACAGCCTCTTCCACCGGCGATGCAGGGAAATCTCGCTCTCCAGGACCAAACGCGGCATCCGTGCAGCAGATCCTGGAAGGCGCTTCGGTTGTTCCTGGAAGTCCACTAGCTGGAAGAAGCCTGTTCAGTCATACCCCCCGCGACCGCAGCCCAGCACCACAGCTAGCCGTTCATAGCAGGGGCGCTCACACTGTCGCGACGACCTCTCATAGTCGCAACGGATCGTTGTCGCAACAGGGTACGTCAGCCGCAATTGGAGCCACGCCTCCAGCCACGTCTCTGCCTTCCCTCCCACTGCCTAATCCTTTCCGGTCCGATTCACCTTCGGTCGTGAAGCATGCTCAACAGCCTTCGGCCGGATCTGCTCTGGGCTTCATGGAATCAGGAAGCGCAACTCCAGCTCCGGTCACGATGTCTCTTGATGGAGCCATCATCCCTTCTTCCGAGTCTGCTATTCATGAGATGTCCTTGGATGCCATGGCAGATGCATTGGCCGACGCAAGCAGCGACGGTGAGATCTCACCAAGTCCCATTGTGCCTCGCAAGGCCAGCGTGGTAGCGGCGTCGCTGCCACCGCCATCTCTGGCTTTCCTCAGGAGGGACACGAACGCGACAATCACTGCTGCCAACGCCGCCTCATTTTCGGACGGAGGAGGCAGGTCTGCAAGTGGAGTTTTCGGAGCGCAAGGTGAAGACGACCTCGATATGCCCGGTGGCTTTCCCGGCGGTACGCCCACCAAGTCCACAGCGAGCCCCGAAACGCGTCGCCTGTCCTTCTTCTCGTATGCCGACATTATCAACGATACGCCAGCCGAGCTGGTTGATTTTGAGGAAGTCGTATCGAGGGAGATGGCGTCTGGCTTTTCAGACGATGCGCATCTCTCCTCGGGTAGCGGGGCTGGCGGCGGGAGCAAGATCGCTCGGAGCCCACGAGCTTCCTTCGGTGGTGCAGGGCTCGCGAAGCCCTTTCCCGCCCCAGATGACTCTGCCGCGATGAGCGGAGACCAGTCGTTGAGCATGACTGGAAGTCCGTCTATGCTAGGCAAGAGGCTGATGGGGCAGAATGCGGCCTTCTAGTCTGAGGAGGGATGGATGCCGGGCAGGCCTGCTAGTCCGAGGACTGCACAGTAGACTTTGCAGCACCGACGATAGGCCTACAGGAAAGATGGATTCTCGACCTTCTGGACCTTCTCCTTCACCGTCACCGTGACCCCGCGCCCCACTTTCTCCTTCCAGACCGTAGTCATAGACAACTCCCTCCTTCCACTGCTTCTTTGCGTAACCCTATCGTAAGTCTTTTTCCCCGCCCCCTCAAAAAGCTCTTGTCAGGCAGTCAAGGCTTGTATCTATAGTGCTCTCGAAGCTTTCGCCCTCGTTCACCCTCCCGCCTCCGCTCCGCTTCGATAGACGCGTCGTCATTGACCTTTGGGTTGTTTCTGCCCCATCCTTCCCATTCGCTCACCGCTCATCGCTCGTTTCCCTCCTCCTGGCACCCTTCTCTCGCTTTACCTCACCTCGATCCCTCACTCCACCTTACTTGTATCTCACACTTCACTCTTCTTTGGTCGATCCAATCTCCAATCAAAAGTCATCTTCGCGAAATAGAGTGCCCGTTCTTGGTCGAGCCGTGGGCTACACTCTGGTTGCTGCCTACTGTACACACTCTGAATGCTGGCTCCTGTCAGCAGTCGGCGTGTCTCCTACATTGCCGGCTATTCTATTCTTATTCTCGGACTTGTGCACCGAAGACCGGAAGAAGCGGCAGGGCTGCTTCGCCTTCCCCTCGGCTTTCTTCCTCCCCGCATCACACCTCGCAGAATCGTGAGGATGGGTGTGCTTCTACAGGGATGCGTGGCTGCGTCACTTGGTCGTTTAACTTCAGCCAGGCTAAGCTAAGAAAGAATGACTGTCAGCAATCTAATGTCTGCTGCAATGAGGGATCAGTAGTCAGATCTGGCCTGGCGTGTACTTTCCCCGCACTCAGCGTGTCCATGCGGGCGGTCAGGCACCCCGACGGGCGGAAGGCGAGTCAGTCAGCAAGTCTCAGTCCGGTCAGCATCAGATGCAGGACGAGGCTTGTGGAGGCAAAAGGGCGCCCCTCGGCAAAGTGACCGGGAGAAGGAGCCACACTTCCGCAAGCCCCCACGCTGCACCAGGAAGGTAGAGATTCCCTGGGGTCAAGGGATGGTTGGACTGGGCCAGGCCGCATCTTTCCACCCTATACAACCCAACCAAAAACAATCTTTGTTATCGATTCAGCTCAAATCATGTCGTCTCAGAAGCCATACACCTGCAAGTGGGGAATCCTAGCTACAGGAGGGTGGGTATGATACAGACGAGAGAGTGGACAGAGCTTTGGCACTGGATAGCATTCTCACTCCCCCCCACCCACCCATCCTCTTTTGCCTCGCCCCTCTTCCATCTCTCACCTCGCAGAATCGCAAAGAATTTCGTCGAAGATCTCCTCGCACCTGCATCAGAGCGCAACGTATCTGATATCCGACACGTCGTCAGCGCCGTCTCCTCTTCTTCCTCCCTCTCTCGTGCTCAGGAGTTTACCAAGGACCTCAAATGTCCCAAGGAAACCAAGGCTTATGGGAGCTACGAGGAGATGGTCAAGGATCCAGAGGTAGAGATCGTATACATTGCCACGCCTCACCCCTTCCATTATGAGAACACGTTGCTCTGCTTGGAGAATGGCAAGGCTGTTTGCTGCGAGGTAAGTGGAGATCGAGAGGAGCCGGAGCAGTTGTGTATCTGTCGTTTGATTGACCCGCCATGTTCTGCTTCTCCGGACAATACAGAAACCCTTCACCATCAACGCAAAACAGACTGCCCATCTCATCAAGGTCGCCAGGGAAAAGGTAAGCTAGCTGGTACCCTTCTCTAGGCGTCAGGCGTCTGTCTGTAATTCTGACACCCTTACACCACTGATCCCTTGTGTTTCCTTGGCAGAACCTCTTTATGATGGAAGCAATGTGGACTCGCTTCATTCCCGCTGTGCTGGAGATCCAACGACTGATTCACCAGGAGAAGGTCCTGGGAGATGTCGTGCGCGTCTTTGCGGACCTGAGTCAAAGTTTCCCCAAGGATCCCAAGCATCGCATTTATGCCCCTGGTGAGTGGACAAGGGGTATGGACTGAATTGGTTCTCTTGTCACTGACGCAAGGTCCTTCTTCCGTATGTTCCCACGCAGAGTTGGGCGGAGGAGCTTTGCTCGATGTAGGCATTTACCCGCTCACATGGCAGATGCTCACCCTCTACCAGCACCCAGAGTGAGTGAAAAGACAATTGGGCGTAAGTTACATAGGGCTCCCCAACGCTGAGTCTCTCCACTGTCCTCGCCTGATTCTCTTCATCAGCAATGCCCGAACCCTCCCCGACTTCACTTCAACCTTCCTCACCACGCCCCTCACAGGCGTCGACGCCTCCACAGTCGTAGTGGGCAACTATCCCAAGCTAGGCGCTCAAGGAATCTCCACGTCCTGTCTGACCGCCAGGACCCACTCGGCGTATGCAGTCCTGATCCAGGGTTCAAAGGGAGATATCAGGATCCCGCCCATGTTGATGAATCCCTCCAAATTCACTCTGGAGCTTAAAGGAGAGGAGCCAAAGACGATTGAATTCCCCATTCCGGGACATGGGTGAGTACGCAGAGGGCAATGGAGCTCCATGGCGTATAGGGCTTCTTCGCTGCATGAACTTTGTTCGACTGATGCTTACCCCCTCCCTCCTCTTGCTCATTTTCAGGATGTTCTACGAGGCAGACGCAGCCGCCCGAGCTCTGCGCGACGGCAAAAAGGAGGTAGACAATTGTCGACTGGAGGAGGACAGTCTGGTGATGATGAAGATCATGGACGAGGTGCGGGCCAAGGGCGGTTTCAAGTACTCGGACGACGTAGAGGCAGTCAGAAGCGGAGCGTGAGCATGTGAATCTCTATGGAAATCGTGACTTTGGATAGCTCAAGGAAATTGTAACAATGGTTTTCCCTGTACAAGGTCGAGCCTTTTGCGCTGAGAGGCTCGCTCACCACCTGTCCTCCATCCGCTGGGCGGCAGTACGCGCACTCCTCTTCTCCTCCCACCGAAAAAGTCAGTGAGCTTGACATCCTCCAGCCTCCTCGTCGATCCATCGTCTCCTTCAAAGAGATCGGTGCGTATGCCCGGTGTGGAGTAGAGTTGCTTTGGATCAAAGCTGGCAAAGAGATCCACAAGCCGGACGTTGGACGTCTTTTCGATTGAGGAGAGAAAGGAGAGGATATGCCGAGTGAAACGGTCGATGAGGGCGATGCCTAGATCCGAGTCGGAGTGGTGCTGCGAGATGAAGGGGAGGAGTGTAAGGAGAAGGTAAGGTCCTTTATTCAGTCTGCGAACCTCAAGCTGTACGTCGCTTCTGCGTCACTCACCGAATAGCTGTTTTGACCCGTCAGTGCGCTCCCAACTCCAATGACCCCCGGCGAGTAGAGCTTACTGTACATCGAGCTAGCCTGACACGTATCGACGAGCAACAGCAACTCATTATACCGCCTTTTCTCCCTCATCTGCGCAATTGCATCTGCCAGATCCCAAGCGCCCAATTCTTCGGCGTCTTGGAACTTGAGAAAGTCTTCACCGCCGTGACCTGTGAGATAGAGGAGGACGTTGGAAGTAGATGTGGAGAGGAGACGCTTGGAAGAGGGATGTGAAGAGGGGTGACGTCCTGTGGGAGAGCGGTAGGGAGAGCGAGACCTTAGTACCTGGCAGGAAAATCGAGTAGAGACCCCCTTGAGCATTTCCTCACCAGTCAGGAGCCTGATGACATTCTCCACCGTCACCTCTCTACCTTTATAGTCGACCTCGATCTCATCTCCATACAGGTCAATGGCGCGATTGGCGTCTGCCCACACGTTGCCAGGGAACTTGTTGCGGGTATCACAAGCTACGTCGTCTGCTAGCATGAGGATGATTTGAGAGTCGGGAATACCCAGACGCTTCACTACTCGATAGAGGCCGAGGGTATTGGCCATGTGCTATGAGAGGGAGCGGCAAGAGGTGTCAGCTAGGCTGCTCTGGAGTGTTTCGCAGTATTTGTCCTCTTGGTATAGTCTTACTGACTCTATAGTTGAACCAGAAGCGACTAGCACAGATTAGGACTGCCCAATTGTCTGTATGTCCACGATGACTTCTACTTCCTGCGCTCCCTCTACCTCCTCCCTGAGCCGACTCGACCTCGCTGCCATTACTGTAGAGAGCAGCCTCTTCCGCTATCGGGGGCCGCGTCTCTGCTGCGCCCGCCTCGAAGAAGTCTTGCACCTGCTGAGCTTGAGCCGGCGTGATAAATAGAGTAGGTGCCACAAGTGGGAGAGCCAAGGCGATGAAGAGGGCGAGGAAGAGGGAGAGGAAAGAGCAGCTCATCACACGACGTAGCGTGCGCCGCCGCCGCCTCCGATGGGATCGCGGTGATGGTAGGGCGGCAGAAGAGGCGCGATTCCCATCGTCAGCGCTGATGGCAGGTGAGGATGCTCGTAGCCTACCTTGCGAGGCCATTGACGACCCTGCTTCTTGAAGCTCCATGACTAGCTTGTATGATTTGGTGATGGTAAGGGCAGGCTACCACGGCTCTGGGCGAGCGGGAGTGTCACTCTCAGTCTCATGCGCCAATCTCCGATCTCCACCTGGGCTGCCCGCTCTCCCTGATCTCACCCGCCCACCATCGATCATCCTTTCATCCCACACCTTGCTCCCTCAAAACCCACTGCTTTACTATCCAAAGCGTCGCCAAGATGTCAGGCAACTCAAACAGGGAGGCCGTCTTCCCCACTCGAATGACCCTCAACAACACAAAGGGTCGTCTCAAGGGAGCCCAGACGGGTCACTCTCTCCTAAAGAGAAAAGCCGATGCTCTTACCAAGCGTTTCCGAACCATCACTGCAAAGATCGACGAGGCAAAGAGGAAGATGGGTAAAGTCATGCAGATGGCAAGCTTCTCTCTTGCAGAAGTCAACTATGCAGTGGGAGAAATTGGGTACGGTGTGAGGGAGGCAGTGGGTACAAAGGCAAGCTTCAGGGTCAGGGCTAGACAGGAGAATGTCAGTGGTGTCTTCTTGCCCGCTTTCGAGGTGGATACAAAGTCAGATCAAACAAAGGGTGAGTGTTGATGAGTAGATATGCGCAGTCATTTGGCTCAGATTAGGTTGCGAGAAGGCAGCTGGGAGCCGCAGACGCTGACCTGATGAGCTCTACTCCCTCTCCGCCTTCTCCTCTTGCTGTTCCACTCTGGGTCCAGAATTCCAATTGGCCGGGCTATCACGAGGTGGTCAGCAGATTCAAAAGGCCAGGGAGATATACCGCAAGGCATTGGAGACACTGGTGGAGCTGGCCAGTCTGCAGGTGAGTATCAGATCAAGGCATAGAGACGTGGAGGATTCGCCGCGATCGCTTTACAATTTCAGACACTGACAAAGCCTTGCCCTTTCTTCTGCCTAATAGACTGCCTTTGTGATTCTGGACGAGGTTATTCGTATGACGAACCGTAGGGTGAATGCCATCGAGCACGTCATCATCCCCAGACTGGAGAACACAATCAGCGTGAGTAACGAATGATCAAAGGACGGCGCAAGACCCTCCGCTGGTCTCAATGAGATGCCTTCCCTGACACTTGCGAATCCCCTTTCTTTTGCCTACAGTACATCGTATCCGAGCTCGATGAAATGGACCGGTTAGTCCCCTTGACCTCTCACAAGCTCGCCTCGCCTGTGACCCCTGCTGACACAATCTCTCTCTTCTTCCCTGCTTCCTGAAACCCCACGACAGTGAGGAGTTCTTCCGGCTGAAGAAGGTCCAAGGCAAGAAGAAGAAGACGGCTGCCGAGGAAGAGAACAAGAAGCGAACGCTTGCCATGCAGGGCGATCTCGACGAGGATGAGGAGGAGGACGAGGAGGCAGAGGGTGGGAAGAAAGGAGATGGCAAGAGTAAGAATCTCCTCGATGGTGGCAAGGATGAGGATGTCATCTTCTAGAGAGCCGAGGCAAGGGCTTTCATCGGTGCTCTCTTTTTCTCCGTCTGCAGATCTGTCCAATCTACTTCTCCGACTCTACTGCGAACTGTGTGTGTGACTAGATTTTGCACGATCTGTTGGCTGTCTTTAAGCAACGGCAGTATCATTCTCACAAAGAGAGGGAGTGCACAGGCTGGCTACATGAATTGGCTCATTGCCCTGCCCTTCCCGAGCTACCGCTCCCATCCCATCCTGCGCTGTAGAGGTTTCCTTGCCCTAGCTGGCAAATTTACTCATCGTCCCTCGATTCCATCGTCTTTTTCGACAGGGCCCTTTGACGGCGGATGAAGCTGTTGCAACAGGGCGACAAAAAGAAGATGGGGAGGGGGGGAGCAGCACGTCAGTCTGAGGTGTTGCGCATGAAGAGCATGGGAAATACCGAGTGAGAGGACTATTAGAGGAAGGTAGGGTACTCACTCTTCGTATTGGCACTTCTCGTAGGCGTGCCTGGAAGGATCGGACCCGGGGCAAGAGGGAGGACAATCAGTCAACAAGCTCTACAAGACTACCACCGCTCCTCTTGTGCCCGAAGGAGCACGAGACTGCGACGCCGTCTTCTCCTCAGCAAAGCAAGCTTGGCTGTAAGGGTATGCGTACGACCAGACTCACCTCTCGTGGTCGCACTTCCAAGGGGCGTACAGTGTCTGCTTCCTGCACTTGTTCAGCGGGATAGCGAGGCTGTCGAGGTCAGAGGGAGGCAAATGCAGATGTCAGTATTGAGAAGCGGCAGAGGGGAAGCGTCTCCCGCTCTGTCCAAGAGGAAAGTCCATCGAAAGTCGACCCTAATCAGATCCCTCGCCTCGTATCCCCTTTCTTCTTGCTCGTCTGCTCATAGCTTCCGGCTGGCTTCCACCGATAGGCGGAGTGAGTCCTTAGACGTGCCCCCAATCCTCCTCTGATGCCTTGCAATCTATTCTCTGTTCCTCCCGCAACCGCCGTTACTCTACTCACGCAGAGCACGAATCTCTCCAACCCAGAGGCAAACGAGCAGCCTGGCACTCCTCAACAGAGGCAGTCTGGTCCTGTTCTCCTGCCATTGTCTTCTAGCTCCTGTTCTCGTCTTTTCAATTCCTGGAATGCTAATGTAATGCTATGGGGGAGAAAGAGACGGGGCGAAACACGATGGAGGGGAAGGGGCGGTGGATTGTTAATGGTCGTTCAGTACACTGCAAGCGGGGAGCGAGAGATGATCCTCGCCTTGCCCGGACCAAAGGGGAGCGGGCGGAGTTTGAAGCGCTGCCCTCCAGAGAACCCGAGTCGACGACGCCGTCGAGCCATGCTTCACTCAGTCGATCAAACAATTAACACTCTGCCTTATACCTCGCTGATTAGACCTCAAGTACACACACACACACAAGCAAGGTTGATAACGAGATAGACAAAGATGCTATTCGCTGGATGGTGAAAAGATACTGTGAAAAGAAGTCGAAAAGGGGGCGAGTGCATTGAAAGGATGGCGAGTCCAGGTCAACCAGGACCTTGACGTTCGCAAATGATGGGGTGGGGAATGTAGGCAGTTGCAGTGATGGGCATGATTGTGAGAGAAGGGGGTCGTGGAACATGATAGATAGACGCAGCAGGAGGGAGGAGGAGAGGGGGGGCCACCGACAAAAGCAGGTAGACAGGGGCACAAGCCCAGCTTGCTACCGGTCTCACCAACGGTCGTCGAGGCGCGCCGATCTCAACTTGTGGGACCAGCCACGACAGTCGAGGAGGAGGGAGGAAGGCCGAGGCAGAACTAAAGGTGACGACGAGACGTGCAAGGAAATCTAGAATGGACGAAGCGCGTCTATCTACTTGCTGGGCTCGCCGCCCACCCATCCCCAGGACACGGACACTTCTCCCTCGACGAGGGGAGCGAGAGCCTTGAAAGCCGAGGGCGAGAGGTCGAGATGGTTGTTTGCGCACGTCGGGCACTGATCCCTGACGGTGACGGTGATGACAGTGTCACCCTTGGAGATCTTGATCTTCTTGTTGCAGACGATGTTGCCCTCCCACACATCGGCACCTCCGATCGAATTCCACAGGCCCACGGGCAGAGCAGCGATGTAGTCGCTGTCCGAGTCGGTGTAACCACAGGCACCGAGACCGACGGAGAAGTAGGTAATCTCACCGTTCTCGGTAATGTCGGACACACCACTCAGCAGACCAGTACCTGTCGACGTAGACGATGACGACGCCGTGCTCGAGGCGGCAGAGGCTGACGCCTTGGTCGTTGGCGAGGCCGCGGCGCTGCTGCTGCTACTGCTGTCGTTCGAGCTGTTTGCAGCTGCAAGTTTGGCGTTGCTGCTCTTGTTCTTGCAAGACTTGTTCTTCTTAACAGTAGTCTTCTTGGACGACTTGGTGGCGGTGGCTCCGGCGGCGGACGAGGAGCTAGAATGGTGGTGGTGGTGATGCTTAGAGTGCTTAGTGTGGGTGTGGGTGTGGGTGCTGGAACTCGAGGCGGTGCTGGAACTTGATGAGGCTGGTGTCGAATCATCGTCCTCGTCGGTCTCGTCCGTGAATTCCTCAGTGTCTTCGCCCTCGATGTCAAAGATGGCGGTGGTAGTTGCCATAACACTGGTAGAGGTAGCTGTGCCCGTCACAGTGGAGCTGGCTGTGGATGTCGAGTTGGAAGCAGTGACACTGGCGCTATCTGTGGCAGTCTCTGTGCTAGTAGCCGTCGAGGTAGCGCTGCTGGACGTCGCGTCAGCGGCGGCAGAAGTAGTTGTTGCGGGTTCCGACGCGTCAACGGAGCTCGACGAGACCTCCTCTGCTTGCCTAGCAGCCAGCTCCTGTGCAGCCTGTGTCAGCCTCTTGCGCCTGAGCGCACTACCGTGGTTCGAGACAATTGAGTTGACGGTGTTGCGACGAGCTCGCATGTTCTGGTGACCGCGAATAGCCATTGCCTCGTCCAGCGAAGCATTGGCGGTGGTAGCGGAGAGAGAGGAAGCAACTGCCACAAGGGCGAGGAGGAGAGTGGTGGTTCGGAAGCTGTGCATGATTGTTGTGAAGGGGCTACTGAAAAGATTGGTGCGAGAGAAAGGAGACGCAAATTGCGGAGGGGTAGTACGTGAAGTGTGGGGTGAGGGAGCGAATGAGGAGAGGGTAGAGAATGAGAGCTAAAGGATCAACCTTTGAGCTTCTGACGTGAGTACAGGCAGAGAATGGAGGAGAGGTGATGATGAAAGATACACTAGGGCGAAAGGGGGAGGCAAAGCGAGCAGGCTTTCATCTTATACTCGCTGTCGACCACGGGCTACCGATGGCCGGATATCCCCACGCTCCCGCACCGCATCAGCCCCGTGCTGATGCAGTCCATCGTCGAGGCCTTCAGATGAGGTGCTGATGCGCCAAGGACAATGATGCGGTGCGAGGTGCACGCCCATGTCAACAACAAGACGGTCCCGCACTTGACTTGGGCAGCAGTGCCGACTCTTGCCCCCGTGTTGGTCTCCCGGGGTCGTAGCGCCGCATGTAAGGGGTCCGCGACCGACGCGACAAATTCGCACGCCGACATGCCTCATGGCGCCGAGTTCCGACGGTTGGACGGAAGGCAGGAAGGAGTGAAATCGGAAGATCCAGATAGTCCCGTACCCAAATTTAATTGCGCAGCCACCTTCCTCATTCGTCTCGCAAGCATCGAGCCTGGCTCAGAGTGTGCGGTGCCGAGAGTCCAGCCATACGAGTAGATACTGCCAGCCTTTCCCTGCGGCATCGTCATGGTCCTTTTCTTCACGTCCCCCGCCCTCGAGGCACCTGCTACCATCTATGTGGGTCGAGACAAATTCGAGAATGAAGACTTGATCAAGTACGCCTTTGAGGAGGATGTGTGGTTCCACGTGGATAAGCTCAGTAGTCCCCATGTGTACTTGCGGATGTCGGAGGGGATGAAGTGGGATGCCATCCCCACTCCTGTGCTAGAGCATTTGGGTCAGTTGACCAAGGCCGGTTCAATCGAAGGGAACAAGAAGAAAAATATCACCATCATCTACACGCCCGCCTCCAACCTCAAGAAGCAGGGAGACATGTCCATCGGCTCGGTCAGCTTCCACAACGACCGGCTTGTTCGGCGCTTCCTGGTAGCCGAGCGGGAGAATGCTATTGTGAACATGCTCAACAAGACGAAGAAGCTTGTCGAAGTGGACCACGAGGCTGTGCGGCAGGAGAGGCAAAGGGAAGCCGGCCGCAAGAAGAAGATGAAAGCCGTCGAGGAGAACAACGAGAGACTCGAGCAAGAGAGGATGAGGGCGGCAGAGCGCCAGGCACGGGACTACTCCTCGCTCAATTCTGCAGACGCTATCGCTTGGTCGAAGCGCGAGAAGGAGATCGAGAAGGAGCGAGCAAAGCGGCTGAGGGAGGAAACGGGCGAGGGAGAAGATCGGGCGAGTGAAGCAGGAAGCGATGACAGCTTCATGTGATCTCCGGCTGCGGACAGGTACTGCCGGGAAAGCCGGCCGGCTGAACGGTCGCCCTCGCCCCTCGGACGCAGCGATCGCGGGAAGGTCGTGACAGCAATCGAGGCAACAGTTGCGATAGCAATCGGAATCACAGTCGGAATGGTACACAAGGTTTGCATTGTCCTGCCATTCTCCCCTTGGAGATCTACCACGATCTTCAATTGCTTCCCCCCTCCACTGAGATAAGCAACATGGTCGATCCATCCATCTCCTCTGCGACTGCCTGGCGTGCAAACGTCACTCCGCTTGTAGCAGCGCACCTCCTGCACTTCGGTGTCGCACGCGACACGTTCAACATCCTGCAAGGCGGAGACAATGAGGCACACGAGCATAAGGAACGCCTCAACGATACCCTGAGGACTTTGACCCCAGCGGACGCGCTGCGAAAGGGGGACATTGTTGTTTTGGGATCTGCTGGGACTCTCGGGGTAGGCAGCCTAATGAGGAGCCAAGCGAGGTGCGAGGCGCATAATCAGACTCTGGTCAAGATTGAGCAAGTAGGCCTCGGAGGCCTACACGCAGGAGTGGTCGTCATCTCTGCTCGAAGCGTTTGGGGTCGTGCTGCGCCTGCCTCGGCATTGTACCAGACGTGTGAGTAAAAAATGCCCCTTGTTGCTTCGCACATCGACGTGCAATTCAAGCTCATCATTTCATCTCACATCTCGTCGTCTCCATTAGCTCGTCGGGTCACTTTTGCAGACGATAACGTACTCTGTCAAATAGACCCGTTGTCGTGCCGAATTGACTTTGCTCACGATGAACAAGATTGCGCTTGGCAGCAGCTCAACAGCATCCTCGAGCCTGGCAGCCCAGTGGCAGGACTGGAGTTCGTCGGTGCTTGCCTCTTTGTGAGCGGCGTGAAGGTTCACGAGGGGGACTGCCTGCTGCTCTCCCGCGACAAGAACGCTGCCTCTGTCTTGCTGGACGTTGTACAAGTGCAGAAGATCGAGGAGACCACTCCGGGCATCGCAAACCTCATCCTCCGGCCATTTCTCCGCCCTGCAATCGCGCCTCCGGCTGCCTCTCCTGGACACAAATTTCGTGATCCTGCTCACCTTGTCCTCGCAGCTCGTGATCAGTCTTTTGCTTTCGACGATGCCAAGCATGTGATTGTTCGCAAGTGCGTTGTCACCAAGGGACCAGTCGCACACAGGCTTGAAGGGGACGAGCTGTTCTGGACCTCTTCGTCAGGCTTCCAAGCATGCAGCAGATGTGAGAGCCAACGAGTGCTGGCGGCAAAGATAACAGGCGAAGTCATTTCGCATAGTCTGCGCACGTTGGACCTCTTTGCCGGTGCTGGGGGACTAACATTGGGGCTTGGTCTCGCCGGCAACATCAAGACTAAGTGGGCTGTTGAGATGGATGCTGCACGGGCGAGAACCTTGCAAGCGTCGCATCCGAGGACCGCGGTCTTCACAGCCGATGCTTCTGAGCTTCTGGCCGTCGTCTGCGAGAAGGCAGAAAGCAACCCTTTATCCTCCGCACTGCCCTCCGCCTCCACGCTCCCAAAGCGGGGCGAGGTCGATATTCTTGTAGCAGGCCCTCCCTGTCAGTCCTTCAGCAAGCTTAATGCGCACCGCGCTGCCACCGATGGGCGGAACCTGCTTATCGCTGTGACGTTGTCTTGGGTGGAAGTGCTGCGTCCGGACTATGTTGTCGTCGAGAACGTAGGGGGGATCATGGACAACGAGACGCTGAAGTTGGGGGCCATCAACCAAGGTTTTCCAAAGCTCATAGTCCTTACTTTGCTTCAGCTGGGCTACTCCGTCAGGATTGCCAACGTGGAAGCGGTGTCTTGCGGCAGCCCTCAAGAGCGAAGGAGGATGATCTTCCTCGCCGCCAAAGAAGGCCTGCCTTGTCTGCCCCCCGCCTCGCATATTACGCCTTCAGACCGGTTGAGCAGGAGCTCCAGCATCAGACTCTGGCCTGGGGACGGCGCGCCCTCGCGGCATTTCACCATGCCTAATGGCTTCCTTCGGGGTTGTGCGCCCTTGCCGACTGTCACGGTCATGGACGCCATCGACGACCTCCCCGCTTTCGACTGGTCCGACCCTCACCAGGTGTACCCACTCCGAGCTTCACCCCTGGATCGGGAAAAAGCGGCGCGAGCGGCGCGAGGCATCCCCGCCCTCGACGCAGTGAGATTGTCAGGCGTAAGTGGGGAGCACCTGGTGGGAGCCAAGCTTCAGAGGTACGGCACTGAGCCACGTACTCCGTATCAAGCTTTGATGCGACGAGGTTGCGCAGATGCTCGTGTGGTGTCGCAGCATCAGACGGCTCGGCATACCTTCGAAAACGTCGAGCGTGTCACCAATGTGCTGCTGCGCCCGGGGGCAAACCACCGCAGCTGGTCTTCACCGCTGGTGAACAAGCCGCTTTTGACCCCGGAGTGGCTGCTCAGCGCCAATAGCCTGCGAAGAGAGGATAGCGGCAAAGCTCGACACAGTTGGGAGCGCTCCGAGCATTCCTACCAGCGCCTGGATCCCAATAAGCCCTTTCCTACGTCGCTGACCAGCGCTTCGCCTGCGAACCGGCAAGGTGCGGTCATTCACCCCACTCAGACTCGCACGCTCACTCTCCGGGAGTCTGCTCGAGTTCAGGGCTTCCCAGACTGGATGACCTGGGACTGCTCGATTGAGGAGGCTCAGAAGCAGGTCGGGAATGCGGTGCCTGTCCCTTTGGCAAGGATGCTCGGCAGGGCCATCATTGCCAATGTCGTTGCCGTTGAGGTCAAGAAGAAGGAGCTGAGGGAGAAGTTTCGAGCGAAGAGTGCGGCGAAGGGAAAGGGGAAGATGAAGGCGGAGGATAAAGATGATGAGGATGCGGATGTAGTGATGGAGGAAGCTTGATGAACGATCCCTTCCTCTTCTCAAAACTCTTCGCTCTTGTTCATAGATTCTTTTCGACTGTTGTCCTTCTTTGCTCTGGTTCCGAGACTCCCCTTCACCATCGTGCATGTCCCACTGTCGCAGGCTCTTCACGATCCTCAGCGTTAGCCTCAGTAATGTGTCTCTCTCTGCTTGCTTCTTGATACCCCAGTTTCGTTTCTGTTCTTTAAGTCACGACCCTCATAGTCTCTCCTCATCTGCTGTCTCATTACTTGAATCCTTCCGAATCGCAAAGGATTAAATCTGCGTATAGTACAAGTACGAATGCTCCTCCTCTTCTCTCTTCTCCTTCTGCATCTTCACTTCCTCCCCTCATCTTGTCGATGCGTCCGCACCCCATCTGCGAGGGTATGATGGCGCTTGAGGAGGTGCATTTTGACCATAGTGTCCCCCTCGGGGTCTCCAGCGAGCATTCGAGGCAGCAGGCGAGGAGTGCTGCTGATGCTGATGCTGATGCTGATGCTGATGTTGATATCCTCCCGGAGCCACTCCAGTATTCTCCGAGTGGGGCTGCACTGGCTGGTACCCTCTCTGGTACGCAGGCGGCGGACGAGGAGGACCTTGTTGTTGGTAGGGCGGCCAGCCTCCCCGACCTGGCGGGGCACCTGGGTGAACCGGTGATTGCGGAGGAGCATATGCGTGCTCTGCTTCCCGAGCCTGTTGTGCTTCTCTGCTGTAGTAGTCCGAGCGCGGCTGCACAGGAGGTGGACCCATAGACTCTACAGGTGTTGCGCTCTCCGGTTGGTACGAGTGGGACTGTGTCGGTTGAGGTCCGCTTTGGCTTCCTTCTCGATCTCTGCCATCAGACATCACCTCGTCCTTTTCAGAGGCTTGTTTACGCTGCTGCTCTTGCTGCTCGAAGGCTATCCTCTTCCTCTCCGTCTCCACTTCCCTCTCCTGATTCAACTCAGCGAGCCTCTCAGCCTCGCGTCGCCGGATCTGCTCTTCAGAGCCCCACCACCGCTCGTCTTCTTCTTCTCGCCAGGCATCGAGATCGTCCTGATTCAGATCCGAGGTGTTCTCCCAGAGCTCCTCGAACTGGATGTCGAGCGGGTCGGCGTGGGTCAGGGGTCCTCCCTCCATCCCATCCTCGACGTTGACTTCGCTGCCTTCCACGGCCGAGGGGTCTAGTCTGGGGCGCTTAGCTGCCCTATCCCATTCACCTTGCCTTGGCTGCTGTTGCCGGGCACTGGAGGACGTAGATGGGTCGGGCACTGCGTCGAAAAAGGACTTGGGAGGCAGGACCCACAGCTTTTCTCGTATCCTCTTGTGTCGCTCTCTGTCCTCCTCTATCCGCCGAAGGATCTCCGAGTGTGACAGAGTCGGCAAGCCTGCCTCCTCACCATTGTTGCTCGAGGAGCCTTTCGAATGAAGTGTGTCTGCTATTCTTTCCTGTAACCTCGCAAGTAGATCAGCAATCTGCTCTTGGGGAAAGAGACGCTTAAGTCGCCATGAGGAGAGGATCTGGATGGTGACGCCGCTGTTGAGCTTGACCCCATTGAGATTATCGTGCGGCACGACGTGGTCTATGAGGCGCAGCAGGTCCTTTGATGCCATGCGGCGGAAGTCGTTGATAAGCTTTTGGGAATAGCGGCTGGAATAGTCTGTGAAAAGGAAGTCGAGCAGAAAAAGGATATTGAGCCGCGAGGAGAGGTTTGTCTGAAGAGAAGAAAGAAGGACAGAGGAATGAGAGTCAGCTGAAGTCTTCCCACTGTCCTTGGCTGTATGAGCCGTTCAATCACCTTGCCGCATTCATTGAGTATACAGTCCCACAGGTCTGCTGATGCCTTTGCTACGTGACGATCTGCGAAGCCGAGGACTTTTTCGATGGACTGCTGAGAAGCATTCAGTCGCTTCAGCAGAGCCTGGAAGTCCATCCGCACCTGGAACGCGTCCATGACTGCAAAGTGCGGGCGGTAGCGGGGACAAGCCTCCTCTACCGACCTTTGGACCTGACTTGTGCTGTAGTCCAACAGCTGACCACGTCTGCACTCTTTGTAGCCTGGGCTACGACGTCTTGTCTTCTTCTTCTTCTTCTTCTTCTTCTCGGCGGTAGCGAAGGGGGGAGGCTGCCGAATATGCGGAACGGACAGAGACAAAATTGAGCGGAGGCGTGGAGGCGAGGCTGCAGCACAGAGCAACGGACGAGCCGCGTGGGGCAGAGACCAACACCTCGCACCTCGTCTCATCATCATCGTCATCATCATACCGTCCTCATCGTCATCGTAGGCAGCACGAGTGTCCCTTGCAAGCGCAGAGTGTGACAGCTGCTACTTCCTCGCCATGGACGATGGTCTGGCTCGCCCGGCGCGGCATCGACCTGCGCCCATAGCCCAGCCCGGCACAAGCTCCAGCTCCAGCTCAAGAGCCACAGTCGCCCTGTACGGCGACCCAGCTGTAGAGGAGCTCTGTCGTCTAGAGACTTTCAGGGACAACTTCAATAGCCGAGACTTCCTCGCAGGACTATCCGATAAGCTCATCGCCCGTTCCAGAGCGGATCCTGGACCTTTCAACCCAAGACCCTTCATACGCACCTTCGAGGCAGCAGTGGAGTCCCTTCAGGGTCTCAAGCGTGACTTGCAGCAGGACCAAGCTGCGCTCACATCCTCGGTCCAGGTGGCCCAGTCAGCCTACTCCTCCAAGCTACATGAGTTGTCGTCACACTTTACCTCCGTCTCACAGTCCTTTTCCTCGCTAGAGTCACGCTTCTCAGAGGTCAGCAGGACGGCCATTCACATAGGCGAGCAGCTGGAGAGCGTGGACAGGCAGAGGTCGAGGGCGGTAGAGGCACATGACCTCATCGAGTACTACTATGCATTTGCCAGGGAGGACACGAGCAAGCTGGACAAGCTGCGAAAAGATGGCGGAAGGGAGGGCAGGTTGAAGACGGCGATCATTGCTCGCAGACTGGGAGCAATCAGCAGAGAGGTGGACATACCCGGAGCAGACAAGGTGAGTTGCATCGGCCGGGGAAAGATAGAGCGCATATACTGATGCCACTTCTACCTGACATAGACCCGCGAGACCGTTGATCGATACAACGAACGCTTCGAGCGGGACATGTTGAAGCTCTTTGACAAGTTCTATCGCAAGTCAGATCCTCGTATGATGTCCCACATCGCTCAAGTCTTGCAGAACTTCAACGGTGGTCAATCCTGCGTGCAGATCTACGTCAATCAGCACGACTTCTTTATCAGCAAAGATCGAGTTGGAGAGGCCAACCGAATGCAGAGCAGCGAAATATGGCAGACACTCGCCGATCCAGATGCGCTGCCTCCTCAATCGGAGCATTCTCTGGCATCGCTCTTCGACGAGATCCGGACCACTGTCGAACAAGAGGCACAGATCATCTCAGCCGTCTTCCCCAATCCTCCGCTTGTCATGTCGACATTCTTGCAAAGAGTGTTTGCACAGTCTGTGCAGGGCTACGTGGAAGTTTTGATGGACAAGGCAACCGAAGTAGGCGCGTCGGGCGCCAAGAATACCCTGCTGGACACGACAGCACCGCTGAGTGAACTGACATTCCTCAGGGTGCTTCAAATGGCTAGGAGCATGTCAATGGCCCTCATCTCCGATCTCAAGATGTATGACTTTCGGGGACCCGGCGGAGGCCCATCTAAAGGCGACTCTACACCACAGATCGCCTTCCTGAATGGGGAAGGAGGCGAGCAAGCCGGTACAACGCAAGGCGCTGCTGCCAATCCGCTCTCCTTCATGCTCGAGTCGGCAGTGGAAGAGATCTTTGTCCCGTACATGGAAGGCACAAAGTATATGGAGAAGGAGAGCAAGAGTTTGACAGAGCTGTATGCCCTGTACCTCGCTCGCTTCACACAGTACCATCGGTCCTCAGCTGCTGGTGGTGGCAGACTCAAGACCTCGAACCTCTTCGATCGAGTCAGAGCAGCAGCTGGAGGTGCAAATAGTCCAGCGCCGGCAGGTGCGCCTGGTGCAGCTGGCGCCTCGACCACAACCGCCCTGCCCCCTGGGGCTAGCACGCTTCCTGCGCCCAAGACCTCGGCGTTCTCCAAGCTATCAGGCTTTGTGGATCGCGCTCGTGGAGCAACTCCTGTGCCAGCCAATACCGAGGAGCCGGCTCCAATTGACAGTCCCGTGGTCCATGAAGCGCCAACACCCTCGACTAATCTGGAGGCCCTCGAAGATAATGACGGCGAGCTCAGCTTAGCAGTTGCAGAGAGGATGCTGCGATGGCATGCGGAAGCAGTGGGCCGCTGTGTTGACCTCAGCAGCCCATCAGACGTGGGCAAGAATGTTTTTGCCCTGCTCAAGATTCTCGTTGAAGCATTCCTCAAGTCCTACCTCGAAGTGGCAATCGATTCGGCTTCAGCTCAGGCAGCCATGCAAGATGTCAGGGGCGCTACGGCTCCTGACCTCTCCTTGATCAAGATTGTGCGACAGGTGGAGCTGATCACGACACTCTGGCAGCATTACGTCAGTGTAGCGCTCATTCCCTTGACCGGAGGTAGTGTCACGCTGAGGAGGGAGGTGGCCATTTTCAACAACCACAATCTGCTCCGAGTAGAGGGCAAATGCGATGCTCTTGTTCAGAGGCTGGTCGATAGTGAGTATACACGATGTGCAGTAGGCCTGTGGACATGTCTGACCGAACTGCGCTGCCTTCTCAATCTTCTACTCAGATATGGTCAGCTATCTGACCAATCGTCTCGCCACACAAAAGCGCAATGACTTCGCACCCAAGAACGACGAGCTGGCCTTTTCTCGTATGAACACTGATCCATGCATCGCCTGTTCCGAAGCACTGGAGCGAGGCGCCAAGACCATCCGCGCCTCACTGGGAGCTGGCAAGAATGCCGAATCGGTCTTGAGCGAAATTGGCGTCGCCTTTCACTCCCTCTTACTAGACCATTTTAAGAAGTACACAGTCAGCGCGGCGGGCGGACTCATGCTCACAAAGGACCTCGCAATGTACCAAGACGCCATTGCCACCTTTGGTCTTCCGGCGCTCAATGATCGCTTCGAAATGTTGCGCTCTCTCGGCAACCTCTTCATCGTGCAGCCCTCTGTTCTCAAGGGCTACATGCGCGAGGGACACCTGAGCAAAATCGACGAGCGGCTCCTACACGCTTTCCTCCTCCGCAGGAGCGATTATGCTAAAGAGGTGCGCGACTTGGACGATGCAGTGGCAGCGGCAGCAGCAGCGCGAAGTCATGGTGGAGCCAGTGCTCTGTACCACCGTGGCAGCACAGATTCCACTGCAGGCATGTCGACGCAGGATCTGCACCACTATCAGATGCAGCATCGAGGCAGTACCAGTAGCGTTGCCGGAAGCAGCGGACCATCTGGCAGCAGCGGTGGTGGTGGTGCAGGTGGTAGTGCTGCCACGGGAGGAAGTAAAGCGAGGTTGAGCCTGATGTTGAATGATCTGGAGCGATATGCTGCCGGACAGGAGTATAGGGCTGATTCGCCTGGTCCGCGATAGAGGCTGGAAGTGCGAGGGGCGCAGAGACTCTGTATATTGTACTTGTATCTATCAGGGGAGGCTACGACGAAGAATTTCATCCTCTCAGCGGGATATCAGCGGGAATGAGTGCTTCTGGCGCAATCACAGCAATGGCAATTGGGTGGCGATTGTTTTTAAACATAACTGATGGGTATAAAACGGGACTCTCCTCCTCTCCCACATCTCGCTAAAATCTTCCTCCGTCTCCTACCCTCTTCTTCTTCTCTCCTCTTCTTACCCTCCTCCTCTTTCCTCTCACTCAAACATCCGCACCGCATCAATTCCCAGCGTCCTTCTCATCTGGAGCACCGCCGCCAGCTCCTTGATGAACTCCTCTAGGACGACGACATTGTCAAGCAGGTCGCTGAGTGTGACTCGACCGCGCGTACGACGCGCCTCTTCATCCTCATCTTCGTCCAACCCGGGATAGGCGAGCTGCGCAAGGGGAAAAGGGTCGGGATCCTCCTGAGAAGGAGAGGGAAAGAGGCCGATGGGAGGAGCGGAGGGCTCCTTGACGGGTGTGCCCTTGCTCGAGGTCTGCTCGGCATCTTTTTCGGGAAGCTGGAAGCGAGTGCGCTTCTCAATTTTGCCCAGACTGATGCCACTATCGGACCCATCCCCCAACGACGGCGACGAGGCACTAGGAGCCGTCGAAGACTGTGGCCCCCACTCACGCTTTCCTACCCTGAGGTCGCCGCTGGTGGACGCTCGGGATGTGGTCCAAGGACCCTGAGGCATCGGTACGAAGGATGCCTGGAGCGTGATAGCTGCAGTCTGACGGTAGTGTTCTGCAAAAGGTAGAGCTTGCGTCTCCTTGTCTCCTGCTGCTGCTGCTTCTGTTCCTTTTGTAGGCGGTGTGGAAGGTTCACTCTTCCGCATCGCTTTGCTCTTGGCAGCGGGCGAGCGACCAAAGAGACGGGTAAAGGTAGAAGGCGATGATTCCAGCGATCGCTGCGAGGCTACATCTGTCTGTCGAGGAGGCAACTTCACCTCTCTGGCGTCTAGAACGTGGACGTTGCCAATCTCCGTCTGACCTAAGGTGCTCCAGCCGACACTTTTCCACAGCCTCATTCTGGCCTTCTCGCTCTTCGGCGCAGAAGGACCAGCCGAGCTTCGAGCGAAGAACCCCTCGTCGTCGTCGCCGTCGTGTCCTGTGTCGGCCAAGGCCTCAGTGATATTCTCAACGAAGAGCAAGCCTTTACGGCGCTCGTCGAGGAAAGTGTCGAAGTCGCTAATGGCGGCACGGTAGTTCTGGACGTGCTCGACTAGTCTGTGAAGAAGTTCTAGAACGATCGGGACTTGCGGAAGCTTGCTTCCATGAGCCTCTGCCGGGGACTTCCTCAATTGCGGGGCCTTTTTCCAGTCGTAGCCTTCGTCACCTTGTTTCACTCCGAAGTCGGAAGTGCTAAGACGCTCAAAGGCGAGCCAGCTGTCCATGCTACGATAGGGACAGAGAGCGATAGCCGTGATCGTCCCCGTCAGAGCGACATTGAGGTCGGGAGGCTGCTCGAAGAAGCGTCTGAGTCGTGACAGTATGGAGCGCAACAGAGGCTCTCTGGGGTCCAAGCGATGCCGAAAGGCCGGGTAGGGCAGGTCAAGAGTGGGTACGGGGCTACCATTTGTACTCGTCTGGCCGGATGGCCCATGGGTTAGCCCGTACTGCAAGCCATAGAGGTACATACTGTTGCGGAGCAGGGCATCTTCTGCATCTTGAAGGTACCTTGCATATCCAATGCTTGAGCAAGAGCCCGTGCCAGAGAGCGGAGGCAAGGCATTTGCCCTTGCGGATGCCCCGAGTGCCGCAGAGAGTGACAGGTACAGGTCGAGCTCCCTGAAGTGTTGCGTCAGCGTCATTCTCGCCTCGTTGCCGTTGCGCCTGTCTGCTTGGTCCAATAGCCTATCCAGCTCGGGGCTAGACAATGATTCTGTCTTGGCGGCTTCATCTCCTGCTGCTCTAATTGGTGGCACATATACAGGAAATGCGGTAGACTCATCGTCAGCAATGATTTCGACGAGGCCATAGGGAGCAAAGCGTCCATGATCAGTGAAGAGGGTCCGTGCCAGGCCGAGAGCTGCCGTGACGGACGCATCACTTATTGTAGGAGCAATGTGGTCCAGGATGAGGTCCTTAATAGTGTAATGCAAGAGAGGATCGTAGATCGCCTCTTCAGCTTTGGACTTCTCTAGCTTAAGGAGAGCCGCTGACTTCCGGCGGGACATCACGTTTGCCGGCGCGTTGCTCGAAGCGTTGGAGGGATAATGCTCGTCTTGCCTGACAAGCCAGCCCATGACGTCGTCCGAGAGAGCATACCGATCATCTAGGGCCGACAACAAGACCTCAAGGTAGCTCATGATGGCAACCGCGCTGCCGTCTCTGTCACCGCTTTCGATCATGGACAACGAGAGCACATTCTCAAGCAGCGACTGTCGAATTGACGCCGATAGGCGAGTCACTAGTTCGTGCGACGCCATGACTCGTCTATCAAGGGATGACCCAGAGCACTGGGCGGCTCGACCTACGACATCGTACTGTACAAAGTCAAGAATGTCGATGAAGAGCTTTAGCCTATCGATGGTCCTGGGATCCGAGCTCTGATCGATATTGAGACGCCGTAGCCGTTCGATCTCGGCTTCAGCAGGTTCTGAGCCTCTTCGTCCAGCACCGAGCTTCATGCCCCCTTCGGCATTGCCATGCTTCTCTGGTGCCGCTTCTTGATCGACGAAGGCTAGCTTTGAGGGCAGAAGACCCCAGACGGCTCCAAGTGAGGCTCCAAGGACATCTGCGAAGTCGGACTGCGCTATGTATTCTGCCAAGTCCGATGTTGCAGAGCTTCCGAGCTCTCCAGGGAATCTCGTTCCCTGATTCGAAAGTTCAGGGGAACGTGAGTCCAGCGATGATGGAGCTTCTAGGGCAATCTGCACGAGGACAGAGAGCCCAGCTCGAGCCAGCTGGCCGGTATCGCCTTCGAGATGGACGAAGCGCAGTAGATACGTGAAGAGGGGAAAGTCATACGAGCTTGCTGGGCTGTGTACATCATCCTGCAGCGGTTTCGCAGCCGGCCCATCAGACTGCGCCGCCTTGACGGTCGACATCGACGAAGCCGAACGCGGAGAGGCAGGAACATCTTGCGGATCCGCTTCGTGGGCTTGAAGACCTCTTGCTATCGGTATAGCATCCCTGCCTTTGCGCCGTGTCGAATCCTTGAGTCGGTTGTGAAAGAAGATGTGAAGTAGCTCTTGAGAGCCATGCAGCTTTGAGGCGACAAAGGCCATGAGACCCACAAGAGCCTCATCTAATCGAGCTTGCTCGGAGCTGCCTCTCCGCTGCGGTTCCCTGTCCTCAGCTACATCAAAGCCTGCGTCCTGACCCCATGCCGAATCGACGTCTTCATCCCCGACGCAATGCCGGATGAGCTTAACGAGCGGTTTGTTGACGGCCTGTTGGCTGAGGAGACGATCTCCCAGGTGAGCCACTAGAGTCTGAAAAAATTTGACTGCCTCAATCAAAACCCCAGCTGGCCGATCTGCGAGCGCTGACCGGACGATGATGCCCAGGACTTCAGGGAGATGAATGCACCAGTGTGAGACAAGTGGGGCATTTCTCGTTGCAAGACAGACGCCGCATACTCACTGTCTTTCTTGAGAAGATACTCCATGCACGGTCCCAAGCCGTCAACCACCTCATCAGTAGTCAGGGACTCTTGCACGATTGCCTGCCCAAGCCTTTCTAGTGCCTGGGGGAGATTGGATCTGGATACTCCGTGATGGAGAGCGGCTTGATCTGGTGAGATCAAGTCGGCCTGCGAATACAAGATCGGGTCAAATGCCTGATTGTTGACAAGAATCTGCGCAGATCATATGTTGGCTCACCTCGATTACTGCCCAGTCATCGACGAAGGCGCTGAAGGTATCCTGGAACCCTTCCGAGGCTGTGCGACGTCTCCGAGGGGACGACAAGATCGACTGCTGCGAGCGCCTATCGCCTGCGACTGCAGCTCCATTGCTGCTGACCAGCCGCCTGAGACTGGAGAGCATCACCGTGAGCTTATGGGATGGGCATACATCGAGTCTGCGTGCAGGTGGATGGCGAAGACGCTGGGCGTGGTTGGATGGATATCCTCACCATGTCATCCCCTGGAGAGACCAACAGGCCAACAGCGTCGGAGTTGAAATTGGACTTTCTGCACTTCCGCATGTCGCTCGACTCAAGCCAGAAGAAGTGACTGTACACCTTCCTGCTCCTACCCTGCATCGCACCATATACTCCTCAGCTCACCATGACAGACGCTCCCAATCCTCTTCCACCTGTAAAGAAGCAACTCATCGTCTTCGACTTTGACTGGTCAGTCACGAGGGCGCAGGTCAGCCCAGTCTCTTCACATTTCTGAACAGCTTTGTCCTCCTCTCCCTTTTGTAGGTCGCTAGCCGACCAAGACTCTGATCGATGGGTTCACGAAGCTCTTTGCCCTCGTCTACGTAGGAAGATGAAGGAGCTCAAGCCGACGATGCAGTTCACAGACCTTTGCGCCATGCTGCTCCGCGAGCTCCACGATGTAGAGGGCAAGACAGAAGAGGAGATCAAGGCTGCCATGCGCCTCATGCCCTTCGTGAGTTGATGAGACCTGCATCAAGGATCGAAAATGATACACTGACAATATGAGCGGCATTGATGCTGCTCAGCACCCTGGCATGAAGCGAGGAGTGCAGAACCTCAAGGCTGCTGCTTCTCCAGAGACCACCTTCTTCCTCCTCTCCAACTCCAACACCGTCTACATCGACACAATTCTCGAACATCAGGGTCTGACCAACATCTTCGATGAAATCGTGACCAATCCTGCCCACTTTGAGAAAGACGGCACACTCAATGTCAGCAGGAGGGTCCCGGCCGAGGCGCAGGTACAGCATACTTGCAAGGTCGGCTGCAGTGCCAACATGTGCAAGGGTGAGCAGACCAGAACAAAGGCCACAGTCGTTCAGATTACTGATGTTCTACTTCTGCAACTCTTTAAATTCCCGTCTGACGACAGGTGAAGAGCTCGATGCTTTCCTCTCCCGTCACGGCGGCTACGAGGCCTTTGACAGGATCATGTACGTCGGCGATGGAGGCAACGACTTCTGCCCTGTTCTCAGGCTGAGGAAGGGCCAGGACGTTGCATTTGTCAGGAGGTACAGAGGTCTGGAGAAGAGGATCAAAGAGGAGGGCGGCGTCAAGTGCGGCATCAGGTGGTGGGCCGGCGCGTGGGAGATGGAGGGACTGCTGGACGAGGCGAGAGCAGCTTGAGCGATGTAGACGTCCCAACAATTGTGGTATCGACTGATTCACCTCATTACAATGGATTCATCAGAGAAGACCTTGTACGTCTGTTACAGACAGTCGACGCTAGACGTCGCTCGAGGGAGTGTCAGGAGGGCGTAGAGCCAAGTGAACCCTACTCCACCCATATTTTGACAGTCAGCCCCTGCTTCCCCGCGTTGCTTCCGTTGCCTCGCTACCAATCTCCCCCGCGCCTTGAACCCCCTCGACGTCCCATGTCCCCTGGCCGAACGTACCAGCGTTGATGGCCACCACCCTTGATCGGCCGATTCCTCTTTCAACGATGCGGACAACCGCCAGTGGTTCGGGCTCGAATGAGGAGAGACGTGATGGAGCTGCCAATGGGGGCACCACCTCTGGGCTGCGTGCTCCTCCCACCGCGGTCAACGCTCCCTTCTACGCCAACCCGCGAGCAACGCTGCACGAGATCCTCCACCCCAATCCCATCGTCCTCTTCTCCCTCGCCTTCTTCCTGCTGGGGCTCCTCAACAATGCCCTGTATGTAGTGGTGCTGACGTCGGCGCAGGCATTGCTGCCAAAGGGTGTGCCAGTGGGACTGGTAGCGCTTGCCAACATCGGCCCGGCTTTGGTGGCCAAGGCTATCTGGCCATACCTGCTCAAGGGGAGGGTGAGGTATGCTCGGAGAGTGATCTCTTGCACGGCTCTGAGTACTGCAGGCATGCTGGTGAGTTTAACCCGAAGCGTGAGGACGCTGTGACAGCAGAACCTGAGGCATCACTTTCCCCCTGTGGCTCCTTTCAGGTCATCGCCTTCATACCAGCTCTTGAGACTCGACTTCTGGGCATCTCCATGGCTTCCTTCTCATCAGGGCTCGGGGAGTTGACCTACCTGCAGCTCTGCACTCGGTACGGACCCATGAGGGCGGGCAGAGGTGTTGGCTGGTTCGCCTCAGGTACCGGTGCTGCAGGGCTATTCGGTGCAGCGAGCTGGTGGGTCGTCAGACCATTAGGCGTAAAGGGAGGTCTAACCATCATGAGTCTTGTACCACTCCTAATGGCCGCGGCATACTTTGTGGTGATGCCCGACGTTGAAGCCATGAAAGAGTTTGAAGCTGGCCTAACAAGCGCTCATGGAGGAGGTTACCAGGCTGTGCCCTCGGCAGATGATGAGGACTCTGATGAGGAAGACGAGGCGCTGACAGGGGAAGAGCAAGCAAGAGGCACAACAAGTACAGCAGCTGATGCTGTCGGTGTCTCGCATGCTCCCACGGTACCGCTCTCGCTTCCGAGCGAGCTGGATGAGAACATTCCCGAGAGCAAGACGATCAAGCTGAGCTTCCAAGAGAAGATGGATCTGCTCAAGCCCATGCTCGTCCCCTTCATTGCTCCACTAGTGCTGGTTTACCTCTTTGAATATACAATCAACCAAGGCATCGCTCCCACGCTCATCTACTCGGTTCCAGATCCATCCCAGCATCTCCTCCTCTCCTGGCTCATCAAGAATCTCCACGACTACTATGTTCTCTATCAAACCACCTACCAGGCCTTTGTCTTTCTCTCTCGCTCGTCCCTCTCAGTGCTGCATATCCCACCGATCCCGCGGTCTCTCTTGTGGTTGCCAGCGCTGGTACAGGCGAGCATCCTAGCATTGCTCACAAGCGAGAGCTTGTTTGCCTGGTTCAGGGAGAGTATCGCGAGGAGTCTGGTGATCGTCTTTGTAGGCATCGAAGGCATTGCCGGAGGTTGGGCATAGTGAGTACACGTTATCTCCAGGAGATTCAGCTGATCCCGACTATCCGAAGTTGACTGTCCCTCCCGTGCCTTGAACCCCTGACAGCGTCTCCGTCTTCTACCAAATCGGCACTACCCACCACCAGTCCAAGACCATCTCCACGGACTCCTCTTCCAGTCCAGAAGAAGTAGAGATAGAGCTCGCCCGCCGTGGGCAAGAGCAGGAGTTCCGCGTGGGCTGTGTGGGTGTGGGAGACTCAATGGGGATTCTCCTGGCGAGTATTATCTCCATGCCGTTGCAGTTGGGCCTTTGTGATGCGCAGGTCAAGGCGGGGAGGGAGTTGTGTGCGCAATTGTAGTAGCCTGAAGGGCTTGCCTACTCAGTCATCCAATAGATTCGTTATTCAGATCGTACATTGATGGCCATGAGGCTGCTGAAATATGGTACAATTGATGAACGCTCTCCTCATCCCCACCTCCTAAGGTTCTCACTTGCCCTTGGATCGATCATGAATGCTATAATTCCCATAATCCTTGCCGACCTCGTAGAGTTCCCACCGACTAGCAGGGAAGATGTGCTTGTTGCGATTGTACCAATTGCGCTCCACTACCTTTCCCGCATGACTCTCATCCTTCTCTACCGTCGCGTCCGCTACCATTCTCACATCTTCGTGAACGTCAAAGTTGAAGAGGGGTCCGGACTTGCCGCGAGCCTTGTTGATGATGAACTCGTAGAAGGTGTGGTGGTGAGGGACGATTAGGTCTTCCTTGATGTACATGAGGTTGTCCACTGACTGGTTGCGCAACTCGGGAAATTGCTGGCGACACTTTTCGAGGAAGTCGGCGATCGAGTCGCCTTTCTTGCACTGCTCGGAAGAGGGTCCCAATATGGTAAAAAGTGTGCAATGTCAGAAGAACAATTACCTCGCCAAAAGTGGTCACTACCATTGCTGCTCACCTTGACCGTCTTTCGGTGACCAGTACCATCCCAGTACGAATATGTGATCTCAATTGCCTCGCCCTTGATGTCCTCCTGCTTCTTGAGCCACTCTTGTCTCAGCGTCTCTCTGATCTTCCTCTCCTCTTCGTCCCTGGCCCTATCCGGGAGGAAAGAGGTGTCCACTCCGGGGTTCTTGAGTAGACGCTTCTTTGCTGCCACGGGTTCGCCCTCTGCAATACCGTTCCCATTGGAAGAGGTCGATGGCGCTGCCTTCCGCTTGGTAGGGAAGGGGGACATAGCATCTCCATCCTCTTCTTCATCGTCCATTGCAAAGGACAATTTCGGTTTCACCGTCTTCTTCTCCTTTTTCTTCTTCTTTTCTTCAGCTCTGCCAGGTAGCGCGAGTGAACGGGATTAGCAAGACTGCCGCTTGCGACACCCGTAGGGCTCGCCAATTACTCACTTGAGCTCGCTCGTCTTAGCCGCCTCTCTCCTCTTGAGCTCTTCTAGCTCCTCCCTCCGCTTCTTGAAGTCCTCAGCAGAGACCAAACCGACGGTGTTCTTCTTCAGCGTCTCCTCTATGCTGTCAGTGTTGCCCACGAAGCGATCCCCTGCCTTCTTCTGAGCCCGCTCGGCTTCCTTGGCCATGTCGGCCTTCTGCCTGTCAAATTCCTCCATCATCATAGCTGTTTCGGATTCAGGCGAGGCAGAGGCAGACATGGTGTGAGGTGGTAAATTCAAATTTTGAGAGAGAAGCTGAGCAGCGTCTGATGTATCATTGAGCTCGTCGTTGGCACTCACCTCTAGCCTTCTCATGCTTGCCATGGCGGCGTTGCTCCTCCGCCGATGTCGACATGTTGTACCCCCTCCTTCAGGACCAGGAACAGGTTAAACTTCCGTCGCTGCGACAGCAAAGAAGATGGAGGCGCAAATTGTATACGATCGTAGGGGTTGCAAGGGGGTCTTTGCCAAGGAGACGAGGGCGTGAGGGGGTAATGATGAATAGCAAGGAGGATATGAGGTGACAGGAAGCATTGCTCGCGCCCAAGGGTCCGATCCGCTGCGTCGCGTGGAGGCAAAGGCAGACGCAGAAGAAGCTTGAGCCGGAGACGACACTCACACTCACACACACACCCGGGCCGGAAGCAATCCACCACCATCGCCGCCATCGCCATACGCACCCTTTGAGCTCAATCATCGACCATGTCTGACTCTGCTGGGCCCTCATCCGGGCCCTCATCGTCAGGGGCAGCCGAAATGGAGCACTTCTGGTCACAAGCATCCTCCTCCTCGCAGCCTCGCATCTCCCAAATCCGGCGTCGCCTACCCCACTTTCCCTCGGCTCCCTTGCGGATCCAGCGAGTGTCACAGCTCGACGCTGAACTCCTTGATGCTGAGCTTACAACCATGCTACTCGAGCCAGTCAAGGCAAGCATGGCTCAGATTCGGAGTACGCTGCCGGACTCGTTGGAGCCGGAGCTGCTGGCACTGCTGAAAGTGGTGCTGTTTAAATATAGCATCTGGGATCGCGGGGCGAGCTACGGAGCCATGCTGCAGAACTTGAGATACAGGAATGAGTGGGCACATAGAGGAGGACGTGAGTATGCGAGCTCCGACAAGGATATTGGCAGACAAAAGCCAATCAATTGACCCTGTTCGGTGTCGTCTTCGCATGCCGCCCTCGCAGTGCAATCCACCTTTCTCTCCGCGCCCTTGTCCAAGGTCCAGCTGCTCCTCTATCCTCTTCTCACCATCGGCATTCCCTACGCTCATGAGCGCTTCCATCGTCATATGAGCGGGACAAACTTCTCCGATCTGCCTCCCAGCGACCCGCGGCGGATGGTCTGGTCAATTTCGGATAAGCTCGAGAAAGCCTACGAGGCGCTGGCTTTGGCTAATTTCGTCGCCTTCTTGAGCGATGGCAAGTGAGTAGGCGGAGAGACCCTACTGAGATTTTGTTTGGTGTGAGAAGTTGCTGATAACAGCTGCCTTGCGTGCTGTCCACAGATACCGGACCGTGACCGATCGCGTGCTAGGCATGAGGTTGACCTATGCCCAGAGGACTCTGAACCGAAACGTGTCCTTCGAATACCTCAACCGGCAGCTTGTGTGGCATGCCTTCACAGTGAATATTGAAGCACCCTATCTATTCTTGCGGTACAAATCTGACAATTCGTGATTGTCTATGTCCCACAGGAGTTCCTCTTGTTCCTACTACCCATCATCCGTCCACGCCGCCTGCTTCGGCGTCTGATGCGTCTCCCTGCCCATCCTCGAATTCTCTCCTTCTGGCTACACGTTCTACCCATCTGGCTCTCCAAGCGTGTAGGTCTCTACCGCGATACTGTGGGCAGACCACGGTACAAACTGCCCTTTCGGATCCCCCTCGTCACATCTTCTAGCCAGAACAGCTCGAAGGGCGCCACGTCGAAAGGCAAGTACGTCGATCTACCGCCAGAGATTTGCGCCATCTGCTGGGAACAGATTGAGGGTGAATCCTCCGCCTCGAACAGCGGTGCGCTAAGCGTGGGTATCCCAACTTCGGACCCGCTGGACCCATCCTCGAGCGCCCTTGCTCCGTCTGCCTCATCTTCGTCCTCTGCATCGAGGGGTGCTAGTACCAGCACAAGAATGCAGCGCTACCACTCTGCCTCGCGACAGTTTGGAGTCGCTTCAAATGGAATCCCCTACAGCGTTGCTTTGCTTCATACGCCCTACAAGGCCAACCCGTGCGGGTGCAGGTACTGCTATGTCTGCCTTGCAGGCAAGCTTCTGAGTGAAGAAGCAGGCGAGGAGCTCGAGGATAGCCGGACTGCCGTCGGGGTGCAGCAGCATGGAGAAAAGGGTGGGCAGGGCTCAGAGGAGGGCGTTGGAGCTTGGGACTGTCTGCGATGCGCGAGGAAGATCAGGGGAATGGAGAGGCATCTCGACGATCACCATGAAGACGGAGGGGCTGTGGGTACGAATGGTGAAGCCAGTGCGCCCAGAGGCGGGTCGAAACGCAGGTCAAAGGGAGGCAAGGGAAGCAGGGAGAAGATGCCAGTCGAGGATGCATCTGACCCCTTCGTCGTCCCAGAAGAAGAACCGGAGGAGGAGGAGGAACTGGATCTCGCAGAACTGTAAAATTACCTCGTATCTCTGCGGACTCGCTTTGTCAACAATACCCAATGCACTATCAATGCGAAAGAAGTGGTTGGATATTTCTATGGTATACAAAATGACGACAAAGCAACTTCTGCATTCTCGCGTTCGTGACCCACCTCCCTCCGAGCGACATCATCTCAGACTATCCCGGATCGCCATCCGCTCCTCGCGATCCTGCCGATCTCTCGACTCCCTCTCTCTCTTCTTCAGCGTAAAGAGCGCTTCCGGGCCTATTGCGCCGCCTTTTCGCTTTTTACCACCACTTGTCATAGCAATGTCGCCAGAAGGCGTCGAGGACCTTGAGGAAAGCTTTCGGCCAAGACCTGCTCGATCATGCTTTTGAGAGATGCTGATGGGTACCAGGCGGGGCTCGGGACGCTGAGCAGTGGGTAGAACCTGGTCGCCGCAGTGTTCTCCTTCACGCTCTGCAGATTCAGAAGCGATGCTCTGCTCTTGCGGTGGGAGATGGAAGACGTCGTCTATGCCGTCGCCGGCCACATTGTCGAGGCTTGCGACCGCCTCGAAGTCATCCTCGTCTTCTTCCTCGCCCTCGTCTGACGAGATGACGAGGACCTTCCCTGGCGACGGCTTCCGCTCATCAGCAGTAGCAATTTCAGTCTCGATAGCTGTCCGATCCCCGTCTTCCCGCCGCTTCTTCGCAGTTTCTTGCTTCTCTCGACTTCGCTCGCGCTCGCGCTCCCTCTGTCCCTCTTCCCACTCCCACTCGCTCCGCCCTACGCCCATCCCTTCTCTCCAGCCCATGCCGCTCAGCAGCCTGTAACCCCTGTTGGCTTCGTCCAGGTGCAATTGTACTTTGCGAATCTGCTCATTCAGTCCAGTAGAGAGAGGAGTAGACGAGGAAGAGGCGGGTGGGAAGTGAGGTAGGGCCAGGCGGTGCGCTATTGAGCTCAGGTGGGAGCGGAGCACGCTCGGCGGGCAGGGGTAAGGGAGAGGTGTAGAGCAGGTAGGGCAAGGCGTTAGGGTGGGACTTGTAGATGTTGAATTTTGTTGATGAGATCGATCGTCGTCCGCTTCGCTTGCAGAAGAGTCTTGGCCTCTGTCCAGGCGGACAGAAGCCGTCGGTAGGCGAGGTCGTGCACTGAACCAATCTGTTGTACCCTTTTGGCTCGCGGTTCTGGCCCCACTACGACTCTTGGGTACCACTGAGCGTGGTCGTATCGCTGTCGAACTTGACATTGTAGATGTATTCGCCGAAGCCTGAGCAGTGGGCTTGCTGACCACGCTGGGCGCTTTGAGGCTGGCAGCCAGCTGAGCGTAGAAGGAGGCCATTGTGCTTGTTGCTTCAGTGTCGTTCGCAGGTGTGAGCTGCGGCTGCAGTGTTTGTGGAGCTTCTTGATCCAGACCTTCGATTGATGTATCGTGCTCGTAGCTGTTCTCGATCTTCGAGACGTCCCCCTCGGAAGGCTCTACCCAATTGCCTGTCCAAGGCCTACTCTTCTCACCTTCCCTCACGAAGCTCGTCTTGCCCAGCCGCTGTCGGTTGCGAGCTTCCACAGACCCAGTCGATGCATCCCAAGCTGACCGCTCATCTTCGTCTGACCGATCCGACCGACGACTACCAAGCCCGTGACGGCGTCCGCGATGGGAATCCTGGTGCGGTGACTCCTGGAGTGGCGGCGTGCGAGCTCGGATGTGGATGGCTGGAGTGCTCATGATCTCCGGCCGCCGAGCTGGTACGCCTCACAAGCTCCTCGGGAGCTTCCAGGCAGCGAATTTGAGGTTAAGACATCCCTAGCAATGCACGGAGAACCAAGAGCTCAGTCGTTCCGGTGTCGTGGCAGTGATGGCAAGCGAAGGTGCAATGTACCAAATTCTGGTAAGATGACGGAAGGAGGAGTGGAGCGGAGCATGGCGTATCTCCGGACTTTGCGCCGACGATCCGCTTTGCAATCTTCGCCTCATCCGGCAAAGTCAACCTTCCTTTCCCCATCCTCCTTCGACCATATCTGTTATACACTCTTCTTTCATCGTCTTCCTCGATGACTTCGGTCTCTACATCATCCGGTCTTGCGCCTGGTGAGGTCGACGAGCGAGCTCCTCTCCTCAACTCTTCTGCCTCTTCCCATCAATCCGCCTCCCGAAGGCGTCGAGGCTCCCTCGCCGCGTCTAATTCCCGACGACCGGAATACCTTCTGAAGGGTCTCCTAGCGCTTCTCTGTCTTTCCTTTGTCATCCTCGTCTCTGTACTGCTCTTCCATCCCTCCAAGTCGACGGCTCCAGAGCTCAACTCCCATGGCCGACTTAATCCTTCCCACCTGGCGAGAGGCAGTAGAGGAGCAGTGGCGGCCGAAAATCCCGTCTGCTCCAAGGTCGGTCTCGACCTCCTGCGGAAAGGTGGCTCAGCGGCAGACGGCGCCGTCGGTACTGCTCTTTGCGTAGGAGTGCTCAACATGTTCTCCTCCGGTATTGGTGGAGGAGGATTCGCTCTAATCCGGGCTCCTGCCTCCAACGGATCTGCCGAGGCTGAGCACATCACAGTCGACTTTAGAGAGACGGCTCCGGGCGCTGCTTACGAGGAGATGTTCCACGGGGCACCAGAAGCTGCCAAGGTCGGCGGTCTGGCCGTGGGAGTTCCTGGTGAGCTCAGGGGTCTGGAGGAGATCTGGAGACGGTGGGGCAGGCTGGAATGGAGCGAGGTGGTGATGCCCAGTGTCAAGCTGGCAGAGGAGGCCAAGGTGGGCCGAGAGCTGGCGAGACGGCTCAAGTGGCTCGGGTCTTTCATCCCTGAGAAGCCTGAGTGGGAGGAGGTCTTCATGGACCCCACCACTGGCAGGTTTCTGGAAGTAGGCGACACCATCCGACGCACTGCATACGCCGAGACGTTGAGGCAAGTCGCTCGGCATGGTAGCGATGTCTTCTACGAAGGCCCGATTGCCGAAGCGATGGTCGCCAAGGTACAGAAAGCTGGCGGTATCCTCACATTGCAGGATCTGAAGGACTACAAGGTCGAGATCCGCAATGCTCTTCAGGGAGTCTGGACTGGCGGTCAGAAAGCCTGGACTACACCTGCTCCGACCTCTGGCGCTATTCTCCTGCAGATGATGAATGTCCTGCGCATGCTCGGGTACGAGAGGCACGCAGACGAATATCACGGTCCCCATCACGGCAAGAAGTCACCTATCGAGACGCAGATCGAAATTGAGTCACTCTGGACTCACCGCTTGATCGAAGTGATGAAGCACGGCTTCGCATCTCGTACCCGCTTGGGCGATCCGGCTTTCCTCAACGTCTCTTCTCTTCTGGAAATCTCCAAGATTCCTACACTGGCTACCGCCAAGTCGCTCTTGTCCATGATTGACGATTCCCACACACATCCTCTAGAGTATTACAACCCACTCTTTGACATTGAGGAAGACCACGGTACCATGCATCTCAGCGTGGTGGATGAGGACGGCATGTGCGTCGGCATCACCAGCACAGTCAATCTCATCTTTGGCTCACAGGAGATGGATCGCGAGACGGGTGTCATCTTCAACGACGAGATGGACGATTCATCCACTCCCGGCACACCCAATGCATTCGGTCTTCGTCCCTCGCCTTTCAACTACCCTCAACCGCACAAGCGGCCCCTCTCGAGTATCACGCCACTGATCCTCGAGGACGCTCAAGGCCACTTTGAGGTCCTCCTCGGCGGCGCAGGTGGTTCGCGGATCCCTACCTCCGTCCTACAAGTGCTCCTCAATATGGAGCGCGGTCAGAACCTGAGCGAAGCAATTGAGGCTCCCCGGATTCACCACCAACTCCTCCCTGCCGAAGTAGGCGTGGAGACGACCATCTTCGATCACGATGACGCGGTGCTGATGGGTGTGCGGGACGTGCTGAGGGCAAAAGGACACAAGCTCTCCGAGACTGATGTCAATCTCGGGTTCGCAGTGGTGCAGGGAGTGCAGAAGATTTTAGATTCGCGAGGGGAGGTGTTGGAGGTCAGAGGGGCGAGTGACTCGAGAAAGAATGGATGGGCAGAGGCGTACTGATGCATGCTTCGTCTAGCTTTCGATGCTCCCTTTGCAATGGTAGACCTGCAAGTGAACGGACTCTCTATTATCTCAATTTTAAGCGATTGTTTTCGTAATTGCACACACACACACAAACATTGTAACGAAGATGCACGGAGTATATGAGTATTTTGGCTGATGTGAGACTTACACCTCGGTAAGATGACAAGTGGTTCTCCTCGTCCCTCCCTTTTAAGTCTGGTGGGCGATCCAAGATCAGTACTCCAGTTCCATGACTTCCTCCTCCTTTGCGCCCCCAGCAGAGACGTCGAGGTCCTGATAGCTCCTCGTCTGCCCTCTTGCTGCACGTGGGTCCAGCGGTCGCGGCGGTGGCGGAAGAGGTTCGGTGGACATGGGCTGAGCGGGAGAAGCGATGGCCGTCTGTTGCTGGTAAGGCATGCCCATGAGTGCAGGCGAGGGCTGCTGGGCCCCCAAGCGCAGGTGGAGCGGAGCGAGGGAGATGGACCCGCCGCCAAGGTGGATGGCGGGAGGAAGACCGTTCGAGCCACCGAGGTGGATGGGAGGAGGTTGACCCAGTCGGTCGCTCAGACGCACACCACCACCACCTGGTGTCCAGCTGTCTCCTCCGTTGCGACGTCCGGGGGATGCTGACCGTCTCCTGCCTCCTCGGCGGCCACCTTCTTCGGGACCAAAGGACGTCGGGCCCATGCGAATGATACTGCCTCCAGACGCATCATAGCCGCGTCCGTTGGCATTGCCACTCTGTTGCAATGGAGGCATGACCCGAGTGGGATCACGGACGTAATTGTTGAGATAGGTGATGTCCTCTCGTCGCCCACCGAGCTCCCTCTCTATGAGATCCTTGTGCTTGTTGCACACGTGCTTCTGCACAAAGATCAGAGCCTTGAAGAGCTTGTCACATGTCTTGACAGTACCTTCCACTGCAGGGTTGGGCACCTCGACGATACAACGATGCTTTTCCTTATCGTCCTGACGGATGAATGGAGTGGCCAGTTCGAGACACAGCTTGTCAAGATCTACACCGCCGACTTCTTCGATGTCGATGGTCGGTGACTCGACGAGCAAAAGATGCTTGCGGTCAAGATTCTCAGCCCATTGCTCCTCGCCCATGTTTTGCCCACCGTCAGCAGCAGCATCCCGGCCCTCTCGCTCAGCTTCCGTCTCGCCATCTGGATAGCATCTTCTGAAATGCGCTCTGGCTCGTCGGTCCAGCTCTTCACCAAAGTCGCAGATCGTGCTGGAGTAGTAGTCGCAATGGTAGACTTCGCGCAGAAGGTCTAGGTGCAGATCCAGGACCTTCATGATGACCAAGCGGATCTCTTCCTTATCCTCAGGCGAGTCGAAGGCTCTGGCGTTCTCGTGGATCTGCATGAGAATATCATCCTCTTCTTCGCCTTCGCGAGTCTGATCGAAGTAGCGTCGCAGGCCCATCCGCTCAAAGACATGCCTCGTGATCTCATTACTGGCCGGCTTGAGAAGCGCTTGCCTGTCCTCCTCGTCAAGGTCTCCACCTTCTGGCCATAGTGTCTGGACATCGTCACGCTCGGCCCACTTGACAACATCTCGGGCTTGCTTGAGGTCCTTGGCAAGACGTTTGAGGCTGCCGGAGCCGGAAGGAGCAGTCCTGAATTTGACCTGAGCTCCACGAGCTGCGACATCAAGCTGCAACTTGTTGTCCGAGACGACTGCACTGTCTAGCAGATTTCGCCTGGCGTCTTCAGTGTTGGTCTCATTGTCAAAGACAGCCCATCCAAGGGCGTAATACTGCTTGTTGGCGTGAGCCTCGCCAAGGGCCAGATATTGGAAGCCGGCATTGCGGGCTAGCTCGGCTTCGAGAATGCGTCTCGAGAGACCGGGTGGAATGCGCATGATGAGAAGTTGTGTCGGCGAAGGGTCAACTGGCAGAGCATCTGTGGAGACCTTGATGGGCTCGCCATATCGCGAGTAGACTGTGTTCATCGAAGAGTCCTCAGATCCTCCCTCGCTCTCCTCAGCTCGCCTGCCTCCCTTTTTGAGAGGCGCGAAGTGCATTTCGAAAGTAACCTTGTCCAATTTGCCAGCCTGTAGCTCGTCGAACCAGGCCCTCTTGCGACCCTTCCTTCCCAGTCGCCTTCTCTCCCTCCGTCGCTCAATCTCACTCTCGCCCATGCCGTACTTTTCGAGGAAAAAGGCAACTCCTTTCTTTTCCTCCCAGAATTTGCGAGCGGAGCGAGCCGTGTAAACTGCCTTGTAGCGCTTGTAGAGGTCGAACATTTCCTGAGTGGTGAGATTGGACGTGGTCGACTCAGGGTCCAACCTTGCTTGTCGCTGGCGATGAACTTGGGCGAATTGTTTGAACGGAAGCAGCGATGGAGCATCTAGGGGGTCCGGTATTGGGGCGCCTCCATCCCCACGCCCGCCGTACCTTCCTCTGTCCCTTTGCCTATCACGCTCGAGTGCTTGCTCGTAGTAGCCATCGTCTCTGTAGCGAGTTGCAGGGTTGCGGTAGCCATCCTCGCCGTCTCCGTATCTATCCCTGCCGTACTCGTCAGTATAACGAGCAGGAGCCCGTTCGCGCTCCGGAGCATACCGATCGTAACCTCGATCGTAAACATCCCTCTCCGAAACATGGCGGCTGCCGTATGGAGAGCGGGATCGTTCTCGATCTGGGAAACGTTCGCAAGGTGAGCAAAGAGCATCTTGATTAGTCTCTACCTTTGAGGTCAACGACACGCGCTCGAGCTTAGCCTCACCTTCATCAGCTACAGAACGATACATGGACCCACGCGGTCCTGCACCTCTAGAATAATCTGGAGACCGCGACCTATGCGGTAAGTCATAGTCTACATCCTTTCGTGCCAGCGCGGCAGGGGGAGGGGATCGAGATCGCCCGTTCGCATAGGGATCGTCATCTGCCCCAAAAGATGGACGGTAGGAGTCCATGATACTGTGAGTGCTGAATGAGGTTAGGTGGTCTTTGTAGCCGGTGAGAAGTGAGTGGATGATGAGGAAGGGAGACGATGTAAGCGTGTTGTAGACGAGGATGAGGACGATGAGGAGGGTCGTAGCGTCGCTGACAATGCTGAGACGCAAGCAAGCGAGAGGCAGGGAAGGTGTGGATGCGGGTAGCACAATGAGCTCGTAGAGCCCACGATTGGGGATGTTGGGGTAGGCTCGCACGCAAAGGCGCCGAAAGATGATGAGAATGAACAACGGCGAGGCGCACTCAAAGTTGAGTCGTAGAGGGAGCCCACGACCTCCGCCAGTGGTCGCTTCGCTAGCCTGGCATATTGCTCCAAGCTACCACCTTTCCCTTCGACAGAGACGCGCTGCAAGCTGGCTATATGCTACGTAGCTCTGCTCCAGCTGTACAGCGACGCCACTCCAAGCATGTTGGCCTTCCATATGAAGTCCTCCGTCGAAACGCACGACAAGATGCGTAGATGAGGATGAACGGGGAGAGGCGGGGAACAGGACGAGGATGTGCAACTCACCGAGAATGTATGAAAGCCCAGGTAATTTGGCCGTAGACGAGTGACAGCGACGGGCCTGTATGCGCTTGGCCAGTACGAGAGACGAGTCTACGCTGTGGCTGCTGTCAGGGCTTTTGCCGTGCTTGATGCTGGTCTACGACTCTGTCCTTGGCTTTACCGACTGGGTATGGTCCGGATGGAAGAAGCTCGGGCGCGATGGCCTGCAGCAGGGCCGCCCCACTTTGCCTCCGCGCAAGGCGCCAGTGCCAGTCCGTCGACGCTCCTCTACTTCCGCACGGCACAAAGTCGACGCCAGGGGGACACCCTCGTCTGCCCCACCTGCCTACGTCAATATGATGATGATGATCGCCCCTGATGTACAACAATGACCAGACATTCGCCCGATGCAAAGATACCTTACATTCCTTCCTACACGACTCACTCACGCCCGTAGATAGCCCTTCTTTCCCATTCAGCAGCCCGCACCTTTACCATGTCGAAATCGACACCGGCCTCCCCTCCTTTGAGTCCCCGCCAGCGTCTTGGCTCCATACTTACTGGCAACAGCCGCGCTGCTTCTTCAGCAGTATCATCATCAGCAATTTCGACAGCCAGTCCTTTGTCTCCCATTGGAAAGGATGGAGGCGAAGTCACCCCCCAGTCAATGTCACATGACGGCATGCACCGCACTCGCACCCATCGACTGTCTCGCCTCAGATCGCCCTTCAAGGGTAGCGATGTAGGCACCGTAGACAGTCCCGAGCGTAAGACCTCGGGCATGAGACCCTCGACTAGCGAGTGCCCCCTACTGGACCTGCCTCCCACCAGCTCTGACATGCAAGGCGACTACGTTGACGTCGCAAAAACTTTGATGACTCCGTCGGCACTTTCGAGAAGCTCGTCTTATCAGATCTCAAGACCGACATCGCCCTCTTCAGCAGCAATTCTGCGCAGCCTATCGATGCAGTCCGGTCCACCGATGTACGTAATGAGCCCTTCCACAAGCCCAGCCAAACGTACTGGGCCCTTCCTATTCAATCGATCGCGCAAGAATTCTGATGTCGCACTCAAAGAGGGTAGCGGTGAGGGAAGGCTCGCCTTCAGCAGGCACTCTTCGAGACCCGCCAGTCCTATAAGGACGAATTCAGAGCGTTCACTGTATCCTTACAAGAGAAAGTCAGTGGGAGCACCAGTGATCGGTCTTCCTACCAACTTCAAGCATACATCAGGCATATCAACTGCTCCGCTACAGAATGCACTACAGCTAGCAGGGCTGGCTGCCGTCTCGTCTAGGCAGAGCTCAGTATCTGAGGGCGGGCAGACTTTTTTCAGACCCAACACAGACCGAACATCAGCTCTACTGGAGGACAAGCAATCTCTAGCCGAGGCTCTGGACGAGATTGAAAAGGCCCTCGACGGGATGCCTGCGAGATTCACAGATCAGCAATTCCAGCGCTCCCCTCCTCCCCTGGTCTCGCAGAAGAAAGACACATTAGACACAGTCGACATAGTGTCCAGTGGCCTTGCACAGCGTCTTGACGATGCTGGACAGAGTATGCGACCCTTGACAGTACTTGCGCAAAGTAAGGAAGACGAGTCACACTTGTCGACAAGCGGTGACAAATTGATTACCCACGAGTTTACATGTCCTGCACCACCAAGCAGACCAGTCAAAGGATCTTTGCGCTCCCCATCCGTGTCTCCCGTCAAATGTCTCCATCGCAAGCCCGTCCCCAAGCTCGAAGACGCATTGCGCAGCGAAGTGGCAGTGTCGCCTCCTCAGCGTGGCGTACTTCCCATCTCAGAAACAAATGATGTGAGAAGTGGTATCCAGGGCGCAGAGCAACTGCCTGACAAGGAGGTAGCGAAGATGCCGCCTTGCATCTCTGTCAAGCCATCGCAGGACTGGTCGGCTACCCTGGCTGAAATCAAAGCGGCGCTCAAGGCTTGAGGAGAGCCTGACCAGGAGCGGACCAAGTCCGAGGTCACCACAACGCCGAGCGAGGTGTGCCTGTGTATGACCTGAAGAAACAACCAATCACCATTTCATGGCCCGAATCACCAGACTGATAGGCGTTGTCATCGCAATGTATCTTACTCCCCCTTCACGCAGTGGGCCTGGAAGACCAGAAGATGCTACCTCCATAGAGGTCAGGACTTGTGAGAGGCATGAGGCCGTAGCAGAAGCCTGCAATGCCTAGAAGGTATGCCAGAGAGATTTCTTTCGAGCACAAGGGAGGCGAGTCGACGTCTGATCAGCCATCGAAGGAAAGGTGAACAGGGAGATTTTGGATACTTACTGAGCTTGTGCTCGGGAAAATCCTCAAATGCAGAGGCGGGATTTGGTAGGCCCATGATGTTGCAAAAAGTATGACTGAGCAGTGGTGGGATGATAGAGCCTGTTCGTTCAAGCGAAGAGCGTCAGGTCCAGCGCAAAAGCTTCAGTGTCCCAACGAGCCGTGTCACTCACCCGTCCTGAGGAATAGGAAATTGGCATACCACCCAAACAGTGTGGTGTAAGAGAATTGCAAGGTCGACTGCAGCGCGGCAAATACGAGTGCATTCTTGTTGCTGCCTTTACTCTTGTAAGTCTCCCAAGCATGGTGCAGGTGAGCGATTCCGAAGTACAATGGGGTCTCGAATATGAGCCATTTCTTCGAAGCACCGGAAAAGTGGTGGACGGAGAGGATGCAGGAGCGCCAGATGATCTCTTCTGTGAGAGGTCCGACGACGAAGTTGCGTAGCCCGTAGAGATTCCACCAGCCTGACAGCCACTCTCGGGCTTTAGCTAGAGCGCCTTTGCTGCCTGATGTCCGGGAAGGTCTCAAGAGGGTGGGCAAGGGGAGGTTGTCCCAGAGGTACTCTACGTAGATTGGACCGGCGAAGAGAGTCATCGTGAGGCCTAGTGGGAGAAACAGAGCTGGTAGGAGGTGAGAAGTGAGGTACTCCCACAGGCCTGGCTTGAGCGGCAAGATGGAGGATTGTAGGAAAGAGGGAACTGTCAGGGGTAGCGGGATGCCCAGCATCAGTAGAAGCCTGGGGAGGTGAAGGCACCAGTGCTGCGTTACGATGACAAAGATGAGCTAGAGGTCCTCCAAGAAACCATGCTCAGGTCGTCTCACTCACCGGAGGATTCGGCTCTGCCTTCCACAATGCCAGACCAGTGCCAGCCCAGCCGAGCGCAGTGACGATGCCAGCAACCTTTATCCGACTCCTCATGACCCTGGGATCATCTTTGGGCAAGCGACGGACAGCCGGTGAGAGGTAGAAGCCTCCCACGTAGGAAAGGGTGAGGATGGAGGCATGCAGAGGTGCCCAGCCTGCCGATATGAAGGGCAAGGGTACAGGTACGGAAAGAGGTGAGGAAGATGACATGTCGAGATGCTCTGCTAGGCGGACGTGGTAGCTTCACACGGCGCGAAGATCAGACGCCTCCCTATCGTCTTGAGCTAATGAGGGATCAAGGTGAGATAGTAATTACTTCGATCGAGAGCCCATCCTGTCGCTTTGCGTACCAGTCATGGTGAGGGACAAAGGGGCGCGTGGGAAGAAGGTGCCATGCGCTGCCCGTGTCATGCATCTCCGCCGCCCCTGTTGCAATTGCCGATCCGATTTTGTGGAATGGCCGCCGACGCGTGGTCCAACACTTCCCTCGAGCCAATTGGCAGCAGCCTGCAGCAACAGGGTAGACGTCGCCCACGACAACCAAGAGCCTACCGCTGCTACAGTCTCGGGGAAATAGCGAGACTGTCACTCGTCGTAGATGACTGTTCGTCGGTAGCTTCATCCTCAGGCAGCCACAAGACCCATATCCTCAGCACCTAGAACTTTAGTCACATCGCTCAGCTACCCCCTCTTTGCCGGCGATGGCGATCTCCGCCTCCTCTTCCGCTTCGTCTCTCGGAGGCCCATCACGCCTGGCCATGGTCCCACCTCGGTCTTCCTCAGTAGCTCCAGCCCAATATTTCGACTCCTTCCTCGAGCTCTGCCCAAGCATTCAGTCCATCAGTGCCCTCGCCCGATCTTCGCAAGACGAAGCAGTCAAGCTCACCCGACTGAGCAGAGCGCTCCTACACATATGCTCACTCGGAAACGTCAATCTGCTCGCATGGTTTCTCGAGATCAGAGAGCAGGGGCAAAGGGCGCTGAGAGGAGGCGGTGGCCCAATGCAGTCTTCCACGGCCGCAGAGGAGCGCTTCTTCCCGCTGCTGAATCTCCGAGCTGTGAGGGAAGATGAGGGAGGATCGGGGTTAGTGATATTGGCCGCCAGCGCCGGACACACTGGCATTGTCGAGCTTCTGGTCGAGCATGGTGCAGAGGTAGACGAGAGAGATGCAGGTAAGCTCGAAGAACAGGGCTCTTCGTAGAGATTACAGGCAGACTCGAGCTGATCGCTTCATGTCTCGGGCTCCTCGGCAGCGGGTTGGACTCCACTTATGTGGGCCATCAATCTTGGCAATCTCCCCCTGGTCACCTTCCTACTTCAACAAGGCGCCGATGTCGAGGCTCGCAGCAACAACGGACGTACCTGTGAAGACTTCATCGTATCCCTAGCTCCCCTCGAAGATGGCACCACCAGTCTGGACTCTACAAATCAGCAGCCTCGCACGCTAGAATTGATTGCAGACGATGTCTACGAGCATATCATGGCAGCGGTGGCTAGACGAGAAGCAATGACCTCGACAAATCAAAGCGGCAGCAGCTTGCGATCGGCCTTCTCGGATTGGAACGCTGTGTCACCCTCAGGATCTCTCTCGCGGCCTGCCAGTCTCACAATCAGCGGGCTCCCAGCATCTGATCCCAATTCTCGGCCTCATTCCCTGCTGCAGGGTCGCAATCGTACTCTGCGACACAAAGCTTCGACTTGGAGTATGTCATCGACTTCCCGTCGCATTGTTGGTCGGAGTGAGCGCAACGATATGCAAGAAGCAGAGATCAGGGCTAGAGAGGTGGCCGAGGGCAGGAGAAGGGCTTTGTTAGACATGGCTGTCATGCTAGATGTCGAGTATCTCCATCTCTTCGGTCACGATACAGGCGTGGGCGGCAGTGATGCGAGCTCGGCTCTGACAAGCTGGGCGGTGAGAAAAGGCAAAGCCCGTAGACGCGAAGGAGCTCGACATCCTGCCAAGGTCCAGCTTGCAGGGCTGTCTCCTGGATGCGGTGCACTGGAGGTAGGAGAGGACCCACTGTCTGTTGAATTTGACTTCGGCCAAATCCTGCCAGATCAGATGCTTGTCCTCGGCGGCAACGACGTGGACCCTCTACTGGATCTGCTGATAGTTGACGGTCAGCCTATGAGGGCTCCGTGGAGCAGCCGTGCCGAGCCTGCAAATGCAATCTTCCTCTGTCTCCGCTCTGCTGCAAAGTACCAGGATGAGGACGTCTTTATGAATCTTCTCCTTGGGACCTTGGAGCGGATAGAAGATCGTATACGGGTGAGTGATGCGGCACTGGACATTCGAAAGAATCGAGCCGATGGCTGAAAGTTCTCCCTCTCATTGCTTCCTCAGGAAGAGCAGGCGTCTCTGACTCACCTTGCATATTGGCTCTTCAACCTGACCCTTCTCTTACATTATCTGCAAAGAGATGTCACATTATCACGCCTTCCGTTGATGCAGGATGAGCATCTCCACTACTTTGTGGACCTCATCAATGAGTCCTACGTGATCCTCATTCGAGACGTCGAGCGACGCCTCAATCGTCTCATAGAGCCTGCGATGCTCGACTACGAATCCTTACCGCTATTCGAAGACGTCCGCTTTGAGGGCGAATGGGGTTTCATGAAGACACTCACGGGTAGCGTGAAGGGAGCCGTGGCAAATGGTACATCTAGCACAACGAGCCCAGCGAGAAATCGTCTGAGCCAGATGTTTGTCAAGCGCGATCAGCCTCCTGGCTCGCCGTCACCCAACACTCCGAGTAGACTGGCGCAATCGAATTCTATCGGGTCTCTGAGCTCTTTTTTGCCTCGTTCCCCGAAGTCTCAAGCCAAGGACCACGAGGAGCTCTCTACTGAGGCCTCTGCTGCTGACTTGCTCGCAAGACCTACACCTCGGACAATTACTTCTCTCTTGACATCAGCTCTGCATGTGCTGCAGCTGTACGAAGTCAATCCAGCTATGATCATCCAAGCATTCTCGCAGGTCTTTTACTGGCTCACATCGGAGATCTTCAATCGAGTCCTCACCAACAAGCGCTATCTCTGTCGATCGAAAGCGATGCAGCTTAAGCTCAATGTAAGCGCTCTGGAAGACTGGGCACGCAGTAACGCTCTTCCTTTATCTATTGTCAGCACCCATCTGGCCCCTCTCAACCAACTCATTTCATGGATAGCTGGTCAATCTTCTCTTCGGGAATTTGACTCCTTGATTGCCACAATGCAAGGGTTGAAATGCCTCAATCCGCTTCAGATGAAGAGGGTAGTCAGAGATTATAGGTACGAGGTGGGAGAGAGTCGCATGAGTGATGAGTGTCTGCAGTACCTCGACCAACTTCGTACAGATTGGGAGAGGCGGCAAGTACACTCTGATGATGTCGAGGAGGAGCGCAAGGTGAGAAGGGACCTCATGGCTATGAAGCAGGAGCTCATCCGGCAAGATGAGAGGGAGCCATCGCACCATCAACGCTCAGGCACGGCCACTCAGGATCATCCTGGCCCGTCATCGCCTTCGCTTGACGAGACGATCCAGCACAATACTTTCATTGCCGATGATGTAGGAGATGCTACGCAGCAAACAGTGATGCTACCCTTGGAGGGGCTTCCTACAGGAATGCAAGCTCTCGATGCGGACTCGCCTCAAGCAGAAGCATTGGCCGCTCAGCGTGCAATCGACTCCCTCTTCCTACCAGGTCGGTCCATGGCCGACTACCAGCCGCCTCTGGCCCCCGAGCCTGACAAGAGGGTCCCCATCGCTCAGCGAGATCTCCTCTACTCAAGTGCCATGCTCCCATTTGCTATGCCCTCGGGCGTAGAGGCACTGATCGTCTCCCCGGGAGATGCTTTTGGCTTCGGCAGGGGCCACTTCACGGGTACGGGGACTGCAACCCTGCGTACTGCCAGGGCAGGCGGCAGCACTCCGAGCACAGCTGCTCTGAACCCTGCACAGCGTTCCGGCTATAGTGCCTCCCTCTCTTCCTCAAGCAGCATCAATGGCCGGTCCTCCTTCTCCATCTCGGGCAGCCCCACCAAACCGTCCAGCTCCCTCTCTCATGAGCTCCTCGTCCCCGACGAAGATCACTCCCTCGATCTCGACGATCACCTGACCGACGACGGGAGCGCCTCTGTCCCCTCTGCCGCCTCGGGTCTCTCGGCCGAAACGAATCGCAGCGTCTTCACCAGCGGCAAGGGACTCGCGGCAGGCGGATACTGGCAGCCCGTCCCAATCATCAGCGAGGAGAGTCTGAAGAAATTTGATGATTTGATGAGGAACGAGGCGAGAAAGTGGGAGATGATGAGGAAGAGGGGCAGGATGAGGATCAGCTCGGGACCTATCAGGTCGCCCATTGTTGAAGGAGACCCCTGGAGGGAGTGGGGTGCAGAGACTGCCAGTGGAGCGGTAGCAGCGGCGAGCCCGCGAGCCAGCCATACAGAGGGGATCAGTCAGTCGCTGGCTGTCCCACCTCCTGCACCAGGTCCCTCGTACGCGAATGGAGACACGTCACCTCGGCCCTCGGAGGAGGGGACGCGCGAGGGCAGCAACGCTCCACGTCCATACCGAGGTTTCGCCATCAAATCGACTTCTCCGCGAGTGCCAGTAGCCGAGATGCAGGATCTGGCCATGAACGAAGCGGCCTAGTAAGCAAGAAAAGAGAGCATCACGGCCCAAGAGGAAGGTGAAGAGAGATAATGACTTCTCAATTGTACTATAGTTACATACATTGCGTTTCGAATCTTATGCTCCTGCTATGCACGCATCTATTCATCTGGCTACCTTGCACTCCTTAGCGCAGAACTTCGTCCTTCCCCTCTGTGCGAATCCACACCCACTCATCTAGGCGCCCGAGACCCAAAGCCCATACCGCCAGCTAAGGTGCCCATAGGTCCCGCCGCACCGCCTTGAGCTCGCCATGACTCGAGCAGATTCGAAACGGCGGCTCCGTTGCCTTCTTCGGCGTCATCGGCGTCGCCCTCGATGGCGAGGTCGGGTAGCATCTCTTCATCCCCGTCCTCATCCTCGTCGCCTTCTTCGTCTTGGAGATCAGCAGAGATCTCACTGATCTTGGGCGCAACGCCCTTACTGGACTGCCCGATTCCATTGCCGTTATTGGGCGCACGCAGTCCAGCAGAATCGACTAGTTCAGTGAAGGAAGGTGGACCCTGATTTTGCTCCTTGAGGAGACGATCGAGGAGAGCAGTGTCTTTTGCCGAGAGGGGCTCCTCTTCCTCTTCTTCCTCGTCCACGTCCTCGTCCATGCTTGAGCCGGTGAGAGCGACCTGTTCGTGCGCGCTGAGGATAGGAGCACCGCCCATTTCACCTTGCGAAGGGGTCTGAGCGTCGTCCTCGCCCTTTACCTTGCCATTTTGCTGTGCCTTTGCCTCGCTCGCGGCCTCATTTCCCTCGTTTCTCTCCCTCTCCTCCTCCTCTTTCTTCATCAAGCTCCCCAAACTCGCCCCACCAGGCCTCCTCAAAGCCCAGTCCTCCGCACGCACTTCCCCACCATACGTCTCCTCTCGGTTAAGCGGCGGAAGCCCCTTAGAGCGACGGTGCGCGTCCAGGGCCGAGTCCATTGCGCCCATGAGCGTATCAAAGGAGTTGAGAGAGGAGTTGCGGACGCCTGAAGTTGAGTTGGTGGTGGGAGAGGTAGCTGCTGCGGGTTCGACAGGGTTAGAAGTGCTACGAGCCGGCTCTGTTGTGTCGACAAAAGAGACTGATTTGGCTTTCGACACAGAATCGGGGGTGGGAGCGGCGGAAGGGCGACTGAGAAAGCCTTGTTTGAAGCCTTTGCCGAAGCTCGAAGAAGGAGCCGGAGGAGCAGCGGTGTTGCTTCTCGTCGGCGCCGCCTGAGCTGGAAGCGGTGTCGTCTGTTCCTTGCCCGGTACCCATCTACCGTTATCCTTTCTCTCCTTCATGATCTTTGAGAGCTGCTCTTCGCTGAGCCCCAGCTCCTTGCGAGCAAAGTCGACGAATTCTTCCATCTCCTCCTCCTCATCTTTTTCCGCATCAATCTCCTCCATCTCCCCTGCAGGCTCTTCTGCCTCGTCTTCCTTCTCGTCATCGCTAGGGTCTAAATCAAGCACACGAGCTCGCTCTCGCCTCTGCTCCTTTGTCTCTGGTCGACCGTTCTCATCGAGACCCGCCTCAGAGTCATTGTCTGAATCTTCTAGTTGCCAGGACTCAGCGCCGTCAAAGTGGGAAGAGATGGTGGAGGAGCGATAGGCCTTTGCTTGGGCCTGAAGACTGTCCCGCAGATCGCTGGAGGAGAGAGCGGCCGTTTGGGATGCCTTCTTCTTCGTGAGGAGAGTCGCTTCCTTTGCATTGACAACACGACCGCTGGCGGCGTCTCTCGGCGGGTTTGCCCTTACGTCCACTGGCGCGGCAGGCTGAGATGGCTCCTCAGCCATCGCCTTCAGCTGTTCGTCGAGTGCCTGCCTGGCACTGACGTCGTCATCAGTCTGCCAAGCGACCTGTTCACCAAGACCAGGCAAGAGCGCCTTGAGCCTGTCAGCTCGCGCCTCGGCGCTGAGCTCGCCTAGCCTCCTTCGAGCTTCTAGGATGACTGTCTCGTCGTCTTCGTCTTGCTGCACTTCTCCATCCAGATCCATGTCAGCCTCTTCCTCATCGTCTGAACTTTCTCCACTGTCTTCAGACTCGTCGATGACAGCTCCCTCGACGGCGCCTTTGCCTTCGATGAACTTCTCCACTCGTGCGGCAAAGTCCGAGAGCTTCTGTGTCGCTTCTCGCTCAGCAGCTTCTTGACCGTCGCCAACCGATGACTGATCTCCATCAAGAAAAGAATCGCCAGTCTCATAGAGCCATGAGTCGCTTTGCTCCTGAGAGAGGATGGACGCCAAGCCAGATGGATTTAAAGAGGCAACAGTGCCTGCATTGGAGGTGGCCAGTACGTCCCTGATCGACTCGACCCATTCTAGATCCTCTGTCCCTGCGTCGTCACCCTGATCATCGCTTGCAGTGTCGGGGACTCCAGACGACCTCGTTTTCCACCAGTCTGACACGGCTGTGGCCTCCAGCTCTTTCCACTTCTGACTGTCCCTGACTTCGTTCTGAAAGTAACCCAGCCTTTCGAGCTTGTTGATAAAGTGCTCGTACCCAGGGTCTGAACGAGGATCCAGCTGCTGACGATCGGCAGGCTGGCTCGTGTCGAACAATCCTGCTCGGCTGCGTCTCTGAGATGCGAACCTCTCCCGATCATTCCAGTAAGCCATCTCAAGGCCAACGGACAGCTTACAGCCAAGATCCCACCTCCTGCCCTCGTCCAATCTCTCTTGCTGAGCCTTCGAAGCTGCGGAGAGTCCGGGACCCGCGGCCTGCACAGAATCGAGATCTTCATAATACTGACTGATCCGTTCACGATAAGGTGAGGAAAAGGACTTGGGGGGCAGGAAGCGCACGGACAGCAGCTGGATATACAGCCGTCGCGGCAGGGATAGAGGTACCAGAAGGCCTGGTTTTGAGGCCGAAGAAGTAGGACCAGCTTCAGTGATACCCACGGTAGGACCGAAAGTCTGCATCTTGCTGGCTACCCTCATGTCCCGTGAGTCTCGACCGAGGAAAGCCTGTCCAGCTCGAGCGATGAGCTGACATTGCCGCTGCAGTACCTGAGCAACGGACGAAGATGACAGGAAGGCTGTTGTGCGGTGTTGAGCTGTATCTACCCATTCCGTCCCGGGATAAGAGGAGAGGCGAGAGAAGGCAGCGTCATTGAGAGACTGCGAGAACTGCAATGTCTCTGACCGTTGAGCAAGAGCCGTCAGAGCATTGCGCAGGTTTTTGATCGGAAGAATGCTACCATGACCGGAAGCGCCGTTCTGGCCTTCGCGACCTGGACCGATGAGCTGCAGCTGCTCCCTCGCCAGCCAGACTCGACCGTCTGCATTCTCGGGGTCGATCCATTCCGGCAGCTCCTCTGCAGCCTCGATGAGCAGGAATTCACCATCTTCGTCCTGAACTTGTATGAAACACTCCTCCAGTATTTGATTGGATCTTTGGTGCAGTCTCAGGAAGTGGATCAGGGCAAATTCATCTTCGGTGGCACCTCCAGTCTGGAGGTCAATGCGGACGTGTGGAGGCACGACAGTCTGTCCATCCTTTGACTTCCATCCTTGCGATACTCTGAAGGTCACATTCGATCGATAGAAGACATAGCGATCGAGGCCCGATGGCAGGGGCTTGCGAAGGAATACCTGGAAGGCCGAGGCAAGACTGCTGCGCAGAGCGGAGAGGGAGGAAGTGGCGAAGGTGTCGGAAGGAGCAGAGCTGAGGGAGCTGGGAGGGAAGACCCTGGCCCGAAAGAAGGGCTGTACCTCTGCTTGAGCCGCTTGCGCGATGTGCGTCGACGACGAGCCAAGGGGAACATCCATCGCCTCAGCAGCTGGACCAGACGAGGTTGATGGTGATGGTGGTGAATGGCTCCTCTACCAACCCGCTCTGTACATCCATGTCTTCCTTTCCGTCGTCGGCTCGGCGCCTTGATCGAAATTCTTGCCGCGGGCCAACTGTTGTGCGGCAGAGTCAGCCTTGGCCTCCTTTCGCTAAGCAGCTTCTTCTCGCTCCACTACCGCCAACCCATCGTCCATACTCACCTCACAACGCCTCAATGCTCATCGCATAGAAGACACACTTTAGAGTCATACGCGACGTCGCCATCCACATCTTTCTTTCGGCCCATCACTGCTGCTGTGCGCCTTGAGGATGAGCCTCATCCCTCTTGGCCCACGTTGCGCTGCGAGCGGTAGCAGGCATGCTGCCTTCGCCTTGCGTAATGTGCAGGTGCAATCGAACAAGTGTGGTAGCCGCGCCCTATCCACTGCCAGCTCCCGACTGCTTCTGTCAGCCAATACTGCAGCCCCTTTGAGCTGGCCGCGTGTCCAGTCTGCCCTACAGCCGTCTAGAGTCTCTGTAACACGTTCGCCCTTGGTCTTGTCGCGGTGGAACTCTTCGAAGACGACTCCACCTTCTTCGTCTCCTGCAAAGTCATCTTCACCTACGGCCTCATCTTCTAAGACCTCTTCGGAAACCTCTGCGTCATCCACGACAGCTCCTGCAGCAGCGTCTGCTGTTCAGAAACTTGTCGCACGCATTCGAGATGCCTTCCTGCAGTCTTTGGCTAAGGCCGCATCTCGATCGGGCACTGGTACTGGAGGAAAGGACACAACAACGGCGCCTCCTACCTACCCAGACTTCAGGCGACTGTTTTCGCTGGCTGCGCCGGAGAAGAAAGCCCTCTTCCTCGCTCTCAGTCTCCTGCTAGTTTCTTCTGCCGTTTCCCTAGCTGTCCCCTTCACCATCGGCAAGGTCATCGACTTCTTCACCGCTCCGACGCCGGCCGAGACCGACGGTAAAGACGGTAGCTCAGATGATGCTGCAAAGAAGAAGGATAAGACCATTTTCGGCATGGGCTTCAAGTCCGTTGTTCTAGTCCTGGTGTTCGTCTTCGCGACTGGAGCAGCTGCTAAAGCTGGGTCGAATATCATGCTCAATCTGGCCGGTGTGAGAATCGTCAGAAACATCAGAGAGAAGTGCTTCGGGAATGCTGTCAGGCAGGAAGTCGAGTGGGTGAGTAGTGTTGCGGCATCAGACTGGTCGACGCACGTCTGACCTCAGTGCGGCTGTTTCATGTTCAGGCCGACAAATCGCACGGCGATATCATCTCACGTCTTTCCGTCGACACGTCCATTGTCGGTGATGCCGTCACTTACGAGCTTGGCGATGGCCTGCGGTCTTTTTTGACCGTCATCTTCTCCGGTACAACAATGTTCCTCATCTCACCGTCTCTCACGCTGCTCATGATGGGCGTTGTCCCACCAGCCGCCATCGGAGCCGTCTTCTACGGACGCTACCTACGTGACTTGACCAACAAGACGCAGGAAGCCGTCGGGCAGATGACACGGACTGCAGAGGAAAGACTCAACCCTCAAGCCTTCCGCACTGTGACTGCCTTCAATGCTCAGGCCATTGAGCAGAGGCGCTTCGCAGTCAAGGTGAAAGATATTGCGGACATTGAGACCAAGGAGACGTACGCTTCGGGATTCTTCTACGCGGGTACCGGCTTCGTCGGCAATTGCTCTATTCTCGTCCTGCTCACGTACGGTGGTACTCTCGTCTCAAGAGGTGTCATCACAGTAGGAGACCTGACCAGCTTGCTCATGTACACAGCCTACCTCGGTGGAGGTCTGGCAAACATGACGTCTTTCTTCGCCTCCATCATGAAGGGTGTGGGAGCTGGAGCTCGAGTCTTCCAACTCATCGACCGGGAGAGTGAAGTCAGGCTTGGCGAGGGTAGGCCGCTGACCGAGGCAGAGAAGAAGAAGGCCAAGATCGAGTTCAGGAACGTCCACTTTGCTTACCCGTCGAGACCGGGAGTCAAAGTTCTCGATGGCATCGACTTGACCATCGAGAGGGGAGAGAGCGTTGCGCTGGTAGGCGGTAGTGGAGTCGGCAAGGTGAGTATGCGTACTCGACGTAGATGTTCGTTGAAAAGCTTCACTGACCTAATTACTATCCTTTCATCCAGTCCTCTGTTCACTCGCTTCTCATGAGGTATTACGATCCTGACACAGGATCGATCACTTATGGTGATGCTCCAATCAAGGACATTGCTCCGGCAGATCTCCGTGACCAGCTCGCCGTGGTGACACAAGAGCCCATCCTCTTCAGCGGCACATTGCTCGAGAACATCTCCTACGGCTGCGACCCGCCGCCGTCACGAGAGCAAGTCATCGAGGCAGCCAAGATGGCCAATTGTTGGGAGTTTGTCGAGCAGCTGCCAGGCGGTCTTGACGAGGAGATCGGTTCTCGACAGCTCTCGGGAGGCCAACGTCAGCGCGTAGCCATCGCGCGAGCGCTCTGCAGGAAGCCAAAGATCTTGCTGCTCGACGAAGCCACGTCTGCTCTGGATTCAGCTTCTGAGTACCTTGTCAACAAGTCCATCTCGGATATCATTCGCCAGGGTGACATTACAGTCTGGATTGTCGCTCATCGGCTGAGCACCATCAAGAGTGCCAACCGAATCTTGGTCTTGCAGGGAGGCAAGATCATCGAGAATGGCTCGTTCGAGGAGCTAGACCGACCAGGCAGCGCTTTCAGAAAGTTGGTCGGAAGCCAGATCGAGCGGGACGATGAAGGGGACGGAGAGACTATTGTGCAAGACGATGCGGTGCAGCAGGGGCAAGGACAGACGGTGCGTGCCTAGGTGAGAGCTCAGAAGATTGCAACGATATCGGCGGCTAAAACGGCGACCCTGATGTTTTCCACCTTTCATTGTGACCCTTGCGACAGGCATCTGCACCTAGCGCATCACACAACCGGTCGTACAGCACGCGTGCCGGCCGAAGGTCTTTCCACACCTCTGCCATCCCTCAGAGCGAGTCCCGCAAAGGCGATTCTGAGCTCAGGTATGCATCTTCCTCTGGCTACACGCTTTCCGAGCCACTTCATCCCGCCATCCCCTCTTCACCTACCTGGTCCATCGACACTCTCCTGGATGACCAGCCCGCCTCTGAGCCCTTTACTTCTGATGAGCTCGTCAAGCTGCACAAGCTGGCAGCTCTTCGAGCTCCGCAGACAAAAGAGGAGATGGAGAAGCTGAAGCGGGAGCTGGCTGGGAGCAAGAGATTAATCGATGCAGTGCGCAGCTGGGAGAGCAGTAGCGGTGCAGGGAAGAAGGCCGAAGTCGTGGACGGGAGAGTGGCACCTACATCTACCGGATCTCCGGTCGGTGATGGTGAGAAAATGAAGCAAGACGGTGCTGAGAGCTCTGCCCGCCGGGCCTGGGATGGTACGGGCGTCTTAAATAAGGACGAGCTACTGAGTAAAGCGGGCAAGACTCAAGGAGGCTACTTTGTGGTAGATCGGCATCGGCAGAGCGAGTGAGCAGAATTGGTAGCATGTGGAGATCGTTTACCTAGTAGTACCATTGCAACTCAAATCACAACATCACAACTCCATTCTTCTCTGGTATCAGAGTGTGACTTGTTACTTCATTAGGCAGTGTAGCGCTTGACAGGATCATCCGGTTCCTCAGGAGCTGCCCCTCCTCCCTCGCGCAACTTTTGCGCCTTGATAATTTCAGCAGACTCTACAAGTGCCTTGAACACCACTGAAAAGTCCTTGTTGGTATAATCGTCCCTCTTTTCCAAATTATCATAGATGCGACTTGCGAGAACACCCAGAGGTGTAGGTAGTCCCACTTGTCCAGCAGCTTGTAATGCCAGGCGTAGATCTTTTGCCATAAGTCTTGTAGCAAACCCACCATCGTATCCTCTTTCCGCCGGTGGGCTGCTCTTGGTCCCTTTTAGTGCTCCCGGCGCAGGATTGTTAATCTCGGAACTCCAAGAGCGGCCAGTGGAGGTATTGAGGACATGGGCCATTGTCTGCGGGCTCAAACCACCATACACTCCCATGGCCATTGCTTCAGCTGTTGCGAGCATGGAGACTCCCAATGCAAGATTGTTGGCAATCTTGGCTACAAGACCTGTACCACTACCACCACAGTGGATCGCTCGAGCACCCATACGAAGTAGTGTCGTCTCAGCTTGGCGGAAGATGGCTTCACTCTCGGCTCCACAAAGGAAAGTGAGAGTACCCGCTGCGGCCCCCGCGACTCCACCGCTGACGGGAGCATCGACCATTTCTCCACCGGGAACAGACTCTCGCACGACTTTGGCTACATCTACGCCCGTTTGCCGATCGCAGGTAGTGCAATCGAGGAAAAGCGTCTCTTCTCCCTGGCGTGCGCCCACCATCCCTGCTAGTAGACCCTCTTCACCCCCTAGATACACCTCGTCGACTTGGGGAGAGGAAGGAAGCATGGTGATGATAGTACTGCAGGAACGGGCTACGGAGGCGGGACTTGAGGCAGGGATGATTTGACGGTTGGGATAGAGGGAGGTGTTTGCCGTGAGGAAGCGGGTGACGGCCTGCAGAAGGGGAAAAGAGTTATTCGGCCAAGCGATGCCATACAAGTGAGATACAGCTCCAGCCCGTCACAGAAGTAGAGAATTTTACAGCTCCATGCCTCTATACACACCATAGGATCTGCATCGCACACGACAAAAGAAGCGTCATTATTCTCCTTGAACGTCTTTGTGATCAGGTTACGCGCCATCTCCTTTCCCATTGCTCCCAGTCCGATGAACCCAATGGCATCCTTGCGCGAAGACGAGCGGGTGATGAGAGACGAAGCAAAGGAGAGGGCTGATGTTGGCCGCATAATGAATGGTGAAGGCGAGGAAGATGGTGAGGGGAGATGATGTGGAGAGATGGGCGTGAGAAGGTAAACTTGGCAGCTTTTGCGGAAGGGACGCTTTCCTTCGGCCGAAACCCCCGCATTTTCCCCACAATCGGAGATTTGTCTTCCTTGGCAGTCCAACGCAACGACGCAGCGCAGCGCCGCACGCAGGAACACGTCCGGGCAACGGGGGAGCATTAGAAATATGATTACAAGTCCACAGAGCAGTGGTAGTCACAGAGCGCACAAAGGGGACCTTACACAGCAGCAGACGAGGGCGATGAATCTTACTCCATCCCAATCCACGACATTCGTCTCGAACCCCTATGACTTCCAGCATCCCCAAAGCCACCTATCAGCCTCACGCCGGGCACAGGAGCCATCTTCTGTGGCTCGCTCCAGCCTTCTCCCCGCCTCTCTCCAAACTCGTCGATGAACAAGATCGACTGTCTCGCAGATCCGCCGCCTCGATGAGAAGAACCGGCAAGGCTTGAGGCCACTGCTGCGACTTTGCCTCGGGTCAGTGTGCCGTGAGGGGCGGCCTCATCCGAACGGTCTGCATCGGTGCTGTAGTCATGATAATCCGCTTCACCTTGAATAGAGCTATCTTCCATCTCAGAAACATCGCCCTCGTCGTCCTCCTCTCCGTCGATGAGATCGTCGGCGAAGTCTTCACCATCTGCATCCGTCATCGCCGCATCCTCCAGGGGGTTGGGAGGCGCCATGTCCACGTGACGGAGCGAGTGAGGCACGAAGCGCAGCGAAGAGGAGATCGGCAGCGCAGGGTGTGGCGGATCTCTCCCTTGCGCTTCGCCGTCGATATCGCGAGTAAGATGAGGTTGATTAGAAGATACGTTACTGCTCTGTCCTTGCGCAGTGCTTTTTGCCATCGCGGTGCCTGAAACCTGATCGACTGATGCCAAGAGGCTTGCTCTAATGCTTCTCATCTTATGAACGGTCTCTTGGTTGAGCTGAACGTCGAAGGAGTCCCAGATGAACTTTCTGATGACCTGGCGCAGCTTGAAAGTGTTGATCGTCTCGACTGCCCTGACGAATAGAGTCAGGTCTGCAAAGGCACCAGGGTGACGTTGCTTAAGTTTCGAGAGCGTCTTCGACGACTTGTTGGCCAGGATGGAGTTTCCCAAATTGGAGATCGAGGTCAAAATCGATCGATGCACGGGGTCCGAAGGCGGCATCAGATATGAAGAGTCCTCGGTGGAAGCGCATGGCAACATCTCCCAGGTGGGCAGTTGGGCGAAATCGGAGAGCTTTTCCGGAATGCAGATGCCAATAGGCATGCCGAAGGTCGTGCAAGCGCTCTGCCAGCCATAGTCTTGTAGAAGCTCTGCGCCTCGGCGGGTCGTCGATATGAGGCCGATGACGTAGAAGCAGGTACCCCTGACAGACAGGACCGGCGAAGTCTCAGCAATGTCAACAATGTCAGCAACAGTCCCTTCCTCTTCCAGGAAAGGAAATCCTCCTGGGCTTGCTCCGATGCTGCCAACTGTCCACAAGACACTCTTCAACTTGCCGAGGATGTCGAGGTCGGTATCCTCCATGCCGTTGCGCCGGATGAAGTCTGCAAATTCGAGAAAATGGCCTTTCTCTCTCAACACTTCACATCCTTCCGGAGTCTTGGCCAGCTCCCCGTAGAAGTGTAGAGGCGTTGTACCATCGAAGCGCGTCTCGGAATCGCCTTCGTCTCCCGCAGACCGACTGATGGTGAGAGCTGAATTCAGATTCACCTCCATCGTAACGGCATAGCGGTGATTTCGTTCGTTGAACCACTCGTCCATCTCGCGATCAATGTAGCCGCCCTCTAAGAGGTAGCGCAGTCCACCTGGGGTAGACAAGAAGCGCAGAAGAAGCTCATGACCGGTCTCGCCCAGATGATCAAGTGTAGGGCGCAGAGACACGACCATCTCCAGATTTTGTGTAGACGAGCAGACTTCCTTGACGACGGCAACGGCAATGTCCCTCACTGATGACACTGGGTCACAAAGCTGTGTGAGCAGCAATGAGATCAGCCACTCTCCTGGATTGGGCTTGCGACGTATCTGACGGGCCAGGAACTCTGTTGCCGATTTGCGGAGGGGCCTGTTGCTCGATGTCAGCACCCATGCGAAAAGGATGCGCGGGTGGCCATTGGACGAATAGTCCAATTTTTCGATCAACACTTTTATCAGATCGTCACGGGCGCGGAGGTGACAGAGTCGGTACAGCGAAGTCCAAATGTGGAACTTGGAGAGCAATTTCGATCCCTCGGTGGTTGAGCTTAGAGTGCCAATCATCTCAAGGTAGCCTTGTGACAGGGTGGATGTGATTCTCGACTTGGCAAGAATAGGATCGGGAGCTGTGCCGTCCACGGTTGGGTCGATCTCATCGAAGGCTTCTTTCAGCTGCTTCAAGAGTCCATCCTCGGTGAGGAACTTCGTACCCTCGGATGTCGACAGAAGCGTAGTCAAGAGAGTACAGCCGAGGGTAATGTAGACTCTGTTAGGGGGCGTAGCCGGCAGATCAGAGAAGAGAAGCGCAAAAGGATGGAAGAAGCCAAGTAGTCGACGCATCAGCTTCGTCAATCGTATTGCTTCTTCGAGCCTGCGAGGGTTCAGCAAGGGTCCTTGCAGCAGTTCGAAGATTCCCTCTGTATTCCACTTCGTATGGTCGCGAGTACTCTGCACTTGCGTCTCCAAGATCAAGTTGCGGAATGCGACTTCATCGATCTGCATGCCCATCATCAGTCTGACCTTTTCGACTTGTCGTTGACCACGCCGTAGAGGGTCATCAGTAATTGAGTCGGTCCGATCTCGAGCAGTCGACTTTGCACTGGACTGATACTGATTCTGAAGAAGCAGTGAAGCTCTATCGACGGCGGAGAGCGCGCTGACAGCTTTCCGCCTTCCGTCAGGGTCATCTAGTCGTGAGGCTCCGGCGAATAGCGACGGTAATTGATGAATATGGACGTTGTAAGATTGTGGAAGGACCCGGGTTCCAACCTGAAAGAGAGCTCCCAACAGCATTGTAGCGCTCCGACTCATCTCCGGAGCAGTCTCAAGAATGTGGACTAGTGCTTCTATCAACCCTGAGTCGATGAAGATTACGAGCAAGAGACACATGTACTGGTCCAGAAGACCGATTTTCTGTCGGTTCCGCTCTCGAGCGATGCGGGAGATCTCTTGTGCTATCCTTGATTGAGGTATCCGTCCTTCAAGAGCATCTTGTTCTGGCAGATCACTGTGTTCATGGGCTTTTGCCCGCTGCCTCTGACGTTCCATCCCAAGCCCGAGGTCAAAGATACTAGTGAGCATGCCAATGATCGATTCTTGGACCTCCGACTGCCCCACCCGCATCGCAGTGACCAGCGAGATGATAGCCTTGCGGTTGTGCATGGAAAGATACAGCAGTCCCGTCCAGCTACGTAGAAGCGTACCGACAACTTGCGAAGTAGCTGTGAGTGTCTCTGAGTATGAGATACCAGCTTGAGCTGGTAGATCAGTAAATCCTGAGAGCACGAATTCCAGATCTAGTTCAGGACGGAGATAGCGCCGAGTGGACGGCTTGTCGATTAGGTAGATGAGGACCTGGGCGATTGCTGGCGCGAGATCGAAGGGTCCATCCGATAATGCATGGAACAGAGTGGCAATTCCTCCAGCGCGAAGTAGGAGAGGGAGATCGTAGATGGCTGAGGGCAGCGTACCGCAAGTCGCGATCGTCAGATTTGAATGTTTGGAGAGTCTTCGCGTTGCTGTACTCACCTAGCTCTACAAGTGTCTCTAGATAGACGCTGCTCAGCTTGTCATCAGTGTGTTCCGCGGCCGCTACTACTGCCCGTACCACCCCCGTATTGAGACACGAGTCTGCATGCTTCGAATTTACCCCTCCGATGTCACCCGCATATTGAACATCCATGATGGCCCGGATGAGCTTTAGAGCCTGCTCTTTCTCGATGATATGGCGGTTGTCGCGCATGGTAGAACGGAGCAGGAATAGGTCTAGCCCGTGTGATTGCCAATTTTGGAGCTGCCGGGTCGCAGGTGAAACCAGGGTGTGACGGAGCAGAGCATAGGCAGCAGCTCTCAAGTCAGTGCCAGCTGCTTCGGTCAGACATGGGAAGATACTGTAGAATTGCCGAGGTAAGTGTCAGCCCCTTGCTACGCATGGACATTGTCCGGCCTGTATGCGTACTCACGCATCATCGATCTGACCTGCCTCTAGGTCGTAGCGAACCCTAGCTTTCCTCTTGAGCAGGGCAATCAGACGGCTGATGATGTCCAGCTTGTGATGTGTTGCTGTCTCTTTCGTCTGAGGCAGCGCATGGGAATCGAGACTGCCACTGCGAGATGGGCCTGCCCCAGACGAGTATCCATTGTCATTCTCACCGGCTACCCGCAAGGCCTGAATCAGCATTACCGCTTGCCTTTTGAGCACAGTCCCATCATCTACCCGACTTGGTGTCAGCGCTTGATCCGCAGAGAGGTTCCAGCGAGATGGACTATCGAAGGTATGGCTTCGTCCCGCGGCGGGCGATACGTTCATGCGATCTGCAGAGACCGACCCCTCTTTGCGCGACATGGGAGGAGACAGGGTCCAAGTTGGTGTCGAATCGGTCGTGCGGCTCGAGGAGTAGGAGTCCAGTCCGAGGGCTGATCGGGTATCAATTGAGGTGTGGGTCGATCCATTCGAGGCTGTACGCAGGGGAAGAGGTGCCGAGTCAGGGGGAGACAGCAGCTCATCTGTTAGATCGACCCCATTCCCATGACCATCCCGGCTCTGCAACACAAGCACTCACTATCGCTCGTCCTGGCCTTTTGCTCTGCAATGGCCTTTTCCAAGCCGGCAATCCTCTGTGTAGCCCCTTTGAGCTCATCCTCCGCTCGCTGTCTCAGGGCCTCCTGTCCAGCATCCTTGGACAAGAGCGAGAGGAGATGCTCGGCCCCATCGGCCAGCTTCGTCTCTACGTCGAGCTTACCAAGGAGCTCATGGAGAGGGACGTGGGGAGGTGAAGAGAGAGCCATGGTGGTGGTGTTTGTCACCAAGGGCCTATGGTCCCATGGCCATGCGTACGAAGCGATACGCGGTGGGACACAGATGAGGTCAAGCTAGGAGGGGACCGTGGGACTAACGGACGTGTTGAATTCTCCGAGGCGAGGTCACACCCGAGAGCAACCGCCCGGACAAGGGAGGGGACGTGTGCGGAGTGTGGAGACGCACACGGCGGATCAACACTTTCGGCGAGAGCCGTGCAGCAGCCGGCCATGAGTATATATTGTTCTCTGTGCAGCTGAGTTGGGATTGTCGCAAAAATGCCTTCGTGGCTAAGTGGTTACAGCGTCGCACTTGTATCTGCAAGGTCCATGCGAAGATCTCCTGTTCAAATCAGGACTGAGGCATTCTACTTTTTTTTTTTTCTTCTGCCTTTTCCGCCTCGCAACAAGTCACTGCGAGCGCGGCATACAGGCCTCCTCGACTTCTCAGCTGAGAGCACCTTTTTCTGACCAGCACTGAGGGGAGGGCATTGGAGACGGCGGGCAGACAGACAGCCAGGCGGACGAGACGACACAGGGCAGCAGACCAGCTGGCAGGCAGTCCACACCGCGCATCACTCATCACCCTGAACCTCATAAAGGGCTGGGCGTGTATCGATTGGACCATGATGGCATGTGTATATGTGCTACCAGCTACTTCTTTTCATTTCCTCTTCTTCTTCTTCTTCTCCCCCCCTCTTCACGTTCTTCCCCCCCTTTACCATCTCCTCTGTTCATCGTTCCCTCCGCACGCACGCACGCACGCACTCAAGCGCCGCCCGAGGCAAGACGCATCTTTTCCTGCTCCAATCGCTGGTAGAGGAGCTGCACAGCGACTTGAATATTTTGAGGTGGTCCAGTAATCGTCACCAATCGCTCATTTGCTCCACCACCAGCCAGAGCTCCCGCTCCAGGCTCCATAATCTTGATATGACTAGCGCTCATCTGTCGAATCTCGTTGATCTTCTGTCCACCCTTGCCGATGATGCAGCCCACGAGGTCGTTGGGGATGAAGATTTGCTGAGTCTGAGAGCCGGGGGGAAGCTGAGGGGGACCAGGTCCGTAGCTGGGGCCTCCACCGACAGAGCCAGCGGCAGGTGCAAAGCCTCCTCCTCCTCCATAGGCTGAACCGAGGGGTGGGGATCCACTGGCACCAGCACCACTGCCTCGGCCGCTGTAGCTTGCGCCGACGCCGGATCCAGCAGCAGTGGGGCGGTAAGAGAGGTTGTTGGCGTTGCGGTCCGGGTGTTCGAGCAGGATGGTACCGACGTAGTAGACTGCAATGTGGACGGCATCTGCTACACCCGAGATGCTCAAGACTCGCTCCGTACTGCCAGGCAGCATCTGCTCTCCGGCATTGAGCCTAGCTCCACTAGCCTCCTGAATCTCCTTGATCTTCGTACCAGCCTTGCCAATCACAGATCCCATCCGCGAGTTGGGGATGATGAAACGAATAGTGACAGCGCGGCTTCCGGGAAGCGAGGCCTGGTCAAAGGGCTCATCGTTAATCCTCCTCACAATCAAACCAAAGGCCTTGCTGACAGCATCAAGCTGACCAGTGACAGACAAGATTCTCTCAGGATTACCGGGAATGCTCTCGCTGATAGTGAGCCTTGCTCCACTCTTGTCGCGAATCTCGTTGATGTGCTTTCCCTGCTTGCCGATGATAATCGAAGCGTCGCCAGTGACGATGAGAGATCGCATCGAGATGTGTTGAGGCTGCAGCTCGGAATCACCTCCATCGACTCCAGTGGGAGATCCTGCTTCACCTCCTACGTCTCCAGCATCATCTCCAGCATTGGAGGCCTTGGGGTCAGAAGAACCCTCGGCAGGGTTGTCAATCTGGATGCCAGAGTCTTCCTTGGTGACGTCGTTGTCTGCCATTGCGCCTGCAGATGGACTCTGGGCTTCTTCGTCGTCTTCGTTCTTGCTAGTGGGTACTACAACGGAATCCTCGTCTGCTGCAGCAGAAACGGTCACAGACTCGTCTCCTTCCTTTGCTCGCTTCGATTCGGGTCGGTCGCTCTCTGAGCGTGCTGGAGAAGTGGATCGTGTTCGCTTGACGGTTTCTGCCATTGGGAAGAGTAGCCGTGGAAAAGGTCCGAAGGTCGGTCCGTTTTGTGAGAGGAAGATGTAAGAATCGGGGTTGAAGAGGAGCGGTTGTACGCTTTGATCAGTACTTTCGCTCTAGTGGAGTTTGACGAAGAGGCAGATACCGAACGTCGACGCTACCAGCCAGAAGTGATGGAGGTCAAGCGAAGGACGGGGGATGCAGACAAGCACTGACTGCGAAGATGGAGGGGGAGGGGAGGAGTAAGGAGCGTGAAGGGAATGTAGACAGGAAACCGGGAGGTGGGGAAGTCGCAAGCGAGGTGTGACGAAGAAGAGCGGGAAAGGGCCTGTGGGCTATGTTACAATCCCCAGCCGGTCGCTTCAAGTTGCTAGTCGATTTGCCGGCCGAAGAAGCGAAATGCATATCTGCTCCCACTTCCTCGACGGCTGCTGCCTACTCCTTCTCAAAGCCACCTAGAAGCTACGAGGACTGCTACTCACCTCTACTTTTGACGAGACGCAGTGACAAAGAGAGTTTCCTCTACCTGATTATCGTTTCACAAGCAACGGGGTGATGTATGGAGCCTCTCACAAGTGTTGCGGCCTGTGACAAGGCAGAAGTCGTGAGGACGTGGGGAAATTAGAAGAGGCGAGGTGCCGGACAGTGGGGAAATGGACGTCGTCCAGGAGTGGGGGGAGTGAAGGAGTTGGGGGTCGTGGGAGGGGGGCGAGAGACAAAGAAGCGAACACGTCGTTCTTCGTCGTGCTTCGTCTGTGAGTGTGTGTGTTGGATGGGAATGGTAGGATGGAACGAGGAGTGGTAGGTGGCTGTCGTCTACTGTGCAGTCGTTGCTCGAGAAGAGGTGCGACGAGGTGCTGCCCGCTCGCCTGCCCTTCCCGGCGCATCTGATTCCGCGCGCTGTGCCCGCCTTCCGTCGCGCGTGCATACAGGCACACTAGCAAGGCCGGCCCAGCTAGCAAGACCATGGCTGAGTATTCATGGTGGTGACGCAAGCCTGAAGTGGACAGCCTCCGACGGTTCTCGACTCGCAATCCTCACGGGTAGACAGACTTTCGGCAGCTTGGCAATGGACTCTGAATCGACTTTACGCAAGGTATCTACATTGACGGCTCTAAGCGAATTAAGGGAACAATGTCGTCTAAAGAAAGTGTATGTGATGGGTGACAGCGGGCACATCTAGTGGTATCTTCTACGACAAGGCAATGAACGGGGCAGTATCTGAGTCACAATGCTGAAATGGCAAGCCTAATACTCGGCTGCGATGTTTGTCACGTCTCACGTCAAGGCAGGTGCCTTCTTCTTCGACCCACGGAAGCCACCTTTGAGAGCCGACTTCAGGTCTGCAAAGCTTTGCACAGGGCTCAGCTTTCCTCCACCGGAACCACCCTGTTTGCGCGAAGCTTCATCAGCTCCACCTGTGTTGATGTGCAGCTCGCTTCTTGGGATCTCCTGGCTCAGCTTGGAAGCACCTCGAGAGTGGGTGGAAAAGCTCGGACTCAAGCTAGACACAGAGGATGACGCTGGGGTCAACATGATGCGTCCAGAAGGAGCGTTTCGGCCAAAGTTGCTGGTCGGGCCCACGAAGCCTGTATGCTGCGATGAATGGTCAGGAATGACTTTGTGACCCTCACTCTGTCCTCGCTGATGCTGACCGGAAGACTGGCCGCTCAGACTGCTGCTGCTGCTACCAGTACTCTTGCGTGCGGACGAGGACGAATTGGCCGACGAATAAGAGACATCTGGAGGCAAAGAAGTATGCTTCGCAGCCGTGCGGTTGTCTCGATGAGATCCGGAACCAGACCAGGCATTGCTATCCCCTTCGCTGAGAATGATCTCCTCTGGTTCGTCCTCCTCTCCGGGTGTGAGTTGGGTATATGGAGCGAAAGGAGGGCGGTAGCCTGCTTGGCTTGCAACAGCGGAACTGCTTTGAGGCTGTGAGAAGGTGACTGACTTTCGCTGGCTTTTGCCAACAGGCGCATCTGTTTGACCAGAGCCAGTACGCGAGCTGATGTTGCCACTTGTCTGCCCCGCCGAAGATGACGTGCGCGAAGAACGAGCACTGTCGGAGAGGGGTGTGGCAGCCATCCAGTCGCTCACTTCATCGACGGCGTCTTGTTGGCCTGGCTCGCTACCGCTGTAGAGGACCCGACGCTTCTCCGGTGGGCTTTCGGCCCTCGACGATAGGGCAAGCACTGCTCCTCCCAGTGTCAAGGCAGTATCTTCAGGCCCAGAGATCTCAATACGAGGTGTAGCCGGGCGGACGGGCGAGCCAACGGAAGAGGGCGTTGTCACTGAACCTTCGCCTCCGCTATTGTAGCCCGACGAGATGGACTCCTTCCCCTTGGAATGGGCTGAGGCCATGAAGCTGGGCTGCGGTGGGGGCAGCGCGTAAGATGAGCGGCTGTTGAGAGAGGGAGATGTGACGGGTGACCGTGTTGCTGAAGCGACGGGAGAAGGCCAATTGGCCGGCCCCGCTGGGCTTCTGGGGGGTTCCGATGACGGCGAATCTTGAGGCAGCGCAGCAGGCTTCACTGTCTCACCTTCACCCATCCAGATCCTTTCCATGGCGAAAGCCCGATCGGTCTCGTTGAGTTGAGCGAGACCCAGCCCATCGTTGAGCCAGATAGCGTCTTGCTGATTTTCTCCCAGCTTGCGCATCCCCTTTTCCCTCCGACTCTCCTTTCTTCGCAGCGATTCCCTCATAGGTCCTGTCTTGATCCAAGCCTGAATGACATCTGCTAGCACTTTGATGCTCTCTGACAGGACTGCATCGGTGTTGTAAGTATCGGCGCTCGGAGGCGGAGACGGTGGCTGAGTGACGATGCATCGCCCACTCGAGGCACCCTGCAGAGCGATTGGCCAAGCATACAGTATTCGTGTTGGTAAGTGCAGCAGCGTCGCAATTAGGAAGGGACTCGAAGAGCTGCCGGCCTGAGGCGAGCGCGGAGGGGACTGCGTGGTGGGCGTCGAGGGTACAGAGTGCAAGCCGGTGGATGATCTCTTGAGAGACACAATGGCCCAGTGGTTGACATTATACTTGCGCTCGGAGACTGGCTTGAAGAGTGATGCAGGAGAAGCTCTGGAGGAGGAGGCACTGCTGTCGCTAGCATTGGCACTATTGCGACTGCTGCTCTCTGCCAAGGCACGTGTCTGTGTCCCTGACACTCCTGCACTTGCGCTGGTCACCAAAATCGGTCGAATGGGTCGCCCAGTGTGATTGGCATGGTCGGCCGGGGTATAAGACTGGACGAGATTCGAGCTTGCAGGGTTGCTAACGCTGGGTCGTAGAGCAGACTTGAGCGAATAGATGTGAGTGCCCTGCCTCTCCATTGGAAGAGAGGAGGGGTGTGTGCTGAGGCTCTGGCAGATAGGGTGATGGCGAGTCTGTGAGGAGGGTAGGTCAGGTGGTTCTCAGCGAACGCACCGAGAGCTGTACGACGTGGGTATATGCTGTCGAGCTTCAGTAATGACGATGATGATGGGAGAGGAAGAGGATGGCAGCACAGGGAAGGCGACGAGGTGATGTCTGACCAGAAAAGGGAACAATGGGCGAGGGAGGGTAAGGGCCCGTCAACGTGAAGGCGTGTAGTCGCCGCTGAGAATTTGGTGCAGGCGAGGGCGGGCGGGCGGGCGGCGGGCGCAAAGGTCCGCGTCGTGGTGGCTGAGCCATGGCAGAGCCACGTGCCAAGAGCAGTGGACGCTGGGCGCGGGTAAAGCTCCTGTCCCTCGGCTCGACTCGGCCAAGGCAGAGCCGATATCTGAAGCCTCAGCCCAGGCCAGGAGCAGCAGCCAGCCCACTCGAGGGGAAGATTAGTAGTTCCGACGCCACCACACAAGGGATTCGTGTCCTCTCCATTAGCATCCAAAGCAGATGTCAGCCAGGTACAGAGGCACCTCGGCTGGTCACATGGTCTGTTCCTGATTGATGGGAATATACACCAAAAGAAGGACCTGGTAGAAGCTGCACTAGCTTGAGCCCCTTGCACGATCCATGCGCCTGGGGGAACACGCGCTCCGTTTCTCGGCCCTATGGATTCTCCCCTGAGATGCCAAGTCATTCCATTCCGACTCTGCATGCGACCATTTCCCACGGCGACTAAACCACCACACAGCATTTTCGCGATCTCTTCTTTGTCCACACACGCACCCGATGCGAAATCACGGCATCCTCCATCCGACGACATTCCTCTTCCAGAACTTTGACGCCAATTAAGCTTCGTAGATTAAAGGCGGTGTATGCTGTATGATGTCTGAAGTACACTGATGCGGGCAGTACGATTTATCACAAGTATGCTAGTTGTTATCCTCTATCAGCTTCTCCCCTGCCGCCACTAGGTCTTCCATCTTCCATAATCTCAGAATGCCCTCGGCCTGCGCCTCAGCATGAGATCGAGCAGGAGCAATTTGCAGCGAGGTGTCTTCTGGACCCACCGCAGGAGTGACACCTCGGGCAAGGCGCTGAAGGTCTGTCTTGTTGCTTTGGTCGCCCTGTTCACCGCTAGCAAGAGGCTCGCGGTGACCAACATGCCATGGACCTTCGCATACAACCAATTGCGACGGAGCCCCGTTTTGCTCGCTCCCTGGACCTGCTCCAGCAGGCAACACAATCTCTTTGAAGGTGTAGCCGTTTGTCGTCTGTCCGTCCAGCTTCAACACCGCGCCGGACTTGCTCTGCCGCTCCTCTCGGACGCCTTCGCAGTCCCATAGACCTATTTCCACGCGTGCGAAGTCGAAGCCCATACCCAGACCGATGTTCTTCGTAAGAGCCTCCTTGTGCGTCCAAAGATCGTAGAGTCTCCTGAGACCTTCGTCTTCTTCCCCCGCTTGAATAGCCTCTTGTACCCACTTTGACTCTGTCTTGGTAGTCGTCTCTCCCATCGTCTCTAGGAAAGTGGTTGCCGACTCTTCATAATGGGGTAGGTTGATTGACATGACATCGATTCCCACCCTCACCTTCTCGGCTGGGGAGGAAGAGAAGCGAGACGCCATAGCGACCCAGTCAGAGTCGTGAGTGACATTGTAATCCAAGAGGCACGCAATGTCAGGTGGAAAGGCCAGGTGCGGTCGTCCCTCTTTGGTCTTTCCGAACGAGAGCTCGTCCCACCCGAGTACGTCTCCTCGCTGCTTTGCGCGCTCGAGCAGCATGACCCTGGGCAGTAGCAGTGCAGCCAACGCACGGGTCCGATCCACCTCGCGCATGTAACGCATCACTTTTGCTACACTTTGCTTCTGGTCCTTCAAGCCGATCTCGTCGGCTTCGTGGGCAAACAGGCGATCTACAAGTGGTTGTAGGGCAGCTGTCGTGGATCGGGACTGAGGCCAAGAAGAGATGTCCACTGCCCAGACTTGTGCCGATGAGGCGGAAGTTGTTGGGCTTGGGTCGACCAGATCATATTCTCCTAATCGAGCCGAAGACAGGCCAGGCGCGGACTTGCCGTCTGGTTGCGATTCTAGTGCTGCCTCTGACAGAGCTTCCACAGTGTCCATGATCCTCGCTGCCCCATCATGCTTCTCCGTTGAGAGATCCAGTCCAGCAGCCTCTTTGAGCTTCTCGAGCCCAGGAGAGGCAAGCCAAGGAGGGTCTTGCAGAGACAGTGTCATGTGTGAATCAGCAGGCGTGGCGCCTTTGCGAAGCGGTAGTCTCACATCTAGGCGAAGGGTGCGCGATTCTGCTCCGGCAGAGGGAGAGGAAATTTCTCCGGCAAAGGGACTTATCGGAAGGGTAAAGGAGATCGCTGCCGGCAGGGAGTCTCGCACTCGGACCGACTCCGGCGAGCCCAAGGTCTTGACAGGTAATGACAGATACTGTACCAGCTGCTCATGAGCATGGGATACAAACAAGTCCTACATTGTAAGTTATAGTTCAGGGGGTGGCAACGAATAGCGAAATTCACCTGTTGTACTGCTTGCTCGTCTTCCTTTGTGATGATGAGCTCCCCATCGCCGCTCCATATCTGGAATACCTGGTGGCATGTGTCTACGTGAGCTGCCAACTCTTCTGGTGAGAGTAGCGAGCTTGTGGGTGGCGTCATTGTCGAGGTTTCATGGGTACAGGGGAATCGTGGTGGAAGCGAGGCCAAGATGCAGTGTGGTGCCAAGCGAAGGGGTGCTGCCTGCTGCCCGCCGGCCTTTGGTGCTGCTTGTGGGCGGGCGGGGAAAGTGGACGCCCCTTGGTTCGATTCTGGCTTGACTCTCGAGCCGATCTTTGCTCTTTTGCTCTTTGCTCCTACGTCGGAAGATGCGTCGGACTTACGCCTTGCATTTCCCGTCTCTGAGTTCTTGGCTTTCATTCGCCTGCAGCTCGCACGAGATGCGCATCCCGATGACAATGACACCCTGTACAGAGCAACCGAGACACAGGGGCTCTTGCCCATGGCCTGGGGACGAGGTCTCCCTTCTTCCGTTCCTATCGTCTCCATCCTCCTCACTCTGCCATCCTTGCTCACCACATATACAACGGTCCCCCACACGGGTTGCGATCTGGCCGCATGTGCTCGTGCCCGCCCCTCCTCCCCACTAGCCACATCACCCACCTCTACATCCAATGGTCCTCCTGCGTCGTCACCTCCGTCATATCTCGGGAGAGCCAGAGGATTACAGCAAAGAGAAGGCAGTAAATCCGCGTGTGCAACAGCTAAAGCAAGCCACGGGACACAATGACAGGCGATCCAGCTCCTCAACTAAACGTAGCGCTTCTTTGGCCTCCCGACCGGTCAAGGGAGATGACATCGCAGAGATCGTCTCAGCCTTCAACGTCACCCTTGTTGTGCGGTCAAAGACGCCCATGGCAGACGCTCATGACCCCAACTTTGATTCAAAGGACCTCCCCAGCCACCATGTACCTACTCTGGTGTCTGTGGCCAATCGAGCTGTGCGGTCTCAAGGGAATGCAAAGCACCGCAAGAGGCGTATGGCAAAGGCAAAGGCACTCCGTGCAGCAGAGGCCATCAAGTCCACCAATGCCGTCCCCTCCGCCTATCGCAAGAGTGTGAGCGGCAAAGGCTTCGTCCAGTCCGCGGCTGCGCAGGAGTCCACTCCGACCCATCTTCCGCTTCTCACTTATCAGAACCCATGGGACTCTTTCAGGCCTCCCACCCTCGCTAGTGTCTGGAGAGGGCTCAAGTGGGGGCTGCCCGCAGATCACGATGAAGGGCATGGGCCAAACAGGCGCTCCCAGGGAACCAAAGCAAAAGGGGCAGAGGAAGCATACATGAAGCTCGAAGCTGAGGCGGGCAAGGACTGGGCAGATGTAGAAGTCATCCCGCCCAATTGGGGATGGTCGCAAGATGAACGTCGAAAGATGCTGGACGGGCCGTCCGATCAAGAAGACAGGATGCTTGAGAGTACAAGACCTTCCGAAGAAGATGAGCCTCATCAGACGGGCGAGCGCAAAGAGTGGCAGGATCCGGCAGCCGAAGATCGTGCCGATCATGCCAGGGTCACTTGGCTGGGACATGCCACCGCTCTGCTCCAGCTGCCTCCTCTGGCTGACCCAGTTACGATTGGGGATGACAAAGTGGAACAGGCTGCTGGTCAGCAAACTGGCGGTGTGGCCTCCTCCCCGGTCGAGGAGAAGAAGGCGAAAGAAATTCTTGGGCAGATACCTGGAAATGCCTTGGATCAGGAGGGTGATCCAAGCCACGTCGTCACCCCCAAGGCGCATAAAGGGAAAACGACGCCGACCTCCTCAGGTGATTCCTCGAGCAATGATCACACTCAGCAAAAGGACGATGAGCGCAGTGCATCGCAAGATGTGTCCAAGCGCATAGACAACGTCAGGAATCGATCGATCAACATCCTCTTCGACCCAGTCTTCTCCAAGCGCTGCTCTCCCTCCCAGACTGTTGGACCTATTCGCTTCACCGAAGTGCCCTGTCAAGTTGAGGACCTTCCGCCGGTTGACGTGATCCTGCTGTCTCACGATCACTATGACCATTCAGATGTTGATTCTCTCCGCCGCGTCTACCGACAGAGAGGCCAGGCAGTCCACGTCTTTGCAGCTCTGGGAAACAAAGACTGGCTCTGTAGCTCCGTCGGATTCAAGAGCTCTCAGGTGTCCGAATTGGATTGGTGGGACGAGGCTTACCTGACTGCCTCTGGGCCTCACCATGATCCCCCCTCTTCAAAGCCTTCACAACCTCCCAGTGCCAGTGCGGCTGCACGCGGTGCAGTACGCATTATTTGCACCCCGGCACAGCATGGCAGCGGGCGTGCGCCGGGCGGCAAAGACTCGACTCTGTGGTGTTCTTGGGTTGTGGAGCACATTGCGCCAGCAACGGCAGTCGAAGAGCAGGTCAAGAAGGCTGCAGACTCCGAGGGAACCGATTCTGGTCCGGAGGCAAACTTCGTGAACGCTGCTGGCATCTGCCAGAGACGATGGCGTGTTTTCCAAGCAGGAGACACAGGTCTTCGTCGCCATGGCGAGAAGGTCACGAACCGCAGATCGCCCGTTTGTCCCGCTTTTGAGGAGATTGCAAAGAGGTATGGCACACCCGACCTCTTCCTCCTGCCGATCTCCATTGGGTCTTCTCTCTCCTATCTGCGCTCCAAGGACCCCTTCCCGAGACGCTACTCACCATTCCCCAGAATCAGCGAGTCCCTTACAAGCTCGATTCATATGGATGCTGAAGATGCCGTGGAGATGTTCGAGATCATGACGGGATTTCCTGCTCCTTCCAACGGAGGAAGCTCTTCCTCTCAGCAAGGGCCGATCGAAAGGGACCAAGAGAAAAGTCAGCCAGTCAGCAGCGGTGCAGGCGCAAGCGAGCAGCCCAGCCAGCAGGACAGCGACGGTGGCAATCCGCTCGCACTCGCAATCCACTTTGGCACCTTTGTTCGAAATGAGACGCAGACCCGAAGCGATGTACGAAGTCTGCGTGAAGCTTGCGTCAGACATAATGTCGCATTTGCAAGGACGAGGGAGGGGAGGATCCCGGGTGTGCAAAAGGGCAAAGAGAGCAAACTGACGGGCGAGGCTAGTGGAGAGGAGACTCGAGGCAAGTTCTTGGTGAGTGTCAATGACCTCCATTGAGGTGGATGGAGGGCTACCGCAACTGGGGCAGGCCTAGTCTTGCTTTCATCGATCTTATGCTGACCCGAAAATATCGCACCCTTGACTGCTTCTCTTCTCTTCAGGTTTCCCATCAAGGAGAGACAGTTTGGATCAAGATCTAAGGCTTCCCCAGCAACTTCCCTATCATCATCACCGCCACCACCACCGCCATTACCAGCAACAAAGCATCTCAAGCGCTCAAGAGATAGACATATAGACGGACAGTACACCAGGCCCACTGGGCTCTAGACATCCACGAAGCTCACCTCTCCCCCAACCCTAGTACCCTTTCGTGGTCCTCTTTACCCCCTCATATCCTCCCTGATATCCATCTTGCGCCAATTTCATACCCATCCATCTTTCGACAACGCCTCTGTCTGCACGGGCTCACATGACATGGCGGTGTATTGGTATGATATCAGTGTAATTTTCGATCGAGAGTAGACGAGACACGAGACACGAGACACGAGACACGAGACGAGATTGGACAGGGATACAAGGTAGAAGAAGCAGACACGGTAGCACACGACGAGACAGAAACCGAATCCAAGAGCCAATAGGTACGACACTCCCTCCCTCTCTCCCTCTCTCCCCTTTACCCCTGAATCCTCCTGAGTGTCCTCCTCTCCCTCTCTCCAACCATCTTTACCAATCCCTCACTCTCCAACGTCTTGACAAGTTCATACAGCTCTGTAGCATCGACAGGTACAGTACTCTGCTCATTGAGCAATCTTGCCACTTCTGCATACCTGACACTCTTGAGCTGTGGTCCTCCAAGTGTATCGAGCAGTGCAAGTACCTCGCGCTTAAGATCCGAAGCAAGCTTGCGCTGTGCCATTCCCCTTCCGGTATTGATGAGATCCAAGTCAATGAGACCCGTGGTTGGGTCGGTGGCGGAACTCTTGGCGGCCTCCTTGATTAGTCTGAAGGCCTCCTCTACATCGTCTGCTTCGACGTGCAGGGAGAAGCGCATGCGTGCGTGCGCCTCGGAAAGTCGAATCATGCTCTCCAGTTGGCGAGTAGTGGCGGTAATCCTGCGTTCTGAAGATCGGGGGTCCTCGCCTACTTTACGCAACTCGACGTAGCGCTTTGCGAGAGCCTCACCGGCCTCTTCAGTCAGTACGGGATGGATCTGGTTACGTGCATACGAAATGTACGCAGTGAGCGTCTCAATGGGGATCAAGTCGCTCTTGCTTGCGGCATGCGCGGGTGTGTCTTCAAGGTATAGACCGACCAAGTGACGTGCAAGACGACGGTCAGAGGCTTCGTCGACCTTGTCCAGAACTAGGTAGACGAGGTCGAATCGGGAGATGAGCGTGGGTGGGAGATCGATGTTCTTGGTGATGGGCAGGCGAACATTGTACTTGGAGCCTACTGGGTTGGCTGCGGCTAGCACAGATGTCCTGGCATTGAGCGTAGTGATGATGCCAGCCTTGGCGATGGAGACCGTCTGCTGCTCCATGACTTCGTGCAGAACACTACGGGTAGCATCGGACATCTTGTCGAACTCGTCGATACAGCACACTCCTCCATCGGATAAAACCAGTGCACCACTCTCGAGGACGAGCTGCTTGGTGTCGGGATCACGAGTGACATAGGCAGTGAGTCCCACGGCACTCGATCCTTTTCCGCTGGCGTAGACTCCACGTGGGGCAATCTTGTGGACATACTGCAGGATTTGTGACTTTGAGGTACCCGGGTCACCGACCATAAGCACATTGATGTCACCACGGTATCGAGGTCCACCGCCACCACCGCCAGTGGAGATGGTCTTATTGGTCCCGCCGAAGAGTTGGAGGAGGATACCTTTCTTGACGTCGTCCATCTCGTAGATACTGGGCGCAAGCGAGCGAGCCAGCAATTCGTAGGCGTCTGGCCTGTCTGCAATTTCCTTGAGCTTCTCGACTAAGTCCTCGTTGGGAGGAGCACTGCCCTCTGCGGCAGCAGCTCCTACCCCAGCTCGGATATCGACATCTTCGTCCTCGTCTTCTCCGCCGACACCGAGAGCTTGGGCGCCACGCTGCGCAGCGGCTTCAGACTCTTCTCGTGTGCTGAGATCGACACCAAGGCGGCGAGTGTTGCCCCGCTTGACGTGCACAACATCGACAAAGGTCTTATAGAGACTCTTCTGTGTGCGTGCCCGAGGATTGACCCGAACGGGCTGAGAGCGGAAGATACCGGTCACTTCGACACGGTCTCCGGGCTTGCAGAGATCGACCAACTCATCATAGACGCAGAGGGTGACGCTGTGCGGTGTCTGGCCATCAGGTACAGCATCGGGCGTCTCCTGAAGACGCACCACCTGCCTATCTGCAAATTCACATCGGTTGTGAATGATCGAGATTGTTCCGACCTGATTGCAGGTCTCTCGTGGGCAACGGTCTGGCTCTGCAATCTTACCTCGATCAAGCTCGACCTGCAGTGTGTGGTTGCAGGCCAAGCATCGGAAGAATGCTTGCTTCATGTCTGGGATGATCGGGGTGGCACGAATGACAAGACCGCGCACAGTGACGAGTTTGTCGATGTCGCCAGGGTTGAGGTTGCGCATGTTGATGCTGTCGAGGCCGAAAGCTCGGACCTTGTACATTCGACCCTCCATGATCTCAATTTCTTGTTGGCCGACATCGCCCTCCATACCCTCTTTGCCCTCCTTGTTGTCATCGTAGGCCATCTCGAGCATCTCTTCCTTGAGGACCTGATCCATGATAGGAATGACTTCGTTTGGGTACTTGACGAGGAAGTGCGCGAGCTTGCGAGTAGGCGGGAAAGCAGCCAGGTCAGCCGATCGCAGATTGAGCGACGTCTGGTCAGTCTGTCGCATACGTCTCAAGTAGGCCTCGTAGAGCAGGAACTCTGCGTCTGCTCCACTGCGAGGCTTGGGTGGCGCCTGTGGGTTGTGCTGCTTCTGGTATGCCCATCGATACTTGAGTCGGAAAGTGCGCAGGAAGCTTCGGAACATCGACATTGTCTCGCCAACGGATACTGCTGTACCCCAGATGACCTTTTGCTCGGCGTCTGCTGGTCCCATGATATCAGTGCCGTCGGCATGCTGGGACAGAGAATAGTCGCTGCGAAGAGGGCGAGCATCTTGACTGCCCAAAGGGTCGCTAGCAGAGTGGCCTGCTGCCCGTTGACGGCGCATGACCGAGGGGGATGCCAGCAGACCGGCAGAGTGGATTTCACCACGGCGAGCTCGAGGGGTAGACTGCTGAGAACTGTCAAGCGAAGGGCCGGGAAGCAGTGAGCACAAGACCTCAGTGAGCTGTTCATTCGACCTGCGTGACTCACCTAGGAAAGAAAAGGGGCTCATCGTTTAGGCCTCCCGATCGAAGAGAGCTGCTAGGCATGCCTCGTCCGCTCATAGCACTGCGAGGCTGTCCAGGTCGTGCATTGCGAGGCGTGGCTCGGACCGAGGGCGACGAGGTGGTGGGAAAGTACAGAGGCGAGTCTCCCCCTGATAGACAATCAAGACGACAGACAGTGTGAGCAAATCGTTACGTTTCTCTGGTGATTACTGTCGTCATAAACTCACCTCTGGCTCCTTCAGACCTGAGCTGCTGCCTCCGCACAGTGCCGTTAGACGAAGCAACGCTCTTTGCGGGACTGCTGCTAGAGGGGAATTGCAAAGCAGGCGAAGAAGTGGTAGGCATCATGGGTGTGCGAACGGAAGCCGGTGTGGCAGCGGGAACGCCCATGGAGACATCATCTGCATCGTGGGCGGGTGTGCGAGGATCCTGCGATGGCGCTGGACTCGACATGGTATGGTGTCGATGAGGTGAGGGCAGGAGGGAGGGAGGGGAAGAGGATTGCGGAGGAGTGGTAGATGGCGAGATGAGCAAGGACGGGACGAGAGGAGGCGAGGCGAGGCGAGGCGAGATTGGGAAAGCGGCAGGCAAGCGCGAGCTTCCACGCCGTCTGGCGTTGGCGTCTGATGTCCCGCCTGGAGCGCGTTAATTACTTCGACGCGTCTCTTTCGAGGCGAACGCGGTGCCGAGACTTGCAATGCCGCTCCCCTCCGCGTCCCGGTCACGCTCGGCTTTCTCCACAATCTCCGCTCACGGTGATCCCCCCCCCTTTCCGCTTCCCACTGACCACCGGTGTATACAAAGGTGCTACCATGGCTCCGATAACACCTCCCCCGGCAGCTAGCAGCACTGAGACTCAAGCATCCTCTACAAGTGCTAATGAGGAGGAGGACAGACCATACGAGGTGCTCATCACCGGCTTCGGTCCCTTTGGAAAGACACTCGTAAACCCTTCCTGGTCCATAGCAACCCAGCTGCACGATGTTACCCTCTATCCTCCGGTTCCCCCGCCGAGTCCCAAGCGCAATATCCATATTCAAAGTCTGAACCTGCCCGTATCATACGCGAATACTCTCGATGCAGTGCCACGGATCCATGGTCAAGATCCTACCTCGCCCTACGCGAAGAGGGACATCGACGAGAGGGGACCCACGGACGGCGCTCAGGGGGATGGAGCGCACCCATACCCCTCGGGGTACGCTCCACGCCTGCATCATCCCGCAGCAGGGTACGATTTGGTCATCCACATCGGTGTAGGCCTCAATGGTGGTGTACGAGTGGAAAAGCAGGCACACAAGGAGGGCTACAAGAAGCGAGATGCCTTTGAGCGGGAAGCTCCCCCGTCTGATCACCCCCGCCACTACCAGTCTGGTTCAGATTGCGGGTCATCAGCTACAAAAGCAAAAGGGCCCTTCTCCTTTCTCCACTTCCTCCTCTTCTTCTTCCTCTCCACCTTACAAGCATCCTCACTCTCGTTTTACTCCTCCTTCTTCCAAGAGGGGGGTGGATTTGGAAAGGGGTACGAGGACTTTAAGGATGTATGCAAGACGACGATTGATGTGGATGGGCTGGTAGCTATGCTCGAGGCGCGCGGGTGTGGTGTAAGTGCTGCGCTTCAGAGCGAGAGGAAATCCGACCATAACCTGTACTGACAAGGACCTTGCTCGCCTCCGCACAGCCCGTGTCTGCCTCGACTGATCCAGGCAGGTATCTTTGTGACTTTACATACTACTGCTCTCTAGCCGAGTCACGTCGTGCTACTGTCTCTTCCTCGACTGGGAATGAAAAGGATGGAGGTAGCATAGACGGTGCGCCAAGCAAGCAGCCTGAAACACAGGTCTTGTTCATTCACGTCCCTCAGGTCGGCCAGCCTCACTCGGTCGAGGATGGTAGGAAGATTGTAGTACAGGCCATCGGGTGGATCCTCTGGGGACGGTGATGTAGTTCCTGAAGGGTAGTCTTGTCAAACACATTGCATCCACAGAAGCTACTCTCAGGCGATCTGGAACTCATCTGCTCCATAAGCAGCCAGCTTTCCACCACTCTTGCTCTGTCGACCCAACGCCCTGACCTTCGCGTACATCCTAGCCTCCGCATCAGAATTCCTACCAGTCTGTCCCCTGTTACCACCGCCGCCTGCTGCTCCCTTACCTGTGCCACCAGCACCACCGAGGCTGCTGAGATCGATGCCTTCCATAATATCGTCTGCATCAGCAGCGGTAACCCGGCCTTTGCGGCCCGCATTGATAGCAGCGGCCAACATAGCAGCCGGGTCGTCTTTCGTGCGCTCCTCCTTTGCGGCCAGTCGCGCTCTGTTGGATGCTCGATGTGCCTCTACACGAGGCTCCCCCCTGGCCAGACCAGCCTTGTCCTCTCGCTTCCTGTCTCTCCGATTGAGCATAGCTGACGAGGCAAGGCTGCCAGAACCTGCATCTGCTGCGCCGCGAGCTTTGTTCTTCACCATTGCTGGAGCTTCTCGAAGGGCGAAGGATTTGGCCAGGTGACCGAGATGGAGGAAGCGGATGTGGAACAGGTCCTTCTCGTTGGAAGGGTGTGTCGCGTAGGCTCGGATGTGGGACATGAAAGCTTGGCGAGCTAGGGCAGCAGCCTGTTGTTCAAAAATACAAGGAGTCAGTGATTTTCTTCGCCGACGACCTCGAGACACTATGACTCACCTCTTCTTTCCTCAGCACCCATCTCTCGAAGGATAATTGCACTTCGGTAGCTCTCGATTCATACTCATCACCTCGTCCGCCAAATCCTCTCTTGAGTACCGTCTCGGCCGAGACTTCGGCAATGACGGATGAAGAAGCACTCTTCGCTGCTGCATCGCCTTCGACATCTCTCTGCATCGCGTCCTCTAGTCTCTTTCGGGCCTCTTTCTCGTGAGGGAGGAACATGATCCAACTTTCTCCATCCTTTCCTACTCGAGCTGTCCTACCGATTCGATGTAGGTACTCGTCTGGTCCACCCTCCGTAGGCGGATCTAGCTGGATGACGCAGCCGACCGAGGGCAAATCCAATCCACGCGCAGCCACCGATGTACAGAAGAGGATCGCGCCTTCCTTGTGAGATGTGTTGACCTTCTTGCCGAGTCCAGCCGAGAAGCCCTTCAGACTGGCGATACGATCCGACTGGGCGAGTGAACCGTGCAGTCGGAAGACTGGCGTCTTTGGGAAAAGGTCGCAGTACTTCTCGACCTTGCGAGACGATTTGCCTTTGGAGGGCCTCAGCTTGCCATTGGCCTTGGCGGGAGCTTTGGCCGCTGGCGCTTTGAGTTCACCATCTTCAGGATCGACGTCTGATGTGTCCTCCTCCACTGCAATGTCTTCCTCCTCTTCATCGTCAGTAGCTTCAGTGTCATCGCCCATCCTGACTCCACCAAGAGCGTTCCAGTAGTACTCGACACTGTCGGTACAGCTGATGAAGACAATGACCCTGCGGGCGTCCACGTTGGCAGCATTCCGTGACAGAGCCGAGCGCAAAAGAGCAATGAGCGTGACGAGACGAAGCTTTGGTGGGACGATGACAGCATGTTGTCGCAGCTGCGCTGGAGCTGCCAGTCTAGAGTAGGAGCCGCCCGTAAGTAAAGCGGTCTCTGACTTGGCAGTAGGCTTGAGGTCGCCACTTTCCTCTGTCGACGATGGCTTCAGCGGCGCCAAGTCTGCTCCCCCTCTGACGACTTGAGGCGTCCGCAGGTGAGTTCCTGCAAGCATCTGGACATTCTCATCCAGTGTAGCACTGCAAAGAACGACCTTGCGAGGATCGGCCCACCACTTTACACCAGTCCCATCTTCCACTTCCTCATTTGGCAGTGCTCCGCTGGTGATTCCCCTCTGCTCCATCATAGTCTCCTTTGCAGTATTGAAAGCCAGCCGCCGCCTGCCATCCATCGCTTTGAGGATACCTTCCAGTGTTTCCTTGAAGCCCATCTCAAGCAGTCTGTCGGCCTCATCGAGAACCAGCCATCGACATTTGCCAACGTCAAAGCTGCTGGTGGTTTGAAGATGGTCAAGCAACCGTCCAGGCGTGGCAACAAGAATCGGGATTCCTTTCCTCAGCCTCGCCTTCTCGTGATTCTTAGTCGACCCTCCAGAGAGTAGACCTGGAACGAGCCACCGAGTTCTTCTCACTGCATCGTCCTCGTCCTCCTTTTCGCCCTCAGCAGCAGCTGCCTCTTCCTTCTGCTCTTTGAGACTTAGATGAAGCTGGCAGAGCTTCTCTGCTACCTCATAGATTTGACGCGCTAGCTCACGAGTGGGTGCCAGAATGATAGCGAGGGTTCCGACACTTCTGTCGATCCAAGTCTCCGTACAGAGGGGCAGCAGGCTCTGCAAGATGGGCAAGAGGTAGGTGAGTGTCTTTCCGGAACCCGTCTGAGAGTGCAACAGGACATCGCGAGCAGCGTCGCCATTGATTAGAGCGGGTAAACCGGCTCTCTGGATACCGGTCGGCCTGTTGCCGATGGACATGCGGGAGGACTTGAGGTGAGCCACCAGGAGAGGGTCGAGGCCCAGACCGTCGAAGGTTGAAGTATCACCGGGGGCATTGGTGGGCTTTGCAGGCTTGCGCGAATCGGCCTCATCCTCTACCACTGTGAAAGAGCTTGGAGCTCCAGAGAAGAGAGAAGAGATGATCATTCCTGGCTTTGGCCTTGATGGTCCTGCAGTAGATGAAGAAGAGGGATCGTTGAAGCTTGAAGCAGGGCGTCCCGAGGGTAGTGGCGGTCTATACATTTAGGGACGGTGGGAGTCAGTCATCTCCGTAGCATCAGATAGCACAGCAGTATTGTTCGGGACTCACTTGCTGCTATCAATCCTGATCCTCTTTGTTGATATTGCGGCCGGTGTAGCTGAAGCTGGAGCTGGAGCTGGAGGAGCAGCGGCAGCGGCAGCAGGAGGCTGTTGCCTCTTGTTACCATTGGCCCTGGCAGCTGCGCCTCCCTTTGCCTTGGCTGCTGGCCTAGCCACTGGCGCAGCAAAGTTGAGCATCAAGTCATCGTCGTCGTTCATGATGGGCAGCTTCACGCAGAGGGCTTCACGGCGAGGGGATGCTCTGTACGTACGATGATGAGTAGGAGGTGGTCTGACCGTACGTCGTCTCTGCGTCTGCCGCCCGCGTCTCCCTTTCCGAAGAGTTGAAATTTTTGAATTTGGCACAGCGCCGGCCATTCCGCTTCCACAGCCAAGGCGGGCAAAGCAAAACTTCGCTCGCAGCTCCCTCCTCGCCATCCATCCTCACCATTACTATCACCGATTACCTTGACCTTTTCCCCTACCCGTCATCATGGTCAGGGCAAAAGGAGGCGAGGTGCAGCGGCCTTCGTCCATCATCGAGGAAGGCGGCTTGAGGCATCGTTCTCAGGCTCGCGGTCTGCTCAACACCTCCAACCTCCCCGCACTGCAGAATCTGCTCAAGCGGGATCCAGAGGCATACACCGACGAATTCAAGCAGCAGTGGAATCACTACCAGAGCCTGCGCGCCATCTATGCTGCCAACATTGGCGCGGGGGTGGGAGCCGAAGCGCCCGGTACCAGTGCAGCAGTCGTAGGTGGACAGACGACCAATCGCATGGGCAAGGAGCAGGAGGACCGATTCAGGGAGCTCCTGGCATTCGTCACCCAGCTCGTGCCATCATACCCTACACTTACCAAGGGCTTCCCGCAAGATCTCTCCAACCTTGTCATCAAGCACCATGCCAGTCTCAGCCCTGATCTTAGACACTCTGCTGTACGCAGTCTTGTGCTTCTGAGGAACAAGGACGTCATTGGCAGTGAAGAGCTGCTGCGAACGCTCTTTCCCCTCCTCTCCATCACTACCTCTTCCTCTCTTCGTTCGCTCATTCAAGCTACCATCCTGGGCGACATCAAGAATGCTAACCGCCAGTCTCAGAATCACCGACTCAATCGTGTCGTCCAAGGTCTGCTCTTCGGTGTCATCGAAGAGGGTATGAAGGGTGAAGCCGACGGCATGCAACACCAGGCAGACAAGAAGCGGGCGGAGCCAAAGGGCAAGAGTCAGGCGTTGTGGGCCGTAAGACTCGCGGCCGACCTCTGGAGGAAGAACATCTGGAACGATGCAAAGACGGTCTCGCTCCTCGCTCTGGCCTGCTTCCACCCTCACCCTAAAGTGCAGACTTCTGCTGTCCGCTTCTTCCTTAACGATCTGCATCACGCGGAGGATGGAGGAGAGACTGAGTCAGACTCAAATGACGAGCCCGAGATTCCCGACATCTCGAAGCTGAAGCATCAGCGCAAGATCAACAAGAAGTCTCGCTCGGGAGACAACAAGGTCCGAGCTGCTGCTGCTTTGGCCAAGAAGCGCAGGAAAGAGAAGGCAGCCAAGGGTGAGGAGGGCACGACCAATTTTGCAGCTCTCTACCTCCTCAATGACCCACAGACCTTTGGCGAGAAGCTGTTCGAAAACTTAAGCCGGGGAGACAAGCGCCATCCCATCGAGGTCAAGATCCGCCTGATGCAACTGCTCAGTCGAGTCATGGGCGCTCACAAGCTTTGCGTGCTGTCCTTCTACAGTTACATCGTCAAGTACCTCGCTCCGCACCAGCTCCACATTACCCTCATCCTTGTCTCTCTAGCGCAATCGGTACATGCAGAGACCCCACCCGACATCCTCACACCAGTGATCAGGAAGATTGCCGACTCCTTTGTGCACCCTGGAGTGGGTCCGGAGGTAGTCGCTGCAGGTGTCAATTCTGTCAGGGAGATCGCTCGCCGTCAGCCCTGGTGCATGGAGGAGACTCTGCTTGAAGACTTGATCAATTACCGAAAGAGCAAGGACAAGGGTGTGGCTGCTGCTGCTCGCGGTCTGCTGCAGCTCTACCGTGAGGTGAACCCGGGCATGCTCAAGAAGAAGGATCGAGGCAAGAGTGGCAGCTTGGCCATTCAGGCCGGCAAGGGTCCACGCGCCTATGGTGCACCCGAGCAAGGTACCGAGGGCATCCAGGGTCTCGAGCTACTCGAGCAGCACTACGAGGATGAGAAGGCCAAGCGTGCTGAAGCTGGTGAGGAGAGCAATGAAGAAGACGAGGATGACGAAGCGGGCTGGAAGGACTGGGAGCTGGAGAGCGACTCGGACTCCGACGACAGCGATGACTCTGGCGGTTGGATCAACGTCGACTCTGAAGGCGACTCGGACTTCGACGTCGACTACAGTGACTCAGAAGACGGCAAAGAGGGTGCAGACGGTAGCAAGGCCAAGACTGAGGGTCTATCGGCCAAGGAGAGGGCTGCTATCGCTCGAGAGAAGCGTCGTCAATTGCGTCACAAGCGTCAAGCCCGTGCTCAAAGCGATGCCACTGGCGAGCAGAGTGGCTCGGAGAGCGACGACGAAGACGAGGATGAGGAAGAGAATGGTGAAAAGGAAGGAGGTGCCGTCGAGGAGGAAGAAGCCAAGATTTCTGCCCTCGCCACTTCTCGGATCCTCACACCCGCCGACTACGCCAAGCTCAACGAGCTCCGTCTCGCCGCGGCCGAAGCTGCCGTCTCTACCGGTGGGCGTACAGGTGCAGCAGCCAAGCGTGACCTTGCCTATCTCAAGGCTCGCAAACGTGAAGCTGGTGGGCGAGAAGACGACCTCGCCTTCCTAGACGAAGCAGACATCCTCGGCCCTCGTAAAAAGGCTAAGGCCGACTACCAAGAACGTATGGCTTCCATTGCCAAGGGTCGTGAAGATCGTGAAAAGTTTGGAAGTAAAAAGGGTAAAAAGCAAAAGGACAAGACTTCTTCTACTACTAATGAACAAAAGAGTAAAGGAAAGAACTTTGGAATGGTAAGCAAGTCGTGGGCTGTAAGGAGTAAGAAGAAGGCTAGTTTGAGAGAGAAGAGTAGGGCGCTTAAGAAGCACAAGGAGAAGCAGGCAAAGATGAAGGGAAAGCACTGAGAGGAGACGGTGCTGTTGCGTCACATTTGCCCTTTGCGGATCTATCTCTCGTACACTTGTTATCAATGGTCATTGTTCATCTCATTTCATGCTTGAGGAGCGACTCATCACCTTCGATCTTCTGGCCGAGCGCCATAATCGCCATAATCATCACCGTCTTCTTCACCTTCCTGTACCTCATCAGGGTCAAACTTTGCCCAACCGGGATCAACGACGACCTCTTGAGCTCTCCTCGCCATGATCTCGCTCGGCAAAAGTGGCCTGCCCGCTCCTCCCACTGACCCCGCTGCAGCCCCTCCCCCCGCAGGGCTCATCTCAATCTCCTCTTCTCCCGGAGCGGTCCCCTCTACATGCCATTCTCTCCAATCTCTAACACCAGTGCCCAACCTCTCCCTCTCGCGCATGAGGTACTCGCGCAACCGTTGCTCTTCGTCTTCCCGCTGACGAGCATAGGCATGGTCGTACATCATCGGGCGCACCTCGTACCCCTCTGAACCGCGGCGGACTCGACTTCTCAGCTGAGGAATACGACCTCCCGCGATGCCTTCGCCAGGCTGGGATCCACTGGCGAGACGCTGTTGTTGCTGCTGCTGAAGACGGTATTGCTCCTCCTCGTCCGTGGAGGCGCCATCCCCTTCTGATCCACCAGAATCAGACTGGGAATCTTCCGAGGCTGAATCCTCTGCAAAGAGGCGTGGGAAGATTTCTCCGCTCCTGAAACCCCAGCGACGGGCTTCTTTGGCTTCGAGGACCTCGTGCTCCTCTACCTCCTCCTCACCTTCCTCATCGATCCACTCTTCTTCGCCTTCAGCTTCCTCGCGCTCCTGCCGTTTGTCTCCTGGTCGCTTGCCACTGCCGGGGATGGTGCCGGGTGGGAAACAGCCAGCGTCAACTACGCCTGCTTCTTCTGCCGAGGAGACAGACTCGGCGGACATGGAGTCGGAGCGGGGCCGACGGTAGTGCGGGTGATAAGGAGAGACATGACTGGCTCCCGTTCCGTCTGCCTCGTCGTCAAAGACGAGTCCTGGAGGAGGACCACGGGTGTGGGGCCGTTGCATATGAGGGTCGCTCTGAGATGCTTCGTCGGGGGAGACTCTCTTCCTGAGTCCGCCTTGGTTGTGGGCATCGTCGGATTCATAGGCACCAGCCTCACCACGAGTCCTCGCCGCTTTCAGTCGCCCATTGCTCGGCCGCAATGCCGGATTGAACGAGTCGTGTCCATAGGTGAAAGCGCCAGCCGCATCGTACCTTGCTGCGAGACCGTGGCCAGAGGAGTTCCGCTGACCTCGTGACCGTTGAGGTCTCTTCTGGTCTTTTGGAGGCCAGAAGAATTGATATGGATAGTCTGTGGGGCCGTGCACAGACGTTTAGAAAAAGAAGAGTACGATTACAATGAGCCAAGTGATTGCGATACATTGAGATGGAGCACACCTGCTGAGAGTCCAGATGGAGCAACGGTGCGAATATCTTAAGCCATGACGGCGAGCTCCTCATCAGGCTCAGCCTCCTCTCCAGCTCGGCCCGCACCAGCAGCGACGGTCCTGAGCATCGCCTCGACGTTTGGGTGCTCCCCACGGAGCAGACGGGAGGCTGATGTTCGGCTTCCGTTGCCTGCCTGGCCTGCACCTCCGCGACCGATAGCAGCATCATCGAGTCGAGAAGAGCGAGACGCACCGTGACCTTCGCCGAGGGCGTATTCTAGCCCGTTGCCCATTGGGGGCTGACCTGGCCAGCACCAGAGGAACATCCGCGGTCCCAGGATGGATTCGATATTGCGCTTGAAACCGAGATCATAAGGATATTTGTACTGTGATGGATGAAACAAAACCAAATTCAGCAGAGGCAAATCACGTGCGACGCTCCTTCGCAGCGCATGCTTTACTCACAGCTTCAATCTTTCCCCGCCTGACCAGCGTGGCCACCTTATCCTTCTCCCAGCTCTCAATGGTCGTTGTATTGGTACAAAGAGCATACGTATGGTAGAGTGAGAAGATGCCAACCATCAACAGCACAGGTACACCCTGAGCAAAGTTGAGGATCAAGAGCACCATGTCCTTTGTCGATGGCTCCCTCCACAGGATCATTGGGCTCCACCAGTCTGCGACTCTGAGCGCAAGGAGAGCTACTTGTATCGAGATGGTCACGTCGACGGAGTAGAGGAAGCGCAGGAAATGACCGTAATTGTGGTGACCGATGCAATTTGCCACCCAGGGACAGTGGTGGTCCATTCTGAGAACACAGCGCTTGCATTGCCTACAGTGGTGGGCTCTCGGCGGCTTATAGCTCTTGCACACCTTGCAGTAGCGCGGTCCACCAGTCGATGCTTTTACCTCGACGCCACCTATACTGTCCCAGTCTGGCTCCCAGCTGGTAGGGACGCTGCCCGGATCTGTGAAGACTACGAGGTAGTAATTGTAGTAGGTGGCAGCCAGTCCCAGGTTCAGGGGGATCAGGCAGAGGAGCATCGTCGACCACTGAACATTTGGCAGAGCCATCCAGTAGGGAATGAGGACGAAGAATTGGGACGAGTAACCAAGGAATGTGATCAAGGTGACCGTAGCGATGACCCTGTAAGCAGACGGAGTCCGGTCTTCGTCAGCACAAGGCTGTTGGGGGAAACAATGTGCTCTATGCCCTGCATACTCACCACATCTTCTCAGTGGCCTTGAGCGGTTTCCTTCTACCATTGGACATCTCCAATACACTCGCAGGACTGCTGCCAGCCGTTCTTCTCCTGCGTTCGCTGGCACTACCGCTACTGCTGCCAGCCATGAGTGGCACTTCCTGCTCGTTGAGCTCATCGCCGCGATCGCTGGACGGCATGACGCTGTGAGGTGGCCGTCGACTATCCCAGCGAATTGAGTCTATGGCACACTGATGAGGACGAGGGTACGGCCCAAGTTATTGCCCAGCAATACACATCGGTCAGGAGAAGATTCAGTGGAGGATGAGAGGGATGGAATGGTAGCAGAGGATGCCTCGTGCTGTGTTGCTGCTCGGTTGATGTCACTCCGGGTCGGCTCTGGTGCGCGTCGGCATCGGATCGGAGACGACCATCGGATCGGACTTGCCTCGCCTACTTCCGTTGACTGGCTGCTGCTGCCTCCTCGTATACACCATACGAGACCATCAATCCTCGTCAAGGTAGCGAGCTACGTCGCAGACAGCTAGGTATGGCTTCCACTGCCAATCGCAACGGAGCAGGCCGGGAGCCAACGCCCACCTCGCCCTCTCCTTCGCCCGAGCCCAGCGGTGACCCGGCCTCTGCTAGCGATCCTACCCTCTCCACTTCCACTCCCAATCCCTTCCAATTCGGACCCGGAGCCTCGTCCGCCAATGGCCTGGGCGGCTCCATGGTGGGAGGTCAGAACCATGGCTCAGTGCCCTTCCATGAGCTTCTGAGTCTCGAGGAAGACCCCAATGAGCCACTGAGACAGCAGGTCGAGGATCGGACCAGGAGCGTAATCGATTCGCTGTACCAGCTCGCGGTCTGCGCTGCCGATGTCCAGCCAGGAAGGGAGGACATCGTCGGCGTCAAAGTGTAAGTCAGGACGAGCATAATAGAGTCTGTTCAAGACGCTGACTTTCTCTTTTCCCATTCGCAGTAACGATCTCGTCTCGCACCTCTCCTCCCTCTCTTCAACCGCATCAGCCAACCACGATCTCCTGCCATTTGTCCCCGAAGACGTGCTAGAGGCAATCGACGAAGGCAGGAATCCAGATGTGTGGAGCAGAAATAGGATGGGTCGACTAGTGTCCGACAATCAGCAGATTGCGGGGCAACGTTGGGCCATTGAGGTGAGTGAGGCTGGCGCGGGAGGATCGGCGCATCATTCCATCAATCCGGACCGTTTAACGAAAGCTCACGAGATGACCCTCTTATGCTTCTCTACATCACAGGAATTCCGTCAGTGCCTCACAAAATCAGTCGCTGACGTCTTCCCCGAGCTGGCAGAAGAAGGAGAAGCCGAGGGAGGGGAGGGCGTACTGGCTCAAATGGAGCGGGAGCACCAGGCTCTACGAGCTCAACTCGACCTGCCACCAGAGGACACTCCAGCAGAGGGAGCAACAAGTGAAATGGAAGGCAGGACAGATGTTGAGATGGCTTCTTGATATGATCAGGTAGAGGGGTTGGAAGTACCAAGCACAGCAAAACAGACAGAAGAGATGCATTTGTACAATAGTCATTATTGATCCCACAGCACCACGAAACGTACAGTATCAGAATAAATCAGACAGACATGGTATGATTGCGCTTCAGTCCCCCAATTCAGGAAGAGCACGAAGGCATATTCCTCTGTAGCGGTTCTCCAATCTCGCACAGTCTCGCTTCCTCCTCAAGGAGCTCAGCACTCTTTCCCGATCCGTCGTCCTGTCCCCACTCCTTGCAGGGGTGGAGACACATCTGCAGTACCCGGTCCAGGAAGAGGGTATCGTCCTTCTCCTCGAGACGCTTGATGACTTCTTCGCCCACCCAATTGCGCAATACGAAACGGGGATTGTGCTGCGACATTTCCTCGCGGAGGGAGGTACCCCAGCCTACAGCGGGCGAAGAGCTAGAGCCAGAGCCGACACCGAGATCTCGTAAAAGTCGCTGGGCGTACTTTGTCAGCCAGCCCTGCGCTTGGTCACGCTTCTGGTCTCGGAGGTAGGCCAGCACGCGAGACTGGTCGTACCAATCAGCACTGAATGATTCAACGGCCTTCTTGATCCCCTCCTCTTGACCCTCAGCGCTCTTGAGATTCTCTTCAAGGATAGACGGGAACTCTTTGAGCTTCCTGAGGGTGAGAGTGAAGTCGAGTTCTTCGAGGACGTCCAAGAGCGGGTCGAAGAGGGCACCCTTTTCGTCCTCTTCGGCATTCTTGAGGCCCAGACGGAGACGGAAGCGACGTCTCCACTCTTCCATTGTTGTGTTGATAAAGACCTCCTCCAGATCAGCCCGCTGCGTCGCCTCTCCGAACTCTGCAAGCGCCTTGAGCTTCTCGGGCTCCAGGCTTGCCAACTCTCCAGGGTTAGGGGCACGGCCATTCTCCTCTTCGAAGCCGATGATGGGAGAGAGGGAGGTGAGGAGCTGCTTCATGGCAAAGAGGACCATCGAAGGCTGCATCTTGTACGAATATCTCGACATCTCGTCAGAGTGATTGGGCGTGACGTCTTGCGAGAAGATGTCGAGGAAGCCATACGGTCCATAGTCGATTGTCAAGCCGAGGATGGAAATGTTGTCGGTGTTGAGCACTCCATGTGTCCAACCTACCGCCTGCCATCCAGCGACCATGCGAGCGTTGCGCCTTGCGCTCTCGAACAATAGACGGGTGGCCCACTTCTCTCGAGGTGAATCTGGTGTTTGCGCACTAGGGATGCCTTCAAAGTTGAACAAGATGCGGGAGACGTACTCTCCCAAGAGTCTTACAATCTCCCAGTCTGAGCGCGAAGCTGGGAGTTGGAAGGAGCCGATCCGAATCCAGCTCTGGGCAAGTCGTGAGGTGATGGCAGATACGTTGCGCCGCTCTCGCACCACCTCGACATCCGGCAGGGAGATAACCGACAGGGCGCGAGAAGTCGGGATGCCCAGGGCGGCGATGGACTCGCTGCCCAAGAACTCTCTGACACTGCTGCCGAGTGTTGCCAATCCATCTGCAAAACGCGAGTATGGCGTCCGCCCGGCTCCCTTGAGCTGAATTTCCCACCTCTCATTATTTTCTGGATTGATCGTCTCGAAGAGCGTGATCGCACGTCCATCCCCCAATTGCCCAGCCCAAGATCCAAATTGATGTCCAGCGTAGGCGTTCGACCAGCCCAAGTACGTCTTTTGCTTCTGCCTTTCCAGCAACTCTCCATTTCTCCTCTCCCACCTCTGCTGAAGAGACTCGTCTTTCCATCCTTGTCCAACTCTTCGAGCCCAGACTCCGCAGCCTGCCATGTCATCCAGCTGTGACTCTTCGCTGGGCAAGACGGCCGCGACGGCTCGGCCGGCGAGAACGTCACTGAGCTGAAAGCGGGCACGAGCTGCATCGTCCTTGGGCTGAGGCGCCATGGGTCCCGAGGCATAAGTGTCAGGGCCATCCCTACCGCTTGTGCTCTTGATGAACTCAAAGGCGTCTCCCACATCCAGATTTGGAAGACAGTCCCTCAGTGCTGCTGCGCTCAGACCCAGCAGTCGAGCCGAAGGGTACGTCTGAGCGCGCTTGGCCGGAGTGAGGTATCCAGCCAGACCCTCCGCATCCTTTGCAGGGTATTCCGGCTTGTCGAGTTCCGAGACCTGGATCTCATACCGTCTCATCACCCTCTCCACCTCTTGCATCTGCCGCTCGTAGCGAGCCTCGGCAGAATCCGCATCTGCTCCTCCCCCTTCGGCTTCGGCTTCTCGCCTGTGCTGCTCGCCTAAACTGACCTCCTTGTCACTCTCTTCCTTTTGCTCGGCTGGAAACTCATAAGGGAACGGCAATGGGAGTGGAGTGACATAACTGAAGCCTGCTCCTTGCGGTACGGGTCTGGCTCTCCTGACTAGACTTGGTGTTGAGTCTGGAGTGGAGAGGAGAGAGGTGGGAGAAGGTGTGTAGGCATCGGGTAGGAGATTATTGGTGAGGCGTTGCGAGGGGGGTGGGAGGGGTAGGGAGAGGAGCGGTACGAGGCGCCTCGGAGAGTTGTTCCTGGCGGTCATACGGAGCATGAATCGAGGAGGGGTGAGGCAAGCGTCAGACGAGCCTCAAGGTGAAGAAGAAAGGGGCAGCAGTGAGACGAGGATCGACTGCAGTGGCAACGTCTCTCCCCTCGGCCACCGTCTGCGGGTGGAGGAGCGAGCGGGGTGGAGGCAGGCGGTCACGCCCATTTCGCGGAATTCCAGAAGACTGCACTGCACACACACACGCCTGCCCAGCCTTAAATCTAGTCTGTATCCTACTCAAAGCTCCCTCATCTCACGCACCTTCTATCCATGTCAAGCAGTGCAGCCTCAGGACCAATGGGGGAGAGCTCCAAGCGTAAAGCCGGCAGTGAAGCAGTTGCAGGAAGCAGCAGCAGCAGCAGCATCTCCCGCGATGGGAAGAAGGCCAAGCTAAAACCACAGGACGAAGCCACTGCTACGGGAGCTGCCGCTGCTGCTCTGAGCGTAGACGAAGACGACGAATGGGCCCGATTTCAGCAGGAAGTCCTTGCAGGATCTGCTGAAGATACCTCTAGTGCTGGTACTAGCGGCTCTCTCCTCCCGCCACCACCACCACCACCCACAAACATCTACGCGAACGCAACGATTGAAGCGCAGCCTGAGCTCCGGCGACCACCGAACTCAGCAGAAGGAGATGTGGATGGCCCTGACACTGGCTCTGGGACTCAAGAGGAGGAGACAGAAGCCCAACGTCGTCGTCGTCTCGCTCGAGAGGAGCACGAAGAGATCCTCTCCCGACTAGAGGAGGAGCAGAGGTTACAGGATGAGGCCGAGGAGAGGTGAGTCCGCTCTAAGGGTGGAGGTGGGAGTGGGGGTTTGGGGTTGGGGTTGGGATACTTTGTACCTTGGCATTTGGACAGGTGGCAGATGGACTGGTCTCTGAACACTTCTAATTTGTCTCTCCCTCTCTCTCTAGGGTATCCTCTCTCAAATCGCGACTGGAAAGGATCAAAGCGGCACGAGCTGCCAAATCGTCCTCTTCTATATCTGTATCAAAGACAGAGGACAAGAGCAAGAGGAACAGCAGCAACAGTGGTAGTCATAATGGGAGTGGGATTAACGGCACTAGCACTGGCACTGGCGCTGGCACTGGGGCTGGCAGTGGGAGCAAAAGTAGAGAGGAAGTGAAGAGCGTCGAAAAGGCGACGTGAAGCGCAAGCGCCTCGTCTGGTGACTAGTCAGAAAGCAATTCGATTCTGCTCATGCCTATCGAAGAGAAGAGAAGATATGCGTGCGTTGGGCTTGCTTCAGACTGAATGACTGACTGAATGACTGACTGTCGACTGTCCAAGGGGGAGAGCAAGAGCAAAACAAGGGAATGTAGGGCAGCGGCGAAACTTCTCCATTCCTCGGCTCGGCAAGCAGCAGAGTGGTAGAGCGGCAGACCAGAGACGGAATTCGATTTGAGACCAGGACAATAATGGTCTACAAGGGATGAGAATGGAACGAAAAGAAAGGGAAGGGAAGGGAAGAAATCGTACTGGAAGTTGGGCTCATGCCTCTGAAATGAAAGGGAAAATGGAGTAGATGAGATCTGATGGGAAAGGGGGCTCCGCCTCGCACTCGCACTCGCGGTGCCCTCCTCTCTTCTCTCTGAGTGTAGCGGTGCACTCTCACTTTCCACGACCGACGGCAAAGGGCCTCTGACGACCCCTCGACGCGGGCATGGGGCTGGGCAGGCCCTGGCTCCCCTCTCCCTCCCCCTCGTCCTCCGCCTTCGCGAAAGGCTCCTGCTTGATCTGCGCAACCCCTCTCCCCGCTCCCGCCTTCGGGCCCTCACTTCCACTCTTCGCCCTCGCATCATCCGCAGCCTGCATAGCCAAATGCATAAAGTGCCCACCAACCACCGGTCTGGCCTCAAAGTAGATGAGTGGGTCAAATGGCTGCTTTGGGAAATCTCCCGTAGTCGTCTCGTACAGATCGGTCATCGGTCCGTCTGTAAGTCCATTAGCATAAAAGCTGTACAGGCCGCTGATGAAGAGGTCTCGCGTAGAGTTGGAAGCAGATGTGGCAGAGCTGAACATTTGCCAGTCAGACTTGGTCCAGTTGTGTCGCGAATCGAGCGGGATGCCCCACTCTTGCTCGACAGTAGGGTACCACTTGTCCTGCACGTCGTACACCTTCTTGGGTACCAGACGCAGATCCAGGAGCTTGTCGGCAAAGAGGTTGTAGAGGGTACCCCAGGATTTGTCGTCTTGGTATGCGAGCTTCATGTGAGATCCATCCTTAGAAAGGGCCAATTTGAACCACTTGTCCACGTACTTTTCGGCCACATCCCGGTAGTAGGTGGCATTAGTGGTGCGGCCCACCATATGTGCAATCTCTCCCATCGCGGCAATTCCAGCAATGCCCTTGATCGCGAGATTGGTCTGGTTGGCCAATACACCGGCAAAGTCGTCCGTCGAGAGCTGAGAGGCTGGAATGAGCGAGTCCTGGATGAGAAAGTCGGTCCATTGGGCCATGATCCTGTAGTGCTTCTTCAAGAAAGACACTGCCTTGGATTTCTCTACTAGCTGAGCATAGTGAAGAGCCATGATGACCATGTTGCCGCTCTCCTCCACCTGCATCGGCTCGTCGTCGCCGTCATTGTAGCCCCAGGCATTCGGATAGGTTCCAAGGTCGTGTACACACCACTTGTTGGGGTAGAGGCCGCTCTCGGTGTACTCAAAGATGGGCAGCATCACCAGCTTGAGCAGTTCCGGGTTCAAATACGTCAAGATCGGGAACTGCGGGAAGAAGACGTCGACCGTTGACATGTCACCGTTGGACGAGATCTCCTTGAGGAAGATGAGCAGGTCAGAGGTGTCGTATTCGCCATGCTTGTTCTTTGAGACGGTGAACTCGATACCCGCCATTGCCTGACGGACAGAGAGCGAGGTGATAGCAGCATACTCGTCACCAGCCTTGCCACCTCCCACCACGGCCTTTGACTCGCTGGCAATCTTCTTGTCAAGCTTAGTGCAGTGCTCCAGAGCATTTTCAAAATCGTCCAGGAAGAACGTCACTACCTCGTCGAAGGAAGAAAAGTTGGCGGCCCAGAGACCGTAGCGGTCCTGCTGGTAGCTCTTCTTGCCTTTGCTTCCCGGCACAGCCTTGACATAATTGACATAGGGGGTTCGCAGATGGCCAATGGCAAAGATGACATCGTTGCCGCCGTGCTTTGCGTCAAAGTCGACCGAGTAGGCAAAGGCATTCTGAGGGCCTCCCACGTAGTCTCGGTGAGGACTGATGACTCCAGTGGTGATGAATTCGTTCTGGACGTTGATATTGTTGTTGTTCCTTGCTAGGAGAGCAGGACGATCACGTGCTGCCCACGTGACGCTACCCCATTCTGCCCTCTGTCGCCACTCCTTGTAGACCTCGGGGTTCCTCCGCTGGATGTACCAGCGCTGAATCCCCTTGAGGTCCTTGAATTCCTGATAGTAAGGGTAGCGGTCGAACTCCTGAACATGCGCAGTGACCCACCTCTCGTCGATGTCAACGTACGCCTGTACGGACTTGCCCTTGGCAGTCGAAGAGTCGTAGGCAAAGTGAAGGTAGCTCATCGGGATGCTCTGTCGCACAAAGTCATGAGGCCAGATAGGAGTCATAAAGGTAGCGTTGAAGTGGACGCCGCCGGCCTTGAATTTGTAGATGGTCTTGGTGGAAGTGTATTCCACAGACAGTTGCTCGGCATCTTCGCCATCTCGGACAGTTGTGCCGAAAGCATCGCCCATCCACTGATAAGTGACATTGTCTACTCGAATGAATCCGTTCCAGCCCAATCTGTAGTCACCGTCGGCGCCGTACTGCGAAGTCCAAAAGGCGCTGGCCTTTCCCGCGAGGTAGCCATCATTGCCGACGCGATTGGGCGGTGTCGCAGCAGGGTTCCGTCCAGCGGGTGCCCAGTCGTTAAGGTAGGGCGACTTGACAGCAAGAGGGTAGCTGGGTGGTTTCATGGGGGAGAAGGTGCTACCAGACTCCTTGCGCTTGCTACCGTGAGAAGCACTGGCAATCTTTGACTGCAGGAGCACTTGCTCTCGCAAGGCGGTCAGATCACCGCTTACGTCTGCCTCGGCTACCGTCTTGCCGTTCTTGAAGATGGGTGCCAAACCGGGCACAGCGTGGACGTCGGGGGCAGAGGCTTTGGACTCTGCTTCGCCGACAACGTCTGCAGGGTCGCCTCCTGCATTCTGGACCTTTGTAATCTTCCAATCGACTCCCTGCACTTGGTAGCCGAGGTCTTCTGAACTGACTTCGACTGACCCGAAAGGTTGATTGGGATAGCGCTTTTCGGACTCTGGCCTTGTGAGATCAGCAAGCTGCTTGAAGACCATGTGGTTTGTATGCTTGAGTGAAGCGAGCGCCAGCCCCGGGAGGACAGCGGTGCCCAAGGCGAAGTAAGAGAACCTCATGGTAAATACCTAGGAAGGGTGGTAATTGCTACTGACGGAATGTGTCTTGTTGTAGTGGAAGTATGTCTAGAAGTCTTTGCGTCGAGCGATTGTAATATCAAGTGAACGAGCGTCTGTCACACAGAGAGGCCAAGAGAAAGGAAGGGGTCGAGTCAGGAGGTGCTTCGTATAGGAGTCCGACCGCGTCTCGAGGGGCAATGATACGAACCGCGTAGAAGTGAGGGGTGCGAGACTCCTTTGCAGCCCGACCTCTTCTACAGTCAAAGGTATGCCAAAGTGAGAGACAGTGAAGCAAACCACAACGGTGGTCCGAGGATGGCACTAATGCGTAGAGGGTGCGTCCGTGCGTACGGAATCAGTGCTCGGGCCGATGGAAGCCGTGCCTGGGGAGTCAGGGCCAAGGGTGAAAGGAGGAGTAAGGGATTGTCCTGAGTCGCGACGCTGATCCTTCGACCAGGCGGATCAGAGGAGGAGTGAGTGAGTGAGTGAGTGATGGGAGAGGAGTGGAGGGGATGAGAAGAAGGACTAGGTGGTGGTGGTGATATTCGGACGGACGAAGGGGAGGGAGAAGGTCGCACGCCCACTGTCGCTCGTCCAAGCAAGGGGTGAGGCCCAGGCAGTACCACAGTCGAGGACAGGCACGCACCAAGGCGAGCGGAGTGCACCCCGATCTCTACGCTCCAGCCCTCTACTGCCGCCCGGCTGAGGCTGATCACTTTATGTGGAGATAAATGCGGGGTGGGGGGATGCAAATAGCCGGGTGCCGTGGCTGACGGATCGCCTGGCTGCTGCACTGCTGACGCGAGGCCAGAGGACAAGCTGCACAACGCCATCGGGGCGTCAGGCAGGCAGAGCCCGTAACATGCAGCACTAGTAAGGCGGGCCAAAGGGGGCAACCTCTAGAGGCACAATATTCCCACTCTGCAACCGCTGGAACCTTGGGCGGTGACAGTACATGAAGCGACACGGCGACTGGAAGAGTGAGGCAATTCGCAGACGACGACTGTGTGCAGAGCCAATCACCACTGTCCAAGCATCTAGCATGTAACTGGACTATATTACCGAAATCGAAGCACACCACTTCTCCTCAACTCTACTCTACTCCCGAATCCGAAGTCCACTTGAGATGCTGTGCAATATCCGACTGAGCCACCGTCGGCTTCACCATATCAATGGCCCTGATGAAGTCCTTGAGCACCAGCGGAGGCTCCAACAACGAGTCTGCATCGATGTCCTCCCAACTCTTCTCTGTAGCTCCAGCATCCCCAGGCGAGCATGGAGTCCAGTATTGCCTCATCTCCGTCACCTCTCCATCGGCTGGATTTTGCTCCTCCCCTGCCTTCGGCTTCGCCGGCGCTGTGATTTGCTTGAAGTGGGTGGCACCAAGGACTTTACGCACAGGCTGCATGAGAGCGTCTCGCACTAGAACGGCAATGTCCGAACCACTGTAGCCATCTGTCATCTTGCCGAGTTGGCGGTAGTCGGCAGGTGTGAGCTTGCAAGGGGTGTCCCCGACGTTGAGCTTGAAGAGTCGCTCACGAGCTTCGGCCTCGGGAAGCGGAATGTAGATGCGCTTCTCAAATCGTCGCTTGATGGCGATGTCCAGAGCCCAAGGGATGTTCGTCGCCCCCAACACCAGCACACCTGCATCATCATTGCCAACACCGTTCATCTGCACCAGGAATTCAGTCTTGATGCGTCTCGAAGCCTCTGACTCTCCTTCTCCTCGAGTACCACAGAGCGAGTCGACTTCGTCGATGAAAATGATCGAAGGCTTTGCCTCTCGAGCCATCTGGAACAGCTGCTTCACCAGCCTGCAAGCGACGTGGAAGGAGGCCTTGTCAGCATCTTCGTCTAGTCATGCTTTTGCCTGCCCCGTGCCTAGCAATCGCTGCTTCGCCGAACTCACCTTTCACTCTCTCCCATCCACTTGCTGACCAAGTCCGAACTCGAAACACTGAAGAAGGTACTCTTCGCCTCAGTGGCGACTGCTTTTGCTAGATAAGATTTACCGGTACCAGGAGGTCCATACAGGAGGATACCCCTCCACGGTGTCCTCTTGCCCGTGAAGAGATGCGGATGCCGGATGGGCAGGATGACGGCCTCCTTCAGGGCATCCTTTGCCGTCTGGAGACCGGCGACATCGTCCCAGCTGATGTTGGGCGTCTCGGAGAGGATAGCGCTCGACAGCCCAGCTCTGAGCTTCTTTGTGTCTGGATCCACGTCATCGTCATCGCCACTGTGAGGCCGGAGAATCAGGAGCATAGAGTCAGAGGCTCGGTTCGCAAAGGTTGAGATCGGCCTCGACGACGCTGTGTCACCAGAGCTGGACATCAGAAACTCACCCTTTGCCATTTGCTGCTCCTCCCACACCCTTCTCTCCTCCGTTAGCACCAATGGCGGCCCTTCCCTTTGCCTCCTGCGCTTGCGCCAGATGCTGCTTCAGCTTCTCAGCCCGGTCAAGGTACTCCATGAACTTTTTGCGAATCAGCTCCTTCATCTTATCGTTCTTCTCGTCTGCACAATGGGATAGGGTATGCGGGTTACAGAGCGAAGTGAGTGAAGAGCTCGGTACGAATGTCTACTGAACCCTCTGATGCTGGTCGATGGAGGTCCGACTCGAGCTCAGTCCTGATTGTGGGGGGACTCACACTTCATAGCCATCATGAAGTAGTCCAGAGCATTCTGGTACTGCCTGTACGCCTCTTGGTAATTTTGCTTTGTATCCTCCTCAATCGCAGTCTTTACGATATCGATCGCTTTCTGTGTAGATCAGGGGAGGAAGGCAGGAAAGTACAACTCAGAAATCTGACCCCGATGAGGACATGTGAACTGTCAGACTCACGTCTAGGAAGCCCGAGTTGGCCCTGGGGGAAAGATTGACGAGTTGAAACGGACAAGTCAGCATTCCGAGCCAACCAAACACTGTGTCATGGGTCCCACCTACTTACATCTTGCAAAACACCCTCTAGCTGGGTCGTGCTGGGAACCGAGGGCGGGAAAAGGTGATCGTGGAGAATGCGTCCCGCACGTGGGCTAACAAAGCTCGCTAGCGAATGATCTGGATCGTAGCGTGAGGCAGAGGTGACCAAGGCAGGAGAGGATGGTATCGAAGGGCAGTAAGTAGCACGGGAGCCGAGCCAAGGCGGAATGGGCGAGGCGGAGGCGGGTGGCCCGTTGCCTGCATAGGACAGGCGCCTGGCTGTGGAGTTGGTTGGACTCCAGTGGCGCCGGCCGCGCGTGAGGAAAGGCGGATCGGAAGATGTGCGAGATTTACTGGTCCCTTCAAGCTGAGACTTCTTCTCCTGTTTCTTCTTCTTCTCCTTCTTCCTTTATACCATTTTCCTTACCCCAGAGACGCGCGAAGGACCGCACTTGCAGTCTTCCTGTCTTCGACCTCCCTTTCGGGCAGGCCACGAGGATCGACCAAGACCACATTGTGTCTAAGGAGCTGTAGGGAAAGTCCCCGGACGCGCGGGATCACTTTGGGAGGGGCAGCCAAGACCAACGTCGTCTTGGTATGGGCACGTTTGGTAACATGGCTTAGCTCGCAAGTCATTTCGACATCCGCAGGCGATCTTTTGACGTCAAGATGATTTGAAAGCGACCTCTTGCTGGCGAGAGATGCAGCTGGTTTCCATCAGTCCTCGGTGGTGCTTGGTGATCCACCTCACCGGCCTACAATTCACAACCCACATTGGAAAGCGACCTTTGCTCGACGTAACTGTCAGGGCGATTGGAAGATATAACGGGTGGGAGGCTCCCCTTGTGGACCGAGGGCTTTTTGGGACTTATTGCGGGAAGCAAGAAGGCCTAGCTCCATTTCATTGTCATTTGGATCGACTGCAATGGAGGGAATGTTCGCCTCTCCGGAGTGTGTTCTCCTTTTGATAGCTGCCCCTTTGGCTTCGAGAGCGGCGCGGGAGGCTCTCCTAGTGTTTGGGCGATCGGTAGACTCAACGCGAAGATAGGAGCGACAGTCTGGCCCTACCCTAGACTTTGAATAGTCACAACACCTGGTAGCAGTCTCTTGCCTCCGCCTCGATGATTCCATCCCATGATCTCACTGTTTGTCATTCTATGCAGAGGAGCTTGCGGTCAGATTCTATTCTGTTCTGCTTCCACCTCTGTTGGTCTATAGTCATGCGGTCGTCGATTCCCCTTGTGGGAAGCGATAACTCAACGGGGCTTACTCTCGCGAGATGATCGTCTCTGGGACCGGCAATTGGTAAAAGGTGGCAGGTAGTTGTCTGTCTACACCACTCATGACTCGGCGTAGGAAAGGGAAGTAGGCACTGTTCGGATGCTTGTGCGCTTGTGACAAAGTGCGAAGGCCAACGTGCTGTCTTCCTCCTCTCTTGCAGCCGCTGTCACAGGGAACACTGTGTTCTCACAACTTTTTCACTCATGAACGTTTGTCAGAGCGTGCACTCAGCTTAATCAATGCCAATCCTTCTTAAGTTTGATCCACACGAGTGACACTGCCTGTGGCAAGCAGGATTCGAGCGCTTGGCGCTGACTTGCCCTGGGTGATGCTGCTATTCCTGGCTGATCATCTGATGTCCCTTGGATTCCATCCCAGCCGCGGGGTTTGGGGGGCTGGGCGGGCCCAGAGCCAAGCAGGGCAGCTGCAGGTCCAACGGACTTTGCCCGGCCAGGCGGCGGCGGGCCAACAGGCCGAGGGGCAGCCGAGGCGACAGACAGAGCACAGACATCGTCCACGCCCGACGTTGCTCCTTCGCTCCCGGCCTTGGCTGCACTCGACGACCCCACACCAAACTACCCGTACGAGACGGGAGAGTCTTCCCCTCATTTGGAATCTGTTTCATCCTTCATCTCACCCATCGTCTTCTCGTAGTCTTCCCCCTCGTCACTTTCTAGAGATCTCATGTCCTCGACGGATTATTGAGACCTCAACTCGCCTCCCAGAGCCGCCCCATACTTTTGCCCCGCCCTTTGCCCGTAAGCCCACACTCCCGTACTTGTGGGGAGCAATCGATCAATCGATCGTTCAGGCACAAACTACATCATTCGCCCTGCCGGAGATACGGCATCGTCATCATCACAGCAAAAGCATCCCATCACCGGAACCACCCGCTCGGAAAACGTCTTATTTCTCTTAGTGCACAGTATTGCCTCCGAACCGAAGTACGGCTCTGCAACACCTTCAGCCTTCCTCTTCACTTCCTTCATCACCTCACGACTGCTCCACTCCACTTCGACATCAAGAAGAAGTAGTGATCGAGCAGCAGCAGAGGCTTACTCCTCAACAGCCCTCTAGTCTTCGCTCCTACGACTACCACGCGTTTTCTTTGCTTGCCCAAGACACCTCCACAGAAGGGCTCGTGCTAGTCTGGACTGGCCGGGGCAGTAATGTCTTTCTCGTGGAAGACGCTGCTGGGCGCAGGATCTTCTGGAAGCCAGAACGCAGCCTCTGCCTCGACGGTCACAGGGGGCGAGCGGTACGGAGGTGCAGAGGATGGCGGCGTTGGGGTTGAAGAGGAACACCAGCCCTTGTGGGGTCTGGAGAACGTGAGTAGGCAGAGATGGTGACAAGAGGGGCTTGGAGATGAATGATGACTGTTGATGATGTCCGACTGAACAAGTCCCTTCCAATCGCTCCTTCCGATCTCGTCGCCTTAGTTCGGCAACACTTGGTACGTTCAAGAGGACGATTTCTTAACATTTCTGCACTACCATAACTGATCTCGCCATTCCCACACCTCTCTCGTCTGCGTACTCTAGCTATGCCAACTCCATTCTTCAAGCCCTCTACTTCTGCCAACCATTCAGAGAAGTCGTGCTGAACTTTGCAGAGCTACCTGGCGAGAAGACGAGCTCTATCAGAACCATTTCTCAACTTGCAGAGACAGACTCCACTACTGGAGCCTCGACCAGTCTATCGTCCTCTGTGCCATTGGAGAAGTCCATCTCGAGCTCCGAGGCAAGTACGGACCTAGCAAGTACGGCAGGGACCTCTCTATCAAAGTCTCCTTGGCAGCACCCTTCCTCTCCAAAAGCGCCCGCTGCAGAACCAGATACACTGTTGATAAATCTGTACCGACTCTTCCGGTCAATATCAGCCGCGTCCGCTGAGTACAAACAGAACGAGGCCGCGGCGCTAGCAGCGGCAACGGCAGGCGGAAGCAAGGGCGCTGGTGGCCTTCCAATCAAGGCAGGCAAGAATGCAAAAGGTAAAGCAATGCTGCCAGGACGCCAGACTACCACAATGAGCAAGAACGGTGGCTCAAGCTCAGGTGTCAACGGCAGCATAGCTCCTTCCGCTCCCGGCGCTGCCAGGAAGAGGGATTTGGGAATCAGTGCCGGTCTTGTGGATGAGTCGGCTGTCAAGGGCTTCTTGGCAGCTTTGCGGAGAGAAAATGTCCTTTTTGACTCCACGGCTCATCAAGATGCCCATGAGTTCCTCAACTTCATGCTAAATCAGATCGGAGAGCATATGGGAAAGATAGACGAGCAAAAACGGCAGCGGGAAGCCGCAGAGCGGGGTCAAGTAGAAGAACAGCAGGTAGCAGTGCGGCATCGGTACCCTGGCGAACCTCAAGATACACAAGTGCATCGGCTGTTCGAAGGCACTCTCACGAACGAGACACGATGCCTCACTTGCGAGGCTGTGACCTCTCGCGACGAATGCTTCTTGGACCTTTCAATTGACATTGAGCATAACACATCGGTCACAGCGTGTCTGCGCCAATTCAGTGCGAGCGAGACTCTGCGCTCACGCAACAAATTCTTCTGCGACGGCTGCTCCGGTCTGCAAGAAGCAGAGAAGCGGATGAAGATCAGGAAGCTGCCTGCTGTCCTTGCTCTTCACCTGAAGAGATTCAAGTACGAGGAGGAGACCCAGAGGTATGTCAAGCTGGCCTACCGTGTCGTCTTTCCTTTGCAGCTCCGGCTCTTCAATACCGCAGATGACGCAGAAGATCCAGACCGTCTCTACGAGCTCTTCGGCATCGTCGTCCACATTGGTGTCGGCCCTCATCACGGTCATTATGTCTCCATTGTGAAGGTCGGAACAAAGTGGGCCATTTTTGACGACGATGCTGTCCACTACATCGACCAGTTGGACATCTCAAAGTACTTTGGAGATGCTCCAGGGACAGGATCTGCCTATGTCTTGTTCTATCAGGCCATGGATCTAGACCGTCAAGCGCTCGGTCTGCCGCCTGAGTCTGCTGCAGAGGTGCGAGCAAAGATGACACCCTGGCTGGAGGCAAATCCCCCACCAGGTGTCGAGTCGCACGCTCCAGCGCAAAAGCAGATCTCGAATCAGATGGGCTTACCCACGACTGTGATGAGCGCCAGTGGTACTGCGTCACCGGCGAGCATGGCGTCTCCAAGCATGCACACGGTCAATCTAGATCGGCAGAGCTCAGCCAGCTCGGCGCAGGGTACTGCAGGCGGACCACTTAGCGGAGGTCTCTTCAGAAGAAGGGAACGCAACAGTAGCGTCACTCAGACCCTCGCAGGTGACGCTCACGAGCAAAGGGAAAGGGAGCCGAGCAACAGTGGTGGTACCGTTGGCAACGCTACCTCTGGTGGCTGGAGGAGCTTTGGGCGAAAGGCAAAATCGAGGTCGATCAGCATGAGCGAGTCTGCATCAAATCAATCCCAGTCAAGGTCCGCCACTGGTCCAGCTCAGCTGCAGGCTCAAGCCTCTTTTCAAGGAATCACTCAGGCGCCGCGAGGATACATCTCATCTACGGCTAGTCCCGAGAGGCCACCCAAGGCTCCTGGAGTAGAGGAGAGTGATGCTGAGTCAGAGTCGACGCATGCCTCGAGCTCAATGGGTAGTCGGGGTGGATCTTCCAGGACTTCGAAGACGAGCGCCCTGGGCAATTCAAAGCTGGGCAACAGTCAGCCGATCATTTCCATGCCATCGTCATCCTCCACATTCAAAGCGAACCCCTTTGAACAACAGTCTGTAACGGGAGGCAGCGTTGTCATGACACCACAAGCATTGCCGTCACCGATTGCAGAGGTACCAGATCGGACCAGCCCATTGGCTCAGCAAGCCTTTCCGGCCCTTCATGTGTCCGAGGCCAGCCCGACTGGAGGGGAGGAGCCCTCTGGAGGACTGCCGCTCCGTCGGTCACCCGATCAAGCTGCTACGCCAACAGAGCAGTCGCGACCATCTCAGTCCTCTTCTGCAACGGACAGACGGTCCAGCATTGCTTCCTCCATCTATCCTCCGCTGGGCGCTACTTTTGCGCCTGTAGACCATCCGCTCTCAAAGAAGGATCAGACCAAACTTGCGAAGGAAGCCAGGAGGAGGAGTTCAACGACTATGGCAGCTGCAGCTGCGGCTGCAGTGGCTAATCACCAAGCTCAAGTACAAGCTCAAGCTCAGGCCCAGGGTGGTGGACAGGGGCTTGAGCAGCAGCAGCAGCAGCAGCAGACTCAGACTGCTTCCCGTCAGCATCCTACGACGGGCCCAAGCAGCAGCAGCAATGGTCCGGCCCCCGTCAGCGGTATCGGCGATGGCAACGGCAACGGCCAAGGCGCAGCGCCAGCAGCAGCAGCAGCACCAGGCACTACGACTTCTTCGCAGAAGCCCGCCCATCCTACCATTGGTAAAGGTCTCCCTTCGTCTCTGCAATCCCAGTCTGCTACTCAGTCGACTGCTTCGCCTGCTTCGCCTTCTTCGGCAGCAGTGAAGCGACGGAGCACGCTGAGTCGCTTTGGATTTGGATTGGGAAAGGATAAAGATAAAGACAAGGACAAGGAGAAGCGCTGATGGAATGGGGATGCCTGCCTGCTCGCCTTTGACTGTGCAATGGGATCTGGGTCTTGTCTTGGGACTAGGTGGAGGCTAGATCCTCCGCCGCCGCCGTCGTCGTCGTCGTTGGCCGTCCTTGTAGTCTATCTGCCTCCAACCATCCGTGCAACCTTCCTCACTCCCTCCCTCCTTCACTCTCTCACTTGCGCACGCACTCGATTTGGGTCGAGGGTCTTTTTTCTCATTTGTTTCATATCATGGCAACATGTCTATACTGTACCTTGTGCATTTGCATTTGCATTGCAAGAACCATGCAATAATAAATCATAACTTTCATGAATCCTGCGGTGCGGTGCGGTGCGGTGAGATTGACTGCCTATATCGTCAGTTTATGCCTCGGGCCTGTACTGCGCATGGAGTGCATGCAATGTAGGTAGAAGGTACACATTTCGGGCAACAGATGTTCCATGATTCAGGATTGGCGAAGAGATGCAGATTGATTGTGCCTCTACTCTGCCCTGCCCGTGGATCTGGATGTGGATGTCCGCTTGATCACATACAATGATTGCATAAATAGGTTCCTTCTCCCCCCCCTCCCTCTCTCTTGCTCACATAAGTGAATCCAATGACAGATGACTTTCTCCATTCCCTCCCTCCCTCCCTCCCTACCGCTCCGTTCTTCCTCCGCTCTGAGCCCCTCACCGATCAACATACCCTCCTACCGCCTCCGGATCTCCTCCCCCCATGGGCACCCCACCTCCATCTCCCATTCTACTCCTCTCCCTACTCTTCCTCGAAGCCCTATAGAGTCCCTCTGTCAATGCCGACTTGACCCCCGGTAGATCTCCCCTCTCAACACTCTGTCCAAACCTCTCCAAGAACTTCACCTTGTCTGCATGCCCTACCGCACCACTCGGCAGTGCTTCCACGGCGGGACCGATCCAGGAGAGACATTCTCGTGGGAAGCCAGAGACGAGGACGCGGAAGATTGTGCTCACGAGTTGGATTTGCTCGGGAGGGAAAGTTGTCACGAGACCTTCGAGGAGGAGAGCTAGAAGGTGGTCTCCCTGCGAGGAGAGGACATTGCGGATCGCAGCTGCGTATGCTGGTGAGGAGGGATCTGTGTAACCGTTGGAGCCACCATTCACACCTAGCGAGAGGGGAGTGCCGGGTTGAGAGGCAGTGGGAGCAACGGCTAGAGCATCGTGTCCCACAATGGCTCTGATAAAGTCCAGAGCTCGATGGATGATTGAGGGCTGCACGAGCGTAAGGGCCGTGACCGCTGCGCGGAAGGCGTGTGGGAAGATCGGACTGAGGATGAGCAGCGAAGGCAGCTCGGCCAGGATGCAGGCTGAGACCTCGACGTAATCTTCGATGATGTCTGGAACCTCCCTAGGCATGGTGTTCTCCATCACTTGCATTACCTTTGAGGAAACCTTCTCGTAGTTGCTCTGAAAAGAGGCTTTCAGAGCATCGTCTGCTGTCGCACCGTAGGCCTCTACAATGCGACCCATCATCCAGAGATAGCCCGAGAAGCCTGTTGCTTGGAAGAGGCTGGACATTCGGTCGAGCAGAGCGGGCAGGATGCCACGCGCGTGAGGGCCGAAGAAGGTCATCGACCTGCGGAACAGGTTCACCGAGGATTGATGGATCCAGAACGCTGAGCCATGCTTGGCCAAGAGGCCATCAATGACTGCATAAGCATCTCCTACCGTCTTCGTGGCACAATCGGCCGGCAAAGCTTCCTGGAAGCGAGGTCCAATCGTTTCCAAGAAGCGCTCTAGCATGTCAATGCGGATGTTAGCACGCTTCAGATCCAGGCGGGATGAGGAAGCATCTGCCGAGACTGAGGCGATGAGCTCCAATGCTGGTTGTGAGAATTGCATCATTGCAGGGAGGGCATCTTGAGGAGAGAGGGTGGACACAATGTGACCAACACCTTCTCCCATGGTGATGAGATCGTCAGGTTCTAAGCGATCTCCAACTGAGCCGAGGAAGGCATACAGTTGAGGCAAATAAGGGACGAGGTGCCGCCTGCAATCTTGGCAAAGATAGCTCATCGCCTGCCCTGCTGCCGCTGCAACATCGCCTTCGCTCTCAAGACCGGCACTGATGTAGCTGAGCAGACCAGGTATCCGATCAGGGTGGTGATCAATCCATTCCGTATACCGCGAGATGACGAGAAGCCCCGCGTACCTCATCCGAGGATGAGCAGGTAGCTCGGGAATGATGTCGATGATGCTACCGATGACATCGTTCTCCCCGGTTGGGGAGACCTCTGTGCCCATCGCCCTCATCGAGAAGAGCGGGGCTTCTACATCCTGCCACCTCGGTTCGCTGCCGGAGGTCTGAGACGCTGCCAGAATGTCCCGAATCATCTGCAGGGACCGATTGAGGCAATCCTTCGACCCCAGAACGTAGCAGCAGTCTTTCAGTGTATCTCCCATGAAGTGCCTGAACGATCGGAACTCGTCCTTCTCAGCGGCCGTCTGCGTTGCCTCGTCGTCTGGGAAGCGCAAGTGGCCAACGATGATGTCCAGGAGCCGAGCGTATACTTGCAGGAAGGGCATCAGACTCGGATCCTCCTTGCGCTTGCCGAGAGCCGATCCCAAAAGATACCAAAAGCGGAATGTGATGGAAACAATATCCAGATCGTGGTACGCTGCACATTCGATGAGGGTCTGGACGATGGGGAAGAAGTCCTCTTGATGCCGAAGAATGAGAGTGTGATACGTCTCGCCCGCTTGAGCGAAGATTCGACAGATTCCCCGCACCTTGTCTTCGTCATCTCCCGCCCTTGCCAGCTCCTCCCTGAGAGGCATGAGCCGGCGGACTATCTGGGGAATCGCATTCATATTTTCTTCCACCTCTTGCGTCTCATGAATGAGATCACAGATGACGTCGGTCGCAACGTCGAAGAGGTCGTCAGACGCAAGGGCGTCAAAGGAGAATTGGAAGAGCGGGGTGTCAAGAAGAGATGTTGTAGCGATCTCGCCAGCCTTGAGCCAGCTTCTCAGGCATTGAAAGATGGAGGACTGTATTTGCGATGTGATGCCTGGGATGTTGTGAATGGCACGGATTCGCCGGTCAGTAGCAGGCCCGAGGCGTGGGACGTGGGCATCTGTGTGGCTGCTCACCTGGTGCTTGAAGATACATCGTCAGCAGCCGCAGGATCTCATCCGCATTCGAGCCCAGTAGCGAGCGCACTCGCAGGTTAAAGTGCTCTGTCTAGAATGGCAAGATGGGTCTGATTGTCAACCTGTGCCCGATTCCAGTTGATGATGTCCCAATCTTGACTCACCTCGACCGGTATCCGGTGATTCCCAGTCACCTCCTCTGGCAGCACTGTTAGGAATTCGAGCAAAACTCCCACTGTGCTAGCATCATTTCCAAATTTCGATGTCATGCCCTTCACTACGTCTGGCCACTCCTCATCAGTAAGCTGTATTGCCAGCCCAGCAAGTGTAAGGCAGATCTGCGTCTGTATCACACGAGGACCTGATGCGTAGGCTGCTAATGCTGTGACGAGGGTGTCTCTTAGTGAACCTCGTGAGGAAGATGGGACTTGTTCAAGGTCGAATGTCGTCTTTGTCCTGAACGTCTGAGCAGCAAACAAGCGCGGCTCTAGCGGCAAATCCTGAGCCAGGAGGAGGGAATTGGCTGTCTGCCATGCCTCGGGCGTCTTCTGGAAGTCCTGCAACCAGGCATTGGCTTGGTCCTTGGCTGCCTTGTCAGGATTCCGATACAGAGTCTCGAGCGCTTGCATGACGGGCTGCAGAGACGCGGACTGGCTTGCTGCCTCCGAAGAGGCTTGCCCAGCTACGCTTGCCGCCATCTTGAGCTCGGGTCGTGCAAAGACCAGATGGGCGATGACGGCAGAAGATCCGGAGCCAAAGGTCGAGCGGGGTCAGGGAGCTCTGCAGCGCAGAGTGAAAGAGGCTGACGACGAATGCAGAGTGTGGGTAGCTCTGGCTGTCTTCTAGGAGGTCAGCAAGACTTGACTGGGGCGATGCAAAGAGTAGGATGGCGAGATGGTCTTATGATGGGTAAGAGGAAGGAAAGGGGGGCAGCCTGGGGGACCCTGGTTGCCTTGCCTGGTGGATCTCGGAGCCGCGGTGCTTCCGTGGCTTGGCGGTGGTGTTGGACCATTGGCTCCCTCGTCTCCACTCCCGCTTCCCCGTGATCCTCGCCTTCCGCCGTGCCAGCGCCGAACCCTACCTCTTCTTGACGACTTTGGAGCATAGACCGACCCATTGAGGTACCTCGCAGCGGCCCATACTAAAGATCGGCGACGGACTCTCGCTGTCATGAACTATATCCGTGAGCACGACGCGGGTTCCAATCCAGAGGCCCACGTTCACTCTCACTGACCTTTCCGCTTGAACTACGTCGGTTGCCCACAGAATTGGAGAAGCTTGGTAGGTGTCGCTGTGCCTCGTTGTCGTCCGAGGCCTTGTAGTCAGTCGCGTTGCTGATTACGGGTCACATCCTTCCATATTACGTCCCCTGTCACAGGTGAGGGAACGTATGCAACAGTCTACAAGGGTCGATCGCGTGTCTCCAATGAGATCGTCGCGCTCAAGGAGATCCACCTAGATGCAGAGGAGGGGACGCCTTCAACAGCTATTCGAGAGATTTCTCTAATGAAAGAGCTGCGTCATAACAACATCGTCCGCCTCCACGATGTGATCCACACGGAGTCTAAGCTCATGCTCGTCTTCGAATTCATGGAGCAGGATCTGAAGCGGTACATGGACGTTCACGGAGACAGAGGAGCCCTCACGCCCTCGCTGGTCAGAAGCTTCATGTTCCAGCTCCTGAAGGGCACTGCTTTTTGTCACGAAAACAGGGTCTTGCATCGCGATCTAAAGCCTCAAAATCTGCTTATCAACAAGAAGGGGGAGCTGAAGCTGGGCGATTTCGGACTGGCAAGGGCATTCGGAATCCCCGTTAACACCTTCTCGAACGAGGTAGTGACGCTCTGGTATCGAGCACCTGATGTGTTGCTGGGAAGCAGAACTTACTCGACCTCGATCGACGTATGGTCTGCAGGGTGTATCATGGCAGAGATGATCAGTGGAGTTCCGCTGTTCCGAGGCCGGGATAACAACGATCAGCTCAACCAAATTCTGAGAATCTTGGGGACACCGGACGATCAGACAATCAAGAGGCTGGTAAACGACTCTGTGAGTAAGCTGTGAACGAAAGGTCACAAGTGACGGTGCGCTGACCCCCGCTCAAATTCTCCGCACGATGCTGTAGCCCGAGATTCAAATCCGGCCATTCCCCCGGATGCCTCGCGTGCCATTTCAGCAGCTGTACCCCAAGGCCCACCCCTTGGCTATCGACCTTCTAGACAAGCTGCTCAAGTTTGATCCCACACAAAGAATCTCTGCAGAGGAAGCTTTGCGTCACCCTTACTTTACTACATCAGCTGCCATTTCTGGGACTGGTCCAGGAGGCGAAGCCATGATTGGCAATGGTAGTCAGTCTAATGGCATGGAGTATCAGCAGCAGCAGCAGCAGCAAAGGGCAGCGCAGGCGCAAGCTCAAGCCCAGGCTAATGCGCAAGCCCAAGCCCAGGCACAGGCACAAGCTCAACAGCAGGTGAGCAGGAAGCAGCTAATCTTGGCCCGTCGTACCGCTGCCACTACTGACCCATGACGTTGCTCTTGCACCATTTCCCGCTCTTTAGGCTGCCAATTACGCTCACCAACAAGCATTAGCGGCTCAGCACCAACAGCAACATCACCAACAGTACATGTCCTGATCCCCTCTACAGACGCCGCGCCGGTCGCTCGCTCGTGCCCGGATCTTATTCCCGACTTCTTCTCTTGTCTCTCTCGTTCGCCCGCCTTTGCTCCTCTCTTGTAATGATCTATCCAGACTCTTTCGGTTTACACTTCTCGTCACAATGTGCGGCGAGTGTCCATCCCGCTGTCAGTCTGATGCTTGCATTGCTGCCGCTCTTCACCCGGTATTGACTGTGGTGGTATAAAGATTGTTGTTAGAGAGGCGGCGATAGGACGCAGATGCGACACGAAGCAGTATTATACAAGTTTGGGGCAAGGGAGGCATGTATGAGCGAGTGCGGTGTCAGGTCATTGAGACGCTGTAGCGAGGACTCCCTACTCATTCCTTCGCCCTCATCCTTTCCCTCCTGGATCCTTAGGGGGCTCTTCCCTCAACGAAGCATCCTCACGCCAGCTACACCTCCACCTGCTCCTCCCCCTCCTCCTGCCTTCTTCTCCCCTCCCGCTCCACTCACACCACCACTAGCTCCCTTCCCAGTAACCTCCTCCCTTCGCTCGAATACCCTCCAAAACTTGAGATTCTCATCCGTCCCCACTGTCGCCAGCACCTGACCATCGGGACTCAGAGCCGTATGCAAGATCCGACCATCGTGAGCATTCCTAATCTCTGCGATACGATTACAGCTTGGGTGAGACCAGATGTTGATTGTTCCTCCTGCTCCACCTCCAGCAGCAGAAGCGCTGCCTAGGCTGAGCCCGTGAGTGGATACAAGCTCGCGATAGTGGAGAGACCAGTGCAGGCCGGTGATTTGGGCGTCGGTTTGAATACTTCCCACACGCGAGGAAGTGGTGACGTTCCAGAAGTGAATCATCCGATCTGCTGTACCTCCTCCAGTGGCGAGGAGATTGGAATTCCAAGGACACCAGTCGATGCCTTTAATCGAGGCTTGGTGGTTCTCCTTTCTCATCTTTGGCACGGTACTCCTGCGGTCCCACACTTTGACTACATTGTCGTTTCCACCCGAAGCGAGCAAGGCAGAGTCGGCTCGCCATTGCAGACCGGAGACGTGTCCCACATGGGCCTTTTCGAGGTCGCGGATGATAGAATCACGTTGGCGGACGTCGTGTTCTCTAATTAGACCGGAGGAAAAGCCAGTGGAGTAGGTACCGTCTGCGGCCCATGCTGAGATGTTGACGGAGCAGTTGTCGGCACCACCCTCGGTAGAAGGCTTGAGGGTGCGAACTCGCTGAGAGGTGCTCACGTCCCAGAGTTGGACAAAGCCGCGGTCGGTACCGATGGCTAGATAGTTGCCGTCTGTGTCCCATCTCACCGAAGAAACCATACCTCCACCGCCGACCCGCTCGGGCTCGATCTCCAAATCGCACAATGTGTCCACCTCTCCAGTGTCTCCGTTCCAGACGTGCACTACTCCCTGCAAGGCTACGGCGACCAGGTTCGTCGAAGACCAGTCAATGAGATGGTAGTAAAAGTCGTCGATCATACCAGGCGCGTCCAGTACCTTCTCAGCATCAGTCGGGATCTTGCGCTTGCCACCAGACGATAGACTAGACGGCACGTTCCTGGGTCGCACAGTGGCATACCTCGAACGGACGTCTGCGCTAGCAGAGGACGGAGGAGCGGCACTGTACGACAAGATTCGTTGATTCAGATCAATGTTGCATGCCGACTCCAGAGACTCTGTGTGTGGAGCGATCTCGTTGGGAGCTAGCTGAGCAGCAGCAATGTTCGCCTTGATCTGCGTCTCGTCGGCCGAGGAGGATGAGGATGCTTGACCGTGGGCTGAAGAAGAGGAGAGGTTGTCACCTCCGGCGTCTTCGAGCAGGGTGGGACCCGAAGGGCCACTGCCAGTCCTCGACGCTGTGATGAACCTGTCACCTCGCTGCAGAAGCAGAAAGCAACGAGGTCAGCCAATCGCCTATCCCGACTGACTTTTCCTCACGCTCCTCAGACTCACCGAAGGGACTGTAGCAAGCTTCGGCCTTGACACTTTAGCCTCTGGCCCTTCCCAATCTCTTGTGATTCTGACCTCTGTCGCGGCTGCAGGTATGCTGTCCAGTCTACCCTTCTGCTTCGAGGCTGCCATCTTGCCCTTGTCTCCCCCTGCTGGCTTGGTGTCTCTGAAAGCATTGGAGAGGTCCCCGAGCGGCGTGTCGTGGACGATGCCGTTAGCACCAGCGGCGTGCGAGATGTGCTTGTTCAAAGGCTTGCGGACGGGTGTTGAAGGAGCCATGATGGCAAGTCTGTAAAGTCGGGGATCTACTAGACGAAGCAATGGTATCGAGAATTGGGCCGCTGCCTCGCTTGGTAGGACCCGAAGTTAACCGCTTTCTGCTCAGGTGCCTGTGTGTTGGGCTCTTGATACCCTGAGGGAGCAAGTCTAGGCAGACTGAGTCTGACGTCTGCCGATGTGATCAGGAAATGTGTACGTGTGATAGCAAGAGTTGATGGAGAGAGCCTTCCTGGTGTTTGGAAAGTAACTCAACCGAGTCTCCTCCCGCTCCGATCCAAGACCAACACTTTGCGCGGCCGAGGCGCGTGGCGCGACGCCCTTTGGCCAGCTGAGGCATCGACTGTGTCTCGGTTGAAGCATCACCTCCACTACATGGCTGGGGTTCGGCTTGTGCCTTAGTACCAATTGTTTACAGCAATGCTCCCTGGACAAAGAGAAGTATCTGTCCGGAAGCTCCGAGTGTAAGATGCGGCTCAAGATGGGCGGAAGGTCATGGTCAATTGCTTCGCGCCACTTTGACGCCCGCGATATCGTGCCGCTGCAGCCAATCTCACAGCAAAAGGTAGTGACTGGAGACGTCTGCGATGCAGATGGACGGATCATTCGGCGATTGAGATATGAAGATTCGATGAGCGTCGATGATGAGCGATCTTCTGCCTTTGAGGCGCTCAATCTCCCGCAGTGATAGCTTCAGACTAACGCGACAATCGGGCGGAGCGGTGGCTTGCCGTCCAGCTATCTTGTGCAGGAGTCGGCTGTGACATCCAGACGTCACATCCGAGTGACTCGACCAGCGGCTGCTCTGCCGAGGTGGATGAGGATCCTGAGAGCAAGGACAACGGCGATGGCCACCCGCGGAAGGCGCCATGGCAATTGCTGCCACTCTCACTCATTTGGAGGTGCGGTGCCCTGGAGCGACCATGACTTTGTCTGTGTGGGGTCTTGGCTCATTGCTTTCCTCTTTGCTCCTTTGCTCTCTCGCTTCATCGCCTCAATGATTGTTCAGCAGTGCGCTCTCCGCTGCCGCGTCCTTCCCTCTGTGCCCTTCTCCTGTGCGTGCGGCGGCAGAACCATTTGACCGTACAGGGCGGGTGCCGCGGTGCCGCTGTCCCTGTGCCAGCGTACCGGCACACCCAGTTCTTTCCTGGATGTAGCGCCGTGGCTCAGCGTCACGCCTTTTCTCGCCTGTGCTCTGCTGCCTCTGCTGCTCATTACCACAGTCTCTATACCTGCGCCCTTCCTCCCCACTGCCTTCTCTCACCTACTCTGTCCAATCCCTTCCCACTCACCATCTACAGTCACCCCCATCGTTGTACGTTGTACGGAAGAAGCAGTCCATCACTGACATTAACACAGGGTAGCATCCCAACAGGACCATCACTGTCATCGTTGCGACCTTCGACGTACTACGGACCGTCTCCTGCACGCAAGCTACACACACAGCACATAATCACCCTCACTGCCGGCTGTATCACCGCCTCTGTCAAGAACCAGACCTCAGGTACAGACTGGGTGCTACTCGCTCTGCCTCGCTCGACACCCAGCTACCTTTCTCTCAACATCCGATTGAGGCTATACCGCTCTGCTCCTAAAGCTCTTTACGCCCCTTACGACACTCTCTGCTTGCTCCACGCTCCAGCACACTCGCAAACATGTTCATTTCAGCCACTTCAACGCTTCCGAATATCTCTCAACCCACTTCGCCTTCCTCGCAGGCTTGTCGAGAAGCCATGACCGCTGGACTTGACTTCGACGAACATGCTCAAGACACTCTGGAGGGTCGAGGTAGAATTCTCCATCGCCCTCATTTCACTCCCAAGGAATACGCAGCAGTCACTCACCTCACTTGGAGTCGAATCACTATGGGCAACAATCACAATGTCCGAGCAGCCAACCGACCTTCCCTCCCACCTTCATCGGATGTGTCAGGTCACATCTTTGCCGGTCGACAGCACATGACTTCGTCGTCGAAGGCTCAGCCTCTGCATCTTGCCCGTCACTCAACCCCAGCCATCCTTCCTGATCGACATACGCCAAGTGACAAAGCTACGCCCCCCAATGGTCTCGGATTGGATTTTGGACTGCCCACTCCGAAGGTAGAACCCAGCGACGCGACATCCACTGAGAGCATTCTGCTGCAGTCTCGCGGACTGTTCGCAACTGGAGAGCACGCTAGCGATCCTCTGGACGACCCTGCTCTCACTGCTAATCCCAACGTTCTATTCAACGTCGAGAATAAATGCGCCAAGACTTTCGGGACAGCTCATTCAGACATGCCTGCACAGAATATCGCTAGGTCTGCCTCGACTCAAGATCTACTGCTCAGTGCACTGCTTCAGCGTGTCGAGATCAGGGAAGACACAAGGGCCTCCGACTCTCTTGCCATGCATTGCACGCCAAAGGATCACATGCGACCAGACCTCACCTGCCAAACGCTGCCTCTGCCCCATCCCGACCAACTCACTCATGTCCATAGCAGAGCTGTCACAGCAACACCCAGTGACGAATGGATTTCTGCGGTGCCATCTCCTGCTTCTCACCGCTCGTGGTCGCAGAAAGCGAGTCTTGACACGCCCTCAGGGAGTTTCAAAACTAGGCTTGCGAATGCCCGATCTGTCGACCAAGAAGATTTTCCGTCTGTCGCCAACAATCACACTGCTTCCTCTGGCCATGGAATCTCTGCAGTCGTAACTTCGACGCCTCTCCGCCAATATTGCGTCGACGTGAGTGACCAAGAGAGAATTTAATCAGAGCTACCTGTGCGAGAACCTCAGCTCACTGCTGCTACCTGCATGCTTTCTATCCCAGGCTCACGAACAGTCACCTCCGATCACTGGATCCAGCGGCGAACAGTGGCTCTTCAAGCACGCGGACTATCGTAAGGACTGGGGACTCTCCGTCCTTGTCGATGCCGCTGCCGCCTCCGCCTGGATGCCGAATCAGCAAGCTGCTGCCCCTCTGGCGATGCAGACGGCGACGGCCAAACACACTTCCCTAGCTCAAATTTACCCTTATCAGCCGCAAGCAGTACCAGTCGACATCCCCTTTGTTGCCACTCAAAATGTCTACACGTCGCTCCTGTCCAGCGACGCCAGGGGATGCTTCTCCTCGCCACCTTCCTCCAGCACTGACAGCACACCTTCATCAGGTCATGACATGTTTGTAACCAGTAGCTCTTCTCCTCGCGGACCTGACACTATGAACGGAGTGCCAAGTGTCGAGGTGCAGTGCAAGCAGAGAAAGGAGAGTCTCTACAAGACGGAGCTTTGCAGAGGCTATGAAGAGAAGGGTCACTGCGACTATGGTGTCAAATGGTATGTGACAGTCTGACCTTAGCATGAATATGACATCTGCTCACCATTGCCTCTCGCCTCATGCTCAACGTTGCAGTCAATTCGCCCACGGTAAGCAAGAGCTGCGCAAGATTCAGAGGCACCCCAAGTGGAAGACGGAGCTTTGCCGAACCTTTTGGAGGTATGGCACTTGTCCGTATGCCAAGCGATGCTGCTTCGTGAGTGAGACATTAGGTAATGACGTCACTATCATAGGGGTACTGACACTCTCTGGACGATCATAGATTCACGAAGCCAAGGAGGCTAACGGTGCATCGGGACTTGCTCAGGCTGACACTCTCGCGATGAGGGCTCCTCTGTTTGCCAGGGTCAGAGCAAACAATTCAAGCAGCAGCGTCATTCAGTCTTCAAACGTTGAGGGCAGTATGCCATTGCAGTGCGCTCAGGAGCCCTTCCAGCCCATGGCCGGCGTACTCGATGCCGCACACTCCCGTGGCGAGGCCGCATCCACACGACAGAGTCGAACACGAGCCGCCTTCGATTACGACCCTTTTCTGGATTCAGTCAAGGCTCAGGGCTTGACCCGAGCTCACTAAAGGCTCGACGTGAGGCTGGAAGCAGAGCCAATGAAAGTTCGGCCTTTGATAAAGTTCGTCGCACAACGCACCTCGCAATCTAAGAGACTCAAGCCAATCAAGTATCATACATCAACATGCAGCCCAACTTCCTGACTTAACACCAACACTCTCTTTGACGCTCGCGTCTCGGAAGAGTATGCCACTTTCATGTCCATCTAATGTCGACTCAAGATCCATATCGAGAAGGGAGGCTTGCTTGCTCTGCTTTGCGTACCTCGATCTTCTCCTACCTTATGTCGTGTGTCAGGAGAAGAGAGACCCCAAGTCGAGGCGCCCTCAAATCCGCAACCGAACGAAAAATTCAGTTAATAAGCGCTGCCCGCTCGCTCAGTGTGCAGCCGCCACTGCTGCAACAAGCACCTATTCTCCTGTCGTCTTCTACAGAGCAGAGCGAGCGTCCGAATCTCATCTTGCCACGTGCGCCCAGCCATGATCACCTTTGTATACCACGACGAGGTTCATCGACCCTCGCTCTCCATCTTGGCTCTCCGGACAAACCTTGCAAGCCCACTCTCGGAGTGGCCACATCCTCTCTTCCCCTCAACCTCTGTCAACACGAAGAAGTCCGACGCCCCCACTAGATACTTACCCAACCCACACACTTTACTACATGCCCCTCGCCATCACCACGCTATACAGCTCCACTCTGCCCCCCTCGAGCGAAGTCGCCTCTTCCCTGTCTCTCCGATCTGCTCTCTGTCGAAGGCTCGCTCCCCTTTTTACTCCTGTAGGCGCTCGATCAGACTGGCTCAGGTCGAGCTTCGCTCAGTTACTCATCCTTCTTTTACTTGTCCCGACACTCTGCCTGGCCGTGTGATGTGTGAGGAGCTGTGGAGTTGGTCTGAAGTCTGAAGGTCTGAAGGTCTGCTGGCTTTGGACTACATCGATTGATTGATTGATTGATTGATTGATTCATTGATCATTGATGGTATAAGAGACGCTGGCGCTGCGAAGCGAGCTGAAGCTAAGCAGAGCGCTGTACAACGTTTACAGGACAAGGCAGTAAGAAGCTCCCTATTGGCCAGAGACCAGAGATCAGAGACCAGAGATCAGAGGTCCGAGACCAGCAGGGGGGAGACTGCATCGCATCGAGGATCTGGATTTTGACTCTCAATCTAAAAGTGCCCTTTGGCTAATCTCATAGATGATCCTCCGGCGCATATAAGGCATATTCTCTTGTCCAAAATTCCATTCGTACCCATCACCTCTGTTCCTCTTCCTCCCCTTCTTGCCGCTGGGGGCATACCCATCCCCGTCGTCGTCGTCTTCCTCCTCCTCCTCCTCGTCAGAGGTGTCTTCATCTTCATCGTCATCGGAGTGAAGGGAGACGATGGGAGGATCCTCATCAAAGGAAGGGTGGGAAGGGTCCCGACGGGAGAGCTGCTCGAGGGCGGCGCATACAAAGACGCCACAGTCGAAGCCGTTTCGCTGTTGTGGTGAAGAGTCCGAGGCAAAGTAGTCTGTGAACCTGTAAGATGGAAGGGTGGTAAGGTAAGGTCAGGTGAGCTCATGCATAGTGAACCAGAAAGGGCTGGTGGACACCTCAGAGGATGCTCACTCGTTCAGATCGATCACTCCGTCCTTCTTCTTATCCGCCATCTCCTTCTTGAGGTACTCCCTCAGCTTGCTCGTCACCCTCCGATTCTCCCCCGCCATCGAGTCATAATATTCGATCCTCTTACGACGGAAATTCACCGCGGCGCAAGTCCAATGCGAATTTCCCAGATTGCACGGCACGAGGATGAGGTCCTTGGAGAAGACGTCGATCTTGCGTGTCCAGCGCGCGACGGCCGAATGGCCTACCTGGTCAATCTTTGCCCAAAAGTGGCTGTTGAAGGCGTGCACCCTGTAAAAGGCGTTCCACCGCTTCTCGTGGTTAGGCTTGGCTCGTTCTTCCTCTGCGCGGGTGGACCGCTGGTTGATCATCGTCATGTAAAAGGTGATCGTCTCGTCGTTCATCCACTGGCCTGGGCGGAGCATAGCCACGTCTCGATTGGATGCTGTAGCCCCAGGTACAGAGACTTTCCAGCCGTAGTCGCTCAGTACTGCTGCTACTTGAGCTTCCTGCTCTGGGGTGAGAGTCTTGGGCAAGGGGGGACGACCGAGGATGCCACGACGGAGACGCTCCTTGGCGAGGGCTTCTCGGCGCAGACGCTTCTGCTCTTTTCCTGGCTTGATGGAGATGCGACTGTCAGAAGTGGCAGATTTGCCGAGTAGTCGCCTCAGCTTACGTTCGAGGTCAGACCCATCATTGTTGAGCAGCTGAAGCACAGCCGTCTTCTCTCGAGCCGGACCAGTCGTCGTTGAGATCCTCTCGCCCAGGAGCTTCTTGTACTCTAGCCACCCACCGAGTTGCTCAGATGTCTTGAAGCCCTTGCGACTGAGCCAGACAGCATTCTTCTGGAAGATGACCTTGAGAGCACCAATCTCCTTCTGAGCTTTACCCCTCACACGAGCCTTGTGGCTTGCTTCGAAGATATGTGGCCGCTTGGCCATCGCCGAGTGAGAGCTGGGCGTCACCTTTCTGGCGGGCTTGTGGTAACGCTGAGCGTCGAACATCGCACTCATGGAGGAAGCAGTGCTGGGCGATCGCGGATTGAGGCTGGCTCTTCCAAGAGCGCGGATCGTATCGCTAACGCTAGAATCGGCGTTTGACACTGGCGACATGGCATCGCGCGGACCTCGAGACAAGGGACCCCGTAGTAGGCCATTCGATGGAGTCCGTGTGAAGGCGGTGGATGAGGAAGCGCTCGCGTTGGGCCGGGGCATGACGATCTCGTCCTCTTCGTCCGAAGAGTCTTCAGCGGTGAAGTCTATCACCTCGACCGCAGGATTAGTAGGTAGCAGAGAGCCCTCATCCAGCTCATCGATGTCCTCGTCTTCCACCTCGCCTTCGTCGGCCTCATCAAGCTCATCGCCATCTAGTATGACACCTTCTCCGGCTTCGACTCCGGCTAGCGGTGGTATATTGCTCTCAGGTGCATCTGTCTCTGTGTCTGACGACACGATTATGTCCTCTGCCTCGCCCAATTCCATTGTCGGCTCAGCCACGCCATTTTCAGCGGGTGGCGGAGTAGTCTCGGCTTCTTGTGACGGAGCAGGGATCAAGATAGCTTCTTCCTGTTCACCTCCTGGTGCCGCTGCTTCTGCTCGACCCGGTAGACCTGCGTCCTGTCCGTGCTCAGTGAACACCGCATCGACGATACCCTGCCCAAAGTTCGGCTGCTCAGCCTCGAGCATTTCGTTCTCGACCGGTTCGATCTCCTCCGTCAAGGCGTCCGCGCTGGTGACCCGCAGACCAAGATCGCCAGCCTCTTCCTTCTTCGGGGAGGATAAAGAGTCGCTCGAGACGTCTTGAGCAATCTCGAGATCTGCTACAATCGGGAGAGCTGGGTACAATGGAGGCGAAGGGTCTACGTGGCCATTGACGACGGGCGGTGAGAGGGGCAAGGAAGCCTCTTGCAAATCCGGCTGGAGCTCGGCTGGATCTTCCGAGGGAAGAGTTGGAGCATTCGAGTCTGATCTTTGAGCCTCTTGATCTCCTTCGAGCATATCGCCATTACGGGAAGGTGGATCTGCTGCATCTGCTGCTTGTTCCACACCAGCTGAATCTTCTGCCAGGTTGGTTGCGGCCTTGAGCGGGTCACTGTTGGGCTGTGTTTCGTCTGCTTCAGGTGGCGCTGGATCCGTCATCACATCGCCGTTTGGTAGCCCTGAGGCCAGAATACTGTCAGCAGCCTCTGGGCGCTCCTGCTCAGACATGCTCGTCGGCAGCTCATCGACCTGCGCCTGTTCTTCATCCGTCTTGGCTGCCTCAGTCCCTATTTGAGGCTCGTCCCCGGTCGCGATGAGGTCGGGAAATGTCGCCGTTGATATCGGAGCAGAGGCTTCCTCTACCATCTCCTCCATACTGACGTCGGCTTGAGACGGTAGAATATGCCTAGACTCTGTTCTTGCTTCAGCGTCGCTCTCACCGCCAGCCGCATCCGTTACTGGTAGATCGCATTGCACTCCAGCATCGGCTTCCTTTGGACTTGTGGTGACCTCGGCCTTCTTCGGCTCATCTGCCGCTTGCTCGCTGATGTCTGCCGACGCTGATTCTGCTGACGTCGATCCGAGCTCGTTCGGAGCTGTTTCGCTCTCTTGATCTTCCGCCGCGTCTGGCACATTCTGATCTTTATCGACCCCGTTCACTTCTTTGCTTGTATTGAGCGGCTCAGTAGCATCTGCATCTGCAGATTGAGGTTCACCGGCTGTTCGGTCCGGCAGAGGCTCAGGCTCCCGCTTCCCGCTGCCCTCTCCGTTCACCTTCGTTCCCGTCTCTCCCAAGAGCCCTGCAACTTCGTCGTCATCCTCTAAATCCTTAGCGGGATCCTGCTGCAGCCTCTTGGCAGCCTTCGTTTCCTCGTCTTCCTCGACAGAAATCATCTGCCAGTCGCGTTCGCTCCTCGCTGGACTATCGAGCAGCGCGAGAAGGCGGCGACTTTCCTCTCTCCCAAGAGCCTCAGGCGCGGCAATCCTCGCTCTCTTCTGAGCTGGACTGGAAGAAGACTCGTCTGCCACACCCACTGCAGAAGAGGGTGCAGGCGAATCGAGAGGCGGATCTCTAGCCCTTGCTTTGCCTTTGGAGGATGTGGAAGTAGATACGTCGCGCTCGCGCTCTTCTGCCTTGCGCTTGCCTTTCGACGACGAGGATGTAGTGGAAGGCGAGGCGGAAGAGAAGGCGGAGAGGAGCTGAGAAGGGAATCTACGCAGGGATGCGATGACTCTCTTGGAAGGAGAGGGCAAAGAGGCCGTACTGTCCGTACTGGCTGACTTGGAAGTTCGTAGAGCGGCACTACTTGAGGAAGAGGAAGAGGCGTTGGACGGCCCGGCCTTGTTCGCCCTCTTGGCAGAGGGCATGGCGGGGTACAAGTTGACCTCGGAGTTTCCTACCGCCTCTAGTGTCCAGCAGAAGCAATCCCCTAGTCTCCTGGTAGAGATACAAGGGCTGAGATACGCTATCGAGGGGCAATCAAGAGTGGAAACGAGTGAGACACGCCGAGGTGTGGTTGGACGGGAAGAGACAATCGAATGAATGCAGACGCGGAACTGAACTCCGCCCACCCAGGCAAGTCAAAGGTGACCAGTGCGTCAGCCTACACCACCCATCAGCTTCGACGAGGCGCATCTCACCACCTCAGGCGTCCACGAGTACCCCAAGTGTGTGTCATGCGGATGCATTTGGAAAACATGGAGCAGCTTACAATTACATATGATGCCAAGCACTGGTACCGAAGGCGTCGGTCCCGCTTCAGCCCAGCTTCCTACCAGCACCAACTCGCAAGTCAGCCGCGCCTCCATCTTTGAGCCTACCGGCGTCCATCTTGACTTGCCTCTTTCTCTCATTGGCGAATTCAGCCTTCCTCTCTGACTTTTCCTTCTTCCTCTCCTGCTTTTGCTGCTTTGCTGCTTCCTTCCTCGCCTTCTTCTCCTCCTTGCTCTCGTTGCGATCCCGCTTGATGGTCTGGCGAACACTCTCCTCGGTCTCAGTGTCGTCTCCGCTGTCCTCTTCCTGATCATCGCTACCTTCGGTCATGGACGATGACGGCGGAGGTCCAGAGCCATCGTCATCTTCGCCGAGCTTTCCATCGATGGACAGGCTCACCAAATCCGGGAGACTTGCACTATCATCGTCAACCTTTGACTTGCGCTGCTTGGTCCATCCAACCACTTCCGACATTCCCGTCCTCGGATTGACCCGTACCTTAGGAATACTCTCGAAGTCTTCGCTGCCGCCGTTGCTTGTGCTGCCGTTACTACGAGAGCTGAGACCGCCCAGAGTCGCTGGCCGGAAGGAGCTTCCAGAAGCTACGGAGGATCCCCTCGAGGAAAGCATGCGTGGGTGATTCGAGACGTTCGTCTTCGTGGCTGGTGGGGAGAATGAGGACCATGTCAGAACACAGAAACTCGCGTGCTTTCTCCTTTCAGCGCCTTACTCACTCTGAATCGTCTCCACGTCCCATTCATTGCTCCTGAGCCCAACAATGCGGATTTTGGATTCGATGTCCTTGTCGATCTCCTCCTGCGTCTCCTCGCGCTCATTGAGCCACTGATCAATCTTGGCTTGTCCAATCTCCTTGCGAATCATGTCGAGCTTCTCAATGGCGGAAGACTCTGGAGCACCAAGTCGTTGCTTGAGCTTGCCTGCAATGACCTCGTGCTTCTCGAGGAACTCATCCAAAATGGACTCGAAGTCTTCTCGAACAAATCCCCCCTCTTCGTCCTCTTCGTCTTCCTCGTCGACGTCTTGTTCGTAAATTTGCTCGAGCTGAGGCCGAAATTATGGGTCCGAATGGTCAGCGCTAGCTCCAGGGACGGGTAGACAATATGTACACCACTCACCCTGTCGAAATTATCGTCGAGGCCCCTCAGCCCAGCATTCCTTGCCATAGCGCTGGAGCTCATACTCCAAGCCGTCGAGCCACCATCAGCACTGGGAGCATAGAATGACATTGCATGACGAGCTTTCGACCCTGGCTTTGACTTTTTGCCCGGGCCATCCCCAAAAATAGAAGAGCCGCCCATCGAGGATGGGGCTTTGCGTGTCTTTGCAGCGGCTGCTGGGAGGGCGGACGGCTTCTCGTCTGCCACGGCAACTGCTCCTGGTGCGAGACCTTGCTTGAACAAGGCCACTCTGTCCGTCAAGCTCAGACTTGCATCGTCACCACCGCCTTCCTGCAGCTTCTGCCTAGCCTTGTCTGCCGGGGTGAGGTAGAGAGCCTCGTCTCCTCCAGGGGGCAATTTCCGCCACTCCTCATCGGCAGCTGAATCCGGATCGTACTCCCCCGACTTGATGACTGTGGCGAACAAGTCATCAAATTCTGATTCGTCGTCGAAGTCATCCGTTCCATCGAAATCAAAGTCGTCCAGGGAAATTTCTTCTTCACTTTCAGCAGGTTGCGAGGACGAAGAAGCAGTAGCAGAGGCTTCGCTTGCCGCCATGGCCGCCCGCTTGCTTGCCTCGAGTCTCCTCTGCTTTGCCTTGCCTACTAGGAAGGCTTCGTCGTCGAGAGCCTCCAAGGCTTGTCTGAGATGAGGGTCCATATCGAGCCTCAGTCCTCCCTCTTCTTCTGTTCCCCTCGCCCAGTCTCGGGGCATCTCATTGTTGTTTGCTAACACTTCCTCGGGCAGGTCAAGACCTCCCTTGCTGGGGCCAGCCTCGTCCTTGAATGTCAGATTTCCTCCTGCCTTTGCTTTCCCCTTGTCTTGAGCCGTGCCCTCAGGTCCCGGCAGCATGACTACATCTACATCCATCTCCTCGTCCTTCCCTCCTCTCTGAGCATTGTAGGTGCCCCCAATGGGCCTGAGATGCTGCATATAGTCATATTCGGTATCATCAAAGTAGACGCCATACTGAGCAGCTTCTCCGATGTTCTTCCTGTCCTTGCCCTTGAACTCGTCTTCCAGCTCCTTTCGTGAGACTGGTTGCCCTTTGCCTTGCCGGCGCTGTGTGGCTGCGAGCACTCGGGTGGGAGCGTCGGGGTCATTGATGAGAGGATCCCGTTGAGATCTATGCACGAGAGTGAAGTGCTGAGCATCGGCTGAACGCCAGATGGATTTGGGCGGCATGTTGGAGGATGAACGATGCTATGCCAAGTCCAGAGTGATGTATGGGATTCTCAATGTATGCTGTATGGCCTGGAGGTGAGCCGCTCGGAAAGGGCTCACTTTCTGAATCTTCTGCCTCGAGGCTCAAATTTGGGCATTGACCCTCCGCGCGGCAACTCAGCCAGCCACTCAGGCCAAAGCAACACACCGCCGCCTCACGGAAAGGCTCACTCTCACTCACGACGTGGAGTTTAGGGCTACTCAGTCCACCAAATCTCGTCCAATCGTCACTTGCCCTGGCATAGCCTCACCTTGCCACATTGCGCCTCTATCTACTCATCCGCATCGTCTGTCCTCGCGATGGCTGCCGCCTTGTATAACATGGCGCTGCGCCAGGCCTCGTCCATCCAATCGGATCTCACACGGTTGGAGTCGGAGCACCCCACATCTTCCACGTCCGTAGCTCTTCAGGGCCAAATAGCGGCGTCTCTATCGTCCTTCACGAGGACAGTAGAGGACTATGAGTCGATGTCAAAACGAGAGGTGAATGAAGTGAAGCGGGAGAAGGCATTGGGAAGGGTCAAGAAGTTCAGGGAAGATGAGAAGGAGGTGAGGGCCAACCTGAAGCGGATAAAGGAGAGGGACCCTTCCACATGGTCCGGGGGCAACACAGGCGTCAACGGAGGAGCAGCCTCAGCCTCGTCATCATCGATGCAGAACGGTCCCTACGGGGCTTACGGATCAAGCTCTGCGCGAGCTACATCGGCGGCTCACCTAGAGTCGCCGTTCTCATTGCATGCCCGCAACAACACTTCAGCAGCCAACGCCTACGGTACACCGATCCAGCAAGGGCAGCAGAATGACCCTTTAGCGGCCTATAAGATGAATGCGTCAGCTCAAGCCATGTTCGGAGGCGCAGGTGGTGGGGATGGCTACTCAGCGAGAGAGGGACATGCTCTACGAGAGCATTCCTTCATTCAAAATACAGAGCAACAGCTGGATGCCTTCATTGCCCAAGGCAGAGAGGTGTGGGGCAATCTGACGGAGCAAAGAGACATTCTGAAAGGGACACAGAGAAGGTTACTCGATGCCGCCAACACAATGGGACTAAGTCGGAACGTCATCAATGCCATCGAGAGGCGGTCTACGCAGGACAACATCATTTTCGCTGTTGGAGTCATCTTCACCCTCGTCTGCTTCTGTGAGTAGGAAATTACTTCGTCATTCGTAATTGCTGCAAGGTACTGACACTCCCCGTCCCCATGTCTTGATCTGAACAGTCTACATATACAAATGGTTCGGATGAGTCACGCGTCTTGCTATTGCGTCCTCGCCGATTACTTTCGTAGACATTATGTTCATATCGTCGTCGTTCCTCAATGATACCACCTTCTTGTACTACTTGCCTCTCCGTGCCCTTGCGATGCCCTTGTGGTCAGGCTTGTGGCACCACCTAATTGAGACAGCTCCACGAATGCGAGTCGGAGCTAAGCCCTTCTCCGAAGCTGCCTCACTCAAGGTATGCGGAATGTCGTTCTCCAAGCCTTGAGATTACCCTCTCTACCCGATCATGTCGAGCAGAGGGACGAGGGACAAACAAAGCAACAGGCCTCCGCCTCTCCGAAGAGCGATGGTCGTCCAATGCTCGACGTCAGCCTCGGGCTGGTTGTGGTGAGAAGAAGAGGAAGCCCGAGCGTCTTCCTGTCCCCCTATATGCGCCTCGGACTGAGTCGTTGCGCGGAGGAGCTCAGACTCCAACACGCTCCTGAGAGCAACACTTCCGTGCTTGAGACTAGCCTGCACTCATATCGTCACGTCACATCTTCATCAAGCCGACTGGAACGCCTCTACGACCTCTCGTACCACCGAGAGCGCAAGCGCAAAAAGACATCACCCTCGTTCACGACCTCCTCACCATGCCGGTCCCAGTCTCGATGTCCAAGGCCCCAGGGGACTGGTCGGCCTCGGCCTACCGAACGGTAGCAGCCGAAATGACCTCGACGTTGGACCTCGGATCGAAGGGGGCCGAAGTCGTCGGCGCTCTCGTACACATCCACTTCTCAGCATACACAGCAGCCGAGCGCTTGAGTCGGCGGCAAGGCCGGAAGCTGCATCTTGGGCCGCGCTACTTTCTCGATATGATACATCACTACGTGCAGCTCAGCAACGAAAAGCGTGGAGGGCTCGAGGAGGAGCAACGTCACTTGAATGTTGGTCTAGACAAACTCAAAGAGACTGTTTCTGCTGTGTCGGATCTTCAGAAGAGCTTGGCTGTGAAGCGTACACAGCTGACGGCCAAGAACTCTGAGGCTAATGAGAAGCTGCAAAGCATGGTAGCTGGTCAGAAGCAGACCGAAGAACAGAAGCAGGCATCGCTGGCGTTGCAATCAGATCTCGAGAGACAAGAGACAGAGATATCAGAGAGGAGAGAGGTAGTCATGGCGGACCTTGCCGATGCTGAGCCCGCTGTGCAAGAAGCTCAGGCTTCCGTCAGCAACATCAAGAAGCAGCACCTGACCGAAGTGCGGTCAATGGGCAATCCTCCAGCGCCTGTCAAGAATGCGATGGAGTCGGTGTGTATCGCCCTAGGTCACAAGGTCGATAGCTGGAGAGATGTTCAAGGTATCATTCGGAGAGACGACTTTATCGCCTCGATCGTCAATTACGATACCGAGCATATGATGACGAGACCTGTGCGAGAAAAGATGAAGAGGGACTATCTATCGAAGCCAGGCTATGACTTTGAGACGATCAACAGAGCTTCCAAGGCCTGCGGTCCTCTGGCCAAGTGGGTGATCGCTCAAGTACGTTTCTCCGAGATCTTGGATCGAGTCGGCCCCCTCCGGGATGAGGTCGAGTCTCTGGAGCAGCAGACAGAGGAGACAAAGCAACACGCATTACACTTGACTGCCATGATCCGGGAGCTAGAGTTGGACATCGAACAATACAAGAACGAGTACGCTACACTCATCAGCGAGACGCAGGCGATCAAGATGGAGATGGAGACGGTTCAGAAGCGAGTCGACCGCTCCATTCAGTTGCTAGACAGCCTTGGGAGCGAGAAAGAGCGATGGGACATGGCAAGCCAATCTTTCGAGACTCAGATGAGCACAATCGTTGGGGACGCTCTGCTCTGCGCTGCGTTCTTGACCTACGCCGGCTTCTTCGACCAGGCCTACAGGGGATTTCTGTGGGCCGGCTGGAAGGAGCATGCGAAGCAGATCGATCTCAAGCACAAAGCCGAGATCTCGCCGGTGGACTACCTTTCGAATGCCGATGATCGGCTCACATGGCAGCAGATGGGTCTGCCAAACGATTCACTAGCCATGGAAAACGTCATCATCCTGCTCCGCTGCCGACGAACGGCGCTGGTGATCGATCCTTCCGGTCAAGCAACAAGCTTCCTCCTGGCGTTGTATAAGGAACGCAAGATTGTGCAGACTTCGTTCCTGGACCCGACAGCATTTGTCAAATCACTCGAGTCCGCGCTGCGTTTCGGCTCACCGATGCTCGTCAGCGATGCCGAACACTTTGATCCTATTCTCAACCCAGTGCTCAATTCCGAATTCCGCAAGACCGGCGGGCGAGTCTTGATTCGTCTCGGTCCCGCCGAGATCGACTACAATCCCAACTTCCACCTGGTTCTCGCAACGCGAGCCTCGGACCAAGACTGGTCGCCTGATATCTGCTCACGCGTCACTTTCTGCAACTTCACAACGACGCGAGCCTCGTTGCAGAATCAGTGTCTGGATGCGGTGCTCAAGGCAGAGCGTCCGGATACGGACAAGAAGAGAACAGACTTGATGAAGCTACAGGGAGAGTTCAGACTGAGGCTCCGCCATCTCGAGAAAGCGCTTCTCAATGCTCTGAATGAGTCGCAAGGCAACATTCTAGACGACGATAAGGTGATTGATACTCTGGAGACGCTCAAGAAGGAGGCCGCCGAGGTCACTGCAAAAGTGGAGGAGACCGACAGTATCATCGCCGAGGTCGAAGAGGTGACGAACAAGTATGTGCCCTTGGCCAAGGCTTGCTCGTCCTTGTTTTTCATCATCGATCAGCTGCATCTGATCTCCCATTTCTACCAATTCTCTCTGAGGTTCTTCCTCGACATATTCGAATTCGTCCTGCTTAAGAACCCAAGGTTGGCAGGAGTGACGGATGCAGCTCAGCGGATGGCGATCCTCCGTGACGACCTTTTCCTGCACGTGTACAAGCGCACAAGCAGAGCCCTAGCCCATCAAGACCACGTCATGCTCGCAACGCTATTGGCGCAAGTATGGGCAAAGGAGGGCGACGAAGCAGAAGCTTTCGAAGGGGAGGAGTTCGCATTCTTACTGGAAGGTGGTGACAGCGTCGGTTCTGCACCCGTCGATCTGGGTGCGGCAGCCAACGATCTCTTCGATGTCGAAGATCGCCGGAAACTTGCTGCTTTCCTGAAGCTGCCTGCTCTTAGGGGTGTGCCCACGCACATCAAGGATCACGTAGACGACTGGCAGGTCTTTCGCTCGTCGAACAACCCAGAGTCTGACATGCCTCATTTCTACAACGCGGACGATGAGGTCTCACCGTTGCGCGACTGCATCCTGCGCCTGCTGATCGTCAAGTGCTTCCGACCGGACCGTATTGATCAAGCGATGATCAAGCTCAACAACGTTGCCTTTGGGTCTGACTTCCTTTCTGAGTCCGTATATGATCTACAGAGCTTGGTCAAAGACGAGGTGACTGCAACGACGCCAGTCGCGCTATGCTCTGTGCCTGGCTTCGATGCCAGCTACCGAGTGGATACTCTCGTGAAGAGCATGGATGTGCGATGCACCTCGATTGCCATGGGCTCTCAAGAGGGCTTCACCCTTGCTGATCAAGCCATTGCTACTGGTGCTCGTAACGGCAAGTGGGTACTGCTCAAGAATGTCCACTTGGCACCTACTTGGTTGTCCCAATTGGAAAAGAAGCTGTCCGGACTCAACCCTCACAGGGACTTCCGCTTATTCCTGACGTGCGAGACGAACCCGGTCATTCCGATTAACTTCCTTCGAGCCAGCCGCATCTTGATGAACGAACCGCCCCCTGGTCTCAAAGCCTCGATGTTGGACCTGCTGCGAGCACTGCCGCCGAGTCGCCTCCAGCGGAGCCCGGCTGAAGCGACAAGGTTGTTCTTCCTCCTTGCCTTCTTCCACTCTACTGTCATTGAGCGGTTGCGCTACACCCCTCTTGGCTGGAGTAAGAGCTTCGAGTTCAATGATTCCGACGCTGAAGCAGCCCTAGATACCATCGAGGCTTGGTTGGGGAGGGTGGCAAAGGGGCGATCGAACATCAACCCTGCTTCCATCCCCTGGGACGCTCTGAGGTCTCTAATCAAAGAAGCTATATACGGTGGCAAGATCGACAATGAAGCCGATCAGAGGTTGCTCGATTCCTTTGTCGATGCTATCTTCACTCCCCAAGCATATGAGTCTACCTTCCATCTGGTGAATGACGAGGCACAGCCTCTACAAGCGCCCGATGGTACCCGCATCGACCAATTTCTGGCGTGGACAAATGCTCTGCCTGAACAGCAGCCTCCTCAATGGCTGGCTCTGCCACCTACCGCTGAGCGGGTCATTGCAACGGCACAGGGTGTATCTCTGCTCAGCAAGCTCGTTCGTATGAGGCAGTTGGCAGATGACGATGGTGAACGTGGGGGTGAGGCAAGCACTGAGGAGTCGGCGATTGGCAGTGGTGGAGGAACTGTAGTCAAAGCAGCCCAACCAGCCTGGATGAAAGCTCTGCAGCAGAATGCCACCCAGTGGACGGCAGCATTACCTGAGCATCTGTCGAACCTGTCCAACGACGGTGCCGGGAGCATCTCTGACCCCTTATATCGATTTTGGGCTCGGGAGCATCGGACGGCAGCTGGCTTGTTGCGTACGGTGAGGGCCGATCTCCGTGAGGTCATTGAGGTCTGCGAAGGATCTGCGAGGCAGACAAACCACAATAGAAAGCTACTAGACGGCTTGCCCAAGGGTATGTATTTAAACGGAGAGAAATTCCTGCACGTCCATCTGACTGACAGGCTCTCTTTGTTGATGCTCTTCTAGGCGTCATCCCGTCTCACTGGATGCAATACGCGGTGCCCAAGAGCATGTCTCTCAGTCAATGGGTGTCCGACTTTGCTCAACGTCTGTCTCAGATCGAGGTCGTAGCAAAGGAGTCCCGATACGAGCGCGTGGGTATCACACTGGGTCTACTATTTACACCTGCAGCCTACCTCACGGCTACGAGGCAGTATGTTGCCCACCGGACCAAGGTCAGCCTTGATAATCTACAGCTGGAGTTGAGGCTGAATGATGCAAACGCAGAGGGTGGCTTCCTCTTGGAAGGTGAGTAGAAGTGAAGAAGTCCAATACGTCTGACTGCGGACTCTCTGACAATCTCGCCTGTCCGCTACAATCTCCTAGGCCTGAAGCTTGAGGGGGCCCGCTGGTCAGACTCGCAGCTCTCCCTCAACGATGGCTCAACAGCTACATTGCAGCCGAGCAGTCTCGTCTGGCTACCTACCGGCGGGAGTCAGAATCAACAGCAGCGGAATCTAGTCCCTCTGTCTGTGTACCTCAACGGAGATCGCTCCACATCGCTATTCAGCACTCGTGTAGCGGCAGAAGCTGGACTGACTGCAGCCAAAGTGGCGCAAAGGGCGGTTGCACTGCGAGCTGCATGAGCGGTGATTCGGATGGGACGGAGCGGCTGAATTGCCTAGATTGCCCTTGCGCGGAGATACCCAAACTACTCCCTGTACTTGTAGAATTACATTGACGATGAACACCCGTCACCGCTCTCGCTGTGATCCATGCTCGAGCAGTGTAGGGTAGAGCAGGGGTGTCGTCGCCTCGGCAGTTCTCCGTTCCGGTGCGGAGCGGAAGTGGGCGGGCCAAGGCTGATCAGTGCGCAATTGCCGGACAGTCAAGGGGGTGGCATCGATTAACCTTGGCTCCTTGACTCTGTACGATACCATTTGACTCTGCTCACTTACGATCTGAGGCTCTTTGAGAGATACGACGTCTGAGCTCACACTCCTCTCTCTTGCATTGTGCTATCGAAGCTGCTGCTCGTACTCCAAATTCGAGCTCAGAATTCCAGCACTTGCTTCCATATCATCCGCACATCTCCGGCCATCCGCAACCCCTGAGCTCGGATTGCTCTCCAGCTCCTCAGCTCACCTCTCCCCACCTACGCCTGCCCTCTCGAACACTACTTCAAGATGGGAATGACCCACGCGGAGTTCCTCACCTCGCACCGTATCTTCGGCTGTCTAAAATGTCAAACCCACCTAACAACTGCCGAGGACCTCATCTCTCGTCAATTCAATGGACAACATGGAAAGGCATTCTTGTTTAGTAGAGTGGTGAATGTGAATTTCGGAGAGGCAGAGGATAGACATATGACGACGGGAATGCATACTGTGAGGGATATTCGGTGCGATAAGTGTAGGACTGTGCTGGGGTGGAAATATGTGAGTACCGGCTGTGGGTAGGAGGAATGGGAGAGGTCGGCAGCCCATCGATACTGACCCCTTCCTTGACCGCATTATACGACGTCTCTTCGACGATGATCAGGATCGGGCATATGTCGCTACAGAGAAGTACAAGGAAGGCAAATTTATCCTGGAAAAGAATCTCATGGCCGATGTCCAGTGAAAGGCAGTCGCAAGCTCTTCAAGCAACGTCTTAAGGGATTCGGCGTGTCAGGCCTGATTCGGACACTATCTTAGACTACTGCATCAAAGGTATGCTTCATCACCACATGTATCCCCTGCCGCAAGAAGGAGATTTCGCTTCCGCAAAGCCCAAAAGTGTCACACATATCGAGCTTCGGGCGATTTCGAATCACACGAGCGTCCACTGGGCGCAAGCTCAGCTGAGATTGCCATGCTCGGTCACGAGGAAGCAAGAACCATGCTCAGGTCACTCATATTTCGCGAGCGCTGAGCGACGCGTTTAGCCTAGCACTTACGTATTCTGGCGTCTGTGGCGAGAAGTGTGGCAATGCACTGCTTTGAGTTGTCAAGGCTTATTTCGGTCCGAGTCCCGGCCCGCATTCGAGCCATACAGGGCTCAAGACTTGATCCACCGACTTAGTCTACCGATGCAAATCATGCTGCGTTGACATCCTCTAACAACTCTTCACGTTCTCTCGATAATATCATTGCTCAGCTTCTCATCTACCAATGTGTACTCAGATCTGACTCTCTTGTTGCGCTTTGTGTAATGTTACAAATGGTGTGCTAGGTTGGGTCTCCCTGTCTGTCCGAGTCTCTCCACCCTGTCTTCTACAGTCTTATTCATCAAGACGACTCCCCCTGCGCAGCATACAGCAGAGTGTACATCTTACACATTCCCCTATAAGCCACCATATCCCCCGTCCGAAAAACCGCTGCCGCATCAACATTGAGCGGGCTATCGGGCTCCGGATCCTCCAACAGCGCTAGTACAGCCGTCAAGCAACTCTGCAGTCTCCACGCTGGTGACCAAGACGTTGGACTGAGTAGGTCTAGACAGATCTCCCCTGTGGTGAAGGAGACGTTGGGGTGGAAGATCTTGGTCTTGAAGGAGATCTTGGGAGGTTTGGAGGGGTAGGTTGGAGGAACTTGGATGGAGAGCTCGAAGTGGCCGCCTGTACGTAGATACAAAAGTATCCGGTGGAGCATCTATCTGTTAGCTCATGAAAGCTTGGACTCAGAGTAATGGTCTGCCCGCGAGCTCACCAGCGTAACTTCCTCCCTCCGGACCGTTGATCAATGCGTACCACTCAAACAGGTCTTCCCCGTCCGTATCCCACGGTCTCAGGTCCAGCACATCCGGATGCATACTTCCAGCCCCTTGCGATGAAGCCCGAGGGGTAGAAGGCGCTCGTCGTGACCCTGGGGTAGCAGATGAGGATGAGGAGGACGAGGACGAGGACGATGCTTGTTGATCGCGGGCGAGATCGGAACGGATGGCTTCGTACTCTTTCATCAGACGACGGAGCGTCTGCGGAGTTGGACCATCGGCGGACATTGCAGCGTAAGTGCGAAAGTGATAGAGACGCTGACGAGTTGCGTGCACTGAGCCGAGATCGAGATGCTACCACAGAGTCAGATGGTACAAATAAGCAAGGGGAGGCGTATGCGTTCGCCTCGTCTGCCTGGCGTCTCTCCTTCCGCTTCCGCTCCACTTCCGGCTCTCCGGCCTCCGGCCCGGATGGACCTCTCACGCCACGCCAATCAGCGGGAAGAGCGTCTTCTCCATTTACCCCACACTCCGGCTCTCACACTAGCTTGCTCCACAGCAATGGTACATACACAACATCACAAGACGGCCGACGGAGCCTCGATTGCCTATCGGATTCATGGGAGCGGAAAAGGGGTTCCATTGGTATTGATCATGGGCTTGTCGGGGGTCATGGACGATTGGAGTCCGCTGGTGGAGGAGCTTGCAAAGTCTCGCAAAGGTGAGTCGAGTAGCATCATGGCAAGGGCAGTAATGCAAGATACATGGACGCTCAACTCGCACCCTGCTTCTTCTCGTTGGCAGTTCTCATTTCGGATCACAGAGGGTGAGTTTCGACCGATACAAAGCGCGACGGATGACAAGCGCTGCCTGCTGACATGACTGCCTCACGTCACCAGAATTGGCGAGTCTACTGTACCTGAAGACTGGGATTCGGATCTCAACCACGACGTCATGAGCGACGACATTCTCTCCGTCCTTGCCGCGCTAGGTTCAGACTGGTCCACTCTCGACATTCTCGGTTGGTCCATGGGCGGGCACATCCTTCAACGTCTCCTCACCCGTCCCGACTCGACGGTGACCACGCGCGGAACCATCGAACTGCTCAAGGGCAAAGTGGAAGTGCGGAAAGCGATCTTGGCGGCTACCATGACCAAGATGCCTCGAGGAGACATCAACATGGCCCAGATGCAAGAGGAAGCGGGCAAGATCAAGGATGGCAAGAAGCGTAAGCGATGGGCAACGGAGCAAATGCTTGCGTACCAGTACGACGTCGCCTCCCTCGAGAAGGACGAGCGGCTCAACAAGATCATGCAGGACCGCATCGAGGTGTCCCTGAATACGACGAGACCCCAGGAGATGATAGCAATGCAGGCTGGAGCCATTGGCCAGTATCGCTCGCGCGATGATCTGGGAAGGATACCGGAGAGTGTACCGGTGCTGATCATTCACGGGAAGTTGGATAGGATGGTGCATTACAAGGAGAGTGAGCCTTTCGAGAAGGGCATCGCCCACGCGAAGAGAGTCGACCTCAGTGATGGAGTCAAGGAGGCCCAGGACGGGCAATATGGACATTTTGTGAGTAACAGATCCTAGCGTCAGGCGCACTTTAAGGTACCGCTGCTGACATTTCCCCCTCGCCAATACTCTCCTTTGCTCTTCTCAGTGGTTCGACTACTTTGAGCCCAGCTTTTGGGCGGGCAAGATCAACGCCTTCTTGGACGGCAGCACGGCCACACAAGCAAAGCTGTAGTTGTAATTGTCGCCTCTGTTCTAATTTGATCGCTTGTGCTCATCACACCCATGAGATTGTATGTGCTACAAGGCGTCTACAACCTTGTCTATAGCATGCTCGTCCGCTTCAAACCCTACCTTTGCATTGTCGTCTACGACATCTCCTTGCCCTGTCCCAAAGATCCAAAGCAACCCCCACACTAAGCCAAGCACGAACTTGTCTCCAGAGGTGTTTTCCCTGCAGCGCTGAAGAGCGTCTTCGACACTGACAAACTTCTTTTCCAGCTTGTTCCCTGTCTTTGCTTCATAGAGAGAAACGAGCTCGTTCCATGACCTTCGAGAGCAGGAAAGTCGGAGCGTCTTGTATTCAAGCTCAGATGGCGGGAGAGTCGTCAGGGCCTTGTACAGGAACGCTGCCGTATCGGCTTGCGTTGTCAGGGCTATCTTCTCGTCGCCGGTGCCGACAATTGTAGTCATCTTGTCCTCCAGGTTGAAGCCGACCGGAAACTTGAAGACGAGCGAGGCAAAGAGAACGCTGACGATCTGGAGATAAGGCAATCCCTTGACCTCTGCGTCATTCTTGATGAAGTCGTACAAGGCAATCTTGCCACTCCAGCCCGGGTGCGGACTATCCCCTCCAGCCCTCTTCTGCAGCTCCACGAGATCTGCGCCGAAGCCCGATGGTACAAAGAGCTTTACCTTGGCAATTCTTGCAGCCCTAGCGAGATTCTTTTCGGCTTCACGAGCGCTAGCGGAAAGGCACGATACCAGAACGTCTATGCCGTCCAGGGCCTCCACAAGCGTTGGTACCTGATCGTAGTCTACGATGTGAAACGTCTCATTGCCGACCTCGGGTGGAGGGTTGCCCCGAGTAAGGATACGAGGCGACGAGGGCGAAAAGGCGGTGCGGAGAGCTGCACCTAAGACACCGCCGGTGCCCGCAATGGCAAAGGTTTTATACACCGACATGACAAGGACGTAGGGTAGCGAGGGTACGAGGGCGTGGGTGTGAGGGGATCACGGGGACGGCTTACTGGTCATTGCTGTCGCTTATGTTCGCCTATTCCCTTGCGTCGGCACGTCGGTAGGTCGGGATCAGATCGGGAGGAGATCGGGACGTAATCTCACTGTCTCGTCCTGGTGAAAGATCAGCTTATGGCGTGATGCCGCCGGTAGTCCTTGGTCTCGGATCTCTACGCTGCTCCCGCGCCGTTGTGATAAGACACGTTTGAGAACGTGTGTACCCGCAGGGTGGAGATGCCTAAAAGTAAGCTTGGCCCCCGATCTGCTCGGTACGCGGTGATAATCTTAGAGAAGGCGAGGGGAGCGCGTGGGGCGTCGGGAATGCGTTCGCTTGAATCTCACTCCTGTGGTGCTTTAATCCGCGGTGCAGACTCCGCGGAGTTATCGCTTATCATTAGTGGAACACGGTCGAAGCGAGGCGAAGGGTCAGCTGACCCTTCGGGGATATGCCTTGGACAAGCATCTGGCCCCCCCCTCGGGCCTCTACTCGGGCGAGTGCTCGGGTGTGAGCTGCTCGTCTTTGCGGTCTTAATGTGCGGCGTGCGAAATTGAGGGCGGAAGAGCATGACTATGTGTCAACGTGGAATGGAGGCGGGAAGCAAAGGGCGGATGAAGAGTCACGGCCAAGGGCGTGAGAAAGGGAGGGCATGGCGGTAGCCCGAGGCCGAGGAGGTAGTGCGGGGGCGAGGCAGAGAATAGAGCGAAGCGGCACTCGCGAGCCGTGGATGCAGGTACGCGAGGCCCTCTAGCGGGAGCAGCGGAGTCGGAACGCGGCGCATGTGCGGCCGTCGCCCGCTGCAGGCTGTACGTCGAGTCATGCTCAGCACTGCTCAGCACGGCCCGGACTAAGGCAGAGAGAGTAGGTAGGGTCACCCCCACGGCCCCTTGCAATCACTATCACCCAATCACGGATGGAACAGATATAGTAGACCCACATCTGATCAGATTGCCCCCACCCCCATCTTCCCCACCCTTCCAATCTCATCATCCCCCCAATACCTTATGTCGGTACACAATCTTCACACACGCCACCGCTTCTTCGATCCCACTCCTGCGATCAAGGACGGAGCGGACACCACCTTCCACTACGATCTATCGGCTTCTACCACCGAAGACTTGCCCTGGCTCGCTCTCCAGACCATGATGAGCACCGACCCCTGCTCTAACACCATGGACTCCTCCGACCCATCCCCCTTCGAGAGCCCCCTCTGTGTCTCCTCGATGGGCTCGCCCAACAGCTCTCGAGACTTCGACGAGCCACTCATCACCGGCAGCGAGGGCGACGCAACCTTCGAACGTCGTCCCCTCTTCGACGATTACACTCGACCAGCCTACGCTGAATCCACCCAGGATGATGCAGCCTGGTCTTTGCCCGGTCAGGGATCCTTCTCCTACGCAGACTTCTTCCCTGTCTCGTCGACTCCCGCCGCCGCCGCCGCCACCACCACCACCACGGCCGCCAAGACAGTGACCACTGCTGCCCCTCTCACCGGAAGCCAGTACTTCGCAACCCTTCCACCAAAGGTCGATACCTTCGGTACCGTCGCTGCCTTTGCTGCCATGCAGGACATTGCTCCTACATCCTTCGTCGACAACCAGCAGCCTTATCTCGGCATGTCTGCCCAGCTCAACACTCACGCCCGACGTCTCAGCTTGAGCGATAGCGTCAGCGGATACTCCAGCAGCCAAGAGACTGCCCCTTCCAAGGACCTCAACAGCTACCCTGCTTCATCTCAGGCCTCCACCGATGGAGCCTCCCCCATCGATCAAGGGGAGGAACTCCGTCATCTCGCCGAGGTCCTGGTGCAGCAGTACCATGCCCACGGTCGAGACGCGAGCGACACCAGCGAACTCGTCCATGCGCTCACCGTCGCCGGTATCAAGGTCGAGCCCAAACTCTTGATGGCAGCCGAGCCCCTCACCCCTTCTTCGGACGCTAGCTTCTCTCCGGCTAGCAGCACCATCAGCTCAAGCGGCGACGGCGACTGGTCCGAGGGCAGCAGCCCACAGTCTGCCCACGACGACAGCCGACAAGCCACTCGTAAGGCTCGCTCCTCATCACACACCACGTCCAAGTACAATGCTATTGGCGAGACTGCCTCGGCATCGTCTCTTGAGGAATTCGACACCGTCATGAAGGATGGCAAGCGCCACTACCGATGCGACGTCTGCCACAAGCTCTTCGACCGTGCCTTCAACATGAAGACCCATCGTGTCATTCACGAGTCTTACCGAGAGCACCCCTTCGCCTGCCCCTTTGACGAGTGTGGCAAGCGATTCTCTCGCAAGGCCGACTGCAACCGACACACCAAGAGTGTCCATCTCCGAAAGGGTCAGACTCTCAATGGGCGACCACTCGCCGTCGTCGTCGACGTCGGCTAGTGACCCACACAAGTCTACATTTGTTAACTGGTGAGCATTCCCTGTCGATCGTCGCGACTACTGTATGTGCGAACAGCACGCTCATGCCCCCCTACTCTTGCTTGATTACCATCAGCCTACCACCTCTTATCACTGAGAAGAAACAGTCGACCCGTGCAGGGCGTCTGTCGAGTTCTTCGACCTCTTCATCAGTTCGCAACATCGTCCTTGGGCTTGCCAAAGGCGTCGACAAGCGACTTGCTCGGCGTCGCGCCCGGATCCGATCCTCCTGGTCTCTCTTTGTGTGCTGGCCCACCTCTGTCTGCCATCACAAGTCTCTCCGAAGACAGCCTGTACGCGTGCACGCACGTTGCACAGTAATCTCCTCGACAGTCGTTGTCATGGCAGCTCCCCCCCCTTATGCAGTCGACTGGGTCCCCTCGTCGTCAGTCTCCGCACCAGCGTCGAGCAGAAGAGGAGAACACACACCCAGTCGTTCCCCGCAAACCCCACTGGCCGGCAATCGCCCCAGCTGCCACAAAGAAGACACCCAACAGGACATCGCCCGTGTTCACACACACACTTTCCCGGGCCTACCCGCCCACTACTCCTTCAATGGACTACGTCGGTCATTTTGGCCCGTCGTCGCAATACTCGACCTCGCTGTCGATCGTGCGGTACTCCGTCACTGCCGTATGTCCCCCTTGTTGTCCCTCATGTTCCACACTTATTACTATTTCATCTCGTCTATCGTCTGTTATCGTCCCTCCCGTAGCTTCTTCCTTGTCTCTGTTCAGTGCGCCCGACAACGTTCTCCCTCGATCGATCAGCGGGTGGCTGGCCCGAGCTGACCCAGCCTGGCCTCCAGTCCGCGCTCGAATGTTGCCCTTTCCTATCGCTGCTCCGCTACTTGCTTGACTTTGTTACGAATTGATATTGTCAGTCTTCATTATGTGTGATTGTCCGTTCTAAAGATGATAGAAGTGCCCCTTACGGGTTGGGATGCCCATCGCCGCCTGCATTCCGTTCCGTCACGACGCGAAGCGGAGTTTGGTTCTGGAAGTGAGCCTAGAGATCAACACCTGCCTGGTCTGCCCTTCCCGCCGCGATAGAGGAGCTGACCTTCGCTTCCTACCCTAGAGTACACCCTGCTTCCCTCCTTCTTCGTATCTGTCTCCTCTCAGCATCGTCTCTTCTGCCAAATCCCAATCTTTGTGAGAAGAAAGGAGCAATGGACCCTCACGGCCATCACGACCTCGACGTCGGTCTCGGCCGGATGAGTCTCGCCTCCAAGCCCTCCGCATCCTCCGCCCCAAGTCGGATTAGTAAACAATACCTGCATGGCTCTACCACCTCTACCACCTCTTCTTCTCAACAACAACAACAGCAGCAGCAAAGGTCATTCTTACCTAGCTCGGCTGGTGCTGCAGCGGGAAGCAGGGCGGGAGGAGGAATGAGCTATTTTGGTAGTGGGGCGACAGGCTCTTCTTCAAGTACCAAGACGACTGGAGGCACAGGTACAGGTCAGGACAGAGGACCTCTGAATCGTCTTGGTGCAGTAGCAAACATGCAGAGCGTCGGTACCTCTGCCTCTGCATCGGGTACAGGCAAGCTGGACCGGAAGATGAGCACCGATCGGCTCAACTCGCAAGTCTCTGCTGGTTCCGCTGGATCTACTCAGGCTAGCTCGCGAAGTGTGGCAGGAGGGGTGCCAACTGTTGATGTCGGGAGATATGATGGTGGATTGGAGAGGGATGAGAGAAGAGGGAGGAGGACGATGGATGCGAGTGATTCATTGAATCTGGATTCGGCATTGGCGGGGTGAGTACAGCTTTGGACATACAGAGTCACGAGTACAGTCAATTCTGAGCTGACAGTCTCACCTGGTTCTCTTCAGAACGAGTCATCAGCCAACACGTCAATGGCACCTCCGCGACTTCGAGCTTGGCCGAGCCCTTGGCAAAGGCAAATTCGGTCGCGTCTACATGGCTCGTCTAAAGCCCCCCAACGCTTCGTATATCATCGCGCTGAAGTGCATGTACAAGAAGGAGCTCATTGAGGGTCGTCTGGAGAAGCAAGTGCGGCGAGAAATCGAAATCCAAATGAATCTAAGACATCCGCATATCCTACGCTTGCACGGCTATTTCCACGATACGGGTCGGATCTTCCTCATGCTCGAATTTGCGGCAAAGGGAGAGATGTACAAGTACATGAACAAGATTCCCGATCGTCGCTTTCCCGAGAGGCAAGCAGCGCTGTACATTGCGCAGATGAGCGATGCCCTTGCCTACCTGCACGGCAAGCACATCATCCACCGCGATATCAAGCCTGAGAATCTCCTCTTGGGGATCAATGGGGAGCTCAAGATTGGAGATTTCGGTTGGTCGGTACATGCACCAGGAAATAGACGGACGACAATGTGCGGTACATTGGACTACCTGCCGCCGGAGATGGTCGAGGCGCAGACGCATGGAGAAGGAGTGGACTTGTGGGCACTGGGCGTGCTGACGTACGAGTTCGTCGAGGGAGTGCCGCCATTTGAGGAGACGGACAGTCAGAACTGTGAGTACGACGGGAGGGGGTCAGGGGCAAGAAGAGATGGAAATGGGAGACTCCTCTTGCCGTTCTTTGGCAGCTGACCTCTTGGCCTACTCCCTTGTGTTCAACAGTGACATACAGTCGCATCGCCTCCGTCGACCTGCGTCTCCCCTCGCGCTTCAGCCCCGAGCTATGCGACCTAATTCGTCGGGTAAGTCCAAGTCTCTTCACCTCCCCCCTCTCCTCTTCTCGCATTTCCCTGCATCATCTGACCCCTCTTCCGCCTCCTCTTCACCTCTTTTTGGTGTTGGAACTTTCATAGCTCATCAGAAAAGAACCCGACAAGCGCTTACCCCTCAAGGACGTCCTGCGTCACCCATGGATCGTGCGATATGACCCAGATGCCAGTGCGCGGGCATCGGCGCATGTAGCTAGGACTTCTTGAGCAAGAGTGGGATTGGATTGGTCAAAAGGGAGGGTAGAGAGGGATGAGGCAATGGGGGGAGGAGGGTATTGGCCCTACTCTGCTCTGCTCTGCCTTGCTCTCACTCACTCCCTCTCTGCTTTGGTCAAGGGCTTACACGTTTCATCGCTCTACCCATCGCTCTGCATTGTCCTCTCTCGTTACTCGTTTTCGTATACCAACGCATTTCCCTTTGACCTCCTTCAGTCTGTGCTTCTCTACCAATAGCTCACTCGCTCATTCGCTTCGTCAATCAGTCAGTAGCTCCCTCTCTCTCTCCCTCTTTCCCACTCCCTTCCTCATTCATTCGATCATTCCCTCATTCGCTCACTCGCTCATACTCCATGATCTGTGTGTGCAAAGGCTTTTGTGATGTGTGAAAGGGTGGAAATACAAGATGCCGAAACAATGAGAAGAAAAGGAAGCGGCAGAGGAGGCGAGGTGAGATATGACGAGGTCGTGCAACAGAGCATGGGGATGGAGTGGGGGGATGCATGGGGCCATAGTGACCAATGGAAGAGGCGCTTTGTGTTTGTGACACAATGATTTCCTCCTCCCGCAAATCTTCCCATCCACTTTGCTGTCCCAACGTATTTCTGACAACGAAATGCCTCTGCTCGATCCTCGCGAAAGGAGCACTCGAGGGCACCCTCTCTACTTCTTCTTGCCGAGACCGACAGTCTTTCCCCTTCGTCCAGTGGTCTTGGTGTGTTGACCACGGACCCTGAGGTCGAGGTAGTGACGGATACCCCTGTGCGAGCGGATCTTCTTCAGGCGCTCCAGGTCGTCACGCAGCTTCGAGTCCAGGTTGTTGGACAGGACCTGGAAGGTCTTGCCGTCGACGATGTCTGTGAGTGTGAGGGTAAGGTGGGGAAGGTCAGCATGGATGTCCATCATAAAGAGAGGTGGGCATGACAAGCCAGTCTGCAAAGTGGAACGCCAGTCTTCCAGGCGTGCGCAACCATCCACACTGCTTCCTCTGCATCGTCTTGGAATCTCTGAGCTTCCCTAATGCTAGAAACAAGCAGGCAGTGTCAAGCGCTACGAGGGCAGCGAGTATCGTCTCCTCGACAGCGAGAATGACAACAGCTCGCTGCCACTACTGCAGAGTGACGCGACAGACAAGAGACGTCTATCCAAGCATCGCATCACTGATGATGACTGCTGCCCTGCTGCCCATGTGCTTTGACCAGAATGAGAGTCTTCTGTCCACCCACATCTGCACAAGCTATGAGGCCAGGTCGTTGCCCACTGCCATGCCTTCCACACCCACCACTCCACCTGTCCATCGATCTATCTCTCATCTGGTGTGTATGTCCCACCCAGTTGACTGCGCCATCGTACGTGTACATGTCGTTGTTGTCCACGGCCAATACTCACCCCTCTGCCTGTTGAGCATCCAGTCTGGGATCTTGAACTCCTGAGGGTTCTGCAGGATGGTCACGATCCTCTCCAGCTCATCGGGGTTGAGCTCACCGGCTCGCTTGGCCAAGTCCACATCGGCCTTCTTGCAGATGACGTTTGACAATCGTCGTCCCACACCCTTGATCTCGGTGAGGGCGTACATGATCTTGCGCTTACCGTCAACATTGGTGTTGAGGAGACGCAAGATGTGAGCGAACTGCTGCGACTGGTCGGGCTGTTGGATGATAGGGGTAAAGAGAAGGGTGGTAAGAAGGTGTGAGCTTCGCTTGCTCTGCATTACCCGGGGGGAAAGGGAGATCTCGAATTTGTCTACGTCTCTGTCTCCTTGCTTCACGCCTGCCTGAGTCTGCTGATGAGACTACGGCGGCTATGATCCAGCGTCCTGCTGTTTTCTTTGAACCTTCTCGCCGTCTTCATCTTCTTCACCACATCATCGCAGCTGATGCCAGATTCCCTCGCTGCTTGCAGACCTTCCGGTCTGCCTTCTTTCCTGCGACACCACAGTCCACCCCTTCTGCTCCGTAGAGAAGATCGTAGCAGTGACGAATCGAAGAGCAAGACTGCTGAGAGTAGATACGCACGACGGAGAGCGACATGTTGGGAAGATGAGGATGTAGGGGTGTGGTAGTGGGAGGAGGAGGAGGTCAGGCGTGGTGTATGTGAGTTGAGAATTCCTGGCGCAAGAGGCGGGCAGGCGAGCGGACACAGGCGCGGGCGCGGCCGAGGGGCGAGACGAGGCCAGTCAGCAGCCACCCGCCCCCGCCACAAGGCGCAGCCGCAATTTTCCTGACCAGGACGACACCGCGCGCAACCAGGGGGGGGGGGGGGCAGATTGAAGCTCCGCTCCCTCGTCCTCCATTCATCGGAAAGGAAGACGGTAGGCAGCGACACAGCATACAGCTCACTCTATGCCTGCTCATGCTGCTCACGTCAAGGGCTTACAACGGCAGAGATCACCTCTCTACCGAAAGAATCAAGTATTTTCCTAATCGACTACACAGAGTGCAGGTCCAACATGTTCGCAATTCGGAGTCGTACCTGGAATGAACATCTTATCTGCTGAGCTCGACGCCGTGGTAGCCATCGTCTTGGAGGTTGTCCTCGAGATCCTGTAAGATCTGCATCTTGGTCATGCCTTCACGGAGCCGGTGAGGGACTCCCATGTGCGCTTCATAGCTGAGCCTCGGCGGGGCTTTTGAGCGCTTATCTCTCATTGTCCTGTGTGAGTCGCTGTCGATGTCGGAACTGAGCCGATGGACGTGGCCCAGTGGGGCGTGTCCCAGACCGGCGGACGGGAAATGGGCGTGTGGCTCCTCGGCTTGGCCCCGCGAAGGCCACGCGAGGCCCTTCGGCTTTGCACGGCGCCCGCCTTCGTTGGCTGCACGGCGACTCTTCGGCGGCACCCACACTGAGTCATGGACCGTGACCGTCAGTGCACTCAGGAGTTTTTTCGGGAAGCACACAGACGCACCACCACTCTAACTCTAGACGTTGGCCCAGGGAAGGTGTGTTGTTATAAAGTGAGCAGAGAGGAACCTACGCCCCTTTCATCCGCCCCGATCACGATCATCATCATCCAGCTTCCCCTCTGTCAATCACCAACATGGCACCCACCGCGACCACGTCCTATGCACCTCAGTCCAATGGCAGCATCAATGGAGATATCACCTTGGGTGCTACCACCAAGATGCCCTCCACCTCTGCCGCATCTACCTCCCAGCAGAAGCTGCCAGACTACACTCGCTTCCTCTCGGCCATCGTAAAGCTGCGTCCAGACTCCCCCATCCGCGCCTTGTTCCCAGCAGAGGCCATCCCGGGCATGCTGTCCCTCCTGGCAGGCAAGCCCAATGCCAGCACCTTCCCCTTCGAAAGCGTGTCATTGCAGCTCAAGCCAGCTCCTGGCTCGTCACAAGGGGAGAAGCTAGTCATCCAGGGAGAAGACCTCAACAGCGCTCTCCAGTACGGAAACACCAGCGGTATCCCTCGGTTCAACAAGACGCTAGTCGACATCCAGTCGAGCGTGCACAGGAGGCCAATCGTCTACAGTACACAGACCAATGCAGCGGGCGAGGAGATCAAGGTTCCAGACTGGGCTATTTCCCTCGGTGTCGGTTCGCAAGATCTCTTGAGCAAGACTCTGGAATGTCTGCTTAACCCTGGCGACTCTGTCCTCGTAGAGGACCCAGTATATGCCGGAGTGCTACCCTGCATGGTCAGCCTGCAGGCCAATGTCGTGCCCGTCGCATCTGATGACCAGGGTGTCACGCCTCAGAGGTTGCGCCAGATCCTCTCTCAATGGTCGACCGATCCAGCCACTTCCAGCAAGCCTTTCCCCAAGTGCCTCTACACCACACCCACTGGCGCCAACCCTTCAGGCACGTCAGCCTCGGAAGAGCGCAAGAGACAAATACTGTCAGTGGTGCGAGAGTTTGATATCCTACTTCTGGAGGACGACGCGTACTTCTACCTGAACTTCCAGGGACTGGGAGAGGACGCGGTGACGAGGACAAGACAGAAGAGTTACTTCCACCTCGATGCCGAGGACACGTCCAAGCACGCCAGCGGAAGGGTTCTGAGGTTCGACAGTTTCTCCAAGATCCTCTCTGGTGGTATGCGTTTGGGCTTCATGACCGCCCACCCCACGTTCATCTCTGCCGTGGACAAGACGACTTCTTCCTCAAATCTGCAAACACCCGGTCTGACTCAGGCAGTCGTCCTCTCCATCCTCGAGCACTGGGGCCTCCACGGTTTCCTGCAGCACTGTGATCGCGTCGCCACCTTCTACAAGGAGAGGCGGGACGTCTTCGAGGGGACTGCACAGCGCATCATCGGCACCAATGGAGGCAAGCAGACAGCCATTGCCAAGTGGGTCACACCCACCGCTGGTATGTTCCTCTGGCTCAAGCTCCGTCTGCCCCCCTCCACCGAGGGAGCCGACGACGAAGGCGACTCGTACCCAGTCATCTTTGAAAAGGCCAAGAAGGCAGGCGTACTAGCCGTGCCTGGTGTGGCCTTCATGGCGGGAGGAAAGACGACTTGCTATGTCCGCACCTCCTTCTCCATTGTTGACGAGGCCGACTTCGAAGAGGCCTTTAGGAGACTGAGAGGTGTAGTGGAGCAGGCATGGACCGAAAGGGGACTCTCGCTACCAGCATGAGTTGCGAGCCATCGCTCAACAAGCAACCCTTCCTAAGATGAAGATGTATTTAGATGTGGCCACCAACTCTCCCCTGCTGCCGTGGTATTTGTAGATTTCCCCCAGAGTTTCACCGCCCCTCCCACCTGTCTAGACAGAGATTCCCTGCTTCTTGAATTACCCTCGTTTCCTTTCCTTTTCCTTTTCTTCCCTCTCTGTGCGTACAAGTGAGGCGCATGCACTTTGCAATTGCAACAACTTTATAGACATCAAAACTCTACACTACATCGTTTGCAGCTCTATGTTCATTCCTTCCTTCCTTCCTTCCTTCCTTCTGTCCATTCAGTTGCCTCTGTCTCAGCATCTACAGCTACGTCTACCCTCACCACCCTCTCTCTCTTTCTACTTTCTCCCAGCCCCTCCAGACCCATTGTACATCTCCAAGAAGATCTCCTTGTCCTCCCAACCCAACCCGGTCCTCTTCAACCTGGAAAGAGACGAGATAAGTCCCCCCACCGCCTCTGCAAGCGCGTCTTCCCCTCCTCCACTAGAGCCAGCACCCTTCGTCCCGACAGAAGCGTCGGCTAGGTAGCTTCCTGAAGTTGGGGATTCGCTGGGATCTAGTAGACGCACTTGTAGACCTTTGGCAAAGGAGAGGGAGGAGCAGAGGGACCAGATGTGTAGGAGGGGATTGAGGGGAGTGGGGATAGAGAGGGTTGAGCTGCTGCAGACGGGGGTCGGAGCGTCGTGTCTGTTCAAAGTAAACACGGGAAAGATTAGCTGGCAAGCAGACAGGAGCAGTAAGTGGTTCAGCGACTCACTTGATGGACATGATGTAGAGTTCCGATTGGCCTCTGCCGATCCGTAGAGCGCCTGTGACCTTGTACAGATCCCGCCAAGAAGGAGGGAAGATGGAGGCCATTCGCAGTAGACCTCGATTGTTTGAGGTGACCAGCTGCGATAGAGTCATTCAGAGATGCAGCCATAAGCAATTGCATGCCTTCCTGAGTAGACAGCGAGACTTTTGACTCACCTCTGGGAACACCATGACTGGTCCCGCAGCTTCCTTTGCGATCGTTGCCAAGTCCCTATACGAACCCGCATCTTTCCCATGTATCAAAGGCGTCTTGCCTGCAGAAGCCAGCGCCTGCCACAGCGACACTTCCCGGAAACCCAAGAATCGCTTCTCCCTCGTCTGATCAGCAGCTGGGCTAGCCTGCGCCTGCTTCGCATTCGTCTCCGTCACCACGGACGCTCCGGCATTCCTCCTTCTTGCTGGTGAAGGCTTTGCCTGCGAGGAGCTAGAGGCGGCAGGAGTCGCCGAGGAAGGAGAGACGACGGGCAGGAGAAAGATAGGATTGAATTTCACCGCTGTGATGAGAACGTCGAGCCAGGATGAGAAGTTGGAAAGGATGATGTCTCCCCTCTTTGGCTCGAAGGGGTTGGCCCGGTTCGCAGAGAGGGCAGCTGCTCTACCGCGGTTCTTGAGCGACACAGTCTCTGTCTTTACCAAGGAGAAGCCCATGACGAGCAATATTGCTTGACCAAGGATGGCATGAATTGCCCCTTTAGCTCCCCTGCTCGTGGCGCCAATTGTCGAGCTAAGCAGAGCCCATAGCGCTGTGAGGACCAGAAGCAGCAAGGCGCGAGCTAGACCGACTAGTAGAGAGGGCACAAAGAGGAAGGATTTGAACGAGGAGGCGGACGTCGAAGACGCCAAGGGAGTCAGGAAAACCTGAATGCCTGTACCGCTGTCTCTGAAGCGAGAATACTTCTCCATTGTCGGGGCAGTGGTCTAGGCAGTGGTAAGTGCGGGTCAGAGCAACGGAAGGCGGAAGGCTTGTCCCTCGCGGCTTGGCTGCGCTTGGCTTGGATGGCTTGGCCTTGGCTCGAGGAAGAAGCGGAAGGAGCAAGGTTGCCGCTCCACTCCCGAGAAGCATCACAAAAGTCACGGCAGCAGACTTAGCCTGGCTTTGCTACCATTACCACTCACTCGCTACCGCCTTTCGACTTGCTGATTGGTCAGCCATGGGTCGTCACTCCAAGAACAATACGGCTCGCGCCAACTTCACCTCGACAGAGTGAGTAAATGACCCTCTCAGAGTCACGGGAGCTGCTTGTTCTGACGCGGATCTTCTGGTCTCCCTTACAGGTACCAGTACCTCAAGGACCGATGGGGCAGTAAGAGCTCGAGGTTGGGAGGGGATAGTATGAGAAACTTTGATCAGTGTGCGCTATGTCTTGGTACAGCCGTGGATCCCATGGTAAGTGTACCCCCCAAGCTGGTTGCGGTCGGCGTTCACATGACTTAGTGCATCCCGCTCCCAATCTCTCATGTCTGCTAGACGTGCAAAGAGGGGCATCTATTCTGCAAAGAATGCATCTACACAAACCTTCTGGAGCAAAAAGCTGACATCAAGGCACATCAAGTCAGTCTACTGAAGCTGGCTCAGCAGCAGGAAGAAGAGCGAGAGAGGGCGAGGGAACATGCTAGGGCCAAGGTCTTGAGCGATTTTGAGAGGAACGTGGGCTTTGGGGCGGGGCTGAAAGACGAGATCCACGCAGTAGGGGAGGATGGAGAAGCTTCTTCTAGTAGGAAGCGGAAAGCAGACTCGGACGCGGCTCCTTCTGGTCGGCTCTCCCTTGCCTCTCTACCAGAGAGAGCTCAAAGACTGACGCAGCAAGCGGAAGACGAGGCTCTAGAGGCCCTCGAGGCAGAGCAGAAGGCGAGCAGACGGAGAAAGCTGCCGTCCTTCTGGCTGCCAAGTTTGATGCCGAGCGAAAAGGAGGGAGATGTGGATCTCAACAAGGTTGGCAGCTCGTTGGAACCACGGTGTAGAGTGGAGAATGAACATGGCCATTCCATCAGGTGAGTAGAGGTAGCCGTGCGCGAACTAGTGGGACTGACTTCTGACATGTGGTTTCGTCGGCATGGCATGACATCTACAGCATCAAGTCGCTCACGCCCGTAAAGTTCTCGCGAGCTCCCACTGCCGCCAACGGCACGGCCAGTAATGCAAGTGAAGCCTCGTCGTCAAGCTCGTCTAACAGTCCCATCATCTGTCCGAGCTGCAAAAAGGCAATCTCCAACAGCCACCGCCTGTTCACAGTTAGACGGTGCTCGCATACCTTTTGCAATTCTTGCGCCGAATCACTGATCTACGCGCCAGCCAAGGCAGCTCTGAAGGCAAAGAAGGAGGCAGCAGATGAAGACGGTGCAGACGCCAAGAAGAGCTCTGCCTCTGATGTGGCCTGCTGTCCTGAGTGTGCCGAAGGGAGAATCAGAGATGTGGACAAGGATGTGATCAAGCTGTTCCGTGAGGGTACAGGATACGCAGCTTCGGGTGGGGCCGAGGCCAAAAAGAAGGGCATTGCATTCCAGGGCTGAGATTGGGGTGAGATCTGCCATTCCCTTTGTACACTACACTCAAAGCGATGATCTTACTTTGTACCATTGTGTCTGGTGCGTGTCGAGCGCTGTGTGCCGTGGATACGCGCTTGTCACTTGTCAATCTGGCGGACCCTGACTTTCAACGCAGCAGTGGCTGGTGGCTGGATGCGGGGTCGACTGGACGCAGACGTCGCTTCCCCAAAACCCGAAGGCGGAAATTCAAACCGACGGACAACCACTGCCATTCGGCCTTTCAGCTTTCCTCCACTGCCGAAACCCCACTCCCTCACTCCCTCACCTACCTTTGCATCCTACCATCGCATCTCATCTTGCATAGCAAGCATCCGCTCTCCCTCCCTTCTTCCTCCGTCTCTTGGACCATGGCGTCGCAGTCAGCCTCGTCGTCACACGAAAAGAGGCCGCCACAACGGACCTCGGGCGCCAATGGCAGCAGCCAGAGCCGGACCTCCATTGCCGCTCGGCGAGGCGGCCCATCTCCATTGTCGCGCCTGCCGATGCCGAGTATCTGGGGCAAGCAATCTCAGGATACCAAAGAAGAAGCATCAGCTTCTTCATCGTCATTAGCACCTGCTCACAATATCTCATCGACTCGCACGGATCGTCAGAAAGCCTCGTTCAGGACGAGGACCCGGTCCGGCATTTCCTCTTTCCTCTCGCCCCGACCAGCAACAGAGATGCTGGACCCTCTCCTCACTCAGCCCTTTTCAGATCCAGATGCCATTGGCGCTTTCGCTGAAGCCTTGAGAGAAGACCAAGGCAAACAGGAGCTCCCCATTGCTGCTCTCTCCACTGCAGGCGCGGCAGCGCAGGCTTGGGCGAAGCTCGGGTTCTCCTCCTCGTCCAAGTCGCCTCAGCTTACTTCAGGGAGTCCTTCCCTGCTCTCTCCTGATGGACATGCTCCAGCGAGTACGCCCACCTTGACAGTACCCTCGGCAGAGCAGCGCAAGGTTGGCAAGATTTCGGCAGTATCCGATTTCGCTCCCATCAGGGAGAGAACTGCCCGGCGGCCCGCTCGGGGAGCTCAAGACACCGGCAGGAGAGAAGGACTGCTCTACTCCATGCTACGGTGGCCCCTCTTGCTCACCATCTTCCTGGTCATCGGTCTCGAGTTTGCGGCGTATGTCTTTACTCGCCAAATCGTTAATGTAGTCGAGTGGCTGGTGGCTCACCGGGGCAGGAAAGGGGTCCTGAGACGTCAGATGCGCAACGCCAAGGACTTTCAGACATGGAAGGATACTGCCCTTGAGCTGGATGATCATATGGAACATGATGCTTGGAAGAGGCAAGACAGCTCTGGGCTCTACGACTGGATTCTAGTCAAAAAAGTGTCTCACTCACTCAAGACTTTCAGAGAACAGGATGACGTACAAGAGCTGATGCTGGTCCTCACGCTGTGCTGCACCAACAATTTCGCCGGTACGGAGAACTTCAGACTGTACAGTGAGACGTACTACGGCTCGAAGTACCTGATCGAAGCCTACCTTGCTGAAGTTGAGCTTGGCCTAGACTACATGTCGAAAACGGAGAAGATTCCACTGGAACAGAAGAGAGCATTCTTTCGCGACGTTGCCAAGAATCTAGGCAAATCAGGTCTGGCTCTCTCAGGCGGTGGATCGTTCGGCTACTACCACATTGGACTTGTCAAAGCCCTGTTAGACGCAAACCTGCTTCCTCGCATCGTGTCGGGGACCAGTGCCGGAGGGCTCATTGCAGCACTAACCTGTACTCGTACCGACGAGGAGCTTTCTCGCCTTCTCGTTCCCGAGCTGGCGGACCGCATCACAGCCTGCGAGGAGCCTATCACCATCTGGGCCAAGAGGGCTTGGCAGACAGGTGCCCGCTTCGACCCTATCGAATGGGCGGAGAAGGCGTCTTTCTTCACGCTTGGATCCCTGACCTTCGAGGAGGCTTTCAAGCGTACTGGCAAGGTATTGAACGTCTCTGTCATTCCATCAGAGAAGAACAGTCCCGTCAAACTGCTCAATCACATTACAGCGCCGAGGTGTGTGATATGGTCTGCCCTCCTTGCCTCGGCGGCGGTTCCGGGCTTGCTGCCGCCGGTATGTCTGATGCAGAAGACAAGGAAGGGCGAGTACGTTCCCTGGAACTGGGGTCATCGCTTCAGAGACGGCAGTCTCAGGGTCGACATTCCTCTTCAAGATCTCCACTCAATGTTCCAGGTCAATTATCCAATTGTCTCGCAAGTCAATCCTCATGTGCATCTCTTCTTCTTTGCGCCGAAGGGCATGCCTGGCCGCCCTGTCGCGCACCGCAAGGGCAAAGGCTGGAGGGGAGGCTTCCTGCTCAGCGCATCTGAGCATGTTCTCAAGCTTCACCTCTCTGTCAACTTCAAGATCATTCGAGATCTGGACTTGCTTCCGGCCATTCTAGGTACCGACTGGTCCGGCGTCTTCCTACAACGCTTTGGCGGTGCAGTGACAATCTGGCCAAAGACAAGATTCCTAGACTGGGTCCGCATCTTGTCCGATCCTGACCGTCCAGAGCTGAGGAGGATGATCAGGGTCGGTCAGCAAGCAACATGGCCTAAGCTACACATGATTGAGAATCGAATTCGATTGGAGAGGGCCGTGGCGCGGGGGAGGAAAGCCTGCAGGAGAGCACTGAGAGCCGAGGCCAATGCAGCATCGGGTCAAAACACCCCAGGTGGGCGGGCAGCCACCGGCGCTTTGCCAAGAGACCAGGCTCAACAAGACCACACTGCATCCGACTGGTCTGCTGGTCCCACCCCTGGCATCGGCGCTGTCTCGGAGACGGATGGAGAGGGAGGGGCGCACGGGGACTACTTCCGCAATGGTCTGCCAAGCGGAGAAGGCACCAATGCAGGCACCGTCTCTCGTCGATCTGCTGCCGCTGCTAGCTTGCGTAGACGTTTGGGCGGGTTCTCCGGCATCATGACACCTGCAAGCGAGGTCGCAACACCTGGGGAGTTGCCAAGACCTTCGAGGGAGCGGTCAGTAGGCATGGACGATGATGTAGGCGATGAGGAAGGCGATGAAGACGAGGAAGACGAAGCGGATGATCTCGACTTCAATCTCGAGCGACTGAGGGACGCTGACGAGTCTTACGAATCGGCCGTGGGCTCGCCCACTGATGAGGACCAGACTGCTACCCTTCGCCGAAGGGACTTTGGTGCTCAGCCGGATCTCGATGTCGAGACCGACGAGATCCAGAATGGCGGTCCAACCGAGTCGCACTCGACCGCACAGACAAAGGCGGCCCTCACAGCAGCAGCGTTATCGCCTTCGGTAATGCGATTCAGGAAGGGACCTCCACCCAGCCGTTCTTCGCCATATCGAGCTTATCACCGATCCGAAAGACGCAGAAGTAGTCATTCGGATCCACCTGAAGAGCTGAGCAGCACGCAGAGACCACGTCCGCGCTCTCAGGAAGAGAGTGATGCTAATGGAAAGGCATCTACGCCAACAGAAAGCACTTCGCAGTCCAAGCGTCAAGAAGCAAAGACCTCGACGGCATCTTCTTCTAGCAAGTCGGAAGTCAAAGCGGCAGCCGAAGACGAGAGCAGCACCCTCTACCAGGCTCTAGGTGTCGCCCCATCGGCCACCAAAGCCGAAGTACGAAGCAGCTTCCTACGTCTCGTCAGGGTGCACCATCCGGACAAGGCCTCCTCCTCTTCTGCCCCCAGCCAAGACGACGTCTCGCGTCGAGCGCGCATCCACTCCATCTACGAAGCCTACGCCACCCTCTCGGACGATAGCAAGCGTGAAGAGTACGACGAGGCTCTTGCGCGAGATGCTAGGCTCTCTTCTGCACAAAGAGCACAGGCGCAGAGGAGGAAAGCAGGGATGGGAGTGGGAATGGGACAGGAAGGAGTGAGAATCTCTGCCACGCTCGATCTGGACTCATTTGAAGCAGTGGAGATCCCACCGCCGCCACCTCCCACATCCGCTTCTGTCTCGACGAGCAAGGGCGTCGACAACGGAGAGGTCAAGGCTGGGGATCGAGATCGGGAAGAGGGAGATGCAGATGCAGATGCAGACGGAGGCATGGTCATCTTCACCCACCCATGTCGATGCGGTGGCGAGTACCTCGTCACGAGTCAGGAGATGCTCGATGAAGGCAAAGAAGTGGTGCAGTGCAGCGGTTGTTCAGAAGTGGTAAAGGTCCTCTGGAGAGACGATGCAGAGGCCAAAGCCTAGGACGTTGTGGCGCGTTAGGCGACAAGCAGTGGAGAAAATCTGACCTTGTGTTGCATGGATCAGCATCGACCGGAGTTGCATATAATGCCCCTTTTTGCCCACTCTCTTCTCTTGTCAGTCTGACATTTGTCAATATCATCCCGCGATCTACTAAGCCATCAGCTGAACGAAATCTATTGCGAGTCCACGAGGAGATTGTACTGTGATAATTGCTGCGACTTTCATTGCATGATAGGGAAATCCCCAACCTTGATCTTTCTCAGTCTATAGGAGAGACGATGAATATCATGGTCAGCTCTTCCCCCGCAAGATACAGAGCCTAGAAGAAAGCGTCCCGTACTTACTCATTAACAAAGCTACTTCCCCACCAACTAGCAGTATGTTTGCCCACATAACCACTCAATTTTTCGAAATTCGCCCTTCGAGTCTCAGAAGGCATGGTGAGCGCTTCGTGGATTGCGTCTGCAACGGCAAACTTGTCCCAAGGATTGACAATGAGGGAACCATTGAGAGATTGGGCTGCCCCGGCGAATTCAGAGAGGATCATGACGCCGTTGCGCTCTTGCTGACAGGCAATGTATTCGTAAGAGACCTGAGAGAGAGAGATAGCAGGGCAAGGTGAGTATGGACCTTTGAAGAAAATTCAACGTAGAGCAGACTCACGAGATTCATGCCGTCCCTGGTACTTGTGACGAGGCAGGCGTCGCTGACGGCATAAAGGGCGCATAGCTCGTCGAAGGACACGCTGCGATGCAGAAAATGAATCGGCATACTTTCTACTGTACCAAAGCGCCCGTTGATCCTGCCAACAGCCTCATTCACCGTCGCCCTGAGGTTCTGATACTCCTCGACGTCTTGCCGCGAAGGGACAGCTACCTGAACTAGTACCACTTTACCTACCCACTCTGGGTGATCTGTCAGGAATTGCTCCAGCGCGTGAAGCTTCTGCGGGACACCCTTGATATAGTCAAGCCGGTCGACACCGACGATGATCTTGACCCCTTCGAATCTCCTCTCCAGGACCTTGAGGCGCTGGACGACTGCATCCTTCCTCAGACCGTCGTGGAAGGTGGCTGGCTCGATCCCTATTGGAAAAGTGCCTACGTGGACGTATCTGCCTTCGAATTCCGCTCCGTTGGGCATCGTTGGAACGCCGAGGATCCGCGTGCAGGCAGAGAGGAAATGGCGAGCGTAGTCATAAGTGTGGAAGCCGATCAGGTCGCAGTGAAGGATACCTAAGAGGATCTCTCGCCGCACAGGAAGAATACTGTGTAGTCGCAGTTCACCTCGTCAGCAATAGAGCCAACGCAATGCATATACAAGGAGGCGTTATGTCATGATCACGCTTCGACTTACCGGTAGATTTCCGAACTAGGGAATGGTGTGTGGAGGAAGAAGCCAATCTTAATCGCCCCTCTACTGGACTTGCCATCAGCTGTGCCCTTTCCGGACCCCTTCTCATCCACTGCCGCCCCACCCCTATGAGACTTGTTTCTCGGATCTCCCGGAGGTGGTGCAAGGTCTTCTGATCCTTGCAAAAAGGATGTTCCATCAACTCCGTGTCTGACATGTTCAAGCTCCCGACGAGAATGGGGGCCTTGTAGAGACGAGCCCTCGATGAGCGTTCGCAACATGAGAGGGAGGAGCATCAAATGATAGTCCTGGGATTGAGTATGGATATACAGGTTGAGTCAATACCTCACTCGTCTTAGCGATCATAGATCTTTCTATCTCTCACTCACCTGCACCCAGACCATGTCGCCTTCATTGACCACCTCCCGAACTTTCTCTGCAAAGCTTAGATTGGCCTCTCTGTATGCAAGCCAATGCTGCTCGTCAAAGCTCATCTCTCCGGGATGGTAATGGAACAGTGGCCATAGAATGGAGTTGCTGAAGCCGTTGTAGTGGGCATCGGCAACGTCATCGTCCAACCACACCGGCTCACAGCTGTAATCAGTCTTGAGCTTCTCTGCGATGTATGCTTCGTCCTGTGGAGGCACAGAGAGTCCCGGCCAGCCAATCCAGGTGAAGTGCATGGTCTTCTTTGCTCCAGAGAGGGCAGATACAAGCCCTCCTGACGAGAGGGAGAAGGTGTAGCCTCCCTCGGCTTGTGGATCTGCCTTGATGGTGACTGGTAGACGATTGGAGACAACGATGAGGTGCTGTTGCTTCGCGCCTTCCTGCCCCGAGGCAGGTGCGGATGAAGATGAAGCAGCTGCCATGACGCGAGGTCAATTATCTGGACGGTGGTCTCTGATGATCCTCTGGTATATTGATGATGATGCTGATCTTCTATAATGATTGTGTGCGGGGAAGGAAGGTGCAATCAACGACGCTCCCGGCATCGGAACGGAGCCTTGTCCCCACGCCTGGACTGTGCGGCTGCCACGCCCTCGGGTGGAGGGGCCGACTGTGCCGCCGGACTTAACGTCTTACTCAGAGATATGAGTAACCCCAGCATGCTATCCCCGCATTCGTGTCCTATCACGATACTCCCTCCTACATTGAAGAATCCATCGCAAGTATGGCATCTATCAAATCCGATATCGAGGCAAGCACTTCACCACTCGAATCCGGCTGGATCAAGCTGGTGCGCCGGACTGGAGAGATAAACTCTGCAGCTGAAGAGCGCTCAGCTTCTCCTTCTCCCACCTCATCCTCACCTACCTCTCCCTCCGCCGGCACCATGCAGACTACCGACAGAGACATAGCAGAGCAAGCTACAACCTCGAGCTCGTCGTTGCTGTCCAGTAGAGGTCAGAAGAACTCCAAATTCCTTTCTGGACCCATCAAGAAAGTTGCCGCTGTCTTCCGTGATCAGTATGACTCAGAACTCAACCCAAACGGCATCGTTGTTCTCGGGGTCGCCGACAACGCTTTGATGCGAGGCGAGCTTCTCAAGTTCTTTAACACCGACCGCTTGCATTTGACCGGTCCTGAGTTGACGTATGGGGATCGCTTCTTCACATCAACCCGCCTGATCACTGCTCTCTGCAAATTGTTCAATGACACCCCTGTAGGGCTCGACAAGGAAAAGCCGAAGCTGATCAAGAAGGTCACGGCGGATGATATTGTAGTTGGCAGCGGCGCGACGGGAATCTTGGATGCGCTCTTCACGATGCTCTGCAATCCTGGAGAAGGGGTCCTACTGAGCGTGCCATACTACAATGGCTTCGACCATGACCTGACAGCACGTGCGGAAGCCAAGATCGTCGAGGTGTATACACCTTTGCCCGAGGTAGCAGATCCCAGTAAGCCCAAAGAACCAGCACAGCCTAGCCCTTCTTTCACCGTCGACACTGTCAAGGCCTACCAGACCTCTCTAGACAAGGCCAGAGAGGATGGAACCACAGTCAAGGCTCTGTTGATCTGTAACCCACATGTGAGTAGTGTGCAGGCGCGATGCGATGGGGTGCTCGACAGCTCCGTGCATCTTGTCTCACTGTCGCATTCCTTTTTCTTTTCTACAGAATCCCACAGGACTCGTGTATCCTCGCGAGACTATAGTAGCTCTGGCCAAGTTTGCCGCAAAGGAGAAGCTGCACCTTGTCGTAGACGAGATCTACGCCCGCTCTGTCTTCCACTCTGCAGACATTTCAGATTCCTCTGCCACCAGGTTTGAAACAATCCTGAGCATCGATGTAGAGAAGGAAGCGGGACTTCCCCGTGGTCAGGTCCATGTCGTCACCTCGGCAAGCAAGGACTTTGGCATTAATGGTTTCCGGCTGGGAGTCTACGTCAACCAGGGCAGCGAGGAGATCATCTCTGCCATGACGAGCGTGGGCATCTTGAGTCAGTCTTCCGCCCCTGCGGGAGCACTCTGGTACTCTTGGCTGGAAGACCAGGACTTCTTGTCCTGGTACTTCGCAGAGAATCACCGCAGGATGCAAGGCGCTTATGAGTACGTGACGAAGTGGTGCAGAGCACACAAGATTCCGTACGTGCCTAGCAACTCGGGTCATTTCTTGTTGCTAGACTTCCAACAATTCCTCAAGCTCAAAGATGGTGCAAGCGAGGAGAAGAAGCGAGAGGCAGAGGGTGAGCTGCTCGGCCGACTGATGGACAAGGGAGTATTCATCGCGCCTGGCGCTTCATACCATCATCCCATCCCAGGTGTGAGTGTACATTGTAAACGAGGAAGCTCGAGCCAAGAGCCCATGCTGACTTGGTCCCACGCCATGGCTCTGCGATGCGCAGTGGTTCCGACTGACCTTCTCCTTGAGCCCCGTCGCCGTGAAAGAGGGTCTGTCTCGAGCAGAGAAAGTCTTGGGCCTAAAGAGCTACATCTCGACAATCCCCATGCCGAATTTCGAAGAGAGCATGATCCAGCTGCCGGAACGACTTGCTCAGATGCAGCTATGATCGTTAGAGTTTGGGGCAGAAGTCATCTCCAGTATTGTATGTATCTTTGCTTTCGGAAACGTCGTTCTCATCAATTTATTTGCTTTTACGGTATGAGTCCAACTTGTGCCAGCTTGCCAATTCTTACTGGTAGGGCCGTGTCGGAAGTGACGCCTGAGCGACGCCCGAGCCAGGATGCGCCTCGTTCCGTCCAGACCTTCCTCAGCTGCCTGCTCCTTCCGTTCCTTAGACTAGTGTCCTGAGGACAGCCGTGGCCTTTGTACATTGCCATACCATCGTCCTTTGGCCACCATGCCTCCAGGTCGGCAAGCTGACAGAGGCTCACTCCAGCCAAGGGCCTCTTCATCCCCCCATGAGACCGCCCGCGCGAGCGGATCAGCATCTCGCGCTCGCCCGTCTTCCTCCTCCCGCTCCCCCGCTGCCTCACTGGATGGTGAGGAGGACGACGACGACGAGCAAGATGATGACGCTGGAGATGGCAGTGAAGACTCCAGCGCTCTGACGGACGAAGACGAAGAGGACGAAGATACTGGTCCTGCCTCATCCTCGCCGCTTAAGCAGGCCCACCTCACACCTCATCGTCCTTCGCGAGCTCGGCGTTTACCAGCTCGCTTCGAGGCCGACGTACCCAGTACTGTCGTACCACTACGGAGCTCCAAGGTAGCGCCTAATCAGCGGGTGACGGTCGAAGTGAGGACTGGCACAGCAAAGGCTCGGACGAAGGGTACATTCAAGGATCTTGCCCCGATACCGGCAGGAGCGAATGGAGGTGGGAAGAGCAAGTGGGTAGCTACAATTGTCACTTCGGATAGCGGCAGTGGAGAAGGGGACGAGGAAGCCCAGAGGGCACCACAGACGCCTTCAAGAAGAGGAAGGGGCAAAGAGAAGTCACCTGAGGTGGAGACGCCGAGTAGACGCAAGCGTACGACTCAAGTGAACGGACACGCCCAAGATCCGCCTTCCAGCAGGCCAACGACACCGTCCAAGGCGAAGGCAGCTGCTTCTGCTACTTCTGGGAGCAGATCGAATCAGACCACGCCCAAGTCTCATCCGAAGCCGATCAAGCGGCCAAAGCTCGATGGGGCTCCTCCGAGCACGCCTCGACGTAGGAAGTCGGCCGCAAGCCTCGGTGCTCCATCCCCATCGACTGCCGCCGTCTTCGAGCCCACAAAGCCTTTCCTGCAGCCGACCTCCGCAGATTACTATTTTGCCGCTCATGCCGCCCGGCGGCGATCTGCTGCTAGCAAGAGTGACTCGTGGGCCGCAAATGGAGGACGACGTATCGAAGACGAATTGCCCGCCTTGACGTCCAAGGAGGTAGCGAAGCTTTCGTTCTCTTCTTCTAATGACCCACTCTCCTCGGCCAATATTGGTGCACTGGCGCTGGAGCACTACCGCCAGCAGTACGTGAGCTGGACATCGCTTCTCTTTATGGGCAATGACCTTATGTTTTACGGCTTGGGAGCAAAAGAGGCCATTCTAGAAGATTTTGCGGCGAGCAAGGCAGAAGAGGGAGAGGCGGCAGTGGTGATCATTCGGGGTCGAATGGGAGTGAGGAGTGAGGAATGGGTCGAAAGCATCGAGGAGGCGCTCGACCTCGGTAGTGCTCCGGCATCTCAAAGTGGCATCGAAGGAAGACTGAGAAGAGTAGCAGCCAAATTGGAAGGCAGACCCGAAGAGGAGGGCGAGGAACAGGCGGGCCCACCGCGATTGATCCTCGTCCTTCACTCCCTGGACAGTCCTTCCTTTCTCACAGCCAGGACACGCTCCCACCTGGCCACCTTGGCCGCTTTCTCCCGCAAGGTACACCTCGTCTGCAGTGTAACTCATCCCAACGGCACGCTCCTCTCGCGATACACTGGTCGCGAAGCTCTCTGGATCGACTGCACCACCCTCATCCCCATGCTAGACGACTGCCTCCTCTCTGCCTCTGGCACCCGTCTCGGCGGCTTGCCTCGCGCCTTTGACCTACGCGCAGGAGGAGGAATGGGAGGCCTCACTGGGATGGGTTCACGCGACAAGACGACCACCTCCTCTGGAGCTGCAGCAGGTGGTACGGGCGAGGGACAGATGACTTCAGCTGCCGAAGCGGCGGGCGCTCACGCCAACACACCGCTGCTGAGCTCAACGGCCGCGCTGCATGTCCTCAAGTCCGTGACGACGAAAGCTCGCGCTCTTTTCCTGCGTCTTGCCGCCGAACTCACTTCACCGTCAGTGGTAGCAGCAGCAGCAGCGAGCAGCTCCGCGACATCGCTGGCGAGTCGCTCGATTCCATATGCGCGCCTGTCGAACCTTGCCGCCAGGAACTTCATCGCCACGACGGACCCTGCGCTGCGTGCTCTTCTAGTCGAATTTACTTCTCATGGACTTGTGCGATTGGCTCGCGAGGAGGCTCCTGGAGGAGGAGCTGTCGAGGAGAGAGTCTCGATACGGATGGGCGGACAGGTAGAGGTGGACGAAGTTGTAAAGGGCGTCAAGACGCTGCCCGGATAAGTAGCACCTGCAGTGAGCGGCAGAGCAGCTGTCAGATACCCGCTGTACACCATACTGTAGCACAAATCAAAATGCCGAGAGCACAATTCAGGATGTCGAGAGCCGTGCAATGCATAGATTGAGGTCGTTAGATAGATAAGACGCTCCGAGAAACGGTCGACGGTGCGAGTATTGATTTGATAAGTACATACAAGGAATAGGTCAGGCGAGAGAGGCGGCGCAAGGAGCGAAAAGACGTGGCTCAGCCTATTGTACGTCACCTGTCAGCTGCAGCGAGGAGCAGCCAATCACTCCTCGCGCCGCTGGGAGAGCTGCAGAAAGGGCGGCGTCTGGATCGCCTCTTCTCGAGACAAAAAGGGCAGCGCACGCGATGGGAAAGGCGCCTTGTGTGCCTGCGAAGGGTCTGCCGATGACTTGAGCGACAGGATATCATTAGGCGATAGGGCTGCCGCCGCTGCCGCTCCTTGCGTCGTCATGGCTTGTCGACCGGGCGTGGTGGGTACAGCCCAAAAAGCATCATCCCATGGCACGTCCGAAGCTTGCTCTTTGGCTTGAGCCGCCGAGGCTAGCTCTTGCTGTCGACGCTGCTGCCGTTGACGTTGCTGAGATGCTGTGAGCATCTGACCCATACTAGCTCCTAGCTGACGTGAAGCATCGCTCTTGGAGTTTGTGGGTGGCGAGGACATGGGAGAGAACGACTGCAGATTGGTCGTGTCTGTCGGCGAGTAGAGAGCTCCATTGGTGTTCAGCACGGGAAAATCGACGCTGGCAACATTTTCGAATATATCCTGCAGTGAGGATCCGCCGCCGAAGGGAGCATTGTCGCCGTTACCGCTGCTAAAACTCTGCGAGGATCCTCCTTGCGGTCTCTGCGAGGAAAAGCTCATTGCCTCCCTCGAGGCGAAAGAGCCACCGACGCTATCACCGCTCTGCATCCCAAAAGCTGAAGGCCAAAGAGCAGACATGCTCATTGGAGGAGATGAGACAGCCACTCTTGAATTTGGGAGACCGCTGGGACTCAAAGATGCTGCGTCCTTGCCGAACGCGTTCGGTGGCGACATTGCCGGACTGCTTCTGATACTGGCCGCGGTGCTTGTGTTAGTGGGCAGTGAAGACGAGAAGGAGGACAGCTGCGATCGTACGCCCGACTGAAAGCTCGAAGTGGATCCGCGCTCGGATCCTATGCCGGCGTAGGATCTGTGACTACTGCTGGGCAGCATGGAGGAAGATCCGCTCGAGTCAAAGGTGTTGGCAGAGAAGTCCCAGGAATCCCCCAAGTCGAGGTGAGGCATATGAGCCTTTTTGTGCTCAAAAGGAATGTTAGGGTCTTGCAACCAGTCAGACACAGATCGTGGTGGCGAGTTGACATTGAGTGTACTATCGTCAAAGCCCTGTGTCAGAAAAGATAGATCGGTCTGTGACGCAAGCGCATTTGTAGAAGCCTCTGGGAAAGACTGCTCGCCGTAACCCAAGGGGCCAGGTCCCCCGAAAGCTTGCACGTCCATGTGCGTGTAGCCGCCTGAGATGTCTGTCTGATTGAGTGCAAGTCCTTCAGACCAATGTGCGATGGCTCGCTCTGATGCGTCGTTGCCGACAACATCGAAAGCATTCGAGTCGTCAGAGCGGCTCGTCTCTCGCGAAGACATGAACATATTTTGGGTAAGGCTTGTCGGCGGAACCCATGTTGAGCTGCTTTCGTCTAGATGTGACTGTGATGCCGTCGAAGTTGGTGAAGCTGCATCCGTACCAAAAGGTGCTTTGTGTACTTGTGGCACTAGAACAGAGCCCGGAGCCTTAGATGAAGACGGCGAAGACGGAAAAGGATTTGTCCAAGATACTGTTGGGGCACTTGTCTGAGCCGAGGATCGTAGACTGCTGCTGCGATCTAATCCAAGACCGCTGCCCTTAGATGATGCATCGTGTCGCTTCCTGCCCTTGATTCCGGAGGCGCTGACCGAGGAAGCCTTGCGAAGCCTCACAGGGCCGGGTGCCAACCCCTCCGTAGGGCCATCCAGGGAGCGTGAGAAAGATGTCGACGTCTCCGAATAGTTGGGCGAGGACGGCGGCCGTTGCTGATCTTCAATATTTTCCAAGTCGTCCGCAGCCTCAGCTTTCTTGCTTTTTGATGCTCGTTTCTTTTCCCTTGCGATCAGATTCTCCTCTCTGTGGGGGTGATGAGCGGTGCGAAGGTGGCGCGTCCGATTTCAGTCCCACGGTGGCGCGTGCGGGGGGATATTCGCGCCTCCTCCGCTGCAGTCGAGGAGGATATAATAATGACGCGGGCGGGCATGAGCACTGTGTAATTCACTCACTCTGTGATGGGCTCGTAGTCGCACACCTTGCCCAGACGAGCGCAAGTGGCACAGGGCCGAGCCTGCCCGTCACAGCGGATCTTCCTGAGGGTGGCGAAGGATGGGGTGGTCCGTATCCTTGGTCAGAGCGCGAAAGTTCAGTAGTCCCTGCGCTCCTTCTTGCCCTACGTACCTTCTCCTGCAGTGAACGCAAGCCATAGAAGCTCGCTGACGATTCTTCTGGGCAGATGCCCGAGCATCATCGTCGCTGCCCTTGCTTAGTTTCCTTGAGTGAGAGCGCTGGGGTGCGTCTGCCCTGGCATTGCTTGACTCCTCGTGGACAAACATCGTAAAGGTCTGCCGATTGAACAGTGGCGTAAGCAGAGGAGGAAGAGGACGACGAGTTTACGAGTCTCTATGGTTTGGACACATAGGGAGATCTGATGGATGTTGAGATCTCACAATGAAGAAGGATGGGAAGAGGAGGAGGGAAGGAGGGTCTTTCTACGAGATCTGGCTCCGTTGTATGCGAGCTCCACCGTCCCAGACTGAGATTAGCTCTACGCCCCCACAGCAATCTCGGGCGGGGGAAGAGGGGTCTAATGGGCCGTAGAGGGCGGGTGTGAGGCGGAGGAGCGGCTGAGCAGACGAGATGATGGATCTAGGTCAGTGGGACAGCTGCTCAGACAAGACAAAAAGAGCGATAAAGGGCTGGTTCAATGTCAATTCGTCTGACCGACCGTGACTCTGTCAGGCCCACTGGGGTCCTCGGCAACGGGGTCCAGGCCTGTTGGAGGACGTTGGGGGGGGGTAAGGGGAGACACCCAGATGGGCTCTATGTGGTCCGTGTGTCGAATTCGCAAGGTTTAGGTCCGCGCTGCCCTTTGCGCCTGTTGACGTGTGCAAGTCTGCACCTGTGCCTCCAATTGGCTCCGCCTCGCTTGCGGCCCTGTCCCCGGGCACTTGAGCAGCAAAAGGGCCGACCCACCTTTGCCCCGGTATGGAGGGCGGCCCCCACCTGGCCCAGGGCGGCCCCCACCTCCTCGGGCACCCCTCCTACGCGCTTTCACCAAATCTCAGACACGCCGCTTCTCCACCGTCTCTGCACCGCTGTACGCCGGGGGGTCCTCGCTTGGATCGGCTGTCGCGCAGACATCGCCTCTTACGCACATGGGCAGCCTAACCCATCGAAGACGCGAGCATCGCTTGTGACCGTTTGCTGGCGAGCAAGAATAGGCTAAGGAAGACGTCAGAAGTGCCCGGAGCGAGACAACGACGCGAATCTCTGTTTCGGTCTACCGCCATCGGGCGGCGCGAGTACTCGCTTTTGCCTCCGTCGTCCCTGAAGGCGCACGCTACTTGCCCTCGAAAAGATACCGGGACCTCGACGTTGAGACTCCGCGCGTCTCCGCCTCGCGGCCACCTGAACAGCATTTCGGCGAATGATACTCAAGTACCCGAAATGACAATACGGACCCTCGACAGCCTTGTATAGCATTTAAGAACCACGCTCTGCGTACCAAGACGTGCTTGTTGTGGGGTTAGAATGAGATGATCCCCCGGCTGTTCATTACTGCCTAGCTGCAAGTCACACCGGCGTTTGAGCCACCATGCGCTGCAAACGCAATTGCCGATCTTCTGACCGAAAGGGCGCAATGCAAGGATTAGCGACGTTGCATTCTGCTCGTGCCGAAAGCCAAAGCTGTGGCTCCTCCTCTCAACCCTTACGCCGTGACGAACCCCTTTCACCCCTGACGAACATTCGTAAGCGAGATGTTAATTTTGGCGGGCGTTGCCGTCTTTTGCTGTGTAGTGTCAACGGCCGCTTGCCGATCCTGGCGCTGTGGTAACACTCATGATCAGCTCCCTACGGTCTGCTAAGGAACCGATAACGCTCATGACCTTGTTCTTGTGCCCCTCGCACAAGGCACGCCAAGATTCGGGCAAGACAGGTCGGAGCTCAGAACCATCGTCTCCCTCCAAGCTGTGTGCTCGCCCCTGAGTCTACCGTGCGAGTCAACCCTGATGCTGCGCGCTCGTGCGAGTGGTGTGCGGAGCTGCATAACGTCTCGCCAGAGTCAACTGGACTGGACCCTCGCTTGCCTTCACGGCTTTGATGGCGCGATGGCTGAGGGGGGCAGCTGGGCCTGAGTCGGCAATTGCCCGGCTGATTCTTCCCCACAGTCGCCGAGATGCCTGACGATCTGGAGCATACTTCCTTCAAGACTCACAGAGATTCGAGTGTACCTCATCTATGGCCCGGCCGAAGAGATGAATCGCCACCCGATGATCGTGCTTGTACGTAGTGGCGTCCGAAGATTTCTCAAAGTTTCCTAAAGACTGGCAGAGTAGAGTGGCAAAGGAGAGTGGCGTTGCAACGACTGGACGGGGTTCGACCGGATGATGTTACCGCAATTTGCAATTGAAGGAACGTTGCACTTGGACAAGTGGGATCTCGGGGCATTTCGACCCTCATTCCCACGACCGCTCACCTGCGGGCGCATGGCCCCGGCTGCTCGGTAGGGCGCAGCGAGGGCGTCATGAGCACAAGTGTAGTGGTGGTGGGAAGCAACTCTCTCGTACGGAAAGACTTCGGGGGAAGTGATGGTGCCTCGCACGAGAAGAAGACCCGGGGTGGCAATCTCAGAGACCGAACTGTATACAACGCAATCCTAGATGCACTCATCCCATTCAGCAGTGCAGCGTTTTTCGACCAGAATAGCAATGTTGACGCTTGCCTCCACGCAGGGCCCCACGCAAACTCACCCTCCCAGCTGCTCATTAACCGGGCAAACGACAAAGGGAACTGCATATTCCCCCTCGATTAGACGCAGATCCACGCGATGAGGCAGCCTCATATCAGGGCGAACCGTTATCGAATCGGCTGGTCCCGAATGACTATGCCCAGCCGCTGGGGAAGCCACCGTGTTGGAAGAACTAGGGCTGCCTTGTCGCTGTGGAGATGGTGAGCGATGCGTACCGCAAGATGGCGACGAGGTTCGACGTCTGCTGGTACTGGCGCCTTGAATTAGAGGAGGCGAGCGAACCGTGGTACCGGCCCTGTCAGGAGAAGCATGACGGCTCCTACTGGTGCTGGCGCCGTGGGACATGAGAGGAGAACGGCCACCGGTGCCAGACCGGTAAGGTAAGACGCCGCCGCCACTGCTAGTGCTGCCGCTATCGGGCGGAGCACCGCAGGCGACACAGTTCTTCAGCTTCATCTTCATCTTTCTCCTCCAGTCTCTGCCTGCTCTAGGAGCGAGGCGCGAAGTGCTTGCGAAGGCCACGGTACCGGCGCTATTGGGATCTTTATGCGTCGTTGAGCGATGCACGACGTCGTCTGCAATGCTGGTTGCTGCGACGATGGTAGCACTCAGCAAGACCAATATGAAAGCCAGGTAAGGGAGCTTCATGTTGACCCTGTTGATGAATGTCAGAAGAGGTGTCTTCGGTGTTAGGGGTATAAAGTCTCAAAGTCCAGCTTTGATGTACGAAAACGTATGATGAAGACATGATTCAAGGCTGGAGGAGTGGGACCGTTCATACTATGTTGTTTCCCTGGACATTGGGCGGGGCAGGAGCAAAAGCAAATCCGACGAATGACTGTATGCTTGTCACATTGAGTTGAAACAGACGTCTCCCGCCTTGACGGTGGCACCATTGCTACCAGCAAGTCTACAAGTTACTCGCGCACAGATCCATCTGCAGCGGACCAGATGATGTACCCAGTCGAGCATTTCAGAGCGCCGAGCGCGTCTTCATCGCAGTCTAGCAGAACATTTCCCTCCCAGACTCCAAGCTTGATTTGGGAGCAACTTCAGTCCTCGTGAGCAAAAGTTTGCTTGCGCAATGTGAGGCCGGCCGATTCGCCGTTTGCTCCCTAGCCAACCTGCAAAAAAGTCGCCGTCCCCAAATTGCTCCCACCTTCCGCTTCGTCGCGGCAGCCGACAATCGCAGAGCACCTCTACTTCTTCGGCCAATTGTGCATGAACTGAAGATCACCCTGTGGCAATCTAACCACCCCAGAAGTGCTCGGAGGAAAATTCAGCAACTTGCGATTGTTCGGCGTAGCAATCACGTCCTTGTGACGCTGGGGAGGTGGCGCAGGCGAGGGCGCAGGGGAGGGGGACCTGCTACCCTGTCGTGATGGCGATGGCGATGGGCGCTCCTCGACATGGCCCCTAGGAGACCTGCTTTGTCCCCGACGCGGAGGCGAGCTGGTGCTAGCGCCGTTGGGCAGAGCACCGCACGCTACGCAACCCTTCAGCTTCTTCAGGAAGCCACCCGCTCTGGCTTTGAGCTGGGAGGTAGTGTCGGAGGCGACCTCGAAGCTCTCGCGCTTAAGGGAGTCCGTTCTGAAGTAGAGGTGGGCAGGTTCGTTTGTGGTCTTGGTCGCCAGGACACAAGTGGCAGCGGCTAGCAGCAAGAGGCAAGGCAAAACAGCGAACTTCATCTTGACTGTTGAAAAGCGAGATTGGGTATGAGGAGAGTGTGCTGCGAATGTCGACGGTAGTGTAGAAGGGCGAAAGACCAGCTCTCGAGACCAGCTATCTATCACGAGCACGAGCAAGGCTGAAGGATAAGTGGGGCGACCAGTCTACAATCTCTGACCGAAAAGCAACATAAGTACACTGAGGCCGTCGATCTCCCCAAGCAACTACTAGAGCGCCCCTCCATACCCAAAGGCAGCACGGACATCTCATTGGTCTCTCAGAGCAATACTTGAGTTTGTTTACCGACTGACATCACCATAGAAGTTGCCCCTTGCCTTCCCCCTCCTCTTTGCTCCTTTGCTTCCTTTACGCTGCTTCGTCCCCCCTCGGCTCATCCCCACCCTCATCGCGCGCATGGAAGGCAAACCCAGTAGCCTTCGAGGAACGTGGCGGCAATGCCGGCGGAGCAGTGCGGTCGCTTCCATTTGTCCCTGCACCACTCGGCGTGGAAGCGAGAGGAATGTGACGCTTGACAGCTTTGAAGAGCTCAAAGGCTGCAGCAGGGTTGGAGACCTTGATGGCAAAGTGCACCAACTTTCCGCCTTCTAGCGCAACGATACGCACAAATTTGTCTTGGGCCAGCTCGACCTTCATTCCCTTGAACAGAGCAACGTTGAGAATGAGACGGAATACTCCTTCGGCCCGCATGACTAGAAGAGGAGAAAGACAGAGGAGACGTTTCGCTGTCAACTGTCTGACTCACACACTCGGCTCATGGAATCGGCTCAACTCACCCAGTCTCGCTCCCCCTTGCGCCTGAGCTCTCATATCCTTGGGTACATTGACTCTTAACGTGCCAGTACCCCGTTCCTTCCAGGTCCCATCTGCGCCAGTACCATCCTCCCCATCCTTGCTCATTGTGTACAGCTTGGCTCGCACGGAGTGCATAGTGCGCTCGTGTTCCTCTCCCGTAGCAACTGTGCGGGGCAGGATTTGCAAATAACGCGCGCAGATCTCAGTAATCACGCGTCAACGCTTCTGTCTCCCTCCTCTGATAGTCTCTGACACTCACGTTCCGCTTCTGTCAGACTCTGGACCTTGACCTTGCTCTTGCCCTCTTCTCCGTTCTCGGTCTCTTCTGTCACTGCATCACTACTCTGACCGGTCTCGGCTCCGAAAGCCTGTTGCTGATCAAAGATTGACTCTCCCGCCAGAGGGCTCTTCACTGCTTCCACATCATCTGGCTGCTTAGACGCCGAAGACGCCCCAGATGCCGCGGTTGGTGTGCTTGCAGACGGTTTGCTGCCGCCAGAGAATGGTCGAGATGCAGCGAATGCCCCAAAACCCAGACCGGCAGACGACTTGGCAGGCGGAGCCGCAGAGCTTGAGGTCCCTGCTCTGCTCGAGCTACTGGCTGGCGCAGGCGAGCTGGATCCCCGAGCTCTTTCGTCTACCGCGGGTGATTCGCCTCCGAGTGTACTGGGCTTGATAGCACCTGTGGTACCGCTCATACCGCCTGATGGCCTCGCGACCTTGCTGCCGCCAAAAGTAGTAGACGCAGAAGGAGATGCTGAGGACGAGGATGAGCCAGTTCCAGACGAGCCAGCCAACCAGCTCGGTCCGGACACACCTGCGCTTGCGCTCGAGCTTGCGAATGGTGAAGAGGATGCTGAGAATGAAGAGAAGGTAGGTTGCTTTCGTGAGGGAGTTGCGGCTGCTGGAGCAGGAGGCGCAGGCGCTGGATCTGCCGGTTTTTTGGCCTCCGCCGCTGTGGTACCGCTACCACTTGAGGCATGCTCGGTGTCGGAAGAGCGGCGCTTCTCGCCCAGGTCTGCCCTCTTCGTTTCGCGCTCCTGGTAGCTCAACTCCTCCACCCTCTGTCTGATCTGCCCGACCTTCTCACTGTCTCCCGTCTCCGTCTTGGGGGCTTTGTGAGAATCCTTGGCTGTCACAGCGGCGGTCTGGTCGTCTTCAGCAGCCTTCTCGCCCGAGTCGCTCACAGAGGCGAGCAGCCGGTTCTTTTTTGCAGGCAGGACATCAGAGGGGCTCTTGACAGCCGACGGTGCTGAGCTGGGTTCGACACTCCCCTCTCGATCTCTCTTCCGACTCAGAGACTCTTCTGTTGGTCGATGAAGAGACAAGCCGATGAATGCCGTTAGCAAAGTCGCACCGGTCTCTAATAATGTATGTCGCCTTACTCACCATGGGCCTCGCGTGACACCTTGCTAGCTTCGACGACCTTTGTCGGCGGGCTAGATGGTACAGGCTCATCCTTTGCCTCAGCTGCAGTCTCTGTCGATGCCCTCACTGCGACCAGCTCCACCTGCTCGACATCGACCTTACCAACGTCTACGGCGCTTTCTTGACCTTGGGCCTCGGGCCGTAGCTGATCCTTCACCTCTTCACTGGTCATTGTCGTCACTGTGGCCGGCAGAAGAGGAAAGAGAAGCTGTTGCAGGGGCCTGAGCTTGAGATGGAGCAATTGCCAGAGCTCTGCCGCCGAAGCTGTCGAACGATTGGTAGGGTGGACAAGGGTGCGGGTGAATTGTGTTTGATGGAGATTGTGTGGCAGCGTCGCCTCGCCTCGCGCAACCCCGACCCGAGTCTCCCTTTCCGTCGAGGCTGACGAGGACTGACACTCACTCCACCACGCTCGGACGTCGTACGCATCCCTCCACCACTCACCGTCAACGATGACAGTCTCTGCCTCTCGGGCGTCGTCATCGTCTCTAGCAAGGCTGGAGCCACTGCTGCTCCTTGCCAAATCTGCAAGAGGCGCTGCGGCCGCCAAGCTCATCGTAGAAGCCACTGCTGCTCAAGGCTGCTACCTCTTCTCCGAATTGGCACAGACAGAGGGTGTGGTAGCAGTGAGTGGAGCCAAGGTCGAGCGTGACCTCGTCGCAGTGCTATACTGACATCTCCTGTCATGATATGTATGCTACAGCTGGGGCAAGACTCGACATTTGCGAGCAGCACTGCCCTTCTGAACCTGTTCCTGTACGGCACTCTGTCAGACTACCTCGCCTCGCCCGCCTCGTACCCCACTCTGACACAGAGCCACATCAGCAAGCTCCGCCAGCTCACTCTCGTCTCCCTAGCAAGCTCAGCACGCATCCTAGATTACTCTCGTCTACTCAGCGAATTGAAGCTCAACGTATACATCGCCGATGGTAATCTGCAATTCGACGGCATCGGTGCGACTAGCAGTAGTGCTAGCTCTGCTGATGACCAATCTGCACTGAAAGACCTGACAACCATTCGCGCGCTCGAGGATGTCATTATCGAGGCCATCTATGCTGGTCTTCTGGGTGGCAGGTTCGATCAAAGGAGCGGAAAATTCCATGTCGACTCAGTCATGGGCAGAGATGTGGGAGGTGATGTGGAGCTGAAGCAGATGGAAGAGGCCCTGCGAGCTTGGTGAGCATTGCAATTGCAGCACGTAGAAGCATCGAGGCATGAACGCTCACCTGCATCATATGCACTATCACGACACAGGGGCGATACGACGACATCTCTTCTTGCAGAGCTCTCACAGCGCATAGACCGTGCCAAGGCAGATTCCGCCGAAGCAACGCAAGTCCGTCACGCTCACGAGCGAGACCTCGCAAGTGTCCTATCTGCTGCGTTGAGACAGCCGCCTAGCGGCTCGCAGCATCCTGGTTACGGAGGCGGGGCTGGACACCCTAGTGGAGGCTGGCAAGACGGTGGCGACGACGAGATGGAGCTGGACGGAGCAGAGGGGAAGAAAGGAGGTACTCTCAAGAAGAAGTGAGTAGGACAACATAGACGGTTTGGACGTAGCACTGCCTGACTGGCCTTCCAGAGGATAGTTGCTAACTTCAATGTCGAATGTTTTCCTCTGACTCAACAGCAGAACTAAGAGAACGAGGACATAGATCTCAGGCGAATCTCTCCTGGATGTCGCTTGTAATTGCAAGTGATTTGATAGCTTCCTCGACAGGTCATAGACGTTTCGTCTTCCCCACATGAAATGTGCAGCGATCAGACCGACATCTTACACAAATTCAGTCGCAATCAAGAACACTCCATGGGAGGAATAACGAAAGACCAAGAATGCACGACTGATTTTGGTATCCAGTGCGAAAGATTCAACTGAACAAGAACACGACCGTCTGCCCTACAAACCAAATCCATCCTTGCTACCCATCTTCTTCTTCAGCTCACTATATCTTCCCCCACTACTTCCCACTCTTTGCTACCGATCCACGTTCGCATCAAGATGGTGAGAGTGGTCTAGAGCTCGGAGTGGACCCTGGCATTGGCGGAAGAAGCGCTGTTGGAAGCGGCGCTAGCAGCCGACGAAGCCGAGATGGAAGCGGCAGCTCCGCCCTGCTGCACCTTGCCAGCGACGTCGTGGGAGCCAGCAATGAAGTCCCTCACTCCGTCCTTGATCTGGTCGAGGTATCCCTTCTGGGGCACGAATCGAGCCCTCATCTCCCTCATCAGACCTGCCCTAGTGGTGGGAGTCTTGGTCAGACCAGTGGCAGAAAGGTACTCCTTGAGCTTGCTGTCGGACCAGCTGGCGTAGGAGCGTCCAGTCTCGGCAAGGTCACTTCCGTACTTTTGAGCGTCAGCCATGAGCTGGTCACGGGTGGCCTCAGCCTCGGACTTGAGGTAGCCATTGGCGATGAGCCAGTTGCGCAGGTCCGAGTCGGTCCAGGCCGACCAGTAGGACGAGGTGTCGGTGACGGAGTTGTAGTTGTCGGTCACGAGCTTGATGTACTCGTCACGCTTGGCCTGGTAGTCGCTCTTGACGATGCCGTTGTCTACGAGCCACTTCTTGAGCTCGGCGCTAGAGAGAAGGCAAGGTGGGAAATGTCAGTCTTCGGCGCGTCCTTGCAGAAGTTGTCGCTATTTTCACCACGACTGTACACTCACTCCTTCCAACCGCTGTAGACGTAGTCCTTGCTAGAGTCAAAGGTCTTCATGACCTCCTTTGTGGCGTGGGCAAGAGCCGAAGAGGCCGACTTGCTAGCGTCAGAAGCGGCGCTGTAAGCCGACTTGCTGGCCTGGGAAGCAGCGCCGGCAGCGTCGCCGCTGACAGACGAAGCACCCTTTGCGGCCTTGGCGCTGAGGGATGATGCACTCTTGGAAGCATCCTTGCTCAGAGAAGAAGCATTGGGTGCATTGGCAGAAGCCGAGCTGATACCAGAGGATCCAGCGGAGCTGAGAGAAGAAGCAGAAGCGGAAGCCTGTGATGCCAAGGAAGAAGCCGAATTTGGTAAGTCGGTGCCCACAATAGACCCGGCCGAGGAGGCTTGAGCACGTACTCCAGATTCAACAGAAGAAGCCAACGAGTAGGCAGACTGAGCAGCCGCATTGTAAGCGGACGAGACGGAAGCCTGGGCGGCTCCGGCAGAGCTGCCGAGGGCGCTGTAGTCTTGCTTGGCAAGGACTACGAGCTGCTCACGGGTGGAGGTGGGGGAAAGGATTCCTCGCTCAAGAAGGTACGATCGGAGGTCGCTCCTTTGAAGCAGAGCAAAGAGATGAGGAATCGAGTCAGTGATGCCATTACTGTAGGATGCTGCATCAAAGGGTCGCGGTTGCCACTCACTCTGTCCATGTGTCAAAGGCGGCCTGGAAGACTCGCTGGCCACCAGCAGTGGCATCCTGAATCCAGTCAGCTCGGGCTGGCTGAGTGCCGGCAGCGAGGACGAGGCAAAGGGCGACGAGGCCTACGGAGAGGAAACGGTTTGCAATCATTCTGAGTATAGGATGGGTATGAGTAGGTTGATGGTAGTGGTCAAGATGGAGTGAAGATGGATGGTTCTAATTGAAGGGCATCCGTTAGAGCTTCAATGAGGCAAGAGCCACGTCGTTGGAGCATTGCGTGCGTTGCCTCTGGTCTGGCTGCCTGGCGTGTGTGTGTGTGTGCGTGTGTGGTGTGGTGGTGATGCTCTCCACAACTGAGTTTGGCGACGACGTGGCTTTTCTTCGCTCGACGTCACTCTGCACAACGTCATCGCCGCCAAAAAGGGTCCTTCCGACGTCCGCCGGGCACTTTGCCAGAGCAATCGTCCCCCCGGCGGTCGCACGTCCCCCCCACAGTCCGCCTCGCTGCTTCGCTTGTCACGACGCAGGGTAAAGGAAAAAAGGGCAAGGCAGGAGCCTGCCAACGCCGTCGCACACAGCCTAGGCCCTGAAAAAGCGCTCCGTGCCTCTCACAAAGGTGGAAAGGGCTGCCTCGATGCCCATGGGCCTTGCGATGATGAGATGGGGCGGCAGGGCGCATCAAGGTACAGTGCCAGGTGGGTTCCCGCAAAGTGGTCCTCCTCCGCTTCACTGCTTTCCGTTCCGATGGGGCGTAGGAGTCAGGGTGGACTAAATCACGGTGGTCAGGGCGGCAGGTCTTCGGAACGTGGTAGCGATGGAAGTGTTGCTCTCCGATCTGTCGTCTACAATCACTATCACAGTCACTCGTGCTCAAATCCGTCATGGCGTCGTCCTCATCGAACAGCTTCAACGCTGAAGAGCTGCTCGCCTTTGCCATCTCCCTCTCCAAGGAAGCAGGCCACCTCATTCGCACAGGTCGAGCCAACCTCGCCGCCTCCATTTCCACCGACTTCTCCTCGATCCTCAAGAAGAATTCGGCTGATTTGGTCACAGAGTCTGACAAGGCAACGGAGGAGCTGGTCAAGAAGAGAATTGGAGAAACGTACCCGCATCACAAGTTTATTGGAGAGGAGTCTTGGGCTGCGGGAGAGGAGAACGACTTGGGAGAGGAGCCGACGTGGATTTGTGATCCTATTGATGGTACCACGAAGTGAGTCACAGAAGCCAAATGACAGGCGTATATCAAATCTTTTCAACTACTCACTCTCCACATCACTATCTCCAAAATCCCTTCAGCTTCGTCAATGCCTTTCCCTTCTGCTGCATCTCCCTCGCTCTAGCCTACAAGCAAAAGCTCGTCATAGGAGTAGTCTACGCCCCCTTCCTCGACCGTCTCTACTATGGTCTCGCCGGTTCCGGTTCCTTCCTCGTGACCCCAGCCGATACACCTCCCCGTCAATTACCGCTACAGCGTCCTCTGCCTCTCCCTTCGCTCAAGCAGGCGCTCATTGCGCTTGAGTGGGGATCGGATAGACGACAAGAGATCGTGGGCAAAAAGGCAAGGACGATGGAGCGCCTCTGCTCCGAAGAGGGAAACATGGTTCAAGGGATCAGGAGTATCGGGTCTGCAGCACTCAGTTGCTGTCTCGTGGCCGAGGGAGCTGTTTCCCTCTACCATGAGATTGGCTGTTGGGCATGGGACGTTGCTGCAGGATGGGTAATGGTCAACGAAGCGTGAGTGAATGGATGCCCGCGTTGCTCGAGCAGTCAGATAAGCCAAGGGCGGTACAAAGACAAGCTGATCGCTCTCTCTCTTCTCTCTGTCTCTCTCCTTCTCACAACAGTGGCGGCCTAACAGTCGGCTCCAAAGGCCACACCCTTTCCCTCCTCTCCTCCAACTCTCCCGATCTAGGCATTGTGACACCAGAGATTCTGCAGGGAAGGAAATACTGCTGCGTGAGAGCCATTGGCGATTTGCCGGCTGGAGAAGATGGCAACGGCGCTAGGAGTGGAAAGGAACAACAGGGTGCGCTGCTAAAGGAATTCTTTGAGGCAATGGATGAGTGGGAGGCCTAGATAGAGGAGATACAATTTCCAGCTGCTAGGAAGGACAAGACTGTACACTTCGTGATCATCAATACCAATTTAAAGGAGAAGGTGGTCAAGCAAGTCTATTTATAAGCGTGAAATGAAATGAAACGGCCAGAAAAGATACATCTACTCATGACAAGCTTTGCCGAAATCTCTCCATCTCGTCTACAGGAAATGATCTTTGGTGCTGCTCTGAGTTGACCTGATGGAGCTGTTCGAGGCATAGGGCGAAGCGGAGAGCAAGAGCAGGGCAACGTGACGGCAGATCCCCTGCGGGGACAGTCTTGATGGAGGAAACGAACAAGAGCCAATGAGAGCATGAAGGAACAGGATAACGCTAGTCTTTGCGCGGAGGGGAGAGTCTATACGAAGGCCGCGGCTGAGTAGCGCTTGGTCGTCGTGGGCGAGTAAACGTGTGTGTGTGTGTGAGCGAGTGTTCGTGAGATGGGTCCGGAAGAGTGGTGACAAATACAGTTGATTTTGGCAGATAGGGCGGGGGCCGCTAGGGCCAATCAGGAATCTTCCCCGACGCCCTTTGCCTATTGGGGAGGTGGTCTGTAGCCAGCCCCATTACCGGAATGAGGTGGGTAGCCCGGTTGTCTGCTTGGAGAGGACGTGTACTGCCGTGCCGGTGGGTAGGCAGGTTGGGCTCCAGCACCGCCATCACCGTACATTGCAGCAGCCGCTAGGGAAGCGTCGCCCTCGCTTGCGTCGGTGTACATTGGGGCAGGTCCAACGGAGGATGGAGGGCCCGAGACCTGAGACGGAGCATAGCTGCGTGGCGGACCAGGCTGGTACATACTGCGCTGTGCAGAGGGGTTGGGGGCGTTATAATACACTGGTGAAGGTCCTGTACCCATCCTCTGCGGCGGCGGAACGTAGCCGAGTGATGGACCAGGAGAAGCTCGATCAGCAGGGGCAGCTGGAGCTGCGCCTTGAGGGAGCATCTGTGGCGAGTAGCTCTGAGGACTAGCGTATGTAGGAGCTGAGCCTGCATACTGGTCTGAAGCAGAGACTACAGGCTGCCGGCCAGCCAGTTGGGTGTGTCCAGGTTGCGGGAAGTAATTGAGAGAGCTCATCGAGCCTTGGTTGGAATGCTGATAGATCATGGGTGGCACTTCGGCTGCCGGGGACGGCCGATTCGAAGAGTTGTTGAAGGTCATCATCGTATTGACGGAGCCCTGACGGGTAGGCTGTTGGCTTCCGACAGGTCCGGAACGTCCTTGGTACGCCTGTGATGTCTTCTCCAGCAAGTTCTCTTGCGATCCGAAAGACATTTGGCCCATCTCGAAGGCCTCGACACTGCGTGTACCAGGTCCGCCTGCCATGTAGTTGTTGTACTGAGCTTGGAATCGAGGATCGAATGTACCAGACCTCGAAGGCGGTCCTGGAGAGGCGCCGCCCAGAGGTCGACCGACAGTAGTACTTGAGAAGATCGAAGCAGCATCGTTGTCCAGGTGGGGGTCGTAGACGCAATCTTGCTCTTCCACAGCGGCGATTTTCAAACCACCATTGAGCTCCTCGACGTCGGCCTTGAAACCGTCGACATCTTGCATACCAACGTCGTCCAGACGACCTTGGTAGACCTTGGGCAACAAATGCTTGATCTTGGCGTGGACCATGGGCGTAAAGAGCTTCTGGTGCAGCGAGGGATGACCGAAACGTCGAGCAAGACGCTTGTGACTCGCATCTCCAGTGTGCGCCTTCAGCTTCGAGATCTCATTGGCGTCAGGAATGTACCAGTCGTATTCGCGGTCGAAGACTCGACGGCAGTAGATCTTGAAGCCAACGACGATGAGGACGGGTGGAAGGCAGGCGAACGCCTCGTAGTGCTGCTCAAGAGCGACCGCCAAGGCCAGCACAAGCTGCATGAAGATGATGCAAACAAAGAGGCGGTTGACTACAACTCGCCACAGACGACCACCAGACTCGTTCTTTGTGACGGCCACATACATGTGGATGTACTTGAGCAGGAAGCAAGTCGCCCATAGACAGACTGCGATGAACGCCAATACCAGCGGTGCCAGACAGGCGTACAGCATGCCGACAGCGAAGATGAATAGCATGTTGGCATAATAGACCGAGTATTCGAACGCCGGTGGCTTCGTGAAGTGTCGGATGTCTCGTGGAGTACGGCCAAGGAAAGCAGACTGGATCCAGGTCAGGATGAGCTTGAGGGCCTGTGACATGTCAAAGGTGATGACGAAGAGGCGTAGGGCAACCCATGTGAGCCAGTAGTTGGCCATGTTGAGATATTGATACTTGACAGTGCCGAGAACAACGCCGCTGAGATAGCCCAGAATTGAGTCCACGCTTTCATCGTCTTGCACCTGCTCGACGATCTGTGCAATGGTGGTGACAGCGACTCCAACTAGCGTGAAGATCAAGAACTGAGAGATGACTAGGAATCCAAAGTATTGAGAGGTGATGACACGGTCGAGCTTATTCCTTGTGGTGACACCTCGGTATTTACCGATCTTGCGCATAAGAGGGGGAAGGAAGTAACCGAAGAGACCCGAAATAGCAGGTGGGGCGAGACCCGCAACTGCAGAGAATGTGTACTGACTCGCCGACTGCCAGCTGGCAAGGAAGCCAAGAACTCCTGTGAACTTGGACATCTGCGAGATAAGTGCGACTGCCAGAAGAGGTACCGCATTGACGAAGAGGAGGATCGAGAGAATGAAGAAGCCCCATGAACTCGACTTGGCCCTCTGAAATTTAGTGAGGGTTAAGTTCTGCCAGAGGATATCTCTCGGAGGTGGCGCAAGTGCGATGGTAACGCCACGAGGATGCTTGCCTTGCAGCGACTTTGCAGCTGCATGAGCAAAGGGTACCGTTGCCATGGCAGCGAATCCATAAGATTCCGGCTTCTTTTCACCAATGCGGTCCCTCCACTGGTTGACACCTTCCTCGAGCAAATTGATACGTTTTGTGAGATAGTCCACTGCATCGACTTTTCTACCGCCAATGCCGCACAGTCCGCCGAGCCGCATCTGAGGTCTGGCGGCCGGGACAGAATCCTTGCCTTTGAGCCACTTAGCCAAGACCTTTTCGAGTTGGCGTACAGTGTTGTCATGCTCCTCGATGAGCTCAGGCAGTTGACCGACAACGCGCGAAATATGTACGTCCGTCGTCGGGTAGGGCATTCCAATAGATGAGAGCAGCCCAGCCAGGGCCTGATCCGACCTTTGCTGGCGATTGACACCGGTGATCATTAGAGACCGGGCGTACAGATGGGACTGGTATTCCTCGGAGCGGAACCACTCCCAACGCAGACGGACCATGTGACGGTAATTGTGCCAGACTGGAATAGAAGGCGATGCAGCGGAATGTCAGTAGGCTGACTTGATACTAGATCATCGTTGTCTCCACACTGAGAACTCACTGAAACCTAGAGCAATGATGGTTCCGATGTAGCTCATGGCCACGTGAGCCCAGATGAACGCTCCAGAGATATCTGCCATGGTGAGGATGTTCAATCCAGCCTGCTTCGAAGCGCTGCTCTTGCCTGTGGTCAGATTGTATGATACATCCACCGGGATAAGTACAGCGCACATGACGATGGCGAGGACTGTGATAATGTTGCGGACCATCCGGCAGAAGCGAAGGAAGGTGACAGCATCGAGGCCGACGAGGGGCAGCAGATCTGCTTCCTTGTGTCTGAGCACAGGGGCAACCCAGCTGAACAAGCCATCCGACATCGGAGGCGGCCGCTTGTCACCTTCCGCATACTTTAGCTTGGGCTGGTAGACGATCTTGTTGTTGGGTCGCAAGAGGCAGAAGATGAAGAGTGTCACAATTGCAATGCCCACGTAGGCTGCTGTAGCGATGCCAACTTGTGATGTGCTCGTCTGAGACGACGAGTTCTGTTGAGAAGAGGTGCAAGGGAGAGCCGTTGAGCAATTGCATCGCATGAGCCCCATTCACGCGACAAGTAGGCAGTACGTACCAGGGCATCTGAGATGAGTCCAACCGGATCAGAATCTGCCGCCATGATGCTGTGACACCAACGAGAGGAAGGTGATGCAAGTGACGCGGTTGGGCAGAGGCTCCGTCAGAACGAGAATGAGAGGAAACCGAAGGATGCAAGGAAGGTGTGGGGTGCGGCTGGTCTAGGCAGCGATGCGTGTCTGCCCGGATGAGCTCGCGTGACTACACAAGATGAGACGAAAGGACTGTTGCAGCTCAAGACGATGTTGAGAGGTGATATGGATGCCAGGAGGTATCAGTGGGGACAACAGTCCATGGGTGAGGAGAGGATGGCGTATTGGGGTCAAGGGGAAGGAAGGGGCGGATGGGTCTGTCTGGTTGGGCGCCGTTGAAACAAGATGCCGCCCGTTTGTTCCCCCCCTCCGCTTTTTGGCGTCAGTTTTTGTGTCACTCTGCAGGCGATTGTCCTGACGTGCACAGGCGCAGAGGCCTTGGCCACCACCTGCTTGGGGTTGAATGGTATGGCACAGGTCAGGCTCAGAAGCAGAAGAGTACAGCAAGCTTCCATTGCAGAGGCAGAGGTCAGCATAAGATGCCTTGGCGTCGTCAAGATCAATCGACGCAGACTTTGTACAGCGAAGAGAAGAGACACCAGGCGGGACAGGGGAGCAGGGAGGGGGAGCACACGGAGATCCGAGGTTGTATCGGAGCCGAGATTCGTGTCCGCCGGAAGCCTCGTAATGATGGTGGCCCTTGCCTCCGCTTGAAGTTGCGTACCCCGCTCGCTGCCTTGGTCCCTGCCTCGTCACAACGCTCCTTCCTGCCCGACTACGCAACCATTTCAGTGCCTCAAACTCTCTCACTTGGGCCAAACAACTCTCCCATTGCACCTGACGTATCGCTGGAACCTCATAGACGTCGCCCAGCATGTCCATCATGGTAGGTAGCTGATAGCAGCTAAAAGTGCCTTCGCGTAGCGTTGCCTGCTGAGAGCTCCTCCCTGATGTTTCCTACCTCGCATCGCATCGCCTCACCTCACCTCAGGAATATAACGGAGGGAGTGTGGTGGCCATGAAGGGCAAGAACTGTGTGGCTATTGCTACCGATACACGGCTGGGTTCACAAGCTCTGACTGTCGCCTGCAACTTCGACAAGGTCTTTCCAGTCACTGAGAAGACCTACATTGGTCTGGCTGGTCTTGGTTCCGATGTAGCGACGCTGAAGTCGAAGTTCAGTGAGTACGGAGACAGCTTAATCTGAATCGGATATCACAATGGCGGAGCTGATCAATACTCTCCTATTTCGCTGCTACCTCTAGGGTATCGCATGAAGATCTACGAGATGAAGGAGGAGAGGACAATGGAGCCAGAGACCTTTGCTCACTTGGTCTCCTCTACACTCTACGAGAGGAGGTTCGGTCCCTACTTTGTCGAGCCGGTCATTGCAGGCATCAGCAGCAGTGGCGATCCATTCATCGCGGGCGCAGATCTCATCGGCTGCCTGAACTTTGCAAAGGACGTGGTAGTGGCTGGTACAGCGAGCGACAAGTTGTATGGAATGGCAGAGGGCTTGTGGGAGCCAGACATGGTGAGTCAAGGCGACGATTGCGCAAAGTCAATGAGACTTTTGGAGCTGACAGCATCACCACTCTTCTCTGATAGGATGAGGACCAACTATTCGAGTGCATCTCGCAATCTCTACTGGGAGCTTTGGAGAGGGATGCGCTAAGTGGATGGGGAGCCATCGTCAGGGTCATCACACCCACAAAGGTCATCGAGAGGACTCTGAAAGCTAGGATGGACTAGACATCTCATCATTCATGAATACCAAAGGCATACGATATAAATATTGTGAGGGCGAGTGAAAGAGGTGATGATGAGTGAGAGAGCAGAATTGAGCACGTCGCGAAAAAGGAACTGCCCGTACTTATGAGCAGGGTATCAAGCGAAGGTGTAGAGCACAGGTGAGAAGCCATTGAGTCAGGCCAAACAAGTGAGCGTACTAAAGAATGTGTGGCATGTAGCAAAGAAGAGCAAAGCTAGAAGAGGGTGGGGAGGGGAATCAAGTAAGACAGTATGGTAGAGGTGCTCAGCTGCAGATGTCGACGAGCTTCCCAGGTGCTGGAGGCCTAAAGCAAGACACATCCAGCAAGAAGAGCCGAGAAGGAGGCCAACAGGCCAAGTCCAATTCGGTACGAGGCCTCAATGCCAATGACCGAGTTGGCGCTGATGGTCTGGTTGCCCGCAGTGCTAGGACTGTCAGCTACTGTGCCGTTGGCGGTGGAGTTCATGCTACCAGCATCGAGAACTGGCGTGCCAATGGTAGTGCCGTTCTTGGCCGGCAGGTCACCCTTGGTCGTAGCGTTAGAGGGGAGAGCTCCGCCTTTGGCTGCGTCGCCGGCGCCAGGGGCGACCTTGAGGCCCTTGGTACCACCGAAGACGTCTCCGGTCAGGTGACCATAGAGATCGGCCTCCTTCACGGGCACACAGTTGCGGAGAGCTGGGGCAGGGTGAGCCGGTGGTACAGTCGAGTCATCCAAGGGGCCATCACCCTGGACGTATTGCTTGCCGTCGTGGAACATCACGTCTGGAGCATCGTCTGATTCACAATTCTGGAAGTGACCCTCGATGTAGTCTCCAGGCATGTTCCATCTGTAGGGAGAGTAGCAGAGAGAGGTGGACAAAGTATCAGCGACGTTCGTATGTGTGTTTCCGGTCAACATCACAACAGTGATACTCGCTCGCAGCCGAGTCGGTCGTAGGTGCTGTCGAGTGCAAGGGAATAGAGGTGTCAGTCTGGCCCCTAGTTGCTATGGTAGAACGTTCCCACTCACTGTCGACACATTGCCTCCGAGTTGGGTCCATCTTCACAAGCTCGAAGACAGTACTGCTTGTCTGACAAGAAGAGCATCCATCGATGTCTCTGGGTGCACTTCTTGTCCGAGCAGCTGAAGACGAGATTACCCTTGGCTGAGCTCACGGGATCACACAAAGCAAGGCGGTCAGTGTGCGATCATACTCGAGGGCAGCTCCTGTGAGCTTTTCAAGCGTACTCACGATTGCCCTCTCCGGAGGCAGCACCAAAGTCGTACTCTCCTCCGTCGTCGCCAGCCTGTACGTTGATGCGAGTGAAGTCGCCCAGCCCAGTAACCTGGACGTACGAGGGAGTCTTCACAAAAGTAGCAGAGGTGATGGTGCCCGCGGGGATAGTCCTCGTTCCTCGACCTGACTTGGTGCAGTAGGAGACACCCTCGGCCTCATGCTGATCACAGAGGGCGGGTGGTGGTGGAGCCTCGTAAGTCAACCCACTGCATCCGTAGCTCAGAGGTAGAAGATACTCACGTCGGAGATGATGCCCGGCGAAGGGTTCGAGTACAAACAGAAGTCTGTCGCCGAGTTGATGAACTGATGAGAGTCGCAGGAGTCGTGGAAGGTAGCAGAATGGGAGTGGCGTCAGCAAGCCGGCTACTTTTCTGCAGCACACCCCTATCCTCTGTCGCGAGGCACTCACCAGGTTCTGACACATTGAGGTGTCGCTACTGTCGGTACCGCACTTGTTGGTCCCGATCTGGTTGTTCTGAGACTTGTCTGGCAAGTCCTTGGTTGGATCCCACGTCTTGTTGAAGTACCTGTCCTGCGCAGCATTGAAGGACTCAGCCGTCACTGCCTCCTGTGCGAGGACAGTGGCTGCGCCAGCGAGGAAGAGGGGCAGAGTCTGAGTCACGCGCATGATGTGGATGACAATAGGGATGAGATGAGAGAAGATGGGTGTTTCGGACGTTGGTGTCTGACCGTTTTATGGTACAGAAGTGTGACAGGCAGAAAAGAAAGGAGACATGACGTGTTGGCTCTATTGCTACATGGGACCCTCTGAGAGCGCCGTGACTCCGGAGCGGTACTCAACATCCGCCGGCACCCCTGACGGGCAAATATACAAGACGCGCACCACTGCCTAGGAACCGGGTATACAGACACCGTTCGGGAAACGAAGCGCATGACGATGCTGGGGTCCACACCTCTCCCACACTGCTACAGTGGCAGTGCCCACAGCAGCTTGCTCACACCTGCCAGGTTCTTGATGTCAAGCGGCAACCTCTCCTGAACGTACTCGAACACGGGGATCTTGTATCCTCCCATCTCCACACCTGCGCTGAGTTCGACTTGCAAATAGATTTGCCCTCTTTCGGAAAGAAAGGCACGCACAAGCTGGTCTAGCCGTTGTGCCAGTCGGACATGGCAATGGCCTGTCGCTTGGCCAGGCTTGCCCATCGTTCCTGGCATCACGCGCAGCGGCTCACCGGCGGGCCATTCTATCGAAGATGTGCCGAATGGCTTGCCCTTGTAATTGGCTACAAATGCCAGGGACAGGAGATCGATGGGAACCATCAACGGGTTGGAAATGACAAAGGAGCATTCAACGGCATTGGCCGTCAGCACCTTTGCACCAAGGGCGATCTCTATACTGGCAATGAGAGTCCGATCTACGAGGGGCCGCAAGTCGAATGAAAGCCTCAGAGAGCTTATAGCAGGCTGTAGCGCAGCAATTGACGTGGACTGCTCATCACCTCGAATCTCCAAAGTAGTCGTCTGACCACTCAAGAAATTGGCCGGGAGCTGCCGCACTGCCATCTCCTCACTTTCCTTCGGAGAGTAGTAGAAATTCACACCTCGGAAGGCGCAGGGGCCCGAAGTCAATTTGAATGGGCCCTCTTTGCCGCCAACGTGTGCTCTTCCTACGTTGGCGCCTCTGTAGTAGGCTGCGAAGCTAAGACCCGAGTCCGGCAGGTTGAGCGTGACATTCTCACTTGGATTGTTGAGGAAGAGATCGAAAGTGACTTGGAGGTGGTCACTGGTGCCGTCAATGACCTGCAGGCCGGTATAGTCGGTAGGCGACGTTCTCAAAGAGCGCATGCCCTTGATCTTCAGATCGGGCACATGTCCCAGATCGACCTGGCAGGGGATCTGGCCAAGTACAGTTCGAGCCGTTACGAATGCTTGACCTCGTAGGGAAATCCGGTTTGTCTCTTCACAGTCGAAGACGTGCTTGATCAGCTCTGAGAACGCATGATTCTCAGTGTCAAGAGCAAAATCGTCGAGCGCCAGCTTGAGGAGGCCCGATGCGTGCTCTACGGTACTGGAAGTGCTCGAAGTCCTTCTCCGCCGAGAGCCAGCTTTTTCTTCTGCTTCTAGAACTTTTGCATTCTTGGATCGCCCAGTACCCACGACTTCTCCATCGAGAAGAATCTCCACGTCCGCACTGACGCTCTCGATTACGACATCAATCGGGAACGGTACCTCATACCGCACGAACAGAGCCCCGATCTCGACCGACGGCCGTCCGGACTGGGGAAAGGTACCCGTCAGGCTTTCCAATTCGACTCGGTTGACAACGTTGAATTTCTTTGCTTGGATTCGAACGTTGGTGGACAAAGCTCGAAGGGCAGAATCAAGCCAGGCGACTCTTGTCTCGCTTTTGCGTGAGGGGGCTGAGTTGTGGCTCATCATACTACCTGATCGCTGTCGAGAGGTAGGCAGACTTTGCGGTAGGGCTTGTGTCATCGCTGCTTTTCCTCGAGCGGTTAGGCTAATCGGTTTGCCAAGTATGATGTCAGAGGCCAAGCGGCCCAACGTCTCGGAGTCCGAAGCGGCCCAGACATAACCGGCGACATCCAAGTCAATTGTTTGGTGGGCAGGAATATGTACATCTTGTATGGCGACTTGACCGACAACGACTTCTCCGAGAAGCAACTCTAGCTCCAAGCGCGACAGGCTTATAGTGATGTTGCTTGAATTGGGAAGCTCGACGTGGGCAGTGATGGCGACCGCCAGATTTGCGTCGCCTGTGGATGACCGGCCCAGCTGTGCGACTAGAGGAGGGGGTAGAGGCTCTTCGCCGATGATATCGAATTCTCGGGCTTCCAAGTCTGGGAATCCACCAAACCCAAATATTGAGATGGTCTTGGAGAGTGTCGTCGGAAACTCCACTCCTCCAGCCAAAGCTCTGACACTGTTGGACTCAATCTGCCATAGTGTCTCCCCCTTGCACAAGATTTCGCTGGCAAAGGCGGCAAAGGAGCCTGAAGACGATGCCCCGCCCTTGACGGGAGAGATTGTCACCTGTCTCTGCAAAGTAGTCTCCTGGTCAGGCTCTACCTGCAACGGCTCACTGGCATTGAAATAGGCAGCGATCTCGCCTTTTCTTTCGCCCTCTGTCCATTTCATTGCAAGCCCCCCATCGAGAAACACCTGTGCGCTGAGAGGACCAAAGCCAGCAAGTTTCAAAGTCGCTGTGGCTACAAGTCCGTTCTCGTTGATCTCATGCACATCGAGACTGGCCAGCTCAATGCGGCCCTCCTCGACTAGCTGAGTGACTAGAGGTGTGCCCACTCTTGGCAAGAGCCAAGCTCCTGTGGATCCCGAGATAGCGATGGCGAGAGATCGTTGCACGAAGCTCACACCTCCTGGCACTGCATAGTCGCCCACGTAGACCTCGCTAGCTTCGATGTGAGCGGCAACGGTCAGATGGGCGAGAGCTTGCGTCAGCAACTCGGCGAAGTTGCCCTCACCGAGGCCACCATCAGACACCGGTGGCGAAGGGGCTCGATCCTCATTTTCAGAGCTCTGATCAATGCGGTCCAAGATCTTCTTGAAGCCAGGCCCTAGCTCGACTCCTTCTCGAGCAGCCGACGTCTTGAGGACTCTGACCAAGACCGCAGGATCAGAGTTGAGCTCGAAGGGAAGACTGACAGGAACGCTCTCTCCTGGTCGTAAACGCAGACCCTCCCATCTAGGTCCGGTCTCTACGATGCCTAGCATCGGTACCTCTCTGCTCTGACCCTCGCCATCTGTCTCCCCATAAGCTTTGACGCGGAGCTTGGACAATGTAATTTCGGCGTTGAAGCTGTTGTATATCGTGACTCGGATGAAGGCCGAGTCATTTGCGCTATTATAAGGATGAGAAGAAGCATCGCTCATGGAGTTGGACCGGCTAGATCGACTGAGTCGTCTTGAAGAGCTGTCTGTCGATGGATGGGGCGAGATGACAGGCGCTCCTTCGCTGCCTGTACGAAGTTGGGCGCCGTCGATGAGTCTAGCCCTGTCACCCAAAGCGGGCAAGATAGCGACGATTTGAGCGCCAGCGAAGCCGTACGAAAGCCATGAGGCTGGAGAGGCGCCTGGTTCGTCTCGATCTGGCTCGGCTGCCATTGCCAGCAAGGTCGAAGGTCTGTTCTCAAGTAGAGCAGTGATCACCATACGTGCAGGTCCACTTGCATCGTGAGCAATTTTGATCGAACCACGTGCTTCCAAACGATTGTTGCCTTGCTTCAGCGTGGTCCCTGCTAGGACAAGACTACCGATCCGTGTAGGCCCACCGGCGCCTGACTCCGTCACTGGAACGAAAAGGCCCAGAGAAAGGTCGCCTATGGGTACACTGATGTCTGGCAAGTTCTTGCCAGGCTGAGCTAGTGAGATATTCACAGCGGCTGAGATCAAGATCCCCTCTTCAGGGTGACCGCCTATGATCATCAGGTCCTCGACTGTTATACTGTCCATCTCAGGCGTAGTCTTTCTCTGTCTTGATTGAGATCTCTTGTTTCCGAATAGTCCCGCCCCAGACGACCGCTCTGGAGAAGTTGGCAGCTTTCCTACCGTCACCTTTTCGCCATCCAGATCGGGGAATCGAACGGCACCACCGAGGCCTCCCAATCCGCCCAAAGGTACCTTCTTCTCCAAAGCGAGACCCTTGAATGTGAATCCATAGGCCTTGACAGTCACTCCATGGGCCCTCAGGAGGATTGTCACTGCATCCTGAGTAGGGGTGCGCAGCAACTTCTTGACTAGAGCTCCGACGTTCTGGGAGGTATGTGAGGATGCATCCAGTCTAAGACGTGTCTCGCCGGAGCTATTGCCTGGCGTAGCTCCTGCTTTGAGCTTCAGTATATCGAGCTGGCCATGTGCAATGACCTGACCAGCCTCACTGTCGCGCTTGGTGCCCGGAATCTTAAGCTTGCTGGATGCTCCGTTCTGTGCTGAGGATGCCATCCAGCACAGCTCCACTGGCTGAGTAAAGGTGATCTTGGCATTGAGTGGCAGCGGCAGACCGAGATCGGAGACCTTGGCCAGCACCTTGACATCTAGTCCTACGTCCTTCGAAGGGGCTCCAGTCTCTAAGGACAGCAAGCGCAGGGCGGCCGAGTCGATGAGGCGTGTGACGAGGTTCCGCACGAAGGGCAGGCGCGCGACGCCTTTGCCTTTGCTGCCCGGTGCGGGCGGAGCAGCAGGCGTGGATGGAGATGGCTGTGACGCCAAAGGGGGATCAGAAGCCATAATCGCTGTAGCCTCCGAACAGGATGACAAGGGTATCAAAGGACGGACAGGGTATGAGGTGCTACGTCTATGCGGGGTCGAGGAGGGTAGGTAGCCGATGTGCGTCCTGATGCGGGGAAGGCGCATCCACTTCCGTTCCGCCTCAGCGCTCAGTGCCTGAATGTCAGATGCCGAGGCGCGTGAGAGGGGAGCACTTCTCGGCAGCCGCAAGTCACCTCCACAATTCATTGAGGAACTCGCATACAAGCCTCATTCAGTACCGTCAGAGACAATGTTTCGTTCTCGCGAGACGCAAAGACAAGGCAAATCTTCTCATCACAGCTATGACAATGGTACATGCTTCGACTTTGGTTTCCGTCCCTTCATCAGACAATCTCTACTTTCCCTCGTCGACATCGGTGGATGTGCTGACGCTGGCCCACTTGTCGATATTCTCCTTGTACGTCTTGAGCTTCTGCTCCATAGCGCCATGAGCATCCGAGCCTAGGACGATGCGGAGAGGTGGTTCAGGGTGGATAGCAAGCTTATACATCTCCTTGCCTGCCTTGACCGGGTCGCCTGCTTGCTTGCCATGCCTTTCGCCCATCGATTTCTTTGCATTCAAATGTGAATACACGTCGAGGTTCTTCTCTCCATATGTCATGTTCTTGCCTGCCCATTCGGTACGGAATCCTCCAGGCTCAATGTTGGTTAGCTTGATGTTCCATTCGGGCTTGAGCTCATGGGACAGGGCCTCGGTGAAGCCTTCGACCGCCCACTTGGATGCACAGTAGACGGAGAACATTGGCACACCCCTCTGACCACCAATGGAGGTGACTTGCTGAATGAGACCTCCGGATGGAGACTGTGTGCGCATGATCTCAAGGGCCTTGCGAGTGCAGGCGATGAGGCCGAAGAAATTGACTTCCATTTGGAAGCGAATCTGGTCTTCATCGAGCGTCTCGAAGGGACCGGCGAGTCCAAAACCAGCGTTGTTGGTGACCACGTCCAGGCGTCCGAACTTCTTGATTGCAGCGTCGAAGGCGGCATCGATCTGCTCCTTCTTCGTCACGTCCAAGTCTACAGGCAAAAAGTTCTTCTCTGTAGCTCCCTCGAAAGTGAGGCCTTTGGAGTTACGTGCAGTTGCAACAACGTTGTGGCCATCTGCGAGAGCGGCCTTGGCCATCTCTGCGCCAAAGCCGGTAGTGGTACCGGTGATGAAGAATGTCTTGACCATGTTGAGTAGCGGAATGTTGACAAGAATGAGTTTGGTGAGACAATCGGACTACTAAGCTGGAAAATGGGACAAAGTCCGTTTTATATATCATTCTGGTTCCATCCTCGCTTCTGAGCCTCCACACGACGCACATAAGCTGATTGGCCTTGGCTGGCCGGCGCACCTAGGCTGACTGGCCCGGCCTGCTGGATTCCTCGTTCTCGACCTCGTCTGACCTCCACGCTCATCTTCAGACGTCAGTGATTCAGGGTTCTCGCGCCCACTTGCCTCGCCAGTGGCGGTGGGTGGCTGACTATTTCTCCGGTTGCAGTGGAGGGCAAAGCACAAGCGGCGATTGAGTGGCCTGGGTCCGAACCCCCTCCTTCCGCTCCGAAGACCCGATCGACACTGGAGTCAAATTGTCCATCGGAGCTGGCGGCCGAAAAATGGCAACCCAAAAGCTGCGATCAGATCGCGGCACGGCACACACGGCAATCTTCACGGCATAATCTGCCCAGGGTCAATCGGCGGGCTGAGCTGAGAGACCAGTGAGATCTCGTCACGAGAAAGAGCAAGGCGGGACTGTCGGATATCAGGATGGCTCGATACGTGCTCCTGCTGGGGTAAGCTCTAGATTACCGACCATACCTTTCTCTACACTCCTTTGCCGTTTCATGTATGACTCGAACTCGACGCGACAGCGCGAGCCTTATCGATATATAGCGTAGGCGGCACGAACCTATTGGCGGCATCCTTGCAGTCCATATCCCCCCCATGAATACGCCCATTCCTCCTGCAAGCCCTGAAGACTCGATCTCCATTGCCTCCCCGCAGAGGGAAGGGTCGCGAACACCAGCGTCCGACGATCACACTCATACAATCGATGAGAAGGACATCGCGGATCAGTCTCCGACTGAGGATGGAGTGGGTGTCAGTGACAAGGAGGCAGGCACCGTAGAGGAGGAAGCAGCAGAGGAGGCTTCGCGTCCCACCAAACCGCCTCAGCTCGAAGATGGAACGATAGCCGGCTCCTTCAATGCTCAGACCAACTACGTGCCCCGCTCTCAAATCATCATCATCTTCCTCGCACTCGCAATCGTCATCTTCACTGTCGTCCTCGATCAGACGACCCTGGCCGTCTCCTCGTCCGTGATCGCAACAGACCTCTCTGCGGGGAGCCTGACATCCTTCATCACTGGCTCCTACTTCCTCACATCTACGAGTTTTCAACTGATCTACGGAAGGGTATCTGATTTCTTTGGCAGGAAGCCTCTCATCCTCGTCTTTCTCGCCATGTTCTTCATCGGCTCTCTAGGCTCGTCTCTATCGCCAGACGTCATCTCCCTCGTCTGCTTTAGGGCCTTTACGGGAATCTGGGGTGGCGGACTGATCACGCTAGGACAGACGGTCATCGGCGATGTGGTCAGTCTGCGCGAAAGGGGCAAGTACCAGGGAATCCTCGGCAGCGTCATGATCCTCGGCAATGGTCTGGGACCTGTCATCGGTGGATCCCTTGCTGAAAAAGCGGACTGGAGGGATCAGTACCGCATGATGCTGCCCTTGTCCTGTGTTTCGGGTCTGGTGGCATGGCGCTTCTTGCCACTGAAGAAGGTGCATGGTGATTGGAAAAAGAAGGCAAAGGCAGTAGACTGGACTGGAGCGGTATTGACGTTTATCGCAACGACACTGGTCGTGGTGAGTAGCATGCGGCAAGTTGCAAGAGTATTCTATGTGGCTAACAACGGACTCCTTCCTGCTGCTCGCTTCTCTTAGCTCGGCCTATCGTGGGCAGGTGGCTCCTACTCCTGGTCCGACGCTCACGTCCTCGCCCCAATCATCATCGGCATCGCCTTTACCTTCATCTTCGTCCTCTGGCAATGGAAAGGTTGCACTCCTGAGCGTCCACCTCTTATGCCCCTCTCCATGTTCCACAACCGCATCGTCTGCGGTGCAGCCATTACGCAATTCACCAATGGCTGGCTGACATACGTGCAGATGTTCTACATTCCTCAATTCTACCAACTCGCCTATGGCTATTCGCCCATCAAGGCGGGAGCGCTGCTACTGCCGCTACTATGCGTACAGTCTCTCTCCTCGACCCTCTCGGGATTGATCGTCTCTCGCACAGGACGGTACAGGGAGATTCTCCTCTCGGGCTGGATCCTTTGGTCCGTTGGGCTGGGTCTCTTCTCTACACTTGACCCTTCCTCAGGACTGGGCAAGCAAATTGGCTTCTCCCTAATCACGGGATTTGGGGTAGGACAGACGCTCCAGGTGGCACTGGTGGCACTGCAGGGTGCTGTGCCACGAAAGGACATGGCAGTGGTGACGGCGGTGCGTAACTTCGCAAGGAATCTAGGAGCGGCTCTGGGAATCGCCATTGCAAGCACAATTGTCAACACACTCACCGTGCACGACCTTACACCCCAAGGATGGAGTACCGCTCAAGTCCGGGCAGCACTAGACAATCCTTCTGCCCTCTTCTCCTCTTCTTCTTCCACCTCCTCCTCTCTCTCTCCCGAACAACTCAACGAGCTCCGTCTCGCCTACTCCAATGGATTCCGCGTCGTCTTTCTCGTCCTGGCAGGAATCGCCGCTGCGAGTTTCTTCTTTACAGTGGCATTAATGCGGCAACGGACACTTACTCGGGAAGATGATGCGGCGTTGAAAGAGGAGGGGAAGAGGACGGTTAGGATGAAGAGGGAATCGAAGAGGGCAAAGAAGATGGCTGCTGCTGGAGGAATGGAGGAGAAGGTAGCTGAGTCAGGATCTGCACCGCAGGAGGCGAGACCACAGCCCGTAGCTACATTGCAGGGGGACGCAAGGGCGGACGAGGGGTCAGGCGCTCCTGTGACTGTAGCCGCGACGGACGGGGTGACCAGGTAGGACAGACAAGGCATGGTAATCCATGGGATGGGCTTATACGGATAAGAAGGGGTCCAAGATAGAGTATCCACAGGTAAATGTATCATAGCACACAACACACAGAATTGGAAAGGCATGTCTCGACAACACGTGGGCTGAATGCAGACAGCGTCAACCAATGGCTCTCTACTTCTCCCTCTATGGATGCTATTTGTCATTGGCGGCTTCGAGAAGTATCTGGTGGTAGTACAGTGGGGCAAGAGGGAGGGTAGGAGGGATGTCGAAGGCAGGCAAGGATCTATGCCGTCTTCGAAAAGAAGGCTGGGCCGGTTGCGTGCCCTGTTCGTCTATGTGTGTATGTGGACCTCCTGGAGGTGGTCTATGATCTCAGAGGATCGCTAGGTAGGGCATGATAGGTCGGAAGGGCTTTACGAGGCGAGCTGTTGATGGTGAGGCGAAGGCTGTGGAGAGGCATGGCTTGCGAGATAACGGTCCTGCTGTGTAGTCTTGGTGATGAGACAAGACGATTAGTCAGTCTCCTTTGAGATGGGGCTTAACGAGTAGCCAGCCAGCTGCTGTGGAGCACTACTCACCTTGATCGCTGCTCAACGCGCTTCTGCTCCTTTACCCGCCTTACTCGACATCTTCATGCAAGTGCCTGCCCTTTCCATGAGCCGAGCTGTACCCAAGCTCAAAGGGACTTCCCTGCGCAGCATTGGTGGTTCCAGCTCCACTCTGCGTAGCTCCTGCTCCTGCTCCAGTGTTGGCTCCGGGAGCCTGGTGAGAGGGTGCGTTGCTAGTGGTGGTGTTGTTGGAGGTGCTGCTGGCAGAGGCCGAGGTGGGTGCAGGGGGAGCTCGAAGTGCTGAGCGTGGACCAAAGGAGAGGATCGAAGTGCGACGGAAGGCTCCCTGGGTGGAGCGGACGAGGGGTGTGACTTGCATCGTGGTGGTGGTGATGGGTGTGTGGGTGCGTGTAGGCGTGTAGAAGTGGGCAGTGAGGTGTCTTTGTTGGTAGAGGTCAGGAGGAGAGGAGAGGAGCGCGAGGATGCCTCTTTAATCTCCCCCAAGGTGACAAGGGCAGTGCAGTAGTGTGATGTGATGTACAGTGTCTGTCTGTCTGCTGCCTTGTCTGCCCTGGACTGTTTGCCGCCCTGCCTGATTGTACATCCCACCCGTACGCACGTACGCTCAGCTCACTCTCTGAACCCAACTTCTCGTTCGCACTGATCACCCCAAAGACCCCTCCTTCGTCCGTGCGCCACGCCACGTCCCCCACGCCAACGTGCAGCCCAGCCAGTCAGTCAGCCACGCGGGAGAATCGCCGACGACAGAAGGACAGAGGCACGGAGGGTTTTTTATGGCCCTTTGCCCCTGGCCTCCCTCTGCGCTTGGGCCAACCCTGCAAGGAAGCAATCAAGTGCGAGAGTCACTCTGTCACTCCACTGCCACGCCACGCGCCCCAACATTCTCGGCTGAATCCAAAGTCGCGAGAGCAATAGAGCAAGAGCAACAGGCTGAGGAGCGCGACGTGATGAGGGCAGCCAAAGCCAACCGATCAGGGTCCACGGAGCAAAGGGGCAACGGGGCAACAGCACAGCCGATCACCACAGCGCCTCTGCATCCCAGACATTGCCGAATTGAAGGACGGGAAAGGGGTCTCCAACGATTGCCACTTTTTTTTTTCCACGCTCTTGCTTGCTCGCTCATCGAAGGTGAAAGGACATCAATAGTACACAATTCAGAGAGATTTTACAACACTCGTCCAGCCAGCCAGCAGTGTATGCCTTTCCCATCCTCTATTCCATCCCATCAGATCAGATCCATCCTGCAGGAGCGGGGGCAGAAGACCCCGGCAGGGCCCCCCTCGAGCCTTGAGCACGCATCGTCGGTGTCCGCTGAGCAAAGGCGCTCGAGGGACTACCCGTCACGCTCCTTTGACCCATCCCTGCTCTGCCCGCTCCCCCGCCACCTCCAGCTCCACTGCGTGTACTACTCATGGTGCTAGAATAGGACAATGCTCCGCTACTCCCGTTACTCGTGCTCGTAAAGGCCGTCGCATTCGTATCTGCTCGTTGTAGATTAGCTCGCTGCATCATGCGTTGCTGCTGCTCCGCCGCCGCTCCCATTTCCACTGCCTGTCTCAGCTTGAAAGGCTCCCTTCGACCCTCTGCAGCAACGCTGACAGAAGCAGGATTTGTCTGCACCAGCTCAAAGACGACTTGCTCATCGTAGAAGCCTTTGCCCTGAGGTGCTCTTCTGCGCTGTACACAGATGATGCTAGGCTCCGCCTCGAGGGAACCCTCGACGACGCTGCATGCCGAGACGTACCTGACGTCGTGGCCGCGGATCACCTGCACCAGTCGACCCGTAGCCGCCTCGCGGATTTCTACGAACCGTGAGTCCATGCCGAGGATATAAGGAGAGGAGAAGGCCACCGACGCCGGCGAGCCCTCCCACTCGACGATATTGTCCAGCCGAATCGGCTCTCCACCGCGGTCCACGTAGCAGGCAAAGGCGTCGTAGCAGAGCAGGAACGACTCGCCGTCTGGCAGCTTGAACATCCCAAGCGGCTTGGCCGTCTCTACTCGTCGGGCTAGGGCGAGGATACGTGGATCATCGCGAGGGCTACGGGTAAAGTCGGGAACCGTGCCTGGCAGCAGTGTGTCGAGGTTCATGATCTCAAAGCCTCGAGCGCAGACGACGGCTAGCTTGCTGCGCAGGAATTGCATCGTATACGCTTCCGATGGGATAAAGAAGACCTGTAGCGGGAAAGAGAAGAACATCGGATCAATTTGTCAAAATCCGTTGCCAATGAGGCCATTCACTACATCGCTTACTCACTTTGTACATGCGGAACCAATCTGCATTCTTGCTCATGTCATTCTTGATCTTTGTAAACAGCCCGCCGCTGGACTTGCCCGTCGCCGCCATGGGTTGGTTGATGACCGGCTCGAGTGCTTTGAAGACACTCTCGTTGGCCTTCTTCTTCATGTAGACCAGCAGCGTACGGTCTTTCAGTACACCAACGCCAAAGAAGAGGACGCCTCGATTGCCACTCAATTTCTGCGGCGGTCTTGGCTGGATGGCGCCTCCAGTAGAAGAAGGGACCAGAGCTTCCAAGCTGTAGGAGATGAGGATCTTGTCTGCCAGCACAATGAAGATGCCAAATTCTTCCATGACTGCGCACTGCGTCACATGTTTCAGATGGAGCACTTTGCGGAAGGAGCTCGGATCGTTGCGCAGACCGATCCAGACACCGTCGGCGCATCCCAGAGCTACTAGTCTCCTCTGATCTGCCATCCTGAATGGGACAGCGCAGGTGATGCGACCGTGGAAGAGATTTGCATCGACACCCATGGGAGGGACGGTCGTCTCTGCTCCCAAACTTGCTGGAAGAGCAAAAATGGAGTCGGACAAGACGGAAGTCTCAAAGGCTTTGTTGGCATCAACGACTGCCCTTCTCAGTCCCTTTGCCTCGTCGATCTTTGTGCGCCATTCATTGCGACGTTGCTTCGAGGTGGCATAGAGCGTCAGAGGCTCCATCTTGCCTCCAGCATGATGGATGGTGAAAGGCCAGAGATCTCGTGACTCTCGATCCGAGCGCAGATGAAAGGCATTCAGACCGATGGAGTAGGAGACGGAAGGCTCATTGAACCCAGACACTTCCAGCAGCTCCACGGCGATTGGACGCTTGGCAAGTACAAAGACCGCGTTAGTCGACTGATCGTTCTCTTGCTTGCTCTTGAGCTTTGTCACTGCAAAGAAGTTGTCGAAGAGGATCGCCTGCATTTCTGTCCACTCGAGGTCTGTAAAGTCTGGCTTCCTGTACACTCTACCCTCGTGGATCAGCTGACGCTCTTCATTCAACAAGTCCATGTCGACGACGGCCTTATTCCGCTTCGTCTGAAGATTGTATGCAAAGCCCCGTATCTGAGCCTTGACTTGAGCGGCCTGAATAACAGTGTCAGCAATCTTGCATTGCTCGACAATGATCTCTTTAGCCCGGATGCAGCTCTCCCTATCCGGGTTCTCTTCTTCCGTCTTGTCGATGATAGTCTGAAGCAGGAGCGGATGCCGTTGAAGGTGCGGCAGAGCACGATGGATGAAGTTGTCCAGACCCAGCCTGCGACTGACAGGATCTCGTCTGCAAGTCTCGATAAACTGATTGAACCGAGGATTGATGCTCTGCTCCCGTCCAATCCTGCTCTTTGCAATAGGATAGTTGGCCACATATGTGACGAAGGCAGTCTGCCATTCGAGTGCAGCGTCCAGAAACAGATCGCCGATGCTGTGGATGATTGGCTGCTCCTCTCTTTGCCGGATATGGAGTGCCTCCACGAATCTAGAGACATGCCAGACTAACTCCCGATGGTTGGCAAACACCTCTCGGATGAAGTCGTCCCTGTCCGGACCTATCGGTATCGGGGGAGGGTCTCCTGTGGGACTGGGCTTTTCTAGACCTCTAATGAAGAGAGTCTCCAGCAGCTGCAAGTCGGCCAAGAAGTCTTCCTCCTTCTGGATATGCTCAAGGATGGCGTTCTGCCGTGTCACCTCCCTCTTTGGCAGACTGTCGAGGACTTCCTTTGGCATAAGTTCTGCCCAGGCTTTGTGAGCGGGCCCGCCAGCCATTCCAGGTAGGGCTCCAGCATCGGCGCCGGCAATGCCACCAGCATGCCCGAGCCCTGTGACAGTCAGGCCCCTTCGAAGACCGCTCGTCTTGGCACGCGGACATGATGGGGAGTAGCAATTCGATCCAGCAGGGCTATCTGACCTTCCGCACAAAGGAGAGTAACAGCCAGTGAGGGGCACGAAGACACCTGTGGGCAGCTCCTCCATGTCACTTGACAAGACTGGATGATTACGCATGTGTTCGCCTTCCGTTGCATACTCGTACGATTGATCGTTTAGACCATTCGTCTCTGCAACGCTGCCAGACGGAAGCCTCACCATGTGTCTTCTCGGAAACTCGTCCTCCTCATTCATAGCCATGGAGCTGTCCAAGAAGCTGTACACCTGCTCCACACCATCTTGCAAGACTCCCGCTCCCCAATCCACCTCGTGGAAGAAAAGCTGGCTGTTGAGACTTTGTGCGATGCTCAGTGCCACTCTTCGTAGTTGGGCCTGGGACTCAGGCTCATCCTCAATGCTCTCATCGATACCAGCTGCTGCCAAGAGCAATTGCCGCGGTATTGCGCTTTGCAAAGTCGAGATGATGTCCTTGCCCGTGAAGCTCGAGGGGTAGCTGATGCTGCCTTTTACCTGATGAGCTCGCGGCACTGTGTCCTTGAGCAGAACAGCCAGGTGCGACAGTATGGCGTAATTGACCTTACGAAGCATAGAGCGACGGTCCCGAGGAGCCTGTACTTTCTCCTCTCTGTAGCCGGCGGCGATGGCAGCAGAAGGAGCTATTGTAGGAGCGAACGATGTTTGACTGATGCCATTGGCTCTGAGCCATTCAGCTCTGACTTGATCTGCGGATGATGAGACGCTCGCAGTCGTCGGCAAGCTGATGTTAGGCGTTGTCTGTACAGGAGTCGCGCTTTCGTCTTCGTCTGGGTAGACGATTGATTGGCGCGAGTCATTGTCGTATTGATCGTAGAGGTATTGGGGAGCGGATGACTGTGTTGCCTGTGGGTAGTCGTTGCGGACATCACTTCTGTGAGAGGAAGATGAAGGAAGTGTGGGGAGGGGAGCTCGTCTCTTTGAGGACTGGACCGAAGCAGTGGAATCGATACGAAGGTGTGGGGTCGAACGATACGACGAGGGCCCTCTTGGATCGTTCTGGCCCAAAGCACCACCGTCATCTTCGCTTGCTGCACTGAGGGTTGAAGCCGTACCCAGGCTGTACTGAGGGCGATGGTAGCCGACATAGCTATTGGAACCCTGTGAAGGGCCTCTGAGAGATGGGCTATCGATCAAAGAAGACTCCGCAAGGGTGGGACTCCACAGCGGACCCTCTGCGTTTTTCATTGCGGCAAGGTTCGCGGAAGAAGAAGCAGAAGCTCCCTGGCTCATGATCCTCGAATCGAAGTAGTCGTCGCCCCTCGCAGCAGGCGAATCCTGGAGTGTATAGGGTTGAGGCGCAGCATGCTGTGACGATGGAGTAAGCGCTCGAAAGGATCCTGGTGTGGATGCTCCGTCACTTTGGTAGGGTACAGAGAGAGCAGCGGCGGATGAGCCCGGAGGAGCCGGTAACGGCCTGCTCGCCCTGTGACTTTGAAAGGGACGCGACTCCTCCTCGTGGGAGGAGCCGCTACTGCTGCCACGTGTCCAGTCATCGCCATACAAGCTGATGATGCCCGTTGCCGTAGATATCGGACGCGAGCTGTGGTCATAGCTCGCGTAGTCCGCTGTTGATAGTCTCGAAGTGTCTGTCGGAGGGCCTACAAGATTAGAAGAAGGCGCTGCTGGCTGGAAGCGCCCTTCTTTATCTTGGCCTTCGAGATCTTCCTTGTACCTCCTGGCTCGACTGATTGCAGCTGCTTCTCCTTGTTGGTGCCATTTCGATGTCGGAAGGGGTGGGGAGGGAGGCCTGGTGTCATCATAGCCGGTACTGGCCAGCCCTTGCCGTAGCGTATCCATGCTGGCGGACAGACCTGTGCCGTATCCGATTGTAGAACTACCGGACGTTCCGCGGCCCACCGCATCGGCAGGCCATGTGCCATTCTGAGATTCCTGGTATGCGTTGTGAGCTCTGGGATCGTAGCTCTGGAACGATGGGTTTGATTCGCCGTAGCTCTGATATTGATGGGTATACGAGGTCTCGTTTGGGTATTCCGGTAGCCGCGACGGCTGAGCAGCTAGACGATGCTGCGATGCCTCGAAGTCGCTCCGCGAATCACCTTGAGTCCAGCCATACTCTGGGTAAGGCTTTGGAGGTAGCGAAGGGCCAGGAGGCATCTCACTCCGGCGACGCAGTAACAGATGGGAGAGAGACGTAAAGGGAGCGTTGCTGTCTAGGCAGATACGTTTGTAGGAGCGGGCGCCGGCTTGACGGAGGGGAGAGTGTAAGGTCTCCCCTGCGCAGGGTATACCACTGAGGCAGGGCCGAAGTACCACGGGTCGCACGGGGGCAGTGGATCGCCTGGGTGCGTTCCAAGAGTATGGAATCCGGGGAAACGCGCTTTGAGTCTAACTTTTGACGAGAGATGGCAGCAACTCGGCGACCGGGCCAAGGCCAAGCCAAGGTGGACAGGCCATAAAATCCACACTCCGCTTCCGTTCCGTCCTTGCGAGTCATATCTCTGGAGCAGGGGGACCTTCAAGACAAGGAGAGTAAGGAGGCAGAGCTCAAAAGGATTAAGAAATGAATTGACAGTCTGCTATGTCGCATCGCGGCGAGCTGTACTGCTTCACCTGCCCGAGCTTCGTTTCTGACGACTGCTTCGCCTCGCCTTTGCTCTCGAATCCTACCGTCGTTCGTGTCGTGACTCGTCTGAGTCTGCGACTGCAGGTCTCTTTGGCACCGAAGCAACCGTGCTGCATCGCTCATCGATGGCCTGACCCTCGGCGACACCTCATACGGTCGAAGGGTGCGCCTGTGATTGGCCTACAATGGTGCGAGCGTAGAGGCCTCTGATCCCCGCGTGTGCCATCCCGGCCTCTGGCTTGGTGATTGATTGCTCAGTCAATCGCGCCTCGCCCCTCTTGCGTGTGCGTGCGTGCGTGCGTGCGTGTGTGTGTCTTCACCGCGCGCCGTGCCTCGCCCCTCTGCCAAATTTTTTCAAGTTGCCTCTGCAGAGCGCCTCGCCTCGCCGCCTGTGAGTGCTGCTTCTCACCTTCCCTGCCCTACCAACTCTCCCCTTTACCAACTTGATTTGTCCCCCTTCCTCCCTTTACACCTTTTCAACCCTACACATAACCGTCATCGTTCTTCTCCTTCCGCGAAGAAAGATACTTGAACATCGTTACAAGCACAGATAGAATATGTCCTACAATCAGAACGGAAATGGATCTGCTAATGGCCTAGAGTCTCACATGGGTGAGTAATAGGTCTCTTGCACGCGACGTTGCATATGCTCTGCGCTTTGACTACTGTCGTGATCATGCTGGCGATCCATGGAGAATCTGTATGGCGATATTGCGTGCGGATGCTGACAATTTGATGCCTTCTCCTCGCATGACCTTGCTCAGCCTCCATGAGCGTAAACGGCAATGGCTCCGAGCCTGCCACAAACGGCACTAGTGGCGGTGGCGCACCACGAAAGGCCTATGTGCCTCCTCATATGCGATCATCTGGTGGCATGTCCACCAATGCAGCGCCATTCGCTCCTCGGTGAGTTGCCCCCACGGGCGAAGTCCGGGTCACACGAGGAATGCCTTGTGGCAACGAAATTGCGATCGCAATACTGAACCTTAGATACTTCCCCTCTTCCAGTGGTCCAGCACCAAATGGCTCTGACGGCGCTCCAGCCCCTGCCCCAGCAGCATTCCAGTCTCGCTCTGGTCCACCCCCACCTCACTTCGGCGCCAGCTCAGCCTTTGGTTCAGCACCCAGGGGCGGCGGCCTAGGCAACCGGGCCGGAGGTGGCGGCTGGGATGCTCCCTATTCGTCAGGCGGTGGCGCTCGCGCAGGATCAGGCCCTTCCGGTGGGAGCGGTGGATATGGATTCGGAGCTTGGAAGGATGGCGTCCATGTGCCCGGCCCTCACAATGCTCGCATGCAGAAGGAGCTCTTCGGTGAGGAGGATGCCAAGTCCAACACCGGCATCAACTTCGACAAGTACGGAGACATCCCCGTCGAGGTCAGCGGCAACGACACCCCCGAGGCCGTCACCGAATTCAAGTCCCCTCCTATCGACCCTCACCTGCTGGAGAACATCAAGCTCGCCAAATATACCACCCCTACCCCCGTTCAGAGGTACTCCATTCCCATCGTGGCCCTCGGACGTGACTTGATGGGTTGCGCTCAGACCGGCTCTGGAAAGACCGGTGGATTCCTGTTCCCCATCCTCTCCGCCCTTTTCACTCACGGACCCCCTCCTCCTCCTGCTGAGATGGCAAACGGTGGCTTCGGTCGCAGGAAGGCCTTCCCCACTGCGCTTATCCTTGCTCCTACTCGAGAGCTAGTATCTCAGATTCATGACGAGGCCCGCAAGTTCACATATCGCTCTTGGGTCAAGCCTGCCGTCGTCTACGGAGGTGCAGAGATCGGCCAGCAACTGAGGCAAATTGAGCGAGGCTGTGACCTCCTCTCGGCTACACCCGGACGTCTTGTCGATCTCATCGAGCGAGGCCGAATCAGTCTGGCCAACGTGCGATTCCTTGTTCTCGATGAGGCAGACCGAATGCTCGACATGGGTTTCGAGCCCCAGATCCGCCGAATTGTTGAGGGCGAAGACATGCCCGGCGTAATGGACCGCCAGACGCTCATGTTCTCGGCCACCTTCCCTCGCGACATTCAGATGCTTGCTCGTGACTTCCTCAAGGAGTATCTCTTCCTCTCGGTTGGTCGTGTTGGATCTACCAGTGAGAACATCACGCAGAAGGTAGAGTACGTTGAAGACTCAGACAAGCAGTCCGTTTTGCTCGACGTCATCGCCTCCATGCCCCAGGGAGGTCTCACTCTTATCTTCGTCGAGACGAAGCGCATGGCCGACATGCTCTCTGACTTCCTGCTCCGCTCCAACATTGGTGCTACCTCCATCCACGGAGACAGGACTCAACGCGAGCGAGAGCGTGCTCTTGAGCTCTTCCGCGGCGGCCGAACTCCGATCATGGTTGCTACTGCCGTCGCTGCCCGAGGTCTCGACATTCCCAACGTCACTCATGTCATCAACTACGATCTGCCTTCTGACATCGACGATTATGTTCACCGAATCGGTAGGACAGGTCGAGCAGGTAACACTGGACATGCCACTGCATTCTTCAACCGTGGCAACCGCAACATCGTCCGAGAGCTCGTCGACCTTCTCAAGGAGGCGAACCAAGAGATCCCGACTTGGCTCGAAGCTGTAGCCCGCGAATCGGCCTTTGGCGGTGGTTCCTCCAGGGGAGGCCGCGGTGGAAGCAGGGGAGGACGTGGCCGTGGGGGCTCGTCAGCTTTCGGTGGACGTGATGCCCGAGCTGGAGGCGGTATGGGAGGAGGCGCCTTCGGAGGTGCTCGAAGCGGTGGCTACGGCGGTGGCTACGGTGGTGGTGGTGGCTACGGCGCCTCGTCTGGCGGACCACCCATGGGCGCTGTCGGCGGCAGCTACGGCGGCTCATCTGCCCCTTCCTCATGGTGGTAAAGATCCGCTTTTGGCCTCTGTCGGCAGGACCGTAGCAGCACGGCTTCTTCCCGCATTTCCTTGCTTCTGCTGCCCAAGATGCTCTGCCATCTGACTTTCCGTCCTCACTTCCTCCGACCATCAAGTACAAAGAACTGACAACAATCTCGCTTAACGAAACGCAACGACCAACGAACGAAGCAGTCACCAACAAAATCAAGATTCCTCAGCAATGCACTCTATTAGACGATGAAGGAGACTCAGATCCTTCACATCAATACAACGGGCCTTTCACACATTACCAATACTAGGGCCTTTTTGTCGTCACCGGAGTTCTTGTCAAGGATTATAGATGGGCGCGCTCCCCAAGAGCGTCTCTGCATACCGTTCGAAGACCGAACATCAGCTTCCCCTCACTAGATACTCGGTCACCAATAGTTGGGATTGGCGAGAAGAGTCGTCGCATCAACACAAGGGGCCTCACGCATGCTAACCTTGCTCTTTCATCATTGGTGAATGACAAACTTTCAGCGTGCCGCACCTCGATACCACGATGCCCTTTCACTGCTCTCCCTGTCCCGACCACCTTGGTCCCTTGCACCTCAACCTCCAACCACACTCCTCTTTGTACTTTCCCTTTACCCTTGTCTCTCCCCCTCTCACTCTTCTCAAGAGAAAATTTGTGTATTATAGGCAACTCCACGTCCGTGGTACACACACCCAAACAGAAGATTCTCCCAATTCGACAAGCTTCTTTTGCCTCATTGTTGTCCTTGACGGACGCATTCTGTATAATCGCGTGTCGGTGTGAGCGCCATTGTGGACGAGAGGTTACAGATTTGTTGCGCGGACGACTCCCCTCGGCCCCATCGTGATGTACATGAGGAGTACCGGGTCATCTCTGTTCATCTCACCAAGGAAGCAATCAGTGCTACAAACTTTCGCACATCTGCTCCTCGCTCCTCACTCCTCACTTCAATCGCTCAAAGGGACTACGGCTTTTCATTCTATAAGTCAATTTGTATTCCACGCATTGCACATCCTTCTCCTGCAGCCCGTCTTGTTCTTTCACCCTTGCCGGTGCAGCGCTCATTCTAATTGTTCGCAAATCAATCGTCCGTTGCTCTAGTCAATCGCACCCTCGCCAATGAGATCAGGGTCGGACACTCTCTACTTGGCTCCACCTCTAGCCTCCCACATCTCAAAGAGGGCGTCTAGGATGGTGCTAGCGCTCCAAGCCTGCGTAGCACACGAGTCCCTACAGTAGCTTCCATTGGAATTGGTCAGCTCTGGCAAACCAGCCCAGGGGCTCTCCTTGACATGTCTACGATGCTCCAGGAGTAGCGCAGAAATGTGGTGCCAAGTCTCATCGTCCTTTTCAGAAAAGAGAACCTTGGCCCTGAGGAAGAAGCCGGTGGGGAAGACCCACTCGGGTCCATTGTGGTAGTTCCATCCTTGCGCCAAGTGGAAGTCGGTCGTGTCGTTGGAATTGTCATAGTCTCCTCGATAGTTGCTGTCGCTCGGGTCTAGCGTACGCATACCCAGAGGACCACGGAGAACGCTATGGGCGGCCTGAAGAGCAGTCTGTGCGTGCTCTCGATCGAAGAGCTCAGGCGCAACGCACATTGCAATAGGAAAGTTGGAGCGGAATTGATAGTCGGACCACTCCCGTCCTTTACCAGAGCCAAAGACGTCCTTGTAGATTCCTCGACGGTTGACTAATTTCGAGTCCAGACGATACTTTGAGTCATCGGAAGCATTGAGAGGGACCCAGTAGCATCTTTCGAAAGACTTTTGAATCAGGTCGGCCCACTCCTTGTAAGTCACTGTCCTCTTCTTGCCATCAACAGTTGCCTCGACGCCAGTGGCCTTGAGTGGCCACTTGCCCTTGGCTTGCAGATTAGCAACCCAAGTGAGCGTACTCTTCAGCAGTGCAGTGATCTCGATAGCAGCTCCATCTCGAGGAGAGCCGGGGACACCCCTGTTGCCAGCCTTGATACTAGAGCCATTCTTGTCTTGCCAAGTACCGCAATTAGACTCGTTACCACCAAAGATGATACCCGTGGACCAGTCCGTCTCAATGTCGATGTTGAAGCCCTTGTCCTTCATGTGCTCGTCGATCTTTGTACCGGCGTCGTGCTCACGGAAGTGGATACCAGAGGCATGGCGCTGCAGAATCTCCTGAATCAGCTCGGCAACGGTAGACTCATAGGCGAATGCCTTTGGCGAGTCCACTGGCACCCACTCGTCGTCCAGAGGGAATCGACGCTTGATCTTATCGTCCAGGATGGACAGTCCATTGGGAACCATCTTGGTGTAGTCCTGCACGTTTTGCGCAAAGAACCAAGGACCATCTCGGCAATTGTAGCGCGGGTTGGTAGTTGAATTGAGGAGATTGGGGATGAGACCGTGCTTGAGCGTGCAGCCAAAGGAGTGGATGTGCTCACGGGCGTACTGGTGCATGGCGGTAGTGAGGTAGAGACCGCGTAAGGAAATGAAGACATCACGACCCCAGAGACGCGCCCAGGAGGCCGCAAAGAAGGGAAGACCGGCCGCCATGGAGGCAGAAGGACGATCGTGCCACAAGCTGGCCGACTTGACGTTACCGTTCATCTGAACTGAGCAGAGCGCCAAAGACCTGATGAAAGGATGACCCTCTCTCACGAAAGGGCTCATCTGAGCTACGGCCTGCTCGACAGCTGCCTCGTAGGCAGTGCTAACCGTCAAAGCGAAGTACTTTGGCCGCATGAAGGAAGGCACAGTGGCAGCGATCTTATCAAAGCGCTCCTTCATCCACGCCGCTGGCTTGGCCACCCTAGGGAACTGGCCTGTCTGCTTCTCCAAACGACCGTGAACGTAGTCCAGAGCCCAGCAGCCGTTGCGGAGGTGGGCACACAGCGGGTGACCCAGGTCGTTGTGCCTCATCACCTTGCGCAGAGAGTGCATCCATCCTTCAAGACCGCAGTAGACGTGTGTCTCATCGTTGGGAATAGCATAGACTCCATCCTTGCCCTGAGTACTGTCCTTCTCCTCACCATCGGCTCGATATAGAATGACGTTCAAGTCGACAAGGTCTAGGTCTGCAAATGCTTCCTTTGCTCCAGACTTGCACAGCGCTTCAAGATCTGTAGAGAGACCTTCCATGGCGCTGGCAAAGAGCATGATGGATCCCGGTGGGAAGTTCTCTGGGATGACAATCTCAGAGTAAAAGACGCCATTGTCTCCTCTGCCTTCCTTGACTGATGGGGCAGGCACATCGATCAGCTTGCTCTCGAGGCCCTTGAGAGTCTCCTTGTCCTGAGGAGCGGTCTTGTTAGTGACTTCGAGCGTTTTGCCAGCAATGTACTGAACTTTGGTCCTGTCAAGATGGATGGGCGTGATCTGACCTCTACCCTTGGGACCGTCCTTGTGGAATGCTGTGTGAGCAATGCACAGGTAGCCCTTGTGAGTCTTCGGATGCACGCGGTGGAACATGATGTAGTCTCCTTCTTGGTGGACGTGGCCCTCCTCGTATCCATCTTGCACCATCTCTCGGTGCAAGGAATTGACGATGCGCTTGACCTCGCCAATTCCACGGTCAGCCGGTGCACTGTACACTTCGTACTTGCGAGTCTCATCGACGACGTTCAAGAGCTCAGGGTACAGCTCGTCCACTCCCTTTGTTGAACCAATGGCTGACCAAGAGAAGGCAACGAGGGAGCCCATCGTGATGATGTCCTCGGTCGTACGCTTCTTCGTGGGTGTCTCGTTGTCATGGGTGACGTCCATGAAGAGAGCATCTGGGGAAGAACCGGACAACGGAGTAACGACAGCGGGGATTTCGCTACCCTTTCCAGGTACCTGAGCCACTCCATTCGTGGACAAGCAATCTTTGTCCATGCTACCGATGGGCTTGTTGACTCCGAATCGGTACAGGAGCCGACTCTCCTCCTTCGGATCGTGACCGTTCTCCATCTCTCTGATGAGAGCGTTGAGTCCTAGACGACTGACAAAGTAGACGTCCATTTCTTCCGAGCCCGTGAAGAGCTCAGCGCAAACGTAGAGATTGGGCTTCACCCTTCGGGCGACATCGAGGAAGTATTCTCCAACATGGACAGGTGTCGAGTGGCAATTGTCGATCCGGAAAGCATCACACATCTCAGCGGATGCAGTGACGTACTGCTCCATATGCTTCCACAGGTAAGGCGAATCCTGGGGACCTGAGCCGTATCGTAGCTTCACACAGTCGGCCCAGGCAATGACCTCTCGTCGAAGGTAGACACGACTCTTCGAGGAGGCAAAGTCCATCAATGGGTCCGCAGCCCAGATCCAACCGTTGTTAGCGAGAGCGAGGGATTTGGCAGAGTGACCAGCTTTTTTCACGCTAGGGTGGTTTGGATCCAGTCGCGTGAAATAGGTCTCGCAAAAGGGTGACTCGGGTGTAATAGGTCCCAGCTTCGGTCCTCCCTCTTCTACGCGCATGTAAGCGAGACGTCCCTTCAAATTGGAAGTGATCGCCTTGATATCGTCATCGTAGGTCTGATACAATGGCACGTTCAAGGCGTCCACAGCTTTGCCGACAGCTTCAACTGCAGAGCTCTCGTCGCTGTAAGAGGACTTGAGGATGGCGACTGTAGCCTCTGTGTCGAGGTGAGTAACAAAGCGGTCGCTCAAGGCCAACTCCCCGCGGAGTGCTTGAGCTTTCAGCGCAGTGGCCAACTCCTCTGAGGTCTTCACCGGAGTTCCAGTCTTGGATGCAGAACTTGACCATGCAGCGCTGACAGCCTCCTTGGTGGCCTTGACGTCAATGACATAGTACTGCCAGAGCTTCAATGGGTCGAGGACGTGAGCCTTCACGCCTTCAATGATCTTATCGACGTCAGCTGCTGATTTCGGGTCGGTTGGCAAGCCCAAGGAAGCGAGGTTGTTGGAGAACTCATACAAAGCTCGGTCCAGCTCTTCAGCAGGGGTAAGGTGAGGTGAATTCTCGGGCGTGTAGCCTGCCTCAGGATGCTCATTGAGCCACTCGCTCGAATTAGCTGTGTGATTGAGAACCACGTCCATCAAGCTCAGCATGCCGTATTCCTTTCTGATCTTCTGTAGCCACGACTTGAGCGTAGCAGCTCTCTCCTCTCGTGAGGAGCTTCTGCCAGCTTTGGCATCAAACATGTCGTGGGCAAAGTCTAGCTGGTCCGCAATAGAGTAGGGCGAATTGGAGCTACCTCTCACTTGCAGGGGAGTGTAGTGGATCATGTTGTAGCCTGCTTCCGATGCGACCTTGAGATGAGGAGCCCATTCTGAGAGCGGGCCAGCCCACTTGGCAAAGAACGACAGAGTGACGAGAGCGGTTTGACTGATGACAACGTCCTTGGTCCCCACCTTGCCGCCGCCAGTAGCAGGCTTGAGCGACTTTTGGTCTAGAATGGACGTTCTCTCTGGGATCGTGATGATCGGATCCACATTGAAGGACCCGTGCCTAGACTGAACTCTCTTGCGCTTGCTGGGATCAGGCTTCGTTACAGGCCGTTCGACGGTAGGATAGGTGATCTCATCGTCTGGTGCAGCATGCTCTACATAGAATTCGAAAGCTCCTGGCTGAGAGATGTAGAGATCGACATGGGTAGCCTTACTGACATCGCCGGGTAGTCTGGACCAGGAAAGCAGGGGGTCAGCAAATGCTAGGAGGGGAGAGTGTTGGTCTTCATGAGACTATGCCTGCTCACTTGTATTCGGTGAATTTGGATCTCTCAAAGGCTTGGCCCTGAGGCGGGAAGTTTGTCCACAAGCTGCCCTGCTTCGAAGCTACGCTGCCTGCTTCGATGCCAAATCGCAGCAGATAAGGCTCTACCGGGGCAGGAAGCCGGATGTACTGGATCAGAGGGAAAGAACAGGAGAAGGCTGGGGTATCAGCACTAGTACATCAGGGCAGGAACACCTAACAAGGGCCGCGTTGTAGTCGCTCTCCCTTCTTTCCGCTGCCACTCACGCTCTTCTCCTTGGAGGGACTGCCGTCATCCTCCAAGCTGAGCTGATAGACCTGAATCGGTCCTGCTTGGGACATGGCAGTGTGAGCCTCCTGACGAGGCGATGGGGATGCAAGACCGACGTCGAAGGGGTCCGAGGGAGAGGAAGGGTGCGGAGGTGAGGATGCGAAGAGAAGATTAGCTCGCGGGGCTGGTGAGAAGCCGAGGAGACCCTGAATGCGAAGGATGCGTCGGCGGTTGCGGAAGAGTGGGGGAGTGCGGATCATGCGCCACGCTTGGCGAGCCACGCGATCGGGCCAGCGTCATCGCACGCCGGCTGCTGGGTGGACTTCTCCGCGTGGCTGCAAGGGGCCACAAGGAAAAGCAAGGGCGACGATGAACACGATATCGGACCGGAAGTCAAGGGACGACCTCACGCGCTCGCCCACCCGGATACCATTGAAATCTGAGCCAGGCGACGCACAGCCTCCTGCTCTGCACGGCAGGATAAAGTGAGATGGATGCATCTGGCATTCTGGTGCGCTATGGCTGTGGAGGTTGCAGCAACAAGTGAGATGGGCCAGACATGGTGGCTTCTGTCTCCTCTTGCGGTGCGGTGCGGGGAACACGCACGCGCCAATCGACTCACGCCCCGAAATTAAGGCTGCAGGTTGATCAACACTCCAACACTTCAGCCCGGCCCACCTCTTCCCGGCCAACACCACGACCATCATCAGGCGACCCACATACCTCGGAGCCCTTATCACAACCAGAACTCGGACCCATCAACCTTATCACCAACACATTCGTTCCTTCTCAACAATCCATACCATAGAATAAACAATTGGCAGCACCAGCACCGCGCTGACCTGATTCTGCCCATCATCATCTACATCTTCGCCATCATCGTCCCCTTCGAAAATCACTAGAAGAGGCGCGGCTTCACAAAGGGAGGGTCTTCCTTCCTTCTGAAGTACTTTCATCCCTTTTCCCCAACCCAATAAGACATGGCCTCGATCGCTTCAAGCAGCAAGGCATCTTGGCCAGCTCGTCATGAGACGATTGTGGAATGCCTTGGTGATGATCAAGTGCAGTCTTTGATCGTCACAGTGGCCAAAGAGCCCACAGTTGCATCTGCATGTGCAAGGGCTCGCCAACTCATCAAGGGCAAGCAGCGAGCTCGAGACGATGAGCAAGACGTCGTGAGCGCAGCAGAGCACAGCCTGGCCCTGGACCTCGCCCTAGCATCGTGGTGGTCTCAGACTCCGGAGACTCGCAAGCGCTTCTGCTCTCAAGCAGCTCAGGACCGATTGAAGGACCTCACCACTGCAGTGCCGGCACCGAATGACTTTCCGTCTGTCACATCGCTGCAAAGATCGTCCGCGGCTTACGTTGAGATCGTGCGGTCTCGCTTCAATCGCCAACTCTACGTGATCAAGACAGTAGTGAAAGGGCTGGCTCGGAGGGAATCGAATCGCTGCAGTCCAGCTTTCGAAGCTCATCTGCTCTCGTTGGGATCTCAGACACCTTCCGGTGTGCGGCCTGTGCCTGACCTCGTTGCTGCCTTCCAAAGTCAGAATTCGCTACACATTGTCATGGAGTACTTCCCTGCTGGTGACCTGGATCAGCTTCTTCACTCCGCAGGTGAAGCAGGAGGAGCGGGCTTGGGACTCGCTCGAAATGGAGGGCTTCTGGATGAGAGCTTTGTCAAAGCGTACGCGACAGACATCGTCGGAGCAGTAGGGTGGTGTCATGAGCAAGGCTTTGCTCACAGAGACGTCAAGCCAGCGAATTTCCTTCTCGATCGAACAGGCCATCTGAAGCTTTGCGACTTTGCAACCGCTGCACCCTTCTCCACATTCGCTGGCCAACGCCGCCGAGTCCATCATTTCTATGCTTGTCTGGCCGGAACCCCAGACTACATTGCTCCGGACATTCTGCTCGGTGAAGAAGAACGGCTCAATGCGCTTGCCAAAGAAGACCAATGGTTGGGTACGACGTATGCAGACTCCAGCACCTCATTTGCATCCTGCTCTCGTAGCAGAGCGCCGGCGCCCGCTCCAGACTCCGAAGGGTCCTACGGGCCGGAGGTCGATTGGTGGTCGGTCGGCGTGGTTGTCTATGAGATGGTATACAAGGTGGTACCCTTTTGGGCAGACTCGATCAGAGAGGCGCACTACCGTATCCGCAATCACGAGTCGTTCTTGGAACTAGACGGCAAGGTCCCGACTAGCTCAGCGCTCGAAGCTCTGATCCGAGGATTGCTCTGTCGAAGAGACACTCGCCTCGGTGCTTCTCTTGATGGCACACGTGCCATCAAGGACCATCCGTTCTTCGCAGACGTCGAATGGGCCTCATATATGAGCGCACCTGCGCCATTTGTGCCCAATCTCCCGGCTAGCTCACACGCCCAGTCGATAGACGGTCTTCCGCTGTCTCCATCGGTCCTCCATAGTCCTCGTCCCCTGATGTCGTTCGCACCGGACGATGACGTCTCGATGACTCCTGAGTCTATTGCTCTTTCACAGATCTACGAGGGGGACTTGGAGAATTTCCCAGCCTTTGTGGATTCAAGGGACGGAATTCTGCCCGAACAGGAGCGGGACTTCGCAGAGCAAGCTCAAAAGAGCATGACGATCCAGAATGTCTACACAGGAGCAGCTACAGAAGCTGACTGGGCTTTGCACTCCAGGGCTGCTTCAGATCCGACCTCGCCGGTCTCATTCTCGAAACAGGCTGCGGAGGCAAGCCGTAGAGATATTGATGTGAACTGGATCGGTTTCACTAAGCTCCCAGCTGCTGAAGCCTTCGGTCCTGGACCTAAGCCTAGGCCCACGCCAACCTCCCTATCGCTACCTATGGCCACGCCGGTCATCAGCCGTATGCGCTCTTTCTCTACGATCCTCGAAGCATCTCCTGCGTGCAGCTCGGCAGCTGCTTCGCCCGACATTTGGGCGCGGCGTGGCAGCGAGGACGATGCTCCGATGACATCTACGCCTTATCACGCGGGTGAAGGTCAGAGGGTCTACAGCTCACCCGCCGTTCACTTTGCGAGTCAGCCGACACCACCGCCCGCCATCAGCGCGGCTACTCCTTATACCTTTACTCGGAAGAAGTCTCTCCAGCGTCGAGCTCTCGAAATGTCCTCCCGCATGGCTACACCTGGAGATGGAAGATTCGTCACGCCTTCGCGAAAGACAAGCATGCCCAATATTGCCTCGGCGTTTGCAAGTCAACAATCCTCAATGGTACCAGCCTCGCCGTATCCCTTCCCTGTCGCCGCAAGAGCAACTCCAGGTACCTTGGATCGACGTCGAGGGGCAGCATTTGCCATGGCAGCTATCCCCTCGTACAGAGCGGTGTCGCAAAGCCCACATTCCTCGTCAGCTGCGGGATCCATGGGATCCGAGTCTCGCTGCTCTGGTGGCTCCAATGCTAAGCGAGACGTCAGCGAAAACGAAGCGATGGAGCAATTGGTGCAAGCAGTTGCGCAGAGCGCTCGCAAAGTCAGAATTGCATCGGAGGACAAGGTCGTGCTCGATCGATTGTCAGCACTCGAGAACAGACTCTTCCGCAAGGCCGGGGGTGGGCCTCAGGTAGCTGTCCATCGTCCGGTGAGGCCGCCTCTCCGTCAGAGCCATACTGATACGGACTCGCAAATAAGCGAAGGCAAGGCTCGCTTGTTGAAGCAAACGAGCGCCGTTCCGGGAAAAAGCGGCCAGACGCTGCAAAGGAGGGAGACCATAGCGAGTCGGCGCGATGGCGTCGTAGCTGAGATTCCCAGCGGAGAGACCACTCCCTTGGCGACTGCTGCCAATGAGCTTGCAAAGTGTACCATGCCGGGCGAAGACATACGGAAAGTTTCGGCGACTGGACAGGCTTCAGCAAAGCCGTCGCCTCCGCTTGTCTCAGTTCCTGACATCGTCCATCACACTTCGTCATCTTCGCCCAAAGAGGCCAGAGTAGAAGCTACGTCAGGTCCGCATGCTGTCGTATCTTCCCACGGAGTCTCGGCTGGTCAAGCAAAGCATCCCGCTGCGCCCATCTGGACAGAGCGAAGGTTTTCTTCTTCGTCTTCGTCGTCTTCGTCTTCATCCACTGCCTCGGGCGCGCCTGCGGATAGTGAGCAACTTCGGCCACCTTCTCTCGCCGTGGGAGGACGGTCCCTTCGCAACCAAAGAAGCAAGCGACAACTCAGACTGGAGGCACAGGAGCGTACGACCCCTACTCGTCCGGCAAGGGCCCTTGCGCCTCAAGTTCAGATCGACAGATTCGAACAACTCTCCCTTGGGTCTAGCTCCGGTGGAGAGCAGAAGCACGAGGGCGACAGCACTCCTGGTTTGACAGATGGAGGCGCCTCGACAGAGAGTGAGAGCATCGGCACGGAGTCACTGCATAGCGATGCCCACAACGTTGCTGCAAAAGGTGGGTCGCCTACCCGCAGGGCCACTGGCGCAACGAGGAGCATTCATACCTTTTGGGAGACAGATGCTCCGTCGTCTTCCGGCGACGAGCTCGTTGCCAAGCCCACTGTCTTCTCCGGTCATACCAGCAGTCGCCTCAGTCTCCAGCCTCTCTCTTTCGAGGCAACAAGGCTGCGATCCAAGTCTCACGGCCAGCTGCCCAAGCTGCGCATCGCTAGCGGTAGCCAGCCGGACCTTCCGACTGGTGGGCTTAATTTGATCCAAGAGTCGCAGCAGAGGCGCGGGAGCTCTTCAAGCATGACGGGAGCTCCGAGGATGCTACGCAAGAAGGACAGTCGAGAGACTCTGAGCGAGTACCGCAAAGGTATCGTTCGCCCCGCTACACCCACTGGTGCGTTGCCCTCGCCCTTCCTCCCTTCTAGCATCCCTGGCACCCCTGGTACGCCGGTCATTGAGGAGGACGATGCGTTCGGTGGTGGAGCTGTGGTTCCCTCGCCCATTCCTATTGCGGTAAGAGGCCTGCGGAAGCCCTCGAGAAGAGCCTCCAGTGCTACCCTCGGCGAAAGCTACGCCCACAACAATGGCACAGTAGCCGCATTGAAGGCAGAGATCGGTGACAAGCCAGCGCAGAGGCGCTCCACGAGTGGTCCTCTTCCAATCAAAGAGCGAAGATCTTCCACCTCGCCTCTGATGCCGGCTAGCTCTTCTAGTCGTAATTCCCTGTCCTTGCTGTCCATTACCGAGGAGGATGGTGGTGCGCGTGCAGACATGCACAAAAGTCTTCAGCAGCCCACGAAGCAAGTCAGGAGGGCCAAATCGCGCTTGTCGATCATGACTTCTCCGACCCTCAAAGAGGTTCCCACGGCCGGAGTAGTGGACACTCCTCCCATCAGTGGTAGTATGAGCAACACCACTAGCCTACGTAGCGCTTCTAGTCCCCTGACAAAGATGGATCGCCGTTTTGGGGGATTGCAGAATAGCTTTGATGGACTGCAGAGCAGGATTACCGATATCAAGGCACGACTGCAGGGTTAGACGCACACCAGGTCACCAATGAGACCACGAGACGATGAGATCTATCACAATAACCACATCTCCCTTGCCGACACTATTAGCTTCGGCATCGGCCCAGCATACACCTTGACCTCTCGGTCATGACCCATCCCAGCATACTTTCTCCTTTGATCGGATCCTACTGTTCATATTCGCATTCGCCTCACATAAACCTTGTCCTCATACACACCCATTCCCTCCGCTTCGTTTCATTCCATCTCTTTCGTATCATTGCAACTCAAAAGTTTCTATTGCTATTCGTGCCGTGCTCGCGCGTCTTTCCTACATCACACCACTCACTCGCTCTGCCATTGCGCCTCTTCTGCTACTGTTGACCTTCTGTTTGCAACTTTGCATGAATAGCACATTGCACAGGCTGTGTGCATCTTCTATTATCCCGTTGCCTGGTCACAATTACAACGAATTGCAAAAATCGTATTGTGAGATTGTCCCGGGCAAGGTCAAAGAGCAGGGGTGATCGGGGAGGGGCTGCATTTGCAGCAGCTCGGCCCCAGGCCCGCAGTAGGGAATGCACGCGTGGGGTGCTGCCAGACATTGGTCAGTGCCGAGTCGACCTGTTCAGATGGAAGGGTATATTTGAGGACTGCGCCTCTGCTGCCAGAGGGGCATCTCCTGCCGCAGCGACGCCATCGAGGAGAGGTCCTACGTCCCAGCAGAATAGAAACCAAAAGGGCAGTCAGTGCACTGCCATTGTCCCAGCCTTTTTCTTCGGCGCGCTCCTGTCATCAACTCACAATATCAGCCAATGCAAAGGAAGGTTTGTAGGGTTGCATATCCCCACATTGTGCCACTATACTTCCCCAAGGATCGATGATCATCGCGTGTCCATACGACGTCCTTCCCTGTGGTCCTCCCTCTGGCTTAGGGTTATGCACCCCTACCTGAGCCGAGGCAATGACATAGCACTGCGTCTCGATCGCCCTTGCCTGCAAAAGGGGAGCCCAGTGTGCCGCACCGGTACGAACGGTAAAAGCAGATGGGTAGAGGAGAATTTCGGCACCTTGACGACGGAGGGAGAGGGAGGGCTCGGGAAATCGAAGGTCGTAGCATGTCAATGCGCCTAGCTTGCCGATGGGAGTGGAGAGTGGTGACTCGAGGGAAGAGCCGGGTATGGTCGTGTCACTTGCGGGAGCCGTGAATGGTAGGGGGTAAGATTGTCAGTGGCTTGGTAGGTGTGAGCACTACCAGCCTCGAGCGGCTCCTCTTTCTGCCTCACCTTTCCTTGATTCGCAGCCCGCCAACAATATCCACATCAAAGAGATGCGTCTTCCGATACTTCAGTGCGACCTCTCCTCGATCATCAATGATCAGATGGCTATTGAAGCATCTTTTCGCATCTTGCACAGGCTCATTCAATGATGCCGCCCCCCTGCTACTCCCAGCAACCTGGATCGGTCTCTCTGGATCTTCATGAACGCCCACACTAATCCAAACACCCTCTCTCTTCGCTCCCTCTCTAAGACCCCTCACAAAGTCTTCATTCTCTTTACTACGTGTCAATCGAGCCACTTCTTCCCCCGGTGGGCCTGAACCAGAAGAGATAAAGTCGGAGGCTTCGGGGAAAAAGACGGCTTTGGCTCCTGCGGAGGCGGAACGCTTAAGCAGGGAGAGGCAGGTGGAGAGATTGCTGGGGATGCTGGCTGAGGAGGTCAATTGGCAGACGGCGGCGAGCACCATCTTTGCTGCTTGCAGGATTCTGTGAGAGGATCAGAAGCGCAAGCTGTTAAGGAGTGTGGGAGTGCACGAAGTAGACGAAGAAGAGGTGAGCCCGGATGTAGACTAGACTATCTAGACTACGGAAGGCAAGATGAGCTCGGACCTCCACACGCGCTTCCGTACTTGCGTGTAAAGGGGGAAGCGTAGACTAGATGTAGGACTGCATTTGAACGGAGTGGCATTGACAAAGGTGGCTGAATGAGAATAATGGATGACAAGAGAGAGGGAGAGAGATGAGACATGATGATGGAGAGATAGTGACAATGATGCATGAGGCTGAACGCGTGGAATAAAGAGAGAGTCGTATGCTTGGGGAGACAGGAAACGGAGGAGTAGTTCATGGCATGGATAACAGTCTGACGAGCTTACCACGGGCTTAGCTCTTGCCATCGGTGATGCGCAGGCCCAAGACGTGTCTCACGTCCTGGGCGAAGCGCAGTGAGTCGAGGACTGGGAGAAGATCCAACAGCGCCTCGTCGGATGGGTCGTGAGTCCAGCCTTCGATTGGAATGCCGTTGGCTGCGGGGGGAGGAGAGAAGAAAGAGGTTGCAGGGGTCAGATTGACGAGCTCAATCCTCCGTCCCGCCAATGAGGGCTACTCACAAGGGTTCAAAAAGTAGCTAGCAGGGGAATTGTCGACCAAGCACACTCTACTCAGATCCAAGTCGACAATACTCAAGTCCTTGAGGTAGCTCCCATTCTTGTACGTGCAGGCATCCCTGTACAGCCTTCCCGCAATCAGACCGCGCCCCTGATCGAGCCAATCAATAACGGGGTCGCCATACTCCTGCACCGAGGCAGTGAAGATGACGACTTGGTACCACGTTGAGACTTTGCGCAGGAAGTAGTCCACCCACGGACGCTTGTAGACGTGGTAGATGACGCTGCGTCCATCGAGGACGACTTCGACCATGTGAGGTCTCACGCTACGTCCATTTGATGAGCCAGTAAGACCTAGCAGACCACCCAGACCTTCGAGTCCTAGCAGAGAGCCGCCGGTGGTGACAACGTTGCGCGCAGCTTCTGCTCGACCATTGACCGAAGAGTGTTGCGCTCGCAAAGCCGTCCAGGTCGGGGAGCGTGAGGTCGAGTGGATGAGGGTCTCGTCCAAATCCAAGACGAGGATCTTGGGAGTGTGATGAATCACGACAGAGCGCGGAATGGGAGTCGCAGCTGGAGAAACGGCAACAGGCGGTGTTCCAGTTCCACCTGGGGCCAACGTCGCCTTGGTCTCCGGCGAGCCAATATCATTTCCAGCTTGAGCTCGTGCTTTGAGCAGAGACAGGCTGGCAGATCGTTGATGCCTCTGCACGATTTCATCCGGCAGCTCACCAGTGATCCTCTTCGCCTTTGGCTCGTGAACCAGCATAGGGTCTACAGCGTGAGGGTTGGGCAGCAGCTTCGACAATTTGCTAGCAATGCCACTAGCGATGGTCGGAGGCGTCTCCTCGGGCGTCACCGCTTTCTCAGATTGCTTGAGCGCGAGCAAGGCCTGACGCTGACGCTCCGCTCGCTCCATGGCCTGCTCTTCCGTAACGACATCGTCGACATTTTCTGTATCGTCACGAACGCGACTAGCCGTCGATTTAGACTTCTTCTTCTTTCTCGGCGCCTCGTCTTCTACCACTTGAGCAGCACTCTTTTCGCTCTGTTCGATGACCATTGAAGGCTCTTTGAGGGAGACTTCTACTTTCCTGCGCTTCTTGCTGGTCCCGACGCTGACCGCGAAAGTGACAGCGTCATAAGGAGCAAGAACGAAAGCGAGGACAGCCCGTCGAATCAGCATCAGGATATTACGGAACATGTTCGCAGGGCTGCTCCGCCCTCTTCTGATTTGAGGTGGCACAGCAGTTGCAAGCTCTTGCCCTGCCTGTGACAGCGGATGCTCCTTTTTGCTGAGAGCAATTTGGTCATCGGAGGCCTCGAGGGCAGTATCAGTGACTGCGACTGGCAAAGCTTCACCACCCGCTGCGCTTCCCGTGTCTTCATCCAGAACGGCCTCGTTCAGCCGAGCGGCCCTTTCATCCTCTTGGATGGATGATTGCAGGGCGGCACTGGCTTCTCGAGCTTCTCGTAGCTCTGCCTCACGTTCGCTTTCCGCCGGGTCAGGCTCATCTTCCATCATCGGCCCGCTGTCACCTCCCCTTCTAGACCCGGCGTCATAATCTTGTAGACTCATGCCACCCTCGTAATGCCCTCCTGCTCCCGCTGCCGAGCCGAAGTAGTCTTCAGCTTCACCTGACTTGTCTTCGGCCGTCGGACGCTCCTGAGTCGGCGTGGTGACTGCGTGTGAGTCTTCGGAAAGTTGATCAATCTGAGACACCTCTTGCTCTTCGTGGGAAGCGGTAGCTCTAACATTGCAATCGGCAGCAGCAAGGGGTGACGTGTCGACCATGACGGCTGCAGCCGCTGTAGCGGCTGCTGCCAGGACGTCTTCTTCAGACTCGCTCTCGCCGCCCTCGAAGTCGACTGTATCGACATCTTCCATTCCGCCGAGCCCAGAGGTGCCTACTACCCCCACGCCGACTTCCGAAGGCAGATTAGGGACCGAGGCAGTGAAGGAAGGATGACCGAACGGAGTAAAGATGCGATTGGCAAAGAGCAGTCGGCCCGAGAGCTCAAGTCTCGATAGCCGTCGGTATGACCGATCATCGTCTTGGTCAGAGGATCCTGACGAGCCTGAAGAGCTGCTGGTGGACTCTCCTGAGCTGCCGTCTGAATCACCGTCCGAGTCTGCCTTGCTGCGTTTCCGACGCCGGGAGTGCTTAGCCCTGCTGACATCTGCGGAATCAGTTTCAACAGCTGGCAATGACCTCCGTTCGCTGTCCTGCGTTGAAGTGAAGCTTGTCCTTCTTCTGACGGCAGGGTCGAAGCTGGAGGATGAAGCGCTAGCAGAGAGGGGTGCTTCCAGCCAGGAGCCGATGCCCCAAAGACTGGAGCTCCATCGAGGTGGTTGTCCTGAGCCAGAAGAGCGCCGATCTGGCGTTGCAGGAGTGGAGTCTGATCGGCGTAGGGATTGGCGCGGTTGGGTTGCGGCAGAAGGTTGGATGCGATCCCCGTTCCCTAGACCGGCATCCTCTTCTGACGAGGTTCTGGCCTTTGCTTTGCCCTTTCTGCTCCGCCGTGTTGTCCTGCCTTCTCTATCACCATCATCGTCAGGCTTGAGCTCTTCAGAAGCAGTCATCTGCAAGCCCAGTGCTAGCCGATCGGATCGCTTAGCTCTTGCCCTGCTGGTCTGCAACGCATAATCTGAGCTCCTTCTCGGCAGATGAGGCACCGGTGAGCCAGTGCGGACAGCGCCCTCGCCTCCCGAACGAGTGGCGAGGTCTTCCTCATTGACGGGAGTACCGGAAGCAGGCGTAGTGGATTGCGGTCTCCGTCTTCTCCGATCTCCAGAGGATGAGGAAGGAGCAGTGGCAGAGGAGGGAGAGTCAGGCGGAGATGGTGTCCGACTGGTAGAGAGAGACCTCGAGAGGAAAGAGTCGAGGAGGCTAAGTGAATTCATCTTGGGCGATACTTAGCGGGCTTGATGTGCTGCGCCCTGTAGCCCAATATGATTCTGCCGAGGATGTTGTTGTTAGATGGTTCAGGCCATGGGTAGCAGGGGGGGTTGAGATGAGGTGGGATGTAGTTGGGTGGACTGGATGTGGGCGGAAGCAATTCTGGGACGGAGGAAGTCCACCTGGAACGTGCGAAGAGCGGGCAGGCGGGCAGGCAGCAAGTGGCTGACAACAGTCAAGATGCTGCGTATCTCCCACTGACGGGCGTCCCTAGAGAGGAAATCAATGCCAAAGAAGGGGATACCCACTCTAGCTTGCAGTCAGTCGGGGGCGAGGTGCTTGCGAGGCAGAGAGGAGCGCCAGCCGCAAGCCTGTTGGGGCATTCACGATGCCGGGGCGCTGCAGTTCAATTCCTCCACCGGCGGCCCGACAGTTCCGCCACGGCAGGAGCAACTCGCAGTCAACGTCAGGTCAGCCCAAGAATGTACACGCCTCAAGGTGTCATGGTATCAAGAGTGAATTGAGGAAGATCATGAATGGGATGGTGCTTATACCACTGCTCAATTAAAGCTATCAGACTATGGAATGAGCCACGTTGCTTTACTTGCCCTCATCAAGTGCTCTCCTCACCTCCCTCCGAATCAACCTGATGAGCGCATCCTCATCGTCAGCGCCGACCACGCGGCCACTGTCATCGACTTCTACCTCATTACTAGTCGACTTTTTGACTCCTCCAGACGAAACTGCTGAAGAGGCAGAGATCTGTATCGAGCGGTGAACGTACTTGCCGACCATCTGATCCAAGGAGTAGAGAAAAGCATCAGCTCGATGTCTCTGTCAAAAACAATATTCTGCCTCGCTCCTTAGCATGGACTCACATCGAGTTCAACATTGACTAGCTCTCCAGCCTTCTTCTTGCTCAGGCCGATGACGTCCTGCGTATGCTTGATGAGCATCACGCTGAATTCAACGACCTCCTTCTTGTCACTGACCCCAGCTGCATCTTCCCGCAGCTCTCCAGTGCTTCCGTCTAACCTGCCACCTGAAGGCGGCGAGACGTCAATTAGAGTCAGAGAAGCTCCGTCCAAGGTGACGTAACCTTTCGGAATGAGATAGGGGGACAGTGTGGACGGCAGGGGCAGGTCGTTGGATTTCGTGAGGCGGAGAGTCAGGGTGAGGGCATTGCCGTTGGGCACGACCGATCGCAGCAGCGCAGTGGTATCGACATGTCCCTATGAAGCCGAAACATTGAGCGAGATGTCGGTCAGCCAGCTCGAATAGGAGCGAAGTCTTGCCTACCGCCACCTGACTCACCTGGACGAAGTGCCCTCCAAAGCGCTTCTCGCCCTTCATCGCCCTCTCGCAGTTGACTGCATCTCCCACCTTGAGCTTCCCCAGATTGGTCTTCTTCAATGTCTCAGGGGCTGCCCCAATCTTGAATTGGTCTTTTGTGAATTCCGTGACGGTCAGGCAGGTTCCATTGACGGCGATAGAATCGCCGATGCTGCAGTCCGAGAGGATCTCAGAGGCGGAGCCAATTGTGATAGAGTAGCCGCCACCGCCCGACTTGGTCGAGTCGAGCGGGTCTACAGCTACGATGGGGCAGAGTGCTTCTACCAGACCTGTGAACATCTTGTACGATCAAGGGAGGGTGGTGATGGTCAAGAGGCTCAGGAGGAAGAAGTGGACCCTCACCTCAGCTCCACAATCCTCCGTCGAGAAATGCTCCGCTCAGTCTCGCGCTTTCCGTCTCGCTTCTTCCTTCCGTCTTGGTTCAGAGCCACTGCGTACCATCCATCATTGTAAACCAGCCATAGGCGCCCTGGCTTCCAATGAGTGAAGGCGATGCTCCCGTCAAGCCGACCTTCGTAAAGCGGTCGAGACCCAGAGGGTCGGCCGGAGTGGGACTCAGCGCCTCTTCTGCAGCTTCTACGCCCCTCCGCTCTGGCAACGGCCATGCGCCAGCCCAGGAAGAGCAGGAGGAGGAGGCCGAGGATGCCGGAGTAGTCAGGAGGATCAATACAGTGAGGAAGAGCAGAGGTGACGCCTTCGCAACCTCGGGCAAGTCAGAGAAACGCAAAAGCCAAGGCTTCCGCTTCGACGGCGGCGAGGACGCGGAGGAGGACGCAGATGTGAGTACGATACGAGGACACGTCTCGGTTACTGCCAATGGTATCTGACGATCTTTGCTCTCTTTCCTCCTCTTAGGCGTTTCAGATTCGCTCATCCGCCAAAGCTAGCTCCTCGCGCTTAGGTCCCGCCCCTCCAGTCAGTCTAGACCAGGCATCCCTCCATGATCCGCAACCTTCCTCGTCTCGCAGCGCTTACTCTACTGAGGCACTTGCGGCTCTCAAGGCTTCTACACCATCGACGAGGGTCATCGAGGAGATGCAAGCCGCTGTAGATGAGGATGGAAATCCTATCATGGTCTTCGAGACATCAGGCGAGGACAGGGACGCTGTGGAGGGAAAAGGCGAAGCAGCAGCTGGCCCGTCTCGTTATGCATTTCAGACTATGCCCGATCCAATGAGCCACGGCGACTCGAGACTTCGCTTCGGGGCGGGTCATCTGGACGAAGGCGAAGGCTTGGTACCGAGTCAGAGCGTGATAGAAGCTGCCAAAGAGAGAAGGCGAAAAGCTGCTGCAGGAAACGAGATCGGCCCAGACGACTTTGTCTCGATCAATGAGACAGCCCTGACAAAGAGCAAAAGATCGCTCTCACAAGTGGAAAGGTACGGTCGTGATAGAGAAGACCTGGGGCCACACCCTGAGTCCAATCTTCAGCGAGAGGAAGATGAGGTAGGATCTGGTGAGGAAGAGTACGCCGACTTCACTGGCGCAACAGATCGAATCGCTGTGGACACCAAGAGCAGAAGGAGAGAAGAGGCGAGAAGAAAGAAGGAGCAAGCCGATATGGTCATCGATGCAAAAGACAGCGAAGATGAAGAGGACAGTGATGATGACTTTGAGAGAGCGCAGATGAGGAAGATGGAGATGCCTGGGGAGAGGAGGCGGAGAGAACACAGGGTGAGTAAGAGGACAGACCGCGGCGGTGGTGATGCTGTGGATAGTCTGCTAATCTCCTGCATCTCTCTTTACTCAATACGCTCAGGAGGTGTCGCCGTACCGACCAGCGCCATTACCGCCCATCATCCCGTTGCCGGGCATGTCAACTACCCGCGATAGGCTCTCTATGCGCCTAGAGGACCTCGAACAATCCAACAAAGCCCACACAGCCGTCATGGAGGACGCTCAACGCAGTCTCGCTCAGCTCGATCAAGACGAGGTCGCAAACAAGGCCGAAGTCGAGACTTGGGGTGAGAAGGAGGCATGGATTCGGGAGCTGGCTACCTTCGTCGAGTCGCTTTCTGGACTGCTAGAGGAGACGTTTCCTACTCTTGAAGCGCTCGAGGAGGACTTCATTGCTCTACTCTCCGAAAGGGCTACGATCGTGCAGCGGAGCAGAGCCAAGGAAATGGAAGATGAATTGTCGCTCTTCTTTGGCGTACCTTCACTTTGTCTGTTGCCACCTCGATCAAACCCTTCAGATCGGGACCTAGAGTCTTCCATGCTCTTGGACGACGAAGGGGAACGAGTGGAGGAGCGAGCAGAAGAATGGAATCCAGCTGCAGATGGTGTGGCGACCAGCGAGCTGCGTACTCGTCGAAGAGAGACGGGTTCAGTACCTGCGAACCAAGCTATCCTGCGAGAATCCTCTCTCTCTGCACCAGACCAGGCCGCTTTCGATCGAGCATTGGCTCCACTTACAAGACGAGAAGCGAGCCTGATGGGAAATGTCGAGGCTGCCGAATTCCAGCGGCCGAATGCGACCATCTCTTCAGCAGGTGTGCAGGCGAAGCTCCACCCTTCTTCTATTCACGCGCGCTTCGCAGCCTGGAGAAGTCAATACTCTGACGACTACCACGGTGCCTGGGGCGGACTGGCGATCGCAAGTGTGTGGGAGTTCTGGGCTCGCAAAGAGCTAGCCCTCTGGGACGCCCTTCGCTGGACCCCAAGCAACACGAGCGTTGGTCCAAGGGACTTGGAAGCGGCTGAGTCTCTCACAGCCGTACAGCACTACGTGGAAGAAGCGCTGGAGACTGGGAGCGACCCAACTCTGGGAGGTGATGATGAAGCCGTAAACACCCTCGTCAATACGGTCTTTGTCTCCAAGCTTTTGGCCGTAGCAGAGAAGGGAGCTTATGATCCTTGGAGCTCTGCAGAGACGCAGCGTGCAGTCTTGCTCGTACGTCAGGTGTCAGACTTTCTAGATCGCAAAGGTGTGCGATTGCAGGTACGTTGAAGAAAGAGTAGATAAAGATCCCGCAGCTCGAGCTTGACTGACCTATTACTCTACACCCTCTCTTCTACCTTTTACTTCCTACAGTCTCTCGTCTCAGCCTTTCTCAAAGTCTTTGAGGCTCACATCATGCGACTGGACCAATCACTGTCCAGTGCACCTACCATCGCACCACCAGGCTTCCACCCTCTTTCCATCCCCGCCCGTCTCTCCTTTGCCACTCGCCTCCTCTCCCCACCTCAAGCAGGCACTCAACCACCCTCAGCAGGTCTCCTCTTCAATCTGCTCAGGTGGGACGCACTCGTGGCAGGTGAGCAGAATAGACGTTCTTACGAGGAGCTGCTGGATATTCTCCTGTCAAAGATAGGCTGGGAGCTACTACGCAGCGCGGCCGAGCAGGGTGGGGCTCGGTTGGCCGGTCTAATTCTGAGCGCCTTGCCGCCGAATGCGCCCCTGCAGGCAGATGTCCTTTCGCGCTTGCGCAACCTTGCGGGTACTTCAGCTTCTGCGATGTGATGTGATGTTTGGTGTATGCAATGATATGATTGCCCTCGTGCTAGATGTTTATTAATACAACGCAAAGCCTTTATACCGCTAGACGGTGCGTGTCCCCCTGTTTGTTCTCTCTGCCCCTTAAAGAATGGCACATTTGGTCTCGTCATGACCACAGCTCCTGAGCCTCCTCGACGCTGCCTACAGCGTGAATGGCCTGGATTCCCAAATCGAACCTGAAGCTCTGACCCCTCTTGCTACCCCTGGCAGCCGCATCAGACTTGGTCTCTCTCAATTCTCCATCGCTAGCCCAATCGTCGCTCTCATCGATAGGGCTAGACTGAGCTTGTGCCGCCAGCTCATCCTCTGCTGATTGAGATCTTCGGAGCGCGGATGGTGCGCCCTCGGTGGGAGAAGCATTCCCAGTGGTAGGCGTCACCTCTGGCTCCGGAACCTCGCTCGCGCTACCTGGCAGGCGGGGCGTGTCGAGCACGCAGGAGATGCCGACAGTCCTAATGGCCTGCTTCATCATCGACAGCTGACTAGTGGAGAGAGTGCCAGTGTTGAGCAGCAAAAAGCTCTCCAACGGAATCACCACCGTCTGCCAATCATCTTTTGCTCCCGGATCAAACCAGATGCGATGCTGGAACAAGTCGGAAGTGACAGGTCCATCGGTTTGGATGTTGACAAAGTACTTGGGGCCAGGAGGCTCCTTGAGTCCAAAGCCGAGGGCAGTCTTGGCTCTTTGTGCCGGAGTGAGAGAGGCAATGTTGGCGCTGGAGCCGAGCATGGAGGGTGTGGAGAGGGCAGAGGAGAGGGGGGAACCGGAGGAGGAGGGGAGAGCGAGGGAGTTGCGAACGCGGAGGGCGAGGTAGTTATGGAGGGAGGCGTCCCATGTCTGTGCTCCGAACAGTGTCGGTCGATTCTGCGGGGAGGACATCGAGGGCGGACTGTAAGCCAGATCCGACAGATGTCTTCGCAATGTCCTATACTCACCTTGTTCCTCATTCCAGCATATCCGCTCTTCTCCACCCTTGCCGCCCTGGGTACCTGGCTACTGAGTGTTCCCCAAAATCTACCATGCCCATCAGCCCTCTTCCCGTCGATGTCGTCCGGACCTTTCCCACCGGAACCCTGCGCCACATCCAGCCTCATGCTTGACAGCCCGCCGATATCGCGATCGCATCCCGTTGCATAATGCGAGATGTCTTCTGGCTTGGAGATGGACCAGATGTGTAGAGCTCCCTGCGAGGAGGAATTGGGGGTGACTTCCATCCGCAATGCGGAGGCCGTGCTGTGCTTGATGACATCCACTGATCGCCCAAAGGCAGCGAGGAAGGAGCGAGCGTAAGACATGCTGTCTCTCTGGCGTAGCAGAGTGGCAGGCAGAGGGATACGAGTGACCGGTAGGGTGTGTGCGAGTGGCTGAAGCTGATGGAGGTGCTTAGGATATTTCACCCGATCCGACATTCATTCGCTGCAGTGGAGTAGTCGGAGTTCAAATGCAGATTGCCCTTTGCGCGTGCGTCGACTTCTTCCTCGTTTTTGTGAGAGAGACCAAGACTGCTGCTGCCCGCGTCGTCCTACTGATAGACACCTCATCCCCACACTGCACCCCAACATGGCTTCTCAACCCACTGCGATTCTCTCCGTCTACAACAAGACCGGCCTCCTGGAGCTGGCAAAGGCCCTCCATGCCAAGGGCGTCAAGCTTCTTGGCTCGGGAGGAACAGCCAAGATGGTCCGTGAAGCTGGAATCGACATTGGGTGAGTCGACGAAGGGGGATGTAATGGATACTACCCAAGGCTACGTTCTGACACAAGATCTTCCCGTCCCGTGCTACTCGTAGAGATGTATCTGATATCACCAAGGCCCCCGAGATGCTCGGTGGTCGCGTCAAGACCCTCCACCCCGCCGTGCATGGAGGCATCCTGGCTCAGACTTCAAAGGACTCGGACGTGCAGGATCTCCAAAAGCAAGGCTACAGCCCCATTGACATCGTCGTGTGCAACCTCTACCCCTTTGAGGAGACCATCGCCAGAGATCCCACCCCTACGCTGGCTCAGGCCGTCGAGGAGGTAGACATCGGAGGTGTCACCCTGCTGCGAGCAGCCGCCAAGAACCACGAGCGAGTCTGGGTCCTTTCCGACCCCAAGGACTACTCCACCTTCCTCGAGTCTTGGTCTGCCGGCGGATCCGCCGCTGAGACTCAAAGGAACGTCCTCGCCCTCAAGGCCTTCGCCCACACTGCCAACTACGACAATGCCATCTCCGACTACTTCCGCAAGCAGTACGCTTCGCCTGCTGCCGCCGTCACCCAGCAGCTACCCCTGCGATACGGAGCCAACCCCCACCAGAAGCCGGCTCAGGCTTTCGTCACCCACGGTGAGATGCCCGTCAAGGCTCTTTCCGGATCGCCAGGCTACATCAACTTGCTGGACTCGCTCAATGCCTGGGCGCTGGTAAAGGAGCTGCATGAGGCCACTGGCCTGCCTGCTGCTGCCTCGTTCAAGCACGTCTCGCCCGCCGGAGCCGCTGTGGCTACTCCTTTGACCAAGGAAGAAGCTCGTGCTTGCTTCGTCGATGACCTGGGCTCGCTCACTCCCCTCGCAACCGCCTATGCTCGTGCTCGTGGTGCTGACAGGATGTCATCCTTTGGAGACATCATCGGTCTCTCCACCATTGTGGACGAGCAGACCGCCCGAATCATCTCGCGTGAGGTCTCAGACGGTGTCATTGCCCCCGGCTACGAGCCAGCAGCTCTGGAAGTCCTCTCCAAGAAGAAGGGCGGAAAGTACTGTGTTCTGCAAATCGATGCCAACTACGAGCCTGACCTGCTGGAAACCCGTCAGGTGTACGGAATCTCAATGCAGCAGAGGAGGAACGACGTCAAGATCCACAAGGGTCTCTTCACCAATGTCGTCTCTGCCAAGAAGGACATTCCCGACTCGGCTCTGCTGGATCTGACCGTGGCCACTCTGGCCCTCAAGTACACTCAGTCCAATTCGGTCTGCTACGCCCTGCACGGCCAGGTCATCGGCCTCGGCGCTGGTCAGCAATCGCGCATCCACTGCACTCGTCTGGCAGGAAGCAAAGCCGACAATTGGTGGATGAGGCAGCACCCACGTGTGCTTGGTCTTCCTTTCAAGAAGGGTACCAAGCGCCCTGAGAAGTCAAATGCCATTGACGTCTTCGTAGAGGGAATCATCGATGCTCCCTCCATGAGCGGTACGACGGAGCGCTCTCAATGGGAGTCTCTCTTCGACGAGATCCCTGCTCCTCTCACGGGCGAAGAAAAGGCACAGTGGGCTCTACAACTCAAGGAGGTGGTGTGTGGCTCAGACGCCTTCTTCCCCTTTGACGACAATGTTCACCGATGCGCCCGGTCTGGAGTGAGGTACATTGCTGCACCTGGAGGATCGGTCATGGATGAGGCTTGCATCAAGGCGGCTGATGAGCATGAGATCAGGGTCGCCAGGACGGAGCTGAGGCTGTTCCACCACTAGGCGGAGAGGGATGAGGAGGCAAGGGATGAAGATTCAGTAGAGTGTGGTTAGCAAGTTCTGTGTTTCTTTTGGCCCCAAACATCAAGGACATCACAGTCGTGCGAGGTCATGTGATGTGATGTGGGATTAGATATAGATTATCGCTTCTGCATTGGTGATGCCGAGAATCAGCCTCAAAGTTCCCTCATGCTTACTTCTTACCAGCCTTCTTCTTGGCTGCCTCCTCCTTTGCCTCCTTTTGAGCCTTTTCGTAGATCCTGTTGAAAGCAGATGCGATGGAAAGGTAGTAGAGTCAGCTTCGCGCGTCTTCGGAGAGTAGGCCACATGCAGAGCCATCGAGAGACTCACCAGTCGTTCAGCCCTCTCCTGTTCCTAGCAATCTCGTAGACGTAGAATTGCAGCCGGGTCACTATAGGTCGTAATGAAGAGAAAGGAGCAGGAATGCATTAGTCACGAGCGTAGCAAAGCAAGGGCGGCCGCTGCAAGCATTTGTTTGGTCGATCCGACAATAAGGCCAGGGCCGATGCTCCTGATGCTCACCAAAGGTTGTGTTGTGCTGCGTGTACTCGTCTGCGGCGTCTGTGCGGATCAGCGTTCCGAAGTTGTAGTCGGCGACTGGATGGGATGGGTGGAGTGGGGTCGTAGAGCGCAGCATAGGTCAGTATGGAGAGTAAGCATTAATGTGTGCTGCCCAGCATATTTCCCGGTCCAGCAGGGTCGGTGTTCGCATAGCATACAACCTCGAGAAAGGCCCTTCTTTCTCTCTCGCATTCGACAGCTACTCACTCTTGTTCTCGTACTTGTTGATAAATTGCCTCCAGGCCTCCTTGCCCTTTGCACTCTTCATCCCCTCCTCATCCACCTTTTTCACCTTTGCCTCGTCCCCCGCCAATTCAGGGAAAGTAGCCTGGAAATCCTCATAAATCTCATCATCTAGACGGGAGAGTTTCAGAGTGGAGGGCTTGACTTTTTCATAGAGGTTCCAGGTGGCTTGAGCGTGCTCTACGCACTTGACGGCCATTTGCTTTTCGATTTCGGGGAGGTTCTGAGCCTTGTTGGGATCAAAAGTTCCGGTGGACATCTTGGCTGGCTTTCACTTGAGGGAGCGTTAAGGGGGTGCACTAGGATTGATCGAGGAAGAGAAACGCTTGTGATGCTTTCAATGCTGCGTCGAGGGGTACAAGAAGAGCAAGGATCGTGCGTGTGTAGCGAGATGTAGCAGGGGTGGATTAGGGGTGACGGCGCAAGGAGGTTCTCCTCTTTAAGTCGAGCTGCAGGTCAGGTCAATGCAATGCGATGGAGAGGTATTGAGGTCAAAGCTGCCTGAAGCACTGGGCGGCCAAAAAGCAACGCAGGGCACCGAGCCAGGCAGCGCGTGGAGGCAAAGCGAGCGCCGATCCGATTCTTCGGCTCGAGATGCCTCGGCCAGGCTCCTCACGCATCTGCGCCCTTCGTTGCTCTTCGTGGGCATACCGAACACATCGCAAAGCAAATGACGACGCAGACGACTGATGGCAAAGCTTCAGTGCCATGCTCCGAGTACAGAGACGACAATTTTGGGGAGGACCTTGGGCGCAGTGCCTCACCCTCATGGCTCAGTAATTGAATTCCCCGGTCCATCCCCTGGACCGGTGCCAAGGTCGGACGAGCGTCACCCCCTTGAGCACGGCCACGAATGTGATGCTTCGCTGTTTCCGTGCGCCGAGACTTCTTGGAAGGATAGACCTGCCCCTGATCATCTCACCCCTCTCCACAATGGTAGACCGAAAGAGAGATCTGCCGAACGCCTTGTCGCTGCGCCTTGGGCACAGCCCTTTACGGATGATCCTTCCTTGGCTTGGACCCCCCTTAGCGCTTCCTGGCCACGTCTGGTGCCTGCGTGTGTCGTCTTCTGCCTGGCTGCGAGTGTGGGGGCAGTTGGCTGAGTCTCCATGCGCGGGCGGGCCGGGAGAAGCAAAGGAGACAGTGCTCCGCTCCGCTCCGCCTCCTGGCCTGGCCTGGCTGCACCTGCGCCTGCGCCTGCCTAGGCTACCTTGGCCTTGCCCGTCCCCCCCGGCGGCTGCCCGCCTGCCCGCCCTCTGCTTCTGGAGCCTTTAGTCACCCCCCCCCCCTGCCCACTTTTCCCACCTTTGCTACCATCCTGCACCATACTTTAACCCCACTTCAATTCAGAGCTCAGCATTCGCATAGCTCTCTGCACATACCACACCAAGACTACACTCTCCCATCTCGCCACTTACACACTCGAGCAATCATGGTGAGTATTGCTTCCTTCTCCAGCGACACATGCCTTATCTGGCAGCACCACCTCCACCGAGCCTGTGCAGTCCCCAGAACCATCTACTGACCATGGTACCGCCTCTTTTTCCCCTCTTTCCTTGCCCCTCCTCCGCGCCTCTCTTCTACACTGCTGCAACATCTACTCATTACCACCTGGCCTCACTTGTACTGGTCACCGCTTCCCTTGACGTCGTCTCCATTTCGGCCTCCAGGGTGCCTGCACTTCCAAGAACGAGAGCAGCAAGACGATGAAGCGAACCGACACCAACCGTTCCGGCGGCAAGGGCGGTGCCAATGACCTGCAGCGAACCACTTCCTCCTACCACGGATCGGTAGCAGATGGTATTCGTTACTCGGACCGATTGGCTGACCGAGAGGATGAGAGGAATCGCCTCACTGCTAGTCAGATTAACAAGAGCAAGACTCTCGAGGAGAGGCTGAGGCAGGCAGAGAGGGAGAACGCCTCTAGGCGTGGTTAGAAATAGGAGCACGACGACGACAAGGAGGATTCCTTTTCACCGCCAATTCGCCAGCTTCTAGCACCTTCCAACTTCCATCTCACAGTCTCAATGAACGCAACGTATAAATAGGCTCTGGCTCAACAAAGGAGGGAAGGAAAGGAGAGGAGGATGGCGAGGATGGCAAGGACGGCGACGTGAGAGAAATCCTTCCTACCACCTGCCATTTTAGTGTGGAAATGGCAAGGCGGAATCAAGTGGAGGGATGGAGACAAACGTCGAGCTCTACAGGGGTAGTGTAGGGAAAGGCTGCGTCGGTGAAGTTCTCTGCTGCTCATGACTTTCCCCTTCTGTTCTCTCTTCAAGATCCTCAATCCATCTTTGCCCCACGCTCTTCACAGTCGACTGTCTGCTCGTCCGCCTGCAGAAGTGAGATTCTGTCGCAGAGACTGTGCTAGGAGGCGAGCCAATGAGGGTCGCTCCGAGTGGTCGCGCCGAGGGATTGCACCTACCGCCTTTCGGAACGTGGTGTCGTCCGCTCTGACCCACTCTGACTTGCCCGATCAGGATCCAAATGACAGAAGTGAGCTCCCTCAGTCTGTTTGAGCACCGTTCTCGGCGTCCTTTGCGTCCTTCCCTACTCGCTTCCTCTCCTCCGTCGAGATCAAGGAGGGACTTTCACATTACTCTCCAGTACCTAAACAAGTAGTAGTAGGAGGACTGGTTGATTCATCGGGCTCGTGACTCTGCTCAGCATTTTCGTAATTCTGTTTGCTCATGCTACATCGATGATGGAAAGACCTGTACAGCATCCCCCGCCCCACATCCATATCCACACTCATACTCAAACTCACACACACAGGAGCAGACACAGACACAGACACAGACCAGGTGATAAAGCTCAAGCAAGAAGATGGATATATTGAATGGGCAGACAAGGCCAAGTTCGTTTGTTCGTTTGCTCGCTCGCTTCATTCGCAGGCTTGGAGGGGGGCGCGTAGGCAGGATCAGGTAGCTAGCTAGGTACATAGAGACAGGCGCAACAAGAGTCGGGACGAGAAGAGTACAGAGGGCGCTAGAGAGAGGGAGAGAGAGAGGCCTATAGGTGTCTCCTCTTGCTGTGGTGTCGCAGAAATTGTCCAGTCCCAACTCCCGTATATGGGGTATGGGCTTCTCGTGGGTATTCGGGTCGCTCCTTTGGAGACGAAGAGTCGAGCGTGGGTTCTCGTAGATAGATAGGTAGATACCTGATCAGGCGGAGTTGATGGTGAACATGGGAGACCTGTTGCCACTGTCGCCCATCAGTACGACAAAGTACTCGGAGCGAGTTGTGAGGTTCGCAGGGAGGGTGAAGTCTGAATAAAAAGAAGAAGAGGGCGGACGGTGTCAGTCAGTCTCACATCTGGTAGTGTGGTCTCCAGCTCATTTCACGCAGTTTTACTTACCAACACTTCCATTCTTGAGCAAGAAGTCGTCTGCCAGAGGGTGGTTGGAGCGCAAGTGGTAGCTCGACTTGCCAGCCACCTTGTAACCCAGCAGAACTTGTCCAGTGTACTTGCTGTACTTGGCCTTCTTGACACAAGAGGGGTCCCAGGTCACCTTGACGTCTTCTCCGGCGGTCCACTTGGTCTTCTTGGTAGGCTGAGGGGGTGGAAGAAAGGGAAGAAGATGAGGCGAAGCGAAGTCAGCAGGTGAATCCCATGTCTTTTGTTATCAGAACTGATGATCATCGCAACTCACGTAGGTAATCTTGCAGTTGATGACTTCCCTCGCAAGGAGATCGAAGCTGTCCTCCATGACGTCCAAGCCATCCCTGCCTACAGCCATCTCGACGTTACGCTCAAGTACATCTGCAGAGACTTGGCTCATGTCAGAGTCGGCAAAAGGGGCAGCTTGGACCAGTCCGGCTACAGCGAGGATTCCGACGGCGAGGAAAGAGTTGAGGAAGCGAACCATTTTTGATTTGTTGAAAGTGGGTGAGAAGTTTGGGGAAAGATCTGCTGGAAAGCTGCTGATGAGGGTGTGATGGGAGAGGAAGGTGGAAGGACGAGGTGATGTACGCTGCTAGTGATGACAATGGCAACAGCCAGGAAGACTCTCTCGACGAATGGGTGCGAAGCTAAGGCTCAATGGAAGGCTAGCGAACGGCTCAAAGGTACTGACTGGGTGATGAATGGTAGAGCTGGTGGGATCTACGGAACAGCGATGATGGCGAGCTTTTCTTTTAAGAGCGGTTGGAGATCGTAAGGCACAGCCCTTTGATCAATTGATGACAGCGAGTGGTGAGGTGGTGGGTAGTCTGGTTCTGGTCTGTAATCGGTTGTAAGCGGTAGTAGATGAGGGTGAGAAAGGGCGGAAGAAAGGTAGGCTACCGGCGGTTATATAGAAGATGCAATTCTCTCCGGGCCGAGCTGCCAGATGGGCTGAGCTGAAGCACTCTCTCCCTGTGAAGGTGGAGCGTGACCGTTGTGAGGTGCAGGCGGATGTGACGAGGGTCAATGCAATGACGCATCTCGCAGTGTTGGTCACAGAAGTAACACTTTTCCCCTCTCGGCCTTGTTCCCCGAACCGCCAAGCTCCGCCCCTCGACTGCCTCCACGCCCTGCCGCGCCGCGTCCTACTAGATTCTACTTGAGCACCACCACCACGCCTCGCGAAGCTTCCTGCCGGGCTACCAGCCGCCTTGGGAAGGTCCAAACGGGGGCAGTACAGCCCAACAGTTGCTCAACGTCGCTCGCTCGCTTGCTCGCCGTCGCTTCGATCCAGAACTCCCTATGCCGAGCTACCTGCGATTGGAGAGTCTGCCTCCTGTCGAATCTCTACCGCCGGCACTAAACTAAAGCGTGACGCGCGGGTGACACACTCGCCCCGCCCTCGGCTCGGAACCTCTGCCGCCGGTACCGCGCCCGTAGTCTCATGCAAAGCCGCGCCTATTCTCCAACGCAGCCTAGAAGCTGCTCTGACGATCTATCCAGCCGCGATGCGGAAGGTGATACACAATCGATGAGGAGAGAAAAAGCCGTGACCTCTTCGGCAAAGTTGTGCCGAAAATAAGGAGGGGGAGGGGGGGGGGGGGGGGGGGGGGGGGGCCTGGGCCCAATGGCGGGCAGGCACGCAGGGGGGGGGGGGGGGGGGGGGGGGCGTGCGTGCGTGGGGGGGGGGGGGGGGGGGGGGTGCAGTGACCCATGCTCGCTCCCACCCTCTCATCTGTCGAACCGACCCGTTTGGCATGTACAGAAACGCAAGGGCACATGGGCTTTGAGTCAGAGTGGAAAGGAATCGCTACGGAATAATCTGAACCGCGTCTGCTTCGACAATCCAGTGGTCTCTGATCCTTGGTCTAAGCTTGCTGCTTTTGGGGAAGCAGGTGTGCCCCTCCTCCTAGACCTGGGCGTCGCCACTAAACACCTATGGTCAACGTCTCGTCCACTGTCTACACTACTCACTCCCGTCGTTGGCTAGCAGTGAAAGATGGATGGCTCCCTTGGCGAAGGATCTTCCAGCGGCCCGGTCCGGCAGCCGGTGGATGGGCGGCTTGTGCCGCGACTTTCAAACGGGGCGAGAGCTTCCCCACAAAAGAAGGACGCGCGTGGAGCGAGACAGGCGGAGGGCCACGGCCGGCAGAGGGAGCCCCGTGGGAAGAGGGAGCCAATCTCACTTTCAATCCAACAACCTAGGTTGCCCCTCCCTGTTCCCTTCCTCGCCATCCCCTCACAGCGTCTACTCGGTCCTCTCTGTCCTCACGCTAGATACTGAGGATGTCCGCTTCCGCTTCTTCCTCATCGTCTTCGTCAACAGCCGCGGCTGCTCGCAGACGATCCCGGCCCGTTCCACCGCCTACTTTGGCCGACAGGACGCTGGGTTGCTTCTCCAATGTTGCTCCCAACGAGACACTGGATAGGCTGATCCGCTTTCTGAGCTCATGGAGTGGAACCGACAAGGTTAGCAGACAAAGAGAGCAGATTAGGGAGGAAAGGGCTCCATTGCAGGAAATTGGCAGTCAGCTAGGCGGGAAGAAAAGAGGGATAGTGGAAGATACGATCGAGGACAAGTCTTGCTCACAAATTGGCCTCCTTTACGCACGTCCTACCGCTCTCACAGGCTCTGATGCTGACGCAATATGGCTCCAAGCTGATCATTCCCATACTGACTTTGCAACATGCCATACGTCTGCGTCTGGCGGGCAACAAGGGTTATCACGCCTACAAGGGAGGCTCGGCCAATGCGAGGAGGTTGGAGAAGCTCTCTTCACTCATAGGAGATGCGAGAGTCTTGTTCAGGATCTGGGGTGTACTGCCAATGATTAAATGGGTGAGTGAGAGGGAAAGCTAGGCTCAGCTTCTATGCAGGATGAGACCACTTTAGAAGCTGACTCTTCCTCTCGTATCCTTATCTTCCACTCTCCTAGATGATCGACATTGAGCGGCATCACCCTCCTACTCGTCCACTGCACATGATTGAGCGCATCCAAGGCTGGTCTATGCTCCTCTACTGCCCAATGGAAGCAGTCGCCTACCTCTCCGGTCACTCCATCCTACCCGTCTCCACGCCCAATCAAAATCGACTGTGGCTCTGGTCCTGCAGACTCTGGGCCGTGTACGTGGGACTCCAGCTCCTCCATCTGGTAGAGGACAATAGGCTGCTCAGACTCAGGGCGAGGGCTTTAGAGAGGAGTCGTGGCCACCCGACTCCTGCGCCTGGAGAGCTGCAGGCCAGGGGCAGTGGCAAGGGGAAGACGAATCTGAGTGAAAAGACTGGCGCGGCTGGGGAGGAGGAGGAGGACGTGAATGATGAGCAGGCCGTGACGCGCAGGTTGTGGGATGATCTGGATGAGAGGAAACAGGCCATCATCTCGCAGCTCTGGGTCAATCTGGGCTACCTGCCTCTCACAATCCACTGGTAAGTACTGACGGAGTATGCTGCTTTACTACCAGCATGTCTGCCATACCCGCGAGAAGGCAATCTCTCACCAAGTTCCCTCTCCTTCCGCTTCTCTTTTTCTCTCGTTTCCTCCTTCTCACAGGTCCTGTCCCTCTGGCATCTTCAACTCTGAAGCCTGGGTAGGCCTCTTTGGAACCATTGCCGCCGTTGCGGGGATCAGGCCAGGATGGAAGGCCACGGCTACCTTGCCGTCTGCCTAAACGGAGTAGACTTGGGCCGCTTGCCGCTCGCGAGGCGGTATACAGGGAAGAGAGAGAGAGAAGTGGAGAAGAGAAGAGAGAAGAAAGGGGCAAGGAGCTGGCAGACTAGTCTGGTCCGGTCTTGTCTTGGCAGAAGGGAAAGAGGCAAAGAGGCAGAGGCAAGAGGAGGAGGAGGAGAGGTATCGACCTCTCCCTCTCCGAGAATTGCAAAAGCAGGATTGGTGACACGCCAGTCCACTTATCTCACTTACTTCAACGATCGCTCCGTCCCTCAATGCCACGCCTGCTACCGATCTACCTACTCTCTCTCTCTCTCTCTCTCTCTTTCTCTCTCTCTCTCTCTCTGAAGTCCCGCAGCCGCCCCATACAAGTCGCAGAGCACCAACCCTGTGCTGTGCTGTGTACTGAGCTGTAATGTGAATCTAATGGCATACACTACTGCTACTGCGACTGGGCTGAACTACTGCTACTGCTACTGCTACTGCTCGGGACTACTCCTACTGCTACTGCTCCGGATCCGGATGCGGATCCGTTTGAGATTTGGATTTGAAAATGAAAACATGAAGCGATGCTAGAAGAGAGCGAGAGGCACAGGTAAAGGTAAAGGAACGGGGAACGGGGGAAGGAAAAGGAAAAGATGAGGGTGAGAGCGAGGGATAGACGATTCGATCTGCCTGCCTGCCAGCCAGTTAGCCAGCCTGTCAGTCAGTCAACACACCCTCTCCTCTCTCCTCTCCCCCGCCCCCTCCCCCTTTCCCCCCTCCCCCAATTCCCTCTCTCAATCAACAATGGTCAATTCCCTCCTACGATGCGCAGCATACGAGTCCTTCCAAGTATCCCAGATATGATTCAGCTCAGCAATATACTCCTTTTGTACTGCATCAAGTTGTTCCTTTGTTGGATTCGAAGACTGCGTCACGTGAATTGGGCGACCGACTGGGTTGATGGTGTAGGTGGGAGGCACCGGGGAAAAGGCGAGTGTCACTTAGATGGACAAGAAGGATCAGGGAGCGTCCCCTCCCCCCCCTCCCCCCACACGTTACACCTCCTGAGGAAAGACTGTGCACTCACCAACGCTGACAATCGGATGTCGAAAGGGTAGAAAGCCAAAGTTGTAATTGAAGACGCCCCTACCGTGGAACAAGGGTAGTGTGAAGCCAAAGATGGCCTGGAAACGCTTTTGCAGCGTGTATACTTTTGTGCCCTTTTCATTTGCCAGCTGTTCGTAAATGTCGTTCTCTCCAAAGGCGAAGCTGGGGGGCGTTGGGAGAGGGAAGGCAGAGTGAGTGAGAGTGAGCCAGCGTATCTGGCAAAGTCAACGATTTCCCTCTCGCATACTCACACGGGCACTAGATCCGCGCCGCTCTTCATTGCAATCTTGATGAACCCCAGACGCCTCTTCAAGACCAAGTCCGCCGTCTGATTGAAAGAGCCGATACGAGTCAGGGGGGGTTGAGCTACTGGTGCAGCCTCCACGCTACCATCGCGCCTCCACTTACCCCTGGTCGAGCATTCAAGCTCTCTGCTGCTCCTCCGACCACAATGGTGATGCTCGATCCTTTGCCCTTTCTGAGAGCCCTCTCACAGCTCCTCCGACTTACACTGCAGAGACCCATTGCCAGCAGCAAGTCTCGGTAGATGGGAATCTTGAAATTGCTAGCAAGGGTCAATAGGCGGGGCTCGATGCCTGGGAAGGTATCCGAGAATTCGAGGGCTTCTGTTGCAAAGGTCGCTACAGCTCCCATGCCGATAATGCCATGTGGGTGGTAGCCGAAAATGTATGGACGATCGGGCGGGAGATCAGCCGTCTAGTCGGCAGAGGGTTGTACGTGGTGGTCAGCTGGCAGATCGACTCGTCTGTCCCCTTGCCTGCTTCTGGTAAGCAGCCACTCACTTTGATCAAGCTGACGGGAAAGTATTCTGCAAAGTACTTGAAGATGGGCAGCCTCCTCACCCACTTGACCTTCCTCCCCCCACTTTCATGTGCATCGTCGAACCACATCCAGATGAGATATACAGTGAGTAGGGGCCACAAAGGCGGAAGAGAACTGTACGAGAGGAACGAAGATGGGCATTTGCGTGAGCGCGAGCCGAAAGATGGCGTCCTTGGCTGTCACACTCACATGAGCAGGAAGAAGAGGGATACGCAAACGGGCAGGCCCACGCCCCATAACAGGACGCCTAGTGTCTGGAGCCTCCTCTGTCGAGGTACTGAAAGGGGTGCGAATCTGGTGAGACGAAGAGAATGGGATTCAGTTCAGGATCCTTCGAATTGCACCTTGGAAGTGATGAGCGGCTCACCTCCAAGCCTGATCTGGCAATTTAGCGCCCTTGCCCTGATCGTCTGGTACCCTCCCCACAATTTCCCTTCCATGCTCATCAATGATGGTGGGTATGTCCGCGTCGGCCTCTTGCTTCTGCGGTCGATCTACGTGGCTGTTGCTCGAGTCTTCGTGTTCGATGGGATTGGTAGGAGCCTCAGCTTGGCCCATGGTGGAGGAGCGGGTAAGGGCAGTGAAGGTAAGGTGCTTTCGTGTGTACAGCAGTGCTCCCCCTGAGGATCACCTGGAACCCCTTGGGTGATGTTAGGCAAAGAGGGCGACCACGATGGCGTACGAATGGGTGAGGAATATGTCTTGTCTGTCACAGTCTTTCACGAGTAAGCAGAGGTCATGAACGAGCGGAAAGGCGGGCCAGGTAGTGGTAGGCCCCGGCCTCACCCACCACCCCGTGGAGGGTCCAGGCGCAATCCATCGCACAGGCCCGCGCGTGGGCTGGCTCGCTTTGCCTGCCTGCCTGCCTCGTCTTGCCTATGTGTGTTGCGATTGATTCCCACACAGCCGCGCTGAGACCCAGACAATGGGAACAGGTCGCAATTACTTACTCCCCCAGTGCAAAGTACTCTCGGACACACCCAGGGACCATTGGTACGGTTGCTGTCAAGGCAGAAGCTTCCCTCGCCTCGACGTCTCATCCACGTTCCGACGAGTTCAGACCAGGGTCCGAGCGCAACCCTAGATGGACGTCTCTCCCTTATCTGGGCGGGCGACATCTCACCCTGACCCACGCGGCAGGGGGGCCGCATCGGACCAAGAGGCCGACGGGAGTGGGTAGCGCGAAGAGATGGACAGGCGGACAGGCAATCAAATCCAATCGGGCCGATGGTTGGCTCCGCGCCTTGGCTTCTTGCCTTTGCTCTTGCCTCTGCCTATTGCCCGGTGCATCTCTGGCTGCAGGAAGCGTCATCGAGGCTTAGCATCCGGCCTGCTATACCGACGCGCCCAGGGAAGCACAGAGTTCTTCTTACCCTCTTGTGCATCCTTCACCTGAAGTGTGTGGCTCAGTCCTGCTTCGGCATCCAAGGTGGAGCATTCGCAGATCTTGGTCGCCGCCGTCAGGGGCCACACCACTTGACATTCGGGACGCAATGTTCCGGCGGACGCGGACGCCACTAAGCCCCGAGGCACGCCTCGCTTGGCAAGTTGCTGCCGCTCACTCGGCTTCCTCACCATATTTCAATTTCCTTTTCTCGTCCGCATCGCCTTACGCAGCCCCTCAGTCATAAGCAGCGTCCCTATATCTACCCTCTTCCTTCCTTGCTGCGACAACGTATTGACCTCTTCCCCGCCCCACCTCGCAGAAGCTAGAGTCACCTGCCTCTTGCCCCCAGACAAGATGCACATCGCATCACTCACCACCCTCGCAGCCTTCGTCGCCTCGACGCTGCTCCTGGCCACTCCTATCCTATCCGCACCTTCCAGCTCGGCGCCTCTCCTAGCCCAGAATGAGCTCAGAGCGCTGTCACCGGCTCAAAAGCAGGATATCCTGGGAGGCCTTCTCGTAGCCAGGGCCGTCAGCGAGAAGCGTGCAGCAGATGGACTTGCTCCTCTCAGCGCACAGCAGGCGCGGGAGATTCTGGAGGTGCACACAGCTGCCAGAGCCGTCAAGAGGTCCAACCCAGATGGCACCTATGCCCCAACGATCCTCACAACCTGCCCAGGCGCCCCTTCCAACCAGACAGGGGGCGCCACTGGCTATGTTCGAAACGGCACTTCGCAGGAGATCAATGCTAACGAGACCGCATACATTACCAAGCATCGCCAGGCTCTGCAGAGCAGTTGGTCGACCTGGCTCTCTTCGGCCTCGCCAGGACCCAATCTCGGAGGCGACTTTGATGTATCGAACTACACCAACACCCTCAGCAACATCCCACGCACAGGTATTGCCATCAGTGGGGGTGGATACAGAGCCATGCTGTACGGCTTGGGTGTCACACAGGGTCTGGACGAGAGGAACTCCACTGCGAGCGGAGCTGGTGTGGGAGGAATCTTGCAACGTGCTGACTACATCGCAGGTCTTTCTGGAGGCTCCTGGGCTACTGGCGCCTATGCTATCAACGGCTTCCCCACCGCCCAGAGACTCGTCGACGAAGTTCTTGACCTGAACAACAATCTCGTCCTCCCTAGCGATGGCACTGTCTCCTTCTACGCTGATTTGGTTGGTGACGTATCTGACAAGCGGGACGAGAATTTCCCCACTAGTATCACAGACTACTGGGGAAGGGCTCTGAGCTACCATCTCCTCAACGATACCACATACCCTGATCAAGGTCAGGCCACTACCTTTAGTGATATCCGCAACACCTCCAGCTTCACAGGTGCCACATACCCCTATCCCGTCGTCATTGCTGACGAGCGAGAACCGGGCGAGACCCTCATCTTTTCCAACACGACCATCTTTGAGTTCAGCCCCTACGAGTACGGTACTTGGGACCGCATCCAGGCATTCGTTCCCATCGATGTCCTGGGATCCAACATCTCCAACGGTGAGATTACTCGCTGTGTGGAGGGCTTTGAGAACTTTGGTTGGGTGGTTGGAACATCTGCCTCGCTGTTCAATGGAGCCCTCATTGATCTGCTAGAGGATGATGGAAATTCCATCATCAAGTCCGCCATCGAGTCTGTTCTGCAGGATATCGGCTCGCAGGACAACGATGTCAGCCAGGTGCCCAACCCCTTTGCAAACTACTCGAACAACGAGCTCGCCTCTCAGGAGCTCATCACCATGGTCGATGGAGGTCTGGACAACCAGAATGTGCCTCTTTGGCCACTGCTGCAGCCGGCTCGTCAGCTCGACTTCATCCTCGCCCTAGACGCTTCGGCAGATACTACCCTCTACTGGCCCAACGGCTCTTCCCTCTACCAGGTGACCCTACGAGCTCAATCGGGCGTCTACCCTGAGATTCCCTCTCCTTACTTCCCCTCGACGAACACCTTCGTCAACCGCGGCCTCAACACTCGCCCCGTCTTCTTTGGATGCAACGCCAGCAATGCAACCAATGCAGGCACTGCCGCCCGCGGCTTCGAGGCGCCCATTGTAGCCTATGTCCCCAACTACCCCTACACCTACCTGACCAACTTCTCCACCTACCAGCTCGCATACAATGCGACCGAGGCACAGGGAATGCTAGACAATGGTGTCGTCCTCGCCTCCCTGGGCGGCAACAACGCAACATGGTCGCAGTGTCTCGCCTGCGGCATGCTAGAGCGGTCTTGGGCTCGAAGTGGTGTCAGTAGGCCCGAAGCCTGCACCACCTGCATGAACACGTACTGTTGGGATGGAGTCGAGGATGATTCCACACCGGCAGAGGACTACTCGCCTGCAATTGGAACACCACAGTGGGTTGGCAATACGGACATTCAGGCTACACCGCCCTCGTCGGGTGCACCGGCAGCGTCCTCTTCTGCTGAAGCCTCCAGCGCAGGGAGGACCAGGAGTGTACTCTTTGGAGGCGGATCCAGCGCAGGGGAAAGGTGGCAAGCGGTATTCAGCTTGAGCATACTGGCGGGGGTGGCTGGAGTGGCATTGCTCATGTAGTTGCTGGAGAGAGAGGGAATTGCCGACTTTGGATCCAGGACCTCCTGGTCCTAGGTTTCGATGGACTCACTTCTGTAACTTCACGTAAAACAGCATAGCGCGTAGCATAGCATAGCATAGCTCAGCACAGCCAAAGCTAGACCAAATGCCACATCCGACTCAGCTCAGCTCAGCTCAGCTCAGCTCAGGTATCAATGACGTTCCAAGAAAAGGACCTAGAATGAATGAATGAGTCGATGAATCGATCAGAGTAGCGTGGCAATGGGGCAGGGGGGAGTAGGGGGGACGAAGAAGACGTATTGGGTTACAAGGAGCGAAAAGAGTGGAGAGTGAAGAGTGAAGAATGGAGAGGGGAGAGGGGTGAGGGGTGAGGGGTGCAAAGGGAATAATCAAAGATCGTAAGAGTAGCAGTAAGAGCAAAAGAGAGTAGGGGAAAGAGGAGAGGGAGTGTTCGTGGTGTTACTCCAAGTAGCCAGAGCCAGGGCCAAAAAATGGGCGAGGGGTAAAGATGGGTTCTGGAATTGCATTCTGCTTCCGATTCTTTCTTCTGATTCTGATAGGGTAGTAGTAGTAGTCGTGCTAGCTCATCGCGTCACATCACATAGGGGCCATATCCATCAGTTCAGCCCTGGGTATCCCGAGCACCCGCACCACCACCACCACCACCTCGCATAGAAGGGGACGAGTATCCACCCGCGTTCCCTGCTCCCGCTCCCGCTCCAGCACCTCCGCTTCCGCCTTGGTACTGCTGCTGCTGGTATCCCATTCCGCCGAATTCGGATGGGCCACCCCCGCTCCCCATTGGGTAGCCACCCATCATAGGCATGCCATACATGGACATGTGCGAAGGAAAGGCGCCCATGCTTGGACTGCCGGGCATCATACCATGCATGGACATGGAGGGTGCGTGACCTCCTCGTGAAGCACCACTGCCGCCTCCTTCCGCACCACCACCACCACCTTGACCTAGGGAGTGAGCTTGTGCGTGACCTTGACTTGGTGAAGGCGCCATGTGCCCATGCTGAGACTGACCAGCCATGGCCATTGCCTGCATGTAGGCCTGTTGAGCAGCCATGGCTGCTGCCATCTGTTGTTGCATCTGCTGCTGTTGCATGTACGGGTCCATTTGAGGTGGGGGAGAAGCACCGCCTGGGCCACCACCACCACCACCACCTCCTCCTCCTCCGCCACCACCGTGGCTCATTTGTGAGCCAGAGGCTCCACCACCGCCGTAGCCGCCTCCTGGCATGCCCATACCCATCATCATGGGGTTCATCATCATCATTTGTTGCCACATGAAGGGGTTGCCCATCATTCCATTGGGCATCATACCGGGCATCATTCCACCCGGCATCATTCCACCCATCATGCCAGGCATCATACCGCCCCACTGACCGCCCGTCATCTGAGGAGACATCATACCGTTTGGCTGCTGCTGCTGCTGGTAAGCCCTGCTCATTTGTTCCTCTTCGCGCTGGCGTCGTTCCGTTTCTACACGCTGCCTTTCACGCTCAGTCAGAGTAGCGCCAAGTCCACCAGCTCCCTTTCGCTCGCGCTCGTGGGCGGTAATAGCACCCAGCAAGCCAGCTTGAGGCTGTGGAGGTTGCGAAGGAGGCTCGACCATGGGCATGCCCATCTGACGTGCGTCCGACTCTTGCTGCTTCGCCGAGCGATCAGCCTTGTCGGCAGCTCCGGCCTGCAAGAGTCCATGAGACTGGAAAGGCGCTGCAATTTGTCCGGATCGATCATTATTGTTGAGCGTCACGAAGGACTGCCGGTTGTGAGAGGCGACAGGTCCCATTTGGTACCCTTGACCAGGTGAGATGGAGCGCGACCTCTCATCTTGTGGAGCACTGAGCTGCGATTGCTGCGTTGCTTGCCTCGATTGCGAAGGTTGTCCAGGGACCAGTGCCGGGTGAATGCCGCCAGCACGCAGCTGGCCTCCAGCGGGTGTTGAAGCAGAAGACTGCATCGAGCTGGGACTGCTGACACGCCCACCCGCAAGGCCATAAGCGTTGCTTCCTGTAGTGCTGTTGGCCATGCCAGGCTTGGGAAGACCAGCAGCCGCAGCGACCTGAGCAGCTCTGCCCTGGTCAGTCGAACTACTGCTACTGGTTGGGCCAGTCGAGTTTGAAGTAGAGATGGGAGCGCCTCCTACTGCTGATGATACATCACGAGGCAATCCACCGGGTACAGTCTGAATGCCCTGAGCCTGATCATCGTCGTCATCGTCTTCTCGGTCCTGCTCCTCTTGCTCCTCTTCGTCAGACTCCTCTCCCCAGGCATGCCGGCCAGGCTGCTTCAGACCCTTCCTCTGAACGCCCATCCGTTGGCCGGGTTTGCTCATTGCTTCGGCATGAGCAGCGGCTTCTGCCTGTGCAGCCTCCTTTCGATCTTGCGTTCGCTTGTTCTGGCTGAAGCTCGAAGGGTAGGCAGGTGGCTGAGCTGGTCGGGAAGGAGTAGGAGTTGCGACAGTAGTGGGAGTGCGACTGGCTGGATCCTGTGCGCCAACACCCTTCTGTTGCTGGTGCTGATCAGACGGAGAGACTGGCTGATCCAAGTAAGTGTAAGCAGCCATGGCGTCCTCGTCAAGGCGATCTTCGTTACCTCTGCTTGTGCCGTCAATGTTCGAAGGCCGACGTGAGTCCACGGGGCTGTTCTCGTAGCTAGGCTGTGTGTACACGCTAGGAGATACAATACTTGAAGAGTCCTTCGCCGCGGCGGCAGCGCTGGCAGTAGCAGCGAGAGCGGCAACGCGTCCAGCATTCTTCGGCGGTACGGATCTCGCCTCTCCGGCATTGGTTGTGCTCGTAGGCGCTGGGAGCTGGTCCGACATGGAACGGAGGTAGAAGAGAGCACCCTCATCGTAGCTGGCCGAGACATCTGTGTCACTCTTGGCACTCTGACTGAATTCTGTCTTTTGCTGCTCAGCTTCGGCTCCACGGCCTGATGGAGCCAAGATGGGGACGGGCTTAGCTTGGTGCGTTGGCTCTGTATACTGTGGACGCGGCGAGACCAAAGCAGGAGCTGCGGCTTGGGATCCAACAGCACCTGATCTTGTCGACGCTGCACCCGATTGCGGTCCACTCGAGGGGCGGCTGTCCGTAGCGATATTCGTCAAAACCGTTGGTCGAGTCTGGGTCTGCGCGTTTGCTGGCGCTTGAGTACTCTCTGCAACAGATGGCTGCTTGACAGAGCCTCTGATACTGCCATCGCGGTCAGAATTAGACGCAACGTCGGGGTGAGAGAATGCTGGCGCGCTTGGCTGAGGGCGAGCGCCTGCTCCCACGCGATCTTCTTCTGGCTGCAAAGCTGTTCCATAGACTTGAGCTGGGCTGGCAGAGCCCGAGGAAGCCGCCTGAGCTGCTGCTTCCTGCTGGTGCAGCTTGTGTCGGCCGATAGCAGTATCCAGATTGATGCTGCCTTCACGAGACTTCTGCTCTCCGATTGCGTCCAGTCCAGGGGCCTGGGAGACACCGGTATCCCTAGATGACGATGACGGTTGAGCAGTCGCAGTTCCCGTGGAAGGTGCCTGAGAGGCAGAGGGGGAAGCCTCGGTAGCCGTTGCTGCAAGAGGTGCAGAGTCAGATTGGACGGAAGACGTAGAGGGAGCGGGTTCGAAAGTCTTGGGCAGCGCCTCTCTGGAGCCACCGAAGTCCAAGGGAGGTAGGCTGTTGGTCTGCACCTCCGACAAGGCTGGAGGCCCGTTCGAAGTGGGAGATCTAAGCTCTTCCTTCGGCTCTGCTCCCTCTTGAGCCGGTTCCTCGGCGATGTTGTTCGTCTGGGCATTTGCATTTGGGCGTGAATTTGTGGTGGGCCCATTGGCGCCATTGAGTTGCCGTGTATGTGCAGTGTTGGGTGTGGGAAGAGGTGGCAGGATCGGAGTCCTTTCACCCCTCATCCTAGCGGACATGATCCCATGCAAATTGTACCGTGAAGCCAAATGCCTCTCCTCTCTGACATCGAGGAATTCGGCCAGCTCTCGGTCTAGGAAGAGCCTCTCCTTGTACGGACCGATGGGATAGGCGAAGAACGCAGATTGAGGGCTGCGGGCATCCCAGACAAAGCCCTCTGGACGGCCATAGAGCTTGTAGGCATCCATGAATCCAATGATCCACTTCATCATTTCCGCGTTGGCTCCCTTCGATCCAACTTCGAGCTCAGGCATGATCATGACCCAGCCCGTTTGTCGGATTCGGTTGGTAGCAGAGACTACCTGGCTCTGCGGAAAGGCTCCCTCTACCTTGAACAGAGATGATCCTTCCACAAGCTCGGGGCGCGAAGGGTAGACCGCAAACGCATGAGCAACGTAGACCATAGTTGCGAAAGCTTTCTTTGCCTTTTTGTTCTCGAAGAATTGAGCAGTACCTTTTGCACCATTGCAGCCTGGAGGTGGTTCTATCTCAGGCTGACCAGCGGAACCTACGACGCTCAGAGGTCTTCCGCCGCCATTGGCAGGGCTAGGAGATCCTGGCACAGGTGAAGAGATGCTCAAGACGGAGCTACGATCTCCAGCCCCGCCGAGCTTTTGCCAAAGCCTGCGACCAACACCACCACCTGAGCCTGCATCGTCCGGTCGGTCCTTTGTGAGGACCAGCCAGCACTTCTTCCATTCGGTCGATCCCATGAATCGAGCTTTGACCCAACCCTCCATCCGGCCTTTCGCTAGAGGGCTGGCAACCGACATGTTCTTGATAGCAGGTGGAGGCCCTTGCATAGGAGCGGTGTCTGGTGTAGAGCCAGCGCCGACAGCGCCAAGTCTCGCTCTGATCAGAGACCCGGTGTAGATCTCTTCCAGTCGTACCTTCTCCCATGATGCCAGTCGAATGCCGTTGATCCAAGCCTGCACCAAACGTCGGCCAACAGCTCCTTCTACGCAGAAGAGTATGCGGTTGTTCCCCGCAGAATTCAGAGCAAAGACGTTCTCGTACCGTCCGCGACTGCCCGGAATCTCTGCTGGGTCTTCGACGAGGTTACCGATCAAGTCGACGAAGGAGTCTGTGACGTTAATGTAAGTAGGCGGTACCTCCTTTCCCTCCTTTGCCGCCTGTTCCATCTGTCTGACACTCCATACGCTCAGTACAGTGCCGCTCAATTGCACAAAGCACAAGTGCCAGGCTTTTCTCGGGTCACCGGACCTCAAGGGTTTACCGTCTGCGCCCAGTGCATCTCGACGTGACAGATAACCCTCCATGTAAATCTTCTTTTGCTGAGAGTCCTGCAGGGTCAGAGCGCTTCGCAGTTCGGGAGACTTGAAGGTCAACGGAGTAGCGGCTGTACGGATGGACTGAGACGTGGAGCCAGTTGGGGAAGACGGACGAGCGGGGGGTGAGGAGGCATTGGGGCTGGAAGCCTGATAGGGGTCAGCCTGATCGAGAGGTTGGAAAGCAGAGAACGGCCGCAGAGACTGGGTCCGACGGTGTGGGGCTCCGTTGGCACTGGCATCCATTCCGGAAGGCATGGAGGGACTCTGAGGTGGCTGCTGCTGTTGCTGCGACTGCAATGACTTCAGTGGCTGGAAAGTAGAGCTACGTTGTGGAGCGCCCTGCGACGGTTGGGGAGGCTGTCCCTGACCGACTGGCGAGGCAGTCCGATCCGCCATGCTGTAGCGCTGTTGCGACTGTGAGGACTGCTGTTGTGGGTATTGACCCTGCTGCGAGCCGGGAGGCGGTAGCTGCTGCTGCTGCTGCTGATCACCGTATCGACTGCTGCGATTCGAGGGTGCTCTACCTAGAGCATTGTTACCGCTGCCATTCATGTTGCGAGGGTCGAAAGAATCCGATGAGGAGTTTCCTCCAGGCTGAGGACGAAATTGGGCCGGGCCCCGCTGAGTGGCGGCCCAAGAGGGTTGACCGTTCATGAGGAGGGGTAGGTGGAGGAGGATGAGAGGTGATCCGAGCGGATACAGGGGCAGATTCTTGCAGTCGTCGAACGATGGGGTCTAGGCAGATCAGAGGATTGGTGCGCTGAACTACGAGGGTATGAGGTTGCGACTGTACCAGAGAGGGAGAGAGGGAGAGAGGGAGAAAAGGTAGGTATCGACGTTGCAGAGGTGCGACGGGGAAAGTGGACAGAGAGGCGCGAAGAAATGGGGCGGGCGAGTCGGTAGCTGAGGGAGGCAGATCGCCTCGACGTCAGGGCCACGGCGGGGGGCACCGCCATCTTTGACTTTTGGCCAAGGCCCAGAGGGCAGAGTGTGCGTCCGGCGGCAGGCGCACACACAGCACTTGGCCACACGGCGTCCTCGCCCCTCGCAGGTGAGGGATCCCATGATCGGCTCATGCATGCAACTCAGCACACTCGCATACAGCGGGGATCCGACGACGGACCAGAAGTCTCACTCACCCACGACGGCTCAATGGATACTAGCACAGCTCGTTCATCACAAGCAGTAGCGCAAGCAGGAGGCAGAGCCAAGCGAAGCGAAGCGGGGGCCAGTGGGATCCAGATAAGGAAGTAGAAGCAAAGATAGATTTTGCATGCATTACAAACAAGACGGAAAGCCGAACAAGCTGTCTAGCTCGCCGGGGTATCGTTCCATCACCCTTGCGCCGCGGCATTCCCGCGACCTCAGTCGACTCTCACGTCAAGGCACCCCACCACCCCTTCTGCAGCGCACCCACATCTCTCCTCGCACAGTCTACCAATGGCTCATCTACCAAAGCCCTGCTCGAACCTCGTCTTGCGCGACGAAGGCTCTGGATTGCGAGTGCGATAGAAGGCGATCCTCTCGGTGAGGTAGAAGCCAAAATTGGGGCTCCGCAGAAAGTCCAAGTAGAGACTCTGACGCACCGCACTGCCAGTGGGAAGAGACCTACTCCGAATCGGCAAGGGTGTGCCATGCGCTTTAAGCGATGCCAGGAAGCCTTCAGTCTCAAAGGGCTTGATGTTTGCCCCTTCCCCCGAGCCCTCTGCGGGGATGAGGGAAGAGATGTACCTGTTTAGAGGGGCTAGGAAGCGCTCCGTGATATCGGTAAAGTACCTCCTGAGCATTGCGTTGGCTCCCTCGACGTTGTCTCCCTTCTCCATCATCTCCTGGATCTTCTTGAGCAGAGGCCGGTCCTTGCTGATCCTCCTCTTGCGCTTCGAGACGAAGCCTGGTAGATGCTCAGGTCCTCCTCCTCCAGCTCCGGTCCCTCCTGCGACACCTGACGACTTGACCCCACTGCCACCCTTGCTCCCGTACTTTCCCGCTGTACCGAGCTTCACGGCCGCCTTGCCCACTCGTAGGACGTGCGGCCAATGTGAGCAGGCTTGAGCCATGAAAGCATTAGTACAGCCGATGATGGTTCCAGCGGGAGGCTGTTTGCGATTGGCAAGATTCTTGAAGTCGTAGTCATGAATCGTGAAGAAGGGCCTGAAGTCGCCAGCGTGGGGTATGGGCCGGCAGATGTCAAGCAGGTGCCAGACGGCCTCACTGCACATCTTTGGGTCAGGGCCGATGACGAAGATAGGTCTGCAAGGACGGTAAAGTGGGCCTGTTAGCTTAAGATTTTCTCGAAGGCGTGCTGATCGACCCGCACTCACTCGGCAAGCAGCACACACTCCCACACCAACCACATGTCAGCGAGCGCTTCCTTGAACACTTCGACGAGGGGAGTGGTAGGAATGGAGGCCAGGAGAGGCTCCTCTTCGGTAGAGCCTGCGACTGGTACTTCGCCTCGCCTTTGATCCTGCTGCTTAATCATCGCTGTCGACAGGCTCTTTCCGACTGTGTTGGGATCTGAGGGCGGCAGGATCGCTTCCGTGGCGTTCGATGATTGGGATTGGCGACCAAGAGGCAGCTGAACCCAGAGGACGGATCCCACCATCGGAAGAGGCAGAGTGGCACCCGGAGAAGGATTTGGCCACTTAGTGACGGAGCTTGCGAAGGCTTCCAGAATCGGATCGCCGTACTCGAAATATAAAGGTCCAAGCCTGTTTGCGATCTGCCCAAACAGAGCAACGTAGGGGAGATGAGACAGGATCACAAGAGATTTCTGAGAGAGGTCGGAGAGGATTCAGTATTGAATGTCGTTCTATTGTTGTTCTTTTCCAAGGGGCACTCACCTGGAAGTAGCCTCGACGAATGCTGGCGTCCCTCTTCTGTCTGAAGAAGGTATAGCCATAGATATACGAAGAACTACTGCTGTTAGAAATCTTGCAAGCAGAGACATTCGCCAGACCCGACGAGACACTGGACGTCGCCAATGTTTCTTGAGTTAGCACCGCGGACGCCTCCGTAATGTCGTATTCTTGGCTATTCACGAGGATCGTCTTCGCTGCGATATCAATCGATGATCGATCGCTCGTGATCTCATTCTCCGCAACATCTTTCATCTCGTCCTGCTTGCCAGAACTAATGTCACCTCCACCATTAATGCCTTCCTGCTGATGTGAGTCTGTCTGTAGGGCGTTCCGCCCACTGTATGAAGCTCTGGTGAAGAGAGATTTGACCCCTAGGCTGTTGTCCCCAGAGCTGCCCAACTTGCGGGAGTGCTCCCTTCTCGACCTCGGGGTCCGGTCGTTTGCGATCGACAGCGGAGCGCCCAAAGTGGACGGTGAAGGTGCGAATCTAGGTGGGGAGGAGGTTGAGGCTTCAAGCGGTACTTCCCGAACCCGAAATGAGAAGGAGATGTCTCCAACATCAAAGATTGAGGTATCCGGGAAGGACGAGAAGGCACTGGAACGTGATGAGGGAGGGCAAACATGAGGTCGAGTCTGCCTCATTCTTGACAATGATCAGGTCCTGGCCACTCACATGTTGTCTTTCTCCTCTCTGCTAATGTCCAAAGGGGGCCACAGACGCTCTAGGTCAGGCCCTTTCTCTAGGTCAAAATTTACCACTCCGATAGAAAGTATCCACCGCTGTAGCAAATGTTTGTCTGTTTGCGCCTGTACAGCAGCGCCGATGGGTGCAGCAGTAGGCTGCGAAGCGATATCGATACCCTGACCACTTCCACTGATGCTCGCAGAGTTATCCTGTCTGCCCTGATTGGCAGAGGGCGATCCTGCTTCCAATGAGAAAGTAGGTGACGAAGGGGACTGAGCCGCCGTGTGGCCACGTCGACTGGACGTCCTCTCCCTCAGCGGTTCCTGTAAGGAAACTGCCGAAGGAACGCGCCCTTTGCGCCCCAGAGGTGTTCCACCCGAAGTTGTGGTCAACCTACTGCTGCCGCCGGATGCCGATGTCTGAGAAGAGCCCGGTCTGCTGGCATCGTTGCTCGACATCTTGTTGGAAGGAGGCTGCTTGAGACTTGAGGATCTTGGCGTCTTGTGTGATGTCAGAGATGCCCGGCGAGCCGTAATGGACGGAGAAGAAGGAGCATCCATGCTGCCACTGCTACTGGCCTTGCTCCGGGGAGTTGCAGTCCAATCTTTCGAGGAGCTTCTCCCTGGCGTCCTCAGCACATCGGATCCAGGAGCGATGGGTTGTGGTGGGGTAGATCTTCGGTCTGAGTGGTTCGTGGCGTCTTCTTCTGCCGAATAGTATGCACCGCCAGAGGCAGAGCTCTCCAGGCTCGACCTGCTTGGTGCAAATGCTGTTGAACGCTTGGCCCATTCCGGCATGGCATGCCGTTCAGGACCATTGGCGGATGATGGAGATGCATCGTTGCTTAAAGAGGCTCCCGAAGCTGCTCGAGGCTGTGGTACAGCACGTGATTGCGCAGGGTAGGGAAGGCTGTTCTGCTTCGGGGACCAGTCTCCAAGGTCCTCCTCGGCGTCTGGAGACGAGGCCAAGTTGAGAGTGGATAGACTGAGATCCCCGCTATTGCCTTCCTTTCCCTCAGGCTGGATTGGTGAAGCACTTCTCATTGCCAAAGAAGGCGGATTGTTGCGGCTCGCGAGGGAAGAGCCGGGTGTGATGTGGCCATTGGCCGACAACCCCGGCTGGCGCGACATGGATGATATTCCGCCAGGGCACTACCTTTAGCGCTCAGGACCCAGGTCTGAGAGCCAAACGGCTCGATGCGCTTCAAAGCTTCTGCTGCTGATGGCGATAGTAGTGATCACGGACGAAGTCGAGGGCTGAAATTCTGGGCAGCAAGCGATGCAGAAGAGTGAGACACCAATGGCCTTGTGCCTGATTGCGGAATGTCTGGAACGGGATATTGGCCGTAGGCTGGATCGCAATGGCAAGCGCTCCCAATGTTGATGTCGCTTTTGCCTCTGGTATTGACGCTGATGGCTGGCAGGCCGCACCCCGCTAGGACTGGCAAGTGGGAGTCGGGAACGAAGAGGAGTGCCGTGGGAACAGTAGAGTATATCCTCAGAAGCAGTGGATGATGGGCGTGGGATGAGGCCCGATCGCCTTGGCTCGTTGTTTCCCCCGCGGTAGGGAAGCGTCTCAGTGGATGCATCCGACGGTGCGTCTGACGCAGAGGCCCGTCGGGGTCTGAAAGCCAGTGTGCGAAAGCTAGACTAGGGTGCTGCACCACTGCTCCACTCAAATCTCGCCTACAGCCAAGAGCGTGAATTCACCCCTGAGCGCGGGTCGTCGTCGCAGAGGCTACTCAGAGTGCGGAATATTCGCAGGCCAGCTGTCCATACCCAAGCATCGATGGTCACTCTAGCTATACGATGAGCTCGACGCGAGAACAGCCGTAGCACCTCGCCCTCAAGGGAGCAGGCCATCTCACCTCCGCCACGGGCCACGCTGCCACTTCCGTCTTGGTTCCGGCCTCTTTCCTTGCTTCCGACAATTGCTGCACCTGCCGCTGCCTCATCCATCCTCTCTACACAGCTGACCTTGGCTGCTCTCGAGAATCATGTTCAGGCCCTTGGGGCTCCTGAATCACATACCTTGTCCAGCGCAGACCGAGGCTCTGTGCGGCAGTTCGCGATCAGAATGTCCCTTTCAGCACACGACAGCAGCTCCAAGGGATCCAGCTGAAGACCAGAGCATCCCCTCCTCTTCGTCAGTCCTGCTGCCGGCATCTCAGCGTCTCGGCGCAGCATCTTCGAATGTCTCCTCTTCGCCGCCTGCAAAGCGACTCAAGGTCAATGCTTACCAGGCCACGGCCACATCGCAAAGCAGCAGCACTGGTAATAGCAAGGACGCTGGTGACGACGGAGGATGGACTACTGTCTCGCACAAAAAGCCTGTTCTCGACAGCCCCGGCGTCACCAGGGAGCCAGTCCGAGCTTCTTCGTCCTCGGCAGCTTCGAGTGAGGCAGCGTTCCGGCGGCCTCCTATAGTGGTAGCATCTGCCCATCCTCGCTCTTCGCAGATCCCTCTATCCTCTCGCAATACATCGTTAAAGACCTTGTGGACCATCTTCAATGCTGCCTATGCTCCCCTCCTGGTGTCTGAAATTCCCGAAGTGCAGGATGCTGGTCGAAGGCTAGCATTTCAAGATTCCCTCTCCCAAGAGAAGGACATCTTCTCCAAAGCATCAAAAACGAGTTACCGAACGAGCATCGTCACGGCTGCGACAGGCATACGCAAGCGTGATACAGCTGCTGTTGCTCTGGCGGAGAAGCTGGCACAGGATCTTGGCAGGACTGCCAAAGATATTGCTCAACTTCTAAGAGAGTCATGCTCGGAGGTGGGGACCAATAGCGAGGTACAGGGGAAGAGAGCTGCCATTGAAGAGCGGAGAAAGACGAGACTTACCTCTGCGAAGTTGAGACAGCACCACTTCTTATGCCCTCCTGCCGATTTGCCCAGCTTCGGCTACGCTGTCGAGCCAAGAGATGCATCTATAGAAGAGGCATGGGGACTTGGTAGCTCCGCACCCGACGCGGTCGGAGAGAAGAAGGATTGCAACAGGTGTGGAAAAGAGTTCATAGTCGGGGGAGAGGTAGGGGACGACGGATTTCGCCAGGGCCAAGACGAGAGGGCATGTCACTACCATTGGGGCAAGAAGGTGAGTGAAGGCAAAAGGCTAGTCAATGCCTGGAATTATTCTCACAAGCCTACGTCTTTTTACATTGCACTACAGAGGTTCGAGCGAGATGCAGGTGTTGCGGGACGATCGAAAGTCCAATTTTGGACATGCTGCAACCGACCAGTCGAGTCTGGCCACCTTGCACCTTCCCTTTCTGTTCTTGCGGGATTCGGCGGCCCATCTGCTTTCGTAGAAGGCGATGAGACGTGTGCAAATGGACCTCACGTCTTCAAAGAGGACCGAGTAGAGGATCTCCACAAACGTGAAGGCTTCGTCACCAGCCGCGAGCTCGCAGAAGCGATGATTGCAGAGGCTGACAGAATAGCTCCTCTTGAAATTGCCGCAATCGATTGCGAGCTGGGTTACACTACCGCTGGAATGAGCATGACGAGGGTGACTGTTCTCGATGAGAGTGGTGCTATTGTTCTAGATGAGCTCGTCAAGCCTCGAGCAGAAGTGCTTGATCCGAATCTCAGGTCAGTAGGTTCAGCATTATATAATATGTGGAGGCCGGACAACTGATTATCCCTCACTCTTCGTCCATCTGACTCTGCAGATTTTCCGGCGTTACAAAGGAGCAGCTGGAGCAGCCTGGCGTGAAGAGTCTGCCTGAAGTGCGCAGAGAGATTGCCCGTTTCGTTGGTCCTGATACTATCATCATTGGACATGGGCTGGAAAATGATCTCAACGCGATGAGGCTTCTGCACACTACAGTAGTTGATACAGCCCTACTCTTTCCTCATCACAAAGGCTTACCCTTTCGGCACGGCCTGAAGCTTCTGTCCTCGAAGCATCTGCAGAGGAGCATTCAAGACGGTCCCGCTACAGCTGGTCACTCTTCCGTCGAGGATTCCAAGGCCAGTCTCGACCTCGTGAAATGGAAGATGTCGACTGATGCTCGGTCACCGTTCAGCCCAGCTACTCTACCTGGCTCCGGCTCCGTCCGAGCGACAAGTGGTACAGTGCGGCAGAACATGAGCCCGTCTACACCAGCAGGCCATTCCAACACAATAGGATCGACACCACCTGGGCGGGTTGCAACTCTCGCTTCGAGAGCTACTTCAGGCTCTCCATCGGCTGGTGATGTGGGGCGCCCTGATGCCAGCAATCAAAAGATGCCATCCAACCCGTTTTCTCGCTCTGCCCACTCGCCGCCTGCTCCTGCGGATGCCATGTCAGGTCTCTTCATCCCAAGGCGGCGATAGTATCGGCTGACTTCCGTAACGACTCAACGTGACTCCACCATGTACATTTTCCATCTGTTGTGTCAATATCATCTTGCTACACGCGGGAGTTGTGCTTTCGAAACGTATCTGTTATCGCGGCGGGTCGTGGCGGCTCATCTGTTTGCCTTCCGTTCCGATCGTGAGCGGGACGGTCCGACGTGGGCTGCCGCTCCACATGTCCGAGCCTGTGGCAGCCCAAGAAACTCGGGGCGCCGTTTCCAATTTCATCTTCGGCAGCCACCGATATCCCAGATTGAGGGGAAGTGCACCAGATCCAGCAGCCTCTCGCAGCCCACAACACCTCCGTACGTCACCCTAATCTCTCCCCCCATCTTCCCTCTGCACCGGCTCGTCTCCCTTCCCGCCCTTTCTCCCTTGCTCCGACCGCCCAAAGGCAGGCTCCGACAGGCTGCCCCGCAAGGAAACCCCACCCCACGCCACCTTGTCCCACTCGAGGAAAGCCGAAGCCCAGACAGCCCGTGTCAGAAGGCTAGGAATTCTCGTCCGGCCCGTGTGCTTCGTGGCCAACCTTTACGTTCGTGACCTGGGCTCTCGACGTTCCTTCATATCTATAAGATCCCACTCCCCTGCCCTCCCCACCACCGCCCATCATGCCCTCCCCACGCCTCATTCAATCCTCGTCGGCCATCTTCCGCACCGCCCTTCGTGCCCCTTCCTCCATCGCTACCACTCGCTCCCGCCCATTCGCAATGGCACCCACTGCTTCTTTCTCCTCTTCTTCAAAGGGAGCTGCCGAGGCTTCCACCTCGATGTCCGCCTTCGGCGAGCGCCACGTCGCCAAGGGAGTCGGACGTCTGACTCAGAATGTTCTCAAGAAGGGATCTGGATCCTATGTCTGGAACGACGAGGGTCGCAAGATGCTCGACTTCACTGCCGGCATCGGAGTCACATCCCTTGGTCACTGCCACCCCGCCGTCTCTGAGGCTGCCCACGAACAGATCGACGAGATTGTTCACGCTCAGTGCGCCATCGGATACTCCTCCAAGTACCTCGAGCTCTGCCAGCGTCTGATCCCCAGGTTTGCCAAGATTGACCCAAGGCTGGACAGCTTCTTCCTCTGGAACTCTGGAAGCGAGGCCGTCGAGGCTTCGATCAAGCTGGCTCGTGAGGTGACCGGCAAGAACAATGTTATCGTCGTCCAGGGCTCGTACCACGGCAGGACCTACGGAGCCATGGCTCTGACCAAGAGCAAGACTATCTACTTTGAGAGGCAAGGTCCCCTCATGCCTGGTGTCTTCGTTACTTCCTTCCCCTTCTACGCTCAATTGGGCGTCGCTCCTACTACTCCGGAAGCCGACATGGTCGAGACTGCTCTCCACCAGCTGAGGCTGCTTCTGGCTCAGCAGACTGCACCCAGCGAGACTGCTGCCATCCTCCTTGAGCCCGTCATGGGAGAGGGAGGCTACGTGCCCGCACCACCTGCTTTCCTGCAGGGACTGCGCAAGATGGCCAGCGACAATGGTATCCTCTTGATCCACGACGAGGTACAGTGCGGTGTGGGAAGGACCGGTGACTTCTGGGCCACCGAGGCTTCTGGCGTTCAGCCCGACATTCTCATCTTCGCCAAGGGTATCGCAAACGGCTTCCCCTTGAGCGGTATCGTCTCTCGCAAGGAGCTGACCGACAAGCAAAAGCCCGGAACAATGGGTGGTACCTACGCTGGAAACGCTGTCAGCTGTGCCGCTGCCTGCGCCGTTCTGGAGACGATGGACAAGGAGCCCATCTTGGACAATGTCACCGCGAGGTCTAAGCAGCTGGTGGACTTCCTCGAGGGTCTCAAGAAGAGCTCGCCTGCTGGCCACCTCATCGAGCAGGTCCGGGGCAGGGGATTGATGATCGGACTGCAGTTCAAGAAGGACCTGATCAGCGGTGACTCCAACCACACTGCCACCAACAAGGAGTGGCTGGTGGATGGTCAGAAGAGGGAGCAGCTGGCACCCAAAATCAGCAAGCGATGTGCCGAGAAGGGCATGCTGCTGCTGAGCACCAGTGTCTTCGATGTGATCCGATTCATCCCCGCCTTGACCATCTCCGAGGAAGAGATGAGCGAAGGTCTCAAGATCTTCCAGGAGGCCTTTGAGGAGGTGGCAAAGGAGAGTGGATCTATTTAATCGAAAGTGTTTTGTTTCGGGTCACCTCACGCTTTCTGCTCTATATTGTACTATATTCTTCTCCTTTCCAATCGCATAATCCAACTTGTCCTCGTGCGTGTGTCTGTATGCTGCAATTGAACCAGGCAAAAGGAACGGAAGCGGGAGCGGAGCAGGAGCCTGGCGGGGGGGGCAGACTTGCCATGTGATACGGGCGGCGCGAGGATCAAGCAAGGCGTTTCGCAATGCACAAGCCTCATCGGACTGCAGATGCATGGCTCCACTGCCGAGGAGTGCAGGCAGACAACACCTCCTGCGTCGAGTCCACGCCATCGTCCACTTCCACATCAACACATCAACACACACCTCCATCGCAAACACAAACACACAGACACATTCAGACGCTCAAGACGTCGGTCTCGTCTCCTTCTCCACCATCTTCTTGTGTTCCACCTTTCAACCCAACATTCTCTAGCCTCGCCAGCCTCGCCAGCCTCGGATCATATGTCGCTCCACAGAAAACATTCCTGATCCGTCTCTAGCATCTGCATTCCATACCTCCCACGCTCAAATCACCATTATCATTTGTGAACAACACTTCTAGAAGAACTCTCATACCCTCACAACATACCCACAAGCAGCATCAAAAGCGTCACTCCCTCATCGCCTCGTCAAAGCATACCCGGCACCTGACCCACAAGCAAACATACGTCACCGGCCACCTACAATCTCAAGAGCAACTTTGCCTTCACGACCTGCATCCGACCCCGACCTCGTCTTCCGCAATCCCAAAAGTCATCCTGTTCCAGCATGGAGCCTCCTACATCAAAGCTTGCCACACCTTCCCCCTCGACATCGACAATTCCCCCAGCCTTGCAGCATTCCCCCTCGCCCCCGCCACTTCAGCGAAGCAACACTAGCAGCGGTCAGAGGGGAAAGATCTCACCTATGAGGAGGGCGTCTGGATACAAGGTCGCTAGTGGGGCATCTACTTCGCCTACTGCTTTGAGAGAGGCTTTGGACCAGAAGGAGGAGGTGAAGAGGGTGAGTCGAGAGAGAGGGGAAACGAGCGGAGAGGGGATAGAGCAATGAAGTACGGTGAGCTCGATTGCTTACGACTCCCTTCGCACATCTCTGTGTAGCTTGCACAACGTCTTGCAACTCGTCTACAATATGCAGCATTCAAGGTGGAAAGGGGATGGGTAAGTCCACACAACGCTGTCATTGCTTGGCTACGAACTTTGCAACTGACCAGGCTGTGCCTCTTTTCCTAATACACAGACAAAGCACTCGCTACCCGAAGTCGAGAACTTGTATTGGCGAGCTAGCAAAATTGGGACGTCTAGCATGTCGACCTCCGCATCGAAGACTCAGCCAAGTCCTCGCGACAAGGTTTCTGGGACTGCCTCCAGTGGTGTCACCTTCGGCGGTAACATGGCCCGCCGTCCATCAGGTGGATCGACTCGGCCTGCCATTGCTCGTCTGCCCTCTCAGTCGGATGGGACAGCACATCTGAGAGTCCAGGACACCGATGCCAATGGAGGAGCAACACGTAGACCGACAGACGTTGACGAAGACGTCTTTGGTGCTAGCGTACCGATTTCTCGCGCACTTCCCTCAGTCTCGAAGCACCACCACGCCCCGACGACGGCAGTCATTGGTCTGAATGGTCTACCGACACCGCCTCCTTCGGCTGGTACCGACCTCGCAAAGGGCGGCAGCGCTTCTTCAAGTGGGGCTGCTGTTGGCAAGGGTCTGCTCGCAGACTTGAGAGTGTCTCCAACTCGACAGATGCAAGCAGCACGGGCCGCTTCGAAGCCCACGGCGGGCGGAGGCTCCACCTATGCCGACTTTTGGGATAAGCTGGGAGCTTCTTCGCCTGCCCTGAGAGGAGGAGGTGGTGGTGAAGCCGCTGGGCTTGCTTCTGCGCGGGACAAGGAGAGTGGGCTTGCAGCGAGGGGTGTCAAGAGAGGAAGGGAGGGAGGAGAGGAGGATGAAGGAAGACGGCCTACTGGGGCTACTCCGCATTCGTGATACCCTCTCTATGCTCCATTGGTCATCCTAGCTCTAGCAATGTCCCTTGATCAGCACCATGTCTTTACCCTGATCAATCGTTATACCTCGCAGCTCACTCACTCACTCCGCTCGCAAATAGCGTTTCCAGATCCGTATACCTCGATCGTGATGTGAACGAAGAGAGCCAGCTATGAGCGACCTCTACATGGGAGGCGAGTGGTCAGCACCATGTGAATCAGCGCAATAACCTCTTGAAGTCGCCCGTTGGGGAGGTTGCGCAGAGGATGAGGAGGATGTGGGCAGCGGCAGATTGTGGGTGAGACCTCGAGTCTAGTTGCGGAACACTGTCTCTTACTTTGCGGCAGAGGACTGAGCTAGAACAGGCTTGACGAGACATTCATACCTCGACCTTCTCCTGCGTTCGAGACATCTCTGTCGTTGATTCGCTAACTTGCTAAGCTTGACGAAGGTTCTCTTTTCCTTTCAGTCCCCTTACGAGGCTGTTGCAGAGCCTGGCTTGTTTTGAAAGCATTCTGTAACAGAGCACGTGAGTCCACCTTTATTTCCAAGTTGCCGCGTCAGAGCTTATTGGGTCGAAAGAGCTTCTTTGCGTCTAGTATCAGTGCGGGCGTAGCTGATGACGTCGAGCAAACCTTCGACTTACGAGACGAGCAGCATCTCATGGCCGGCGAAGAAGCTTCTGATTAGCACGCGCACTGAGCAAAGAACTCGAAGTCACTCTCTTTACGCTGAAGGTTGGGGTGCGGTCGGTGAGACTTGCTCTGGTGTTGATCGGCGAGATAACTGATGGTTCAGCATGCGGTCGACGAACTTCATTCCGGACGTGCGAGCGTCGTGCAGTAGGAGCAACGCATGACAAGGTAGCTGAGCAGCGGAAGTCATACCCCATCGGTTGTACGCAGAGAGCCTGCGACCCCACGGCACTCTAGGCCGTCGCAGCACCCGTGGGGTCGCAGGCAGAGCTGCCGGCGGAACGATCCTAAGCGAGCTCTCGTGGGTTGAGGCTATTGGAGCTCCATCGGCAATGTCTGTGCGCACTCGGTCTCGATTGACTCCATCGTCGCATCAACCTTATGGCTGCCGCCTTCGCCTGACGACAGGAGAGGTGAGGACCGCCGAGGTCTAATTTCGACTTTCGCCCCCGGCGACTTTGCGAGAGGCAAGACAAATGGCCCGAATTGTGCGCTGCGCGACGCCTGTCACAATGCGGAGTAATCTGCGCCAAGCATTCGCAAGCGAGGAGAATAATGTTAATCAGAGCAAGATTCGGCCGATGCCTCGCGCTAGAGATCAAGGTTTGCCTACCGACTCGGCAAATTCGCCATAGCTCCCATAGCAGCAGCAGCGCTCAGTGACGGTAGTCTCTATAGTCTGGGGAAACGGAGCACGGCGGGTCCAAGGTCACGCGCATCAATGTCGATGTGCGTCATGCAGAGCCTATGCAAGTCGCCGGACGGAGGTAGTCGACAACCGGCGGAAGAGTGGCCGATTCCGTCGAAGCACAAACTGGCTGAGGCTTCCATGCATAAGTGCCTCCGAACAGCAAGTGTCAGAGAGGACGCTGTCAAAGAGTACCTCCCAAGGGCATATGATGCAGAGGCGGGCAGGTCGCCAGACTGTGCAGTCGTCCGTGCCACTGCATACGTGCCAGGTTATTTTGAGCTACCCCAGAGTCCACTAGAACTTACTCGTGTCTCTTCTTTGGTGCCTGCCTCATCGTCGTAGGCAGAACGCATCGTGGGGAATGTCTGACAGCCCCAACCTATCTTGCTTCTTCTTGCTCTTTCTTCCGCAGACAGCCGCCGCACCTCGCTTACAGCTAGGTGGGAAAGATTTGCCCATGAGCAATAGGGTCCATCATCGGCACACACACTCCCGACCAGCAGGGAACCGACTGGCAAGTTGACTTCGTACCAGAAGCTCTCGGTGAAATGACACAGCGTCGAAGTTCTCCTCGCCAAATTCCGCCGATAGACTTGCACCTCGCTTAGCACTAGGAGCCAACTTTGCCGGCAGCAGGAGGGTCCCATGTGGGCACAATCACAGGCATACATCGTTCAGTAGAGTTGTACCAGGACGATCCATGACAGTGCGTCGTGCGATCCGCATTCGACGGTGTTTTTTTCCACGATGAGCTTCTAGTACGAAGCATGGACGTTCCATCAACAGCGGCAGGACTACTACCATGCGAAGGAAGAATGCTGAGCGCATGACCTACCTCCGCGGTCGCCTAATGCGTCGATACCCGTCAGGTTCTGGCGGTTTGGCTTGGGTAGAGCTGTAGCAGTCGTGACGTACTGCGAACCGCCCGAACTCTGCTACCATCTCAACATCTAGTCGAGCATGGAGTTGACCGACCTGAACAGGTACATAAGGGACACCATTCCCGTCCTCGTCCAGACTTTCTTCTCCATCACTCTTCACCTCTCTACACAAGCTACACACCCTTCAAGGACTTCCTCCCCACCACACTCACCACTCTACCCCTTCCTCCCCCCTTCTCATTCTTTTATCAAGATGGTCAAGGCAATCGCTTTCTCTGCCGCCCTCGTGGCCGCCTCTGCCGCATCTCTCGCTCAGGGAGCAGCCCTCAAGCAGGACCCCCTCTTTGGCTGTGTCAGCTACCAGACCGGCCCTCTTGGCCTCGGATCGCCTGGCAGTGACATTGCGCCTGCCAACTTCGTCGCTGGTCACACTGAGAAGTCTCTGATCACTGGCAGGAAGAACTTGTCGGTTCTTGCCACCACCCACCCCAAGTGAGTCACCCTTTCAGCTCCAGCCGCCTAGCTTCACTCGCATGCGACAGTCAGCTGAAATTTTGTCCTTCCCTACCCCTTACCTGGCAGCGGAGAGCCTGTCACCGCGGGCAACTTCGAGTTCCTCAACTGCACTCGCAGTCTCATTGACAGGGGCTACAAGCTCAACGTTCCCAAGAACTTCAAGAACCTCGATGGTGACTACACGTATACCTGGGGTATGCTCCGCAACGCCAAGTCGAAGCTGCATGTCCTCTCCACTCGCGAGGCGCCCAACTCCAAGGGCCAAGTCGATGCACAGCGTCTGATCCATGCAAGGTACGCTGAGCTGCCCATCGAGGCCCGAACCTTCATTCTGGCCACCGCAGACGATGGTGCCACGAACTACATCGAGTTCTACCCCTTCGCCGGAACCAATGCCGCGCCCAAGTCTGGTGTCGTCTACCCTGTCTCCAACAAGTACGGATCGGTCGACGTCTCCACCGACCACTCTAAGCACAAGGGCTCCACCTTCCTCCACCTGCAGGGCAACGGAGCAGCCAACCCTGGCACTGGCGCTGGCTCGACCTCGACCTCAACCTCTACCTCCTCTACCCGAACCAGCACTCGCACCAGCACTGCCACTAGCACCACTACTGGCACTGCCGCTGGCACCCGAACAACCAGCAGCACTAGCACTGCTACGAGCACTGGTACAGCTGGCACCCCAAGCGCAACTGGCACTGTAGTTCAGTGCCCCAATGGTGACGATGGAACCCTCAAGTGCGCCGGAGCTACCGTTACGGTTGGCTCTGGTACCGATGCCGAGTGCCCCAACGGTGACGACGGAACGCTCCTTTGCCATGGTGTCACTGTCACTGCTGGCTCAGGAACTGCCGATGAGTGCCCCAACGGTGACGACGGAACCATCCTCTGCTCTGGCCTCGAGGCATCCACTGGCACCGACCCCGTAGATCCCAACACCGGTATGGGAACCCCAACTCAGTGCCCCAACGGCGATGACGGTAGCGCTCTGTGCGCCGGCGTCGATGTCACCGCTGGATCTGGTACCGTCACTCAGTGCCCCAACGGTGACGATGGAACCCTCCTCTGTGCCGGTGTCGACGTCACCACTGGCTCTGGTACCGATGCTGAATGCCCCAATGGTGACAACGGCACCCTCCTCTGCGCTGGTGTCACCGTCGAGGCTGGCAGTGGTGACGAAGACGAGTGCCCCTACGGCGACAACGGAACCCTCCTCTGCGCCGGTGTCACCGTCTGCCCCCTGGGCGTCTGCATCGGTGTCGGAGCTGCTGTCTAAGTCGTAGTCTCTGATACCCGCCCTTCTTTTTCTCTGAAACTGCCCTGACCTTTCGAACAATCTGTCCTTCCAAGAAGTTCTCCTTCGTCTTCGCTCTCTCCTTTTCTTCTCCTGTCTCTTCTTTGCACCGTTTTAGCTCGATAACAATTGAATCATTCGCGTTTGCCCCGTATCATCTTTCGCCTGAGACATTCTCTTTGACTTCGCTGATTAGAAGAGGGCGAGACATTGGCGTTGCTACGGTCAATCATGAGAGGAGGAGCTCGGCCCAGCCGCAGAGATGCCGAGAGAAGAGACTTGCTAACAAAGTGATCTAAGCACGTAAATCGGCCTGCTGTGCCAATCACAGACACAAGCATCGGAAGATCACCCAGTCCAGCTTGCCCTGTTACTTCGTCGGGATCCTGCACTGCTCTGCGCTATCACTATACCTTGCAGCTCACTCACGCCGCTTGCGAAGAGAAGTTCCGATTTGTACACCACGATCGCGTATAGTGGCCCGATCTGCAGTGCGGAGACAAAGCGCTTTAAGCGACGCAGACAAGCGAAGTGTCACACGATAGAGGCGTGTGTGATAAGACTGAGTGAGAGTAAGAATACGCCACCGGCCCCGACCATAGAATTCGGACAAAGGGCCGCCCTGCTCGTCCCCGGCTTGCCGCGGTGTGATAGGGCAAGGGGCGGATAAGAGTGCAGAGCAGCCATGATCTGATTCAGGGACGGGACTGCCACGAGGGTTGAACAATGCTAGGCTGATCGGCCAGACTGGCTGAAGCTTCCTTCTCGTTTGGAGACGTGAAGCCCAGAGTCGGAGTCGCCACCCTGCAGCCCGGCGAGCACCGGAAGATGTGCCCGCTGCCGGAAAGTGGAAGCTCCTTGCTGGTGTGGGCTGGCCCCACCTCGGCTCTGGTTGAACCTCTTATCGGGCACAGCACGTCGGCCGAGGGCGCAGACCCAAAGGCAGACGCGGGGAGGCGGCTCAAACCCTCGAAAGTAAAAGTAAAGATAAAGGATTCTGAGCGGCAGCTTCCGGCAGGTCGTGGAGATGTCAGGGCGAAGCGCTTGCATAGATCGGAAGAAGGGATATATAGATGCAAAAGACTAAAGCAGCAGCGTCAGAAGGATTGCCAACAGACCCCTTTGCCACTGCTCATCATCCCTTCACTGCCCTTCGCCGACATGTCAGCAGAAACAAAAGCGGAAGAGTATCCGGTGGACAAGGGCCTAGGAGCTTCCGCCTCGGTGCACTCTTTGGCCCGGGGTGACAACTCTGGGTCTGCCAACATGAGCTTCGGTCAGAGGGTCTCTGCCAACATCAAGCACTTGGGCACCCGTGACGCTTGGCTCGGAGACCACGACTATGCGGCCCTCTTCATGCCCAGGTGGCCGTATGGACGCGGCAAGAACCTATCCTTCCTGGAGCGTACTGAGCAGCCCTTCTATGGTCTCGATGATGACGTACCCATCGTCCTCGCCGCCATTCTTGGCCTGGCCCACTGCCTCGCCATGCTTGCCGGTATCATTACTCCTCCTATCCTCATCTCCGGCTATGCGTACTTTGACGATGCGACCAGCACCTACCTTATCAGTGCTTCTCTCATCACATGTTCCATCTTGAGCGCAATCCAGATGTCGAGGATCCCTCTTGGCGGTCACTACCAGCTGGGTACTGGTCTACTTTCGGTGGTAGGAACGAGTTTCGCAACGCTGTCGGTCAGTGAGACCGTCCTGGAGGTTCTCTACTCGAATGGCACATGCGCCACTGTCAATGGTGTTCGTCAGGCTTGTCCAGAGGGATACGGCTCTATCCTTGGCACGGCTGCGCTTTGCGCCCTCCTTGAAATCGGGCTCTCCTTTGCCCCAATCAAGTTGATCAAGAAGGCTCTGCCTCCCATGATCACAGGACCCGTCATCGTTCTCATCGGCACGTCGCTGATCCAGTCTTCTGCCTTCCCCAATTGGGGAGGTGGATCCGGCTGCAACACCACACCTGCCACTGCCTGCTTCGATCCTCAGGGACACCTCTGGGGCGATGCCCGCTACATCGGTCTAGGTTTCCTCTCCTTCATTACCGTCGTGCTGATCGAGATATTTGGTAGCCCACTGATGCGCTCTTCTGCCATCGTCCTCGGTCTGCTCCTGCCTCTGGTCGTGGCTGGACCGACAGGATACATCTCCCGCAGCAGTATCGATGCTTCTGAGCCCATTACCTTCCTTTGGGTACACACTTTCCCCCTCAAGATCTATGCTCCGGCCATCCTGCCCTTCCTTGCAGTCTATCTCTCCCTCATGGCAGAGTGCATCGGTGATGTCACTGCCTCGGCCGAAGTGTCGAGGCAGAGTGTGACGAGCAAGGCCTTTGACAAGAGATTGCAGGGAGGAGTTCTGAGCGATGGCTTCGGCTCTCTGCTTGCAGCTCTCTTCACCATTACTCCCGTCTCCGTCTTTGCTCAGAACAACGGTTGTATCGCCCTGACAAGGTGCGCGAACAGGAAAGCCGGATACTGGGCCTGCTTCTGGCTCTTCCTCTTCGGTGTCCTTGGCAAGATTGGTGGAGCAATCCGGGCTATTCCCAATTCGGTGCTCGGAGGCGTGACCACGATCCTCTTTGCCTCGGTCGTCTGCTCCGGTCTGGCTGTGCTGTCACGCATCAAGTACACCCGTCGGACGCGCTTCATTCTCACCCTTTCCCTTGGTCTGGGCTTCGGAAACCTCTTGGTGCCAGCCTGGTTCGCAAGCGTCTTTACATACTCTGGCACCAACGAGGCCTTGCAGGGGTTCATCGACTCGATTGAGATCATCGTTGAGACACCCTTCCTCATCTGCGCATTTACCGGAATTGTAGCGAACCTCATCCTGCCAATGGAGCTGGAGGACCGACAGGTTCAGATGGTGCTGGAGGAGCAGGCGAGGGATGAGGATATGGAGGAGGCCGGTCACTAGACTGTTCGTTGCTCCCTTGCTCGCTACTTTGACGACTCCCTTGTATTATCGGCATTCTCTTCCGCTCTCGCTGTCACGTTACACCTTTTGGTTCCATCTCTGGAAGTGCAATATTACCATCTCACAAATTTATCATGGGACTTCTGCATCTCTTTGTGGCACGACGAAGATTGAGAGTTACACCTCGGATTTTAATCCAGTAACAAGCTAGAGGTTCGCCTTCTTCGCACCACTGAGACCGTGTCTGACCATCCATCCCTCGATGGCTTCGGCGAGCTGCCGAGGCTGCTCGAGCTGCACAAAGTGTCCACAGTCCCGCATGTCCACTCGCTCTGCATGTGGGATGTCCCGTAGGAGGTTGGCGAACAGAATTGGGGGAAGCGCCGCCTGTTTGTGCATCGCTCGGTTGTTGGTACATGGCGTCAGTTTCCGAGGAGGCGGTGGACGCTGCCGGCGCGCCGGTCAAATTGAGGACAAGCCAGTACTCACATCACGATCTGGCACCACGGCAAGCACGGGGAAGGACGTCGGGTAGCTCTTCTGTTTGACGGCTATACGAAGCAGCGAACGGACCCAAGAGAAGGCGAGGTGTCAGAGATGAGCTTAGTACTGCACACCAGTCGCTCCGCCTGCACCCACTCTGCTCATCATCAAAGTTCATCTTTCTCGTACGGTACCAGTTCAGAGCGCCATCGATACCTCCCGCCTTTACGCCAAACTGCTCCATGTAGTAATCGAAGACCTCCGGATCCATGATCAGGTCGTTCCTCTTCTTCTTTTTGTCCGATTGCGAAGATCCCAGAGCGCCCGACCCGCCATTCTTGCTGGCTTGAAGGAGGAGGCGCTCGAGATTGCCTCTGAATTCGGGCGACTCGGCTTCTGTGCGTTCTTGGCTTGGGTCGAGGGTGAAGAGGCCGACTTTGCTGTAAATGTTGAGAAGGAACGTCTCCAACTGTGCGGTCAGATACCGCGAAGGAAGTCAGCAGTCGTCTTCGCACTGCTTGTGCTTGCTCAACCTCAGATCGCGGGAAACCTCTCCCCTTTGCTTGCTCACTCACCTGATCCTGGACTATGCTAGTACTCTTCGGCTCCTCGAAGAACATCTGGTATCCGAACGTTGGGATGAGCTGCGTAATCACTTCTCGCGACGCCCACCGACTCGTGATCCTCGCGTAGGGCACACACAGCCCCACCATTCCCAGCACGAGGTGTGGGTGATAGTGCGTGAACTTCCAGGCAAAGTTGGCACCGTGGTCGTGCGAGATGACGATGACTTTGCCTGAACTCGAGCTACCACTGTCACTGGTGCTGGAGCTCAAGGCGTGGTGCACCAGACGGGCAATATCCCCACTCATGCTCATGATGGCATACTCTCCCAACCGCCCCTCTCCTCTCGAGGGCCGCGACGTGAGTCCATACCCGAGCATATCAGGGGCGATACATCGGTGGCCGCGAGAAGAGAAGTACTCGATCTGCTCAGACCAGCCGATAGCTAGGTCGGGGAAGCCATGCAAGAAGAGGATTGGAGGCGCAGAGGTGCTCGAGGACGAAGACGAGGCGGGCACGTCTAGGTAGGAGTAGATACGCTCGGGGTCTTTGGAGGCTACGAAGGTCGAGCGAGGGTAGGCTGGGAGAGGCATTGCTGAAGGGGTGGGAACAGGATTATGGTATCGAGCTAGATTGGGTATATGGTGCGGAAGGATTTCCGATCTCGGCTCGGATGTCGGAACAGCCGCTTCCACCGGTCCGTGATGCCGGTCGAGGCTGGCTCGTGCACAAGTGCCTTCGCACCAGAGGGGGCCTCACTACTTCGACTAAAGCAACCTGTCGATACAATAACAAGAGCAGAGAGCAGAGCGGACAGAGCAGTAGCAACATGGAAGACGAGTCGCTCATGCGCTTCGTCCGGCATTGGGATCCTTCTTGATCCGCAGGTACTCCAGCCTTCCCACGGGCAAAGAAGTCCAGTCTTCATCATCGTCCTCGCCCTCGGCTCCATCCCCTCCTTCTCCGTCCTCATCCTCATCCTCTTCGTCTTCTTCAATGATACGTCCTGGTGTCTTGAAAGCACCATTGAGTTTTCGAGAAGAAAAGGCATTCCCGCTAGCCTGCTCTCCAATCTTGATCTCGAGACCTTCCTCATTGGCCAGGTGCAGAAGACAGATGAAGCAGAAGGAGGTACTGATCTCTTCCATCTTCTCCTTCGGGTATGCCTTGCGTAGACCTGAGAGGACGGAGCGGAAAGTCTTGGGTTGGAGAGCAGACATGGCTGAAGGAGGCGGAGAAGACCGGGGCGTACGTGGTACATCCTGAGCAGTAAATGGATGGCGAGAGTCAGCGGGCTGTCCAGCCTCTTCGCAGAATGTAGTCATACTCACGAGATCCTCATCTTCGCTCTCCTCAGCGCGACCTTCTTCTGTCGCCACGATACCTTCGATTCCGAGCTCCTTCCAGATGTTTTCCTTCAGCTTCCTGACGTCGACCCTCTTTGCCTTCTTGGCATAGTTGACATACTCGGGCTTCACTCGCTTCATTGCAGCAGCTTGAGCAGCCAGATCTGCCTCCTCAAAGTCGGCAACGTCGACATCGATCGCCGAATTTGGGTTTGTCTGCTGAGGCATTGAGGAGGCGAGCTCAAACGCCCCTTCGTCATCTCCATCGTGGTAGAATTGGGTATCCAGGGGCATAGCACCTTCGCCATTGTCACCATCGCCGCCCATGAAGTCGAAGCCGTCTGCTTCTCTTGCGGCTTGTTGCTGCGCCCAGAACTCCCCGTCGACTTCTCCTTCTCCAGAACCGGCAAAGCCGGGGAGATTTGGACCCCCAAAGCGTACAGCGCCCTTGCGGGTCCGAATGTTGAGTACAGCTCGAGGCTTGCTGAACAGCCTCAGTAGCATCCGGGAGCTGAAGTGCCGGTCTTCTGGCAGCAGGAAAGCTTCTGGTTTGCTTCTTGTCTTGGGCAAGACGGTGGTAGCGCTAGATCTTGGAGCTTCGAACAGCTCCTTTGCTGAAACTGCGCCCTCTTCAGAAGTGAAGTCGATCACAAATGCCTCCTTTGGAGCGCGCTTCTTTTTCGAGGATCCTGGATCTTCGCCCTCGCCTGCTTCGCCGTTGCCCGCTTGATGTTGGGCACTTTGGAAGCCGCCGAAGCCTGCAAGCCTCGACCTCATCTTCCAGTGCTCAGGCCCGGCCCAGCTCTTCATCAGCTTCTGATCGAAGTAATCGAATAGCCCACCTGCAGCCTGAGCTCCTCCGCTTGCCCCGTCTTGTCCTTCGTCGTTGTTGCCCGATACACCCTTGAAGGCAAGAAGGAGGTCATGTTGCGATGGACCCTGTCTGGGATCCCAGTGGACGTTCTCCTCTCCGTCTTCACCTTGCAGGCTAGGCGGGCCCTCACCACCATCGAGGAAGTCAAAGTCGTCGTCGCCTGCACCTTGGTTCTGCTGTTGCGTGTATTGGGAAGAATGGTGGTTGAAGGAGGATGGACCCTCTGCCGGTAGCCCAAATACCTCTGCGTCGCGATCAAGCTCAGCCGGTACGCCAAAGAGATCCGCGCCGCTACCATCGTCATCCTCTCCCTCGAAGCCACCTGGAGAGCCAAAGCCAAAGTCTTGTACTGCCCCCTCATCGCCTCCCCAAGGTGTTGCAGTGACTGTCGGATTGAGGTAGATGCCGCCAGCATGAGCGTCATCATCCTCGTCGGAATCATCGGCTTCCTGTCCAAAGAGGGCGTGCTCTTGATCCGGCCCAAAGGAGAAGCGAGAGAGTGATGGGCAAACCATCCTTCCTTGAAGCAGGTCGGCGAGTGGATCGAAGGAGTCCTTCAGGACAGTGGCAGAATCGTCTCCGAAGAGCTTACCGATGAGCCTTGTGAGGTCAACCTGATCGACAGCTTGAGGCGCTGCATCGCTCTCTTCGACAGCCTCGTCCTCCTCGTCATCGGCCTCCTTGGACTCGTCGTCTGTCGGCAGTCCGGGCGCTTCTCCAGCGTCGAAGACGACCCTCATGCCATCATCGACTCCTAGATGATTCATCAACAGGCCTCCCGCGCCGCCCTCGTCAAAGTCTGCGCTGGTCTTCTTGAACAGCGGATCGACAGTGTACTCCAGGTCCAGCTTTTTGACGGCAATGGCAGAGAAGTTCTTGACAAGGGTAGCCTCTTTCGCTCGAGCGCGCTTTTTCTTGTCTTTCTTGCCACGGGGCCCGATAGGGTTGCCATCCTCATCGAGCTCCAGCTCCCCGCTGCCGTCCTCCCCGTCATCCACTGCTCCACGGCCGTCGCCAACTAGACCGTTGAGCAGCTTTCCAGTCTCGGTGACGACGCTGTCAACTCGGCTCGTCCATACCTTGACACAGCCATCGAGAGTACAGGAAGCCTTCTGGAAATTGATAGACCCATCGCCGGAGTCGGATCGAAGGAGGGACATGTCGTGGAAGTAGTCGATGAGGGCGATGGAGAACGTGTTTGTAGGGTTGATTTTCTACACGAACAGGCAGACCAGAGACAGAGTTCAGCTAGCGAGCTTTCAGTCATTCTCTTGCCGGAATCCCGTCACTCACATTGTCTGTCGCCATCTTCATCCACTCGTCGAAGCTGGTGCTATCAACGTTCAGCTTCTTCACTGCTTCGAGCTGTCCTGGCGGTCCTGCCCCTCCCAGCAGACCGGATGGCCCTACGCTGATCCTTCTTGCATTTGCGTTAGCCCTGGCTAAGGCGCTCATTCCACTCCGATTTGTATGGGATGAAGAGGCCGTGCGAGAGGTGGACGCGGCCCCAGCAGCGCCAGGCCCACTAGAGGGATAAGAGGGGCCCGAAGCGTCTGACGATGGGTGAGCATAGAGACCATCGGCTCTTGACGAGCTTCTCTGGCCTTGGTGATTGCTGGAGGCGAGCCTGCTGCTGCTGCTACCGCCTAGAGAGCGTCGAGCCTTTGGAGCCGAGCTGGGTTTACGCGGCACCGCCCCGAGCTCATCCTCGTCATCGTCATAGTCGCCTCCATTACCATGAATACTGTTCTCGTCTCTCCTGAGGGACGATGAGGCTACTGCTGCGCTGACCGAGCGCGAGTTGGTTTGCATAAGCTTGCTCGGCACACGGAAGCCACTGGAGGGACCCCTCTGTGTTGTGTTGGTTGAAGACGACTGCTCAAGTGGCCCTCTGGCACCGCTACTGCCGTGGCTGCTGCTAGGATGACGAGGACCGTCGAGCGCTGGCATAGATGGAGAGTAAAGTGTACGACCAAGCGAAAGCGGAGGGTGGATGCAGGGCGAGAAAGGCGTGGTAAGGGGAGGATGATGGATGTACAGGCACGGGCGGACGGACAGACGGACGGACGGAGGGTGGGTCGTGTTGCTCTCGTCTTCCCGCGTGGCGCGAGGCACAACAAGATCGGCGCAACGTGATCTGGCGGAGTTGCAAATCCATCCATCCGATCCGTCCTGCTCCTGCCCGTCTTTTTCCTAAGCTTCTCAGAGGGAGGAGCTCTGTGCGTATTGCAGCTACGACATCGTCACCATCACCGCTATCCCTACGCTACAGCATGTCAACGCAGGTATCAGCAGCGCTCCGGCGGCAGGCAGTGAAGGCAGCCAGGACACGCGATCAGAAGCTGCGCCACGCTATCTCGCTCTACCACCTCAGCCCATCCTTCTACCCAACGAGCGCCGCCTCTAGCTCTGCTTCTACATCCACTTCCGCCTCCCCCTCTGCTCAATCAGGCATCGACGATGCCATCGACCAGACGCTGCACTACGATATCTGGGGGTCCAAAGACAATCAACGAGACGCAGGGGCAAAGGAGAGCGTACCCACCTTCTACGATGGTGACTACCTCGTTGCCCGACTAAACCAGGTGACACAGGCAGGTCCCCGGGATGGATCTCACGAGGAGCCTACTGTCAGTCCTCTTCTCGATTGGACAAGCTACGAGGCCGGCTCTATGACTCGAGGCTCACTAGCGCCACAGAAGTCGCCCCGAGAATTTGCCTACGACCAGCTCAGGCGGTCATTCCTGTCCGACGGAGCCGGTGTTACAAAGTTGCCCAAGTCACCAAGGCCAGAACTGAGGTCAGATGAGCCAGAGCAGACACATATTCAGCCGGGCGCATCTGCGGCTGTGCTCAGGAGTCAGTTGGATGAGAGGAGCGCAAGGATCAGGGACGCGCTCTTTGGCACTGTAGGAGCAGGAGCAAAGGCCGGACTGGAGGTGGTGCGGGAGAGGAGTGCAAAACACAGGCAACAAGAGTAACGAATCTTCGACTGAATACTGGACGACGGTAGAGAATTGTCATTGGTGAGGTGGTGAGGAAGTATGTACAGTGATGTCGATCACAGCAGAGATGCAAATCTTCACGACGCAAAGTAGTAGCCGAGTGTACTGCTGAAGCCATTCCTGAACATAATCTCATCGACGACCTTTTTACCATCGACCACGACCATGCTCTCCGTGCCGACAGTATTTAGGCCCACGATGTTGATACCTTCGTCGGAATTGGGTTGAAGAGCACATCCCTCGATGCTTAGCAGAGCCTCTTGGCACCTTCGAGCTGACAGCCTATCCTGACTGTAGGCGTCGAAGAAGCTGTATAGGCCAGCAGCAAAGAGATGTATAGAAGTAGAGTCCATGATGCGTATGCCCCATGATCGACTCTTGAAGGAGTCCCCGAGGCCAGGATCGCTCTCCTCCCACGTAGGGTCGCACCAGTCTACTTTTGGCCGTGCAATCGTCTGAGGGAGCGCACAATGTTCTCCGAGGAAGTAGGGACTCTCCGTCTGACTATGGGCGATGAGTACGTTCTTTGCCCTATTGAGCTGGTATTGATACAGCAGGAAATGCTCTGAAGCTCCTCCCCACAGCATGACTGGTCCAGGGTTGCTCTCGATCAGTATTCCCCTCGAAGCAAGGAGGGAAATTTGCTTGCCCGCGTGTCGATCAGGCCATGAGGTATCGAGGATGTGGTCCGCTAGCCACACCCAATTGTTGACAAAGCATCCGCTGGAGCGACGGGTAAGATGAAAGGCGAGGAAGCATGCCCAGCCGTTCGAGAGATCCAGAGGGCGCTCGCTATCGAAACGCTCGTCGTCCAAGTCCGAGCCTCGGAAACCTCCCAGGCGAATGTGCGTGTCCCACATGCCTGGTAGGACGGCGTCGTCGTCGTCTCTTGGTCTTCCTCGCAGCTGCCATTGCAGAACAATTGCACCCGCAGAAGGGCCCTTGGTCGAGAATATGCACTCAGATATCTCCACGTGGCCTTCCTGGCCATCGCTCTCACCTACCTGAACGACTGCGCGTGGGTGATTCCCATCGCTGAAGTTGCGCCCTGTGCCGAGGAAGACTGGCCAGACCTCTCCCACAATACGACAGCCAGGTGGTATGACCACTGTGGAGGTCAGAAGATACTGGCCATGAGGCACGTATAGGACTTTCCCTTCTTGTGCTGACCTGCGGACAGCAGCTTGAAATGCAGCGGTATCGTCTGCTGCTCCGTCACCCTTTGCTCCTTCGTCTTTGAGGCTGATGAAATGCATGGCTTCGAGATCGAGGTCTGCGCGAAAGAATACGATGTTGTCAGCAGATGCACTCCCCTGACAGTGGTGCTCAGGAGGGAACTTACATTCTGGTCGGGACTGATGCAGCCACTGACCTACTCGGTCAGTCATGTCGCACGGTCGAGGCAGCAACAACGATCCGGTACGGGGTGCCGAAGGTTTCGTGGGTGCCGAGTCACCCTGCCATGTCCAGTCTGTCACCGTGATCTTTTCGTTGATGCCGGGCAGCAACAACGCAACGACCCCGCTTCCAGATTGCATTGGCTCCCACTGTCTTATTGAGCGTGCCACAATGGTTTGGCATCTTTCTGTCTCGACATTGCTGAGCGCAAGACTACCCCTTGACGGTGTGCCTTGGCCGACGATGTCGAATGCGATCCTTGTGTTGCTGACCTTCCAATCAGTACAGACTATACTTGCTGCACCTTGCGCGCTTTCTCCTTTTCCGTCCACAGCTTCTACCCTCATCTCAAGGCCGACTTTGCAATCATTGATCTGTATCCGGCTGTACAGGAAGTTCCAGCACCAATGCTGAGAAATGGCAGTTGCGCACTCGTCGAAACGGCAGCGCTGTATGGTGAACTGCTGGTTTCCTACCCACATCCCTTGCTTGCCACCGCGGAAGCTCAGGTCGGACATGTGTCCGCCTGAGCCATTCTCCATGAAGATTCCCCTTTGTCCGGCATCAGGGCTGTCTTTCGACCAGCGGCGAAGCTCAAAATGCACATGCCTCAGACCCGTGGCTTGTGCCACCTGATGATGGATGCCAGCACATTCTGTAGCGGGGCTAACCGCTGTCATGTCGATGATCAGATGAGCGACTGATCGGAAGAAGTTGTTCTGATTAGTGAACCAATTCCTGCCCCCGGCTAGGTAGGGGTTCTCATCGATGACAGCCAATCCCTGAAATGCCTCGTCCGCTTTGAGGATAGGCCGATCGACCGCATCACCCACCAAGGAAGTATAATAGTAGCTCATAATGGGGCGAGTGATTCGATAGATTCCCGAAGGAAAGTAGACCAGCGCCGGAGAAATCGTAGAGCTGTCGTTGCCCGGGTCGCCTCCCCCACAGCGACCGCCATGGCTGATGGCTCTGTTGATGGCGTCCGTATCATCAGCCAGTCCATCTCCCTTCGCTCCGAAGTCTTTGGCGTCACGGAAGACACTGTATTCTGAGCCCAAAGGATGATGTGGGGCCTATAGCAGCGCTTTTGTGTTTTGTGAGCTATTCCGCTTGGACAAGTCTCACGCAAGTCACTGCTTCTCCACACTCACAAGACCTTGTCTGGGCAATCGAGACAGCCAGTAGACTGATGCCTTTGGCTTACCCGCGTCGGTCTCTTCGACTGCAAGGCGTGAAGTCGACATATCAACCATCTTGACTTTGCCGGATCACTTGATGGCTTCGACGTATACAGCGCCAAGCTTTAGTTGAGCGACAGGATGGCTGCGTTCCGAATGCTTCCCTTTCCGTGGTGGAGGTGTCAAGACGACTCGGAATTTACATTGCCCCGGAGATTGCTGTACGCTATCAGAGCAACATTGCAATCGTATTGGTAGCGATGCGACTATGGAGGGAGTTCGGTGCTTGTGATCCGCACTGCAGCCATCTGCAGCACCGCTGCTTGCTATCCGAGGTCTGAGACACCTTGTTCGATGAGTGAGTGATGCATACTGCTTACGTAATACCGGCGGCTTTCCGAGGGGGGGAGCTGTCTGGCCCGAGCTCTACTCCACACTGTTGCTCGTGTGCCACCACCACAACAAACAGATAGCTCGTCCGCATTATCACTCGTCTACTCCTTGTCGCGGACCCTCTCAGCGACACATCCATCAGCATGGCTAGTCAAGGCGGCAGTGACGCTTCGCCGCCGCTGTCCTACTGCCACCAATGCTCTTTTGAAGGGCGTCCTTTGCTTCAGCCTGGACCAACGTGTCCCCGGTGTGGATCGGACTTTATGGAGGAGGTGAGTGACGGCAGACATTACAAGGACGTACATTCCACATTCCACAAAAGTACTCACTGGTCAGGCATCTTTTCTTCCCACAGATCACTCCTTCAAGTGACCTCGGCCTTGGAAACAACACTCCACCCATTGGCCCCGATGCTCAGCCGCCGCCCCCAAGAGGGGGAGGCGGAGCATCTCTGGACATCGGCGGCGTCCTATGGAATCTCATGAGCACCTTCACCGGAGCTGCAAGTGCAGGGAACCAGTCGCAGAGCGATGCCAACGCCTCTTCAAGGTCTCAGCCACACAATTCGCAGTCCGGAGCAGACTCTCCGAGAGAGGAAGGAGGGCCTCGAGTCAGGTCTGGGGGCGGTCGATTGGGGCCATTCGGATTTCAGTACGCTTACATGAACAGCAACGGACTAGGGGGAGGAAGCAGCAGCAGCAGTGCCAACAGTACAGGCCGCGGTAGCAGCAACAGCAATCCATACCACGGCGCATACGCCCGACCCGACGACGGAATGGGAGGAGCAGGTGGAGGTGCAGATGGTCGGCCATTCGACTACGGCTCGCATACTACCCAGAATGAGAACGACCCTTTCGGTTGGGCTGAGCGAGGGGGGGAGGCTCATGAACAGCCTTTACCTCCACAATTCGCAGTCCTGCGCAATGCCCTGGTAGATATCTTCGGTACAGCAGATGGAGAGAACGAAGGCTCCAACGGGGCGGCGCCTGCTGGGGATATCATCAATGGTCTCTTCTCTTCATTCTTTGGCGCTGCAGGCGGAGGCAGGATGGGGGACTACGTACTGGGCCAGCAAGGCTTAGACGACATCATCACCCAGATGATGGAGCAGACTCAAGGGTCTACAGCTCCGCCGCCTGCTAGCGAAGAAGCCATCGGCAAGCTGAAGCGGCTTAAGATCGGTGACTCTACGGCCTCCAAGCTTGCGAGAAACCGAGAATGTCCGACCTGCTTCGATGAGATTATCCCCAGTACGGCTCCCACCTCTCCGACACATTCTCGTCGACCTTCGGAAGCGGCCGGGTTCACAGGCGATGCACATGACGATCCGCCCGAGTACCTGCCCGGGGAGGAGCCCGCGAGCGATACCCTGGTGCTGCTTCCCTGCAAGCACGCAGGCCACGAGGAGTGCATAGTCCCATGGCTTCAGCGCAACGGCACATGTCCCATCTGCCGAGAAGCTCTGGAGCCCAGCGCAACGGCATCAGGCAGCTCAGGGCAAGCGCAGCAGCAGCAAGAAGCTGCTGGGCCCAGCGCAGGAATGGCAACAAGCTCACAGGCATCGGGGCGGGCGCAGTCCTCTCACAATCCATATACCACTGCGCAGTCTTTCGGAGAGCTGGAGGATACGGATGAGGAGTGGGAGGACGAAGAAGATTCGCCGGAAGAGCGCAGGAGGAAGACACGCGAGGCGGCAGAGAGGCGGACACGTGGTAGTGGTAGTGAAGCCCGGTTTGGGACACAGGAGGAGTCCAGCAGGATGCCCGGCGGATTCGAAGCAGGCATCCTACGGAGTCCGGATCAGGATCCGTATGATCTCGACTAGTATGTTCTCAAAGGCATTCTTACAGCTACTGCACCATACCCACGCTCACCCTAGTTTGCACTTGTCAATACGAATCACCACTTTGGTTTGGATGTTCAGAATGACTGTTATTTCTATGGATATTGATATCGTAAGAGGAGGTATTTCAAGCCTCGGAGCTTGGCGTCTGCCGTCCTCCTTCCTCGCTAGCGCTGGCTGTACCAGTGTTATGCGAGGTAGTAGAGGGAGTAGCGCATCGACTGTCCGACGACGTAGACCTCTGAGCCAGAAGTGCCTGTCCTCCTCCTCCAGCACTTCCGCCCAAGATGAGCTTCTTTGGCTTCTCCATCCCAGCCGTCGCCTCGACGGGCGCTCCTCCGGCTCCGCCAGCACCGAACATAGCGAGAAGCGTAGCCTTGTCCCTCTTCGATCTGATCCTCTCCGCCTCGACGTGCCCTCCCGTCTTTCTGAGACCGTCGCCAGCAACATTGTGCACAAAGCCAGAAAGCTCCTGCGTGAAGTCGTCGGTACGAGAGGCGATCTCGCGCTGGCGGGAGCGTTCGGCAGCCTGTAATGCTCGCAGGCGCTTCTCGTGATCGACGCTCTGCCCGCGCACTTCGAGCATGACCGTACTGAGTCCCTCGTGCCCTTCCTCAGGTGCAGGCGGAATGTACTTCCCACCAGCAGGTCGACCAGCGCTTCGGAGCTTAACGACTTGCTGAATGTTCTCGTACACCTCTTGCAGAGCAAGATGATCGTCCCGCAGATCACCGATAAGACCTTCTTGATGGTTCAGGAATTCCTGCTCGTCGACAATGTTCTGCAGCTCGGCTTCCCACGTCTTCTTCCAGCTAGGCTTGACCGTCTGCACATACTTCTCCAGATCTTCCAGACCCCTTGTGGCTTGAGCAATGTTGTCTTTGATCTTCTTGAGCGTGGCTGGCTTCGGCTTCACGCCTCGTTGAATCACATCGAGCTTCAAATCGTCTACAGTGTCTTGCAGATCTTCGATCAGCGTCAACACCTCTTGGGAGCTGCCGTCGAGTCGACTCTTCCCCGCGACGATGAAGTTGCGCTCTGCCGGCACCTCAGTCGCGGCAATGGCTCTCACTCGACTTGTCTGCTCCTTCATGTTCTTCAAGAGTCCACCAACATCTCCGGTAAATGCAGCCTGTAGCTGGCGCAGAACAGCCATCTCTCTTCGAAGGTTCTGTATCTCGTCATAGTGAGCTTTGAGATTTTCGGCAACGTGAGCATCTGTAGCAGCAGTCACGATTGGAATCGCATCGCCTTCGCTCGTAGGAGCTATCGATGGGGGTCGCAGGGATGCCACTCGGTGTCCAGCAGCTGCAAATTGCGAATCAGAGAACCTGCTAGGGGACCCAGGCGCCGGTGGAGCCAAGTGCATAGACGCAGCGTTCGGCGGGGCTGTGGAAGCCCGTCTGGCCAGATCACGGTCTCTGTCAGATAAGGCGGTCTTGATCTCACGAATCTCTCGACTGAGAGCACCTAGAGACAAGTCCAGGTGTTGCTTGACCTGGTCTAGAGCTGGAGTAGATCAATAAATAGAAGACAGTCAGTCGCTGAGGCTATCATTCGAAGGCCAGTATCGGTTACTGAATACTCACGTTCGATGTTCAAAGTCAGCAGGCAACCTTCTGTCACATCGTGCAGATTTTCTAGCTCATAAGTGACTCCACTGAACGGATCCTTGATGTAGATGGCAGGGAAGTCGTCCTTGCCCGGCGAATATGCGAAGCGATCGATGAAGAGCATCTTCAGCGTGGCAATGCTGACGCCTCCTTCTGTATCGAGTGTCGCCTTCCTGGTCTGCCTTCCCAGCTGGAGGAATACCTGCAGCGACCCCTGCTCATCTTGTGCTGCTGCGCCGCGACCTGATTCTTCGCTGGCCATCGTAGGTAGAGCGCTCGGCCCAAGACGCTGAGCAATTGAGGAGCCTTTTGAGCTCGTTCGAGATTCCGGTGCCAGCAGACCTTTCTCATCAAGCAATGGCAGAGATGGGATCGGCGGCACTGGAGGTATAGGGGGCAGCTCGCTGTGAGATGTTCTGCTAGAAGATGGCAGTGATTGGGCTGCTGGGTCACCGGAGGAGCCAGATCCCGCTGACGTTCTCCGTGTTACCGGTGAACGCTGGACTGCTGTACTCCCGCCCTTGCCGCGCCCGACTGCTTCAGGGGTAGTTGGTTCGTCAGGCTGCAGATCACCTTGTGCCAGCTCCTCCTCCTCCTCCTCGGCGGCAGACGCTCCTGCCTTGTCGAGTATTGTTGCCAGATTGGATTCGGACATGCTGCCCTTCCCTCTCTGCTTCTGGCTATTTTTCCTCTCCATCCTCCGCTGCTCAAGACTTGGGCTATTGCCGCTGCCAGCGCCCATGCTGAGCATGCTCATGCCCAAACTTCCCGAGCCAAAGCTCTGACCGAAGCCCTGTCCAAGTCCCATCTTGTTAAAGGTGTAGGCGCTGAAGCGTTTGCTCGCTCTCCTCTCTAAAGCGTCCCTGCTCTTGAGAGCCCGCAGACTCGGATCAGCCTCCGTGATGTCAACCGCATTGCCGCCATTTGGTCCGACGCTGTGGTTCTGCCCTTTCGATACGCGAGTGGACGCTGACCCGGGACGGATAGCTGAGGCGGGAGCTGATCGCGGGCTAGCAGGCCGTCCTGTAAGTGAGGAAGATGGTGTGATGGTAGTCTGTCCTCTACTTGAAGGCTGATCCGAAAGAGAGTGGCGTATCACGTTTGCCGGCACGACGGAAGACTCCATCAGATTGCCGTTGCTGGATGGCATTGGTGTGTCATCGTCATCGACCTGAGTACCTTGAACATCTTGCGAGCTGGGTGGAGACATCGTCCCGCTCCCGCTGCTTCGGACAGCCTCACTCTTTGCCTTCTGCAGTGAAGCGTGTCTCGAACCTCTGCTTTCCTCGGGTAAGCGGGCCATGCCGCCCTGTCCCTCGCTCGTTCCCTGCCTCTCATGTCTCAACGTGCGACTGCTCCTCGGTCCAGATGGCCTACCGGCATCTGCTGAACTTTGACTCGCTTCTGGCAGATAGGAGACTCGCTGTTGCGACTCCGCAACCAGTATTCGCTTGTACTCCGCTTGCTTGACCTTCAAGCCTTGCAGAAGTCTGACGATGATCTCTCGCACCCTCGGCAGATGTTGATCAAGGACAGCTGGTGAAGCGTCCTCGGACAAGCAGCGTTCCAGGCAGCCGCGAAGGTCATCGGGTACGGAGGCCAGGACACTGGAGGGGCACATTGAAGTCAGAACAGATATCTCCATCGGTTACTAGTCTGCTTGTATGACTCACCTCATGTCGATTCCGTAGCTATGGAATGCTACTCTAGCCGAGTGGAAGTCGTTTCCAAGCCTAACATACACATCGGATACGTCTGTCTCTGATCTCTGGCCGATTGACCATTGGGTCAAGGCCTCGAGCAGAAGCTTCGTTGCTACCAAGAGCCTTGTCACCGAAGACTCCATGTGATTCGACGAGTAAGGGCTCCGGGACGGGGGTCCAGTGGGCTGAGGACCAGTCATCGCCCCTCTGTGTCTCTCGGCGTTCGCTGCTGCCTCCCTCTCCCTCTCGCGCTGCTTTTGAATTGCTCTCATCTCTTCTGGCAGCAGAGCTGGTGCAGCTGGCCCCGCTCCTCCATATCCGACAGCTGACTTCTTGGTAGATGCAGGACTGACCGATGCCCCTGCCATAGGCGGTCTTCCTCCCTTTCGCGAAGAGATGGATCCCGAGGCAGACGAGCCCATGCTCTCCTGTCGATAAAGAGGGCCATTGCTGCTTGACCCTGCTGCCGACATACCGGATGGCGGTGGGAATTGCGTGGTAGATGAAGAGGCGCCATTGGGCAAGGAGTCTTGGCTGGAGGATGGCTGTCTCGAATTGCGATCTCGCTCGCCGCGCTCGTTGCGACGGCCCAGCACTCCCGAGAGCATCGCTACGACGCTCGGCGGAGAAACTGGATCGCTGTCAGGCGCCTGTGACTGCCCAGCCTATAGACTGATGGCTTGCCCGCCAGTCAGTACGATGACGGGAAGGAGGAGGGCTGCTTTGGGGACGGTGATGGTGATGGTGTTGGTTGTGCGGTTTCACCTCGCGCCTTGTGTGGCTGCCTTGCCTCGTCTGCCAGGAGCGGGGCGTGGCGTGGGCGGAGTCGGAAATTGTCGACCCAAATTTCATGCTCACGCCAGGTTGAGGCCGCTTCCTTCCTTCTCGCCTGGACACAACGTCCTCACGAAGATCATCTGCGATACCGCCTCATCCACATCGTGTCCTGACACAATGGGCGGCAGAAAGGTGAGACGTCTCTGATGAATGCCGATGCCCCAAGATACTCCTCTGATCCTTCCTCTCTCGCTATGCCCTCTCAGATCACCGCAAAGTCAATCAAGCGTAGAGGCGCTCCCACTCACCCCCGGTCCCGGAGGGCAAAGCAGCTGGACCGGGTCGCATTGCGGGACGTCAAGCTGGCGCAGCGGAGAGTTGTAAGGGATCGTTCAGTGTCTTCAAGAGGTGAGTAGCTTCGCTCGATGCGCCGCGAGGAAAAGTGACATGCTCACCCATTCTGCCTCACATCCTGTCTTACCTGCCAGTACAACGCATCATCAATCTCACCCTACTGCTGCCGGACGACTGGGAATGTCTGCCCGACCTACCAGCTTTGCATGCTTTCATGAATGAGTCATATCTCGCTCGCCACGACGATGAGCTGAAGCAGTTGCAAGAGGCCAGGCGAGCTGGGCGCCCCCCATCAAAGCATGAGGTGGAGCTAAAGGACCTGATTGAGGCGGAGAGGAGGGATTACAACGAGAACATGGAGATTCCAGATCTATTAAACGCTACAAACGTCGCTCTTCTGAGAGAATGGAGCGGAGATTCGCAGTCGCTGGGCCTCTTCAGGCTGGTCAGAATCAGTGGGACCAACCGGTGAGTCGTGGATCAGCTAGGAGAGAATCAGCTTGGGGGGGGGAATGCTCACTCTTGCGCTCCGCCTAATACAGCTCCCAATACGTGCGAACCCAGGATGGAAGGCACAAAGACTTCGAAGCCGAGGACAAGGCGGAAGCAGCTGCCAAGAGCGAGGGCGCCATGGAGGTTGCCTAGCTCAGGGCTCCTCAGAAGAGTCTCACCCATACCAATTAACATGTTGTATCATAGATTACTGTCACAATGCCAAAGTACCAAACATGAACCCGACAATTGGAATGAAGCACAGCAGTCATAGCACCCTAGAATCGCACTAGCACCAACAAGGCCTTGCACCTTGACCCCGCCTTCCTGCCCCACAGCATCACCCTCACTTGTCCTTCTTGGTCTCAGGCGCGTCCACAGCGGCCTTGCCCTTGATCTGCTGCCTCAGCGCCTCAGCTGCTTCAACCCGCTGCTTCTGAGCCTCCTTCTTCTCCTCCGCCTCTATGTAGCTTGCTACTGCCTGCAGCAGAACCACGCCAGCCAGAAGAACCATGTTGATGGTGTTGGTAGCGCCAATAATCATCAAGGCCGAGAATCGCTCATCGTTGGTGAGGGGTTCTGTGTAGAGTCCAGGCGGTGTCCCTCCTTGGTTCTTGATGAATTGGTCTCGCTCAGTCCTAATGGACGAATTGTTGAGGAGGTTGACGTTGGCAGGGTCCGCAAGTAGACGCAAGTTAGGAACGATGACGGCTGCATACATGCAAATGGCCCCAACCAGGAGGGCTGAAGTGATGAGAAGGTGAAGATTGATAGTACGGCAGATCAGCGCTTACGTTCGTAGCTTTGTCGCCCGCGTGACCTGCTACTTACCCAGACTGGAGCCATCAAAGTACTTGGCCAGCTCGCTCCAAGCGTGAAGCTTAGCAGAGCAGCCAAGGACACCCAGGAGCATCATACCGTGCAGCAGAGCCGAGACGGCTCTAGGTCCCTGGAAGACCGATAGGTAGAACTTCTCGGCAATCAGGCCCTTCTCATCTGTGAATTCTCCATAGATGAGCGGGAAGTCGTAGACGGAAGCAACGAACAGCACGCCGTAGAGGAAAGCGACCGAGGTCAGGACAGCACCAGTCCGGAAACCCATGACGAATGAAGATATGCAGCGGTGAGGGAGCGCCAAGTATCCACGGTCTGCGAGATGCGATCCCTCTGATGATAGATGAAGGGGTGATGGGTATGCCGGAAGAAGGAGAGGTTGCATCGGTATCTCTGCCTTCTTCCGACGTCAGGCGGCGGGGCTGGGCCAAGGCCAGATTAGACTCAATGCAGCGCGCGGTGGAGCTTTGGATCTCCGCCAGCCTCCTCTGAGGGAGCAGCCAGGCCACTTCTTCGTACAACACCACAGACCAACACTTGGGCTACATCCCTTTCCTGCTCCTATCACATCACGACATACAATGTCATCGACATCGAAGACGCCTGAGACTTCGACTTCGACCGAAAAGAAGACGGATGGTAGCGTCGACTCGGTCACAGAGCGGCTGACAGCCATGATGGGCAAGTCGGAAGCAGCGCCAGAGGCCAGGGCTGAAGCAGCCAAAGCGCCGACAGACTCGTCGTCAGGAGCAGCGGCAACAGCATCATCCTCATCAGTAGCAGCAACGTCAGCAACAGTAGAGAAGGACAACTCTGCGGCGGTATCGCAGACTACAGAAGCTGGAGCGGAAAACGAAGAGGATGATGACGGCAGACTGCTCAAGTCGAAGTACAATGTCACAGTCACACTAGCAGATCAGCAAGCAGACCCAGACTCGCCCTTATACTCCGTCAAGTCTTTTGATCAGCTTGGCCTGACGGAAGAGCTACTGAAGGGAATCTACTCGATGAAGTACCAGAAGCCAAGCAAGATTCAAGAACGAGCTTTGCCCCTGCTTCTTCAAAACCCGCCTCGGAACATGATCGGACAGTCACAATCAGGCACTGGAAAGACGGCCGCATTCGTCTTGACGATGCTCAGCCGAGTCGACTTTAACGTTAATGCCACTCAAGCTATCGCGCTGGCTCCATCTCGTGAGCTGGCCAGGCAAATTATGGACGTGGTGCAAGAGATGGGCAAATATACCAAGGTCAAGACTGCCTACGCCATTCCGGATGCCGTTCCGAGCGGAACGAAGATAGATGCTCACATCGTAGTTGGTACACCGGGAAAGACGTTTGACCTGATCAAGAGGAAGCAGATTGACACAAAGAATGTCAAGGTCTTTGTGCTAGATGAGGCGGATAATATGTTAGACCAGCAAGGACTGGGCGAGCAGAGTATTCGTGTCAAGAAGTGAGTATATCGCACTGGGAGGAGGTATCTGTGGAGACGATCTGCTGCTGATAATGTTTCTTGGTGGGGTCCTTGCCTCCAGTACCGTTCCGAAGACTTGCCAGCTCGTGCTCTTCTCGGCCACCTTCCCAGACGTCGTGCGAGACTTCGCTACTCGCATGGCTCCTCAGGCTAACGAGATCCGCCTGAAGCAGGAAGAGCTGAACGTTGATCTTATCAAGCAATTCTACATGGACTGTAAGAATGAGGAGCACAAGTATGAAGTCCTGGTAGAGCTGTATAATCTGCTCACCATTGGACAGAGTATCATCTTCTGCGCTGTGAGTAAGCTGGTCTGCTACCAATCTTATTGTCGCCACTGACCCCGCCTTCCTTTCTCCCACCAAAGCGACGAGAAACTGCGGACAAGATTGCTCAGAAGATGACCGCCGAGGGGCACAAGGTTGATTCCCTGCATGGCAAGCTCGATACCGCCGAGAGAGATCGCACCATCGATGCCTTCAGGGATGGCAAATCGAAAGTCCTCATTGCAACGAATGTCATTGCCAGGGGTATCGATATCATGCAGGTCACGCTTGTAGTCAATTACGATATGCCAGTAACGCAATCAGGCAAGCCTGATGCTGAGACGTACCTGCACAGAATTGGTGAGTTGCTCTAGAGAGCACTCAGAGTACGCGCCCCTCACTTCTTGTCACTGACGCTGCTCGTATTGCCTCCGATACTTTCAGGACGGACGGGTCGTTTCGGTCGCAAGGGTGTGTCGATCAACTTTGTGCACGATCGCGCTTCGTGGCAATTGATGAACGGCATCGAGCAGGCGCTGTCATGCGAGATTCTCAGGGTGCAGACGGAGGACATCGAGGAAATGGAGGCGACCATCAAGAAGGCTCTGAAGGGGTGATGGGATTCGATACCTTAAGATTGGCTTGTTTGCAGATGGATAGTCTGCTACTGGTGTTACCTATTGTCGCAAGCACCTCATGAAAAGTCCCGCGGTGAATTTATCAGCCAACCATCCAGGCCCTTGGGGGTGCGTCGTACGCCTGGCGTGTCGGAAGCGAGGTATAGCGCCTGGCTCGGAGTCGGTGGTTCTGTCTGTCGGTGGGTGTGTCTGAGCTTGAGTCGTGCCTCGCTTCCACGCCCCGCCAATTCCCGCGGGCGTCGGCGTCTGCGCTGTCCTGCCGTCTACTGTCCGGTGGTGCTGGGCTGGGATGCAGGGATGCAGGACTGACGCACATCATCTCCCCGCCCTGCCCGCACACTCAGCTGATCTCTGCACCTGCCGCCCAGCCAGCCAGCCACGTCCTCGCTTCTCTTCCTCGACCCTTTTTTCCTCGCCTCCCCGCCCTCTGCTACTTGCTCTCTGCTCGCCGCCCTTCCCAGGCCTTCTATCTCCTACCCACTCTTGCATCAGAGGGGAAACCCCCAAAGTCTTAGCATACCACACCATTCATCTCATCCCTGGTCCTCGCTCATACGCACTCCTTTCATCCTCCTTTACGACACCTTCTCTCGTCTCCTATCTTCTCACTTCCGCTCGCGTCCTTCGGCGCTTCAAATCTATTCTCACACGACGTCTCACCAGCTGTGACACCAGCCTCATTGCAACGAGTGCGAGGTGTAAAGGGAAGCGCTGGTGCCACATCCCTGACCACTTCACAAAGCTGGCAGTCCATCGGCTCTACCAGACGCACGCAATCACCCCAGGCGAGACTCGGCGAGACAGGAATTGATCACTTTGCGGGGTAAGTAGAGCTCCGGCGGCTTCTATGTGCGTCTTCCGCGGCCACAACGGAGGTCAAGTGCTCAGGGCGACCGCCGATCTTTGGGAACAGTGACGTTCCTGGAGCCGAGGGAGCAACGTCAGTGTAATTGCCTCGACGGCGCTGCGCCGCAAGACGTCGCAGCAAAGACTCAGGCACACATTGATTGATACGCATTGCGGGGAGAAAGCGAAGCCGATGTCGCCAGGACAGGCACCTTTGCCATATCTCTTCGCCTAGACCCATACTGATGATCCATCTTCGTTCCCATCATCCTCAGCCTACAACGACACTCATGAATGCAACCCCTTCGCCGGGGACATCCCAGCGCCCGCTACACTCGTCTCACCACTATCAGCTACCGCCCCCGCTGAAGTCTCCTGGCCATGGCAATGGGCGAATGCCCTTAGACGGGTGGAACTCGCACCAGATGGAGCCCAACTCGAGGAGAGACCATATGTCCCGGCAACAGGAGTGGGAACACCAGCAGGCGGTCCACCAGCATCATCAGCAACATCAGCAGCAGCAGCATCTACATCCCGATCATCCCCATCACGGCCGTCACCCCTGGGGCCCGGCACCCCAGCATCAGCAGCACTACCCATCCCATGCGGGTCCGGAGTACTATGATGGCTATCCTTACCAGGCGCCGCCAGGCATGTCTCCTGAGGACAGGGCGACCTCGGCGGTACCTCGCAAGCAGCATCGTAAGACGCAGTCTCGAGACTTCTTACCCCCTCCGTTGCCTCCAACGATGGGAAACGGACCAAGCGGCGGAGGACAAGGAGGCGACCGGGCGCAATCAGAACGACATTCCCCCGTGATGCACTTTGACCCGGGCGTCAATCGCGCTCGCTCTTTGGCACCAAATGGCCATCATTCTCCCCTGCCCTCACAACAGCCGCTACCTCTGGATCACAAGCCACACCATCGCCATCAGAACGGGCAGTACATGAATGGCGCCCATGATCAGGAAAGCGGGCACAAGAGGAAGCGATCTGAGAGCTACGCTCCTCGCGCTGGAGTCAATGGCTCGACGTGGGGAGAATATCCTGCCAATGGACCGCCTAATGGTACAGATCCTCGACATGATCCTCGGGCATGGTCGCAACCATACGATGGGGACATGGAACACAGGAGGAGACCTGAAGGACCTTTCGAGGGAGGACCCGGAGATATGGGGCCACCCGCCATCAAAAAGTCTACCAATCAGCAACAGAAGCAGCACCGTACGGATGGCCAGCAGCAACACAGGCAGAGAAAGTCTGTCGAAGAGATCAAGCCTGTCGTGACGTCTCATCGACCACCGCACAGCCCTGTGAGGCAAAACGGGCCGCCATTTTTGACTTCACCTGACAATCATGCCCATGGATACTCGCATGGGCCCCCACCATCGGCTCGGGAACAAGAGGAACCTCGCTACCTTGCTGAGCCTCAGCCGCCCATGATGCAGCAGCAGCCCCAGCAGCCTCAGGTGCAGCGACAACGACATCAACCCGCCAAGAGCGAGGAGAAGGCAGCAAAGCGGCAAGGGGCGGAATCTTCCAAGTCGAGGCACAAGCAAGATGTCTCACAGTCTGCGAGAGAGCTTGCCCAAAGAGAACAGCTGCAGGCAGAGAGGCGGCGGTACGAAGCCGAAGCTGCGAGAACCATCCCGACTGGAGCTCCCGACTCAGCAGCAGCATCTGGCTACCCTGCTTTACAAGCAGCAGCAGCATACACAGCCCCAGCTGTTGAACACCCGCGTCATCGAGATTCACAGTCCGAGCACGGTCCTGCTCTGGCCGCTGCTTCGTTTGAACCTGAGCTTGTTGCACCCGCAATAATTGCTCCTCAGAAGGGATCATCCCAACAGTCACAATACCAATTGCAGCAACACGTCGCGCCGCTACCTGCTGTGCCTCAACATCGCATCATCAGCGATTCGGTGTGGGCCTGGTTTGACGAGTTCAGTTCCCTCTCTTCTGCTTCCAAGACAGACAGCCCGCGTCCCGCTCCATTCTTGGGATCGTGGCTGTATGAGCCTTGGAAGCAGCCCCTGCTCCCTGGTGGAGTTCTGGCAGGCAACGTCGCCGCACTCTTGGAAGTGCGCATCAGCGGGAAGACGCTAGGGCTGTACCGAGAGAGGAGCGATCCGGCAGCTCCCTCTGGCTGGACATTAGGCTGGAGGGCTAGGCAAGCCGGCGTGAGAGTAGACATCCAAGATGGTGTCCCTCTGAGTGAAGAGAGCATCAAAAAGCAAAAGGAACAGAACGGAGGCAGCCCTTCGTTCTGGAAGCAAGGTGGACTCGAGGAGCGTAAACTGTGGGGCAGCGAGGTGTACACAGATGATTCGGATGTGCTGGCTATGTGCGTCCACAGTGGATGGATCGAGGGTCCCGCTAAGGTACAGCTCGGTCTAGCTTTGAGCAACGAAAGGTCATCGGCAACAGAAGACAACCTCCTCTACTCGCCGCCAGACCTGCGAGTGACGCTCAGAGTGGCGCCACGCTTAGTTGGCTACAGAGAGAGCTGTGGAGGAGGCTTCTGGAGTAGAAACTGGCTGGGAATGCATGACGGCGTCAGTCTTCTGGTGGAAAGAGTACACCTCGAGAAGGTGAGTGTAGACACGAGAGCAGAACGTCGAAGCACGTACGGAGCTGACCCTTCTTTGATCTGCACATCTGATTCTCGCTGCAGGCCGGCTTTGCATTGCCTTCGTCCCTGCCTGGAGCACGAGGTGCGAAGAATGGCGCTGCCTACCTCGCCTCTTTACAAACCAAGCTGCAATGTCTGTCTCTGTTGGATCGGGCTGCAGAGCTCAAGAAGTCGGCAGCCCAGCAGGCGCGCCCAGAAGTCTCGGTGCTTGACAGCAGATCGAAGTCAGTGTTCCCACTATCTGAGGTCAGCAGGGGAAGCAAGGGTTCGTCAGAGGCAGAGGATCAGTCAGTGGACGATTCCGTGCCTAAGCAGAAGCAGTTTTGGTGGAAGGTGGGCGATGTAGTGGCTCAACAATTGTCCGCTGCTGCTGCTGCACGCTTCCCTGCCCCGAGCGGAGGGTCGGGGGCGTCGAAGGTAGCAGCGATATGAGATTGCTGGAAAAGGAATCGCTGTGAAGAGACGAAGATCCGGCCGCAGGAAGGGAAAGAAGACAGATCACCACTCGCCAAACAGGCACGCACTTGCCTCTACTTCACAAATTTCTCTCTCTCGCAACGTCACCGTTCCTTCTCGCGCCTGTGCACAATCTCGCCTCATTGTAGAGTACTTTTTACTCCTTGTATGCATATCAATCCAAAGCACCACTCGGACATGCGGCGGCAGCGGCGGCAAAAGGCGGCGATTGGTCGTTGTCTTTGGCGTTTGAGTCTAGACTCCGCCCTTGTCCCGATTTGGGTCGAGATCGAGGGTGGAGGCGGCGGAAATGCATCGATGGAGTGGAAGCAGTGCGGCTGCCCCTCTCTTTCCGAAAAAGAAGCTCGCTCCATTTTGCCTGCCTCTTCCAGGTCACCTTGTCTGAAGCATAGCATCTTCATCGCTCCATCTATTCGTCCCCTGCAAAGCGAAGATATTGTTTGTTCGACTGGACGCTGGCATATCCGACGCATCTCATCCCTTCCGACAAGTCTCTGACAGAGCAAGGCATAGAAAGATGGACGACGCAATCCGCTTCCTCAAGGCGCACAAGAGCCAGATCATCAAATACGGCAAAAAGGCCCTTGCCTTTTGGAAGAAGCGGCAGTCGCAGAATTCTACCTCGGGAGGATATGCGGGAGCTGCAAGTGGAGGAGCAGCAGGAGGATACAATAATGCATCTGGAGGTCAGTACGGAAATGCTGCTGGAGGAGGGTATGGAGGACAGGGCCAAGGGCAAGGTGGCTACCCAACTCAGCAGCAGGGAGGAGGAGGAGGATACAACAATTACAGTGGGCAACAGGGAGGTGCTTATGGCGGAGCGCAAGGCGGATATGCTGGTGCAGCTGGAGGGTACGGAGGTCAACAATCTCAGGGCGACTACGGTTACAACCAGCCTCCACCACAAGGACAGTACAGTCATCCTGGCCAGTCTTACGGTGGGCAAAGTGGACTAAAACCCACTCATCCCAACTACAACGATAATGCTGTAAGTAGCTGAGGATTAAAACAGACCTGAATGATTCTGACTCGCATCCAATGCTCACCGCTCTTGACGCTTCCCTTTCAGGTGAACTCCAAGAACCAGAGGTACATGCAACTACGATCGGATGCACGTCGCGAGGGAGATTTGATGGCCAAGTGCTTTGACCAATCTCACTCTGCATACTCGAGTGGTGATGGAGGTAGGGCGAAGCAGCTCAGTAACGAGGGTCATCAGCACAAGGCGAGGATGGAGCAGCTGAACAAGGAGGCCTCTGACTGGATCTATGCGGTACGTCTCTTTGGTTTGGTATCAGGTGCGAAAGTTTCCATTAGAGTTTTCTGACTTCTTCTTCTTCTCTTCTCCCTTTATACCTTTGACAGGCCAACAATGAGGACTCCGGTGCCGACGAGGTTGATCTGCACGGCATGTACACAGCCGAAGCCATCACCCGCACAGAGCAGGAGATTGCCCAGCGTCAAGCACGAGGCGACTCTTCTGTCCGCATCATCGTGGGCAAGGGTGTGCACTCCAAGGACCACGTTGCAAAGATCAAGCCTGCAATTGAGGACCTAATGCGCAAGTACAATCTGCAGGCTCATCTGGACCCTCATAACGCTGGAGTGCTGGTGGTGGATCTGACGGGCAAGGGAGGTGGACATTTCAGTAGGGATGTGGGAGGTATGACAAGGGGATTGGCCCAAGAGGCAAGCGGGGATGAGAACCAAGTGAGTATCGAAGGGAAGAAGACACAGGGGGCGTGTTCATGACGCTGACTGCATCTCTTTTTTATCTTATCAGTGTATCGTCATGTGAGGAACGACGTGATTCGAAGAGGCGAGTCAGACCAGTTGCGATTATGTCTTGGTCTCGACATGCCTTGTTGGATTTCCCTTGCTGTGCAACCTTTTTCTTGTTATACCAAAGGCATATCCCATCTGATCGTGTGCCCAATTCTTCCGTTCCGACTACCTCTGTTGCCCCGCTCTCCCCGCCGGCGCCTCCCCCCCCCCGCATGCTGTTGCGTGAAAGGGCCTGCACCGGTCCGGCTGCGCCAAGGCACTCCCTCCCTCGGCGCCCCGCCTCCCGGCCGCCAGCCGCGTCTTACTTGAGGCCAGGGGCGGCTGGCGACTTGAATGTTTGTGATTTGCTTCATCTTCTAACCGAACCTTCAGCTCTTTTCTTCCTTTATCCCGATACCGATCCCCCTTTTGACCCTCCTTCACCACTGACTCGTACCAAACGTCAATACGCAGCAATGAACACCTTGTCGCGCCGCATCCCCTCGCTGCTCCGCACAGCCGGCCCTTCGTCCGTATCCTCCTCTTCCGGCTCAGCAGCATCGAGTCTGCGGAGTGGCGCTCTCGCAGCATCGCAGCGTCTGACCGCCGGTCGAGGATATGCTACCGAAGCGGAGGAGAGTGCAGGAGCAGTGAGCTTCAAGTTGAGCGAGGAGCAGGAGGCTCTGCAGGGTGAGTTGCGGACCGGGTGGAGGTGGTAGCGAAGGGACACCGGATGATATACCGGCTGCATGGTCTTGATGTGGGAGATGCTTTGTAATTGCCGAGTATACTGACATTGCCTCTCGTCCTCGTCGCACGTAATCCTTTCTAGACCTCGCTCGCAAGTTTACGGCAGACGAGATCACTCCCATCGCCGCACACCATGATAAGACGATGGAGTACCCCTGGGAGGTCATCAAGAAGGCCCACTCCGTCGGTCTTCTCAACACCCACATCCCAGAGGAATTTGGTGGTCCTGGTCTGGGTCTGATGGAGTGTTCCCTCATATCTGAAGAGCTGGCCTTTGGCTGCTCCGGTATTCAGACGGCAATCGAGGCCAATGGACTGGCTGAAGCCCCCATCCTGGTTGCAGGCAACAAGGAGCAGAAGACCAAGTACCTGGGCAGGATGACCGAGGAGCCTCTCGTCGCCTCGTACTGTGTCACTGAGCCTGGAGCCGGTTCAGACGTAGCTGGAATTTCCACTCGTGCAGAAAAGAAGGGTGACAAGTGGGTCCTCAATGGTAGCAAGATGTGGATCACAAACGGTGGTCATGCCAACTGGTACTTTGTCCTGGCCAAGACCGACCCTTCGGCCAAGGCTACCAAGTCCATGACCGGGTTCATCGTCGATGGAGACTCGCCAGGTATCGTCAAGGGCAAGAAGGAGATCAACATGGGTCAGCGTTGTTCCGACACTCGTATGATCACATTCGAGGACGTTGAAGTACCCGAAGAGAATGTCCTTGGCAAGCCTGGAGATGGGTTCAAGACAGCCATGGGCGCTTTCGATATCACCCGACCCCTCGTGGCTGCTGGTGCCACGGGTGTAGCGCAGCGCGCCCTCGTCGAGGCAGTCAAGTACGCCCAAGAGCGAAAGACGATGGGCCGACCCATCATTCAGCATCAAGCCATTGCATTCATGCTTGCCGACATGGCCATGGACGTGGAAGCCGCTCGAGGAATGGTCTGGAAGAGTTGTTGGCAAAAGGATCACGGACTACGAAACTCCTACTATGCCTCCATTGCCAAGTGTCTCGCCTCGCGTGCTGCCGTAGCCAATGCCGATCGAGCCGTGCAGGTGTATGGTGGAATGGGATTCAATTCCGAGTCGCCAGTCGAGAAGCTGTACCGTGATGCTAAGATCTTTGAGCTCTACGAGGGAACTTCGCAGATTCAGAGGTTGATCATCTCGAGGATGATCGAGGAGCAGTACAAGCTGTAAAAGGCGGCGTCTTCTATCACTTTATTACATATGTAGCTTGTAGCCCCTTTCTCTTTTTCTAGACGATTGATCCAGAGGCATAATGATATCATCTGCTCATATTCAACTCTCGGGGATCTCTCTTCGATCTATAACTGCATAAGACTACGAGGGAGAACAAGGACTCGTGCATTCCGTCTATCCCCACAGGGCAACTGTCACCACACTATTACACTCAAACCACTCTCACTTGAGAGCTTCCATCTCCTTCTTGATCTCCTCTAGCCTCTTCTTCCATCCCTCCTCCTCCGCCAGCTTCTTCTTCAACTCCCGCTTCTCCTCTTGCAATCCCTTTGGTCCATCATCCTCTCCCCCCTCTCCTCCTCCCTTGCCAGAAAGGACTTCGAGTTCCCAAGAAGGATGAGCTTCATCTTCGCCCGTCTCGCCGGTGAGGCGGAGAAGGACGTCGTGGTATTTGAGAAGGGTGAGACGCGTGGAGATGGTTAGGAGGGAGATGCCGGTGGCCTTGGCCGTGGCGTACACTGGAGGAGGAAGTCAAGGAGCGGCAAAGGGTCAGTGAATGCTTGTAACATCGTTTGAGCATCGAAGCTACTCACTGCCGCCTTCGACGTCTGTGGAGACTGCCGAGGTACATTCGTCCAGTACAGCGAGCTTTGGCTTGTGGAAGAGCAGTCTAGCAAAGTTGACTGTGGAGAGCAGGCAATAGGACGGAGGCGATCAGTATCGACCGAGTGTGACATCACAGCTTGAGGAGGAATACTCACTCCTCTGCTTCTCGCCTCCGCTCAAAACGTCCTTCCACTCCTTTCTCGTCTCCCATCCACCCTCTCGATCAGGCAAGTACGCCAGATTCACCTCCTTTAGAATCTTCATCAGTTCAGAATCCGAACCCCCGCCGGCCTTCCATTCAGGAAAAGTCGTGGGGTATAGAACCTGCTCTCGTAGTGATCCAGCGGAGAGGTACGGCCGTTGAGGGAGGAAGAAGATATCTCTCTTCGATGGCCTCTTCAATTCCCCGGACCAGACGGGCCAGAGACCTGCAATGACTCGGGCTACGGCGGATTTGCCGACTCCGTTGGCACCAGTGAGGAGAATGTGGGTACCTGGGTTCATCACGAGGGAGAGGTCCTTCACTAGGCGCTCTCCACCTCGTGCCGAGCCAGGGGCGGGGGCAACGATGGGGACATTGTCGAAACTGATGGACTCGTCTCCCATGATCATCTTGCCGGAGATCTGGAGATAGATTATGGGAGAAGGAAAAGATCAGCTGGCATTCCCGTGCTTGGTCGCCAATGTGAGTACTCACATTGCTCATGTCATACCATGGCTCGTCAGCGGCAATGTCCACAGGCCGTTCTGCGCTCTCGAACTCATTCTTGTTGAGCAGATGCAGGGTACTGACGAGGGTGTAGACTCGATTTGTGTACCCAGAAAGCTCTGCCAGCTCCTTGTAGCTGTACATCAACCTCGATCCTGCGTCTGCCAGAGACAGCAGAAGGCGACGGTTCGAGATGTAGCTTTCGGTCTTCTGGGCGACTCCTGCGTGGTTCTCCTCTTCACTGGAAGTATGCGCCTTCTCGGCGACTGGGCGGGACGAGGATTGACCGGGCTTCAGGCCGAAGAGGAACGGCGAGGCGATGATCACGTATCCAGCGGCTGCGAGGAGCGAAGAAGTCGGCGGTGAAACGTCAGAAATGTCAATAGCTTCTACGTATCGCCAAAAAACTCACCAGACCAGGCATACTTGAGCACGAAATCCTCGCACATGTTGAAGGCAATTCGCACCTTGAGAATCGAGCTCACGTGCTTCACTAGTCTCAAGAAGGCCCTATTGAGGATGGAAAGCTCCGTCTTTGCTCCACCATAGAAGCTGATCTCCTCGGCATTGATGATCAATCTTGAGTGAGCCGCCCTGAAGTCACCTTCTAGCTTGGCTTCCAAAGCTGCCAGCTTACCGAAGGCCGGAGTGGCCTTTCTCAAGATCCAGCCCGTGATAATGTAGTTGCCAAAGAGCGCAAATTGACCTTTCCATCCGAGATTCGATGCTAGCTGGTAGTTGAAGACGATCATGTCCAGCACTGGCTTCGAGATGTTAGAGTAAAGCGCAGCCAGAGCTGAGCAGAACTGTGCTACGTCGGAAGTGATGAACTGATCAACTCCGTTGATACGACTGTCCAGGTTCATGACCTTGTAGAAGTTGCGTCCGTCATTCAGGTACAGGTCATGGATGTACCGCATCATCCTGGTTCTAAAGGAGATTGCGAGCTTAGTCTGCAGATAGCGGATCATAGAGTTGGTATAGGTTGAAGGAATGGCGAGAAGGAACCACAGACCGAGACCTCTCAGGAAGCCCTGTCCATTGGCTGAGACGAGATCTCTGACGAGGCGACCATCGAGACGAGCGACCAGAACACTGTGCGAAGGAAGAGGGCGCAAAGGATCAGTGATCGTGCTTCCTCCAGCTTTGCTCATGCTTCAGCTCACCTCAGGTAGGTCCTCAAGATCAGGAACGATGTATGGAGAGCGAAGATGAACACTTCTTTTGCATTATTACGAGGGATCATAATACGGAATAGCGCTCTGGCAGGATATAGCAGACAGCGTCAGTAAATCGGCCAGCCGATCTTCTTCATTGTGAAGAAAGGGACTCACTTGAGCTGCCTCAGGAACTCTGCATTCACTCCCACCTTCTTTGCGCTAGCAGCCGCCGCTCCTCCTTCGGCCCTCACCGCCTGATTCTCTTGCCTCCTTGCCTCCTGCTGATCTGCCTCTGACATCTCCTTCTCCGCCTTCTTCTTGCTAGCCTTTGTAGCACCTGCAACCGGCGGCAACTTCTTAAAGTCGGCAAAGTGTGTGTTGAAAGTGGAGCTCTTGGTCGGTCTGACCTTGACCTTGGATATCCTTCCTCTATGCGGCACCAGTAAATCGTACGAGTCGTCCCGGGCGGGATCGCTGCTGGGGAGGTAGACCTGCTCCAAAGCGTGGTCCATAGCGGAATCATCCAGGCTACCACCTTCGCGAGATTTGGGGGCTGCCTTGGCTACAGCAGTTGGTACCAGCGCCGTCAGCCTCTTTCGAGCGAAGATGAGGAGGAGCAAGAGAGAGAGGACAGTAGGTTTGGCTGCTGGATGGCTGGAGAGCCAGGTGGGTAGGCCACCTGCCACCGGCTTCGAGTGCACAGCCGGCATCGTCTTTGGACGACTCGGGGCAACAATGGAGCGAAAGGAAGCAAGTCGACAAAGAGGAGGGATGAGAGGATCAGTTGATGTCGACTATGGCAGAGCGCGATGTTTGGTGGTGCGCCGTATAGTCGAGGTGGACAAAAGTGGTCCTGGCTGTCGGGCCATGCTGCGAGGTCGCTGCACTCACACGGGGTGCGACTCGGCTTCGCGCAAGGCGTCCCGCCTCTTGCCGTCCCGGACAGCCGGACACGCGGAGGTTGAATCAGCAGCAGCAACAAGAATTGGCTCACCGCTCAAAGCTGCGCTTACAGGCTGTACAATTTATTCTTAGGCAGCAGAGCAAGCATGGAACATCTATATGGATAGTGACACGGGAAGAATCATGGCCCCAAGCGTGAACGGCTACGACCTCGCTGGTCGCTGCTCCCTTCCTCCTCTGAAACGTCTCTATTGAGGGCACGACTGCGCGACTCCTCCTCCTCCTCCTCTTCTTCACCTCCCTCTTCTCCCATCGTCTCGCCCTTTGCGACCTCATTCTTCAATGTCGTGCCCTCTGACTGATCCAAATCGCCTGATCCGCGTAGATTCGTCTTGTTCAAGTCTCGCAGAGCGTCTTCCGGTGACGGCTCAGTGGCGCTGTGGAAGGAACGAGACATCTGTTTCGCAGCCACTGCCTGCTCGCCCTCTTGCCTCCGCTTTGCTTGGACCTCAGCGTCAGTCAGCTCCTTCTCCTTCGACTCAGCAAGATCATCGGCCGGCGTTTCCTCGCCCTCAGCCTTGTCCTCTGTGCCTTGTTCATACCCTTCCCGATCCCCATTCTTCTTGGTCTCTTCAGTGTCGTTGTCCGTATCTGTATCGCTCTCCTCCCCGACTTTACTCTTCTTCTCGATGGCCGCTTCATCCAGTCTGATATGCCTCCTTCTGACCGAGGAGACCACATCGCTCTTCCCTCGAGGAAGTGCAGGCAGCTGTAGCCTCTTGCGGGCAACCATGACTGGGCATGAGGACTTCTGAACAAGATAGTGCGAGGTGGAACCTAGAAGGATGCCCTTCAAAGACCCCAGTCCACGAGAACCTACAATGACCATTGTCGGTCCGTAGAAATCGATCAAGTCCAACAGCATATGGCGGGAGTGTTTGGCGTGCAGAGCCTGGCAGCTGATCTTTACGGCTAGACGGGTCCGTTGCAGCAAAGCAGTCGCTTGCCGAGCCAATACAACGGCCATGTTCTGTCGGATATCCTGGTGCTCCTTGAGGGCTGCTTTGGCATGAGCAGTCTCCGTCTTGTGCGTAGGGTCTAGCTTCTCACTCGTCTCCATGACTGAGACGATGAGGGTCTCATCTCCGTCACGTAAGACTGTTCCGATAGTCCACTCGATGGCATACGACGATTCTTCAGAACCGTCGCTGGCGACGATCCACTTCTTGGGTCCTCGACCGCCTCCCGTCGCCCTCTCTTTCACTGCCTTCTCGTACTCACCGTGCACAAGGGTGATAGTGCAGCGGTTCCGAGCAAAGATCGGACGAGAAGCTACAAGGGAGTAGGCGTTCGGACCGTTCCCAGAGACGATGTACTTGGAGCCTTGTCGCTTGGGCTCTGGAATCTTGAAAGACGGCAAGATAATGTTAGGCAGTCTTGCGTGAGGATCTTGTGAAGGAGACGTTGGCATGGCCGCATCGACCGAAGCAGTCCGCACTTCGCCTGATTGATCGTAGCCCTGCTCTGCGGGCTCTTCGTTGATAGCTCCGTCAGGATGACCCCAGGAAGGGTCGTCATCGGCAGGGTACCAGCCCCCTTCTCCAATGCTTTCCCGATTGTTTTGCCAAGCATTGTGTAGATCCAAACAGCCGGCATTGAACAATGTGTTGTCTATGGTGGCATCATCGAAATCTAGAAGTGGATCGCGAGCGCCGGGATCGTCTTCTTCTTCTTCGAAGCTGTCGGCCCCCTCTCTGGAGAGTCTGCTGCTGTCATCTGTCTCTGCGTCTCCGGAACGACGCTCCCTGTCGAAATCAGCATCCCAGTCATCGTCGTCGGATCCATCGTGGTCGTCCTTGCCTCCCCGACCGAAGGCCATGCTTCTTGGCTGCAGTCCTTTGCCGCTTGCAATGGAATCTGCATCCGACTCTGACTCGAAGTCTTCGCCCTTCTCGCTCGTTTCTCCAGAGGATGCTGCACTGCTATAAGACTGTGGTGTCAGCTGCTTCGACCCGAAGAGATGACCCCCGCTGGCCAAATGAGTCCAGCTGCCTCCGAGAACTCCCGGAAGCTTGCTGAGGCTCTTTCTCCGATGGTTGAAAGGACTCAAGCTCCTTCCGGCCTTGGCAAGCTTGTCCCGAGTACGACGCCTTCGACTTGGCTTTGCCTCATCGCCCTCGCCATCTGTGGTGGAATGATGCCGACTTTCCATGCGGCCGTCTTTTCTCAGGGGACCAATTGTAAATGGATTATGGATTGAGTGGTGGTGTTCGTGCTCCTCTTGAGTCTGCTTAGAGGTCGAAGGAGCATCCGTGCTGCCAGGGTTGCTCCTATTTGTCTCCGTGCCGCCGTTTGAAGACGACGACGCAGCTCCAGGCACCGCGATTGAGATAGCCGGCAACATGCCCATTGCGATCGAAGACGTGGAATGCGACTTCTTGACGGGAGGCTGGCGCTCCTTCTGGTCTGCCGCATGCTGATCCTCCTTGCCTCGAACGGCACTGTCTAATGAGGTCACCCGCCAGCTCAAAGACGAAGGAGGTTGACTGCCCATCGCGGCGAGGCAGGAGCTGGCAGAGCGATCGGTGATGAGGATACGATTGGATGACGGTGAGTTTGGATGCCAAAGAGGAATGCAATGTGATAATATACGAGGTAGATCTCAAACCTGATATTGATGGGGATCAGGCTCACTTCTAGAGATGTGGGTTGGCTATCGTCGTCTTGTGCGGGGAAAGCCGAGCATCGGAAGCGGAGCAACGCATACGATCAGCCGCCAAGCCATGGGCCCACTTGGCTCTGGCGCGGGAAGAAGACCGATCACTCCCGCCGCCCAAGAGATTTTGAGCTGCAGCCAGAAGAAAGGGTGACGGAACCACTGCCTACCTCCTCTTGGGTCAGCCTCATCCACATCCCGTACGAACAGCAATACTCTTCTAGCTAAGAAGCAGAAGCAGACGAGGCAACATGGTCAGAAGCTACCCCAACATCGTCATCACTGGCACTCCAGGTACCGGCAAGACGTCCCATGCAGCCCTTCTCGCCTCCTCATGGCCTGCCTCCTCCTCTTCCTCAGCTCAAGTCCTCCGTCATATCAACGTGGGGGACCTGTGCAAGCAAAAGTCATTCACAATCTCTTATGACGAGTCATGGCAATCGTACGAGGTTGACGAGGACAAGTTGCTCGACTACCTGGAACCTTTGACAGGGACAAGAGCGCCGGAGCCAGAGGACGAGGAGGAGACCAAGGAGGCAAAGGAGACGCAGGACACAGAAGAGCGGGGTGGTCTGATTCTGGACTGGCATACATGCGACGTCTGGCCCGAGAGATGGGTGGACTTGGTAGTAGTGCTGAGTTGTGACCATCAGAAGCTGTGGCAGAGGCTCGAGAAAAGGTGACTACAGCAGCGATACCACAAATGGGTGGGCAAGCCTCTGGGCAGACGTAGCTGACGACGATGGCATTCATTACTGTCTTTTCCTTTCGCACAGAGGCTATCCACTACAGAAGATTCAGGAGAACAATGATGCAGAGATCATGCAGGTCGTGCTCGATGAAGCCCGGGAGTCTTACCCCGCAGAGGCCATCGTGGAGCTCACCTCAGAGGAGGCGAGCGATGTGGAAGAGAACGTCGAGCGGATCAAGAGCTGGATTGATCAGTGGCGGAAGGCTAGAGGCTTGGCAGATGAGGCTGCTCAATGAGTGGAGACTCAGCTGGATGCAAAGTGTGAGGGAATGCAAACACAATATCAAGAGGCGTACACGAGGCCATGTCTGGGAGTGCAATCGTCAGAGAGCCGGCAACGAAGGGTCAGGAAGTCTGACGCTCCCCTTGATCCTAGTCTCACGAAACCAATCAACGTTCACGCCTCTCATCCAGTATGCAAGGTCTTTAAAGCGAAGCGTCTCACCTATTTAGCATGGACGTCGCAAAGGAATCTTTGTGTAGATACATTGCCAGCATGAACTGCATTGACCGCTTCCCTACGGCGTCGTGCTTGTCAGGGCTGCCTGATTCGTCCCTGCACTAGTGGTTCGCTGCCAGCTCCTCGCTTGTGGGAGCCACCATGCTCACACTCTGACGCAATTTCGTTTCTCCTCGCCTAACCCCTCCCTCTGACATGCTCTATGGACTGCTGCGACGCTTGGTATAAATCGCTGCCAAAGCGCCTATTGTGTCTCTTGCTCATCCTTCATATTGAAGTAGACCCACTGCCCGGGAGGTGCTGGGTGCTCCAGAGCTTCCGATCTGTAAAGATTGGACGAGGTAGAGGAAGTGTCAGCTGCCTGCCCGTCTTTCACATTGATTTCGATCCGCACTCACGGTTGCCAGTCCAACATCTTTGCAGCCAGACCCATCTCGTGTTGTGCTTGTGACAGTACCTCCTCTGCCAATCCCTCATCAATCTGCTCCTCGAATTTGGCAATGGCCTCTTCGCTGTCTGAACTCTTTGCCTCCTTTGCCTCTGCTCCCTGAATGCTCTGCAACACTGCCAGTCTGTGGTTGGTGATGGCTTCTGTGGCTTGCCTGTAGACGGAGTTCTCCGGGTGCGTCTTGAGAAGCGATAGAGTGGACTCGTAGGTCTCCTTGAGGGCCGAGAGGGGAGCGGGGTGGACGTCGAGCCCGGTGATGTGAGTCGAGATACGGGATCGTACGGTTGAGGGAGCGCTTGTGCCGGCGGATCGGCCGACCTGGACGGTGGACGATGCGGCCCTGCGGACAAGTGTGCGGAACATGGCGATTATGAGGTCGAGGCGGTTGTGCGATGCAGAGAAGAGAGGACGATGGTCGCTGCTGCTGCTTGGTAATTGGTAGGCAGAGGCGGCTTCCCTCGGCGTTGGCTTGGCCTGGCCTGGTCTGGCGTGGGTGGCCTCTCCGCCCGTGCTGGTCCGTCGCGCGCGTTGCTCGACTGACGTCCGAGGCGAGGAGCGACGGGAGACAAGCGGCTTCCGTTTCCACACCTGTCGGCGCCCGGAGCCTGCTACTTCTGTTGCCCACCATTCATACATACACATCCTCGTAGCTCCTCCTTTGAGCCTTCCCCAGCACCGTACAGCTTGCTACTCTGCTCCACAGCTCCAGCCGTGCCTCCTCCCCCACGTCTCTTCCTCATTCGCCCCCATTCCTTGCCAAGCAGCGCCTTACATTGCCCACTGCATCGGCAGCGGCTTCCGAAGATGGAGCTCGCTGTATCTGGAGGCCCTTCGCGAGGGCATCCTCCGCACCACCACCCACACCCTCAGCATCAGGGGCACCCCTACGATGCCTATCCTCCTTCTCCTCCACGAGCACCACAGGCTGCTGCACCTCTTCCAGCCAACTCGTCAAAGAGGCGCGAACAACAGCAGCAGGAGTACGCCTATCAGACTGGTGGACCGCTTCAGAATTCGGCTCCGTCTGGCTATCCACCGCCGCCTGGCTACTACCCTGCACAAGCTCCCCCGCCTCACGGGTCGCCTGCTCTCGTACCGCATGGTGGTATCCCCGCCGCGAGCGGCTCCAGCCGGCATGGTGAGCTTCCTGTACTGCAGCACTTTGGGCCTTCCGCTGGGCAGTTACTCACCGACCCTCGTCCTTCTCAACCTGCCCTCCCTCCAGCATATCCAGACTCTGGCGGATATCCTCTGGCACCACCCATGGCTCCACCGATGCATCAGCAAGCACACATGCAACACCCACATCATCCACAGCACTATCCGCACCACCTCGGCCCACCCCAGCACATGGGTCCCGGGTATTACGAGGGCGATATGATGGACATCGATGCTCACTACGCAGCTCAACAGCAACAGCACCACATGGGCTACCCCATCCCACCACCAGGAATGGCTGATCCTCGCATGGGCTACCCTCAGCCGATGCCGCCTCATCATCAACACGATCCTCGCTCTCACGAAGCTTATCAAGGCGGTCCGCATCCTTCCCACCTCCCTCCTAACCCCCCGGCCAAGACCAAGACCAAGAGCGGCTCACGCAAGGACAAGGAGAAGAGAGACAAGCAGGGAGGTGGAGCTACTGGCAAAGCTGCCAAAGGCGAAGGCAAGGGACAAGCTGCGAAGGAAGCAAAAGCAGAGGCAGCAGCTCAGGCCAAGGAGGCAGCGGCTGCCGCCGCTGCAGCAGCTGGGGCCACCACTGAGAGCAAGAAAGACAAGAAGAAGCGAGAGGTCGTTGATCGGATCTTCCGGATGCACGCGGAGACTATGGACAACAGGGAAGGGTGAGTCGAAGGCAAGGGAAAGGTTGAGCTTTGGGTTCCGTGGACTAACGCAAACGTCCCTTTTCCTCTTCCAGTCTCTTCCAACATCTGCAGCACCAATTCCTCGCGGAGCACACCACTCTCCTTACCTCGCCATTGCTCTCTCGTCAGTACCAGCTCAACCTCTCATTCCTTACCCTCCAACGCGAATCCGCTCTTCGGCGTATAGCTCTGCTTCATGCCCATCAAGCCGAGACTGCTCGGAAGACATACGAGCTGGAGAAGACCAAGGTGGAGGAGGAAGCCAAGCAAGCCCGCAAAACTGTAAGAGAGCGCCTGACAGCGGCAGTAGATGAAAGGCGGAAGAAGTTGAAGGACGAGAAGGAAAGCGGCGAAGGAGCCAGTGGTGAGTCGCAGGTGATGTGCGCAACAGAGATGCCGATTCGCGAAATAAGCTCACAAAAACTACCTTCCTCCCTTCAGATACCTTGCTCGAATCGTCTTCTCGCCCTCACGCGACCCGTAAGCTACGGAACAAGCATACGGGCACTTCGCGTCGCCTGGCCCTTGCGGCAGGTGACATTGACTCTGGGGACGAGTCAAGCGTCGCGGGTGGCCCTTCTGGCTCGACGACCCAAGGCAAGGATCGCAGCAAGGACGGCTCGATCATTTTGGCGGGAGCCGCTGCCACTAACAATGCGAACGGGCTTCTACTGGCAGGCAGCAAAGCTATGGACGCCAGTGCTCCCATCCTGGGCTTACATGGTCTTCCTGAGCTTTCCCTTTTGCAAAGCAGTCTCCGAGTATTCGAAAATGACAACCCGACTCGAGTCAATGGCTCTACCAAGGGCAAGGGAAGCCGCAAAGCGGGCGGGAAGAAGCGCCGTGGCGCTATGCCTGATCGACCACCTTCACCCGCTCCGGACGCCGAAGAGGAGCATCTGTCGAAGAAGGCCAAGCGCGAGTTGGAACGCGATCGACTCTCTTTCCTCGCTCTAGCCTCGTCCTCGCTCCCTGCCACTCTGACAGGGACCGGCACTGGAGGCAGTGGTGCTGGTGGAGGTGTTCTCTCGAGCGGTCCAGGTCCAGGGGGCAGTAAAACCATCAGATGGGAGCCCGGAAGGAGTGTCCTGCAGCTGACGGGTGCAAAGGACTATGAAGCGGAGAGCGACCTGATCCGAATTCGGGGTGGCATCGGTGGAGGCAAGAGACGCAGAGGCGCTGCTGCTGCTGCTGCTGCGTAGATTGCCCAGCCGCGAAGCGGCAGAGTCAGCTGAATGCCAAGACCAACTTAGCCTGATGTTCTCTTGTTGTACTTTGTGCATCCTTCATCGTCAAATTCATTTTGTTCAATCACGCCCCCCTTCATCGGATTGATGTAGCGAACGAGGGTAGTTTGTGTGGAGTTCTGATCGGTGCCTGTGCGCAGGAAGATCTCCCTTTCCGTCTCCCCGCCCCGGAAGAAAGATCAACTCCAACACCTCCTCGCACCTGCCATCGCTTTGGCAACCGAATATAGCCTCACATCTCATCATCATGTCCTCCTCCTCCTCCTCTGCCTCCGGTTCCCTCCAAGAGCTCACAACTACCTTTACCAAGCTCCAAACCCAATACACCACCCTAATCGAAGCGCGACAACGTCTAGACTCACAGCTGAGCGAGAATGTCCAAGTGCAAAAGGAATTCAAGGGGCTTAAAGAGGAGAATCAAGTTTATAAGTTGATTGGACCTGTACTTATGAAGGTTGAACAGGTGGAGGCGAGGGGAAATGTGGATAAGAGGATCGAGTATATTAGAGGGGAGATGTGAGTATGTCGGGTCGGCGCGGGGCTGGGCAGGGCAGGATGGGGAGAAGGGGGAGGGGTACGCAATGCAGAAGAGGGCGGTGGACTGTGGGCTTGCTTATACTGAATTCTGATTCCTCTTCTCCCTGCGACTCGTAGTAAGAGGGTGGAACAACAAATAGCAGAAGTCGGTGGGCAGACGGAGAGCAAGAGGATGCAAGTGAGTCAAGCGAACCTTGCGAGCAGCGAGCAGCCAGGCGCTCGACGCAGCCTAGTGAGCTGAATTGGCTGACTGACCGACCGACGAGTCTACCTCTCACTCGACAGATCATCAAGCTTCAGCAGGAACAGCAGAGAAGTGCTGCAGGCGCGGCAGGGTGAAAAGGAACGACGCTGAAGTCGAAGGGACGGGATTGGAACACCTCTGCGGAGAAGCTGCAAAAGGGTGAGGAGCCAATTGTACTTGTAACAAATACAATGATATAGACTGTGATACTCAGAAAGACACGACTCAGCCAGACGACAGGGTTGGAACTCTCCTTATCTTCTCTGGTGGGTGTGGACTGCTGCTAGGCTTTGATGACGACGCTCGCTGCGATGCGATGTGCCGAATATTCCTATTGGCGTTGGCGTCGTCCCTTGCCCGCGCTTCCTGCCGCCCGTGGTCCCCTGTTCGCTCATCGCACGGTTGAATGACCGGCGAATGCTTCGATAGCCATGCCGGCATGATCCTTCTTTGCCTTGGCCTTTGATAGATCGTCGAGAGGCTGCCTTCTTCGATCGCTTAGACCCGCATCGCCCGACGAGGGGCGTCTGCCTGCCTGCCTGCCTGCTTGTCGACTCTACGCTGGCCCGCTTTCAAATCGCCATTGGCGGGGGCCAGGAGGCAGGCAAGCGATGGTGCGCGTGACTGTGTGGGTGGAGGAAGGCGCATTGCGTCTGTGGATCGCTGCCCCGTGCTCAGGGAGAAGCATTGGTGGGGTGGGGCCAAGAGACTGGTGCAGTGCCGCATAGGCAAAGAAGAGGGGGTGGTGTGCCCTTATCTCGCCGTGCCCTGCCTTCTCCTCGCCCGCCCGCCCGCCCGCCCTGTGCGTCGACGTCGATGTTCGCATCGCCGCGCTTTTCCTTCTGATACCGATCACAGCGCCCCTTCCATCGACCCTTTACCACTCACTGCTCCCCCTCACCTTCCCTCCCTCTCCCTCACACGGCAAAGAGGAGCTACCGTAACCCACTAGAGCCCTCACACAGTTCTCCTTCCTACAACCTACGCTTCTGAGAAGCTCCCTTTTCCTCCTCTCGCGTCTGTCAAACGCTCACAATGACCGAGTCGGCAGAAGCTCCTGCAGGAGTACCCAAGTCGTCCTTTGTCGTGAGTCCGCCTCAGGGAGAGCAAAGGATGGTAAAGCCCCGATCATGGCACTGACCTCCTTTCTCTGCGTCCATCCTGTCTACCTTTTGCCTCCTCCCTTCGTTCCCTCTACCCTTAGGACACCTTTGAGAGCCAGCCTGGCACGCCCGGCAATGCCACTGGTCATCTCTTCCCGTAAGTGCTCGGCAATCAACGTCCATCCCGCAATCTCCCCGATAGACCGACGCTGATATCGCGTCTCCATGCTCACTTGACATGACAGGTCCATCAACCGGATCCGAAAGGATCTCGGTAGCCAGGCCGGAGGGCCGCTCAAGAAGCTCCTCGTAGCCAACCGAGGTGTGAGTAGAGGCATGGCTGCGAAGTCGACGCAATTGTCCACAAGTCAGGAGCAGAATTTCTGACCGCGCCCCTGCCTTGCTTTCCACAGGAAATCGCTATTCGAATCTTTCGAACAGCTCATGAGCTGGCAATGACCACGGTCTCCATCTACAGGTGAGTCATGTGGATGCAGCAAAGCCCAAGTCTCTCTACTTACGCGTACGTTGGTGCCCTTTGCACTTACCAGTTTCGAAGACCGAATGAGCGCTCACAGATACAAGGTGAGCAGAGACTGTCAGAAGAGTCAACCTGTGTTACAGCGCAGCTCACATTCCCTGCCCATCGTCCTTTTCCACACCCTTTGCAGGCCGATGAAGCCTACCAAGTCGGTGCCGGTCTCACACCTGTCCAGGCCTACCTGAACATCCCAGACATTATCCGCATCGCTCAGGAGCACGGTGTGGACATGATCCAGTGAGTCTTAGACCGCAATACTCGGTAGGCCTGGAGACCCAACAAAATTCTGACTCGCACGGTCCCCCTTGTTAACCACCTACTCCCCGCTCAGCCCCGGATACGGTTTCCTTTCTGAGAACCCAGCCTTTGCCAAGGCCGTCGAAGATGCCGGCATCGCCTTCATCGGCCCCCGCCCTGAGACTATCGATGGACTGGGTGACAAGGTGAAAGCTCGTGACCTCGCCCAGAAAGCCAATGTTCCCATCGTCCCCGGAACACCGTCGGCCATCGAGAAGTACACCGAAGCTGCCCAATTTGTCAAGGACATTGGGTTCCCAATTATCATCAAGGCTGCCATGGGAGGAGGAGGTAGAGGTATGCGAGTCGTGAGGAAAGAAGAGGACTTCGAGGAGTCCTTCTCCCGAGCTAAGTCGGAGGCTCAAAACTCATTTGGTGACCCGACCGTATTCATCGAGCGCTTCTTGGACCGACCCCGACATATCGAGGTACAGCTCCTCGCCGACGGAGAGGGCAACTGTGTCCACCTCTTCGAGCGAGACTGCTCTGTGCAGCGTCGTCACCAGAAGGTCGTAGAGGTCGCTCCCGCATCCAACCTGGACGACAAGGTCAGGCAGTCCATTCTCACCGATGCTGTGAAGATCGCAACGACGGCAGGCTACCGAAATGCCGGTACCGCCGAGTTCCTCGTGGATCGACAGGGCCGACACTACTTCATCGAAATCAACCCTCGTCTTCAGGTCGAGCACACCATTACCGAGGAGATCACAGGTATCGACATTGTCGGCGCCCAAATTCAGATCGCTGCCGGCGCTACCCTGGAGGACCTGGGTATCAGCCAGAGCAACATCCAGAAGCGTGGATCCGCCATCCAATGTCGTATCACCACTGAGGACCCCGCCATGAACTTCCAGCCTGACACTGGAAGAATCGAGGTCTACCGGTCCGCAGGAGGCAATGGTGTCCGACTGGATGCCAGCTCTGGTTTCGCCGGTGCTCAGATCACTCCTCACTACGACTCTCTGCTGGTCAAGGTCACTTGCCGAGGTGCTACGTATGAAGTCGCCCGAAGGAAGATGCTGCGAGCCCTCGTGGAGTTCCGTATTCGAGGAGTCAAGACCAACATTCCTTTCCTGTTCCGATTGTTGACCCACGAGGACTTCGCCAACGCTCGAACATGGACCACCATGATTGACGATACCCCTGAGCTTTTCAACCTAATCCAGTCCAAGAATCGAGCCCAGAAGCTGCTCGCCTACCTGGGAGACGTTGCTGTTAATGGAAGCTCCATTTCTGGTCAGCAGGGAGACCCTGGACTGCACGAAGAAATCGACATGCCTCCCTTCACTGACCCCAAGGACCCGAGCAAGCCACTCGACGCCAGCAAGCCATGCACAGAGGGCTGGAGGAACATCATTGTCAACGAGGGCCCCGAGGCTTTCGCCAAGGCTGTCCGCGCCTACAAGGGCACTCTCATCATGGACACCACCTGGCGAGACGCTCACCAGTCGCTCTTTGCGACTCGTCTGCGAACCATTGACATGGTCAACATTGCCAAGGAGACTTCGCACGTGCTCAAGAATGCATTCTCTCTCGAGTGCTGGGGAGGTGCCACCTTTGATGTAGCCATGCGATTCCTTTACGAGGACCCATGGGAGCGACTGCGAAAGCTGCGAAAGCTCGTGCCCAACATTCCCTTCCAGGCTCTCATCCGTGGAGCCAATGCGGTTGGATACACTTCCTACCCTGAGAACCTCATCTACGAGTTCAGCAAGAAGGCAGTGGAGAACGGTCTGGACATCTTCCGTGTCTTTGACTCGCTCAACAACATCGACTCTCTGAAGCTCGGTATCGATGCCGCCAAGAAGGCTGGTGGTGTTGCAGAAGGTACCATTTGCTACACTGGAGATGTCGCCAACCCCAAGAAGCACCCCAAGTACACTCTGGAGTACTATGTTGACCTCACCGACAAGCTCGTTAAGGAGGGCATCCATATCCTGGGTATCAAGGACATGGCTGGTCTGCTGAAGCCCGCTGCTGCTAGGATGCTCGTCGGTGCCATCCGAAAGAAGTACCCTGAGCTGCCCATCCACGTGCACTCCCACGACACTGCAGGTATCGCACTCTCGTCGATGATTGCCTGTGCTGAGGCCGGCGCCGACGTTGTCGATGTCGCCATCGATAGCATGTCCGGACTCACTTCGCAGCCCTCTATGGGTGCCCTGGTCAGTGCTCTTGAGCAGACTGGTCTGGGTCCCGGCATCCGTCACGAAGACATCCAGAACCTTAACCTGTACTGGACCCAGGTGCGACAGCTCTACCAGTGCTTCGAGGCCAACGTCAAGGCTTCCGACTCATCCGTCTTCGACCACGAGATGCCCGGTGGACAGTACACCAATCTGATGTTCCAGAGTCAGCAACTTGGTCTGGGCTCCCAGTGGAGCGCCATCAAGTCTGCGTACATCGAGGCGAACAAGCTCCTGGGCGACATTACCAAGGTAACTCCCTCGTCGAAGGTCTGTGGTGACTTGGCCCAATTCATGGTGGCCAACAAGCTCAAGGGCAAGGATGTCGAGGCTCGCGCAGACAAGCTGGACTTCCCCGACTCTGTGGTTCAGTACTTCCAGGGATACCTCGGTTCTCCGCCTGGTGGGTTCCCCAAGGAGCTCCAGCAGAAGATCCTCCGAGGCAAGGAGGTCGTCGGAGACCAGCCATGGAAGAGCCTCGAGCCTTGCGACATTAGCAAGATCAAGAAGGATCTCACCAAGAAGTACGGCAAGAGCATGACCACGACCGACGCCATCTCGTACGCCCTTTACCCGAAGGTCTTTGAGGACTTCCAGGCCTTCCTGGACCAGTACGGTGACCTGAGCAACCTGCCCACTCGCTTCTTCCTCGGCAAGCTCAACAGCGGTGAAGAGATGCACGCCTACATCGACCGAGGCAAGCTGCTCATCGTCAAGCTCCTCGCCGTCGGCCAGCTCAACGGCGAAAAGGGTACGAGGGAAGTCTTCTTCGAGCTCAATGCCGAGCCCCGTTCCATCGAAGTCGAGGACCGCGGAGCGGCCGTCGAGGTGCAAAAGCGCGAAAAGGCCACGAGCGACCCTGGTTCCGTCGGCTCGCCACTGTCTGGTGTGATCATCGAGATTCGTGTCAAGGAAGGGCAGGAGGTAAAGGCAGGAGACCCAATGTTCATCTCTTCTGCCATGAAGATGGAGCAGACCATCACTGCCCCCGTTGGCGGACACATCAGCCGCATCACCGTCGCGGCCAATGACTCGGTCTCTGCGGGCGACTTGCTCGCCGAGATCAAGCACTGAGCGTAGTGATGTGTGGGTGCCTGTCTACGCGCGATGAATAGGAAGCAGTGAAGCGATATGGAGAGGAGAGCATTCGTATATAGGAGGAAGCTGGGTAGGAGATGTGTCTCTGTCAGTCTGTCAGTCAATCAGTCCATCGCTGGTGGAGGTATGCTTCTCATCTCAGAGGAAGGAAGGAAGGAAGACCCGTCTCTCTTGTCGCAATCGTTCGAATTAGAAAGTAATCCAGAAGGAAACAATTCAGTAGTATCAAATTGCAAAAGAAGTAGAGTTGTGTGATCAGTCTGAGTCTCAATAAGGCGTATGAGAGACTTTGAATTTGATCAATTGACGAGATAGAAGTACAGAGGAGAGTTAGAGAGGGAGGGACAAGGTAAGGAGCGTGTAAGGAGACTGGGCACATCGCTTGGGCAGCTAGCTCTTCTAGGTGGGTTTCCTCCCCACTTGTGTAATGAGTCTAGGCTTGGAACTTTCGCAAAGTAGACAGCTCATCGATGAGCTGCTGCAACTTCTGGTCGTCTCGCGGCTCGAGTCTGGCAGGGTGGTGAAAAGCAATAATGAGTGAGGAGGGTCGATAGTGAGGATTTTGTCCAGATGAACGGAAAGTCGATGGGACTGTCTGGCTCAACTCACGTAGGGATCAAGTTCTTGGCCTCTTCTACCGTTTCGACAGCCAGATTCGCCAGCTGCGCCCGTTCGAAGCCTGTGAGGCCGAGACTGTCCGTCTCGTTTCCCTCTTCGTCGTACGCATTTGCTTCTGAGTTCTCGATCAGGAGCCTGTCAGGAGGGCATTCAGAGGGAATGAGCAATGGCCGTCTATTCGGAAGATTCTGCATCTGCATGTCCCAATGTGTTCACTACAACTCACGTCCTCAGCTGCCTAACCGTGTCCAAATCCTTGTACCGACTAAAAGTGTCCAGATACTCCATCGTCTTCTGCAGCACCGGGTTCGCTCCATCCTTGGCTGCTGCTCCGCTCGGCCTATCAGGATCATCGAGCTTCTCACGCAGCAGAGTCAGGGCCTCAGAAATGCTGATGGTGTTCACTTCATCGCCGCCTTCTTCCGAGAAGCCTGCGAGGTGAGAGCAAAAGAAAAGAGTTGAGTCTCGCTCGCTTCTCGCAGCAAAGGTCGCATATGGTCGCTGTTCCACTTACCCCGAGGGAGCTTCCCCTGTGTGGCATCCTCTTGCTCAGCGTCCTTATTCCCCGGATGTCTCCTCCTTCCTGGCATATCTGTGATATCTACTACAAGTCACTGGACTACTTCGCACTGGGTGTGTGTGATCGCAGTCAGTCTCGGAAGCCTGTATAAGCTGCAAAGTCGTCGATTGATTGCCTTTGCAGAGGACAGCGACCGTTCGTAGACTGTCTGAGGACGGCCGGGGGGTTTTGAAGGAAGAGGAGGACGCAGCTCTATGTGGCAGAATGGGAGGACAATGGCAACACGACGGCGACACGGAAGGATGCGAAGGAGCGACTGGACGGACGGACGGACGGAGGAGCATCGGTCCGCCTTTGCGCCCACACACGGAAAGGCGCGCTGCAGGCCCGCTTCCGTACCGCTCCACTACGCTACTCACCAAGTCTCTAGATAGCATACAGCCAGCTCAGCCTCTGCCGCCCGTCTAGAGTTGCTAGACGAGGCCAAGCGGCGATGCCGACGGTACTTGGAGAACAGTACCAGATTCACCTCAGCCTCACGTCCAATTCCAGCCTGGGGAAGACAATATCGGCCTCGGCCTCGCACTCGTCCTCGACGTTCAAGGAGCCAGAAGCTGGGGCAGCTGGGGGCTTGCACTACGTCGACCTCTTCCATACTACAGCAGCTACAGAGCTGCTCAAGGCGTCCTCCGTGTCAACAGCTGCTCAGAACTCCAGTGAAACAGCTCCACTGCCTGTGCGCTCCAAAAGCGCCCCTGCCTGGCAAGCCCTCGACCCAAGACTCGGCTCCCTCCGCATCGACTGTTTGGACAAAGTCGAAGAGATGTCCGCTTCAACGAGTCTCGAGGGAGCGCAAGCAGGCTCTTCGAGATCAGTAGACTCTCCCCGCGTACCGAATAGCGCTCCCTTGACGCCAAGCGCGACCTCATCTATCTGGAAGGCGCGTTTCATCCAGAGCAGCTCCTTTCCCGTGGAGGGCGAAGGCGGGCAGACGACTGAAGTCCTCTTCGGTATCGTACATCTCTTTCGGGAAGGTCAAGGCAAAATTGGGGGAGAAGGAGCACCACAGCCGGATGTGGCTCTAGATGATGACTCCGGGACACTGCTAGCGGTTCTGGGACTGCCGATACAGATGACCGCTGCTGAGTTTCTGGGCTGGGTGGAGCCGGCGCGAGACAGTATAGAGAAGATTCGGATGATCAGGTGAGTTGGTGAGAAGCGGCTCTGTTCATATAGTCGACGGTGACTGACGCCGAGATCTTCCCATTTGCGCCCACAAGGGAAGCAAATGCGTCGCGGTGTACGGTCCTGATGCAGTTCAGAGACGGTGAGTGAACTTAAGGAGTCGGAGGCTGAGCCATTCCCCTTGCAGCAGCTCACTGGCAATTAGACTACCTTTCCCCCATATACTCATGTGGTAACACAGCTTCCGATGCTGAAGAGTTCTACAAGCAGTACTGCGATCAGACAGTTCCATACTTTGCCTCGTCTGGGGACCAAGGCGGCTCTTCTCAATCTTCTACAGCGCAGATCGTCTATGTGACACAAGTGACCGTCTCTACATCTACTCAGCTTCCCTATGCATACCCTCAACTCGCCAATTCAGATCCCTGGCCCTTACCAGCAGTCTCCACAGGCCCCCGCGAAGGCGAAGTTGGTTCGTCTTCTGCGCCCGTCTCTACAACGACACCAGCCACCCGCTTGGCACTCTCACTCGCACAAGAGCTGCCGACGTGTCCGGTCTGTCTAGAGCGCATGGACTCATCCGTGACGGGGCTCATGACGGTCAGCTGTCAGCATACCTTCCACTGCGAGTGTCTCTCGAGGTGGGGTGACGCTCGGTGTCCAGTGTGCCGATACAGCCAGAACAGAGCAACGTCAAGAAGCGCTTCGGTCTTTGGCAACTCCAGGCATCGTCCTGGTGGAGCCGGAGCTGGAGCAGGAGTGGGCCGGGACGAAACAAATGGCGAGGAGGATGCAACCAATTGCACCGTCTGCGGGACTACAGACGATCTTTGGGTCTGTCTGATATGTGCAACGGTGGGATGCGGACGCTACAAGAAAGGATGCGCTAAGCAACACTTTGCCGAATCTGGGCACATCTACAGTCTAGAAGTGAGTTCAGACCCCACACCGAGACAGGTGATGCGAGAGCTGACGCATACCATCTCATTCGCAGCTCGAAACGTCCAGAGTATGGGACTATGTCAATGACGGCTACATCCACCGTTTGATCCAAAATCGAGCCGACGGCAAGCTGGTCGAGCTTCCCACTTCCTCTCAGTCTACTCCCGTGCGTCGTCGGCACCAGCGTAGAGGCGTTTCTGCCGAGGCTGGTGGGTCTGGACATCCCAGTAGATCTGAGCGAAGAGGTCGGGCTGGACAAGACGAGGAAGGGGGTGCGTGGTCTGAGGAGGAGGGAGACGAAGAGCAAGACGACCCGAAGAAGTCGGGAGGAAAGCTGGGTTCCACCGACGAGAAGCTCGAAGCAATCTCACTGGAGTATCAGTACCTCCTCCTGTCTCAACTCGAGTCGCAACGCGCATACTACGAGGAGCAAGTGCGTCGTCTGCAGACGGAGCTCGACGAAGTGCGCAGCGCCATGGCGCTCGAGCAAACGTCTGCTCCTCTCCTCGCTGCTCAAGAGGCTCGCTTCGAAGAAGAGCGGCAGCGCTGGCTCACTGAACGGTCCAAGCTCGACGAAACTCACACCCGTCTGGCTTCACGATGCGAAAAGGCCCTCGAGGCAGGCTCAAAGCTCTCCTCTGAATTACGCTCAGAGCGTTCCCTCGGTCGTGGTTTAATGGAGCGTCTGGAGGCTCAGCAGGTGGAGATGGATCGGAGGAAAATCGAGGGAGAGGAATTGAAGCGGGTGGTGCAGGATCAGGGGGAACAACTGAGGGATCTCATGTTTGCCCTTTCTGCCACGGAGCGAATCCGTGAGGCTGGTGGAGAGGCGCAAGGAGGGGATCTTATCGTAAGAGGTGGCAAGCAAGCAGTGCAACCTGCCAGAGCAATGGAAGAGGGTACGGTGACGACGCAGAGTGCAAAGCAGCACAAGAAGAACAAGGCGAAGAAGAAAAAGGGCAAGGCAAAGGCTACTAGCTCAGCATCTGGTGCGCTAGAGGCCGAAGTGGAAGACGTTGAAGAGGAAGTAGAGGACGTCGGGGGAAGTGTCCCTGTCCCTCTGACTCCTGAGGACGACACTACTCAAACAGACGACACGCAATCCACTTAGATTAGATGGCCTACTGCATGCATCTACCTGCTTCACATCTCCTCCCTCTGCTGGTGCTTTTCATCCGACATGTACATAGATCAACGCTAGCAACTGGATCGTATAAATTCGGATTCTTTGCACAGATGGGAGATGAAGATCTTGTATATACAGCAAGGGTCGAGAAGAGGCGGAATGTCAGTGTCCGTGGTGTGGTGTGGTGTGGTGTGGTGGCGTGGCGTAAAAGGTAGCTTCTTTTGATGCGAGATGGTGAAGAAGAGTGAACGGAGACGTCCTCGGACAACGAACGCTGGTGGCGGGAGCTATACAAGTCAACAGTAGACGTCCGTCAGCCGTTACAGAGAGGCGCCTAATGCTACCGACACCAGTGTGCCGAGGAGGACCAGCAGAGCAGCAGAGCCAACGAGGGCGCCTCGATTGCCGCTGCTGCCGCTGCTGCTCGAGCCACTTGAGCCAGAAGTGCTGGATGTCGTCGTGTTGGTGAAGTTGACCCCATTCATCTGCGCTGCAGCCGCAAATACGTCATTCTCGGGAATATTGTAGTAGTCCACCAGCACAAAGTTTGGATAGTAGGTGTGCTCCGAAGCACAATTGTTTGCTTCTGACAAGACGGAGGATTCGGAATTGGTAGTGTAGAGGGCGTCGGTATCGGGTGTGACGAGGATAGAGGCGACTCCTTCATCGAGGAAACTGTTTGCTAGGTACATCAGATTGTTGGATTTTAGTCCTGAGCCGATACGGTCGACGGAGCAGTTGAAGGGGGTGGAGAGCTGATCGTAAGGATTCTCCCACATGGCGCTGAATTCGGGAAGCAGGTACGGCACGGAGGACACGTTGGCCGAATTGTCCATGTAGGCTATGACAGTGGTACCTGCATCGATGAGATCGCCTAGCGTAGGCCAGCTGCTCCTAGACAGGCTGCTGGAAGTGGGAGCATACATCTTCGAGACTAGTCCAGTAGACTCAAAAGCCTCTGCGAAGCGTGTGGGCGGAAGATCGTCTGAATTGACAATGAGGAGCGAGAGGACATCATTTGGATTTGCGTCTACCCAAGTCTTGATCTGGGTAAGCCAGTACTCAATAGCTCCCCCTTGGAAAAGGTCGCAGGAAGTGTGGCAAAGGTCAATGCCCGCACCGGTGATCGTGGCATTGGTGGAGTTGTGAGCCTGGGATTGGAGCATACGGACTCCACTGTTGAGCTGTGTCGTGATGGAGACTTGTTGATTGGCAGCAACATTGGAGGTGCCACTGGCAATGGCATAGGAGTTGTGTGTACCGATGTAGGTCACATTGGAGTATTTGCGGGAGCAGAGGGAGTCGTGTCCATTGCATACGGTGGCCCGGGAGACGAGGGTGGCGGGGCTAGGTGACACAGATGGGAAGGCGGCTACGGCTGCTGCGCCGATTGACAAAGCACCGACGAGGGCCGTGGATAGGAACGAAGTGGAGAGCATGCTGATAATGTAAAGAAAGGAGACAGAATGCGCCAGGCAAGCTGTGGGAGGGATCACTTGTAGCTCAGGGTGTAGAGGCTGGCTAAGGCACTGGTAGAAGGCGGGAGAAGAGATGGACGAAGGAAAGAGAGGAGTGTACCAAGTGCGAGGTAGAAGAAGGGAGGAAGAGGTGCGAGTAGGACGCAGTGGAAGGCGGACGTAAGGAAGGGAGGAAGGGAGGAAGGGAGGAAGTGACTTGGCGGGGGAGGGCGGCGGCTGCAGGGCGCGTGCGTGCGGCCAAAGTAATTTCCGCCGCCGCCAAGACGCAACACGGCCGCACAGCAACACCAACCCCGCGTCAGGCACTGCGTCAGTGTCCACGGTCATCCCACGGCCGCCTCGGCACACAAAGACACACAAAGTCGCCGGCAGTGTTGGTGTCACATCCACGTCCATACGGTACACCCTGGACGACGACGACGACAAGGGCGAGGAGCAGTTGCACGATTATCTCAATTGCATTTGACACGACAGGACCACCAGGAAACACTCGTCACCCTCAGGTTACTCAACGGGCGGCCCATCCCCGTTATCACGCCCCCGACCCCACCCCCGACTGCCCTTATTGGTAGAAGCCTCCTCCATTCGGCCATGGCTGTGCCGTCTGCATGGACGGCATTCCCGTAGCACCACCCGTCAACAACTTCTGTCCACCCATTCCACCCGGTCCGATGATCGGCGCGTCTTCCTCCTCCTTCTCTTTACTGCTCTGCTTCGTAGACAGCGCCAGCACGGCCGCTTCCAGACTCTTGAGCTTCGTCGCGTGCTCACGCTGCACCTGCAGTCGCCAAGGCATGACAAAGTCATTCAGGCCGTGCCTCCAGCTCATCTCCTCGACCACATCGGGCCGCACAATGTCAAAGCAGGCATACAGCGTGGCAGTGACGCACTCCTTGTGACCAATGTCCACCCAGTAGCTCAGCAGCTCCTCGGCAACCTCGACGCTCTTGCTGATGGCAGCAGTCTCAATGGCATCGCGGAACAGCTTGTCGGCCTTGGAAAGCGCAATGCTCTCTTCCCAACGAGCACTCTTCTTGTACAGGTGGGCAGCAAGGCGTCGGAACTCTAGCAGGTCGTGGCTCTGCAGTCGAGAGGCAAGGGCAATGACGTCAAAGTTGTCGTAGCCGTCGATGGACACTCGCAGCGTCTCAAAGTCCTCCTCCTCGATGAGCAGGTCCATGTATGCATCGTTGACTGCCTCGAGGTTGTGGTGCTGCACAGACATCAGGTATGAGCGGATCAGGGGAACATTGTCGTTGTCCGCTCGGCGGAACATCCTCACAACTCGACCGTGGTCGATTCGTGCCGCCAAGACGACCAGCAGATCGTTGAGGAGCAACGGGTGCTGCTGCAGGTAGAAGGACAGGGCACGGTAGTAGATCTCCAGGTTTGCCACCTTGGGAAGGATCGACTTGAACTGATCGTGGTCCCATGACTCGGCCGAATGCTCCATGACTGTCAGGGCAGCATTGTCCATCTCGTCGTACTTGATGTACAGGTAGACCAGCTCAGACCAAAGGTGCGACGATTGAGCAACCTTGATCAGCTGAGGCAGGTTCGAGCGAGACCAGTAGAGCTTGAGGTGCTCCATCAGGCGCTCAGGGCGGTACTTGGCCAAAGCTACACCAGCCTGTGTGAAGACACCCATGTGAGCACGCTCGAGACCAAGGGCCGACTCGAGCAAGTCCAGCAGCTCGCCGAAGCGTCCGAGGCGCTCGTACGACCTGATCAGAGACGGCAGCTCCTCGGCGTGAGGTACCACAGCCAAACCACACACCTGAGCCAGCTTGTACTCGTTCTTGGCGAGACAGGCTGCGTGAACCTGCTTCCAGACACTGGTGTTGCCAGCCTTTCGAGCAGCTTCCACGGCAGCCTGGTAGTCGCCCAGGTACACCAAGGTGGTCGCAAGCCGAGCGTGGTTGGAGACAGAAGAGAACAGCAGCTTGGATGCAGCATAGAGCTCATCGTTGAAACACTTCTCACCTACAGCGAGAATGTCGGCAACGTTGGTCATACCAAGGAACTCTTCCATGTCGCCGAGCCTGTTGGCCTTGGCGAGACAGTAGGCGTACTCGGTATCGATTTGTGGCTCCCTTGCCTTCTTTCGGGCCATCTGCAGGAAGCGAATCAGCTCTTCCTCACGACCAGCGTGTTCGGCAATCTCAATGACCTCGGCGTAGTTGGACGGGTCCTCGGCCTTGACGTAGGAGTCAATGGCATCCTTGACGCGCAATCCATCGAGCTGGGCCTTACCAAGTCGGGACCAGAGCTCGGGCTTGTTGAGCTTGTTGGCATACTGGTAACCGCGGTCGATGGACACGATGTGCTCCACGAGCACATTCATGGCATCGCCATGCTGCTCTGCCTTGGAGAAGATGCGGAAGGCCTCCTCGTACAAGCCGTGGTCGATGGCAATCTTGGCGATCTCAGCGACATCGTATCCAGAGACCCGATCGATGTAATTCATGACCTTGCCCTTGTCCGTGCGAACAGCTGTCAGCATGAGCAAATTCTGCAGACTGCGGTTGTCCGAGAAGGCAGAAGGCTCGAGGATGATCTTCTCGAGCAGCTCAATGAGCTCGTGCGGCAGGTCAGCCGCCATGAAAGCCTTGACAGTCACGGAGACATCGTCAGGGTTGGTGGACTCGGGAACGGCGGTGGTGACCACCTGGTCCACGAGCTGTCTTCGGTGTACGTTCTCGGGGTGCAATACCTGAGCCCACAGGTCGAGCTGCCGCCTCATGACGAGGTAGCGAGACTGGTGCTTAAACATCGAGTTTTCATTGGTGATGGCAATGAGCTCCTCATCGCAGAAGCCCTTGGCATAGGCAATGTAGGCCAGGTATGGGTCTCGCTTCTCGCAGTACTTTCCCACGACTCGAGGCTCGTAGAGGTTGTTGTCCTTCAGGAATGCCTCTGGATTGTTGTTCGAGTCGATCGAGATCTTCGCCATGGCATTGTACAGGGCCTGATCCTGAGAGCCGCTCTCGATACGAGACTGAATCCAGGGCATGATGAGCTTGAGCCTGTTGCGCTTCTCGACCTCTTCTACGAGCTCCTCAACGGGAATTGGTCCTGTGACCGAAGACAGAAGGTTCTTGATGACACCCTCGTCACAGTCAACATCGAGAAGACCTCCAATGACCTGAGGAGTCCTCGACGAGTTGACACGCTGAACATAGACTTCGATGAAGTTGATCAGCATGTTCTGGTAGAGGTAGAGAACCAGGTCGTGGACAAAGTCGAATCGATCGCAGACAATGATGAGCGGAAGCTGGTCGGACAGCTTGGCTTCCTTGAGGAAGTTCTTGACCTTCTCAGCATTGTAGTAGTTTGATTCTCGACAGATGCGCTCGACTTCCCTGATCTGGCCAGTGCGAGTGGCAGCTTGGATGTACTTGAAGTGCACTTCGGAATCGGTGGACAGATTCACCACAGAGCCGAGGTAGTAGTACAGTCCTTCGAAGGACTTGAACGACTCGAACATCTCGATAAGCTTCACGGGGCCAAGGAGGTCGGAGTACTTGGTAGCAATTTGAACAACGACCTGTAGGTTCTGGCGGATGTTGACTTTGAGCATCTCCTTCAGGCAGTCCAAGCTCTGCTCCACTGTCAGACGGCCAAAGTAGCCGACCAGCCACTCGGCGTTGAGCAGGTTGGAGTGGACCACCACGCGCTTGATGTCAGCTGGGTCTTCGTAGTGCTCCAAGGCTCGCTGCAAAAGTCCGGCCTTCTCGCACAAGTTGGCGATTCGTGGTCTGTCGTAGTGGGAGAGCAAGTCATTGCCCAAGATTGCATCAGCGACCTGAGGGGCATTGATAAGGTTCATTTCGAGCAGACGAGTCTGCAGGTGGGCTTGCTCCGGCTTGTTGTCCTTGAGAGCATCAAGCAAGAAGCTGGTGGCCTGCTGGAACATGTTCTGGCTCATGAAGATGTCCGTCACCCGCTCAACGTCCACCAGAGGTCCCGAGTCATCGGCAACAAGGCTGCTTGCAAATTCTGCTCCCTGCTCCGGGTTGATCCTGACAATGTGCTGCAGAAGAGCAGCGTAGTCGGGAGTATATCCGACCTTTTTCGCGTACAGCACGATCTTGTTAAACTGGCCAGTCTCGGCAAAGCAGGCCACGACCTTGTTGGGCACATTGGCTCGCAGGTAAACGCTGAGCGCCAGGTTCATGTCATGCTGACGGACAATGTCTCCCAGCTCTTCGGAGCACTCGATCTTGTTCTCCTTGAGCCATTTCTCCAGCAGATGCTTCCTTCCCTGTACCAGTACAGGCTTGGCCAGCTCAAGGGACTCGTACTTGTTGAGCGACCCTCGCTCAAGCAGAATTCCAAAGTATTGCAGAATAGGAGAGAGCGTACCTGGCTGATTAGGCACTTGCTTGAACTGCTCAATTGTCTGAGTTGTTCGCAGAATACCTCGCGGCGAGTTTGCGGCAATCTTGGCTGCTTCTCCGTACTGCCCCGTGCTGAAGAGGCTGTGGAATTGCTGCATGTAGAGGTCATCGGCTCCAGGGAGATCACCTCGGGAGGCGAGCTTGAAGGCGAGCTCCGAGTTGTTGAGGGTTCCGAGAATGTAGGGAATGACCTTGGTCTCATCGACTGAGACCGACAGGACCTGACCCTTCTTGTTGAGACCGATGATACCACTGGTAGCCTCATGCTCAGCAGTTGTGAAGATTGTCTCTCCAGAAATTCTGTTCATGTAGACGCAAGTACCGCTCTCCAGGTCGTAGAGGTGGATGAAACCGTACTTTGTGACGAGGTAGACGATACCGTACCGCTTGCTCACTTGCATGGCAACTGGGAAATCGCTGCCAGCCTCTGGAGGGAAGAAGACATCGACTGCCTTCTTCGTGTAGGTCGGGTTGCCCTGCTGGTGGTCGATCTCCACGACGTGCAGCTTAGCACCTGTACCAGTTCGGACTGCAAAGGTGAAGAGCTTGAAGGGAGCAGGAGCCGAGTCTGTCTTGAGCTCGGCGAATGAAGCAGCATGACCTTCGATAGGCTGCGAAACTCCCCTGTCAATACTGTAAAGCTGCATAGCTCCCTTGACCTTGAATGCGCCCGGAGTGTTGTTTCCAGCGATACCGATCAAGACGCACCACTTCTCGTCTGGACTGACCCGGTAGTTGATGATCTGGCTACCTTGCAGGCTGACATGGCGGTCGAAGATCTTCTTGGGACCAGCCTCACCCTCAGTGCTCCAGTGGTAGACGGCAGTCTCCGTCACCAGACCAAGTGAGGTTGGCGAGATCCACTTCCAGAAGGTGACGTCTGCATCGCTCATGTGGCTTTTGACCTTCTGCTTCGTCTCCAAGTTGAAGACTTGCAGCTGACGTCCGGCCTTCAGAGCGAGGATCTTGGACACTGGGTTCATAATTGCTGAGTCTGCTGTGATAGGGCGGCGCATTCTGGAAACGAAGCCAGGGGAAGAGAAGTCAGCGTCGTCGGATAGCTGATACTCCGTCGGCTGAAAGCCAGGTACGACAAGGAGCTACTCACATCGAAGGCGTTGCTTCATCTAGTCCAACAATCGCGACGCTGTTCTGTCCATTGATGGACTCCCTGACACAGACGAATCGCTCGCTCTCCATAGTACATGTTGCGAAGCTGATCGACTCCGGGCTGATGCCCAGAGCCGTGAGCACGCAATGCTCATTGAAGACGATGGGCGTGTCCGCCATGACTGGCTAGGGGGAAAGGGAGGGGCTGACGTAGAGGCTAGATCTGCTATGGTTCAACGAGAATGCCGGACCAGAAGAGTGGAGATGGCTCGCGATGTATTGGCTCCCGAGTGTATGCAGGTATACAAACGAGGATGGTGAGGGATGATAAAAGGAGGTGCCCGTCGACGTCTGATGTTTGGCCGTCGACTGCAAGGCGAGTGGGCGTATGTGAGGTAGAGGGGAAGAAGCGATGCTGCGTTGCCTGAACGGGGGAGAACATCATCACCACCACTCCTCGTCGGAGGTGTGGGCGTGGGCGGAGTGCGCGCATTGCTGGCAGTGGAGCTCAAGCCTCGACGCGAGGCGGGCGCACAGCCAAGCCAAGGCCAAAGCCACTTCCCTCAGCCTGGCCTGCCCTCGCCCACACGTCTGCCTGGATGCTCATCGATCAAGCCTTGAAGGGCACTCAATGCACCGATAGCAAAGACGAAACCGCACAGGACTGAATGACCGTCACGTTTCAAGAGACAAATGAGACGAGACGAAAAGGTACAACATGAACAGCGCAGCGATTGTAGGAACGACCGACTGCTCAGCATGCAATGTGAATGCGATGTGTGACCCGCAAGGCGAGAGAAGATGTATTCCTCACGTCAGGCCAAGGGAATGATGTGTACAGAGTGAGAAGAAAGGGGCTGCCGTGACTCGATTGCTCATCAACCGCGCAACATTTAGCGCATGATGATACCGTCGAAGCGCTGCTTGAACCAAGCGGCTGTGTCCTCCTTCTTCACACGGTGGGGAGCACCAACGCGCGAGGTCCTCTCCTTGCGGCGGGCGACACGGGCACCAGGGCGGGTCATGACGACGAAGAAGTCGGCACCGAAGATACCGATTGCCGGGTCGTACTTGATACCCAGGTCAATGTGCTCGGTGATACCGAAACCGAAGTTACCGGTCTCGGAGAAGTTCCTGCGTCGCAGCTCGTACTCCTTGACCTTGAGGCCTCGCTCCAGAATCTCCTCTGCCTTGGGGCCTCGGACGGTGACGTGGCAAGCGATCTTCTCGTTACGTCGGATACCGAAACCTCGGAGGGTGTAGCGGGCCTTGGAGGTGACGGGCGACTGACCAGTCAGCTGCTCAAGAACCTTGGTGGCTCGGGTCAGCCTGTCACCGGACTCTCCGACGGAGATGTTGATGCTGTGAAGTCAAGAGGATGTGATGAAGAGGTGAGCGCATGTCCTGATCGGTGTGAGAATTTGCTATGACACTGCTGTACTTACACGAGCTTGTCCACGCGGAGCTCCTGAAATTTCGAAGAGGGGGAGATGGGAGCATCAATGTCAGTGAAACAGTCCTTTCGCCAACTCAACCTGGTTTGTGTGTGTGGCCTTCCTTGAACATCCCTTCCAGCATGACTCCATCCAGTGTGTCTAGCACAGCGCAGTGTCGCAGAGACGTCGCTCTTGGTCTGCTCCTGCTGCCCTTTCCACCTGGCCGAGGGTGGACTGCACAGGTAGCTGGCGTAGATCTCTCCGTGCGACGTTGCAACGTCCTTTGTTGCTGGCGCCGGACTACTGTCCTACTCCCAGCCAAATACACTGGCAGAGATGTAGAGATTTGGCCGCCTTGCGCCCTATCCATAGCCTCACTCCTCCATTTCGATCTTTCCCCTTCCTGGCTGCCTCTGCGCAGTCTACGACTGAGCAAGCTGCCATCGCTGCCTGCCCAGCCTGCCTGCTGGTTTGTCCCTCTTCACGTCATGTTCCCGCGCTAGTACGAGATACGAACCTTCATAGGGTTACTACGAAGATGCAAATTCAAAAAGGGGGGAGAGCAGCAAACGGGATTCAGTCAGCCTCACATTCCCAGACGAAGATTCTCTCTTTCGCTTCGCAACAAAGCATCGTCGTACTCACACAGCCTTTGACTCAGCCATTGTGAGATTAGTCTTGAAGAGGTGCGAAGGGGGGAAAGTTTGTGAGGAAGGGTGACGGGTAAGGGAGAGATTCGGACGAGTGGGAATGGCGGGCGCACGCAGGCGGGCAGGCAGGGGAAAATCGCGGACCCGGCATGAGCGCACAGCGGCGAGCGACTCCTTCCGTTCGGCGCGGCACGTGACCTTGGCAGATTTCGCCCGAGCGGGGCCACACTCGCCGCCGTGCGTTCTTCCGCCCGCCCGCCATGGCAGATGCCCTAGCAGAGCTCACACTTCACTGGCTGACGACGTGGCAAGCCAGCGAATCTATCACAATGGCATGAGGCGTATCCAAGCATAGATATGAGGAAGGAGTTAAGAAGATACAAACGCGATCACGACGTCGTCGACAATTCTACAAGACTTCTGACATGCTACAGCATAGAGGGAACAGCATGCAGGTATCGTAGACACCCCCCTATCCTTTGCCGACGAGACCAACTAAGCACCATTGACCTTGACGGCCGAGGGACCTCCAATTCGAGGAGAGCTTCCCACGGCATACCTAGTCTTTGCGTAGTAAAAGGGGATGAGCTTGGTCAAGGACCATCTGAAGTGGGGCTCTCCCGTCAACCTTCCCTTCTTGTCCTTCATGACCTGACCCTGTTCGTCATACGATTGCCTGACCCAGAAGCCCCATCCGAGCAGGATAAAGAAGAAGTACTTCAGCCTCTCGATCTTGAAGAAGCTGAATGAAACGAGCCAGATCATCAGCTCCATGTAGGTGAAGAAGGAGAGGGCTCCTCCGGGCGCTCGAGCTTTGATCCATCTGATACCATCGACCCAGAGGCGAGCATCTCGGGGCAGTGGGCGCGTGGAGGGATCCATCAGGAAGACGGCCAAGATCCTTGCATAGATACCGATGTGTACGTGTCCTACGGTGCCGACTGCCCCAATGAAAGATGCATTAGTGCAGCAGACTGAGACGTCCTTAATGGAGAAGTTCTGCAGGTAGAGATTGGGGCGAACGTAGTCTTCAGGGAAGAGGTCGTCGGGCAGGAAATCGAGCGGTGGGATCTCGAAGCCAGTAGCAACAACGATGACGTCGGCAGCGTAATTCGTCTCTTGACCTTCGTCTTCAGGCTTGGAGCCACGCTTTCTCTTGTTGAACTTGACAGAGTGGCCTTGCAGTTCGACCACGTCTCCGCGCACGTAGTCTGCCTTGCCCTCTCGAATATCCTGAAGAGCAGTAGAGTTGACAATGGGAGTCGAAGCATAGAAGGGCGTCGTGGGAGCCATCTTTTCCTCCAGGTCTCGATAGTGAAGTTTGCGAAGTAAGATTTCGGGGATGCAGGACAGCCAGGTCTGGCGGCCGAGAGGCTGCAAAGCGAGCACAGTGTCCACAACGGTGAAGCGAGGGATGACCCACTTGTCACTTCGGGCGAGGATCATAGGCTTTCGGGCACCCTTCGCTACGGCAAGCTCAAGGGCTTCGACTCCACTGGCGCCGCCGCCAACAATGAGCACCTTCTTGTCCTTGAGGTCGACGCCGTCAAGATGACTGGAGTGAACGATTTTTCCCATGAACTTCTCTTGATTGGGGAGGTCGAGCATTTTAGGCTTGCCACAAGTACCGGTGCACACGAGGAGTCCATCGTAGATGTCTCCTTCGTTGCCATTGATGATCCACCTAGACAGGCCACCTTTCTCGGGATCACCCGAAGATTCATGACGGGTGATCGAAGTGACCTTTTGGTTAAAGCGAGTCTTTTTGTCCAGGCCATATGACTTCCAGATCTTCTTGACGTTCTCCAAGATCTCGTCTCGCTTGGGATAACCTTTGGTGTATTTGACGCTGGGATGGAATCGGTATCTGCGAGAATAGTGGAGGCGGATGATGTGCAGCGGATCAGAGACGATGTGTGCTGAGTATCGTTTGGGGCTGCACTGTACTCACAATATACTGCTAATCTGCAGGCCGGAAGTGGAATTGACATTTGCCCAAATTCCTCCCACGTCTTGAGAGGCTTCAAAGATGGTCACATCGAAGCCATGTCCGAGGAGGTGGGATGCGGAGCTGATTCCGGTGATGCCTGCGCCAATGATGGCTACATGCTTGAGTGGCTTTTGCGGTTGCTGTAGCTGGGGGTAGAGAGGTGAGAAAACCCACGAGATGACGATCTGAATGGCTTGGTAGATGAGAGAGATGATGCCGAAAGGCTACCAGGGCAAGGTGTGAAAGCGAGCGGGCGGATACGTCAGGGCGTGTACACAAGGTCCAAAGTGCTGGTGAGCTGCAAGGGGTCCACTATACTCACGTCGAGCGATGCCACCACGGCCATACTGGGCTAGCTTGAGGCTTTGCAGTGGATGAAGTGAAGCTGATGATGAGAGCTGTAGAAGGGGAAGATGGAAAGGCACTCTCACGTCCTTGGACCTGGCGGAAGAGCAGCTTCCTGGGAATCAAACGTGTGCTGTGGAGTGGAAGCGGGCGGAGGCTGAAAGCAACGGGTGGCTCAGGCCGAGAGCCGGGCGGGACAGGGCGAGGGTAGCGAAGGGTCCGCCTATTCTCCTTCGCTGGGCAGTCGCTTCACAATGTGAGAGGCTGAGATGGCCCACCACTCGAGAGGAGTGGTCGACGTTGTATATGAGGAGATGACCTATCGGCTCGTCTGCTTGATCTACCTGCGGTGTACGAGACGGCGTTGCAGTGCAGTCAGCGTGATGAGCGGCAGGTGGAGGCGACCAGCCAAGCCAAGGCGTGGCTGACTGGCTGACGGCTGACGGGACCTGAGTGATGGCGTTGGACCCTGAAGTGATTCCCTGACCTTGAGCTTTCTCGGTGAGCCACCCTGTCCTCTTCTCCTCCCTCCCCCCACCTCTGTCCCCTACTCCTTCTCTCTCCCTCTCCCCTTGCCTCGTCGCATGCGATTGGCTGTTCCACCTTTAGCACGTTTCACTAGTACTTCGCTTCTTCCACGTTCTGCTTCAAGCTCTACGTTACGCCCCAGCTTCCCTTTCCCCTCCAACGCGTACAGGCGCCCATTTCTTCCTCTGATCTCCACTCCTCGCAACCTGTCTACAAACATGTCCGAGTCCGCCATTGTCAGTGATGCCAGCCCCTCCTCTTCCACCCCAACTGTGGGCTATCTACGCTACATCGATGCATCGGAAGCAGCCGCCATCGACGAAGAACTCATGTCGCCCGAAGGGTGTGGCTTCCTCCTTCCCCAACTCATGGAGCTAGCCGGCCTCGCCTGCGCTCAAGCAGTGTTCAAGTGCTACCCTCCTCACAAGTACCCCAACCTCCTCGTCGCTGCTGGTCCGGGTAATCAGGGTGGGGATGGACTGGTGGCCGCTCGACACGCAAAGATCTGGGGTTATAATGTACAGGTGTGGTATCCAAAGCAGGGAAAGGCAGATATCTTTGTCAGTCTAAAGAAGCAGCTCCAGGCCATGGAAGTTGATTTTTTGGACGAAGACGGCTTTGACGATGGACTGATGTCAGCAGACGTAGTATTGGACTCGATCTTTGGTGAGTTGGAGACGAGGCGGCCTAAGAGCTTTTAGAGGAATTTCAAATCTTATCGCTCTCTCCCTTGCAAATGCTACACGACAGGCTTCTCCTTCAAAGGTCCTCCTCGACCTCCTTTCGCCGCCGCCCTCGAGTCTATGAGAGATGAATCTCGTCTCGAATTCATCGGCCGGATCACCCGCCCTCCGATCGTATCGGTAGATATCCCCTCAGGCTGGTCTGTCGACGAAGCACCCGATGGACAAAGCGACGAAGACGTCTTCACTCCAGACGTCGTCATCTCCCTCACTGCCCCCAAGACTGGTCTGAAGAGGTTCAACGGAGTCTCCTTGCTGGGCGGAAGGTTCTTGCCGGAGAGCATTGTTCAGAAGTATGGACTTGAGACACTCGTGGATGGGTATGTGGGGGATGACCAAGTGATGGACATCACAGGATGGACGCCAGCGCCGGAGGACAAAGAGGGAGTAGGAGAGACTCAGGAGCCTCAGCCCTAGTCAGTCTGAGAGATGACATTTGGCTAAGATCAGCGCAGCAGGACAGTACCCGTTTCGTTCAAAGAGGTCATGTGTCACTCGTGGAAAGTAGACGAGAAGACAAAGACGCCGAGTGATTGTGCAGAGCAGCTCAGGCGAGTCACCAAGCAATATATCCATCGTATTCTGCCCTTCTCGTCTCCTCTCCTCTCCTCTCCACTCCTCTGCTCTCATCTGCACCAGCATGGACTGTAGCCTGAAACAGCCCTTTTCTCCTCCATCTGAGACCTGCCTGCACGCACGGAATCGGGAGATCCAAATCGTGATCGAGATCGAGATTGGGCCATCGGGCTCGAATTCATGCCACCCCACTTCCTTCCAGCTGGCGTCGAGGGCATGGACGCTATAACCCAGAGCGCCACGCCCCAGAGAGGGCTGCCATCATTCACACAGGTGAATGCCTCCTTCAAGACTAAAATGCCATTAGTCTACACCGATTGCCAAATCAAGCGAGTCACACAGGCAATGATGAGGAAATTTTGAGAGTAAAGAGTGCCACATGGGCGGTTTTCATTCTTTTTTGTGTCTCTTTTTGTCGTTTTTTCACGTAAACAGGTATAACAGAAGGGACAAAAAAAAAACAGAGGATTCAACGAGGAGAAGAGAGACAGACCTCGACGTGACTTTGGAAACAAGTGTAGAAGTAAAGAGAAGGGGAATTACTGAAAGAGAGAGGAAGAGAGAGAGCAGGAAATAGAACGAGGGAAAGCAAGAAGAATGGGCAAGAGCAAGAGGCGGGTGGGTTTGGAAAGAGGCCAGGCGAGTAGAGAGGCGCAGGCCCGCTCCTCGACCCTACGCCACAGGTCTCATCCATTGCAATCATGTATGCGGGCGCCTAACGATGACGGAGTGGGGTGGGGAATCTAAGCAGAGCTGGCGTGAGAACTGGCCAGAGGCTCAGGAGCGGTACCGCCGTGGCGAGGAGACTCGTCGACCATGGCCTCGTGCTTCTCCGGAGAGTGGGTGGAACCAGCACCGACGTCGTTGGACGCAGACTCGAACATAGCGTCGACCTCGTCACCGCCGCTGAGACCGTGGTAGCAGGGCTCACCAACCTCACCGAGGTCGGCACCGATGAGCTCGCGCTCGTCGCTAGTCCTGAAGTGGCAACCGGGGATTCGGTCAATGACGAAGAGCAGGACAAAGGAGATGGCCATGGACCAACCGAAACCGAAGCAGCTGTCGGCAAGCTGGTATCCCAGCTGGATCCAGTGGTGGTTGATCCATCCACCGCCAATGGGGTCAGAGCCGTCGAAGGAGGCAACTCGGTTGTCGGCGAAGAGGGCGGTCATGATGTTTCCAACCAGACCACCGACGGCGTGGGCGGCGAAGATATCCAGAGCGTCATCGACTCCCATGAAACCCTTGAGTGCGGTAGCCCAGTTGCAAGCAGTGCCAGCAACAACACCAAAGGCGACAGAGGCGGGCAGAGCAACGTAACCCGACGCAGGGGTGATAGCGACCAGGCCGGCAACGGCACCAGAGCAGAATCCGACGGCAGACCACTTGCGCTCTAGCCTGTAGTCCCACATCATCCAGGTCAATCCGCCCACGGCGGCAGACATGTTGGTGACGTACATGGCCATCACAGCTCGCAGGTTGGCACCAATCTCGGAACCACCATTGAATCCGTTCCAGCCGAACCACAGGAAGACTGTACCCAGAACAACGTAGGAGACGTTGTGGGGGCGGTAGGCAAGGGCCTCTGTTCCGTAACCCTTTCGGCGACCAAGGAAGATGGAGATGGCGAGAGCGGCAGTTCCAGAGGAGATGTGGACGGGTGTGCCTCCTGCAAAGTCCAGTCCTCCCAGGTTGTTCATCCATCCATAACCGACGTTCCAAGTACCGTAGGCAATGGGGTTGTAGACGATGGTGCTCCAGCAGAAGGTCCAGATCATCACCGGCAGGAGCCTGGCTCGGTCAGCAAAGGCACCAGCGGCAATGACGGGAGTAATTGCGGCGAACATTCCCTGGTAGATGGCGTAGAGGAGGTTGGGGATGTAGGAACCTCCAGCTGAGGGCTGGATGTCAACGCCCATCATACCAAAGTGGGCCAAGTCACCGATGAAGGCGTTGCCCGAGCTGGACGAGAAAGCGAGGGAGAAGCCCCAGAAGAACCACTCAAAGAGGACAATGGACGAGAGAATCATGGACATCCAGAGCATGGACAGAGCGCTCTTCTTGCGGAGCAGACCAGCGTAGAAGAAGCCTGGAGGAGCGGGATAGCAGGAGCTCGACAGATTAGCACCGCAGACTGGGAAGGAGTGAAGGGTGTGACTGGCATAAGCTACTCACCCAGACCGGGAATCATGATCCAGACAAGGGCTGTGGCGACAATAACCCAGGCGATGTCACCGAGGTCTGATCAAGAAGAGGGGCAAAGAAGCGGCGAAAGTCAGGAGCCTGCAGCTGCAAAAGACGCGCAAACGGGTTCTGCCCAGACACTCACTGTAGATGTACTGCTCTCCATCTACGGTGGTCGCGATGTTGCCCTCAGGCGTTGCGGTTACGTTGACCATATTGTGAGATTGTACTTGTGGTGGGTATGGCTATATGCGTCCGAAGGTGGTGTTTTGATGTGCGGCGGAGCTTGGCCAAGACTTGCTGCCCTCTTTGCCTGCTTGTGCTAGAGCGAGACGAGGTGGTGGGGGGGCCGGCGAGGAAGAGGAGGGGTGTAGGGGAGGAGGTGGGCCAAGTGCGGTTCGTGAGGTGTGACTGGAAGAAAGAAAGACAAGCTGTGAGGGGGAGGGGGGGCGTGCTATTGATCCGTCCTTATAATGCAGCGAGGGAGATTGAGCCAAGGTACCAATGTCCGACGCGGAGCCTCAGCGGCCCGGTCTTCTTGGCTTAGTGTGCCTGACTGCCCTTATCGTAGCTTACCACTTCGCAGAGCCGGGAGGCGGGACTTTTGCCTTGGTCAGACTGGGAGTATCTCGACACTGGGATTACGCTCTGCCCCTCGTGGATGTCAGCGACTTGGGGGCCGGGTAGCAGACGAGGTGCGGCAGTGGATGGCCTTGTTAGCTGCCACCTGCGAGGCCCCAAGCGGTGGGACCTGGCAGGAGCATTGGCAGGCCGGACAGCCCGAAAGTCGGACGTGCTTCTAGAGATAACCATGCATGAAGCTACCTCTACTTTTCAAATTGCGACTCTCCTCTGCTGCCCGCCCCTCTGCCCCCCTCCGCCACCAAGTCTTCAGGCCCCGCTCGCCTGTCCGCATGCCCGCACGCACGCGGCCGCACGCCCAATCGCACCACCCCTAACCTCTTTCCTCGATCACCGATCCGCGACAGCGAAGACTCACTCCAACAGGGCGGTCCAGCTCAGCTCGGCACACACCGGCTTGCACCTGGGACCTGCGTTCCCGTGGCCGCATCTCAGCCTTGATTGCCGGTCAGGTGCAGCCACGCGCTCTGGACACCATCTCCTACTACCACCCGCGCGCCCCGGCGCCCCTTCTGCCACAAATAGAGCCTAGGATACTCACGTCTCAAATCACGGCGAAAGAAGATCTCCTTCTTCTTTGTACCGAGATCCAGCACGTCCAGCGAGCGTCACCAAACAAATGTCACGCCCCTCGCCACTTTACCCATGACGTCCAGTCTGAGCTATTGGGCTATCCGCTGCTCCCGCCGTCCTTCCCACAAACGTCGGGCGCCAAAAGCTTCGTAAAGTCGTGTGCCTATGTCAGCGCTCTTCCTTGTTCCCCGATTCAACCGCCCGCGGCGAGGCCCGTTTAAACGAGGGCGAGAAGCTCAAGGCCCTCTAGCCGCTCCCTCGCTCCCAGGGCAATGGCCCTGACACTGACAGAAATTCTCAGCCCAGCCAATGTGCAAAGTAGAGATAAGGACTGCAGCTACTATTCCAACTCCGCCCAGCCCCTCCCCCACCCACCCCCACCCCTGCTACACTCGCCTTACTCTCCCTCGAGTCGCCGTGCCCGGCCTCGACTGGTTGCCCCGCGCATCCCCCCATCCTCACTATCTAGCTCCCCGAATCTCATTCGCCTCTCGGCCTCCTCTACGACGATCCTCGCCGGCGGACCAGAAGCGAGGCCAGAAAATTTTTGAAGACTCAGCGAGTAAAGGAGATGGCATGACTAAAAGAGCAAGAAATGGTGGCGGCTCCAGGCCAAGCCTCTGTCGAGGAGAGCAACTTCGTGAGCGATGAGTTGGCGTGGGGAAAATACAACTGTACAGACTGGTCTACCGCCGGGACAACGAAACGTCCTCTCTTTGCCTCGCCAGTGAGGAGAGGTGTAGGCCTCTCGCTAGGACTGTGGTACAGACAGCCACGTGGATAGGAATCACTTTCACAGTGCAAGCGCCAGACCTCGCACGTCTTGCTGAGTCGCGTGAAGGTGCGAAAGGTTCATGAAGTACACGACGCCCTCCGTTGCGCTACTCCAACTCTATTTCGAGACCCATCAGGCTCTGAGAACTTCGTCCAGTCCCAAGCCCGGCAGACCTCTACGCGCCCTGATCACCCTCCTTCTGCCGAGCCAGACGGCCAGGGTAGCCATGCCCAATGCCCCCAGGGCTCTCAGTGCAATGGCCACGATGAGGGCTCTGCGCACGGCGGTATAAAATGCGCCTAGGGCCAGACCTGACCAGTTGTACGTCCTCTCCGATGGACCACCTAGGGAGGATGCCCATGACCGGACAATATATCGATATCGAGCTCCAAAGACCCAGATCCAGCTAAGACGAGGACAGGGGACAGGAAGCGGAAGGGCCACGAGCGTAGGTCAGTAAGTATCCCAGACCGAAGACCGCGGCTATCGTCGTCGGTCACTCACAAATTGACGTCGGTATTGCTAAAGCGGGGGTATACGCTGGTAAGGCTAGGCGCTTTAGCATCCGCCATAGGAGGAGGATTGAGATGGAGCTCGTCCCTCATGCGGACCGCAACCTTGCGAAAGAGCGAAGGCAGTTGCGAAGGCGTAGTGTGAAGGATGGACTGCAAGCTGACGGGCTGAGCTGATGATGACTTGGATGGAGCCGATGGGAATGTGGACATGTGCGCCAGAAGATCGCTGTACAGACCCAGGATATTGCAATGTGAGCCTGAAGATTGCAAAGGCTAGACCTGTGCGCCTGAGCGTTACTCACATTGTCATTCCCAACGTCAAGCCCCAGAGTTGCAGGTCGCTGCCATCCTTGACCGACTTCACGGCTTCCGTCCTGACCTCTCTCTTTCGTCTTGCTCTCTCCACCCCTTGCGGTCCGTCAGAGTCTCCACTTGCTGTATCATCATCCTCGTCGGCTATAGCCCAGGGATCATTCGGTAGGAGCACACACCTGAAGTCCATCTTGCCGAGCAAGCCCTTGAGCAGGAACCGAATACCGCTGCTCTTGGGAGCTAACCGAGTGGCGATATCAATGGATACCGTGCCCCACCTCGGCTTGGGTGTGTAGAGATGCGCAAGAGAGACCCAGTGAGCTGAGGCTACCTCGGTCGGTTGGAGCTCGGGGTGGTGAGAAAAAGGTGTCGTTTGCAGAAAGACTGGAAAAGTCATCGTGAGGTCATCAATGTCAGCGCTCCTCTCGCTCGGCATGCTGCAGTTGCTGTCCATGACTCACCGAAGGGACTCAGAACCATTAGCAGACGCTTTCCAAGACTGCTGGTGATCTCTCTATCATCTAATTGTCCAATTTTGAGGAAGTCTCTATCAGCCAAGTCTAGTCCCACCTCCTCCCATGTCTCCCTCATAGCCGTATAGAGCGCATCCTCATCAGTCTCATCTCTCCTTCCGCCAGGAAAGGCGACATGAGCAGACCACTTGTCTGTAGCTCTTGTGGCTCGCTTGATGTACAGAATCTCCGGGACACCTCTTTGCACCCATGGAAGAGAGAAGAATGAGGAAAGAGTCCGTTGTGTAGACGTCTTTCCGGCTGCTCCGCTTCTGGAAGAGGACGAGGCGATGGAGGACCTCCTCGACCGGGATCTCCTCTGGCTCGTAGCCACGCTTCCGCTGGTACTTCCGCCCAAGCCCGTTCCGCCCCCCAAACCAAGTCCACTCTGCGCCATCAGCCTGTCCACCTCTGAGCCCGGAAGAGGCAATCCTTCTGCATCATACTGTTGTGAAAGATACTCTTCATCGTCTACGTGGGGCCGAATACGAAGGATGAGAGCTACAGAGGCGCGACGCGGTTGCGTCGGAGGCGAGGAGATGATCCGAGGCTTGGTCACTGAGAGGCGCGAGAGAGCGTGGTGCAGCGCAGGGAGAGTATGGGAGGGAGCCATGCTTCGCAAGACCTGCGGCCACTGCGAACGGAGATGGGTAGGGTCGAACAGAGATACTGGAGAAGATTGAAGTCGTCGGCAGCAGGTCAGCCAATCGTGTGGGGTCGGGTCGGGAAGGTTGGTCCCGGCATCTGTTTCATCCTCCCCACACCAATCGTGGCGCGCTCCGGGTCTCGGAACGGAAGCGTACGCGAGAAGGGGTCGGTGAGAACTAGGGCAAAACTCAACACTTTGTGTATATTGGAAGGGACGCAGTATAAGGTTACACATGATGAAGAGATGGTACATATGTACGTATCAGAGAGGTAGAAATGCCCAGACGGTTCCTGTAATGGCGCAAACGAAGCTGACGGCGAGAAGAACAAGTTCGCAAACGATGCGTTGCGTGGAGAGCTCGGCGCGGAAGAGTTTCAGATCTGAGGAGGGCAATAGGAGGATAAGATAATGTCAGTGACGTCTTCAAGGATGTCTCCCGAAGTCTTCACGTTTGGCCGGTGTTTGCTGTACTCACGAGCCATGATGGGTCCGATGACACAAGTCGTGAATGCTAGGAACGCGCCGAGGAATGCCATGATCCGTTCAAATTCGGGAAACACGATCGCTGTTAGTAGTATGAGAGCCGTCAGGACCAAGCGAAGGATATTTCGCAGGACGACACGTAGGCGTGGAGATATTCTGCTAGGAGGAGGAGGGAGGCGCGATGGATCTGCCGGGCCTACGCCGTTCAGTGAGATGTGGCTGCCATTATGCTGCTTGCGGGTACGTTGAAGTCGACTGTCCCCGTCCACGTCTTCTTCGAGCTCTTCTGCCATCCTGCCTGAGATGGTGTTGCTATCGTTGTTGTGAGCCTCTGCTTCCACGATCGTCTGAGGCTCCTCAACACCAGCCAGACCTTCGAAGATGCCTAGCACGGGTCGGCTGGCCAACGCAAACTTTGTCAAGGGTACCACAACGATGAGCCAGACTGCGATCTTTGTCAACAGCTGAGGGTATGCTTTGGTCTGCGCAACGTCTCGGGTGATTTCGTCCGATACGCCTTTGCCGAACATGAGGTAGCCAGTGATACCCATTGTGAGGTATATAGCTGTTGCGACTACATAGGCCGTGTTGAGCATGGCCGGGAAGCGTTCGGGCTCTTTCATGTCCCGAATGATCGCAGGTACGATGGCATGCGATGCGAAGCCGCTCATGATGAGACCGAAGGAGAGCGGAATCTTCGACCACTGAGGCGGCTCGGGCGGCCAGAGGGTAGCGGCTGGGTGATGAAGGGAGCCGGGGTAGTCAGGCTTCAGAAAGCCGTCTGTGACAAGTATAACCAGGACTGTGACAGTGGAAAGGATGCCGATGACGCTGATCGGAGAGAGGAAGCGCAAGGGCACGAAGACCGTTGGTAAGACGAGGAAGAAGCCGAGTATCTTGAAAGCTGCCGGAGACCAGGTCGCAATTCCAGTAGAGGCTACAAAAGTATGGACATGCGAAGGACGCAGATTCGAGTGGACCATGGCGTAGAGACTATCACCAAAGAGGACAAGGAGCGCCACGCTAACTGCCCAAAGCTCTGCTCCAAATAGCAAGCTTATGCCGATTTGGGCTTTGTCGCCAAAAGCATAACGGCCGATGTCTGAGTACGATCTGAGCCTAGGGTCCAGACGCATCATCTTCCACAGGAGCTTGCCTGTGTAGCTGGTGACCAGACCAGCAGCCAGGAAGATGGGAATGCCAAGAGTGAACGATGCATAAGAAAGGGCAAGGGGCAATGAGAGAATCCCTATGCCGACAAGGGCATTGATGGAGTTGAAGAGAGATTGACCAAACGTCGACGAACCAGCAGGGAATTTCGGCATTGCTGTGATGCCCCCCGAGCTCTTGCGCCTTCCAAGACCCGGTCCGTAAAGCGATGAGCGAGACTTGCGCCGGTCTTTCGGGCCCAGTAAGGGAGTACGCTCGCTTGAAGGCGCCTGTGTCAACATCTCGTTGTTGTCAGTGGAGCGCAAGGAGCCAGGCTCGTCGCTTCGCCTCGATAGACCTGATGTCCTGCGTTCGCTGCGAGAGTTGGAGATCGCTGCACGACTGATATCGAGCTTCTTTGGACTCCTGCTTCTACTCCTGCTGTTCTTGTCGTCACTATCGCTGCTCTCGGCTGCGACTTGCCTTAGTCTTCGGATCTTAGATGAGCCGCTCCCAGTGGAAGACGTCGTGGAGTAAGGAGTAGAGTCTTCGGTCCAGACTGGCCCGGTGTGAGGAAAGAGGTGATCGGTCTCTTGCTCCGATGATCTCCTGCCCCTGATGACCTCTCCTCCATCACTTTCCTCTTCCCCTTGCTCCCAGTCATATTCTTCGTCTTCCTCCTCCCCTTCTTCGAGCGTCTCGGGGGTGACCTCGTACTGAGGCCCTCTCCATCTGGCGTCTGTGAAGCTTGGGCTGGTCTCGAGATTGTGGCTATAGAAGGCCTGCGAGCGAGAGTAGGACCATACGAGGTCTAGCGAGGATCGCCATGGTGGCTGCTGTGCTGCTGCCTGTTGCTGTTGCTGCGTCGCGACAGCATTGCGAGGTCTATCGGCCGCGGAAGGTCTTTGTTGGATGGGCCTCGACGAGGATGGGCCCGCCGTGGTCTGAGGCATACGTGACGTCCGCGCTGGGAAATGGCAGCACGCGCTATATGTACGAGTTGCTCTGAGAAAAGTCAGTAGAAAGCAGCAGGACCGGAAGGAATGCAAACCAGGAAAGAAGGAAGTAGACTGGGAGAATATGGCGAAGAGAGAGCAACGAGCACAAACTCACATCCAAAGTGCGGGGCAGCCCGGCCTGACGCAGATAAACTATCCAGATTCCCCCACGGCAGAATTTCTCGCCGGGCGGAGTCTGAAGCTCGCCCCTTCCGTTCCGCGACGAGGCTACTTCCTTCTGATCCACTCGCTCAGACCATACTCAAACACGACCATCCACAAGCACCATGGAGGATCCTGTGGGCCACCTGGCCGAACCAACGTACCCTCAGCATGCCAATGGACATACAAATACGCAAGAGGAGGAAGAGCAGCAAGAATATAGCCCCGTCGCAGGCCCCTCTGGCTCGGGCTCGGGCTCCTACTCTCCAGCCTCACGCTCCCCCACCCCTCCTCTCACCCCACCGACTCCTCTACCTCCTCTTCCTTCGTCCTTGCTCCAGTCCATCTTTGCCTCGTACCCCCTTCCCATCTCTCTTCCCTTCCCACAGTCACATCCAGATCCTCAAAAACGCACAGTATGCAAGCACTGGCTCAGAGGTCTCTGTAAGAAGTCGGATGCGACTTGCGACTACCTACACGAGTACGACATGCGCAAGATGCCCGAGTGCAGAATGTTTGCCACATTTGGCTTTTGTAATAGCGGAGAGGACTGTCTGTACCGGCATAAGCTGCCAAGGGAGAAGAGGCGGGAGTGTGAAGAGTACAGGAGGGGCTTCTGTCCAAGAGGTGAGTCTGGAGAGGTGCGACTGAGCACTACGAACCCATACTGAATTACCACATTCCCACTCCTTTGCAGGACCCGAGTGCGCTAAGAAGCATATCCGCAGGACAGTCTGTCCTTATTACGTCGCCGGCTTCTGTCCAAAAGGGCCAGAATGCAAGCAAGGCCAGTGAGTAGCAACACGCCACGCGTAGCCCACCAGCGTGGTCGCATGCTGATCGCTATCTATCACACCCCTCTACCTCTCTTCAAAGCCCGAAATCGACCGAACCTTCACCCCAGTCTCGTCGCACATCTCCGATCCTGAATCACAAGCCTCTCTCGGCAGAAGAAGCATTTGGGCCTCCCCCGCATCTGAGGGAAGGAGGCGACCAGACACGTCCTCCTCGCCGCGAAGGTGGGCCGCCGGGCGATAGGAGGGGAGGAGATCGGCCTATGCGAGGACAGGGGGATCGACCGGGAGGTGGAGGGAGAGATCATTCACAGGTACTTTGTTTCAAGTGTGGAGGTGAGTTTTCGTGGCTGCTGACAAGATGCTGGGCTCTTCACCAGTGTGCTGATGGTCACTTCACCTATCCCTTTGGCTTCTCCAGAAACGGGACACTACGCCAACCACTGCCCGAATCCGAACCGGCCTGGAAACCGTGGAGGTGCAGATCGAGATGATCGCGGAGGAAGAGGTGGTGGCCGACCAGCGCCGTACTGAGAATGCGAGGAAACACAGAAATCAAGAAGCTACACTTTTCAGACCAGACTATGATTGTGATATGCTATTGTTCGTGACATGCGCCGACAGCGGCAAAGGTCGGCCTTCAGTAGGTTTTGACAACTGACGACCCCCAGCGCGCTCCATTGAGCCCCTCCTCCACTGATTCTTTACTCTCTCAACCCTCCTTCATCCGAACATCTTGCTGTACTGCTTCCTCTGCGCTTCGACCTTCTTCCTCCGCTTGTCCGCCAGGCTCGCTTTCTCCTTCTTGATCCCAGCATCCTCCGGTGCGTACGAAAGCGCCCTCTCCAGATCAGCTCCAGCCGAGTCGAGATCGCCTTGCACAATGAGCGCAAGTGCTCGCCTGTAGTGTGCCTTGGCCATGTCCTGTTTAGCCTTGACCGATGCTGGGTGAGAATCCGAATCGTGGTCCCACGCACCGGTCCGCTTGGAAGCCTTCTCGACAAGGGACAGGGAGGAAGTCGCCAGCTTCTCGGCGACCTTTGCTGATGCCTTGGTGCCGATCTTGATACCGCACAGGGCAGCATTCAGGCTGACTGCAATCCGCGTCGTCTCGTACTCGTCGACCAACTCGGGCTTGCTGTCTTCTGGCAGCACTGAGTGTACGTTGAGGTAGCGCAGCGACTTCTGGTACTTCTCGAGGGCCAAGGGGTAATTTTGAGAGGCAAAGAGCTTGCCGGCGATTGCTTTTAGGTCGCTTGCAATGGCCAGAGCGGCAGAAGGATTCTCTTCGGGTCCATCTTCGCCCTCGACGTCCTCTGGGAAGTCCTCGTGCTTGTCTCCACTTGGATCTGCCTCGATGCCGAAGTCCGTGGTGCCTGCGGGCAGCTCGCCCGCGTCCTCGATTGTAATCGGCTCGACTGGCTTGTCTTGCTCTCCCTTGGGACAGTTCTCAATTCTCCTCACCACGTCCTTTCCAGCCAAGACCTTGCCGAAGACTACGTGCTTTCCGTCGAGGTGAGGGGTAGGCACAGTTGTAATGAAGAATTGGCTGCCATTAGTATTAGGTCCAGCGTTGGCCATTGACAGTAGGAAAGGTCGGTCATGCTTTCCCGTGAGGTCTTCATCGACGAACTTCTCGCCATAGATGCTGACTCCACCAGTACCGTTGCCGGCGGTGAAGTCTCCTCCCTGACACATGAACTTGGGGATCACTCGGTGGAAGCCGGAGCCCTTGTAGGCGAGCTTCACACCTTGCTCGTTGGTGTCCTTTTCGCCAGTACATAGGGCGCGGAAGTTCTCGGCAGTCTTCGGGACCTTGTCGGCATATAGCTCGAAGACAATGCGGTTGCCGTTCTTGCGAGAAGGCGCGGCCTGGCCGGCGAAGGCAATGTCGAAGTCTACGAGACGCAAGAAGGAGGGAGAGAGAGAAGGGCGTCAGCTGCTTGAAGCCTTCATCAGTAGCATGTTTGATGCTACTCACATACAATGGGATTGGTCATGGTCGTGCAGAGGAGTCAGTGGTAGCGAGCTTCTCGAGGTGAGGAGGAAGGCAAGAAAGGGAGCGAATGGCATCGAATGCAACACAATCTTCTCTCCGCCTGTCTCCGCTTCTCCACACTTCTCTTTCCGTCGACCGATCCGTTCCGGTGCCCTTCCTCGCAATCAAATGAGAGCTCGTAATGCATTTTACAGTGGTGATGAGTCTACAATTCTACGACCTTGTATATGGTGTGAGCTTGAATCGCTCGCAATCTATTCGCTTGTTGTCTTTTCCTCGTTCAGCCTCGCCTTTGCCGCCCTCTTGGCCTCCTGCACCGCCTCCTTCCACGGCCCTTCGTCACTGCGCTCACATCCTCCCGGACACTGGCAAGTGCCACCAAGCTTCTTGGGTAGGTTCTTCTCATCAGCGAACTTCAAAAGGGTGGATTTGAAGTCAGTGCCCTGGATGTCGATTTTCTCTACGGTGCCCGGGGGCAGCCAGCCCCGGAGGTATGACCAGATCGTTGAGAAAAGCCAAGGAGCGTTGATGATCTGTACCCTTCCTGAGAGCTCTGGGAAGTTCGTATCCAGGATGGAAAGTAGCTCTTGAAGTTTCGGCTTGAAGGTCCAGAACGTTGACAGTCCTAGGCCAGACACGTCCAGGATCATTAGATTATCCTCGATCAAGCGGCCCTGACCATTTGAGGATCGTGATGAGGACGCCTGTGTACAAGCTGCATAACGATATCGCACTGCATTTTCCAGGGTGACAGCAAAGTTGCTGACGATGCGGTCCGGCGTGGTCACCGTCCAGACGATGTTCGCGTCCAGGCCTGCCAGGTCTTGCACAAAGATTGGTCGGCCTAACTTGTCTGTCTTGTGGAAATCTGCACAGAGGTCGAACCAATCCAGCGACACAAGGATGGTTTAGTCACTGAACTTTCTCTACGCCTAAGTGGTGCAAGCATGTAGCTGAGTACTCACACATCTGCCAGCCTGCCTTCGCGACCTTGTCCCTCTCCTCAAACTCAAAATTGGCCATCAGGTCGTCCAGATTGACACTCTGCTTCCACTTGACGCTGTTGTTCCACATCACTCTTGCCTGTTCCACGTTCCACTGCCTAGCTCTGAGGAACCTACAGAGATGAATCTCGAGATCCTCTGGTTTGAAGGCGTGTTCGGAAGGGAGGGTACCATCAGAGGAGAGGAGTCCAGTGAGCGACAGAAGCGCGGCAGCCTGCTCGGTAGATAGGTTACCCGGATGGCCTGGGCGTGGTTTCTGTAGGGAGCCAGAGAGGTCATTGAGGTGTTAGCAAGCCTCGACGGGGATAGCTATTCGGCCGGGCGGCCCCTGTCAGGCCCAACACTTGACTTACCCATTTCTCCCCAGTGAGCTCACTTGGCAGCTCTTCGGCATCCTGTTCCTTACTGGCGAGCCCCGATCCAGCTGAATCCGTGCTCTCGCCTTGCTTTGCGCCTTTTGCACTCTTTGCACTCTTGATGCTGGTCTGACTTGTGGTCCTGGAGCGGAAGCCGCCCAGTAGTGTCCCGCTGGGCCTCTGCTTCAAGCCACCTGGCCGCTTCAGCTCTGGGCTCTGTTCTCTAGGCGAGTCAGCACCAAACCCTGATGCAGAGGACGCTGACGACGGGAAGCGTTGCGGAGTACCAGGCGTAGAAGGGCTGTCGAGGGAGCTGATGGCGGAGCCGCCTTTGCCTGGAGTGGCAGGCATACCGCTGTTGAGTGCGTCGTGAGCAGCAAGGTGGAGGAGCCAAGCTAATTGAGTCTCGGCGCTTCTGTCTGAGGTATGGAAATATTCTCAGGCGGCGGAAATGATTCAGAGGCGTGAGGGTGGTATCGTCGAGGTGATCATCAAGGGAGGCAGTGCAATCAATCAACCGAACAGTCCGCCATCGTTTTGTCCCTGGCCTCGGCCCGAGCGGTCGGGCCTCCACCCGTATCCGCCAAGGCCACGCTTGAGCGGAGCCGTGGCGTGCAGGAACGGAAGGGGACCTCGGCCGGCGAAGCGGAAAAATACATCGACTGAGAGCTTCTTCCCGCTGCCATCGACTTACCTTGAATACCGCACAGCATCGCCACTCTCTACGACTCAGTTTCAGACAGACAGGAGACTTAGCATCCTGTCCGCAAATCTCGAACATCCTTGTATCTGCCGCGGTGTCGCCCGGCCAATCAGTAGACTATAGACCTATTTCGAAAGGAATTGGTTTTCTGTCATGGTGAGTAGTGCCAATGAAGACGTCCGAGTGACCGCTTGCTCGTCTGATAGCCGGTATTGATCTTCAACGCTCCGAACACTGCTCTCCGCCAGTCGCTGCCACAATTACTTGCTCGTGTAGTGTTCCAGGGGACGCAAATTGTGGGAAAGGCGTTTGCCGAAGCTGGTAGACAAGCATGGCGAAGTAAGTTGCTCAGTCTGCTATCCATGCATCCTTTCCTCATGCTGACATCTCTACTCTGAACTCGCTTCCACTCCACAGATGCAAGGACAGTACCAGCAGAAGCATCAGCAGCCGGTGGAGCAGGAGCAGGAGGGGCAAACAGCGCAAGCGGAAACTCAAAGGGAGATCAGCTGACACGGACACATAGAATGACAGTGGAGGAGGCACGAATGATCTTGAATCTCAAGGCGCAGGAGGGCGAGGTGGTCGAGGAGGCAAAGGCGAGGCTTACAAAAGTGAGCACCGACAGGCCGAACGCAGGAGCAGGCGGCAATTCCAATTGTCAAGTTACTGACATCTTGACCATCCTCTTTCTTTGCAGTCATACGACCACCTCTTCGCCGTCAATGCACCGCCGGCGCCGAAAGGTCAGAAGGGAGGTGGATCAGGGTCGTTCTATATGCAGTCAAAGGTGGTCAGGGCAAGGCAGAGGATCGAAGCCGAGTGGGAGGAGCAGCTGCAAGCGGTCAAGGAAGCTGCAAAGCCAGATGCAGGAGCAGACCAGAGCCAAACACCACCTCCACCGCCGCCGCCTGCGCAATAGAGGATGCTCGGACTCGCACTCATTCGAAGTCATCGGCGGCACTCGCCACGGCTCACATACCGCCCGCATTGTATTACTCTTCAGTAATGGGCACATCATCACTCTTCTAGACCTCCTCACTAGCCGCCTGATTCCTCTTCGCCAGATCCCAGAAGCCAGCCCACTGATGTCCCAGTATCTCTCTCGCATCTAGGTCCGTAGGAGCGTTCCTCGCCTTGAACCCTCCTGGAACCTGTCGCTCTCTCTCTGGTCCCTCGAAGATTAATTCGCAAGTATTCTTCGTCCAGTCCATCTCCCTTAGCATCTTCTCCTCCTCCTCGCTTGCCTGCTTGTTCGGAGGCTCGTCGCCCATCGCGCCCAGAAAGGGCGCTGGACGCTCGTCGTCACTCCCACCTCCAACGGAGGTACCCCTAGCTCGGCCTGGGTCCGTCCAATCGATCCGGGCTGTCATCAAACGTCTGTACGCCTTGATCCCCTTCGACGGGCCTTCAACTACTACGAGGGCAAAGGCAGGATTGAAGAGGCAGAGCCCCGTGAGACCATTTTGCTGTGCATTCTTCCTGACTTTGAACTTGTGAGAGCCAGAAACCAAGTGCTTGATTTTGTACACATTGACATAGACGCCCCTGGCTTCGTCCTTCTCCATCTTGTTGTTGAGCTTCTCCAGCCTCTGCTCATCTGTGAGAGCCCTCTCTGCATTGGTGCGTTCATGCTGTTCTCTCCTCGCTGCCACCTCCCTCCTGACCCGTGCTTCGACCTTGGTAGGGTCTGCCACAGCTTCTGAAGTCAACACTCGCATGAGATTGGACAGCTTGACCTTGGGTGCATCAGGAGCCTGTAGTCCCATCTTGATGCGATCCTGCTTGTCCTGCTGCTCGGCAGCTCGACGCTGACGACGCATTTTCTTCATCTCCTTCTTGGTCAACATCACGCCCTTTGGCTCGACCTTGAATTTGTCTGATGGTGCAGGTATCGGAATGGGATGTTGAATGTAATGGTCGATTGGCGTCCCCTCGGCCAGAATCATGGGCAGGCCAAGAGACATCGCCGTGTCCTCCACATCTGAGCCCTCCGCTTTGGCCTTTCCTTTGGCAGTCTCGGAGGCAGCCTGAGTGAGGATCTCAGCGGTAGGAGGATAGATGGGTACGCAGTCGTAGCTGCCACCGGGAAGGAGGGCTGCGTCCCACCATTCGATATCGGGAGGAGGCTGCCTCCTTATCTTTCTCTCCTCTCCGGTCAACTCCTCCTGCATCCCTGCCCTCTTTGCCCTTTCCTGAATACTCTGCTTCAAGGCTTCGAGCTGAGCTTCATTGCGTTGAGCCTCAGCTGCCTGGATGTGTCGGCCCGGACGATTGAATTGCAGGCCACGGTGCATAGATCTCCCCTTCACTGCGGGAGGTGCCGAGGGACCAGCTTCGTCTTCAGCAGGGGCAGTCAGGTAGGGATTGATCTTCTCTGGAGCAGGCGGCGCTCCTCTGCCGCCAAACCGATGGGTGAAGCCACCCCTGGCGGACGATACGCCGGGCGAGGCTCTCGCAGCAGTAGTAGCTGAGGACCCATTCTGCATCAGAAGAGGATGAATGCCTGTAGGTTTGAGCTCGGGGGCTGAAGCCGTAGCGGCAGAAGCGGGCGCGGCAGCTCCGGCCCGCTGCTCTTGGGCTCTCCTCTTTGCCTCCTCTACCCTCCTCTTAATGTCGTTGATGTCGATTGCTAGACCGCCAGAGGGAGGCTGCTTCGATGCGGAAACGGGTTTGGGAGCGGTGGACGGGGCAGCTGAGCCTACAGGAGCAGCTGGCGGCCGGGCAGGGGCTGTAGAGGGCGACGCTCGCTGCTGCTGGCTATTTCTGAGAGCTGCCACCTGCGCTTCTACTCTGGCGCGAGCAGCCGCCAACTGGGCTTCGATGGCGCTCTTTGCTGGTGCCGCCGGGGTTGTCGGACGCACAGCAGAGTATGGAGATGAGGAGGAGGCCGAGGGCTGTGACTGCTCGACCATGGCAGGTGTCATCCGCGGCCTCTTCTGCTGGGCGTTCGAGGCCCCGCTGGGCTTTGGCCTGAGGCTGCCAGCATCGTCGTCGTCGCCAAAGACGCTCGACTGAGGTCTTTTGGGCGGCATGTCGAGCCAAAGAGAAGCCGGTCTTTGCTCAGGGGAGGCGAAAAGAGGATCTTTGGAAAGGAAGGAAGGACAGTAAAGGATGGCTTGGTGCCAGGAATCATGGTCTCTCTGCGCGGAGTTTGTGCTTCCTCACTTCCGTCGAGGCGTTGCTTCCTCCTCACCGCTACTTCTGATACGATTGCGATCAGTCGCAAGGATGGCAGTGGAGTCTGTCCTGATCATCAATAACTACGGCAAACCGCGGCTGGCAACATTCTATCACTCCATACCACCTGCGCAGCAGCAGCTCTTGATCAGAACCATCTTCAAGCTGGTCTCCAGTCGGCCAGATGGAGACGTGTGCAACTTCCTGGACGCTCCTGAATTAGACCCTCTGCTGCAGACGGGCCGGCCAGGCGATGCGACGAAGAGCAAGAGCAAACCTCGTGGCGAAAAGGGAGAAGGTAGCAGCACTATCTCCAGTGGGCAGGAAAGACGGGTAATCTACCGGCACTATGCCACTCTGTGGTTCGTCTTCGTAGTGGACCAGAGCGAAAGCGAATTGGGTATCTTGGATCTCATTCAGGTCAGTGAGAGGTCTGAACGTCAGGCGAGGAATTACGTTTGCTGACAAGTCCTCTGTACTCTCAACAGGTCTTTGTCGAGTCCCTGGACCGCTTCTTCCCCAATGTCTGCGAGTTGGATCTCATATTTCACTACGAAGAGGTCAATGCGATCTTGGCGGAAGTCATCCAGGGCGGACTAGTCCTCGAGACGAACATCAGCGAGATAGTCAAGCAAGGTGGGTGTATTGAGAGGCTGGAGAAGGGAGTCATCCGCAACCTCGTTCTGACCATGATCTCTGATTTGCATCGCAACCTGGCCCAATAGCGCAAGCGACAGCGAAAGCTCGTAAAGCTTCAGCGGCGGGTCCGAGACCGGCGGGTCTCATTGGGGGAAACGGGCCCACTGGGACTGGTTTCGATGTTGGGCTGAACGCTGCAAGTGCAGCAGCAGATACTCTGGGAGGGTGGGCGAGGGACTGGCTAGGGAGGAGATGATGGGGCAGATTCAACGAGGACGACAAGCAACACACATTTGTACGATAGACATGCAATGCAACGATCAGAACAATGACATTGAGTGCACGAGCGCAAGGTAGCATTGCATTGCCGGACTGGTCTAGAATCGAGATGTCAGGAGCTTCATGCCTTGGCGCTGCCGCTGGACTTCCGCCCCCCTTTGGCGCCCTTGCTGCCCTTCTTGACACGATCTTGAGCGGCTTTGATCAGAGCTTCGTCCTCCTCGTTGTTGAAGCCGAGCTCTGTTCCAGCCTGTCCAGCCTCGTCATCCTCAGTGCCATCTGTCTCTAGTCCGCCATCGACCTTAGACGATTCTGCACCCGCCTCCTGCTTCCTTCTAGGCTCGACCTTCAGCCTGGCTAGGAAGAAGCCATCGACGTTGTGAGCATGGGGAAAGACCCTCTTGCACAGGTGCATTTTGGAGTCAAACTTGCGCTCGCGATAGCTCTTGAAACCTTCTCGGCCGAAGTCGATACCGGTCGGGACCAATCTGACATTCGGGCGCTTCTTAAGAGCGTAGTCGACGACCATCTCGTCTTCCTCCACGGCCACAGAGCAGGTACTGTATACGACGTATCCTCCAGTGGCAGACTTGGGGTTGACGCTATCGATAGCGCACAGGATCAACTGCTTCTGCAAGTGAGCTAGCAGCTGGAAATCTCTTTCGCTCTTGTTCGTCTTGACGCTAGGATCTTTGCTGATGACTCCAGTACCGGAGCAAGGAGAATCCAGCAAGACTCTATCGAACCCTCCAAGCACCTTCGGGAACTGCCTTCCGTCGTAGTTGCACACGACTACGTTCTTGCAGCCTAGACGATGAATATTGGCGCTGAGTGACTTGATTCGAGCCTTGTTAGAATCGTTGGCAAAGACGACGCCGGTGTTCTGCATCATAGCAGACAGATAGGTCGACTTGCCTCCGGGGGCAGAAGCCATATCGAGAACTCGCTCACCAGGCTGGGGAGCGAGGGCAATGCACGGTAGGAACGATGAGGCAGCTTGCAGCATGTAGTGGCCGGCAAGATACTCTGGCGTGGCTCCAATGGGAACAGATGACTCGAAGACTTGAAGACCAACCTTCGTCCATTTGCCAGCGGGCTCGAGGTTGACACCTCGATTGATAAGAGCCTGGGCCAGATCACGTCTCCGTGTACGAAGAGTGTTGGTACGGATCACCACAGGCCTGGGAGTCTCATTTGCCTCGAAGAATTCGATAGCTTCGGCAGGCGAGAACAAGTTGAAGAGCTTCTCGGCAAGGTAGCGGTTGTAACCGTAGTAGCTGCAGATGTCCTCCAACAGCTGCTCGATGTACTCTGACCTAGAGCGACCATCCCGTGCCAACTTCTTGAAGTTGCCCAGAATGTTGACGACCTCTTGGATTCGCATCTGGACCACTTGCAGGTCTGCACCAAGGACCTTCTCTTTCTCGGCCTCCTCTACTGTTGGCAGCATGAAGTCGCCGCCTTCGGTGGCATCTCCTTCAAGCGAAGCATCACTGTCGTCGTCGCTGTCTGCATCGTTGACGTCCGCACCTTCCAAGAACGCTAGCTCCGAATCGTTGAGATCTTCTTCGTCCAGAGATTCGCCTTCAAGACCGTCCTCTTGCTCGGATAGCTCTGCGAGGTCGCCTTCTTCGTCGTCACCGCTGCTCCCTTGTCCTTCGCCCTCCTCGTCAGACTCGAGTGAATAGCCCTGGCTCTTGAGCAGGAGTTCCAGCCTTTCCGCTTCCGCCAGTGCCTTCTTCTTCTGCCTCTCTGACAATTTGCTGCCATCGGTGGGAATGCCGAGCGCCTTCAGCGGGTCCTGCTGCTGCTGTTGCTCTTCGCCAGACTCCTCATCCGTCCCATCTGTCAAGTTCGTCTCATCCCCTTCCTCCCCATCCTCGCTGGCCTCTCGATCATTTGGGTCCCCCATCTCGTTGTCCGAAGCCTCGTCCAGGTCTTCGTATTCGAAGCCATCACTGTCGTCGGCGCCGGACAACATGTCGTCAATCTGCTCGTCTGATGGCTCCTGATCATCGTCTTCTGCCAGATCGCTCATATCCTCGATGCCAGAGAAGCCATCGCTAGCATCTTCGTCTTGGTCCTGGTCGGCGAACAGAGATCTGAGAGTGCAGAAAAAGCCGGGAAAGGCATCAATGGTCAGCCTCTGGGGGCGGCGTGCGGTCCATCGCAAAAAAGAATTGTCACACTTACCTCCTCTCTGTCTCGCTCTTGGACTTGGACTTCTTGGTCAAAGGCTGGCTTGTGCCAGCAACGGACTTCTTGGAGCCCTTTGTTGCAGACTGTGGAATGCCGTTTGCCACCGACGAAGTCTTGACCTTCTTGGCAGCGACAGGAGATGCAGCTGCCGAGCGCTTAGTGGCAGCAACAGGGGTAGCCACATCATCTGCTTTCCGCTTTCCTTTCGCCACTGCTGAAGATGGTCCAGCTGCTGGCTTTGCAACCTTCACAGGCGGAAGAGGGGCAGGGGGGCCCTGCTTGTTCTTTGCTCGACGTCCCATGGTGTGCCTATGGTGAGAATGTAGGGGTAGGGTATGGGTCGAGAGCTCGACTGATCTCCCGTGCGCCCAGCCAGTGGAAGGAAGCCGCCCAAAATTTTGCCTCGGATCTTCTGGCGGGTGGTGCGCGTCCAGACGGAAGCGGGTCCCCTACTTCCGTTCCGGGCTGCTGTAGCATCCTCACCAGTCAGGCGTGGAGAGAGGTCACACTCAGCGAACAGAGACTGCAAGCGTTGCGATTGGAATGAGTACAGGACGTCCGGAAGTAGGCGTTAGCAGCATGTGGAAAAGCCATCCTCACTGTGGAGGCGGAGGTTGCGCATGGTCGCCGCCTCTCGTAGCTGACATCGACGTATGTTCCAATAGCGAATGAATCCGACGCTTGGCAAGCATTCCAACGTCGTAGGCACTTTGACGCCGACACAGACTCTCCTCCAACGCGTAGTCCTCACGACCGTTGCGAGCGTCTGAACTTCTGAACGGACGCGCACAGTGAGACTTGGACGTATGCAAACAGGTCCAGAGGTACCAGCACTGCCCGTGTCGGAGAGGCTGGGAGGGCGAGGTTGCAGCGCCTTCGTCCATTGAAGTCGGTCGCTACGCCCGAACGCAGTCAAGTGAGGGCGAAAGCAGCGCGACGGAGAATACGCCGGTCTTATCCCGCACAAGAGGGGGTGAGAGTGTATGCTGCGTCGCGAGCACTCAGTTCCGAGCGGGATCTCCAATGCGAGGATCAGATTTGCTCTCAGATCTGACAGTCCCTCGGGCTCTGCCTGACCCCCATCTCTCGGCGACCTTCATTCATTAAATACCCGTATGCACGGGCGAGACGGGGCCCGTCAAGGAGCGACTGCCCCATGCTTAGACCAACTCTTGTCTTTTATCTGCAGCTGTCGCCGTATGTGTGTTCATGCCACGGGGTCTGGGTGGGTGAGCGGAAGATGGAGCACTGCCGACAGAAGGCGGGCTGCATGGGTGGAACCAAGTGACTCAAACGTGCCGGCGGGGCGGCATTCCTGGCGAGCGGAAAGGGGGGAGAGCCCCTCTGGCGGTGCGTGTGCAGGACGGAATTGACAGAGCCACGCTGTCTTGGGGCGAGTGCCCACGCTCCTTACCGACGCGGAACCGGGGCCCAAAAAACTGCCGCCTGAAAGGAAATGCGGAGAGACAGAGAAGGCCATCTGTATATGACGAAGCTGACCGTGGACGGGCGATGTCTTGAAGACGGGAGCAGAGTGAGTGAAGGCTCTACAACTACTCCCCTTTGCGTCGTCTGTTCTTTATACCTTACCCATCAACAAACATCCATACCATCTTCACAAGTCTTCTTGGACCATCCCTCGCCTTTGCCTATACCTCCTTTTGGCGCCCTCACCTGGTCTTCTCCTTTGCCGCCCATCTCGGTCCGACGTACGGACTTTGCCGATTCAATCCTACGCCCGCCCTGAACGTCCGCCCGCCCGCCTCCTTATACCTTACGGCCCTGGCCGCAATAGCAAAGCAATCTCTGCCCTGAGCTGTGCAACCGCTGCGCCCGCAAGAATATAGACCAATGATCAACGTGGATCCCATGATGCCCTCTTCTCCTTCTCATACCACTGGCGGTGCTCGCATCCCATCCATCTCAAGCAAGGCCAAGGGCACCCGCTCTTCGAAGCAATCCACAGGTGTCAAGACAAGCCCATCCACGCAAGACAGTATGACCCTCATCCCCTCGATGGAAGGCAAGACCAGGGGGGTCATTCACCAGCCAACGGCATTCGTCAAATTTTGGCTCCTGGTCTCGTCGGTGATCGTCATCTGGGATTTCAGTTTCATCTTCTTGCGAAGATGGTCGCTCACATCCCAGGGCGGAGTTCTCTCCGCGCTCTGGCCCGGGTACGATCTGTACGAGTTCGTGGATCTCAACTACTCTGCAAAGTACTGGCTCGACAACCGAGGTTTTCCTCTGGCTCAATCTACACTCAATGTGCTCGAAGACATTCTCAACTTCTCGTATCTCTACCTGGTTCACCAGTCTGATCCAGCTTATCGTGCCGTTGCGCCAATCGTTGGATTCTCGGGAGTACTGATGACGTTCAGTAAGACTCTCCTGTACTTCCTCTGCGACTACTACTGTGGTTGGTGTGAGTCGGGTCACAACGACTGGAGCACCTGGATCTTCCTCTATGCGGTGAGTACGGCATTTGCATGCACCTCTGTCCATGATCATCTAGCTGACCCATACATGACCATAACCATCGCCGTGCGTTTCCTTCCCGACCAGCTTCCTAACGGCTTCTGGATCATCTGCCCAGGCTACCTCACATTGTACTTTGGCCGAGAGATCGCGGCATTGCTCACGGCAGCAGCTGGTATCGTCGACTCGCCGTTCGCTGCTGAAGACGTCAAGGCAGCGCAAAAGTCAAAGAAGAGCAAGTGAGCTAGCTATGTTGCGGTCCGTGTTTCACCAAGACCCCCTTGCTTTGTCTAGTCGCTCTGTAAGACTCCATTTGCGAAGCTCTGTAGTCAGTGACCCCACAATACCTGCACTAAGCTGTGCTTGTGCTTTCTCTCCAATTTCATATCAAATTGCGCGCTCTGATGAAGCATCGTTATGCCCGGTGCTGATCCACTCTGTGTGCGTGTCTGGGCGTGTGCGTGGGGATGGTGTTGGTGGTGGTGGTCATCGCCTGAGGCAATCAGCAGGGCGGAAGCGCCTCGCCCTCGCTTGCCCCTGCGCGCTTCACTTCACCGCCGCGAGGAGCTGCTCGACCCTGGGACTGGCCACCCCACCACCCACTCCCAGTCACCGGACCCGTCATACCACTCATTCAACGACCTCGTGCCCTTCTCTCTCCTTCATATACCAATCAGAGAAGGGGTTGCATCGCCGGATCCAATATCATCACCCGCAAGCGAGCACTGATCGCACTCGGACGGGCCTGCGTTCGGAGAGGCAAGACGTCTCGGCATCGTCATACCTCCGCACGACTACGTCCATAACGAACCAATATCTTCCTCTGTACTCTGCAAACGAACAATCACTCTAGCCTACGAGCAAGTCAGACCACCTTGCACACCATCATCGCCTCGCCCTCTTTGCAGGGCTGATTCTTAAGTATACCGAATCTACAATCTATACCCTTGTTCGTCTTTCCACAACATCGGGATTGAGCTGATCACTGGCTTGCCAACAGACGAAGCCTTCGCGAAGAGCTCCTACCATTGCTCGAAGAGCCGGAGGGGTGCGAAACAACGAGTTCCTGTGTTGCCTCCCCACGACAGCTGCTATACCAGGAAGCTCTCCCGCGAGAATCGTACATTCTCCTTCTCCAACAGCCTACGACCAAAGCGCGAGGGGTTGCAGCTGGAGCTGCCGTCGTCGTCAAGCCTCCTGAAGACCGCTGCAGAAGAGCGTTCGAAGCGGACCAGTACTCTCATCCGAGACTGTAAACATAGGCTGTCGCTCCGTTGAATGGCTGCCAAGCATCCCCATTACCGACGAGCTACGCACTGAGCCACACCTCACAGCTTTCAACGCCTTCGAACGCAGAGACTTTCTGGCCACAATCTAGTGCTTGAGCCTGTGGCCGCGACCTACCTGTCTGCCCCTCTACTTCTACCGCATCGCAGCTTCGGTCAGCAGCAATGCCTGCCGGGACCAACTCCCAGACGGGGCCGCCGGACAAAAGGACAACCGCCTACGAAAACATCTTCGGACGGCCGACAGCCAAGCCGAAGGGGCCTGTCAGTCAACCTGGACCATCGCAGCAACAACATCAATTATGGCAACAACAGCAGCAACAGCAGCAGGCTGCCCTGTACGCTCAGCAGCAGGGTCAGCACAGGTGGAATGGAGGTCCTTCGCATCCCACATATGCACCCTACGGCGGTGGGGCTAATGTAGGAGGGCCCGGTGCAATGGGCGGGATGTACCAGCCCAGCAGTAACAATCACTCATACGACCATCCTGACCGCCGCACAAGCGTCACGCCATCTCTCATTTCTCGGACTTCAACTTCTTCTGCCTACCCCTCAACTATTCAGAGCGGCACGAGCGCTGCCGACTTCTACGCCCCCCAGGAGGACTCGACGCCCGCCAGTGCTTACGCGCACTACTATTCCAATGGTTCTAGCACAAGAAATGAAGCTCCCAGTGTGGCAAGTACCTCTTCCTCAGGGCCTCACTACCCAGTACGCCAGGCCCCGACGACAGGCTACCAGTCCTCTGGACAGATTCCTCGGTACCCTCAGCAGCAAGCGGAGCAGATGTACAACAATCAAGGACCATATGAGCCACAAGGGGGCGGTCGCCAACAACGCAGCAGCTCCTCTTCCCATGCCACCGATAATTCCTATGGTCGAGATCCTAGGCCCAATGTAGTGAGGGCACCTAGCGTAGCGAGCTCTGTGTTCTCGTCAGCGCCTGGCTCTTCTTTCGGCGGATCGCCGACTATCGAGCCCCCTCGGTTGCCTAATATAGACGTGCAGGAAGGGGTCGGCAGCCCGGGCGAGGGAAACTGGTTCAAAGGGCTGAGCTTGGAAGGGAGTCCAGCAAGGTCAACGCGAAACTCATTGTCGCCTCAGAAGCCCGGCGAGCTCAGTCTCAGGTTACCGGAAGGCGGCAACGGTGCAGGTCACCATTCAGGCGAGGAGGACACGTTTGCCACCCCGAGCGCGAAAGATGTGCCTGATCCCTTTTCGAATGGTGAGTGAGCTAGTTAGGAAGCTTGTGATTGGCGATGGCAGTATTAACCATGATCGTGCCACTTCATCACAACAGAGTTCCAAACATTTCAGCACGAAACGGCTCAGCGGGAAGCTGCCTTGCCGGGGCAACACGTCAACGCTCTGTCGTCCGGAGCGTCTTCGATGTACGACGGAAAGTCGTATAGCAGCGGCGCAGGCAATCTTCGGCGGAAGGAGTCTTTCGAGTCTGACCGGAGATCAATTGCCGCCTCAGTTTACACTCTTCCTGGCGGAGTCGGCAATGGCTCACAAAACAACTTCTACCAGGGAGGGGGACCAAGTGCGGGCAGTAGTACCTCGAATCTGCGATACCCTGGCGGCGGCTTCACGCCTGTGAACAATGGAGGAACTGCGGACATGTGGCAGCGTGCTCCTCGACATCGCACTCACTCCTCGGCTACACAAGCCGCTCAAGCCGCGTATTCACCCAGCATGGTTGATGGGACGGTCACGCGGTCCGATCAATGCTCACTCTCCTTTGGCAACGGCCAGGCCCGCCCTGTGTTTGCTGGTGCACCAAGCTCTCATCACTCCAGCTTTGGCAGTGCGAACGTCCCAGCGGTTCCACCTAGTCATCGCAGAGGTCCGATCGTCTACCCAGCCTTACTATCGCGCGTGGCAGAAGCCTTCAAGCTCCGAGTGACGATAGCCGAGCGTGTCAAAGATGGTCTCACATATAAGGATGCCTTCGATGGAAGAGAGGCCGTCGCTCGCATTGCTTTCATCATCAAGACGACAGACCGGAATCTTGCCTTGCTTCTTGGTCGTGCTCTCGATGCCCAGAAGTTCTTCCATGATGTCACGTACGACCATCGGCTGAGAGACTCGCCTGGGGAGCTCTATCAATTCAGGACCCGCTTGGCCACTCCTTTCGGTGCGGAGCAGGCCGGTGACCATTTTGTCGATGCTTCTGCTCAATTGCAGATTCCTGCGACAGCCCACCGGGAAAACTCGACGAAAAGCCTGCCAGAGTCTACCGCCTCTTCTGTCCGAGCGACTAGTCCCTCGGCAGGCGGCGTGATGGGAAACGAAGCCGGCGAAGTCTTGGATGATGCAGATGACGAGGAAGCCTTGCCGACGGGTGTCTTCACCTTGTTGACCGACTGTTATAGTCCTACCTGCACACGGGATCGTCTATGCTACAGCATCGCTTGTCCTCGACGACTGGAACAGCAAGCTCGCCTCAACCTCAAACCTCAAACCGTGTTACAGCGATCTCTGAGCAGAGAGAGTCTGGGTGATGTGAAAGAGCCTGGAGCATTATGGGCTGAGTCTGTCTCTAAGGAGATCTTCGACAACACATCCGAGCAGGAGCGCAAGCGCCAAGAACTCCTCAACGAGGCCATCTATACGGAGCGCGACTTCGTCAGAGATTTGGAGTATCTGCGAGACTCCTGGATAAAGCCACTGAGGACAAGAGACATCATCCCAGAGGCAAGGCGAGACGACTTCATCACGCAAGTCTTTTGGAACGTCCTCGAGGTTCACGCTGTGAACTCAAGATTGGCCGAGCTACTTACCAAGCGACAAAAGCATTCTGCCCTAGTCGACCGAGTCGGAGACATCTTCCTCGAGATGGTACCTCACTTTCAACCTTTCGTGAAATACGGAGCTCATCAGCTTTACGGAAAGTACGAGTTTGAGAAGGAGAAAGCCTCGAACCCCGTGTTTGCGGCATTTGTGTATGAAACCGAGAGGCTCCCTGAGTCGCGCAAGCTGGAACTCAATGGCTATCTCACGAAGCCGACGACTAGACTGGCAAGATACCCTCTGTTATTTGAGGCGATCTTGAAGGCCACCCCTGAGACCAATCCGGACAAGCAAGCCCTACCAAAGGCGACAAAGCTTATCAAAGATTTCCTTAACAAGGTGAACGTCGAGACAGGTAAGAGCGAGAATCGCTTCAATCTCGCACAGCTCGATCAACAGCTTGTCTTCAAGCAGGGAGAGGCTGTCGATCTTCGTCTTCGCGATGATCAGCGAGAACTCGTCTTCAAAGGACCATTGAAGAAGCGAGGTGGCACACAAAGCGAAAGCGCAGAGCTCCAAGCTTTCCTCTTCGACCATGCCCTTCTCATGGTCAAGGCCAAGACCGTGAATAAGAATGAGCTCTACAAGGTCTTCCGCAAACCGATCCCTCTCGAGCTACTCATCGTCACTGTTTACGACGAAGTCCCGACGGGCAAAGGGAGCGCCACTCGACCGAAGTCGATCATGTCGAAGACCTCGACAGGGAACCGATTGAGCGGAGGAGTGCCGCAAGGATCCGCACCCAAGCAAGATGCGAAGACAGGCTATGCCCTCACTTTCACCTATCTTGGTCGGAAGGGCTATACATTGACACTCTGGGCGAGCACCTTTGTCGGTCGTCGCAAGTGGTTCGAGCATATCGAGACACGTCAGGAGATCCTGCGTGAACGCTCGAACATCTTCGACACCATCACCCTGTCGGAGAACTTCTTCGTTGGTCTGAACAAGGTCAACTGCTCTGTGCCCTTTGACTTTGGCCGAAGAATCATCTATGGAACAGAGGACGGAGTCTATCTATCTGATCTTAGAGAAAAGGCGCGACCACCCACAAAAGTTCTTCCATTGCCCGGCGTGACCCAGATCGATGTTCTGGAAGAGTATCAGATCCTGATTATTCTAGCTGAGCGCTCTGTGCATACATTTACCCTCGATGCGCTGGATCCAGCAGACCCTATGGGCTCTCTCAAGCGGGGTAGAAGGATATCATCGCATACGTCCTTCTTCAAGGCGGGCCAGTGCCTGGGACGAACCCTCGTCTGCGTCGTCAAGTCCTCGTCACTGTCGTCGACCATCAAGACACTGGAACCAATCGAACAAAATGTGCGAGGCAAGAAACAGCCTACCTTCAGAAAGCTTCTTCAAGGTGGACAAGAGACTTTGCGAGTTTTCAAGGAGTTCTACATTCCGACCGAATCGCATTCAATCCATTTCCTCAAGTCCAAGCTCTGTGTGGGCTGTACAAAGGGATTCGAGATTGTCGACCTGGAGACGCTAGACACCCAAGGTCTGCTCGATCCTGCAGATTCTTCGCTGGACTTTGTGCATCGTAAAGAGACCGTCAAGCCCATTGCGATCTATCGAATCGATGGAGAATTCTTGCTTTGCTATGACGAATTTGCATTCTACGTCAACAAGAATGGTTGGCGGGCCAAAGGCAATTGGATCATCCACTGGGAGGGTAATCCCAGCTCCTTCGCCTACCACCACCCCTACGTGCTGGCATTCGAGCCAAGTTTCATCGAGGTGCGCCACGTCGAGACTGGAGCCCTGCATCAAGTCATCACTGGATACAATCTTCGATGCCTCTTTGCAGACGTTCCACCTCCCATTCCTCGCAGCGCAGCAGACTCGGCAGCGGCACAAGCAGCGGCATTGGCGCAAGCGCAAGCGCAGGCCATGAACCCGTATGTACGTCCAGGTCTGCCACCTGGCCACATGCCACCTCGTCCACCTTACCCAATGGCCGGCGCCGGCAGCTTCAGTGGACACTACCCAGGTATGCCTGCGCCGCCTCCGGTGCCAATTGGCTACGGACCTCAGGGGCAGGTCATCTACCGTCCGCAGCCGCCGTATCCGCCTGCCATTCCACCTCAACAGGTGTCTGCCGTGGTACCACGGCCACCTCCTCGCAATCCAGTGTGGGAGTCTGTTGCTGTTAGTAGGGGTCAAATCGTCTTCATTGGCGACACGTCCGTCTTTGCTGTCAGATTGGCCAACGGTCCAGGCGCAAGTGGTGCATCTGGTGGGGTACAGAATGCCCTGTCGCCTGCGTTGCGGTAACGGATGCGATAGTTGGAAGGAAATTGACTGCCATGGAGAGTAGCAGGTCACATTTGGAGATCTCGGTCTTTTCCTTTCCTCCCACCTACGGTCTTCGATCGTCATCTGTATGTTCTTGTGCTTCCTCAGGTCTGCGTCTGCGCAATGCCATTGGGATCTCACTGTGCTTCTGTGTGCAATATCGCTGCGCCATGGCTTCCTCTCCGCTGCCGTGAATGCCGAGCTGTCAGCTGAATCCGTGCGGCTCCGTCGACGGTCACTTGAAATGGCCTTCTGCCTCCGTCCCGATTGGTTGCCAAGAATTGCTTCGACTTCGGCATTTGCTCTGCTGAAGTCCCATCTTATCACGCAAGGGAGCAAGTCCTGGTTCAAGAAGACGTTGCCAACGTAATCAATGCCCTTCCAAACCGTGGGCAGAGTGGAATGGCTGCACCGCGCCCACTCACGCCTAGTCCCGCGCCTGCAGGCACAGTCTAGGCATCTAGCGCTCCTTGCTACCCTTGCTGTCTCTGATCTTACGCTACGCTTGGGTGTTTTTCTCCTTACCGTACAGCCTTGCTCCCTTGATTTCCCTATTCCCCTCTATTCAGCCCACGCCCACGGATGAATTGGTCCTTGCCGAGTTGGGGCGAGGAAGGCCAGAAGCGCCAACAGGCCCTTTTAGACGAGGCAGGTGTGCGGGGAAGGGGCAGGCCATTTGGGCAGAGGCAGGCAGGCAGAAGCGGTGTGAAGGATGCTGTGCGGCGATTCCACGCGCCTGCTGCTGCTGCTGCTGCTGCTGTGTGTGCGTTCCCGCGCCTGTGTGCCTGGGATCCTGACCCTGCGCCTGCTGCCCGCTGCGCTGCGCCCTGGCCTGAAGCTCGTGAAATCGTAAGCGAGGTTCAGGGCGCCGAAAGAGCGGCGGGCAGCACAAGACGATCCGAAATGGCGGGGAAAGAGCACAAGGAGGCGAAGAGGCAACGAGCTCATCTTCATCAAAGTGGTAATAAGGTCATTCGCATTCAAGTAGCCGAACGTCGTGTCTCTCGTTAGTCGACACGACGTCGTAGGAACGCCAACAGGGTGGCGAGGGTGAAGAGGACTAGCCCTCGAGTCTGTCTTTGCTACCGACGTGTATTGCATCGTGTCTGGGTATGGTGATCTGGCGTCAGTCGCGGGATGCGAGCCCAATGGAGCCTCTTCTATCGCCTCTGATTGTTCTACCTCTGTCGGGAAAGTGCTTGGTCGGACCTGCACCACAGAGTGCCCCCCCCTTGAGTCGCAATACTCCCACGGCTCACATCGACCCCTCAGGCCCCGCACAGCACAGCGGGCGCCCCTAGTCGGCATCTTCGTCGTCATCACCAGCTGGCCTCCCGGCCGCCCCACCATCGCCCCTCAGACCGCTATTGTGGTAGTCGTCTGTCAATTATCCGGGGCTGTTCATCCCGCCCATCCTGCTTCATTCGCCATCTCGCTGCTTCCCTTTCCCCACCCCCCTTTGGCGTAGGTGGCGTGCTGACCCTTCCGCGCCTGCCTCATCTGAGCCGCGCAGCACGGCAGTCTTACCCTCCCAAAGACCACAGCCCCTCCGTCCTACCCCCGAGCATACCCTCTTCCTCATCTCTCTACTGATTCCACTGCTTGAAGCTGGAGAGACAGCCGACGCAACACGGAAGTCGCGTGAGGCTCGCATCTCTACCGTCAAGTCCAACCGTCAAGTCCAGCATCTCGCTCCTTGGTATCTAAAATTGCACCAGTGGCACCTCAGGCAGGAGGCATTCGCGCCCTGCTTTCACACACCGTCTCTACCTCGCTCCTTCGCATCAATCTCGGCACTTCGGACATCTGGCCCCGTGTGGTTGCGCAACTCTCACCTACTCCTCGAAACTCATCCGTCGCATCCGTCCACTGAACAGCATCATCACCTCAACATCGACATCATCTCACCACCCCCTCGAAAAACCTTTGCACATCCAAGAGCGTATAAGCCCCACCCACAATGGAAGAGTCGGAGGCGTCCGGGTCTCGCGCTTCGCCCTATTCCCGAGCAATGCTGCGAGAGCAGTCCGAAGACACACGATGGAGAAAGACTAGGGAGCCCAGCGGTAGCATTACAGATGCCCCTACCCCCGCCGCATCAGCAGTCGAAGGATCAGACTATCTCTCCGGCTCCACACCAAGCACGCCGGGGGTCAGCGGATGGAATACGAGCAATGCTAGGGCCACGGTCGAAGGTGGTCCGTCTTCCTCGTCTACCTTGTCATCCGCTACCCCAGCGAGAACGACAAATCGTAGTGCTGAAGAGGAGGATGAGGATGTGCATATTGCAGTCATGGCACTCGGCGCTATGCGCAACCTCGATGGGCGAAGGATGCAGAGTGGTCTGGAGAAAGTGCCCGGTCCTGTTAATCCAACAGGAGTCGTGGGTAGGCAGCGAGATGGAAGCAATGCTTGTGAGCACGATCAAGGTAGCACGACGGATGGCATTGGCAACATTTACTGACTCGCCTACTGCTTCTCTCCCTCCCTCTCCCAGCTATGTCTGCCTCTTCGATTACATCAACAGCCATCTCTTCCCCCTCTTCGACACCAGCGACTGAGCTCACGCAAGCTTCCGCAAGTACCTCCGGCGGCAGCGTGCAGTCTGCACGCGTGAGCGGCGGTGACGGCAATTATACCTTCAGCGGCGGTGACGGACGTCGGCATAGCAGGTCCTTCTCTGGTGCCGCTACCCTAGCCGATCTTCCATCCGACTTTGAATTTCCAGCTCTAGTGCGGGACGAAAATGGCAACGAAGTGGAAGTGGACAGGGAAATGTTGGGGGATGCAGACTTTCTCAAGAGGGTTAGTCACTTGCCTTTGGTCAGAGGTACCTTGAGGGCGTATGAGCTTGGCAAGCAGAAGAGCAAGATCGTCAAGTATGGAGGTGACCTGGTAGAGTCATCTGTCAAGGCCATTTCACGCCCCGTCGTCGGCCGCCTTGGGGCATCCCTAGGAGAGAATCGCGTGGAACAGCTGGATGACTTTGCCTGCCGTCAGCTGGACAGGTTCTACCCCGGCAGCTCCGCTTCCATGTCCAAGGAGGAGCGACAGAAGCTCATGGCGGATCTTGACGAGCGGGAGCGCACGGAGTGGGCGCACATGGGCGAGGAGGAGCGAGTGAAGAGGCGGCGAGCTTACTGTGCTCTGCATTTGGAAGAAAAGGAACGAGAGACGGTGGTGAACGAGCTTCGTCAACGAAAGGGCAAGGGCAAATCGCCTCCACAAGCATCAGCAACTGCCAAGGATTCGTCGGCAGAGGCAAGGGACAAGCAAGTCTCACGATCGAGCGGCTCATCTGCCTCACCTTCTTCTACAAGTACAGCTCGCATGCGCAATGCCGGCCTCGGCAGCGAAGCTCTTTCTCAGACGCAAATGCAAAATGCGCTGATCGAAAGTGTCAAGGCAGGCAACGGAGCCAGCAGCAGTCGATGGGGCTCGATGCTCGTGGAAGCCGGTGCCACTGCAGGAGGTCTCAGTGCTGCTATGAGCGAAGAGAGTATGAAGAGTCTCAAATACTGCTTGCAATGGCTGCAATACGCCACGGCCCACATTGAGCATCAGATCACCGTTTTGCGAGATCTCATCGTCAAGCTCAACCACGGCGAATTGGAGCTCACCTCTCCTGCTGCCCAGAATTTGACGCAGATCAAGGGCGACGTCGTCACGACAATCCGATCCGTCGTCGACGTCGTGGGCAAGTACGCCGGTGGTGCTCTCCCCGAGCCGGCTAGAGTCAGCGTCAAAGCCTTCATCCTCTCTCTACCAGCGAGATGGGCCAGCGTGAACCGCGCGCCGGCTGTGACGAATGCCTCGTCCTTTGGCGGCAGCCCAGCTTCTCCATCCTTTTCCCCCGCCCACTTCAGCTCTAGTGGAGATGCCTCCTCTCCCGGCGGTCGTGCACGAAGCTCCAGTTCCGCCAGCAATACCTCTCTTGCCCACCGCAACGGCGGTGCTGCACAGCCGATGAGCGCAGCTGCGACTGCTCAGGCCGCCAACCGTGTCCTGACGCTGGCAGTCGAGTCCCTCGACATTCTCCGCTCCGTCACCGTCGTCGTTGGTGAATCCCTGGATCGAGCCGAGTTGTGGATGGAGCGTCTACGCATGCTTGGTCTACAGCGCAAGAGACAGCACGAGCAAGACACAATTGGCAATGGACACAATGCAATTGCCTTTTCTGGATCGGGGTCGGGACCATTGGGAGGACCCGCCAGTTGGGAGAGCGCAAGAGGAATGGCTGCACGTGGGCGTGCGGACTCTCTTGGAGGGGAGTCGGACTTGTCCATGGGCACCTCGGCCTCGACGAAGCGTAGAAGGATCAAGGCGGGGAGTAGCGCCATGGTCGCAGGTGGGGGAGGGAGTGGGAGCGGTAGCGGCAGTGCTAGCGCTAGCGCTACTGGCACAGGCGGCGCGGTGGGATCTCCCATCGATCCGACGTTTGCCACACCGTCTGCGCCGGCAGCTAGCTCAGGTCATGCGGGCTTCAGTGCTGGAAGCGGCAAGAATGGCACCAGTCAAGTGGCCGGCACAGCGTCTTCTTCATACGATCAGTCGCCGGGTCATGCGAGTGCCAGGAGGAGGAAGGCGGTGGTGGGTGCTGGTCAACGCGCGGGCGAGTAGTGCAGACTCTTGACCTCGGCACCACCCTCAACCTCATTCCTCGAACATTAATGTCTTTTCCATTGTACATTTCACGCTTGACGACCGAAATTTCATGTGATACTACTCGAATGCTCTGAAAGTGCTTATCGATTCTCTTTCAACTGCTATCAGGAAGCGGTACAGGCGATCCCAGATCCGTGGACGGACACTCCTATCGACGGCGGTCAGTATAGTGCACCTGCCTGCTCCTTGCTATATGATGCCTGCTGACGCAGGCGATCGTCTCCTCGAGATCTTACTTGATGACGAGTACGGGAGAGGGAGCGTGGTTGACTAGGTAGGAGGTAGTGCTGCCCCTGAGGTTGGGAAGGGAAAGTGTGGGAGGGCCAGAAATTGCATGAGACCTGCTACTGGTCAACTCGTTTCCTGTTGAATGCGCCTCTATGGCCCTTCACTCACGCGGTCAGGCCTGGTATACCTTTCTTGCCTCGCTTTCCAGCTACGACCAAGTCGACTTTGTGGTAGATGGCTACACGGACCAAGGTCTGTCGAGCGTCACCATGGGCGACATGGATAGTCTGCAGGCGTGTGGTGAAGGATGTACACTCTGGTCAGTCATGTGCTCTTTTCAGCTACACTGAGTGCCCCACTCGAATGCGGTGGTACATACGGTCTCGTAACCTGCATCCTTGAGCTTGTCCTTGTAAGGATTGAGCTTCTCGATGGCCTGCTCGCGAAGAGCTTTGAGGAGCTCATTCTGTCGCTTGGCATCGATTGAGAGGGGGCCGGATACCCAAGGGCCGGAGAGGACGTTGGCTGGGAGGACTGTAGCGACTGCGATCGTATGAGGGAGAGGAAAGCAAGCGGGGTCGGCATGAAGCTCTTGCTGGTCAAGGATAGATGGACTCAGCGAAGCAGAGGCTAGGTCATACTGACTGAAGACATGGGCGTTGGTGCTGAGCACCTTTGACTTGAGAAGATAGTTGAAGGCCTTGTCGCCTGCTTCAGTGCCGTCGATGGCAATCAGGATCGATGACTCCTTTGTAATGCTGTATGACGATCGCAGGTCATGGGAAGGATTGCTTTGCTGAGTCAATTCTCTTGCGATTACTTGGTACGCTCGTTCGACACACCAGCACTCACGCTTCACCAGTCTGGCCAACAATCTGCTGGTGTCTGGCCTCAGAGGGTATGTTGCTCTTGTCGAGTGGATTGGCAGACTCCAATGCGGGCGTCTGTGCCATGAAGTGGGTGGGTGTCTGTCCGCCGCCATCATTGCGCTTCTTGTCTTTGCCAATGCCAAAGAAGCCCTTGCGAGAGGGGGAGGGTGGCTGAGACATGCTTGGTAGAGGTGGCAGGTGGGTGTGTCAGTAGGGGGAGAGATGGCGATGATGGCAAGGTGGTCGAGGTGGGAGAGGTTGGTAGGAGAGGCATCAGTCTGCTACGTCTTTTCAGTTGGATCTGTGCCTCTGTACGTTGGCTGCCTGGCTCATTGCTCCCACGTCGTGCGAACAAGACGTCGTTTGTGCATGCACGGCTCACAAACGGCGCGATGCTGCAGCGTAAGGCGCCACTTTGCTCTCACATCACTTGCGGATGCCTTCAACGATACTTGTTCTTCGGCCGCTTTTCCATTCCCGCGATACAGCTCATCTCGACATGGAATCAACGCCCTTGTAAAGCGATTCAGCCGTCGATCGCGTGCCTGCCCGGTCAAAGTATGCCGATCCGGCACTGTCCTGCCGCCGCAGGAAGTAGAGGGTTACCCAATATCTTGCCGTGCCCTGAAGAAAGACACTTGTGACTATAGCACCGCGAACATGGGTAAGAAATAATGCAGGCTGCTTCTCACACTTCCTTTGCTCGATGTTACCCATCTCACCAAGCACTCCTTGCATAGACCACACACTTGTCTGCTCAATGACGACAAGATCGGACGCCAAGTCTACCTTTCTCGCTTTCCTACTGTCATCCATCATCACCTGTGCTAGCGATGTCTACGACCTAGTATTCAGACGTACGCCCGCTTGGACACCTGCCCAACTGTTTGAGCGTAGGCCAAAAAGGAGCTCAGCAGACATCCCCAATGCAGGTCGAGAACGCGACGATCGGGAGAATGGGGAGCGCAACTGCCCACCCAGCATGCGCGGCAAGGTAGTGCTTAGCACCGGCGGACACAGCGGATGTGGCTTAGAGTGCGTCCGATGGTTGGCACAGGGTGTCAAGAGAATGTGAGTATCGGCGTCAGTGGTGGCCATCCCATAGGCCAACCACTATGCTCATCACGTGATGACACGGCATTGTCAATAGCTACCTACTGGGTCGATCCATCTCCGCTATGAAAGCTAGCATTGAAAAGCTCAAGAACGAGGTCGGAGCCGAGAGATGGCTCGCAGACATTCTCTACATTCAATGTGACCTTGCCAACCTCGATGCGGTACAGAATGCTGCCAAAGAATTCTTCGTCATGGAGGCACTGATGCTGGAAGCAGATTCACTGAACTTGCCGGCGCCTTCTGTCGGTCTGGACTTGCTTTTCCTCAACGCTGGCATCTACACACATAGGCCAGAGACAAAGACAGACGATGGATTCGATCTGATGTGGGGCGTGTGAGTGGACGTATTGGGAGAAGTTGAGGTCATCGAACTGACCATCATCGGCTCTTTTTCTTATGACCATTGCACAGGAATTGCCTTGCCCATCACGCTCTTCTACGGTACTTGATGCCCGCCCTGCAGCATTCTGCGCGAGCAGCTCGCACGAATGCCAATGACGCCCGACTCGACGGCGGCTCGAATCAGAGATTTGTTGACCGTTCACCACGAGTGCTATGGACTGGGTCCATCGCTCACACCTGGCTCGTCTCACCCGCCAAGAGCTACTATCCCCCCGAAGTCAAGCTCCGCTCTTGGAATCCAGCCGGGCCCTATGCACGTAGTAAAGCCTCCAATCTCCTCGACATGTACTACTGCCTTCCCACTCTCACAGAGGCAGGCATCGTCGGCACCGTCGTTCACCCCGGTGTGCTCTACACGCCCATCCAGCGCGAGTTTGAGCGGGATTGGCAGCAGCGAGGCATTGCCGCTCTTCTGGCTCCGCAGAGTCTGGGATGCGTGAACCTGCTGTGGACCGCCTTTATAGCTTCAGCCGAAGAGGTACATGGAGGCTATATTACGCAGTGGTGTCGTATGGGAAAGGTCACGAAGATGGTGAGGGACGGGGAACTCATCAGGCGCCATGGCGAGTTCATGGATCAGATCGTTGACGGCATCTTTCAGACTGCGGAAGAGCCTAGTCATGAGCAGAGTTTTCACAACGGCAAGGTCCCTGACGAGCAGGTTGAACGGAAAGGAGTTGTTCGACGACGCAAGACGCCATCACAGTAGACTTGTGCCATCCGTCTTCACGCGTACAAGTCTGATTCTACGTAGACCTGTTGGATTAGATCGCAGACTAAGATACTATAATTTAATTTATTCTCGACAGCCACATCTCCGTGTTCAATCTATGTCATCTTCTGCTCAGTCCCTGACCTGACCTGCCTCGAGAGCCATCGAATAGAAGATGCTGTCCTTCTTGGCCAGCAATTCTGCCGGTGGTGCAAATTCGGCCACCTCTCCATCCTTCATGACAAGGACACGGTCCGATTCCAGAATGGTAGCCAGACGATGAGCCACGGTGACGGTGGTGCCGTGGAATTGTTCTCGGACAATGCGCTGGATGTACTCGTCCGTCTCAAGGTCGATGGCGCTCGTGGCCTCATCAAGGACTAGAATCTTAGCCCTCCTGAGCAGCGCACGGGCGATGCAGATCAGTTGTCTCTGTCCAGCCGAGAAATTCGAGGCGCCCTCGGAGAGCTCTGCCTCGAGTCCACCGCTCATGGATTGCACGTGGTCCTTGAGCTTTGCCTGCTCCAAGGCTTGCCAAAGCGCAGCATCGCTGCTCTGCAAGGTCGGGTCTAGGTTCTCGCGGAGGGTGCCTGACCACAAGCAGGCGTCCTGCGGAATAATGGCGATGTTGCTCCTCAAGTCCTTCAGACCGATATTGCTCGTGTTGACTCCGTCAATGTAGATGGACCCCTCTGCTGCTTCGATGATGCGGAAGAGAGCAAGTGTCAAGGAGGACTTGCCGGCACCTGTCCTGCCCACGACTCCGATGCGCTCTCCTGGCTTGATGGACATGTTGAGCTTCTTGAGCACCAGGGGTAGACTGGGCTTATAGCGAGTCGAGTAGTTCTTGAATTCAATAGCGCCCTCTGATGGCCAGTGGGTCGGAGGAGCATCCTCCTCCGAGGACGTGTAAGGGGCTTCGGAAGCCAAATCACAGTACTGGATCGCACGTTCGACGGACACGATGTTCTGCTCTACCTCACTAGCAGAGCGGACCACCCAGTTGAGGGCCTGAGTTGTCGATAGCGCTTGACTCATCATCAGACCCACCAAGCCTGCATCAATGACGTAGATGTCTCGCGTGATGAGGAGCGTAGCCAGGGTCGAGGCGATCAGAATAATGGCAGATCCCAGAAACTCGATGCGTACTGCGAGCCATCGATTGCAGGTGACACTGGGCAGGTAAGCCTGCTGATTGCGGTCCACGCGAGCCTCGTTCGTGACAACGAAGCGCTCGTCTTGTCCGAACGCTCGAATAGTGGCCAGGCCTCCGAGGGACTCTTGGAACCAGGAGAAGATGGGCGACTTGCTGACCGCATCAAGTCTCTTCAGCTCACGAGACGTCAGGAGATAGTATCTCAAGATGGCCCGGTAGGCGAACCAGAGCGGCACGATAGCGATAAGGAACGGCGGTACGGAGACGCTGATGACCACCAGGACACCAACGACAACGATCATGGTCCGGAAGAAACCCTGTAGCACCCGCGGCAAAGTCTCGTCGATGGCGTTGATGTCCTTCGAGAAACGATTGAGACTGACACCAACAGGAGTGACTTCGAACCATTGTAGGGGACTCCTCAGGACCGATCTGAACATGCCGTCGTGGAAGTGCTTGGCGCTAGCGACAGTGAGGTGACAATACAGAATGTAGGGTGCAACGGTCACCATGACACTGCCTCCAATACCTGCGAGGGCGTACATGCTCAGGTAGAATCTGGCGTCGGAGTCGGTGCCTCCATTGTGCTGATCGTTGAAGGTACCCCACTGCTTGAGAACCAGGTCGCGACCTACTTGCAGGAACTGCGTGGCAACCTGAGCCAGGAAGAAAATGGCCAAGCTCCAGCCCGAAGCCGAGGCGCTCTTGGCGTATTGCATGTAGACGGACCACGACACGCTGCCCTGATTGTTGATCTCCTTTGGCTGCGAGATAGCAGCTTGCAGTTGCCGCTTCGCTTCTTTCCTGATGGCGTGGGGTGACAAGTTGACTGGCCGATGCATACTAGCCGATGAGAAGCGACGGGTCAGTTTGGCCTTGCTGTCCTCGCCTTCTCCACTGGCATCACTGTTGCTGTCTCGAAGTGTCTTAGACTCGCTGTCGTCTCCTCGTTCCTCATCGTCTTCCGATTGACTTCGGTCGGCTTGCTTGCCCAGACCCGTAATGAGAGCGTGAAGCTCGCCTCGCTGAGCCATGACCTGGTCGTAGCTACCTCTTTCCTCCATGAGGGCACCTCGCCGTAGGGAGACGATTTGATCGCATTGGGGAAGGAAAGATACCATGTTGGTGGTCAAGATTCGAGCCTTCGATTTCAGCATTCCATTTGGACCAATGACCTGCTCAAAGATGTGCGCTCCGACATGAGCATCCACAGCCGCCAAAGGGTCATCTAACAGATAAATATCAGCTCGCGAGTATACTGCCCTTGCCAAGGCGACCCGAGCCCTTTGACCACCGGAGAGCGAGACGCCCTTTTCCCCAATTTCGGTCTGATCACCGTCCGGGAGGATGGCAAGGTCTGCATCTAGTGCGCAAGCAGTGAGGACTCGACGGTAGAACTCTTCTTCATAGCGCAAACCGAACAGGATGTTCTTCTGAATGGTCTCTCCCATAGCCCAACCGCCTTGGCTGAAGTAGGCTGTGCGTCCACGGACGATGACCTTGCCATCGGTGCGATACATCTCGCCGAGGACGGCGCTGAGCAGTGAAGATTTGCCATCTCCAACCTTGCCCAGGACCGCAAGAAGCTCGCCCTTCTCTACCGTCAGATCTATATCTTGGAGCGTCGGAGTGGGCTGTTCCCTCGACCATTTGAAGTCACCGTCCCGAATCTCCAGCAGAGGGAGTCTGCCCCTATCCGTAGGGGCAGGAACGTTTTCACCGTCGACGGGCTCCTCGAGCTCCAAGGTTCTGTTGTTCGGGTCCAGCTCTCCGGCATCCAAGAAGCTCGCCAACCTACGTGCGCTCACGAGGGCTTGAATCCAAGCAGCCACAATCGAGGCGAGCATGTTGAGCGGGAAGGAAAGCATCTGATACAGCGTCAGAGCAGGGAAGATGATGTCACTGGTCAAGGGTTTGCTCGACGTTGCCGAATAGGTGATGAAGGAGACTAGAGAAACCAGAAAGGGGATGGCAGTGAAGAAGAAGTTGAAGGAGGCGTTGACAGCGCCGGCCTTTTTGAGCAAGCCGATCTCCTCGCCATTACGAAGGCTGAGTAGCTTTCGAGTGAAGGCCTCCTCCCAAGCAAAGAGCTTGATGGATTTGATGTTGACAAGAATCTCACTCATCATCTTGATCCTGCGATCTTTGACCTTCATGTTGGCCTCAGAAATTCTCCGTGTGTACTGTGCCAATTTCGTGTTGAGAGGGATGCTTACAATCATGACGCCGACTCCGGCGAAGGCACTCCAACCGAGCAGGAAGTAAAGTGAAACGAAGGCGAGGGTCATCTGAAAGAAGGAGGACCAGATGATGTGACCGTAACCACAGATATCTTGCAGACGGGTCACGTCGACGCTCATGAGGTTGACAATTTCGCCGGTCGTCCGAGCACCACGCTCATCTGGGGCAAGACGCAGACTCTTCTTGTAGACCGCTGAGACCAGACCAGCTCTGATCCGCATACCGGTGTTGAAGGACAGCTGGAAGTATTGATGCAGAAAAGCTGTCTGCACAGCTGAGACAAAGAAGAGACCGAAGACGATGAAGTAGCCATGAGTGGCTGGCTCTGGTTGACTGTTCATCCCCAGGGCTTGGCTGTCTTGAGTTCTTCGAGCATTGTCCCAAGTCTGAACAAATTGCAAGAATCGCCGAAGTAGTTGGGGTTGCAAGAACGACAAGACATCCTGGGCAGCTTTGAGGACGCCGGCAAAGATGAAAGGGCCTCCGTAGGCGTACACCACCGCAGTCCAGAAAGGGGGCTTGCCGTCTGCGCTTCGCTTTTCCTTGAAGTACTTGTCGAATCTGTTTCCAAGATTCTCAGCATCTTCACCCGGAGGCAATGACCAAAGATCACCCTCAGTGATAAATTTTTTGGCTCCCAAATTCATCATCGGTGTCATCCACCAGAAGCTCAAGATAGACCAGATGTTCGCCGTGTTGACCGGACACTCCTTCTCGTCACCCGCCAGACCTGATGCACGGCCTTTGAGGCCCTCCTCATCATCACCAACTGCGCTAGGACCATTGCCGTTTATGGCTGCGCCATTCTCTCGGGCCTGATGAGAGACCGGGTTGATCTGAGACGAAGGCTTGTGACTTCCGATCTCTACTCCTGCGCATTCTAATCCGAAGACTACCAAAATGAACAGACCCCTCAGAACGAAGACAGTGAAGAGGAAGACACCCAAATCTCCTTCCTTGGAGATGGACATCTTGCTCATGTAAGTCCTGACCCAGGCGACGGTAAAAAGGGTATGACCGAGTTGATAGAAGAGGAGAGGCGTTGAAGAGCGCCTTGAATGAGTATGATTGAGGTGCTGTAGCCGAAGTGAAAGAATGTAGGCGCCCAGCGTGGCTATGTTGGCATAGAAAGCGATGGAGAGGGGTGTCTTCGAAACGAAGGGAGAGACAAGCAAAGGCACTGTTGCAAGGATGGCCAATGCAGTGACTGCATGCTTGAGATTGAGCAGACTTCTGGACAAGGGTGTCAGAAGGCGTTCCGGCCTCTTCTCAAGGCTTGACAACTGCACAGCAGCTGCGAGGGCCAAGAGTACTGGGGGCACGATCCAGAACGCTACCTGCTGAAAGCATGGCGTGAAGTCCAGATCCCGTTGCGAGCTGATAGGTCCCCATCCTTCCACATCTGAGCATAGACGGCTGAATGTATGCGACGAAGGAGCGAGAGAATCAGCCGAGAGCAGCTGCTCAGTCGGTAGTGGATGAGAAAGAGCTAGATAAGACGGAGCATTGTCCCACGCAAGTAGGTCCTGGACTAGGCTCCTGAGGGCCACCGAAGCTACGGAAGCCATCGAAGCAAGAACAGGTGTCTGTCAGTCGAAAGGATGCGACGAAGGAAGATTGGGGTGGGGATCAGGGAGGCGAACCAGGAACCAAGTCGCAGGGGCTGAAGAAGATCAAATTGCTCGGCCATCTGGCGCTGACGTACCCCGCTGAGCCCCGACGCCGGATCCAATGCACGTCGGGCAGAAAATGTCGCCGACGGAACGGCACGCAGACACCGCACCACTGCAAAGGTCTCTGCCCGTTGCTTCCAGTCGTCAGCAAGGGAATCAATTGGGGCGGATGCTACACATGGACAGCAAGAGTATCATCGAATCTGGGACTCGATGAGCGAAGTACGAACACCAATTCAGCTGAAAGCGACCGTGGTCTTGCCGGAGACGATAAGGTCTTTGCCGCTGTTGTACTGCTGAGCTCTGCGACAGGTTGCGAATAAGAGCGCCGACCCCTAGGAGGCTCCCGCCTTGACCACCGCTGTGAGGCATCGCCTGGCTCGGGACTGGTCTCACCGCTGTTTGCTCGAGATCGCGAAGAGATTGGCAGTATCCCTTTGCCATGTGCAGGCGCATTGCTTGTGCCGGCGGCAGTCCTACCGACGGACGTGAGGGCCATCGCAAGAGACCACTGAGCTGCAAGAAAGGCGATGGAAGGCAGAGCTGCTTGAGCCATGGTAGCGAGAAGATAAACGAAGAGATGACGGTAAGAGCCAGGCTTGATGGTGTCCATGGATGGGTCTGCGCCTGCCACATGGTAGATGGACGTGGCTTTCCAGAGAAAGCATACAGTGACAAGGACAGCGGCCTGGAGCAGGATGTGCGCTCGGTAGAGCTGCGATACAAGTATGAGGTGACGCTGATGAATCGCTGAACCGACCGTACCGAGCGCTACAAGGCACAGCAGCAGAGGCAGGCATAGAGGGAAGAACAGGTAGGGCGAGACCTCATCGAAGCCTGGTGTGTGAGCAGTCGTGGAAAATGGTCAGCTCAGCGTACTGTTCCTGCAAGTGCTTCTGGCAACTATCTTACGACGTGTACACCGGAATTACTCACCTTGTCGTGCTGCAAAGCTCAGGATCGTACACCACATCAGGCAATTTAGCAGCAAGCCTGTGACAACGCCCGCTTCGTTCAGAGTCCAACGAGGCGCACACAGAGTCGCTTGTACTACTGGCGAGGACACTGCTCCTGGCACATCGTCCACTTTCAGCTGCTCCGAGGCAATGCGCTTCACCTCCTTCTGCCAAGGGGACAATGCTGTCCGGCCCTTTGTCTCGTCGTTGAGACAGATGCCCACTGTGCTTTCGATATCGAAGATCTCATTCAATTCCGTCAGTCCAGCGTGCAGAAGCTTCGAAGGGTATACAAGAGAAAGCCATTGCGTAGACTGGTGATGTAGAGCGCAACCACGCTGGCTAGCTATCTCGCAGAGGCGCGGAGTATCACTGAGAGAGGTCGAGCTTGAGGGAGCGTTGCACGCTAAGAGCGGAGCGGAGCGCATTGCCTACAAAGGTGTCACAAGTGTTGATCAGTACAAAGGAGGCTGGGTAACGTTAAGACGACAGTCTCTATTGTCATATATTCACCAAATCAGCTGGCTTCAGTCATAAGGACCCTTCCAAGTGTCCGCCAAGCTCTTGCGAGCCGTCATCGGACATGTAATTCCGCTGATTGGCCGGCTCCCCATGGCCGGAACACTAGTGGAGGCTTGCTATCATAACGGGGCAAAGTCCCCGGGGCCAAGTTCTACGCATCTCATCGCTCATCTCCTTGCAGAAGACAGGGTGAGGAAGCGGCAGGCGGTCGGATAGGCGGTCCACTCCGTCGTCTCAAGTCCGGGCCGTCCCGTGCTCCTCATGCAGTGACCAGGTAAGCACCTTGCCCCGCTTGGCGCCAAGTTGTTCCGGCCATCCGTAAAGGGATTTGCCCGCTGAGCTCGACTGGAAAGTGCCCATCGCATGTGGGCAGTCTCCGCTCCGACCGTCCGTGCGTGCATCGCGTCGACCGGAAAGACGCACGCGATCAGCTCTGCTTCCGTGACAGGGGTCTTCTCTCCGACCGCCGAACAGACTCCTGTCTAAGTACCATCGATGAAATTCTACCTATCAAAAGTGCCTTAGCCCAACCCATACGCCATGGATCCAACGACGCCTGAAGTTGCGGGAGTCAGGCCGAAGTTGCTTCTGGCTGTTGGGGAGATTCACGAGGTCCAAGGCAGCGGAAAGGACAAGTGGAAGATTCGAAGGTAAGGCAACACACGCCGTCTAGGGAACGCCTATCTCTATGACGAACACTCGAGCTCACTTGTGCACTTATCACAGATGTGAGGACGGTTACTACTCGTGCAGCTGTGGGGCATGGAAATATGCCAAGAGCCCCTCTCCGTACAACCGAACTTGCAGGCACTTAGGCACAGTGTTGGGTGTTGATTATGAGACTGCTCGCGTGAAATGGGGGGTGAGCACAGATTGACAGGGGCATAATGAAGGAGCTCCCTTGTCTCAAGCGTCTTTCTTCGTCGTCTTGATTCTAACAGGAGGCACGCATCAAGGCAAGATCGACTTCTCCAACCACTCCCCTCTCGCAGCCGTCGGCGACGCAAAAGCGCCCACATGTCGATCAGGGCGGATCTTCTGTGCCAGCGGCGTCGCAAGATGAGTCGGATTATGGCAAGCTCATGGATGCCAAAGCCTGGCCGCCGCCACAGGGTTCCTCATCCAAGATTGATGTTGATCCCTGGACAGGTCATAGCACCTTCAACGGCAGGGCATTGCGCAAGGGCTTCGATGCCGAAAGCGCTGTGTCCATGATGCTGTCGGAGACATGGGACCTGGGCTCGATGGATCCGGCAGGCTGGTGGATGTCTGAGAAGCTGGACGGGTGCCGTGCCTATTGGACCGGTGACAGGCTCATCTCCCGCAGTAACAAGGAATGGGAGGCTCCTGGCTGGTTCCTGGACAGTGCGTGTCAAATCGCTGGAGCGCGCGCGCGAGCTTTCATTATGCTGATTTTCAGAGCTTACTTCACTTATCACCACCTCTCTCAGAACTGCCCAAAGGCTTCGCTCTGGACGGGGAACTTTGGCGAGAGAGGGACGGCTTCGAGGAGCTGTCTGGTATTTGCCGTCGACGTGTAAGTGCGAAAGTCCCGATGGAAGCATCACAAAAGGATCGAAGCTGAACTTGGTTTGATCACCCCACATCCCATAGGATCACGAAGGGTGGAGGACCGTCAGCTTCTTCGTCTTCGACGCTCCTGACTTACCTCTTCCCTATGAAGAAAGACTTCGCTCCGCTCGCGCTAGGGTGCCCGACGGGGAGATGAGTCCGGATGAAGCTCTGCGAGGCAAATTCGGCGGTCGAATAGCGACCTTGCCCATGACGAATTGTACGGGCAGAGCTCATCTCGAGACTTTCCTAGGCGAAATACAGGACCTGGGTGGGGAAGGGGTGATGCTGCGCCGGCAACATTCTCCATACGAGAGGGGGCGCTCTTCCCACAGCCGGAAGGTCAAAGTCTGGTACGACGCCGAAGCGCAGGTCGTGAGGCACGTACCGGGGGATGGCCGATACAAGGGGCAGATGGGCTCTCTGGCCTTGCTCATGGAGTGCGGCACGATCTTTACCTGTGGCTCCGGCTTGACGGATGCGATGCGCCGCGATTGGCAGCCTCCAAAGGGGACGATCGTGCGATATCGCTTCCACGAGATGACTCAAGACGGCTGTCCGCGCTTTCCCATCTACGTTGGCATCTGCCACGACAGGGACCGCCCCCAAGATGCTGTCGTCAAATCGGCAGGAATTCGGTTGGCCAAGAGGGCGCGCATAGATGAGCAAAGTCCCCACCGCTTCGCGAGTCTAGAGACAACGCACAACAAAGGCGAAGGAAGCTCGAGGTAGAGGACGCTGTGGTTGATGGGAGGAGGTGATCAAGGCTGTGGGCATTGAAAGCATTTGTACAGTAGATGTAGAGTTCATCATCAAGATTCCGAACATGATACCCATTCCAATTCATTCGCTTCACGCTGCTACCATCGACTATGTCGACGTACTTGATCCGCGTCTGCCATCCTCCCCGAAGCGATGATTAGTGCTGTAGCCGTCGCTTCTTACCGCGTCTCGTGCGGAGGGGACTGTGCCGGCCTCAGACGCTGATTTGAAATCAGGGGAACGAGAGAAAATGTTGGGCATGGCAGGGCACGGCGAGGCAAGGCAAGACGACGATCGGCGTTCGTTGCTGTTGCCAATTCTGATACCTGCAATCCGCTTCTGGCTCTGTTGAGAATCAAGGGTCGTCGGCTTCGATGTGTGAGGAGGACCTTCAAGCCCAAGTGACCTTGTGAAGCGGCAGCATTTGTCAGACGAAAAGACGCGGCGCAGATGCTTTCCGCGGTGGCTACCGCCGTGGCCTAGTCTATCTGGGGCTGGCTGATAATTAATTCGAATTCAGACGAGCCGCCGCTTCCCCTTTGATCCGCACAGCAACAATCGTCTTTGCCTTGTCCACTCACCTACTCCAGCATCATCGCCTCCAGGCAATCAGATAAACCCCTCGTTTCAGCTTATAGCGAGATGGGCTTGATCCTCTAACACTCCATCTCACTCACACTCGGTACCTCAGTCCCGACATCGGACCGGACCTTCGATCAGCGTCGCATCGCTCCTTTAGCTCAGCCACCCTTCGGTGGACACGAATCCCATCATCCGTCAGCCTCATTATCCAGCGAAGATCTGGGCGAAGGACCCACTTCACTCCAGAGACAGGTGCTGAGTTCACATAGGCCACTCATGGAGGAGCAAGATCGGTCTTACCGCCTCCCCCCACTCGAGTCGGTGCACCAAGCCTCATCCTCAAATCAAGGCCGATCATCACCTTTTCCTGAGGCCTCATCGTCTTCCTCGAGCTTCAACAGGTCAGCATCCGGCAATGGTCCTCTGAACTTGCCCAGCATTTCAGCGCTCGGACATCGGCATAGTCCTCAAAATCATCACCTGGCTGGCCACGCTTCATCCGCGTCCGCGAAAAGTCGGCCTTCCTCTCACGATTCTACCAATCAACACCAGCAACAAGGCGCTCCTTCGTCCCCTAGCTTTGGCGCAGCCTACAATCACAATCCTCCTTCTCCTCTGTCTCATCACAAACAGCGATATTCGACTGAGGCAGGGCCGAGTGGCAGCAGTGGTCTAGGTAAGTAATGCATGATGTTGGGCGGTACGACGGAGTTCCCGGCTCACTTGTGTTTTCCCTACACTTGCTGCGCTCCTCATACAGCACCACCCCGTCTGCCTGCACATGGTCGATCGCCGCCAGCTGCTTCGCATCGACCGCAAGCTGCTCAATCGCCTCGGCAATCTCAGGCGGCTTCAGAAGTCTCAGTACCTGCCCATCCATTGCCCCCTGCCCATGGAACATGTCCTGGAGGAGGGTTCTGCAATGGCACTGGAGGCACAGTGTCCTGTTCGGGCTGTCCAGCTTACAACAACAATCTAGCGCACGCAGTCAAATCGGGTAACTTCGTAATTGAGCCCAGAGTTGGGGTTCCGGTGGTAAAGCCTGACGTGGAAGCACCGGGTAGTAGTAACGCCTCGTCGTCGAGGAATACTCGATTGGAGGAGGCCGAGGGAGCAACTCCTCCTCCAGGTCACAGTGGACATACAGATTCAAATGCCATTGCACGGACAAACCCTGCAGGCCCACCTTCGCCGCCGCCTGCTAGTGATGTTGGTAGTGCTGGAGGACCAGGCGGCATCTTCGGGTCACTCAGATGCACCAATTGTGGCACGACTACAACGCCCCTTTGGCGCAGAGACGAGGACGGCAACAATATCTGCAATGCTTGTGGTGAGTCTTGGCATCCTTGCACTGTGACGGAAAGGCAAACGAGTTTGGCCATCAGCCCTCAGACGCGCATCCGATGCTACCTTCACTTGACCTGTGGTCCATCTCACCATCCGACCAGCTCACCATCGTCTGCCCCCTGTCTCCGCATCGTCCCCTTCAGGTCTATACCAGAAACTCCATGGCATCGCTCGCCCCGTCGGAATGCGCAAGACGGTCATCAAGCGCCGCAAACGGGTCTCTGGAGCCAATCCTGCCGCTGGTGCTGGCCCGGCATCTGTTGCGCCCACAGCTCTCCACAGGGAGCGCGAAGCTGAGATGGACGAAGATGCGAAGTCCACAGCAAATGAACCAGTACCTGACATGGCCGGCACTCGAGCTGCCCAAGGGATCAGACCGGCCTCGGTTGGACCGCGAGTGCATCAAACTACAGCTTCTGGGTCAGGTCTCCCCAGCGACCAAGCTCACGAAGCTGCGATGACGCTGATTGCTGTGCACTCTGGTGGCGTCAACGGAAGTCCAGAGCAGCCGATCAAGCAGCATCCTCTGGTGGACACTTCAGCGGCCAACAGCAATTCAGCTCCCCCGGGCGGACCCAGTGGCAGTGTGCGAGAAAAGGCGAGGGCTCAAGTCGCTGCCGCGAATGCAGCAGGTATGCATACTGGCAACTCTATCAGCGGCAAAACCGCAGGCGCCGCCCCAAGCCGAGCTGACGGTGTCTTACCCAACGAGGAGCGTCCTTCGAAGCGTCTGAAAGGTGATGAGACGACCTCAGAGGCAGGGCTCGCCTCGAATTCTGCACGTCTGCCTCTGAAGCAAGAGACAGTTCACGCACCTGCGAGCACAACATCCAATGCTCCCCATCGGCATCACCATCATCATCACCATCACCACGTTCCTGCTGCCCCGTCTTCTGCCAGCGGTCATACACACGCGCACGGCTCCCACAGCATTGGGGCAATTACTGCGCCCTCTCTGGACAATTTGCACTCGCCTCAGGGTCAGCAATGGCTGGCTGAGGTCGTTCAGAACCACATGGAGCTGGTGGAAGAGCGTAGGCGCCTTGATTTCCTGCTGCGAAAGACAGAAGCTATCCTGGGCCTGGCTGGCATTGCTTTGCCTGCCGCCTCGTCAGCAGGCGTTGTACACCATCATCACGCCGCTTCTCATGGAGTTCCACACGTTCACAGGCATCTTCATCAAGCTGTCCCACATGTACACGCGCCTCATACGCATGCTCATGTCCACCGCGTACACCAGGCTCATGCTCATCCCGTCCACCAACATACGCAAGGGCGGGACCCCGCTGGCTCAGCCGCTTCTGATGGAGGCGAGAGTGCCCATAATCACCATCATCATCACCAGGTTCAGCGAGCACCGTCTCAGGAGCAGCAGGGTTGCGAAACCAATGATGCGGGCGGTAGTCAAGAACGAGGCGTAACTCCTACAGGAAGGCCGCGCTCTAGCAGTCGCTCGCCGGCACAGCGGAAGGAGGCAGGCGAAGAACAGCAGGACGGTGAGCGTACTGCCGAGAGTATCCCGAACGACGGCGGCGAGCGAAGAAAGGGACGAGGGAGCGGAGATTTCGAGGCTCGCTTAGCCGCCATGCCTGTGCAGCCTGCGCTTCCCCTTCGCAAAGCCGCGAAGAAGCGGCAGAAGACCATTGAAGACGAGGACACCGACGTCTCGATGGACCAAGAGGGAGGACGAGCTAGCTCTCATGCCACTTCTGTTATCAGTGGGTGGCTCAGAGGGGTAGCTGAATCAACTGGGGACGAAGGAGGCGCGGGTGATAGGGACACTGTGTAGACGCCGAGCCACCTGTATGAACTCCTCTCTTCATCGTCATCTCGATCCACGCACAACTCATTGACACAATTGACCAAAGTCTGCTTTCATTCCTTACCGCTTGGCCTTGTCCTTGGTGTAGTGAGCAAGGAGTGGTGAGCGGGCTTGTCGCGCATGCATAGCCCAAATTAGAACTCATGAGCTGTCGTATGGCTTGACGCCGAGACCTTCCCGCTTCCGCTCAGCGGCTTTTTGATCTTCCTCCCCGCACCGCCTATTCTGCCTCCCCAATATCCACAGATCCGAGGTGCTGCCCGGAATCGCTCCTCAGCTACCGTCTGACCATTTTCTCTCTCATCTACATCTCACCCAGTCGGTGGCTTCCACATCTTTCTTTTTCTTTCAGGTCTCCACTCACTCTTCTCAAACCCTTCCGCCGAGCGAAATGTCCTCCTCCTCCATCCCTCCCAACACCTCCTCAGCCGCCGCCGCCCCCTCCATAGGCCCTGCCATCCCACCCAATGTAGTCCGTCTTCCTGCCACTTCCCAGCTAGAGGCACTTCTGACGGTGATCAGGGATCAGAAGACGGCTCGATCGGACTTCATCTTCTACTCGAACCGCATCATTCGGCTATTGGTAGAGGAGGGACTGAACCATTTGCCGGTGACGGAGAGTACCGTCATGACGCCTACAGGGCTGCCGTATCGAGGTGAGTGGAAAGGAGGGGGAGAGGGAAAGGAAGGCAAGGAAGCGATACATGATCCCATGTCGGTTTAGATAGTGGGCTCGAGGGAGCTCACGAATCATATCTCTCATTCGCTACGGTCGCTCTGACCCCTCAGGAGTGGCATTCGAGGGAAGAATCTGCGGTGTCTCTATCTTGAGAGCAGGAGAGGCCATGGAAGCCGGACTGAGAGACTGTTGTAGGAGTGTGAGGATTGGCAAGATCTTGTGAGTACTGCGCAAAGGTAGTCAGAAGCAGAGATACGGAAGGCGAGGAGAACAGTCCTGACTGAGATCGCCTGCCTCCGCTCCGTCTTATGATTTGTCCTTGAACTTCTGTAGGATTCAAAGGGTGAGTGCAAGGGTGCAAAGAAAGGCATCGGGCGAGTCTGTCGTCGTGATCACTGACGGAGAATCGTCCCCTCGGGCCTTGGCAGGACGAGGAAACAGCAAAGGCGAAGCTCTGTGAGTAAAGATAGCAGGGCATCCAATAGATTCGCTGCGCAGCAGGACTGACCGTTCTTCCCGTCTCATCGGAACAATGCATAGTCTATGCTAAGCTACCAGAGGACATTGAAGAGAGATGGGTGCTATTACTGGACCCAATGCTCGGTGAGTTCCTGAAGCACTCTGCTACATGAAATTGCTCTCCTGACCGATGAAGTGCCCTATCTTTGTTTCTGTCAGCCACGGGCGGCTCAGTGATCAAGGCCATCGACGTTTTGCAGGAGCACAAGGTGCCACTCTCGCGGATCATCTTCCTCAACCTCATCTCATCACCAGAAGGCTTGAAGAGTGTCCACGACAAGTACCCGGAAGTGCGCATCATCACTGGTTGGGTGGATGAAGGGCTGAACGAGAAGAACTACATTGTACCAGGTCTGGGAGACTTTGGAGACTCCTTCTTTGGTTGAGAGGGGGCGATGCATTATTTAGAAGACCAAAGCGCCCATTGTCACGCCATGTTCTGCTGCCCGTCCATGATCTTCGTATGAGTCTTGTTGGGGAGAGGAGGGAGGAGGACTCGTAGACCCACCACGCCCGCCTGGTTGACTGACTGACTGACGCGGAAAGGCGGGTGGCCTGGGCGCGTGTGTGCGCGCACAAGGCTGTCGTGGCCCAGCAGTGGCTGCCTGGGTGGAGGGGCGCTGACGAGGCCACAGCCACGGACAGAGTGCGACTGGTGGCCATCGACGGGACGAGATCCTTCGCTCGCTACCCCTTTGGCTTCCCAACTCATCTTCCTGAGAGCTCAGTCCTACCACTCTCTTCTAAACCCACCCGACTACGTTCCAAGACCTTCCTCCGAGTCTTGCTTGCTCATCGTTGTATCTGCAGACGCTGACACGAGCAACAGGCAGCTGTTATCTTTCAGCCGAGTCTGTCACCTTTCTCTTCTACCAACCACTGCGAGCTCTCGTACCCCTCCGAATCCCTCGCACTACCCACCGCATAGACCACAATGGCTGACACGTCTCAGCCCCAGAATCCGCCAAAGCCTGAGGTCACCAAGGGCGAAGATGACCCTGCCACTGCCATTCTGCGACCGAAGAAGTGTGAGTCGGTGGAACCATGCGGCTTTCCGACACAGTCCCCAAGTGCATACCTTGCTGACTTTCCAACTTCTTGTACCTGTTCCCTCGCCACAGCCCCCAACCGTCTCTTTGTAGAGGAGTCTACCACAGATGACAACTCCGTGGCTTGCCTTTCGCCTGCCAAGATGGAGGAGCTGGGCCTCTTCCGAGGTGACACAGGTGAGTGGCAAGGCCAGAAGGCGAACGCTCTTTAGCTCTTGGTTGTATCACCTCTTACTGATTCGGCGTCACTACCTTTCTCGCCCTTCGCAGTGCTGATCCGTGGAAAGAAGCGCCGCGACACTGTCCTCATCTGCCTAACCGATGACACCACCGAGGAGTCTAAGATCCGCCTGAACCGAGTCGCCCGAAACAACCTGCGTGTCAAGCTCGGAGACATGATCACTGTCCACGCCTGCCACGACATCAAGTACGGAAAGCGTATCCACGTCCTCCCCTTCGATGACAGTGTCGAGGGTCTGACTGGCAACATCTTCGATGTCTACCTCAAGCCCTACTTCCTCGAGGCATACCGACCAGTGCGAAAGGGTGACACTTTCACCGTCCGCGGTGGTATGCGTGCGGTCGAGTTTAAGGTCATCGAGACCGACCCTGCTGAGTTCTGCATTGTTGCCCAGGATACCGTCATCCACACCGAGGGCGACCCGGTCAAGCGCGAGGATGAGGAGGCCAACCTGGCTGATGTCGGATACGATGACATTGGTGGTTGCCGAAAGCAGATGGCCCAGATTCGTGAGATGGTCGAGCTGCCTCTCCGACACCCGCAACTCTTCAAGGCAATTGGTATTAAGCCGCCACGTGGAGTGCTCATGTTCGGACCTCCCGGTACTGGAAAGACTTTGATGGCCAGGGCAGTGGCGAACGAGACTGGAGCCTTCTTCTTCCTCATCAACGGACCGGAGATCATGAGTAAGATGGCTGGAGAGTCTGAATCAAATTTGCGCAAGGCCTTCGAGGAAGCAGAAAAGAACTCGCCTGCCATCATCTTCATCGACGAGATCGACTCGATCGCACCCAAGCGTGACAAGACAAATGGAGAAGTCGAGCGCCGAGTCGTCTCTCAGCTTCTCACTTTGATGGACGGTCTCAAGGCTCGCTCCAACATCGTCGTCATGGCTGCTACCAACCGACCCAACTCGATCGACCCAGCTCTCCGTCGCTTTGGTCGATTTGACCGTGAAGTTGACATTGGTATTCCTGACCCGACTGGACGACTCGAGATCTTGCGTATTCACACCAAGAACATGAAGCTGGGAGAGGACGTCGATCTGGAGCAGATCGCATCGGAGACTCACGGATACGTCGGTTCCGATATGGCTGCTCTGTGTTCGGAGGCTGCGATGCAGCAAATTCGTGAGAAGATGGATCTCATTGACTTGGACGAGGACACAATCGATGCCGAGGTCCTTGACTCGCTGGGCGTTACAATGGAGAACTTCCGCTTCGCTCTCGGTGTTTCCAACCCCTCTGCTCTCAGAGAGACTGCCGTCGAGGTGCCCACAGTCACCTGGAACGACATCGGAGGTCTGGAGAAGGTCAAGCAGGAGCTGCAGGAGACTGTCTCGTACCCCGTCGAGCACCCAGAGCTCTTCCTCAAGTACGGTATGGCTCCATCAAAGGGTGTCCTCTTCTACGGACCTCCTGGTACCGGTAAAACGCTCCTGGCCAAGGCTATCGCCAACGAATGCCAAGCCAACTTCATCTCCATCAAGGGACCCGAGCTGCTCACGATGTGGTTCGGAGAGTCGGAAGCCAACGTTCGAGACGTCTTCGACAAGGCTAGGGCTGCCGCTCCTTGCGTGATGTTCTTCGATGAGCTGGACGCCATTGCCAAGTCGCGAGGTGGAGGCGGTGGAGACGCCGGTGGTGCATCGGAGCGAGTTGTCAATGCTCTCCTGACGGAGATGGACGGTATGAACGCCAAGAAGAACGTCTTCATCATCGGAGCCACCAACAGGCCCGACATCATCGACCCTGCCCTCATGAGGCCGGGACGTCTGGATCAGCTTCTATACATTCCTCTGCCCGACGAGCTGGGCCGACTATCCATCCTCAAGGCTCAGCTGAGGCAATCGCCTCTTGCTCCTGGAGTCAACCTGGAGTACCTCGCAAAGCACCTCAACGGTTTCTCCGGTGCCGACATCAGCGAAATTTGTCAGCGAGCTGCCAAGCTAGCTATCCGTGAGAGTATCGCAAAGGAGGCCGAGCGCACCATCGCCTCAAAGGAGAAGGAGGCTGCCGCTGGTGGTGGTGGAGACGTGAAGATGGAGGGCGATGCTGAGCCGACAAAGGTCGAGTCCGAGGAGGACTATGTCGACCCCGTGCCCTTCATCACTGTCGAGCACTTCGAGGAGGCAATGAAGTTCGCCCGTCGCTCCGTCTCCGACTCGGACATTCGTCGCTACGAGATGTTCGCCCAGAACCTTCAGCAGTCGAGAGGCTTCGGCTCCTTCAAGTTCCCTGACCAGGAGGGAGGCGGAGAGGCCGGATCTGGTGGCGCAGCTGGAGGTGGCGGTGGTGCTGCCTTTGGAGCAGAAGAGGACGATGACCTGTACGCTTAGAAGACAAAGATCCCTGTAGTCAACTGAAAGCTCAAGTGAAGTGAACAAGGTCTCCTTTTTGTGAAATGTGCTGGTGTTGTCCCCGTGCCCTGAGTGCTGACTATTGAGGCGTCCCTGACGGTGTATGTATGAAGCATCAGCCTCATGCCGAGAGGTGCAGTTCCAAACTCCTGATCAGATAACAACTTATATTGCAGCGAGCATAGAACGACCACTCAGGAAACATCATGAGTTCGTGCGTGTGCATTCCCATTCTCGGGCTACAAGGGTGAGGGCAAAGGCGAGGGTAAGGATACAGAGGCCACGGGACCAGGACACAGACACGGGCAGAGGCGCTAGCTAGCTATCAACAAGGACGGCACGGAGGGCGATTCAACGTAGCGGAGACGATGTGAGAATACAAGTCGTGAGAGGGGATGGGTCCTTGATACAAAGTCATGATTTGCAGTAGAGGAGTGCTGGGAAACGTGAAACACTCTGGTGCCAGAAGTTGCAAAGTTGCAACAGTCGTAATGATCGTAGCGTCGCTCGACTGGAGCTCCTCAGAAGCCTCGCCTGTCATTCAGGCTGGAGAGGAGACCACGGCGACGGCGGCCACCGCCACTCATCGGCGTCGAAGTCAGACCTTCCGCTCCCGTCGGATCGCTCTCGTTCATGCTCAATTCGCCCAGAGGTGGGAAGTACTCAGACTCAACGTCAGACGCACCTCGTCCGACCTCCCAGGGGTTCTGCAGCTCACGGGCTGCACCTGTAGGAGGGGCACGGGAGAAAGAGCCATAGAAGGGGTTGAGACTTGCACTTGACGCGCCGGTGTTCTGCGTCATAAGGTGTGGACGGGAGATCTTCCTGACCAGGATTGGGGAGGAGGAAGTACGATTGTGCGAGGGAGGTCCCGGCGCGGGCGTGCGTGGAGTTTGGGGATAGCCACTGCTTGCTGGACTGGCAAGACCGGGAGAGAAGGGCTCTTCAGGAGCGTCACGAGGAGGAAGTGCAGCTGACCTGCCCAAGTGGTTCGCCGGCGTCGTAGGCGGAGATCTGGACCGTCTGGATTCGTAGAAGGAGCCTGTCCTTCTGCGAGATCGCCTTGCAGTACGAGGACTAGCAGGCGACGCAGGCGCGTCCACCGGAGATGAGGGGCCTTGCAGGTGAGAGTCTGACGTCTGCGTGACTAGAGACCGGAGAGGCTCGGGAGAGAGACTGCGATGAATTTGCTGCGAAGCTTCGTACGAAGGGGCGGGAGCAAGTGCCCTCAGTCCGTTCGTGTATACAGGGAGAGGATCATCCACCAAGGTATGCGTGGGGCTGATCCATCCGGACTCAGCAGGCTCGATCCGCGAGATAGCTGAGGAAGCAGCCCGAAGAGACCGTTGACGGACTGCTGCGTTGTGCTCGCTCGAGCCTGTACCGAAGCTGGCCAACGTTGGCGCATGTTGCAGCGGTCGCGTCTCGCCGTGGATCGCAGACGACTCTTGATCCCACTCTCGTTCGCTGTCCGAGTCTACTTCTCCGGTCACTCGATTGAATGTGAAGGGTAAGTGAGCAGTCCTCTCCCGGAAGGACAGCTGAGGGGCCGACGGCCTTGCATCTGGTCTGGTGGGCATCGTTGCTAGAGCTGCGAGCATGCCCTCGCTCAAGCCCCTCCTCATGCCTTGGGCGATAGCTGTTCTGGCAATGCCTCGCCTGTTCACACCATCCTGCTCATCCTGTTCCCTCCTATCTTGGTGAGCTGTACGAGCGAGCCTGCGTAGCTCCTCCGCCTCTGCAGCTCGAGCGGCACTCTGCCGCCCTTGAGCCTCATTGCGGGAGGCGTAGTCAATCAGTGGTGGAGGCGCGTCTGCACGGGGAGGTCCCGATCGAGACTGGACCGGCGCTCGCTTGACGCCGTCCAATCCAATGTTCTCAAAGTCTTCTTGAGCGTCGGCATATCGGCTCGAAGTAGTTGCTCGACGAGCTCGCGATCTAGACCTTGATCGCCTCGCGCGTCCAGAGGAGGAGGTTCCGTGGAGGCTTGGGGACGCGGGCCCTGAGGTGTGTCTGAGGTGTCTTGGGCGACGTCCTTGCCTCCGAGCTTCCACATCTTCGAGATGGGAGGGGAAGAGGTGGTGATGCTAGTGAAGGCAAAGGCGAAAGACGTCAGACTGAGCTCTCAGACTGAGCGGTCAGAGCCTTGCCTCGATGCTTGAGCGCGCTCACCTTGGTCAGCTCCCTCTCGCCGGCGAAGACGACTTTGCACCCTTTGCAGGTGTTCAGCCTCTCCCGCTCAATTCTCTCCTTTGCTCTCTCTTCCTCCTCTATCGCGGCTGCTCCTCCAGTGATGCTGTCCACGAGATCAGTCGTCCGCCTTGCTAGACGAGTGAGTGGGGCCGTGAATAAAGCATGTGCCTTCGGGGAAGGGGTGAGGTACGAAGTGTAGGCGCGGTAGGGAGAGAGTGGGGACCGGGGAGAGTCACGGTCGCCCATGGCCGGGGAGGAGGATGAAAAGTCAGAGAGTAGAGGTGCAAAGGTAGGGGCCAGAAGCAGGTACAGGATGCCCTGATTTGCCAGATACTACGATAAGTGGGTGTAATGGAAATGAGAGTTGGATACTACAGGGCGAAAGTAGGCAAGGTCACACATGTCCTCCTTCCCTGTGAGTCGCCGGCGAATACTTCGCTTTACGTGCCCGTCCCCTCGTTGTCCCTGATCCAGGCTGATGCGGCCAGGGTTCTGGTCTTGCCCTTCCCAGCTCGCTTGTGGTCGTCTGGTGGCCCAGCACTTCGCTCCTTCTCACGCGGAAGGGCCAGATAAATTTCATCTCGGCAGGACCCTGTACGGGGTGAGTGTGGCTGTGGCCGTGCCCCAATCCCCGCCTCGGCATCTGCACCACGCCTTCGCATAACCCTCCTTGTGCCCACGCGGTGCAGCCGTACTCGCTTCACGCCCTCGCCCACGGGCCAAGCGGGGGAGGCCGCCTGGAGAGCCGTCCCCTGGAGATCTGCTGGCTGATCAATTCCACCTTCACGATAGATCAGCGGGACATGAGATCGCACTCAGGCGATGGTGAAAGGGACCGCTCAAGGCAAGACTCAGCAATCCTCGCGACAAGACGCACATTCTTCAGACATTGTAAAGGCGAGGGTCGAAGTTCTTCTGTGAGAAGAATTGTTGTGCAGCGGTGGCTGCTTCTATAGTCTATTTGGAGTTACTAGTCACTAAATACAGTCTATACGATGGAGCATCTGATTACTCGTCAAGCCGAGGGTCTCTATGTCTATGGTCTACTGCCCTTATAATCTGCTGCTGCTGAGCAGTCACTTGAACAGAGGGTCCTTCCTGTCACTGGTGAGCACGAAGCGGTATCGTACGTCTCCCTTGGTAAGGCGGTCCAGAGCCTCGTTGACTCCCTCCTCGGTCATGGGCAGCTCTTCAGTGATGGGCTTGATGCCGTGACGGGCAGAGAAGGTGAGCATATCCCTGTGGATACCACGGTTGGCGACAAGACTGCCGACGATCTTGAGCTGCTTGGCGATGATGGCCATGTAAGGCACGCCCTTCATCTCCTCGTTCGACACACTCAGGGGCACAATGGTACCGTCGTGTGCGACAATGTTGAAGAACTGCTTCCAGTCCGGCTGTCGGTCGGTGGAGATAAGGAGGTGGTCCACTGGCTTCACGCCCTTGAATTCAGGGTTGCTCTTGGTAGCAACGAATTCGTGAGCACCCAGCTTTCGGGCCTCCTGCTCCTTGTTCTCGGTAGTGGAGAAGGCAACGATCTCACAGCCCCATGCCTTGAGGTACTGGATGGCCAAGTGACCTGACAACGTAGGCGGGAAAAGCAAGTTTCGAAAGTCAGCCACGTGAAATTACTGAAGCATGCGCTCGCATCAACTCACCAAGTCCACCGATGCCGACAACTCCTACACGCTGCCATGGCTTGATATCAGCCTGAACGATGGAACCATAGACAGTGGCACCACCACACTGCAGAGGACCGGCATATCGCAATGGCAGGTTGTCAGGGATGACGTGGACAAAGGCCTCGTTGATGACGAACCTGTCACCCAATGATCCCTGGTCTTGGTCGGCAGCACCGTACATCTGCCTCTGCTGGCAGAGGGTGTCGCGGCCAGTCAGGCAATAGTTGCACTTGAGGTCAGAGAGGTGGTTGTAACCCCATCCAACGCGAGCGCCGACCTCGACAAAAGTCACACCGCTGCCGACTTGGGAGACGACACCAACTCCCTCGTGTCCCAGAGCCATGCCCTTGGCCTTGCGGTAATGCAGATCAGTGCCGCAAAGACCACTTGCCACAATGTCGATAACAACATCGTTGGGGCCTACTGTTCGGCTTCGGTCCGACACGGCGACAGCCTTGCCGGACTCTGAGCCACAGAAGTGTGTGCCCAGCTTGACGGTCTGAACATTGCCGTTGGTGGTAGCAGGAGACATGTTGATAATAGTGGCGAGTGGTATTAGAGGATAGGGTGAAGAATTATCAGAAGTCTCTGGATCAAAGAAGCACCGGGAACAAATGCTTCTTTTATCTCTACTTTGATCTTCTCTGCAGGTCCCTTCGCAGGTCGTGCGGAAGTGCCGGTCTAGCGCACGATATCGTCATTCCCGCTCACTGAAAATTAACCGGACATAAGGGGTCCGGAGATTCGGAGACAAGCGAGAGGCGCCTGTCAAACGCCAACGCGTGGCACAATTTCTCAGGCGCGTAGGTGACAATGAGGTATGATTTTCATTCACGGGCGCGACGCTGGCCCAGACAAGGGATCTCGACGACAAGCCGATGGTAGCTTGGATCAAGAGTTGGTCGACATGCAGGGCTCTGCCATGCGTTGACTCATCTATTTCTGAAATGCAGCCTAGAGCTCTTGCTCTCCGCTCTGCCTCCGCCCCCGCCGCCTGTGAATCTCGCTGCTTCTCTTCGTTGCCGCCTAGTCGCCCGAAGAGCTTCCATCTCTCTCTTTTCCATATCCTCGTTGCTGATATACTCTAGCAAAGGACCAAACTGCTTCGACTCGAACCAATCGCGCCAGACGCTCGTAAGCGGGCGAGGTCCTCGTTCGGTGAAGCGTTGCTTTTCAGCCACAGCCTGTGCCAGCTTGTAGCGCGGATCGACCGTTGCTTCCATCGAGGGAGGCGGCGTTGCATCGCTGGCGTCTTCAGCCAAAGAATCCATGATCGGAGAGGTCGCACCGCTCCTACCGTCTGCTTGAGGAAGCGGAGCGCTCAGACGTGACACAGGCAGGGGAGGCGGCGGCATGGGAGACTTTGGCGCTGCTCTACTATCCTTTGCGCTATGATCAAGCGGCGTGGCGAGGTGCTCGGACTTCGTAAGCGCTGCATCATCCGCGATCAGCCTCTTCTGCGCCTTCATAGCTTCTATCTCTTGCCTGGCCACCATCTCAGCCTCATCGGCCGCACCCCAGGCCTCTCCCAGACCGAAGAGGCCCTCATCGAGTACCGCACGCCTGTGATTGAGTATGCTCTCGCGAAGAGCCGTCGCGATGATTGGTAGAGCTTCACCCGAGAGACCGATATCCTTGCATGTCTGGGCTGCAAAAGCTTCGGGTGTAAGAGGAGACGACAAATCCCACTCCAGTCGGTCTCGGAGAGAGTGACGCAGAATCTGAACATCATACTGTCAGGGAGCAAACGACAAAGGTCAGCCTCCGATCCGTCATTCGAGAGAAATGCTGCTTCCCGTGCCACTTACGTCTATGATGACTCGCAGATCGTCTTCCCAGCTGCCGTTCTGCCCCTCAATCTGCGTCATATCGTCCAGCTTACGCTTCTTGCCGTTCGATTGCATGTGACGTCTGAATTCCCTCTCGATGCCCCAATTCCACATCCGGGCATCTTTGCGCCTCTCCCTCTTGTCCTTGATGTCGCCCCTTCCCCTCTCGCCTTTCGCCGGATCAGGGTCACGACACGACCAAACTCCACCAGGGGCGGGCATGAGGTGTACCTCAGCCAATTGTGACCAGTCCTCCATTTGGTTCTTCATCTGTCCCTCCAAGATTGGACCGTAAGGCTCGAACGGCAGATCCAGATCTTGCAGAAAGACCTTGACGAACTGATGCACAGAGACAAGTCGCTCACTAGTGTTCCACAAGAACGTATCCTTGATCCTGTGTGTCTCGGTCTCCAGCTCTATGCGGATGGGTATCAGCCGTTCGAGATGGTCGGCGGCTCGAGCGTTGTCCAGTTCGGTGAAGTAGATGTGAGGGGTCTTTGCTGCCCGCTTCACGCTGAGCTTGTTGGCGGGAGGCGGTAGGCCAAGACGCTGCCCCGGAATCTCTGGAGGCTCTGAAGGCCCCTGAGCTGGCGTAGCTCTTGAGCTGCCACCAGCGGCTTGCCTCCTGGGACTGCTAGCTCGGGCCCTCAAAGGTGTTCCACTGCCATTATCCTCATCTTCCGAGTCGTCATCTGCATCGGATGCCTCTTCAATGTATCGCCTCTGATTCGCAGTAGCGCGTCCGCTACGCCTTGAGCCGAATCCGTAATCGACGGGCGCTGCCACGCTTCTGCCGAACATAGGATCGGAGTTGTCGCCTGGAGGAGGAAGCGGTTGCATCAAGGAGGAGATTCCCATTCGCATCCGACTGGGAAACGTCGTATGGAGCGCTTGACCGGGCGCAATCGCCGTCTGGGGCTTGTGAGGAGCAACGCTGCTTGAGAGAGGCCACGCAGGAGTGGGAGCAGGACGAGCATAGCTCTCCGGCAGCGGATACGGCTTCAGACGCGGTCCGGATCGTATCACCGAGGTGGACGCAACCACGTCATTCTGAGCTGCCACGCCATCTTCCTGGGGCTGCTGCGAGTCTCTCGGAGAGTCTGCTGGCGTATCGGCCACTTGTACACGCTGAGACCGTCTGGGACGATCCATCTTGGCTTGTCGCTGAGGCTGGATGATAAGAAGAAGAAGAAGAGCGCCGGGATGAGGGTAGGAATGCTCCGCTAGGAGAAGCGAGGGCGGACAAGGTCTCGCGTCGTAGTTCCGATCCGAAAATGCGCGCGCAGGCGGACAGAGCGCCCCCTGAGAGCAACACCTTGTCCATGCAAGGGAGTATCAGAAGCACACAGCATATACTCACCACTTGATCACACAATACGTACCGCACTAGGCAAAGAGCTGTAGACTCAGTCATCGCTGGCCCAATAGAAGTGCTACACGGTCCCAGACGGAGGCTCTGCAGCTGTCATACCAGCCAGGATCCCAGCTGGGCCATATCAATTACGTAGCAGCGAGGCTGCTGTGCCCTCCCAGTACTTAGTACTCTTCCACAATGTCTAGCAATGTCAAGGTCGTCGCGAGGTGAGTAAGAACCTTGAAGCTCAGCGAGGAACCGAGTGGCCCTATTCGATGATTGCTGATGCTCACATACGTACCGTTTCGGCAGGTTTCGTCCTCCTAACGCCCTGGAGCTGCGCGAGGGGTCCGATATCACCATAGATTTCGAGGGAGGCGGCGATACCACTGTTAAGCTCAAGGGAGGACCATCTACAGGGCCAGAAGCCGATGGGTTCACCTTTGATAGAGTGTTTCCCATGAACACACGGCAGCAAGACGTCTTCGAGTACGGTATCAAAGAGACTGTAGACGATGTGCTCAATGGATACAACGGTACCATCTTCGCCTACGGACAGACCGGATCGGGAAAGACCTTCACAATGATGGGAGCCAGCATAGATGACGAAAGTCTCAGAGGTATTATTCCTCGAATCACAGAGCAGATCTTCGACAGCATCATGGCCTCAGCCTCCAATCTGGAGTACTTGGTGAAGGTCTCATACATGGAGATCTACATGGAAAAGATCCGAGATCTTCTGGCACGTGAGTCGACTGATACTATCAGCATAGCCGTCGAGCGATTCATATATTGACAGTCCGCGGCTTTGCTCCATTCATTCAGCGCAAAATGATAATCTTCAAATCCACGAAGAGAAGAACAAAGGGGTGTACGTGAAGGGTTTGAGCGACTACTATGTTGGAGATCAAGACGATGTGTATACGCTCATGCGACAAGGAGGTAGCGCTCGTGCTGTCTCGTCGACAAACATGAACGCAGAGTCTTCTCGATCCCACTCGATCTTCCTCGTCGCAATTCAGCAGAAGAACACAGACACAGGCACACAAAAGACGGGAAATCTGTACCTGGTCGATTTGGCTGGGTCTGAGAAGGTTGGCAAGACCGGAGCTAGCGGACAGACTCTCGAAGAAGCCAAGAAGATCAACAAAAGTCTGAGTGCACTGGGTATGGTCATCAATGCCTTGACAGACGGAAAGGTAAGCAGGGCATGGAACGAAATGGTGTCCGCGATTCCCTGAGCGATGCTAACAAGCTCTCTGCACTGCAGTCTTCCCATATCCCGTACCGAGATTCGAAACTTACTCGTATCCTCCAGGAGTCACTCGGAGGTAACTCAAGGACGACCCTGATCATCAACGCTTCTCCTTGTTCATACAATCTAGACGAAACCATCTCGACACTTCGATTTGGTAGTCGAGCAAAGAGGATCACCAACAAGGCTAGGGTCAATGCAGAGCTGTCGCCTGCCGAGCTGAAGGTGCTGCTACGCAAGGCCCAGGCCGAGGCTGCCAAATCGCAGCAGTACATCGCACAGCTGGAAGGAGAGCTCAAAGTCTGGCGAGCTGGAGGCAAAGTAGCGGAGTCCGACCGAGCTCAGCTTGGAAAGATGGGACCATCCACTGGCAACGTGACGCCAACGCCATCTGCCTCGTCTCGACCTGGCTCCGTCGCCGACCTGCGGCCATCTATGGCCGCACTGGCAGGTTCTGACATTACGAGAGACTTGTCTTCGCGTCCAGAGACTCCAACCGCTGTCTCGGCCATGAGCCAAGAAGAGAAGGATGAGTTCTTGAGGCGAGAGAATGAGCTTTCCGATCAGCTTGCGCAGAAGGAAGAGGAGCTCAAGAGGCTGCAAGCTGTGCATTCCGACACGATGCAAGACAAGGAGCAAGAAGCTACGCTGCGAGAAGACAATAAGAGACTCAATGTGGAACTCAACAACCTTCGACTCGAAGTCGAGCGCATCAGATATGAGCTCAAGGAGGCTCACATCAACCTCGATGGTGCCAAAGAGTTGAACGCTGAGCTCAGCAGGGAGACAGAAGAGCTCAAGAAGGCTGTCAGCGAGCGAGCTGCTGCAGCTGCTGTGGAGGCTAAGGATCCCGAAGCAGAGGAGAAAGATCGCCTCAAGAAGATCAAAGTGCAGAGAATGATGCAGGATCTTCAGACTGAAGGCTTCAGCGATCAAGAGGTGGCAATCCGGGAGAGTCTAACGAAGCTGGATCAGTCGTCCATGCCGCCTGAGGTGTCGGGACAATTGAAGCAGCAAATGCAAGAGATCGCAGAGCAACAGCGCCGCTTGCTTCATCAGCTTGAAGAGAGCCGAAAGGACAGAGATCATCTCTTGCTGAGGGAACAAGACGCTGAGAACCGCTACCTCGATATGCGGGAACAGCACGACAAACTCGTCCAGCAGGCTCAGACAGACCAGGGCCTGGACATCGAAGACGTTCGCGTCGGCCGAGAGGTCCAGTTCCATGCGGAGCGCCTCGAACTCGAAGGTCAGATCGCAGATCTGAAGAGTCAGATCGAAGGCAAGCTTCGGGATATCGGTCAGCTGAGACAAGACAACGAGGCTCTGCAAGCTTCGTCTGACGAGTTGAAGCGCGCATTTGCCATCACTACGGCAGGCAGAGAGGGCGGAGAAGAGTTGATGGAGAAGGTCAAGGAGATGGAGAGGGTCCGCAAGACCATGGCGCAGCAACTAGCCGAGTTCGATACAATGAAGCGCAGCATGATGCGGGATCTGCAGAATCGATGCGAGAAGGTTGTCGAGCTGGAAATTTCTCTGGACGAGTCTCGCGAGCAGTACAACAATGTTGTGCGAAGCTCCAACACCAAGTCCCAGCAGAAGAAGATGGCTATGATCGAACGCAACCTCGAGCAGCTCACCAATGTCCAGAAGCAGCTCGTTGAGCAGAATTCCTCTCTGAAGAAGGAAGTTGCTATTGCCGAGCGCAAGCTCATTGCTCGCAACGAAAGAATCCAGAATCTCGAGGGTCTTCTCGCTGAATCGCAAGACAGACTTCAGCTCCAGAACGAGAAGTACGAGACGCAGATGACATTGATCAGGGAGAGATTTGAGAGCGCCAAGAGCCTGAACAGGACGATGGGTGGTGTACAGGGTGGAGGTGTGGGTGTCAACTTTGGCAGAATTGCGAAGCCGCTGAGAGGTGGTGGTCCTCAAGCCGGCCCTCAGCCTGGGTCTGCTGCCGTTGCTGCTGGAGCACCCAGGCACCTGGGCGTATCCAACGTTCAGCAACAGGCCAGCGCATTTGAGTGAGTAGCGTGGAGAAGAGCAGGATGCATGCATAGCCCAGAAGCTGATCGGCGATGGTATCCTCTTCTTCAGCTCGAAATCGCCCAAGTCTCGATCTAGCTGGTTCTTCTCGAGCTCATGAGGCTACCATGATATAGAAATGCTACCTGAGATGGCGGCATGAGGTGCAGAGACGGCGTGTCACTGGTTCCTAGAGTCTTGTCCCACCTTCTCCCCTTCCTTCCCAACACATTGTCTCATACCCCTTGCATTCCTTTCTTTCAAAACGTCTTTCGAGACCCTTTTACAACTCTCAAGTGTCTTCACCGCGCTATGTACTCTACTAGATTACTCATTCCTTCGCCGCGTGAGCTGCGCCGTGACCCGTTCGGATGCCAGTCTGCCTTGCCAAGACGCATCTGGTGAAGCAATGTGCATTGGAGGCTGGTTGTGATCTATGAGGAGTAACATGTAGGGAACAGCTGGTCTGTTCAAGCTACGTGCTGATCACTGGGAAGGGAAGCCTCCGAAGGCGCCTGCTGCTCCTCCGCCTCCGATCTTAGCCTGACTGAAGTCCATCTCGGGATGCTGAGCCTGGAACTTCTTCAGTATCTGTGGAAGTGTAGAGCAAATGGAGGGAGTCTCAGCTACCCGTGGACGTCCACTCTCATCCAAAGTTCTCATACGCGCTTCACTCACCTCCTGCTGCTTCTGTTCATCACTCGTTGGTAAGCCCATCTGCTTCTGTCTATTGTCAAACATCATCTTCTCCACCATTGCCCTTGTGTCGCCATCCAAATCGCTCAGCTTGGAGTTCTCTGGAGTGAGCTTTGTCGTGTCGATCTTGGGGTCCTTTGTGAAGACATGCGGCCACCATTCTGACGCGTTGGACTTTTCAAGATGGATGGAGATGAGACAAGAGTCCTCTGTCAAAGGTCGACGGCATACATTGCGGGTTGGGTCAGCTCTGCATCTCTAGAGGTCCCCTCTGCTCATCTACTCACCCAGGGACCAAACGCTGTCCTCCAGCTTGACCTCCTTCGGAAACTCCCCCTCTAGCAACACCTCACCACCCTTCCGAGCAATGCTCAAGCCCTTCTTCTTGATCTTGACGTCGAGTGTTTTGGCTTTTGTGCCCTGCTCGACGGGAAAGTTCAATGCGACATGGTCCAGAGCCTGCGTCCATCTGTAAGGCAGAGCGGCTTGCTCCTGAGCTTCCTTGTCCCGCTGCGAGGCATCGTGTGCTGCCTGTTCGGCTGGGGACAGTGCATCGTAGGCAGCCAGATCCATCTTGGATGAAGCGTATGGGATGGAGAAAGGGGACGCACAGGTGGAAGTATTACCTTGCCTCGTCGTCCTGCGCAAACACACGTCTTCCTCCCTGTAGTCTAAAAAAGTCAATGTGGCTTCCTTCTGATTGATCGGCAAGTGCGGGGAAGGACCCAGCTCCGCTCACGGCTCCGCTCACGGAAGTCTCGGCAAAGGCTGACCTTCGCCTCCTGCCTCGTCCCCAGGCTGAGTGGAGTTCCTGATCAGTGATCTTCGCAGCCTGGCAATCTCGTCCATGTCGGCAAGAATCATCCCTCGTCTCCTGACTAGAAGCGCCTTCAGATACGCTCCCCCCAGATCACTAGGCATCCGCACCTCCTCCACGGCTCGCCACAATTCCAACATGAGCACCTACAGTGCAGCCCCGAGCTGGTCTCGGCTTATCCGCTTCATCGCTCAGGAGGATGGTCAAGAGCACATGGGCGAGCCAGTTGACTCCGATCTAGACGTAGGCATTGCAGACCCCTCTTCGATCCAGGTGCACAAGCTTTCAGGAGCGCATCCCTGGGATGCCAAGAAGGAGAGCTCTTCCAGCACTCTGACCGTAAAGGAGCTGCTCTGCCCTCTGAAGAAGGACGAGGTCAATACGATCCGGTGTATCGGGTTGAATTACAAGGACCATGCAGAGGAAGCCAAGATCCCTTTGCCCGAGGTCATCACCCTCTTCCACAAGCCCCGTACGGCTCTGACAGGTCCCGGAAAGGTCTACATACCAAAGTGCGTGCAGGACGAGAGCTCCGATTACGAGTCAGAGCTCTGCGTCGTCATTGGACAAGACTGCAAAGACGTGCCGGAAGACCGAGCCTTAGATTATGTTCTGGCTTACTGCTCCTCGAATGACATCTCGTCCAGAAAGGCTCAATTTGCCCAGAGCCAGTGGTGTCGCTCGAAAGGCTTCGACTGGGCATGTCCTATCGGCCCATGCCTTGTATCACCTGCACGCTTCCCCAAGGACAAAGGCTCTCCGATTGTTCAGGTGACTGGCAAGCTGAATGGAAAGGTCAGGCAATCGGCACCCACTTCAAATCTGGTCTTTTCGGTCGCACAGATTGTGTCCTTCCTGAGTCAGGGCACCACCCTTGAGCGGGGCAGTATCATCCTCACTGGCACACCGGCCGGTGTGGGCACCTTTGACAAGCCGATGACGTATCTGAAAGATGGCAATGTGTTTGAGGTTGAGATTTCGGGCGGGCTGGGCACACTGAGGAACACAATTGTATATGAGTAGCCTTCTCCTGCCTTCTTCGCGATGGGACATGCATCACGCGCACGCGGTCGGCTTTGAGCCCAATGGAGAGCTTGGTCTTGCCTTCTTCTCCTGTCTGTGAGGCTGACACTCCCGATGTCAAGATCATGAGTCACTATGCTGCGCTGCGCTCAGTACTGCCGAGTGAGGTCTTGCTTCTCGCGTTTGTGGAGTCGGAAGGCGGGGGAGCCAAAAGTGACACAAAAGACGGACTGACGCTCCTTCCTCCGAGCATTCATCCTTCCAACCCATCTCGATCCTGCCATCCCACCAATCCTCACATAGACTCTCTTCACGGTAATGTCTCGTCGTCCTCCACCGCCTCAGCGTCCCTATGATCGGGAGCAAGTCCCTCCGCCCTCCCGACACTATGACGATCGCGGCGGCAATAGCAGGTATGCTTCTTCCTCATCCTCAGCTGCTCCTCGGCGCAGTCGCTCGCCAGACGCCAGAGGTGGCTATAGAGATCGAGATTGGCAGAGGGAGAGGGAGCCAATCCCTTCTCGACCGCAAGGGTATGGTCAGCCGGACAGGACTGTCCCGCCGCCTCGAGACTACAGGTCTGGGGCAGGCTACGCTCCGCGGGATGGCCGAGATGGGTACGCTACCGGATACGAAAGGGAGGCCCCACCTGGTAGAGGATACGTCCCTCCGCCTCGAGAAGCTGCTGTCAGCTCTAGTAGAGACCGGGAGCGAGACCGGGAGCGAGACCGGGAGTGGGACAGGGATCGTCCACGGGAGCGAGATGGCTATCGCGACGAGCGGGATGCTCGTCCGAGTGGAAAGCGAGATGGAGGTAGGGAGAGGGAGGCTGACGGGCGAGGGATGCATCAAGGCCGCAATGGGGACAAGGCGGCGGTAAAGACCATCTCACAGGAACCAGAAGCGGAGGAGGAAGCCGGTGAAGAAGATGGAGAGGCGGATCAGACGGAGGAAGACATGATGGCGGCGATGGGCTTTGGAGGCTTTGGGACAACCAAGGTGAGTATTAGCACCAGAGTTCTCAGTCGAGCTGTCTCGTCAGTGCGGTCTTTCACATGCGATGCTAACTCGCACCTGTTGCTCTGGCTGGACTCACAGAATCACAAGGTCGAAGGCAATGCTACTGGGTCTGCAAATGTAAAGAAGGAGCGGACCTGGAGACAGTACATGAACAGGTAAGTCAGCACTCGGAGGGATGAGCATCGTAATTATCGAAGATGCCGAGCTGACTGGAACCTTTACATGTCACTATTCTGCTTCACAGGAAGGGAGGATTCAATCGTCCTCTTGATGCACTACCAAAGGACAAGTGAAGATACCAAGTGCCACATCTGTTCAGGGCAATGTGCGAGTGTGATCTATTGCAATGCTACCGGAAGAGGTCAATCGCCAACGTTCCATTTCAACCCATGTGTATATGAGGACCCCTGCAAACGCATCACTTCTGACCATACACTTCGACTGCCCTCTCCTCGAAGGCGTTCATCATCTTTGTCGAAAGCTCTTTGAAGATGCCCCCTGCCAGGGCGCTGTAGATGGGCGAGCTGAAAGCGTAGTCGAGTGAAAAGTCTATCCGGGTCGAGGAGCCGTCTGGAAGGGGATGGAATGTCCAACGTGTGGAAAGATGTTGAAAGAGAGGATGCGGAAGAGCCGTTGCCTGCATGAAGTACCGTACCAGGAAGGAATGAGCAAGTCAGAAACCACAAATCCTCTCACGCTTGGTCCCTTCCGACGCCACCGAAGCAGGGTGGTCTTCTACTACTCACAGCAACCCATTCATTCTCCTTCATCTCCACCACACTCGTATATGTCTCTTTGAAAGACTTGAACCCAACTGTTAAGTCAGCCAAGACCCTGTGATCAGGCCGACTGGTCACCTTGTCCGAAGTGGCTAGCGCATCTCCCTCAAGCGGCGGAGCAGGTCCCTTGATGGTGGAGCCGGCGCAGAATGGGAGAAAGGAAGAGTAGGAATTGACATCCGAGACGATCTTGTAGAGCTCTGAGGACGAATATCTGGAAGTCGAGCGAGATGAGATGTCAGCGATGAGCGTCTGGAAGGTCGTGAGTCTGAACGTCCTTGCTCCCCCGGCTGCGAGCTCTCCACCTTGCGCTACCTCTTCCTTGCCACCGTATTTCATGACTACTTCGTTCCGTTCTCCTCGTCACTCACCTCAAAACCTTGCTATCCTTGTACTCGGTCACCCCAGCTGCCTGCCCACTGCCTGGCCGCGATCCAGCATTGGCTCCCTGCCCTTGCACCTCTCCCGCTAGCTTAGCAATATCTTTCAGCGAGAAGAAGGTCCTAGCTTGCTGATGGTTCCGGGGTTCATTTCTTCGTGAAGGAATCGGACGAGACGATGGGTAGGAGGGAGATGCAAAGGAGGAATATGAGCAGCTGGAAGAGGCGAGCTGCGAGGACCGCCCTCTTGATGCGTACGCTGGCGGGGTCAGCCTTGGGGCAGGCGAGGAGGTGAGAGCCCTCCGCAGAGGTGTCCTGCAGAATGCTAGAGATCCAGAAGCCATCGTTAGAGCGCAGTCAAAGTATTACAAATGTACAGCGAAGCGTGTCGGGAAGAAGTGGTGGAAATGGACTTGAACGCACACGCCAAGTTCTCTTATCCCCAGATCTTCGGACGGACTGACGTAAGCGCGAGTTCTGTACGTCTGTAACACTAAAGCAAGTCACGTATATCCACTGAATGTATTGGCAAAGTATAGACATCTTGTCATGTGATAAGATACAAATATGTGCAGTTCAAGCGCATTAGTGTGCCAAATGAGCCTATGCCCATGTAAGAGCGGTGACGGTCGGAAAGCGAGTCCGTCTATGTCCGCCTTTCTCAAATGTATGATGCTTGACGAGCCCATCTAGCCATACATGCTCACGACGCCTCGATGTGGCTGCTGCCACCGTTCGTAGTCGCAGCCTCCAAGGCTGCCCTCTCCTCTCGGTAGGCGATGAATTGACCCAGGACGATGAAGTCGAGGAAGATGGTTCCCAGAGACCCCACCAGCCAAGATGCAGACTCGAGCAGGTATTCTGGGTCTGTAGACTTGAGCAAGATCGAAGCCACGTACGTAAGATTTCCTGCAACAGCAAAGACGAAGAGTGCGAGAGAGAGTCCCTGGCATTTAGTTCTGCGGTTCTTGAAGATCTGGGGCACCCGCGAAGCGAGGTAGAAGGCAGCCGAGAGCCATCCGTAGATCTGCGCATCCCACCTCCACCCAGGACCCTCAGGCTTCTTGCCTGCACCATTATCAATGGTGTGTCGGCTCTCGATGGCCCAGGCCGCTACACCTGTCAAGACAATGAGACCAGCAGCGCCCACGTACCGCAGGACCTCTGCCCTCAGCAATTGAGACTGCTGCTCTGCAGTGGCCTTTGCGCCTTCTGTGCTGTTGTTGCGGATGAGAGGCGTGCTTTCTGATGCTTCTGCTTCAGGGGCAGGGTTGGCAGGATGAAAGTAGTCATGGTACTTGCGGTAATAGTAGTACTGGAAGATGAGAGCTACATCGCAGATGGAGTAATACAATGCGAGGATGATCTGCAATTGGAAGAGGTAGCAATATGTGAGCATCCAATCTCGCAACAGGCTGCGAGGTCTACTGACGCGAGCCTCTTCAGAGTCGCATCCAATACACACCATGGTCCAGAGCAGTTCTTGCCTCCAAGCTCCAATTAGATTCAGCAGGTCTCCAGCAAGCCAGATGATGACGAAAGCTAGGGACAGGCCCTCTCCACTCTTGCGATCATACGACTCTTTCAATTGACTGAAGGAAGGAAGAATCTGGTGATGGGTAAGTTTTCGATTGACCTGAAGGAGATAGGGTGCATGGTGATGTGAGCTTGGCTGTGAGAGCGGAAGGAGCAGGTCGCCCCACGAGATACTCACGACAACAAACGACATGGGGCATTCGTAGAGAAAGGAGAAATGGGGTTCAATCAAACAGCCAACTCAACTATGATACTTTCGGAGTGTAAACAATCACCCAGCTAGCAATCGAGATCCAGCCTACGATGCTTGACCATTGGTCCCGTATCCTCTGTCTCTCGGCATCCTCGTCGGTCCAGTCCGAGCCTTTGTGGTGACGATGCTTTGCGGATGTGAAGGAAGCCAGTGTGATGGCAGCAAAGGCCACGGTCGGGGCGACTCTCGTGGCTAGCCTGCCGAGACAAGGGCGAGACAACATGGTTAGGGTGAAGGAGAGGAGGAGGGAAGACGAGACGTGAACGACGAAAGAGTCAGAGATTGAATCCAGATACCGTCAATGCGTCAATGACCGGCAGACAATTTTTCCCCACGTCACTCTGGCTTCCGTTCCGACATCCTGACCGGCCGACGTTGCGTCGCTTTGGCCAACAGGGCGACGCAGACACGCACCACATCTTCCTCTCCACTGCGTCAATCCTCCAACACGGCCGGCAATGATCTTCACTTCATCGCAGCCTCTGCTCGTCGTAGTGGCCCTCGCTTTCGCAGCTTTGGCTACGACTGCAGACGCCGCCACGTTGCGAGGCACTGTCCAGACAAATCACATCGTGCGCGAGTTCTCTCTCGTAGGCCCCGATGCCAAAGTCGTTGCCTACTCTCTCAATGACACCAGCGCCCCTCGCTACGAGGCCAGAATCAAGAGGGACGGCTCATGGCAGCTCGATCTACCTGACCCGGCGCCATACGTTGAGCCCGCAGTGGTGCCAGCGGAAAAAGAAGAGGGAGCTGGGGAGCCAGTTGCAAGTGGTCCTCCCAAGTCGGATGTCTACCTTCTCAAGTACAAGCTGAGAGGCCTACGCATGGACCAGTACAGACTAGATGTCAGACCTTCAAAGAAGCCTGGCCAGCCACCTCTGTTGTTTGCTAGGAAATATGATCCGTAAGTAGACCCCAAAGAAGAAGCTAAAGCATGACATATGCGCGCACCCTTCCTTGCTCACACTAGAGCCCGCTCGCTTTAAATATTGCAGAACATATCCTATCTCGTCGGCTCTCTACCTGTCCGATGTTGCTCAATTGCCCTTGTTGGACTACCCTCTGGGTACCCACAGCTACTTCCAGTCGGTACAAGACTTCAATGCGCTCAACTACCTCTGGATGACCATCAAATCGCCCATGATCCTCATGGCTCTGGGAGCATTTGTCTTGGTCTCTCTGCTGCCGAAGATGATGGTGAGTGATCCTTTCTCACTTTGATGTATACGATAGAAACTGACCTTCTTCTTCGCCCGTGATCAGGCTACACTCGACCCTGAGGATGCAGCTGAGATGAAGGAGAGTCAAAAAGCTATGGCGGACCGCATGGCAGCGCTCCAATCCGGCGATTGGAAGGCTGCCCTGGACAGTGGAGCGCCTGTTGCGGTACCTGCTGGCAAGAGCGGTGGTCCAGGCGCAACTGGTGCTCAAGCTGGCGGCGGAAGCAAGGCAAGGAAGAGGAACTGAAGAGTCTGGGAATTGGTAGAGGCAGTAGAGGACAGTAGACGGCACGCTCCCAAACACTGGTTGTGAATAGAGTCAGCACTGCAAGCATACTTCCACATTTTACTTCGGGCGTGGGGCGAGGGACAATCGTCTGTGTATTATACAGGTGATGTGACAGAGAAAAAACACTAGCCGGTGGTGACTATTGATACAGTGAGTCTAGGTATACGGGAGGCTCAGCATTGATGCTACTTCGACTTTGCGCTGGCGTGCTCAGGCGTGTGAGCGCGGTGAGCAAGGCTCAGGCCATGCATCGACACGCCAGGAGCTAAAGTGCGAGATGCGAACGATCCAGAGTCAGCCATCTCGGCAAAGTCGACTGTGAGGAACAGACTCTAGACGCTCGATCAGACTCACGTTGCACTTCAGTCTTCAGAACCCGTTTGGCCTTGTTGCGGGGATTGGGAGCTGTGAGAGCGAGTACGGCAGAGGGTGAATGATGGGTCAGCAGAACCGTCACCATAGAATGTGCTGGGCTAACAAGAGCAAGCTCACCATTGGAGTTCTCAGTCAGGTAGAACCGTCGCAGAAGCATGATTGCCTCCTCTCGGTAGTAGCCTCCGACTGCTTCGTACGGCGGTGAACTGATGAGAGCGGGACTGCGCGATATGAAATGGACTATTCGGTCAGTGACCTCCCCGTGAGACCCGTTCCACTTCGTACTCACTCGTCATGGCACCCTAGCACGCTTCCATTGCCCCCGAATCTCTCATTACCTGCACCGAAGACCACTCTACCAATTCCCACCTGCCGAAGGGCAGATCCACACATGATGCAAGGTTCTACAGTCACATACAGGGTCGTGTCCTTGAAAGGATTGTCCGAGCAGTTGTGAGGATCGAGAGCGAAGTGCTCAGACTTAGGAGGGTACTTTGCGAGGATCTCGTCGATTGCTTCCAGTTCCGCATGTCTTGTAGCCTATGGCGACAATGGGGAGCGGGTGAGTCCTGCTGCAGCTGTCGCACCTAGTATAGTCACAGAGTTCACTCACGTTCATCAGCTCATTGGTCCTATTCCGGCCCTTTGCGATGATCTTGCCGTGTCTGACGAAGACGCTTCCCACCGGCACTTCCAGTGCTTCGAAGGCCTCTTCCGCCATGAGAAGAGCTTCCCTCATCCATTGCTTGTCCTCCTCCGATTGATCCTCCTTGGCGACGTAGACTGCTGGCGATCCCCTGACGGGCGGCGGAAGTGCTGCCGCAAAGTCTTCGTGGCTCATGGCGAAGTCGTGCGAACGAACGAACAGTTCCTGCGAAAGTGAGGCAGAGGAAGGATGATTCGCGAACATGCCGAGCAATAGCGGACCATAATTATCCGTGGCGGAGGCGGAAAGTGGGTACCGGAACGGAAGCAAGCCGAAAACTATATAACAGCTGGCATCCATCGCCCTTTTCGCCTTGCGCCCCGCACCACTCACACCCACACGACCCGCCCGCCGTCTTTCACATCCTACACGACCGAACGACTGGTCGGCCGAGGAATCCGTCTCCGTCTGCCTCACGACTTCACGTACGCTTCATTGCGACAACCTGAAGTCATTCATCGGTCTCTTTCATCTCTTCATTTCACCTTGTAATACAAAGAGAAGAAACATCAATTGCCAATCGATACGACTCTGCCTGCCCAAGCTCGAGCTCAGCTCCAACGATCTCTTGCGCGCGCGTGCCTTGGACTGTCCTCTAGTCCATAGCTCTGGTGTGGTCATCCTGCATTGACGACACTCGGCGTCACTGCGTCGCTGTCTCTCTCTTGCAAAGACAAACATGGCTGGTATCGCTCTACCTACCTCGAACCAGCAGCAGCAGCAATCATCAAATGGCAAAGCAGTCGTGAACGGTGGCGGGGGTGGGAATGAGGGTGGTGGGCAGTCAGATGCACAAAAGGATGCCAACGCTACGGCTCTGCAGGACTACAAGAATAGCGCCCTGGGCTCCGCCGACGCTGCTATTCAGCAAGGCTTGCCCTTGCCAGTCTTGCAGTGAGTATGCGTACGGCCAATACGGATTTGTGACTGAGTAATGAAGGACGTCCATGAGGGACGTTCTCGTGGAGTCGTTTGACCCACTCGACCGTTGCGCAGACCTTGCTGACGCTGAGTACACCTAATTCATTGACAGAAACATCGTGGCGACGGTGAATCTGGAAGTCCGGCTCGACCTGAAGACCATCGCACTGCACGCCCGCAATGCAGAATACAACCCAAAGGTGCATATCAGCCGTCTGTGGCCGAGGTTGAGGTGTTTCGTTGCGCATTGATCAACCGCATTGCTGACATGTTGAGTCTACTACCCGCCTTCATACGTGACTGCCTCTGCAAACTGCTCTCCCCACTCTTTCAGCGTTTTGCAGCTGTGATCATGCGTATTCGAGAGCCAAAGACGACGGCACTGATTTTCGCTTCGGGCAAGATGGTCGTGACGGGTGCTAAGTCTGAAGATGACAGCCGACTGGCAAGTCGCAAGTACGCTCGTATCATCCAAAAGCTCGGCTTCGAAGCCAAATTTACAGAGTTCAAGATCCAGAACATTGTCGGATCGTGAGTATCCGCACCCCAACTCTCGCGGTAGCCGTGATGTCCATTGCTGACCTCGACTTTCATGGCCCTCACTCGTCACAGCTGTGATGTGCGCTTCCCCATCCGACTCGAGGGTCTCGCCTACGGCCACGGAGTTTACTCTTCGTACGAACCTGAGCTCTTCCCCGGTCTCATCTACCGTATGGTGAAGCCGAAGGTCGTATTGCTGATCTTTGTCTCTGGCAAGATTGTGCTGACGGGAGCTAAGGTCAGAGAAGAGATCTACCAAGCCTTCAACCTGATCTATCCTGTGAGTTCAGAAAGACCTTCAGCTTTCACGAACAGGACACTCACCTGCGCTTCGTCTCACATCCCAATTACAGGTGCTGTCCGAATTCAGGAAGCCTTAGAGACCGTGGGATGAGACTAAGGGGTTGCTGGAGGTTTATACAGCCTTACGATCCTTCTCCCCTCCTCGGTCATCAGAAGACCGCACGCCGAACTGAAACACACACACATAGCGATCGCAGCAAACCAAAAATAAACGAGAAACGAGATTCTTTTCCTTCTTTCTGCTCAATGTTGAGCTGCTTTCTCCTGTTAAATTGTACTTTAGCTATTTTCATTCTCCTCACCACGTATATCTCGTCGGCTCTCCTCTGTGCGGGCCTTATCGATCCCACGGAGTCTACTTCGACCGCTTAGACGAAGGTCGGATGAAATGTCACTTTTTGCATCCATGACCAATTTCTCTTTGACCAGTGTCTGCTCTGCGGTGTGGGAGGATAGCACCTGAAGGAGGTGTGCTGGGTGTCCTGGTCGGCTGTCTGTCTGCGTGTGTGGCACACAAGGCGCGTGCGTCGGCAGGAAGAAGTGATTGAGCGGCCTAGGTGCAGTCGCTGCAGTCCATCCCACCTAACCTCTCCTCCTGCTGCACACCAATCTCGCTCTAAGACTACATCGTCCATTCCTCCTACACTGTGATAGCTTTGGGATAGAGAGAAACGCAGCCAACCGCCAGTGGCCAAAATTCTCAGCAACAGCAACAGCAGCAAACATGTCTCTCCCTCAAGGATACAGCGCAGCAGCGGTGAGTACCATCTCAGCGGATTAGGATGTATGACACCTCTTCACAATGCTAAGACCCTTCTGACCGATCTTTCCACAATCCCATGACCTGCTGCCCTCTACTCGACCCCGACGTCATCCGCCATCCTTCTCTCTATCTTCACTCTTCTACGACCCTCTTACCAACTCACCTACCTCGTGGCTCGGAACCCAATAGGAAGCACACGCCTCTGCCCTTCCTTTCAGCCCAATGATCCCTGTGAGCTCTCTGCCCTATGTCGCAGTGACTTTGCTATTGGCAAGCTTCTTCGGCACCTTCTTCTTCACTACGTGAGTGTTGGACAAACAGTAGGTGAAGCCAGACGTGGAGACGATGCTGGGATGGATACCAATAGGGTGGTGCTCAGATCAAGGGGTAAGACCTTATAAAATCAAGTGCCCTCGACTGACTTCCTCTCTTGCCCTTGCTTCGTGGCCTCTGTCTCCTCAGACTACCGAAACGCAACGCTCTCGTCTCGGAAATCCTCGTAGCCGTCTTCTCATCCGTGTGCGCTGGCTTCGGCATCGTGGCACTCTTCAACGCAGTGGGAGTCTACGTCTGAACGGAGGGAACGTCGGTGGACTGAGGTGGGTGAAGGAGGGACCGGCTACACGACGTCAGGCGGGACGAGCAGGACGTAATACAGGGGCTTCACATGGTACAGGGTTGCCTCTGAGCGAGATGAGTCGTACATAGTATGATAATGCGCAGGCGTACAGACACACAAGGACAGTATGAGCGAGCGATGTGAGCTGAAGGAACAAGAAGAACAAGATTGTCCCTCAAAGATTGTATCTGAAGTGATCACGTTGATGCGGCGATTGGAGTAAGTCAGTGCTGCTGTCTTTGTTAATGCTGGGCCCACCCGAGGGGAGTACTCACATGGGTATCACACGATTCGCGCTAACCTCCTGCCTACAGAGGGGGCACTCCCTCTTCTCCCTCAACCAGCTCATGATACAGCTCCAATCAAACATGTGTCCACATTCCGTCACTGCGCTCGTCCCCTTTTCTGGCGTCCTCTCATCCATGCACAGCGTGCATCGCAGCATCGACTGCGACATGGACTCGATGGGCGCCGTTCGCAGCTGGGCGGCTGAGATCTCGTCGTTCGTTGGACGGGAAGAGGTTGATGAGGGAAGGATGTTGCCAGTGCTCGAAAGGTATGCAAGTGGCACTTGGGCACCGGGAGGTGCGAGACTTGTGTAGTCCTTTGGAGACTCGCTCTCGCCTAGACCTGACTGATCATGTACGCCAACGGGCTTTGCGGAACCACTGCTGTGAGTCCATTTGCGGCCATCCACCTCGACGAAGGCCTCATCGTCCGCTTGGTCAGCAGAATCTCCATCGTCTCCACGCGCAGCCTTCTTCTGTATGGCGCGCTTGTGCAGATGGCGATTGAGGGAGAGGGCTAGCTTGACGCCGAGCTGGATGCCCAGAAGGACACCTAGCACTTCGTACGAGGGCGGCTCCTGGCCGGGCGGGGAAGGATGGATGGATATCTTTCCGGAAAGAGAAAGGGCCTTGGTCAGTATGAGCGGCAGACATGACTCTGTAGGCCGTAAATTGTACCGCTACTCACGTATTTGACTCCCACGAGCCTTTGAGCTACCTTGTAGTACTTTCCACCGAGGTAGAACAGCATCAGATGGAACGCACTCGCATATGCCAGCCAGCCGTCTGCCTTGCTCAGATCTTCGATGCTGGGTAGCATTCGTGCCGTGAATGCTACCAGCTTGTCTAGTCTAGAAGGCTGTGGTTCCTTGTCCTCCACTTCCTTCTCGTAACGGCTGCCATGAATTGCCCTCCACCTCATCCTAGCCCTTTGCAACGTCTGAGAGCGTGAAGCATGGGTCGCATTGATCCGTCTCCGCAACACAGCATAGATCCGGCTCAGCAGGAACGGTGCCAAGATCTGTGTGAGGATAAAGGCTATCCTCTTCCTCTTGCTGACGTACTTTCCCCTCGCTCCCACCATCCTCGCTCCGACGTACTCCTCTCCCAGCGTCTGAGCACCCTCGGCGGTAGTGAAGACATAGTAGGCTATGCTTGCCAGCAGTGTAATTTTGCCGCTGTTGAGCTGTAGGAAACGGGAGCCAAAGACCTCTCGTGTGACGTCTGAGAGCTGGGCTTGCAAGAGGGACAGGTAGTAGGAGTCCTTCTGGAAGGAGCGAATGATCGAGGGCTGGAAGGCTGCCGGGAAGGAGAAGGCAGAATTGGGCCGGTAGGCATCGGGGCCGTCCGGCCTGGACGATGGGCCTGCTTGGCTGGATGTCCGATCGTCTGTCATCGACGGCAGCTGGTGTAGACGACGGGAATGCTGGTCTTGGTGGTACGCTTGGTCGGGCAAGGGTGGGGGAAACGCGGATGGGTCCTCTGAGCCGGTTGGTGAGCCGGTGGGTGGATGGTGCGCCTCGCGCGAGCGTGTGCTTCCGCACAGGCACAAGTTGAAATTTTGACCAGGAGAGGGGAAGAGAGCACTTCTTCTCACCACTGCTGCATCATCCTCACGCTCTCTTGACTTCACATACACTCTCCTCGTCTTGACACCTTCATCATGTCCGCTGCATCTACCTCCGCACTGCCACCATCGGCTCAGCAGATCCTGTTTGCTCGCGCCGTCATCCTCACCTTCCAGCTGTGGCCATCGATGCGTCTTGCAATCTCAGAGCAATGGGGCGGTCCAGACTCTGCCGACAAGTGCGACTTCTTGATCTCCCACATTTGTGACACATACGGTGGAGAGAGCGGCGCTACCTCCCTGGGAAGATTCGAGCCAACAGCCGCCTTTGACGAGAAGAACACACCCGGCGCTCCTCCCACACCTGAGGAGGATGAGATCGCTGAGACACTCGAGGGCTATCTGGCAGACGAGTTCGAGGCGAGAATCGAGGACCAATCTTGCGATTACATTGCCGGTCGAATTGTCGCCCTTCATCAGCTCATCTTCGCTCGACCAGCTTCGGCAGATCAAGTAGCAGCAGAGGAGGTGGTCAGGGCGGGCAATCTCGCGGTGGAACAATTGACCGAGGCTGCTCAAAAGCTCAAGGGCTCGGGCGCTCCGAAGGTTCAACGAGGAACAGGGAATGGGGACGACGATGCCCTATCAGAAAGCGGAAGCAGCAGTGAGGGAAGTGACGACGAGATGGACGTAGACGAGGGACAGGGCAGCGCAAGAGAGCCGACGAAGAAGGCGGAACCCATCGTAGATGAAGACGGCTTCACAACCGTAGTGCGAGGCAAGAAGAGGTGAAACAGCACCACCTCCTGCACCTTTTCCAGCAGCGGAAACTGTCACTGTCCCCTCACGGCTGTCACCGTTCTGAGCGCGGCCTGTCAGGGCGTTGCGAATCGCAAGCAGCCCGGGCTCGCGAGCACCTTAGCGAGGACTTCGCAAGGCCCATCAGATGCAAAGCAGCGTGTCGAGCCCATCCCCAGGCCGGCATCAGTAGAAGTCATGATCACGCATCCCAAGACCGCGAGGACAAAGCTGTTGCTGTCAGAGCCCTCGCGGCGCTATGTCAAAGGTCTTTCCCAATGTTGTACATATACCATTGCTACCCTTCCAATCTGTACACTTAGTACTTGAGTGGGTCGTGACCCCAGTCTGAAAGGGCAAGAGCGGTGACGACAAGTCAGTAGGCTATTCATGGGCCATCTTGCGATCCTCAGCATCCCACACTGCTACTCACTCTTGAGACTCCTGACACTCTTCGTCTGCTCCAATTCCTCCTTGCTCTTCCTCTCCTTCATACTCTCCTCCTGTGCCAAATGTCTCTTGCAGTAGCTCACCACCTTGCGCATATGAGCCAAGTCCTCGTCGGTGTACTTGTCCTCCTTCTTTTGTGGGTTGCGCTTGAGAATATCAACGATCTTACGACCAGACTCGTGCCCGACAGTCTCGCCTGACTCGCCGCCCCAACCGGCAGACTCGGAGGACTCTTCCTTGAGCCAGGCCTCGAGCTCCGAGGAGGACATGTTCACAAGCTCGTTGAACTCGGAGACCTGTCAGACAGAAGAGAGGAAGGAGCAATCGGGATAATGAGCAATCGGGATAATGAGCAAACAATTGAGAAGAAGGTGGTATGCCAAGCAAACTCTGGCTGCCTCGATACTCACAACATCAGAGTCTGACTTTCCCATTTTGGTTTTCTTGCTAGCCAGGACGCGAGGAGTGGTGTGAATAGAGCTGTGAAGTGAACTTGAGTTCAAAGTTGGTGGATGGTAGGACACCAAGGAAGGGTACGCTCCGTGGAGTTTATGTAAAGAAGCACTGGCTGCAGCGATTCCTCGCGTAGATGATCGCGTGCAAATGTGACGTCGCCAGACCTGGAGAAAGGATCGCATCTGGACACGACGGACAGACAGACAGTGCAGAGGTACGTCTCTTGCCTTCTTTCTCTCCCTCCTGGCTGACCTCTTTGAAGCCACTCGCACTCTGCCCTCTCTTGAACCCTGGCTTTAGGCGTGCGGGAAGGCAGTTACCTAAGCTTCCAGCATCCGGCCAAGATCCCTTTCCGCCTCTCCACATTTCTCCTTCGACCGACCCGGACGTCATGCAGAAAAAGTCGCCCGACCCCGACCCCGACGCGGATCCTCGAGGTACAGCAGAAGTTCTTCGACCTGGGATGAGGCCGTGAATAGAACGCCTCCATAAGGCGTAATAGAGGAAGAGGCAAGCCGGTGGAGACAATGCGACGAGGGTCAATCTACTACACTACTGTACAGACTATGGGCACTGGGAGCAGCAAGATGAGAATCCTTCAGTCAGAGAGCTGACGAGAGATTTCATCTGTCGCGACTGATAATATTGAATGGTGTGTAGGAATCCGAATCCCTTGTTTGGTCAAATTCTTGCTGTTGGTACAGGTCAAATTGTTGTCGTCTGTCTTCATGGGTCCAGTCTGAGCCATTGCCCTATGGTCTAGCCTACGATCTGCTTCGCGTCGCAGTCTCTATCTTGCACACAGCCAGGTACACGGACCCCATCCATCACCCCCAGTACTCAACACATCCGCCGTCCAAAACCACCAGCTTAGCCCTGCACAACTCCGACTTGAGCAGCCCTCAATATCCTATCCTTGATCTTGAAACCCATCTTGGAGCATTCCAGGACAGTGCCAGGCTCCTTGCCGGGGATCGGTGCTTGGAACATGGCCTCGTGTTCGTTGGGGTTGAACTTCTCGCCCGTAGGGTCGAATTGTGTCACGCCGTGTGTCTTGAGCATAGACAAGATGCTCTTCGATGTCAAGTCCACGCCATCGTAGAACTCAGCAAGAGCCTTCCTTGGGTCATCTGCTGCTACCTCGCCAGCTGGTGCCTTGCGCAAAGGCTCTGGCACAGATCGCAGCGCAAGGTTGATGATGTCCAAGGAGTTTGTGAGGTCACGAGCAAACTTAGTGATGGCGAAGTCGGAGGCTTGGGACTTCTCCTCGGTTGCTCTCCTTTGGGCATTTTGCAGATCTGCCTTGCCGTACAGAACCTTGTCCTGTGATCGGAGAAAGATAAGAATGAGACGTCAGCATGATCGGTGAGAACCACCTGGATGCAGACCACACTACATGCAGAAGACACTAACCTTGAGCTCCTTGATGAGTGCATCCTTCTCAGCCAGCTGCTTAGCTACTTCGTCTTGCTCGGCAGCACCACTGCCACCCTCTGCGGCTGGCTTGTTAGCCTTTGCGCCCATTGTCTCTCCTCCTACCTCATTCTCTGCAGCCTTTGCCTTGTCTGTCGAAGCTGACCAACATCGCACTGATGTTGAGAAAGGGGAAGATCGGCGAGCAACGGAAGAAGAGGAGGCGGAAGGGGCAAGTGCAAAACGAGTGGCGCTGCTTGTCGAGGGTGCTGAGGCGCCCAGAGAAGTTGACATTGCCTCTCTTAGCGACGAGCGAGATGCTCTGAAAGTTTGAGGAGCGAAGAGAACCATGATATCCAACGTATGGTGATGTGTCTTGTGGGAGGTATGATACGAGATGTGAAGCGGAGGTGTGGAAGGATTGAACCTCTCCGGTCCATAGAGATCTTCTCGGCGGTGAGAGGGCCTTCCGCCGCGCGCAACGCTCACGAGATCTTCCTGGAGTGCAGCCTCCCGCCCGCGATACCATCACTTCTGGCTACTTTTGGCTCACCCTACATCACACCACGACGCTATGCGGAGCTCACTCTTGTCGTCGTTTGGCAGGCTTGCCCTGCAGGCTCAGACTTCCGTAGCATCTTCATCCCGCTCGGTAATGACAATTGCTCAGCCAACACGGGTAGCGCGGACCATCATCCGCCCAGCATTCCAATCCCCCGCCCTGCGAGCGCCTACTTCAAGCCCTGCAGACTCACGCTCGTACGCAAGCGCAGCTCCCTCATCATACTCCATTGGAAGTCTCTCACCAGCTCAACCGAAGAAGACGATGAAGCGTGTGGGTCGAGGTCCGAGTTCAGGCAGGGGTGGAACAGCTACTAGGGGTCACAAGGGTCAGAGAGCGAGGGCGGGCAACGGTAAGCCTACACCAGGCTTTGAAGGTGGTCAGACGCCAATTATGAGGAGATACCCGAAGAGAGGATTCGTCAATGCGTGAGTAACAGAGAAAGAATCTGGAGACCGAAAGGCATCAGGATGTCCGACTGATCCTTTGTATTGCCTTCGCAGCTTTGCACATCGGACTGTCCCTCTGAACATCGAACGGTTGCAAGACTGGATCGATCAAGGGAGAATTGACCCATCAAAGCCCATCACTGCAAAGGAGCTGTATGAGACCAGATGCGTCCACAGTCTGGGCGACGGAGGCGTGAAGCTGCTTGGCGAGGTGAGTCTTCCCTGCACTCGATTCAATACCAATTTCCCCTGCTGATCGTTGTCTCTCTTGCGATGCTCCCACAGGGTTCAAAGACACTGCGTCAACCTCTGACACTGATTGTGTCTCGGGCCTCTGCCACGGCGATCAGAGCAGTCGAAGCCGCCGGTGGCTCGATCACCTGCAAATTCTACACTCCTCTCACCCTCCGAGCACTGGTCAAGCCAGAGAAGTGGCTGCTGCAGGGCAAGATGCCGCCCAATGAGCCGCTGCCGGTCGGCAAGAGGGATCTGCTCTACTATTCAGATATCAGGAATAGGGGGTACCTTGCGAAGTTGCATTTGACGGGTACGCTGGCCCTCATCTGAGGAGGTTGGCATGGGCAGGCAGGCGAGCAGAATAGTCGTGTGTGTAGCAGCAGGGGTGACAGAGACTGTTGGGGCTTGCAATACTACCTGAGATCTCGACAGATTGCACACGAGAGGTATCCAGCGCAAGAAGTGAAAGCATAGAGCATGATATATGACGGAGGCTTCGATGAGGCGACAAGAATGAAGGTACGCTGGCGGATGGTGTGATGTGTAGTGGTGACGACAGTGGTTCCTCTAGCTGCTTCATTCGACTGTCTCCCCCTTGCTGAGGCCGTGCCCTGCGTTTCTCTGCTGCCGCTGATATCATGGAGACGCTCTTTCACAAGTGAGCAGAAGAGCCACACAAGTGACAGAGAGGGACGACTGAGAGAGGATAGTAGATGCCGCTACGCTCGTATGCCCGGTCTACCCATTCGAGAAGAGACGTAACCTCTGCTGCCTCGCCCAACAGCTCAGTAAGCTCATGCAGCCATTTCCCGTGCTTGCTGCTTGATCCTCTTGTCATAGCCAGCTCGGTCGTTGTTAAACAAGTGGAAGGCAGGCGCTTGTGCTGGATCGGCCTGGTTCGGCTCGTCGAGCAGGCCCTGGATACCCAGCAGAATCTGCTTGACGTTTATCGAGGCCCGCCAATTCTTCTCCTCGTCCTGCAAAGGATGAGAATAGGGAGGATGCAGTAGGAAAGTGGTCAGCGCAGAGCAAAAGAAGAATGAAGGCGAGCTGCTTGCCACCGGGCTCTCAACTTACAAGGATCGACAAGCAGACTGTGCCAGATGGATAGATGTTGGGATGGAAGAGAGGTGGTGTGAATTTGCCTATTAGAGCGTCGGAATCGGAGAAGGGAGCACGGTCAGCCTATACTGCGTCTCTTGTACACCTCCTCAGATACTGCAAAGTCTCGCTGCCAGTAACTCACACTTTGGCGGCTTTGTGGGGAACTCTTCTGGGAATGCCATGGTGAGCTTGTATAGACCGCCCTCCCAGATCGTCCCTGTCTTTCCTGGAATCCCTGCCTCCCAGTTGAGCATATCGAGCGAACCGTCCTCCTTCTTGACTGGGCGAGCGTAGAAGCCCTGGACAAGTACGGGAGGCGAGGCAGAGAGTATCAGCACAAGCGCAAAAGGTAGAGACCACCTGGATTTGGCCTTGCCGCTGATACTCACGAAGGGATGGTCTTTCCTCCATGCTTTGCGTTCCTCTGCAAGGCTACGAGCAGGGATAGCCACAGATGGAGCTTCTGGTCAGTCGCTTGTAGCGCCGTTTCCCCTCCTCGTCCATACCTACTCACCGAGCGCGACAGATGCCGGACATATTGCTGAAATACTACCTGCTGAAACGAATATTGGCACAGTGGGATGCGAAAGCCTTTGGAGCAGGGATGTATGTGCTGTGGCCGTCGAGATCTATGAGGTGACAAGGCTTAGGGGTGGGAGGGTAGAAGGTCTAGGATGAAGTATACGATGGCAATGCGTGAGTAGCGAGGAGCGTCAGTCTACGCGGGACTGGACGCACATCTTCGGAAGCAGCAGCGCGAGACCAGGCACAGACAGTCAAGCCAGGCCAAGCCAAGGAGAGACCAACTCCACCCAAAGAACACGATACCCTCGCCTGGATCGATAGCCACCCACCACCACCACTCTTGGTACGGACGTCCAGGATGACCTCCACGCGCTACTCGCAACAATCGTCTACAAGCCAGGGCGGGCCATCTACGGGCATGGCTCGCACGTCTGTTCCAGCCATATCCACCTCGAGCGCCTCACGCTCCTCGCACTCGGGCACCTACCCCATCTCCCCCTCGCCCCAGTCCGCCCTGCCTTCTTCGCAGAGCTACGCAGCACGGCATCGCTTCTCCTCCAATCCTGCCCTTTCCAATGCCCCTACCAGCTTTCTCGCTAGGACGCCCGTCAGCGGCATTCCTGCAACGACCGGAGGAGGTGCGCCTGCTGGCTCTGGCAGTGGCTTTGCGCAGGATCTGCTGGATAGACCAAGAGACAAGACGAGGAACACAATGGTCGCAGCGAGCTCGCTGGCATTCTTGTTCGCTGAGATGGTTTCATATACCCAAGGTCGGGTCAGCGGGATAGGAGAGCTCGAAAAGAAGTGAGCGATTGTTAGAGCTCGATGAGTGATTGATGCACATTCTCACTGCCTGGCCCACGCCTTGCCTTCGTCCTCTAGACTATCACTCCTAGGGTACCACCATGGTCAGCGTCTTCTCCCTCTACTGCACTCTCGGCTTGAGAGCCCATCAGGCGGTGGTTCAGCCAGCTCCTCCAAGAACCCAAAAAGGGAAATCAGACTATTGCCCGCCTTGCTCTGGGTTCACGGTCAGGCATGGAAGGCTCTCTTTGGCAAGCAGGCAGATAGTCTGGAGAGGAGTACAGAGCGCAGCGATGAATGTGAGTAATAATGCATTCACTCTGCACCAGGAGTTTCGCACTGACTCTCCAGCTCCTGGCTTGCAGACATGATCTCCACCAATACTCCACTCTACTCGAAGGGGATGTCAATACCCAAGGACATGTCGCAGCTCTCCGTAGAGGCATATACCGCCGGCATTGTCGAAGCAATCCTTGATGGAATGGGCTTCCCTGCTAGGGTCACCGCTCATTCAGTTGCTACGCCAGAATACCCGCAGAGGACGACAATACTCATCAAGCTAGACAAGTCAGTGATGGAGAGAGAAGAGGCCTTGGGTACTTGAGACAATGAATAAGCATCACATCCAACTCAGCGGATTGGGTATGAAATGGTCTGCATTCTTCCGTGTATACTGCTCATGTAGTCGTGAGAGGGGGCGCAGCAGCTGTCGCTGTCCTGACATGGAAAGTGATCGCAGCCTGTCCTCCAGCTGTCGATGCCGTCTCCGAAGCGCCCTTTGCTCCCTGGGCAATGGCGCTCTCTGCTACTACTGTCGCATTGACTCCCAATCTACCCAAAGCTCCCCTCAGCAGCCCGACCGAGTGTGGAAGATGTAGCTTGGCCACTCTTGCTGTCATCGCTGATCCTTCCGAAGTTGCAATGCGGGCCAGGGGCTTGAAGGCTTGATCTGTAAGCACATACACGCCTCTGTGATTGGTTCTGAGTCCATCGACTTGCTTCTCCCATATCGCTGTCCAGAAGTCTTTGCAGACGAACTTGAGGACGTCTAAAGTCGTGGCTAGTGGTGGACGATCGCGGGACAGTCTGAAGGTGGAAAGAGCAAAGTGTCAATGGGGCTGGCCTCCAGTATGCCCTTCTGCTCACTGTCTTGCTCACCTCTCGGCCAGGTTTGCTCCTACCAAGGCTCCCACCTGCTCCAGCCTGGCTTCCAATTCCCTCTCCTCCTCCTTGTCCTCCCTCCTCGCAGCTCCATTCGAGCCCTCTACGACCAAACCAGCCTCTTCCACCTCCTCCATCAATCTCCTCCGCCGCTTGATCGCTCTCCGGCTGGAATGGCGCAGAGCCGAGGGCATCTCGGCGAGGAGAAGCTGGTAGGGAAGGGCGTCTATGAAGGGGTCTGCATTGGGTGGGTGAGGAAGAGAGAGGGCGAGGCAGTAGGGTGTGACGAGGTTGGAGGTGGACGGATCGCGGGGTGCGCTGAAGGATGGGAGAGCGTGCTGGATCACGGGAGTCGAGGCGCCGTTGCTCGTTGCGGACACCTGAGAGGAGCTCATGGCTGTACCGTCGGCTCTACAGATGGAGAGAAGCGATGTGAGGGTAGGCCGATATGATCAAGGCTTTGGTTGGCCTCTGAGTGAGGTGAAGCCAAGCTATGGAAGCACACACGCACGCACGCACGCACGGCATGGCGCCTCTCAGGCGTGGCTCGACTTGCGCCCGGGCGTGTGTGCGTCTGTCCTTCCATCTCTCACTTCCGTCAAGTTTGGAAATCTCAGCCCGTCCACTTCCAGTCCATCCTTCCTAGACTACGCATCCTTCCTCCCTCTCGCACAGTCGACTTCTTCTTGCAACGTCTACAATGTCACAGCCTGCAAATGGACCTGGAGCTCCGAGGACGGGAGGAGCTATTGGTGGCAAGCCACAGGGAAATGAGTACATTTGCGCAGGTGAGTATCAATGGCTGGATGGCGGGACGGCGGTCGGACGAAGGGTACTGCTGCAAGACAGGAGGACCTATCAAGGCATGACTACCGACACTTGCGGTATATTGCATTGGGCTGAGAAAATTGCAAGGTCTTCGGTCGCTACCGGATCCGTTCCCTGAACCAGACACTCACCCCGTTCTGCCTCTTACGAATCCCTACGCCAGACTGTGCCGCCCTGAACGAAGTCAGGCCGCGAGAGCCGATCCGATGCAAGGAGTGTGGCCACCGAGTCCTCTACAAGCAGCGGACAAAGCGCATGGTGAGTAGCATGTACAGGGTGGCAGAGTGATGAGCGAAGCTCACAGAGGAGGCCATAGAGCCAAATGGATGGGGCGGACAGTGACGCTGATGGCCCCACTGCCTCTACTCCTACGACCTCACCTCCGCTCAGCTTCACTTTGAGGCAAGATGAACTTCTCCCAGCGATGTTGCGACATCCCTCGACTACTGTCGACTTTCTCCCCAATCTGTACTTGTAATCTAACATTGTTCATCCATCTCGATCTGTCTGTTCCTTACCTTGCCGATGGCGGAGCTGAGGAACTTAGGCGGCGGCGATGAGAGGTGATAATCTATTGTGTTTGGGGCATCTAGAAATAGTCTCCAGTACAGATGGAGATGACTAGAGACCCGGCCTCTTCCCACCACGCGCCGGCGTCGAAGCTCCACTGCCAGCCTCGTCATCCTCCCCATGCGAGCCTCTTGTCTCTGGTGACTCGACGGTCCTCCAATCCTCATTCGGTTGCTGCTCCGTCGTAAAGGTAGCTAGGAAATCGCGCATGAAGTTCCTCCACCTGCATGCCGGCCAATGGGGGAAGCTCGACGTCAGTAAGGGAAACAAGTATCAGAGCAGACGACCACTCGCAGTCGACTCACGGAGCTTGGCTGGGCACTACATGTCCACCCGGGTGCCACTCCACCCTAGATTTTTGACAGCAATCGAGAAGAGTTTGTGAACGGTCTGTAAGACGAAGTGAAGATGTGATGCCGATCGGTCAGAATAGGACACTACCTTGACGCCATTTCTTCTCCCGCTTGGCAGGAACTCACCCTCAGTCACAATCTGGTCGCTCCTCCCAAGGATGCTCAGAACCGGTGTACTGATGCCCTTGCCATCTTTGCCCTCGAAGAGTGCTTGATGGTTCGGATCCCTGCTCCGGAAGCCAGAGATTGCGATGCAGAATTTGAGTGGAGGATGACCTTCGGGAATCTTTAGGTCGGGGAGGAGGGAGGGGTTCTCAAAGGCTGCTGCGATGATGGCTGCTAGGCAGGCTCCTGGTAGGTGCGAGATGTGGTCATTAGTATGGGTAAGGCATGTATCAAAACTCCAAGGAGCTCAGTCATCTGAAGCGCCATGCTAACCTTGTGAGAAGCCGACTACTCCATCTATACCTCCCATCTTGGCAATCTCGTCACTTAGCAAGCTCCAGCTCTGTCCAATGTCCTTGTACGCCCCCTCGTCCGTCGCTCTCCACCAAGCCCTCGGCTGCTGCTCAATTGGAGTATCCTCGGTCACTTCATCCTGCCCATCGGGCGCATCCAGGGATTGTGTCGAGGTGATTGGCTGCACGAGGAGAGGTCCATTGACAAAGACAAAGTCGGCTACATTTCGGCAGGCTTTGCGAATGGCACCAAAGCGGCGGTGCAGCACAAAGGAGTTGGAAGTGTAGCCGTGCAAAGCGAGGATTCTGAGCTTCTGTTGCGCCATGCTGTATGACTGAATGTGGAGAAAGAGAAGAGCGAGGAGTAAGAAGAAGTGGTAGGACAGACGTGCGGCTGCGTTGCGAAGTCGGCGCTGCGTCGCTGCTCCGACGGAAAGGAGGCGGCAGTGCCGAGCAACACGGGCCAACACGGGCCTCGGTGCTGGGCAGCCTCAGCTTCACCTTCTACCAACACCAGCGCCCATCCTCCCTCGACCCAAGCAAACAGCTCCAGAAGTGACCTTCTCTGGATTGCACCTGATCTGCATAGCGTCTTTCTGCATCCTGCTCAGATTGACAAGGCACCTCTACCAGCCAGCTGGCGGCGCTCGACCACTACCTCCCTCGCAGCAATGGACAGGATACAAGATCATATCTATGCCCTCCTCTCCTCCCTGCCCTGCTCACAAGGCATTTCTTCTGTGTTGGACCTCTGCGGTCTGTCTGGCGGTGCTGATGGCTTGATGGGTGGGGGGAATGTAGGCGGTGAGATCAAGCTCAATGGAAGGACAATTCAGATCGAGAAACTGCTAGGAGAGGGAGGATTCAGCTTTGTATACCTTGCTCGGGACAAGAGCAGCGGGAGAGAATTCGCACTGAAGAAGGTGAGTCGCCGACATTTGAGCACTGCGAAGCTCGAGACTACGAGCTGAAACATCCACCTCACTCTGCCACGTACCGCTCGTTCTGCCTTGCTCAGATCCGTTGCTCTCACGGCTCAGAGTCCTTCACACTGGCCATGAAGGAAGTCGAGGCAATGAGAAGATTCCGCTCCCCCAACATCATTCGCATCTTAGACAGCGCCGTCATCCAAGAAAGCGATCATAGCTTTGGCTTTGGCAATCTTCCAGAGGGACAGGGCGGGGGCTCTGATGGTCGCACAGTGTACCTCTTTCTGCCGTACTACCCTCTGGGCAACATCCAAGACGCCATCAACCGTCATGCTGTGAATGGTACTCGGTACTCTGAGCGAGACATGCTGCAACTCTTCCTTGGCACCTGTCGTGCTGTGGAGGCTATGCACCGGTACCGCCTGCCAGACGTCCCTCTGGGCGGTCGGCAGCCAGAAGCCAATGGACAGCAATCCTCAGCTGGATCGTCGCGGAGGGGTGGGCAACCCTCAAAGAAGAAGATGATGTCTTCCTCCAATGGTCAAGAGGATGAGCAGGACAATGAGCCTCTCATAGAAGGGGCTGCCACGAATGGCAGCTCTGACCCTTTTGGTATCGAATCGGATCCCGAGAGCGATGGGGATGATGAAGATGGCAGCGCTAGGTATCCACCAAAGCCTTCGAAGGGCAAGGGTCGGGAGATCGAGCAGCCTGCATTCGGAGGCGAGGGTCTGGAAGGTGGCAAAGGCGGTGAGCTAGTGCCCTATGCACATCGTGATATCAAGCCTGGGTGAGTTGAAATGGAGCGGAAGACCCACCACACAGTGCCTTAATGACCGATCCACTTTGCTGCGATGTCTCGACCACACCTCAGCAACATCATGGTATCGCAAGGCTCTTCAGCAGAAGGAGACGCTCTGCATGTCCCTATCCTAATGGACTTTGGCTCAGCAATGAAGGCCCGCGTCGTCATCGCCTCACGCAGAGAAGCCGTCGCAGAGCAAGACCTCGCCGCCGAGCACTCCACCCTCCCCTATCGCGCCCCGGAACTCTTCGATGTGAAGACCGATTCTACACTGACGGAAGCCGTGGACATCTGGTCCCTGGGATGTACCCTTTACGCAATGGCCTACCACTACTCGCCTTTCGAGACACCTAGCATGCTAGAGCAAGGAGCCTCTACTGCTTTAGCCGTACTGAACAATAAGTGGGATTTCCCCAAGAATGATCAGATTTACTCGGAGGGGTTCAAGGAAATTGTTAGGAGGTGTCTGGTTGGCGAGCCTGACAAGAGGGCGTCGATTGAGGAGGTCATTGCGTTGACGGACAGGGCATTGGAGAGGATCGTGTAGATAAAACGGTGGCAGCAGCAGCAGCACAAAAGTCACTTGCAAACAAATTTATATCGTAAGGTTCATTCCCGTCTAGAACAAGCGCTCTGTTCTACAGATGGAAGGTCTGTGAAGAGACAAGCGTCTCGTCAGATCGTCTTCGCGCAACTCCACCTGATTGCCCAAGACTTAACAGTATAACTGGCCATTCTCACGGATCGAGAGTCCACATTGAGGAGGTATATCCCCGGCTAAGTTGAGTTTCCGAACCACCGGAGAGTCATCTTCGAGGTGGATTCCCAGTCTGTAAGAATGGCCAGTTATACTGCCAAGTCTTGACCATTCGGATGGAGAAACGTGAACATAAATTGTTCGCAGCGCAGTGGAAACGCAAGCGGATGGTGAAAACGGTGCTATGAACAAATTGTAAGATGGCAGTCTTTGCTTCTTCAAACACACTCGATCGCCTTGTCTTCGGCCCTCCGTGCCGCAACCATCTCCTCGGTGAAGTTAGCTTCGATCAGTAGAGGTATGAGCGAAGCGGCATTCTCGTAGCCATAAAAGTCAATGGCGTAGCATGCCTGCAGACCAGGTTGAGCTGCAGTCCTTCGAGCTCCTTGCACATGCTCCTTTTCGCTTTCGCCGCTGGTCTGCATCAGCTTCCCTGCGATCAGATCTACCATGCGTCGATTCATGCCCTCGATGCCGATGCACTTGGGTCCCGTCTCCCACCAGCCCTTGGCCACGACGGGAGGCGTAGCCCGAGGGAAAGTAGCACCGCTAATGAAGTCCAGGGCGAAAACGTCTGGATCTGCGCCTGCTTCATCGAGCAGCTGACTCGCCAGGTCGAATTTGACGGGTATATTGGAGGAGGAGCCAATGTTGAACCAGTCCTGCGTCTTGACCTTTTGACCCGAAAGAGGCAAGGTGTACTCCCATACGCCTTTTTCGTTGTTGGGCCAGATGGGAGGGTGAATCCCACCCACTCTGTCTTCGTTGGATTCCCCAAAGCGGGAGAACATGACGATTTTTCCCCTTGCTTCTCCCAGCGTGGGGATCTTTGGACTGAGGAACCACTTGTCCTCATTGGGTCGCACGTAGAGGTCGAAGAGCAGTCTCTTCATCAATTGCCGATCTCCCTTCTCCTGCTTGATGGAAATGATGACCGTCTCTCTCCTGCTACGCTCGTCTTTGAGAAAGTCGTACACCTGCTGAAGAGCAGCGCCGAGCTCAATCCTCTCCGCCGTCAGGCCATGGTACGCTAGTAGTCTCTCCTTGCCCTTGCGCCCCTTGGGTGTGACGCGAAAGTCCATGAAGCGGATCCCGTCTTCAAGTTGGGCACGGATGGTCGAGGTGACCTCTTGACATTGTGCAATTGGCCAGCCATAGCGAGCGAAGGTCTCGTGAGTACCAGGAATGGAGAGGGCGGAGAGACAGACCGAGTCAGGCAGGAGGGACATAAAGTTGTCCTTGTCTCGGTTGGGGAGCAGAAGGAGCTGCAGGGGTGGGAAGCTGCCGTCTGTCTTCTCCAACCGTGGTGTTCCTTGCATTGCCCAGAAGCTTGCCGAAGGATTGCAAGGCCCATCAAACTCGACCCGATCCCAGCTGTAGCCTCCAATGCGATCGTGGCGTCGACGTCTGAGACTCAGCAGGACTCGTAAGCTTGCCGTCGAGGTTGCAGAGCTTCCCTCGGCATACTCGTGGAGAGTCTTCTCGTCGCTGCTGTCAATTGACTGTGTGCGAGAGAGCCCATTCTCTCGCCGGACCTGGATGTCAAGGCGTCTCCTCTTGATGGCTCGTTGAGGGTATACTAACTGCCGGACTTCGCCTGGTGCAATGGTAGCGGAACGTGGGGAAGGCGCGAATTCGCTGGCCTTGCTTTGACCTATGTGCGGGATGGCTACAGATACGGCTTTTTGTAGCCGATTGTGTACAACGATACTGAGGGTGGCTTCCATTGGCGTCGGCTCCATGGTGAGGCCGGGTACGAGGGATCCGGATAGAGATGAGCTCGCCTGTATCATGGAGGGCGACCACTGTAGCGGGGCAATGAGTCTGTTTGATCGTCATGCATATTTCAAACGCCGCTTCCCGTCGATGGCTAGGGTCCGGACGCGACTCGGATCACGGCCAGACAGGTGGGGAAGGACCCTTTGACAGCCCGGGTCAGTATTGGGAGGGGGGAGAACTTCGAGATCAGAGGCAGTGGGATGCTTGAGGTCTGTCAGATGTTTGGTCCAGGCACATCCTGTTTGTGGCGCTCGAAGTGGCTCAGCGATTACGTCGTCGTCTGGGGGCACAAGCTAGAAGCTGGCTGGGCAATCGTCCAAAGCGAGGCGGAGTATCGATGGTAATGTGTACTTCACCTTGTAGTGCTGCTGATTGCAAGCAGCTCTGGTGCGACTCACTCCTGCCTGAGGAGCTTAGCCTGGCGAAGAAGTGAGATGGGATGAGGCTCCTGTGGTTGAAGTGGAGCCTGGTGCAACGATGAAGATTGCTCCGCTCGCGTGGTTGCGGGATTCCTTCGGCGACTTTGCGCCGAGTCTTTGGCTTTCGGCTTTGATCTGCCCACGCGCCCGATGCAACGCCACATGGCTCAGCTCCCGGCAAATGCGGCACGGCAGCAGAGGGCGGGAAGCACCACGCCACTGGCATGCGGGAAGATGACGCGGGAGTTTTGTCATGCCCCCTGACCGCCCGCTCCACCATCACCACACCACGGAGGAGAGGCGACCGTGAATTTTCCTTTGCATCTCTTCTTCCTAGCTTATCGTCTGCGCCTTATAATACTCTTGGTACCACGCAGCGTGCTCTGTCTTCTTCAGCTCTGCTACCTCAACTTCTCCTCAAGACTTGACCTCCTTCTTCAGGCTTGCTAGCCAGGCTCTTCCTTTTCACAGTTTCACAGAGGTCTCTCCACACACAAGCAGCCGTCTTCGTTCAGGCCTCTCTCGAAACCAACCGCAACCCCTGACCTAAGTCGATATTCCTGTTCTCCCCATCATCGCTACAAACATGAGCAACTTCAATATGCGCGACGCAAACGAGAACTTGGACCTAGAGAAGCAAGGGTCAGAGACCACCGCTACGGCAGAGCCCGAGTCGCCCTCGGAGGAGGAGAAGCGCGAAAATCCCACCGCCCTTCCAGAGTCGACAACAAAGCCGGCCACGAGCTTTGCTCCTATGACACCACCTAGGTATGGCAACAAGGGTCAACAGCAGCAGCAGCAGGATGGTGCGCCAGTGCAGCGTACCTTTTCACGGCGAGAGCAGCTGCACCACACCGAGTCGCACCTGTTTGGTGGAGATCTAATTCGCCAACAGACCGAGCTCCAGCTGACACACTTCCAGTCGCAGCAGGGCAAGGATGTCATCACTGTGCACTGGGAGGGCGAAGGCGACATGGAGAACCCCCTCAATTGGGGTAGACTGTACAGGTGGTACATTACCGCACTCGGTGGTCTCCTCGTCCTCAACTCGACCTTTACATCGTCGGCTCCCTCGGGAATTGTTGCGGATATGGAGGTCACATTTGGCTTCTCGCAAGAAGTCGGAATTTTGACTGTGTCACTCTTCGTTGCCGGGTGAGTACTTGACTGACAGGTGCATGAGCGCGCGATGAATCTCTGGTGAACGCAAAATTGACGGCTTGCTGTTGACACCCCTTTCCACCAGGTACTGTTTGGGACCTCTGATTTGGGGACCTCTTTCTGAGCGCGTTGGTCGTAAGCCCGTCTTCCTGGTCGCCATGGCCTGCTATACCGGCATGAACGTCGGCTGTGCCCTCGCTCCCAACACTGCTGCCATTCTGATCTTCCGTTTCCTGTCAGGCGCCTTTGGAGCTTCTCCACTCACCAACGCTGGAGGCCTGATTGCCGACATTTGGGACGCAAAGACACGTGGTGACGCAATGGCCATCTTCTCCATTGCTCCCTTTGCTGGACCTGCCCTGGGACCCATCGTCGGTGGATTCATCTACGTCAGCGGTACAAATTGGCGATGGCTCTTCTGGGTCTGCACCATCTTCTCCGGTGTTTGCTTCCTCCTTACCGCCTTTACACTGCCCGAGACGTACGCGCCCATTCTCCTCAAGCGCAAGGCAGCTAGGATCAGGAAGGAGACCAACGACGAGCGATACCAGTCGCCAATGGACATGGCTCCTCTGAGTGTCGGACAGCTCATCAAGGGAATTATTTCTAAGCCCTTCATTCTGCTCTTCATGGAGCCAATGCTTTTGGCCATTACCATCTACATGTCCTTCACCTATGGACTTCTCTACCTTCTCTTCGAGGCCTACCCAATTGTCTTTGTCGAGGGTCACGGCTTCAACCAAGGAATCGATGGTCTGATGTTCCTCGCCTTCTTCATCGGTGGAGCCATTGCAGTCGTCATCTACGTCACTCTCATCAACCCTCGCTACGTGAGGAAGCTCGAAGCGCTAGAAAAGGGCCAGCGAGTTCCCCCCGAAGTACGACTGTTGCCAGTTATGATCGCTGCTCCTCTACTAGTGGTAGCCCTCTTCTGGTTCGCATGGACCTCTTACCCTTCCATTTCCTACTGGTCTCCCATGCTCGCCGGAGCCCTTCTAGGTCTGTGCCTCCTCTTCATCTTCGTTGGTCTCTTCAACTTCATCGTAGATGCCTATCTGGCCAATGCAGCCTCGGCCCTCAGTGGAAACACAGTCTGCCGATCTGCATTTGGAGCTGGATTCCCCCTCTTTGCCACACAGATGTTCCAGCGATTGGGAACACAGTGGGCAGCCTCCCTACTGGGATTCCTCGCGCTGTTGATGGTGCCTATTCCTTTCATCCTGTCGAGGTACGGTGCAAAGATTAGGGCAATGTCGAAGCACGCTGCGGAGTAAAAGAGGGAGGCGACCTTGTATTCCCTTCCTGCCTGCAACCGTAGATGCGTTTGGCTTTCCCCTATCCCTGTCATCTCCCATCATATCCCCCCACTTGTTTTTAGGCTCTCTGCTCACGACTGACAATAACTTATTGTGTTCAAAACGAAGCTGGTGTGATCTGCGCATAGTGTCAAAACGGGGCGTAACACGTATGATATTTTGGCACAATGGAGACAAGACGATGATGGAGGGAGCGTAAAGTCCTCTTTCTGCAATTGCTTGCGAAATATGAGCTAAAGTAGAACGAAGGAAATAGTCTGCCTGCCACATATCGAAAGGCTCATTGTCTTTGGCCTTGCTGCTGCATGAGGGCTTGCTGTCGATAGTATCTATGAGTGGTTCAAGAGGCGAAGGGTGAGATGCCAGAGGTCAGTCGCTGAACATCGTTCTCAAGCGGCATGCTACATCGATCGCAGTACTCACTCTTCCCACTCCTTCGAATAATCCTTTTGCTCTCCACCAGCAGCCGCTGCCCCCTCTGCAGGTTGTTGACCTCCTTGTTGTTGAGCGGCCTGCTGAGCATAGTAGGCTGCCCATTCGGCGGAATAGTCTTGCTGGCCTTCGGCACCACCTTGAGCTCCATGACCTTGTTGTCCCCAGCCGCCCGCTGCTCCGCCTCCATAGCCAACACCTCCTCCAGCGCCATGAGCTGACCCCCACCCTTGACCCGGGCCGGCGTGCGCATTGGCCCCAGATGCAGCAGGTCCGCCATAGCTGCGAGGGTGAAAGAAGAAGCATATCATGTCAGTATGAGAATGATTTCACTTCCATTCGCATTCGTCGACGCTACTCACCCGCCATGCTGTCCTGGTCCTCCAAATCTCGGCCCACGTCCACCTCCTCCGCCAAAGGAAGGCTGTGCCCAGACGTCCGGCTGCCTCCACGGAGGAATCTTCTTCCCGTCCGGTCCTACAGCGCTCGGCGTCGAGCTGCCACCAATTCCAGGTCCATGTCCACCAAAGCCTCCCTGTTGTGGTGTGCCAGATCCTCCACGGGGCCCGCCTGGTCCTCCAGGTCCTCCCGGCGCACCCCCTTCTCCTAGCTCGGCCATCAGACTTGCGTACTCCGAGTCGAAGCCTCCACCAGGACCACCGGGACCGCCCTGTGCTGGACCTCCTGGCCCGCCAAAGCCACCACCAGGCTGCATACCACCACCCATCCTGGGCTGCGTACAATCCCTAGCCAGATGCCCTTGACCGCCACAGCGATGGCAGATGATGTGAGCTGTGAAGTTCCGATCCTCTGTACACTCGAACCGCCTGTGACCCTTCATTCCGCAATTCTGGCAGACCTGGTTCTCGTCGTCTCGCAGAGTACCGTTGAGAGTTGCAAGTTCTCGCAATTGGTTCCTCTTGTGGTCGTTTTGAGACTCTGGGGTCGAGGCGGCAACCTCAATGACGCCATTGATGAGCCTGACGCAGTGCTTGACCTTGGCTTCGTCGTCTGCTGTGATGACACAGTGCATTTCCTCCTGATCCTCTTCATCGCCTCTTCCCTTACCATCCTTCACACTGCCCTTTCCGCGAATGGCGATCTTGGCTCCACTTTCCCTCTCCATGCCCTTGAGCGTATTACCTCGAGGTCCCACGAGAAGACCAAAAAAGTTGATCTCGGGAAACTCCTTGAGTGGGAGATAGACCTTCTCCATGGGCTGACGATTGCGCTTCGTGGCTGCGTACTCAGCAGGAGGCCTGAAATTCGGGTCCATTTTCATCTGTCGTTCCACAAGCTGAATTCGCTCATCCTCGAGCTTCTTCCTGTACCGCACTTCTCTGGTATTTGTCCTGCGACCCTGAGCATCGTAAGTGGGAGGAGGTGAAGGGCTGCGTTCCCTCTCGGAAGGTACCACATCACCTGTCCGGAGCTTGTTGGAGATCTCATCCAATCTCACTTGCACGGCGTATCTGTCCAGGTCTGCAACGCTGACGGCCCCAGTGATGGCAGTGGTGACATTGGCGGCCGGTGCAGCATCGCCCCAACGCGATTTCCTTTTGCGAGGAGCTAGGGAACATAGAGAGCCAAAGAGTATATCAAGATGAGCCAAGACTGCCTTCAAGGAAGGCGTCAGGCAAAGGCCGAGCACGTACTCACCTCCATCATCAGGCGTACCACTTCCTTCCTCCCTTCCCCTCTTGTCGGCGGCAAGCCCACCTCCTCCGTTCAGCCTCGCGGCGATCTCCGCCGCCCGATTTGCGGCAGCAGCAGCGGCCGACGGGATGGATGGCAGTCCAGAAGGACCGCCGTAAGGCTGCGAGGCTCCAGTGTACGATTGCGACATGGGCGGTGAGCCATAGGACGAGGCTCCATTGCCATTGTAGCCAGAACTAGGCGGGGCAGGCGGAGAAGCTTCATCCCCTCCTCCACCACCCCAGCGACGGACCTTGGCTAGGGGAGCTGCGTTCTCCCCTGTTCGTTGCGAGTTGCTTCTCCAGGACATGGTGGAGTATGATGCAAGTAGTGAGGTGGAAGATGGAAAAGCGGAAGGCGGAGGAGGCGCGAGAGCCGGGGTGAAGCCTGCTTCGGTTTTGATTTTCCGGGATCAATTCTTCGAGAAGGCTCGGGGCAGGCGAAATCACGGCCGTAAGTACTGAGCTGGCTGATGACGCGGCGGTATGACAGATAGAGCAGAGTAAGGGTGATATGCCTCCCAAGCGAAGGTGACGGTGATGGTATGGCGGAAGGAGGAGATGCGATGTGGGTCGTCGCTCCTGCGTGGCGGATGGGCGAGGCGAGCCAGGGCGGCCGAGAAGAGGCGGGGGCGTGGCTGAGTCTGCGCGGCGCTCAGGCGAGGAAGTCACGCCAGGACCATGACTACTCATTGCCATCACACTGGTGCGGAGCGAGTGTCACGCAAAGAACCAAAAGCAGGTTGGACATCTCGTATGCGCTATGCGGCACCACCAATTCAGAAAGTAAGCGTAGTGGAAATACATTGTGGGTGCCACATTCACAATTGGATGACATAGATGACATGCACTTACGCCGGGGCTAAAGAAAAATTCGATAGAACCCGACCTTTTGGACCGGCGTAGCCCTTCACCCATCCCTACGAATGCTCAAAATGCCAGCTGGCTTTGTCTGATGAAGATCTAGATTGAGTCAAGGGGGGTGCAAATTGTTCAAAGGGAACGCTGCGGCATCGTACGACAATGCCTCGGCGAGCGCAGCCTCGGTCTGCCTGTCCCGCTCTCGCTCTTCTTCACTGGTACAGGGGGCTTGGATACCAGTGAAGGCGCCAGTATCAGTGTTAGGTGTGACCAGTGTGCTGTCCGCAGGCGCGACAAGGCCGTAGTTTCCGTTGCTGCCTGGGAGGTCAGGAGGCGGGATGCTTTCATCTTGCGCGGGCATCACGGAGGTTGGCACTGGTCGATAGTTGCCCTGCAAAGCCGGATATGAGGGGAATGGGTGGCTTGAAGGTCCAGCGCCATTGAGGTCATTGATACTGCGGTGGTAAGGCTGATAAGAAGGTCCAGCTCCATTCGCTTCATTAATGCTGGGAAAGTATGGCTGGCTAGATGGACCAGCCCCGTTGGCCACGTTGATGTTGAGGCCTAGAGTATTGTCCATCATGTATACATTGCCGGCAGAAGCAGAGCGAAACCCTAGTCTCTCATTGCCAAGCATCGGTGTGCTGGAAGAAGGCGCTGAGGGGACAGGAGCAGAGGCCGTTGTCGCAGCTCTGTCTCTCCTGGTCGAGCGGGAGTCAAAGGCTTTTGATGACCAGGTAGACCCGGCTCCCAGTTGTCCGCCAGTCTGGGCGGCAGCGGCTCTGAGTGCAAGCTCAAAAGGGGTGGAGGTACGATCGGCAATGGATCGCTCATTGCGTCGTTGCGAGCCACTCGAGGTCCAGGTGGGCGTCGTGGCAGCAGAGAGCGGCGCAGACTGTACTATGTCCGGCTTTCGGGATGAGGGTAAATCTAATCGCAGGTTCGGGACGCTGGCACTGTTCCGTTCAAGGCCCGGCCCTGGCAGAGACTCTTGGTAATTGCCAGGCAAGGGCTGCCAGGACTCTCTTCTGTTCTGCGGCTGGCATGCAGCAGGCTGGCCAAAAGCCTCAAAGCCCGGAGCAGAAGGTTGGTTGAGGATTGCATCTCGCCATCGGTTGATGTCAGCCCACTGATTGTGTTGGCCTGCATCAGCTTGAGGTGACCAAGTGGCAAGAGGGTTGACCTCTTCATTCGGTCGTCGAAAGCTGCGATCTTGATGGACTACCTGACGGTAAGCAGCTCCGTCTGCACCGTCCATGTCGTTCAAGGGTCCTGGGACAGGGTCATCGTTGTTTTGAGCCGCCGCAGCTCGGCCTCGTCGCTTCTTTCTCGGAGGGGGCGGAGGTGCTAGCCAGGCAGGATCGGGCAGGATCGTCCGAGGGACTACCAAATCGTTTTCGTGATGTGACAATTGCTGTCGCAAACATTCAATTTCCATGCGTAGCTCCGCGATGACACCGGCTTGTAAAGTCGATCTTTCCCGGAGCTACGATGACAAGGGCCGATGGTGAAGATGGAATGTCAGCTGATGCCTCTCGCGAACGGGGCTTCACATCAATGCTCACCTCCTTCATTTCCCGTTCTTGACGGACTCGAAACTAGTCCCGGGTACCAAGCGATCAACGAGGTGCGGATGTAAGTAGAAGGGATCGAGTGGAGTCAGCGTCTTTCACCCAACGTTCACCCAACACAAGAGCACGATCACAGCAATGGCCACCTTGACCCACCCTGCCTTGAGCTGCTCTGACCTGGCCTCGTCGCCTGATATCCCTCTCGTCTTCTTCATCCATATCCATCTCATCGTCTTGGACGACCGCTGCTGGTACTCTCGCTGCCATATCGAACAGCAAGCGACGAGCTCTCCTTGGTATATCTGAGACTGTGTTGCCGCTGCTACCACAGTGTGATACCTCTTCGAACCTGGGGTGTCGTTGAAGCCGTCTAGCAACAAAAGCACCACGGCAGGAGATCGTGGAATCCGGTCAGACGAAGCTGTATGACAAGGTCTTCTGGACGAAGAGCCGTATGGATGAGTTGTTGGACTGGATGGCTATGATTGGTGATGAGAAGATTAGTGAGAAGTGTGATCAGTCAAGAAATGATGACTAGGGTGGGGTGTGGGGGTGAGGAGGACCGGGATCGAGCTCAAATTTAGGTCTTTCGCACGAGCGACGGGCAGGGTGGATTCAGGCTCCCTTCCCAGCAGGGGCAGCGTTGTCGGAGGGGCAAGTAGCCATCGGTAAGCAGATCGGCAGCAATGCAGAGGATTCTGGGTGACTTGACGCATGCTTGCATGGACCAAGTGCACAACACTAGGTAGAGATGCGAGCAAGAGACGCCATCTCTGCCTCGAAAGTACGATGGTTCCGATGCACTGCCATGACGGAAGCACATTACACTCAGCTACACACACGATCTTCTCGCGTGGCTCTTTACCTACGCAGGCACAAATGAGGGACCAGGCACCACGCCTCTCTGTCGTCATCCTGCGACTTCAGTCCCGCTGCCCCACCCAGAATCGCATAGACGATACGCCTCGCCTGCTCAGACTCTTCTGCTGTTCTTCCCTGTGGCCTCTCGTCCGTTCCTCGTTGCTCGCCTCTGTGTCGACGGGTTCCAACCTGTCTGAGGCTTCGTGGGAATTCAAGCTGTCGTCGTCGTTGAGCACGTGAGCTAACCTACATGCCTCGACTGCACCCTGTCTTGGCACCCGTCCTACCGAGTCCTATTGCAAGAGGCCGTAGTGAGCCTGCGCCCAGCCCTACGTCTGTCCATGTCCAATTCTGCAGTGCCCGTGTAGCGTAGGACGAGTAGATTGCCCGCACTGCATGGCTGCGTCTGCACGAGCGGGCGACCTCAGCTCGCTTGGCCCTCGATGCTCCCGGCGGCTAGTCTATGCGCAAAGCTGCAACCGAGACAGGGGTGCCAGGCAGGGCGTCAAGAGCGAGGCCAGCCACGCGACACGTCCCCCGCCCTCCCCCCTCAGGCCAATTCTGGGTTTTCCTCGTTCCGTCCTTGCTCACCCTGCACTCTGTTCCTGTCCCTTCCTTGAACGCCGCACGTCCCTCGGCGCCTTTTCCTCTAGACACACATACCTCACACAAACCTCACACCCCCAGCGTCTCTCATAGAGACACTGGATCAGTCATCACAAAACATGACGACGACTGGCAGCGCCCACACGCCCCTCCCTGCCGGCAAGGGCGCACCCCATCAGCATGTGGACGAGGACGAGGAGGAAGAGGACCAGGATTTCAACGAAGTCCCACGTGCTTCCGGCCCCGCTCTAGACACTGACGATGCTAAGCGAGGGCCACCATCAGACTCTGCCTCGGACTCTGAAGACGATGAGGCTGACGCAGTCTTGGTAAAAGAATCGGAACCGGTGGATGAAGAGGAATTGGCAGCTCTGAAGAGGGACGCTGAGGAGCAGCAGAGTGGATTGGGCGGGCAGGAGCTGGGGAGAGGCAAGAGGCGTAGGAAGGAGGGCCCAGATGACGATACGAACGAAGGGTGAGTAGAGATTAGATCAGGCATCCCAGCGCAACAAGATACTGAACACGCCTATACCATCATCCTCTGCTCCGCTATCGCTAAGCTCGAGGACTGTACCCGACAATGAAGAAGCCAAAGCAGCATGGGCAGCTTTCCAGGACAAAGCTGACTCATCAACTGCCTCTGGGTCAAAAGAGATGGTCAAAATCATCGAGCGCTACAAGTTCGCCGGAGACGAAGTGATAAAGGAGCGCCTACTGCCCGCGGACCATCCGGACGCTATAGCTTACCTCAAGTGGGCTGGGTCCACCACTCATCACGACAAGACACAGCAAGACGTAGCAGCAGACACAAGCTCAAGGGAGACGGCACCAGTAGATCAGACGTCCTCCGTTTCCTCTTCTGCATCACGCGTCACATCCTCCGCTCCCGCTCCCGCTCCCGCCTCTGCCTCCGCCTCTGCTCCACGCCCACCTCCTCCTGGCCCTCGAAGGAAGAAGCAGTCCAAGCTCGCTTCCCTCGCCGCTTCCTCCGACGCGCCAAAGAAGATGAATACACTAGAGAAGTCCAAGATGGACTGGGAAGGTTGGAAGAAGGGCGGAAGCTCTGCTACTACTTCTTCTTCTGCCGGCGCTTCAGGCGGTGGTAGTGGCGGTGATGCAAAGGGCTTGGACGGCTTGACGGATCGAGAGAGGGAGGAGATGGAGCAGCAGACCAAGACTGGTTCGGGCAGTGGAAGCATGGCGGGTTACTTGGGCAGAAGCGACTTCCTCGAGAGGGTCAAGGAGCGTACGGAGGGCCAATAAAGTAGTAAACGCAAAAGTGAGCCAGTTCCCTTTCTTATGTAGGGTAGGAAGAAAGGCTGGGTATCATTTTTCTTTTGAGACGTCAAGTCTATTCCGCCCTGTTGCTTTACACATCGCACATCTGTACAATCACTCATCCATGCGCCTGATCCACGTCCGACCCCTGATCCTCGTCATCAGTCTCAGTATCAGCATCAATCTCTCCCGCTCCCACTTCCTTGGCACCGCGCTGAGCCTCCTCCATCTGCAGCAGCCCCTCGATGCTACCAAAGACTCTCAGCTCCCTCTCATCGTCCATGACAGAGTGGAGTTGTCTCAGTTCCTCTGCGGAAAAGGCAAGGCGGAAAGGATACTCGTATGCCTGCAGATAGATGTCTCGGTCAAAGGGACAAGCCGCTACCGCCCGGTAAAAGACTGCTTTGGCCCTCGTAAAGAGCTTCTGCTGAGTACGCAGGCTTACAACTCGCGCCTTGGCCTTGGCATCGGCACGATTGAGGTGACCATCACGGTATCGCAGATTCCGCGTATGCTGCCTCTCGCGCTGCAGATCCGCTAGTGCCTTGGTAGATGTTCGGACCTCAAAGGAGAGGTAGAGAGTCCAGAGCACGTTGGACGTCTTGGTGACCTCTTGCTGTAGGGCCCGCTCGAAGAGGGAGCGCACGAGATGCGCATTGACGACTTCCCTATTGAGATGCAGCTCGATGTAGATGGCCATCAGCCAGCTTTTCTCTGCTTTGTGCTCGAGCGCGAAGAGTCCCTCCACCTCTTGGTCCTCGACAAGGGAAGCGAGGCTCTGCAGCCGGGAGTCGGCTACCTGCTCGAGCGGCTGGAAGACATACTCTTCCAGGGTACGTCTGACCACGCCCTCAATCCTGAAGCGAGACTCGTGGGCAGCGAGAAGCGCCTGAAAAGTCAAGTCGTGCGGAAAAAGCCTAATCGATTGCACCAAGGCTCTTCGAACCTCGTCTGGGCGATAGACGGGCCTCTCTTGTGAGAGGTGGTACCAAACGATACGCAGACGCGCTTCGCATAAATGGTACGTATAGTCATTCGGAACTGAATCTATGATGCCGTCGAAGAATGCAAGGATTGCAGCGAGACGTCGCTCAGGCGGCGCCATAAGGTAGTGATACCATGCTGCTGACACAAGTGCTGATAGCGAAGCTGAAGAGTTGTCTTGATTTGCCTTGTCGCGAATGGTCGAGTAGTAACGTCGAGCTTTAAGCTGCTCAGCCACAGTCACAGTCGAATCCTCGTCTCCGGAGACGTACCTATGGCCATTGGATGCAGCTTTCTCCAGGATGTTCAGAGCAACGTCTGCCATGTCAAGACCGATGTGGAATTCAACGGCATCGACCACTCCGAGCTCCAGCTCTGGCGAGAAAGGGAGCGAGCTTTCATTCAGAGCAAAGACACGTCCCCTCGCAAGATCGGCACGATCCTCGCCGTCCGTCAGCTTTCGCATCGGTTCTTCCAGTATCGAAGCATCTCCTGTCTTGACAGCGATCGCTAGCTGTAACACGGCTACCGCACCTTGCTCTTCGGCAGTTGTAGTGACAAGTTGTGCCAGCATCAATGTGAGCCACTTGAGGTCTGCCGTCGCGAGGGGCGGGCTCAAATCCTTGCAAGAGAAGGCCAGGCTGCTCAGAGGTCTTGCAATGCCGATCAAAGGGCAAGCCCAAGGATTGCCTAGCCTTGTCTGCTGCTTCGAGTCGATTTCCACGTCGCCGCCCTTCTCGTTCTGCCACCCTTTATGCAGCGACGAAGGCCAGAAGCGGGCAGACCACTCCTGAGTAGCAATCTGCTTGAGCACAGGACGATCTGCTACCTGTGAGAGATTTCTGACTCCGTCAGTCATTGCCAGACCCAAGAACTGGGCAAGATTGCGAAGAGCCTGTAAACGAAGTTCTGCCGGTAGCCCTGAGATCAGGAAAGGTCGGATATCCGAGAAGAGGATGACACTGAAAGGATCCACTTCACCTTCGCCAGCCGAATATATGGGCGGATCATCGGTCCTGGCAGGCCTTTGACGTAGATGAGCTAGCTCTCTCTGAGCTGCGACCCACCGGTCGAATGGACTCCTCCAATGCGCTTGCCCTCCTTTAGTCACCGAGGGTGAGACGCTACGAGCCCTCTTCTCAGGCTCCCCGACAAATGCGCTTGCTTGCAAAATAGCGCCTTGTTCGCCAATCCGAGGCTCCTCGCAGTCCCAGTGCTTTTGAAGCTTGTCCTTCGCTTCCTCACCGGAGGAGAACGGTACAAGGCTAAGCTCAATTTGAGCCTGGAGGATCGCAAAAGCTCTGGCAGAGTATCCAGCTCGTTGCAGAAGCTCGCAGAGGCGAAGTTGCATGGAAAAGCAGTATTCGAAAGCGTACGGATGTCCGAAAGTGGCGAATGAGCTAAGCGCTTCGGCATAGCTGGCGCAGACGTCGCTGAGAGTAGCAGAAACTGATGTAGGCTTCCAGGAGAGGTACAGCGCCCACACTGCTTGCGCCTGCCTGGGGCTATGATTGCTGCCTCTCTCCGAAAGGGAGCGGAGCAGCCGCCGAAACTCGGCTTCCACTTTGGCATCGTCCCACAAGCCTCCTGAGATCGCCACTTGCAGACGAGCAAGGCCAATGACGATGGAAGCAGAATTTCCAGGATGTGCTCGCTGGCCCTTCTCGAGCACCGATAGCTGTACCTCGGCTATCGTTCTACGTGCTGCACTCCCCCTCTCCCTAGAGCCTTGACTTTGCCGATAAGAGCCGATGCCGACCACCTGCTGCTGCAGATCTGCTAAGGCGAGCCAAGCTCTGATGTCAGCCGGATGAGCTCGTGCACGCTGATCTATGTCCCTCAGTCTAGCTGTGAGGGCAGCTTCCTCGACTCCAGTTTTGAATTCGTGATCCTCCGAATCGCTCCCGGAAGAGCAAATATGCTCTTCGTCTGGAAGAACATCGCCAGCAGCGATCTGAAAGGGATCTTCAACGTGAGCATTGCTGCTCGAAGTTCTCCTGGCCACCGCTCCAAGTCTGACATAGTCTTCTTGCCCGCCTTCAAGTCCAGGGCCACTAGCCGATGGCAAAATCCTTTTACGTGCGGGTCTCAAAGTCTGATGCCATGTTCGCGCACCAGAAGGCTGTGCAGAGCGTCGCCAAGAATCACCGACTTCAATCCCACTATTGACTACAGCCATAATGCGCATGTGTCCCGGCAGGCCCAGGATGGCCCCCTTGCCTGCACGCTTGTAATTGGGTATCTGGCTGGCCTCCGGCCCTCCATAGCGTGAGGCCATGCCATCACCGCGAACGTCATAAGTGCCCGCGGTCCAGTCCTGTATGACTGATTTGATCAAGGAGAGCGACAACATTGAAAACTCAGGATCTCTCCGCCCCTTGGCGATTTGAGTCTCATCGGCAGACTCGATGTGCCCTCTGTTGATCGATGTTCTTGATCCTCGGCTCTCCTGAACATCACGGGACGAGGTCGAGGATATGTTCGAGAGCTTCTCGCGCGCTGTGGTCGTGGTATCTCTTGATCTGTGCTTTATAGCTTCACGATGGGAATATTGCTCAGCATGCTCCCGCCGATGTCTTGACCGGTGCCGCTCATCTCTGTCCTCCCTGCCAAGCTCCTTTGTGGACCAATCCTGCCCCTCTCTCTCGCCTCTTCGTGAGTCTGAGTGCCGTCTCTTTTCCACGTCTGAGGTCGTCGCGTGCCTCCTGCTGTGATTTCGCCTGTCGTCGGGCTCATCGTCCGGGTCTCGATCGTCGTACGTGCTTCGATACTTGTGTCGGCGAGGCTCCTCCTCCTCCTTCGAACGATGTCGTCTGCGCTTCTTGTCGTGCTTGGAGGTCGAGGCTTCTGGCTCGATCGTCTGTGGAAGCTCGAATGAGGAGAAGGAAGGAACTTGAGAAGGCATCGCCTGCCTCTACCTGAAGGCGACGATGGTCATTGGTAAGATGCAGAAGGAATGGTAGACTGCCTCCATGGAGCCTTTCGATTGCGTTTCCGTTTCTCCACACGCACACGGAAAGGGAGAATCTCGCGTTCCGGCGTTCCTTCTTCCTGATCCTCTACTCTGTTCAGGGGCCCTCTTCAGCTTGACATCGTCCTCAACATGTCCAATATCTACGTAACAGAGCCTCCGACGAGCGGCAAGATACTCCTCTCCACGTCCAAGGGGGACATTGAGGTGGAGCTATGGGCCAGAGAGGCGCCCAAGGCTGTGCGCAACATCATTGCCCTAGCAATGGAAGGCTACTATGACAACATGATCTGGCATCGGATAGTGCCTGGCTTCTGTATTCAGACAGGAGACCCTACCGGTACGGGCACCGGAGGTGAGTACTGAGACGGAGAGAAGGTCAAGCACACGAAGAGCACAAAGCTGAAGCTCGCGACTAATCACTCCTTGTACAGGCGAATCATTCTATGGAGAGCCCTTCGAGGACGAGCCGCATCAGAGGCTAAGGTTCACACGGCGTGGTCTGCTCGCCATGGCCAATCCAGGAGAGCACAACATGAATGAAAGCCAATTCTTTGTGAGTAGTACCCTGTGTGATCTTTCGATTTGTGCGAAGGGACCCGTTCTAAATTCACAAGCCCCATCTCAGATCACCCTCGATGCTACCCCCGAGCTCACTGCCAAGCACACAATCTTCGGTCGAATATCAGGCCCGACTATATACAATGTCTTGAGCCTGGCTGAAGTTGAGCTCTCGCCGACAGAGCCGGACCGACCTCTCTATCCGCCCAAATTGCATACGATCAAAGTGCTTGAGAACCCGTTCGATGACATCGTTCCTAGAATTACGAGGGAAGAGAAGTTGGCTCAGGAGGCCAATAGGCGGAAAGCGCGAGCTGAGGCTGGAAAGAGGCGAGAGAAGGTCAAGAAGTGAGTGCAGACATGATCGGCTCATCAAGAGACCACTGGAAACTGACCATTGCTGCAACCCAATGAATCTCATAGGAACACTGGCCTACTGTCATTTGGAGAGGCTGAGGAGACAGAGGATGACGGTCGCTTCAAGGGCCCAAAGAGCAGCCACGACCTGTTGAAGAATGATAAGAGACTGCGTAGAGAGGCTGCATCCCCTGTCGCTGCATCGCCGATGTCAGCGCCTCCTGTAAACGGCGGGAGTAGCAGCAAGCAGAGTGCAGAGGATCATGCAGACGACGGCAAGCAGAAGAGGTCCAAGCAGGCCACCGAGACGTCCATCGACCTGTCGCGCATCAGAGCAGAGCACGAAGAATCCAAAGCGTCGAAGGATGCCCAGGCTCAGATTCAGGAGCTCGAAGATAGTATACGAGGTCTATCGAAGCGGAAGAGCGAAGGCCAAGACGAGACGGAAAGGCGCAAAAAGATCAACAAAGGAAAACAACTACTAGAAGAGGCCAGGATGAAGTACGCCAACTCGAAAGTATCTGCAAAGGGTAAAAGCAAGGAGAGCGAGACGATGGATCTCCTCAAAAAATTCCAAGCTGATCGGAAGAGAGATGAGAAGGCGAAGCTAGGCGAGGACGCCAAGCAGAAGGGCACAGCGGCGCTTGCCGAGGACGACGAAGAGGAGTACGAAGCAGGTATGAGGGAGTACGGTGCAAGCGATGAAGAAGGCGACGACGACAAGGACTGGCGCAGCCACCGCTTCGACTTTGGCGGCAAGCAAGTCAATGAGGACAAGTACACTACAGACACGTACGTCACTCTCGACCCTCGCGACACCTCCTCTTCTGCTGCTGCCTCCCTCGGCTTTGGGAGTGGCGATGCACAGAAGAAGGCGAGGGAAGAGGCGCTCAAGTCTTCGGGCAGGAAAGGAAGGGACTATGTCGATGAGAGGAAGTGGGATCAGAGGAGGGAGGGAAGGCAGGATCGGGATAGAGGCGGACGAGGGGACTACAGACAGAGTGACAGAAAGGACGAGAGGGATGAAGCCAGACCAAGAGATATTGAGAGATGGTAACGCTTTCAGCAATCGAGAAGGCTGGTCCCAAAGGTTGTGTACTATTACTGTCATGATAAATGGAGGGATATCAGTCTAATTACAAAGGGTCGGATAGTCTATGTAGCAGCGGCTATCTATGTCAACTCAAGTCTACTTCTGCCAACGCAGAAACCTTTTGCAATACCTCCTCCCACTCCTTGTCCGCATCGGACAGGTACGTGATCGCTCCTCCAGCCCCGATTGAGATCGTCCCGTCTTGTTCCACGACGGCAGTGCGTATGACGACGGAGAAATCGGCCGCTCCGTCCACACCAATCCATCCGAGGGCGCCAGAATAGACGCCTCGCGGTCTGTGCTGCAACTTCCACTCCTGCCCTTCAGCAGCACGACTCTTCCCCTCGAGTCGCTCAAGCAGCGTGACGCTGCGTCGCTTGGGCGCTCCTGTCATGGAGCCGGGAGGGAAACATCTGCGGAGCGCCTCGACGGGCCCGATATTCTTCTTTGCCACACCCTGCACTGTCGTCACCAGCTGGTGGACACTCTCGTAACTCTCCACCTGCATCAGCGTTGGCACTCTTACGGAAGAGGGCAAGCAGAAGGACATCAAGTCCGCCCGGATCAGGTCGACGATCATTAGGTTTTCGGCACGCTCCTTGGGGTCAGCTTCGAGCCTTGTCCGACGGAGAGCATCTTCCTGCTCGGCCCAGCGGGGTCCTTTGGACGCTAGAAGGTTGGCTTCTCCGCGCCCAAAGCCAGCCCTGGGAAGTGTGCCCTTGATCGGCTTCATCTCCACCTGACCTTGGGCTGTCATCGACAGGAAACGCTCTGGAGAGGTGCTAAGGATCACCTTGTCGCCAGCAGCGCCAGTCCGAAGATCGATGAATGCCGAGTACGGCGCTGGGTTCTTGGCGCGCAGAGCTCGATAGATGGCGAAAGGGTCGCTCGGCTCCCCCGTAGACAGCTGGCCCACGAATTGTGTGGTGAGACAAAGCTCATAGCTCTCCCCTTGCGCAATCAGAGCTCTGGCGGCCTCCACCTTTGCCTTGTAGTCATTCGGCGAGTCGAGGGGGCGCAGGCGTGGTAGAGCATGCCCTTTCGCAGAGATCACGGGCATCATGCCTCTGGCTGCTGCCGAAAGGGTCTTCTGCACCCTTTCGATCCAAGCGTGCGCCTCTTCGGCAGTCAGACCAATCTCTTTGCCTCGTACACGGCGCAGCTCCTGCAACAGAGGTGAGCTCGTGAGCGTCTCCTTCTGACATTCTGTTCTGCGGACTAGCACAGACGCGCACCAACGGCCGTGCAGATGGTCGTATCGCAACACAGCCTCGCAGAAGCCGAAGACAGAAGCTGCATCCCTGCCGTTAGAATCGCAGGGTGAGGCAGATATTGTTTCGTCCTCGTCCAAGCCCAGTGACTCGTCTTTCATCTCAAAGCCCCAGTTACCGACGAAGCCAATGCGGAAGAGGTTCGATCGAGATGCCTCGTCGATGTCTTTGACCCGAACCGCATGATGCAGCTCCTTTTGCAGCGCATTCATGTATGACCAGAAGCTGGTGTGCCCTTCTGTCTCGACCCTGGCCGGATTCGCAGATGAGATCTGCTCAGCGAGCATCACCTCTGATGTGGATCGCTGATACGACAATGTGAAGCTAGGCCGAGACATGTAGGAGTTCTTTGCTTGAGGGTCGCCTCTTCGAGCTGAGTCCAGCCAGATTGAGCCGGAGCTACCTGAGCGAAAGAGGTTGTGGAAGATGGCTTCCTCAGGTTCAGGTGATCTCGCAGGAGATGCCTCAATTTCAAAGAGATGCTCTAGTATTTGCAGTGGTGGCTTGACAGACATCTCGGGTCCGTTGACCTCGCTTCCGCTAGCAGCGGCTACGTATCTTTGGCCTTCGGCGACAATTGACGCAGGTATACCAAAGCTGCTCGAGGAAGCAAATGTAGGGGTGGGCGTCGAAGAGAAGGACGACGCTACGCAATTTTGCGTGAATCGGAGGAAATTGCTCAAAATTACTACCCCAGCTTGAGATTCAATCGACTCAGGATGAAATTGCACACCCCACAGAGGGAGAGTCTTGTGCGCTACACCCATGATCGACCGTTCCGAGGTGACCATGTGCGGAGAGGTGGCTCTGCTGCGCATCAAGTCCGAGGATGGAGAGGGCGTTGTGACCGTGTTGGGGAGGTCATCGGCGTATGCGGTGACTTCCAGACAATCTGGCAAGTCTTCGGACTCGATTGTCAGACTGTTGTAGCGCGTCACCATTGTGCCTGCCATCACTCCTTCGAAGAGCCCATTGCCGGTCTTTTCTCCACCTGGAAAGCGTAATTGGCTGGCAGTTCCATGTTGGATAGACTTTGCCCTCTTCACTGACCCCCCGAAAGCTACCGAAATGCCTTGATGGCCCAAGCAGACTCCAAGGGTCGGTATGCCATAGAGCTCTGCCCGCTGCAGAAACTCAAAGCCAAAGCCGAAGTCTGCCCTCCTGTCAGGCGAGCCAGGTCCCGGGGACAGAATCACCGCATCAAAGTGCGGAAGCAGCTTCTGCTGGAACATGTCTTGCGAGGCCAGAAGGCGATGTGTATGCGGCAACACGACGACTCGGTGCGATAGTTCTTCGTCAGAACCGCCTGCTATCGCGGACAAGAGTGAGAGGATATTGAGGGTATATGAGTCAAAGTGATCGACGATGAGGATGCGGGGTAAAGACGAGGCGCTCCCGTTCGAGGTAGCGCCTGCCATCATGGTCGACTCAGATGGGGAGCCGAAGCAAGACTATTTGATGGTCGTTGCCTCCATGCCACCTCAATCAGAGGTGATGCTGATATCGCAGAGCAACGGACAGGAAGATCCTCGTCGGGGCTGACAGTCCAAAAAAGATTTTGACGCCCGGAAGCGGGACGCGGAAAGCGGAAAGGGAGAAATGCTCCTTCTCTCCACTTTCGTATCGCAGAGCGTGAATGCCATGAGGAAAGGTGAGCAAGGAAACTGAAGGCAGAGGGAGAGGGTTCCCAAGTTCGAGAGCTCAAGCCTGCACCTTCACCTCTACGCTGGCTCACAGCGGAGGCGTTAGCGACAGTGTCCCTGCCTGAATGTGCCGATTCGATCGAGTCGCATCCTTGGCTGGACAATGTCTTCGCATTGGCAACCTATCAAGTGGATCAGCAAGAGGTAGACAGGGAGCTCGGCAATCGTGAGCACGACGAGGATGAAGAGGCACATGCTGCGTCTTCATCTTCGAGCCCTCCATATACGCGAAAGGGTCTGCTGCGCTTGTATCAAGGAGCTTTGAAGGGCGATGCGAGCGTAGACTGGTGAGTTGTCGAGGGTGCTGCGCATCTTTCGGCTGGAGGAGACAAGACTGACAGCCTGACGTGCTAAGTGTGACCATGTACGAAGAGCAGACGGCAGCAATTCTGGATACGAAGTGGTCCCTGGCATCGCTGCCCTCGAGTTCCCCCGCCAAAGGTCTGCTCGGAGTGGCAGACGCCAGCGGCCATGTCTCCCTGCACTCCCTGCAACAAGACTCGGCCGACAGTAGCTCGCGATTGCCCCTTCTAGCAAAGCTGCCCTTCAATGATCACAAGGCTCTCTGCCTTTCACTGGATTGGAGCGATCGGATAGCACACTATCCACCAAGCGCAGCTGCCGACACGCACTTACAGGACGCTAGCTTGGTCGTGAGCCAGAGTGACGGCTCTCTTGCCTGGCTGCCAAGCGTCGCAGCTGCTGTCCAAGCAGACCAAGCTATGCTGAAGAGAGTCATGGAGACCAAATTTCCGCGAGAAGCCGTCCAAGAAGATGAGCAAGACGAAAGCGACGACGAAGAAGATTGTCGGGGCGAAGGCGAGGGAGCATCATCAAAACCGCTCATGGACTGGCCGCAGAAGCCGATTGGGCTGGAGACGTGGCACGCTCACGATCATGAGGCGTGGATAGCGGCTTTTGACACTTACTCAGACGGCCGAATTATTTGGAGTGGTGAGTCAGAGGGACATGATTCATGATACAGCTTGGAGCTCAATCTGATGCCTACTGTCTCCAATTTCTTCTCCCATTCCCCAGGCGGCGACGATCTTGCCATGAAAGGCTGGGATGTACGCCTTCCCATTTCCCGTCGGCAACGGGCTCCAATCTTCACGAACCGCCGAGAGTTTCAAGGCGGTGTGACGACGATGCAAAGTCATTGGGCAAGAGAGGGACTCTGGGCTGTGGGTAGCTACGACTCGAAGCTCCGCCTGTTCGAGGCGAGACTGCCTGCTCGTCCCATCGCGACACTTGAGCTGCCTGGTGGGATTTGGCGACTCAAGTGGCATCCCAAAGATTCTTCGCTACTGCTTGCTGGCTGTATGCATGGTGGCTTTGCTGTCATCAGGGTGCCATGGCTGGCGAGCTCTGCAGATGGTGACGAGGTAGACAAGTCGTCGCTTGAAATTCTCAGTACTTTTGAGGGCCATGAGAGTCTGGCATATGGCTGCGACTGGGAGAGGGGCAGCAGTGGCACAGTCAGAGAGTGGGCCACTGGTACAGGCATCCGCTCTACAGTCGCGACAGAGGCATCACTGGTCTATTCTTGCTCCTTTTACGACAAGAGACTATGCTCGTGGTTGGCATGATATAAATACAAAGGTCATACAATGTCAATCTACCTCAACGCCTGCCGCCATCTTCTTTGCTCGGTCGAGCCACCACCGTGTATCCCAGCCCTCGAAGATCAAGCCCAGCTCTTTCTCGGCGTTCTCGTTGCTGTCCGACCCGTGAAAGCCATTGCGAGTGTCCCCCAAACCGTAAGTGGCCCGCAGGCCGATGGGGTGCGGCTCCTCCCATTTGCCCCTGTAGACCTTTGTGGCACCCAGCATGGCTCTCCACCGCTGTATAGCGTCGGGACCAGAGAGAGCCAATGCCATAGAGGGACCGGATGTCATGGAAGTGATCAGACGAGGGAAGTAGAAGCGGCCTTCATGTTCCGCATAGAATTTCGTCGCTTCAGGGACAGTCCAAAACAGCTTTCTTGTCCGTACGACCTGTAGAGCGGAGGTGGTGAGACAGGGAGTTGTCAACCTTAAGCTTCCAAGTACTTGTAGGAGCCAGTTCCTTCAATCAAGCTGCTCACGTCTAGACCGCTCTTCTTGATGTGCCGAAGAATTGCGGAAACATCGGGCTGGTACGACACCACAGTCGGCTTCAGCAGCGCGAGCGTGAGCTGGATCTCGCCTCGCGCAGGTGCGCCCATGATGTTCCTGTTGAAGAGGATTGCTGTCAAAGACCCTTTAGATGCTCGATTGGGGCGTCATCGAGCTCGCAGCAGGTCCTGAGACTACCTGATTCTTGGCGGTGGGGAAGCAAGGAAAGGGAAGCGAGGCGGTCTGCTCCCGCCAATCAGGTTGTGGAGCTCCGAAGCATCCCACTTCCCCACCCGCGACTCACTCATCCGCAACGCCTGTAGCAGCCGACATTCTCACAGCTGAGAGGACACACAGAAGTGTGAGCATTCTCACTGTTTGCACTGTTCCTCTCGACAGTCCCACTCACTGCCTCTTAATCAAGGAGCGTCAGGGTGCGGTCCTTCAGATCTAGGCTGCGACACCATCTCCTTCCGACTGCCTTCTGGCTCTACTCTCTCCTCACACTGCCCACTTCGCCTTCTCTCGGGCCTGTCCTTGATTTACGCCGGACATGGCTACAACTGGCTCTTTGTACAACTGGTCACGGTCAACTCGTCAAATCCTCAAACGGAATCGTAAAAGTCCCGCCTCCTTCTACCTGCACCTGCACCCAGCATGGTTCCGCTTTGAGGACGCCAAGGGACGGCTCCTTTTAGAGGAGCCGATACCCGATGACGGCGGGTCTATCGCTGGCCCTTCGAGGGGAGGGAAGACGATGACACCGGGAAGAGAGCTGTTGAAGTGCATCAGGGATCAAACATTGCCCAACTACGCCTTGGATGTTCTGGATCTGAGAAGGATCCCGTTCTTCGATGGTGAGTACTAGCCGGATGGGACAGTCGCAGACGCTTCTCTTACCGAGGATTCTGTCACCTTCTTCTGGTCGTAGGGTGCTTGATTGTTGAGATCAAGGATCACAGACCGCCGGTACTACCGGCAGCGCCCGCATCTGCTGTGACTTCGCGTATCGAGCGGCGTCGAGCCGAGGAGGCAGAACTGAATCCAGCATCTCTGGCCGCACGGATAGAGGGTGGGCGCTACGGCAAAGGCACAGCCTCTCTTGCTGCTAAAGCCGGTCAAGGAGATGTGTCGAGCTCAGATAATGCCGATGGTCTGGGAGGAGCTGCTGTCACACCGCACGGTCCGGAGACGTTTCGTGTGGTGTTACGCCCCAATGAAGCTACGCTCTGGACTGACCTGAGGGCCATGAACGAGAAGCTCAGTGGAGGGACATGGTCAGAGGAAGACGCCCTTGAGATCGAAGCCAATATCCTCGTGAGTACCAAAGCACTGATGGGCAAGGTGCTGCCTTGACTGGTAGCTGACCGCCCCATTTACAAACACCCCATTCCACAGACTTTGACATCGGCGCCTCTCTGTCTCACGCCGGACCCACACGCTACCCGTATCGCGAACATCATGGCAGCATCTACTGCTCCAGTGTCTTCCTACGCGCCTCTGCAGAGCCTGCCTCACCATCGAACCCTGCCACCGATAGAGCCACCCGCAGCTTTGGAAACCGAGGCCGAAGAAGAGGCAGGCAAGGAGAAGTCGTCAGAGGAGCAGCGTGAGACTTCGGAGAGAAGACAGCGGGAAGCCATCATGCGAATCATGCAGGGAGGATGGAAGAGCGCGAAGGACAAGCAAACTCCCGGAAGGGCTGTTCAGGCTAATGGCAATGCTTCGGCAGCCCCATTCCTACCTAAGTGAGTCGGCGCCATGCCATCAGTCCAGTCACGAGAGAGCTACCTACTGACCAGACTTCGCACTATCTCACAGCTTCCATCGTCTTGGCTTCATCGAGAGGTACCGGGCTAATACCGGCAGAGGTAATGGCGACGAAACCGCCGCTAGCACTGCGGAGCCTGCACCGGCTGAGGCCGATATCACCGACGCTAAGAAGGAGGACGCCAAGACCAATGGTACTACTGCGAACGGCACTGTGAAGAAGTCCAGCTCGAAAAAGAGGAAGAAGCAAGACACGGAGCCTGTGGCGGATGAAGAAGAGGAGAAGACGAAGGAGGAGGAGGCGGCAGTAGCGCCGAAGAGCAAGAAGAAGAAGACTACAAAGGCGGCATCGCCCCCAGCTGAAAAGGAAGAAAACGAGACCCCAACAAAGGGAAAGAAGAGCGTGAAGAGCGTACCTGAACCCGAGAAGAAGGCTAAGAGCAAAAGCAAGTCCAAGAAGGCTGTAGCGACCAAGGAGACCGAGGCCGAGACGGCGCCGACGCCTGCCACAGACGCCCCTACCCCGTCGGTCAATGGCGACGTGGAAGTCGTTGCTGCACCACAACCTGGCAAGGGCTCCAAGAAGACTGTTGCTGCCAAGAAGACTCCCGCTGCACCTGCAAAGGGCAAGAAGACTCAAGCAGGAGCAGCTGCTGCCGCTGCTCGTCGCCAAAGTGGGACTCCCTCCGTGCATCAAGCTTCGAATCCCCAGCCTTCACCTTCAAGGCATGGCGCTGCTTCTCCCTTTGTGCCAGGTACCGCGGCTACTACGCCTTCCCCTGCCATCTCGCAGCAAGGCGTCATGGGCGCGCCTCCCTTCGGCAACCTACCCCTCGGAGTCGGTCTTCCGCTATCTGGCAATGCTCACGATGCTTCTCAGTCGCATCTCAACCTTCAGCTGCCACAGCAACAACAGCAGCAACAGCAACAGCAGCAACAACAGCAACAGTTGGCCGCGATGGCCGCTTACTACGGTGGTCTCCAGCAGCAAGCAGGCATGGGCAGCAATGGAAGACCGGCTAGTGGACCTGCTTTGAACCTGCCATTTGGTCAAGCGCCGATGCAGAACGGCAGTATGGCAGCTTTCCCAAATCAGCAGCTCAACAACATGGTGCGACCTCCTGTCATGAACTTCCAGCAACAGCAAGGGGCGAACTCCCAGCTCACTCAACTGGTTCAACATCTGCATCAGAATCCCAATCTGATACATTCCTTGCCACCAGCGATGCAAGCTCAATTGCTGCATCAGCTGAACGGCGGTGGTGGTAATGGGGCCGGCAGGCCTCAGCAGCAGCAAGGTGGGAATGGCGGCAATCGGGTACCGTCGGGTTGGCCTCCGGGTCAGTAAAAAGGACTACGGAGTGTATGTTGCGCTTCTTGCCGTTGAGTCGCTTTGTGGTATATTTACAATGGATCAGCTTTTGTCACGCTCTCGTTTCAGCTTGAAGTAGTGTGTGGTGGGTGCCTCGCTAGTTGACGCTTCCGCTTTGACATCAAACCCGGTGCGGGGCCTGGCTGCATGAAAGCTGGCCTGATCGAGTGCTGACTTTGCGTGCAGTGCCAAGCACGGTAGAAGATCTCGCTCCTCACAGGATGCAAAGACCGTGCATACACAGTCGCAGTCGCAGATGCATCCTTCCATCCCACACATGTATGTCGACCATCGGCAACCCTGCAAATCTTCAAGCTGGCTTTGACAGGGTCTCTGCCAACTCGCGTATATCCGATGCCGAGCCGAGCCGAGGCAAAGATTAACACGGGCAAACAACACTGCGCGGAGTGTGAATTCCTTTTGACAGACGCGGATCTGCACGTCTCTTGGCTGGGCCCTGGTTGCGCCTGTGGGCGTCTCACCCAGCCTGCCCCTTTGGGCCCTTTTCCCCTTTCCTTGGTGCCGAGTCCTCTCTCACTCAATCTCCACGCAGATCAACCACCTCGCCTTGCCCGGTCTACGCACTCTCCTTTGTCTCCGTCCAATTGATGGTCCCATTTTGCCGTTGAGCGGCAAAAGCCCCTTTGCTGTCACTCGCCCTCTTTTGCTTCCACCCCTCCGTCTTTTTACCCGCGATCCACTATCCGGCTCAGGCACGAGTGCAGGGTGGTCCCTATTGCTTCGGTAGCAAAGGGTCCCTACAAGGAACCAAATCGAAGCATCAATTAAGCACGCCCGCACGTAGATGATCGAGGGCTGCCAGACGGGAGGAAGATCCAGGTCCAAACCAAGACTCCATCCGGTAGCCAGTCGTCATGGCCGACGGCTATGAATCCCCTTACCGGGTCCCGGTCCCACATCACCGTCAGCTGCCCTATCATCTACAACAGGAGCAGCAACGGAGACAACTCGACCAACGGCATTTGCAACTGCAGCAGCAGCAGCAGCAGCAGATCCAATATAGTAGCCTCAAGACTTACCAGGAGCGGCAGCCACAAGAGCTTTTCCTCAACCAAGAGACCGCGTCCACATTCTCCCAAAGTCAACGCGCTTCACCACTCCTGCTAAGACTTGACGACGGCAGCGACGCAGATATGATGGGCAAAGGCTTCATGAACATGTCTATGTTCGCACGACAGCCACCTAAACGTGCGGCCCCGCCTCCTCCGCCACGAGCCCCTCCTTCACCTCCTGCTCCTACTTCTCCTGCCCGCCTATCTCAGTCCGTTGATCAGGTTCCCCCACCTCCCAACGTAGCTGATCTCATCCAAAGCTCACAACGCTCGAGCGTGCCCAAGTCTCCGCCGCGCGTACCTCGCCAGGAATCGATCCTCGTATCATCTCCATCTCCCGAAGTAGCTCAGCTGCATGCCGGCTCGTCCTCTTCCACGAGCTCACGGCCTACCTCGGCTTCCTTGGGCTATGAGCGGTCGGATGGCCCAGGTTCCTCTGATACGGAAGCTTCTCTTCTCTACGGTCAGACGAGCGATACGGAGCCTGAGGTTGGGCCTTTCACCCCCAAGACGCCAAGCACACCGGCTCTCGCCCTTCCGACGACCACTAGCACTACCACAGCAACCAGGGAGCCCGTTTGGAAGCCAAAAGAATTACGGTTGGTGGATCGGCAAAGGGAGGCATCGACGAGTGCAGAGCCGGACGGCGCAAGCTCCTTTCTCTCTGCGAAAGAGCGGAGAAGGAAAGCTAGCGAAGCGAAGCCGCCCTTCAAGCCTATTGCAGCAGCAGACAGCATCGGACTCGGTATTGAATTTGCAGACCCTTCTTCCTCGCACTCCTCGGTCACTTCTTCCACGCCGGACCAGTCAGTAATTGCTGACCCCAACAGCAGGAAACATGCGCTGAAGCCGCTGAATCTGGCAGGGGGCTCCCCCTCGCCGGTTCCAGGCTCTTCGCCGATGTTCTCCTCCTTGTCCGCGGGCAGCGCAGCAGCTTCGTATTCGCCTCGATTCCCATCCTCGCCTCGTCAGGGGCTGGGGCTGGCTCCCTCTTTGGATCACGTTGACCGTCCAAGAAGGCCATCACGGGAGGGCGGCCTTTCTGACGAGGGAAGGAATGGTCGCTGGTCGCCTCTGCTGATTTTGCCAAGATCTCCAGCGTTTGCGAGCGTTTCCTTTGGCAACGCTAATGCAACGTCGAGTTTCGACCGGCCCAGAGCCACAAGTATTGCCACCTCAGCCGATGCAGAGCAATCCCTCAACGTCACCCCAGCGGCGAGCAGAAAGTCGTCTCTCACACCTTCACCTCAATCAATCCGGCAGCAGCCCCTCACATCTCAGGACGCCGGGAGTGTGACTCAGGATGCCCTAAACTCAGCTGCCAATGCGCCGTCAGAGTCGAATCGCATGCTTGCAGCTTCGATCTCGGCGAGTCCCGAGGCCAGTGTTGCAGGTGAAGGTCAAGCAGAAGCCTCATCCTCGAAACGCAGACTGCCGCCTCCTTCCTTGGTTCTCCGTAGTCCAACGTCTCCGCTAGATTCGCAAGAGTCTCTGTCAGCTTCTAGCTCAGCTTCGAGCTCACTACCTGCGGTCACACCTACGGATTTCTCACCTGCTGCAGGCGTCTGCGAAGACCGACTCAGTCCTCCTACATCACGGCAGAGGCAGGACTCGCTCACTCTCTTGCCACCTACAAGAGACGATGGTTCGCCGCTTTCTAGCCCGGCATTGAGCACGTACCATGACTCCCTTACGTCTCCAGTGAAAGAGCGACGCGAGGTCTCCTCCACTCCCACTATTTCACAAGATGAGAATCAAGCAGAGCAGGAGGACCAGTCGGATGAGTCCGCGAAGACACCTCGCCTCTCGGTTGCTGCCTTCGAAGCTGTACCCGACGACGAGCCACCTCCCACGCCATACTTCGAGGTCGAGGTCGAGCCCGCGGCGTACGGGGAAGGTGATGCTGGAGATGTCAGCTCTCCATCAGACTATGGCGAGGAGCCATCGTACTTGCCGAACATGGAGAGTAGCGAGCTGACATCTTCTTATCTGAGCGAGTCCCAAGATGTAAAGGAACAAGGGAGCATCGGCAACAAGGAATTCCTTGAGCATAGCTCCGAGTCGGATGACCTCGATGGATCGTACGAAAACAGCAGACCAGGGATTCCCCTGATCTTCAGGCAGATGCTGCGCGAGAGCACTCCTCAGGCGACTGGCTGGGAATCCTACAGCTTGACTGCCATCGAGTCGAGCAACAGCATGAGCAGTTTGGCTTCTGCCGAGGAAATTCTGAGGTTTGCCTCCGAGAGCGAAGGCAATTCGCCAGCTCCCTCGCAGGGCGATGCTTCGCCATTCCAGTTCGACCTTTCTCCCTCTTCGGAATTAGCGGCAGCCTCATCTATGCCGTTCGACCTGTCTTCGGCAGCGTCTGATTTCGCGCTGTCGTCAGCACCGTCCGACCAGAATCTTTCTGCTGAGCACGGGGCTTTCGAATTTGACCGTGACGAAGCTGCTGCTGAGCCCGAGATCGACGAGCCAACGGATGTGGCAGACGAAGATGAAGGCGACGAGACTCCGGTCATAGTACAAACGCAGCTTGCCTTCACGGCCAATGAGCAAGTCCCCTCGGCGGCGAGCCCCGATGACGATGCCAGTGAGCGCTCGTCGCTGCCCTCCGATCCATCCTTTGCAGAAGCTCTGAATCAAGCCTTGTCAAGCTTCGATGGCTCAGACTCTACTCCGACCAGCATCTACGTTAACAGAGCGCCAGCCGAGGACATGAACAGTGTCAGACCTGCGGAACGTGGTGCCGTAGCTCGATCCTCGGTTCTGATGTTCGCTGCGCCTCCACTTCGCAGTGAATCCTCCGGTGCGCTGCTAGGAGTGAGTGAGCAACAACCATCTGCGGCCATTGTCAGCAAAGAGGAGGGAGACAACGATCCAGAGTTCGATATCGGTCCCGCATCAGCAACTCAATCTGTTGCACTGGGAGAAGCCGTCAATTCTTTGTATGCCCCGGTAACTGAGCAAGAGGTGACCCCGGCATCCTCTGTTGCAGAGCCAGATTCCCCAATGAAAGGCGCAGCAAGTATCGAAGGGATTGAAAAGATCCAGATTGATCAGCTACCGTCGGAAGGCCAGGCAGAAGCCCACAAGTTGGATGAGGCGGACTGCGATCGACCTGGCAATGTTTCGCCTCCCCGTCGACCGGAACGTCTCACCTCACTGCTGCTTCGCTGTGACTCTCCTGAAGCAATGCAGGACGGCGAGGGATTACCGAATGCTGCTGAGAACGGACCGGATGCCGAGCAGGCGCTTGAGGCAATTTCAGAGGATGTACCTGAACCTCACGTCCAGAGGATGGAGGAGAAGTCATCCCTTGATCGGAGCCCACCTACCTTCGACACTGGCATCTTTGTACAGCGAGGCAGAGCTGAAAGTCTCTCCTCGAAGCCAAACGAATTTCAGTCTGAAGAGCGAACTGCCCTCGCCGAATCGCCGAAATCTTTTCGGAAAGAGATACGGCGGGAGTCGCAGGACGTGCCAGTCGTGCCGCCTGGCGCTGGGATCGCTTCCGCTCGTCTATCTGCAAGAGGAGTTGGCATCATTGCCCTCAGCGGACTGCCAGGGACAGGCGCAGGAGCTTTGCCGACACTGGCCTTACGCTCAGTGGAGCAGCGTAGGCCTAATCGCTCCAATCGCCCTAACCTCAGGGTGGACACCGCCTCACCTCCCGTACCAGAGTCGTTTGAGGATCGGCAACTACGTGGACGGCCGGAGGCACGCAAGACGAGTAGCGGTGAAGAATCGTCTCGAGTGCCCGAGTCTCCAGCTATGAGTCAATCCTTGAAACCTTTACCGCCGACACCAACGGCGGCAGGTTTCGACATTGCGCCGCTGCGTACGAATGTAATGCCTCGATCTGCGCCGCTACCTCAAGGACCATTTGCCGGAGCCGCCCTTCGTAGGCCCGAAGCCGACATGGCCTATGCTCGGCAGCCTGCCAGCCATTGGTCTAGCGGATCCGAGTCGGAAGACGACTCATCAAAGCGGCTCTCCGCAAAGAAGAGACGATCTGGGTCTACGAGGAAACGCTCGAGCTCCGCGGCTCCACCTTCAAACAGAGCGAGCTTTGCTGCACAAGCGAACATGGCCAATCAACCTCTGCCAAGTCCCTCTATTGTCACTCGCAAAGGCCTTCTGCAAGTGCTTAGGAAGAAGAGCTTCAACAACCTTGGCCTAGCGTCTGCAGAGCGAGACGGCACTCGGGAATCGTCACCTCTTACGCCTGGACTGGATAGCCCTGCCCTCCCTAGGGTGAGCACGGCAGCCGATGGTTTCCCTTTTCCTGGAATGACAGCTGGCAAGTCACCATTTGCGCTTAGTGGCAACGCCGATAGCACAGTCACAAGCTCTTTGAGTACACGCCCGTCGCTGGCAGTCAGAAGTCACTCCAAGCAGGTCAGCTCCATCTCGCTCATGAGAGGGCCCTCTTTAATGCACAAGCAGAGTTCAAGCAGCCTGCGGACCGAGATCAGCAGTAGCAACACTGGAGGCGGAGCGGCTTCGAACAGCATGCCAGATCGAGAGGCTAAATCACTTGAGAGCACTGTGTCGCCCCCAGCGTCACCTCGAAAAGCCAGAAACAGCTCAACCTTCCCACCTCCGTTGCCTGTTCCGACAAGAGGGAGGAGCAAGAGCTTCACTGCGCCTCAGTCGCTTCTGACGCTTCAACGTATCGGCTCTCAAGGACTGCCACCATTGCCGGCTCAACCTCAGAGCCCTGGCTTGAAAGACTTCTCCCAACTCAAGCATGTCAGTCTCAATAGCAACCAGCTGGACCTTGCCACCCGTGCGCGATCAGCCTCGACCGCTGGTACATCTCCGCCCACCTCGAGATCGTCCAAGTTGTTCAGCAAGACGGCTGGCAGCGGCATCATATCTAGGAAGCTCAGTCGCTCTTCTCTATCGAGCCAAGCAGCCATGGACGAGCCACCCTTGCCGTCATCTGATCTGCGGCCACAGGCTCTGGAGCGAGAGAAACATGGGAGCTTCAAAGGTTTGACGCCATTGGCAGAAGCTAATGGAACGCCCAACAGTGCCGAAGGCGATACGATCACTGTCATGCCCGACAGGCCAGTACTAGCAGAGGTGACAGACGCGAAAAGTGCCCAGGACGGGTCTCCATCGGCTCCCAGACCAGAAGTGATTACGACACCCAAGAAGTCGAGTGCCGTGAGACGGGGTTCGCAAGCTTCCGGAGCGGGATCGAGCCCGGAGCGGATCCGCGCCGACCCGCTGGTATTCAGTCTCGACAATGGTGCCAATCCGATGAGCCCACAGAACATGCAGGCTTTGCTCGCTATGGCCTCCAGCCCCGACGCTTTGCAAAGCACTCGGATAGCGCGCGATTTGGTAGCCCATGTCTCACGCCACAAATCGAGGCACATCGTGAAGCAGAGAAAGCTGCAGCGACTGGAGCGAACTCAGGAAGTGGTGCCACACTACCCTTCTTTGACGGAACTCGGTAGCTTGTGGCAGGCTGAGCACCCGAGTGAGAGGATGATCCTAGCCGACGCTATGCCAATGTCCTCAGCTTCGATGGGAGCAGGTGGCATTAGTGGCAGTTCTGGTTCCAGAGCCGATCATACGGATGGCAAGCCGAGTGGAAGTGGCGACCGCTGGACAGAAGGTCGACAGGACACTGGACGCGACGGAAACGGCAAAGGGCTGAGCGGCGCCGGTCCACCGGGCGGAGGAGGCGACGAGCCCAACGGCTGGTCACAAGACGATGATATCGCTGCTGACCAAGTCAGCTCTTCCGAGGAGTCTGAAGACGACTACGGTGAAGACAAAGCGGCAGCCGATGATTCTGATGATTCGGATGATGTTCCTCTGGGAGTTCGCATGGGCGATGTCGCCTCGTTGCAACGACGATTGACACATCAGACCCGCCAGCAGCCTGCTCGAGCTCTTCAATCATCTAGCAACGCTCGTGCAGCCAACCTTGAGACTCCAGGCTCTGCCGTTGTGTCTCCGGACGACCTGTTCGACCGCTTGAGGCAAATCCAGCTACGACAGACCGACCACAAAGAAGATGCAGCCGCACGGACTCGCACGGAGTCACGGCATACGACAGCACTTCCCTCGCTGGGCTCTGTAGTGTCCGGGAGACCTACGACGGAGGTCGATAGCGACAAAGCGGAGAAGATCAGGCGAGCTCGATCCTTGGCAAATAGACATAGACCATCGGCTGTCTCAACGGCGAACACGCCGGTGCTTCCTCTGACTTCTCCTACCCGCCCTTACGGCCGAGACTCGACTGCCACTCAATCCGAGCTGGGCCGCAACTCCACTGCTGCATCCAGTCTTGCGGCGCTGAAGTCCCGCACCTCTGTGTCTGAGTCGCATGCAGCCGCAGCGATGAGGGCTTCGTTGGCAGCAACGTCTAATCCCGCCATGGCTGCAGCTGCAGTAGCCTTTGCGACCAAGGAGGCTCAAGCTGGCCGGATAGCCATGTCGGAGATTCCTGAACGAGCAACTGCAATTGCCTTGGAGAACACACTCAGCGGCGGAGTGACACCCGGGTCAATCAAGAGGAGCAAGAGTCTGGCGTCAAAGGGCGCCTCAACTAGTCCCAGCTCACACAATTCTCACAGGGATACAGCGACCTCACTTCGCCCTGCTGAGGCGCCCGCGCACAGTGAGCCGGTGCAACAAGTCACGACTGGCTCACGCGACCTTGCCGAGATAGCAACCGGAGAAGCGACCGTCCGTCGAGGCTCTTCAACCCGCCAAAGACCTGCTGGTGTGGATCTGAGATTGGGAACGACCCTGCTGCCGAGCATGAGCTCTCCGCCGCCGTCTTCGGCTCCTGTGAGCACCCTTTCACCTCCCACTTCAGCTGCTTCTGATGGTAGATCTCAAAGTGCGGCGACTAGTCGAGCACCGACACGCGCCAACAGCGTCGCTCGACCCAGCCGTGGCATGCTACGAAGCAGCATTGATCAAGCTACACTGCCGACCGTGCCGAAGGTGCAACGGACCATCTTCATCATCAACCGGCAAAAGTTCGTTCAATTCCAGGTCGCACTTGATGCTCGGGCGCGGGATGTGGTGATAGACGTCCTGAATCGAGAGGCACTCCAAGCAGTCCCAGGCCGTGGAGGGTGGGCCTTGTTCGAGGTCTCTCCCTCGTTAGGAACAGAACGACCTCTGCGCGAGTATGAGTACATCGACGTGGTGGCTGAAGCTGGTGCGGATCCCTCGCAAGACTTCCTACTCCTCAAGCAGACGGAGCTCACACCTAGTCTTTCGCTCAGAGCAGTCCCAGCTTATTCTCCAACCTTGGCTGGCTACGTGTATATCCGTGATCGTCGACTGAAGTGGAGTAAGCGCTGGTTGGAGCTGAGGGACCACAGCCTGTTCCATTATAAGTCCGAGAAAGGAAAAGAAGAGACGCTCCTATGTCACTTGTCGAGCTTCGACATCTACCTCGTCGATGCCAGCTCGGCTTCCTCGAGCCTGAAGGCTCCCAAGGCACACTCTTTTGCTCTTCGAATTCAGAGGAGTCGGTCCGCAAGGGTGGAGCCGGACCAGGAAGAAGAGCAAGTCTACTACTGCTCTCTCTCGGATCCTTCTGCTCATCGAGACTGGGTCAAGGCCTGTCTGAGCGCGAGGACGTACGTGCTGAGGCAGGAGCAGCCACAGCTCTTCCAGCTGCCAGCTCTGCCTCCTTCTTCCTCCGTAGAGGAGACGCAGGGCGGACACAATGGCGGACATGAGCGCAGTGGGGTGGCTCCGCTCATCCAGCGCGATACGAACCGGGAAGGGCAGCCTGCCGCTTCGGCATACCTTGGAAAGGAGCAGGCCTCGCTTCTCTCTCGAGGAGCCATTGCCAGTAGCGGACCATTTGAAAAGGGATCCTTGCTAGCTGCTCAAGCCATGAAGGATCAAAGCGGTCAGCAGGGTCAGCAGCAGCAGCAGAAGGGTCGGTGGCCCAGAGCGGGAGCCGCATTGGATCAGATGCATCGATTGACCAAATCGCCTCCGATGTAAGAGCGGAGGAGCTGAGGAAGTGCATTGTCAGGGACAGGACTCAGCGGACGGGAGACAGAGCGGGACAGTCACAGGGAAAGGGAGCGGTCCAGACTTTCGACATAGACTAGAGGAGCAGGGGGGAGCAGACCTTACCCTCCCTTTGCGCTCATTATAGAAGGGTTTCGGCGTAGTGTCATCACCACCATCACCATCATCATCAACATTCGTCATACCTTGTAACATACAATTGCAACACGCTTCTCACCACATCATCTCACGACTGCCCGCTTGTGTGACCTCCGCTGCATTCCATTCTAGTACGTGGGTCAATTGTGACTAGAATCGACTCATACATTCAGCCAAGTCGCCTTGTACCCTGACACCCGGAGCAGCAAGTCAAGTCTTCCCATCCCTATCGCTTTCCTTGTCCCCATGGTCGGTTTCTCAAGGCTTGAAGTGGTATCCCCCCGACCTCTGCTCCACTGCGAATTTGAGTTCTGCAAGCACGCGACCCTGCTTGCCGCCCTCTTCGACCGTCTCGAGGCCAGCGGTGAGCTCATCTCCGGGCTCGGTGGGACCTACGCCGGATGGTGTGCCTGTGCGATGCAGCATGATCGAAGGAGCAAAGAGTAGGGTTTTCAGCGCCTTGGCGTCACAACTTTCCAGATGAGGTGACCCGTGTTGTACGCGCAACTCACCAGTAAGGATCAGATCTCCCTCCTCCACGGTCATAATACTGCTCACGTGCTCAATGAGCCTAGGAAGCTGAAAGATCATATCCTTTGTATTCCCATCCTGTCTCGTCTTTCCATTCGTCTTCAACCACAAACGGACATTATGTGGATCCTTGATTTCCGAAGGGGGCAAGAAGGAGGAGATGGGTGTAAAGGAATCGAAGCCTTTTGCGGCAGACCAAGGAAGACCGGCTTTCTTGACCTTGTCTTGCATGTTGCGAGCAGTCATGTCAATGGCGAGGGCATAGCCTGCTACGTAGGACATTGCGTCTGAAGCGGGAATGTCACGGCCAGTCTTGCCGATGACGGCTCCTAGCTCCACTGCGAAGCGGTAGAAGGGATCGGGAACGAGGCAGGAGGAGGTCAGTCAGGCGCTTCAGCCTATCATCTCGGCAGTCACACTCGCCCTCCCTATTGGCGGGTCATCAAAATTCTGCTCACCCTCGAAATGAGCCACAACTCCTTGTGGGATCTCAATTTTGCCGCCATTGTCGACGTAGCTGGTGGTGGGCTTCAAGAAGAAAAAGGGCTCAGTGGGAACGGCATTGTTGAGCTCCTTTGCGTGTTCGGCAAAATTCCGGCCGATGGCGATGATCTTGCGCCCTTGTGTGCGGAAGAGGTGAGCCATTGGAGACAGTTGTATGGATATGAGGTGTAGATTAAGATGATGGTGATGACAGAGATGCTGCTGTCCTACAGTGTGTGGTACTGATATGCCCGAGCGTGGGGTGTTGCTCTACTCTATACGACTCTTCCGACTGCCGCCCCCAGATCCGACCGACCCGACGTATTCAAGCTCCGACGTATAATAGCCGATGGCGTTCCCGGCATTGTTCCGATGCAGGCACTGGCGTGCACCTTGTACAATGCCTTCAGTAGAAGCCATTGTCCCACACATCTCCCTCTTGAGTCGTGATGGTGAATGGCATCTCCAGCACTGTATCCTGCCGAGCTTCCCAGAGAGGCAAGTGGTGACTTCCCACTGACCCCCGCAGCTGATCGAAATTCCCACTGACGTCAAGGGTAGAAGACGGGGAGACTAGAGTGGAAGCGTGGGCAGTGGCAATGACTTCGGTCAGAGGCTCTGTATATGCTCCACCCTGCCTCCTTTCAATGGCCTGATCCATTCTCAGGGGCGTACTCACCATCTGCTTGCGGCGGAGGATCCTCCCACCCCTCCAACAGGGCAGATATCTCTTGCTCAGTGGGCCCAGACGCTTCGAAGGGATTCTCGAGCTCGGGATAGGCGTCCATCTCCTGAGTCGGCTGAATGAAGTCTGGCTGAGCATCCTGCAGGTAGTCTGTCGAGGGAGGAAGACCAGGGTAGACGCCTGGCCAGACGCAAGCTGCATTGGAGGGGTGAAATCATGGAGAGAGGCGTGACAGAGGACGTAGAGGTGAGCGATGAGGCAGAGCTCACGGAGCATGTTGTCCCTTCCTTTACGTGAACTCACGACCAATGTAAAAATTCCGTGTAGGAGCTGCTTGAACGACTGGATCAGTCTCCTCCTCAGTTTGGGCAGTGTAGGCGCTGCTGGCAAAGCTTGACGTACTCGTCTCGCGGGTAAAGAAGTGGGTAGGTGAAGCCGAGCCGCTGGCTACACTGCTTGCTACACTGCTTGCTTCTGGTGATTCTGCTTCTATAGGTCAACGAAAATGAAAAAGGCCAAGAGAGAGCGTGCCAGTCCGATGAGAAGGAAGCTACAGTTGGGTTTCTGTTGACTTCTCCTCACCCTCTACCGTCCCGTGACTCTGCTCGCTGATCCTGGTAGACCTCCTCCTGGTGGTGTGTTTTACTCGAAAGCGTCGAGCTGGAGATAGGCGCAAGACGGCAGACGGCAGGGATAGGAAAAATCTGAGCAATGTGAATGTCTCGCCAGCCCTCACTCTCCAGTGTCCCAACTTACTCTTCGTCGGTCTCCCAGTCGCTCTCTGATCTTCTTCGTCATTCGCTCCACTCGAGGAAGGGAGGGGCTGGAGGTCAGAGAGGGAGGGGGAGCACAGGCATGTGATGGGCCAGCCCGAGCTGGTGTACATCACACCGGGACAGTCGATGGGATGATCTCGGAGGAAGCGACTCATAACTCAGGGCCAGAAAGACCAATGGTGGACTTTGGTGTGGTGAGGAGTCAAAGACGGGAGGAGCGCCACGTCCAGAGAGGGACTACAGTGAAGCTCTTAGCTACAGGCTGGCAACAGCCTGACTACTTGCATGCCGCTTGCAGGCCTGCTGTCTCGCGTACATAGGCGGAAGCTATGTGAGCTCAACCCTGAGACCCTCACACGGCACTCAGCATAGACCATGCCTGTCAGACTAAAGATCTAGTATTGCAGAAGTGGCGCTGTCCCCAGCCTGCAATCGAATGCATCATCCTAGATGACCCTCTTCCTACGACAGACTCTTGCCCATGAACCTCCTCTTTGTGAATGCTAGCCACCACTTGCTTGGCTTGCCGTCGATGTACACCTTCTCGATCAGCCTGATGACCAGCTCCTGCCTTGCGTGAGTGAGATATTGCCGAAGTTGATCTGTTCACACAACGAGACCCGCACGAAGTCCAATGGTCAGAATCAATCCAACATCCCGGTTCGCATACAATGTTGACTCACCAGCCTCAGACCTATCCCTAGGTGCTTGATAGAGGGCATTCAATGGGAATCCAGCATCGCCTGGCAGGGCAAAGTTGTCTACTGCTAGTGTTGCGAGTTGCTTGTTGGCTTCAATTTGCGTCATGCCCACCTTCGACGAGGCAATCTTCTGCAGACAGTCCGAGATGAAGAGAATCAGGTATATAAGGGTCTGCAAGGAAGATCCAGTAGGAAGGATCAGTCAGTGAGACATGCTTGGGCCCACACTCGTGTGACATGCGCTCCTACCAACTCACTCGGTCTGCTGGACCCTTAATCTCAAAGTTGCGGAAGAGCGAATTGGCCCGGAACAGGTCAATGGACTCGTCAATGATATCGAAGACGGAGGGATCGACTGTAAAGCACATAGAGTAGGGGATCATACGAATCGGTCAGTACCTTTGCCTCAAGGGTAGATGGCTATCCCGGCAGTCTTTGTGTCCAGCTCTTGTTACGCCCAGCTACAGCAGCTTCGATATAGAGGTAGGGGAGTTGCACCCTACCAGTACCTCAGGAGAGTTCGGATTTCTTGTGTATGCAATGCTTCGGCTTGCCCACCAATGACTGTCCCGATCTCATTCTTTCAGGTCCATCCATCCCCGCATACTAACCTGGCTGAGGCGCTGGCCCACGGATCCTCGACCTGAAAGGCAGCAAAGACATCGAGGCGACCAGTCGAGCGTCCTGGTCCTCATTGTACGCAGAATGGTAGGCTGGCATGGCTAGTAGCTGTGGACTGAGAGGTAGAAGTGATGCCGTTTGGGGATGATGGTGATCGTGGTAGGAAGGTGGCAGGCGCACCGCTCGCTGTCTCCACACCCTCCCACGCAATCGGACCGGGGCGACGGCGGCGGCGGACTGAGACTCCTCGGCTGCAGTGCACTGGAGGCGAGGCGAGCGAATCTTGAGACGCGTTCCTGTTGATCCCACGATACATCTCCCCCTCACCGATTCTCTCATCTCACACAACCCTTCCAACATGTCGACCTCTCAAAACCCTTCTGCCATCAAGGATAGACACTATGCCCAGCTAGCCGGTCGTCTCTCGGCTCTGTCGCAGAATGTAATCGATCTGCATGGGCATGTAGAGCTGGCAGCTGAGCACTCGCAGAAGACTAGGGTATTGGCTGCGAACCAGGCCAGTCTGTGAGTAGATTAGACGAAGCCCGAGTCTGAAGAGGCCGAAAAGCTGACTGAGTATCAACATCGCTTTTTTATGCCGCAGGTTCATGGCTGCCAATGCTCAGGAGCTCGATGTACCCAACAGGAACGCGCAAGAGTTTCAGGACGATGTGACCGTTCGACAGTAGAGTTCCAGAGCAAGTCGCAAATCCTTTCCCTACTTGAGTGCCGGGAATGTATTCTTCTGCAAACAAAGAAAGGGGACACAACAGCGCTCGAGACGCGCATACGTCTTCAACAGCTCTACGGACTCTTTGCCCAGCATCAGGTCCTTCCACTTCTCCAGCGAGACCACATCTTGCCTTACATCCTCCTCAGCATGTCAGCGGAGACAATGCACTGCAGAGGCTCATTCGACCACCGAAGGCGATGCCAGCTCGAGAAGCCGAGCCGCGGACAAAGTGAGCCTTCCATTGGCAATTCGCAGCGAACAAACAGGGCGGCGAGAGATAGATGATGACATTGAGAAGATTGCCCTTGGACAACAGCGCGATATGAGACAGAAATGTATCGACATTGGGTATAATGAGAGGCCTGTCTGTGGCATGCTATGAGAGGTACGAGGCCCATCGGCGCTGTCTAGCCAGCTCACGGCTCTAAAGCATTCTATGGATCGTATCGTCTCGCAAGTCCTTCAACTGCTTGGCATCCAGCACTCCCTCTGCCTCGCTCTCCTCCTTGGCGGCTGCTGCCGTCTTGCTAGCAGGCTTTGTGGTGCGTCGTGAAGTCAGCACATCCCACCAGGGGAAGAGAAACTTGTTGACGATGAGCTTGAACCAGGGTGTGAAGGAGGCTGGGTCGAGGTCGTTCATCAGGACGCGCAACTCGTCTGGCGAGACCCATTTGTAGTCACAGATCTCGTTGGGGTTAGGGTTGAGGGTCACGGGAGCGGTAATGAAGAGAATGTAGTCGACTGTAGAACCGAAATAATTGAACACGCTCATAGATTAGCGAAAGTGCCCCTCAGCCGTGGCCTGTCTTCATTGCCCGCACTCACTCTCGTGTTCACCCCAAACGCCGTCCCCACACTCGGCGAGGTAGTGGATCCGGGTGAGGTACTGAAATTCATCGATGGGGACCTGTTCAGGCGGGATACCCAATTCATGGTCCAGCTTCCTCTGCGCTGCTCTTCTGACCCCAATTTCGTCCTGCTCCTCCAATTCTCCCTTGATGGCTAGCGGGTGAGAGCAACAAGTGTTGGTCCACATGTTGGGGAAAGTAATCTTCTCCACGGCTCTACGCTGAAGGAGGAGCTTGCCGGAGGTGGGATCGAACAAGAAGACGGAAAATGCGCGATGGAGGAGACCTGTGTTGATGTTGGTCATGAGGTGGCATTCCTTCTTGGAACCATCGCGGATGGCATGGTCGTCGTGGTCGAGGACGATGCAGCGCTCTTCCATGAGTCGGATCTGCTCCTCGTCGTGACCTGCTAGGGCGAGCGTGTCTGCCGATGTGGTGGCAGTGGTAGTTGCTGGAGCACTTGGCTGCTCAGCAGTCATCGTCGTTGTAGTAGTCGTGGACATGGTGTTTGTAGTAGGAGGAGTAGAGTGAGGTGTAGAAGCAGAGGCGATCGAGGTTCCTCGTGCTCCCGCCTTGTTGAGTTGAGCCTTCCGCTTGTTTGACTTTGTGCGGAGAGACAAATTCGCGCAGGGCCACTGATTTTGACTCGCATGGCCCGCTGCAGTGAGTCCACTTCTTCCTTTCTGGGCACCCCGACTTCCTCAACCACCTCAGCCAGCTAGCGTTGCAAGTCACCTCCTCTTCTTAGCAGCCTCGTTAATTCCAAAAAACCATGGAGTCTCGAGTTGTAGGCGTACTGGGTGAGCAGCGCGAGGCGCGGCTTTCGCGAAGCCTGCCGTATTCATTGATGCTAATCGCTGCTCTGCAACCCATCCTCCACCCTTCCTATCAGGCGCCGGTCAGCTCGGTCGCATGTTCGTCGAAGCCGCCTCCCGCCTCAATGTCCAGGTACGTCTCCTCGATGTTGGACCATCCGCTCCAGCAAAGCAAATCTCCTTTGTTCCCGCTGCAGATGGTACCACTTCGGAGCACGTAGACGGAGCTTTTACTGATGGAGAGAAGATCAAGGAATTGGCAAAGAAGGTAGACGTTCTCACCATCGAAATCGAGCATGTCAATGCCTCGCAGCTACAGACTGTGCTGGACGAAGGTATCGTCAAGGAGGTCCATCCTCTGCCCTCCACTATTGCTCTGATTCAGGACAAGTATGCGCAAAAGAAGCATCTCGTGGCTCAAGGACTGCCTGTAGCAGACTTTGTTGCTGTAGGCGGGGAGAGTCTGCAAGGTACATCTGCTTCGGCTCAGATTGAAGGTGTAGCAGCTGCAGGAAAACAGTTTGGATTTCCCTTAATGCTCAAGTCGAGGACACAGGCGTACGATGGCAAGGGAAACTTCGTTGTCAAGGAAGCTGGTAACGCCGAGGAAGGCGTGAAGGCTCTGGGGAATGGCAGCCGGGGCCTCTACGCCGAGAAGTGGGCGCCCTTCGTCAAGGAGGTTGCAGTCATGGTGGTGCGCAGCTCGACCGGTGAAGTGAGGGCCTATCCTGCTGTGGAAACCATTCACAGGGACAATATCTGCCATACTGTCACTGCGCCAATCCGGACAAGCGACCCGAGGATACCCCAGCAGGCAAGAGAGATTGCCGAAAGGGCTGTAGCAACATTTGGAGGTGCTGGAGTGTTCGGAGTAGAGCTCTTCCTGATGGCCGATGGCCAATTGTTGATCAACGAGATTGCTCCAAGGCCTCATAACTCTGGCCATTACACCATCGAGGCGGCCGAGACAAGTCAGTATGAGAACCATCTGCGGGCCATCCTCGGTCTGCCTCTGGGCAGCACTGCGCTCAAGGTTCCTTCAACAGCAATGGTCAACATTCTGGGACTTTCTGATCTAGACACAGACAAGGATGCGATCGTCAAGACGATGGCTCCTGCTGTAGCAAGTCTCGCTGTGCCGGGAGCGACTGTGCATCTCTATGGCAAGGTGGGGTGCAGAAAGGGCAGGAAAATCGGCCACATCACAGTCGTTGCTCAGAGTGACGCTGAGCTGCACCAACGGATGGAGCCCATTCTCCACGCACTCGAGACTGCCACAGAAGCGGCACGTAGCGGATCTCAGCTCCCTGCTGAGCTGACGCTGAAGGGTGCCTGCCAGAGTGAGGAGAACAGGAGACAAGAGTATGGCTCAGCCTCCACTTCCTCGTTGTCACCACTCAAGCCCACTCCTCAGTCTGCGCTAGACTTCAAGCACCCTCACCCCCTCGTTGGTATCATCATGGGCTCAGACTCAGACCTGCCCGTCATGCTACCCGCTGCACAGATCCTCAAGAAGTTCAACGTCCCATTTGAGCTCACGATTGTCTCTGCGCACCGCACTCCCGATCGCATGAGGGAGTACAGTCGGTCAGCTCCTTCGCGAGGTCTGAGAGCCATCATTGCTGGTGCTGGAGGCGCTGCTCACCTGCCTGGCATGGTGGCAGCTCAGACACCTCTGCCCGTCATTGGTGTCCCCGTCAAGGGATCTGTGCTGGATGGGGTAGACTCGCTGCATTCTATTGTGCAGATGCCCCGGGGTGTCCCCGTCGCAAGCGTTGCGATCAACAACTCGACGAACGCAGCGCTCTTGGCCATCCGTATTCTGGGAGCTGCTGATCCGCGGTACTTGGGCGTGATGCAGCAATACATGGATGAGATGGAGGCAGAGGTCATGGGCAAGGTGGAGAAGCTAAGTGAGGTCGGATGGGACTATGTGGTGAAGAAGTAGAGACGATAGATTTTGAGGACGCTACCGGCGTCGATTTTGCACCTCTAGACCAATACCAGACTTTGCCGCTCCCTACAGTTGTCTGAGATTGCACTCAAGTTTTCGCCCGAGTCCAGATCCACACTGCGTCGTCGCCGAACCAGTCCTTCTTCCTGACCTGGAACGCAGCTCCAGTCTGCTCCTCCTCCTCTGCACTCGCCTGCTTCTTCGTCTTGTCAGGAACAGGATCGCTCCATTTGGGGGACTTGTACCCCGTCGAGTCCGACCCAGCAAAGTTGGGGGAGACGGTCACGATGAGTTGATCGATGAGATCACCTGCGCGACCTATACCGGAGGCAGAGGAGGTAGAGCGAGCCATGAAGAGAGACTCGATCACCTGTGCTCCTCCCTCGACCATCAATCTCTTCACCCCAAGTGAATGCAGAATAGACAAGATCGAGGGCCAGTCCATCCCTGTCACTTCTACAATGGTCGCCCCTGCCGCTTCGAGACTCTTCCCCTGCTCGGAACCTTTGAGACCGGTTCGGCAGAGGAAGAGGGGCTGACGACCTTGTCCGCTTTGGTAGTTTTTCAGAAGCCGACAGGTGGGAGGGGAGCGCAATTGAGTGTCGAGGATGACTGGGCGAGGCTGTGAGTCTGGAGGGGGGATTTGGGGCAGGAGGCGAGCTGTGAAGCAGGAGTAGGAGGAATTGTGAGCTGATCAGGAAGGGCCGGACTCGTCGATTGTTCTTGCCGATCGACTTACCACTGAGCCGGGGATCATCATTCAGCAACGTCCCCACTCCTACGAGAATGGCATCGTGAAGGGTTCTGAGACTGTGATAGAATATGTCAGAGGCCAGATGAGCTATTGCTCATCACTGCCTCGTCCCTCACTCACTAGTGAGTCATGGCCATGCTCTCATCGCCGCTAAGGCGAAGTTGCCGCCCCTTCCGCCCGGAGATGTACCCATCGACCGTTTGCGCAAAGGTGAGCGTCACATAGGGCCGCTTGCTCGTAGATGGCTCTCCCGAGGTTGAGCCTCGAAGGAAAGTCGAAGACTGCTCATACCGCCTTTGCAGTAGCGCCCTCTCATCTGTCATGGCTACCTCGAAGCGGTGCTGTTGGTTGGCTGAGTCGCCTAGACTGTCAGTCACCTTGCTTGTGTTCCTCTTTCCGCTTGGGCCCCCCGACGCTCCGCGCCTTGGCCAAGCGGGGATCTCCTGCAGCACCTTCCATCCTTCCCCCTCCAAGGCGAATACCAGATCTCCGCCTCACCACTTCTCTACCACTCCTACACTCTGCTCAGCATGTCAGACGCTTCTCCCACCGGAGAGACCTTCCTCGTCATTGGAGGCACTGGCTTCCTCGGCCACAACATCGCCTCCGCCCTCCTCTCACGTGGAGAGTCCAATGTGCACATCCTCGACCTCCGCTCAGCACCTTCCCACATGCTACTGGAGAAGGCCACGTATCACACCGGAGACATCACCAACGTCGATGACCTCAACAAGGTGTTTTCAGAGGTCCACCCAAGAGTCGTATTCCACACTGCTTCTCCCCTGCCAGGCGTGTCGAAGGAGTTGATGGAAAAGGTCAATGTTGGGGGAACTGAGAATGTGGTAGAGGCTTGCAAGAAGAACAATGTCCGCAAGCTCGTGTTCACCTCGAGTGCTAGCGTAGTCTTCAATGGCCAACCGCTCAGGTACGGAGATGAGAGACTGCCCTACCCGGACCGGGTGATCGACCCATACAGTGACACAAAGGCTAAAGGCGAGAAGCTGGTGTTGGAGGCGAATACCCCTGACGACGAGGAGACCGGTGTGCCCGCCGAGGGCCTCAGGACAGTTTCTATCCGTCCATCAGGTATCTTTGGGTAAGTCATGGTGAAGTTGCGAAGAAATACCGATTCGACGACTGACTGTTGGCTGTCTCTCTTCGATTAGCCCGAATGACCGACAGGCTGTTCCTGGATTGATGAACACGCTTACCTCTGGCAAGCACAAGTACCAGCTGGGTAACGGAGAGAACCTCTTCGACTGGACATACGTGGACAACATCACTCATGCCCACCTACTAGCTTCCGACAAGCTCGAAAGCAAGGGCTACGATGTGAGGCTCCTGGGCGCCGTTCATCTACCTCGAGCCCTGGGCGAAGAGGAGCGGCCCGAACGAGGTGTCCCGACCAGTGAGGAGAGGCAGGACGTGTCAGGCGCAAAGGACTATGCTCGTGACCTTCCTACGACCCTGTCGAAGGAGACATTAGAAGAGAACCTCAACGTGCGACCAGTGGTACGCAACAAGTACGACCAATTCTTTTACCTTGTGCACCCGGACATTGCTTCCCCTGGCTCGCCGATCCCCGAGGTACCGCTGGCAACCGAGTTCATCCCAGTGGCAGGAGAAGCCTTCTTCATCACCAACGGCCAGCCAGTGCCCTTTTGGTCATTTGCCAGGGCGCTCTGGAAGGAAGCCTCCCCAGCATATGCCGCTAGCGATGCGAAGCCGTGGACCATCCCAAAGGAGATGGCACTCTCTCTGGCTACCTATGCAGAGTTGTACTCGAGACTCACCGGCAAGGAGGTTGCGCTGACGGTGCTCAAGACCATTTTTGCTACCACGACGAGGTACTACAACATTGAAAAGGCGAGGAGAGTGCTGGGATATGAGCCAAAGGTAGGGCTGCAGGAGGGGGTAAAGAGGAGTGCCCAGGTGAGTTGCCGCAAAGGCGTCGACAGCATTCCTTCTGACGCAGACCATCATGCTGACTTTTTTTGGGCTTTTAATTCTCGCAGTGGTGGCTCACAACTCCCGAAGGAAAGGCCTTCAAAGCGTCGCAAGCCGCTTAGACTGTGCTTTGGTGCTGAGCATCAGGTGAGCTCGAGGTGGACAGTGCGATATCACGGACGGGATCAGGATTGTAGGAGCTTTGCACCGCTTTCGGTGACTCTTGTCATGCGCAATGTTACGTCTATGACCATCGTCTTCTGTTTGTTCGTAGGTGTGCCCTATCTTGATCGTTCCCGTTCGACCATCTTGGTCACATGACCTCTTCCCGCCTCTTCCCTTCCTTTCCCCCATCCATCTACTTCTTCCCACCCTTCTTCTTCTTTTTGTTTTTGCTCTGTCCTCCACCGCCACCTCCTCCTCCTCCTGTTTGCGTCGGTTGTGTCCCCACCACACTCTCCGTCGCTCCTTCCACTGCCGCGACGGCCGACTGAGCCAGGGAAGTGGCTTCTTCTACCGCTGCTCCCGCTGCTGCTGTGGCTGTGTTTGCTATTGTTGAAGAAGTCGAGCTCGAGAAGCGCGAACCGGACATGAGGGTTTGGATTTCACGGGAGAAGGAGTCAAACCGATTGAGAATGACGGTGCTTCGGGAGCGGTACTTGAGGGTCTGTAGAGATGAGGGAAAGGAGGTAAGAGTCAGTCAGTTCAGGAGTCAGAGAAAGTTCGTACCGGCCGGGCGAGGAGAGTCTGAGACTTACTGTATAGTCATCAGTCACTTTGAGAACGAGCCATTGTCTCGATGGATGTGTCTTGACTAGGTAGCGCGTCTGTCAAATATGATGAGGGTTGTAGCAGGGTCAACATCTGCAAAGTCTACCTTGATGCGGAATTCGCATCTCTCTCTTGTGGGATGTGCAAACTCACCCTATTTGGGTTCTTGCTGTACAATTCTAGAGCCTGTGTGTGGAACTCGGACCAATGCTTGAGGTAGACCATGGCTGCAGTACGATATGTGACCACGGGCAAGGGAGGCAGCGACGATCTCGAGGTCGGTAGACGGTCACTTCTTCTACCACACGACCTGGTCTACCCTACGCTTGCAAGGACATGGCAGGGCCAAAGGCAAAGGGCCCGCGCGGATCGGAAGCGGAGCGGAGATTGAATTCACATTTACCCCCGCATGGCACAAGGTGGCCTCAGCCACTTCGGATCACCAATCCATCCATCTTGTCATCCCATTGCATCCATACCAGCATCGCTCTTGACCCCATATCAAACCGGTCAACGAGCTACTACTCATCTCCTAGAATCTCTGACGTACTTCCTGCGTCAAGCAACGAACAAGCTCCTGCCTTACCCCTTCACTCTCGCCTCCACAACGATGGCAACTCAGTCGAACCCGGCCAACGTGGGCCTCAGCATGTGGAAAGTCCTCCTCACCCCCAATTCGGCAAGCATCCACCTCATCTTGTTCTCCACTCTCTTCGGCAGCCACTTTTTCCATGGCTTCATTGGTGGACCGGTCACCTTCCAACAGGTGCCCAGGAAGACGTTTGGTCTGATGCAGTCCAAGATCTTCCCCATCTACTTCGCAATGGGCACAGTCACACCCGCCGCTCTCATTGGCAACCTAGCCCTGGCACAGGGATCGCTCAGCGCTGTGCCCACCTTTCCCTTGGCTGCTCTGGGGATCAGTATGGTGGCCAATGCCATCAATTGGCTCTACCTTGGCCCCAAGGCCACGAATGTCATGTTCGAGAGGCATGAGCTGGAGAGGGAGGAGGGCATCGACGCTTACAAGGACAAGGACAAGGTATGTGGTATCTTGTCATGCCAATGGTTACAGGTGCCGTATTCAAGTGAGATTAATTCTCCCTCTTTTCGTTGCACTCCCACAGGCCTCGCCCAAGATGAAGCAATTGTCGAAGACATTCGGTCAGCTCCACGGCATCTCGAGCTTGCTCAACCTGACTTCATTCGGAGCTCTCATTCTTCATGGCTCGGTGAGTGTGGCGGCCTCTGTACTCTCTGTTTGGTCGTCTCTGCTGCTGCTGCTGCTGCTGCTCGCTAGAAGAAGGTACACACGAGGGAGGACCGCGCTCGACTGCCTGGTTGCGCCAGTGATGACTATATCGTAACGTCGACGGGTCATCAGCCAAGGGGCGGGAGAGTTCACCTTCACCTCAGCGCCTCGTCAGCTCTACCTCGTGTGGCGTTGAAGATTGTCATCTCGCTACGGTGTTGAGCTCTACTTGTCGAGCTCCGGCCAGCGGGAAGGGGGAAAGAGGGATGGACTCCGGCCACCAAAGCGGGCCAGGATTACCAGGTTGAGGTCTCGAGCCCCTCTTTGCCTCTGTGACCGTAAGTCTCACGGAGCGCGACTAGGGAGCGAGGGGCCAAGTCAGGTTCCTTTCGCGTGTGTACAAGCGTGAGGCCTGAACAGCCTTGAGTTTCGATAGCGCGAAGACAAGAAGAGGAGAAGAAGAGACAGAGAAGAGCTGAATAAGTGGTGAAGCCGGTTACTGGTGAAGCTACCTGACATTCTGCATTGATCAGTTTGACGCCTCTTGAGGTTGGTGAACTGACAATGATCGGAAGAAGACAGAAGACAACGTTTGAGCCCCTTGAACGGCCAAGGCAAGCTAGACTGATATGTGTACAAGATAGGGAAACGATAGACAAGAGGACTTTCTGGATTGGATCGATAGGCTTTCATTTCTCCCAATGGACTAAGGGAGCTGCGATTGTTCACCTTTGTAGGCTTTCAGGAAGCGGAGGATACTGGAGGAGTACTGATTTCGGCTCGTCTCTGGCGAAACGGAGGAAGGAAAGTAGGCTGCGCTGCGACTACGCCCTCTGGCATCAGCACATCGGCGCTCGTGGGGGCTACTCCTTAAGCGGGTAGGCTTACCTTCACAGATGGGCGTGCAGATCGTCTGAGCAGAGTTGCCGTTTGAGTCTGATACTCTCGGCTGATTCTCAAGGAAGAGCACAACTAAGGATATCAAGGACGGATCACTAGTGAGCTGCTAGGACAGGGTCATCACTCTACTCACTTCTCACCATCACATGGATCGACAAGATGAAGAGGGAGACCCGCCCTCACCTCACCTCTGAGCCTGACAACACTCAAAGACAGCAGGCCTTTCTCAAGTTACCGCCCCACTTCTCCACCTATGAGGCGACGATCATGACCCTACGGCGGATTCACCTTGCTCGCGAGCGTGACCACCGATCAGAAAGAAGCAAGCCGCTTTTGAACACGAGTGACGAGTACGAGTACCTCTTCTCTCACATCGACATCATCGCGACCGCACTCGACCTCTCTCATACCTTATCTACCATCGCATTGAGGATCTTTCCCTTGCAACGACAGCCATAAGAGCTGGCTCTTTCCCCTTTACCCCCTCATTTCTTTTACGAGCGATCTACAAGTGACCAAGCATCCGCATCGAGGCCCGGACTCTGCGGTGGCGCGAAAACGACCGAACGACTGAAGGAATGAAGGAACGGACCGAAGACACGACCGAGGAAGCTTTCACTTTGTTTGCTTTTTCCCCCTTTTTTTATCTAGTTGCCGACGACGAGGAAGACGACGACACTACCTGGCGTTGGTACTCAGTACCAGACCTCGGTTATACGTCCTGCGCGTTATCCCCGAGGTCCATTTCAAGGGACCGAGGGAGCGGTCGGGCAGTTGCAAGCCCCGAAGCCTTTGCGACTTTGGATGGTATACTCGGAGATGATCTCTTACTTTCGATCCTGGACACGCTGGCCGCTTTGGATCTCTCAGAATGGTGTCTCCATCGCAGATCGAGGTGCTCGGTCTTCTCTCCTTGCCCTTTCGCTCTCCCTTGATAGGACGAGTGGACAGGCAAGGGCGCTGCGCGAGGAGCGAGGGTGGGCGTAGGTGTTGCAGAGTGAGGGAGCAAAGAGCTTTCTTTTCACCTCTTTGGCTTCGGTGAACTCGTCGACGGTCCATAAGGAGCATAGGGAACTGCCTGGATCACGGGCAGGGCCACTTGGCTCATCAAAGCAGTGAGGAAAAGGTCTGAGGCCACCCACCAGCTTCGACAGTCTGCACGTCTCTCTTCCCGTGGTTTCTTCTTCTCGGCAGTAGTGGCACCACCAGCAGCAGCAGCAGCAGCATCAGCATCAGCAGTTCGGACAGCAGCAGAGCATAGGCGAACTGACGATTTTACCTTCCTGGCTGGAGTTTGAGGCTCCAGCCAGCGTAGAGCAGAGCGCTGACCCACTCCTCTTTTATCTTTACTTTTCACCTTTGACCATCTTCTCCTCCTTCTCTTCCTTTCTGCCTCGCCGCAACCCCGACTCTGCCTCAATGCCTCAATTTCGCTCGAACACTTTGACTTGGACTTCGATATGGACCCTCGTTCTCAATTTCCACTTCTACTTGGATGGACGCAACGCTCAAAGTACCTCGCCAACTTTGCCTTCTAGACACGCGCGTAGGCTAGCTGGCTGTCGCCGTCGACACGATTCCACACAACACGACACAACACGATCTCTCTCTCTCTCTCTCTTCCGCTGTGCTGTGTAATTCCTGACTGCCCAACTCTACCTCTCTGTACATTCTCAATTGTTTCCCCTGTTCACGACTCCGAATCGCTGCAAGCGCAGCGCAGCGCATCGCAACGCATCGCAATACGATACATCGCCATCACCATCGCCATGACTTTTCCACTTTTTGCTTACAGTACTCATTTGCGGACTTGGAGACAGGCAGGCCATGTGCAGACCGGGAAGAGGTGCACGTCCGTACTTTTCAATGCTAAATTTATTTTGTGTGTGGGTGTGGGTGTGTGCTCTCTCGCTCTCGAAGAAAGCGCTACCTCTTGTGCCCCCTCTACATTTACATGTCTTCATCTCCAACATCCATCGCCTCGGCATTGCGCTCCCTTTCCTCTGCTGTCCCCAGTCCAGGGTGAAGGTGGTTGCCATCGTCGTCGTCGTCATCACTGCTACCGTTCGCTGCACCGTCCGCATTCGCATCCACATCCACATCTGCGTCCGCATCCGCGTCCGCGTCGAGAGCTGCAGGGCCCACTTCGACATCTTGAGCTTCCTCCTGATGAGCCTCCGCTGCTTCCGCCACCGACATTTCCTCTTTCTCGCCCTCTTCCCCCTCTGACTCTTGCTCTCCCGGAATTTGCACCTGTGCTTGCTGCTGCTGCTGCTGTTGCTGTGCCGCTCTCCAAGCATGAGCCATTGCCAACAATTTGAAGCTCTGCTTCGACTTTCCTTCATCATCGTCTGGGAAAATCATATCGTAATACTCTTCCATGGCCCCACCCTCTTCGGCATTTACTCCTTGGACTGCTCTACGCTTCTTGACTACACGAGGCATACGAGCCTCGACTGCTTTGAGATTCGCATTCGCATTTGCATTTGCATTTGCATCTTGAGCAGAGTCGATCTCGGCAGCTGTAGCGCCATGTTGTGCCTCGAAAGCCTTCCATGCTTCAAGAAGGACAACGCGCTCCTCTTTCAGTCCACGGGATTTGAGGTCCTTGTAACCTCGTTCGAAGAGCTCCCGAGTGCGCACCTTGGCCTTTTCTCTACGCTCTTGACGGAAGAGGAGCTGTGATTCTGTCAGGGGGACGGACTCTTTCTCCGCTCCTTCGCCTTCCTGGTCCTCCTCCTCGTCTTCGTCGTCCTTTTCATCCTCGTGCTCTTCTTCAGCAATTGCACTCTGGATTTGAGACAGAGCATAGCTGATCCAAACCTTGACATGTCCTGTGCGTTGGAGAAGACGCTCGTAAAGCTCTTCAACCTTGTCCCACTGTCTCTCCTCAAACTCAAAGTCGATGTATGCCTTCCACAGCACTTCAGGCATATCCACACCTGCTTGTCGTGTGCCCAAGTCAAAGATGGCACGCGCGCGTTCTTCATCGTAGAGGTTTCGTTCCAGCTCGGCGAATCGGATCCAGATTCGGGCATTGCCGGCATCCCAGTCCAGGGCTCGCTCGTAGATTTTGCGAGCTCGGTCGAATTCCTTGAGGGAGAGCTCGAGGTCGATGTATCCCTTGAAGAGACGCTCCTTGGGACACATGCCGATTGCCGCTCCCAGCACTTTGCGGGCTGCGGGGAGATCCAGCCGACGTACTTCAAAGTGGGCAAAGTTGAGCCAGAGCTTGGCAAAGGTGAAGCTCCTGTGCGGGACGAGGGCAATGGCTGCTTTGTAGACTTCCCTTGCCCGATCGTAGTCTTTAGTGTCGATCTCTTCGAAGAGGGCATAGGAGAGCCAGAGGAAGATGTACCGCCTCCAATGCCTCTTTTCCGAAGAAGGAGGGACATTGGCCACTGCTCGCTCGTATACGTCTCGTACTCGTGATCTTGCTGTGAGGACTTCTTTCGACTCTGTCGAGGCGCCCGATGTCGTCAGTGTCCGATAGGCATCTTCTTCTAGCCGTGTATAGTCGAACCAGGTATCGTAATTGGAAGCAGCGCCAGGCCCCGACGTGAGCTCCTCCTCGTACTGTATCCTCCTCTTCCCCAGAACTGTATCTTCTACTCCTTCCCTGGTACCAAATTGCTTTTCGAAGCGGGTATAAGACGAGTAGATTCCGCTACTCTTGCTACGAGGAAGCCTCTCCAGGGCATACTTGTAGATGACACGAGCGCGATCGTACTCTTTGACGCGAGTTTCCATCTTGGCAAAGGCAGTATACACCGTCTGCGCCTTTTCCATCCGGTCTTCATCTTCGCCAAAGAATTCAAGAGCCATGGTGAAGACCTGTCGAGCTCGGTCATAGGCTGCCCTGTCCTCTTCGAACTTGGCCCACTTGATCCACTGCCGAGGCTCTGGATGGCACGTCACAGCTCGCTCCCAGACGTTGCTTGCTCGCTCCATCTCATTGTACCGGACTTCTAGCCCGACGTAGGCGGCCCAAGCCTTCTCATCCGGCTCCCATGACATCCATCGCTCGAAGATCTGCCTCGCCCCACTGACATTGCCGAGGAGCTCTTCCAGATGCACGTACTTGTACCAGAGGGTATCCACTCTAGGCAGGATCGAGACGGCTCTGTCAAAGAGATTTCTTGCATGCTGTACATTGCGGTTCTTGAGTTCCGTCTCGGTGTAGCGTAGCCAGAGCGGTACATTCGATGGCTCTACATCGAGTGCTCTCTCAAAGACAGATCTAGACCTGGCCAGCTCGCCCTGCGAAGCCTCCCAAGCAGCATACTTCATCCATGCCGAGATATTGGAGCGAGTCCTCCTAATCACATCTTCAAATTCCTTTCTCTTCCTCCCTTGTACTTCAGACAGCTCTTCATAGTCTTCTATGCGTGTACGGGTTTGGGAAAGAGGTTGCTCCTGCCGCTCGTGGGCTTCACGGAGAATCTGCTCCGCGGAGATCTGGATGGGCGCTGGTGCTCGGTTCTTGATCCGCGGGGCGGTGGAGCGAGAGGCCATGGTGGGGTGAGATACCTCTTCGTCTGCCCGACGACGAAGGGTTTTGGTAGAGGAGAGGGGGAGGCGAAGAGGACGTTGCTTGTTGTAGGATGAGGTAGGATGGGTAGACTGACTGGATCTACCTTGGCAGCGGGAGAAGGTCCCAGGCAGCCCAGGCAGGCGGCGGCGGCGGCGCCTCTGAGCCAAAATGCGCCTCTGTTGCAGTGGAATTTCGGCCCCGCACTTGGCGAGGAGCGCCGGGAAGGGGGCCACCTCAATTAACATCGGACTGACGACGCCCTCGGACGCAACGCACCCCACGCTCACCATCACCACCACCACCATCACCATCACTCCTCTCCCCCACTTAGCACTGCCACGATGGAGTGTCAATTCGGAATCACAGGAAAGGGTTACACCATCATAGCCTCAGACTGCAATGCCGCCAGGTCCATTGTCAAGATGAAGGGAGACGAGGACAAGATCAGGGAGCTCACTCAGCACCTAGTAATGGCCGTCAATGGAGAGAGTGGTGAGTAGGGGCGAGTAGCAAGATGGGCGCAGTACAAGCAGATGGACTGACTTACTCATTTGTGCTCTCGCTGACTGACCCCCTCAGGTGACACGATCAATTTCGCCGAGTACATCGAAGCCAACCTCAAGCTCTATGCAATCAGGTCAGTCCTCCACCCACAGTCATCAGCCAGGAAAGCTTCTCTCTTTCCTCCCACCACTCCCCCATGCTCACCCTTTTCTCCCTACCCTCTTCCCCTCATAGGCATCACATCCAGCTCCGTCCCCGCGCCGCCTCCGCCTGGATCCGTGACGAGCTTGCCACCTCTCTTCGTTCTCGGAAACCCTACCAAGTCAATCTCCTCCTAGGTGGATACGACATCCCTACTTCTGCACCCGCCCTCTACTGGTTAGACTATCTAGGAACAATGGCTACAGTACCCTATGCTGCTCATGGATATGGAGCCTTCTTCTGCTTGAGCACAATGGATCGATATCATCGACCTGATATGACTCTCGAGGAAGGACTAGATTTGCTGAGGAGGTGTGTGAATGAGTTGAAGACGAGGTTTATTGTTGATTTGGGAACTTGGAAGGTAAAGGTAGTGGATAGGGATGGGACGAGGGAGGTGAAGCTGTAAAGGACGCCCTTTGAGGGAGAGCGACAACAGCAATAAAGACGACACATAACCACATAGCGCAAGAAGTGATAATGGCGGCATTTGCAAGGCGGCAATGAGCAAGGCGGCAATGAGCAAGGTGGCAGATCGCTCTGCAATCAGATTTGATGGATGGAAGACAGGTATGGTACATTCGTAGGGACAAGACTCTTCTCCAACATGAGCAAGCACACTAGAGCGAACCACCCGACATGCCTTTGCACATCAGTATCTCTCCCTCCCTCCTCCCCAATCAGCACCACTGTTCCTTTGTTGGTAAGGATTCCCTCCCCCCGGCCGGCCATTGGAGCGATACTGCCAATCTGACCCTGGTGGTCCACCACCTCTGTATCCTCCTACCCCTCCGCCTCCTGCTCCAATGTGGTGCGATTGGTGTTGTGAATGTGGGTACGCCTGCTGCTGCTGCTGCTGCTGAGGGTGATGTGCCGACCTCATTCCGCCTCCACCGGCCATACCGGGTGGAGGACCAGCATAAGGACCACCCTGGTAGGTATACCCCTTGTTGTGTGAATTCGGAACAAGACCATGAGCGGGCGCACCACCGCTCATTCCCGATGGCATGCCACCGATGACGTTTGCAGCGGGCATGCCCATGCCCATGCCCAGGGCAATTGCACCATTGGGTCGCATGACCATGCCAGGATTCAGGTGTCCCATGGGACCGCCGCTGCCGCCCATGTAGGCTTGCGGTCCTCCACCCACTCCCATCGAGGCACGATGGCTGGGCTGTTGGTGGTGTTGATGCTGCTGCACCTTGCGGTGAGCAGCGCCCTTCTGACCCTTGGTCGCTTCCTTGGAATCTGGATAGTAGGGCAAGCTAGCAGGATCGGCAGGGAGGGGCTCTACATCAAACCACTTGTGCGCGAGGGCGCCTTCGGCCGTGAGACGCTTGCGTGGGTCCAGGACTAGCAATCGGTCGATTAAGTCCGCTAGCTCGCTTCGACTGCAGGAGGGCACAGGGCAAGAGAGGGAAGGTCGAGGTGAGCAACTCTGTAGATCACTTACTGTCTCCCCTTGCGCATACTTACACCATGCCCATGAACTTCTCCCTCACGCATCGAGGCTTCTTCCCAAAGTCATGTCTGCCCTTCTCATTCTTGTCCGCCTTGATCTGGCCAGTATTGTCGACGTTTTTCACTCCCGGCAGAGAGGTCCAGCCTGGGTAGCAGTCCTCTCCGGGAGATCCACACAGGTCGACGATCAACTCGAGCTGATTGATCTCTGAAGATCCTTTGAACATGGGTCGTCTGACAATCATTTCCGCCAAGAGACAACCGAGACCCCACATGTCGACTGCTGGACCGTAGCGGCGCTCGCCAGCGAGGAGCTCAGGTGGACGATACCATCGAGTGACGACCATGCCCGTGTAGTTGACGTCTCCGCCTTCCCAACCAGGATGACCCTTCTCAGTCATCCGCCAAGCAGGACGGCCCGAAGCTGCTCCTGGGTCGTGGTACGGCCGAGCAAGACCAAAATCAGCGATCCGAAGAGAGCCGTCATTTGAGATCAGGATATTTGCAGCTTTGATATCGCGATGCAGAATCTTGTTCTGATGAAGGTAAAGTGTGCCTTCGAAGAGCTGCTTGGCGTACAACTTGATCTGGGCGGGGGTGAATGGCTTGTCTTCACTGTCGAGCCTCTCGATCAGGCCATTCAGGTCATGCTCCATGTACGGCAGGACCATGTAGACTGTTCCGCTGCCAGTCGAAGCCTCCGAGGGCGGCTCATAGACCATGTCCACCACTGGACAGACATTTGGGTGAGAGAGCCTCTTGAGCAACTTGATCTCACGGATTGCTGTGATTGGCATGCCATTGTGAGATTCATTGGCCTGGATTTTGATCTTCTTCAGAGCCACTTCTTGTCCGCTCAGGATATGCCGCGCCCGTGATACCTCTCCAAATGTGCCCATACCGAGGAGGCCTCCTTTGCTCTCATCTACCTTCTCGTATGCACTAGCTTCGCTGCAGCCGACAAAGACGCGATCGCGCAATGGCTTGAGCTTGGCGCGAATCGCCTTGCGACGCCGAATGGCGGCTGAGACCTCCTTTTGAGCGACGGGGGGAGGGGGTACAGGCTCAGGAGCGGCAGTGGGTGGGGGAGCTTGCGGCGATTGAGAGCCAGTAGTCTCTTTGTTCTCAACGGGAGGAGCCAGCTCAGTTTTTGGAGTCACCTCTGAAACCTCAGTAGACTTGCTGGGCTCTGATGCGGTTTGCGAAGACTCTTTTGCGGTGGTGGTTGGGGCAGACGTGGTCTCGATCTCGTCCCGTTTCAGAGCAGTTTCTGGAAGCCTTCGCAGCTTTCTCGGCGGTGATAGCCGACCAGGATTAACGGAAGGACTGCGCCGCTTGCGTCCATCGGGCTCGTTACCGTTATTGCTCCTGGTACCCAATGATGCGCTGCTCCAGCTGTCGAACCCGCTGTCTCTACTAGAGTCAGGTTCTCTGTCGTACCGCCGCACCTCCCGTCCATTGGGCCTGTCCGAGCGTTCTCGCTCTCGCTCTCGTTCTCGTTCTCGAGTCTCCCAGTAGTTGCTTCCTCGGCCATCGTCTCTCCGATCTCTGCCGTTGGCTGGAGGGCTCATCGCAGTCGGCTCGCGCAGGGGTCGAGGTGACCGTGAACGATGCCGCACGTCTGACCTGCTCCATGAGTCATTGGTACGATGGTCTCCACTTGGACGGTCTCTTCGTACATCTCGAGGTGACATGTCTCTCGATGATCGGCTTGAGCGGTAGCTGTCCATCTCATCCCTGTGATCCCAACGCTCTCTCGAGGATTCCCTATATCGTCTGCGTGTGTCTTCGGGCGAGCGGGACAGTCGCCCCGGCGGGCGTTCGAGACCACCACTGCTGTGACGATCGGATCCTCTGGGTCTCTCATGCCATTCCTTTCCCCTACCTCTGTCTTTCTCACGGTCTCTGTCGTCTCTGCCGTTGTCACTTGTCCGCTCTAGTCTGGAGCTTGTGCTTGCCGAGAGGCCGTCTGCAGCAGCTCGAGCAGCAGCGAAGACCTGATGCTGCCTGGGCGGCCTGGATCCGCGCTCGCCAGGCGGAGACTCCTGTGGCGAGCGGTGCCTTGGTTCTGGCTGCTCTCGCATAGTCGAAGTGTCAGAGACTCCCTTGATCTGCACAACGGCCCGAGGTGGATCCCTCGCTGCCGCGCCGGAGGATTGTCCCCCCTGGCCTTCACCTGTGTACGAGGAGCTGGCACTTCGGTCCGGCTGATCACCTCTAGGCTCTCGTGACCGTGGATCAGGCTTCCAAGAGTCTCTTGAACGAACGTGTTCTCGCGAGTCTCTGGGATCACGGTCTGGCAGGATTACCCGGTCAGGTTCCGTCCTGCGCCCGTTGTCTGCAGGGCGTCCATGATGGAAACGGCTATAAAGTGAGCGATGCAAGGCCCATCAAGCCCTGGCTATACTTTGTCATGCTCACCCAGCAGCTCTCTCCTTGGCGCATCCCGATTGTCTCGCTCAGAGCGACGGTCGTCATAGTCTCTGCCTTCGCCTCGGAATCCGCCTGTATGCCTGGATGAGGAAGAGGTGGACGAGGAGGCTGCGCTGAGCCGGTGATGCCGCTGGCGATTGCGGTCATCGTCACGGGCATAGCCGCGGTCGTATTCGTCCTGCCTGCGCTTCTCGCCGGAGCGATGAGTATCCTCCATGGACGAGGCAGAGGTGAGCGAGGGCGAAGGTAGCGAGGCAGGCAAGGATGAACGACGATTGTATCCGAGGCCAAGCGGCGGCGGCAGCCAAAGGTCAAAGCCACGAGGCAAAGGCGGGAGCGGAGTTGCAATTCATCAGTCCAGACGGAAGCAGCAACGCCAGACGCAAAGCAACGCAACACAGAAGCACACGCACGCTACCACCACCACCACCACCACCACCACCACGCGCCTCGTCCAGATGACATAGAAGCAGGCCCTACGACAGATACCAGCACAGATGATCAGCATATCAACATGACTCAGGTCGTAGCATCGACTCAGCATGCATCGACAAGCGCACAGCCGCTACCCTATATACCCGCCTCAAGCCCCTCGCTATGGGCAGAGCTCCCTTCCTTGCCCTGCAGTGTAGAAGCATTGTCTCAAAGGCACAAGCACGTTCAAGAGCATCAGATAGACCTATCAAGGCTCTTTGATGACGAAGATAACCATATCGATGATCTAGACAGAACCGGTAATGGCGCGGAAGAAGCTACCCTCAGCCCTCCTTCGAACGCCGGACAACGAAGCGCAACGACTTCAGTAGATTCAGAGGTCAGAGCCCCAGCTCCGATGAGAGACCCCTTTGAGCTCTTCGACGTCGGTTCTCCTTGGACTCAGGCCAACATCTCCACACAGTGGCAGAGGCGCCTATGGCTTGGCAAAGCTGCTGGAGGCGACCCCAGCAGTGATGATGCCATTGATACTACCAACGAAGAGCCGAGACAGCATCGACAACAGCGGCAGAAGGAGTGCAATGAGCCTATACCCGAGCTTCGACAAAGCAAGAAGAAGAGACAATCTAGAGCCATTCAGGTCGTCGACGCGCCCCGACAGCAAGAGTCGACGTCTGTACGCGAGGTACCCACGAGACCAAAGAAGACAAGACTGGCTGTGGAGCTCTCAGACGAAGACTCGGATGAGGATCAGAGCTGTCAGGCGGGCCCGTCGATGTCACGTCGCCATTCTTCACCACTACGCCCTGAGTCTTTGCCTCAGGCAAAGCAATCACTTGCGCCCTTACAACGAGCTGTCAGCCCTCCTCGTGCTGCCGCTCAGACTCCCCGACCAAGACCTAGGCCAAGGGTATCGTCAGTGCGAGCTACGGGACCTACTACTCAGACGTCTCGCGGAGCACCACTGGCGGCGACAGACTCGGAAGATGATGCGCCCAGTGCTACGCAGTTCTTCACGCGCCAGAAGAGACGGCGACTGAGCCCTGATGGCCAGCTAGACCAAGGGGAAGGGGGAAAATCGCAACCACGGGCTCCAACGCCAATAGCGAACGATCCTCTTACAGTCGATCTGGAGACGCCCGAAATGGAGAGGATGGGGGGCAGAACAATCCTTCCAAGCAGCTTTGGACTTCCCGTCACTGAACCTGTCCTCATTCGACTCTCGATGCCTCAAGCAGAGTCACAAGCATCAGAATCCACTGCGCTAAGTCCAGAAGTCGCAAACACTGGCAACTCTACGACGCTCGCTCTCAATGATCGTACTGTGAGCTTCGGCCAGCTGAGCAAGGATGATGAGGATGCGTTGGAGAGCTTTGTCGAAGGTATGGATTCAGATGACGAAGGGGACGGGACGCTCGGCGCACAAACAATGGACGTTCGAGAAGCTCTCGCTATTCCTGTCGCGAGTGCAAACGCGACAGCAAGCCATCTGCGGCCACCCTCGCCAAGGAGAAGTCCAAGCCCATTACATCGAACATCAGCAGAGGCATGGTTTTCTGCCTCCCCTTCTCCACCTCCCCTCATCGAGGATTACGACAACGACGACGACGACCCTTCAATCCCCTCTGGCCTCGCTCCCCTCCTTACAGACCTAGACGAAGAGAAGCGTCGAGGGTACTTTGCCCAATTCGACTCCCTGCTCGGTCAAGTCTCAGCAGGCTCGCGCTCTCTCCCCCGAGCACGCACGTCCGCAACCGCTAACATCTGGGCAGGTGAGAGCGGTAGAGACGAGGAGGAAGGCGTCGGCATCGAGTGGCCCACCACTCCCTCTGCTCGCTTCGGCAGTGCGGCTCTAGCAGGAAGGGCGCTAGGTCGAGCAGATTCGGACAGTAGACTTCTTCCCAATCGATTTACTGGGTTCAGTAGACCAATCGTCTCTTGTAGCCAGCTACTAGCTGCCGATGTCGCTACCGCAGATGAGAACCGAGACGCTGACGAAACTGCCCTCGACTCGCCTTCTGTCCGAGGTCCTCGACGTCCAGCAGGCAATAATACCAGTGGCCTCCTGCCTCGCTCCCGGAATAGTGCCGGTATGGGCCTTGTGCGCAAGACGTGGGGTTCCACCTGGCGAGAGGACGGCACGCGTCTGGTACGAGGACGCATTGTTCGACGAGCGGGCAATTCTTCACCTCCAGACTCAGACCCAGACCCAGACCCAGTGGTGAGGGGAGCGGTACAGAGGGAGAAGGAGAGGGAGATGTGGGCTGATTTGGAGGTGCATTCGGGGAGGGAGGAGAGGGAGAGAGAGGTGCAGGGGAGAGGGGGAGGGGTTGTGAAGCGCTTTGGGAGGATGAATGGGATAAAGAGGAAGAGCGGAGGAGGTAGCAGCAAGGAGTGAAGAGATTCTCAATATCGCTGCGCAGGGGATCAGCGCAACGGATCAGAGAAAGGGGAAATTTCATGATTTTGGTCTTTCATAGCCCATAGCCCATAGCTCATAGCTCATAGCTCATAGCTCATACCTCATAGCTCATACAGCGTTGATCATCGTACATCGTACGTCGTTGGAAATTGCTTTTTAGCCCTCGTAGACTTTACATGGCCACCCCTTCATCCTCCCCTCTCCTCCTCCTACTCCTCCTCCTTTTTGCCTTGCACAAGGGCTGCTGCTCCCTTCTCCCTTCTACCCTCACTCCCCTGTCTCCCCGCTCCCCGCTCCCCACTCCCCGCTCTCGCGTCGCTCACTTACTTGACAAAGCGATAGCGCACCCTCTCTGCCGCCAAGAGGAAAATTTGCAATTCCTGCATTCCACCACCACCACCACCACCAGAATTGATCTCTTCACCAACGGCCAATCCCATTTTCCCACCCTGCATGCTCAGGGGCACAATGGTATACCCCAATGGACCCGTATCGCATTGGGGACATAGGAGGTACTTGACGGTCAGTATCTGCTGCTGCTGCTGCTGCTGTTGTTGTTGTTGTTGAGGGTGCTGCTGGGAGGAGGGATCGCTTCCAGAAGGAGTTCGTCCTCTCCCCGCCCCCGAGCCCGCCCCCGAGCCCGTACTAGCCGTCAGACTTGCGCTCTGCCCACCAAAGTAAGCCGCATCGGCAGCCGAGGCCTGAGCGGTCTGCGCAGCGGCCATCAGATCTGCTGGGTGTTGAATCTTCAGACCTGCGATTCCCGCAGAAGAAGAAGAGGAGGTGCTCTTGTCCTTTTCGGTATTCTTGCGTCCAAAGAGGGTGGGACGACGTGAAGGTTTCTTACGGGGAACGTCTCGCTCAGAGGTGCTGCTACCTGCTCCGACTGCTCCTGCGTCGCCGCTGCCAGCAGTGCCAGAAGCAGAACTTCCATTGTTCCCACTGCCCTTGGCGTTGAGGTTGCTCTGACTGTGGCTGTGGTTGTGGTCGCCAGCAAAGAATCCATTAGATCCAGCTGCCTCCTTTCCATGCGAGGAACCAGCATGTCCCATAGAAGTAGGCGAAGCGACTAGATCCTCATCCGCAGATGCAGATCGCGTCATCCCTCCTCCTCCTCCGCTCGCCATAGGCGGCAGGGGTACTTTCCACTGAACATCTTTCGAGAATCCAATATTCTCAAAGCTCATCGGACTGAGAAGGGACCAGAAAGGCCTGATGGGCGTGGTGACTTCCCCGCTGGGGGGAGCACCAGGGAGCGTGCTGCGCGTATTGTCCTCTTCGTCTGAGCCGCCCTTGGTAGACCTCTTGGCGCGCTGGCGCTCCCGCTCTTGCAGTGCTCGGATATGGCTGGCGGGAGCAGGGGGTGGTTGTGGTGTAGGTGGTAGCGCTGCGGCTCCTGCCGGGAGCGAGTCATCGCACAGCCGCGAGTCTGTGAGAGGTCCTGACTCGGCCAGCTCCCACATTGCTACTCCTTTTCGGATCAGCTTGCATCCACATTTTTCCTGCGGACACCAAATCTCCGCCAGATTCCCACCGCTGCCCTTGTCGTCGTCTTCGTACTTTCCCTTTCTCTTGTCTACCAGTCGAGCTTCTAGAGCCACATAGGCATCCTCGACAAAGGTCTTGCCTGCTAGCGTCTGTCCCAGGATGGAGGAGAAGGGTTGAGAGGGGTTCGTACCCGGTGCGTAGCCTGCAGAGGAAGCAGTCAGTGCTGCGAGGAGATCCGACTGCGAGAAGGGACCGAGACTGGGACCTGATGGCTTCCGAGACGTCGGCGCTGACTTGGCCGTCGAGGCAGGCTTCTCGGGAGGCGATGCTGCGCTGGGCGATTCAAAGAGGAGATCCTTGAGATTCATTGAGGCGCCCTTGCGAGGAGTGGCCGGTGCCGAAGAAGACTCCTCAACCGCATTACGCTCCACCTCGTTGTTCGTAATCGCCTTCTCTTCTGACTGCTTGGCTTCAGTGGGATCACTTTCCACCTTCTTAACGTCGCCGTCTGCCGATGAGGTTGCTTCCATCATCTGCGCTTTGTCCGTTTGAAGACCTTCCTGCTTGTCTTGCTGTGGTGGCTTGCCCTTGAGATATCTCCTCATCTCTACCCAACCTCCACTGCCAACTCTGACGTGGCTGACACCCTGTACCTTGAACCCTGCCTTGAGGAAGAATTTGATCGTCTCTTCATGCGTCAAGATCCCTACGCATTCGTAGCCCTTTGGCTGTTCCAATTGGCCTCGCTTCTGGTCTCCTCGTCCCTCTTCGGCTCTCCGCAGACGCATGTGGTATTCTTCCAGCATGCGCAGTCCGACGCCCTTGCGACGATATTGTTCATCCACCACAATCGACGCTAGACAGACCATCCAAGCCTCTGCGCCATCTTCTTCGTTCGAGACTGTGTGCACAGCCAGTGCCCTCGCCGACAGACTCGAGCTAGCAGTGCCATTGATGAATCCAATAATTCTGCGTGGTGTAGAGTAATGACCCACGCTCAATGGTCCTGCCACTTTGGGAGGTGGAGTGGGGATGTACGCTCCCAGGAAGAGGTGGGGGGCATTGGCCTGTCGATACTTCATCCTCTCTTTGCTAGCCTGATCTTCTGGATCGTAGGCTTGCGTCTCCAAAGCGTGACACTGTGCTACTTCATCTCCCCTGATCCAATCAAAGAAGAGGCCCTTTGGGAGATTCATGCCTGTACGACCAGAAGGTACAGAGAGGTTGGTCGTTGTACCACGAGAAGGCCTGCGGAACATCGAAGGGGCACTCGAACCCGATGGCGTCTCGGATCGTTCACCTCCAGGTGTCATTGCCTGTGCAGAGGCTGGCGAGGCGTCTCCTGTCTTTTCTCCTCCACTACTGTTCGAGCTGGTCTCCGAGATGGTATCGCCGACTTGTCCAGTGGCGCCAGTGGTGTTCACATGCAGCGTAGAAGCATAAGGAGAGCCTTGAGCACTACCCGCGACTGAAAAGCTAGGTGTCCTCACCCCTCCACTGCCAGGTCGCGACACTCTGGAGTTCGGTGCAGGTGAATTGGAAGAGTCGCGCAGTCCGTGTTGCGAGAGGGTTGCCCTCAAATTGCTGAAGTGGCCTCCTGAAGAGGGTGGCCCACCACTGCCTGTACGACGACTTGTAGAGGAAGACGAGGGCATGTTCCTTGACTCTGCAGAGTTGGTATGAGGATTTCGCCCCTGCTGAGAGAATGCCCTCGTGGGAGGAGGGAAAAAAGGTAGAGGATTCATAGCTGCTGAGCCTCGATGGCTGGAGAGCAAGGGTGACCTCGGAGAACTCTCGGTAGCACGAGGCTACTAGCTGAGCGTGTGCGACGTCAGCTCAGCCTAGTCTGAAGGCTCCAGTATGAGGAACCAAGACGAGGGGCAGAGAGTGGTTCAAGGCGAGTCAGGCAACGAGGGCTACGAGGTGCGTCTTTGCCGAGAAGGGTCGTCGGGGTTTAGAAGCGGCAGAAGAGCCAAGCGTGTACAGCCGATAGCAGTGGTGGAGGGGGAGGGGAGCGAGGAGGCTTGGAATCAAGTGCTTTGGGGGGTGACTACGGCCAATGCTGATATTGATTGTGGAGAAGTTGGTGATGGATTGGGAATCAGGGTACGGTGTCTACTTTGATGGGAGCAGTGGGGCCAAGAGGGACCGAAACAGGGAAGAGAGATAAGTGGGGGGAAAGGGAAATCCCAGGCCAAGGCGGTGAGGAGGGAGCGGGGCCGTGCCAATGCCGAGAAGTGTCTGCGAGCCAAAAGGGCAGCAACAAGGGCGCCAGGCAGTCAGCCCCTCGCCACGCCACGCCCCGCCCCGCCCCCGAAGATTGATCACCAGCCAGGCCTTGGCAACGCCCTATGAAAATGGCCAATTGAAACAAAGTCCAGAAGAGCACAAGAAGCAGCGCAAGTACAAGCATCAGCACCCCACCCACACCCACACCCACACCAAAGATAGAAATCCGAGCAAAGGTGGTACATCGGCGGAGTGACCAAAGAGCGAGCGAGCGAGCGAGCGAGCGGGAGCAGAGCGCGAAGCCCCCAAGGAAGGAGAGCTGGGCTAGGCAGGGCACGCTCGGCAATTTCCACCCAACGCTTCCCAAGGCGCGGGGGTGGGGGGCAGGGCGTGACCCTCGAAGTGGGATCAGCGGAGAAAAGAGAGAGGGGAAGAGAGTCGAAGAGCACTGAACAGCCACTGCCAAGACTCAAGACCAAGACCAAGGTAAGAATGGAGAGCACAAGCCACTGGTAGAAAGGCCAAGGCAGGCAAGTGGTAGATCTGGTCTGGACTCAGAGGTGGACATGGATTACCTCGGGCCCGGATGAGGGCAAGGGCAGACGGAATGGATGACCACTCCTATTCAGTACCGACGCATGTCCCACGCTAGCTTCACGCATACGCAATCCTAATGATGGTGGAAGCTGTCGATTGTACTCAAAGCAGATCTAGCTTGAGAAGACATCGAAGAGAGGCGTGGCTAAAAAAGTACACAGGCGCAGAAAGATGCTGGGAAAAGGGGGAGGGGGGAGTCTACGAGCTGAAAGAATTGCACATGGCAACCCTTAGAACTGCAGAGCAGCACCCTTCTGCTTCTTGTCACCACCCAGCTCAAAGTGCTTGCATCGCTTCAGAGCCATGTGCGAACGGTACTTGCACGAAGTGCACTCCAGACGCAGCACAACCTTCTTGGTAGTCTTGGCCTTCTTGTGGAAAACGGGCTTCGTCTGTCCACCGTAACCCTTCTGCTTTCGGTCGTAACGACGCTTACCCTGGGCAAAGAGGGAAGCCTTACCAGTCTTGTACTGGGTGACCTTGTGTGGGCTGTGAGATTAGAGGAGGCAGACGGGTCAGTCGGAATGTCCAGCAGGCGGATGGCCAGTCCTCTTAGCTACGTTCGTGAGCCTCTCGTCGCCCTTTTCCCCCCTCCCCGGTCTCAACGATCGCCTGGCCGCACCAATGACCTGCTCGACCAACTGTGGTCTACTAGGCGTAGATAGGGCACACAGGGCCTCGATAGTCCAATTGTTCCCCATCATATCCTTCCCTGCCGAGGCCAACCTCTGCAATGCCGCTTCCTGCCTCTTGTCATTCCGTCCTCATCCATCATTCACATCATGTCCGATCCATCCTTGCATCAGATGTCACTGATACCCACGTGTGCTTCTTGCAGGTCTTGCCCTTGCAGTAGGTCCTTCGAGTCTTGGGAACGTTGACCCTATAAAGTGTGAGGGTGGAAGTGCGAAGAGTCAGCATATCTGATCGGTCGCTCTGCTGGAGTTACTGGCCTGAGGCTTTCGCAATCGTCGTCTCCACCTATACCCCGAGGTGAAGCTGAAGGGAGCGCTGAGGAGGGAGACAAGTTCCGTCGAGTCTGTTCGATGACCTGACGCAGCGTCCGCAACTCGAGGAACTTCTCGTCTCCCCGACCACTTGCTCCAGTCATCTGAACTCTATCCCTGTGAGCCCTTCGAAAAGTCTTCCTCGTGGCAGGCAAGGACGGCATTGCAGGCTTTCGCCAACAATGTGGACTTCGAAGCTGTTCTGCTCCATAGATGCCTCCTACCCCGATTCCATTCTTCCACCACAGCAATTCCCCAATCGTCTTTCAAATTTCCTGCGTCCTCCAAAAGGACGTATGACGATAATGACGCTCTTCTCTTCTTTCGACGGAACGATGAACGATGATACTAACATCTTGACGATTTCGATGTGAAGGGGTGAGGTTGGGTAAAGGGAAAGAGAGAGGGAAAGGACCTACTAGCGGTTCCGGGTTAGAAAAGTGTGGCGGGCACACACGCAGGCAGGCGAGCGAGAGCGGGCGGGCGGGCGGGCTGCCTGGGCCCAATGGCGGGCAGGCACGCAGACAGCCAGGCGGCAGGCGCAGGCGCAGGCGCGGGCGCGGGCGCAGGAGCATTGCTAGGCGCACGGCAGGCTACGGTCGCAATTTTCTGGTCACGTTTTTTGGAGCGAGTTGAAACTCCGCACTCGAGCGACCTCCCTCTTTGCTTCCGAGCCGATATTGGACCATGAGTCTCGGCGAGGCGAGAATGCATCAGGGACGATGGTATATAAGTTTACAGTGGTGGTTTGCAACAACGCTACAAGGAACTCTGACCAGGAACTCTGACCAGCTCATCAGCCTCTAAAGGGTCCCAACATGGAGCTGGCTCTGAAGGAATCGAAGCTGTTCTTCTCGTCACAGCCTGCCCGCCTCTTGATCTGGATAGCCTCTGGCAGCGCCTTGGTGAGAGCCTGCTCTCTCTTGCTCGATTGAGGGTGGGTGGACATGATAGTGGGAACACCCGACCCTTCCATTTGAGCCATGCGAGACCTGTGTACACGAGAAGAGACACAAGTTGGGGCGATGGTCAGCTCTCGTGTCCGCGGAGCCAGCGTTATAGGGCATCTCTTACTCACCAAAGCTTCGGGGCCTCTTCAGGATCGAAGCACGCCCGACTCATCAATTTGAGACCCAGGTCATCCGCTTCCACTTCAAGTCGTCGACTGTTGGGCAAGCTCATCAAATATTGCAGGGCAACGTTGGAGATGCCCCAGTCGAGGCCGGCAAGAGCGAGGGCGAAGCCCAGATAGCGCACGATCTTCACACCGCTCGTCTTCTCGGCAGTGTGGTTGCAGAGCTTGTGAGATACCTGGAGGGATGATTGAAAGAAGAAGACAATGCTATCAGAATGAGGTGCTGCCAGCTCTTCGCCGGGTTATGCTCGCACTCACCTCATGGCCCAATACTGTTGCCAAGCCATCTTCGCCACCACAGACGGAGAGGATGCCAGTGAAAACAAAGATCTGACCACCAGGCAGAACGAAGGCATTAGTCTGGGACGGATCGTTGATGACGAAGACCTGCCATTTGGTGTTGCGGACCGAATCACGAGCATACGTCGTATCGTTGGGATCACTTGCAGCATCCCCATGCTCCACATCAGCAAAGTCCAGACCGTGTAGATCTTCAGCAGCTCTAATGATGCGAGTGGCAACCCGTCGCGCCATCACAGAATACTGGTGATTTGCGGGCAGGATCTTGCCACGGTATTGAGACATCACTTGCTCGAAGGCCTCCTTGCCCATGTCGGCCTCTTCGGATTCGCTGACGTCCCTGAATCTCCTGCGACCAGTGTAAGGCACTTGCTCGAGGTGGACCACGTAGTATATACCTCCACCCACAACAAAGACCAGTGCCATTGCTCTGCCCCCAGGTGTGTGAATCCAGTGCTGGTTGTCGGATTGAGACTTCCCTGAGCGGCTAGCTGTCGGCCAGGTATATTGGGGAGGCGGGCCAGAGCCACCGCTGCCGCCGCCTATTGGACCCCTACTGGTAGCGTTGCCACCTCTCTGACCGAAGATGCGTTCGCGTATCTCCTGCTCGAGCCGACTCCGTGGGTCAACATCTGCTTGTCTCTGTGAGGAGTGCTGCCGTGAATCCCGTGGAATAAAAATTTGCTCTACTTCTTCCTCGTCCTTGTCTTTCCTCGACTTCTGACGAGCTTGCGACTCCTCCATTGCCTGAGCCAGAGAGCCCGGCTTAGGTAGCCAGGAAGGCCATCTCTCATTGGCAGAGCGGATGGCCTCTATCCGCTGCCGCTCCTTCTCTTGCTCAGCATCGTAAGGGTCGTCGTCTCTGCCTGTAGGCTTCGATGAGCTACTGGCAGACTGCGGTGGCCGTATACTGCGTCTTTGACGATATGATGAGGCCTGAATGCCTGCCCTGCCTCGGGGTATTGATGAATGTGAATGCAGAAGAGCAGCAGTGGGTGGGACTCTTGCTTGCTGTAAAGGGGCTCCGCTCACAAGCTGCCGTACTAGGCTGGCAGGTCCACGAAGCATGGCTGCGATGAGTGAACGCGTGTCTTATGCTCCAGAGGAGCTATCGGGAGATTGATGACACCCCTGTGGAGGGTGTGAGGCCGGACTGAGCCACAGACAAGCAGATCGGTACGGAAGGAGATGGCAATGATGGGCAGCGTAGACTTGGATATTGAGGCGGCCCCTCCGCCAAGCGATCTCCCTTTCCGATGCAGCCAAGCATCATCGGCGGGAAGCGAGGCGTCACGAGCAGCCATTCCTTCTCACCAGGGCCAGTCAGCAACACAGCCAAGATCAAGGGTCAGTGGGGGGATTGGTTGCTCACAGCCTCGTCCTCTCCCTTCTTTCCCTCTACTTCTCCTTCATCAATCACTCTACTGACGATCAGCCACATTCCCCCTCATGGCTTCAACAGAAGATCGCTCCCCCACCCAGGAGCTCGAAGCCGGTGAGAACACCCCTGACACTTCGCCCTTGGCGCCCGATACTCGCGTCGAGCCCCGCAAAGTCTCGGCTATCATTCTCCGCATACATGCTCTCGTTAAAAAGCTCCTCCCTGTAGAGGTCAGTGAAGATAGCCTCAAGTCTCCCGATGGGCTGCTCAACGCAAGTGTCATTGCCAGCTTCGTCAAAGCTGGCGGAGACTTTACCGATGTCGTGCCTTTTGCGCTTCTAGAAGCCAAGAAGCTCTTCCAGCAGTCAGTAGAGGGTGGTCGAAGTCGAACTAGCTCACTGGAGTAAGAATGGAGTGCTGACCCGCTCGAGGTTCCCCTTTGCACCAGCAGAGACAGCCAAGATCCAGAGCTCAACTGTCTGAGGGCTACAGCCTGTGAGATTCTAGCTCGAAGGACCGTCTATCGCCTTCTCAAATCGGAGGAGAAGGCGAGCCAACGCGCTGGGAGCTTCCTCTGTCTCTCCAAGCGCTTTTCCTACATCGACACGGACGGCGATGCGACTCTACCCACCTCAGCCCTCGAATCAGCGGTCGACCAGGAGAGCATTTCTTTCCTCTCTGCGCCCGAAGCTCAGGCCTGTATTCAGGCTCTATGGACGGGTCGACTGGTTCAACGATATGCTGAGGGAAAGCATGACTTTGTCCACTTTGTTCCTTTCGAAGCTGCCGAGAGCGGCGCGTTCTCTGCTCACTTCAGCCCGAATCGTCTAGCAGTTCCCCGGACACTCTATACCCTCTCCCTCATGACCTGGCTCCTACTTTTGGTCGTTTACTCTATGGCCACGCTAGAGTACACGGGTCTGGACTTCTGGGAGGTAGCTCTTTGGGTCATGCTGGCAGGCTACGTCATGGAAGACGTCACGAGGTGGTGGAAAGTCAGGGGCCTGGAGGCGCTTAGTATCTGGCTCATCATCGACGTTCTGCAAGACTCCCTGGCAGTAGGTGCATTCGTTGTGCGAGTCATCTCTTTCATCTACGAGGACACTGTACACACTGCAAAGTATCAGCGCCTCTCCTTCCAGCTTCTGGCCTGCCTAGCACCTTTCCTGTGGATTCAGCTTCTGAAGGCCTTCGACTGCATCCCCTTCTTTGGCAACATCATGAACAGTCTCGTCAGGATGCTGAGAGAGACTGGTATCTTCATGGTCCTTCTGTTGCTCGTCGGTCTCGGTTTCGCCCAAGCTCTATTCTCTCTCGATGCTGCCGATGGTCATCGAGTGGAGAGCTCGGGCTCCGTTGTCTTTGATACTCTGATCAGTGGCATTTTGGGAGGTGGCATGACATTCGATGCTGTAGACGAGGCGTTTGGCAAGCCCTTTGGCAAGATCCTCCTCTACGCATACTCCCTCGTACAAATCCTCCTTCTCAGCAACATCCTGATTGCCCTACTCAATCAGGCCTACCAAGACGTAGTAGACGACGCCGATGACGTTTTCGCGGCCTACTTTGCTACAAAGGTCGTCGGCCTCATCCGGGCTCCTGACCAATTCGTCTACCCTGCCCCTTTCAACATCGTAGAGGCATTCTTCATCGCACCTCTCGAGTACGTTCTATCCCGATCCGCCTACCGATCCCTAAATCTTGTAGTCCAGTCGGTCCTCTTCTCGGTGCCCCTTTTCTTCATCGCCCTCTACGAGTCGAGGGTCGACTCGCAAATCTTCAAGACCATCAAGCTCGAAATGCTGGGAGCGTATGACAATCCTCCTCAAGCCATGTCAGGAGCAGTAGGAAGCGCGGACTTCACCGCCGAGGATCCTGACAGTGCTGAAGGAGGAGGTGAGGACGACCTCGTCATTAGCAAAGTGCCTTTTGCCAAGCTCGTGGCGAGCTTCCCTACCATTCAGGGCGGCACTGAGGACGACTCTGATCAGGATCCTACGACCGGCGAGGTGTACAGTGGGAACAAGACGAAGAAGGAGGAGGAAGATGGTGGCGCTCCCGAAAAGTCGAGCCCTCCATCTCCTGACACTGAGTTGCTGCGAGACTTGATGAAGGAATTGAAGAGCCTGAGGTCAGAGCTGGAAGAGTTGAAGTCCAGCAAGGCCTTCAAGAGGGAAGGCTCGATGCACACGAAAGGAATCTAGGTCTCATGCCGATGGTGATTGTCTCTTCTGATTCCACGCACTTGTAATGATCAGTGACGAATTCGTGTACGTCTATCTCGCGCTCTTCATGCCTTGCAATCGAGCTCTCTGACGAGCGAGCATAGCTTCGACGTGGCTGACTGGAGCGGCTTGACTCTGCCTACTTATTGTACCAGCTTGCCCTTCTGTGAGTGCCTTCTCATCTTCTTCCACCTCGGCAGGCTTTCTCGCAGCCCAAAAGCCTTTTCCATAGCTCGTGAGCAGCTCCTCACCGGGCTTGATCTCTCTCGAGCCGCTCTGAAAGTACAGACCCCGGAGTGGAAGAGCCGGGACGTCGTCCCTATCCGACAATGAGTCTACAGCTGCAGCAGGGATTTCGTACTCCTGAAATTCGACATTGGCCCTTTGTGCCACGCCTCGGTAGTCATTGACGACTGATAGGGGCCAGAGGGGCGAAATGAATGTCAGTGCGGAAGTCAGACCAACGTGTGCTTTCATTGTCTACTCTGGGATCGAGGCCTGCGCTCCAAACCTCGACGACCCGGTCTCTGTGGACACTCACATCGTGCCTCGTTCCCCATCTTCGTAGCATCAATGCCCAATCTCATCCCATCGCCCCCTGATGGTCCAGTCGAAGGGGCCCAAACGCCGAGGTCATAGTCGCTGCTCTCGTCGCTCTCCTCCTCTGTGTGAACTTGCCCGAAGTACAGCAGCAGTATCGTTCGCGGCGGGATGGCTTTCTTGGCAAACAGACCACTTTGGCCGTACGCCGGATGTGCGGGAGAAGTGATGGGCTTGATGACGGTCCAGTCTTGCGAGCGTAGCAAGGCGGGGTGGAAGGGTGAGTCGGCGGGCAGCGGAGAGCAGAAGATGCGTTTGTGCTCAGGAGAGAGGTTGGGAGACGGCGAGCAAGCCTCGGCGAGGTAGGAGACGTCTTCGGGCCAATTCACAGGGGCTGAGAGAGGGTAACGTATGCCGACGTCTCTCGACGAAGTCCTCTGCTTGCTCATTGAGAGCTACAGCTGGCTCACAGAGAGGAGCATACAAGGAGGAGCGGTTAGAAGGAGAGAAGCGGAAAGAGAAGTTCTGCACGAGCCGCCGCTATTCTGGGTGCCGGCGGGGCAGGTGCAGCGATGCTCTTGGTACCGAGAGACACAAGAGCACACACAGCGTGCTGTCAGAGCAGCTGGCAAGCTGGAAGTGAGCTTCTTGAGTCTCTGATCAGGTAGGACAACGAAAGAATATTATCTTTGCGTTGGACAATTGCATGCGGCCCCCGATGTGCAAGCCGTGCCGCTCCCCGCGGGAGATTCTTCTCTCATAAGGCGTGTGGCTGCAAAATCGTTCATAGCGTACGTCTAACGGAGCAATGACCTGGTATGATGCCATGAGAGCTTACGGATGAGCGTGCTCGGGCTATCGAGCCGATGACTTGGTCCATTGCTTTGCTCTATGCTTCCGGCCCTTACGGCTGGACGTGTTCAGGGGTAACGGCGCTTTATTAGTTCGCTGGGTATTTCAAGCTGACAGGCACCGCCGATCCCCCAAGGATTGCTCATATGACTTCAACCTCCCTAACCCCCTTTTGTTAGGTCGCCATATCCTACCTCCACCCTTCTTTTACGCAATGGCATCCAGCTTGGGCAGTGCCAGTGATACACCGTATGCGACAAGCCCGGTGGGCGCGGCAAGCGAGCAGCAACAGCAGTCACACTTGCTGGCTTCTGCTGACCCAGAGGTGAGCAGAAAGACTTGCATCGAGATGTTGGACTTTTATGACAGCCGTATCTGACACCGATCCTCCATTGATGAATCGCTGCCTTTGCAGAGCGGCCCAGTCGCTGCCAAGGGCGCGAAGGGACCAAGGAGGCCTTACCGACCGGGATCTTTCCTCTCGCGCAATCGGTACGCATCGCCTGCCACTACTATCTCAGCCGTATCTTCTTCAACACTCAGCTCTAATGATACCCGAGGACTAGATCCGTCCACACTGCCTCCGCCTCAGGGGCTTTACTCACGACCCTCTGCAGCCTCTAGCGGGGGCACACTAACTAACACCTCTTCGGCTGTGTCTGGGACGGCATCGCCCACGGCGGCATTCGGAGATAGGACGCCCGCTCTGCCTTCCGATCCGAAGCTAGGAGGTAGCCTTGGCAGCAGTGAGGGATCCCCCGGAGCGGATGGGTGGCGGACACCGGCCTACTCATCAGCTCCATGTCATGCCCAGTACATGCATCTGGGGCCAGAGGACGATGACTGGTTGCACGAGGTCAAGAGCGAGTGGAAGGATCACAAGAGATACTATGTGGGCATTGACCAGCGCGCGTGCTGTCTGCGTGGCTTCCGAGGCTGCAGTGAGTGACCCGCGGCTATCGACGCGTGAGGCGCGTTCGCGACCATGGTCTGACCCCTCGAACATGGTCTGACGGTACCCTTGAACATGGTCTGACGGTACCCCCGAACATAGTCTGACCGTGCCCTCGACCCGCCCATACTCCACAGTCAATGTATGTAGCTTAGTCTCCCTTTTTCTGGGCATCCTCTTCCTCTTCATGGGTTATCCTCTGCTGGTCTTCTTCCTCAAGCAGAACCATACCAACAAGGGTGGACATGGTCTAGGAGGTACTAATGCCACCGGGCAGGTCCCAGACTTTGGCGGTCTACGAACAGGTCTTATCGATCCAGACACACCAAAGGATGCTTACTCTAAGATGAATGTTGACGGGACCAAGAAGATGAATCTAGTCTTCTCGGACGAATTTGAGCAGGACGGTAGGTCCTTCTACCCCGGCGACGATCCTGTATGGCAGGCCGAGGACCTGTTTTACTGGGGCACAGGAGACTTGGAGTGGTATGATCCAGCAGCTATCACGACAAAGGATGGAGCGCTAAGGATCTCGTTGACTGAGCATGTGTCTCACAACAAGAACTTCCGTTCCGGCCTTCTCTCATCTTGGAACAAGTTCTGCTTTACCGGCGGCCGCATCGAGGTGGCCGTCATCCTGCCCGGTACCAACGACGTCTCGGGTTTCTGGCCTGCGGCCTGGCTTCTGGGCAATCTGGGACGCCAAGTGAGTGTTGTCTCTCGATGCGACTTGAGCGGTGGTGGGTATATTTGAGAGGTTCGAGTACCAGGAGTGGGTCTCTTTGCAAGGGTCATGTATTGGTGGTGGGTCGCTTTCCTGCTGCTCCCAGTGCTCGACGCTGACTTTTCAATCTGTCTCTCCAGGGCTATGGTGCTACAACGGAAGGAATGTGGCCGTACAGCTACGACTCGTGCGATGTGGGTACCCTGCCCAACCAGACCTGGCCGGCGGAACAAGGTGGCGGGCCTGAGGCAGCAGTCAGCGGCGGCGATAAGCAAGGGCCCCTGAGCTATCTTCCTGGACAACGACTATCCAGATGCACATGTCCTGGTGAGGATCATCCTGGACCTCTCTTGTCCGATGGCACACTCAGAGGTCGCGGCGCGCCAGAGATCGACGTGTTCGAGGTCTCAGCCGGAAAGGCCTATACGGCGTCTCAATCTCTGCAGAGTGCACCCTACAACGCCAAATACCGCTTGCCAACGACAGATGGTGCAGTCTACTATGCTCCAGGTCGTGCTGGAAAGAATTCGTACGAAGGCGGCGTCTACCAGCAAGCTGTGTCAGGCGTATCACAGTTCAAAAGTGACGCATTTGAGAAAGATGGAGCAGTCTTCAATGTTATGGCAGTGGAGTACAAGCCAGGCCTTGACGACGATTCTTATGTCGCCTGGATGACCGACGGAAAACTTGCGTGGTCTGTCCACCCGCCTGCAATGGCTCCTGACAAGCTAACGGAAATCGACGTCAGGCCGTTCCCTCAAGAGCCAATGTATATCATCATGAATTTGGGAATGAGTCAATCGTTCTCTTGGCCAGATTGGGAGAACTTAGAATTCCCTGCTCACATGCTAATCGACTATGTCAGGGTGTACCAACCAGAAGGAGAGGAGAATGTAGGCTGCGATCCACCGGACTACCCCACAAAGGATTACATTGACAGACACATCGGAGCATACACGAATGCCAACCTGACGACCTGGACCGAGCCTAAAGGTCTTCGAGGCGGTTATGGTGGAACCTTCCCCAAGAATCGACTGCTGCACAAGTGCTGACGCGTGCACTAACTGCGTAGAGGGTTCTACCCCCTGCACCACTTGCAAGTCACCGAGACAGTGGTGGGACAGTCTTCTTATCGAGCAACAATCGACCCTCGCCCTGCTCGATTGCTAATCTTCCTGTCACTCGATCCCTGCTGTCCACGTTACCCCCCTTCTTTATCTGCGACGCTCCCTTTTTTATTTAATCATACTGTTCCACTGCCGGTGCCCCACCCTGCTCTCCTCGCTTCTGCGGGCAAATTCCTTTATTGCGCCTATTTAAGTCTCGCTAAGGGTGAGACTTGCCTTGTTCGGTAGCCTTGGTTATGCGCCTTCGGATGCCTTTCTAGTCACCGAGGGGTGGCCCCTGAGCACGCAAATGGGGTTAAACGCCGAAGTATCACGTGGGTAGAGTGCAGGGGGCAGGGCACTAGTCAAAGTCTAGTACTCCCCCATCGGGTCACGGGCGTGTGAGTTTGTAGCCGGAGGCTGCTGCGTGTGGACGATTGACTCGGCCGCTACTGTGAAACATGTATACCAGGGGGCGGCTCCCCGAACGGGTGAATTTCCTATCCAGGGCGCAGCTGAGACCGAGGCCTACAAGCACGAGCTAGGCGTGGGGAAAGTCTGCCTGGGCGGCAAGGCGGTACAGCCCGTTGCTAGTGAATGTGCCGTCTGCGCTTGTCAATTCGGGCGGAGACGCGGAGCCCAAAGTCGTCGGAGCCTTACTCCCCAGATTGGAGCCGTCGAGGAGCGCGTGAGATGAATCTCCCCGCTCCCCGGGCGTTCACAGCGCTCTGGCACAGATGGCAGAGATAGCCTAGACTGAGCTGGGAACGTCAGCGAGGGATCAGGGACCACCAGGTGAGCTGAGGCTTGGGGTGGGTGGATACCCACTCGTCTCCAGAGGGTCGCCAGGCGGACGTGAGAAGGCGGGACGTTGGCGGTCCAACTCCGACGGGCGTAGCTGAGCCGTCGGCTGCAGGGAGAACATCGTTCCGACGGCTCCTTGGCTCGGCGCAGCTGCCTTGGCCGTGACTGCTGCTGGTAGGACCAACCCCCTCCTCCTTCGGTCCCTTCCAAGTCTCGTCTCCTCTCACCTTCGCCTTCTTCTACTCTCCTTCCACGACTCCACTCCTATCTAGAGGCTCCTGCTCCCGCTCTCACCCCTCCTGGCTCGGCACTGCATACCCTGCCTACTTACCTTGTCCTTTCCCCATCGCTCTTTCCTCTCTTTCCTCTACTCGGCTGATCCACCTCTGCTTCGCACGCTCCCTGGTGCCTCAATCAATCTCATACGCAGCATATATCTGCCTATTCAGTCCATCCTCTTCTCCTCTCGGAGCCTTGGCTGTCCACGATTCCGCATCGCTAGCATCTGCCAGCCTTGACGACGTGAAGCTTGCACATATTCTAGAAGATTCCGTCTCTTCTCCTACGTTCCTCCTTGACTAGGCTGGCCTAAGTCAAAGTAGGGACAAAGACTCGCGGGTCCCTCCCCTGTCTTCGCCAGGAGATTGGCAAGAATGCAAGGACACTTGCCGTCAGGGACAGCAGAGGGGCGCATACGCAAACAGTCGGACGGGGTTCGACCCAACGCTTTGGCGTCCCCCATCACCACCTCTACCACATCACCCCGCCGGAGGTCGGACTCCACTCTCATTCGTGGTAATCTGCGTGCAGATCCGCAAGAGCGGGAGAAGCTGCACAGATGGGCAGCTGAGGCGATGACCGCACCGCATCCCATGATGGAGCCTGACGCGCCTGAGCCCTCGTCCTCTGCCAGTGCTAGTGGCGCCTTCCCACGCCGCAACAGCCGCAACCGTACCTCTGAATCGCCTGGCACCTCCTCTCCACGGAGCTCAGGTCATGCTGGGTCTGTTTTGCCACATCTTGCCTGGACAGGCGAAGGTCAGCCTTCGCAACCATCAGAAGCTAGCAGCTGGCTCGCAGCCTCCTCATTCCGACGCCAGTCCTTGGCCGACGCCAGGAGTATCAACAGGACTCCAAGCCCGACGACCTTTGCATCCAAGTCAAGTAGCTCAGCAAAGCCTTCGCTCCGGTGGCCTCCAAGGTCCAGCGGTCTTGCAGAGACGCCTCCTTCAGCCAACGGCTCTAGCCCCTTGGCCGTGGAAAATGTCGCGGATGCTCCAAAAGGCCTTGCTCAAAGAAGAATGGAGTCAGGGCAACTCGAGGGCAGCCTTCTTGACAGCGTCAAAGCGGTTCACATCACAGCCCCTTCATACACGATAGGTTCAGATGGCACTCGTCAGATGGTCTTTGATAGTCCTGGAATACGCACCGCCAGACCCAAGATGACTCCTACTCAGAGAAAGCTCTTCTCACCCCGAGTCTTTCATGGCAGACCACCAGGCCTGGCTCAGGATGATGCCTCATTGACTCCGCGTCCTGCAGAGATAAGTTCGCCTTCTTCTACGGTCTCCACTGTCGCCAGTGAAGAAGACGACGATCGATGCATTGCAACACCTGAGGGAGAAGGTAGCGGCTTTCCGCCTGCATTTCCCAGGCTTCTTCCTCGAGAGAAGAGCAATCTATCGATGTCCCACTCGACGATCAGGGAGGGATCATCCCGTGTAGATACTATGAGTGATACAGAAACGAATCGTACAGCTCAAGGCGCACGCCCTACCACCGCAGGCAGTGGTACCGAAAGTCCGATCACCACATATTTAGGTGCTACGAGCAGAAGAGGGAGTCAATCTGTGTACGACCGGCCCGCAAGCCGGCCAAGCTCAGGCATCGGATCTTACGCACCAGAGCAAATTACGGGGGCGGCGTTCTCCTATCCCGCCCTCCTCGGCAACGGAGAGGTGGCAGACACATCTCCCTATTCCATCCCACCTCACCTTGGCGTCAGCGAATCTCTCGACCCTTATGACATGGGCGACACAGGCAGCGCTGTCAGCGCAGGGCTCGAACTGGGCCTCGGCGCTGGTATGGCTGCCGCTGCTCTGGCAGCTCATCTTCCTGCAGAACATCTGGCTCTGAATGACTTTGCCGAACCCCGCTTTTCGCGCACAGCTGCCCTTGCTGAGGCTCGTACGAGCGCTGGCTCTCCTGGATTCGTTGCGACGCGCACTGACAGCGACATGTCGAGACAGAGCTCAATTGATCGAGATGAAGTCGTTGTCGGAACCAGCTCTCGCTCAGACAAAGCAATCGACGACATAATTGGCTTGCGAGACTCGACGTTGCCGTCCGCCGATCTTTCCAGGAGGAAGACCACTGGGTGGGAGGCCACTCGTCTTCGGAGGGAGGGAAACCCTTCTGGAGAACAGAGGCCGACTCGATCTGCGACGCAGGACCAGACCACTACGGCCAAAGACCCGCACACTTTGCTCTCTGGCTACTCCCAAGACGAAGACGATCGAAGTCCTGTCGACGTCAACACTGCCCGCGAGCGCGCAGGCGCAACAGCAGAGGTTCGCTTTGGTGGCATCTCCACGGATCGTGAGAGTGTCGTCTCGTCTTTCGACAGTCGTTCTACGAACCACCGACAATCTCGCAGTGGCAGCGTGTTAGATACTCCGTCGCTGACAGGTCGAGGGCAGCCCATGCTAAGCCCAGATCTGACGTCTCAGCATGACCCTCGAGGAGGTAGCAGCGGCTTGTATGGCGCCTTTGGGCAAGGCGTAGATGAGGAAGGACTCAAGAGGGCAAAGCAACGCCAAGCGAAGGAGGAAGCTCAAGGGAATCTGCCCAGCTTTGGTAGCAATGGAGGTCTGATGGGCAGCAATGTGGCTGGGCACTTCGGTCCTGGCATCAGGGCCAAGGTGATCGAAGTGCTCGACCCTCTCATTGCGTCAGTACCAATGACGGGTGTTGAGGGCGAGACCGTGAACATTGTCGAGTATGGTTGTCTCAACTCGAGATCCATACCACTCATCCAGCTCATCATCTCCAAATTCGTGCGACGGGCTCATGCCAAGCCAGCGCTATCGATAGCACAAGAGGACATCAACGTCGAGGGAGCAGGCCAGATTGGACTCGAGTCCGATGTCTCCTCTGGCTCAACGCGCAATCGCTTTGCAGAAGCGCAGGCCAGCTATCTCAATATGAGCGTCGTACATGAAGATGCACAGACTGCCGACTTCCGTCCTCTGGTGCAGTCGCTCGACTCCAGGCCAGAGTCTTACTTGAATGCCTCTTGGCAAGCACACCACCGACCCGCTCTGCGGAATTGCATCTTTCCTTTTTTTGTGGCCAGGCCTTTCGCTTCAAGGATCTGCCCTCCATCTACCATGCACTTTGGTCTCTCCTTGATGGATCTGCATTGGAACCATCTTCTCAACCCGTCAGTATCTCTGGCTACCTCGGCCCAAGCGGAGTTGACCTCTTTCCTACGAGCTCGAGCTCATGAGTTCAAGACGGGTGGCATCCTGATCTTAGCTTTCCTGGCTCGATCTGGAGACCAAAACCCCACGCACACAGCAGGCGCAGGAAGACCTGGCGGCAACACGGATATCTGGACGATGCTGCGCAAGACGCTCGTTCCTTGCATCCAACGTCTTGTCTCTTGCGGGATGCTCAAGCCAGATGTGGCTCGCTACCTGCTAGATTTGCCACTCCATCCTCGAACTCCCCACCAGACGCAGACTGTTCTCAATACCCTCCGACATGCTTGGAAGGTAGAGTGGAGCTGCGGTTTGGGCGAAGAGAGTCCGCCCGCCCAGGGAGCCCAGAACGTTACAGGAGGGAAAGAGAAAGATTCCGGGGCCTCATCTGCCCGCGCTCGAATGCCTTCGTCATCGGGCTCGCGCTCCCGATCTAATTCCTATGGCCTACGGAACGAAGCTCAGCCGTTGCGCATTGCGCATCCGGCTTGGAAGGCCTACTCGAATGGTACTCTCTCCGAGGTAGCCCTGGCGGAGCACATGATTATGCTCTTCAAGAACCTCTACGAGGCCCACTTCCGGACTGTCCTCCGCGAAAGGGGCAAGCTCTCCAAGGGCGCAGCCGAATTCGTACTCGACTCTCTTTGGGACGCCCTCAGCTCGCGCATTGATGATAATGCTGGTGCGGCTGGGTCCATGGAGGGTGTCGAGATTGAGGTCACCATTTGTGCGCTCAGGCGGCTCTAAAGGCTCCGCTCAGCATGATGGACGATCATCACCTGAATAATCTCTCCCCCTCTCATTGGACAACGGCACGACGTATCTTTGGGTCAATTGATACGCATCAGCACTTCTAGGTTCGGAATCCACCATCACAATGTCACCGTCCTTCTTCATTGGGCTCTTTCAGAAGCTGTAGGCCCGGTACGATCAAAGTCACCCACTCGCGCACAGCACTTCTCACCACTTCTCGGGCATGAGGCTCTTTTGGTCATCATCATCGTCACCACTCACTTCCATTCCCCCGTCACATTCACTTCTGCTTTCCGCTGTCAACACGACTTATTTGCTCCTTGCACGCTCGCAGCATGCACGTCACCCTACTCACGTCACCGCACCTGGTCAATCTCACCGTCATAGTCTTCCAGTATCATTGTTGCTTTCCTTGGGATTCCTGGTCACCACTCTGTCATCATATTGCGCCAGCTGCACATTCCACTCGCTTTTCGGAGGGGCAAAGAAAGACATGGCAGGGTCAACAATGTAAATACAGATTCATACACATGTGCAATTTTCGCAGTCCTCGTCTCGTCACGCAGAAACGCATTTGGATTTTCGATCTTTGTAGTGATGCGATTACGTTTGATGATCGGGGGAGCAGAGGAGACCAGATTGATGAAGGATCACGATAATGGAAGAGGCGGTACAATACAATGCGAATCTCAATCTCCTTTCCCTTTCCCTTGCCCCCCTCCCCAGCCCGATAGGCCCTGATTCACAGGAATCTCCTGCATCCTTCCGCTCCACAAAGACATGCAATCGCGTCTTCCTCATCTCCCGAGCTCTGGAACTTGTAGTCGTACGTCAATTCCTGCCCAGGCAAGATAGGTACCTTGGCATACAGTACAATTCTCTTCTGTCCATTGAGCGTGAGAATCTTGGCCGAGCAATTGGGCACACAGCAGTGGTTCATCAATCTGGCAATATTGCCCTTGTGCGTCGCATCCACCACCAAGTCGTCATCTACGCGGAAGAGGTAAGTGGAGAAGTTTCCCTGCTTCTCGTACACCTTTTCACGATGGTCGGCCACCTGCTGGCGAACCACCTCGCCAACGTACTCGATGACCATATCGTTGGCAGGGATGTACTCCATGGCGTACAGACCCCAGTCGTGAATGGGACTCTTGGCGAATTTGAGCTGCTTCTTTCGAGTGCGCAATTGATTGAACTTGAGGATATCAGTGTCGCTCGCAGTATCCTTCTTGTGCTGCTCGATGCCCAAGACCAAACGGCGCGAGTCGGCTCGGTTGTCACGGGCCGAAGCAAGAGTGACATTGGTCGTCGTCTCGACGATGGCCTTGTTCCGATCGGGCAGGTGAGCCGCCTTCTGAGCTGGTGGAATCTTGTAGAAACCCTCTGTCCTCGCACTGCCACTCAGATGGACAGGGACTACGCCATCACCTTCAAGCTGCTCGGGTTCCTCGACATCCTCGGGCAGGCTAGCAGGGGTGACAGTTTCGCCAGCACGCAGACGGTCGAGGGCTTGTTGAAGGTAGTACAAGTCCTCATCGTCTTCGGCCAGACCACTGGCAAAGGGATCGATGGGTTCCAACGACTGCGCTGCCGCCTTGGTCTTGCCGCCTTTGCTCTTCTTTGTTGCAGAGCTTGCCAGCTTGGAGAGAATAGCTTCCTCTGCATCGACCTTGGCCTGTAGACTGGCGGACTCTGGCACATCGGCCAGCTCGGGAGTAGCCGAAGCTGGCGTCGACGCTGCCCGCGATGCCTCTAGCGCAGTCTTGGCCTTTGACTTCGACTTTGCTTTTGACGCCTTGACCGGTGCTGACTTCGGCACGATCTCTTCGACAACCTCGGCCTTTGACGCCTTCTTCACTTTGTCGAGCTTGGACTTAGTACTGGCGGAAGATGGAGCCGTCTTCTTTGCAGGCGGCTCCTCATCGACTTCCATCGCGTCTGCTTCCGTCTCTGGGGCAGACTGGTCATCCTCGTCACTGCTGTAGACGATAGTTTTGGTCGAGCGAGACTTGGCGCCCTTGCTGTCTTTGCCACCCTTCTTGACCGCAGACACGGCTTTGACGGGCAAATCGGCTTCCTCTTGTTCTTCGGCATCTGCGGCTGTTGAGGTCTCTTCGTCGTCCTCTTGCAAATCCTCAGCGGCAGCTGTGGAGACGAGCGTAGGTGAACCAGACGAGGCTCCCGCAGAAAGCTCGCGGGTGAACGCGGCACGAGCCTTGCGGCCGCGCTCGATCATCTTGGCCTTATCGATATCCTCCAAATCAGCAGGAAGAGCACGGCGACGAGGCGGCGTCGGCTCTCGCTTTCTCCGGAAGGAAGGCAGCCTATCTCCCGCAATTGCCGACTCGTCCACTACTGGCACATTGCTGCTCTCGCTCTGTCTTTGAGCCTTTTGGTCTCGTGATTGGGCAGCAGCCTCAGCAGCCTCTTTCAAGGCCACGCCGCCAGGCGCATTGGGTTTCAAGAACTCAGAGATGTAAGGGCCGAGAATACGAGCGCGGCAGTCCCGCTGGAGGACAGCAGTCAGCTCTTTGAGAATCCTATCTTGTGCCTCTTCTCGAAGCTCCTTCTCTGTGTAGCCTCCAGTCCTTCTGCGATGGGCTTTGACGTGCTCAGGTCCCAGCGAGGCTCCGACTGCAAAGCCATGTCTGCCATCTTCGGCGAGTTCAATTCTTGCCTTTGTCGACGGACGCCGGCCTGTGTCGTGATGTCGTTCCTTGTCCTCGCGTTCGTCAAGCAACTGATGCATCTCATCGGTCATGTCCGGAGCGTCTCGTACTTGCACATCAATGTTGCATCCTGAGATCTGACTCTTGTCGCAGACAAATTTGCTCCTACCTGCAGCATCGTCACGATCGAAGCCGACATACCAGCCGCTCTCATCCCTGGCCATGTATTGCGGAGAGAAGGCACTGAACTGTTGTTCAATGTCTGCCAGGCTGTGCTCGGCCCTGCTTCCGGGAGACTGAGGTATGAAGACGTATGGGTAGCCTAAGGAAGCCAGCTGTGCCATGATCATCACAGTGGAGTCAGCTCCATTCTCCCCTACGCCGACAAGCATCGCACGCCTGGAGCCTGGAGGACCAGACAGATGGCTGCTTTCGGGGACGCGTCTGGAAGCCCGATCATCGGGGGGTTGATGCCGGGCCCAAGTCCTATCGGAGCCCTTGGCATCATTGGGCCGCGCCGAATCATCTCTGCGAAGCGATGCCTTGTAATCAGTGCTGCCACGGAACGAGTTCGACAAAGGTGAGCGTCCAGCGCCAACTGGTGTGAAGGGTGAGGACGTGCTAGCATAACTACCAGTAGCGGGTGAGCTGGTGTGCTGCTGTCCTGCAAAGCCACGCCTTGCGGGTGCATGGCCCATTGGCGCTGAGGTAGGAGGCAACGTCTTGGCGGCCAGATCGCCATTGGCGGCGGGGTGTGTCTCCTTCTTTTCGCGGATTTCCGCAGCCTTCTTTTCGTGGCGTATCCGCAAGGCGTCCCGGCATGCTCGGTTGAATGACAGCTTTTGCCCATCGAGCTCCACTTTGACGACACACGCATCGGTGGTAGCGCCAATGCGGCGGCCATTGATGTTAGCAACGGCGTCCGAAGCTGATCGGTGACCGTGCTGACCAGGTGCAGTAGCTTCCGCCTTGAGTGGACCATCATCTTCTGAATCTGGCAGGTCTTGGAAATCATGAGCAAATTGGTGCCAATAGATTCCCAGGCTCTCTCCAGTCTTGGGGTCTGTCATGAGGGCAGACTCCTGAGGTCGGCCGAATTGTCGGAACAGGCTACGTAACATGGTGATCGAGGCCAACGGCGACAGACCGGTCACGAGGATAGCTCTGGCAGGCGGAGGCGGCTTGGGATCTGCAGAGTTCGAATCCCATTTCCACGTCACCCTGACAAGCTGGTCTCGTGCAGGTCTCTTGGATCGGTGGACGTGCTTCCGCCAGCTTTGTTTATCTTGCCGAGGATCTGATCCGGTCGCAGGGATTTCATCCTTGACGGATGTCTTCCTCGGGCTCGGATGATTAGCTTGCTGACCTGCTGAAGTGACAGCATGGCTTTGCCCTTCAGAGACAAGTTTCCACGTGGAGATTGTCTCTTTCCGCGGCAGCCTCGTCGCTTGCTCAGGCGGAGGAGCCATGGAAACAGGAGGCGGCGGAGGAGGGGACATTTGCGAGTCGTCTTCCGGAGGTGGAGGTGGTGCCGGGGCACTCGGAGGCGGAGGAGCTACCTGCGATGGAAGCGACCGAGAAGCAGAAGTGGGCAGCGTCGGTGTAGTGGGTGTAGCAGGGCTGCTTGTAAGTGATCCGCCTCGATGGACTGCTGCCTTCGACTGTGCGCTGACCGAAAAAGCCTTGGGACCTGTAGGTACTTGCGGTGTAACTGCCGGAAGCTGACTGCCTCTCTCAGCGCGAGGTCCAGTAGGTACGGGCTGAGACCCGATTGATATTGATCTCAAAGAAGAAGGTGCCAAAGGTACTCTCGGCTTCGTGTCCGAAAACGAGCGAGAAGCATCTTGACTGAGCTTGGCCCATCTGCTTCCGGCAGGCGTGCCCTCATCAAGTTTAGAGGAGGCTGCAACTGAAGGTAGCGAGGGTTGAGAACTGCCATTGGGTAGCAAGGAAGGCACTCCCTGCCCGGAGCTGGGCCGTGTTGCGGAGCCGTTGGGCAACAGGCTTTCGGAATAAGTAGTAGTCGACTTGGACTTGTCTCTCGAAGGTTCATGCTTGACCTCTTCAGTCATGTTCGGCGGAGCTGGCGGCGCGGCGGTGTCCTTGGCAGTTGGTGCAGGCAGGTCGCTCACCGCGGAGAGGCGCCGCTTGTGGGGTGTCTCACCAGAAGAATGGGAACCGATGCGAGAATGATTGAACAGGCCATCCCTTCCGCGATGCCGCTCGTCCTCGCGAAGGCCTTCCCTCCCCCTGGCACTACCGGGCCCTTGCCTCTCGCTTCTGGCCCCACTGACTCGGGCTCTGTCCTCCCGGGCTTCAGGGGACCGATCGTAATCTCTTCTATCATACTGCGACTTGGAGTCTCGCCCATGCCGATGCCGACGTTCGTTCGACTCGAAATCCCTATCCCTCCAAGCCCGACGTTCGAGCTCGTCCCTCTCCCTGTCCCGAGCTCGGCGATACTCGTATTCGTCCCTGTCTCTGTCGTGCCCTGATCGATATTGGAAGTCGTCCTTAGTCCTATCTCGATCGCGCGCTGGCTGGTGGTCATAATCGTCCTTGTCCCTCTTCGAAGACTTCCTCCTGTCGTCGCGATCGCGGATGCGATCTCTCTCTAGACTAGGACTACGGCTCCGGCGCGGCGGCCTGTGGGATTCCCGAGGCGGCGGCGACCGATGCCGATGAGATCGGCGGTCTACAGGAGGAGAAGGAGTACGACGCCAATCCCGCCGAGTGGAGCTGTGTCTCGAGGATGGTGATTGCGGGCGCTCTCTGGAGGAGCGAGGTCTTTGAGACAGGGGTGGGGAAAGATGGCTGGCTAGGGGCGCATGTGTGGGAGAGCCTGGAGGAGGCCGTCGAGGAAGCGCAAGCAGTTCTGACGACGGCCGACCAGCCACAGGGCTCACTGACCTCTTTGCCCTGAGCAGCGGTGGAGAAGGGCTGAGAATCTGTCCCTCCTCATCTTCGTCTGAGCCCTGTTCGCCGGTTGTCACAGAAGTTGCAGGGCGATGCTGTGATTGCAATTGCGACTGTAAGGAAGTATGGCTGAGTGTCACTTTGGAGGAGCTTGCATAGGCAGATGGGGCCATGACAGTCCGATGCCGTCAGCGATTCAGCGGCAGGCCCGACCACTCCTCCCTTAGTCTCGGGAGCTGCGCCAGAGCAGCGGGAGCAGATAGGAAGGAAAGTATCGCGGCTGCCCGAACAACTGCAGACGCGCGAGACGACTGTGGATGAGTGGTTGTCCCAGCTAGTGAGCTTCCGTAGAAGGCTACAGGCACAAAGGACGCTCTTCAGCGGAGGAGTCCGTGACGCGAATCTACTCCTTCGGGACGTTGGGTGAGGAGCTTTCCACGATTGAAAGCGCGACTCCCTTCGGACCTTGACTGAGCTCCCACGCTGCCAACGGAGGCTGCGTTATGGTCAAGGAGCCCTGCTTGATCGGCTCTGCTCAAGGAGACGCCGTCGAAGGAATATGATAGAGAGAGTAATGTGATGATGACGGTGACGAGGATCGAGGAGCGCTGCCCGACGATGGTCGAGTGATGGTGGGACAGGGTGAGCGTCTTCCAGCGTCGGGTGCAGTGCCGAATAGATTGGTGGTGCCGTGCCGCGAAGCGCCTCCGCGGGTGAATGAATGAATCACCCACGCCCACAAGCCACACTTTTCTGCTTCCGTTCCGCTGGGTGCCTAGGCCATTCCCGTAAACAGGGTCTTGTGTAATTAGCTCACATACTGCCAAGGCCCGCAATCCTGCCTCCGACGTCGGCATGACCGGGCGCTGGGGGCTGCCTGGCGCTTTGTATTTAGCCTCGCAATCATGTTCTGACTCTGACCGACTCTTCCCCTTGTGGCCCCTCCTGTTCTTTTCCCATACCCCTTGCCCTTTCTGCTCCTTGACCCAAGCCTGAGGAGCATCACTATGCTCCGAAGCGCAACTTTCCCATTCTTCTTGCTCCTGGTCATCGCTTTGCTCGCATCCGTCTCTTCCGTCCTCTCCAGACAAAGCACCAAATGCTCCCCCAAGATCTTGCTCTTCACAAAGACGGCGGGGTATAGACACGACGCCATTCCCACTGCGGTCAAAACGATCACCGACCTGGGATCCGGTCGTCTGACCCCTTCTGCACTTGATTCCAGCGTCTCCACGGCTACGTGGACCACTGTGAACAGCGAGGACGAGACCGACTTTGAGGATCGCGCTTATCTCAACCAATTCGATGCAATCGTCTTCGCTTTCACCACGTGAGTATAAATCAATGTATGAAGTCTGCACATTCGACGAGAGCTGACGCAGCACCTCCCCCATGCTCGCTCAGTGATGTCGACCCGCCAGGAGTGGGTACGATTCTCACCGACGCCGGTGTAGCCAACTTCATGAGCTACATCGAAGCCGGGGGCAACTTCGTTGGCATTCACTCGTGAGTTCTGCTAGGCGCTGCAAATGCGGGAGCGGACCGCTCAATCGTTCATCTCGCAATGTTGCTTCTCAGATCTACGAACACTCTCTATGCTAGTCCGGCATATGGTCGTCTTGCTGGAGGCTTCTTCTCGTATCATGCTGGATCGCAGAAGGTCTCTTTGAAAGCAATTGGTAGCTCCCACCCCGCCACTTCGAAGCTGCCAAATCCCTTCAACATCAAGGAAGAAATGTATCACCTGCGCTCCAACCCACGCCTCCTGCCATCGCCGGCGCATGTCATCTTGACCAATGCCACAGCGTACCCTGATCCAGGAGGAACACACCGAGAGGGCAAACCGCAGCCCTTGGCGTGGTGGAGGGAGGGTGGTCTTCTTGACGTAAACTCCACTGCGCTTGGAGGTGATCTCGATGGGCAGTCTAACTACACGGGAGGTGCAGGCAGGAGTTTTGTCACGACGCTAGGCCACGAGATTGCTACTTGGTCCAACGACGCCTTCCAAGGGCATATCATGGGAGCGATTGCCTGGACCATCATGTCGACGTGAGCATCGTGGCCCATTGCTTCGTCTGTCGCGGGTTGTGGTTGGGAAAAGAAAGGCCAGCTGGCTGACTGCATGCCTTCACCTATTGCCATCCTTCCATGTCACATTCTTTACTGCATCACTCTCTTTCGCATCGTCTCCACACTCATTTACAATCATCACTCGCTCTCTTCGAAAGGACCACGTATTCGAGCAATGCATCTTCCCCCATAGGCACCAACTGCACAGATGCAGGAAGCATTCCCGCTGCTGGTAACGACACAGGTTCTGGGAATACTGCTGCTGCTGCTACTGCAACTACTGCCTCATCCTCGGGAGTACTCACACGGCAAGACGTACTGCTAGTGATGACAGCTGCGCTTGTCCTTCTATCGTTCGGGCTCGAGCATCAGGATCTGGTGTGAAGGGGAAGGGATCATGTGGTGGGGCAATGAGATCCAGGTACGCGTGGCTGTGGCTTTCGGCCGTAAAGGTCCAGCCTCTTTCCGCTTCCGCTTCCGCTCTGCGCCCCTGGCTATGGCTGCCAGCCTACGTGCGCCTTCTTGCTGCGCTATTGGCCAGTGACTCATGTCACGGGCTCGATGTCCACTTGTATGGTTCTGACTTGTATCTTCTCGGCTTGTATACTGCTCTTGTATATTGTAAAGTACTCCTCTGTAGCCATGGTCCACTGGCCAGTGTCCGCCTTGAAGCTGTGAAGGCGCCAAGGTGTTGCTTTTGGCGTCGGGGCGTGCAGGAGGCGAGGCTTAGCTGAGGGACAAGGGCGATAACCGCGACGCAGGGGGGGGCGGAGATTGAACTCACACTCACGCAAGCCAGTGGAGTGCGGACCTCCTTGTTGTAAGACAGCGACGACTTCGGCCACCTTCCATCCTCAGACCCAAGATACCATCACACACTCCACGCATCGCCCTCCTCAGCATTCATCGTAGGCAGCAGTAGACACCCTCATTGCCACTGCTTACTACCACCACTGCTCTTCCACCTCGAGCAATCGCAGCTCGACCTCGCCTTTGACAACACAATCACATCACCTGCATCAGCTCAGCTCAGCTCAGCTCAGCACCTCCACGATTGCTGGCACTACTTCACAGAGCCCTACAGGTAGCATATACACCTCTCTGCAACATGGCAGCCGCACTTGATACAATGCCAATGACTCTCTCTCCTGGTCTGGACGCACTCAAGACTTCGCCACTCTCAGGTTCCACCGAATCGCTGCACCTGGGCGACTACCTAGATTTAGGGGTCTCCTCTTCCTCTTCCAGTCCTCGCCCCTCACATGCACCTTCACCTCGCATGACACGCTCTTCCTCCAACGTTTTCACAGCGGTAGGATCCTCTTCCACTTCTGTCGCCACAAACAAGACGCTTGCTAGTCCCACTGCTGCTGTGTCTCTCCCTCCACCGGAAACGCAAGCGCCGCCACCCCCTGGATCTTCACCTGAGGCCGTCTTCCGCTTCTATCTCAAGATCGAGCTTCGTAAGATGGGTTCACCCGCTGACGACTCGATCATCGACAAGTACGTTCAACAGCATTATAGTACCTTCATCAAAGCAATGGAGACTGGCAAGGCCGTGCCTGCACCTCCTATAGCCCCGGCTGGGGCCTCCATCGCGGCCTCATCTCCTGCGCAGAAGCTCAGCAAGACTCCAGTGGCTACTGGTACCAAGACAGGAACCTCGTCCGAACAGATCGACAAAGCCACGATCCCGCCAGCAAACAACGTCGAAGCGCTAAGTTCATTGTCACCTCAGCCCCAGCTGCAGCCATTCAAGGTTCCTCTTTCAAGTGATGCTGGCGCTGCCAACATGTTCGACGTGGGTCCCTCTCAACAGCCTCTGTACGACAACATCGACCCTCACTTCGTGCAGTTTGGCGGCACTTCTGCCACTGACTTCCCTGGCATCAAGCGTGAAAGTGACGCAATGTCCGAGGACGGCGGCGAGGGGATGGATGCCATTGAGGAAGACAGCAAAGACGATCTCGCTCCTCTCATTTCGGACATGCGCTTCAGCGCTGGTCACGGCGGATCGGATGGATCTGGTCGATACGGCAGCGATGCAGGAAGCTCCCGAGGTAGTGAAGAGCCGGCTGGCGGCATACCCCTTAGCATCCGCGACTCAGCTGCTGCCGATCTCAGGCCCACAGCAGAAGAATACAGAGCTCTGAGCAGCAAGGAGAAGAGGCAGTTGAGGAACAAGATTAGCGCTCGAAACTTCAGAGAACGAAGGAAGGAGTACATCACTCATCTCGAGTCCAAGATCTCTTCCCGCGATACCATCATAGACACTCTCCGCGCTCAGCTCTCGGCAGCATCTCTGCAAAACAAGAAGCTAGAAGAAGAAGTCAAGACCCTTCAAGCTAGAAGTCTCAGCCAGACGGACGTTCAGAAGATTCTCGAGGCGCTGCAGAACGTGACTACTACGGCTGGCGCATCTTACCCTGCCAACACTTCTTCTGCAGCAGACTGGCCTCAGCACCAAGGCGCTCTCCGCTCCTCGGCAGCAAATGACCTCACCCTGTCTTCTGCTGGCGCATTCAATGGCTCCTCTCGGCCCTCTACGCCCTCCTCGCCTCGTCCGGGCATGGTGCGCAGGGGAAGCCCATCGCTCGGATCGAGCGGACAGCTGCCCCAGCACAATCCGCGAAAGGACATTGCTGTTGGCTCATCGGCCAAGGGTAGCAGCAGTAGCGGTGGCAGCGGCTTCTGGAAGGGAGGCCCCACCGTTGCTGCTTCGGCTTGAGGTGCTCGAGGGCAAGCTACCCAGCGCTAATTCAAAGCTCTGGCACTGAAGCGGCTGAGTGTATCGGCTAGGAGCATTCGTTGCTCGCCACCCAGCATCGTCGCCATCGACAGGTCGCTTTCGCGAGCGCCAATATAAGATTGTTGGTTCTCTATTATCATATTTCCCCATTGTGTACAAGTCTCGTCTCATCACGCCACACCACATGACATGACATGTCCTTCCACTTCGCTAATTTACCCCCTCGACCCTACCAAATCTCAGACCCAAACCCAAAGTCAAATCCAATGACGCTTCATTTTCTGTTGTCTTTTGTCTTGTTTTTTCCCGGCCTTTCATATCCTTTTTCTTCTTCTTTGTCCCTTTTCTCGCCCATCATGTCACACTGTCCACTGTCAACTGTTCACTGTCCCCATCACTCACATCACATTACATCACTCAATGAATCGGACCGAAGGAACCAATGACAGGAGAAATGAAACGAAGAACTTAATCAAAACATTACTTTTGAGAAGTGACATGTCATTGGGAAAATGGTGCATAAGAGTGTGACCAGAAAAGTGCAGAGACTGAGCTCAGCTCCTAGTGTAAGTAGTGCCGTGTGACAAAGCGTCTTACTCTTCTGTATCCCGGTACCCGGCCATAGGGTCTTCATAGTCATTCCGGTTCTTCAAGCGGTACGCCTCCATCTGCTCCTCGCTCACCTCACTCGAAGCTGCTGCTGCCGTCGCATCCGCACCAGAGGTGGTGCCTGCTGCTGCTGCTGCACCTCCTCCTCCTCCTTCAGCGGCAGACCCTTCGGGCAGGTGAGAAGTAGAGATAATCTCTCCGCGCTTATTGCGACGGACTTTACCCGCATTGATACTCTCTGCCTCGAGGAGCCAGTCGGGTTTTTGCTTTACCTTGTCTTTACCACCAGTGCCAGAAGCAGAACCGGAGGCGTGTCGAGCATCTTCCTCCCGAAGCGCCTTCGCCAACTTCTCCTTGTCCAGACGGGAGGAGACGTCGCCTTCTCCGAGGTGCTTGCGAGAAGTGAAGCCCTTGACTGACTTCTTTTCTCGATTGCGCTCCCGCTCCCGCTCCCGCTCCTCTGGTGATGCTGAGCGCGAATAGGAGGAGCGACGTCTACGTCGCTGGTGTGAGGATCGTTTGCGCGAGTGCCCGTCTTCTTCCCTGTCTTTGCTCCTTGAGGAGCGTCGTCTCCGACGAGCAGATCTCTCCTCGTCTTCCGAATCCGAGTCCGTGGATGAGAAGTCCGACTCGGAGTAGGATGAATAGGACGAGGAGCTAGAGAAGGAGCGCGACCGAGAGCGCGAGGATGCTCGACGCTTTGATCCCGCCTTGGCCTTCTCCTTCGTCTCTTGCTGACGAGTGGAGCTGCCACTGCCACTTCCACTTCCACTAGCCTCTGCCCCTGTCGATGCCGCTGCTGTTGCTGCTGCTTCGGCCACCTTGGGCGCTCCAAGATTAGCGCTCGCCTTGCTGGCTTCGATGCCCGCTTGACCGGTACAGTACGAGTTGGGAATCGTGCTGTGACAGCAATTGTACCCCCACTGACCAGAGGACAGATCATACCACGATCCCCAAACTGTCGTGTGATTGTTGTCGTACACGTCCTCCTCGAAGCGACTCTTGACCTTTGCCCTCTCTTGCCCACGAATAACCTGCCCAGCTCGACTGTACTCGACGTAGTTCTCCGTCTGACCAGTGAGGAGCTCCTTGGGTACCGAGTCGAAATGTTCTGCTCCTCCGTACTTCTCAAGGATACTGCCCTTTGTCGATTCGCGGAGCTTCTCCTTCTTCTCCTGGAATTCGCGGAACTGCTTCTCGTTGACAGTCGGGTTGGCTTGCAGATGGATGTCGTTTCCTCGTGCTTCGGCTTGCCAAGCAAAGAGTTGTAGACGTTGCATGGCGAGAGTGTCTCCCTTGGCGCGATTGTAGTTGTCTCCGGCGTACTGAGAGTCCTCAGGCCGTACACCAGCATCGGGCGCCTCTCGCATCGATCTTGTCTTGGGGTCGTAGTAGGCCGACTCGGGATTGAGGTTGTAAAGGTACTTGGCGCGGTCTTCTCTGATACGCAGGTTCCTGATCGACATGCGGTTGGTGGTGTCCACCTTCTGACCAGCCATATTGGCCGCCTCGGCGTACTTGTCATCATCCTCGTCCTCCTCATCCGAAGAGCTGAAGTCGCCATCGTCTTTACTTTCCTTCTTCTCCTTCTTCTCCTTCTTGGCGAGCTTCTTAGCGGTATTGAGATCGGTACTAGTCTGCTTGTCGATCTCTTCCTCCCTGAGCCTGCGCCTCTCCTCCTCTACCGCCTCGTACTCCTCCATGATCCGCTTGTGCTCAGCCGGATCATACCCGTTCCAGCGATCGCGCTTGGCAGCGAAATCGACCTTCTTGCCTCCGAAGTCTGTGATGTGCTCATCTGCAGCAATGTCTTTGCCTGTCCACTTGGCTCCCTTCTTCCTGGGCCTTTCCAAGCAGTCCTTTGTCTTGTGGCTAGCAGCACCGCAATTCTCGCAAGCGCCCTTGCGATACTTTGTAGCTGCTGGTCCTTCCTTCTGACCGCGAGCATACCAGTCGTTGAGACCAACGAACTGTTCGTTGGTCTCTGGCTTCTTCTGATGCTTCAGAGATCGCTTGCCCGTGTCGAGATACCAGGGGGCCTTGGACATGTAGTCCGGAACGTGGGGGTTGATGACTTCTCCATCCTCGCCGATCTCGGCTGGGGCCGTACCCGCCTTCCTGGCAGCATCGAGGTCCTTGGCCTTGCGCCACTCCTCTCGGCTGAGCTTGCCGACGGTAGACATGGCAGGCAAAGGGGGGTTCGAGGTGTGGAAGGTGGACGGGCGTAAGTCGGCGGTAGCGAAGGTGTGGAGAGGGGGAGAAGCGACATGGATTCGCGATGGCAATCAAAATCTCAGTGGCGCGGGGCCGCGTTCCGTTTGCCGATTTCCCTTGAAGCCTCCGAGGGCCAAGACTGCAAAGGCAACCTCTTTACCCAGATACCGGTTCATCCTCAAGCTCTCATCTGCTGTAGTCTTCAGAACTTCACCTCATCTGCTCTCATGCCACTCGTGGATGGGGTCAAGATGTCCTGCGATGTCTGCCTGCGCGGACATCGTGGGGCCGTCTGCCCTCATACCGACCGAGAGCTTCGTCCAGTCAAGCCAAAGGGCCGCCCTGCGAAGCGAGGAAAGGCTCCGGGCAGCGATACGTCAAAGTCGCCCACGATCGGCAAGAGGGCTCCGAATAGCAGGTCGACTGTTGGCCCCCGCAAGTCAAGCTGCTGTGGCTCAGCGACCTGCCGATGCGTTCACGTTGAGGGCGAGCTCATCGAGTCTGGTGGCTGCGCCTGCTGTGGTCCTGGACTCGCCCAACAAGACTTCAGCAACGCAGCCAGTCTCCTCCATCAGCAGGTGGCATCATCACCTCTCATGACCCATTCTCCAAATCTTTCGATCGCCTCTCCTGCTTCTGGGTCTTCTTCGTCCCACCATACCCTTGTCAAGCCGGAAACGCCCTTCTCTTCCCCTCTACCACCCCAATCGCTGGTGGCGGAGCCCTTTGATCTGGGGCTTCCATGCACTTGCGAAGCTCCTTGCCCTTGCCCTGGCTGTCCTGGGGATCACTCGATGGTAGGGCAACGCAAGACTTCGGTCGGGGATTCTCAGAAGAAGGTCAGCGGGAGCTTGAAAGATGGCGGGTGCTGCTCCTCGGGTCCCAGGATGGCGACAAAGGTGACCGATGAGCATTGTCAAGGCTGTCTACCTTGCATCATAGCCCCCTTTGAGCGCTCCCCACCGGCTCCATCGATCGGATTAGCTTCTCGCCCTGAACCCTCAAGCAAAAATTCATCCTTGGGTCTCAAGCCGACCTTACCCATCGAAGCTATGAACAGAACTCTCCCCCCTCTCGCCGAGCTCGTTCCGAGCCCAAGGGCAAAGATGCCTGCCTCTATCTCAAGCCCTGGCCTGCCATATCCTCCACTCTTCGATGACCCATCAAGGAAGAGCTCTTGGTTCAGGTCGCAGATGAATTCTACGAGCAGTGGCCTGCAGGACGCTCTGTCCCTTGAAAGAGACCACGAGGATGCTCCGACACTTGACGACTCCTCAGCTGGCAGTCTGCCTCGTACGAGGAGGAAGGTGAGTCTTCTATTGATCAGTGCACAAAAGGGAATCTACAACTGACCCACGTACCCCCGGAACGTACTCTCATGCACTGCAGATCAATCATACGCCGGTCGCATGACCTAATGGCAGACGAAAGCTGCCCACATCGCATATACCTTCTTGCAATGGTGAGTTCTCTAAGCTCATATGAAGGGGCCTCTGTGCCGGACTCTCCGATGATGTCTCCCCGAATAAACAGTCATCCTTATTCGTACGAGGACAATAGCGTCCTCGAAGACGACGCTCATCGGCAACAGAATGGCGTCTTTGCCCCCCTGCCCAGACGTCCAGTGTCTCGTCGTCAGACGTCTTGATTGACCCTGGTCTGTTGAGATGTTCTGGGATGTGCGTGGGCTGAGGAAAGGGGGGAGGAGATGTCTTGACTGAGGAGAGAGAAGGGCAAGGATGGAGAGAGTCAACCCCAGCAACATGCTAGTACAGAGCGCTGACGAGCCTTCAATCCTCACCTGCCTTTAGACAGGACCCTCCAGTCCGAAACGTGTCCTCATCAATACCCAATTCTCCTGCACCTCGTAAATCTCTGAACTATGAACCGTCACTCTCTTCCTCCCTCTGTATTTCTCCATCTCTCGACCTGTACTTAATAATCACTATCTTCTGCAGCAATTCGACTCGGTTCTTCCCTCGCAAGGGCCGTCTCCTCATTTCAGCCGCTCGATCAGTCGACATACATCATGAATAATCTGTACCGCGATGGAGGTCACTCCATACGACCTTCAGTGTCGACAGATTTCATAGACTAGCGTCTCCTCAAGTCGGGATCGTGCGATGGAGGCAGTCAGTCCCTCGCAAGGGAGACAAACATGTTTGTGGCATGAACATGGTCGTCACTTAGAATTACAGATTCGCTCGCGCAAAAGGCAAGAACAGCATACACGCTACGAGGTTCAAGAGCGCTTCAGATCGCCCGAGCCCTTTGCTGCGCTTGTGGGGCGGTGCGACATGAGGTTTGCCAGACGCTGTGGAAGAGGGTGGGACGTGGAGGGAGAGAGAGGAAGCCGGTCTCAGTCGAGCTATTCCAAGAGAAGACACGTCGCCTATGTGGTGTAGTACTCACCTCCATCTCGCCCGTCTTGCCCACCTCTTCCCCCTCCATACCATCGTCGGTAGAATGAAGCGCCACGCTCGGCCGTCCCCTCCTTGCCGCCGAGGTCATACTCTCGTCTGCGCCTGTACCCATGCCGCTCTTCCTCTTCCTTCCCTTGCCAGAAGCAAGCATGGAAGTGTCTCCCCCAGAACCTCCCAGAGTCGTGTCTCCGCCTTCGTACCCTGCTGCTGCTCCGCCCATGGATCTACGACTGGAGGAAAGCATACGCTGTGTCTGCCAGCGGAGGTACCCCTCCCTTCCTGCGCTCCATGGTTCTACTTCCTCAGCTCCTGCTCCTGCACCAGCACCAGCTCCGGCAATACCGGCTTTGTCCTCTGGCTCGCTACCACTTGCAAGGGAGGATGTGGAATGAATGAGCGCCTTGCCCAGAGGGTCCACTGCTCTGAGCTCCTCCAAATTGATGAGCAGGGGAGAGCGCTGTGACCTGATGATCTGGATCGCGTCGACTAGGTGCTGTACAGTGGCCTGGATGCCGCCGGTCTCTTCGGAGGCGTAGTCTCCTAGCAGGTAGGCAAGCTTGGAATGTACGGAGCGAGCTCGATTCATTTGACGGGTTGAGGCTTCGAGTGCTAGGTTCAGGGCGTGTGAGGTGGATTTGGCCTGAGGGGCAAGAGTGGGGTGGGCAGGACAAGCGATCAGTCCAATTGCTCGCACCTTTGCCAGCTGAACGTGACTCACCGCATTGAGCTTCCTCGTCAGCTCCCTCTGTCTCTCTTCCAGCTCTCTACTCTCCCGCTCATGATCGTCTCCCTCCCCCCTCCGCAGATCCAAGCCGGCGTGGTGCGGCAAGACCATATTGGATGCCTGCCGTGTGGTAATGCCGAAGACTTGCTTGTACGAGTAGAGCTCGAGCGTATCGAAGACATGATCGAGACAATTGTCGATGAGCGTCTTCATCTTGTGTGTTCCCTAGATGCATCAAGAGCATAGTCGACAGAAGGAGAGGAGCATCAGGATCATTGCTCCGCCAGACGTCTGTAGCTCGCCATCACTCACCCTCTCCGCCTCGTGCTCCGCGTCTGCGACTCCCTTTTCCTTGAGAATAGCCAGTATACTCTTCTCCAGCTCCAGACCCCGCTCATACACTCCCTCGGTTGCTAAATGAGTGAGTCCATCGATGTAAATTCTAGGATTGAAGGTGAGACACTCGATGATGAGACCCAAGTGTGCTTCAGTGCTAGGCATGTCCGACTGGGAAGGTGGGGCAGTAGACGCGATGGCCGTCGTCGTCTTTGCCGTACGTGGCTTCGACGACGACGACGAAGCTTTACGGGGCGGCATGGTGGGCGCAAAGGTGTGCGGGTATCGTGACTTTGTGAGTAAAGGGTATCAATCGTAGTGTAGGACGCGGAACGGGAGTGAGGCGCCTTGTGTGTGTGTGCATCAACTCTGGAGACGCGCCTGCAGCTCAGGCTCACGAGGCGCATGGTCACCGCCATCTTCCGTTCCGACATTGACCACATCTCCTCCGTGCCTACCTTGGAAGACGGAGGATACCGAACATTGTCATTGCCTAGCACTCCACCCTGTCATCGTACTGGCCACCACATCATGGCAAGCACACGGCGGCCCACGGCTTCAACACAGCCCAGAGTGGTACCGCTAGATGCAGCAGAGCAAGGTGAGTAGGACATTGCAGACTGAGGAGATGAGGTGTGGCCTCTACTGTGTCTGAACATCGTCCCTCTACACTCACTCTCGTTCCCTTGCAGATCAAGTGCTCCGCTCTCGCCTTTCGCATACGCTCTCACATCGACCTTTGCAAGGCCTCAAGTCAAAGATCAGTCTCCTCGCCTCTGCCTCTCCCACGTCAGATGCACTCTCGCCGGCCTACACGCTGCAGCGCGCCTCGCTCCTTTCGGATTTGCAGTCCTACCTCCTCTCCCTGTCCCGCACATCTCTCATCACCTCGAGCACAGCCTCTACACAGGTACAGGAGTATGAGCGTCAATACGAGGAGATCAAAGCTGAGGAGGCTAGGAGTATACAGAGGATTGCTGGATTGAAGAAGCAGCTCGCAGAGGTCAGGAGAAGAAGGAGGGAGAAGCTCGAGTATGGACGTGTGGCCGAGAGTCTCGAGGCTTGGTTCAAGAATGGTGGAGGAGTGGGAAGTGGGATGGAGATTGAGGAGTACGTCTACCACCCATGCTCTGGCGAACCGCGTGTCGAGCAGCTGAAGCTGATCCTCCCCCTCCCCATTGTATCCCCAGATCCCTCTCCAATCTCCTCTCGCACCTTACCTCTTCCTTCCTGTACAACCCATCAAGCACCTCGACCACAGATGAAGCCTCGTCTTCTGCAGCCGCCTCCACGTCCAGCACCACCTCTCCGCACGCCCACAACCTCTCTCTTCTGCATGCAAAGATAGACGAGATGCTCAATCTCTCGCGTCAAGTGCGGGAAATTGTAGGATGGAAGGCTGGCTCCGGCTCGGCAACAGGCGGCAGCAACAATGCTGCAGCAGGCGGGGGACCAGCAGGAGCAGGTCAAGGGCAAGGGCAGGGACGTAGTCGTGCTACCTCTCCAGGTAGCAGAAGCACAACAGCGCTCCCCTCTGCTGGTCTTCTGAACCCCCACGCGAGACCTTTCGAGCCGGGCTCCGGCTCTGCCTCCTCCGTTTCGACGAAGAGAAGCAGGGTCTCAGGCAGGCCAGACGACCTTTACGTGTCCATCTCATCTTCTTCAGGTCTGAACAGCGGGGGACTTGGCTCCTCCGATCTCGAGGAGGGAGAGGAGCCTGTACCTTCTTCCTCTAGCGGCATGGTGAAGAGTTCAGGAGGTGCCGAAGGCAGTAAGAGACGTCGAGTTGATGCATCCCGAGGAGCAGGCGCAGCTGGAGGGTCCGGGGGCGGAGGAAGAGAGGAAGGCGAGGCAGACGATGATGATGAGGAAGGAAGCATACCGCCTGCTACCGCAAGTGGCTCTACCGCTGCTGCTACTGCTGCCGGGTCTGGCGCGTCAACTCCTAGTGCACCAACAGCAACATCTGCCTCTGCTTCTGTAGGAAGAGGAGCGCAACCTCTGACTGGGAGACGTGGACTGCCCGCTAGGGTTGTAGCGAATAGTGCTGCTGCTGGTAGTGGCAGTGGGAACACTTCGGGGGCAAGAGGGAGAGGTAGAGCTTCCAGGGGACGGTAGACTGCAGCAGCAGCAGTCCTCTTCTTCTGCCGAGATGTGCGCTGCTCAGATGCTTAATATCATATCCTATATCCTGTGTCCACCTTGACCATGATACGCTCGCTGCTCGCTGCACGTATGCGGTCCTTCTGTCCCATTTCATCTTAAACGATGCTTTAAACTGTTGCTTGCTGAATTTCGACGCAGAGAATACACTACTACCACCACTACCATTACCACTACCACACAGAGCCTGCCTTTGTCGGCTCTTTAACTATTGTCCCATCATTGGCACTTCCACCACTCCAATTCTAGCCATTTCTCATTCACTGTTTCCTTTCCTCTCCCTCTCCCTCCAACTTTCTCTTCCTACCTGCTTTAGATCGCCTAGAAGGTAATCTGGCTAGCGTCCAAATTGAGAGCATTGAGGAAGATGTTGACCAATCTCAACTTCCTCTCTCCATCCAGAGTGTCCCTCTTGTTTCGCGCCTCCAACACATTCTCCAGAATCTTTTCCCTGAGCTCCTGCACAAGGATACTCTGCTGTTCCATCGAGTTGGACGAAGTAGCATTGATTGCCAGCGCAGCATAGAGGTTCCAGATGGGCTCGTCGACTTCGTCCAGGTGGGACTGGAGGCTGGACGCGTATGGGTTCGAAGACTGCTGCAAGAGGTAGTTGGAGAGACCAAAGGGTAGATTGGACTTGGCGCGCGAAGAGGGGAAGAGATTGGAAAGACCGCCGGAGCCGGTAACCAGACGCTCGAAGAGGAGCTGGAAGATGGAAGACCACTGTGCTTGCTCCTCTGGCGTGGCTCCGGAGGCGGCAGCGTCTCCTCCATCGGCGGCAGAGGCGCTCGTCTGAGATCGTAGTGTCGCAGCTCGGGAGAGGAGAATGGTCAAAAAGGCGATTCCTGCTCGACTACGAACCACCTTGACCACGTCATTCCTCTCGACGAACAGGGCGAGCATGCCGATGACGATCTTCATCGGACTGCCACCCATGAGGACCAGCATGGCAGGCACGATCGTCGTGCCAAAGAGCTCGGACTGCTCCTCGGCATCGCGCCTCTTTGCCGCGGCAGCCGGGGAGGGGGTAGTAGCTGTACCCGGGATAAAGGAAGAGACGTCGTCCAGCACAGCAGCGTTGCGCACCACATCCAGGGTGTCGAAGGAGGCGACAATCATTGTGAGAGCCGTCAATGTCTGCTCGGAGGAGAGATGTCGCAAAGCGCGGGGCAAGAGACGCTTGCCCTTGGTCGTACCCAGTAGCGAGACAAAGGGGTGGGGATCTGAGATCTCAAGAGGCTCGAGAATGCGCAACTCCTTCCAGAGAGTGGCCACGAGAGCCTCCTGTTGTTCGCGAGCGGCGGCCTGGCCAGCCTCATCGGCGGGGCCATCGAGCGATCGCCGGAGCTGCTCCAGGCTCAAGAGAGTGTCATACAGCTTCTCAAGGATCCGCAGGCTTTCATGTCGAGTGAGCGGGGCGCGCCTGCCATCAGCCGATGCGCTCTCGCCGCCTCCTCTGCCTCCTAGAGAGGCGCCTTCCAAAGCCTGCCTGACCGCGTCCGCGGCCGAATTGCCGTTGGTCTGTCCGTTGCCACCTTCTTCGCTCTTTGAGATCTGTAGAGCTTTTCGAGGGGTGTTAGCGCTGTTACCGCCTACCTTACCCAATGCTCCTTGCAGATTGGGGTTAATGGTGCCGGATGTGGCCTTCTCGATTCGCTGCTTCCGGTCTGCCACGAGTCGCTCAACTTGTTGCTGCATGCGAAGCATAGCCTTCTGTTGAGCGTTCATCCGCTGTGACCCTTTGCTGTTCTTGGGTCCTTTGGGAGGCTGCTGCTGCTGTTGGTTCGGACCGGGACCCGGACCCGCGGCACCGGGGGGAGCGCCCATCAGGCCAGGATTGACCAGGGAGCGGTTGTTCCTCAAGGCAAAGTAGATATGAGCATAGAAATCGTCGGCGTATGGGTCTGCAGTGATGATCTGCGAGATCTGGATACGTGTGATGAACTCCTTGTCGCTGACACTCATGACGTTGTTGTACCGCGACATGGCTGCAATCTTGGCCTCCCGTTGTGCGATTTTGTTCCTCACCTCGGCGATTTTGCCAAGCCGTCTGAGAGCGGCTTCTTGAGCCTGCTTCTGCGCCTCCTCGACAACGGATGTCCGTGGCTCGAGCAGCACCGGGAATTCCCTGGAAAGACCCATCAAGACATCAAAGTGCATCTGTGGAGGCAGGGAGATGATGCCCTGTTGCACTGGCTCGGGGAGAGCATTGAGCAGGGCCCGCATTCGAGCCAAGCGCTGCTCATCCTGCTCTCGCATAGCTTCAGCACTAAGAACAGGCGGCGGAGGTCCTGGCATTTGCTGTTGCGGGCGGTGCAGGGGAATGTTGCTATGGGCAGGAGGTGGAGGTGACGAATCGGCCCCGGGAGGTGGTGGTGCGCCCAAAGGAGGGAAGTCTGAGTCTAGACGATCTTGTCTGGGGCCAGCAGGACCAGTGGGCGGGGCAAAGGGCTGCTGTGAAGGGTGTGGCTGACCACGGTATTGACCCTGTTGACCTTGCATCATGGCAGCGAACTGAGGTGGCATTCCGGGGGGCATACCTTGAGGGAACATGCCCTGCTGCTGTTGTTGCGGGAGCGGCGGCCCAGTAGGGCGCTGCTGATTACCCCGCATCTGGGCCTCAATCTCCTCTACGCTCATCTGCTGTCTGCCTGTAAGGCCAGCAGGTTGTGATGGCAAGGGTGGCTGCTGCTGCTGCTGGGACACTCGTGCGGCACGCAGCTCTGCCTCGATCTCCTCCATTGTCAAACCCGATCTGGCCGGTGTAGGTTGAGGCGCTTGGTGCTCGAATTGAGACACAGCTGGAGCTTGCGATTGCGGAGCAGGAGCAGGCGCCTGCTGCTGCTGCTGCTGCCTCTGACCGCCTCCGAAGCTGGGCAAGGCCCAGAAGTCATCAAAGTTGCTGGCGAACATGGAGTCCATCGGCTTCTTTGTCGTCTGCTGCTGCTGTTGATTGGGTTGACCGGCTCCGTGGCCAAAGTCGAAGTCTTTGCCTGGAGCGTAATTGACGTGAATGTGGAATGAGTTCTCGCTACTGGGCACTTCGAGTCATTCGCATCCTCTGATACTTACCGACAGCTGCTGAGCTTCCACCAAACGTGTCATCGTTCAGATCGTCGCCTGCCTCGTCCAGCATATCGCCAAGCCCATCGTATCCCTCTCCTCCCCACTCGTAGATCTGAGCGCATCAGATAAGAAGGAAGCACACGCTAAGGTCAGACGGGCCACCCTCAAGCTAGTATTCTTTCCCTTGGTATCGGCTCACTCACTTCAACGTCCTCCTGAGCACCGGCGGTGAGTCCTCTGATCTTTGCATCGAGCTCATCATCCTGTAGCTCTCTGCCATCGTCGAGGTCTCCACCGAGAGGGTTGAAGGGGTCATCGCTGGAGATCTGCCCACCCCGCGCACCACCTCTGGTCGTGTCGCGCGGCAGGGTAGTATCGAAGCCGAAGAAGCTCATTGCGAGCTGCTGAAGGGCGACAGCGATTGAATAAAGTAGATGGAAGCACCTGTCACTGCCCTGATGATGGTGGTGTGGAGATGGTGAGGCGGGGAGTGGAAGAAGGTGTGGTCGGAGTGGTGTCCGTGGGAGGATGAGGCTGCCTGTCACTTTGCGCGGCTGTCGCTGTGCGAGGCCGTCATCTCCCGCTCCGACTCTTTGCCTGTCATCTCCACTCCAGGCGCATCTCACACAGACCTTTCAATCCGCTGCTGCTGCTTTCATCCATACTGCCGCCCATCGATCCACTGTCGAACATCGCTCGCTCACTCACTCCATCGATCGTTCAGACAATAACAATCTCACCTTCATCCTAGCCAACCACCTCCAGCGAGGTCAAACACTTCAATATACCCAGTCCCGCAATGTCGCTACCGTACGCAGCAGACGCAGAGCTCTCCCTCTCGCCCTCGGAACTCTCCGTGCTGGCCTCGCAATATCAGTCCGAGCTAGCGACGGGTCATGTCACTACACAGACCAAATTCAACTATGCATGGGGATTGGTGAAGAGCAAGAGCAGGGATGAGATGAGTAGGGGTATTGGGCTGCTGACAGGTGAGTTCGAATAAATTTGCAGAAGAGAGGGAGGGCGGCTGAAAGGGGTTGGCGACGGTGGAAGCGGAGAAATGCTGCTCAAAGACCAAAGAGCGGGGCAGCTGACACTTGCTATGCAAATTCTTGCTCGGCTCTTTCATCTCCTGACAGAAATCTACCGATCAGACCCGCCGCGGAGGCGCGAATGTCTGTACTACCTGTCCCTCGGCCACTTCAAGATGGGCAACTACGACGAGGCAAGGAGATTCAATGGTAAGCGTTACTCAAGGGCCTATGCACAGAGGTGCAGTAGCAATGACACCTAAGCTGACGTTTGACTTGTCATGGTTCCACTGGCAGCTCTGCTCATCGAGAGGGAGCCGAACAACCTGCAAGCTCAATCGCTAAATTCGCTCATTGAGAAGGGAGTGGCAAGAGGTGAGCAGCTGCTGCATCGCAGTCGTGCCATAGTCGTACCTCGACTGACCAAAACTACCTTTGTGCTCCCCTGCTTTCTTCCACAGAGGGATACATCGGCATGGCATTGATGGGTGGCGCAGCCGCTGTGGGAGGTGTCTTGTTGGCCGGTCTGCTGAGAAGAAGGAGATGATCCGGCTCGTCTCAGTCTATCAAACAGACTGGTCCGCTCAGCCTTGTTTGGCAGAACCTCTTCATCGCTTCATTCTCAGCTTTCAGCTTTTGGATCATCCATCACTCCCTCTACGAGGCGGGTATCATTCATTCATTCATTCATCCATCCATCCTGTCTTCTCTCCTCTTCCCCTGTCCTGTAATATGACCCGTGCACTATTGTACAAAGATCTATCCATTTTCAATTTCCCACCTTGTCTTCTTTCTCTCAGCTGCAGTAGAGTGCCTCAGCTTTCCTCCCACCCGCGCACCTCGGCCCGCCAGACGGCCTTCCACCACTCGAAGCTCCCCTCGCCTCCGCGATCCAAGCTGGGCAGGTCTCTCCACATCAGCAGGACCTCTTTGCGTTTGGCAGAGGAAGTTGCAGGGTCGTACTTGTCCCTCTGCGGGCCCTTGTCCCGTAAAGAGAGAGGAGAGTCCGGAATGAATCCATGAAGGAAGGTGGAATGAAGGGAGCCTAGTGGGGAGCAGTCGATGAGGAGGACATCGAGGGACTGTAGTAGCTCGAGTGTCTGGATTTGGGCCTGCAGGGTGATGTGGAAGATTGCATCGACTGGTAGAGGAAGCAGCCGGGGCCCTCCATCAGCGTCTCTACCATGACCGCAATCTGAGAGACGCTCCCCTTCACTCACCAAATTCATCCCCGCCCCTTCGACCCCACCTCACATCGCCCTCCCCATCCTCACCGCCTAGCCCACCCTCCTCGTCCAACCTGACCCAATTCACCTGCAAAAGCCTCGCAGCATCCTTGAGCTTTACGAGTCCCTCCACCGCCCGTTCAATGCGTTCTCTTCCCTTGAGAAGACTCCGAGTGTAGATTTCATGCAGGGAGCGAAAAGACTCCGTTATGGCTGGGCAGACCTGATTGCGATTTTGGGCAGAGGAGATCTTCAAGGCCTCGGCTCTGCCCTTTCCCTTTCCCTTTGGTCTATTCCCCAGCCCCCGCTCAGCCATCTCCTCCTCCAGCTCACCCAAAACAGTCGCATAAGCACCCACGGATTCTCCCATCTCCAGAACCTCCTCTTCCCAGACTGTCCTCTGCCGTGTAAAGTCCAAAAGGAGGGAGCGTAACCGCCGATGGAGGGACGTCTCTTCGTGTCGCGGGAGGAGGAGAGGAGGACTGCTGGGGCGGGATTGGGGAAAGGGGCGAGAAGGAGAAGAAGGGTAGCGTGATGGAGACGCAGAACCGGGATTGCTAGAAGAACCAGGGCCAGCGGCTCCTGTGCCGTAGCCAGGAGCAGGCGAGGCAGACCCAGATGCTGAGCCAGACCCAGATCCAATTCCATTCGAGGGAGGGCCCTTGAAAGTCCTCTTCGCCAGCGGACCCAAGCTCGACGAGCTCGCGGCTTTGGGAGCCATCGCGACCAGCGAGTTTGAGTCGAGGTTCAAGACCTTTCAGAAGAAAGGGCCGAGCGATGTTGATGTCGGATAGGTTGTCAATGTCGGCAGGGATGGGTGAACGCTAGGAGAGACTAAGAATTGAGGAACAGGCGGAAGGGACGGACTGGGGAAATCTGTGCAGGCTCATTTTGGCTCTCCGCTTTCGGAACGGAGACTGCCTCAAAGGTTACACCTTCAAGGGGAAATGACAACAATGCTGAGTAGTCACAAGTATCGAGGTGAGAAGAGAATGTCCATGAATTGCGTCAAGCGATGCGATGGAATAACCGGATAAGCTTATAGAGCCCTTTGAAAGAGAATGTCGGAGGCATGCGCGGAATGATGTACGAGAAAGGGTAACACAGAGAGAAGAAGTAGGAAGACAACAAGGGGGTATAGATGGACAAGAGACGCGGCTGAAGTGGGCTCTACCACTACCACTAATGAGAAGGAAAACAACGTGAAGTGGGAAGGTATCAATGCTGAAGAGAAGAATGTGAAAGGCCGTCGACTAGCGAACAGCTACTGGTCTGCAACTGGATTCAAAGGGGCGATTGAGCCTCACCTTGACATGCCTCAAGAGTTCATAGCCCATCCGGTGAAGACCTCTGCGCCCGAAGGTGCCCAGATGCCGTTCTGATGATTGGCCTGCAGCTGTTGGAAGGGCATCGCGACCTCACCCTGGCGATGACCATTACCGTGACCGTGAGAAGGGTACCGCTGTTGCAGGACGACCTTCTCCATCCCCTGTACAGGTGCAGGTGCAGCTCCAATGAAGTTCTCTACTCCTTGATTTGAGTGACGAGAAACGGCAGAGGGAGGTGTTGCGGGTCCCGATCTGTGCGAAGAGGCAGAGGCGAATGACCGATCCATGTCGAGAGTCATGTCGCCCATCGAGTCATCGCCTCCTCCAGAGTTGTGCACAAAGGTAGCGCGGTGAGCACCAGCGAGCGTCGATGGTGATGCGGTGGCACGACCTGAGGAGCCTGCTTCTGCGAGATGAGCTCGAAGTAATGACATCTGGTCCTCTTGCTGCTGTGGCTGCTGCTGCTGCTGCTGCTGCTGCTGCTGTGCATGCATCTGAGGCGCCGGTGAAGAGCTCCAAGGCTGCTGCACATTGCCTGCCTCGAGACCAGACCCATCCCACATCATGGCATGTTGCAAAGTTCCCACGCCCAAGCCATGGAGACCCAGAGAACCGGCATTCGAGGCTTCAATCTGCTGCACATTCTGCTGCTGTGGACGCGAGGCATCGAAATTGCCGAGGAAAGTCTGCCCATCAAGCTCGTAGCTGTAGCCTATGGCAGGCGAGTTGCCGACGGAAGAAGAATGGTGAGTAAGATATTGATGCTGTTGAGTTTGGTGCTGCTGCTGACGGTGCTGAGGCTCGTGATGATGGGGGTATAATTGAGCCGGAGCAGGTTGAGGAGCCGACATGGATCCGGGATGAGCAGCATCCAGTTGGAAGTGTTGCTGCTGCTGCATCTGGGGAGGGTAGCGTCCATCAAGCTCATTGAGCCTGAGCTGAACATGAGAGGGTGTCGCAAAGCTTTGAGCATGGACAGCCTGCTGGAACTGCTGCTGCTGCTGAGCAGCACGATGACCCGCATCGTGAGCTGTGGCAGCAGCCATCGCAATAGCAGCGACGCCTTGCGAGGAAACCTGTCTTCTAAGCTTCGACGGCCCTACACCTCCGTCGTGATGAAGGTGTGGCTGTCCTTGTGAGTGGGTCAGCCTGCCAGAAGGCGTGCTGCTGCTTCGACGTAGATTGTTGAGATTGTTGCTGGCCATGGCCTCCGGTGTTTCGACTTTGATGATGGATAGTCGCTGACGCTTCTCGACAGGGCCCAAGGAAGATGTGCCGTTCAAAGAGTTACGTGACATGGTCTGGCTGTTCTCCCTCTTCCGGGCTTGCGCTAGTGGACCGCTGCTAGACGCAGCCACCTGCATAGCAGCGCCTGCGCCTGTCCTTCTCTCAGAGCTTTCAGGCACATCATCCCCTAGAGTTGCCCGCTTGCCCTCCTCGCTCAAACCGCCCTTCTCGCCGTTGATGCCGCCTCTCTGCCACCCCTGGAGTGTCGAGACACCGACGGTGATGGGTCGATCAGTGACGCCCTTGCCACTTTCCCGCAAGCGCTCCTCCTCTCTTGCGATGCGATAGACGTCCATGAGCAGATTGACTTTGTCGGCGCGGATCATGGCAACAACCTCAGCAGTGGCCAATTGTAAACGGGAGACCTTGATCTTTGGGCTTCGCAAGATGGTGAGAAGCAAAGAGTGCCTCTCGGGCTTCATGAGATGGTCTGGCTCCTTGTGACGAACGCCTTCGGGCCACCAGTCGGGTTTGCCCTCTTCGCCCTTGTTGTACGGGCACCTTGTCTGCTTCTTTGGCTCGATGATCTTGATCCACGCCTTGGCTACGGTCTTGCACATACCTTGCTGCATCTGGCCGAATCGCAATTCGAAGAATGCAGTTCGTGCAGCCTCATTTGACAGGGTGACCTGGGTCAGATTGGCGTCTGAGGTGGAATTTGTCCGGGCCAGAGGAACTCGCATCGGAGGAGGCGGCTTGCGCTGGTTGGGCAGAGGTGCCGAAAGAGGCGCTCTGAGGAAGAGTCCGTCACCGGCAGAGGCAGGCAGCAGAGGAGAGTGCTGGTTAAAGGCCAGGTTGGCAGAGCTGATGTCGAGGGGTTGCAGGAGCTTACGTGCGGGCCTGTTGAGGCTAGTGGAGCTGGAAGCAACGGCATTGGGCGTGGGGGCGATTGCTGATGTCGAGGCTAGGACTGCGTTGGCATGGGCGGCCGAGATTGGAGCAATGGGAGGAGCGGAGTCCCGAGATGCGAAGACGTCGCTGCCTTGGCCAAGCAACGGGGTCTTCAACTTCGAAGACGCACCCATTTCGCCGCTACCACATTCAAGGACACTCTCGTTGTCTTCTGCGGCGCAATCTGAGTCGTCATCGCTGAGCTGACTGGCAGCATCGTCGGCGCCATCATCCTCGGCCAGCATGCTCTTGCCTGACGACGACGTTACGGATGCCGACATTCTAGCCTTTCTCTCCAGCACTAGCCTCTTTCCCTCCTGCTTGATGCCACTGTTCTCGAACCAGTCTTCCAGTCTGCCTTGGAAAGCCTCGCTAGCATAGGTCTCTGTCTGTCCGGAGGCAGCTACCCACATGATTGCGAATTGGGACCCATTGATGTATGCCGACTTGCCGAGGGCTCGCAAGACCTGGTCTCGTTTGTTCTTGAAGTGGCGATGCTGGCGAGAGGGGGAGCTGTAAGGCTCTGTGCGGACGGGAATACGAGGCATACTGAGCACTCGGTGAGTGTGACTGCCTGGCGAACAAATTCAGTAGAGATCTGCGTGTGAACTGATGGGCGTGTCGCCCAAGACGTGCGGGGGAGCGGTGTTGCTGCTCTCGAGCAGGTGTTGCGATCGCGGTTGTGATGAAATTTCAGTATGGTGGTGGAGCAGCAGAATGCGTAATGCTTTTCTGCTGACTAGCTTTGTTGTCTCGGGTGGTCGTGATGTTTCGTTACAAAGAGTCGATGTCGTAATTGCGGTAGAGAGAGAAAGGACTGTGGGGGGAGCTGAGATGTGGTGGTGGTGGGGGGGGGGAGGACAGAGTGGGTAGAGAGATGATGGAGGAGGTCAGAGGGAGGAGGGAAGGTGGAGTGGTTGAGACTGTAGAGAATACAAAGGAAAGTAGAGGTGGACGCTCCTTGGTTGCCAGGCGTCTATCTGGAATGGGGCCCTGGGCAGGCTGAGATCAACACACCCTTGGTTCCGGTCCGGCAGAAGTGGGATGGTCCGGCATGCAGATGCGCCGCGGGGATCTTTGTGGTGCTGACCTTGGCATTCTTCGTCTGCTTTCCCACAGGCGGAGTGAGTCGCCCATCGTCCGTCGTTGGCGGTGTGCTTCCCTGCAAGTCGCCGTGATGCTGTTGGCGGCGCCCCTCTGGAATGAAGGCCAAGCGATGCGAGGCATGGCCAGAACAACACCGGCAAGCCCCACGTGGCTTTCACGCCCAGCCACGTTCTTCCGAGGCGCGTCTCCAGAGCCACGCGCTTCCCAAGCCATGTGTGTGTGTGTGTCTCTCAGTGTGCGTCTGTGTATCCTCGCTTCCGACGACGTTCCGATTCCACACCACCCGCCACCTACGCGACTGCACACGATAGAGCATACAGCCACTGCAGAGGGGAGCATCACCTGACCTAGCTCCTACCTGAGACGAGCTACCGCAAAGCTACGGTCGCATCGCAACCATACACCTCGACATCCTAAACACACTCCTGCCCTCGCACTAGACTGCTTACCTTCATTATGGCTGCCTCTGCTTCTGCATCCTCCTCTGCCCTCGTCTTCGCGGCAGACATGGCAGGCTTCGAGGCTCGTCTAGCCTCCTTCGAAGCAGCTCCTCTAGCCTCGTCCTCCTCATCTGCATCGCTCAAGAGTCGCAAGGCTTCGTCATCCTCATCCTCGCAACGGTGGCCTCACCCATCCGCAACCGGCCCACTCTCCAAGCGCTACCCCTCCGCCGACAAGCTCGCCCGGCTGGGACTCTACTTCTCTCCCACCGCAAAGAAGGCCGATCGCGTCGTCTCGTACATAGATGGCGTAGCCCTCTCAGACTTCTCGCAGGGAGATGTCGCAGAAGATCGCCTGAGGGCTATACAGCCGGACAATCCCTGGCTGCTGATATATCAAAGTCGCGATGCCGGCGAGGAGCTCGAGGGAGGCGTGTACGAGTACGAAGAAGAGCGACTACTGCCAGATGGACAAAGTCTGATCGAGGCCAGGAGAGCGACCTTCGGCAATGGCTGGCCTCATGATGGCAAAAAGGGCTGGAAGTGTTCTTCCCAAAAGCTGGCACAGGCCGGCTTCCATTATGAGCCGACGGAGGAGGATCAGGACAATGCCAGCTGCATATACTGTGGGAGAACGCTGAGCGGTTGGGAGAAGAGCGATGATCCGGTTCATGAGCATGTGCGGAAGAAGCCAGAATGTCCTGTGTTCAATTCCTCGCTAAAAGCAAGTCAATCAGCGGGCAAGGACACAAGCGATAGCGCTAAAGCTGCCGAGACCACAAAAGACAAGCAGACGACAAAGAAGGGGCGATCCAAGCAAGCGACCTCAAGATCGAGAGCTACAACGGACGTCAGCGAGGCGGAGAGCGAGGCTGAGGCCCAAATATGGCAAGGTCAGCCGAAGGCCGTTGAGGACGAGGACGAAGCAAGCACGTCCGATAAGCCTACACGACCCTCACGCCGCGCTGCAACAACGGCCCGCACAGCATCTGCGAGCACGAAGAATAGCAAGACAACTGCTCGGAGCGCATGCCGGAGTCAGAAGAACGATGGCGTGGCAGAGGACTCCGGGGTAGAGCAAGCGTCAGAGGCCGAATTAGGGGACACTGAAGTTGAAGAAGAGGTGGAGGTGCCGAAGCGAAGAGGGGGAAAAACAACGAAAGCTGCCAAGAAGGCGCCCGCGAAAGGGACGAAGGCGACGGCTAGCCGGCAGGCCAAGGGAAAGGCGGCGGTCACGGAGGATGCAATGTCGGCGTCTGAGGTGTCTGCACCCCCGACGGAGGATGAAGGCGAAGGTCAGGCCGAGGAAGAGGAGGCTGCTCCCACAACTCGTGCTCGGTCGACGCGAGCCAAGAAGACCGCAGCCGCTCCGGCCCCTATACGAGCGACCAGAGCCACCAGGTCGACCAGGTCCAAGGACGCCGCTCAGAGTGCATCAGAGATAAGTCAATCGGACGCAGAGGAGGTGGCTGAAGCCGTCGCAGCCATGGATGAAGATCTGCCTACAGCTGCTACTGAGGGAGGGGAGGAGACCATCGTACATCACGATGAGACAGCCCCAGCTGCCGAGACGCCGGCCCTCGAGGAACCCCAATCCGAAGCTGATCAGACAGCTACCGATGCCAAAGCTGCCTCGTCGAGCAAGTCTTCCGTCTCGAGCAACAATCGTCAGGCGCAACAAGTGGCAGAGGGAGAAGGTGACGCTGATGTCGAAGTTGTCATTAGCTCAACACGGCCGTCCAGATCCGTCTCGGGTACACGTCAGAGAGTGGCAAGCAGCAAGTCACAAAAGCAGCCTTCGTCGTCGCAGCAAGATGATGCAGACGGCGCTAACGGTCAGTCCGAAATCGTTGGGCCAATTGAGCCGCCCACGCCTGCTATGCCGTCCTCTTCGGCTTCTATCAAGTCGAAGAAGGCCTCTATTGAGGAGAGACCTGCTGCCTCTGCCATCAACAGTAGCAACGGTGGCAGCAGTCAGTCCCAATCGGCCTCGGTGGCAACTGATCCGTCGCAGAGATCGGACGGCAGAGCGCATCTGGGCCTAGCTCCTGCCCAGATGCCCTCCTCTAGCGACGACAAGCAAGCCTCAACCAGTGGCAAGGGTCGCGTCTTCTCGCCTCTGCCCGCAAGAGCTACCAGGACTGCCAGTCGGACCAAGACGTCGTCTTCCTCCTCGGAAGCCCCAATGTCTCAACAAGCCCCTTCTGATCCAAGCGATGGAGCAGAAGATGCCATCTCACCTCTCGCTCAACCCAACGGGACTGCAGCAGCGACTGCCCCAGCAGCGTATCAAATTCCGTCCTCTTTCCCACCTCCGTCCATCCTCGCGCCTACATCCTCTCTCCCCCCTGCTTTGCTAAGCGAAGGCTCCACCAAGGCCAATCTGACTGTGCAAGCCTACCTTGCAAGTCAGATCGACGAGGCGGTTGAGGAGATGCGCAAATTGGGCGAGGAGAAGATTCGTGAGGTGGAGAGGGGGATGAAGGCGCGAAGAGAGGAGATTGAGGGAGTCCTGAGGGGGACGGTCGAGTGAGAGTAGTGCTCGAGTTGATTCGTCGGCGCACTGAAGGAGAGATCTCGGAACTGAGTTGTATGAATAGACTCGGAGGAAGTATGAAGGGGGGGTATCCTATCGCATGTACGTGTACATCATCATCCTCATCCACAAAAGCGACATCATTCCCCAGTAGTCTCTTCAGCGCATCCAAGGGGCGGCCATTAGCTCTCCGGCCGCTCCTCTACTCGACCCTCACCAAGATCGAGCCAGAGTAATTCTCTATCTTTTCCCAATCCCAACTGCACAGAAGCTCCCTTCTCATGGAAGCGCCACTCGTGTCTTGCCTCCTCCATACCCCCTCCGGATTCCTGATCCCATAATTCGTACCCGGGCATGTATCGTGCTACAAATTGAACGACTTGCTCGTCGGTCATGCCCTTTCCGCCATTGGAGGCCTTCATGGCTCGCTCGGCTTGGGTACGCCAGGTGAAGACTTGGGAAAGGTCGCGTGGGGAGGCGGAAGAGGAGGGGGAGGAGGAGGAAGGGGGAGGGGAAGAGGAGGAGGGGACGAGCTTGACGAATGCGTCTAGGTAGGGGTAAAGAGCCTGGCTGAGCTCGCGCAGGTGAACGTTGATGGCCAGTAAGTCTTCTAAGGGGTGAGAGAGGAAATAAGGCTTTTGCTCTGACGTGCCTGCTCCAGTCCGACGCTGAGTCTCTTCGTACATCTTCTTGAGTTGTGCCTCTTCCTTGAAGGCTTCGAAGCCAAGACACCAGCCCTCGAATAGGAGCACGTCTAGCCGAGGTGGAGTAGAGACTCGGACGGTCTCGCTGGAGCGGTCACCCTTGCCATCGTGCAGAGACTTGTCGAAGATCGGAAGCTCCACTATCCGATGTCCACCGCCATCATTTATGGCTTTGAGCTCGCCAAGGATCTTATGCCCGAGAGGGAGGTCGTGTGTCCCTGGCTGACCCCGACCCGAGAGGAGCTTGTTAGTGGGATTGGCCCTCGCTACGGCTGTCAGTCCTGCGTACGGAAGATAGAGGTCGTCTAGCGAGATGCACGCCAGTCGCAGCGGGTCGGTAGACGTAGAGCAAGCCTTCATAAGCTGAGAGGTGATCGTCGTCTTGCCGCTGCCTTGTGGTCCCTGCATTCCGATGATCAAGGGCGGGACAGAAGAAGAAGAAGCCGAGCTGCCGTGAAGGGCACGATGACGGTGCAGCCTGTCCCGTATGAAGGAGCTGAGGACGCTGATCTTCCGAGTGGACATGCTGGACGAAGCAACATTGCTCGGTGTAGAAGGCCTAGGAGCCTCAGTCTGATCCATCGCTCTTGCGAGAAGTCTGGCTGGCAAAGGAGCGTCGAGGTGGGTGAAGTGTCAAACGGGTGGAATGCGGGGAAGACGAGGTGTGTGGAGGGGCGGAGCTGGTCGCGTCTTGGCTGCAGCAGCCTTGATCGGCAATCTTCATACTCACGTTCCTTTGTCTGCCATCCATCACATCTTCCTATCGTCTTTGAGGCCACTCACAGCTCATCGACGCTTCGCAAGGAGCAAAGATGGACGGTCAATTCTCGCCGCAGTACAGCCTCCCCTTTCTCGCCCCCCTTCTCTCCCCACTCGAGGTCTTCTCCGGTCCTCTCCCTATACCCTTCCTGCCGATCCCACTCTCCCTCCTGATCCTCCTCCATGCGACGCGAGTCTCATACGCGACCTGCCAGGTGCAGGGGTACCCCTCCTCCTCGCGTCTGAAGAAGGCACCTGTGCCCTCCACCGCGAAGAGCGTGCTGCTAGTGTGGATCCTCCTCTTTGGAGGTTGGTCCTTCTTGGCGCTGCTCCTTGCGCAGCCTTGTCCACTGCTCATCCCTGATGTTCACCTATCGGCACTTGTGTATGGACTAGTGCACGTCTTCTCGCTCAAGACTGGACTGGCTGACGTGCTGGTGAGGATTGGAGAGACGCAGCTTGGCGGCCTGAGGTAAGTGAAGACAGAGGTGCAGCCTACAAGCATACATAAAGGAGGGATCAAGGTCTGATCAGAGCCTCTCTCTTTTCCTTGCAATCGTTCGCGCTCGCAGTCTCGACCTCGTTTCTATCCTCGTAGACTCCATCTGCCGAACAGAAGGTATCACCTCCCTTGGCGTCGACTCCCTCGCAGGGGCCTACCTCGGCGGTCTCTCACCTCTGACCCTCCTTCTCTGTCCCACGCTCATCGGCGGCGGAGGGCCCCTCCTCATCGGTCTCTTCAATCTCGCCTCCCCCACCGGAGACTGGAAGCTGCAGATGCCTCCAGCTTGGATCAGAGATCCATGGCAGTTGGGCGCAATTGACATCTGGAGCTCCACCTTGGTGGGAGGACTCTACGCCCTGCTAAGCGGCGACGGCAAGGGACAGCCCCTCCTCAACTTTGGCCCACCCGATGCAGGACCGTACGGCGATGGTCCCGGCCCGCTACTTCACAAGAACGAAGCAAAGCTCTTCCTCTCAGCCCTCCTCTTTACTCTTCTCGCCGGTAACCGGCTCAGGAGATTCGTGGGAGTCGGCGTGGCTCGAGCGCCCAAGAAGAATGCTAATGCAAAGACGACTCCTGCGACGGGCATGTCACGCACGTCGTTCCTGGTGGCAACCGCGGCGGCGCTACCGCTGCTGTTGGCTGGACTACAGTACGGCCTTGCTGGAGGAAACATGCTGGTCTCCAAGGGGTGGGTAGCCGAGTATGCTGACTAGCAGATGGACGCATTTGTGGGAAGATGTGGGAAATCGCAAGCTCAAAGAAGAAAAGGGCAGTGAGTGGGATATCGTTGTTCGAGGAAGGAACATATGCCGTCTGTGGTAATAGACTAGACTAGCCAACGTTCCAACGAGCTGGCAGGAGACATAGAGGTCTCAGAGACCTGGTGGAGGAGGAAATGAGATGGGAGGCTAGATTTTGTAAAGACAGTGACTCCCCCAGTCAAGATGTAAATACAAGGCTGATCTTGTGCGCTCTCCCTCTCTTTCCCTGTCTGTCCCCCTTCACATATCCTATCGCTCCTCGCTCATCCTCATCATCGCCCCTCAGATCCATAAATCCAACCTCACCCACCTCAGGCATCACACGTCCACAGCGCGTCCTCCTCCTTCTCGCCCATCCAGACGACGAAGTCATGTTCTTCTCCCCAGTCCTACATGCACTCCTCTCTCCGCAGGGAAATACGGAGCTATGGGCAGCATGTATGACTTCTGGTCCTCCTGCTCTCAAGCTTACCGAGGCAGCCGAGGTCAAGATCGAGGCCTCTTTTTCGCTATTGAACAATTCCCTCTCCAGTGACGCTCTTCCCCTTCGAGCACAAGAGTTGCTGAGAGCTTATGCCCATTTCCCTGGGATAGGTCTAGATGCAGCTGCCCTCGAGGGCTCCGCAAGAGCAGGCGCAAGAGCAGGCGCAAGAGCAGGAGCAGGGGCAGTGACAGAGCGAGTCCTAATCTTCTCCGACCCTGAGCTCCAAGACGGGATGACCGAGCAGTGGGACCCAAGAAGAGTGAGGGATGTGCTTCTCAAAGGAATGGAGGAACGCTTCTCCCAGCCCAACGTCAATGGGAAGATAATGGAGGGGAAATGGAATTTCGACTGGCTCCTCACATTCGACGAGGGCGGCATTTCAGGACATGCAAACCATCGTGCTCTACATGATGCGGCTCCATTAGTAGCTGATGCTCTGGAAACACGAAGTAAAGCTGGAGCTGGAGTTGGAGCTGAAGCTGGAATTGGAGAAAGAGGCAAGGGACGACCTCAAATCTGGAATCTCCCCACCCTTCCTCTTCCACTCAAGTATGGCTCTCTCCCCTTTGCCATTGTGCAGCGCGCTGCTTCCCTGCTCTTCCTCCCTCACCTCGATCCTTCGAGCTCGCCAAGCAAGGACAGCACCGAGGACAGCAGCAGTAGGAGCAGCGGCATCGGAGCGTGCCTCACCTTTCTCTCCTCCCCAAGGGAATACCTCGTGTCACTAGCGGCGATGCGAGATGGCCATACATCGCAGATGCTCTGGTTCCGGTATGCGTGGTGGGGACTCAGCAGCTACGTGTTTGGTGGGAGGATATGCAGGGTGCAATAGCAGAGAACGGTTGAGAGAGGGAGAGGGAGAGTGCGCTGCAGAGGAGCTTCTGGACGGGGCTGGTGGACGGGCGGGAGGGGTCACATTTGTATTTCATAGGCAATCAGATTCCATGTACATACGTCAGGTGAAGACGCGCCTGATTCTCATGTTGTTATATCCCACTTTCACTGTCCAATCCGGCATACTTCGCTTCTTCATTTGCCCTTACTGATGGCCTGCTTTGCCCTCCTGTTTCCTGAGGTCAGGCACGCTACCCGGGTACGTCTTCTTTGCCATGTCCAGACCAGCAAAGTGCTGTACCCAAGCGGCGACCTTGGGCGCCTTGCCATTAGGGTCCAGCAGTGTCTTTCCCTCTGGTGTGGCAGCCAGATCAGCTAAGATGGGGTAAACATACAAGTCCGCCCAGGTAGGCGTATTGCCTACAAAGTAAAGTGGTCCCGAAGATTGCTTCTTCGCATTCTCCTCCAAGAATCCCTCAAGGATGTGCAGTGCGCTCCTGGCTCCTTCCATTCCCTCCTCGAGCGCAACCTTGATCGACTCCTCATCGGCACCATTCCCCTCCATTGCCTGTCGTACCTTGATCAACTTGGGTTCAAGGGCAGGGAAGACGCTAGTGGCTGCGAGTGAGCTGATCTGGCTCACCGTGGCGCGAGTGTGGGAAGAAGTGACCAGGTGAGCCCGATCCAAAGGTGGCGTGAGGGGAGGAGGAGAAGCACTACCATGGCGTCTCCCAGCGGCAATTCCAGCGAGAGCGTCATCGAGGTAAGACTTGACGGCGGCGCTTTCGTAGAGGACTACCACGTCCTTGTTTAGGTCAAAGGGAGCGTGGGGTCGGTGGATCAGGACGGGGATGAGGCCGAGCGGATTGTGTTCTCGTACTTGAGGGGTGTGGGGAAGATGTTGCCTGGCGATGTAAGGTAGGTTGAGATGGTGCATTGCGAGGGATATGGTCCGAGTGAAGGTCGAGATAGGAGCTCCATACTGAGGGCAAGCAAGGGTGAGGATGGTGCGTGAGAGGTCAAGGTCAGCGAATCGCACAGGAGGACCTTGGTCATGAATCCTGCCTCCTACCACGTTATACTCACGAGCTCTACGATGCCCAACTCCTCGGAGGTGCTGTGGATGTCTGGGGTGGTCATTTTTGAGAATGTGGTATGGGCACGTGTAAGATGTGGTAGGATGGCAAAGGAGTGACAAGGACAAGGCAGCAACTTTTAGCCGACGAGGAAGAAGCAACGACCCACGGCGGAAATGGTGTGGAGGCAACCCCCAGCACGGGCCCAGTCAGTCAGTCACTCCGGGGGACAGAAGACCGAGAAAGCCGAACGTCGCTCATCTCCATCTGATCTGATACACACTGGTGCTGCGAAGTAAATGTAATGCGAGTCTATATCATTGTTTTGATCCATGCCTCATTCAACATGATGTTCCTCCCTCGCCTATGTCAGAGCGTACTTGGGTCCTCCTCCACCCTCTGGCGTGGTCCATCGAATGCTCTGATCCGGCACCTTGATCGAGCAAGTCTTGCAATGAATGCAATTCTGACTGTTGATCTGGAACTTCTTGCCCAGCGCATGCTCCTCTCCATTGGCATCCTCCTTGTCCAAGTACTCGTACACTGCTGCTGGGCAGGCACGCGCAAGTAGACCGTCATAGCCTCCTACGTTACGCTCCACGTGGCCTTTGTAGTCGCCCTCCTTGACCACCAGATGCACAGGCTGATCCTCGGTATGGTTGGTACCGGTACGCGAGACGGATGTGAGAATGTCAAAGGAGATCTTGCCGTCGGGCTTTGGGTAGTCGATTGGCTTGCACTCTGAAGCCTTCTTCGTCTGCGCATAGTCCTCGCCTGCATGGTGGAAGGTAAAAGGGACTCGACCCTTGAGCAGCAGAGAGTCAATACCAGAGTACATCAGACCGCCCCACAGACCGAGCGGGTTGTGGAAAGAGGGACGTAGGTTGCGAACCTCCTTGAGCTCTTGGATGACATAAGTCTGGTCCAGTCGCTCACGGTAGTCGGTGAGATCAACGACCTCTTCAGAGCCAGACTCCTTGCGCTTCTGCAGAGCGTCCCAGGCGCTCTCAGCAGCGACCATGCCCGACTTCATGGCATTGTGTGTACCCTTGATTTTGGGCACATTGAGGAAACCAGCCGAACAACCGATCAATGCACCTCCAGGGAAGTTGAGCTTGGGGATAGACTGGTAGCCGCCCTCGTTCAGAGCTCGAGCGCCATACGCAATGCACTCGCCACCCTCGAGGAGGTCCTTGAAGAAGGGGTGATGCTTCATCCTCTGGAACTCCCGGAAAGGAGAGAGGTAAGGGTTCTGGTAGTCGAGACCGACGACTAGACCAATGGAGACCATGTTATCCTCCATGTGGTACAGCCACGATCCACCGTACGTCTTGTAGTCAAGCGGCCAGCCCAAGGTATGAGTAATCATACCTGGCTGATGCTTCTCGGGCTTCACCTTCCACACCTCCTTGATGCCCAGACCGTACGTCTGCGGGTCGGCTCCAACAGCTTCCCTGAGACCGAGCTCCTTGATGACGCTCTGCGACAGCGAGCCGTGAGCTCCCTCTGCAAAGAGAGTGATGGGGGCGTGGAACTCCATGCCTGGCTCGAAAGAGTCTTTGGGCTGAATCTTCTTGTTGAGACCAATCTCATTGGTCACCACACCCTTGATACCCGTCTTGTCGTCGTTCCAGATGACCTCTGCAGCGGCGAAACCAGGGTAGATCTCAACGCCGATGGCCTCTGCCTGCTCACCGAGCCAGGCCGTGACTCGCGAGAGGGAGACGATGTAGTTGCCCTTGTTGGTCATTTGCGGGGGGTGAGGCATCGGGAAGGACCCAGTGGGGGTGAGGAACCGCATGTGGTCCTCTCTTGCGACTTGGTTCAAAGGAGCACCCATCTCCTTCCAATCGGGTAGCAGCTCATCAAGAGCATTCACCTGAATCACAGCTCCCGAGAGGATGTGATTTCCGACTTCGCCACCCTTTTCGAGGACGACGACTCTGATCTCTTCACCCTTTGCATCGGCCAATTGTTTGATCTTGATGGCTGCGCTGAGACCAGCTGGACCACCACCGACTATGACGACGTCTACCTCGTCTGCCACCCGTTCTACCTTGGCGAGGTCGAAAGGCTCATCGACCTCATCGGCAGGAACAGCCTGTCGGGCCGGTGTCGAGGTGCTGAACTGTCTACGTTGGGTGGCGAGTGGCAGAGTGGCCTTCGATGTGCTGGCAAAGCTACGACGCTGATACGAGCGCGACGAAGCAAGTGCAGAAGACGATGCGGATGAGCGGATAGCAGAGGTGGCCAAGACGCTACTGGGCGAAGAAGCCTTTGCGGCGACCTGCTGGATCGCAGCCCGGGCAGAAGACATTGGTATCCGCGTTGACTGGATCATGGCGAGGTATGAGTGAAGTGTAGGTAAGAGATAAGGATGAAGGACCAGAGTGACAAGGATGCTGAAGCTATGTACCAATGGTGGTGGGTGCAACGACGTGACCTCGAGGTGAGTGAGGGCTAAGAGGGGCTGCATTAGTAACACGGCCGCGACGCAGCTCTGCTCTCCATCCGGCACAAGGCCTCTTCCGGATGTGAAAGCGCGGCAATCGTCCGCCGCCCGCCCCGCTCCGCCCCGCGCCAGTGACGTCCAACCGCCTACAGCCCCGTCCTGCTTCCGGCGTACAACGGGGCTCCTTTCTAAACCGACGATGCCTCTCGACCTCTAATCAGCCGACTTGTATCCTTCTAGCAGGCAGGGCAAGTGATAAGCAAAGCTGGACGTCATTGAAAACACACAACCATTAATCACACGCAGATGGCAATGGGAGAGCAAGACGGCGGCCATTTGGCTACTCTCGAAAAAGTCTATTGCGCGAGTAATGTGCAAGCAATCAAGTGAAGGGTGGACAAGTACGGTGACAAGCGACATTCGTGCGGAGTGAGCGTCGGTGGTCAAGCAATCAAGTGAAGGGTGGACAAGTACGGTGACAAGCGACATTCGTGCGGAGTGAGCGTCGGTGGTTGGGCAGGTCGATGGAAGGGTGGACAAGAGCTACGACCTGCGTGCTGGCCTTGGATCACTGATTGTCGAGGTCTCTATGTAAATATGGCTACAGGGTGTGAAAACGATTGCATGATGGGCACTCGCGAGAGAGACTAGGTACCGGCCTAGGCAATTGAGACTTTTGAGGTTGCTCAGACGAAGAGACTGAGAAGGTCCAAAAGATGGCGCTTACGAGGAGAATTCCCAGGAGATGGGGAAGACGCCCTCCTCGGTGGTTCCGCCAAGAGCCTTGAAGAAGCCCTCGGACATGTCGAGGGAGCCAGTGGACTCGCAGCTAGGGCATTCGTCGACGACGGTAGCCTTGTGGGTGGTACCGGTGTTCTGGTTGGTGACCTTGACGGTCTTTCCACAGTTGGAGCCGTTGTCGTACATGGAGGGAGTCAGGGCGACGATCCAGTCAGAGCCAGAAGACTCCCAACCGCAGGCGCCGAGACCGGCAGCAAAGTAGGTGGCAGTGCCCGTGGTTCGCTTCTCAGCGGCAGGGGCGGGAGCAGCAGCGGCCATGGCGCTGAAGAGGGCTGCGAAGGAGGCGAGCTTGAAGGCGTACATTGTGTATAAGAGGGAGGTAAGTGAGAGGTTGCTGGGTAGAAGTAACGTTTCTGGTAATGTGCAAAGAGTTATTGAGTTGAGGCGACGAAGAGAAGAGTGTCAAGCCTTGAGATGTCTGGACTTCTTATATCATTCATCGATCCTCCTCTGAAGAAGACCGAAGAAGAATTTTTCACCCTCCAACCCAGCCTGCCCGGCGTGCTGGACCGCCAGTGGTATCAATGTTGTTTTCTCCCCACATCACACAACGTGGAGGAGATGCCGGACGATCAAGTGCCTCTGACAGAGCGGGTTGTGACTGTCTCAAATTCTGAGGTGCGGAGACCGAGGCGCCTCTTGACCCCTTGCTCGGTCTCGGTCTTAGGATTCTACTCCTTGGGTACTTGAAGACTCAGCTGACGAGGTTGTGGGGTACCACCTTGGCCGAGCGATCTTCGAGGGAGAGGGTGAGGGCTATTTCCAGGGACCCTGCGACGAATATCTCCGGTCGCTATTTCGGACGTCCATGGCACAAGAGACATTTGAAAAGAGGGAGCTGCGAGGTCTTGCTTGTTTGTGTACCTCATTTGCCTGCCCGGCATGCCCCGACCCCATCCATGTGTTCCACTCGGCACAGACGCTGACACTCTGGCAAGGGGGGCGCCTCGATTCACACTTTCCCTGTCAGGGGCAGGCAGCGTACTGGGCGTCAGAGAAGAAACAGGGCACCACCTCGTCACCGCCGCCGGCTCAGCCGGCTGACGTGCATGCCTTCATCTCGATCGTTCCCCTGCCGGCCCACAAATAGAAAGCCATGTGGTCATCTTTCACCCCCTTGCCCCTTAACCCAGGCTCTGTTCCTCTGCTCCACCCTCAACTCCACTCCACTCCACTGCGTTCCGAAGAGGTGAAACGGAAAACCTCCCCCAATCATCGGAAAACCGATCTCAAACACCAATTTTCCAGGGTCCCTCCTTTTGTGGGCTCCGCCAGGAATCTTATGAAAATCGAGATTGCGCCTGTCACGGTGACTTTTCTTGCCGCCTTGCCGCTTGACGTGCCGAGGTCGCAAATGGTTAGACTGGGAGAAAAGACGCCGTGATTCTACGCCTAGCGTCGCGTGGTCGAGGGAGGCTCGCGTGCAACCAGAGGTTCAGCTCAACCCACTCCTGGTAGAAATCGGCCAGCCAGCAAGCCAGTTACCTGATCAGCTGGGCGCACGTGACGTCGACGATCAAGACGGGCCGGCTCGACGACGCCTCTCTCTGCCTCCGCATTGCTCTCGTCCTCACTTCAGACCACATCCCTTGTTAGATAGAAAAAAGTGTGTTATGAACAACAGTAGGAGCAAAGCGAATTAAAAGTCGAAACACAGTGACGCCCACATCTCTAGAGTAGTCGGCAGGGCCACAGAGAGAGGCGTAGTCTAGCTCTGCAACCCGTCGAGACTTCTTTCCCTTCCTTTGACCGCTTCCCTTACTTCCAACAGTGAAATCTAGCAGCGAATAGGATGATATTCTCGAAAATCCGCGTAATGTATTACCATACGTGTATGAGGCGCCGCTCGCCCTAAACACCAGGATGGCTGACCAGCATGCGGCGTTGGAGTGCTTGGCGGCGGTGCCTGGCGGCCGGCCTGAGTCGCGTGGTCTTGCCTGCGAAAGTGAAGGGAAACCCATGTGCCGCGATCATTGAGGGTGACATACACTGCTCTTACACTGCTCCCTTGTACTGGAGACATGATCCGCCCATCAACACCTCATCGACCCCCGCAGCGACCCTGCCAGCCTTTAGATCGGAGTGTGGCCGTCCCACTTGACCAGCTCCTCGCACCGCTCAATGACCTGCTCCACGTCCCATCTTCCACCTGCTCCCCCGCTTCCGTACTTCATGCTCAGCAGCGAGCCGACCTCATCGCAAGCCCTGAGAACATCGTCCATGTCCTTCTTTGTGTGACTGGCAGACACACAAAACCTCACTCTGGAAGAGATGAGAGGTGTAGCTGGGTAAGCCACAACGACGACGACAATGGGCGGGCGCGCAGGGCGGTCGATGAGAGACAGATCGGCTGGATCATCCATGCCCATGGGCAGCTTCGATGAGTCCTCTCCGTCCTCGGAGCTGTCATCGCGCTCCTCGACGATGAATGGCCGTTGGCTCGGTGGAAGAGAGCGCGATCGGTCGAGCATCATCCTCGAGAAGAGAGGCATCTTAGCGGGTTGAAAAATGAGCAGGGGAACAATCGGAGAGTCTCGGTGACCATAGATGATGAAGCCGAGCTTGCGAAGTCCAGACGAAAGGTAGCGTGCGTTGAAGGCGAGACGGCGCAGCCTTTCTTTGCCTTCGCTACCGTCCAGGAGACGAGGTGGAAGGTTCAGCCAGCCAGGAAGAAGAGCCTTCTCTTGAGGGTCATTACCGGCTCCCATGATGCTGGCCATGCTGCCGATGATCTGAGTCAGAACAGGAGGAGATAACGTCTCACCATAGACGTTGGCATGATTGGAGAGCCTGATGCGGTCGATTAGTTGCTTACTACCAGAGATGTATCCTCCGGCAGCGCCAAACGACTTTGTGAATGTGCCCATCAGAATGTCGATTCTCCTCGGGTCAATGCCAAAGTAGTCACACACACCTCGTCCTCGTGGTCCAATAGCACCGATGGAGTGCGCCTCGTCGACGTAGAGGTAGAACTTGTACTTCTCCTTGAGCCTCATCACTTCGGGCAGGTTGACGAAAGTGCCTTCCATCGAGTACAAACCCTCGACGATCAAGAGGATCTTCTTCCAAGGGCGGTGAGTCCTGGGCACTCCTTGCGAGATGCATTCGCGCAACAGCTTCTCGAGTGCCTTGATGTCATTGTGCTTGTATTGACGAATGTGCGCTCCACTAATACGGGCACCAAACCTGATCGAGGCGTGGTTGTACTCATCCGAGATGATCAGAGTGCCAGGTCCAGCAAGCGCCGGAATGGTGGTGGAGTTGGTAGCGAATCCCATGGAGATGATGATTGCCTCTTCCATACCGACGAACTTGGCAACGAGCTTCTCAGCCTGCGCATGCAGGTCCAAGGAACCCGCCCCGAGCCTGGAACCGAAAGATGAAACGCCATACCGCCTGATGCTCTCCTCGACCGCATCTGCACACCCTCCGTGCGACTGAGCAAAGCCCAAGTAGTTGTAGGCAGAGATGTTGAGCGCTCGCGTCTTGTCTCCAGTAAGACGGAAAGAGGCGTTGAAGTCGTCACTGGTACGATCAAGACAAAGCACTGTCCGTCCACAGACGCCGGTGACAGGTCGAGAAAAACAGTCGTCGAGACGAGTCTTGAGACGCCTCGTGTAGAAGGAGTCGAAGTCTGAGTTGAGGGCGGCATAACCCTTTGTCTCGACGAGATGGCTGTAGGCTCTCGGGAAAACGCGCTTGCCGACATAGTCTCGCAAATGACCAATGACAATCAGAATGAGGTAGGAGATATAAGTAGTCAGAACGACCCAGTAGGAGGGTTCTTCCTCGTCTGGGTTGGGGAGCGGAGCCCCAGGAGGATGCTGTGATGTGTAGCGATATGCCGCGCTAGCGCAATAGCCGAACTCGGAGTGAAGCAGTGATGTGCCATCTGCTGACGAGTCGTGCGAGTTGGGGGCAGAGGAGCCCTCGTTGCCTGGCAGAGTAGCAATCTGAGCCTGCGCGGCTGCTGCCATTGCAAGTGCCTTCTCTACTGCTGATGTTGCGTCTGTCTGGCCATTCATGGCGGTCACCTGATGACGAAGCATGTTCCGTTGGTGGTACGACGACCGTACGCTCTCCAAGGAGTCTACGCTTGCACTCGAGCCTGTGGTCAGGCTCGGAACTTGGGAGTCTGCCTCATCTGGACTTGAGTCCGTCTCTACGCTGCTCCCTCTGTTCCAGTGATGACCGTTGACATTGCCATTGGCATTTGTGGCGGCATGATGACCATTGCGGCCCTGTAGAGGGTCGATGTCGCTGAAAGGGACATTGCCGTCCTCGTCATACTCGACGGCCGTGACGCCCGAGGAGGAGACGCCAACGGTAGGGAGCCCCTTCTTGAGGTAAGTGGTCATGCTGACTGGCGAGGAAGGGCCACCTCCACCGTTGGTATAGGTCTGTGAGCTATCGCCCGACGAGGTAGACGCTCTTGGGGCGGAAGACTTCCTAGTCTGTGCCGGCATATGAATCTATAGAGGGCAGTAATGCCGATGATTGAGTCCGATCAGGTATGCGGATCAGCGTCGTCGTCGCCAGATGAGCTAGAGGACGTTGATGATGGTGTGAACAGGGGCGAGAGCTTTGGTGGGCCCCAGGTGTAATTGGCAGCTGAAGCGAAGTGTTGTGTGAGCAAGTACGCGGGAAGCGAGAGCAACCCTGCAGGCGGACAGCCCCTGTAGTGCGCGCAAGGTGAGAAGCACAGTCTCTGCCAAGGGTGGCTTGCTGTTGAGATCCTGGGTCTAGTAGGTGTCGCGATGGCAGAAACGAGGGAGATGACAGGAGCAGAGGGAAATGGAGGCGTGGCGAGGACAAGGAGGTGTAGGAAGATGATGGGGGGGGGGAGGGTGTCAAAGGCGAGGCTGAGGCTGAGCCTGTTCACCAACGACGTCTGCCTGGCTGCCGCCTGCTTGAGTGTGAGCGCTTGCATTTCTCGCCTACAAAACATCGCGACAGCTCAGGGCGACGGGCGGCTGCCCCCTGCCGCCTGGCCCGCATGCCCGCCTCTCGGAATGACAAAGCCGACGACCCGACGCGCGCTGTCGGAACGCACATCACAGGAGCCGTTCCGATCCACTCATTCTCCACGAGGCGGCTTCCCCGCACTGCCCGCCACCGATAGTCAAGCGAGCCGATCTGGTCCTCATCACCGACCGCTACCACCACAGATTGAGCATTCGGATCTCTCACTAGTACCCCCCTTGCGATGGTGCTTGCTCATAGCAAACACCATCTCATCAAGGGGCTGCTGAAGACCCAGCCCCTGAGCCACGCTACTCAGGGGACTGGTCGAGCAGCAGCCCGCGCTCACCTCAATGCACGCCACCAGCAATGCTCCGAATCTTTGGCCAAGGGTTCCTCTGAGGGCTGCTCTTCTACGAGTGCCTCGATCCAGGCTTTCCGAAATGCTGCCGCTAAGTGGGCATCTATGCGACCTATCGCGCCAACGCCTAACCCTGCAACACCGGCTGCTCATCTCTTGGCAGCAGCACGTCTCGCAAGGCCCTTCCTCGCGCTGCTACGCTCCATCGACTTCAAACCCATCGTCCGAGGAGCACTAGGTTCCCTCAAGGGAACCTCCCCGGCCTACCAGGATCTGTCCCACTCGTTCCGTGCAGCACAGCGTGCTGCTTGCCAGGCCTTTCCGCGACGAGCACCCACTACTCCTCAGTATGCGTTTGCTCTCCGCCGACCACAGCTACCCGCCAGCACGTTCCATGCCAATGGACTGCAGACGGCTCGTAACTTCTCCTCTGGCGGGCCGACGCTGGCTCAAGTCATCACAAATGCTCCTCTAGCTTTGCGAGCTGCCGGTGACGAGCTTAGCGACGAGTCCAAGAAGTCTAGGAGGGCCCCATCAGCTGTGACTGCGACCAAGGCTCGCTCCATGGGCCCACGCAGGTCTGGAGCCTTCGGCGAGCAGCAGAGACAGAAGTTCGCCTTCAGGCTCGCTGAGACTCGTAACACACCTGACTCCGCACAGAAGGCAGCTCGAGTACCTCGCACGGCCGCCGCTGGTCCTTCCGTCCAGGTGCCTGAGCGACAGCAAGAGCAAGACTTTGACTTCTACTTCCCTGAGGCTCCCGCCCCCGAGCCCCTCTGCGAGTCGGAGAAGATCATCACGACGATCGTCGTACCCGTTGACCCGGACATTGCCGGCTTGATTCAGGGGCCTCATCCAGCAACCCCCGAGGGGTCCCCTAGTCTGCTGGGTGACGGTCTCTGGGATGATGTACAGCGACGTACAGACGCCTATCAGAAGCATCGTCTCCGCCTGGTCTCCGTTTTCCGCCTATTGGACGAGCTGATGGGTGTACCACCCTATCTGCGAGATCGCCAGCGCTCCTTCCACGCGACGTGCAGTGCCGTTAGGGAGGAGGATCTCGAGTACATGCCCGAGACGGTCCACAATGTCGGATACAAGTACCGGTTGAAGGGCTACACTGCCAACGAGGTCAGAGAGGCACTCATTGATAGGCTTGGGGTCGAGACTGGAGCTTGGTTCGCCCAGCTTATCCGGGAGGAACGATTGCAGAGCGTAGCACCACCAGTCGTCGCCTCGGTCGAAATGGAGCACAGTGCTCGTTCAGCTCAAGAGGATGGCGCGACTATGGCATCGCCCTCGATCAACGAGTCGTGGGAAGATGATACGCAGTCCCTCCCATCTCTGCCCGAAAGCGCCGTCTCGATGTCGATTTCGAGCTGGGATGGAATGCTCTACAGCCCTCCTTCCTTGCGTCTCTCGTCCGCTTTCGAGTCGCAATTGCAGCACCCACATGAAGATGAGGAAGACAGCCTGTACTTGCAGGACAGTCGAGTAGGATGGTAAATTTAAGTTGCGCAATTCCTCGGGTCTTCTGCTTTCGCTTCTGCTCCCCATGTGCTCATTAGCCGTCTTCTCTGAGGAGAATTGAATGACCCATTGTTTCGTGATCAGAACAACTTACAGTCCGACCAGATCCAATACCACCTCCCGCGCTTTTACCTCCACCGCACAATCCTTGAGCCACTGTAGGAACTCCTTGCTCGCTTCTTTCGTACCGCTCTTCTCTCCGTCACTCTGCACCAGCCTCACTATCCGACCACGCGTTCTCTCCTTCGTCCATTCCATCAGCTGCTCCTCCTCGCCATGATGTAGAGCGCACACAGGGATGGAGAAGGAGAGGACGTTGCGCTCCCCTAGCCCTTCTCTATTTCCGGCAGGGACGAGAGACAGAGTGAAGAGCATCAGCGGCTCGCCAGAGAGATTATTGCGTCCGTCCCTGTCCGCTTGTGCCCCGTCCGCATCTTGCTCTGACCCACCCAGGAGGGAGTATACCCCTCCGTACTCGAGGAGCAGACCTGCCAGAGATACACCCTCGAGGGTTCGGCGCCGCTGTGTCTTCTCCTCCTGCTGCCCCTCTGGGCCTTCCAGGTAAATGAGCTCTTCGCCCTTGTCAAGGTGTTGCAGAAGCTCGTCGAGGCTTCTGGTGAGATGCGAAGGTGAACGCGTCAGACGCGTGCCGGCGCGTACAGTGGAGCGGGCGTCGAGCCATATGACAGGGGATGCCTCGTCTAGCGCTCCTCCTCTTGCGGTCACAAGGTCAGCGCTGAGCTCTCCGACTAGTGCAGGGTGAACCAGGTAGAGCTGCTCTGAAGGGACGTGCTGCACTAGTATCCAGCTCCTGCCCTCTGCGGTAGGCGCATTGGGGAAGAAGCGCTCCAGTACGGCACTCAGGGCCTCTATGCTGGCGGCTGTGGGGAGAAAGGCATCGATCAGACATGCCACCCTGTCCACACCAAGCGGCAATAGTTGAGCAGGACATCAGGTCAGCTCAGCTCGATCGGACAGGACTAGCCGCATGAGTGGAGCGGCAGAAGGCTCACCTCACTCCAAAGTGCACCAGCGCTAGATCCAGTGCAAGCTGCTCTGCCTTTGCCGCCGTCAAGCGTACTCTACATCCTCTGCCCCGCAGCTCTCTGCTCAGCTCTTGCGCGAGGGAAGTGAGCAAGCCAGGCAGAGTGGCTTCTGTAGAGGATGGCATGCATTGAGCGCCAGACCGATCTGGGGAACACGGGCAGCTTGAGACTTGACGTGCTTGTTGGGAAGGGAGAGAAGGAAGGGAAGGAGGACGCGGGGAGAGCAGACGCGTGAGGAAATACGGTGTGAAGCGAAAGGATTGCAGCACTATCTGAGCGAACATGTCTTGCGTCTGCCAACATGCGCTCAGCAGTGCAATTGATGATAAAGGAGGCTTGGTGGGGTGTTTTGACTATATTACAAATGATAGCAGTGGTGTGGTAGAGGCAGATGGTGCTCTTTTGGGTTGAGTGATGTCTGGTGCTGGGGGCTCTATGATGATCGGTCGAGCAGCTTGATGAAGGACTCGCTGGGTATGCTAACTCTGCCTACATTCAACTCCCTCATACGCTTCCTCCCCTCTCTGCGACGAGTCAAATGCAAGGCGCTTTGATCAGTATACAGCTCTCTTCGCTGACCTCAATTGTACCTGCGCTGACTCACTTTTGGTTCTTGAGCTTCTTGTCCTTCCTCCTCTGGTCTCCTCCGTACATGCCGGCAGTCACGTCCTTCCTGTACGCGCTGACCGTCTCCCTCGCAACGACTTTCCCGCCCACAAAGGCCTGCACAGCCACTTCAAAGTACTGACGTGGCACCACATCTTTCAGCTTCTTTGCCCAGATGCGGCCTTCTGCTGTGGCTTTTGAACGGTGCAAGATCATCGAGAGGGCGTCGATTGGTGTTCCAGAGAGTTGGAATGATAGCTGTGAAGGGGAGTGGCGCTTAGGGTCAGCGCGGGAAGCCCGATGATTCACCGCAATGGGATCGTGTGACTTACTTTGACGAGGTCGCTACTCTGATACTCCTCTCCCTCTGCAATCTCATACTCGAACCCAGCATATCCACTTGACCGCGACTTGAGCTTCGGAAAGAAGTCTGTGACGATCTCCGCCATCGGCAGCCGATACTTTAACTCTACCTGTCTCTTCTGTCCAGTCATCTCGCTGAAGTTGACGTCGAGTTCTTCGCCTCGATGTTCACTGCAGAGCTGCATCATCTCTCCTGTGTATTCTTCGGGGCAGGTGAGCCTGCCATGCACTACAGGCTCCTCGAGCAAGAGAGCTTTGTTCGCCCGATCACCGTCCGAGGGGAAGTCAATAGGACTCGAGATTATGGAAACTTTTCCATTCGGCCGCGTGAGTCTATAAGGTACGGTAGGCGCAGTGACAAGAATCTCCTGCCCGTACTCTTCGCTCAGCCGGCTGCGAAAGATCTCTGCATGCAGGGTGCCTAAGAAGCCCAGGCGACAGCCTTGCCCCAGAGCCATGCTCGATTCTCGCTGCACGGTAATGGAACGGTCATTGAGAGCCAGACGATTGATGGCTTCTTCGAGCTTGACGAAGTCTGTCGTCTCCACAGGATAGGCAGAGGCATAGACCATCGGCACAGAAGGTCGAAAACCTTCTAGAGGCTCAATCTTGTCGTTGGCCAGATGCATTGTGTCTCCGATGGTGGCTTCCCTCATGTCCTTCATATTGCTGTGACGACGAAAAGAGCAGCTTGACGTCAGCAAACACCTCGCCTTTGCGATGCGACACAGTCTCCCTTGACTTACCAGATGACCCAACCGACTTGACCCTTCCTCAGGATTCCAGTAGATTTGGCATCTGGGTAGTTGACTCCAATATCGAGCACCTCGTACTTTTTGCCCGAATGAGCAGAGACGATGGAGTTGCCCTTCTTCATGGCTCCGTCTTTGATGGACACCAGAGCTACAACACCCTTGAAGGAGTCATACCAGCTGTCAAAGACAAGAGCTCTGAGCCCCTTCCCATCCCTGTCCTCCACCTTTCCGTCTTCTGTGCCTGGCATTGCTGCCGTCCGCTCCACGATCGCCTTCAATACGTCCTCCACGCCCAAGCCAGTCTTGGCGCTGATCATGAGGGGTCGGTGTACCGGGTCAGCGGTATCGATGCCCAGCTCCTCCAGCTGGACAAGGCATCGGTCCACATCCGAGGCCGGTAGATCGACCTTGTTCAGAATTGGTAGGAGGGGAAGGCCGAGCGCCTTTGCCACTCTGAAGTTGGCAATTGTCTGAGCTTGTATACCTTGACTTGCATCGATGACTAACAGTGCTGATTGGCAGGCTGCCAAGCTGCGAGACACCTCGTAGGCAAAATCTACATGGCCTGGAGTGTCGATGAGGTTGAGAAGGTAGCGCTTCTTACCCACGCTGCCATCTGCGTTCGGGGTCTCGTAATCGTACGTCATGCTGACTGCCTGACTCTTGACTGTAATACCCCTCTCCCTCTCTACCTTGAGCCGATCGAGTACCTGCCGATTGGCGCCACTCTTTGGAATCGTCCCGGTGAGCTCAAGCAGCCGGTCCGCAAGAGTGGACTTTCCATGGTCCACGTGAGCGATGATGGAGAACGTTCGGGGCTCTAGCGAGTCGAATGACAATGGGTTGGCAGGCTGGAGTTCTGCGAGGGTAGGGCCGGAGCTGACAGCCCTATTGGCCGTTGAGGACAAGGAGCGCGACAGGCAGGGCAGGACTAGGCGGTATTGTGCGGCCTGCGCTTGGGCCGGGGTGAGCCGGCAGCAGGTGCTGCGCAATGGCGCCAGGAGTGACCATGCTGATTGCTGCTGGGAGCGGATCGTCGGCGATCGTATCAGTGATGGTACTGAGGGCTTGACCATCGGCAATGCTACTTTATTGGAACGAGGAACAGGCAGGCGGCCAAGATGGAAGACAAAGCACGCGAAGAAGCACATCGCGGAAAGGAGAAATGTCGGTGTCACCTGCAGCCGAGCTCCGCGACCTGCCTGGACGGACCCTCGCTAGTCTGTCTACCTTCGTTGGCTCTCCTGTCATCAAGACTGTCTCCATAAGTACGCCCTCGCTATGCTCTCGGCAGCAGACTAAAGGCTACATTGACGCCCGGCGACGTGTCTGCCCCGGACCCAAGGCAAACATCTGCTTGTCATTCGGGGCTGAAGAGCGAGTGCTGCAGCCTGCCACTCGCATTGCGCCTCTTCTTCCTTCCCTTGTTCGATTTCGCCGTTTTGTCGCTTTGACCTCCATCGCTCCATCAAGATCCTCATCCCATAGCTGGGCGCCACCATCGCCCCGCCTTGTTGATGGAGAGACAGGACCCCCTTCTCCCGGTTTCAAGGACCCTCTGAGCCGTCGGCTGGATAGCCCATGGTGCCGGTCTATTTATGGTGCCGGTCGATGACGCCCAGGCTGCGAGGCAAGTCGGGCCGCCGCCCGGAGCCCTTTGATGACTTGGCCCCGGAGTCTGTGCGATTGGCATTGTTGTGCCTTTCACGGTAGTAGAGGAGATCAAAGGGCAAAGGACGTACGCCGGCACATCATTGTAGGGTCGCACAAGGTCCCCATTCCATTCTGCCTCTGCAAAGGCCGCTGTGTAAGCCAATCAATACCCGCCGCCTGGGCGACTGCTCTCCGGGGTGCCATTGGGCTGGGTCAAATCCCACGTTGTCATGCTCCTGCCTCGCCACCGACAAGCCATCGATTTGTTACCACCGCCTTCGATCCCGATCCTTGCCACCATATCCATTGCCATTCATATCTTAGACCTCAACACAATCTCGGTACAGCCTCACTCTCTACACCGCGCAAGCCTAACCACAACCGTGGCACACTCAGAAGAGAAAGTGAGTTTTCATTTTTGCTGGATCACTCAGCATCGGGATCTGCAAATATGCACAGGGACGCTTGAACCGCTTCGACTTGGTCGCCTCGGCTGGCTCACCTCTTGCGAGGTGAGCCGCCTGGCTGCCGATGTGCCCGTCGCAGCAGAAGGGATCAGAATGCGTCTTGGACGCAGCAACGGAGACCAGCGTCTGGGCGTCACTCGCCAAGCTCACACGCAATGACGCGCTGAGCCCCTTCGACTCGTAGCGTGACTTTCGTGTCGCTCTCAGATGCGGAAGGCTGATGACGGATGTCAGGTGCGGCCTGTTCACAAGTAGCCGCACGTTGCCTGTCGGCCTGACTCTGCCTTCCTCCAGTGCTAGTCTTTGCCAGCCTCATGCGCCGTATGTCTCCACTTTGACTGACACATGCACTCCTGCTTTCTGCTCATCTGGGACCACCACAGCACCAACCGCTGCTACTGTACCGCTGCGACAGAGGGTTCAACAGAGTACGTCTCTTCTACACGAGATTGTCCATATACCGCAGATTCCCGCTCGGATACCCTGCATAGGCGATCGAGCCCCTCTGGTCGATCCTGACCTCATCACGCCCATTGACGACCACCAACGAAATTTAACGCTCAGCAACGACCATTGACCATCTTCAGACCGGTCCTCTTCTGCCCCTGACTACCGGATCACGCCCCTTGCCCCTCTCGTGTCACAAGTTTTGACAGCCTCAAACGCCCTCAGCCCCATCATACCATTCTCCGTCCTTCCAGGCACTGTGAGACTCTGCACTCGACAGCGGACACCACCATTTCCGTACTCGCTTGCAGTTCGGCTGCTTCTCAGGGGTTCTCGTCCCACAAATCGGTATTGCGCACGCCCCTCTACATCAAGCCACTTTGACCTCACTCGCTCAGCTCTCTGTCACGCAGCTGGGTCCTCTCTCCTTCTGACTACGTGAGCGTGACGGAGTATTCGATCCCCATTCAAGGTCCGACCTCGTCAGCGAAGCTTTTCTGGGTCGCCATCTAGTCCGCACAGCATACATAGGTCTTTGATTGCCTCAAGATGAAGGATTCTTTCACTCTGTACCCCTACTCCCCTTCCCCGATCTTTTTTGCGGCCCACCCTTCATCAAGCAGTCCTCCAAGCACGGCCTCTTCGTCTGGCTACGAACTCGAAGTTCTCGATAGTGACTGGAACCGCTTTGAGGAGAGCAAGCTCAATATGCAGAAGGACACTGCCTCATCTACTCTCGTCTCGACGGAAACCTCTGCCTCTCATTTCGGCGCTTCTGATCATAGTGACGTCAAACATATCTCTTTCGCACAATATCCGACTTCATCAGAGGACCAGAGCCAGGACCTAGGAGGCAAGGACAGAACGATGGACTATGTAACGGAGTCCCACGCGCGAACTCACAGCAGCGACCTGTTCTCGCAAGAGTCATCGTTCGCCCGCTCAGTGTCCTCTAGGGCAGCCTCCGAGTGCGACGATATGCTGACTGGACCGACGGAGTGGCAGTCGCTTAGAGGCAGCAGTCTAGACCAAAGTCTACCCGGAGGCAGCATCAAACAAGAAGCAAGCAGGAGTCAAACGCACCTCAGCCATCTGTACGCAGGTCTCTCGGAAGCGTTCTCGCAGCAGCACCTGGCAGAGAGTGTTGGCCCTCACGTTGCACAAGTCTCGCACTCCATGCCGGATCGGATGGGCCAGCATGCATGGCAAGCACAGCCACCGTTTGCGATCCATCCAGAACACTACCAACGACGCGATAGCGAATGCTCCGGCTTTTCATCGAATTTCAATTTCGAAGAATTCATTTCGGAACGCGATCAGGCCGCTGAAAGAGCAGCTGCCTCGGACTACATTGGTCTCAGTGGCCAATACGTCGATGTTGCTACACCATTGGACGCCAATCCCTTCTTCTTTCAACAAATTCAGGACCAGCAACAAGGCTACACGAATCCACCTTCGAATGTCTTCCCTGCGTCATCAAGCTCTTCTGTGACCTCTCACCACAGTCTGGCCTATCACAGTGACTCGAACCTTCTCCGCCCCTCTTCAGCCTCTCACGTCAGCTCGGCGTCCTCTGTGGCAGCGTCCTCGCCCAGGATGATAGACTCGTCGCTCCGACGTGATGGCGAATGTCACGTGTCATCGCCAGCATCGTCGCAAGGGTCTTGCACGGGAGGCAGCTTTCATCGCTCGTCAGGGCTAGTGCGCAGTCAAAGTCTTCGTGCCTATACGCAAGCCGCCCAGGTCTCCCATCCGCATGCATATCATCCCTCCCTCCAGATCGTCTCACCCTCGAGTGCACATTTCGGGTCAAGTGCTGCATTCGACCTGAACCCCATAGGGCCAAACCATCCCTTTGTGCACCCTACTTTGAGACGCTTGGCAAGGCCTGCGGGCTCTGTGCGAAGCAGCTCCACATCCGACCTCCACGAGAGCTTGTCTTGCAATCCTCAATTCATCACTCCGCCATATTCGGCATCCGGCAGCAGCCACTACGAGGTGCATTCGACGGTGTCATCGCCTGGCACTTTCCAATTGGGCACTCAGAGCCTCTTCAGCTTCTACGACAATTTGGAAAGTCCAAGCTCATCGACGGTGTCTTCACCTCAACAGTGGCATTCTGCTCTAGCCAGCGACGACGGCCATTCATCGTGTGGTGGCACGGTCGCAGAGGAGGAGGAAACATATCGACAGCCCCCATATACATCCGTCGCCGCCTCGCCACTTCAGCTCTCCGGATCGCTACCCACTCGACCTTCGATGCTTCGTCCCTCCAGCTGGGCACCAGCCATGAACACGTCTTCGCCGTCGTCATCCTCGCCATCACTGGCAGGCCAGCCAATGCGCTCTACTCGCTCCTCGGCCGGAGGATCGGCTGCTGCCTCATCACCGTACAGCCTGGGGTCGGCCTTCAATCACTCCTCTCCTGGAGCGCCGCAGAACACACAACGTCTCTCCGACCCCTATTCGGGCGTGATCACTAAGCGCTCCCGCGGTCGTCGCGTCCCTTCGACACCCGAAGAGATGACCAACGTGGACAAGTCGGGCAAGGTGTACACCTGCAAAGTGCCTGGATGCGGCAAGCTCTTCAAGCGCAGCGAGCACCTCAAGAGGCATATCAGGAGTATACATACTGACGAGAAGCCTTTCACGTGCAAGTTGTGTTGCAAGAAGTTTAGCAGGCACGACAATCTGAATCAGCACATGCGTGTTCACGGTGAGAGCGGCATGGCTGGTGGTGATGACGATGATGACGAGGACGACGAAGAGGAGGAAGGACAATGCTCTCGCTCCGGGTCTAGCTCCAGATCGCCTCCTTCTCACGCTGAGACCCGCGGCGGCACCGTCGTCTCTCGACGCTCCAGACCTCGAGGCAAGACCACTCGGGGGCGCGGCTCTGGCGAGGATGACGTCTTCTCCTTCGAGGACGATGAGAAGAAGCCCTTCTAGCAAGCATCTCGACGGCCGCGACAACGCCTTCATCATGCGCCTTCTTCTTCGACTTCGTCTCCTTGCTCCACAGTGTCCTCTTTAACGACAATCCCAACGACGACCGACTTAACAATTCCTCCAACATCTTTCATCTCAGATACCCTTCATCACTCTATACCTCACATCACTCTATACCTCGGTCCCGCCTCTGACCCGCTCCAATCTAAGTCTTTCATACTACTCCAGTCAACTTTTGTGTCTATTCCCAGCTCTAGTGAGCCAGCACTGGTGCCCTCTCCCTCTCCCTCTAGTCACACTTTCCTTGCCTTTCTCTTTCTCAACTCATCTGATCTCATCCTACATTGGCTTAACTTCCTGTCTTGCCCCCCATGCCTCTCTCTTTCTTTACTGCCGACTCCTTAATCTCTTCTAATCCAATCTCATTCTCCTCTGAAACGCCTCTACTCGTCTCACGTGTAAGTGTGCTTGTGCTGCCTGTGAAGAAGCATCGACGAGGATGGATTCGCTCAGCTCACATCAGATCAAGTCAAACCTCACACAAAGGGCTGAACGATGGATAGCTAGAGAGTAGGGAGTGACTCTCTGCTCCCGTTCGCTCAAACTCCTCACTCTAGAAATCGACAATGTCAAAAGACGTACGTATGTATCGAGAAAGACAAGAAGAAGAAGACGACGAAAAGACGTGAAAAGGCCCCGTCCGACCGACCAGAACAAAAACAGGGGTAATGACAGGTGTGGGTAAGAGCCTTGCCGAGTGGTAGTACTCGTTGCTCGTGAGGCTCGCATCGGGGCGTGGGTATATAGATCGAAAAGAGCGAAGTGGGAGGAGATTCGTAGAGCTGAGAGGCGTGGGGACGAGCGGCCAAAGAAGGACCAAAAGAACAAAGGAAAGTAGCTGGTATGAGGAGAGACTTCGGCTTTCGCACGCCGATCCTCCTCAGGATGGCAAAGAAGCGCCAGCGCCTCTCTTTTCCCCTTCTCCCTCCCTACACCTCTCCACTTAAAGCCTGTGCCCAGGCACAAAGATAAACAGCACGCATAGCGCTGCTGCGATGATTGTCGTTACGAACATCATTCCTAGTGCCCTTTGGAAGAGGAGTTGCTTGACGTAGGGCTCCCTTACTGTGATGAGCTTAAAGGGCGTGGTTTCGGACCTGCTGGCGAGGACTAGCAAGGGGTCCAGCTCGTATTGGTGCGAGAGGACGAGGGTGATGGCGATGGAGAAGGGAAGGATCACCTGATTGGAGGGAGGCGGGGAGAGGGCCAAGAGTCAGGAAAGAGGCGTTGCATCACGTACCAATACTACTGCTCTACTTACCCAGCATCGTGTCAGACGAGCGACGTCCAGAAAGATGAAGCTGAAGCCCGTGGCTAGGGCGGCCCAGAGAGCGAGGAGACCCAAACTCAGTCGCACAAGAGCAGAAATAGGCGTGAGATTGCCAAAAGCCTTGGCTCGGAGGAAGCGAGGGAAGACATCGGCCTCCATTGTGCGGAAGACGTACCTATGGGATGGAGGGCAGTAGCTGCGCGTCAGCATCGTCGCCTTACCCTTTCACGTACCCCGTTGTCGGTCTACTACTCACTCCTTCTGCGGGTGGAACATATCTGGTACACGCGCCAGAGCTCTCATCTGTTCCGAGTCGAGGTCGTCCAAATCCTGATCAGCACCGATTGGGAAGCTGACAATTCTGAGCTGAGGGGGCAGGTAGATCTCCTTTTCGCTGCCTGGCAGCAGATAGCGTGCATAGATTCTCTCTGCTGAGGCTACAAGATCGGTCTTGGTAATGGCAGAGGACCGAGCAATGACAGTTGGGGCCAGAGAAGCTCTCTTGGCAAGATTTGCTCGCCTCTGCGAGTTTGATCGTTCGCTGAGTCCTAGAGGGTAATCGGGGTCCCCCGGGAAACGAGGTCCCCCAGTCGCTTGTGTCCAGCCTGCCTCAGATGTCGACTCCGTCATAGCTTGGGATGGCTCTGTTCTATTTCGTAGATACTGTCCAGTGCTGGTCGGGTCGCCACTGACGGTAGGATCGTAGTCGTCCAGCAGATCCTCGGTCCCATCTTCGGTTCGGGCATTTCGTCCAAGATGGCCGCTCCTGGTCATATCATCGCCCACACTAGTGAACTCGAAGCCCGTCTCGCTCTCCGTATGACCGTGAGTGCGAGTCACACCGTCGCTACCGTAGTCGTCATAGTCCTCGTCGTCGAGCCCGTTGACTCGGTTGTAGATGCTACCACGCGACCTTGCCTGCCTCCAATACTCTGGCCACTCCTCCTTCAATGCTCGACCGCTGCGTCGGAGATCCTTGAAGTAGGCTCGGCAGAGATTCTCGTGCTGTTGGACATCGAGCCAGAAGTCGAGGGAGTCCTCAGATCCTTCTCGCTGCAAGAAAAGATAGTAGCAGTAGAGGTCTACAGGAGGCAGGGTTCTGCGAGCAAGGACCTCTGCCAAGGTGGGCAGACGACGACGCGTTGGGCCTGTGATGGATGCGAGTCCTGTGGAGCGTCGTTGAGAGGCTCCCTTTTCGTCTGACATGATGTTGCTTTCGTGGGTATAGCAGATGGACTATGTATCGAAAGGAGAGGCGGACAAGAGGGAGTGAAGTAGTCTGTGCTGACAAGCAGAGACTCTGCCTTGGCGTAGCGCGACTGGGCGCGTTCCCTACACGCTTCCTGTCCTGGGGTATCTAAGCGCGGTAGTTGAGAGAGGAGGCTGCCTCAGTCTGACAAGAGGGATGGGAGGAAGAGGAGGATGGTGATGGTGTGAGGCTCGTAGGCAAGGGACCAAGGCAAACAGGGGCAAAGTCGTGTATTTGGCTTCCAGGCGCATTCAAACTCCGCAAAAGGCACACACCAACAAGGCACACGGCGAGCGAGGAGCGGTAGCCCAAGTCAAGGATCTCACCGCTACTGTGTACACACACTCATGGCCGTCTCGAGTCGTCTTGGACGAGGGCAACAGGTAATCGTACGTCTGCAAATGAGCGCGGACGCGGATGGTGAGATGCAAATGCGATGGTGGTGGTGATTGATGTTGCTTCTACACTTGGATCTTGACAGTGCTCCGGATGAATGTCTCTACCGCCCGCTCCTCCTCTCCATATGACCAAATATCCCTCTCATACCCTGCCTTCTGTACCTCCTACATATTGACGATCCGAACCTCCCTCTGAATGCAGAGCTGCATTGTCTGTAGTTGGCATCCTTCCCACCGTCCTCCTTCCCGGCGAAGCAGAAGAGCTCACTCCCCCTGCGCTACCGAACTGCTTCGATGTCTCTCCTTGAGCACCCTGTGCTGAAGAGCTTCCACTGTCCACTGCTGGTCTCGTTGCAGCCGAAAAGGACGTGCTCTCCAGTGCTACGGAACCGCTCTTTTGCACTCTGTCAGCCATTGAGGCCAACACCGATGCGCCTTCATTCGCTTCTGCCCGGATTGCGCTTGCTAGCTCGCTCCTAGTCGCCTCGTCTAGTGTTTCAATGTTTGGCAAGACGTTGGCATGGAAGAAAGATCGAGCTACGGCAGCACCCTGTAGAAGTGAAGAGTCCTAGAGGTCAGGTGGTGCCACACGCTGACGTCCCACTGCGCTATCCCGCTCAATGGATTTACTCACATGTTGATGATAGATGGCTCCCACCAGAGCTTCCACTGTCACTCCGCGAATCTTGAACAACCCCGTCTCTACTGGTCCCCGCTGACCATCGAGCACAGCAGGCGTCCAGCGCATAACCTGCTCCAGCTGCAGCGTCCTCCCGACCTTGTCTCCCAGCCTGCTCGTCTTGAGCACATCAGCCAGAGCGTCAGGCGAGCCCAGGAGGGCAGCGGCCTTTTGGGAGGTATGTGCCCTCGAGTGCAAAAAGATTGTCAAGAACATTTGTAATGCTCTTCGCCCAATGAAGCCTAGCCTCCTATTGTGCCCGTCTGTAGTAAGTCCATGATTCCAGCTCTCGTGCGTTGCAGCCTGCAGGATGACATTATCTGGCAGGTCAACACCGGGAAAGCGCTCTTGAAACCATGCCTGGAGCTCTTCGGTAGTCTTTTTCGGTGTGAGTGAGGGAGCCTCCTCTGCTTGCCCTCTGTATTGGGGTGGTGCGGAAGAGCGCGGGGAGGCTGAGAATGAACGCCGGGGAGAAGCTGCTGCGAATGCTGAAAGGTGCGGGGCTGATGAAGAGGAGAGCGTACCGCTACTGAAGCCGTAAAAGGCAGCGGATGATGATGGCCTCAGCCTGGAAGCCTCACCTGCGTGACGCCGAGGAACGCCAGCAGCATTGCGTAGCAGGCCCGCCAGTTGACGAGATGTCGATGCCACGGCAGAGGGCGAAGAAGCGGCGCGTGGTGCCATGACTTGCCAAATCTGTGAGCTGTGCTGCTTGATCAACTCGGGATCGAGGCAAAGACGAGGCGATCCTGCGACTACTGACTGTGCTTGATATGTCTAGGATGGGCGGCGGGTGAGGTGAAGGATACAGTCGTCTGATCGGTCAGCCTCCTTTCTTCTCGGTGGACGACCTTCTTTCCCTTTGGCTGCTCGCGCGGCAGAAAAATTGCGCTCCCGCCATGCGCCGCTCCTGCCTGGCCCTGCGTCCTGCTCGCTCCCCCGCCTACCACACAGTCTCGTACTGAGCTTGTTCCATCCTTCCTGCCGGATCTTCACCATACATTCTCCCTCCCATCGCTACATCACACATCCACCATGTCTCCCTCGGTAGATGTTGCGTGAGTTCCGAGCTCCTGCCCACAGTCGCGGTGGCGACGCAACCACACCCCCCGAGAAGGTACTCTTGTCGCTGACCAGCGCGCTCGTTGCTCTCTTCCCTCTGCAGCACCTCTTCCGGCCCTCAGCCACCACGCTCGTCCATGAACTGGGCCGATGATGTCGAAGACGATGGTGAGTGCAAGGGATCATGGCGGCTCTTTCGGACCCCCGTGGGATAGCGTATCATTGCTACTGAACTTTTGCTGACCGCCACGCTTGCTGCATTGCTTCGCCCCTCACAGTATCGCCTGATGTTCCCAAGGTGGAAGAGAAGGACGAAGGCAATGGAGTAAAGGTCATCGTAGAGTACAGAACTAACCCTGAGGGAAAGAGGGTCAAGGTAAGTGCCGCAAATTCGTTCGGTCTTCGGGCATGAAGGGACCAGAGATGCTGATGTGCTTCATCACGTTGCCTCACCTCTTCACGCCTCTCCAGATCACAAGGAGAATTCGCAGGACATTGATCAAGACGACTGTGAACGAGGCTGAGGCTGAGAGAAAGACATGGACCAAGTTTGGAGCCGAGAAGAACAGGCCAAGCGGTCCTCACAGCTCCACTACTACCATTGGAGAGAATGTGCAACTGAAGCTGAGTGCCGGCAACAAGAAGGTGAGTTAGGGGGAGATTTCAGGGCAAGACGTCAGCAGTGAGGAGCTGTAGAGCTGACATGCATCTTCCCAATTCTTTCATCGACAGGCCGAGCCGGAGCCAGATGCTATGGACTCGATGCGTGCTCAGCTCGCCAACAAGAAAATCGTCTGTCGTCTGTGCAAGGGTGACCATTTCACAACCAAGTGTCCCTACAAGGACACCCTCGAAGCCATCCCAGGAGCTGCAGACACACCGGAGGGCGAGGGCTCTCTTACCCCAGCAGCCGCCGACCCATCGAACCCAGCCGTCGCAGCATCAGCCGCCGCTGGAGGTGCTGGAGGCAAATATGTTCCGCCCTCGATGCGTGGTGGTGGCAACCGCACTGGAGAACGAATGGGCGGACCCGGCCTTAACCGCGATGATCTACCCACTCTGCGAGTCACCAATCTGTCAGAAGACGCAGACGACGACGACCTGCGCGAGCTGTTCAGCCGCTTCGGCAGGGTGGTGCGAGTGTACGTGGGCAGGGACCGTGAGACGGGCATCTGCAAGGGTTACGCCTTTGTCAGCTTCGAGAGTCGCGAGGATGCTGATCGGGCCAGGCAAAGGGTGGATGGCAAGGGTTATGACAATCTCATCCTGAGCGTAGGATGGAGTGTGCCCCGAGGAGAGAGGCCGGGTGGAGCTTAGACGAGGTTGGTGCTGCTGTGTCCCATGTGAATCCGGGTTTTGTATACTACACTCCTGATGTCACAAATCTAGCATTGGCATATCGATCATTGTATGCTTGTTCATATGATGTGTACAGCTTGAAGAAGTGTCTTGACCAGATCGCGTGCTCCCTGCTATCTCGCATGGATCGAGGGCAATGGCGGGTAGCGTGATAGGGGCAGTAGCACGCAGGCGGGCCGCTCGCTGGGCTGCAAGGCCAAGGGGCGCCGATCGCGGGGCGGCGGGGCGGCTTGGGCCCGGGGCGGCAGCAGCCCAGCGAATTTGGCCCGGGGGGGCTGCATGCTACAGAGGCTAACGCTAGTAATCTCATCGTTTGAGACAACCCCTCTCACCCCACCATTCCCTTTCAAGGCTCCCACTCACCCTCAAAGGTGTCGGAATAGACTCCTCTTCATCGTAGGCACAGACCTGGACTCATTGCTGATGTTCTGAGCACTTCTACGCAAGCACGGGTCATTTCAAACAGCTCTCTCCAATCGCGCCTCTACCCCACGTAATAATCTCACTCGTACGATGGAAGCAGTCGAACCTCCCATTACCGTCTTGTGATCACTCATTTGTACAACATCGTCGTCTCACATCATCAATTTGGCTCGGCAGACGCTGTTCGGAGAATTTTCGCAATATCTCCTCACGGGGCAGACCTTCACAGCCCAGCCTGCACCGCCCTCCACTCTAGTAACCCCAAGGGACATCTCATCGTCTTGGTTCTCTTGGTCAGGCCCCATAGCTGCTTGAGGTAGCCACAAGCATGCCTACAAGCTACTCTGCAAGCTCGACTGGTGGTGGAAGCGGCGGGCTCAACATCACCGGTGGCGGCGAGGCCGCAACTAGCGAGGATGGTTTACAAGGCTATTCGTCCTCCTCCTCTTCCTCCATCTACCAACATCCTTTTGCCAGCTTCAACTTTGGTCCTTCCACACCTACAGACACAACTAGCTCCCTTTCTTCACGCATGAAAGATGCCTCACTCTCGCCTACTAGTAGCTTCAACCAACGGGCTCATGCTGGTGCAGATCAGACGGTCACCGATCTCAACGGGCCTCCCAGCCCTGCAATGAGCTTCACTGGAAGCCAGCACAGCATGGACGACTACGACACAGACTCCCCCAACAGTCTGTACTCTTGGAGCTCGTTCATGAGCGGTCAGCGCGGCGATCTGGCCGACGTCGAGGATCTCGAACTCGGAGAGCCCGAGCTCGAGACTGTCTCTGAGCTGGACGAAGAGAACTTCTCCGCCAACGGTAGCGATGGCCCCAATCTCGAGTCAGACGACGACTCCAGAGCTCAAACACCAGATGGGTTGCGCTTTGGCGAGTCTCTGAATCGGAAACGCACCATTACCCAGCATCGTGGCGGCGCTTCTCAACACCACCACCTCCACAACCACCTCGTTGGCCAGAGTGGTCACGGCTTACCTCATTTCTCGCCTCGAAGCGGAGGTCATGGTCTTTCGCATCACTCGAGATGGACGTCAAGAATACCCGCTAGCGTTGTGGCCCGGAGACGTAAAGGACGAATTGCAGAGCTGGCCGAAGAGGGTGGAGGTGATGTCATCACAGGCAACGTTGGTATCAACACCACCAAGATGCCGAGCAAAGAGGCAGCCGAAAAGTCAGCTTCAAATGCCCCATCTTCGAGCGTCAGCGGGAAAAGCACCGTCACGCCACGCTCCAGTGATAGCTCTGGCTATCCCGGCACGCCACCGTCAACGCAATGGTCGGAATTCTCTGGACCTCCTGCTTTGCCCGTCCGTAGTGTCAGCCCCAGTGAGACGGTCCCAGTGGTGCCCAGTCCTCTCTGCGAGTTTATCAGTGCCTCTATGGCGGAAGGAGAAGCGATGCCGTCAGGTACAGCAGGAGAAGGCTCGGAGAGCAAGGCTTCAGACGCTGACAAGAGCGCACATCCGAGTGGCACGTCCGATGACAAGGACACCGGAGATCAATCGACTACATCGACCGTGTCACGTACCTTGAGCGGAGAGGCAGCAGCACCCCTCGCTGCTCCCACAGCCAGGCGAGGGCTCCTCACTTCTGCCACCGCTACAGACGTCTCGGGCACGCAGAATGACGGATCACCTCCGGACACAGCATCTAGTGGATCATTCACTACGAACAATACTCGACCCGCTTCTCCCGAAACGACACCACCGAGCTCTCCAACCCAACCACTTGGGCGAAAGGATTCCTTCCGGGCCCGAAGGTCGTCTTCTCCGGTTCAATTACCCAGCAAGTCCAAAGCGCCTCTTCGCCCTTGCTTCTCAAGACGCAATTCTACTCAGAGTGGTCGCAGCACAAGAGAATCCTCAATGGAGAGGGAGAGGGGGCGTTGTCATGTCCGCTTCTCCCCAGCTCCGCCTCAGACCATCAGAACGCATTCGCCGATCGAATACGATCGGTCTTCCTGTGCGGTACACAATCGCCTCAGCGTCGAAGACGTGCAAGAATTGCACAATTTGAACATGGACATGGGCCTGCTTTCTGCCAAGTGCAGTGCCATTGCAGCCATTACGAGCTGTAAGCTACCTAACAGGCCTGGCAGCTCCAACGCTTCCGCAAGCTCTTCACCGTCGTCCCACGCCGGCAGCACAGACTCTCCGTCGCTTCATCCATGTCGGGACAGCTTGGCCCCGGAAGATGCATTGAGCTCCAGACCTGAGCACGCTTACACCGGCCGGGCGCGAAGCAATTCTTCGCGAGGCCCATCGTCTCCTGGAGATTTTGGCCACATCGCACCAGCGAAGTCCCTGTCTTCGGAAGGCTTGATGAGCCCAGCCGAGCACCTACGTGCCCAGAGAGAAAAGGAACGTGAGCGGGCTTGCATCATGGCTGGGATTGGCACTGGGCTGGGTGGTCGCAATCTTGGTCGTGGTGTCAGAGGCCAGACTACCAATCCTCTCATAGCTCGTTTCGGCCTAACGACGCCCCCGCCTCCGCTACCCAGTGCAGGTTTCGCGTCTCGCAGCGCTGGTTCGGGCAGTCGGTCTGCTCCCTCAACACCCTACGACATGCCGTCCTCACCCGTTTACGTTGCGCAACAGCAGCACGACGAACCAAAGACGATGTCGGATCGCTCTCGCTCGCCAAGGGCCTCATCTCTGCAACGCACAGCGAATGAAGAGCGGGCCATGCTGAGATCTATGGCTTTGTCTAACAAAGCCGTCGCAGCTGCCATTGACGACAGTGAGACGGAATGTGATGAGCCTAGAGCGGGCAAGACACCTGGCTCTGCCCCAATGACACCGTCGGGCTCTTTCGGGTCGACCCCGAGGGGTCGTACTACCGTCAGGAAGGACGAAGCCAAAGAAGTCACGCCTTCAACACTACAAGCAGCAGGAAGTACGAGCTTGCCTGACGTCGTGACCACTTCCCCAAGTCCACCTCCGGGGCAAAAGGCTATGTCAGACCCGTCGAGCGTTACTAGTGCTCTTCCTGTGATGTCCCCTGTCGAGACGCCCAGTGCGGGCGACGTCGCAACGCCTCTGTGCTCCGCCAGCTCGCGATCCTCCCCAAGTCGAGCTTCGGATTCGTACTTTAGCCACAAACCGACTCAACGGGCAGAGGAACCACGGAAGTGGGGCAGCTACCAGCAGGGGTCGCCTTCGAATGCTTCGCCTTATGGTTCTTCGCCAAGTACGCCGTATGGAGGCTCGTCCTCACCTTGGAACGACCCTACGCTGCTCTCTGGTGGAGCTGGCGGTTGTCGAGCTGGTAGAGGCGGATATGACTCCCCAGGTAGCGGCTTCGAGAGCGGTAGCGAGTATGACCTGCTCGGATGAAAGCGCCTCCGACTGCAGAATCAAGCATCCCGAGAATTGAACCTCAATCACATCGCCAGAACTTCCGGCTTCCTTGCCATCACTTTGGACTTTTCCCTTACTGTCCCTGGTCTTCGCTCAGTTAGTCACTCAGCATTTCCCCCTGCGGCTCCTCCTTCTCCACCTTGTTTCCCATCCATTCATCTTCTAGCCACTTCTATGTCACAAGCTCTCCACTCCCCTTGTTTCATCCACCCTTGCATTTTCTGACCAGCTTTTCATTGCGCTTCTCCTCTACATGTATCATAGCTTTCTACGTCCGATTCACCTTCTCATTCATTCAATTGCCTTTTCTGCTCTCACTAGTGTCACAAGCTCATTGTCGTGTCCCTGTGTTCGACTGATGGACGCGACCCTCTGGCTTGAGCTCCTTGGGCAGTGCTGTGCCTCGTGGCCCTGGCCTCCTCGGCCTTGGACGCCCGCGTGCCGTGATTCGAGGGATCCAACGCAACGCGTGTGACGTGCGTCCGTCGGAGTTTGCGGAAAGGAGAGAGATGGACTGGAGAATTGTAGATGCCTCGTTGAACATGTCAATCTCCCGCCGAGAGCTAGAGCCTCGAGTCCGTCGTTCGCCGGGGGGATGCCAAGGAGGAAGGGAGAGGGGCAGGTCCCCTGAGTAGGGAAGGGCATCACCTCCTGTCCTTCTGTTCCTTCATCTGTATCAGTCTACCATCAATCATCAAGTCTCATTCTCGGTCCTCTTTTCCTCTTGGTAACTCATAGCTCTCCATCCATTCCTTTCTTACACCACTCGCTGCCTCAGGCACCGTACACCAGCTGGACCCTTCAGGCTCAATCTCTCTCTTCCCGACTCATATACACGGCATAGATGCCAGCCCAGCGGAAGGCAGTGCCTCTGTCGGGCAACCGCTCCTCTAGCTACACCCGCGCCCACCGAGCAGAGGAAGAGGAGCAGACCAATTCCCCCCTCCTAGATCAGCAAGGCTTCCAGCCTGACACGGGCTACAGCAACTACTACAACCACTCAGCCAATTACGACCAAGACGCAGGGGCAGACCCATACTCGTACAGCGCAGCGCCTGCCGACCCTTACCTTGAAGACGTCTACAGTGGAGCCAGCACATCTCTTGGCGCTCCTCACCATGGAGTGCCCCTCAGCTCCAGCTTCTACGATGAAGCTGCTGCTGCGCTCGGAGGTGGACCAAGGAGCGAGTCACCCACTCGTCCCTTGAGCTATGCTAGGAGACCACTGCCTCAGCCTGCTGCTGGTTCCTTCACCCAAGACGCAGCCGTGCTCCCCACCCTGGTATATGAGCAAGATCAAACTGCTGGTTACCTGCCGTACGCTCCTGACGCACAGCCGTACAATCCAGCTGCGGTTGAGCAGGAGTCCCCTCATTCGGCCTACGATGAGAAGATGGGCGGGCAGTACAACGTCAATCCGTTTGCTGGAGGTGAGGGTCCGGCCACGCGAAACTCGTACGCCGCACATCAGGAGGACGATGGGGCTACTATGACCGGCCACGAAATCGACTACTACGCTGAGAAGACAGCTGAGGCTGGCTACGGGTCAGACGGTGCCGAGGGAGAGTATGCATATGAAAATGACGCTTGGGAGGGTGCAGAGGACGAGGAGAACGGCATGCCGACAATGAACACACAGCACTTTGGACCTGCCCCTGCTAAGGGCGCTCTACTGAGGCGACACAAGACCAAGAAGAAGATTGCTCTCACTCAAGGTCACTTGGTACTAGACTGCCCCGTGCCAAGCAAGCTCAAGACCTTCTTGAGTCGTCGCGGAGACGAAGAGTTCGAGACTATGAGGTACACCGCCGTCACCTGTGAGCCCGATGAGTTCTCTTCCTCCAACTACACTCTGCGTCCACAAATGTATGACCGTCACACAGAGCTCTTCATCGTCATTACGCTTTACAACGAGGACGAGGAGCTGCTTTGTCGAACTCTCCACGGTGTCTTCAAGAACATTGCCCACCTCTGCTCTAGGACAAAGTCTCGCACATGGGGCCAGGAGGGGTGGAAGAAGGTCGTCGTCTCGATCATCTGCGATGGGCGAAAGAAGATTCACCCTCGAGTACTCGACTGCCTTGCCGCCCTGGGAGTTTACCAGGAGGGAGTGGCGAAGAATGTTGTCAATGGCAAACGAGTCGAAGCTCACTTGTACGAGTACACCACTCAACTGAGCATCGACAGCAATCTTCAATTCAAGGGCGCTGAGCGAGGTCTAGTACCGGTGCAGGTCCTCCTGTGTATCAAGGAGCGCAATGCCAAGAAGATCAACTCCCACAGGTGGTTCTTCAACGCCTTTGGTGCAAGTCTGCAGCCAAACGTCTGCGTGCTTCTGGATGCGGGTACACGTCCAGAGGCAAAATCCATCTACTACCTGTGGAAGACCTTCGATCTGCACTCGAATGTCGGTGGTGCCTGTGGAGAGATCTGTGCCGATACGAAGGGCAGGTGGGGCGTGGGCAAGGCGCTCCTCAATCCCTTGGTGGCAGCGCAAAACTTTGAGTACAAGATGAGTAACATCTTGGACAAGCCTACCGAGTCGACTTTTGGATACATTAGCGTTCTGCCCGGTGCCTTTTCTAGCTACCGCTATCGAGCCTTGCAGAATGATGATCTCGGCAGGGGACCGCTGGCGTCTTACTTCAAGGGCGAAGCACTGCTGGGGACCGATGCCGACGTCTTCTCGTCCAACATGTACCTCGCCGAGGACAGGATCCTCTGCTTCGAACTTGCGGCCAAGAGGGGCGAAGCATGGGTCTTGAAGTACATCAAGCAAGCTCGCGGTGTGACGGACGTGCCGGACAATCTGCCTGAGTTCATCTCGCAACGTCGTCGCTGGCTCAACGGAAGTCTCTTTGCCGCCATCTACTCCCTCACGCATACTCGGCAATTCCTCGAGAGCGGACATGGACGATGGAGGAAGATCGTTCTGATGATCGAGGCCTTCTACTCGCTTGTCAACGTCTGCTTTGCCTGGTTTGCAGTAGCCAACTTCTACATCTTCTTCCGCATCCTAACGGCCTCTCTGGAAAGCTTCAATTCTCGCGTCGAGATTCTCAATACCTTGGCACAGTACATTTACCTCGGCACACTTACCGCCTGCTTCGTCTTCTCCTTGGGTAATCGACCACAAGGAAGTCGCTGGAAGTACATGACAGCTGCCATCATCTTTGCAGTGCTGACGCTGTACATGATGATCGCTGCCGTTGTGTGCATGGTGCACGCCTTTGCCAACATCGGTGATGCAGTGTATGCGCAGATGGTTGTGAGTCTCTTCGCAACGTACGGAGTGTACCTCATCTCTTCCGTCATCGCCATGGATCCGCTGCATTTGATCACCTCCTTTGGGCAGTACCTTCTTCTGAGCTCCTCCTTCATCAACATCCTTCAAGTCTACGCCTTTGCCAACATCCACGACTTCTCTTGGGGCACAAAAGGAGACAATGTCATCTCCAATGATCTGGGTACGGTCACTAGCAAAGGCAATGACGTCGTCGAGGTCACTCTACCTACCAGTCAATTGGACATCGACTCGGGCTACGATGAGGCACTACACAATCTACGCACCAGGCCAATGATCATCAAGGGTGAATCCGGACCAGCAGAGAAGGAGCTAGCGCGAAAGGACTACTATGCCGGTGTGCGCACAAATGTCCTCCTCTCCTGGATTCTCACAAATGGGCTCCTCGCTGGAATCATCTTGGGAGGTGATAGCAGTGCGACGTTTGATGCATCGAGCGGGTCGAGTAGGACAAAGGTGTACATGGTCCTTGTTCTGGTCTTTGTGGCGGCCATGGCTTGCATTAGACTCATGGGCTCTACGGCCTACACTGTCACTCGCTTGGTGGCAGGATGAGTCGGTGGCAGGATAAGTCGTGTGGCTCCTCTTTCTTTCTCTTGTTTTTCGCTTTCTTCTTTTCTCTCCGACATTTCGCACCTATGGACGCTTCCTTCTTCTCGTACTATGTCTCTTTGTCCATATAGCGATGAGGGCTTCTCGACTCTCGCTCACACGCTCTCTATCGCACTGTACAGCCTTCTCGGAATGATATCAAGTTTGCTTTCCTTTTTGCCGATGTCGAGCGTGCGTGCGTGCATCTTCTCGAGGTGTAGCGTCATTCCTTGTTCCGAACCAATAATCATCGACTTGTGCTTGGCACTGACGCAGCGGTCCAAAAAACTGCAAGCCCTCACTCGCATCTATGCCTCCCGTTCCTGACTCTCGGAGAGATTCCCGTTCCTTTCTTCGGGTTTTAGACGACCGGACGTCTTGTCCCAATGAGCCACTTGTGTGTGTCTGTGTGTGCGTAGCCCCTCTCTGTCGTCTCTTCTACCGAAAAGGAAGAAAGGACGACGAACCCGGGCGAAGAGCGAGTGGGGCGGGCGGAGGTGCAATGACGTCGCGCGTGCAGCTGCAGAGAGGGGTGCGGGTCTATGATCGGGTTCGAGGGAGTGAGGCGACGAAATGATGCAGGTGCGCATGGCGGCGCATGCGTGCGAAGAACGTCGGGGGTCGGAAAACATGGTCATCGTAGCGTCGGTCAGTGTAGCTTTTGCAGCGGAGCACAAGGACAGAGTGCAGAAAACTGCCTCAAGTGAGCCTCTGGACTGGTAGAGTAGTGATGAGATGTCTCGTCCAACACATGCACTGGGCTGCCGATCGAGGGTGAGAGAAGGAAGAAAGTGATGCGTGGCGGGCGATTGAGCAAGTCCTTCCGATGCTCCGCTCCGCCCTGGCACCCTGAAGGGGGAACAGAAGAAACTTGGGCTGAGCGAAGGAGGGCAGGATGAAGGAGTATATAACTACGGTGCTTGCTTCTCATCTCAATCCGAATTTTTCCCTTTTCCATAGATTATACCCTTTGAAGGTGAGTAGCAGCATCGGCAAATACGAGCTCGACGGGCGGGCAGGGAGGTGAGGATGCGCCCTCCGCCTAGGGAGAGGCGAGGTACGCCACGTTGTGCCAATGGCATGCCACGAGGTCCAATCACGGGAAGCACATTCTCGGCAGGAAGTTTTGGCTTTGGCTCAGGCGCTGGCGTGCTCCTGCCTGGGCTGGTCTGGTCTGGCCTGGGCGATTCCTCCTTGGTGGTAGTGCGAGGGAGGCCTATCTCACGCCCTGGAGCGCGCGCAGTGGAGTTGGCTGGGATGGAAAGTGATGGATGGATGGAGGGAGGCCTGCCTGCGCTGCCTGCCCCGCCCCGCCCCGCCTGCCCGCTGGTGCCCACGCCTCCATATCTACCGCACACTAAACCCCACCAAGTTACTCCTTCTTCCTTTTACTTCCCACCCATACCAGTTTCCATACCAAAACCAACCACACCACACACAAAACACACATCATGTCTACCGTTCTCGACTCGCTCAAGCAGTACACCACTGTCGTCTCCGACTCGGGTGACTTCAACTCCATCGAGCAGGTGAGTAGCGCTCCACTTTTCCCCGCCCACGCCACGAAGAGGAAGATGTGATGTTCCGAATGCGACGCATAGGCGCTGCAGCACTGTCCTCTCACTCCTTTGGTGAAGACGTACGATTGACTCAAATACTTTCTTTGTTCCACGCCCACAGTACAAGCCCCAGGATGCCACCACCAACCCTTCGCTGATCCTCGCCGCTGTCAAGCAGCCCGAGTACGCCAAGCTCGTTGACGAGGCCGTCGCCTACGCCAAGAAGCAGGGTGGTGACAAGGAGAAGCAAGTCAACGTTGCTTGCGACCAGCTCCTGTGCCAGTTCGGTAAGGAGATCCTCAAGCTCATCCCCGGCCGTGTCTCCACCGAGGTCGACGCTCGTCTGTCCTTTGACACCGAGGCCACCAAGGCCAAGGCCCACTCGCTCATTGCCATGTACAAGGAGCTGGGCATCGAGAAGGAGCGTATCCTGATCAAGATTGCCTCGACCTTCCAGGGTATCCAGGCTGCCCGATCCCTCGAGAAGGAGGGAATCCACTGCAACCTCACCCTCCTCTTCGGTTTCGGCCAGGCCGTCGCCTGTGCCGAGGCCGGTGTCACCCTGATCTCTCCCTTCGTCGGCCGAATCTTGGACTGGTTCAAGGCCAACAAGCCAGACCAGGACTACACCGGTGCCAACGACCCCGGAGTCAAGTCGGTGCAGAAGATCTACAACTACTACAAGCAGCACGGTTACAAGACCATTGTCATGGGTGCCTCTTTCCGAAACACCGACGAGATCAAGGAGCTGGCCGGTTGCGACTTCCTGACCATCGCCCCCGCTCTGCTGGACAAGCTGTACAAGGAGAATGGAGACATTCCCCGCAAGCTCGACCCCTCGACTGCTGCCTCTTCTGCTCCCCAGGAGAAGGTCTCGTTCGTCGACAACGAGGCCGAGTTCCAGTGGACTCTGCTGCAGGAGAAGATGGCCTGGGACAAGCTCCACGAGGGAATCGTCAAGTTCGCTCAGGACGCCGACACCCTCAAGGAGATCATCGCTGGCAAGTTCTAAGCAGTGAATGCCACAAAGATCTGTCTCTCCCCCCGCGCTTCTAGTCTCCATATAGTCTCCTCTTTTCCCCCCACTTTGTGATCTTGATAGTGATAGAAGGAAAACACAAGGGCACGCAAGGATCTTTTAGTTTTGCGATTGTAAGAATATATAAAATTGCCCAGACCATATCAGACTTTGAGTGAGAAGAAGCAGTAGTGCTTGCTGGCTGGCTGCGTTGCGTGTGCGGTACGGGTCTGCCTGGCTGAGCCTGTGTGAGAGCCCTTTTGACTCTCCTCCACCTCGGCCGGCGGGCGTCCTGGCCCGAGCGTCACACCGCCTTCCTTGTCCAAACCTTCGTCTCCCCGGGCTGCTCTCCTCTCCTCTCCTCTCCTCTTACCCACGGCCCACACCTGATCTTCCCCTTCCCCCCTCAACCTATCATAGCCAGCAGCACCAGTACGAGGACTTTCCTAGCTACTGCCCTCACTCAAAGACTGTGGCTGCATCTGTATCTGTATCTGTATCTCCTTGATCCTGAGCTATTAGCCCTGCGTAAGAACGAGGTAACCTCCCCTCGATACCCCGGCGCTCCACAATTGAGTATCATGCCGCAAGAAACAATTGATTTCCCCGCGGCGTACGTGCTTATTGGGGCCTACCGCCTCGCGCATGACCCGGCGCTTTGGAAACCTATGTGGCAGGAGTGAGTATCGGGGCAGTACAGTGCGGGTAGGGGTGGGAGAGAGTGGGAGTGGGACCACTGGGTTCGGGAAAGAGGGATGAGGGAGGAGAGGGCGAGCAACGGCTGACGAGAATGTTATTCTCCTCTCTACGCTCACAGTATTAGCGGAGCGGCCAAGAAGGCTGGGTTGGTTGCACTTGTTTGGGTGAGTATAAAGCGCAATAAGCAGGCAGGGAGCTAGCTCAAGGCTGTAGCTTAGCTTAGCTTAGAGGTAGGAGGAAAGGTGCTGACCAGCTTTGACCATTTTGATGAGCAGGGAATCCTTACTTGGCCACTCCAGCGCGTCTTTGTGCGGACATTCATGGGCGGGAGCTCCAGAGTCCTCGGGATGAGTGGGTGAGTCAGATCAAATTAGTAGAGCAGCTCTACTATGATTAACACCTCGTCCTGACGTAGCTCTCCTCTCTCCATCTCCTCTCCCCTGCAGCGCCTATCACTCCCTGTCAGAGAAAGCCGACCGTCTGGACGACTCGCTCCCCTTTATCATTCCCATTCCCTCTCTTCAGGGCTTCGCAACATTTATGTTCGTCCTCTCCCAATGTTCCACCATTCTTGAACTCTGGCTTCGAAGACGACTAAAGGCAGCCCGAGCCAAGGCGTACGGCGAGACGGTGCGCAGTCGGGGTAAAGCACCAGAATGGTGGACGGACTACTATGAAGAGTGGGAGGAACCACCAACGCAAAAGGCCATCAAGGGAGCGCAGAAGCAGTCCTTCTACACCAAGCTCGCTACACCTCTGCTGCGCTTCTTTGTTTTCAAGGTGCTCCTCCTACCACTGGACTGGGTGCCATTCCTCTCCCTCTTCCTCTCTTCCTGGCTACGGTCCCTTAGCCTTGGTAGGCAATTGCATGAACCCTTGTTCCAGGCAAAGAGGATGACACCACTACAGGTGGAAGTGTGGGTGACGGAGCGATCCTTTGCCTATCGTCAATTTGGATTCGCAGCAGCCCTCTTTGAGCACATTCCCATTCTAGGCCTCGTACTCTCCATCTCCAACCGGGTAGGAGCAGCGTAAGTTCCCCTCTGCGCAATCTTTGGCCATAACGCATCTTTGCACTTTTTTTTTGACAACTCCTCTCTTGCCCACACCTCTACACAGGATGTACAGCCACGACCTCGAGAAGCGTCAGCAGCTACACCGCTCTGGCCAGCTCGCCAAGTTGAAGCGCGACGAGACGTACTCTTTGCGTGATCCGCGAAAACCGAGTAGTCCTAGAAGTAGTCAGAGTGGGAAATTGCCAGTGGCGCCACAGGCAGAGCAAGGTGAGTGGCGAGCGCCAGGTTGGCACATACGAAAGGGAACAAGGAGGGGAACAGTGCAGAGGAAGGAGGAGAGGGGAGGAGAGCGCTTGCTGACCTTGTTCCTCTCTCTCTGTTGGCGTCGTTGACTATCAGAGTTCAGCATGCCGGGAGCGACCTTTGCCAGCGGCGTAGCTCCTTCATCGTCTACCGCGTCTGCATCTTCGGGTGGAGTTGATTCATTGGGACTGCGGGATCGTCGCTAGGCTAGCCGCGTTCCTTGCGAGATACGTCAGCGCAGAGCGATCGTTCAGAGTAATACAAGACATCTATTGGCAACTTGTACAGCGACTGCTATATCTATCGCTGATAGTGTATCGTGTACACTGCTGTACAGAGGATCAACTTCCGGAACAAAGACGACCTGCCCCCATCTTCTTTCAAGCCGCAGGCGGGCCGCGTGACGACCCCTGGCAGAGCAGACACTGGCACGCAGGGTAGAGGCGCTGCGGGTTCGGACGAGGCACGGGGCGGGGTCCACCAGGGGACAGGGAGGGCCAGATGCCTAGGTGCGAGGCGAGGCACGGAGCACAGAAGCGCCATTCGGCCATTGTTTCCCAGGAGGGCGGGACCCATCGCTGCAAAGGCGATTTCGACTGCGACTGCGACTGCGACTGGGGTGCGTCTGCTTTGGCCTTCTCTTTCCTGGACTCGTCTGCAGAGGGCGAGGATAGCCATGGTCCGACGCCGCCTACGCGACAGCACATTGCGTTCCAAGGTGCTTGTCCCCACCTCGTCGTGTCCTTGGGCATCTCCGTCTCGCGGTAGGGGGCTCCCCTCTCCGGTACTCGCCAAGCCTCTTCCAAAGGGGGAGCAGCGCAAACCTTTCGTGGTGGGGAGTCGGTCGTTGGAATGTGGGACGTACCAGTGGAACTCGGTACTGGCACGGCTGCAGAGGCACCAAAGAGGCTGTCGTCGTCCTTGTCGACTGCGACACTACGACAGGAGACGCACGTGTATGTTTGTGAGATGAGGTCCACCAAGTGAGGCGGGAGTTGTGACGTGTACCCTTGAGAGTTCACAGTCGGCTGAGGGATTTCTTTCTCGTCAGAGGAGGATGCGTCTGCGTCCTCCTCTTCTTCAAGAGTCTCGTCTGCACTATCGTCGTCTGAGTAGGAATGGTGGTTCAAGCCGGGCGGACCTTGTGCCAGCGGAAATGTAGACTGTTGCCATAGCTGCTTTTTCCTGAGAATCGAAGCGCAGAGGGCGCTCAATTTGAGGACTTTGTCTGGTGCCTTGAAAGGGGATTCTTCGTCGACTGAACCTGCATACGGTGCCATTGTCTCTTTCATCTTCTTGGTAATCGCATGTATGTTGGTCGTTAGACAGCTGCCCGGATCACCGTTGCCCATCCTGCTGTACCTCCAGTGGTAATTTCTCCCTGGGTAGTGTTTGTTGGGATTCCCGGACAGCGCAGAAGACGGGCAGAAGCTGAGAAGTGTGTCTTCGGACAACGACGATTGGAGCGATCTTCTGTCCCGGATCGCTGTCGGTGGCATCGGGAAGAGAGCTATGTCTCCATCTTTATAACAGCTGCACACTTGAAGCTCGCCGTAAGCCATCTCGATGAACACAAGTTCTGCAATCATTGACAGGTGAGGCAAGAGGTAGACCAGCACTGGAAAGAGGCAGCCATGACGATGTGTTCAGATTTTGACATTCGGATGGTCCGGCCACCTATTGGACTCACCTTGATGGATCTCCTCATTCTCCCCAACTAAGGCTATTCTACGCGAGCGTACTGGCGAGGTTCCGTCATCGCTTGGGTTGCCGGAAGATAAGAGGCCGTACAGCTGCATACATGAGAAGAGCTTGTCTGTTTGCAGGCCTGGCTCGAGCCGAATCACAGCTTCGTCGCCTCGACTTAGAGCAGACGAGATTTCGATGCTCGTCACAAGGGCAGGAGGAAGTCCCTCTTCGAGAGCGCCGATGGCCTCTTCCTCTGCCAAGCAAGTCTTGCCCGGGTTTGGACTACTGTCACTGTCCTCGGCTTGCCACTCTTCGCAATGTCTACATGTTGTCCTGGCTCCGCGACGCTGCAAGAGCGAAGCTAGAGTTGAGGCGCATTGCTCGGCCTCTAGCTTGTTCGACATCACGTTTTTGGGCGCTTGCGTCTGGCCAGCGGCAGCGGGGGCGAGCTTATCCCTTTGCCTGCGATATACCTGCCTGCAGATGTTGAGCGCTTTCGCTTGTCTTGCAGTGAGGCTCTTACGGTGGACGAGAGCAGCGCGGGGAGCTTCACCTCCGAAGAGCTTCTCTAGACGAGAGTGCAGGCGGTCTGATGGATGGCACAGAACGCGTATCTGCGGTCAGTGAGCGTGAATGCAGCGACGGAGCGCTTCCACTCGTCTGCGACATACTAAGACTGAGATCATGCTGCTCCCACCTGGGCCTCTTGTCCGAGCGCTTCTTTTGTCTCTGAGACGCCTGTACATTGCCCCCAAGGCTGGGGACCCGTTCCAAGTCGGTCAAGGCCTGCTGCAGGAGGGTCCAGTACTCTCTGCTACTATCCAGGCAGTCCAAGATGGCGTGTGCCGAAAGCACAGGGACATCATCGCTCGAAGCATTGGCCTTTATGTGTTCCAGCAGCGGGAGAGGGTTGAAGATGTCGAGAAAGGGCCTACACCACTTGGGCCCACAGATCTTGCGAATTCGTCGAAGTCGCCGGAGTCGTCGGGGAGTGGGTTCGCCATGGCAGCAACAATCGCAATCGGTTATTTCAGAGACAAAGGAAGCCGAAGATAAAGACGATGATGAAGAGGAGGAGAGGGAGCCCGAAGGTGAGCGTACCGCGGTGAATGTGGATACCATGTGCTATCGTAAAACAGGATGGACACCACGAATTTCTGACGCACAGGTCAAGATGCAAGCTCTCGCATGGGCCACCCACGTCAAGCGCTTCTGTCGTGGAGGCGCCGGCCTTAATCAGGACAAGGTATTGATAGTGAGGGTACGCAGACCTGGCCGAGAAGCATCGTAGGGGTGTGAGAGCTAGGCAGCAGAAGAAGAAAATCCTGGCAATAAAGCTTGTGAGAGCAAAACGATTCTTTGCCCTCACGAGCTGCCAAGCGACAATGAGGTCGCGAGAAGCAGGTCCGTAAGAGCGCGCAAGAGCAATCACACGAAAAAGAGCAAAGGGTACAACATGAATTTTCAGATTACCACTTCTCTGCACGTATACCTACTCTACGAGCAGAACATGCTACCACTGTTAATCGCAATGACCTGCCCCGTCATCAAGTTGCTCATACCAGGGTCAGCCAGGTAGACATAGGTAGGTCCCAGCTCTGCCGGTTGTCCAGGCCTGTTGTGGAGCAGACTAGGGTCTCCCACTGCCCATCCGTCCATGGAATCTCCTGGACGCGAGGCAGGCTGTAGAGGTGTCACCACGGGGCCAGGAGCAACGGCATTGACTCGGATGCCCTTTGTCTTGAGCTGCAGTGCGAGGGAACGGGTCATGGTGTCGATGGCACCCTTTGTTGCCGAGTAGTCTACCATTCCCTGCGATCCCTTGCGGGCCGTCACCGAAGAGGAGTTGATAATGGTACTACCGCGCCTGAGGTGGGGCAGGGCATACTTGCACATGGCGAACATGCCCAGGAGATTGGAGCGTACCACCGACTCAGAGTTCTTCAGGTCCACCTGCGACCAGTCCTCGCACATGATCTGCTTCGAGGCATTGTTGACGAGAATGTCTAGCTTGCCCCACTTGGCAAGGTGCTGATCGATGACACTCTTGCATTGCTCCTCCTCCATAAGGTCCGCCTTGATCAGGTGCAGCTCCTTGGAGCCAGTAGGATTCTCCTTTGCCATCTTGACAATGTCATCTGCATCTTGCTGCTCAGCTGGTAGATACACTACCGAGACGCTAGCACCTTCCCTGGCGAACATCAGTGCGACAGATCGGCCGATACCAGAGTCACCTCCGGTCACAATGGCCGTCTTGCCCTTCAGCTTGCCCTGACCCATGTACTCCTCCAGGTAGGGCTTTCCATCGTCGTCCCACTTCTCCACGCGAGTGTGGATGGCCAGGGGCGACATCTTGGCGTCTGTGATGTGATGAAAAGACGAAATTGATCTCGTCGGAGGTCAGCTTTCTGCCGGTCGGTCGTTGGCTTGTGCCCCATTGCCGATTTGTACTCACCCAGGCCAGGAAGGTTCTGCTCCTGCGCATCAGGAGAGTGGTTGGGGTAGGCGGTGATCGTCTCGGGCTCGTTGGAAGGCATCTTGTCGTTGGTGGGGCTCAGGCTGAGGAAGGTTAGGATAGTGTATTTGTGAAGAAAAGTGTACTCCACTACACACGCCAAGATGATCTTATAGAATGCAATTCTTGCAACACAGACAAGGGCAAGATCGCCAGCCTCTGTCCGCGCATCTCCCCTGGCAAGACGCGGCTGGCCCGCTAGCTGTATTCTTTGACTTTGTTTCCCATCGCATCGACCACCCCCCACTTCGGGCAGGACCTCCTGACCGCTCCACTACGTCAGCGGCAGAAGCAGAGAGAAGAGGCAGGGCCTTGGGGAATGTGAGGGTGGGAGGGGACTACAGCAGGAGACCTCTGACGCCAATGCTTCCCGTGGCGGATGAAGAACTGGGGGCAATCTGCCTAAAGACGTCACGCCATGGCCGTGCAGGCGCTGGACCCTTGTGGAGGACAAGCCGAGGCGCCGCCACGCCAACTTCGATGGAGTAGACGCGCAGCCAAGGCACAAGGGCAGGGTGTCGGACCGCGGCCGGATCACGCGGTGCCCTTCAGATCAGAGTTGTGGCTGGCAGAAAAGTGCTATTTCTGGGCAAATTACGATGACAAGGCAGGCGACGACGACGATCAAATACAATGTTCCATATCGCGCAGAACAAAGGGGAACATCTGCACCCTAGCAGATATCACAACGAGCACCTTACAGCTTCTCCTTGGAGCTGGAGCCCTGGCTGCGGGTCTCACGGTCACCAATGTGCTCAATGTCCTTCTCCTGGCCGATGTGGCCGTGGTCCTCAGCGTCCTCGCGCAGGTCGCCAGCAGTGACCTTTCCTGCTCCGAGCTCAGTAGCAGGGGGAGCAGTCTCAAAGTGTGTGCCTCGAGCCTCGGTACCGAGGAAGATGATGACCAGAAGGAGGTAGCCGCAGACCACACCGAGGAGAATGGCGGAGACCTTGGCGTAGTTTGCAATGGTAGGTTCTTGGCCGGTGGGGCAGACGGCAACTCCAGCTGCATTGTATGGGCACTTGGGGTTGTGAATCTGCAGACTCTCGCCTCCTCGTGCTTCAATCTGAGCAGACGCACTCGAGACCATGTTACCAAGTTGGTAGCTGAGACCAGCCCAGACGGCTCGGAAGGCAGGGGGCGCAATCTCGTTGAGGTAGATGGGGACAACACCCCAAGCTCCCTGCACACCGAACTGGATGAAGAAGGCACCAGCGGCGAGGCCGGAGAAAGAAGTTGGCAGGATCCAAGCGGGGATCAGGACTCCGACGAGGACAATGAAGGCGACCATCGTGAGGCGACGGCCAAGGTATTGCGAGAGGTAACCTGCGATGAGACCACCGGCGATGGCACCGCAATTGCCGATGATAGTAGCCATCGAAGACAGGTGGGATGCCTCTGCAGTGGGCAGACGGGCAAGGCTGACCTTCTGGATCATGGTGGGGTAAAGATCCTGAGACGAGTGGCTGAGGAAGTTGAAGCCGGTCATGAACAGAATACCGTAGATGGAGATCTTCCAATGCGTCTTGAGCATGTCCTTGAGGGCAATGCCAAAGGCACGGTCGTTGGAGACGCCCTCCTGAGCAGCTGCAGCGCGCTCGGCCTTGCCTCTCAAGAAGAGCTCAGACTCGGGCAAGCAAGCTCGGAAGATGGCAGCAAAGAGCGACAGGCCAGCTCCGAGGTAGAAGAGGCGTGGCCACCTGTCGGCGGGTCCCTCCATGAAGGACGACAAGTTGACACCGGCGGCGATGAGGTAGCCGAAAGCGTATCCTTGCTGCAGGATACCGGAGAGGAGACCTCGGGCCTGAGCGGGAGCATTCTCAAGTGCAGTGGCGGCCGACATACCCCAGATACCACCCATGGCGATACCGAAGAGACATCGCACACCCAGGAAAGCGCCGAAGCTCCTGCAGAAGCCAGTTGCCAGCGAGAAGACGGCGATGAGGAAAAGGTTACCAACGAGGGGCCACTTGCGACCGTACCTGTCCGATAGCAGACCGAAGGTGACGGCACCGAGCGATCGGAAGAGCAGAGTGAGGGTGATGGAGGTAGTGATGTCTGTACTGGTCTTGCTGAATGCAGTGGTGAGTCGAGTGACGTTGAGGGAAACGGAGAAGAAGTCGTAGGCGTCCATGGTCCAGGCGATGTAGCCGGACGCGAAGAGCAGCCATTGGATGGCGTTCAGGCTTCCAAGGAGGGTGAAGGGGTTGAGGGAAGCACCTGCACGCTGAGCAATTCGCTCCTCTGAAGATGATCAAGGGAAGGTTGGAAAGACGGAGGTCAGCTTACTGCAAGTACAGGCATGTGACCCTGCATTGCGGAAAACTCACCCTTGGTGGGGACCTTGAAGAGACCTCGCGTTGGGTCCATCATATTGTGCGATAGGAACGGAGAGGGATGGGGAGGGAGAGGTCAGGAGTCGGAAGGATGGAGTAGATGAGGGACCCCGAGTGTAGGAGGAAGGTGCGTATGGAAAAGAGAAGAGGGGAAAGCCAGGGTGTCGAGGGAGGTGGGGTTATATACCCCTTTGCTCATCCTTGCTCACACGATGGGACAAGGACACTAGGCAGGCCCCGGTCATCTTTGCAGACTGTGTGCATGTCAGAGAGGGTGGGGAAAATTGGGGGTGGGGGTGGGGCAGAGCAGTGGCCATGTCCCTCCTTGGGCAGTAGACGGGAGGTGATCGAAGTGCGGAGGCGGGTAGTCCTCCAGTGCCCTGAGCGGGTGAAGCAGGGCGGGGGAGCAAAGGCGGGACAGGAGTGCTTCCGCTTTTGCCCTGCGCCATCTGGTGCCTTGGTCGCGCCGTGCGTCTTCTGGGGTAAAAAGGGGTAAACAGGAGAAACAGGCGAGGGCTCCCCGCCGCCCGGCACATCGCCCGCGCCGCAAAAGGCGAGAGCAACTGCCGGCATGCACTCGGCTCCCCGTCTAGCGCCACTCTGCTGCGCTCCCTCACCGCTGACGGTGATACGGTGTCTGCCAAGCCTCGGCAAACGACCCGTAAAGCTCATCAGACTCAGACGCGGGTAGAGCGGCGAAGATGGGCAGCTGATGTACCCGGACTCCGACGTAGAACCTTGTCCATGTCTCGACCGCGACCTTTGGGCCTACCAGCAGTGTCAAGGAAGAAGTCGGGAGAGGTAGCGAGTCCCCAGCCACGAGCAAGATGCACGACACATCGCTCAGCGTCCAGCCACGAGCAAAGAGGGACTAGCGATTTCGGACAAGGGCGTCCCCGCAAGGAGGGAACCGGGGAAAGTCACGCCACTCAGGGCACAGCATGGGGCCAGATTGGCCTGTGATGACAATAGATTGACCCCATCCTTCTGACGGGCCGTAAGTGCACCGGGGGGCCCCGGCATCTCGCGATGTGCGTGCACACGCGCCCCCCTGGACGCCACACTGACCCGCACATGTCCAGCAATGGCAGGTCAGAGTCAGAGGGGGCTGTGAAGGAGACAAAAGTCTCTGCGAGATGGTACACCTCGGGCCACAGTCAGACGGACTGGGCCGGGCAGGAGAGCTTTACCGTTCTCGAGTCTCTCCTCTGCCGCCGAAGTCTCCGTCAGAAGACCGATCGGGATCGGGCGCCAAGAGGAACTTAACTCAGACGTGCGCGCTTGGCGGAGATACAACACCAAGGGCTGGGGCGACGGACCGCGTCGATCAAAGGCTCCGTCGCGATGTCTCCGTCGAGATGTCTGCGTCTCCGTGCCGATGTCTCCGCGCCGATGTGTCCATAGCGATGTGTCCGTAGCAATGTCTCCGTAGCAATGTCTCCGTAGCAATGGCCCCGTCGCGACGCCTTCGTAGTAATGTCTCCGTAGCAATGTCTCCGTCGGTAGCATCAGGCGCGGATGACAAGGTCGCTAGGGATAGGGAGAGCATTCAATGACATGGTATAAAAAGGTCCATCAAGAACGCCTAGGAATGGAATGGTGTGGTACATTAGTCTCCCTCTACCACACGACAGCCGCTTCCACACACACCATCCTCAGCTCACCACTGACACGCCCCAAAATTTCCCCACACAAAAGACTACAATGACTTCCTCTACCATGAAGGTTGCCTTCTTCGGCGCCTCGGCCGGCTGCAGTCTCGAGACGCTGACCTTGCTTCTGCGCAACATGCCTTCCCCCTCGAGCACCTTCCATGCCATGGTCCGCTCCCCAGCCAAGCTGCAGGGCGTCTTGCGAGAGCGAGGCCTAGCCCACCATATTGGGTCCACCGTCTACATTTACGAGGGAGACGCACTAGTACAGAGTGATATTGAGAAGTTCCTCACCCAAGCAGACACGACAGGAGAGGGCGCTATCAGCCACATTGTCTCTACAATGGGCCCCGTGGGCAGTATAAACTGGCTCAAGATTTGGGACCCAGTCGTCATCTCAAAGGAACAGCACTTTATGTGCTACAAGACGATGAAGATTATTCTCGCCAGCATGGAGAAGCTTGTCGCTTCGACTGGCGCTGCTGTGGCCCCTGAACTCGTCGTGGTCACATCCAATGGTATGACAAAGAGTTCCTTTGCGGCTCTGCCCTTACTCTGGAGGTTCACTTGTGAGTTCCAGCAGGTCCACGGAATTGCAGCTGCGATGACGAATTCCAAAATGACTTGTGTCCGCTCTCACGCGCCTTCCCTCCAAAGATCACTGGCTGCTTAAGACGCCTCACGAAGACAAGTACGCCATGGAAGTCTTGCTCCACACGACATACTCTGCGCCCTCTACCGACTTCAACCTTCCGGGATCTCCTCATGCGGGCAAATCTTCCAAGGTCTTCCACAGTGATCGACTGGCAATCCTCCGTCCATCGTTCTTCGTCGATGGAGCAATGACGTGCAAGTATCGTGTCTCGGGGGACCAGGAGAACCTCAAGGGTGCTTGGACCATCAACAGAGGTGACGTCGCTCACTGTCTTACGACCAAGATCCTCGGCGTACCTGTGGCTACCGAAGAAGGAGGTGCCAGTGATGATAGCATTGTAGAGAAGTGCAGAGGAGCATTCGTAGTGGCCCACTGAGTCTTGAAGAGGCTCAAGGCGGCGGATACAGAAACGCATTGAGTTCCGGTAGTGGGCCCCAGAAGGACAATGGCAAATCAAAGTCTTCCGATGTAGCTTGTATATTGTACGGGAGTTGCATGCCTTGTGAACATTCGATCCCTTTCCCAGTTTGAGGAGTAAGAATTTGAGGAGTATGTTCGCTGGATACTACGTTCGATGAGAAGTCGGTTGGGGTCCAGGGCTCATGAGATCCTACTCGCGAGTAGCTCGGATCAGAATAGTCCGACGGAAGTTGACTGACCGGGCCCGGCGATATGTCCAGGGCCGCGGCACATCTTGTTTGACAGTGGGCCAGCCTGGCCAAGATGGTCTGAAGCTGAGGTGCACCAGAGCTCTGCAGGACCTTCGATTGCGCAGCGGATAGCAGAAGCTCCGTCATTGACTTCAGTGCGTCTGCATCAGCAGCCTCAGGGTTTGTGGCTGCGAGCAGTTGACTGGCAAAGTCAAGGTGAAGCCAGGCTGTAGTGCATAGCAAGGGCAAGTCTCCTGACGACGAGGTCTGTTGAGGCGCGTACGCCAGGCGTGATCGCAGCCGATGCTCTTCTAAGCCAGGAGGACGTGTGGCAGTGCCGAGAGCTGCCATGAGAGGAGATATCGCGTTACAGCAGCTCAAGAGGTGAAGGTTGTCTTGCTGCTCTGACCTGACCCGATATACTGCCATGCTTTGAATTGCCTCGAGGCATGTCACGACAGCTCGAAGGGACACATCCTCAACAGGCCTCTCGTCATCCCTCTTCTGCCCCGTCGCCAAGCTCAGTGCGACCATGGCCGCTCTTTCCACCGCTCGTAGTTGTTTGCGAGTCGCAGCTTTGCCTTCCCCTATGTCAATGACAGCAGAATCGTACGAAGTGGGTAGATGGTCTGCAACAAGTCTCCATGTCATGGGATCCTTCGTTCTTATCTGAAGATAGATCCAGACCGTTATTGACTGACAGAGTGAATGTAGAAGTTTGCCTTCCCCGGCGAACGCCGCACTCTGTTTGAGGGCGTCCGGGGATTGAGCTAATTGGCAAGCCAGGGACAGGTAGACTGTGCCCTTCCTGGTCCTGCCGTGGCAGATATGGTTCCACGCTAGAAGAGCAGCATTCGTCGCAGCCGGAAGAACACTGGTAGACTGGTCGATCTGCGTCTGGGAGAAGACATTCTCACTGTAGAGAGGGTCTACTCCGCTGGACTCCTCCTTGACGAGAAACGCAAGGACAACAATCTGAGAAGGTGTTGATTGGAGGGATGGCCTAGTCGTGAACAGCTGAGAGCGATGCAGGGGCGAGAGAAGGCAAGACAAGGGGTGCCAGTCGAGCCACCGCTGAACCAGAGCACGCCAGGTAGCATCGTCATCACTTTCAAGATTTGTCTCTGGCTTGACGTCTCCTGCGGCGACACCCAGGTCCCCATACATGGCAGTGGTGGTGTCCCTAGCGAGGCTTAGAGCGTAGTACATCGTAGGAGTCGCTTGCAGAGTTGACCCTCTGCACTGCTCAATCGAACCCTCGATGATGTCTTGTAGAAGGACTGGGAGCATCACGTCGTACACTGCAGGACCGCAAGGAATCTGCTGTTGCCAGTCCTCCTCCGAGGGCTTGAGCTTGTCAGCTTGAGTGGACAGGAAGGTCCGGACCGCGGCAGCAAACAGAGACGAAGGGGCAGACTGCTGATCATCGCTCTGCTGGCCGAAGAGATTTAGGAAGAGGAGCTCCAGAGCAATACCAACTTGTATGCCGGGTAGGAGATTGGACGAGACTGCACCTGCCACAGCCTTCGGCCTGCCGATTGCGCTTTTGGTATCATACACGCAGAGAGTGAGCCGTGATTCGCAAAAGCTACATGGATTGCCAGCAGAGCATTTCTGTGGTGCAAGAAGGATTCAAAGGAAACAGTCAGTTCCCGGACGGGCTGCATCTTGCGTTCTTCAAGGCTGCACTACTCACAATCTTTCGCGCTCGACAGAGGCGGCAGCTAGCACGCAGCGCAGCAGACGTGGCCTTTGAGGACGCAGACACGCCAGCATCTCGAGGCATGATGGACACACCGTCGATCGATCCCACTGCTGCCCTGTTCCAGCTATGGAGTGGCTGCTGCCACAGAGGTACAACGGTAGGAGGCTCAGTGTGCAATGGGCACACGCTCTAAAGTTGTCCACGCTCCCTTCCGCACGTCCCGCTCCCTTTCCGCATCCACCGCTCCACAAGGACGCATCCGCCCGAGGCCGGCCCTGATGACCGTTACCGTATCACTTCTATCCGTTGCATTTCTCGCTCTACAAGCATCACTGATCCTCTGTTCTATCTATCATATACAAACGAGCAATTCTCTTTCTGAGCCTCTGCTGACTACCACTCACTGAGGTCTGTCTTTGCGTCTTCTGCAGACAATGCCGGCATCCGCTTCCGATCAGCCGGCCTACGACTGGGACTATCTATGCAAATTCATCCTCATCGGTGACTCCTCTGTGGGCAAGTCATCACTCCTTCTCCGGTGAGTAACCTTGTTTCAGAATGTCTGAGTGATGCCATACTTGGGTCAGTAAATACCTGACAGCTCTGCTGACTTCTCACTATGCGGTTGCACCTCGTCCCGCAATACAAAAGAGCGACCGATGACCGCTTTCTAGCTGAAGAGGCCGAGCCTACCGTTGGAGTCGAGTTTGGGTCTGTGACGCTGCCTCTTACTCCGCCACAGGATGCTTCATCGAGCACTGGTGGCGATGCTGCTACATCTACTGCCTCAACATCAACGTCCTCCTCTTCCGCTGCTCGCTCGCCAAATGTAAAGATCCAGATCTGGGACACATCAGGCTCGGAAGCCTTTCGCGGTATCACAAGGTCCTATTACCGAGGCGCTGCGGGTTGTCTCCTCGTCTACGACGTCACACATCGTCCCTCCTTCACCAATGCCAAGAGCTGGCTGAAGGATGTGCGGGAGCACGCAGAAGAGGACGCAGTTGTGGTGCTGGTAGGCAATCGCATTGATTTGGCCGAGGATGACGGGGAGCGCAGGAGGGTGAACGCGGAAGAGGCGAAGGAGTGGGCAGAGTCAGAAGGGTGAGCACAGCACAGAGCGCTAGACAATGGTACCTGCGACGAAGCTCTGCTGACCTCACTGATGGAATGCCGTCTCACCCTTGCAGCATCCTCTTCGTGGAGACGTCGGCGAAGACGGGCCATAATGTCCGTCACGCCTTCGAGGCTTGTGTCAGGGAAATCCACAAGCGCTTTGTGGCCTCCCAAAGCTCTACTTCTGCCTCGTCTTCGGAAAGCAACAAGCTCCTCAAGAGTCGGACAGGCGGAAAAGGCAGAGGTGCCGACGGTCAAATAAGACTGGACCAGGATGGCGGAATCATGACCCGGAGTGGGTGCTGCATTGTGATGTAGAGGCAGAGGCAGGGTCAGCTTGATAAACTCAAGACATTGGGAAAGAGCAAGCATTCAATTACCTCTCATCTTCCAAGGATCCCTTCCTCAGTCTTCGCTCCGGAACATGCCCTCGTATCCATCTCCTGTACTTTTAATCGTCGCAATCGATGTGTGTATATATCAGCGCTGAGTGATGGCCCCTGCTCGACTGAAGAGAAGTAACGGCGTCACCGTACCGACATTGTGCAGGCGCTGTCGGTGGCAAGAATCACGCCACATGAAGAGAAGGAAGCGAAGAGATATAATCATTTTATACAACAGGTAAAGAGAGACTAGACAACGGAGAGAGAGCAGGAACGCCAGGCAAAGGTCCCGACTTCGAGCAAGCGGCGGGGACAGATAGACCAAACGCACTTTTGCACGCTCAGGATGCAGCAACCCATGCCGCTCCGGCCAGTACTGCCAATCCACCGGCGAGGACTCCCTTCCATGCGGGCGGTACGGCTGCCCCTTGTCCAGCACCATCACTCTCACCACCTCCAGTGGCAGCAGCAGTCGAAGAGCTCATGGCCGACGAAGTAGGATCGTTACCTGTCAACTCATTGGTTGTAGCTCCCGAGACAGTGTCGTATGTCATGCCGCCATTTGCTGCACTGAGGTACGAAGCTGACGAGGGCTGGAAAGTCGTGGTTTGCGCAAGAGGTGTGTCTCCTGCGTAGGAGGAAGAGCGGGAGAGGGAGACGACGTCGAAGGTTCCGGCAGAGTTTGTTGTTCCTCCTGCGTTCTGGATCGCAGGATCGAAGTTTGTACTTGTCACCGAGGGTTGTGCAAGTGTGGCCGGAAGGTAGCCGGCACCTTCTGTCGGTGTTGGCAGTTGCGCTGTGGGAATCCCAAGAACAGAAAGGAAAAAAACGCTACGGGTCAATATCACCACAAAAGGGACAAGGCGAAACCTTTTTGAAAAAACCTCTTTCACATCCCAACTCACCCTCGACGTTGAGAATCAACATTGCCAGAGTCATGACTGCGAGCGCCACTGAGCTCCTGCTCTTGAACGAGGGAACTTTTACCATGTCGAAGCTGTGAAGAGGCGGCTTTGAAGACGGTATATAGTCCAAGCAGAGAGTGTGGGGTAGTAAGAAGGAAAAACCGCAGAGGGGCGAATATGCAACGAGGCGAAGAGGAATTCGTCTGGCACGAGTGGTATGCCGAGCTGCGCGAGTGAATCTGGATGAGACTGAAGAAAGGGCCTGCCAGGTATAAGGTGGGTATCGGTAGTAAAGCAAAGCAAGACGAGATGAAGACGAGAGGGCGAATGGATGGATGGATGGCTTGATGAGAGGTGCAAACTAGGTAGGCAGACAGGCAGTAAGAGTAGGTGAGGAGAGGCAGGCGGGGGACGAGGGGGAAACGCAGCCGAAGCAGTGGCGCAGAAGCACGGGAGCAGCCTGCAGCCCTAGACAGTCGTCATGAATCCGGGGTCAGGCACCACGCCACTCACGGCGGACTTTCACGTCCCCGCCGCCAGTCTGCGCCTGGGAAAGACACTCGCGGCAGCCTTGCCGATACTCACACATCAAGAGGCCGTGAGCTCGAACGCCGAGCCTGGGCAGTCGCCACAAAAAAAAACATCTTCGTCGATAGATGACATGTGTTGGGACATGCTGTACTCAAAGGAGTAGTCGGAAGACGTGAAGAGGGCGCAACACACTTGACACTCGCTGACACACAGGGTTGACCTGGCGGCGTCATCTAGGGAGAGCGCTTCTGCAGAGGAACAGAGAAGAGAATGCCCCTTTGCGCCTATCACCAAGGAGGAGGTTCGGGCGCTTCTTTGCCAGCGTACTGAGCCTCCTCCACCCAGTCTTCAACCTCGTCTGGATCATAAGCCCAGGCGTCGGGATCCCAGTCCTCTGCTTCCGAGCTCCCTGCTTCGGAGGCGCACGCTTCTTCCACGTACAAATCCTCAGAATCCGAAGCTTCCTGGTCCAGATGCTGGACAGACTCGCTCTCGTCCTCCGAGCTCTCATCCTCTGTTATTCCGAGGGTGACTCCGAGGTGAGAGGTCCAAAGCGCTTCAACATGTCGACGTATCCAGGGACTATGTATCTCGCGTAGCCAACGTTCGAGGTGCCCCAAGATGACAAAAAGACGGAGTCGGTCACCGAGATCGTCGATGTAGAGATCGAGCTTTCGACTTCGATACATGTCCTGTCGAGGCACGGGGCGAGAATGTGTTGAGTAAGGATAGGACATCCTAGTATATTTACGACATCCTAGTCTATTTACAGCGACAGTCACTTACATATCGCGTTTCTGTCTCGCAGAATGGCGTAGATGTCGCAAAGAAAAGTCGCCAGAGGGGTCCTGCGGATACCATGACAGCAACAACAGGGCTGCTCGACAACAGCTCAGCGGTGCTCACAAGATTCTCCATGAGCTGTAGCGCCCTAGCAGCTGCAGCGGCCGCTTGAAGTCCCGCTTTGCAAACGTCAGCCTCCGATGCGTGTGCTACGTAGATGATTCCTGGAAACAATAGTCCATCCTTACCGTCACTTGAGCGTGGACTGAATTCGAACGAGGACGAGTGATGCTGTCGTAGCTGATCGAGGGCGTTCCAAGAGAGCGGATGCCATCGAGCTGGGTCATGCTCTTCGAGACGATACAAGTCCGCCCGTCGACTGTAAGGCAAGCCATAAGTCACCTGCATTCTGGGGGCAGGACATGGAAGGAGGCCAGCATTCGGATCTAGCGCCTGAGGAATGCTGTCTTCACCTTGCGTAGGCCAGAGCTCGTTTGAGGAGGAGGCAATGGCACCTGTTCGCTCGCCGTCAAAGAAGACAGCGTTTAGAGTCGGGTAGTTAACGAGGCGAAGCCAGTCATCCAGGCACCGCTCCGTCCAGGTCCAGTAAGGTGGCAACTGGAAAGAAGTAGCTCGCTGCCAAGCTTTCGTGAGGTAGGGATCTGCAAGCTCTTCAACGGCCTTCCACTGCTGGTCTTTGGTCTCATAAGTGGCGAAGGCTTTGGGCAAGGTATCAATGCTCTTGAAGAAGTCGACTCCAGTGCTTGGCATGTCGTCTGATGTGGTCCAGATATTCATCAGCAGACCCTGTACTGATCTCGCTGTACGCTGCACATCCTGTGGTTCGTCAACTTCTATGTGAGAAGCCATGGTGCTCGAGAGGTCGGAAGGGGCCATAGTGTGTACAGCGGCTGGCGTATCTGGAGCTTGACAATAGACGGTCTGTCTCTCGAATATCATCGCTTCCAACCTGTGACAACAGGCAGTCCGCAATGACTGGATGGTTCTTGATCAAAGGGAAGAGCCGAGGGGCTCCGTCTACTCAATGATTCTGCAAGCCACGTGTTCAGTGCCAGCATATTCACAGCCGCATGCCCCTGCGTGACAATATTTGCCAATCAGCATACACGGGTCACGACGCGCTTGCCACACGTTGACATGGACATGGTGATTGCTGGCGATACGAGGAAGACACAATTGAAGACGCTGTGACGTGAAGCTGGCCGCAGAGACCCTACACATCACTCGCAGACAGGCGTGTCTGAAGGCTGGCAAGTTGAATCTGGGTCACCCAGTCTTCAGCCTCACCTGGACCTGCTCCCCAGTCCTGCCCCATCCAGTCATTCGCTTCCGAGCTGCCTGCTTCGGACACTTCTCCCTCTGAATCTTCCACGTATATCTCCTCGGCAGCCTCTTCATCGTCGCCCGAAAGGTCTACTACCGTACTTCCAAAGCATGCTTCTAGGTACGAAGTCCAGAGCGCTGACACATGTCGGCGTACCCAAGATCCGTGTGTTACACGTAGCCATTGCTCTAGATTGCCCAAGATCACGTGCAGACGGAGCCGATCGCTTGCGTCGTCGATATACAAGTCGAGCTTTCTGCTTCTGTAGATGTCCTGTCAAGAGGTACGAAAGGTGTGATGAGCGTACCGTCACTTCCGCTGTATTAAGGGTCACTTACATAGCTGGGATTGTTGGGATCTCTGCCAATGACCGTTGAGGTCGCAAAATGAAGTCGCCAGAGCGGTCCTGCGGATACGATGATCGCAACGACCGGGCTGCTCGAGATGGAGTCAGAGGTGCGCATCAAGGCCTCCAGGACTTGCAGAGCCTTGGCAGCCGCAGCGGCAGCTTGAATCTCTCCCTTGAACATATCGGTCTCTGATGCCTGTGCCGCGTAGATGATCCCTGGAAACAAAGGCCCAGCTTGCTCGTCGTTAGAGCGAGGACTGTAGTAAAAAGAGGGCAAGTGCTGTCGTAGCCTGTCAAGCGCACGCCTTGATAGGGGGTCCCAATTTCGTGGAGAGGGCATCTCGTGACCATTTGGTAGCCACGACCTTCCATAGGCCAAGCCATAGACAACCTCAGTTCTGGAAGCGCGTGACATGTAGAAATTGCTGTATGGCCCCACTCCATACTCGTTTGCAATGTCAAAAGAGGGCTCGTCGCTTCCGAACCAGAGTCTTTTCGTGGAGGAAGTTATGAGACCGTTCATCTCTGCTTCGCCAAAGACAGCATTCAAAGTAGGGTAATTGACGAGACGGAGCCATTCTGGCAGACCCTGTCCGCTCCCTGTCGGAAGGGTGGTGAATGTGGAAGAGGTCGCTCGCTGCCATGCTTTCTTGACCTGCTCATCAGGGAGCTGTTCAACGGCCGCAGATAGCTGCTCAAAGGTCTCATAGGCAGCAAACGTCTTTGGCAGCGCATCAATCTTTCTGAAAAAGTCAACACCGCTCCCTGGCATTGCCTCCGAAGGGGCACGGATGTGGATCGCCTGACTTCGGAGCCATTTTGATGCCTGTTGCACATCCTGTGGCCAGTCATCGACGTTGTTCGAAGGCATCGTGGGGGTCACGTAGTTGAGTGAGTTCATCGTCAGTGGAGTCTGAAGATTGCAGGGGTATTAGTAGGAGAAGAAGAAGAGAAGGTGAGGTGCTTCGGGATCTGTAGCTTTAATCTCAAAGTGCGTGAGGAATGATTACTGATCAATGTGCCTTACTACTGCAGACCACGTGGTGATCAGAATTGCCTCCGCCTTCCCCGTTCTGAGACATGTTCTGCCTGTCAGCAGATACGGCAGGAAGGGCAGCCGGTCCTTTTCTCAGCGATCTGTCGAGATGTCTTTGCTCAGACAGAGCAGTGAAAGGCTTCACAGGCTGCTTAAAACGGCGGTGAGCGGAGACTTTAGAGCTCTCTGCACTCATGTTCGCTCACACGTGAGAGTTTTGACCGGACCAGATCTAGAGCAAGATCTTTGGGTATTCGAGATGACTGTGACTGTGATGTTTCGCCTAGACGAGAGGCAACTATCGTACACCACACCTATCCCTCATCCATCATGATCTGGATGAACTCTTGCTCATTGATCTCACCATCCTGGTCCAGATCAAATTCATCGATCATCGCTTGTCTGTAGTGGTGGCGAAATGGAAGAGCGCAAGTCAGCTTCTGCTACGACTGCATTGCCGCCGTGTCACATCTCTCTCAGCACACTTACAACTCATCCTCGTCCAGCTGCTCCCCAAGCTCTTTAGCCACCCTGCGCAGGTTCTTGACCGAAATTTTGCCTGTATTGTCATCGTCGAAGAGTGCAAACGCCCGTCTGATTTCTTCCAACGGGTCGCGAGCAGCTATCCTGTCACCCACTGAGAGAGAGGGGGGGGGGGGGAAGAGAAAGGTCGAATATCTGTCAGACCAGAGGCTTCCCTGCAGATTTCGCGAGATCTGCACTCCTCCTTCTGACTCACTGATCTTTGAGAAGTCTTCCCACTCCATCAATCCTTCCCCCCTGCGGTCATATTCCCTCAGCAGCTTGAGCACTTCTGCCTTCTTGAGATCGAAGCCCAACGCGCGCATCGCGACTTTAAGCTCATGGTAATCCACCGCTCCATCCTTATCGGTGTCAAAGAGCTCGAACGCCTCCTTGATCTCCTGGCGCTGCTCGTCGCTCAAATCAGCTGCAGTGGCTGTAGCGTTGCCGTGGTGGTGATGAGGAGAGGCGGAAGAGCCTATGGCGTTGAGGTGGTGTGAGGAGCCGGCGGCGCCATTGGGGCGTGGGGTGGAGCGCCCGCCTGAGATCTCTGCAGCGCCTCCAGGAGTGCGACGCTTGGCCTTGGCTCCCGTGGGAGTATACAGAGACATTGTGAGACGACAAAAGCTGTCAAGAGTGCACAGATACAATCGGCTAGCTTGCGAGGTGGATTGAGAGGCAGGTGGAGCGATGCGAAGGAGGGACGAAGGCAAGGTGTTGGAGTGAACGCGTCAGAATTGGAACGGCGCCCTTTTCGCGCATCCGTGGCGCCTCTCCGGTCCGTTCACTGATGTGGTGCCAGGCGAAGCTTCTGGATCGTAGCTCGTATGAGTCTCTTCTGGATCCAGACAGGCGCACAATAATCAATGGAAGGTTGTGATTATCTTTGGGACTCCTCGCACTACACGTCCACCTTGATGGCCTCCAGCTTGGGAATCAATGCGTCCCACAGATCAGCCCCTTGCTTCCACATCGCAACCTGCCCATCCGCATAGGAGCCCAAGAGCTCCTTCATCTCTTGGTCCTTCGCCATGTGGAAGATCTTGTTCTCCTTTGCAACCTCATCTGAAAAGGCGACGGAGACGTCATGTGACACAGTGACCGCATCTTGCAGCTGTGAGAGAAGATTGAAAGCAGAACAGAGGCTGTGAGCAGGTGACGTCGGTGGCCCTGACTTGCGCATCTTGCCCTGCACTCACCTCCTTGATTCTTCCATCGAGCCTTTGCATTCTCTCGACCCTCGTCCGCTCTTCGTCCACGCCCCTGAAGTGATCGACTTTGTCCTTGAGAAAGCCTGTGATTCCAGCGCCTCGGACACCACCGTGACCATGCCCTCCACCGTGGGGACTGCTTAGACTTGCCAATCGGTCTCGCTCGGACACCACAGAAGAAAGGTAGTCTGTGAGCTCCTCGAAGTCTAGCTGCTTCTGGTCCCGCAGCTTCAGCACAGATCGATGTGCGGAAGAGTATGCCAAGATGGCGTGAAGGTGCGATTGAAGTTCGTCGGTAGAGCGGCCAGTCTATAGTAAGGGAAAGGATAATCAGTCGGCTGGTAAGATCGCACAGACCCGCTCTCCTGCATCACTCACGGTGCTCCTGGTGATTCTTGCCCACTCGTTTGAGCTTGACGCGAAACGATTCAAGGGGTCCGTAATGCCACTCTCTAGGTACCCCAGCCCTTCGATCGCGTTAGCCAGCTCTTCGTAATCTGTTGCAAGGTCTTGTGATTCCAAGCCGAGATTTGTGGCCAGCAGTTGTTGTTTGGGTGAGCCAGGCGCAGAAGCAAAAGAAGCACGGCGGGGAGCAGTGGACGTCATGCCAGACAGAGCAAAAAGACCGCGGCCGGGGGATTGAGCACGTTCGGAGGACCGCGAACGGGAGCCAGAAGAAGGGGAGAAGGAGGGGGGAGGTAGAGCAGAGGGACCTGTTTAGTCCGCGTCCGGTGTGAGGATGGACAGGTACTTGTTTGATGCACGCCAATGTAACCCTACTCACCTGTCCAGCGCACGCGACCTCGGCTGATCACTCTTTCAACGCCGGAGAGCCCCTCATCAAATTTGTCTAGCCGCTCCTTCATCACCTCGAACTTCTCGTCTGGCTTGCGGACTTTAGCAAAAGCGTTGAGGAAGGTGTCCGACAGCGTATCGAGGATACCCTGGGGCCCTCTTGGCCCTTCGTCGACTCCAGTCAAGGTCGCATTGCTGCTTCCACTCGCTGCTGATGAAGTATGTGTATGCATTTCGACGTGCTGAGAGTATCAAGGAGGCCAAGTCAGTAGACTGAAATGTGCCATTACATGATGACTGCCCTCATACTCACCCATTCTGTTGATTCTAGAAAGCTACGCAGCAGCTGCGACCGTTGGAGAGTCGGATGACGGCAGACTCTCTCCAGGAAGAGTTGCAAGCTGTGAGTAGAAGCAGTGCATGAGAGCAAGGCGAGTGAGTCGGCTTGCTTTGTGTCGAACCCCATGAAGCTCTTCGCCAATGCAGACTCACTCTGTCACTCTCCGCTCGATGAATTCGCTCTTGAATCGATCACCAGTCAGGTATTCTGGCAAAATGAATCGAGAAACAAAATCAGAAGTCTGTCATCTCAGAGCTCTATCGCGTCGTCAGATGCTCACCAAGTCTATGTTTGTCGGGCAGAGGTGCAACTACGCAGGCGGGAAAGTCTCTGGCTAGATTCTCCCTCAGAAAGACGAAGTCTTGGAAGCGCCGCCTTGTAGCAATACGTGACCTTGCGAAGTGCTTGAGATTCGTCTGTAGTAGGGGAATGTGCGAGTACGGCCATTCAGTCCGGTGCCCAACCAAGGACGCACTGCTACTCAACCTTCGTCACCTGAGACTCACCTCCGCTCGGATGCCGTACGAGACGAACATCTCTTTTGTCCCCTCATGCTCCTTCCTAGCCTCAGTGACCTGCACCATGAGATACCCTTCCCATCTAGGTCTTCCATGATCAGCATCAACTCGCGGCCTAGAGTAGGGGTCAACAAGATTCTGGGTGCCAAGGACCAGGTCTACGCCGGAAGTAGGGGGCTGAGAAGAGGAGGCGGCAGAAGAGGATGACTGTTGGTGGCCAGAGGATGAGGCAGCGGCTGCTTTGGCGTCGTCTGCGTTCTCCCAGGTGATTGAGGTGAAATTGTCCTCGTCGTCGTTCATGATGGGCAGTGGACGAGGACGACGAAGGGTAAGGGAGCGAGCCTGGTGTGCTACACTGACGAGGCGGTGGTGAGATGACTGACGCAGAGCAGTGCGCCTTGACCCAGGGCGCGAGCTGAGTGTGGAGACCCGCATCGCACCTCGGCTTCCGCCAGTGCCGCCCGGAGCTCAGCCTGCCAACGCCTCGCCCGGCTGCTGGTACGCCCGGCTACCCCCAGACCATGTGACACAAGAGAGAGTAGAGAGTACAGATCCGGTCTTAACCCGCACCAAGATCATCGACTGAGCGTCTGCTATCGCCCCACATTCCCTCCTCACCCGTGCGATGCCGGACAAGACTGCCTCACGCTTCGACTCCGAAGCTGCGACATGGGACAGCAACCCAACAACGGTCCGCTCCTCCGCCCTCTTCTTCGACGCAATCAAGGCTCGCTTCCCGCAGCTTGCTCGTGGTGCTGAGAAGAAGAAGAGAGCACTGGAGATAGGTTGCGGCACGGGCTTGCTGAGTGTGCACTTGGCTCCTCTGCTGGACGAGTATCTTTGCTTCGACCCAAGTCAGGTGAGTGAGGAGGCGAACGCACAGGGCATGTGTCCTCTCCTCTTACACGAATGAGACCGGTCTGTGTCCCTACAGGGCATGATTGATGTCCTCGAGAGCAAGATACCAAGCCTGCCCTCGGGCACGCACCTAAAGGCCTTCAAGGAGCTCCTTACCGAGCCGGATAGCCCAAGCTTGGGCGGCAAGGGAGTCGACTACGCTTTCTCTCACCTTACTCTGCACCACATAGTGAGTTTCTGGCATGAACGATCTCGCGTCGGTAGCCCAGGCTCGGTAGCAGAGTCTTACCCCCTTGAAACCTTCTCATGTCAGCCGGATATGCAATCCTCCATTGACTGTCTAGCTGCCACCCTCAACCCGGGTGGCTTCCTAATTATGTCGGACTTCGAGCACTCCCCAACCTCCGAGCTGTTTCATCCAAAGCACAAGCATCATGACGTGGAGCGGCACGGAGTCGTTGGCGATGAGATCCGGGGTATGATGGAGAAGGCGGGACTGAAAGGGGTCAAGGTGGAGCACAGCTTCGACTTGCCAAAGTCGGTGGAGGGTGGGTCTGAGAGGGACTTTGCGTTCCTCATCTGTATGGGTCGGAAACAGTGATGCCTCCTTGACCACGCCTGCTGGATGCTGCCATTGTCTGCGTCACACTCTCTCATCCCGTATGCCCATCTCGGATGGGACCTCGGCTTCTCCACAACCTGCCCAAGTCCAACACTATCGGAGTTTGATCTGTCCCGCTTTGACCTTGGGACCTGCACCTTATACCACTGTTGGCTCTCGACCCCTGTGTTTCCCGCCGGCGACAACAAAGCCAATGAGAGAGCGACAACTCCTCCGCTGCTAAGGTCTTCGTTCTCTTCTCTCCTACTCCTATCTTCATGATCTGATCTGATCTGATCTGATCTTCTTTGCTCGCGGTCGCCTCTCATTCATATCGGCATCCGCTTCCATGTCAGCAAAGAGCAACGGAGGAGACAGGCAGTCGCAGGGCGAGAGCCAAGGCAGAGATGGTAGCTCAACCCCTCAGCCTCGTTCTCGACCTCTGTCGTGAGTGGCCATAGATGCAGGAAGCCAGCTTTGCGGTCATCTGACATCTTGTCTTCCCTCTCCCCAATATGCCTACCAAACGCCATAAAACTGTCACCATCCTTACGCCCTCAACATCCGAACGAACTACCGATGCTGGCCTTTCGAACGACTACTTCTCCTTTCCCTTTCGTCCACCTGCTACGCCTGCCACCTCTGGCATCGCCTCCATCGTCGTTCCCCATGCTGACGCACATGGATGCACGTCACCGGCCGCTGCTACTGCCATCGTAATATCCCCGGCTGATCTCATGGCCTCTTCGTCTTCGGAAACACGACCTGGCGTCTCCATCCGGCTCTTCCCTCCTACCGTTATCCTCCATCACAGAAGAGTCTGGGCTGATGAGCCTACCGCATTTCCGCCGGCAGGAATAGAAGCCTTCAACAGTCTTCGTCGAAGGGCCAGGAAGGCAGCGAGGCTACGAACCAAATCATACGACGACGAATTTGAAGGGAATCGAGAGGGCGCTGCAACGCCTTCGAACGGCCTTAGAGTCTGGTACTAGTCCTACACAACTATTGACTGGGTTCATGACGCCATCAAAGAGTCGGCCAGACTCAGACGACTTCAAGGGATCAAGGGCCTGCGAGGCTTCATCATCAATTCCTGGGATCGCTTCCAAGGTTGGCTAATTGTAGGCATCACCGGTCTGATAACCTCGATCATTGCTGGCGCCATCATAGAATCAGAGGCACTCTTGTTCGACCTCAAGGACGGTTACTGCTCGACAGGATGGTGGCATGCGAAGAGATTCTGCTGTCCGCTGGAGGATGGCGAGGAAGTACTATCGCCTTCTCACTCAGACGGGGCCACTGGGCTGCACCGATGGGCGGATGCTATGTACGGGCACCGGCCTTCAGCTCCCGCAAGCGTAGATCGTCGTTCTGCCGCTGTCTTCTCCGGCGTCGGTCCAGTGGCCGGATCACCTCAGTGGGAGACCTTAGCATTATCAGACAAAGAGATGCAAGTCTGCCCGCGATGGGTACAGTGGACGGACTTCCTGCCAAATGCTGTCAGAAAACAGGAGTTGGCTGGCTTTCTCTTTTACTTGGTCATTGCGGTGAGTAGCTTGATTCAATGGCCCGCAGAGCTCACGAGAGCTGATCTTCAAGCCCCTTCTTTCCACCGCGACCCACTATTAGCTGCTATGGGCTTCGATTGCCTGCCTTTTGACACTTCACCTTACATCATCCGACCTGCATTTATCTACAAGGGCATTGGAATCTGGGAAGAAAGGCGGGCAAGAGCAAACGGGTACCGAAGCAGATCCCATCGGAGAAGACAACCCAGCTCGGGAAGACGCTGCTGTGCGAGACTATGCCGCACCTGCTTCCGAGACAACCTCACTGCTGAGTCGCAATGTTGACGAGCAGTCACACTACAGCGCTACCAACGGTGGTGACAGACCACTGCCTCTTCGTCCAAAGCACTTCGCAGACTTGACCAATCATACAAGGGCTCAAGGAGCCATCGGCAGCCGCAAGGTCCTCTACTTTGGCAGCGGCAGTGGTATCTCTGAAGTGAAGTGCATCCTCAGCGGATTCGTCATCCGCGGCTATCTTGGCTTCTGGACTCTCTTCGCCAAAAGTGTTGGACTTTCTCTGTCGGTAGCGTCGGGCCTTTCCCTCGGAAAAGAAGGTCCCTTCGTTCATATCGCCTCTTGCGTCGGCAACATAGTCTGCAGGTTCTTTGACAAGTACGAGCGCAATGAAACCAAACGGCGAGAAATCCTATCTTGCGCATGTGCAGCCGGAGTCGCTGTGGCATTTGGTGCCCCTATCGGTGGGATCCTCTTCTCTCTGGAAGAGACAACTTACTACTGGTCCGGAAAGGTCATGTTTCGAAGCTTCGCCTGTGCTATCATTGCTGCTGCCGGACTGAGGTTCATCAATCCCTTTGGTACTGGAGAGATCGTTCTCTTCAGAGTGTCCTACGACAAGGACTGGGCCTGGCAAGAGCTGCCGATTTACGTCATCCTTGGTCTATTCGGTGGGCTGTATGGAGCCTTCTTTACGAAGTTGAACATCATCTGGAGCAAGCAAGTGAGGGCCAAGACATGGATGGCCCGCTACGACTTGCTTGAAGTGATGCTCGTCACAACTTTGACTATCATAGTCTCCTTCATCATCGGAGGGTATGCTCGCATGGGGGGTCCCGAGCTCATCAACGATCTCTTCAGCGAGTGTCACGAACACGAAAGCTTGGACGGCCTTTGTATTTCGCACCCGTCTCAGATTCGGCCCCTCATCATGGCAGTCTTCTGGACGATGTTGGCCAAAGCTGTCCTCACTACAGTCACATTCGGTATCAAGCTGCCTGCAGGCATCTTCATTCCCTCACTGGCAGTCGGTGCATGCTTTGGACGTATCATCGGTCTGCTGATGCAGTACATCCAATGGACCCAACCTCATCTCGCTTTCTTCTCGTGGTGCTCAGCATCTGACTCCGCTTGCATTATCCCTGGAACCTACTCAATGCTCGGCGCAGCGGCTACTCTCTCTGGAGTGACGCGTAGCACAGTCAGCTTGGCTGTGATCATGTTTGAGCTCACTGGCACGCTGACATATGCCATACCGGTAGCAATTAGCATCTTGGTCGCTCGTACTGTCGCAGACTCATTGCAGCATCAAGGAATCTATGACCTCGTCATTGAGTTGTCGGGACTGCCCTTCCTAGATCCCAAGTTGACTTACACGTGGAAAGATGTCAGTGTCAAAGATGCAATGGACACTGAGGTAGAGGTGATCCGTCTGGACGAGGCAAACTCAGTCGACAGCTTACAAAGCAAGCTGGCTCGGCTGGCTCTGGGCATGGGCTACACAGACGGTGGCTTCCCAATCGTCGTCCCATCTGAGGTTGAGCCGCCCACCAGGAGGGGCGGGAAACGGCGATCGGGCATCCGAATGGTGGGCTACATTGCAGCTCAGGAACTCGAATACGGACTCAGCCAGCTTCTCCGGCAGCAACCCGATCTAAACCCTTTGGAGACAATTTGTACCTTTGCCCATATCCCGCAAGCTAACGGCAACAGTGAAGACGAAGCAATGACGGACTCGCTGTTCCTTCGCAGCGACGAGCCACAAGACTTCAGTCGCTTTGTGGACCAAGCGTGAGCACGATGTCCGAGCCGACATGTAGCAGCAATGCGACGAAGTGAAGTTGACTGCTGACGCCACCTCTCTTGCTCCATCGTACTGCCCTGACCGCCTTCTAGTCCGGTCACAATCACGTCCTTCTCACCCCTGGAACTGGTACAACAGTACTTCGTGCGCCTGGGTGTTCGCTACCTGGCAGTCGTGGATTCCAGAGGTCATCTGAAAGGGGTCATCTTCAAGAAGCGGTGGCTGGCCTTCCTTTCGACACTGGAAGAACATCACTGAGCTCATCAGTGATTCTAATGCCATTGTATCTGCTTCTATGCCTCCGCCGCCTGTTCCTCGCCACCCCTTGCTTCAGGATCGCGCAGTTGCCAGTGCCCAGGCACAAGTTCGGCCCTGATCGAGGACGCCTGTGATGGTGCCTGAGTTCTGACGATGTCCGCGGAAACCCCTCATTTCGACCCGCAAATTCCCGAGTGATGCCCCTGAAGGGCAGGATGGGGTGCTGTGCCTACGTCTGACCTCATGAGTACCTCAATCTCAGTCCAGGGCGGATGGAAATCGAAGACGAGCATCGAAGAATCGACGTCCAAGCAAAGGGCTGTGAGCGAGCCGGGGCACTGGCCCCTGTGCCCTCTGCCGTCCTTATGAAGACCCCTTCCCCTGATCGCCACGACCTCGTGCCCCATTCTTCCCCTCCAAATCCCTTATCCAGCACATCTCCCCCACTGAATCGTCCGAGTCCGTCACACGTCCTACGACACTCGTTCCAGGCGAGCTTCAACGTACGTTGCTAAGTCAGATAGACACATGTGAGTACATTGTGGCTACCGCTCTTCGCAGCAAGTCGAATTGCGTACATACGGAAGCAGTGGACAGCAGCTGACTTGTCGCTGTACACCGTCTCCTGCTACCAGACCCACATTCCTTGCTACCCTTTGCCACAATGGCCAACATGAAGAACAAGCGCTCCCTCCTGGCTCTCGTAGCCCTCGCCCTCTGCAGTGCCATCCTCCTCTGCACCACCCCAGCAAGCGCTTCACCCCGCTCGCACCTCGCCACCTCGAAGCACTCGGCTGAATTTGCTCAGCAGGTCAGGGATGGACAGGAGAAGAGACTCGTTGGTGAGCTGCCCATCGTGGGTGACTTGACCAAGGAGCTGCCTATTCCCATGAAGAGGGAGCAGAACAAGCGTCTTGTAGGCGACCTCCCAATCGTCGGCGACCTCACAAAGGACCTGCCAGTGCCCCTCAAGAGGGAGGAGAAGCGTCTCGTCGGTGATCTCCCCGTCGTTGGTGACCTCACCAAGGAGCTTCCTGTTCCCCTCAAGCGCGGAGAGAAGCGCCTTGTCGGTGGTTTACCTGTCGTGGGCGACCTGACCAAGGACCTTCCCATCCCCCTCAAGAGGCAGCAAGAGAAGCGCCTCGTTGGCGACCTCCTTGGCGGCACCTCCTCAGAGAAGAACACTCCTCTTGTCGATGCCCTCGTTGGCGACCACCTCGACCTCAACGCCCTCACTGCCCGTGACGATGACGATGACGAGGATGACGAGCCTCTTATCGACGCTCTAGTCGCCGACCATCTCAACCTCAACGCTCTGACCGCCCGTGATGGCGACGACGATGACGAGTCTCTGATCGACGGACTGATTGGTGACAAGCTGAACCTCAACGCCTTGACTGCTCGAGACGATGAGGACGAAGAGGATGAGCCTCTCATTGACGCTCTCGTCGGCGATCATCTCAACCTCAACGCTCTCACCGCTCGTGATGACGAAGAAGATGACGACGAGTCACTCATCGACACGCTCGTCGGCGACAAGCTCAACCTCAACGCCCTGACCGCCCGAACCGACTCTGAGGACAAGCCTTTGATTGATGCCATCGTCGGTGACCATCTCAATCTCAACGCCCTGACCGCCCGAAGCGACTCTGAGGACAAACCTTTGATTGATGCCATCGTTGGTGACCATCTCAACCTTAACGTCCTGACCGACAGCCACGAAAAACGACTGATTGGCAACGCGCTCGACTCTCTGCCCCTCGTCGGTGGAAAGAGCAAGGCCACTGACAGCAAGGCCTCCAATACCACTGCCGACGGTGTCGCACCTGCTTCCACTGCTTCAGCCCCCGTCGCCGGCAAGGGTGTCGCTGGTCTGCTCCCCATCAGGCGCAGTGGCATGCTCGGTAGCCTAACCGACTCGCTCCCTACCAAGTCCGTGCCCATCGTTGGTGGTCTTCTCCCAGTCAGGAGGGCATCCGACTACGCAGAATACGACACCCTATCCGAGCGCGACACCATTGACCTTGCAGCCTCCAGTGGCGCAGAGAAGCGATCGCAGCACATGGGCGGCGGAAAGCTCACATGGTTCGCTGGTCACGAGATGGACGCTCCTGCCTGCGGTGGTCCCAAGCCCAACGACGGCTCTTTCATTGTCGCCGTCAACGAGAAGCTCAAGGGACACTGCGGCAAGACTGTGCGCCTAAGCCACGGCGGCAAGACTCTGAATGCCAAGGTCGTCGACTGGTGTGGAAACTGCCCAATCCGTCATCTGGACGCTAGCAAGGCCGTCTTTGGCTACTTTGCCGACCTTAGTCAAGGAGAGGTGCACGGCATGGACTTCACCTTTGTAGGCGACGATGACCCGGAGGCTCACAAGCTTGGCCCCCTCGACGTCAGCGTCCAGGTGCACCACCACCACTCGTAATGAGTCGAGTTCGAGCCCTCTTTTTCTTTGTGATGCTATGATAGCTACCTTCTTTATCCAGCTCTTGTCCTTTCATTAGCTTCTGATACCCTCCATCCACCTCGACCTCAGGTAGGTCGAAAGCATCTCTTTCCCCTGCGCTCCTGTCACAGCCCTCCTCGGAGCTGCTGAGACTGCCTCCTCTTCCCCGCCCTCTATAATCCACCTCGAGCTCGCTCGCCGTCGACACTTGTTTTCATCTTCCACCTCTCTCGACAATACCACGATATCTTGTCCTCGTGCGGCTCATTGGTCAACCGAACCATTCGCGAGATGTCGATCTCAGTCATCTGATTTGCGACCTGTATTTGTGATTCTTCAATATGGGTATATTGCCATTCGGCTCCGCGAATTCGTCTCCTCCCTGTCTCCATTACCCTGACTGCATGATCCTACACTACCTTTTCCTTCCCCACTGCGCCCGTTCCAGTCGCAGTACTAGTCACAGGTGCAACCGTCTTGCTCTCAACGCCACCGCCAAATCTCCTCCGGGCTAGATCGACCAATTTCCTCCCTTCGGGCCGCTGAGCATCATTGCGTGGATCGTACTCCCAGAGATAGTAGGCTAGTACTCCTGTGGAGAGGCCGAGGATGGGGTCGGCCAGTCTGGACGATAGGGGGGGGGGGGAGGGGCAGGGTGAGTGAAAACTTGCTACTGGATGAGCCTAGTGCTGATCCTGGGATGCTGAGTGTGATGCTCACCGGCCTACGAGGTATGCGGGCATGGGCGCGGTGATGGTCCTTTGGCTGTTGCGTATGCTTGTGCTTGCGGGGCGTGACAGGGTGAGTGTGCTTCGGGTGCGTCGGCGGTGGGGTGGTCCAAGCTTGGCTGAGATGTGCGCGCGCAAGCCGGGTGCCGTCGTAGTGCCTGGCGCCTTTGAGCGTTGCGCCTGTGCGCCTCGTTGCCTCCACACCTTTGCTGGCTGCCGCCTGCGTTTCTTCCTTGCGTTTCTCTCTGCAGACGCTTCGCTTTGACTCTGCACCATCTCACCTCATCACCAACCCATTCCACCAAACAGACAAATGTGAGTATCATTGCACCCTGACGCTGAGCTCAGAAGTAGCTACGGTCAACCTTCGAATCTTCTTCCTCATCTAGCGAGATCCTGACGTGCTCACATAAACCTCCAGTTTCTTCTCTCCTCCTCCCCTCCCTACTTGATGGCGTTTCACCCAACTCTACTCCGCTCCTTTGCCTCGACTCGATCAGCTTTCAACATGTCAAACGTATTCTTCGACATCACCAAGAACGGTAGCCCAATGGGCCGAATCGTATTCAAGCTCTACGATGAGTGAGTACAGGCGGGTGAGGGGCGGGGGTAGAAGCAGCTTCGCACAGGGGGTGCTGCAACCAAGGCCAATCAAGTGTCTATCAAGAGGAGCTTTGTGACTGACCCTGGCACTACTTATGCTCTCCTCCCTCCCTTCACTCCCCCAGCGTCGTCCCCAAGACCACCAAGAACTTCCGAGAGCTCTGCACCGGCCAGCACGGCTTCGGCTACGAGGGCTCCAGCTTCCACCGAGTCATCCCCGACTTCATGCTGCAGGGTGGTGACTTCACCGCCGGCAACGGTACCGGTGGCAAGTCCATCTACGGCACCAAGTTTGCCGATGAGAACTTCCAGCTGAAGCACACCAAGCCCGGACTCTTGTCCATGGCCAATGCTGGACCCAACACCAATGGTTCTCAGTTCTTCATCACCACCGTCGTCACCTCGTGGCTCGATGGAAAGCACGTCGTATTCGGTGAGGTCACCCAGGGTCTGGACATTGTCAAGGCCATTGAGAGAGAGGGAACCAGCTCTGGTAAGACCAAGAGCACCATCACCATTGCCAAGTCTGGTACCGCCTAAGTGGAGGTGAACCTCAGTGCTTTGCTTCTGTGATGTCCCCAAAATCGTAGGACGAACATGAATAATGAGTCGGGAAGACAAAGAGAAGGAGAATAAGACCTGGAAGAATGTGGCTGGTGTGCAACGAAATGCCATTTCACTTTCTCCTGTTCTTGGCCCGAGTCTGAAGACATCCTCGGGTGGTGACGCTTTTGACAGCTTGATGCTCACAACAGCTTGAGTGAAAGTTTGTTTTGATGACGGGAGGGAGGACATGAATGAACCCTTGAATGCACAATGCCTCCTTTCCCTTCCTCCTTTCCTTATCTCTCTCGTGACAATTGAAACCCCATTCCTGCCAACCACTTAGACGCTAAAAGGCTTTAGCCACTTGTCCGCTCCCTCAAACTGCTGCGCCAAGTCCTTTGAGATGCTCTCCTTTTCAACCAATTGCCTCACACCTACCATTAGGCAAGCCCAATACCTAAATCCCCTCTGCAATTCATTCCTCACATCCCTCACGTTTCCAAATGTCCCTTCGAGCATGCTCAATACATTTTCCTTGGACTCCTTCACTTCACTGTCCCCTCGAGCCACTTCCTCTTCAGTGGGGGCAGCACCGTGAAAGGCGAGAAAGGCTTCAATGTAGCACTTGATCACCACGCCTAGACCGGTATTGGTGTCGCTCTGAAAGGGTAGGGAGAGACCAATGTCCAGATAGTCGTCCCTGGCACGCCGGGCATCACCACGGAGGAGCATCGTAGAGGCAATCATCTCCACGAGGTGGCGCATGGAACGGCCCATGCTCTTGACAAAGGAGTTGAAGACGAGCAATTCTCGTGAAACAGGGGCGGTCCAGGGCTCGGCCTTGTACTGCATAGGCAGCAGGGAAAGCGACCTCATGACCAGCAAGAGGTACTTCTTCTCCTCGTCCGTCTCGCCATACGAGGGTCCACCGGAGAAGACGTGCGGCTCTCCAGGAACACCAGCCTGCGTCGTCGATGAGGACTGCACTCCGTTTCGCTTGCCAGCTCCATCTGTGCTGGGAGCAGTGGCAGGCCAGGTGTAGAAGTTGGCGTGGAGAGCACCAGCTCGGATCAGCTCGAAGGCTAGGTACAGGGGCTCTTGCAGCTTGTCGTTCAGCCTCGACAATCTCAGCCCGAGGTGTAGAGCCCGAGCATAGGGAGTGTGCAGATGATCGTGGTTGAGGAAGCCTCGAAGCTCGAGCATCCTCCAGATGATGTTTGCGACAATCTCGTCTTTCTTCTCTAGCTGGCTTCCCGACTGTTGCCGCCGTGGCGTCTTGGTACGGTTCGCAAGCTCGTTGGATCCGGTAGCTCCGAGACACAAGGCAATGTCAATGGTACTAGAGTTTTGTCTCCTGAGCTCTTCGTCAACAAAGGTCACCGGCACGTTCCATTGGTGGACTCGCGATATGAGTTGCTGCGTCGCTTTCGAGTCGTGTGGAATAGGCCGTTCGCTGTCAGGTGCCCACCAGTAGACGACGTTGACCCTCCGAGATCCCCAGTAAGGGTGCAGAGCTGAGCATGCTAGGGCGATGGCGACGCAATTGGGGCTCTGAGGCTGCTCCGTGAGGGCATCTCGGACGAAATGACGATATTCAGCCGTCTCTCCATTGTCCAGAGGTGCAGACTGGACGAGGTAGCCACTTGTCAGCCAAGAGTGGACGTGCGAAGAAATGAGGGCTCGCGATATATGAAGAAAGACCTCGTCTGGTAGATGGGCGGAGAAGATCTGATCGAGGTCGGAAGGGATCTCCGAATGGCTAGGGATGCTATTGGTAGGAGGACCATTCGGGATCAAGGCGCCGTTGCTGCCTGCAGAGGAGAGGTTCATAGTGGGGCTGCTGGCCAGTGGGAGCGGTAGCACGGCGCCATCTTCTGCTCTTACGACCATGCTGAATTTGATCATGCTCCTTGACTTGTAGAATTGGTCGATGTATTGCCTTGCTTTGACCTCCGGGTGCTCGCTGAAAGCATGACAGAGCCCGACGCCTCCCCTATATTGTCGTAGAGCTTCCACCAAGTGCCTGAGATTGACGGGCTTATGCTCTGGTGAAAGAGGCGCTCCAGCTCCTTCTTTGCCCTGTGATGCGGCGGCAGCGGCAGCAGCAGCTCCCGCTGGCAACGGACCCAGTGTTCCATCTGCCAAGGGAGGAAAGGTTGTGCCATGCTCCCATCCGGCCAGAATACCGACATCAAGGAATTCGTCTTCGTTGCGCACGCCGAGTTCAGACATGACGCTGGCCTTTGAGACGTATGTGAAAGTTCCAGCCGAGAGGTTCATGGACTGAATGACCCGGTCTACTCGCTGGAACAGGAAGAGCGAGGTAGAGCCCCAAAGCGCATGCACGTAGCCGCGAGGATGTCGCTCGAGCGACACGAGCTGTATCACAGGGAGATGAGATGCGTCGTTGCAGCGTCAGTACCATCCTGATGCTGGAGACTCTGGTTTGCCTTGTCGTTGGTACTCACCTGACCACTGGCGAGATAAGGGGCAGCAATGAACTCAACGTTGCGTTGCCTAAAGGCCCTGAGCACGCTTCTGATGAGATCGCTAGTATCTAAACTGCCGCTCTTGGTAAGGAGATCTTGCATTCTTTCCACATCTCCTTCCTCGTATGCCTCCCATGCCAGACCTCGGAGCCTCGTCTTGGGGTCGTCCAACTGGAAGGGTCTTGTCTTTCTTGCAGGTGGAAGACCAGAGAGGACGAACACCGGCTTGATCCTCTTGTGCTCTAGATTCTTCAAGTCGTCCACAATGTAGGAGATGAGGGACAGAGGGGCTCCGCCCAAGGCTGCCACGAAGGGTTCATACGACTCTGGATTAGTGAGGAGGGAGTGCAGGTAGACATCGAGGTCTATACCGATACGAGTATCCTTGAGTGCGATCAGCGGACAAGTCTGGAGCAGGTTACGCTCAGAGATGAGAGCTGGAGGGGAGGAACATCGGGCGAGGGATGATTCAGGGACTGTTGTACACCTGTCAAGTGCCTTTTCTCATGCTGACTCACCGTCTATACCGTTGATCATCGTATCTGACGTTGGGATGCCCCAGTCTCGATGGTCCTGAAGCGGTTGGCGCTTAGGATGGGCCTGATGAGAATACGATGGGCTGCTGAGATGCTACGAAGATTTTCCAAGGTCTCTGAGCGGTTCGATGCTATGAAGTTCCCGAGCAGATATGGAGACAGGAGATTGGCGATGAGGAATCCAAATGTCGGACCTTCGGACCTGACTTGGGCGCGAGGGTGTGCAAGCGACCAGTGTGGCTGCTGAAGGTTGAAAGATGCCTGACCTGCTTGAGAAGGGCGGGGGAGCTTGTGAGAGGTGATGACGAGTTATGCTGGCGACAATGATGGCGACGACGACGAGGATGTGAGTGTATGCGTCGGGTGAGGTGAATGGGAGGAGAGGAAGGGTTGGTCTGAGGTTTGAGACCGACACACGGACAGAGGCCGAGTGCGGCGCCGCGGCCAGTCGGGGACAAGGCACTACTGGCTCGCTCCACTCCAGACCCCGCACAGCCATCCAACACTCAGGGCCAAAGGCGCACGCACAGCCAGCCCACGCGCTGCCCCAACGCGAGATCCTCGAGGCTAATGGTATTCAGTAGAGCAGCTATGTGCATCGAGATTCGCTGCGGCTATGTCGTGGGAGGCCATCCTCGATAACCAACACACCATGCTGGGTCGCACTTGCGGCTCCTCTCAAGTGCTCTCACGAGACTGACCGTGCAAAGGGTGAGCGAGCGGCGTTGGGCGGGGCCTGGAACTCAGAAAGCGGAGGTGCATCGGCCAACGGGCGACGGTGGTCACTGTGCTGCTGCTGCTTCTCCTCACCACTACCACACCATCAATCCTCTTGCCTCATTGACGTGGATACAGCATACACTCACGCCATAGCTCGTACCTCTGCCACTCCCCCTGAACATCGGAGCCGACATTCTATCTAGCAGTTGCTCTCGCGAGGTCCACCAACCCCTGGGATCCGTGCCTGTGATCCTCACCCGAGAGCAACGCAGGACCCGAAGCAACGGATCTTCCCACTTTGCCGCCATCCTCCACCCATCGCTGCTGGACAGAAGACGAGAACTCTTCGACGCCTACCACTACTTGCTCTCATCCCCGCCCTCTTCCCACTACTTTGCTTGACCAGATAGCTCAGCTCCCCACGAGCTGTCTCCCTCCAGCCGAGCGAGGGTCCAGACTAGAGGCTGAACCTCCCTTCGGCGAATCGCAACAGTGCATCTCACACAGCTGCAGTCATGACCAAAAGCTTGATCCAAACGGTCAGAGATCGTAAGTTGCAAGCGACCGAGCTGCTCCCTGCTAGACCATCACTCTGACATGTACACTTGCCACATCACCTCACGCTCCAGGCTACCTCACCTCTATCAAATCTGTACAGCCCCCTAGTAGATGGAAGGTCTTGGTGGTAGATTCATATACACAAAAGCTCCTCAACTCGGTACTCAAGCTCAACGATATCTTGCAGCAGAACGTCTCTACAGTAGAGAACATTGAGCACAATCGGCAACCTCAGACTAGCTTCGAGGCATGCTACCTACTCACACCGACTAGCGCAAATGTGGACGGAATCATCAGGGACCTGGCGCCTGGGCAGGGAAGGCCTCAACAGTACGCTGCTGGTCACATCTTCTTTGTAGATGGCGAGTGTCCGCTAGCTTAGAGCTGATCAGGTTATGTGGCTACACACTGACCACCTTCACTACGACAACCTCTGCCTCCTACAGCTCTCTCGGAGCCTTTACTGCACAAGCTGACCAGCTCGCCTGCTGAGCCGTCGTTAAAGCAGCTAGTCGAGATCTTTTCCAACTTTTGGCGTAAGTCTCGATGAGGCAATTGATTTCAAGGAGCGTCCTCGATGGTCCCGACTGCTGACTGCCCAAATTTCTCATAACTGTAGCACTCGAGGCTCAGACATTCTCTCTCAAGAGTCCACAGTCTTTCATGAACCTCTACCGGCCTATTGGTGGCGCATACGGTCCAGACCCTGCCGAGGCAAGGCGCGCCATAGAGGACGACCTTTTCTTCGCGACACAGACTCTCTTCAACGTCTGCGTCACCCTCAATGAGTTTCCCCTCATCCGGTACTACAACCCATCTCACCCTGCGTTAGGGCCCCTCTCTGTCGAAGGTCCATCGCAAGGGAGCCATCCTGGCAGTGCCAGATTAGGTAGGCTCGGATCTTCTTCGTCGTCTTCAGCTGGCGAGCACTTCACCAAAAAGCTGGCCATCAGGCTACAGCAATCCCTCGATGACTATCGCAGAGACAATGAGACGAAGCCAGACGTCGGCCGGCCCCGTGGGGTCCTGTTCATCACTGACCGTTCTATGGACCCTCTCGCACCTCTGCTGCACGAATTTACCTACCAGGCAATGGCCAATGACCTTCTGGCTATCGAAGATGGGCTCAAGTACCATTACAAGTATCAGAATGCCGATGGCAAAAGCGAAGAGAAAGACGCCATCCTGAGCGACGAAGATTCAGTCTGGGTTGCAATTCGTCATCTTCATATCGCTGAAGCCATCGACAAGCTCTCGCGCGATTTCCGACATCACGCTGGCGAGGCAGGGGCGTTTGCCAGCGAGGGCTCCAGCTTGAACGACATGCGGGACATGCTTGCCAGTCTCCCTCACATGCAAGAGATGAAGGACAAATTGAGTCTCCATCTCACAATGGCCCAAGATTGCATGTCTCGCTTCGAGAAGACGCGTTTGCCCTCGCAGGCAATGGTGGAGCAAAATTGTGCCACGAGACTGACGCCCGAAGGTCAGAAGCCAAGAACATTAGTCGAGGAGATGGTTCCTCTGCTGGACGATCGTGCCGTCAGCAATGCAGACAAGGTCAGGGTCATTGCTCTGTACATTATGTTCTGCGAAGGAGTCAACGACGAAGACCGCAAGAGGCTCTTCCAGCATGCTCGTTTGGGTCTCCACGAAATGGACGCCGTCAACAATCTGGTCCAGCTGGGCGTGCAGGTAGTCAAGGATCCAGCTCAGTCTTCCGCTTGGGACGGCTGGCTTCGGAACAAAGGGAAGCGGAGACAGCAGCCGACCAATGGAGAGAATGAATATGAGCTGAGCCGATATCAGCCATTGGTGAAGCTCATGGTAGAGGACCATTTCGCCGGGAAGCTCGATCAGAGTACATATCCGTACGTGAAAGATGCGCCCCCTGAAGTAGCAAGCTCTTCGCCGAGCTATTTGCCTGGAGCACTTGCCAACACAGGCAGAGACTCCCCACTGGCACGAGTGGCAGGTGCAGCAGGGCTTTCCTCATCCCCAGGCTCAGGAGCTTCTGCTCGTCCATCGGGAGCTCCTTCGTCCTTGCGGAGTGCCAAACCTACGTGGCATCAAAAACCTAGGGGCGGAGGAGCTGGCACCGGTACCGGCGGAGGAGGCATGGGTGCAAGTCACAGCAGCTCTGAGGCCAGATCGGGCTCCTCGTCGATACGAGATGAGACACGTCAGAGGGTGATGGTCTTCGTTGCTGGAGGGATGACATACTCCGAGGTACGCAGCATCTATCAGCTCAGCGACAAGCTGCACAAAGATGGGTACATAGGCTCGTCACACACCTTCACCCCGGAAAGTTTCATCAATTCGCTCAAACAATTCGGGAAAGCGGGCGATACAATTGGAGGTGCAGCAGGTGGTCAACGCATCGGAGGGGCAAACGGCCATGGCCAGAGTCCGGGCCACGGTCATTTGCCACCGAACGCTATTTCTCCTCCTCCGACTGATGGTGGCGGGCTGATGTCAAAGGCCCAAAGAGCCGTGCGGTCGAGCAATAACGGCGACAGTCGCAGCAGCTCCCCACGTACGCCAGCCTACCCCTCTAGTGGCTCGACCAATCACTCTTCGCCAGGTCCAGGGCACGACAGCTTCGGCCAAGCCCAATCGGCTAGTTTCGATCAGGGCCAGTACGACCGAAGATTCCAGACTGTGTCTGGCTCTCCCTCCCCGTATGCTGGCAGTGGTGCCTATGGAGGTGCTCAGAATTTACAGGCTGGTCCACAGTCACTTGGCGGGCCAGGAGAGATGCATCGTAGCCCAGCCACATACTCCGGCGCCACCGGGTCTTCAATCGCGGGTCATTCGCTCAAGAGCGCTGCCTCGTACTCTGGAAGCGTCGGAGACGTGTCGCTCAATTCGACGGGTAGTGCTGCGTCAGGAGACAAGAGTAAGAGAAAGATCAAGAATGTCTTTGGCTTCAAAAAGGGGTGAGAGAGGAGAAGAGAGTGAACATCGTTCTGACGTGCGAGCCAGAAAGCAAGATGAGCGAGCAGTCCTGCTGCATTAACGATCACTAGTGTGTATGCCTGTAAATGGACACTTCTTCTCTCTATACACACGAATCTGTTTTCCTGCGAATGTCATGACGTCGTAACGATCGCCTACGCTTGCTCAACAGTACAAGAACGTATCGTGGCCCGTCGAATTGAATCTCCGCCTGCAGCCATCTACGCGGGTCGCGTCGAGCAACACATTTTACCGTTTCGTATTCTCACCCCTAGTGCACTGCACCTCTTGCGACTGCTTCGTCCACCATCGTTCCACATCATCGGCCCTTCTCCAGTCGCTTCCACCCCCGTACGACAGGTGCAGTGTGCTTCTATAGTGGTCTCAAGGCAATAGGTGGACTGTCACGATGTCAGGTCTGATGTATGGAGCGGGTGGCCGAGGCTTCGAGAAGCCTGCTGAGTCCAACCTGGGTAAATATCGGGCTCCTCTTGATTATCTGCGGTACGATTGAGGTGATACTGAACAGTCTTCTTACTCAATGACACCAGACTCGGGAGCCGAGGACAGCTTTGCGAAATACTTTGCCTCGATGCCCGAGAAGCCGGACGGGATGGTCAGGCTCTTTGATCGAGCAGTGAGTAGCGTGCCATACCCCGGCTGGGAGCATCTATATGCAGTCGGACCCCGTCTCTGAAGCTCACTATAACATCAACTTCCGTGTGCCTTGCCTTACAGGACTACTACACAGCGCATGGAGACGACGCGATCCTCGTCGCCACCTCCGTCTTCAAGACCCTGTCCATCATCAAGTACTGGGGCGGGAGCTCCAGCTCCAGCAGTGGCGCCAGCGGTAGCAAGAAGGGCCTACCTTCAGTCAATCTCAGTGTAGCTGCTGCCAAGGCCTTCTTGAGAGATGCTTTGACAAGCAAGCAGATGAGGATCGAGATCTGGAAAGGAGGTGGAAAGAGGTCGAATACTTGGAAGGTGGACCGACAGGTGAGTAGGGTGGAAGGAAGGTAGAGGCGCTGTGAGATGGCATTTTACATATCCTCAATCGCTCTCACACAGGCTTCGCCCGGAAATCTTCAAGATGTAGAGGACCTCCTCTTCATGTCGTCTGACATTACGAGCTCGCCGATTGTCATGGCGCTTAAGTTGCGATCAGTGGACGGAGTGCCGCATGTTGGCGCTGCTTTTGCAGATGCCACGAATAGAGTGCTTGGAGTTTCAGAATTTGCGGACAATGATCTTTTCAGCAACGTCGAGGTGAGTTGAGTCCAAATACCCCCTGCACTCTGTGAGATCTTTGCTGAGTAGTCGTCTCCTGCCTTGTCATTCAGTCTCTGGTGATTCAGCTCGGGGTCAAGGAGTGCCTTCTTCCCGATGATGGCAACGACCCAGATCTCCAAAGATTGATCAAAGTCATTGACAGCTGCGGAGTCATTCAGACGCTACGCAAGAAGAGTGAATTCAACAGTGGCAGTGTAGAGCAAGACCTCAATCGCCTGCTCAACGAGGAGAATGCCGGCGCGACCTTGCCAGAATTCTCAAAGAAGATTGCAATGGGGTCGATGAGCGTCCTGATGTCGTACCTGGGCCTTCTACATGACGATACCAACTTCGGACAGTATGCCATCTCGACGCACGACCTCTCTCAATTCCTGCGACTGGACGCCTCAGCTGTGCGAGCGCTCAGTCTCTTCTCTGAGCCAGGAGCGAGCCGATCTATGAGTGTCTTTGGCCTGCTGAACAAGTGCAAGACCTCTCAAGGCACTCGCTTGCTGGGTCAATGGCTCAAGCAGCCTCTCGTCAATCTGCACGAGATCAATCGCCGGCACGACCTCGTTGAGATCTTCGTTCAAGACTCCATGGCCCGACAGACGCTGCAGAGCGAGTATCTGAAATTGATGCCTGACTTGCGAAGGATCAGCAAGAAATTCCAGAAGCAAGTCGCATCCCTCGAGGATGTCGTCAGGGTGTATCAGGCTGTTCTGCGCCTCGGCGACCTCGTCGAAGTCATCACAAGCGCTGACACGCCCAGTCAGCGACATGGCAAAGTTCTACAGGAGGCCTTCGGCAATCCTATCAAGACGTCAAACACAAATCTGGCAATGTTCGTGGAGATGGTCGAGGCGACTTTGGATCTCAGCGAACTGGAGAATCACAACTTCGTCATCAAACCCGACTTCGATGAGAAGCTCCGCACGATCAAAGACAGCCTGGATCAGGTTCGAGATCAGATCGACGAACAGCACAGGCTGGCGGGCAAGGACCTAAAGCTTGACATTGAGAAGAAGCTTCACTTGGAGAATCACTCGACGTACGGCTACTGTCTGCGCGTGACTCGAACGGAGGCTAATGCCATCAAGGGCAAAAGAGGGTACACGGACATTGCTACGATCAAGGGCGGCGTGTACTTCACCACGAGCGCACTCAAAGAGCTCGATGAAGAATTCCGGACATTGTCTGACCAGTACAGTACGACCCAGAGCAAGCTGGTGCAAGACGTCATCGGCATTGCAGCGACATACTGCTCCCCTTTGGACCAGCTGAACATCAAGCTGGCCGAATTAGACGTCATCGTCGCCTTTGCGCACGTCTCTGCGAATGCTCCTGAGCCGTACACCAGGCCTGACCTCGTCGAGATGGGCGGCGAGCGACGCGGCGACCTCAAGGTAGTAGCAGCGCGTCATCCAGTACTAGAGGTGCAGGAGGACATTAGCTTCATTGCCAACGATGTCGAGATGGTGCACGACCAGTCTGAATTCCTCGTCATCACCGGACCGAACATGGGTGGAAAGTCGACTTTCATCCGTCAAGTCGGCATCCTCGCCCTGATGGCCCAGGCTGGCTGCTTTGTGCCTGCCTCGCAAGGAGCTCAGTTGCCCATCTTCGATTGCATCCTCGCTCGTGTAGGGGCGGGAGATTCTCAAGTCAAGGGCGTGTCTACTTTTATGCAGGAGATGCTCGAGCTGGCTCAGATCCTCAAGACCGCCACTCCTGACTCGCTGGTACTCATCGACGAGCTAGGCCGCGGAACCTCAACATACGACGGGTTCGGTATCGCCTATGCCGCTTCCGAATGGATTGCGACAAAGGTGAGGTGCAAGACGCTCTTTGCCTCTCACTTTGCCGAGATCACCTCGCTGGCAGAGCAGATCCCGCATGTGCGCAATCTACACGTTGTAGCCCACGTCACGCAGCGCAAGGGTGGTGGAAAGCAGGACAGGGACATCACTCTCCTCTACCAGGTGAAAGAAGGCATCTCCGACCGCTCCTACGGTATTCACGTTGCGGAGCTCGCTGGATTCCCAGAGAGTGTTATTCGTCTTGCGAAGCGCAAAGCTGAGGAGCTCGAGGACTACCAGGAAGACGAGGAGGAGGAAGAGGGAGGCGAGGGCGATAAAGGAGCGGCAGCTGTACGGGCTGCTGCGAAGTTGGACCTGCCCAAGGAGGTGACGGATGCTGGGACTGCCCTTGTCGAGGAGTTCCTCCAGACGTGGGTGAAGAGAACCTCTGCCCTCGCTGCAGCCCAGTCGGAGGATGCATCAATGCAGGACGGCGACAGCGCGGAGGGAGCCGTCAGTAGGAAGCGGGCTAGACTGGACGCTTCGGTTGAGCTGGCCGAGTTGAGAAAGGTCACAGAGGAGTACAGGGAGAGGATTGAGAGCAACCCCTGGGCAAAGCAGGTCCTTGCGACCTTCTAGAGCAGGCACGCCGGGGCCATGTGCACAGCGCTGGTAATGAGAATGATAACGACGAACGTTACTGACGTCTAGTGATAGTGTTGATATATGTACAGCTGTCAAAACACCCACACATTGAGCACGAAGAGTATAGGCCTAATTCCCTGGTCCGCAAATTGACTCGTGTCCTGATGATCCCTTCTTGACGACCGTCTGTGCCGCCCTCTCATTCCTCCCAATCGCTAGCCAGAGCTCCACAATAGACGGCCAGCGCTTTGAGTCCGCTACCAAGGAATTGTTCTTCGACGGCAATGAGCTCTTGCTCCCCCTCTCCCTCTCCCTCTTGCTCCCTGCCCCTCTCCCTCCCTGTCAACTTGGCAATCTCCCATAGGTCGCAATTGCGCGGCAGGTACAGGGCGACATTGGGCGTGATGCTCCTGGCTAGATCGTACAGCTCTTGCCCCGGAAGGGGAAGGAGCGAGGAGAGGGGGTAGTAGGCGTACGCTTTTCGCTGCCGCTCTCCCTCTGCCTCTTCGGTAGCTAGTGTGGAGTACTCGCCTGTGGGCAAGGCGAGCTCTTTTTCTCGTATGAGTTGTGGAGTGGAGAAGAATGCTGGGAGAGAGGCAGCGAGGGATGCCGAGGTGTCCACTTCGTCTAGAGGAGTAGCTGTGGATGGAGCGCTTCCGACCTGTCCTGTGCTTTGATCGCCATCTTGACCGTCCCCAAGGAGTAGAGGAGATGAAGACACCACATCCACGGGAGGCATCCCTGCATTCTGGTAGTCCACTCCACCCCATGGTGGGGAGAGGAAGACGACGTCGATGTCTGCCTTCTCTTCACCTTCCCACCGAGACGTCGAGGGCTTGGTCGTCTGTCCTTTCTTCTTGCCCGCCGTCTTCTTCCCATCTCGCCCCGCCTTGGCCTTTTTCCAATCCTGCACAAATTCAACTGCATCTCCAACGAGGAAGTGTATGCGCTCTTCAACTCCGTAGATGCGCGCATTGTGTCTGGCGTACTCGATCTTGTCCGGGTCAATATCTACCGCAATGATCCTTGTTGTGGATTTGCCCTGCTCTTGCTCTTCATCTTCATCTTCCATTCCAGCAAGAGCGAACTGGATAGCATTCCCACCTGCGCCGCAGAAGAGGTCGAGGATGACGACCTCACCTCCTTGAGCCTTGCTACGATGAGGTTGCTTTTGCCCTTGCGGTTGCTGATGAAGGAGGGGATAGAGACACCGACTGGCGATGCGGGCTGCAACGACCTCTGGCGTGACGGAGAACCAGGATTGGGCATCCATGAGCACTCCTTCGTCGAAGCGGGAGAAGAGCCGATAGCGGCTGTACCAGTCTGCGAGACGCACGGCATTGGAAGCAGAGAGTCAGCATGACTTGACTTAGGCAAGAGCACAAGAGAGAGCGTTCGAGGTGGGGAGACTCACATTTGGTCATCTCCTTTGGCATCTTCTTGGCCTCTGTGATAGCTCTGGAGCGCCAATCCTGCTCGCTCGCCTCCTCTCCCTCCTTCTCTATCTTATCCCGCGAGGTATCCACTGTCTTTGGCCGAGCAGAGACAGTAGCAGTGCGGACCTGAAGAGTTTCAGACCGGCCCTTGCCCTTCCCGTTGATCGTCGACGTAGATGCTCCTTGGCCGATACCGGCGCTTGTGCTCTGTTCGCCAGCATCACTGCTGTGTCTCTTGCGCTTCTTGGCCTTGCTTGTAGCAGAGATATTGGTAGTGGTCATGATGAAGCGAGAGAGGGGGAGGAGATGGAGCAGGAGTAAGAGCAGGAGCTCAGGAAGTGATGCAGGTGGGCAAGTGAGCAAGACAGACGATGGGGGGCGAGCGCTTGGTAGAGCTGCCTTTTGACGGGTGCAGAGTCACCTCGGCGTGTCAGGCAGCGACGCTACTAGAAGTGGACGAGCGAGCTCCCGTCTTAAGTTGAGGAGCCGTCAGAGCCAAGGACAGATCGATCAAGAGACCCGGCTGATATGGCTCTTGTCAATGTCACTGGAAGGAGGTCAGACAGCCAGGCGAGCAAGCAAGCAAGCACCTTGTGCTTCTATTCTAAATCAAAAGCTGCCAGACTTTCCTCTTTCCGTAAATCGGAACGGAGCTAGCCGACTCTGGTCCGTGCTCCACTCAACTCCACCTCACCTTCAGGCACGTCACCTCGCTGCAGACGGCGCAGAGGCGGCGCGGGAGAAATAGAGCAGCAAGGCCAGTGCTGGGGAAGCAGCGTCACTCAGTAGCGCATCACACTAGCTATTTTGGTCGCAGTCAGGCCATTCAGGAATCAGTCGAATGCATCATTGATTAGAGGGGGTGGGTAGAATCCAGAAAGACTAGAAGAGGAGGGGGAACATGTCGCGACAAAGCTTCGAGGAGGGGGGAAATGCTTGGACAGAGGATTGCATGCCGGAGTGCTCTGCCTGCCCCACCCAAGGCAGGGTGAGGGGGATGTTAGAGAGTCTCCTCAGAACGGCTTGAGGTCCCAAATCCATCTATTGCATTCCCTTGCGAGAGCGAGAGCGCCAAAGGAAAGCCTTCCACTACAGTAGGAATGTCTGTCTGACAGGACCAGTGTCCAAGTTTACCAAATACCGTGACCTCCAGAAACGGTAATGTCCGCTCCGTTGCAGAAGCTCGAGGCGGGAGAGGCCAACCACACTGCAACACCACGGATTTCGGCGCTTCGTCCGATACGGCCCAGAGGGTTGCTGTTGCTCCACTTGGCCAGCAGGTGAGGGTTCTCGTCCAGGTAGACCGAGGTCATCCTGGTGCGGATGTGTCCGGGCGAGATGCAGTTGACTCGGATATCGTGAGGTCCCCACTCTGCTGCAAGGTTACGGCCCATCTGCAGCACGGCAGACTTAGAAGAGTTGTAGGCTACCCAGTGGTGGTCTCGGTTGACAATAGATCCGGACATCGAGGCAATCAGAATAATCGAACCGTGGATCTCGGGCTGCTTGTACATCTGGCGGGCAGCAGCTCGGGCAGTCAGGAAGACACCGAGAGTGTTGACATCGAACATCTTCCTGAAAGCCTCGGCAGGGTAGTCCAGGGCGTTGTAAGTCTGCAGGATACCAGCGGCGGCGACACAAATGTCCATTCGTCCGGAATCCTCGACAATGGCCTCCATGACCTTGTTTAGGTGGTCGTCGTCAGTGACAGTGGCCTGAATGTACTTAAGGCTAAAGAGAGCAGTCGCGAAGGCAGGGAAGGTCAGCGAGTCGGTTCTTCTCCATTCGCTGCCTCTCTCATTCCAATTCTGCTCGACTCACTTCCTGTTCATGACCTTGCAGTGCTCGGCAACAATCTTGAACTCCTCAGAGGGAGTCTCGGGCATGTCAATGGCGTATACGTTGGCACCAGCTTCAACGTAAGCAAGGGCCATCTCCAGACCAAGACCTCCATTACCACCAGAAATGACGGCAGTCTTGCCCTCGAGGGAGAACTCGGAGAAGATTGTAGTCGTGTGGTTGTCTGACGTCGCAAAGGCAAGGAACGAGAATCAACATAAGGACGCGCGGATCCGGTAGAAGATCGACCTTCTGGTCTGGGGTTCTTACTCACCTTGCGAGTTCACATTCTCACGAAGAACAGCGTCCACTCCGACCTGGAAACGGCAGCAAATCGGATCAGTGATCGCTCAGAGCACTGCTGAGCCTGTACCTTTTGACTTACATTCTCGACGGGGGGAGCGGGTCCTGGGTTCTGCTGTCGGAGGTTCTCGTGGTCGATCTGCTGGATGTGGTCGGGGATGGTGGGGGTCCAGATGCTGAGCGACCTTGCGTCCTGGGCAGGTGCGAGCTGAGAGGGCGAATAAGGTTGTGATAGGCGCTTGACTTGTCAGTACGGGACGACGCTGCTCGTTCTTGGAAGCGAGGCAGCCGTCTTACTCACCCTTGGGGCAGCTGAGAAGAGTCCGATCGTTGGGGAAGATTGTGAAGAAGACGCACGTGTCTCAGTCAGACTTATGATCCTGTTGCTTCACACTCCAATTGCACTCCCTCTTTCGCCAGCAACAAGGCGACACCGTCCGATTCGGGTTTGATCGTTGCCTCTGCCGATCACACGCAGAGGGGCCCGACACTCACCGACGGTAGACCTGAGAAGACCGGAGCCGACGCTAGAGCGGAGAGCAGAGACAGGTGCGGACGAGCGCAGGGCGGCTTGGCGAAGAGTCGTGGCGAACATGATGGTAGGAAGGATGGGAATGTGCTTGGTATTGACAGGAGTTCCGTTAGGTATTGCTGTTGATAGGGAGAGATGGATTAGACTCTGGCCCTGGGTGTTATCTGTGTAGTGTTGGTGGAGATTGGTATCTGTGGGACCGTAGGTGTATGCTAGGTAGCAGTGGGGCTAAAGAGGAGACAGTGAGGCTGTGTGGGGGATTGTTGGTATGAGTGGAATGGGATGAAAGATGTCCTGGTGTTTGGCGGGGAATGGAAGGAAGGACAGACAGACAGACGGGCAGGCAGGCAGACGGACAGCTAGACGGGCGGTGATATCCAGGGAATAATGGCCGTGCTTAGGTTGTTCCTCCGTCGTCGTCCTTGGCCCGCACCGCACTGCACCAGCTGGCAGCGCCTCCACTCCACGCCCCGCGCCGCGCCTCTGCTCGACGCAGCGGACGATGCACGGGGGAAACACCAGGCACCTCCCGGGTGGCGGGGCCCAATTGCGCACCGCAAGTCTAAAGTCCCGAGGAGCTGCTGCCACTCCCCCCCTTCTTCTCCCTTCTCAGGGCGCCACGGTGTCAGCCGGCCAAAGCCACAGAGGCAGTGTCAGAAGAAAGTCTGTGTGTGTGTGTCAGGCGCGGCAGGAGGCTACAGGAAGTAACAGATTCCACTTCTCTCATCCTGCGGGTGCCCCACGGGCACTTTGACCTTCATCGCCCATCAACAGAAGAGGTCAAGGCGTCGTCAAAGGCTGAATCTGCACCCTCCTAGAACCGTAAAGCGAGACTCGTCTTCGGGTGAGACCGGCCCTGACCGCCTTTACCTTAGCAGCGGCAGCAGCTCTTTGCCGACTACATCGGTCTAGTCGGCCAGTGGCCCTTGCCGGTCAGCCAGCCCGCCAGCTAGCCAACGGGGAGAAGTGACACGGGTGACGGACGACCCAGGAAAACGCGCGAGGCGTGCTTCTAAACGCCGGCAGCAACCTAAATCCCCTGCGCGCATCCATCCGCCTGCCTGCCACACGCAGAGACCAAGCGGGTGGCGCATCGCCGATCTCCTGCCGTCCGGCCGAAGGGGGCCGTAAAACGGAAGTGAACGGAGCGAGTCGAAACGCGGACTGACGCAACGACGAGAAGAATTGATAAAGACACGACAAATAGAGCTCGGCAGCCATCCGAGAAGTTCTGGTCGTGAAAGTGGGCGATGGTCGCTGCCAGGCCAAACTGATCGCTGCCCGATAAGATCGCATATCGGCCAGAGCGTGAACAGGAGTGATGCCTGACGTCAAGGCCGCACAGTTGCGACAGGTACAGACGTCCTTCTGATAAGGGAGGAACTCTACTGGAAGCGTCATTAATGCACCGCAGACTCGACTTCTTGCTCTTCGAGCTGAAGGTAGATAGCCGTTGGCATTCGTAGACGATGGAGGAAACCTCTGCACCAGATTAAGTAAGTCTGAGATCCTCATCTTTTGCTGTACACCTCGCAGCATATTGAATCGCCTGCGACGTGGCATGCGTAGAATGCCTCAATAGAATGCCTCAATTGGGACTCTTTAGAACGTTTTGACTTGCCTCTGGTCCAAACAGTCGTGTGCGTTCTGGTGACGCAGAGGCGGAGCGAGTGAGTGTACCAGACTAGCCTCCTCTGAAGTGTACCGGAACGGCAGCGTGCAGCCAATGTGGAGAAGGGTGAGTCCGTGCACATGGCCGAACCGTCTGAGAAGCATTCCAGACGCCTAACTCCAACACCGTCCTCGTCTCACCCCGCCATCCTCCAGCATGTCATGGACGGAAAATCTCGATCATTTCAGGCCAGACTTCTTCAGAAAAGGCTTGCCTCTAAACGATGACTTCACCGTGCTATGGGCCCCGCTGGACAAAGGCTGGCGTATACGCTACGATGGCGAGAACAAAGGCGTGCAAGAGCGTTGGTACAAAAGTGAACAGCACTTTGCTGGAGGTAGAGGGAAGGACATCATCATACCCAATGCGCCACAGGTGAGAAGTGATGCCAGAAAGCTGAGATGACGGGTTGGCGTGGAGCTGATGTGAATGTTAGCAACGCAGACGCAAGCTTCTGGGCTGACGCCTCAAGAGCGAGCCAGTGTTCCCAATGTTGGTGAGTAACATATATGCTGAGCGAGCCTCACTCTTTCACAGCAGACTAAATAGCATGACTGTATCTCGCTCATTCTCTTCGTATACAGTCTGGTACGCAGGACACTTCGCGTATCCGCCAGACGCTTTCACCCTCGGATGTGCCTTCATCAAGTTTGGTGCCGTGGACTACGAAGCCACAGTCTGGCTGGACGGACAGCAGGTCGGCCATCATAGAGGAGGCCATACGCCATTCGAGGTGGACGCTACCTCTTTTGTGAAGAAGAACCACAAGGTCTTTATTGCAGTGCAGGTCAAGGACAAGGTCACTGACCTCACGCAGCCAAGGGGAAAGCAGGTAAGTACGCTTGCTTTGACCTGCTGAGACATTCACATACAAGACTGACGCAGACGTCCGCTATCCCTCCCTTCAGTACTGGAAGCCACAATCCGAATCCATCTTCTACACTCCGACGACAGGTCTATGGCAACCAGTCTGGTTCGAATGGCTTCCTACCAAAAGCAGGATAATCAATGCTGTGCTCACTCCTGACATCGATCGAGGAACGCTCACCGTAGATGCTGAATTCGCAGACCTCGAGCAGCTACAATCGCCCGCTCTGCAAGTCAGTTGTCGGCTAGGATCTTTTCCAATTGGCAGAACGCAGCGACTTATACCTTCGAGCTCCGACAGGTCAACGATCACCCTGTCACTGGCTTTACCTGGGTCATCGCCCCCAGACGAGCTAATCGAGAGCCTGAACAAGCCAGGCTCGACAATTCTACCCACACAGATCACAGGCGACGCGTGGAACGATGGCGTCGCACTCTGGTCGCCCGAGCATCCCTTTCTTTATGACGTCCAGCTTGAGCTGCTGGACCTTGGCGAAAATGCCAGACACGCGCAGCTTGACTCTATCATGACCTACACTGGAATGCGCAAGATCTCATTCGAGGACGGCCAATTCAAACTGAACAATCGCCCCTATTTTCAGCGCCTCGTCCTAGATCAAGGCTACTGGCCTCAATCCGGGATGACGCCTCCCGACGACAAGGCATTCATCAGGGACATAACCAAGATGAAAGAACTCGGATTCAATGGCTGTAGGAAGCATCAGAAGGTGGAAGATCCACGCTTCCTCTTCTGCGCCGATCACCTAGGCTTCCTGGTCTGGGGGGAGATGGCAAATGCATACGAGTTCTCGACGAGCTATATGGAGCGCTTCACACAAGAATGGACAGAGGTGATCAAGAGAGATATCAACCATCCTTGCATTGTAGCCTGGGTCCCCGTGAACGAGTCGTGGGCTTATACTGCGCTGCCAACAAGTGCAAGGCAAAGAGACTTCCTCAGAGCTATCTACTATCTCACGAAGAGCCTTGACCCTACCAGACCTTGTGTGGACAACGATGGCTGGGAGCACGTCATCTCAGATCTCCTTACAATCCACGACTACGCTCCAGGGGAGGAGCTGCGAATCACTGCTGCCTCGAAGGAGAAGCTACTGGATCGCAAGGCGGGCAAGGAGGTCCTTCTCGAAGGCAGTGGCAAGGAGTACACGGCTGGGCAGCCAATTATCCTCTCCGAATTTGGCGGAGTGGCCATCGACCTCGGACGTACCCATGGCGCAGCAGGCGGGACCGAGTCTTGGGGATACCACACTGCGAGATCCGATATCGAGTTTCTGAGCCGCCTCAAGAGCCTAGTAGACGCCGTTATCGATGGAGGCATCGTGCAGGGGTTCTGCTACACCCAGCTAGCAGACGTCGAGCAAGAGGCAAACGGACTTCTGACGGCGGATCGTCAGTTCAAGATTGATCCAGTCAAGATCAAGGAGATAATTGGAAGGAGATCGAGGTTTGATCCCTGAGAGGGCAGTGTCACAGCGGCTCTCATGGTGTATATCCAAAGTTGTACATTGTGAACTCCATCATCGCCACCAACTATTGACACTGACGCTAGTCTCTAAGCTCTTGATGCAATGGAACCAGCCTTGAGGTATATAGAGTGCGTCTCCTGGCCCAAGAATGGTGTGAGCTGCGCCCTGACATGCCATTGCCTCATTGAGCAGTGGGAAGTGGGAAGCCCGCTGAGCAGCAGTATCTGAGTCGCTACTCTCCAGCAGATAGTCTTCTGTGGGTATCGTGCTCGTGTTTGACTGGCTGGTCGTGGAAGGAGAAAGGTAGAGATTCGGGCCGTATGAGGGTGGGAAAAGGTGCACGCGCTTCGTCCCAATGACCTGTACGAAAAGGTTCTCATACGGGTCCCGATGGATAGGAGTGAAAGTCCCCTCTGGCCCAATCCAGACATTCCTTCTCCACTGCTCCCGATCTCCACGAGGTCCAGAAGACGTGTGCGGTAGTACGGGGCAGGCCTCTGCCAGCTCGGGGAGATCAGCCAGGAGGTCCTGTTGGGCTACGTACCCTATCAGGTCCGGGTCCGCAGAGGGTATCGAGCGCAGGATGAAGGCCTCGAGGAAGATCCCAAAGGGCATGCGCACTTTTTGCCAACCCCCAGCTTCCCCATCCAGATACCCGCGGCCGCGTTTGCCCACCTCGACCTCGACAGGGTGATCCTCTAGCCCACGTACACGACGCAGACCTTGTAGTGTCTCTTTGCCAGAGGCATCTTGGCCACGCCACTGCTCTAGTGCTGGCCATGCATGTGGCTCTGACTGACCTGGGGAGACCAGGCGTGGGAGAAGGAGAGGCGCACGGGCTTCTGAGTGTAGATGTGAGGAGAAGGCGGAGAGGGTGGGGGAGTGTGAGGGCTGAGGAAGGGGAGGTAGAAGGGAGGCGGACGAGAGCGTCGAGATCGCCCTGCTCGAAGACGAGGAGGTAAATAATACTCCCCAGCGTGTATCTCTCCTGGCGATATTTGACACCGCAAGACCAGAGCCTTTGAGCATTCCAGGGCAAGCCATCCTAGCTCCCAGCCCCATCATCCCGGCTGACAGACTGGTACAGACTGCCGGGCGGCGGATCTACGCCTTGGCTTCCTATCCGTCCGCGTTTTGGCTTTGAATCTCCGCCGGTGTGGAGCTCGGGAATCTCCAAGAGCCCCGACTGCTTCTCCGAATGAGCTAACAAAGCCACACGCTGCCCCCCTCAGACTATTTCTTCGCAAGAGTCAGTCAGATTCTACATCTTTCCCTCTTCATTCCTCTTTCCTTGAATTCAGACTTACTCTAGACCTTGAAGCAAGCCATGTCGTCTGTCAGCATCCCAGCAGCTAGCTTGTTCGGCCTGAAGGGCGCAGTCGCCCTCGTGACTGGAGGTGGTACCGGTGAGTAGCCGATGAGTCGTTCTCAGGGGCCAGCAATACCTGCCTTTCGTCTAGCTCACAATCCCAACGTCTCTTCGGCCAAATTCCCACCTCGCTGTAGGTATCGGTCTGATGGCCGCTCGTGCTCTCGCCTCTCAGGGAGCTAAAGTCTACATTACCGGTCGCCGCACCAATGTCCTCGAAGCCGCCGCAAAGACGCACGGCTCTGCCCTCTCCGAACAGGGCGGCTCCCTCGTTCCTCTGCAGCTCGATGTGACTGACAAGGAATCCCTCAAGGCTGCTGCAGCTAAGATTGAGAGCGAAGAGGGCAAGCTACACATCCTTGTTAACAATGCCGGTGTCGAGGGACCTGTGACAAAGACGACCGAGGTGGATTGGTCTAAGGAAGGCGATGAGATCGCCAAGGCAGAGCACTACCGTGATCTCCACTACAAGAATGAGACAGTCGACGACTGGAACAGCCTCTTCACTCCCAATGTGCACGCCCTCTTCTTTGCCACAATGGCCTTCCTGCCCCTCCTTGCAAAGGGCAACGCTGCCCCTCCCACGGACAAGGCTGGCGCCATCGACCAGCTCAACAGATGGACCGGCTCGGTGATCAACATCACCTCGATCAGCGGACTAGTCAAGCTCAGCCAAAACCACTTTGCCTACAATGCCTCCAAGGCTGCCGCTAATTCCCTCACATACATGCTCTCCCACGAGCTTAAATTCTCCCAAGCTGGTCCACAGATTGGACTTCGGGTGAATGCAATTGCACCAGGATTGTTTGCGAGTGAAATGACGACAAAGAAGAGTACATTGGAGAGTGGTGGATTGAGCAGTGCGGATGATGTTGACAAGGGAATGAGCAACCCGGCGGGAAGGATTGGATTAGAGGAGGATATGGCACAGGCAATCTTGTTCCTGTCAAGCTGTCAATTCGCTACAGGACAGGTCATTGCTGTCGATGGTGGCTTCACTGCCGTCGCACCCAGCAGCCGATAAAGGTGTGCTCTTGGCTGTCTACTTGTTCGTACCGCCAATCATGCCGCAATAGATGACAATATTCTGAATTGCAGACGAGCGCCCTCTATCGTCAGTACAATCACAAGTACAGCTTGTTCTTCGAGTCCTCGCCGCCCAGCTTTTGGCCCAAGATTTTTCCAATCGCCAGCTCAAAGTCGGCAGAGCTGACCACGGTCCTCCTCTCCCTGAGACAGTACATGCCTGCTTCTGTGCACACACCCCTCACCTCGGCTCCTGAGATTTGACCCATCTTCTCCGCCAGGGCCCGCAGATTGATGCCGCGCTGTAGTGACATCTTGCGCGAGTGGATGCGCAGAATTGAGACTCGTGCTTCGGGACCGGGAGGGGGGAACTCGATCTTTCGATCGATACGTCCAGGTCGCAGAAGGGCCGGGTCGAGAATGTCGATTCGGTTGGTGGCCATGATGACCTACGAGAAGGCATAGGGGACAGAGGAGTCGACGTCAGTAATCCCAAATCCCATCGACAGCCGCCACACTGTCCAGCTGCGAATCCCAGATCCGACACTCACCTTGATGTTCTTTGTGCCCTCGAAACCGTCCAGTTGGTTCAGGAGCTCCAGCATGGTTCTTTGCACCTCATTGTCTCCACCTCCGCTGCCTCCCTCCTTCCTGCTCGATCCAATCGAATCAATCTCGTCCATGAAGATGATTGAAGGAGCGTGCTCTCTGGCCATGATGAACAGCTCCCTCACCATTCGACTACCTTCACCGATGTACTTCTGCACCAGCTCACTTCCACTGACACGGATGAAGCGGCAGTCTGTGTGGTGTGCGACAGCTCTTGCCAGCAGCGTCTTTCCAGTACCAGGAGGTCCGTAGAGGAGCACTCCCTTTGGCTGAGCAATACCAAGACTGTCGAATAGCTCCGGGTGCTTGACAGGCAACTCGATGACTTCCTTGATCTCCTTGATCTGCTTATCTAGTCCTCCAACCATCTCATATGTCGAGTCAGGCACCTTCTCTACCATCATGAGAGACACCAGAGGGTCCACCTTGTTCGGCAGAATACGGTGGATCTGATATGAGTCTGAGCGTAGGGCCACTCTGATTGTTGGCTTCAGCTCGGCCAATGGGATCGATGAGTCGAAGTCGACGACTGTATGGAGCAGCACGAGATGAGTAGAGTTGAGTGTGAGCAATGCTATCTCGAGCTGATCACTGTTATCGCTCATCCACGACCTACTCACCGTACTTGCCCTCAGGCTGCACCTTTACGAGAATCTTCTTCTTGCTCATGACCTTGATGACTTCTCCGACATGACTGCCCGGCTCCTGCAAGAGCTGCATCTCCTCCCTGAGTAGCCTGACCCTAGCGTTGAGCTGATTCCTCTGAGCCTCGAGACGTCTGAGGTTGTGTGTCTTGTCATTGATGAGAATCTGGTATTGGGAGATCTTGGAGGCGTAAAAGGACGAGATGCCGTTTGCATTTGACTTTGCGCCCCCAATCGTCGAGCTGCTACCCGCCGTGTTGGGCAGTGTCGACGACGATGCGCCGTGAATGGCCGTGGTTGCCATTGTATCGGTGGTGAGGGGTATGAGGGTGGCGATGGGAGGATACCAAGGGCGAGATGAGGTGTGAGTGAGTCCTTGGGCCTGGAGCGGTGAGTGAGTGGAGTGGACTGACGACGCTTCGTCACCCGGGCGCCCCTTGGCTGGGCGTGGCGTGGCGTGGCCTGGCTGCCTCCCGCGCGCGACGAGGGGACAGGCGAGTGGGAGGCCACCTGTCGGACTTTGAACTCATGCGGCCGTGTTGATCTGACCCTCTTCCCGCCAAACAACACCACCACTTCACGCGTACGAAAGAGTCAACTCACATCCTCCCTCTCCATTCCCGACATCCTTCGATATAGAACACCCTTCCCCATCGTCCTCCTTCGAACAGATCGAGGATGGTACCACCCGTGTCTTCTATGCCACAGCGGCCAACGCGTCGCTCCCTCGGCCCCACCTCGTCCTCCAACAAGGATGACGCTCCTCGCGGTATCCCTCCTCCAACCAAGATCCCCAAGAGAGCCAACTCAATTGCCGCGACGGAGATCATCAAGCGCTCCAACGGAGCCAACACAATGGCTACGCTCGAGGATCAGAGGCTCAAAGAGAGGGAGAATATGACACAGCCGCTGCCTGCGACCAGCAGACGCAATGCAGTGAGTAGCCAGGCGTTCTAGACAGCACAGTGGTGACTTTGAACGACACGGACTGACACGATGACGATACCTTTCCACTCATAGCCGGGGCCTCGAAAGTCCTCAATCCGAGCTCGTCCTCCTCAGGTGTTTGCATCGCCTTCGGGAATGACTCGCAGCCCTAATGCACCTCCCCCTCGCCAATCCATTGGTGCAATCGTCAAGTCCAATTCTGAAGACAACATCGCCAATGCTGCTGCCTTGGTCGCAGAGATCGAAGACGACACGCCTTCCAAGAAGAGAAAAGCAGACTCACCTCTCAAGGCTGTCAAGACTGCACGTCAATCTCTTGCTCTGGGAGCAGCTATGCGTGGCTCTCAGACTATGATCGTGGAGACTGTCAAGGAGAAGAAGATGAGGAGGGTCACATTCAGCAATCGCCAAGAGAGGACGTGAGTTGATCTTCAGCCTCTGACTTGTGCTGATGCTCTCATATGCTGACATGCTCCTCATGCCTGCCACGCCTGCACAGTGACTTTATTCGCGATGAGCCCACTATGCACATTCGGGCTCCCATTGAGGGTGACGCTGCCAGCATCGCAGCCAACACCACCGCATCGACGAGCTCGACTTCTGCGGGCGTAGAAGGGAACTCTATCTCACGCTACGGATCTAGGCTGGGCGATGACGACGATGACGAATCTTCCAGCGAAGAGGAGGAAGAGGATGAGACATCTATGAGCATGGAGATGGCCACCGTATCTGGCTCCGTAGCGCCCCTGTCCGGCGAGGCAGACGACCAGACGATGGACCTCACGGCACCTCTGGGTGCAGCCTCTTCGGCCCGCGCCCGAGGTCGTAGGTCTTCAGGAGCAGCTTCCAATGGCAGCGTCGACATGGACCTCACAGCTGCAACCGATCGGGAGGACACCATGGGCGATGAGTCGGACCTGATCGATCTTGGGGCAGGCGAGGAGAGCGGCATGGATCTGACCATGCCCATGCAGACCTCAATCCAGAGCAAGGGCAGGCGAGCTCGCGACAGTCTTGCTTCTCATCGAGCATTCGGCAGGCCCTCGCTAAGCCGCCCTCCTCGTGGACGCCCTTCTGCATCTGCCTTCAATGAGTCTGCCACGATGGACCTCGATCTGGACGATGCCAGCAGAAGCGCTATGGAGCTCACCGAAGTCATGGGACAAGAGACGCTGGACCCTGCGAGTGACGAAGAAGGAGAGGAGCTCAGCATGGACATGGACATCACCAACCAAGCAGGTAGCAGTATGACCAGGGAAGCAGCCTCAGCCTCCTACCCTCCGCGTAGTCCACGAGCCCAAGCTCCATTGCCCAACCTGCCCTTCCAACTTTCGCCAACCAAGTCTCCCGCTACACCCAGCCGGTTCAGACGCTCACTCGTTGGAGCCGAGTCTCCCATGGTTTCACCCGCACGCAGGATCCAAGCTCCCTACGATCCGGCGCTGGGTCTGCCGCCTGCGTTGACACCTTCCAAAGCCAATGGCCTGCCACCCTTGTCGTATTCTGCTCGCAAGGCCTCGCCGAACAGGTTGTTCGCCTCTGAGCTTGCGGCTGCTGGCCCTCCTGTCATGCGCAAAAGTCTAGGAGGAGCTTTGCCGTCGGCGCATTCTCTCAAGCCCGGCAAGACACCGGTGGCTCTACAGACCCTTGCCGACGGAGCCAAGAAGCGCAACTCGATTGTCGCTGCTGTTCTTCCCTACCCCCAAGCCGCAGCAGAAGACTCAGCTGAAGATTACAGCGGCGAGGACAACATGAGCAGTGAGGAGAGGGCATCTATGTCCTTCCAGTCTGCTCATGGAGCTCCAGAAGATGACGAAGCGTTCAGGCCTCCACCGCGAAACCTCACCTTGTCTGAGTTCTTCAGCCTATCTGGTATGAACTTCCACGACGACACACGACCTGTCAAGGTCCGTGTTTTGCCCACTCGAGAGACGAAGAAGCTCGGTGATGGCAGTGAAAGGACTGTCGCTCAATTCAAGGCTATGGCCGGCAGTGTGCCAATGCTGGAGACGCTCGTCAATGCTTGTCGTGAGCTGCATCAATCCGGAGCCGAAAGTGAGAAGGTCCTCCGCGACATCGAGGAGAGATTCGTCAGCAACCCGCCAGACCTGGTCAGGGAGCTCCTGAGTCTAAGCAGCGAGGCCGAGAAGAAAGAGATGGAATCTCAATTCAAGCTTCAGAAGCAAGCTGCCCGTGCCGTTGCGAAAGAGGGCTACCTGGGCTGGTGCCTCGACAACCAATACGGTGAAGAAGTCGTCGCCAATCTCCACTCGATCAAAGAATCTCTCGAGGATGACCTGACCCGTCTCAATGCCGACTCGATCCGGCTTCAGCAGGAAATCCTTCCTGTCTTGAGGGACCGCCGGAACGCTCTCCGCGAACAGGTCAACCGCGTCCGCGAGAGGAAAGTAGAGATCGAGAAGTGCCCTGTAGAGGACCTTGAAGGCCTGCATGCCGGCATGGCAGAGCTCCTGCCCGAATTGCAGTCTCGTCGCTCAGTCTACCTGGAGAAGCAAGAGGCTCTGGAGCGCATGCGAGCTAAGCTGGAGGAGAATCTCACCAAGAAGGCAGAGCTTGAGGAGGCTATTGAGGCGAGCCGCAAGGTCTGCGAGCAGATTCAGGGCTACACGCGTGGAGAGGCAGCTCGGCTTGCGGCCGACATTCGAGAGGTGGAGAAGCTGCACATGTGGAAGCTTCGCAGTGCGTCGCTTTCCAAGCTCCATCTTACCCATGACTGGACTCTCGATTTGGTTGTACTTCTCGGCGCCGATGGCTCAGCAGACGACATCGAGCTGAGCCTGACGCCCTCTGCTGTAGGCAACGTCTTCCACGAGGAGTTCCTCGAGGCTCTGAAAGAGGACCTCGCTGATCGTGAAGAGCCTTGGCGCGTGCCAGCTCTCATTCGGCACATCTCTACTGCCTGGACATCGGCCCGCCGTCTTCAGTCCGAACTCTCCCATCTTTCACTTTCATACCCATACGAGGTGCAGTCTCTGGCCAGTCAGCAACTGGGAGGTAGCAAGCGTCACATCAAGGTGCAGACGTCGGTCCTGCTAGCGAAGCGACGCACGAAGGTGCTCGTGACCTTGCGAGTCGACCTGGACGCCCTGATCTGGGGCGATTATCAAAATCTCTTTGGCGGCGGTAATGAGCTTGTCAATGTCTCGGCAATCTATGGCCAGATTGAGACAGAGGCAATGGCCGCCCTGGTCGGAGATCATCTCAGTGCAGAAGACTTTATGCTGGGAAGCGGCGCAATTGCGCAGGCTTGCCATGCTGCCGTCGAGACCTTTGCTGGTTAAGCTGCGAGACCACCGTCGCTTCGTAGTGCACGTCTCTCTTCCTGACGTAGCTGTCATCTTGTTCTTGTTCACCGCTATACCTTTTTTTCGATCCTTGTCTCTGTGTAATTGATATCCAAATTCGCTGTTCCCTCTCCACTCCGATCGACCCAACACGCCCACGCACGCGGCAAGTCAGAATTTTGAGCTGTGCGACCTGCCACCGGGGCTCAAAGCGCTGTGATTCCTCGTCCCGACTTTGTCCCACCCATCTGATTCCCACCTTTCCCCCCTCCATCACACTTCATCAGGGGTCCCCAACTGTCTTTTGTCGCCCAGTATGACATCTCGTCCTGGTCCCGCAGGAGAGCGTGACCAGGATCACGAACGCAACGATGGACGCAGCCACGTCTACGGAGCGGCAGGCAGCGCAGTGCCAAGTCGTCTAGCTTCTCCTCCCTACGAGATCGATGGCAGTCTACCTCTCTATGCCAGTCGACCAGACCTGTTTCTCCCTCTGACTGCTGCTGAACAGCAACAGCAACAACAATCACTCGACGAAAAGGACGGAAGCGCCGGCTCTGGTTCTGGAAGCTCTTCCTCACCTCGTCCAGCAGCGCGACTGGCTGAATACGATGGATATCCAGCTGAGAAGAAGCTACGAGAGAGGGAAGAGCAGCAGAGCGACAGACAAGACCGAAGGTGCGATGATCGTCGTGGTGGTGAGACTGTCAACCGCCAGGGTTCGTCTGCATCTGCATACCAGACCGTCCCACGCATTGCCATCACCGATCCGCTCCATGAGATGAGGGTACACAACCTCTCTTCTCGCCCCGAGCAAGGTCTGTCGGAGAGATCCGATTACCCATCCAAGGAAAGGATGATGGCCAGCAAAGGCGTTACAGAGGGAGACATTTCACCCAGACCCGGTCTCTCGCGCCAGGCATCGTCTGCTTCCCTGTCTTCACAATCCGAATTCGGCTATGACGACTTCGACTGGTCGGACGATGAAGGTGTCGAGGAGAGTCTCAGGCAGGAGCAAAAGGAGGTGAACGCTGCTCGCAAACAGAGAAATCGTCGTTTGAGCCCCTACAAAGTGCTTCGATGGCTCTTTGCCAGCTTTCTGGGCAACTTCCTCGTCTCTTGCACTCTCGTCGTTCCTTGCATTGTCATGGAGATCACCTACCGCAACGAAGGCCCTGATGCAGACAAGAGTCATCGCGCCTACGTTACTGACAATGTCTCTGCCTGGACCATCTGGGCCTCGGTCAACCTCTTCTTGTCTTGGATCTTACACATCCTCGTCGAGCTCTTGCCGCGAGCAGCACTGGGAGTTGTTGCCCTCGTTTGGGGAAGAACCAATCAGGTGGTCCTGACTGCTGCCGAGTACTACAGCGCTCAGAAGGGCTACTTCAAGCCAATACTGTACGCAGCATGTGCGTGGGCCTCCTTCGCTATCATCTTCAACAGCATCTTCAATCTCTACAACAGGACCAATCCACAGACAGAAAGCAGGGCTTTGTACCTCTACCGCCTCTATGAGGTCGTGGAGTTCCTCTTCTTCTTCACTCTCACCATCTGCGTTGAGAAGATCATTGTGAAGAACATTGCCCTCGGGTTTCATAAGTCTGCTTTTGCAGAACGTATCGCGGAGGTCACACAAGCACTGGAAACCTTCGATCACCTGAAGGACTACAGGCCGAAGCTCAAAGATAGTGGAACAAGTTCTCCCGTAAGAGGATTCCGTTCGAGGACTCCTAGACCGTCTTCCGTGTATGGTATGAGCCATGAGGATCCTTCGAGAAGCCGCAGCTTCGCTGGCGTCAATGCTGAGTATTCGACAGAGTCCCAGCCTCCTTCGGCGGGACCCATCGAACCGCAGGACCTAGACACAAGTCTCGATTCGAGAACGAGCAGCGGAGGCTTCTTCAAGATTCGTCATGCCAAGAAGCGAGCACAGAACACCGATCCGGCCATGACGGGCGAACCGAAGAGCGCCGCCGGTGCGACGTATCCACCGCATGCTCCTAATGCTGGTGAAGCACATTCTCGCTCCTCCACCGTCAAGAGCAAGAAGACTGTCTTCGGAGCTGCCAGAGGCAAAGCCATGCGCTCTTTCAAGATCAATGCCAGTGTCGCCAGTAAGCTGGCTCGTGTTGCGATGAAGGACCCCTTGGCGGTCTTGCAAAGTGACGAAGTCGGCGCAATTGCCAATGTCAACTCGCCTGCTCAGGCGAAGAAGCTCGCCAAGACCATCTTCACTGCCTTCAGGGGTCGCCATCGTCGAAGCTACCTCATCCTGTCCGACTTTGAGCCCGCCTACTCAACCCAGGCCGAAGCTAAGACCGCCTTTGCCGTGTTTGACAAGGATGGCAACGGTGACATCAGTCAGGCTGAGATCAAGAATGTCGTACTGCAGACGTACAAGGAGCGCCGCTTCCTCATGAAGGCCATTGGCGACACTAACCACGCCGTCTCTCAGCTGGACACCATTCTTCTCGTGCTGGCCTTGGTCGTCGTCCTTTTCGAAGCCTTTGCAATCTTCAATGTCGACGTCACCCAGACTCTTACTACCTTCTACACACTTGGGATTGCATTCGCCTTCATCTTCAAGGAATCAGCGCAGAACGTCTTCGACTCTATCATCTTCATCTTCGTCACCCATGCCATGGATACTGGCGATCGAATCTGCGTTGGGGAGAGCGTCATGGTTGTGACCAAGATGAGCTTGCTCTCCTCCGAGTTCACTCTCGCCGACGGAACGGACCTGTACATCTCGAACGCGACGCTCTCTGCCCTGATGATCAGAAACTACCGACGATCGGGATATCAGTGGGAAAACTTCCTCATCCAGGTGGACATTGGGACAACGCTGGAGCAGCTCGATGCTGTAGAGCGGGATATGTGTCACTGGCTTCAGACGGAACCAGACCGACTGTTCGAACCCTCGACGGCTTTGGTACCACAGCACATCTCCTACATGACGTACATCGAAATCTCCGTCGGTATGACGCACCGTGCCAATTACCAGGATTGGGGCGCCCGCTTCCAGCGCAAGAATGCCTTTGGAGCCGCTCTGACCTACTACCTCAAGAAGCACGGCGTGAGGTACTACCAGCCTGCACAGCCCATTGTCTACACTCAGCCTCCTCCTGGCTACAATGATGACCAGCACGAAGGGGACGACGGCCAGCATCGCTCGTCGCGCTTCTCGAGTGAGGAGCACGAAGAGGAGACCTACTTCCTCGACGACTTTAGTGCTCCCGCTGGAGCAACGGCCACTTCGTCTGCCCTTGCGCCTTCGGCTGCTGGAGCAGGTACGTCTGCCTCGAGTGGGGTCAAGAGGCCTAATTACATGGGCTTTACGCCGCCCGACGATGAAGCCAATGAGGAGAAGGTGCGACAGCGCAAGGTCAAGAACCTCGCTTTGACCAATCAGGGAGGAGACTCGTAATGCTGGCTACAGACCGAGGAGCTGTCTGCACTCTCTATCGCAAAGATGATCGACTGGCTCGGTCTGCCCCTGCAAAACTTTATCGTCGTTTCCCTTCTGGACTTTATTTGCTTTTAGGATTTCGTATCTTCAACAGTCTAGGTGCACTAGATTTGGGCTCATCAACGCAATTCCATTCTCATCAATCAGCGACCTCCAAGTACTCCCACCCCCTAACGACCTGCGTTCTCCTTTCACTTTAGCATCAGAATGCCTCCTCGCCTCGCTTCACGATCTTCTCTTCTCTCTTTCCTTTGCGCTGCCGAATCATTGTACACTTTCCTCATTTCCCGCAATCTCCCCGCCCGCTCGTCCTACTCATGCTGGTCATGAAACGGAGCGGCTGCTACCGAACGTTGTGCTCCCATGTCCCTTCCATTGCTCAGCTCTCCTTTGCCGTATTTCTCATCTCATCAAGTAGAATCAAATAGAGAAACATTGAACCATCACAGACCATCGATTGAGCCTACTCCTTGCCGCGTGAGTGGCTTGAGCTCGTGTTGGTTTGTTTTTCGGCTCTTTTTCGGTTCTCCCTTTCCGCTTGGCTGGGCTTGGACGGGTGGAGGGAAGCTGGGCGAGGGGAAGTGAGCAACTTCTAGAGTTCATCGTGGTTGGTGTCTTGCGTACCTGCTCGTAACAGCTGTCTTCTCATCTACCACGCTGAGGCTCGCGGCCTCTCCTTGCTCTGACCTCATCCTCAAAGTATCTCCCGCCCTCGACCTCGACCGAAGTGGTCTCTTCCAAGGATGTTCGCCCTTTTAGCAGCAGGTCGACTCCCCCAAACCTCCTTTACCCAGCTAGACGAAACTCACTGCATCTTCGAGCTGCAGAGTATCGCCTCCATCAACCACCTCTGTGTATTCATGGATGGAAGCGCACCTTTCCCACAGGGGTATGCGGGGACAGTGCATCTTCTGCTGCCTGGCGGTACTGGAATGGGTGCGGGGCCAAGTGGAAGTGGAAGTGGGAGTGGAAGTGGGAGTTCAGGTGGGCAACAAGGCGGTTGGCGACTGCTGGGTTGTCTGAAGAACGAGAGGCCAAGCGCAATCTACCGACTTAAAGGTCTGGCAAGCTCTAGCGGGAGTCCCTCCTCCTTCTCCAATTCCAACGGCAGCACTGGCAGCAGCAGCGCAAGTGGCAGCACCTTGTTCACATCGCAAGGTCTGCACGCCAATCCAGGCATGTTCCAAGCTTCTACTGCACACGGAAGCGGCACGGCCATGTTGGGGATTAGTGTTGAGCCGGAGCATGTAGTGGATGAGCAGATGCGGGGCCTTAAAGGAGGGACAGTCGCTGGTGCTGCTGCTGTGGGAGGTGCTGGGACCGGAGTACAGGGAATGGATATTGCCGATGAGGGAATGACGGGTGAGGGACCATCTGGACAGGGAGCGGGAGCCCTCGTTAGAAGTGGGGGAACTATTGACCCCTACATGGCACTAGCACTAGCCCCCAAGATTGGTGAGTCCTTCTCTTACTCTTCCCCTTCAAAGAGCTCCCCAGGTCTCTAACACCCCTGAAAATCCCCACCTCCTCCCCCTCACCCCTAACACCCTTTCAGCGCAAAATATCTTCTCCTACCTCTCCTCCTTTGCCCCCGATTCGGCACCGCAAACCGTTCCCCTTTTACAAAAATGGCTGGAGCAATTTGAGCGAAAATTAAAGATGCAGGGGAGCGCTTGGTTGGAGAAGCAGGGTGGAGAAGGGGGATGAGAATGGACGAGGCGAGCAGGAGGAGGACTAGGTGAATGGAGGGGGCATAGAAAAAATAAAGAGAGGGAGAGGTGAAAGAATTTATAGCATTTGCAGCATTCATACCTAGAGGATTGTGATAGTGTATACGATTGTGCTAAGCAGTGTTGTGAGCGGAAGCGGCTACAGGGTAAAGTGGTACAGAGCTATATGGTCAAAATGAGACTGTGTGGTGGGGGTCTCCCCCTCACCCTTCTTCGTCGCCCATCTCCTCGTCTTCCTCTTCGCCCTCATCCGCCCCTTCTTCAGCCATCCTTTGCTCTGTATCCTCATCCTCCTCATCCACGTCTTGCTCCCCAGCAGGCTGAGCACGTGGTCTTTCCTCTCCCTCGCCCAGCATCATACTCGTCTGCTCCTCCCCATCAGCAGCATCAGCCATGACCGCTTCCTCCTCATCGTCCTCCTCCTCCTCTCCATCCTCCCCTCCCGCACCAGCAGGCAGAGCAGAGCCAGAAGCAGCCGCCTCGGCCTTTTCCCTCTTTGTCTGCTCTTGGGAGCTCCTGTAGGCTTTCAGCTCCGCTTTGAGCTTGCTTTGCACTTCGGCGGGGAATTCCATGAGGGCAAGACCTTCGAGGACGTCTTGTGTGCTGATCGTCTTGCGCGAGTCTTGCTTGGCAATCTCGTCTGCCACGGCCGCTGTGGATGAGGACACGGGGGAAAGGAGAGGCGGAGGCGGGGAGGTCAGAATAGGTCAAGGCGCGGCTGTATGATGAGTCAAATGCCCTTAATCAAGTGGCTGTGATGCTCACCTAGGTAGCTGATGAAGATTGTAGCCGACTTTGAAACGGCGAGAATGGCATCTTTTCGTATTTGCACACTGTCTGGCAGCTGTTCAGGGGAGGATGTCAGAATGTCAGCCTCGCTGCGCCTTTTCTCTTCGAGGTCAATGCCCTTGGCTCTTTGTGACGCTGCACTCACCTCTGCTTTTGCCACTCTGGTCACCACTGCCCTCGGCAGCTCAAATTGATCGATCCCCTCTGGTCCCCCCATCTGCTTCTGCATTGACTCTGTGATGACCCCTCCCCTCTGCTGTGGTGTCACGCCTGCTCCTACTGCTGCTTGTGATACGAACGAGCTTTCCCCTATTGTCTCATCTGCTGCTGCGCTGTCCATTGGTGTCATGCTGGAGGGACTCGAGGGACCGCCATTGGCTGCCAGGGCAGGTTGGGCCTTTTTGCGGGGCATAGCGTGGCGTGTGTGTGGGCGCGAGAGGTGGTAAGCAGGTGAGAGAAGGGAGATTACTGGCTGATGTATGTGCGTCTGTTGCTGTGACTTGTGTATATGCTGCTGCTGGTGCTGCTGAGAAGTTGACGTCGAAGGTGGTGAGGAGCGAGGGGCGTGAGTGAGAAGCTTCGTCCGCTATTCTCGCCTCGCCTCGCCTCGTCGCGTCGGGCGCGGGGGTGGAAATGCTCCGTGCCCCACTTTGGCGGCGAGGCCCAGGCGGCAGATGCTTCCTTCCTGTCCAGACTGTACCATCATCGACACGATATCACCGCTCCTCTTCCTCGTCATCGTCAATCTGAGATCTCCCCCTGCTTCTTGCTATTGAGCAGTCCTCCATTGCTACCCTCAACATCAGGCCCACCATGGAAGCTCAGCTCCAATCACTCAAGGTACCCGACCTCAAGGGCCTCCTCCAAGCCGCATCCCTGCCAGTGTCAGGCAACAAGAGCGACCTCATCAAGCGTCTGCTGGAGCATCCCGACGCCACAAAGGACATTGCAGCTGGTGGCGAGGACAATGTTGAGGCTACGCAGCCTGTAGCAGCAGCAGCAGCAGCCCCAGTCCCAGAGCCTGCAGCAGCCGCCTCGTCTACTGCTGCCGCTGGAGAAGGGGAGACGAAGACTGCTCCACCCGCTGCTCCCGCTACCGCTTCTTCTCCCAAAGCCGCCGCCGCCTCCTCCTCGGAAGCCACTTCTTCCACTGCCGCTCCCGCCATTGCAGCCGTAGAGTCTACCAAGGAGTCGGTCTCAGAGGAGGGAAAGTCCACAGAGGAAGCCCGCGAGGCGCTCATTGCCGAGCTCGAGAAGCGTAAAGCCAGAGCTGCCCGCTTTGGACAAGAGCAGAGCGAAGCAGACCGCAAGCTCGAGAGGGCCATCAAGTTCGGTCTGGACGGCTCCGATGCAGCCTCCATGGCTATTCTCGACAAGGAGCTAGCGGCAGGCAAGGGTAGGAAGTTGCAGCAGCAGAAGAAGAACAAGGATGGTAGCGAGCTCTCTACTACTGCTGATGGTAACAAAGCTCAGAAGGTCGTGAGCGGTGCTGGCGGCTCCCTCGTTGCCGAAAAGAGGATGGGTGGAGGTGGAGCGACCTACGTCGAGAAGAAGGCTTTGACGGAGGAGGAGAAGGCTCAAAAGGAACGGGAGAGGGAAGAGCTCAAGGAGAGGAGGAACAAGGAGAGGGAAGTGAGGGAAGAGGAAAAGAGGAAGAGGGCAGAGAGGTTTGGTTTGATTGACAAGGAGGAAGAGGAGAAGAAGAGGAAGAGGGCAGAACGATTTGGTGGAGCTGCACCGGCTGCTTCGTCCACAAATGGGAGCGAAGTGAGTTTCTCAGCCGATGGTTTGGAAGGAGAAGCAAACACTAGCTGACACGTTCGTACCCCCACTCCCCTCTTTGCAGCCCGCAGAAAAGAAGATCAAAGCTTGAGAAAGTGGCCCAATTCAAAGGTAAGATCAGAGGTCCTTCTCGCTCTGGGCGTCGACGGCTCCTCTTTTCCCCTCATCTCCTCTTTGAGTCATCCGCACCCTCAACTCTACCTGATATGCCTGAAATGTTCCCAAAACGTCAGAAGGAGGGAGAGCACGCTCTGGTCCATCTTGCTCCGCCCTTTCTCTCTCTCTCTGTGCTTCGTATTGTATGTATCGACGCATGTTCATCCACTCTTCATCCTTCTTCGTTGAAAGCTCATGTTGTCATTGCGGATCCTGTACAAGGGATGGGGTATAGTAATGCATCTTCACGTCCTCTCTCTGTTTGTTTTATCCAATGCGTGGCCTCAGCGTCTCGCCCTGTCCGATTCTGACCTGCGATCTCTCTCCCTCTCCCTTTCGCCACGCTGATACCTCTCCCTGTCTCGGTCAGCCGGCCTTCGCTCCTCGCCTCTACGACGAGAAGATCCATCCTTGTCGCTTCGCCCTGACTCGCGCTGCCGCTCTCGGTCTCTCGTCCTCCCCTCCCCCTCGCGATGTTTCCTCTTCGTCGGCGTTCCACTATTGCTGCTACTAGCGGCGGCAGGTGTGAAATCGATGTTATTTCGTTTCCCCGAAGTCTGCCTGGCGTGCTGCTCCTCGGTAAAGGTCTTCTGCAGGCTGGCTAATCGACGTGGATCTGCTTGCGCGTGGGTATAGCTTGAGAGAGAGGGGTTGTTCCAGCTTAGAGGAAGGTCGAGATTGGAAGGAGGAGAGCTCTCACCACCCTCCTGCTCCCCACTCCTCCCCTCTCTCCTTCGAAGACCCTGAACAAGCGCATACCCACTCGCCCTCTCGTCCACTCCAACAAAAGCTACCAGCTTATCGTAGATGCTCGGGTTGCGGAAAGAGCGATTGCTCAGCAAGCTCGCATTGAAGTGCGTTGGCCTCTCCGCCCCCTTCAACTCGTGGAATTGAGCCAACCGGGCTTTTAGGGCGGGAGAGACGAGATGCTCCTGTGATGAGCCTGGGTCGGAGGGGAGGGACCAGGTGTGATCTGGGAGAGCGTTGCTGCTGCTGCTGCTGCTGCTACTTTGAGGGGGTTTGGGAGGGGGACGCGAGAGGGATAGGAGATGCTCGTCTTCGCCCGAAAGGACCAGGTAGGGGTTGGCCGTGGAGCGGTCTTGTGTTTCAGAATCTTGGTTGAAAGCATCCTGAATTGTGTCCATCTCGCCAGGAGTAGTGGAACTTGACCTTGAGGTTGTAGCTGGCATTGAATCGGGCACATCTTTTGCAACGTTGGTGCTGCTGCCTTCTCCTACATCGTCCCTAGTGTCATCGTTGGCCGAGCCTGTTGCCAAAGGGGTGGTCGCCATTGAGCTCACGTCGTGCTGCAGAAATGCCCTGTGTCGCGCACGACTACGTACCATTCATACCGATCGGTCTTCAAGAATCCCTTCCTTGTTTCTTGTGGCCGCTCTTCTCGACTTCTTGACTGGTTGATGCTATGCTGAATGGCTCGTATGCATCGCCCTCCTTGAGCGGTAGGAGCGCCATGGCCACTTCCGTCGGGAGTGAGTCCTTCCCGCGCAGTGCCTCCGTCGCCCTGTGCGGGTGTCAATCTCCAGACGGGCAAGCTTCATTCATTCACTCACTTCTTCCGCCTGACCGGTACTACTTGAAGGTACTCTGCCCCGGCTCACTACCTTCCTTTCTTTCTCTTCAATCGTCAGTCAAGGTAGTCGGACCGTCGTCTCCATCCCTACCCTCCAGCCACCGCCTCGTACGCGGCATGGACGACGACGACGCCTTCCTCTACGGAGACGAAGGGCCGGCTCCGGCGCCCGCGCCTGCCGTACAGCAGCAGCAGCCAAGTAAAGGACAGCAGGTAGCCGCCCCTTCTGAGGCACCTACCGCCGGAGCAGCTGCCCAAGAAGCTGGAGCTGGAGCTGGAGCAGCTGAAGATGACGACGATGACGATGAGAGTGATTCGGAAGAGGAAGAGGATAGTGACTCTGTGAGTGAGACTATGCACCGTTGAGGACCCATGTTGAAGCTGCTGACGTCGGGAGGCCTTGGCCCGGATCGCCTACGTCTGCCCTATCAGGACCTCGAAATTGTCATGGACACACCCGTAGAGGCTCAGCCTGCCCCAGCTTCTCGATATGGTGCTCCTCCCCCTCGGCCAGTACAGGTGCAGCAGCCCGGCCCTCGCGTGAACCCTGTTTCTCGCGTGCTCAACCCGACAATGACTTCGGAATACACACCGCTTTCCAGGTCGGCGGCCCTTGGTGGAGCTGGCGCTGCTGCGTCGCCTACCAAAGCCGCTTTGGCGACTGCGCCTGGTCTGCCACAAGCACCACAGCCAGCCTTGTTCGGCGAAGAGAGCAAATACCCTGTTCCACCGATCCCTACTCAGCCTCCTGTCCTGCCTGAAGGCCCGCCTCCTCGGGCTCCGACTACAGCTCCTCGCATCGAACTTTCCCCAGCACTAGACGCTCTGCAGGTACCTGGCACAACGGCTGAGGGAGAGCAGATGACTATCTACCACATCGACCCATCTGGTCTGCCAGAGAAGCCCTGGCGGCGGCCGGGCTCGGATATGACCGATTGGTTCAATTATGGATTCGACGAGGTCAGTTGGAGGGATTATGGGAGGAAGAAGAGGGGTGTGCTGGACGAGAAGGAGAATATCGAGAACCGGGCAAATGAAGCTGGTAGGGCCAGCGAGGAACGGCAACTTCGTGAGCAAGACCAGCCATCAAACGAGCAAGACGTCATGGCCATGATGCAGATGATGAACAACAACGGGGCAGGTCCTTTCGATCCTCAGATGATGGCCCAAATGCAGCCTCAGCAACAGATGCAGTTCATGAGTCAAATGATGGCCAATGGAGGAATGGGACTAGAAGCAATGATGGCTCCTTTCATGCCAACGAACAATGGCTTCGGGCAGCAGACGAATGGCTTTGGCATGCCACAGAATGGAATGGGAGGCATGGGAGGCATGTTTGGCGGAGCAGCAGCTGGCGGCTATCCAGGTATGCAGCAACAGCAGCATCTACTCCAACAACAACAGCAAGGGATGCGGGCTAGGCCTCCCATCTATGCCAATCTTGCTCCTCCACCTGGAGCTCCTTCTGGACCCTCAGGTCTCCGAGCAGGTACAGCCAACGCTGGACGTCCGAGCGCGAGTGCCACCCCCATCCCGACTGGACCATCTGGTGCCGTAAGACCTCCTGGCGGTCCCTCAGCAGGTTCTCCAGCACATAACTCCACAGGGGCTGCTGTGAAGGGCGATTCAGTAGCCGGAGCAGGCGAGGGTGACAAGACTGATGATAACGAGACGACCGAGCAGAAGATGGGCGTGCCGAATGTGAAGATAGAGGAAAATGGCGAAGGAGAGGGCGACAAGACACCTACAGCAAAGTCCACAGGTGAAGGTGGAGAGCAGGCCACGCCCAAAACTGCTGAGGATGGGACAGAGATCGAAAAGGCACAAGGGGACGCGAATGACGCTCTTGGCGCTCTTCCCAACCCTGCTGTGAGTATAAAGGATCCACGACGTGATGCAAGCCCATTATAGCTAACGTCGTACTTCTGTTTGTCACGCTCAGGGTATGGCTCCTCAGGACATGGCCAATTTCCTCGGCATGGCCGGCCTCGACGTCAACGCGATGAGTAATCTTAGCGGCTCTGCAAACCTCGGACAGGGTGGTCCAGCGCCTCCCTCAGGCCCAAGCGGTCGTGGTCGCGGTATCGGTATTGGCGTGCCACCTGGAGCCCCGAATGCCCCTCGAGGCCCGTCAGGTGCTGCCGGTCGAGGCCGAGGCGCTCCCGCTGGTGCTCCTACTGGTCCCTCTGGCAAAGCACCACCCACTGGCCCCTCTGCCGATCGCTCTTTGCCTCCGAATGTGCCCACTGGCCCGCGAAACCCAGGCAAGAGGTACAACGACCGTGATACTGGTCCAGGAGGGGGAGACGCCCTCGACTACGGCGGTGGTGGCGGCGGTGGAGCACGAGCCAGGAGCGAATCCAGAGACGGTGGAGCTCGGGATGTGGAGCCTTCAAGAAGTCGAGAAAGCTCAGTAGCGACCAGCACGGCGTACAACGGCGGCGGCGGATCGAGCAAGCAGAGGAGCAGTGCCAGACAAGATTCGGTACCCGCTCGAGGAGGAGACGATGTTTCCATCCGGGGTGCCAGCTCGGCCTCGAGGTCGATCAGGGGCTCGGCTTCCTCCCGACGAGCTTCGCACCGAGACGAAGAGAACTCGATCCCCGAAGAAGAGAGCTCCGGAGACAGGCGCAAGCGCTCCTCCACCCGACGAGAGAGGGACCGAGACTCCTTTGACGAAGCTGACGAGCTGGACTACTCCGGCGGCGGCGGCGGCGGTGCTGGTGGTGGTGGCGGTGCAAGGGCGTCCAAGAGTGGCGGCACGACTTCCACAAGGGACAAGTCGGAGCGAGAGCGAGAGGAACGTCGTGAGGAACGTCGAGAGCGCAGGAGGGACAAGGAGCACCGTTCCGACCGGGATCGCGATCGTGATCGTGATCGCGAACGAGAGAAAGAGCGAGAGCGAGATGGCCATCGTGACCGCGATCGGGAGCGCGATCGATCCGGAGACAGTCGTCGCTCCGCCAGTCCTCTACCCCGCGGCTCCTCCGTCTCAGCCTCGGCCTCAAACTCTACTACTACCACTGCTGCTGCCAGCAAGCGAGAAAAGGAGCGCGAAGAGCGAAGTGCTGCTCGTGCACAACGGCGCGCTGATAAAGGCGAGGAGGATTATGAGGATGGAGATGACCACACTGCTACTGAATCTGCGGCAACTTCCGTGGGTGGTGGTGGTGGGTCGTCGTCAAGGAGGAAGAGGAATGCGAACGAGGTGGATCATAGCGAGGAGGATGAGGCGAGGAGTGCTGCTGGTGGGGCTGGGGTGGGGACTGGGAGGAGTAGTCGCCGTAAGAGGTGAGGGGGGAGAGAGTGTATGTGCCACCTCTACATTGCAACTGTTGCGGGTGAGGTGTTGATTGACAACCTCCCGAGTTGGAGACTCTGTGCTTCCTTGTGATTTTGCTTTGGCGATTGGAAGTGATATTTGTCAAAAGTGAGGGAGAAAGTGGTAGACCATCTCTAAGGGGCGGAAACCCCAAGTGGGAAACTTGACGACGACAATACCTGCTCCACTCCATCTCTCGTCCTCCTCCTCCTCCACCATCACTGCTCACTCGCCCCCAGCCCCAGCTCCCTCCCTATCTCTGTACACCAATCCATTCTGCACAAGCTGCATCCTGAATGAGAGTCTCTCGGCAACTTCAATCCTCCTGCTCCCCGCCTGGATTGTCTTCTCAAAGAGTGCCTGCCTCTCATCGACGGTGTTAGCGACAATGACCTTGTCTACCCAGTCCAGCTTCGCATCAATCTCCCCGCGCTCCACCAGTCCGAGGACCTCCTCTTCTGTTCGGGTAGGGGACCAGCCAAAGGCGCTTCCCAGGCGGGAGAAGGAGACGGAGGAAAAGGGTGAGAAGAATTGGGTGAGACTGCGCTGGATGATTAGGCGGGTGAGACGGGGGATGTGCGGGTGGAGGTAGACGTCTAGGACGTGTCGTGACTGCAGTCACCAAAGAAAAGAGGCAGGGAGAGAGAGACAGTTAGGGAGATAAGCGATTCAGCTCTGCTCTCAAGTTTGGCCTTTGAGATCTCCATGCAATCAATTCTCACCTTCCACTTGGTCAATAGTCCCAGTCCTTTCTTGTATTCGCAATTCCAAAAGGCATCGAGGAGCTCTTTTGTGTGAGGCTCGTGCTCCATGAACCCTCGCAAGTTGGGCCTGTCGATGATCTGACTCTTGAGAACGGGGCGAGGATATACCGCTAAGCCACAGAGGACGGCATAAAGGGCGACATCTCCAGCTGACATGATCTGTGGGTGGCCAGTAACAAATGGAACGTAATTTAGTACCCAGATTCTAGAACCTCAGCCTCTTCTTTTACACACTCACATGGCTATAGCTGTCCGCCTGTTGAGGATCGGCATCCGCAAAGCTCCTCGCAGCCGTCTCATATCTTCCAAGACCGAGGGCAGCCAGTCCATCTGCAATCTTGAGCTTGGCTTGAATCTGAGCTACTTCTTTCTTCAACCGAGCCTGGACCGCATCTCCGCCGGCTGCTGAGGCTACACCGCCTCGACTGGACGTTTCCGTGGTGCTACCGCCAGCTCGGAAGAGAGCGCCAATAGCATCTCCGCCAGATGTAGATGCCCCTTTGCTCGGTGGTACGACGGATGAGCCAGTTCCTGCAGCAGTGCGGCTGCTACTGCCGACGGCAGCGGAGGGATTGTAGGACTCGAGTACGCCCTCAGCCTTGCTGACGAATGTGGATACATTTGAGTAATTGTGAAGCTCCAGTGAAATCTAGACGGCAGAGCGATAGGAGAGGGTGTTTAATGACGGTCCTCTTGTATAAGTCTCGACCTGCCCCCCTAAATTCACCTCTATGACGTTCAGGCACATCTCGACTACGTGTTCGCTAGTGGAGCAAAAATCCCTCGTGCGCTGATAGCACTTGAGCGCCTCGGCGAGTGATCCTGTCCGTCTGTGATGGTCAGCCAAATCTCGATTGGCCATCTAGTGATGAATCACGATGGTAGGGTTTTCAAGTCAACACCTGTATACTAAGGAATATCTGCCCTCAATCTCCTAATTAGCGCCACTCACTCGAATGCTCTCTTTGATAAGATTGTTTTGATAATTCCTCAGCTCCAGATCCAGCTTTTCTCCTTCAATCTTTGACCGCTTTGATGCATCTCTCACCCATTCCTGGTCTGCAGACACAGTCTGACCGTCGCTGAGCCGCTGACCATCGGCGTTGGTGTTGCGTAGCATCAGGGCTGAGTTATAGGTCGCTACATCGTTTGAGCTCTCCTGGATCAGACGCATCGCCTCCTGTGCCGTGGCTGCTCTGAGCTCTGGCGCAGTCTTGGCGATGTGGATCAGTCTGGGTATCTTGGTGCTGCCTTGGTAGTTTGCGATGTATGCTTCCCAGTCGAAGGGATCTTCTGCGCTGAGGTGGACGGTGAGGTCATCGTGTGTGCCGGAGCCGCTGGCTTCTGGAGCTGTCATCTCTTCCGCAGTGACGAAGGAGGGCTGCTCTGTGCCATCGGATGACTCCATGGAGTGTGGGTCGAGGTCCATGGCTGATGAAGAGGCAGAGGCAGGCGAGGTGTATCTCCTGAGTGGTGATGGTGATGGTTACGGCGGTGTGCCTCTCACAGCCAAAGACGTCGTCCGTCCGTCAGCCGGAACAATTGTCCGTGCACGACACGCCTGCCTGCATTGGCGGAAGCGCGGCTGCGCGGTGCGACGAGGCGGCAGTGGATGGACAGGCGCTTCTTCCCGTACCGCCAGTCCCCGTCCAGATCCCACCATACCCCATCCTTGGCCCCCATACACCACGTACACAGCATGGCGGCGGGAGAATCATCCGCAGCCGCATCGGCATCCAAGGCTGCCTCCGCAGAGGGCGGCGGCGCAGCCAACAAGGGCGCATCGTCCGCCGCGTCCAAGAATGATGCTCCCGTAGACACCCCTTCTCCCTCTGGCGCAGGATCCTCGGCGTCCGGATCCATCACCACTGCAGCAGTGATGGAGTATCTCAAGGCTCGAGGGTTTCAGAGGGCAGAGGCAGCTTTCAAGGCCGAGATGAAGGCCCTCGCCTCGGGCAAGAGCCCAGAGGCAGCTCAAGCCGAGGGTATCCTAGCAGCTGGGCCCGGATCGAATCGTACAATGACACTGGAGGAGCTGGCCGCAAAAAGTGCGCCAAGAGATGATACCACAATGGAAGAGCTGGCAGTAGAGGCATTGAAGACGGACAGGACAGACAGGATACGCGGATTTGGCATGGTCCGCAATTGGTGCGAAGGTGGATTGGACCTATACCAGGTGAGTGGGCTGGGGCGTACATGATTGCATGGCCCAATCACTGACACACTCTCTCGCACATCGTATAGGCCGAACTACGTCCGCTTCTTCTACCTCTATTTATCCATTCGTACCTGGATCTCATCGAGATGGGATCAGAAAGCGCTGCTTTCTCCCTCTTCGCTTTACACTCCTCGGCTCTGCTTCCGCAACAACTCTCCTTACTCTCCCACTTGCGCTCCATCACCTTCGCAAGTCATCTTACAGGTGACGAGCTCGCTCAACGCTTCAGGTCGGAGAGGTATGTCCTCAAGATGAGCCAGACCGTCTTCGGCCTTTTGCTGGGTTGGCTCACTGATGGGACAGGGCCAATGGCAGCTGCTGGCGCGGCAGAAGGCGTTGGAGGAGACACGGCAGAGGCTCCAGCAATGAGGGGCAGACTGGCCATGCTGCGAATTATCAACGAGCGTTGTAGAATCCAAGGTGAGTAGAAGGGGAAGCCGAGTAGCATGCCTCCGGACAGTCGAAGAGGACTCCTCACTGACCTCGCTACTCTGTGGCCGCCTCCTCAGTTCTTCGGGCCAAACCATACGAGCTCACGCCGGCAGCACTCGAAGAAGGAACGGGTCTCACTGGATCCGGCATCCCATCAGGGTCTGCCGGCAAGGCCTCACAACAACACCCCTCCCTGCAAGCCAATGCAGTTTCAGAAGGCGGCGATGCGATTGCCGAATTCAATGCAAAGAATGCTGGCCCCCAGCTGAAGCTCGGTCCTCAAATACCGCTGAACGATCGGCTGAAGGAGGAAGTTCAGCGGGAAGTGGACGATGAGCTGCGCAAGGAGGAAGAGCAGAGAAAGGTCAAAGAGGAAGCGGAAGGCAAAAAGAAAGGAAAAGGAGAAGCCGAAGGAGACGACGCACAAGGTGTCACGGCCAAGGAGGACGAGGAGATGGACGGCCCGGAATCTAGTGAGCGAAAGCAGCGCGAAGGCTCGGCCGATGGCGCCAGGCGGTCTCGATCAAGAAGAGCTTCCTCTGCCAAATCCAAGGAGGGTACACCTGCGGACACGCCGGGTCCGAGTGCGGCTAAGCGGACGGCGTCTGTCGCACCAGTGGCATCTAGCACAATTGCTGGCCAGTCTATCGAGTCGGACTTGCTGCAGCCATCGCTGTCAGACCTGCCACCTCAGCCGCCGCTCTTCCGCACGGTAGACATCATGCGGGAAGTGGCCAAGGTACGCGACGCACGCAAGAGCCTTAGGATTGACCTGACCCTGCTCAACCGAGGTAGCGGTGGTCTAGGAGCTAGCGACGACAAGGGTGTAACGGACACGATGCGGAGAGCAGCGCTTCCAAGCGTCTGCGCATATACCTATCATGATGTCGAAGACGGCCTTGCCTGCTCTACCTTCTCTGAGGATCTGTCATTAATGGCGGCTGGCTTCGAAGAGAGCTATGTTCAAGTGTGGAGCTTGAAGGGCCAGCCACTAAGGAGTCTCAAAGGGGACGTGACGCTCGCTGGCGTCAGGGATGCAAACACACTGAACGAGCAACGGAGAGTAGAAGAGGACCTGCCTACACGCAAGCTGATAGGACATTCGGCGCCCGTCTACTCTGTTTCCTTTGACCCATTGGGCGGTACAGCCTCACCGCCTCGTACCCTCCTCTCCGCCTCGGGAGACTCCACTGTCCGCCTCTGGTCTATGGACACTTACTCTGCTCTCGTTGCCTATCGTGGTCACCAGGGTCCAGTGTGGGACGTCGAGTACGGTCCGGGAGGGATCTACTTTGCGACTGCTGGAATGGACAAGACAGCAAGGCTGTGGAGCACGGAGCGGATCAACCCACTGAGGATGTATGCTGGCCATCTCAGCGACGTAGATGTGAGTACAGCGCTTCGCTACATGAAGAACGATGAAGTACTGAACTCAAAGATGCTCCACTCGTCTCCCTCCCTCCCAGTGTCTCTCCTTCCACCCTAATTCCCTGTTCCTAGCAACCGGATCTTCAGACCGCACCTGTCGTCTCTGGGACGTCCAACGCGGCGCCTGTGTGCGTCTCTTCGTAGGACACTCTTCCCCCATCAGCACCCTCAAGATCTCCCCCGACGGGCGGTACCTCGCCTCAGCTGGGTCCGGCTCCCCTTCCCACTTCACCGGTAGCGCGACTGCTGGTGCGGGAGCTGCTCTGGGTAGCGACCAAGAAGCGACAATTTCCCTGTGGGACTTGGGCAGTGGAAAGCGCGTTAAGAAGATGTGGGGTCACACCGGCCGGGTGCACTCCCTTGACTTCTCAAACGACGGTGGACTCCTCGTCAGTACAGCCCAGGACGGTACGGTGCGCTGTTGGGATGTCAAATCCGCAGGAGGGGCGCGTAACTCTTCGTCCACTACCCTCAGCGGTGTAGGCGTTGGTGGTGCTGCCACTGGCGGGGGGATGATGGGCGAGTCCACCACCCAGCAGCAGCAGCAGCAAGCCAATTCTTCTTCCTCGGACTGTGTAGCCACCTTCAAGACGAAGCGGACACCGATGATCGACGTCAAGATGACAAAGAGGAACTTGTGCCTCGTGGCTGGAGGGTTTGGTGCTTGAGATTTTCTTGTCTCTCCTGCTTTTTTGGCAGTGTCTACAGTGTACTTGTTCCCTGACTAATGGCATTCTTTGCATCTCCGCTACCCGGTCTGATGCCTGACCTCTGATGCTTCATCAATGCTTGCCAACTCACTCTTGTAATAGCACACAGAGGGTGCAAAGCTGAAGCTCGCAATTGATATCGATTGGAGATGGAGGGCTGTGGAGGAAGGTACAAGTACATATTTCATCAGGGGAGATGGAGAGAATATGGCGTGAAGCAGAATGAGAGCTAGCGGGCTACATTAGTGCCACTATCCAAAGAAAGCGCAGTGAGATGTAAGGAAGCCATTCCAAGGAGAAGGCAAGCCGCCCCAATCTCTTCTAACCTCCCGATCTCATGCCACCTTGTTCGCATCGGGCTGCTGCTGCAGGAGCGAGATTAGGTAGCTCTTCTCATCTGTAAATTGCTCATCGTCCTTGTCATTGTGGAAATTGCTGAGGAATTGCACTAGACGATCGCGGTTGCGTCGAAGGATATTCTCTATCACCGCGGGCTTCTTGGGGTTGGCGACAAAGACCTGGTGAGCGAAGCGGAGCAGGGTGAGAAAGGGACACGGGGATTGATCAGTGGATGCTGCTAGCGAATGTTGGATGGGGAAGAATGCTCACCTTGAAGACGTGAAAGGCCTCAAATTGAATATTCTTGCTCTTGTCACGCAGAAGATTCATCATCAACTTGAGGTTCTCTTCGGACGAGATGTACCGCGTCATGACATTGAAGTTCGTCCTATCCAACAGGATCTCGCCCAACAGCTTCAATGACTGCCGCTTGGTGACGTAGTTCGGCGATTGGAGGAGACCGTCGTACATTGTGAAGAAGCGGTCGTAATTCTTCTCGAGGTACTCGGCCACCATTGCCTTGTGCTTCGTCAATGTCTCCTTGAAGTTGGCAAAGGCGTCACAGGATACACCAAAGGTAGTCTTCTCAATGTAGTCTGGGAAGGCGTAAAAGCTAAGAGGAGGAATACGGCAAGGTAGATCAGCCCACCGTGGCGAAGGTCGGTCATTCTGTCCGGTACCACCACTCACCGCTCTGCATATAGTAGTATCTTCGCCAATGGTTCGTGCCGCAACATCTCTCTCAAGATCATCCCTGTGTTAAGAGCCACATCTTGGTTCTCATACCCCTTGAGGGTTGAGAAGATGACATCCGGCTTAGTGGTCAGATATTCCACGGTAGGCCATCTTGACCCAATCTGCCGTCTGAGCAGATTGTTGAAGATCTGAGCCACGTCTTTCTTTGCCTGCAAGAGTTGGCGAAAAGGGCACATGTAAGCAAAGTGTAGGGAAAGGAATTGAGTCTGACCCTGACTGATAGCGCACCTCGAAGTCGAACCGCCAGATATTGAGGACAAGCAGCTGCAGGACGTCTTGGTTGTAGACTTCTTGTGCCAACTGGGCCACCTGCTCGGCTTGCGGCTCATTCTCTCCATCTCCATATAGTATAGCCTTCATCTGAGACAGGTTCTTCGATACGTCTTCGCTACACTGAAGACTCAGCAGCGTTGGAAATTCGAGGGCTCAGTCAGTCTACATCGCATCTGACGTATCGCTCTATTCAATCGTTCCTGGGGAGTCAGCTCACCTTCCGCTGTGCCTCCTGGCTAGCACTGCTCGATTCCAGCCTTCGAATAGCATCTCTGATGTTCTTGACGAGCTCAGCAGGTGTCCTACTCTTTGACTTGAATATGAAATTCATGCTATTGACCAAGGAGGTGGCTGTGCTAGGAAGCGAAGGGCTCAGCGGCGATGGGGATCCTCCTGCTCCTCCACGAAATCCTGAGCCTGCTCCTCGAAGACGAGGCTGCTTCGGTGAGCTGACTTTGGGCTTGGAAGATGCGGAGGAGCTAGTGGAAGAGGAGGAGGAACTGCCGGTCTTGATGTGCAAGGGTACGGCTGATGTATTAGGCATAGCAAATATAGTCGGAGGTGAGAGGGCGAGGGAAGTGGACCAGAAGGTAAGTGGGAGAGAGGTAGGAAGAGGAAAAGGATAGAGAGATTAGTATACATTGACCTCGACTTAACATAGTCGGGCTCGTCATGCCTTGCAACTTCCATGGAAGGGGTCCACTGCAGCCGCACACGCCTCGCCATCGCAGCCGAGGGATGTGCTCAGGGGTTTCGACCCCTTGTCACTTCTACGCTGCCCCTTGACCGAGATTCTGTGACTCACAGCTTTACTTGCAGATATCGAGAGTATCAGCGGTTCCCTTCGTGGTCAGTGTCCGTCTGTCAGAGGAGCGATACAGCTAGACGACTTGCGTGGCGGTGCAGGTGTAAGAGATTTCTTGGAGTATCTCCACGGACTTCTGCAAGAAACGAAGCCCTGGCCTGCGAAGGGTGTGAGTAGACCAAGCGGGAGTGTCTCAGGTTTTCGCTTGAGACTGATTGGGGTCTGAGGTGTATGCTGGTAAGAGGGGCGATAGGGGTGGAGGACGGTCATAGGAAGGTGGCATGGTCCGGGCCAAAGGTGGGCGGGCCGAGGAGGTGCATGGCATGACGACGCGGCGCCGCGTGTTGGACTCGCTTCCTTCTGCCACAGACACACACACGCACGCCGCCATGGCTCGCTGCACCGCCGCCCAAATGTCATGAATGGAGCAGATCTTCATCGTCGAGGTGTATCCTCGCACTCCATGAACCTGGACACGCTCGCTCAGTCAGATCAGGCGCATGACAAGATGGTAAAGGCGAGTGCCAGAGGCAGAGCGCCGGCCAAGTGGCTTGATATAGAAGCGAGTGTGTAAGACGAAATCTACTGGAAAGAGACCGAGGACAGCATAACGCAGGAATATTTTTGTGTGCAGCGGCCCCCCCCTCCTCGACAAGAGGTGCCACTGCGGAAGAGGGAGAAGCAAGAGAAACGGAATGCTTTCGTCTGACCAACTGGCCAGAAAGACTGCACTTCCAGAAGCAATGGCGAAAACAGAGGAGCGATGAGAGCAGAAGCGCGGGGACCTCCATTCGCGGACGCTAGCAGGGAAAGGAAATCTTGACGATACGAGAGATTTGATGGAACAGGGACTGCGCCAAGTGACGAGGGCTTAATTGGACGCTTTTGGTGCACGAAAAGGAGGCAACAGTAGGCAAGTGCAAGCTTGACTAGAACCGATCTTGCATTTCAGTGGGCACTGGTCAGATTCCTGCCGCTGTTCAGCAGCTCTAGAAGGGCAGAAGGCGCTAGCGGCGCTTCGTGCATGCGAGGGTGCGTACGACTTGGTGGCCTCGACGAAGTCGTAGTCGTCGCTGGTGATGCCGACGACGCGGAAGCGGCCGCAAAGTCGGAGAGAGAGCGTGCCAAGGCATCATAGCCAGGTCGCTGAGACTGCGATGCTGGAAGTCGAGAGGGCAGATCATCACTGACCCCGTACTGCATCGCACCTGCAGGAGCAGACCGGCACTGATGATGATGATCTACCAAAGCAGCAGTCGGCCGCTGTGGCTGGTGAGATTGGGAACGACCTTCGCCTGAAGAAATGCCTTGGTGCTGCTGATGAGGTAACGCCGACCAGAGCTCATCGCCTGCACGTCCCTCGCGAGTAGACTCCTGCATAAGGTCCAAAGGCTCAGGACCAGCACTGGCATCCACAGCGGACAGCATGTCACTGAGTGCAGAAAGTACTTTCTGCGACGTCTCATCTCTGGCTGATGGCGATGCACCATGTGCAGACGTGAGTGAACCTCGGCCGTTGCCCACAGGCCGATGCTGTTGGTTGGTCCTATCGTTAGGACTGGCGGCCCACCCCTTGCTTTCCTCTCGCCTCTGGACCCTCTTGAGAAACGACACCCAAATGCGATCGGGAAGTGCGATCTCATAGTTGCTGCGGATCAGATAGTACTGCTCCATCTTGTTCAGCTCTGTAAGAGGAATCCCAGTAACCTCGTTCCAAGTCTTGTTGAGGAAGGTATTGTCATCCAAGTGCTTGTTGGCGATCATCAGTCCAAGAGTAAAGATTTTGAACGGCGCGGCAGAAGGAGGAGAAGCCAGGACTTCAACCGCTTCGGGGTCGATGCGACCCTGTGTGTCGACGGCGATCAGAGGAATGCGAAGAGCGTATAGCAATCCCAGCAAGAACGCCGTAGGGGAGAGGAGCGTTTGAGCCAGAACTTGATGCGCAAATCGACGAAATGCAGGGCTGCTTTCGCTGCCCTGAACAGCAGACGGCATGTGAGCAGAAGCGTCTTCGCCGTCGCGATGACGATCCATTTCAAATGACCTCTGCGACTGGTCAAAGAGAGTGGGTAAGCTGGCACTGGCATGCGTCCACTGCCATTGGGGAGAGACAAGACCCAGGACAGAGAGGACAGAAGCCCGTGAGCGCTCTTGAGATCTGGTGCGCCCCACAGCTTGTCGCGAGCCGGAACGGGTTCTGGCAATGCTTGCACTTGCCGCTCCCTTGTCACGAGGCGACGAAGAGGAAGACAATTGCATCGGACTGCTTAAGGCAGAAGGTGTGGGTTGCAGAGGCTGTGACGACGGTTGTTCAGAAGACGAAGTAGACGGTTGCCGCACAGCACTACCCGGACCACTTGAAGATTCAGAGGGTCGCGAGCCGCTGTTGTGCGAACCGTCCTCCCAGGCGGACCACTCAGCCTCACCCGCTTCGTCTTGCTCGTGGTGGGGCGGCAGACCATAATTGAGCCCGAGAGTGGACAGTAGCTTTGCAGATGCATCAAGGTCTTTGCCGCCCGAAGATGGAGACTGTGGCGTTGTCAGGGGTGTGCTGAGCATCGGGCTTGACAAGCTCGATGTACTAGTGGGCGAGTTGCTGTCCCCGAGATCTTCGCGACGAGCTTCGAGAATGAGCTCAGGATCCAGAAGTCCAATGCAGGCGTTCCAGACGAGCTCGGCCCCAAAGTTGGATATGGATACACCGGAGCGATCAAGAGTGTTGGGAGACGGGGGCGCTGGCGCAGAATCGGCAGGCTCCTGAATCACTTCATGCGCTGCAGCAGCAGGTGCGCCTGCATCGTACTGCTGTTGCTGCTGAGAAGATGCAATGTGTCCTTGTGATAGGTGCGGCTGAGCATGATGGTTACCAGAAGAGGGGGCACGTTGCTGTCTCTCTTGTTGCTGAAGAGATTGCTGCTGGTGCTGTTGGTCAATTTGCGAAGGCCAGTGAGCTGGGACCTGCGACTGAGATCGAGAATGGTGCCGGCTTTGACCGTAGCTCATCGACTGATGCTGCCATCCACCTCGACTCAGGCTTTCTTGCTGACCACCTTCGTCCCGTCCCTGCCAATACTTCTGACTCTGCTGCGGTGCAGGCAACGTCCAATCATAAGTCTGCGCCCTTGCGCCGGCACGGTCCGCAAATTCGGACCGTCTCCTCTCCTGGAAAGGAGCAGGCTGACCGTTGCCGCTTTGCCATGTGTTGTAGTCATGGCGGTAGGAGGGATCTTGCCAGGCGTTTCTTTCAGCAAGTCGAAACTGCTCGACCTCAGCGGCCCCTTGCTGAGACTGTGTTTGACGAAGGTCGTAAGAAGGAGGATTCGCAGGGCACGTCTCCGGCGCACCGTAAGAAGAACGTTGGTAGGGATGCTCTGGCAGAGCGTTCGACTGAGTCCAATTGGCTTGTTGCGAATAGGAAGTGGGCAAGAAGGAATCGGACGATTGCTCAAAGTTCTGCCAGCCCCCGTTGTTGGCGGAGGGTCGGCCGGCGGCAAAAGCTGAACCTGGCTGCGTCTGGTACTGTGGGAGAAACCCTGGCGTATGTTGACCGAAGTGCGAGCGGGGTGGTGGCAATTGCGGGATCGATCGCCTTTGTTGTTGCTTGGAAATCTGATGGTGTAGCATCATCTGTTGTTCGATATCGTAATGATGCTGAGGTCCGGCAGGCTGCTGGTGTGCCTGCTGATAGGATGGATTCGTCATTGCCGCCCAAGGAGCTGTGTAGGGCAGCATCGACGAGAATCGATCCTGCACAGCATCGTTCCATCGTCGCGCTGCTGCAGAGGTGAGTTTTGGAGCGGGCGGAAGTTGCCAATGGCGTCCGTACTCGTCGACGGCGAAGGCTTGCGTCCCATCGGCACTCTGATATGTCGAAGTATGCATAGGAAGTGGTGCCTGCTGAGCGAGGTTGCCGTACGACATGGCATCCACCGCGGGCGGCACTGTCGTGTAAGCCATACTTCGTCGTTGAGAGACTGTCCGAGCCTCGCAAGGCTTGGCGAACACTCTCAGGTGGACGGAGTGATCTTGAAGGCGAGATGATCAACCACCAGACACGCGGTCCGTAGAGAATCAGACTCGAGCGCTGCACGCGTCGTAGTCCAAATGTAGATACCGGAGGGGAAGGTTGAGGCTGCTCGATGGCTGTAGGATGTTTGTGCAAGGGGAAGCAGGTCCCACTTTTGAAGTAGCGGGTATCTTGGCGTCCAAGTCACGAAAGCTCAGTGAATTAGAGATAACGTGACCGAGGGCGATCGATTGAAGTAGTAAGTGTGAAGGTTCAGAACAGAGAGTGGCAAGTGAATGATTCCCTGTTCTGTACGTTCGTCTTGACTGGCTTGGTAGGGCCAATCGTATGCGCGAATGGAGCTACCAAGGAGATCCAAACTTCTTGTGATCTCTGTCTCAGGTGGGGGTGCTGAAGATTCAGCAGGCGAGAAGAGAAGACGCGTAGCTGGATACCTCGTGGAGGCTACAGCCGGCTGAGGAACAACGTGCTCGCCAAAGTCAAGCTAGTCCGGAAGAGTAGATGAGATGCCCGACAAGGTCCACTCTGTGCCGGGTTGCGATGGCAAAGCAGTGACTGGACTGCCCGGGTGAAGTCAAAGGCAAGGCAAGGCTCCTGAACTGCGAACTTGTGCGGTGGCCCGTAGTACGGAGAGTCCTCTTGCTAGCCTTCAGTCTCAGTCTCGGTCCGTGACGTACTCTGACGTTAGGACTGAGCTTTCTTCTTCCCCGTCCGGTAGATGGGGTCCAAGGGGGGAAGTAGGGTGGATGGGTCGAGAGACAGGAGCACACGCCGGAGCCAAAGGTTCCCAATCGAGGAGTTTGAGTTTTCCTTGGCCTGCCTGCCCGCCGCCCGCCTATCGGACCGGGCAGGGGCTGCGCGGTTTCGTCAGGCACAGATGACGTGCAGACGACGGACGTCAGTCACACGCGCGACGCTGCCCTGGTCAAGCCTGTTTGTGGGGCGGCAAATGCAGGTAGGCGCGGCGCGTCATGCGGCTCAGCCAGCCTTGGTGCAGAACACGATCACGCCCAATCGTCTCTGATGGCTGTACTGGACACCATTAAGACTTCAGCATGGCTTACAAGAGGAGATGTGGACGCGAACATCCTACGGAGGAGCAGAATGGAAGCTGTTGCGAGATGCCTCCGTGACGTGAAACCTCTGCACAATATCCACACGAGTGTCGCCGCAAAGGTCCACACAACCCACAGAGCACCCCTCGAAGGCATCGAGGGGCAACGACACGTGCCCTTGCAGTCGTCTTGGGAAGAGGCAGGCCTCCCAATCTGACTGCAAGTGAGCTCTGTACGGCGCTTACAAGGGCAACGAAGCGGAGAAGGATGGGCGCCCGCCAGAGATGCACGTCTCGGCTTGCGATCCCGAAGCTTACGACCTGGCGCCGTCGTTGCATTGGTGGTGATCCATCACCCTCCCGATCACGGCCACGAGGATGGAGGGCCATTTAAGTAGTGCCAGTACCAACGCCACTCCTCCCTTCCAGTCTGACCCTTTCTCCCTACCACGCCTCCTTCACGATCCCACCACCTTCTTCCTTGCCACCTCACCACTCCTTTCCTTCGCCCATCCCCTCTCAACCTAGACACATCTCTACGGCCCTCTTCTGCCACGACACCCACGTACTTATCCTCTTCACCTCTCTTGTAGCGTCAGATCTCTGGAGCTTCCCATCTCATCCCGCGACACACACTCTCCCCAGCCTTCTCAAAATCTTACGAGCATCTCTCCTTACCAATAATCCGTCATTGAGCAACACTCGACGCCATCCCAGCAGCTACATCCCCGTTTCGTCAAATCCTACCCACAATTGGCTCTAGTAATTGAGCAGTACCGCACCTATCATCCTCGAAGGTCATCCCTCTGACGGTAAGTCCTCCGACCAAGGTCCCCGCCGATGTCTTAGATGAGTCGATCTGTCTGACAATGTAGGCTACTTCCCACTACCTCCAACAGTCGCCCCAACTGCCTCACTGCTTACACCCGCGACTGATACATCTTCAGCGGCTGAGCAAGAGCCCTCTCTTTGGACCGACATTTGACTTCTACCCCTACACCGCACGATGTCCTCTACGACCGACCTCCGCACTCCAGTCATCAACAACAAGGACACCCCCGGTACGGCCAAACCCGCTAAGCGTAACACGGCATCGCGCTCAGGCAGCAAGAAGACCCGTGTTCCTCTCAAGACCACAACGAGCTCTGCATCCGATCTTCCCATCAGCACATTCCAGTCACTTTCCGAGGGTAGACAGGACAACCTCGATATGACCGTACGTGGTCGCAAAAGCTCCCGCAGTCAGACGCCTCAGCTCTCTTCGGCTCATCAGCGCCAGGGAGCCACCTCCACTTCAGTCCTACCGACCATTGCCGGCCCGGAAGATGCTAGTGCTAGAATTACGTCAGGCTCAGGTCGAGACCCATCCCATGTCAATCGCTGGAACCGGATGCACGGCAGTACTCCAATCTTGGGTCTGCCTGCGGCTCAGTACAACAACTCCTCCGACACTGAGCGAAGCAGTACCACCCCTATGAAGGTCGATCTCTGGGACATACCCACTGCCGACGCAAGAGACGACACTAAAGCTTTTGCAAGCACTCGACAACAGCACTTTGGCAGCGACAAGCTCTCTGTGGACATAGCTAGAGCCAATGAAGGAGCACCAGGGGTCGGACATTTCCCTTGCAGACCCACTCTCCCCTCTGTGGCCCCCACGTCTGGTTCCGGTGCTGGGCACCTCGCTGACCATCGATCCTCCGTTCATCCTGACATTGACACTGTCGCAAAGGGAGCCACTTCGGCAGTCAACAGATCTCCAGCACCCTTCGCCGCCAGCTTCGCAGCGCCAACAGCGCTGCCAGACTCGTCCACTATGCCGATGCCTGTGGAAGCGATGATCTCAAGCGCCTCTCCCGTCATAGACCCTCGCATCCTCGACCAGGCTGTGCGAACAGTCCTGAGCGAACGTTTTGGAGTCAATAGCCTTAGTCAGTTGCCGCATCCTGTGGCCCAATCGCTGCTGACTGGACCGCTTCCACAACTCATCGCTACCTACCTACAAAGCGGCAGCCTCTCCGGACCTCCTCGCTCAGCACCAGCGGCGTCAACGACTGCTGCAGACAGTGAAACGAGCAGCCACGGAGCGAAAGACGGCCCGCTAGTGACCAGCCCTCAGCATCAGCCGGCCCCTCCCATTGCCCTGCTTCCTGCATCACCAGCGCCCTTCCCCGCCGATGCGTTGCCGTCGGAGATCCAGATCGAGCAGAACACCAACCTCTACCTCAACGGGCTAGGGGATTATGTCACCGACGACGAGCTTCTACGGATTGGCTCTCAATTCGGCGAGGTCATCAGCCATAAGGCCATCATCAACTCCGAGACAGGTCTCTGCAAAGGCTACGGCTTTATCATGTTCGCATGGGCTAAGGATGCCGCGGTCGCCATGGTCGAGCTGCAGAAGAGGGGATACCAGACGAGCTTCGCCCGACACGAGTCATTCAGCGCCAAGCTTCGAATGATGTCCGACGTACGATCGACGAATGTTTACGTGAGCAATCTTCCTCTCACTATGACGGACCAGCAGCTCGAGCACCTCGTAGCTCCCCATGCCATTGTCAGTCGACGAATACTATCCAAGGTCGACGGGACCAGCCGAGGCGTTGGTTTTATCCGCTTCCATACTCGCGAGGTAGCGCAAGAATGTATCGACCGACTACATGGCAAGCGACTCATCGGCCACCCTCACCCTTTGCAGGCTCGCTTTGCCGACAGCGAGAACCAGAAGCGCCTCAAGCAAGACACTAGCCTTCGCAAAGTCTACGCAGATCTAGACATGGGAGTCCTTGCCAACCATCCTGCCAGTACCAGCACTCGCCGATCGCTTAGCCAAACATCTCTTGGCAACCTTGCTCGCACAGTTTCTCGCGGTGCCAACAGCACGGGCATGGCTATGGGCAGAAGTGATCCGGGCTCTCTTGTAGCTGGGGCTCAGCCTGGGAGTGTTGGCGGCATTCCCATGATCAGCCCTACAAGCTCCCTTGCTGGCTTCTACCCTGGGCCGATCGGTGCACCTCCATCGCCGCTTTGGGCCGCTGCTGCTCTGAGCAATCACAATCAGCAAGTCTTTCCACATTCGGGTCACAGTGTCTGGTCTCCTGCGAGTACTGCGTTCCCCATTGCGTCTACGCCTACAACTCCCGCAGCCATGCCTCTACCACCGTATTGGGCCCACAAAGCGACCAGTGCAACCGGGAGTAATGTACAGAGCAACGGGACGCCTTCGCTAAGCCCTTCGGGTAGTACCTCGACTCTGAATTCTCCAGCGGTGTCTCTGGATCTTTTGGGCCAGAGCGGCAGCACCGGCACCCTGAACCCACCGTCGGGTTACACACATCTACCCATGGGAAATGCTGCTCAAATCTCCGCAGCATTCTCAACGAATTGGGCGCTGGCATTGTCGTCTGGTCTGGACGTCGAGAGGCAACTGAGGGAGCTGTCAATTGCCGCGCCGCAACAGTCTCACCATCCGTTCGCATTTGAGCAATCGTCGAATGGTCCGCTCATCAAGGAAGGGCTTCAAGGCTTCGCATCTGCTTCGACGATTGGCAACGCTGCCCAGGTCAATGACTGCCCACCTCCCACCTTGTCATCGCCCGCAGACGGGCTGAAGACGACTGGACAAGCAATGTCTGTTTCGGCCGCTCAGACGAACATGGCCTCATTTCCAGTCGAAAGCGCAGTCTACGAAGCGAATGCCGATGATCTACAGCGTCTGGTCCCTAAAGAGACCGCTCTTCAAGCCTCTCAGTTCGTACGAGCTAGCACCGAGAAGGCTGCCATCCCGATCATCAATCCTGACACTGGCCGAGCGTGGGTAGGTAGCAATCCACTTCCACCTGCTACGTCGAGCGATGATCAGCGCCCCGAGATCGAAGACGCCAAGGGACAAGTGCTCGTTACTGCCTCGGCCTCTGCGCCTATTGTGACAGTTTCATCTGGAGGCGACGCTATTGCTGGCGGCTCTTCTCCTACCAAACGTGCCCCAGGAAACGAGGGTGGGGAGGGGTCGACGTCGGCAATGCCCAGTTCCAACAGTGCGCCTGCTCTCCTCAGCACTATAGAGCAGGACCCGAACCCTTCTGCAGAAGTTGAAACGAGCGCTTTGCCACGACCGTGCGCTACCGAAGTCGTCGAGTGAGCTTCGATGCGGCTGTGTACAAAGACAACATCATCGATCAAGTACACCGGTGAAGCTTGATTCAGCCCACGATCTTACTCTGCATACCATCAATCCCCAGCAGTCATCTGTCACTTGTTCTTAGTCTCTCTCGTGAGTTATCCTTCTTAGGCACCTGTATCTCATACCACCTTTACCATCATATCCGGTCTCGCATGACGCTGTTCTCGGGAAGCACAATTCTTCATCCACACTCTTGCGGTTCGGCATCTAAGCGGCAATTAATGTTTTCTCCCTTGTCATTGGTTGCGTGAGGTAGAGCTCTGCAGCATGAGCAAGACAACATCTTGAGGAAGACTCTCTCAGACGTCCAACAGCGCTTCTTCGAGAGAAGCCTAATGTCGCTTTCTCAGACGGCTCCGTACGAAGGCGGTGCCTGGTTCTGAGCCTGTCCCGAAGCGGCCACATATCTGCCGGAGCCGACGTAGCGGAAGCCTCCGTAGCCGAACTCTTCCTCCGCCTTGATCTGTTGTCGAAAGAAAGAGACGGGTATGTAGAAAGGTCAATATTGCTCGCGGAGAGATGGGGATTTGGGGAGCTTTGATACTCACCTTCTTGTAGATCAGCTGCGAGAAGGGATGAGATTGGCAGGTGGAGAAGAGAGGTCAGTATCAGACCCATGATGGAGAAAGTGTTGTGAGAAGGCCTGAAGTGGGCTCAGGAGATGACTGAACTTACCCAGACTGTGGAGGCGGGGACGACAAGGAACAGAAAAGCGATTGTCAGTGTCTCGTGCTCATCTATTAGGCCGGCTAGCATCGTCGAAGACGAGTACCGGGGCCACAAGCTGCTACAGAGGCACACGAACTCACAGGCGTGGATGTGACCAGGGAGGTACCCCAACACTGTCAGGAGGATGTTGATGAGGAGATCACATGAGCAGCCGGTGATGAAGGCAGCGGCTGCTGGCGGGAAGAGGATGCTGTGGTCGGCGGGTAGGCGGATGCAGTGTCAGCTGGTAGGCAAGCACCAGACGACCCTGCAAGTCCAGATATGGGACCAAGACTCACGCCACGACGATGAGGAGGACATCTGAAGACTTGACCATGGTTGCGTGGTGTAGCGGGAGCTCTTGTAGATTAGCTAAGCAAGTGGTATAGTGACACAGGCTGCCGATGGTGAGGTGCGAGGAGATACAAGTGCCAATGCGGGCCGGAGCGGGAGTGGAGTGAGCGGAGTTTCACCTGAGACTGGCTGCAGCGTGACTGTTGGGCTGGTGAGAAGGCGGGTCTATCAAAGGCGGATGAATCCCAACTTCTTCACCACTTGCTCCTCCACTTTTCATCTTCACTGTCCCTCAATAGGACATCACATTTACTCACATATAATCATGTCTGCTGCGACTCAGAAGGCGCCAAGCGCTGATGCCAAGGTCGGCGGATCGACAGGCCGAAGAAAGTCATCCGTCCTGCGAGCCAGGAGGGGATCTGGAACTGAGAAGCTGGACAGCCATGTGAGTCTGAAGTGTCGGGCTTCCCTCGTTCTGGGCAAGCATCTGGGGAGGGGCTCTATTGGTTTGAGAGTCTAATCCTGAGCATTGCCCGTCCTCCCAAATTCATCTCGTCTAGACCGTCTCGTGGCACACGTCTACCAACAAGCATGAGCGTGGTCCAGGAGCAGGCAAGGAGCAGCTCGAGAAGGAGTACCAGCGCTTCAAGGAGCTCTTCACTTTGACTCCAGACAGGCTTAAGCACATCACAGAGAGATTCGTCGGTGTACTCAAGCAGGGGCTTGAGAAGGACGGCCAAACAGTGCCCATGCTACCAGCCTTCGTCTTCGGCTGGCCGACGGGTGACGAAGAGGGCTCTTTCCTCGCTCTCGACCTGGGTGGTACAAACTTGCGAGTCTGCCACGTCACTCTTCAGGGCAAGGGCAAGTTTGAGATCACTCAGACCAAGTTCAGGCTTACGGAAGAGCAGAAGCAGTGTGAAGGGCAGGAGCTCTTCGACTTCTGCGCTCAGTGTCTCAACACCTTCATCACCGATCACTTCGGATCTGGCAAGGAAGACGAGGAGATTATCCTCGAAGAGGACATTGCTCTCGGCTTCACATTCAGCTACCCAATGGAGCAGAAGGCTATTGACCACGGTAAACTCGTACGATGGACCAAGGGCTTCGGCAACCCCAACACCGAGGGCAAAGATTGTGCAGAGATGTTCCGCAAATCGCTAGAGTCCCACAAGGTGCCCATCAAGCTGACTTCTATCATTAACGATACTACCGGAACCCTCATTGCCTCCAACTACGTCAAGCAGCACACCAAGATTGCCTGCATCTTTGGTACCGGATGCAATGCTGCGTACATGGAGCACATCAAGAATGTCCCAAAGCTCAAGGAGTACGAATTGCCCGGTGACGAAGACATGGCTATCAACTGCGAATACGGTGCATTTGACTCCTTTGAGCACAAGCACATGGCGGAGATCAGGACAAAGTATGACGAGTACATCGATCTGCACTCCAACAAGCCTCACGAGCAGAGCTATGAAAAGATGATTGCGGGTCTCTACCTTGGAGAGCTATTCCGACTGGTCATCTGCGATCTCATCGACGAGGGCGTGCTGTTTTTGGGCCAGAACACTTACAAGCTAGAGAAGGAGAACGTCTTCGACACTGCCTTCTTGAGCTTGATCGAGGCCGACCCTACAGACGAGGTCTTGACCTGCGCCGGCTTATTCCTGCACTTCTTCGGTGTAGAGACCACAATGGAAGAACGCCAATTCTTCAAGAAGCTCGCAGAGCTGATCGGTACTCGAGCTGCGCGACTGTCAGCGTGCGGTATCGCCGCCATCGTGACCAAGATGGGTTACCTCGAAGAAGGATGTGGCGTTGGAGCCGATGGTTCCCTGTACTCCAAGTACCCCAAGTTCCCTGACCGTCTACACCAAGCTCTTGAGGACATCTTTGGTGAGAAGGGCAAGGGCATCGTGACCCACCAGGCCGAGGATGGAAGCGGTGTGGGAAGCAGCATTGTGGCCAGTATGACACTGAAGCGAAAGCAGGAGGGCAAGTTCTCCCACTGTTGATGGATCCTACTGTTAGTGTAATAGATGCAACCTACTTAACAATTGAAGTCCTTCTTGTGCGCGTTCTTCTGTGCTGCCATGGCGACGAGTGTTGCGCCGTTATCACTGGCGTGGGCAGCGCTGAGAACGTGGGGACGCGGCAGTCGCGGTGGGGAGCCGGCGGAGATGAACCCGATGAGGCTTCCGCTTGCCGCCAGGCGCCTTTAGAGCTTGCTTGCTCCGCACTCTTGCCATCCTCACTTGGCCACCCCACCCCGGTACTGCCCATCTGCCATTATCGTCCTCACATTCGGTACCAAGGTGCCATCGATGCCTTGTTCGTAGTGGGAAACTAGTGTCGGTCCGTTGCCCTCGCCGTCAGTTAGAGGGCAGGGCTGTGTACGACAGATTTTGGAGCCGGAAGGTGATTGCCTGTACTCTCTCGTCTGGCCCAGTGCTCCGAGTTCGAGCTTCGATACTCGAGCGGGAAGCCTCTGCAGCTTTCCTGTAGACCGCTACGGTAGAGGCCCCTGCGTATTCCTTCGCTATGGCGCCAGCAACTTCCTCGTCCCAGGAGGCCTTTGACGTCTCGCAGCACCTCGGCCTGGTCAATCTGGGCAATACCTGCTTCTTCAACTCAGTCCTCCAAGCAACCTCAGCCACTCGAGCATTACACTCGCTCTTCCATCCCTGGGGTGATCTTGCGCTGCCTGAGGCGGCCAATGACTCTGGGATGACCACCGCGTCTCTCGGATCTAGGCCAGTAAATCGCCGCAGAATACCCGCCCTCCTCCTCACAGATGAAGAAGCAAAGAGGCCGATCATTCCACCGCTCTCTGAGGTGCAGGCAGACGAACTCTTCAAGCTCCTTTCCCTGTCTAACTCCTTCCGCTTCACACTCGAGAAGACGTGGAAGGAACCGAGCAAGGCGACAAATGTGCGACCTGCCAGCCACAGTCCCAAGGCTCTACTGAAGCTCCTCGCAAGGAAATTTGACCAATTCGGACACTACGAGCAGCAAGATGCACATGAACTTCTGAGACTGCTGTTAGATGCCATGAGGATGGAGGAGATGGACTTCATCAAGAAGATCCGGCCTCGCGGACCTCGAGAAGCGCAGAGACAGATCAGCGGCCACTCACTTCGCTCCGACTCATCCAGCATGGAATCTCTCTCTGCAACGGAGCCGAGCGATGACGGGACGGACGGCTTGCAGTCAGAGGCTACCTCAGGCCCTTCGAGCTCTCGCAGTAGTCAATTCCATGATCAAGGTGACGTCACACCAATGGCCTCGAACTCTCAACATCATCTGATATCAGAGGGAGACATGACGATTCGGGAACTACCAAATTCAGAGACAAGTGATTCTACTTCTGCTGGCGAGTCATCAGATGATCTCGTCTGGGAGGATATGATGTCTCTTGTTGATGTTCTATGGGGCGGACAATTGGCAAGCATGGTCGTATGCGAAGGCTGCCGACACGTCTCTCATACTTACGAAGACTTCTTGGATCTCAGTCTCCCGCTCAGGCCGGAAGATGCCGCGACTGCCAGCCTTAGAGAGAGGCGAGCGAATCGAATGCGTCTAATGACAGATCGGTGGCGAAAGCCTGGCACTCCCGTCAGTTCTGTCCGCTCGGCGAAGAGCACAAATCCCAGCGAAGAGAGAGATACGATTCTCAAGCAGACACTCCGAGCGGAGGTCGCCTCAGATAAGATTGCTGCAGCGGAGGGAGCTCCGACAGTGGCCTCTGATCGCCTTGTTGACGGTGCTGTTTCTGCAGATGAGGATTCCCACACTCCCGGGAGTACCAGCTGGTCTGCTTGGGCGTCAACATTGGGCAGGAGTCGCTCGGCCAGACCAGCAAGTACAGCGCCTGTCAAGTCAGTAACGCCAACCACTGTGACAGACAAGGACACCATCGACATGCCTGACATTGCGTCGATGGCTCTGACTCCCGAGTCATCTGCATCTTGCTCCGTAACGGGGAACGAGGAGGTGTTGAGACGCGAATTGGCTCGAGCTGTGGAGGCCAAGAGCAAAGGCTCTAAAGACCTACTGACTGCGCTCAGCAACGCTTCCAGAGCGCATAGTCGTGCAGGAAGCAGGAACAGAGATGGAGTCATCAGCAGAACTAACAGTCCCGGCTCGGAGAAGCCCCCTGCAAGGGCCGAGACCTCAGACGCCGAACACAGCCAACATCATCTTCTCGCTGGTCTTCTACATCATCACTCCGCTCACAGATCCCACCGTGAGCCGTCCAAACGAGCTCAATACATAGCCAAAGCTTTCGGGGAGCCTGGACAATCAGCTCCAACAACTGCCTCTTCCTCGCTTTCAGGTGCCGGAAAGCACACATTCCGGAGCAAGGTACGGGCGGATCAGGCTACGACTGGCTTGGCTGTTGCGCTTCGAGCCTTCACGACCTCTGAGGTCTTGAGCGAAGAAAATGCTTTCAACTGCAAACGCTGCTGGAGGCGACTCAACCCCGCTAAAGGAGCAGAACGTGAGCGCTTGAGGCGACGAAGAGCGAGGAAAGGCAAGAATCCTAGTGGAAGCGAGGACAGTGAGGATGATGATGGGGGGGAAGCCGGCGAAGATGAGGATCTTGCGACTGCCGGTGGTGCAATAGCGTCGTACCCTGCAGCGAGTTCTATAGGACCTGTCAAACTCGTCGCTCCGAAGCCTCAACGGGCGGCCACTGGCTTGCTAAATCCGTTGAGCCTTGGGTCCTCAGAAGACGAAGCCTCGGATGCGGAAGCTATTGTCAAGAGCAAGATCGTGGTGGGCGAGCATCTCGATGCTCCCGGACCTTCGGCGATCGATCTCTTGGAAGAGGGAGCACGAACTCCAGGCTCCAGGAGGAGCTCGACGCAGCCTCCCGAAAGCCAATTCTTCAACATCTCCAGAAACATCAGCGGCGGCCTGGTGTCCGGAGCGCATCCTGCACCAACATCGACTTCAGACCAGCAAGGCAACGCCGCTGATGTCCAGCACGATATCAATGCAGCACGCTCAGTCCCTGCAGATGAAATTCCGAGACTACTCGGGGGCAGCAGCTCTTCATTAGGCTCCTCCAGGAGCGTGCAGAGCGGCGAGCCATCTATGGACGAACGTCCTCTGTCGCCTGGCAGCAGCGCCTCTGCTGATCAGCCAGCATCGATGCGGGCGCGAGCTGCGTCCTCAGCAGGGTCGGCCGTCAGCCAGCCTGATCGAGATGTCTCTGAGTCGGGCAACGACAGCGATGCCTCGAGCGGCTCAGCCAATCACAAGTCAAGCCACACTGGTAATCCGAGAATGCTCTCAACATCGTCAATCGTCCGACCTGCGACGGCAGACTCAGTTCAGAGTCTCGACAAGACGAAAATGCCGCCGCCTTCTTCCCGTGCCATTCAACGTCAGCAGCCGAAGCGATCCCAGCAGTCAATCCCTAGGAGGGCTCTGAAGCGGTATCTCATCTCCAGCTTCCCTCCCATCCTGGTCTTTCATCTCAAACGCTTCCAGGCCAATACTTCGACCCGCTCCACAAGCTTCTTCAGTAGTAGCGGCAACTCTACTTTCAAGAAGATCGATGATGTCGTCACCTATCCCGAATGGCTGGACATGGCGGAATGGATGGCACCGCCTCGGGAGGAGTATGACAGACATGGGAACCTGAAGGAGACGTCTGATCCTCGTGTATGGGAAGCGTATCACAAGAGCTCAGCTGAGAGATCAACTGCGCATCAACATGTCGCTACCAGCGATGAAAGCCCCGATGCCTCGCTTACACTCACGAATGACAGTACAGGCCTGAAGAGAAAGCCTTCGCGCTGGTCAAGGACCTTTTCGCGAGGCCCTTCCGGCTCCTCGACCAATTCGGCTTCGGGTCTACCGGCGCCGATCCCGTCTCCATCGCAATCAAGAGTGACTTCACCCGCTCTTGGTCAGGCGGCTTTCCGATCTCACTCCGGTGAGCATGAAGCTGCGGGTTCCAGCGGACCGTCTAGCATGCACAGCACGCCTTCGCCTCTCTATCGACTGTACAGCGTTGTAGCGCATCATGGCACAACCATGCATGGTGGGCATTACACCTCGTACGTCCTGTCCGACCGATGCGCTCCTGCAGCTGGCAAGAAGGGCAGAGACAATAGACAGAATGGCACTGGCAAAGAAGGTGCCGCGAATGGGGATGCAAAGGCAGGGCGTCTGTCGGCAGAGCACTCTACCAGCCGCCCTCATCAACCAACTGATGACCAGCGTCAGTGGGTGCACTGCTCGGACACCGTCGTCAAGCCGTCGACGCTGGAACAGGTTCTGAGATGTAAGGATGCTTACATGGTGTGGTACGAAAGGGTAGCTTAGCAGTGGCTGGCATCGTGAACGACTGAGTCTCCGTACTTGCACTTCGCAGTCGTTGTCGTCGTTGTGTTTCCCCTACATCATATATCATGCATTGTAAATCTTAATCACATTACACATTGGCCTATATATTTGACAGACTCTCACCGACAACGTAGAGGTCGGCCTTGCTTGGCTCAAGTAGAGGACGAAGGGGAACCTGCGTATGTTGGAGGTGTGAAGTGGTGTAGTCTTGCAACGTAAAGTGCAACACGTCGCTCATTGAATGTGCTTCAATGCCTTCAGCAGCTCGCCACACGGTCTCCCTTGCTTCTCTACCGTATCCTCCGCATCCGAACCGTGCCTAGCTGCTCATCCGCGAGGGAACTAGCGCAGTCCCGAGAAGGTGAGGCAGGATGAGCTCGCACACAACGTCCAGAAGCAGAGGGATCGGCATAATGCTCCTGCAACATATCCACCACGCGGGGAGGAGGTCTCTCACTAGCAGCGCTAGTGTGGCAAGGTCAGCAGCACAGGGCCAGACGCCAAAGGTGGTTCTGTACACCGGAACGGATTGCTCGCTGTGCGACGTGGTCAAGGCCACACTCGAGGAAGTCAGGAAAGAGGTGAGCATTGCCATGGGGCAGTGGTAGTATGCTCGACGGATCGTGCTTGGCCCGCCAAATACTGAGATTCACTCCGAGATGGGTGCGATTCCTGTGATGTGTATGCTCACAGCCGTACTTCTCTTGCCCCCAGATCCCCTACGAAGTACAATACTACAACATTCGTGATGACTCGTTGCCGGACGTACACAAGTACAGAAGATTATACCAGTACGACATTCCAGTCATACACCTCAACGGCCAAGGTAGGTAGTCTCGAGAGCCCAAGGCTGCAGCGAGAATCTCTCTGACACCTGCGTCAATGCAAAATCTCCCCTTAATGTGTGTAGAGATAGCAAGGCACCGTCTAGACAAAGAGGAGCTCAGACAGAGACTGCGGAAGGCAGCTGACGGGAGGCAGGCAAGTTAGAGGGTCCAGCCAATGATCGCAAGACTAGCAGAGGCAGGTACAACCAAGCGTGGCAGTTCCCTCGCACTCTGTCAGAGAGCTCAGTGATTGTGATTAGAGTATGGTCCGACGATCAGTACAAGTTCTGTAACAAAATGAAGACAGAGCTATCTATGAATGTAGTACAGAGCCAGTGATGCCGAGCAATTCTTCGAGGAAGTCAAGCTGCGAAGGAAGGGTCACGTCCCTCGCGGGTGGTGACTTCCGTTCCGATTTGTGTTGGCGGCTCCCTGTGGCTTTTGCGCGCGCATCCTGCGGTTTCTTGAGGCGCCCCCCGCCAGAAGCAGTGGCCCAGCCCGGTCCGCGAATTTCGACATTCACTCCCATACTGCTCACGCTCACGTCACATCACCCGCCTCATCCTCATCATCCCCTTAGGTTAGTATCATCGACAATGCTGTTACACATACGACAGAGCGAGGGGTATCCGCTCGAGGAGCTCGCCATTACGCACCCGCTTGGATGAGTCGCTGGGGGGAGCCGGACTGCGAGGTTGTGGGCAGGAAGCTCGCTGCGCCAAGCAGGGGCAGGACGTAAGACGAGGTCAAGGAGCATCGTACAACGTCAAGCTGGAGGACTTGTGAGGTCGCAGGTCCTCTCTCCCCCACTGCTGTGGTCAGGACGGGTTGCTGGACCGCCATGCGCATACGGATTGCGGTGGGATAGGAGTCTTCAGGATTCGGTAGACGGGGAGTGACATACAGCACGGCTATAATGGTCGAACAAGGTTCTCTGCATGGCAGGCGGCAGAGATGCGATGGAGAAGTTGCGTGGGCTTTGGAGGCGGAGATCGGCAATGGATCACAGTGAAGTTGAGATTCGAGACAATAGGTCTGATTTTACCCTCTCCATCTCTCTATCCCCTCACAGCAAAAATGTCTGCAGCACAGGAGGCTTTCAAGCGATACGTCGAGGTTGGACGTGTGGTCCTGATCAACCAGGGAGAGAGCGAGGGAAAGCTGGCTGTCATCGTTGAGATCGTGGACCACAACAAGGTGAGCATCGTAAACGTGGGAGGGGTCATGAACGACGGAGCGCAGGAATGCCGGCGGGACGGCTCAGGCGTCCATCTGGAGTGTACGTGGAGCTGCACTTTTCAGGAAAGGAGTCAGCTGGTTTGTCCAATTTGGAGGGATATCACATGAGCCCCGGGATTGTGCACCAGGCGGAGGGGGAGGGGAAGAAATGACGCGGGCAGCGCGAGGCAGATGGATACATTTCGTTGCAGCTTGAGAAAGGCGAAGGCTGACATGCGGTCTCTCCTCAATTCGTCACAGGCCATTGTCGACGGTCCCTCCACTGGTGTTGCCCGCCAGGTCATCCGATACAGGTACACCACCCTGACTCCCTTCGTCGTACCTGGTCTTCCCCGAGGATCTGGCTCGACAACTGTCAAGAAGTTCTTCGACAAGTCGGACGTGAACGAGAAGTGGGCAAAGAGCGCCTGGGCCAAGAAGAGGCAAGCGCAGAAGGCCAAGAGGGAGACCTCGGACTTCGACCGCTTCAACATCATGCTGCTCAAGAAGCAGAGGAGGTTCCTTGCACAGAAGGCTGCTGCCAAGCAGGCCAAGGCATAGATGATTGGTTCTTGCTAGTTACAGAGCGTCATGTACATCGCTTCACTCTCGAGCTCGTCAATTTTGTTTACCAGTCGACCCCGCTGAGTGCAGTGACAGGCGCTTCTTGGAGTACCGTCCCCTACACCGCCCCTGTCCCAGCCCCCCATCGTGTACCATCAGCACCGCCATCGATTCGATTGATTGATTAGCACATCACTTACCGACCCAAGTAGACCCCACTTCATGCGGTGATGTCTGCTGCTCGGCTCGCCGCTCCACGCCCTTCATGTCCGTGTGCGAAGGTCTGTTTCGGTCTGGCTTACATCCGTGGCTTCCGCCTTTCCGCACCCACTGTGCACTCGTTGAGGTACTTCTGCACTTCCCAACACTTATCATCGCCGATGTTCAGACTTCGCTACCGCTTAGTTCCTATGTCACCTTAAAGCTCATTGGGACAACGTCTCGATGACTGGGTCAGAGGAAGGAACACCTCGACGTGCGAGGGCGACTTACGGGGCTCGCACGAAGAGACCTCGAAGACTCCGTGCGTCTAGCAAAGGATCGGAGGAGGCTTCCGACCTCGAGGAATCTGGTGCTAAGCAGACTCGCAACGATAGCGATAGCTCTCCACAGCGACGGCTACGTAGCTCGAAGAAAGTTCGGCATCTGACCGCAAGTGGGGAGAGCGGGAAAGCGCGGGAGATCTTGGAGCATGGAGCAGCACTGTCACCGAGTGCCAACCGTTTCACTACGCCTCCTCCTCCTCCGCTGTCGCAGGAAATAGCTCAGGCCTTCGAAACAGCAAGTCCAGGAAGCTTGCGTGAGGTGCGCGAGGCTACCGCCGATGGACAAGACGGGCCCCGAGACGAGCTTTTGGGAATGGGAGAAGTGCAATCCTACTCATCTTTGATGGAATCAAGTCCTACTGACCTCAGACGGCGCGGAGTGGCCGCAAAGATGAGGGCTAAGAATCTGTTCAGCCGGACCCCGTCTTTAGCAGAAGAAGTGACAGCCGTCGAAGAGACGCAATCGGACGGTAGTGGCCAGCGGGCTACTCCACCACCGCAAGGACCGGCGTATGGCACAGAGATGGGGCGCCCTGATGCCTTCGACCAGCCGAAGACCTCACCCGCCCGCAGAAGCCTTGCCCCCGAAGCGGCAAGACCTCGGACACCACCATCAGGCTCACTTCAAGCGCGAGACCGTCAGATGGGTCAAAGTCCATCGAAGGCCACACTGGCATCTCCTGGTGGTCGCTCGAAGGTCACCTATAGTAGTGGGTTGCGGACTTTTCTAGAGAACAAATCCACTCCTTTGGCCGAAGAGGGTGTGTCAGGCATCCCCGAGCCTGTTACAGCTGCGCAAACAGACGATACAAAAGAGAGTCCGCAGTCCCAGAGGGAAAGCTATTCCGATCTGCGTAAGAGATGGGTAATCGAGGACGAAGCGATCGGCGGCGCTGGCAGCCCTACTGCCTTGACGTTGGTGAGTAAAGCAGCCGAGCTGAATGCATCTTCCGCACTCGAACACTGATGGAGCACCTCAAAACGTTGCTTCCGCACCTGCTTGTAGATTCCTCTACGGTCTCTCACTGCTCTGCGCTCCGAGGGCTCGCAAAAAAGGTTTCTCGACAGTCTCGAGTATTTATTAGCCGGCCTCGAAGTAAGCAATGGCATGGGTGCACGACGCTCTTCAAGCATTGAGATCGTCAAAAGGATGTGTATGGATTCAGCGCAAGACCCAGATAGGGTAGAGGAGTCGATAGCGAGCTCCGAAGGGTCATTAGATGACTTTCTCCTGCGCTTGAGGATCACCGAGACACAAGGAAGATTGTGGACCGCGCTCCGACGAGCTGGCGGAGCTACTGGAACGGACGAGATCTTGGATTGGGCTCTGCTCATCTCCTTAGCCCGGATGACTGAAGGGGCAGGAGGCGCAGCTGTCCTTCTCCAAGGGCACCTCAATGACGTTGTTTCTGCGCTTCGCAATGTCCTGACCCGAGCCAGCTATCGGAAACAGCACTCTGGTGAGCTGAAGAAGAAACAGCCAAAGAACGAGAAGATAATGCTCGAGGCTTTACGTTCGCTATCACGCCATGTGACTCAAGTCGCCCTGCCGCCAGAAGAGGCAAGCGATGCAAACACGTCGCTGATTGTCCTTACGCTCGGCATCGTGATAACTCTTTGCGAATCTCCTGTATCGCTCTTGGACATGCTGACCTCCAAGCCACTGGTCGAAGACGAATGCGAGAGGGGACAAGAGGATTTGTCTTCGCGGCAATGCCTTCTGGAGCTGCTTCTCGATCACCTGAGCTTCGAGGGCGACTTAGCAGCGACTTTTGTCAAATCTCTCGGTGATGATGTGAGCTTGATATCCACAGACCCCAAGGTCGCAAGACTACCCTCGCTGGATGTTTTAGGAGTTGCGGCAAGGCTGCTGGAAACGTGTACGGGACCTGCCGAAGCACAAGCTTTGTCTCGCGCTATGCAAGACATCTGTACCGAAGAGGAAATCACATTTCTAGCGCGCCAGTTCGTGAAAACACTGCAATTCCTCTGGGTCTTCGTCTCCGACCTCGACAACCAGAAGGAGAGAGGTCAGGCGAACATCGCTATTGCGACCCTCGAGGCTGCCTCGAATGTGCTGGCAGATTGGATCAAGCTCCTCGCCGCCTTCACACAGCACAGTCAAGTGTGGTGCAACGGTGTCCTCACTGCAGACGGTGGTCTGGGCACGCTCTTTCGTATCATTTCAACTATTGATCACGAAAAGGGAGTGCGCTTGCTGGCCCCTCCAACCTTGCACAGCGGTGGCAGCAACTCACTCGCGGCATCGTCGAGTATTCCAGCTTTCACTCAACAAGAGAGTAGCCCAGCAGACAAGGCCGGGCCGCTCGACATGCCAGTACACTCCAGATTGTCTGCAGCATCGATGATCACCAGTCATGACCTCTTGTGCTATTGTCTGGCCCTCATTGACCACCTTGTAGGGGAAGGCGCTGCAGCTGCCATGGTCGCAGAATTGCAGATCGATCCTGGGTGCCACCGACACGAATGCGTAGTCTCAGAGTGTCGTCCACACGATGGAGCACACTCTGCTCTTGTCCTACTTTTCAAACTCTTCTTGACCCACCACAGTCTTAGTCGCGATACGACGGATGGCCAGCCACAAGTTTCACCAACGGTCCTCCCTGAAGAGGTCGCTCGATCAGACAGCGCACTGTTGGCGGGCTGTGCCGCTCATACAATTGCAGTGTGCCTCCGAAGCTTCCCACAGAGTCTCGAGCTTCTAAAGACATGTGATCCCAATCCCGCACAAGCACTGGGCGAGTGTCTGACGGCCTTCAGCGCTGTAAGTCATGCATACAAGAGCATGCTCAATCTGGGGTCAGGATCGTCGCCCCAAGGTCCGCATTCGAGCGGGATGTCCGAACATGGCGGAGAGATGCACGACGTCGACGAAGACGTGGAAAGACTTGCGCGACTGATGATGGATCTGGCCGACGATGTTTAGGCTGAAAGTGGGCGAGTGTAACCTCTGCAGCTGCCCTGCGCGCGTGGCAGGTTCCAGTGCTTGGCTTTTCGGTGGCCCGAGCGGCGTCGCGTGCGGCGGAAGTGGGGCGGAGTTTGTTGGAGGGCTTCGTGGGAAGTGATTCGCCCCTGGACGGACGATTTAGCCTCCGGAGGCACTCTGTCTACCTCATCACAAGTCTCCCTACTATTCTCGTCTTGATATCTCCTCCTTTAGGTACATTCTCACTGTCCTTCCTTGTCATTGTAACTGCTTCTCAACAACTTACACCCCGCCGTCCCCCGCTCGACTGAGGTTCCGGCTCGCCTGCTGCCTGTCCTCGTCGACGGACTTCTGAAACCTTGATTACCTATCATCTCCAGGCAGCGGCATTCTGCTGCCTTGAACGTCCATCATGGCCGAGCCTCCCGCCAAACGTCTTGACCACAAGATGGAACCAGACATAATGGGATCCAAAGGGGTTGAAGCGATCGCGAACCATGGTCGCAACCCCCCTTGCCTTGATATCGAAGCAGTCAAAGTGGAATTGGTGAGTCGACGTCGCCACATTCTTTCAGGAATGCAGCAGAACTAGCTTACCCAGGACTCTCACAACTTACGCTTGTTCAGGTCTGCAACATATGTCTCGACGTTCCTAGCCATGTAGCTAGTAAGTGGCTGCTACCAGGACGCTCGCTGTAGCTCCACCGCTCGTATGCTCAGTTCCTCACTTGCATCCCTTCCAGCTGTCTTGCCCTGTCTCCACTCTTTCTGTTGGTGTTGCATCGAGGAGTGGTTCAAAAAGCATCGAAAGTGTCCCAGATGCGCTCAGAGTGCCTCATCCGCCAAGCCCAATGCTGCTCTCAACAATCTTGTTCAGGCCCTGGTTGAGGCTGATCCTACTCTGGCCAAGCCGGAAGAGTGAGTTTCGTCATGCCCTAGGCACGCGACCGCAACCTCGGAGCGAGAAGTATAGCAGATGGTGTCCTGAATCTGCCGCTATTGGCTCTCTTTCCTTTACCACAGGCTTATTGCTCAGGAGGCTGAGAAGCTGTCCAAATACAAGGCGCAGAAATTAGGAACTGCAGTGGTGAGGATCCCTATGCATACACTGCATGGCATTACCTCCTACACGCTTGGCAGACACTTACTGACGTCGCACAACATCTCGAAAATCTTCAGCTGTACCCATACACCGGATATGGGACCGAGGATGACGATAACGACTCTGACATAGAGCCTGATGACTTCCGTCACTATTGGTGTGTATTGCACAGTCCAGGCCTCAAGAAAGACAAGGGAGTCGACTACCGTCACATTTGCAGCTGACCATGCATTGCCTCCTCTGCCGTTGTTCTCCCTATCTGGCAGGCCATGTCCCTGCTGCTCACCCGGCAATCGCAGCGGCTACGTCTGTGCAAATCCTATCCCGGTCCCTGCTGGCGCTGTAGGACTTGCAGGAGGGCCTTTGCGAGGAGGCGAGTGGCCTTCCATAGACGAGGCTGAAGATTTCCTGCCCTTGTGAGTCACCAGATGGCTATGCGAGATCCAGATATGTCGTGCAAAGTGTTGATCATCGGAGCCTCACCTTTGTAGCGACAAAGTCCTTGCGCACGCAGCATGTGAGGCCTGCGGCAGTTGGGTACCTTCCAATGGAGTGCCGGAGGCCCAATGTGCCGGCTGCGAGGCCTTCAATTGCTCCCCTTACGACTCTGAGGGCCTCTGCCCAGCCGAAGACGTCCATACCAAAGTGGACAGCCATTTTACAGTCTCAGACCCTGTTCTCGCGGCTGCACTCCGTACCGGTGGATTCACCCCTACCGAAAGCGGTAGGATCCAAAAGTATATGCAGGACAACAATATCTGTAAGTGACTGGTATCGCGTGGGGTCAAAACAGACCGGCTTGAGTGACTAAGAGCACACTTTTCCCGTGCTCATCTGGATTATTATCGATAGCTGTGCAAGACATAGTCACAGCAGCTTGTGTGCAAGCTCGCGAACTTGTCGCTAGCAAAGATTTCCAAATGGATGAACTTCAGACCGAGGAAGCTGTCAAAGATGTTGCGGGGGAACCTCAAGCTCAGGCGGAACCTCGAGCAGAGACCCAAGATCAAGAAGCACCTCAAGCTCAAGCAGAAGCAGAGCCTCAAGCTCAAGCAGAAGCAGAGCCTCAAGCTCAAGCAGAAGCAGAGCCTCAAGCTGAAGCTCCAGCAGCTGCTTACAAGGCCGAAGCTGTCTTATGTCTGATTATGGCCATGCACTCTAGAGAGTGCCGATCACCGCTCTGCCATACTCTCGACATCGATCGAGCTGTCGTTCTCCTCAACGCATATTTCTGCCTCGGTTGTGCTCGTCATGCCGCCGCCCGGCTGGTCGCATGGTGGTGGAGGGACATCAGGGAGAACCAACGTGACAAAATTCCGGGTGAGTCTTACAGTAAGCATTCCATGCGGCTGACCCACGCGACTGACATCCATGATTACATCACGAAAACACCAGAGACCATCCTCAACTTGCCTGACTGCCCGTAAGTTCCTGGACATAGTCTGGCAGCTTCGTGGCCATTCTTACAACTCAAGTGACTGACAGCAGCTCATCTTCTCCCATACGCACAGGCACGGTGAGAAGTGTACAAACCAGTGGGACGACGACGCTCACGCTCGAGCTTTCAATCACTTCTGCAAGGAGAAGACTCTGGACCAGCCCCAAGACGCCAACGTTCCTGCCGCCGGGGAGCCTGAACAGGCTTAGCAGCTTCGCCAAAGTGCTTCAGGAGGATCACCGTCTCCAGCAAGGCAGTCGAATGGGGGTTTCGCTGTGCTGGCGATATAACAGATGAGGCCCTTCCCCGAGATAGCAGCGTCCCTTTTCAGTCTACCGCGAGTTTCCGTGAACCCCGCACGTCATGTCACATGTCACCTTTCTGAATCCAACACCATTGGCTTTACCCTCCCTTTGTCGAAATGTGAGACACTGTCGCATCTACCAACGGCAATGATGTCAGCTCTTGACAGCAGCGTGTTCACAAGTTGATGTCTTACACAAGCGAATGACAGAAGCAGTCATTCATTGACTAAAGACAAGTGTCAGCCTCTTGGGCCGTAGGCACGCTCGGAAAAACATCAGTCTGCTAGGCGCCGCTGAATCCTTCTGTCGCAGAGGCAAGTATGAGGTCGTACCGAAAAGTGGACTTGCACTGAGTGAAGCAACGACAAGGGAGAGAAGCATCACTAGTGCTCTGAAGCTCGTGAGAGTCACCACTGCTGAGCCTGCGCAGACATCGCTTCTATGCAATCAGAGCGAGATGCTGCTAGGAGGTGGAGGAGGGGTCCTCCGTCCAATGCTGACTCGTGCAGAAGCTGCTGCAGTACTTTCTCGAGCTATGAGCAGGCGGAACAGTCCTTCAATACAGGTTGGCCAAATGCGCATATTTGGTGACTCTTCTGACACTCACTCTTAGTAGACAAGTCATGCGATCGAGCGAGTGCTTGCTTCGAGATGCGATTCCGTCCTTGTGTCGCGGGTGCTCGAGGATAGACGAGCACTCGAGAGCGTCCTCGAGCAGGGCTCGTGGAAGACCTGAGATACTAGCTACGTCCAAGCCGTAGTGTCGGGCGCTGTAGCACTCAAGGTATCAAGTCGTTCAGCTCGAAGTCATGTCTCGCACTGAATTGACTCACCGAGGCGGCCCATCGGACAGCTTATAACGGAACGTCAGATGGCTGTTTGCCCCCGCCATGTCGTCTGATACCGCGAATGACAAATGCTGAGTATGAAGCCTGCTCTTGCTTCCCAGACTCTTCTCAAGATCGAGGAAATGCGTGGCAAAGAAGACGTAGGCTTTCTGCTGATATAGTCTCTCGCTGACGGCATGGGCGATGCCAAATCCTTCTGTGGGAGATGTGCCCCGACCCAGCTCATCCATCAGGATCAGGGAGGAAGGGCCGGCGCTAGAAAGAGCAGAGGCGGTTGCTCGCATCTCAGACGCAAAGGTTGAGCTGTCGCGCAAACGATGTTCGGTCAGCATATCGAAGAGAAGGTGTTCGATACAATGCGGTGTGGTCTCACAGATTATGGTCTGCGTCGTCATCATTAGAGAAACGAGTGCTGAGGGTCGTAAAGTGCTTGAGACTGGCGTAGTCGGCTGGAACACTGTCGAAGAACGGATATTGGCAAGATTCGTCAGCTTGGACGGGCGGCCCACAATGTGGCCCAACTTGTGCTATCTTCGCACGAAGACTTACAAACTACCGCAGCTTCCCATTATGACGATGAGTGCTATCTGTTCTGCAGGTACGCAGATGCAGAGGCACGGGTGACGAAAGTCAGAGCCAGAGTCTATGCGGCTTGATTCGACTTGCGAATTGCTCACTGAGGAATGTCGTCTTTCCAGACATGTTGGCTGGCGATAGGTCGGTGCAAATTAGGCCCTTGCGAACAATCGCCTTTCACGGCGAGACAAGTCAGCTCCCCGCACTCACGCCCCGTGATCAAGAAGTAATTGCACTCTTCAGTGGCGAAGACATCGTTGGGCGTGACTTGATCAAGAAGTGGGTGCCTCCCTGACTTGATGGCGAAGACGTCTGTGAACTTCGTTGTGCGAATATTATACAAGGCGGTCAAGTGATCGTGAGATGTGTCAGATGCCAGAACGAGCCTATCATCTTGTATCGCCGACAGTACCTCGGGGCGACAATAAGATCTCGTTCGTGCAGATTGCGAAAAAGATGAGATGACGTCCAGCAGCGCAATAGCCTCCGACAACTTTTGTTCGACCACAGTAGGCAATATGACATCAGTGAGGGCAGTCAAGAGATACTCGATACTCGCGCCACCCCACTACGCCAGACATTTCGGCTCACCATGTACAAAGAACCCACGTCGTCTAGAACCCTGTTGCGTGTATCTTGTATGACAGCATCGCTCAATAACAGGACCTCATTCAGGGAGTCTAAGAGCCGACGATTGAGCTTCTTCTATCATTGTGTAATTTGCGCAGCGTTCAGCAGGTGTTAGTGGAAATCGGCTTCTCGTCAAACTGAAGACACATACCAGGGTGATCGTCGTCATAGTCATCGTCTTCCCTCCTTTTTGGCGAACTACGTTGACCAGCTCTGTGGGGAGGCCTGACATCGATCAACCGGTCCGGTTCAGTGAGACGACCGTACCACGGATATACCTTACTGCTCGACCAAGCGCACTCTGAATACGGCCACTTTCGGCACTCAGCTCGAGCTACCATCAGAATAGACGAGAAGGCATGCAAACGTCAGGCCTCCGTACACTTTCCAAGTATTCAGCGGCATATAAGCTTACCAGATATCCACTAGGGCTCATGCGCAGCTTGAAGGGCAAGCTGTACCGCTCTAGCGCCGTAAATGCGGGAACGGTATCATTGACAATGGCATGACCTGGAAAGATCTTGGCGCCGGCCCTACTGACCCGCAAGACCCTGTACGTGACTGATCACCTCCTCCGAGTTCTCCTTGTAAGTACTGCGAGCAACGTCCAAGAGAGGGGCGTGATCGGCCTGCCCATCGTAGTCTCGGCGCTTGAGTGTTTGTGGTTGGGCGGCAGAATTCCACACATGACCTCCTCACCTTGACTGCATACTGTGATGACCGGTCATGACAAGGAAGGCTCGGACACTGAGCAGGAACGGAAGCTTCTACACAAAGTCTGTACTGGACTTACCACTCTCGCGTTCGTTTGCTCGAGAGCTCCCTTGCCGCCAAGGATGTCCTCGTTCAAACAATTTTTCAGAATGCAGAGTATACTTTGCAGACCAGGCACCTCCAAGAACTATCCTTCCCATTGTGTCAGACTATGTCAAGATGAGGACAGTCAATGAGAGCGGGGCACTTGTCCTCTTACCTGGCGGATAGCACGAAGCAAAGGTGCTTGAGCATCCTCCAAAGCTTGCGTGACTGTCAAAACAAAATCAACTGCGTGAGAATGTGACGCTCATGCAAATGTCTGCTCGTTCGTGATCCATCGCGCCATACTTACGCGATAGCGACGAGATCAGATACCCTCTGAGACCAATCAAACAGCCTAGGGTCGTTTGTGAGGCAGTGACACCTTCTCCACAATCTGAGCCGAGAGGAGTGCCTCGATATAGGAGGCCAGTAATCAGTCTGTCTAGGTCCGTTCTCTGGGTGCCGACAAGTTCAAGCCCGTGTGATACGCCTTGTTGAAGCTCCTGGATCATCGTCAGGTCAAGAGGGAAGGTAAGAAGCATTCAGATTCGTCCGGCAAGCGCCGCAATAGCATTGTCGATTACCTGTTTTTCAACCAGCTCTTCCACTGCCGTCAGGCGGGCCACAATCGTAGCGGGATCTTGGGAGAAAGGTCGGTCAGAGAGTCAGTGTCGAACACAGACCGACTGTCATAAATTGATCGATTCCCACCTGTCAGTGGCTGCAGCAGGTTCGCCTGAGGTTGCAGCGAGAAGAGTCAGAGCTGTGTGCTTCGTACGCCTTTGCATTCTGTCTGAGTCGGATACTACTGACCCTCAACAGTCTATATCCCATCAGCGTGCGAGTCTTGTCGAGGGTCGCAACCAGATTGATCGATCTGCCCCCCCCGGCACGATGAGGTGCTTCCTTACCGACCACTTCCAGATCCCTAATGGAAAGGGGATCGATGAGCATCGTTCCTTGTCAAGGAGCAAGAGCGGTGGCGAGCGTCAAGCTTCTGGCGAGCTAGCTTCTAGTGCAGCTGTCTTACCCTCTGGAGCAGCGTAACAGATTCTCAAGGAGTGGGACAAGAAGCTCCGACTGGAAGTTTTGGAGAGTCAGAAAATTGAGGAAAGTCACTAGAGCCGCCCTCGGGAAGGGCCAGCAGGTGGGTAGACCACTGACTTGTTTTGTGACTCCAGGTACTGAAACACTGTTTGGTTGGAAGGCAAAGCCAACAAGTGTGACAATGTCAGAGGGGCTTCTCACGCAGCCGCACGAAGATGAGGTCGGCAGATCGTAACTTATTCACAAGCGCAGATGGCAGACAGAGCATAGTACCTGGCTCCGCCAGAAGAAAGTGGCTTTCAGCTCAAGCCCAAACGTGTAGCCAGGGCCAACTTGCGCACTATTGCCTCACTTCTGGTCGACAATCAGCAGGACAGACTCCCGATTGGTGACGCTGGCAAAGGTGCTGGTAGTTATGGGCCCTTGCTCGTCGGCCATTGGACCTTCGCTCACGAGCAATCGGTCCAAGTACTTTGCACCTGGGGGAAGGAAAAGAGAGAATGGAAAACACGGAGGAGGCGCAAACGTCGGTGAAGATGTTTGCCAACGGGTCATACCTTCCGAAATCACTGACCCTCCTGCGAGTTCCAGGTTGACCTTTTCGTGACTGTCACACTCATGCAGAAGGTGTCTTCAATGCAGGAGATAAGTCCTGACCCATCAAGACTGTACAAAAGTTCTGTGTGTGTATTGAGAGCATGATTCGTCCATTCTGGCTGCGATGGACGTGGTTTAGCAGGGTCAATCGATGATGGAGCTCTATAGCGCAGACTGACTGACCACTAGTACGGTGCAAGGAGGTCTCAAGGCCAGGTGATGAACGGTCCTCACATACGTCTGTGAGTCCGAAAACTGTCCAAGATGCGGGGGGAGGCTCAATGTGTGCAATGTAGCGCTTGCCAAAGCAGTGGATAGCGTATAGTCACCTGTGTCATGACCACTGAGCCTGTGAGACGTTTGTATGCGACCATCAGTAACAGAAGAGTTCGTGCAAGATCCACCTGCTTGGTGCCACTCATGTCGACCGGACCTCACCAGTCTCCTTGTCCATTGCCGCTATGCCGATCTCCCTATTCGCCCCCTTGTCTCGACTCTCTAGAACTGCACAGATCCAGTGCCCAGGCTCTTCATCACCAAGGAGACTCTTGGAAGTCCCCGGGCGGGAGGCACAGCGTGAGGGCTGACCCGAATTGCGAGAGCCAGGAAGGAGGTGGGTACTTTTGCAAGCCTGCGAGGACGTACGCCATTGCCTGCTTCTGCGGCTGGCATTCTTCCCGTAGGACGATGATGACGCTGGAGAATCACTCGCATTGTGTTGCGTTCTGCCCTGAGAAGTCATCTCTGCTTGGGTAGCCCAGAACGCTGAATCTATGCTGGAAGACGTTGCCGTAGGAAGAGGAAGAGGAAGGGGCTCAGCTCTGCGCCTCGACGCACGGAAGGACGACGCGGCAGGGAAATGCTTTGCTGCAGGGGCACGGTCCAGCAGAGGATTCGCCTCGTCATGCGAACAAGAATACGTCCTCCTCGCTTCACCAACGCATCAGAACCACCACCATCATCCTCTGCCGTCTGCACTGACGTTCCACGACAGGCCCCCTCAATCTCTCTGCATACTTAATCACCTCTCCCCGATGTCGTTGCAGCAGTCGTAGTCATAGCTGCCCGCTTCTGCACCTGGACTAGCTGCCCAACGGAGCTGAGCTAGGGAGCACCGCGCCCTGGGCGCTTGATCGAACAGCCTCACAACAACCATAGCTTGGTAATGGACAGTTGGAAACCATTGCAGCCGAACAGTCGGCATGTGCCGTCCATTCAAGATGCATACGCAGCTCCAGCGCAGTCTACCCGGCAGGCCCCGCCGGCACACCCACATCCGCCCGCCGCAAGTAGACCTTCGGTGCCAGGTTCTAAGAGAGCCTCTCTCTTCTCCTGGAGTGGTCGCGGCAATGCTTCCAAATATGCGGCGCCTCCAGTGGACGCCAGCTCTTCCTTGCCTGGCATAGGCTCTGGCTCCAAATGGGCTTCAGCCGCAAGAAGAAGGAGCGGGACTGATCGTGCCATGGCAGAGGGCGACGAAACCCTCATCGGTAACCTGCCTGCACCGATACACGCCATGATCGCAGATCTGCTGAATCTGCAGGATGTCGCAAACTACATGCTCTCGTGCCGTAAGATTGCATATATTATTGCCAAAGAAGATTTCTGGCATAGAAGAGCTGTTGCAGTTCAGTGGGCGCACGTCAAGGGAGTCGAGGTGGAGAACGCTGGAGTACAGACGACAATATCACCTTCCCCTTCCTCAGCGACTCAGATCAACGGCCAGACTCGTGCAGAATCGCAGACACTTGCAGAAGATGAGGAGTGGACGGACTTTTCTTCCGCGAAGATGACAGTTGCTGCTTCAGGCGATTCATTCCGGCGCTTATCGTTTTCGACAGTCGGCTCAGTGCCAGCCTCGTCCACAAACGCTGTCTTCTCCTTCAGCAATGAGGTCTCTCTACCTTCGGGGCGCTTGTCACCTTCCTACTGCGCCCTCAGATCGTACAAAATTGCTCTGCGACCCATCCTCGAGAGTCTAGAGGCGAGCGAAAGTGCAGACGCCAGTACTCTGTTCACTACAGCGACTTGGGGACCGCTGGAACAGCAGGCTCTTCTTGGCAATCTCATCAGAGCAGTCTTACCTGCGTCATCGGGTGGTGGTGGACTCTTTCCAATGTTCAACACACCGCAGACTGATCCTCAGTTGCTTGGGACTGCTTCGTCTCGAGCCTCGCTGTTACTCAGCTCGACCTCACAGTTGACTTCGCAACTCTTGTCGCACTTCACCTCATCGTGCGACCGGCGTTCCGACGCTCTCAGAGCTGCTGAGCATGGCGCTACAGGGATAGCAGGGGCCGTGAACCGGGCAGAGGGTGACATGCGCGCCTTCGCAGCGGCCGTATGGGAATTAGGCAGATCTGCTCAACGGCTAGTAGAATGCTCAGAGAGTCTCGGAAGAGCTACTGAAGAGAATGATGACGCTGTGGACGGGAACAGTCACTCGACTAGACCTCGCAAGGAGCTCGGAGCGGAGGCCAAGACGGCGTGGCTAGAGACACAGGACAAGAAGAACCCCGTGCGATGGTCCACGGAGCCTAGTGCAAATATAATGTGAGTCCTGTCTCCGAGACAGACAGGTGGAAGAACACTGACATCATCCTCGACGATCATGCTCCTTGAAAAAGCTCGTCTCCCACTGGTCCTGCCACATTGGACTTCACGCCGATGATCGAGACGATGTCCGCAGTCTCTGCACACATGCTGTCGGAAGCCAGACTCATTGCGCAAATCTTTCCGCCAGAACAGAAAGTTCTACTAGAGTGGGGCCATAGGATCGCCCATCGATTGGTGAGCATCGATTACGAAAAATGGCATCACAGATGAGCTGACTCGAACAGCCCTGCTCGGCGTCTCGCCCCAGGTCGAAGAATACATCCGTCCTCTTCTGGAGCTCGCGAAAAGAAGCTCCATTCATCTCTTCCTGCGCTCGTGTGCTGCCACTTTTACGCAGTCTCTGCGCTTAGTAGAAGCCCTTCTTGAGACCTCGATACCAGATCAATTACCAGCGCCGTCCACTACGCACGAGACCGATACAACAAGTGGTGCAAGACAGAGGCAGGAGTCAGACGCCTGGAAAGCTCGCTTCGACAAGGTCGTCACTCGCGATGCTTGCTACGCGACCGTCTATCAAGCATGGGAATTCGTGATGACTGATTACCTAGTAGAAGAGAAAGAGTGGATCAGAACAGAGATGGAACGGGTCGCATACAAGTGGGAAGAAGATGTGAGTTGCTACCAAGTACAGGTCCTGTAGGTCGCGTCTGACTAGAGACTGACGTTCTCACAATGTTCTGGCCCGCTGACAAGCTTGCCAATCAGGCCGCTGCTTCGAGAGTAGATGCTGCTTTCTTGACAGCACAGAACCCCGCGGCGGTCAAGCGCACTGTCCTATCAGGATTCAAAGACGTCCTCTTGCTGCCAGTCACAGTCGTACCTCGCACTGCCGTCAATGTCGGCGGAGCGGTCTTTCGGACGGCTGGCAAAGGCGTCAGTCACCTCAACCCTCTCAAGTGGCAAGGCTCTGCTGCCAATGAGACAAATCAGACCGAGTCAGGGTCGGCGGCAAGTCCCAGCGGTGAAAATGGGTATATAGATTTCTCGAATGGCGGTCTGGACGTACATCAGTATGGCTCAGAAGACGAAGATGATGACGAACCCGGCAACTTGGATGAAAGACTTGGGAGCCCCGACAACGATGAATGGAACGAAGAGGTCAAAGCTTGGAAGGAAGTAGCAAACAAGGCGACAAGAGAGGCAAAGCAATACTCTGTCAGCACCGGACCTCAGCCGCGGATTGGGACATCCACATTGCGCGCTAGCAGCGCACATTCTAGAGCTGCGAGTGCGACGAGTCAAGCCATTGCTCTACCCAGCACAGGACAACCGAACAGCAGGCCAGCGACTCCTAGATCAGCTACGCCTACACCTGGGTTGGCTACACCGTCATCGTTGCAGCGTATGCAGCTGCTGTTGTCCTTAGACACGGCTCTACAGATGATACATCTGAACCGCGATTGCCTCAAGCGGATTGGGACTTTCTCTGCTTTTCCTGGCGAAATTGGCTCTCGCGTGCAAGAGGAGATTGAAGATGTGGCCGTTGCATTTTTACAATGCCTGGGTGAGCGTCACATTAACCCTGGTTTCCAAAAGGCAACATCACAGATTATCTCTTGGGCTCCCGCAGAGCAGAGTCGCAAAGCCGATGCACGAAGCGGGATAGCGACGACTGCTGACGAGGGGTTGGAGCATGTCGAGCCACTAGTCCACTTCTTCGAGCTGGTCCATGTCGGAGATACTATTGCGCAGATGGTGCAAGTCTACTTTGACCAAGAGCTGTCTCGACACATCGATCGCGGCGACTTCTTCAATTCGGTAGTCAGGGAGAAGAAGAGATTCGAGAACGCGCTTGACGAAGCTGTCGCTGCGGGCCTCAATGCGGGCGTCGATCTTCTCATGGGGCAGGTTGAACATATCGTGGCCACTACACAGGACCCTCGAGACTATTATCCGGAGAAGAGTTCAGACATGGACCTTGGCAGGCCAACAGCAGCATGTGCAAAAGCCATCCAGTGCCTCCAGACACACTGCAAGATGCTAGTAGGCTGTACTGATAAGAACGTATTGGAAGTTTTCTGGCAGGAGATTGGGCTTCGGCTTCACACGTGAGATGAACAAAAGATTTCTGCGGCGACGAGTATAGCTGGCTGATCAGCCTGTCACTCTCCATATTCTCGTCACAGCATCATCTGCAAGCATCTGAAGCGACAGATCATCTCGCTCGAGGGCGGCTTCAAAGTCATCGCAGATTTGAACGCCTACTATGCCTTCATTGCAAGCCTCAAGCAATCGACTCTACTGCCCTACTTCGAGGCATTGAAGATGCTTGGTAACGTATATGTCATTGAGGACCCAAAGGAGCTCGCTTCTCTGGTACGAGACACCACCGTCTTCCGTGGTACGCTCACTCCTGAGGATCTTTATGAGTTCTTGCAGGTGAGTCAACGACAGGCCTCCTCGTGGATTGTGCAATGGCTGATCGACTGCTCTTTCGACACATTGATTGCCCAGGCACGATGCGATTTTAAGGCCATCGAGAAGGCGGTCGACAAGGAGATGTATGGCTTCAAAGTCTCGGAGGATTGCAAGGTAATGTGAAGCATGTTGCTGGTTCTGGTCTTGCCATGGCTTCGTTGCCCCTGCACGCACCCCATAATGTCACTCTCATCTCATCGCGATATTCGACTACTCTGTAGCAATGTGCTTTAAAAAGGTTTGAGAAGATCAAGTAGGGCTTGCTTGTCAGCCCCGACTAGACAAAGGAGGCGTCAGCTTCCTTCTTGAGAGTGCTTCTGTCTTTCGAGACGCGCGGACGAAGGTGTTACATGCATTGATTGTCGATACTGCCTGTGATCCAGCCGACTGCGACATCGCACCGTCTGAATAGCCTCGAGCACAAATGAGGAGATGCGTCTCTCGGTATGTCAAGACATGGCGTGATCATCATTGCCGCTCCAGCTGTGCGATATCCTACGCGGGAGCAGTCTTGGCTGCGTTGTTTCTGCCTCAGCAATGAGTCCAGTATCGTATACGCGACTGTGTCTACAGCTTTCATCGCATCAGAGAGCCACCCCTGCTCAACGTAAGTGCGCAAACTCTACACAAGCGTAGATTTGCCCTGCTTTGCACTCGTTCCGTTCCACACTCTCTGAAGTCTTCTCGCCGCCGCTTGCACAGTACAGTACTGTACTGTACCAATGCTCCTAAGGGCAATCCTTTGGCACCTTTCCTTCTGCTCTGTATTCCACTTGCGGAAAGTTGTGACAGAAAGGGCGTTCCGGGGTCATCGACAGTCTCGAGCCTCTTGTGAGTGTTTGGACTCTGAATGTTATATTGCAAGGCAAACTGCTAAGTAGGGTTCTCGCCAGACTGTCAGGACCTCATTGGCTGACGGAAAGACTGTACAAATCGGACACATGGAATTGGGGGCCGTACTGTACGGCGCAATGCAGAGCTTCATTCTGTCGCCTACATTTTGTGTCTTGTTATAACGTGTGAATTTCAGACCAAGAACAAAGAAAGTAAGTACTGTCATGTTGGCAAAGGGGTGCAAAAATGATTGTACTGTACTTCAGTTGACCGTTCAGAGACTTTCCTATGCACGCAATATACTGTACTGTATCCTCGCGCCTTCAGTGCGTGACTTCTGCTACGAAAAGCAAAATCAGTGCACAGTACTTCATGTCTACAGCTCTGCGGGACAAGAATTGGAAAGTGCAGCATATTGCGTTACACTTGAGAGCAATCGTGTTTTACGACGGCAGAAGAGCGCCAGAGAGAGTCATGTCGGATGATTCATTCACAGGACAATACAGTACTATACAGTACAGGAGCAGCTGTCTCATTTTCTGCTTTGCTGCAGCTCCGGTACCAAAATCTCTCAATTTGATACAGTACAGTAGAATGCAGTCCCGTCCGGCGTCTGTGCCGCTGCAGGTTTCGCACCTCGTGGCAAGTGTACCGATGCGTATACTATTACTGTACAATCACGTCCACATAACATCTTTGCAGCGTCACAGTCTAAATACGTGCCACAAAGATTGCGGCATTTGCTCGTGGGAGATGATGCTTCCCTTTCGGTCGAAAGCGTACCGATCGTTATCCAGTTGGTGTAAGTGATAGCGCACCAATAGCACTGATTGCGTCATGTGACAGAAGAGATGGACAGTTCGCAGTGTAAATTTCCACTTTAGAGTTGCCATCTTCTGAGGGAGTCTTGGAGTGTGTTCTTTCTCGCATGGAAGCGGATGATCCACTTTGGTGAGTGCTGCAGAACAGTACAGCATGTGACACCTTCTGCATAGCAGAAGCCTGGCTATTGTTGGGCTATTGTTGTTTGACCCAATTTGTGCAAAATGACGCAATTAGTCTGCTGGCTTTGCGCATTGCTTTGCAGAATACGCGCTTACTGTATGCAAAAATCACTCGATGACAGCTGCAGCACGTCTCAACCATTCTACATCTTTGTTGCCCAAAGCTGCATCACTCTGAATTGACATATGCTTTGACGTCAGGCACAGACCAACAAGGGAAAAAACTTAATGGCCAGGGTCCTGTGTCGCCAAAATCTCGATGCGGGAACAACCATCAATGAGGGGAGAGATCTGCAGCCTAAAGACCATGCAAGAACATGCTTGGTACACAGTTTCCGAAAGGTCATGCAGGCGCTGCTGAGACTGTGTGTCGCATCAATGAGGGGAGAGATCTGCAGCCTAAAGACCATGCAAGAACATGCTTGGTACACAGTTTCCGAAAGGTCATGCAGGCGCTGCTGAGACTGTGTGTCGCTCGATGCAATCACCTTCTGTGGAGTTTTGCTACAGTATACAGTAAATGGGAACGACCGACAGAGAGTTCATTGACTTTGAAGCATTGTAACACATCAATATTATTCTCACAACTTCTTCAAGGAACAATACTCCTTTTGTCCCTGAATCGTAGCCAATTTAGATTGAAGTTAGCAATCTGATCAGAGGTCTGATACTGCTTACCCCGCGTTTTGACAGTCTGAGCCTGGATGAAAGCACAGTTTGATTTCAGCAGGCACTAGAACAGTGTCGTACGGCTACTCCTGAATGTGCATCCTGCCAAGATGTTTCTGTCTTGGCTAGAATCTGGGATTAGCGGCCAATTCGACGCGGATACTGTATGGCTGAAATTGAGTGACGAAAGGAGTACAACGGGTAGAACTGTATGGAGAAGGAGATACTGAACTACAGGATATCACCCCTGGCAACAAAGTCAGATTGTCTATACAACATCTTGACACAAATCTCAGCAAGCTGCGGATCGCGACAATCCGAGACTGAGATGAAGCTGCATTCTAGGCTTTTCCACACACCGAAGAGTCTCTGTGGCCAAAGTCAAATTTGCATGTTGCCGAATTGTTTGGATGTCTGCAGCTGTATGTTCAGTGCTTCTAACACGATGCAATTGCAGATTGCTAGAAGCAACTGACGGCAAGAGCTGCTTTGAGCACGCTCATTTGGGTCGTTGGTGTACTATAGGTCTTCGGAGCTGGCTAGACCCGGGGAAGCAGATTTTCGAAATGCGACCGCTTTTGCTCGTCTTTTACCTGTTTCAGGTGGTGCTGTGCTCATGATGTACAGTGTTGTAGGTGCAGTACAGTACTGTATCTCAGCGAAACTTTGTCGAAGTCTACTCTTTGTGTCCTTTTCTTCCATTTCTTCGCTGATACTGTAGAAGATCTCACTGCGCTCATGGTACGCTACGGTACTGTACAGTATCGTATCATGCTCAAATTCGATCCGCGTAAAGAGAGAGCGCGCGCGGCGTACTTGCAAACCCACCCACCAGAGCTGTGACATTGGCAGCTGTCACTGCAGACGTCGAGAGTTATGGAGCATAAAGCGCGCTTGACGTTGGGAACGTGCTGTACAACAGCCAGCGTGGCTACTGTCGTGGATATGTGCTGTACAGTATCGTACTGTAGTCATTGAGGTAATCTACGGTACTTTATCGTAGCGGTGGCCTGCGTCACCGTGATGCTCGCAGCTCAATCTCTGCTGCTGTTGTCGTGTTGACTCCAGCAGCTTTTCGCCACCACTCGGTACAATACTGTAATAATGGTCAAATGTACAGTATTAGTATGTCGCATGTGTTCTTCAATATGCGTCTACAACTCTTCCCAGCACAGTGCGCTGTTTGGTCTTACTACAGTATATAAAGTACATTGGTACTCGGTCGACGTACGCACGGTACGGTGCAGTTACTCAGTACTAGACATTTTCTACTGTGGAGTGTGGGTGGAAAAGGCGACTGTGCCAGTAGAGACAATAGGTGCGGTCATAAGTGTGCAAGAGATCTCAGGTGGTCATCGGTCAGCTCATGATTCACAGACGTAGTGTATTGTAATGTACACACTTCTACAGCACAGTGGACTGATCTGGTGTTGCAGCGATAGAGAGATCGACCAGGCGGTTGTTGCTTGCATGCTACTGTCGTACCGAATACCATGACGGTGTCGCAACATAATACTGAGCTATGTCGCTCACTTCAGCCGTTCATACTGTAGCTTCGACCAGGGATGCTGTTGTAGAACATGTCTGACACGCAGTCACGTTGCACTGAGCAGCGAGTGCAAACAGCTTTGCGTGACGTCGGAACAGCCGGGAGTACAAGCAGGCACAATGCTCAGGTCAAGGTATGGATACAATGGGAGCGATCTGTCATATTTACAATGTGACGCCATTCAATGTCGGCAGTATGTGCGGGCAGCGACTCGCAATTACAGCTGGTGCACGAATGCGCCGGACTGTGGGTGTTGATATGGCCGCCAGAGACTGTAACGTACTTTACGTCTGTATCCGCTCTCTCATCTCGTACAGTATGACGACGAGAGGCGAAGCTGGTGGTTGCCTGTACGTCGATATCAGGCGTCTCAGGCTCTTCAAGGCTGGTTGCCATCGTTGAGAGTCGAAAGGGGTTGGTGACCCCTCTCTGGCGTCGCAACCAGGTCACGAGACGCAGTGTGAACTGTCGAAGCAAGCTGGCGGGAGCTCTCGTCCCTCAATCCGATCATTTGTGAATCACTGCCGCCTGCAACGCCCAAGGCACCCGCCCGCAGTCAGCTGCGAACGTCGACCTCAACCGACGCAGACCTGTCGCACGTCCTCAACCTGGTCTAGCGTCCGTTGTTACAGTACATGAAGAGCTTGTACGCGACGAGTGCGTTATGTTCTCAACTCTTGCGGCTTACATGCGCCGTGAGAGGTTGCCGTCTACCCACCTACAATAGCGCGATGTCTCATGGTACCTACTGTACATATTGTTGTCGCGCTTAGTCACGCTTCTGCTTGCCTGGCATCAGCTCGGTCGCCTTGTTCGGAGCTGCCAAGGCCTGTCGCTTGACGGTGCTCTGCAGTGCTGTCGTGACGGAGTTTGCGCTCTTACTTGTGCTCATGCAGTGCGCTTGCCATTGATCGGACCTCATCAAGAGTCCGAGCAAGAGATCGGCTGTCGTGCATAGCTGTTCTTCACTCTGATCTATTAGATTGAGTTGGCGTTGCTGCATAAGGGGCGACTGAAACCCTGCGTCTGCTTGACCTGATGACGATTCCAACCCACACCGGGCAAAGCTTCCCATCAGCAAGAGCAGCTCCATAAACCATCGTTATCGGTGTGCGCAGCTAGGCGAGTGCCAATCGCAAGACCCTAGCGGACCAGACGATGCTTCCAGTAGGCACACTGAGGGCACACACAAGACTTCTACGTAATCGCTGGAATTGTCGCCGTGGAGACGGTATCATCGAGCAATTGTGATGACTGACTGCATGCACGCAAAGTTTCTTTCATGAGTTATGCAGCTCTCGACACCAGTGATATTCTTCGCCGAGGGCATTACTTCAGAGCAGTCTTTTCGCCTCAGACAAGCCGCAGCGCACGGACTGAGCGTAATGTACGACGACGTCGTTGCCTGACGTCAAGTGCGCCCTGTTCCAACTTGTCTGAGGCATCTACGGCTGTCCCTCAACGGGACAGCCCATTCTTTTTGGGTGAAGCCTTATACCGCATTATGCTGCTCTGGTCACCGGCCTCATTTATTGGATACGATAGATCAACCTTCAAAACCTTGACGTTGCTGCTCTCTTGTTGTTCACGCGTTTACAGGTAAGTGATGGCACAAGCCATGATACCACGAAGTGAAGCTGCGGCGGGCACGAGTTCCGTTCAGAGAGCGGCCAAGCACAATGCCCAGAGCAGATCGTCCTAGACTGCAATTCGGAAACGCTGGTGAAACTGAGGGATGTCAGCCAGATAGATGGGGAGGAGCTTATCAGGCCAGCAAGAGCTGTATGAACACCCGAGAAGAGTGACAATCTCCAACCAGTCTGTTCACCAACTGCAAACACGCCTCAACATCTCTTTGTACTGTAGGGTTTCACTGACGACGTCAGTATCACATTGCTAGTATCACATTGTCAGTCATTCTTATCGCATCGGCCTGTCTAGCATTGAGGCTACACGGAAGGATGCGATGACTATTGGTTCTGCACACGACTGAGGCGCTGGACTTTGTCACTTCCGTCCGTAGGAAGGCGCCAGCGCGATTACGCCAAGCTCAATGCCCTTTGAAGCTGCACATTGCCGCCGCCTGAGCGGCCCTGCGACAACATGCGAACACCTGTGTGCAGCGCAATGACGAGTGTTGAACCAGACTCATCTGGCACCCAGGAGCTCGGCAGCTTTGTCGATACTCGAGACTTTGGGTAGAGCTAGAGCAATGTCAGAAGCATGTCATCCGAAGCCGGCAACGCGACCTTGGGCGAGGGCTTTTGATCGTTGCTGAAGACCCACTGGGACAGTTCGGACCGCTGGTGTGACGGCCCGCTTCTTGCAGCGTCATGTACGGCTTGTAGGACGAGACAAAGCAACCAGACAGGAGATAAGGGACATGTTGGATGAAAACAGTTTTACATTGGTAAAGAAAGTATCGAAACAGGGCACAAGGTGAAAGGCACTACACGAAAGACCTGCTGGTAACAGCTCGCCTCCATCAGTCCTGGATGACTGGGCGGTCAGCATCCTTGGAGGGAGGGCCGAAGGCCATATCTTGCTTGATCTGAGAAATGGCCTTGGCAGGGTTCAGGCCCTTGGGGCACGTTCGGCTACAGTTGAAGATAGTGTGGCACCTATACAGCGAAAAGGTGTTCTCCAGCTTCTGCCTCCTCTCGTCGCCATGGCTATCCCTGGAGTCTGCCATCCAGCGGTATGCCTGCATGAGAACGGCAGGTCCGAGATACTCGTCCTGGTTCCACCAGTACGAAGGGCATGATGTTGAACAGCAGGCGCAAAGGATGCACTCGTACAGACCATCAAGCCTCCTGCGCTCTTCAGGTGACTGCAAATGCTCCCCCTCGGCAGGTGTCTTGTCAGCCTTGAGGAAGGGCTCGATGCTACGGTACTGCTTGTAGAATTGTGTGAGATCGGGAATCAGGTCCTTGACGATGTACATGTGTGGCAGAGGGTAGATCTTGGTGTCGCCCGCCCGTTCGATGCGGCAAAGACAGGCCAGAGTGTTGATGCCGTCAATGTTCATGGCACAGGATCCACAGATTCCTTCTCGGCACGAGCGACGGAAGGTCAATGTTGGGTCGACCTCATTCTTGATCTTGATCAGCGCATCGAGCACCATGGGTCCAGTCTGATTCAAATCCAGATTGTAGCTCTGCATTCGAGGCTTCTCCGTTGGGTGGTCAGGGTCCTACAGGCAGTGTGTAGTGGTCAGGGATACGGGTCAGCGACTGGTTCTCATCGCATAATGAGAGTCGCCATTGCTGGTCAGCCTGTAACTCACCCATCGATAGATCTTGAACTCCTTGATGTGGGAGGGCTTCGACTTGCCAGACGCCTGAGCAGGTGGCTCCTGGGCAGGAGTGGCAAAGGCGCGAGGGGCCGTGGTGGCCAACCCCCGCCTTGAGACAGCGGTGGCCAGAGACGAAGGTCCAGCAACAGCCCTACGCAGGGGAGCGGCGTTCATAAACGACATTGCGTTCGACTTTGTTGGAGGCAGTGTGCACGGTGGGACAAAGACGAATGGAGTGGTAGGGACGGTACAGTGAGCAATGAATACGAACGATGTGATGGATGGTGTGGCTGATGAAGTGAAATGGGTGGCATCGCGGGGGGGGGCGGCAGGGCGGCAGGCGTGGGTGAGGCTGGATTACTCATCGCGCGAAGAGCCGGGATCCCGGCTGCAGCCGGAAGGGAATGTGTTGACGCGCCACGCCCGCTCCGTTCCGGTTGGCCAAGGGATGGCCAACGGCAAAGACGGGACCGAGGCGGGCAGCATTCACGCAATCACACACTCTCGCTTGGAAACAGGCGCGGTCACGACCATACACAGAGCGCAACATGTGTGAGATTATATCAGAGGAACGACACCAAGCTCATTACAACACGCTACGGAACTCTTCCCCGTCTGACTGCGCCCATATGGCAGCCCACTCTGGACAATCTCAAAAATCCTCATTGATTCACGATGTCGATGCGATCGTTGCCGTCACGATGTTATGCTTGTGATTCGGAGCGACTCCATTTTCGCAGAGTGTGACGCTTGTCAACCACGGATCCTTGAGAATCTCATCCATACCCCACCGCCCCTTGGGATCCGGGCAGAGCATCTTCTTGAGCAGAGGTCGACACTCCCTGGGGCTAAGGTTGGACAGGGGAGACGGCGCTGGGGAGCCGTGGTACGAGTGCACAAACTCCTTGAAGGTGGGATCCGACATACGAGCTACCCGCCACGGCAGCTCTTGGAACTGCATGCAATAAAAGACAACCGCAGCCGCCCAGACGTCGACGAGTCTTGCGTCGTACTCCTTGCATTCGAATTGTTCCGGCGCGATGTAGGGTTCGGATCCGCATAAACCTTTTGAGTAGTGGGTCGATTTCTCCCAACACATCCGAAAGACGTCGGAAACACCAAAATCGGTGATCTTGACGTGGCCGACGGCATCAAGAAGGAGGTTCTCCGGTTTGATATCGCGATGTGCTACTCCCATCGAGTGGAGGTAAGCAATGCCGTTCAGCACTTGCTTGAAGCAGCACTCAACTTCGCCTTGACTCATGCCGCCTCGCTTGATGGCAGCATACAGATCACCTCCGGGACAGTATTCCATGACCTCACACCAGTGCTTGTTCTCGTCCTGGACGAGATCCACGGTCTCTACAATGTTGATGTGGTGCAAAGTAGAAGAGATGCAGAACTCCGAAGTGAGCTTCTTGACGTATTCCTTTTCCGATTCATTCTTGCGACGTTTCCGGAACTCTTTCACCGCGTACAGCTTTTCTGTACTCCGATCCCATTTGTGAGCAAGTCGTACGACGGCTGTAGCACCCTTGCCGATGGCCGCCTTTTCGCACACACCATACTTTTTCAGTAGGCTCGTGGTGTTCTCGCTGCCTGCAGCACTCTTGCCCGCTTGTGACTTGCCATCACCGCCTCTCTCTGACCCGGACTTGTCGGACCGATTGCCATGAGATACATTGGAGCCTCGCCGCACCATTTTCCCGGCCCCAGAGCCTCCAAGTCCCGCGATCATGTCCCGCAGAGTCGAAGAGGCTGTTGAACGCGCGTCCTTGTCCTTGGTCTTCGATGAAGTCGTGACATGCTTTGACTCCATGTCACGAAGTGCAGCAGCGGTAAGCCTATTGCTCCCCTCTTGAGGAGGAGCCTGCCCGCTGCTTGTCATTACGGCGTCACTCTGGCCTTTGTCTTTCCGCTTGAAGGACTGGTTGCGACTCAAAGGTTGGCTGCCACCTGGAGAGTGTCCGCCATTGCTACCGTTGCCCAGATTCATCGACTGTACAGCATGCATCAAGCTGGCCCCGTCGGGGCCACCAACATGCTCATGCTTCGGAGTACCTGGGGGACTCGCGTTGGACGAGGAAGGAGACCTTGCTCCTCCGCCTGGACCGTAGGCTGATGCAGTCCTTAGGTGAGGAGAGCGCGAAGGAGAGTGATTACCAGCTGCGCCTTTGTCTTTGTCGTGATTGCCACCGGATAGCATCCTGCGCAGCATACCCCTGCCGCCATCACGATCCCTCTCGGCCTTTTCCGCGGGTACTTGATGCAACGGGTGCGACGGTTGTGTTGATGAAGGGGCAGCAAGTGCCTGCGACGAGCTGTCCAATTCGGCTGTGGGAGCTTTGAGCGTGGCAAGAGACGAGCTCGAAGCATTCGCGACCACTGTGGAGGATCCAAAGCTTCCAGTACTTTTGCCATTGTTGCTGCTCATCTGAGTCGTCGGAGCGACTTTTGGAGGCGGCGACATTGCTTGCGGAGGAGGAGAAGAGGCACGTGAAGATGTACGTGGATGTGCCGCCCCCAAGGCGGTGTCTCTGGTGGAGGCAAGTGTATTTCCCATTGGTGCACCCCCAGCATCTTGGCTCACGGATCGAGCGGGAGGATGAGGGACGGCCATGCCGTTATCATATGGGCTCGGCTCCCGCACCATTTGTAGCCGACCGCCGCTGAGATGCTCTTCTTCGGTGGGCTCGTGTCTGAGGGCATGACCATCCTTGCTTTGCAGCCCGCCAAGCCGGTGTTTTGGGTATTGATGACGCTCTGGCGTAGGTGGTCTTGAGAGGTTAGACTCGGTCTCAGAGTCCGAGATGAGCTCGCCAGCTTTGATCTCCCGATCCCTCGCCGTCGGGATGTAATTGCGTGAATTCATGTGCCAAAGGTCGAGCTTTGGACTTGTGCCACACGTCGCGAGAGAGAGAGAGACAGTTGATTAAGAGTGAAGCGGGTCAGATCGCTACTCAGTGGGCGATGTCTTGACCCTTACAAACTGAAGAGAGGGGTGCGGGACCTGTCGCCTTCGCAAAGGGAATGCTTGTCTTCTTGATTCGAGGCTTTACGTGCTCGTGGTGTAGGGTAGGAGTAGCTGCAGGCCCTGCGCTCGGTGTGACGAGGGGGTAGTGGGTGGTGGCGCGGATGTGCCCACACAGGGACACGAAGCCAGGACGAGGCGGGAGTCTCACGGACAGAGCGAGAAGAGCTCTACGCTACTGATGCGACCTCTGTTGCGAATCAAAGACTGCAGGTGCTGGTGTTATGTAGGGCTGGTGTGATGATCAAGGAGGAGGAGGAGGAGGAGGAGGGCCTGCAAGCAGGGCACGGGCAAGGCATCATTTTTCGGGGCAGACAAGGCGGGGGGCGGATCAGCCATCGGGGCTCCGTTCCGATGTCCGTCAGCAGCATCATCTCGCAAGCCAAGCAGGGAGGGGGCTACTCACAACCACACAGCCTCTACAATTCATTCACTTCCCGCAGCGACTGTATCGCCCTTACTCTCTGGGATGTTCGGTAAACGTTGACTGTTGGGCTGCCTCTCGAGAAGTCAACAGCATGGGGCGATGCTTAACATCGCACGTCACACAATCCGGCCCACGCTATACGCCCCTCTCACTGTGAGGCTCGTCCACGATCCCTCTGCTTCCTTTGGACCCAAGCTTCCGCATAGCACCTGTGCGACTGCCCCTGCACGACCCAAAGACAACCTTGCAGGCGCATCGTCACTCTCTGGCTCCTTTGATCGGCGGCCCTTGGCCGCTAAGACAGGCGGCAAAGCCAAGAAGCCAGAGGTCAAGAAGAAGGGAGAACAACTCTCCTCGCACCGAGCAACGCAGCCGGTAGCGAAGCCATCTGCTCGGGCGGCCACACAGACTATCAATCTATCTCCTCGAGGGTCCACGCAACTTACCGAGATCAAGGATCTAGAGAAACGTACTGAGCCTGACGATCACGTTGCCAAAGCGGTTCCTGAGACGTCACTGAAGAGCTCTGATAGCAGTGGGAGTTCAGCTAACGTAAAGTACGCGTCGGCTCAAGCACCGTGGCAAGTGCTCAGGGAGGCATTTGCACAAGAGATGGCAGAACAAGCGTCAGTCTTGCAGGCACGATCAGACTCTCAGGCGAATCTCAGTGTGCCGCCAAGGCGGCCAATGGTCAAGCCACCCTACATGAAGGCCGACACGCGGAATCGGCAAAGAAGCAAGGGTGCTACTTCGCCCGCAGCAGGCGTACAAGATCGTAGACCGGCAGTGCAAAAGACACGACCACCCACTACTCTTCGGCCACCTTCTCGTGTTAGTAAAGAATCTCAGCCTGCGACAGCACCTCCTGTCACAAAGGAACCCTCAATCGAAACGCGTGCATTCGAGGCGATAGTCAACGGCGTATCACCTACATCCAATGCGCACTCGGGCAAGACCACTGAGAAATTGCGCTATCCTCTTGATTCTGCAAACAAGAAGAGCCCTGCCGTCTCCAGAGGCAAGAAGGTCTCACGTCCCCCTACACGCGATGGCAAGCCGCTGAGAAGAACGACTCCGCGTCTTCGTATGCAGAGGGACATCGAAGCGGACATTCTAGAAGCTAATCTTGAGGCCTATTCTTACTCAACGCCGGTTGGTGGCTGGTCCATCCCTTGTCCGCACATTTCTGGACGGTTGCTTCCGCCTGCATTCTATTCGGCACCTACTGCAAAGCCTGCTCTAGCCGTCACCTCACATGTCGAGGAAGCGGATGACCTCTTACAATGCATACCACTGGGCACGCCACTGGGCTTGGATGCAGAGTGGAAAGTCAATTTTGGCTCGGGTGTGATTAGCAAGACTGCTTTGCTGCAGATCTGCAGCCCGACCCTAATCGTCATCATTCAATGTCGTCGTATGAAGAACCTGCCCCGCCGCCTCGTCGAGCTCTTGCAAGACCCTGGCACAATTAAGACTGGCGTCGCCGTGGTGGCAGACTGCAGAAGACTACAGAGGGATTTCAAGGTGACAGCACAGGGCATCTTAGAGCTGGGCTCACTGGCAAAGTCGGTCGATGCGGAGCGTTGGAGCAGCAACAATGGCCTCATTGGTCTGTCTACACTGTGCCGGATCTATCTCGACCGCAGGTTGGTCAAGGGTCCGGTACGGACCAGTGACTGGGAGGGTCCGCTTTCGAAGCAACAAATAGATTACGCTGCTAGTGATGCTTTTGTCGCATTGGAAATTTTAGGAAAGTTGTGCTCCCTGACTTCGCAGTCAGGCGCCGAGCAGACCGGTATCAGAAGGGTATCGAGTCGATCCCACAAGGCACACCATTGTGAGGACGATATGGCAATATCAGCTTTCGTGGGTCCTGAGCACACTCGTCCATCAGCCGCCGCAGGCAAGAAGAAAGAAAAGAGCACGGCTGGAAGCGGACAGAGCAAGGACGATGCCATCGACCTCGCGGACAGTAGTGGTGACGAAGGTTCAAATATTGCTGAGGAGATTTTCCATGAGAAGACAAAGAAGTCGGACTGGTTCGTTCGCCCTCACTATTCGCGGCCACAAAAGTCGGGTAAATCGTCGCCGAAACACAACGGAATTTACAGCCATTTAGTCCACCTGTCAGCCCCTACACCGGGCGCTGACACACGCGCAGCTGACGTCCGCGCAAGCAAATAGAATCATATGTAACTTAATGCACTAGAATTAGCAATCCTGTTCCATCGCTCATGCTCGCTCATTATCCATCTGACCGCCCGTGCGACGCTCAGCCCGACCGTCTCACACCGCTCGTTGTATATGCTGTCAAGCAATGCATTTTCGACTGTCTATGGCCTGCTCTGGCTCATTAGCTCACGACCTGGCCATGCATGTCTGGCCACTTCGGAATCTCTACATCCGCGACATGCACAGCAGACAAGATTGCCGTCCTGCTTCACTTCTTCTTTTGCGAGCTCGTAGTGCCCTTGGGAAGCTCCCTGACCCAGGGAAGGAAATCCCTGCCTTGCATGTAAGGCTGCAGAGGAGGAGGGATCTTGAGACCCTCTGGTGTCTGCCAGTTCTCCACGATACAGCACAGAGCTCGTTCAGTAGCAGTCAGGGTACCGCTGCGAAGGGCAACAGAAGCATTGAAGGTGACTGACGTCAGCTATGGCCGCCAAAGCAAAACATTTCCGCCTACTCACTTCAGCATGTGAACATATGTCTTCTTGGTGTCTCCCTGCTTCTTGACTCCGCACCGCACCTCGAGCCTTCGACTCTCTGAGAGGACCAAATATTATCGAACGTCAGTACAGACTGTCGTATAATCGACTCATCGGCGAGGTACTCACGGTAGTCGGTGCAGTTCGAGCAAGAGACAAGCTCCTTGTACTCGCCCTGGTAGGGAAACCAAGCCTCTAGATCATATTTCATGGCAGCAGCGTTGTTCAAGGCTCCGGACACGATCGCTACGACCCTGTAAGGCAGCTGGAGGCTCTGGTAGAACTCCTCGGAGTTGCCAATCATCCTATCCAGCTCGTCCCAAGAAGAGGCAGGGTCGGTGATGACAAATTGCTCGACCTTCTCGAACTGGTGAACTCGGAAGATGCCCCACGTTTCCTTGCCGTGCGAACCAGCTTCTTTCCGGAAGCAGGTAGAGTAGCCGGCGTAGCGGATGGGTAGCTGCTCAGAGGGCTTGTCGAACCATTCATCAGAGTGGAAAGCAGAGATGGGTTGTTCCGAGGTAGCGATGAGATACTTGTCGTCTTCGTCGCCGCTGACCTGAAGCGCAGAAGGAATTGGAAGCGGGAGCGAAGACATCGTTGGTGAGCTGTCGCAAGAGAGCGGTGAAAGACAAGGACAGGATGCGGCTTACCTTGTACAGCTCTTCGTCGAACTGGTCTAGCTGTGCTGTCTTGCTCATCACATCCTTCCTCATCATAAAGGGTGTCATGATCTTTGTGTAGCTCTTCTTCTTCAAGAAGTCGAGACCGTAGTTGATGAGAGCTTGGTTGAGATCCACACCGTCCCCGGTCAGGAAGAAACCTCGGTGTCCAGCAACCTTCACACCTCGATCCTGATCGAAGACTGACAGCCGCATCATGACCTCGTGGTGGGAGAGGATATCAGTCTTCTTCTCTACCTGTCCATTGGGACCTTCGGGATGCCATGTCTTGATGACAGCATTGTCATCTTCCGTCTGACTCAAAGGGACCTTTGGACCGACGATGTTGCCGATGGTCGCTGCCTTTGCCCTCATTGCCCTCTCCTTTTCGGCCACCACTGGCCGCAGATCCGCCGCCTTCTTGTCAAGGTCCTTCTTCTTCTCCAGCTCTTCGTCAGCGCTCTCCTTTGCCCTCTTCTTCGCAGTGATCTCCTTTTGTACGGCATTGATCTCCTTTGCTAGGCCGTTGAGCTCAAAGTCGGCGCGGGTCCAGTCCTTGTACATCTCCAAGACTTGGTCTACGATCTCGGGTGGTGCACCTCGCTTGGCCTGCGAGTCACGAACCACCTTTGGGTCACCTCCCTTGTCTTCTTGTAGCACTGGCATGATGTGGAGAAATAAGGGATACTAAGCCGTCGGACCTCTGAGATTGTACACAGGGTCAGCCTGAATCTAGCGTCTACTCACGTACGAGGTCAATCATCTTTGCTGTATGCTGTGGTATGCGAGGGGATGGGAGGTGTTGGTTCCCCCTCGAGGTGAGAAGTGTCCCTCTTCCCGCCGTTGTGCGTTCCGTGCGAGGCGAGGCGATGCGCGCGCTGCCCCTTGACAGAAATTGTTTCCTGGAGGATCAAAGGCCCGCACCCAAAGCCACGCAGCTCTCGACGTTCTTCCCGCTACTCACCACTCACCAATATCCCCCTACTCATCAATACATCATGGCTGCAGTCATCGACCTGCCCTTTGAGCTCCCAGCAGCGCCCTCGTCCTTCAAGGCAGGGTCCACCTCTTCCATCTCCAAGCTCTCCTCCGCTACTCTTCTCCCTGCCGGACCCTCCTACATCGCCCACGCACGAAGGCAGCTCCAGCAGCTAGACTTCGCTGCTGATGATGCTCAAGAGGAGGCCCGGCTGCAGGCACTCAGAGATGCCAACGTAGACGTAGATGAGCTCGACAATGACATCGGAGAGGAGCCAGAGAGCGCAGAGCTCCTCGACCGAGACCCAAAGCAATGGAAGGTGAGTGTGTCGTCCGTACCCCGGCGATGGAAGCAACTCGGGCAGCTCATCTCGTTCCTCCCACACTTCTTTCTTCACTGCAGTCGCAAGATCACTATGCAGTTCTCGGTCTCTCCAGCTTGAGATACAAGGCTACGCAACACCAGATCAAGATCGCCCACCGCAAGAAGGTTCTAAAGCACCACCCCGACAAGAAGGCTGGTGCTTCTGGTTTGACTAATGACGATGCCTTCTTCAAGTGTGTCGCCAAGGCTCACGAGGTGCTCTCCAACCCTGAGAAGCGTCGTCAATTCGATTCCGTCGACGAGGGAGTGGATGACGAAGCTGTTCCTTCTGGCAAAGAGAAGCCAGAGGAATTCTTCCGGGTCTGGGGCCCAGTCTTTGAGCGAGAGTCACGTTTCAGCGTCGTGGAGAAGAATGGTGCCACGCCCGAGATTGGAGACTTGGACAGCCCCAGGAGTCACGTGGACAATTTCTACGACTTCTGGTACAACTTTGACAGTTTCAGGAGCTTCGAGTACCTGGACAAGGAGGTCAACGAGGGCAGTGATGACCGTGCTGACAAGCGTTACACCGAGAAGAAGAACCGCAACGAGCGAGCCCAGAGGAAGAAGGAGGACAATGCCCGACTGCGCAATCTGGTAGACAGGGCTCTCTCGCTAGACCCACGAATTAAGAAGTTCAAGGCGGAGGAGAAGGCCGCTCGTGAGGCAAAGAAGAACAAGGGCAAGCAGGGCGCAGCACCCAACGCCAAGTCACCTCAACAGCTGGCGGAGGAGAAGAAGGCAAAGGAAGCAGAGGAGAAGAAGGCAGCTGAGGAGGCCAAAAAGGCAGAGGAAGCTGACAAGGTGAGTCGATTAAGCGATCTTTGCGAGATGCAGGGGAATGGTGCAGATGACTGATCAAAGCTTTCTCTTGAACATCTTGTGATTTTCAGGCTGGACGTGCCGATGCCAAGAAGGCAAAGGAGGCAGCCAAGAAGGCAATGAAGAAGGAGAAGAAGAAGCTGTCGGACGCCATTACCTCCAACAACTACTTCCAGCCCGCTGGTACCAACCCGTCTGCTCAGGTCATCGAGAAGCAGCTCACTGCCCTTGATGCGCTGGTCACCAAGCTGGGTGAGGAGGATCCCACTTTGATCGGCAAGCTGAGGGAAGAAGTCGAGAGCGCTGGCTCTGCCGAGGCCAAGAAGGCCGCCTTCAAGAAGATGGCAGACGCGAAGAGCATTGGGGGCGACGCCTTCGACTAGACGAGTCAGACCCTTGGTTGTCATTTCACTTGTATGGCCCTCGCTTTTCGCCTCGACTTAGAGCATAGTAGATGCCAATGTAATATTCATCTGCTTAGTCATCACCCGGCGACGTCGACACTTGTGCGCCACTGGAATTGTTCCCTTTCCGCTTGCTATCCGTATCCTTCCCGACATCTTCCACGACTCTTTCCAGATGCTGCGTCCTTTTGTCGTCAGACCTGAGCGGCTGACGAGACATCTGTGTACTCTATACGAGACTTCGACGCAGCACAGCTTAGCACCAGCATGGCGACGTATCCCACAGTCCCATCACCAGCGTCGTCCGCTGAGCAATTCGACACGCGCATTGGCTCCCTCATCGTCATCGTCCTCTGCTCGAACAATATCCATAGACAAATATCAGCATTTTGACCCAAGACCAGCCCTAGATTCAGCTGGTCGAGTTCCGATTGCTCCTTACGATGCCGCACCTCTAGCATGTTCTGCACCATCTTACCCAAAGGGCCATCTCATCATCCATCCCTACAGCCAGCCAAGACCTCAAGAGACCTGGCCTGCTGCCGTCGAGTCTGTATGCCCCCTCCTCGTAGAGCTCGGCAACCGGACCAAGCAGCAGCTGTCAGGATGGGGCGTGGCATTTTCCGACGGTGACCAGAAAGTCACAGCGCAGAAGGAAGCTCGCTTTACACCGTGGGATGTTACGACCTCAAAGGTGGCGAGGCCCATTGCCGGTGATGCCAGTGAAGAGGAAGAGTTCCTCATTCGGATCTATCAAGGCAATGGCACTCACGCCACCATCGGACCTTACTCGCTTCAGACGTTGCCTGCTGATCTGACTCCGACAATCGAGAGGGCGATCCAGCTGGCGCCGATACCCTCGGCGCGCTACCCCAAGACGACCGAGGAATCCCATGTTTACGTTTGTACGCATGGGTCCAGGGACTGCAGATGCGGTGTGGTAGGAACAGAGCTGCGAGACAAGCTCAGGGAAGAAGTTCGGACACACGAAGTGAGGACTTTAGGTGAGGGAAGCAAGAAGGTCAGGGTGTTTGGTATCAGCCATGTGGGAGGTCACAAGTGGGCAGCAAATGCTCTGCTCTACCCTGCTGGAGACTGGTATGGGAATTTGAGGGTCTCTGATTCTCCGTGAGTAGGATCAAGGGAGGTTAGCGCTGTCTTTTGGGCCTGAAGAGCTTACGTCGCCCACATTTTACTTCCAGGCTGATTCTTCGATCCGCCCTGGCTCCTTCCACCTCGCGGCATGATCTGACGGATCAACGGGAACGCCTGGTCCACTGGCCGCGCTGGAGAGGGCGTCTCGGTCTCACGGAGGAGCAGATGCGCAAAGTGTGGGACGAGTGGGGCGGCGGGACAGTGGAGACGGCTGTGATACAGCCGATTGTCCGCCGGAGGGCGGCGTCGCCTCAGTCGTCCCAATCAGTCGCTGCCTCGCCTGAGCCGGCGGTGAGCCCTAATCCTACGGTCATTGCGTCTCACTCGATTCCTTTCAGGAAACACAGTGGCGACGTCGTCTTTGTCGATGCCAAGATCGGGGAGAACCTCAAAGACGTGGCTCAAAGAGGAGGTCTGGAGGAGATCGAGGCGACTTGTGGCGGCAAGTGCGAATGCGCAACATGCCATGCGTACCTGGCAAATCCAGCTTCGCTCTCACCGCAAGTCGCTGGATCTGCGACTTCGACTGAGACGATCACTTATGCCCTTGATTCGAACCTCAATGACCCGCTTCCGGTCGATGTCCTTCCCGCCGCTACGGACGAAGAGTCAGGTGAGTGCAGGTCTGTTCCGGGTTTTGCACTATGACCAACATGCTAAAGCGATTCCGACTATTCCAATCCCCTGCACTTAGACATGCTCGACTACGCCATCTCTCGAAAGACGACTTCCCGCTTGTTGTGTCAAGTAACTCTCACACAAGAACTTGTAGACTGGTTCGGCAGGGGCGGGCGCGTACAGCTCTCGCGGTACTGATGGAGAGCTCGACATTAGATCCGAGCCTTCGAAAGTCTGTGTCTGTTCCCATTGTCATCTCAACTTGGCCATTGTACCATAATCTCATAGCATTTGCGGTAAGCCCGTGTCACCACTCTGCCTGCTTCCTTCGGGATCTTCTCCTTATGCCCGCGTCCGCGTCTTTCCAAATTTTGACTTGGCTGCTCCACTCCCGGACCAAGGGACAAAGTTGCGTTCCAATTCGCAAGGCTCAGTCGTCTTCTACACCTTCTTGACCCTCTTCACCATCCCACGACGCTCCCTTCCTACACCCCACGACATCTTCACTCATCATGAGCGAACGTGACCCAGTCCATCAGGCCATCACTGGCGAGGGGGGAGAAGACGACTTTCCCGAGCTCACAGCCGACGATATAGAGGAGGTGCACGATGGCGGTGACGACGAAGGCGACGTGCCCATGGACTCGGACGACGACGAAGATGGACAGGCGGGAGATGGTCAGGGCGAGGGCGAAGACGAAAAGATGGTAGTGCATGACTCGTCGGTAGCTGCCTTCTTTGAGCACAAAGGCGAGTCGGTCTTCAGTGTCAAGCTGCATCCCTCTTACCCCAATCCTCCTCTGGCGGTGTCCGGTGGCTTCGACGAGACGTCGTTCATCTGGAATGCAGACGATGGGACGCCGGTGCAGCAGTTGCTACCCAAGCACAAGGACTCGGTGACTATGGTCGGCTGGAATGCAGATGGAACACTGGTGGCGAGTGGTGGCATGGACGGCATGATCAACGTATGGAAGAAGGCCGATGAGACATGGCAGAAGTGGGAGCATGTGCAGACACTGGAAGGAGGTGATGAAGTGCAGGTGAGTAACGCTTGGGGCCTCGACTCGGTCATATTGGTCAAATACTCATCGTAGATATCTCAATCCTCTCCTTTTTCATCATAACAGTTCATCACATGGCATCCCAAGGGGAATGTCCTCGTCGCAGGCTATGGCGATGCGACCGTCTGGATGTGGCAGCTGCCCAAGGGCGAGGTGATGCAAGTCTTCTCCGGCCACGAAGAGGCAGTGACAGCAGGGAAATTCACCCCAGATGGCAAGAAGCTCCTCACCACCTCTACAGACGGCAGTCTTATCATCTACGACCCTCGTCAACCTGTAGGCCTCTCCAAGCTCTCGGTCCACGATACAAGGTTCTACTGCGATGGCGGCTTTGTTTCGCTCGCTATCTCACCCGACGCCAAGCTTGCAGCCGTAGGATCCGTCTCTGGTGAATCGCGTATCGCTTCCCTCACTGGCGTTGATCAAGGGGGAGGTCTGGCGGTGGTGTGTGCTCTCAAGGGGCATCAAGCCGGAGAGTCTGTCGAAGGCATCGCCTTCATCGACTTGCTTGGGCAGGGACAAGTGGCCGGTGCTGGTCACCTCGTCACCATTGCAACGGACGGCAAAGCCATTGTCTGGGATCTCACCACGCAAAAGGCGCGGGTGGAGTGTGTCCACTACGAGGGGGAGGCAGACGCAGAGGAGAACGGAGGCGCCCTCACTACCGTTGTCACACACAATTTGGGCCCCTTCTTCACCACGGCTAGCTCGAGCGGGACAATGAGGACATGGGACGCTAGGAGTGGAAAGTCGATAGCAAAGCATGAAGGATTCACAGATGGTGTGCTGGATGCAGATGTCAAGAGCGACGGAGCTGGAGGTTGGAGGCTAGTGGGAGCTGGGGATGAAGGCGTCGCACTCGTCTTCAAGTGTTAAGCAGATGTTCATGTTGTCGATTACAAAGGCGGCAAAGCACTGCTCTATTAGAAGCATACCAGACATGACTGTGTACCCAGTGAACTTCCGAAGCGCACCCTCTTCACTCTTCCTCTTCACCCTCGTCGGGGACCGTCCAGGTGGATCTCACAGCCATGGTGACGTCCTCGTACACCGACATCTGCATCGCGCCCAAGAAGCACGGCATTCTGTACCTCTCCGCCGATAGCCAGTAACCACTATGTTCCGAGAACTTGGCCAAAGTCCTCTCGTTGCCTTCATCTTGACAAAGGACCGTCTCCCCGTCCCCCTTCTGGCCCTTGGCTGGTGCCTTCCACTTGAAGAGCAATCTCGTGTTCTCCGGTCGGACAGCCTTGTTCAGTATGCTGTGGACTTCGACCAATCGATTGCCATGGAATTGCATCTTGAAACCGAAGAGAGACTCGATCGTCGCTCGATATATTCTGGCCAGGTCGCCAAATGACTGTAGGAGAAGCAAGCAGCCGGTCAGACTTGCGTATCCCACTGCAGGCGTATCTTTCTGCCCCTCGGTACTCACTTCTTTCTGCCTGAGCATTGCCTTCTCACGGGAAGCGACCTTGACTTCCAGACTTTGCACTTCTTCGCGAAGCGTCTCCACAACGCTCGCCGGCATCCAACCATCATGTTCCGGGGCGGCAGCACCGCTTTGTCCTTCATCCGAAGCTGGCTTTTGCTCAGCCGAAGCTTGAAGAGCAGCTAATTGAGTACCGATGTCCTGTACCCTCTTCTTGAGCTCTTGATTCTCCCTTTCAAGAGCATCCATGGTGGACTTCCTCAAGTCTCTATCACGATCGACTGGGTTGTCCTTCAGCACAAGGCACTGGTAGCGCTCCACGTCAAATTCTCCTCTTCCAAGTCGCTCCTCTGCGCGACCTAGCTGCTCGTCAAGCTGAGCATTCTCGGCTTGGAGTTCCCGGACACCCGCTTCGAGCTCGCTGAGCTTTTGGTCCTTAGCGGCGAAGTCTGCTCTGAGCGAAGCGATCTGTTCGTCTTTCTCGCTAGAGACACGCACGACCTCGTCACGTTGGAATTGCAAGTCCTTCTCCAGAAGCGAAATGCGCTCCAGCTGCGAAGATGAGATCCGTGTCATGGACATATCTGCCGCTTTGCTTTCGTCTTCACCATCTTGCATCTCTTCGTCGCGATCAGGGGCTTTAACGACAGATCCCGACTCGTTCTCGTAGCTCTGCAGCAGGTCGCGATATCTCCTCATCTCGTCCTGCCACTCCTCTCGGCTCTGCTTCCAGCCTTGCTCTTTCGAGCGCCAATCTGCTTCTGACTGCTGCGCCCGTCTCAATTCGGCTTGCGTCGTCTGCAAGATATCTGTCAGCTCATCGACTTTGCCTCCAGAGCTTCCGACCTTCTCTTGCAGAATTTGGCAACGAGTGATCAAACCGGATGCCGTGCCTCGCAGGCTGCCGATGTAAACGGGAAGCGACGAGCGACTCAGCGGCTCAGGAGCCAAGGGTAAAGCAGGAATGGGCTCATCACGATCAGAGGCAGTCATTGCAACTTGGGCCTCGATCTTTGAGGATGAGCTGCCTGATGAAAGGAGGAAGGAATTCCAACCCTCGAGCTCGCCTTGAACTTGCTCCGCTCGCTCTTGATACTCCACCACTTGCTGTCGCATATTATCCATAGCCTCTACCTTGCGCTTGAGGTCAGCATTGTCCTCCTTGAGAACGGCGGCTCCCTGCGCCTGTTTCTTGAAGAGGTCGTTGCTGCTCCTGAGAGTGAGGACCTCGCGTTCAAGCTCCTTGGATTGGGCTAAGATCCGATCGAGCTCTTGGCTAACGATCGCCGCCTCGTTCTCCCTGCCGGACACCTGCCTTTCCGTGCTAGAGAGACGCCGTTCCAGCTCTTGTACTGTCATCTCTTGCTCTTGCCGCCGAGCCACCTCTGCTTGACATTGCTCCTGGGCACTGTGAGCGGTATCCAGCGCTTGGTCTCGCTCCGCCTCAAGACGACTGACTTTAGTCATCATCTGCATCAGCTGGGCCTGGCTCTCCTGCCTCTCCCTTGAACTTGTGTCTCTGCTCGTCTGAAGTTCTTCGTCTTTCGCAAAGAGGGCGTTCCTCATTTCTGCCTCCTTCTGCTTCCATGCCTGCCGCTCGCTCTTCCAGGACTCCAGTTCGGCCGCCCTGGCCGCCTTTGCCTGCTCCCATTCCTCCAACAGACTTCTCCGCTCGCTTTCCAGGCGCCCCGTCTCGGCAACGATACCACGGTAGTCGTCTTCGAGAGCGTCGTAGCTCTGTTTTGAGAGCAGCAGGCGCGACTCATATTGGGTCTTGAGGGTCGAAAGCTGCTGCGAGGCGCTTGGCGATTGAGGGCCGGTCGAGGGTGGGGTGGCAGCTACGTCGCCTTTGCCAGCTACAGAGGCTCGGACAGCAGGTCTTTTCACAGCTGAGGGTTGGGATGCATCATTGAAGCTCGTACTAGAGGCTGTCCGCTTGCCCAATGGGGTCGCTGCTGCGATGCCCGTTGCGGTGCTGCCAGCGGCGGGTATTGAGGTTCCTGGCGGAGGACGATATCCAAAGCGTGATGTGGATGCAGTGGCCGAGGTCGAGGGCTGCCTGGGAATTCCAGAAATAGACGAAGAGGCAGGTGCAAAAGATGACCTCGGAAGGCCCGAAGGTCGCTCAGCCATGGTGAGCAGGCAGACTTGAGTGTTATGTATGATATGGACGCAAGGCAATGAGCGAGCAACAGAGGTCGAGGATCATCCCCTGCTGCAGGACTGTCACACGGAAAGAGCGCGAGCGGGAGTCGAGCCACGCGCCTGTGTTTGTGTTGACCAAAATCACAAGCAGCCAAGCAACATGGACGAGGTAGACAAAAGGTGACATTGAGGGAGGAGAAACATGTACAAGTGGACCGGGATACGATCAATGCAGGGACCTGCCCTTTCTAAGAGCTCATGAGCGCGACGAAGCACGAAGCTCAGCGCTTGGTACCAGACTGGGTGCGACCTAGCAGGCCTCCTCCCCCGACTGAGGAAGCATTAGTCCGCCCCATCAGCCCTCCTGTGCCAAAGCCGCCGCTGCCGAAGCCAGCAGCAGACCGACCGCTTCCCAGTCGAGTAGGAGGAGAACCTGCTGTGAGAGCAGAAGCGCCTCTTGTGGCGCTTGCAGTAGCCGAAGTCGACTGCCTATCGTTGCTCGATCCGGAAGGGGGTACGGCACCATTGCTGAAACCAAGGAAGATCTGCGACCCATAGTGTGCACTTCGTGAGTGCGATCCAGTAGAGTTTGAGCTGAATTCCAGGGCAACGCCGGGCTCAGACTCCACCTGAAGCAAGTCGATGAGCTTACGGCCGATCTCGTTGACCCGCTTGACATCCTGCTTGCCTCGGACCCACAGTGCGATACGATCGAACTTTGGTCGAGTGGAAACAACTGCTCCTGTAACTTCGTCATCAGCATCCAGCTCTTCACCGATGAGAGCAAGTACGAGCCAGATCCAGCTTCGATCTACGAGAGCAGGGTTGGATAATTTGCGATCAAAGGTGAGGACCCACTTGCCTCCCCTGGCATTGGCGGGATCTTCCCACATCGGCTTGATGCCGTCCTTGAACAGATGGTAATTAGCATTGCGCTCCAAGGTAGAAGGCCTCTTGATGGTTCCGAAGACGCTCATGAACGATTCGACCGTGCGATACTCTCCGACCTTCTTGAGTGCAGCTTCCCATGTCTCTGAGTTCGAAGCACCTTTAGATGGGCCTGACGGAGCTGCAGAGCTTTCAAGACTGGGAGACGTTGCCTTCGTAGGCGAGTTCCCAGCACGAGTCGCTGCGCCGAGTGGGGATGAGCTGACAGACGATGGGCCTCCTTCCTTGGAGTCGAAGTAGAGGGTCCACTCGTGCTGCAAGGGATGCGTTCCTGGAGCGCTGCGTCCGGTGGCAGGTACTGAGAGGGTGGCATTGACTTTCGACGATGCTAGAGAAACTTTTGTCAGAGGTTTCGTAGAGGCAGGAGGAAGCATAGCAGAAGCATTTGGGGGTGGCATGCCGTCCTTCTCCTCTGCTTTCTGGGCTGCCGAGGTGCCTGGTTGGCGTGATGCATCACCGAGACCATGAGCTCCGCTAGGTGAGATGTAACGGTCTTGTGACGTGCTCTCAGCGCCACTCAGCGTCTGCGAGGTTACAGGTGAACCCTCTGTAGTCTTCACCTTAGCTGCTGCTGACGTTACGCCCGAGCTTGAAGCCGGGGTAGTCTGAGTGGTTGCCTGTCCCTTTCTGTTCAATCGCTCTCGGATCTCTTCCAAGGTGGGAAGGGTCTTCCCCTTGCCACTGGTATTTGGCGAACTCTTGTCCTCCGTAGACGCCAGGTCCGACTGCTGCTGCGATTGGCCGCTTGACTTGCTTGTGGAAGGGGGGACGCCAAAGGCTACCGGAGTCGGCTGCTTTGCATCGCCCTCTGACTCGGACTGACCTGATGCTGTATCCGACGAGTAGCTATTCAGACGTCCAGCTAATCCAAGTCTGCCTTTCAAGGGCGCTACGACTGAGACGCACCGAGGAAAAGGCTTTTAGCATTGTTTCGGGAACAGAGAGCAACCTCCCCTGCCGAGCTCAATACTCACCGTCTAAGTGGCTGCTATGGTTGTTTGACGAAGGAGAGTCTGGAGCATCGGCGCCATCCAGCTTCATACTGGGATAGTGCAAGAGAAGCAGAAGCAGCAAGAATCAGCACCCCAGCCTGCTCCTTCTAGATTTCATCACCTGATAGGTGCTGGAGGTGCGCGGGGCAGAAGATGCTACTCACCGTGCAGCAATGTCGCTCAAAGTAGGCGGTCTCCCGGAAGGTGCTCCGGATACCTTCGCATTTGCACTGTCTGCTGAATTCGACGCGGAACATCCTTCATAGCGTGATGCGTCGGTAGAAGATGTGGGTGGCGATGTACCAGCGGTAGAGGTCGGCGCAGGCGATCCTAGAGGAGTGGCAGTGCCTTGGGTTGCTGCAGCAGAGGTGGGGGTGGTAGCAGCATCGTTGTTGGGATCCGTGGAAAGGGTAGAGACTGGCGCTTCATCCGCCTGCTCAACTTCTGCCATGGTATGCAGGATGTGAAGTGGCAAGCACTGATGGGGTATGGGCGCGTCTGAAGAGGCGGCAGGTGGAGCGCCGTCTCGACTGTCCTGTGTATGCAGCAATGGAGGCTCGCTGAAGTGCCTGTCGTCGAGGTGGTCACGTCTGTAAGAGGGTGTGCGAGGGTAGTGATGTCAGGAGAGTGGATATGGGAGGTAGAAAGACGAGGCTTAGTGATCAAGTCTGTGTATTGATCCGCCTGTCGTCGCTCAGACTCCGGTTGGAGCGAGGGATGGGATGCAAAGGTGCGTTGGGATCTGACTCGTCACTTTGAGCGTTTCTGGAGGTGTTGGTTGTCCTTGGCCTTTGCCTTCCTCGGTTGCTGTGCCTCGTCTCGTGTTGCTGCCTGTCCGCCTGCAGCCGCCACTGCAGCAACCAAAAAAGTCAGCCACTTCCGCTTTGCTTCCTCGCCCTGGCCGTGCGGAGAGAGGCTCCTCTTCGGTATTGCACTTTCTTCCTTCACACCAAGCCCCAGTCACCTCGCAGTCGGTGGTGATTGCGTACAAGCAAGCCAGCGCCACTGTTGTCAGCATCGGCCGCATCCATTGCCTTGTAATCCCAGCCATCGGCACTGCCTCCGCAATAGCCTTGACCTAAGTCGTAGGCAGCCGCCCGATCGTCGTCAGGTTCGGTGCCTTGCTCTGCTTCGAGGAATTGTCTGCAGAGCAAGCTAGCAACTGCAACACTGGTACAGGTACCAAGCAGGCGGCTACTCTGCTAGTGATCCAGCCGCTTCTGAAGGTCGTCGTGGGGCTGGCAGCAACGTTGCAAGTTCACAGGCATCAGACAGCTTGATCAGGTCAGGACCACAGTCAGATCGGACGGCAGCTGCGATGGACGTGGGGACGCTCGACGAGTTGCAGACCCAGGTACGCTATCTGAGCTGGTTGGTGAGCATGGTGGCAATGCCTTGACTATTTCATGCCTCGCGTCTACGTGTCAGGAGTACTGGGATACTAGATATGCCAGTGAAGGTTAGTCGGACAGAGCAAAGCGACGAGCGAGCGTCAGACAGAGATATCTGACTGTCGTGCTCGATCTTCCATCTCTTCACTGGCAGAGGGTACGACTTACGACTGGTTCAAAAAGGTAAGCTTTCCGCAAATGATTCCATGAGGCCCCATAGAGCTCATGTGCTCATCTAGATGCTACCTCCTGGCCGCTCCAACAGTTCGAAGATATCAAGTGAGTCTCTGTCGCGTCGAGGATTGAGCCGTCCTGTCAGCAGAGACTAACGAGGTTGATGCTTTTCTCCTGTCTCACTCGGAAGGGACATCATCTTAGAGCGTATACCATCAAAGGACAGTCGGATACTAGAGCTCGGATGTGGCAACTCCAGTAAGCACGCATGCTAAGGCCGCTCATTGCCATCGATGCGTCTTCCCATCTTGCTCATAAGCGATTCCCTCATACACCTACAGCCATTACCCCCTCCTTACATGATCTCGGCTACGCAAACGTCACCTCACTAGACTTTTCTCCTAATCTCATATCACAGATGCGGGCTCGGCATCCTGGAATCGACTTTGTGGAGATGGACATCCGCAATCTCGTCGAGGAGTCCGACAAGCTACAGGCTGGTGCGGGTCAATGGGACTTGATCATAGACAAGGGCACGCTGGACGCCCTTGTGGCGGAAAAGGGCAGTGTGTGGGAGCCTAGCGAGCGGGTGTTCGATAATGCCAGGCGAGAAATCGATGGCGTCCTCCAGTGAGTAACGCGACCCTCACTGATACCCTCTCGTAAGCTGCGCCAATGCCTGTCAATGCTGACGATCATCCTCCACCCTTGCGTAACCCAGCCTACTTAAACCTGGCGGCACATTCCTCTACCTGACTTGGATGCAGCCTCATTTTCGTCTTAGATTTCTCGAGCGAAAGGCAGACTGGGACGTGACAGTCAGGACGATCAATGAGGGCGGAGGGTGGGACTACTTCTTATTCACCGGCATCAAGAAAGTCGCTCCGTAGAGAGGACAAACTCTGTAGCGAAGAAAAGTAGAGTAATTCCAGGGCACCCGCCGAGGAGTCATACACACTCGCATTGCTGATTGAATGGCGATCGCCTCATTACGCTGAGTCTTCCACGGATGACGTCTCTAAGGTCTGCGTTCGGTCTGAAGTGCTTGCCTCGAAGGAATGTGAGTCACGGCTCAGTACGCTGGTGTCGTAGCGCGCGTCGAGTGTGCCCGTTCCGATGGTCCTGAGGGCAATGCAGAGTTTTCTTCGCGCTGTGGCTTCGCCCCAAGGCAAAGTATATAAAGGGTGCGCGCCCCCCTTGCCACCCCTTTTTCCTGTTTCGGTATCCCTATGCAGGCGTTATCGTTGATGTCAGTGAAGTTACGACTGAGACTCAACTATTGCTGGTTGCAAACTAATTACCAACCCCGTCCTTGATCTTCATGCTCTATGAGCTGGGTCATGGCAATTTTTGTCTCCCTTTTTTTGCTTTGCAATCGTACCATGTGCTGAGCACTTTTCGTTTGCTACCTACTCCGAGTCCGAGAGGGTGCCGGGCGGGTGACGGATGGATGGATTGAGCTGCTAGCGCTGGATGTTCTGCACAAATGTTCTCATTCATTTGAAGATGACAACCGTTCAATGGAATGAAAGCACATGATTCTTCCTACGACTGTCTGTGTCTCTGATTTACGAAGCAAGCATCCGTCCGTCTCAGCACCACATGTTTCGGATCTGCGTAATGGAACTTGGCGGAAGAGACTGACCAGCGAGACCTGACAGGCCTGGGAGTCATGATCTGAGTCAACTCATTCTCTGGGAGTGGGATGCCTTGGTCTGCGAGGTATACGCCTGCTGGCCCGTAGAAGGGGAGGCGGCGCAGCAAGCTCCAAGTGCCAGCTGGGGCGGGGAGGTGTTTGGTCTGGCCTGGCCTGGCCCGGCCTGAGGACGCGGGGATGCGGGGCAGGCAGAGTGAGACCTTGACCGGCACCAGCTTCACGCCCTCACGTCCCGGCGTGGAATGGACCTCACAGGGTGGCTGTACCCGCGTCTGCCGCCCTGCCCGTGCCGTGTCCCACTGTCCTCGCCAGCCACCGCTAATCGACGTGGCCGGTCAAGCCACAGCGAGGTTTAGGCTTCTTCCGCTTCGGCTACTCTCACAAAGACCCCGTGCTCCCCTCCTTTCCGCATCTTCCCCCCCCCCTTCCTCTCACCTCGACAACACACTACTCTCTTTACTCTGTTCCATACCATCACTACACAATACCTTAGCTACACTCCTTGGTCAAAGAGTTTGATCTCTGGCAAGCCAACGATCTCCTGGCCAAGCACCGATCACTGGCACAAGTCTCCACGCCCACTCACTAATATCCTCCATACCAACAACTAGCTCTCATTTCCTAGCAGCACTGCGTCCAGCCACTCCTTCTCAGCCTCTACAGAGAAAGGATACGAGACGTACCATCTACTCAGTTCAAGTCTCCTCCAGTGATACCAGTCCCTCTCGCGCTCGTGTCACATCGGACACTTTAGCAGCTTATAGGATCATACCCCAGCACTTGATCCCTTCAAGGCCCCACCCCTTGCGATAGACTACAGCACCAGAACACCATGTCGGACTCACGGAACCCGACAGGTAAGAGCGTAGACTCTGGCTTCTCAGGTCTCGGTGTCAGCTACCCCGGCATCGGAGGTCCGGAGGCGGCAAGGGGGCGCTCCGCAAGATTAAGCCCTTCGCTTGGTGGCCCTTCGCCAGAGATTCCATCGACTCCAGGAGATATGTCTTCTACAGGTCTCAACGATCAGTCGGCATTGCTGCAAGTCCTGGCTGGCATCAGCGGAATGCAAAAGGAGGTGAGTGCAAGGCGAGGATGGTGAAGCCAATTGCGCCGTGGCCAGCTAAACTAAGCTGATCCTTGGCGTCCTCCCCTTTCAGCTCGCACGCATGCATCAACGACTGGATGCAATGGAGGAGAGGAACAGTCGCATCGACTCTCACTCTATGATGATCTCTTCACCCGTCTCACGCCCACTCCCAATCTCTCGACACGGCTCACATCGGAATCTAGAGGGTCAGTATGTGGGAGGCTCTCCCGATAGGGCGACCTTTGCGCTACCTCCCCACATCGCCAGCCTGAGCAGCGCGAATCCTCAGCCGGCACCTCTACTGGCCAAGAAGCCTGACTTGGGTCTCTGGTGCGTCGTGCCTGCTGGAGGAGCCGGTACGAGGTTGTGGCCCTTGAGTAGGGAAAGCTACCCAAAGTTCCTCCTCGATCTCACCGGCTCGGGGCGGACTTTGATCCAGAGCACATGGGATCGTCTGCTACCGCTAGCAGGATCAAGCCAGCTGATGGTTGTGACTGGAGGGGCGCACGTTGACCCAGTCATGGGACAGCTGCCAGATCTGGAAGAAGCAAATGTCTTTGCTGAACCATCGCCCAAGGAGAGCATGGCTGCCATCGGACTGGCGGCTGCTGTCCTCAAGAGGAGAGATCCAGACGCTGTCCTCGGCTCTTTCGCCGCTGACCACATCATTTCTGGTCGAGATGCCTTCGAGTCGGCAGTGACAGAGGCCGTCGCAGTCGCAAAGGCAGGCTACCTGGTCACCATCGGTATTGCGCCCTCCCACCCCTCGACAGGATTCGGTTACATTAAGCTGGGAGAGTCGCTTCATCAACCCGATGCACCGAATGCTCGAAAGGTCACCGAATTCAAGGAAAAGCCAGATGCCAGAACCGCCTCTGCGTACCTGAGCACAGGAAACTACCGATGGAACGGTGGTATGTTCGTCGTCAAGGCTGCGGTGCTGATGGACCTCCTCAAGGGCACCGTCCCTGCCCTCCATGACGGTCTGGAGAAGATTGCCGACGCCTGGGACACTCCTGCGCGCCAGTCTGTGCTACACGAAATCTGGCCTACCCTCGACAAGATTGCCATTGACCACGCCGTTGCCGAGCCTGCTGCTCGCTCAGGCAAGGTCGCCGTCGTCCCCGCCACATTCGGTTGGGACGATGTTGGGGACTTCTCCTCGCTGGCAGATTTGCTGCCAGCTGAAAAAGGCGAGGCGCGCATCCTAGGAGACCCGAATATGGTCATTACTGAGGGTCAGGCTGGAGGATTGGTGATTCCGGCCGGTGGAAGGCCGATTGCGTGCTTGGGCGTGGACGACGTCGTCGTGGTTGATACACAGCACGTCCTCTTGGTCACGACGAGGGCACGGGCACAAGATGTCAAGAAGATGGTCGCGAGGGTAAAGGCCAGAAAGTGGACTCATCTGACTTAGTCAGTTTTGTAGAGAAGAGACGGCTTGTCGCTCTGTTCCAGCAGAAACCGCGCTACCACTACTGCTCTCCCATTGATGATGAATAGCGCCCCGTGTCACCGTTACCTTACCCCGCCTTTGTTCTTTGCTCGATGCTCGCTGCTTGTTGCTTGCTTGCCCTCTTAGCACACTCGCCACTCGTCGATCAATACGTATCTAGTATCTAGAGCACACATCATCACACTGTCAGACTGAGCGTGATACAAGGCTTGAGATACTTCTATACATGCTCTACGAGTGACAAATCGACCAGAAGTCTATCCTGTGCAAAGGCAGCTCTACCACCTGTGGTCATCCTCCTGCTTTGACCTCGCCCCGCATCTCGTCCAGCAATCGCACCGATTCGGACCAATTGAAGAACTCGCTCGGGTGGAAACAGCCCAGCTGATACAGGTACGCAGTGACATGTCTGCCACACGTCAGCAGTCCCACCCAGAGGAGAGCTCGGCGTGCTACCCACTCAAGCGTAGACGGCGGTGAATGTTTGCTAGGCGAACCGAGGAGTTGCCCTTCGAGGAAGATGAGTGCTGCTTGTGAGAGGAAGAAGAAGTGGATAGGAAAGGTGAGGAGGGCGAGAGTGGGGACGTGCCAGGGGGTGGGAGGTCTAGGCTTAAAGCGACCGAAGACGAGACCTGTGAGATGAAGCGGGGGCACGGGAAGTCAGAGAGGCTGCAAGGCAGACAGTCCACGATGACTCTGATGGACTTTGAGCTGGGACTCACTGTGCTCGATTGCTGAGAAGCTGAATGTCCCTACGGCCGCAATGGCCGAGTAGCTCCTTGCGCCAGGTATCAGTCTAGCATTAGCAGAAAAGTCCCTCCTGAGCCACTGATGCCAGCGACTACTCCAAAAGTCACGCGGACCAGAGGAGGACAGAGGTCTTTGGAAGCTCGGCGAGATGGCAGTGCAGGGGAACTTGAGGACACGGAGCAGGAAGGTGTTTACCAGAAGCTCGCCGGGGGCGGCTGTGAATGCCACGAGTGTGCCGAGGCCAAAGGTGAGGATGTACTGGTCCCACAGAGGCACCGCGCTGAAGAAGTCTTCTCCAGGTCCAGGCCGCAGAGGGAGATTCAGGAACCGTACGTACCTCTGAAAGGCATAGATGGCGGTGATTTGGAGCAGTGATCCTCCCAAGCCCCATTCGAGCTGGCCGAACCAGACAGGTGCCTCGTGGCGCTTGTCCTGTGCCAGTCGCTTTCTATTCAGCGTATCTCCTGGCCCAGTTTGCTCCAATCTTGCGGCTTCTCTATAGACTTCGCCTGATGCTAACAGCCTCGGCAGAGCCCATTCCATGGCCCTCTGCTCGGACGGTAGGAGCCACGAGGTGCCCGGTCTGCGCATTGTCATATTGTCACAGGCCCACAAGAGGCGTCGAAGTGACCAGGGAGGCGGATGAGGCACAACGTACCAGACAGATGGGATGGAGAAAGGCTGATTCTCCGATGCTGGGTGCCCTTTGGCGCTAGTCGCACCGTTGCGGTGATCGTCCTCCTTCTTGGCGCCTCCATTGACCTGCTTGCTTGTCGGAGAGGTCATCCTCACCGCCCCTTTCCATCGATGTGCCTGATGCTCCGGAACGATCCATCTTGGTGCGCGTTGTTCTGGCGTATCCCACAGACTGACCACTCCCACCTTGAGTATCTCTGCAAGGGGCAGCCAGGTGATAGAGGGTATGGCAATGTTCCGAAAGTCATTGCCGAGGGTGACTGCCTCTGGATCGAAGGTGAGCGGGAAGAGGGCTGCTACGAAGAGGGGAAGAGAGACCAGCCTGAGCAGCCCGAGACTCGACGAGGAAGACGGCAGGGTAGCGTGGAGAAGGAAGGAGTACCCAAGCAGCGCGCAGGACGTGAGCAAGAGGGTGGTCACGCCTCTAGAGGGGTAGTAGAGCCCGCTACAGGAGCGGACTGCGGGCGACGCGGAGAGCACTGCACGGGCATACTGAAAGTGAGAGGTCAAGACGTCCACCAGCGGATTGTCGAAGAAGAGCGAGGGTGGTGCTTTCGACATGGCGCTCGATGCACTCTACGGGCGTTGGTACTGCTGCTACCAGCAGTCACCCTGGTCTACTGTACTGCCACTATCCAAGACCGCTGCAGACTGCTCGGGCGACTGGAAGCAGAGGACAGAGGGATGTTGGGCATGAGAGAGGGATGTGAAAAGGGTGAGTATGCATTGTCTGATTGCAAAGACGGGCTCCAGAGTGTCTCCATGTGATGCTCCTGAGCCTGGTGCTGATCCAATGGCGTCTGTCTCGTGGCTGGGATCTTCCTGATCGACGTCGTCCCTTTCCGCCTTGTGTGCGCCGATCGATGACGCGCTGCCTCTGCTTTGATCTCCGCTGCTGATTCCCAGCCGCTTGGCTTCTGGCACCCTTCTTCGCCCTGTCGCCCTGCACCCGCCCGCTCGCCCGCCCGCGTGCCCAGCCGTCGGCATGGATTTCGATTCTTCACTCGCTTTCCTCTTTGCTCCTGGTGTCGTTGCAACTCATCCTCCTCGTTGTACCTTACCATCAACACACCTCCAGGGCATTCGCATACCGCACACGAATTTACACGCCTCCGCATAGCACCATAACGACATCAACCAGCGCTCCGTTCTCTACAGCATTTGACTCGTTGCTTGCACACAAACAAGCCCACCGCAGCCACAAAACGGGCACACGCACCAACCAACCCAGAGCATACCACCTACCCTCGTCACCCCTCGCCGCAACTCTGTCCCACAAGTCGTGCCAAGAGGTGATCTCATAGAGCTCCCTACCCCTCCAGCCCTTTGCCCAGCATTCCCTCCAAGCGAGCCATCTCCGATCTCCGTATCCAGTCTGCCGCTCGGCAGCTCGCTACGCCTCTCAGGCCCCCCTAACTCGCCCTACTCCCAGAGTGCACCACAAATACATACATACCCTCCCTGCATCTACTCTTACCAGGCCGCCGGTCCCCTTGCTGGCGACCCATCCCTTGTATCCACCTCAAGTGATCCCAAATTTGCGCCCTCGCAACACTTTGCGCTACCAGTGTTGAGAGAGCACCTCTGCTGAGCTCGCAGCAAATTCCTACATCGATGGTCGACCTCTCGCACTGCTTTGTCCCAGTGGCACCACCCACTGCGCCTCCCTCGCCCGTCTCGGAAGCACTCTTCTGCAAGGATGGTGACGCTTCTGTTTCTTCAATCTCAGTAGAGGGCCACATCAAGCCAAAGGGCGGCTCACAGCCCGTCTACTATGGATCCATCGAACAACAGCTTCGCACTGTCCTCGGCGATGTCAATGTCGACGAGTGCGATGCGAACGGTGAGAATGCCTTCTTCGTAGCCGATCTGTCCGAGGTCTACCGGCAGCATGTCAGGTGGCTGCGAGCTCTGCCTCGCGTCATTCCCTTCTACGCCGTCAAGTGCAACCCCGACCCTTACGTCTTGCGATTGCTTGCCGCTATGGGCACCGGCTTCGACTGTGCTTCCAACGGCGAGATTCAATCAGTCCTCGACCTTGGTGTCTCACCATCACGCATCATCTATGCCAACCCTTGCAAGGCTGCTTCTTTCGTGCGAAATGCCGCTGCTCACAACGTGTCTCTGACCACCTTTGACAACCTCGACGAGCTGCACAAGATGAAGCGCTTCCATCCCTCTTGCAAGCTCGTGGTGCGCATTCTGACCGATGACTCGAAGAGTGTCTGTCAACTCGGCCTCAAGTTCGGTGCCCCTCTTGACACGGTACCTCGTCTCCTGGCAAAGGCTCGCGAGCTCGAGCTCGACGTTGTGGGTGTCTCTTTCCACGTTGGCTCTGGCTGTTACGACCCCAATTCCTTCGGTGACGCTGTTGCCAGGGCGCGAAAAGCTTTCGAGTACGGACGCGACGCGGGCTACACCTTCGACCTGCTCGACGTGGGCGGTGGCTACGATCACGACAATTTCGAGACCATTGCTGATGTTCTGCGTCCAGCCATTGACGAGCACTTCCCTGACGCCGACTACGCTCCTGGTGGAGCCCTCGTTGAGGGCAAGCCCCACGGACTTCGCATCATCGCAGAGCCAGGAAGGTACTACGTTCAGAGAGCCTTCACGCTCGCTTGCAATATCATTGCCAAGCGAGACGGGAGGACAGAGGTCTCCGAGGAGGAGCTGAACGAGGGCAGTGAGGCCACTGATGCTTCTGAGCCAGTACAAGAACTATCACCTCAGATCATGTACTACCAGAACGATGGTGTATACGGAGCCTTCAACAACATCATGTTCGACCACCAGAGCGTTCACCCTCAGGTGCTGACCCTCAACCGGCGCATCGTCTGGCCAGCTGGCTCAAGCGATAAGGAGACCTCGAAGGCGGCGAGCTCTACGCCTGCCCCACGGGTCGTGCCTTGTTCCGTCTGGGGTCCTACATGCGATTCGATCGATCTAGTGCGCAAGGTCGTACCTCTGCCAGAGTCGCTAGAGGTGGGTGACTGGCTAGTCTACGAAGACATGGGTGCCTACACCATCTGTGCTGCCTCCAACTTCAATGGCTTGAGGAGGAGCGAGGTGAAGTACATTCTGGGTGGCGGTAGCGCTGGGCGAAGCCAGGACGCGAACAGGGTCAAGGAGCTCTTGATCTGATCGAGCGCATCGGGCGGCATGGAAGCTTCGGCGTGGTGCTAGGAAGCGGTGCGGTCAAAGTAGAGACGAGATCTTTGCCTCAAATTCCAATCTTGTTACCTTAACGATGAATGCAAAAGTCGTGATCATTCCCAGCATCGTTCCGGTTCCGATTGCCCGGCACGGAGAATTGTTCTCCACAGGCAAACTCCGCCGCCGGAAGCCGTACTGCTTCTGTACTCTTCGTATCACATTCCTCTGACGCTCTCGCGAGGTAGACCTTTGGCAAGAGAGCTCTTGCCCAGGGCTCTACGCCTGTGATCCTCATCACTGACCCATTCAGAAGCATCAGCAGCTCTCAGCTATCGGCTATGGCGTCGTCGTCGCTGTCCCCATCCCCTGGCCCATCTTCCTCGAATCTAGTCGCCTCGCTCACTTACCCCTTGACGGCATGTCTCCCTTCACAACGACGCTCGGCCGGCGAGCCTTCCACTTCCTACCCTTCTCTCTTCGGTCGAAGACAAATCTCCAACCAGTCCAGAGGTAGCGGCAGGGACGACTTTGCCTCCCTTCTGCACCGCTCCTCCCGAGGCGATGCCGGAACAGATACAGAGTCAGACACGGACGCCATCTCCCTCCTCTCGGGCATCGCTGCCCGCTCTCCCACTTCCTCAACGGCAGCCCGAGCTCGAGCGGTAGAGCGAGCTCGACAGAGGAGGAGAGAGCAACGCGCTCGACAGGCCGGCTTGTGGGGATTGGGAGACTGGGCGAGCGAATTGCTTGCCTGTGGGCTTTTTGGAAGACCGAAGAGTCAGAGGCGGAGGCAGGGGTTGGGAGAGGAGAGAGGCGAGAGAGAGACGGACACAGCGCTTCGTGAACCGCTACTCGAAGACGAGGGTACTGGAGATGAAGGTGAGGGCCGACTTGGGAATTCGGAGCTGGAGAGTGGAGACGAGGACGCAAGATCCCTTGCGGAGGAAGCTCTGGATGCTCAGGTCGCTGCTTCTCGAGATCAATTGGCGCAGGAGCCTGTCCCAGCCAAAGCCTCCAAGCTGAATGATCAGGCTGTAGAAGACGATATATCGGCTATACAGGCAGCAGAGGAGGCAGCTCTCGCCGCTGAGGAAGAGCAAGCCGTACTTGATGCTCAGCGCAAAGCGGCAGATAAGGCAGCCAGGGAGGGCTTGCTCGCCAGGGAAGCGACGAAGTCATCACAAATAATGTCACAAGCAGAGATCGAAGCAGAGGCCGAAGCTGCGGCTGGAGGTTTCGAGATTGATGAAGAAGCTGGACCTCTGCACGACGGCCAAGATGAAGACATGGATCGCGACGGCTATTACGATGTTGACGAAGATAGGAGCGAGCAAGCGTACTCTGATGCAGATGAACCTTACTACGACAATGAGACTTCACCCTCTGCCGTCATCCATCATCACCACTACTACGACTACCAGCCATCCGAACAGCACACCACAGACCCGCTATCCTCCACAGCCTTAACAAGCCCTTCGACTGTCCACCCCGAGCCGGACGAGACACTCCAGGATGGAGCAGACGAGGAAGACGAAGCAGACATGGCCGGTCTGGGTCTTGGACCACGAAGAAAAAGGGGATACAGCGCCAGCGTCAATCGCAGCAGTGACGGTAAGGTCAGGAGCCGAGATGGTAGCAGCGCCAACGACAGAGTCGGATCTCAGCCGTACTCAGGCCGCCTTTCAGGCTCAGGCTCAGGCTCTGGGACTGGCTCAGCTGCTCCCAGTAGGAGGAGTGGAGAGAAGCACTACCAGTACCCTGCCGCCGCATCGAGTGCTTCAAGAGAGTCCTCAGGTCCGAGGAAGAGGCACGGCAGCGCTGGTCCTCCCTCCCTGGGCTCCAGCTCAAACAACGGTGCCCGCCGCTATCAGCTTCCCCGCACTGCACACAAGATGGACGATAGCGCTGCGGATGCCGCTGCTGGGGGGTTCGACGATTGGGAGGTCCCGGCTTCTGCTACAGGCGGTGCAGACGAGCAGACAGAACAGCACGAGGAGGAAGGAGATGAGGCAGTGCAAGAAGATGTGGACGTGTGGGGCTCGCCGAGCAGTCAGATCTCACCGAAGAAGATGAGCTACAGGGAGAGACGCTACCTCGGCAATGAGCAGGTCAGTGACGGTGGTAGAGGCGGTACTGCTGGGAGTTCGGACGGTGGACGATCCTCGGGTGGAAGGAGCGGGAGGAGTCGAAAGGAACGGAGAGCTACAGCGATGGACGAAGGGCTGGAAGAGGCGGACGAACTGTAAGAATGAGCCGCACATTCGAGTAGATCAATGGGCACGCGGTAAGAAAGCAGACGACATACCCCATGCAGCAATCGACATTGCTCAGTCTTTGTACAATTACATATTATTACGACCCTATTACGACCCTCAATGATAGTCGGACCATACCCACGACCCGCAGCGACATAGTGATACGCCTCTCTGTCAGAAGTTCATCGGCCTGAACTTCTTTTTGCGAGGCAGCGACTCCTCCTCTTCAGCGGCGGACCTGATGCGATCTCCATCGGTCAGACCTGCATCTCCAGCTGCCGCACGGGGAGCCTGCGTCGGGGGCAGCTCTTCCTCCTCGACCGCCTCCTGCTGAATGCTCTCGCCTGCCTGCCCACGATCGTCCGAGCCTGCTTCGTATTGCGCAATAGACTCGTCCATGGTCGTGCTCTCCTCTCCCGCTTCTGCTGCTGCTGGTTCTACCGCGGAAGCCTCATCACCGGCCGTTTCATCTCCCGGTGAATCGTCTCGTTGCTCGAGCGATATCCGCTTCGCTTCGCTCTTTTCTGGCGCAGCTGCTTGGCTACTCTTGAATGCCTGCGAGCCATGTACAACAAGATGACCAGCCTCAATGTCCCGCTCCATCTCGTCCAGAGCCCCTCCATAGTCGATGCCGTCCCCGCAATCGAACGTATCGTCCCCCTCATCACCGTCCTGTGCGAGAGACAGATGAGGCTCGCTGGTAAGGCGACGGCGGGAGGATGCGGAGGGCGGGGCGACGATACGTGCACTTGCGGGAGCGGAAGCTCGCGAGAGAGGAGGTTGTTCTTGTGAGGCAGAGGGGCCGCCTCTGAATAGGCTCGTACTGAAATCCTCATCCTGTGTTTGTGCTTGCATGGGAGGGGGTGGTTGCGGGATAGTTCTGCGGTTATGCGACCGAGATTCCGATGGAGGTGTCGATTCTTGGGGAAATTGAGAGGGTCTCAATGGGGGACCCACGACAGTGGAAGGCTCCTGCGACGGGACAGCCGCCTGGAACGTAGGGGGAGGGCCCTGCTTTGCCATACGTTCGATTTTTGGTGTCTGGCCTGTAGTCTCCTCTAACCCATTGGTAGCTGGCGAGATGTCTGCCCCAGGGCCGGGTATCGTCGGCTGCGGGACCTTGCCAACATTCAGATGTGTGTCATCTCTTCTTTGAGTACTGGGCGACGTATGGGAGGCAGCGGTAGCTCCAGAAAGCTGACCATCTCTTGGCGCCGGCTTCGAATCGGTGGTTGCGATGACCACCTCGGCACTCAAGCTGTCACCAAGGATTTTGATGAAGAGAGGCTCACCCCCTGCTGAGAAGTGCAGCTCCAGATGCGATCCTATCGCCTCGGCAAAGGCCACAGCAGCTCTGAACTCCTTCAGGGGCAGGCTGAGGAATACCTCGCCAGACACCTGGTAGACGTCGAACTGAGTTGGATCCACCTTTACTTCCGTCTGGATTGATCTGCGATTCTTGCCGACATCGAACTCGTCGCTCTTGCTTCTGACGGAGCAGCTGTCAGCTTCACACCAGAAGCTAATGTCGGCACCTCTGCCCGTGATGGCAAAGTGAAGGAGCCATTCCTGCACTGCCTCTGCGCCTACGACGATGATGGACGCATTGTCAGGATTCGCAGACGGGTAGAGGGCTTCTTGCGCTTCGTAAGTCAATCGATGTGTCTTAGTCACACCAAATTGATGATGCAGGCGAACTGCAAAGTAGCACTCCTGCCCGTCTGTGATGCTGAACTCGCATTTGTCGAGCTTGCGGCTGCTGCTGGTCTTGAGGCTGGCAAGAAGGGAACGAGTATTGACCTGACACTCGAGCTTCTTGGGAGCCTCGCTTGATCTAGAAGAAGGTTTGAGTCTGATGTGGTCGAAGAAGCTCTCTGCGAAGACAAAGGCGCAAAAGGCAGACGAGGACGAATTGATGGCAGACACGCGAAGAGACGTCTGCAGTACCGTCTCGGCGTTGCCTGCACCGTGTGTGGAGCCTTCTGTCTCGATCGGGACAAGCCCTCTGCTGATATGAAAGTTGAGCACCTCTCCAAGCTTACTGAGGCAAGTCAATGCGTGATGAAATGCTGCCCGGAACGGTTAGAGAAGGAATGGAACGTCAGGCTTGCTCTCGCTGCTCAACGGCCAGAGGTGTCCTCACCTTTGAGACGATCTGCCGAGAATGATGCTTCCATATCCGCTGCGTCTATGCGTGCCGCCCCTCACCACCTCGAGGTCATGCAGGCCGGTGATACTGATCTATCGGTACGAATGTGCATGGAAAGCCTGACGGTCATTCGCAACTCGCTGCCGACGCGTACGACGGAAAGGGAAGCAGCCACGTGGGTGGAGCACGGCGGGGCTGGACTCCAGGCGACTGTGCGCGGTCGCATCCAGTGCACACGACATCAAAGTTTTCCTCCCCGTACGCAGCTTCTTCGTACTCGATGCTCATCACGAATACCCTTCACACCCAGTCTCACTACCCCCATATATTTACTTCAGAAATGGCTTTTGCTCAACGAGGATGCTACTCCTGCGGCCAGCGTTAGTGTCTTCGGTACATCGAACAGGACGGAAAGAAAGAGGATGAGTGCGAAGTGTAGTGGCGTGTCGTGTTAACGGGTGTATAGAGGTTTGCGCCAGACTGGCGCTGCCTTCTTGCTTCCCAGCTCGACAATCGGGGACATGACGCCTCATGGTGCATGTCGTGAGATTGTCGCAGCACCGTTAGCGCCATAGCTTTTGGGGTCATTGGATGTGCAAGTGGAGAGGAGAGAGAGACCAGCTTGTCACGTCGATGAGATTGTCGCTGTCGCCTCTGTCATCTGTCTGTCAATTGTCCATACCGAGGAGGAGGAGCAAGACGCATGTCTTTATTCATTCATCTTAAGCGAGAGAGGAGAAGAGCTGACGAGGCGTTAATGTCATCTTCATTCCCACACTACCTACCTTTCTTGCCCGCATATTTGGCGTCGTCCCTGGTACTCGCTTGCTACCTCACCTTTGACTCTTCTCCCATTGCAGCTGGACACCAGGCTGCCGCTTGCCCCAACGCTGCTCAGGGACCTTCATGCTACAACTGCAACCAGCCGGGTTCGTAGCTCGAATCGTCTTGACCTCCTCATAGACAGGGTACTTACTGTTCTCCCATTACCCTCGCGTCCTATGCTCTATCCTCTCCTCAGGTCACGTCGCTGCCATGTGTGGTATGCCCGCTAAGCCCAAGTCTTGCTACAACTGCAACCAGGAGGGCCACATCGCCCGAGAGTGCCCCTCTGGCCCCTCTGGCGGTGCCGGTGGCGCCTACGGCAGCACCGGTTTCGGTGGATCTGGTGGAGCTTGCTACCAGTGTGGCCAGCCCGGTCACTTGGCCCGTAACTGCCCCACTGGCGGTCAAATGGGTGGCGGTGCCTTCGGTGGTTCCGGCGGCTACGGTGCCCCCAAGACTTGGTGAGTCTGGATCGGGTAATGGGATGCGGCCTAGGTATTGGAGCAATAGACTGACTGTCAGCCTCGTCATCTTCTCACAGCTACTCGTGCGGTGGAACTGGACACATCTCCCGAGAGTGCCCCAGCGGTGGCGGTGCCGGCGGTGCTGGTGGCCAGAAGTGCTACAGTGAGTTCTCGCGCTACTTTTCCCGCTCTGTGGTCAACAGTATGTCTGACATTGCGTCCCTCCTCCTTGCAATTCACTTTCAGACTGTGGAGAGTTCGGTCACATCAGCAGGATGTGCAGCCAGCCTCAGCAGAAGAGCTGCTACAAGTGCGGAGCCAACGACCACTTGTCGGCCAGCTGCACCCAGTAAGCGACAGGGTCTACTCAGTGTCGTGTCTTGACTCTCTTTGTCATGCGTTTCAACGTTTCTCGCGCATCTCGTCTGCTCTAGACTCTATACTTGCCTTGGCTTGTCCATCTGTTCTCTCGTTTACTGCATCGAAATACCGATTCTGCCAGCGAATCATCTCTCAGTCTGGGCTATCGTACGATTGAGAGATGACCCTGGCAATGACGGATTTGATTGAAAGACTTCTTCTCATGAGTGACTTTGACCTAAAGGGCTAGACTTCCCCATCCGTGCACCTCGGTCGATGCCGACGCTCGGGCCCACGACCATTCCATTACACCCTCCTTCGCTTCTCACCCGTAGCCACCTTGCCAGTCTTGCCTTGACCTCCCGCCGCGGCAAGCCTCCTAGCCCACTCGATGAGCAGCCTCGTGGGTCTACCAGTCATGCAATACTTGTCCTGGTATGGCAGATCAAAGTCCGACTCCATGGTACCTCCAAGGTCCAAGTGAGCAAATCGCGTGCGAGCGGGCACACCCTTCTCCCTATCCTCGAGACCCTCGACGAATTGCTTGAGGAAGATGGCAGCAGCGCTCGCCCCTGCTGGTCGACCGACATTGCACAGGTCAGCCGGCTGGGAGGCTCCACTGATCGAGTAGAGGTAGTCGTCGTCCAGTGGCATGCGCCACACCCGGTCGTTTTCAGCTTTGCTTGCGGCGAGGAGCTCATGCCAGAGACTTGGATCTTCGACAAAGGCACCCGTGTAGACGGTTCCGAGGGCGATGCGGATAGCTCCGGTCAGAGTCGACAGGGTGATGAGAGTAGAAGGCTTGTGCTCTCGCGAGACGTAGGTGAGGCAGTCGGACAGAACCAGACGGCCTTCGGCATCAGTGTTGTCGATTTCGACTGTCAAGCCCTTCATGCTTTTGACGATGTCTCCAGGCTTCGTGGCTGAGGGGCCAGGCATGTTCTCGGTGAGAGGGGCCACAAAGACGAGGTTGCAACGCAGGCCCAGTTTAGCGATGGCGAGGGTGGTGGCAAGGCCTGAAGCAGCTCCCATCATATCGCCTTTCATTAACTTCATGCCAAGGCCAGGTTTGATGGAGATACCGCCAGTGTCAAATGTGATTCCCTTTCCTACCAGACCGATCGTAGGGAGGTCATCGCCCCCACCCGGGTATTTGTAGTGAACTTCGAGCACCTTGGCCGGCTCGTCTGTGCCGTGAGTGACTGACAAGAAGCACCCCATGCCCTTTGACTTGGCCCATGCTGCGTCATGGACGATGACTTCGGTGCCTGCAACACCGCTGAAGAGAGCCTGAGCGCGTTCGCAGAAGAGCGTAGGCGTCATGAGGCTGGAAGATGGGGGTATCAATCAGCGAGAAAGTCATTGTTTGATCGGCCTACGGATCTGACACTCACTTGGCAGGCGTCTCTGCCAGCTCTCTACTCAGGTTCTGAGCTTCTGCATAGGCAGTCCCAGTTTGCCAACTCAGCGGTACATCTCCACCAATGGCATCTTCGGTGTCCAGCAGCTCTTCCGCCTTGGCGTCTGATGCAGGAACAATGTCGATTTCCTTGCCTCCCTGCTGCTCAGCTGCACACTCAAAGGCATGACTGCCTGCTGCTCCGCGAGTTCGGAAGTGATTCGTCTGGTAGGTTGCGAGGAGTGCCCCAACAGCGGCCGCGTGAGGGGAAGCTGTGGTCTCCACACCCAGCTTTCGCGGGGGAGGGGCAGTATCGCTTCCTTTCTGCGGGGGTCCAACGTCTCTCAGGGCTCTGACACCCTTTGCGACCGCAACTCTGATCCTCTCGAGGTGCTGATTACGAAGGTACTCTCCCTCGTTGCCATCGTCTACAGCGTCAGGCCCGGTCTTGGGAACGTAGGTGTTCTGCTTGCCGAGAGAAACCGCGGCGTAAGGAGTCGAGTCACCATACAGAAGGCGAGTAGTCCCTGCTTTGGCAGCATCTGCTCGAGAAGCAGACCACTGAGATTGGAGATTGCCGGACTCGGTGCTGGGTGCGTTGACCTTGCCGTCGGCAGAGACGGTGATGACCAGAGCGTCAGGGGAGGAAGCCATTGTGCGAATGCTGGATGGTGTGAATGCGTTGTTGAGCTGTGGCCGTGTTCGCAGTGCGGTGGCTCTGAGGCCTCTGGTGAGCATGGGATGGAGAAGAAATAGGATGAGCTGACCTCTGAGCAATCCTTGGTGTTCTGAGAGGATCTCCCTTTGGGCAGCCACGACGGCAATCTTCCCAATCGCCTCGTAGCCGATCATCGGCCGATGTTCGGTCGTCGCCTCGATTTGGATCTCCGCCGCGGCTGAGCGGTGCATCGCCAATCGCTGCCTGGGATCATCCAACTCCACCTTCGCCTGGCCTCGCACACATCTCACATACGGGACCATACCACCAACCCCTCTTATCCTTCGGACATCGCCACGAGGGCTACAGCCGACATGCCATCGTCAAATACCATCGATGCTGCGGCCAAGTCCAAGATCAAGTCTTCCCTGCCTTCGTCGCAGTACAAGATCATCACCGCGACAGTGGCCAGGGTGTATGCGGCCATTGGAGAAGGAGAATGGGCTTACACTGGCATCGAGGGAGGACTGGCACTCGTCAGGATACTCTCCGGGCCTACCGCAGACAAGGGCGCTTGTGGATTCCGTGTCGTCGATCTCAAGGTGAGTCGGACGCTGAGCGGAGGTGACCGATTGAGAAGGACATGCCTCATTGATGCCATGCTTGTCATACAGGGTACTCGCGGAATCATCTGGGACCATGACATCTACGAGAACATGCAGTACAATCAGGACAGAAGGTTCTTCCATACCTTTGAAGGAGACGAGTTCCTGATTGCCTTTTCGTTCGCCGAAGAGCGCGAGGCAGATGACTTCTTCAAAAAGGTCAATGGGAGGTCCAAGTATGGTAAGTAGAAGCAAGAGCAGTAGCGCTGAATGACTGTCTACGTGGTGGCTGATACTTCTTACCGACTTCATACCTAGTAGCCAAGTCCTCTTCCAAATCTAGCAGCGCTGCTGCTGCCTCCAGTAGCTCGAGCCCGGCGAAGAAGAAGAAGGCCCACAAAGGCGGCATTGACAAATCGATGATCTCTGGGCCCACGGGCTTCCAGCACGTCGCGCATATGGGCTTTTCCTCTGAGAACGGCTTCTCTTCTAACAACGTTGACCCTACTTGGGCCGCCTTGCTTGATCAGCTGACTAGCATGGGAGTCAGCGAGAAGGACATCAAGAAGAACGAGAAGTTCATAAAGGACTTTGTGGGACAAAGAGGAGGACCAAGCAATGCGGCTGCCCCTGCTCAGCCGAAAACCAAGAAAGTCCCGCCTCCAGCGCCGAGCAGAGGCCCGGCATCCGCTCGCAAGCAACCTCCGCCGCCGCCTGCACCGCGGTCACGTCCAGGTGTACCTCCTCCCCCAGCTGCTCCTTCAGCGCCTTCAGCACCTCCTCCACCGCCATCGAGACCAGCAGCAGCGACTTCTGCTCCACCCCCACCTCCGCCCCCTCCTGCCAGGCCGGCAGCCAGTGGACCACCTCCACCTCCAAGTCGTCCAGCGGGTCGCACATCCGTACCACCACCGCCAGCCCCACCCCCGCCCGCAAGAGGAGGAGGAGGAGGTCCTCCGCCCCCACCTCCCCCTCCCACATCTGGCCGCGGCGGTGGCGGCGGCGGTCCTCCTCCACCTCCTCCCCCCGCTGCGCCCCCTGCTCCGTCACCAAGCGAGCCCCGAGGCGCCCTCCTGGCCAGTATCCAAGGTGCCGGCTTGTCCAAGCTCAAGAAGACCGATCCCAGCGTCATCAACGACCGAAGCGCTGTCAGCATCGGTGGGAATGCCGCACCGGCTCGTCCGAGCGGCGGAGCACCACCTGTCCCTCCTGCTGCCACAGGAGCTGCTATGGGCGCTGCCGCTGGTGCTGGAGCTGCTGCCGTTGCGAGTGGAGGAGGAGAGGAGGACGGAGCTGCTGGAGGCGGCGATTTGGCTAGTGCACTCGCGGCTGCTCTTAGTCAGCGAAAGGGAAACATGGGAGATAGTGATGATGAAGAGGACAGTGAGGACGAGTG